AGCGCTAAGTAAATAGACGTAGCGCTAAGTAAATAGGTATCGCGCTAAGTAAATAGGTATCGCGCTAAGTAAATAGGTATAGCGCTAAGTAAATAGACGTCGTACGAGGTCTAGCGGTAGAGAGCCTACTCTATAGTTAATATTATAGGTTAATATCGTAATCTAATCCTACTATAAAGAAGCTAATAATACGATAGTAAATAGCGTAGAGGGTAGAAAGAAAAGAGAAGAGAGTAGAGAAGGTTATCGAGTAGTATAAGTATTACTAGACTCTATTATTACTACCTATATTATAGAATATAGAAAGTAGATAGTATATCGTAGCTTTAAGGGTACGCTAAAGTTATATAATATAGAGGCTAAAGCTAAAGTATTAGGTATAAATACGTTAGAGGGAGTTATAGCGTATATACTCTAACGTTATATATACTATATATAGCTTATAGAGGGTAGGGAGGGCTAAGGTAAGTAGAGTTAAAGAGTTAAGGTAAGTAAAGTTAAAGACTACTACTATAGTAGTCTTTAGGAGTAGCTAAACTTTGCGGGGGCGGCTATACTTTACTCTACGCTCCTATACGTACGGGCGTATATCTATACGCCCTCGCGCGTCCGACGACTACTAGCGTATACCTATACTCTAACTCTAGTACTATAAAATACTATCTAGACGTACTAGAAATAATACTAGATAGATAATCGAGTACTACGAGTAAGATATATCCTATTTTAGCGTATAGAACGACGCCTATAGGTAATTCTAGAAGTACGGATCCTACTAAATAGGATCCTACTAAAAATCTAGACTATATAGCTTCGCGCCTTACTAGATTTAGGGAGGATCCTACTAATATTTAGTTGCCTCGTAGGCCTTATATTACTTAGGCGATCTAGCTAGGACGATAGCTTTATACTAGTAGGGTTAGAAAGGTTCCGCTAAGTATACTAGACTAGCGTTTAGCTACCCTAAGGTAGCCTAGAGAAGACGATAGAGCTATCGTATTTATATCTTAACTAATCTAACTAATCGTAGCGTAGTTAGTTTAGTTAGAAGCGTCTAATCTAACTAATCGAAGGAGTATTAGTTATATTAGTTATAGGAGCGGAAGCCTCCGCTACTATCTCCCTATCTACTCGCTTATCCTACTAATTATTATAATAGTATCTATAATATAATAACTATATTAAGCTCTTTAGGCGCTATAATAGTTAATTAGCTAATAGACTAAGAATAAAGTAAATACCCTATAATAATACCTTAGTAGCGGTAGTTCTAGCTCTATAGCGATAATAACAAGTAAGCTAAGTAAGCTAAGCTATAGCCTTATACTTGCTTATAAGCTAATTAACTTAAGTAAATAGTAACAACTTGCTTAGCTTGCTTATAAAGAGGTCTGTTGTTAGCTAGTGCCTTAACCTCCTCTATATTTACCTACTTGCTTACCTATAACGATAAACTACTCTTCCTAAGGAGTCGAATCGACGGGACTAGCGACCTAGCTATCTCTGCGGCTCTCAAAACGAGGCGACGAGGTTACTATAATTACCTAGACACACTAACAATACAGTCAACCAGCTACATGGCCGACTTATTGGTGGGTAGAGTAATTCAATCAAACTCGCTTGGTTACCAAAGTTCGGCGGCCACAGGCGTAGATCTTGTCAATCATCGCTTCTCGTGTTACTGCAATCGTCAATGTCCGCTTGGTTATGCAAATTGCGTTAAGCCAGGCCATGCAAATGCAGCCTTCCGTCTCATTTGATGTAACACATACTCAGCAATCTGTTCGACCTCAAGGACGGCGCTATCGATGACGATGCCCCAGCTGTCGTAAGAGACCAGACCGCTAGTGATGACTGAGGTCTTAATATCCCAGCTCATCAACCTAGATATCATCGTGGAAAGTGGGCGGTGCTTGCCATGTCTTCTGTGATATGCTACCTCCCAGCCATCGAAGCGAAACCGCTGGAATGAAGAAGGCAAGATTGATGCATGCGAAGATCACCCAACCATTAGCAATATCGACCTTGTCTGCAAGTGGTATACTGAACAGTGTCAGCCAGCCGCGTGCTGTCCTCCTGCAAAATCGTGCTTACGCATAGAATGATATGACAGCCGAGAAGATACTCCGCGCAAAATTGATGACACAAGAGATCTCCGCGCTCTGCGGCTTGAAGTGCTGGAGAAGTGTCAGCCCGTGAAAGCTTCACGATCCAAAGACAACATACATCAGTAGTGTAAGCATATGTCACTGTAGTCGCCGCCTGCAGTCCAAGGTTGGCGATCCCCATACCCATAGCGGGGCCAATCCATGGCACAGTATTGTGATGGTACATGCAAACACCTACGATCACCACTCCAACAGGCACAAGCAGAGATAGCCAGAACCCGTCAAGCCGAGCTTCAGCACGTCTGACGCCATCTCTCTTGCGAGCGTCTCGTCGTACCAGCCAATCAGTGAACCATCCTGTGCTTGCCTCGCCAACGAAGCTACCTATGAGCAGTGGTATGCTGAGGATCAGTCCGGTCTGTGCCGTGTCGAAGTGATAATACCGAGCGAACAGCTGCGAGCCTGTTGAAGCAAAAAGAACCGACCCATAGCCGAAGGTTGTCATGTAATACAATACTGGGAGCAACACCGTCAAGTATCTCGCCATATAAAGTGGTCTTGCAAAGTCGATCAAACTCAGCTTTCGAGGTGGAAGTGCTGCTCGGAACAGCAGCAAGTCTTTGAAAGTGCGTAGCGTGTGATCGGTGGTGCGACGGGAGTACAACGTCTCCGGCAAAGCGAACAGTGTGATCACGAAAGTACCGATCTGAATGTAGCCTGGAATTGTATAGCAGTAGCTCCAACCAAGGTATTGGGCCACGAAGCCGCCGATGAGCGATGCTGTATGCGGTCCGTTGGTGAGGAAGAAGGTAAAGATGCCGATGTAAAAGCCTCGTTCATGGAGGAAGTACAGATCGCATATTGTCGCTGCGCCTATAGCAGGGGGGCTACCAGCGAAGATGCCAACAATGGCTCTGGTAGCCATGACGCCGCCCCAGCTGGTGCTGTAGCCACTCTTTGCAGGGTCTAGTCAGCATACGCTCCTACCAATATCTTTGAAGCAGAAAATTCGTACTCACCGCAACATTACAGGCTCCAGCAACAAGATTGCTGACGAGATACACTGGTCGTCGCCCATATTTATTCGCTAGCGGTACGCTGAGCAGGGGTCCAAATGCCGCCCACAGAATGTACATCATGAGCGAGTACGAAGCCTGTACAGTGCCTATCTTGAAGTGCTTCCCAATAGGCACAAAAGCTGGATTGGCGACAGCAGCACTCATCGGCCCCAGGAAGGCGAGCCAGCTGACTTGTAGCGTGACCGCAAGCTTGACTGCCGGCGACCAATTCTGGAAACTATGGTCAGCGGAATCTTGACTGAAGGAAGATTGACACACCAATGGGTCATCACTGTACTTTGACGGCTGTGGTGAGAGTGGCATGCCATACTTGTCAAGTCGTAATGGCCCGTCACTCTTCTCTGCTTGCTGAAAATCTTCCACTGCCAACGGCGTAGACTTCTCCATGGTCTTAGTGCGCTTTGTGATGTATGAATACTTGAGCCAAGATCATGTGCGGATTGTCAATCACAAGTCGTGGTCAGGTAGAGATCGGTTCTTCCATCGTATTGCACGGCTGCTGACGCGGTGCCATGTGCCGAAGCATCTGTCGATCCCTCGTGGAGATTGTCCATTGTTGTATAACCCCGCCTCTGATGATACATGCGGCTAAATGCTTACAGCGTCAGAGACCAGGGCTCATGACTTGGCGTGCCACACGAGGAGCAGAACAGCTTAGGTGAATCTATTAGATCTACAGTGAATGCACGAGGAACCGAATGCCAGGGACATAGCAAAAGTAGACTTCCCACTTTCATTATTCTCCTGCTACTTCCAATATTGCTAAGCCTGCACCACAAATGCCTGACTATGGCTCTTGATCAATACACTACTATCAAGCACCTCGTTCGTCGAGCTCCTGATGAAATCAATGCCAAGGTGCTGAGAATCGATAATCTTTAGCTGTGCGTAGCTCAGATCATGTGCATAAGCCCAGAGATTCCCCGTCATGTTAGCGCCGATGCTCGACAACCCCTCAACCTTGCCAGCTCCACCCGAGACGATGTAAACTGGAGCCCTGGGATTGCTATAGCCCGCTGGATCGACGATGTTATTATGCATCGCACTGAATCTCTGGGAATTATGGACATGCCCGAAAACAGCGACATCGACGGCGTGAGTATAGAAGAGGGATTCGAACGCTGCTTTGCAGGGAGAGCAGATGTTCTTAGATCCGCTAGTGCTCTACCATGGTCTGTGGCCGGCAACGATGAGCTAGGGTGTCACAGTGCGATCGACACTTGCAAGGTCTCCTGCCAAGAATTGTAACCTGAGTGTAAGTGTAAGCACCATAGCCAATGACTCAGATGCATCATTAGATAATGCTTACTGCTGGCCACTGAAGCCAAAAGCTCCACCATTGATTCCCGCCGAGCCACCCTGCCCGTCAGGTGCATTCGGAAAGTCGGTTTCGGTGTCGAACATGGTGACGTGCGCCATGCCATACTCGAACGAGTACCAAAATGGTGGATTAGCCAACGACTGGGCCTTGGCAGCATTGCTTCGGGCGGTGCTGTTCTTCGAGCTGGATGGGAATGCAGTCGGCATGGTGTGTCCGAGGCGGTTCATAAAGTCGGTGAAGTTGCTCTGTCCTGTAGCGGCTTCGATTAGCGAGACTCTCCACCAAGGCGTGTTTCCCTCAAAATCATGTACCTTCGGGACAAAGTCCGCTGGGAGTCGTCGATTCAGTATTGATCAGTCACTGAACAGACCTCGTCATCTGCGTACCTCGTGTGGTCAAATTCCGTGCAATCTGCCTCGTGATTGCCAGGGCTAGCCATGTACGGCTCGCGTCCAGCCACCTAAATCGGGATGTGTGAATTTAGCATATGTCTCAGGAGAGACCACAGAGCCCGTAGCCATATGTTGCTTACAGGGGCAAGCTGTTCATAGAAGGTCTCGAGTATAGCCTATGCATAACTCAGAGTCCAACGCCTCTCATCAATGGTCACATTATTGCTCTGCTTACTTCATAAGCAATTTCCCATCAAGAAGTTTGCCGAGGCGAAGATACCAGTCATCAGCATAGGCGAAGTCGCCAGGATGCACTACGACTTCGTACGAATCGGCATTCTGAGCGAGGCTGCCGATAGTAGTATGCTGCAGCGCAGGCTGCACTTGCGGGATAGTGTCCCGCTCGTTCGTAGTGAATCCGTCAGCGCCGCTTCCCCGAGATCGACGACTACCGCCATGTTGAATGGAGTCGTGTCACCGGCAGCGCGAGGGCTCAGGAAGTGGTCCACAGTCGAGTTTCCTGGCACGATCTTGTAGTAGTAAGTCGTAGCCGGCATTCGACCTGTGAGAGTAACTGCGTTCGAGAATATTCGTGAGGATACGAATGTAATGGAAGTACTACTACAACTCTGTAGGCTGAGATTGGTACTCGATGTACCATATTGGACGCATGGTTGCGCCAACTTTTGGTAGGTGTTCCATCCGACCGTCATGGAGCTGGGTCCATTGATCGCAATGCGTTGCTGGACTGGCGAAATTCCAACGCTGGGAATTGGCGGGTAGTTGACGGCCAGAGTAGTCGTCACGAAGATAGATATCAAACAGAGAGTGGACATGATTGTACAACGGGCTGAGTGCTTGCGGGGCTGGAAAGTGGGAGGTGAGTGGAAGTGATGTTCTACTTGCTTAGTTGTATGGTTTGATGGTGTCACTGCACCCCCGAGGCAATATACCGGTGGTCATCGCTTTGTGGCAATCGGTAGTGGTGGTTTATATGCTCGTGGGCTTGGTAATTGGAGAGGAAACGCTGTGCCAAGTGACAACAGAGACGATGCGGGAGATCGTCGGGCCGCTAGCCAAGAGCGGGACGCGCGCCGAGAGTGGAACATAGCCAGTAAGACCACTGGAATAGATTATGGAGTGGAGGCAAGATCTCGTCAGAGCCCAGAGTTGATGAGATATGAATGTGTAGACCAAAATCGTGACTCCACCCACTCGCGATCGCTTCCTTGGCTCCATTTTACCTGTCGTGGGCATCAGCAGACACCGCTACATGATGAAGATATCCCGCACGGTAATCAATATCAGACGGATACATCCTCCTGAGCTTGTGCCTATCAGGGATAACCTGCAGGCCAAGACATCTACTGTGATACACTCATGTTGCATCTAAGCCAGATGCGGAGAACATGCAGGGTAATCGCCTTGCAAAGATCCGTATCTCCAGGGTCGGTCAATGTAAACCTTTGCTATCTGCCAGCCATGAAGTTTGGCGGCAGATTGAGGAGCAAGCTGCAAGGTACTGCATATAGCATGGAAGCACACGACGTTGTTAAAGACCTTCGCCATCACAATCCACAAGGCTGAAGGTTGACATTCTATTGCAGCCCAAAGGCAACCACAACTACCATGGCAAGCACTGAGAAATCAGCGACTACCAGCGATGCCGCACCCCGAGCAGGAGATAGCTTCGAAGATGACAGCCACATTGTCAAGAAGGGCGCAAGCGCAGACCAGCTTGATATGAGAAAAATGGGTAAAGTCCAGGAGGTTCGCGTATGTTTCCCAGGCACTTGGACTTCTCAGCCATAAACTAACAAATCTGTAGCGAGACTTCCGTACCGTCTCGATGTTCGGCTTCTCGCTCATCCTGATGTGTTCTTGGGAGGGCATATTGAGCACGGCGTCACTAGGCCTGCTAAGTGCGTTAGGCTGCGCATGTTGGTCAGGCGCATTGATACCGACACGTTGATCAGGGAAACGGTGGATCCGCTGGCGTTCTCTATACGAACTTGGCTACGTGGGTCGGGTTCATCGCCGTCTATGCTTCATTGGGTGAGATGGGCAGTATGGCACCCACTAGTGGTGGACAGTATCGTATGTTGCAAATAGCCTGTACCACCTGAGGATATCTGCTGATGGACCAGACTGGGTCAGCGAGTTTGCGCCCAGGAAGCACCAGAAGTTTTTGAGCTACATCGTTGGTAGGTGCATTGGATCTCTACTCGCTCCAGATCTGACCACCAGACTAGGCTGGCTCGGCGTACTCGGCTGGCAGACAGGTGTAGCTTTCTCCGGCTTCCTGGTAGGCACGCAGATCCAAGGCCTCCTGGTGCTCAACTACGAGTGGTGAGCTCACAGTACATGCGAATGTATGGAGTCAGCTAACAACGACTGTGGGTACGTTGCACAGCGATGGCACGGCACGCTTCTCATTCTCGGAATGTTGGCCTTGGCAGTCCTATTCAACACATTCCTGGCCCACAGTCTACCTCTGCTCGAATACATCGTACTCGTCATACACCTTCTAGGCTTCCTGTGTATCCTCATCCCACTCTGGGTGTTGGCGCCAAAGACACCATCTGCTCAAGTATGGACCACATTTGTCAATTCGGGCTGGTCGAGTCAAGGACTATCGTGTCTGGTGGGCATCGTGGCTAGTGTTGCACCTCTCCTTGGTGCTGATGCCGCTGGCAAGTTTTGGCGTCGAACAGGAAAATGGGACGAGAATGGCAGCTAATTTGTTGAAGCGCATATGGCGGAAGAGCTGACAGATGCTGCATGGACATTGCCTCGAGTGATGACAGTGGCCACAGTGCTCAACGGAGCTCTCATGTGGATCATGCTCATCACGATCTGTTACTGCATTGGTGACGCGGAATCTGGTAGGTCAAAGCAAAGTAACACACCCTCACCATCAGCTGCTGACAGACAGTTCTTACCACACCTACCGGCTACGCATTCATCCAAATGTCCTACAACACAACCGGCTCCCTTGCTGCTGCAAATACGATGACAGCTTTGATAATCATCTTGTCAGCTTGTAGCTGCATTACAGTCATGGCGGGCTCATCCCGGCAGCTATACGCATTTGCAAGAGACCATGGCGTACCATTTGGTGCTTGGGTGGCGAAAGTGAGCTGCTTCTCAAGACAGATATCACCTCGCGCATGGATTGACGTCTCCAGGTTCGTCCCGGCCTCGACGTACCCGTAAATTCTCTAATCGTCAGCTTCTTCTTCGCCGCAATAATTGCCCTCATCAATATCGGAAGCACCGTGGCATTCAACTCAGTCACTAGTCTCGGCACCGGAACCCTGACTATCTCCTACATCATTTGCATAGCTTGTATGGTCTGGCGACGCCTCGGCGGGAAAGAGATCTTGCCGTCTCGCTTCGACCTGGGCAAGACATTCGGCCTGATGATCAACCTGGTGGCATTGGGTTTTCTGTCTTTGATATTCGCGATTTCATTTTTTCCACCTTTCCCGGCTAGTGCGGGTTTGAATGTGGTCAGTATGAACTGGTCGATCCTAATCTTTGGTATCGTGGTTTTGTTCAGCATCTGCTACTTTATGGCAGTTGGCAGAAAGCACTATGTTGGGCCGGTGGCGTACGTTCGACGACTTCAGTAACGGACAAGACACTATTTAGTGGTGATCAGAAGCAGAGTCTTCAGCTTATGACGTACCTTCGTCGCCGCATGAGAGTCTCGAGTGCAGAAGGTCTTGCAATCTTCCTTCCTGTTAGAGCTCTCCATGCATCTCGTACACTAGCGCTACTTGGACATCCGAAATCCCACACACACCGATAGTAGTCGGGGCCAAAACATCAAGACCCCCTCAAACAATCACATGAGAACACTGGTCGTGAGTGGTCTTGATAACGGCTGACTTTACACAGCATCACTGATGCAGAGATACTCGAAGCAACGTCTTGATAACCTCAAATCGGGCCTCATCGATACCCCACAGCTTCGCCCAAGTCTCCAGCTTCTCTCTGCAAGAGGAGAGGTTGCTGAGAGTTCTGCGCAGGACCTCTCTGCGCTTGGAGCCTTGGCGCTTATTCAGCAGCTAGGACACTTAAGCGAGATGCCTTAATCAGCATAGCAGTGCGGACAAAAGATGCTTTACAGAACCACTGCTGACCCGTACTGCAAGGCATTCGACTGCAGATCCGCTGACCATGATGACCGAGGACCACAGTAACAACGTCGCCACCAGCCATAAAGGGCGACGTAGGGGGCCGAAGACCAAATCTGCAGTAAGTACCCTTGATCTTCTTGAAAGCTTTTAGAGCTTATAATCAGCAGCATGGCAGAACATCTTCCAGCAAGACCAATGGGGAACATGACGAGACGCATCTACAGCTCGCAAGAGCCAAGATGGCGTCCACTACCCGCAACCGACCGCTGCTGTATTCTGCGATCCCAGACGCAGACATGTTAGACGCGCAAATGTTTTCCTTTTTCTTCGATTTTTTTGTGCCGGCAACGATCCCTGTTTGGCGAAAGGTCTCCTACCTACATACTCTAGCGGGGACGTCACCTTCCACTGCCTTACTGAAGAGGGCCAAGCGTACAGTCGGCCTTGCACATCTAGCCTTCGCCACGCACAACCAAAGCATACTCCACGAATCCCAGGTCTCATACACACGACTACTAGGTCTACTGCAGTTCTCGCTTCACTTCCAGCCGCAGTCGCCGGGAGTAAAGCCGCAGGATATGCACGAGCTTATGGCTACCATAGCCTTGCTGACACATCTTCACGATCCACTCGTCTCCGATTCGCCCACATCGGACGACAGTTGGGTGGGTCATATCCTTGGCATTCACCAGATCTTTGCCACGTACGGTGGAAACCTCACATCCCTTTCCGCACCAGGCGCTGTGCACCAAGGTCTTGCGCGGCATACGATGCTCAATGGACTCTGGGTAGGGATCGTCAAACGGCGGGCGTGGAATATTGATCCTGCTTGGCTCGAGACGGGGTCGCTAGGATGGACCCGTGTAGTCAGTGTCTTTTACGAGCTTCCTGCTTTGCTAGGACGAACGGACAAAGCCCTGCTCGCCGACCAGACCGACGAACTCATGAAAATTGTGAGGTCGTTACAGCTTACCATACAACAAGGCAAAGATCTCTTCCGGGATGTGCGGTTCAAGAGCGCCAGCCTTGATGCATTGACACCCTGGCTACAAGGACCAGCAGAAGAGCATTGCGCACTGCAAGAGTCTCGGGTCTTCCCCCGGCTGTACCTCCCTTTCGTTGGCGAGAAAGAGATTGAGGTCCAGAAGCTACTGATGCGTACCCTCCTGTGCCTAATAGCCGAATGCACTGTTTTGCGAATCTGGCACTTCCATCCCGTCACGACTCACAGTATGGTAGCCGGGGCTCGATACGCGACTGAGCAAAGAGCGCGGGACTTGGCACGACAACTCTGCATGGCCTCGCTCTCGTTCACACAAGGAGACCGTATAGTGCAGCCATTCACACTTGGTCTTTGTCTACAACTTGCACGCAATGTTTTCGAACAACAGCAAGCATATCCCGAAATGGGTTGGTGTGATGCCTGCCTCATCGCAAACGATCTTCGAGTGGCTCGTCTGCGGAAGACAGGTGCGCCTAGTCTGTGCAAGATCGCGCAGGTGATACCAGGGCTGGCCGAAGCAGGGCAATATGGGTCAAAGCTGAACGTACAGAACCTGATAATACGTGCGGAGGAGCATGGTACGATGAAGATGAAGGGACTGCTACCACCGTAACGTGATATCGAGTTGCTAAGCACTTCCGTCGCTCTTTCGCCTAGCCTGGCCAATTTTATCGATACTAGCTGAGTAGCTAACATCAGCTGCGCCCAGATGGCGGTCTTCTCAGCAAAGCGTACGTCACAGGCCTAATTCGAATGTAGTTTGCCTTACACAATTCGCTGTTTCCTCCCCTTCTGCTCGGCCCAGAGCTTTCGCTTAGCCTCTCGATCAGTGATGATACCTTTCTGCAAACCGACCAGAAGTCACGAGCTTTGTCATACTTCTGCTGCAGCGACTTCGTCAATCTCCAATGCTTGCGGTAAGCCTCTACAGACTGTGATCCCTCAATTCGATGCTGATGGCCATCCGGCAAGTTGAAGCGTACACGTGTTGTCACACTGGACTTGCGAGTCGACTCACCGAGCCTAATGCCCTGTTGCTGGGGTCCGGGAGGGTTTCTATGAGGAGCGTTCGATGCGCTCGGCCTTGCGGGAAGTCTCTCTTGGTGGGGAGCGTTTATGATACGGCAACGTTCCTGTAGATTGACTTTGTGGTGCTTTCTTCCAGGCGCTTTCCCACTACCCACCACCTCGTTTTCGCCTGCACCACACGCCTTTGAGCTGCATTACTTCATACTGCTCCCCGGGCTGTCGGATGATGTGGTCTTCGGAATATCGCCGAACTCTACACCACCACTCCTCTGCTCTTCTTCGTAGTTTTGTAAATACTCTACTCTCCGCTCAGCTTCGTGCGAGCTTGCAGCAATCATCCATTTTGATTCTGAGAAACGTCAGTTTCCTCCTCGCCCAGGACTGTGCTTGTTCGAATGGTATTGACTCGAATGGCCAGTTGCGGAAACTACTTCCGAGTAGAGCGATGACAGGATCGCCATAGGTTTGAGCCTCCATTGACCACGACTCCAGAAGCTTTCCATCCGTCCCCAGGCAGCTTAGCGCTCTTGGCGGGTCGCTCTCAATGACCTGTACCGGAATGTTTCTATGGGCACCACCTGGCCCCGCCGAGCAATCTTCCAGCTCCGAGTAGCTTGTCAAACAAGGAAGTGGTCCTGGATAAGTGTTACAAATGCCCCGGTAGGCTCAATGTCATCGAGCTCACTCATAGCGGGAGCTGTGAGAACGGTCCATGGAGTCTCGGTTTGAGCGACCTATGCGTCGTGTTGCGGCAAATCTCGAGCAGTCCAAATAGGCAGCAGAGGCGCATCGTCCTCGACACAACAAAAAGTCGCATTGTCTGCGTTGGACAGGTCTATTTTGTGCTGAAGTTAATGTCAGTGTGCCCGCTGTAGTTGTAAATGGAAAGCAAGCTCTTACGGCCGATACGCCACACATCGACATCTTCCACAGCTTCGTGGCCATCATGCCCCAGGAAAGCAGCACGAGTGAAGAAGAATTTCATGTCACTGTGCTGATACAGTGGTGGGCTGCTGGCGATTTGCGAGTCATCTTCTCTAATGGTTGAGACCGGACGCCGTCTGGGCCGCTCAGACTGTCGCCAGCCTCTACCATGTAGGCCCCCAGCAGCGAATCCAACATAACGACTCCCGCTCGCCTCGGGAAGGGTCTGGTCACCGGAGGCCTGGTACGGCGTTCTTGCTGCCCTACAAAGGATGTCATCAAAAGCGTTCCATGAAAGATTATTACGCGCGCGTTGGTGTCGCTCTGACTTGATTCCAACCTTATGCCTGGCGGTCTAGTTTAGGTTAGATCAGGTGACCATAGCACTCAAGATCGTCCAGCCATACTGAGTGCTGGGAGATGCACACAAGCCACGTCGCCTTGGGAACTTGCTTGAGGTGTATCAACGTCGTCTTCACTGGCAAGAATAGTGCTATAAAAGGGCTGCTGATAACATGGGATTATGTCAGGCCACTCATCTCGTCCAACGCTGATTCTATCACTCATGCTTGGGTATTATATCATCATTGTCTTGGTGGTGTCATTCCATGACATGCCATCATTCTGACCATTCTAAGCCATCTCTGGTGGGCTCTTGCCCGCCCCTCCTGCTGGTGTCACCTCTTCGTCACTTCTTAGTGGTGGCATGCTGTACTTGTTCGGCGGCATCTTTTGCAGTTTTCTCAGCTGCGTGTGCGTAACCTGCAATCGCCGAGCCCTGCCCTCCCATGCTGTCGCCGGCATTGCCGATAACCTGGCCGGCTTGCTCGAGACCAGCGGCCACCTGTAAATCAGAGTCAGCGTATGTACAACCAATGATGATGAGACAATAACTCACGTATTGTCCCGCTGTAGCGAGGTAACTTGCACCCGCCGCCTGAGTCTGGTTTGCGGTCTCCTGAGCACTCTTGGAAGCCTGCTCGGCTGTCTGCTGCATATTCTTCTGGGCCGAATCGGCATAAGAGCTGGCTGTCTTGGAAGTCTGGTCGGCCGTCTGCTGGAGATTCTTCTGGGCCGAATCGGTGTAAGAGCTGGCAGTGTTGGATGTCTGGTCCGCAGTCTGCTGCAGGTTCTTCTGAGCGGAGTCGGTGTAAGAGCTGGCCGTCTTGGAAGTCTGGTCCGCAGTCTGCTGCAGATTCTTCTGGGCCGAGTCGGCGTAGGAGCCTGCTGTCTTGGAGGTCTGGTCGACGGACTCCTTGGCCTGATCGACAAGGGACTTGTTGGAATTCATCGTGGCGGTGCTGTGTGAATTTCTGTGAGAGAGTGGTATGATATGCCTCGTAGACGTGTGTGGAAAAGGAAACGTACGATTGTGGTTGCAAGGCTGGAGAGAAAGATAGAGATGGACACTACTATGCAAACGCCCCTGCCCCTCATCACGCCACATTATGCACGATGACGTTGGTCAAGGTGGCGACTTGTGCCTTCTTTTCTCGATGGCATGTGATCGTGCAATGCAACAGCCAACAGAATCTGTCGATGTAACATCGTCTTACATAGCGATATCGGGACGAAACGAACGAGTAATTGATCTATCGAGTGACTGAAACTCGAGGTGAATAATTAACCAATCTATCGAATGACTAGAAACCTATGGCATCTGAGGCCAAACCAAGTGAGCAAAACGAGCGTCCATCATCATCATGAATCAAGAAATCAGAACAAAACCATCACTCCCCAATCATAGCTGATGAATCCCTCCATAAACTGTTTTCCCCCTGGCCTCAAAGACATCCATCTAGAACACGTTCTCGGCTAGGAAGTCCGTGATGACCCCGAACGCTCCGGTTGCGTCTAGAGGAAAGGGACTCACGTCAGCTTGGTCTCTATATGTAAGGACGACTTTGGACATGTAGGTGTGTATGTAAACAAAGAAAGCAGTTATGGCGCTGCTCGACAAACCGCAAGAACAGAGCCGATTGGCAATGTAGGGCATCAACTTACTGTGGTGGAAGTTCAGGTGGTGTGAGCAATCAGGGTGCAAGTACGGCACGAACGGCTTGGCGTTCTTGTAGTATGTTCTTCCCGGCTCGTCGAAGACACCCGGGCAGTAGCCATCACAGACGATATAGTCAGTCTCCGCCGTGATGGCCAGGGCAGCACCGGTGAAGTTCGAGGCATCGGCGACGGTGGGAAAGGTCAGAAATTCAGCCACCGAATACGGTGCTTTGGTCGATTCCACGAAGTCGACGGCGCCGGGATCGTAGTAGGGATAGCGGAAGTAGCTGGTGCTGTGTCAGTCGACACCCCCGGCAACAAGCATGATAGTGTACTCACTTCTCAGCCAGAGCATACTTATCAACCCAAGACCAGTAACCAGTATCAAGCTCTCCAAAGCGCTGAGGGTTCTGTAGCGAAGCGATGCGGTTGACGAAGGAGCGGACCAAGCCATTGGCGTTGATACCGAGGGTGAGATTGAGCCCGATGGCAGTCAAGACAACGGCATCTGCAATTTCCGGTGTAGCTGCGATGGCGTTGTGAACGATGTACGAGCCAAAGCTGAATCCTTGTAATATGACCTTAGACGGCTGGCCAACGGCTCCAGTGTATTGACCTGAGCGAACCACCTTGGAGAGCTCTTGCAAAACAGCAATGTGCGTGTTGAGCTGCGTCACATACCCAGACTCACTACAGATAGCGTCAGCAATCTATCCCGCAAGAACCAGAGACAACGACTTACACCGAAGAGTCACCACACCCCACACGATCATAGAAGAATACCGAGAACCCTTTCTCAACGGCATACTGCACAAAGCTGTACTCTTTCGGCTGGTAAGACGAATTCCAATGCTCCCTCGCCGGGCCGATCCCATGGGTAGCAAGAATGACATTCTTCTCCTTGCCATTCGGCTTCTTGGGTGTGCAGAAAGACGCAGCGATCGTGTAATTCGCCTGGGTCAGCTCCGTACCACTGACGATCCCGGGGAAGCCGGCACTGGGTCGTGTAGTCACCTACCAAATGTCAGCACTGTTCTACGATGCGTTACGCTCTCATAGCAGAATTGCGGAGCCTACATCTGCAAAAAACTGCTCCAATGCGTAGTTGTCCTCCCAGTGGGTGAAGTTGAAAATGGCCCGCTCGTAGGAGACGGAGACGAGAATGTTGTATTCCACGCAGTCAGCGGTGGTGGGGTAGTAAGGCTGGGTGAGAGCAACAGTTCCATCGGCAGCGGTACCGTTGTATGGATCTGGAGGGCAACCGGCAGCGTGCGAGCTGAAGGCGCAGAAGAGCGCGGCGCTCGTGTATGGAGTCCACATCCTGAACGCTGGTTCGTGGGTGGTGTGAAGTGGAAACGGGGAGCGACTGTAGCTAATCTTCGCAGTCCAAACACGAGGGGTGTGAGATTGGGAGGAATAGAGTATGACCAAATCGCTGGATGATGGTGATGGGTTGGGAGAAGACGTGGTACTACCTGCCTTTATAACCTCCATCGATGAGTACCTCCACACTTTTCATCTCGCAGATCTGATGTCGCAACGAGCATGTTCGCGAGCTGAGGCTATGGCGTGCAATGTCCTGTCGCTGGGCATTGGCGGCTCAGCCGTATAACAAGCAGTAATCTCGTAAGATCTAGCCGGAAGGAAATCCAACCCGATGCATATCTGCTGCCGTATTCGTCCGCAGCACATTGCCAAGCTAACAAGGAGGACATGCGAGGCTGCTGTCTATACTGGGCCTCGTCCGGCCTGGGCTGGAAGGCACGCAATGTCGCGCTAGGCCGGGTTGAGCAGCATCGCGCGAGGAGCTGAAGCTGGAGATGCTTCCATCCGTCCTTGACCAAGCGACCTCCGGTTTGTGTTCAGTCGTGTGGTGTTGATTATGGCATGAAAAGCTACAAGGATCCCAATGCCGGAGCGAATACTGACCCTGCCGCCGTACATTGCATTGACACCTCGCTTCGATATCTCGAGAGCCAACGACATTCCTATTTATGTACACCAAGACGATAATCTCCAGACACGAACCGCTCCAGCAACGACTGCGGCTCGCCATGCGTGCTCCTGGACTTCTCCAGCATCACCTGTACCCATTCGCTCCATCCATGATCGTCCTCCAAAATTTTGCTTGCTAGGCCGACGGGGAAGAGCCAAAACAGTGTGCTCTCATGACACGTCCGCACATGCTCGAGCTGAAACTCAAAGCCGCGGATGATCTGCCTCGCGAGATCGTGTATGCTCCACACACCCGACAGCGGCAGTAATGCTGGGCTAGCATCCCAAGTTGTATTGCTCTGTTGATGATCGTCAAACATCCGCCTCAAATTGTCTGTGATATTCGTAGCTAGTGGCTCAGGCATGTTTCCCGAGCTCAGTGTGTCCATCAACGAGATAGCCACAGCATTGAACAACGAGTCTTCGATCGAGCGTGCAAAGTTGTTGTAGCGCAGCATAAGCTCTGCACCTTGAGGATAGACTGGTAGCTTCTTCGCATTGGGGCTTGTTGGTGCGCGTACAGTCGCACAAGCGACTCGAGGATACTTCGCATCCCAATTACGTCGCCAGTAAAAGAGTCGAGTCAAGCTAGCCTCGATATTCAATGCTGCGTGATCGTAAAGCACTGAAGCTGCGTATGGCAGACTGCTATCCGCCGTTACCAGATCCTCATATATTCCAGGCACAGTGGCAAGAATGTCCACGAGCTGGTCTTCATCGGTTTTGCCTCTTTCACTCCATGGATCCGACCGCCAAGAGATGTCTGCAAGGAAAGTCCTCTTGTGTAGTATCAGGCTGTTGGAGACGACCATGGCCCGACAGGACCGGAAGGTGTCGTGGACACTGTCCCTGGCAAAAGTACGAGGACCGCATGCTTGCAACAACGCCTGAAGTCCATTGATATGGCTTGATGCCTCGAACAGGGAGGATGTGGCGCACGAGCGGGCCACGAGGATGAGCATTGGTGTTAAAACCGTAGGATCAGGTCTATCAGTTGACAGCAGGCTGATGCGGAGGGAAGTGACGACTCGATCGTATGCCAGTGCAGAAGTCTGTTCCACGTCCGATTGTGCGAAACGGTGTCCGAATAGGTGTTGTGATAATGCAGCGCATGCGTCGTACGAGAGACTGCCGAGCTTCCCTTCCGCCGAGTGCTGTAGCCATGGACTACCGTATGAGCGCCATAGCAGATCCTCAAACAGGAACGTAAAGTGTATGCTGTCCTTGAAAGCAACGATGCTCATATAAGGTGGGATGACGTCTTGTCTAGCCCTATGATCTACTTCTCGAGGACAGGAGTACTTGGAGCGAGAAGACGAACAACAAGGCGTCATCATCTCAGACATGACAATCTGCAGTGGACGCCCATACCCGCCACACGTGAAGCTAGCCTTGTGGCATCTCGCACAGGTCGGTTTTCGTTCGTCTGATCTCTCGTCAGCAAGGCCGTACTCCAATCCCATCGTAACCCTCACTTTTGATACTTACCGCACTTCACTCTTCGCTGCCGACACGTACTACAACCTCTGCTTCGTCCTGCTACGCCGACCATTGCTGTAATCTATCGTGGCATCATTCCTTAGACAGTGGCTCGGCACATCAAGCCTTCTATAAACAATCCAGAAGAGTGTAACTCCTCTTGCGGCATAGCATCAATACTCGCTCTCTTGCGAGTCGACTCAGAGCTGAAAGCCGAGCATGGATGAAACCCTCAGCCCGCCCAACGAATTCTGCCGGGGTCGCGGAGTAGGCCGGTGTTATTGCGCCACATCGTATTCCAGTTTCCACTAAACCGTGTAGCTGGCACAGAGCCGCTTCCAGGAGAGCATTCCAAATTGAAGAAAATCGTGTGCGTGGTTGGAATTGCAACAACCACGACGATTTTCACCCAAAATCAGCGTGGTCGGCCGAGGAAAGAAAACCGGAGCTGCCGTGACCCAAGTCAGCTCGACAGAGGCAGACAACCACTCGAGTCAGAGGATCGACGCTGACATATCATCAGCCGCATCTCCACGATATACGAGGTAGGGCAAAGAAGTGGCCAAGTCAGCAGATTCGTCGAGCATGTAATAAGACAGATTGGGGAGACCACACTCCCGGTTCCGCTATACATGCGTCTATACACATGGAACACATCTACAATCCAGGACTCAAAGACCAAGAGACCTCACCGATCCCAACCCGCACCACCCTTCTGCTCCCCTTCAGCCTTCCCTCGATACTCATCAGCCTCATACCTCTTCCCCCTAAAAGCCCACACTCCCCAATTCCCACAACTAACATCCCCGGGATCCAAATCATTCAAATCCCACCTCAAACTCCTAAATCGATTCTCGCCCGGCTCGAGCAACAAGTCCGCTTCCCCCCTTGCCTGCTCCTTGACCCAAGCAATATCGCGCTGCATATCGAAATCGGTATACCCCGTACAGATGACCGGAACCTTGGTCTGCAATAGCTGCGGCAACGTAGACGCCCACTCATGACTACTAGCCGGATGCCCCAAACCCGGATGAAACAGTACGAAAGCGTCGAAATACGGGTCATACGGCGCAAAAGCCTGTGCCTCATGTAAAGTGTGAAAGTACTCCACATAAGTCGAAATCTTCATCTGCCCACCCAATCGATCCTCCACAATCGCACCCCATGGGTTCGAACCCTCGCGCTTGGGGAGCGGGAATTCATGTTCGCGATTACTCATGCTCTCGGGTCCGATGAAGATGAGGTGGAAAGTGGAGCGAGGGAAGAGGTGGACGAGTTGCAGCCAGACTTCGCGCGGGAGAGAGGATTCGGCTCGAGCGCCGAGGATGAAGAGGCGGATGGGCGGGGGGTTGGGCCGGAGACCTTTGATGTCGATGCCTCCGCCTGTGCGGGGTGGGTGGAGGGTGTAGCGTAGAGCTGTGAGAAGATTAGATTCGTGGAGTGAGTAGTGCGGTGGCAAACATACCGCTTAGTGATCTCAATCCTTCAGGCGTAAGACGGTCTTTCAAGTTATAAGGACTTAATTCATGCAACACACTCCCCACCGTGATAGGGTAGGTGAGTAACCTCGTGACCTGCCTCATCGGCCTCGCCTCATTGACGGCATTGAACTCTCTGCTATAAAGCAAAGTATCCCAATTAATCAAATTCACCTGCGCCTCATCAATCTGCGGGCCCGGATACTCAAACTCGGGAAAGAACCTCCCACTCAAAAGATCATGATCATCCTCGTTGATCTGGCGTAGTACATCGCAGATCTCGAGGTGGGACTCGTAGGTGTCCACGAAATGATCTTCGGAACAGGCAACTGGGATGCCGCAGTCGGGACATTCGTGGCTGACATGTCTTGGTGGTACGGCTCCAGTCTTTTGCGCTTCTAGGTCGTCCGGATTTATGGGTGCACGTGTTGGTTGGTGGTCCGGGTGTGGGCAATATGCATTCTGGCGCATGAAAGATGATCGTCTTCTTATTTCGGGGGCTGGAGAGCGGGTGTAGGAGTGGAAGAGGTTGTTTGGTTGGAGGAGGACTCGGTGTTGTTGTCTTTCCTTGGCACTATCCGCATCTGTCTGTCGTCCCCTGACCTCGGTATATGGCGGAAGAGAGTCATTCGGTCGTTGAGTCTCAGTAGCTGCAGAATGTCGAGGACTTGCTTGATGGAGACGTCGCTGCGATGACGCTTTGGGGGGTGTGGTGTTGGTATTCGTGGTAGTGGTCAAGGCCCGGAAGGATGTATTGGACGTATGTGATGGCTGACGAGCTGATCGCAATGCCTGCCACAGACAGCGGCTACATATACTGTTGGACGCCATTGTTCATTCCTGATATCTACTCCATGTCTTCCGTCCCACATGTCAAGACGCCAACCAGCACAGTAGCTTGACATCTATGCCGCATGGGGAACGAAACACCGATGTCCTGCACGACCGAGTACCTGCATGAAGCGTGTGTACCTGACTCGTGCCCAATCTTGAATCTCTAGATCGTTGCGTTGCGAAAGTATCTCCCACTACCCCACCTTCTCACCGCGCGCCTTGTGCGCAACTACCACTCTCTCCTCCCACTCTCCACCACAGCCATGGCCAACGTGCAACAAACCCAAGCCTTCTACTCCCTCACCCTCTCCCCGTCCTCCGCCCCGACCTGCGCCATCACGTGCAACTCCATTCCGGGCCTCAAGAACCAAGACCAGCAGATCTTCGAAGCGCGCGGGTCACGCATCTACCTCTACTATATCCGCGAGAACGGCGACAAATCCGAAGTCAAGCTCGAGACAGTCGTCGATCAAGATTGTTTCGGTATCATCCGCGGGGTCACCAGCTTCCGGATTCCAGGCACGAGTACGGATCAGTTGGTTATCTCCAGTGACTCGGGGAGGATCGCGCTGGTGAATTATGATCAGGCGAAGAACGCGTTCCAGAGGGTGCATCTGGAGACGTTCGGGAAGAGTGGGATAAGAAGAACGGTTCCGGGTCAATACTTAGCAGCAGACCCACGCGGACGGTGTTGCATGTTGGCGAGTGCGGAGAAAAACAAGGTGGTGTATATCGTCAACCGCAACCCACAGAACGAGATTGTCATTTCGAGTCCGCATGAGGCGAATTCGTGGGCGAATCTATGTTTTGCCATCTGTGCACTGGACACCGGGTGGGAGCATCCAGTGTTTGCCGCACTGGAGGTCGACTACAATGAGTCGGAGAGTGATTCGAGTGGAGCGATGTTTGCAGCCAGGGAGAAGCAGTTGGTGTACTACACTGTCGACCTCGGCCTGAATCATGTGGTCAAGAGCTGGAGTGATGCAGTCGACTACACCGCGAACATGCTATTCGGGGTACCTGGCGGGCAGGATGGACCGAGCGGGGTGTTGATTTGCTGTGAGGGGAGGATATACTACCGCCACGACAAGGCCTCGTCCCTCTGCATACCCATCCCCCGAAGATCAGGACCAACGGAGGATCCCAATCGGAAACGTATTATTGTCTCTGGCTGTCTGCACTTATCCCGAGCTCGCCACGAGTTCTTCTTCCTGCTGCAGACTGAAGACGGCGACCTCTTCAAGCTGACCATGGAGCTGGGCGAGGACGCACAAGGACGAAAGACCACACCTGTACGGATGGTCATGAAGTACTACGATACTTTCCCCATAGCAAAGACGATGCTGCTCATCCGAAAAGGCTACATCTACATTGCAGCAGAAAATGGCAACAGCAAACTATACCACGTAAACGACCTAGCAGAGAACCTGGAGTTCGAAGCACACAACAACTTCTCCTCTGACGATGTCTCTTCCGATCCCGCGGAGGACTACACGCCCACATACTTCAAACCACGAGGTCTGGAATTCACGTCACTCGCCTTCGACGTCCCTGGTCTTCATCCGCTCATGCGCACCAAAGTCGACAATCTCACAAATGAAGATGCGCCACAGATTTACGCCCTACAAGGAACAGGCAGCTCCAGTGTCTTCAAAACGATCCGGCATGGTCTGGAGATCCAGGAAGTGGTGTCAAGTCCACTAGGCGAAATGCCGTATGACAATGTCTTCTCCCTCAAGCACCGGAGTAGCGATCCCTACCACTCGTACCTTCTCCTCAGCACACAATACTCCGACCGCACGACAGTCCTGAGTATCGGCGATGAGGTGGAGACGATGGAAGACAGTCCCTTCCTCATCACCCGCGCCACAGTAGAAGCCCGGCTCATGGGCGCCGATACCCTCGTCCAAGTCCACGCCCGTGGTGTCCACTCCATCCTCGAATCGGGCGCCGTGAACGATTGGCCGGCACCAGAACATCGTACCATTACCGCCGCGTCCGCGAACGAGCGACAGTTACTCCTCGGCCTCAGCTCAAGCGAACTAGCCTTCTTCTTCATGGGCGACGATGGCGTGCTCAATCAGTTAGAAGACATGCCTGAGATGAGCGGAAAGATTACTGCGCTGGGTGTTGGACAGACGCCGGAGGGACAACAGCAGGCAAAGTTTGCGGTGGTGGGGTGCGATGATGATACCATCCGCGTGCTGTCTATTGAGCTGGATAGTCCGCTTGAGGCGAGGAGCGTGCAGGCGCTTTCGGCGGCGCCGACAAGTATCCAAGTCATATCTCAAATCGATCCAAGCAGTGGGACGAATGTGAATTATGTCCATATCGGACTGGCTTCTGGTCTCTACCTGCGAGCCGTCATCGACGAAATCACGGGAGAATTGGGAGAAGTGCGGACAAAATTCCTCGGCGCACGCCCGACTCGCCTCTTCCCAGTCGAACTTGAAGACCAACAATCTGTTCTCGCCTGCTCGTCTCGGCCCTGGCTAGGCTACAACCACCCCAACTCCGGCCTATACACTCTCACCCCACTAGTGACCGACGGCGCACCCTTCACAGCAGCCACGGGTTTCGTGACGGAAGCTATACGCGGTCTGTGTGCGGTGCAGGGCGATAGTCTACTTATCTTCGTCGTCCCGAATGTCGAGGGTAGGTTGGCGAGTCAGGAAGTCGGTTTGAGGTATACGCCCAGGGGTATGAGCAGGAATCTATGGTTTCCTGTTTGGTATGTCGTGCAAGCGGATGGCAATACGCTGAGTGCGGGGACGAAGAAAAGACTTCTCACGGCTGCTACTGACGCGGCGAAGGATGGAGAGGGAGATGAGGGGATGAACGGGCAGGAGAATGGAGAGGAGTCGATGGCGATGGAGAAGCATCTTGGCCTCTCGCGCGGGAAGGGCCATTGGGCGAGCTGTATTCAAGCCATTGATCCAATCACCTCGAAGTCGGTGATCTCGACGATCGAATTAGAAGAGAACGAAGCAGCACTGTGCTGTACCGTCGTCAACTTCGAGACGAAGAACGCCGATCTCTACCTTGCCGTTGGAACTGGTCAGCATATGTCACCTGGCGCAAAGGTACCTGGCGCACAGACGCCAAAGGGCTACGTACATCTCTATCACCTGCCGGACGACGGCAAGAAGATGGTGTTCGTGCACAAAACCGAGTTCGCAGTTCCAATCTATGCCGTCCATCCTTTCCAGGGCCGTCTGGCAGTGGGCGTAGGCAGAGAACTCTTCATCTACGACATCGGACTCAAAGCCCTGCTGCGCAAATCCCGAGGCCTAGTCGTCCCGAACCAGATCGTAAGCATACAAAGCAAAGGCTTCCGAATTGCCGTGGCCGACGTAAGTGAAAGCGTAACCTTTGTCGTCTTCAAACCCTCCCCGCACAACCGCCTCATTCCCTTCGCCGACGATACGATCTCCCGTTGGACGACCAGCACCACCCTCCTCGACTACGAAACCGTAGCCGGCGGAGACAAATTCGGCAACCTCTTCGTCCTGCGCGTCCCGGACCAAGCATCCAAAGAATCCGACGATACAGGCGTAGGAGGGTATCTCGCAGACGAGCGGAGTTATCTAGGCGGAACCCCCTACCGACTCGAACTCCGCAGCCATTTCTTCGCCAACGACATCCCCATGAGTCTACAACGTACCGCCCTCGTAACCGGCGGCCAAGAAGTAGTATTCTGGTCTGGCCTAGAAGGTACACTAGGTATCCTCGTCCCCTTCGTAGCGCGAGAAGACGTAGAATTCTTCACGCAACTGGAGAAACAGATTCGAGAGGCGGAACCGCCGCTCGCAGGACGGGATCATTTGATGTTTAGGGGGTATTATGTCCCTGTCAAGGGGGTGGTGGATGGGGATTTGTGCGAGAGGTATTTGAAGTTGGGGTATGATGCGCGGGTTAGGATTGCGCAGGAGGTGGATCGAGAGGTAAAGGAGGTGGAGAGGAAGGTGCTGGAGATGAGGACGAGGGTTGCTTTTTAGGCTGTGTTGATGCTGTCTGCCGAGCGATCTGTGGTGCAGTAAATCTGACGCGTGGTGTATCATAGATAGAAGTCGGCCTGAGGTTGTATAAGCCAAGCGAGGCGTTCCGGCGCAGGCTCCTGTAGCGAGTACTGCTTGCAGCTACGCAAGTCTTCCGTTGTCAACAAGTTACATGAACTTCTCACAGTGTATACCGAAATTGCTTGTTCAGCACATCCGTCAAATCATCCTCGTATGCGTGTTCAAACGCCTCAGCCCCGTCTCGATCCCTCTTCTTGTTCTCCCTCACGCAGGCGAGGCGATAGGCAATGGCTAGGACAATACACATTGCAGACGTGGCAACCTGCAGAGAATAATCGAGTCAGTCGTACTTCAACAAGAGTCTCGGACATCGACGATCAGAGTCTTCTTACCGTAACGATCCAGCCAGTAGTATAATACGGCTTCTCCTTCTCAATAAACACAAGTGGACCCATGAAGTTGCCTAAACAGTAGCCAACGAACATGCCACTACTACCAACACTTCTCTTGGTATACCCGGCCGTGTTAGCGATTTGCAAACTCATAAGTACTGCATATCCGCCCCCATATCCAGCAAGGATATAAAGTGCAAAGAGTTTCGCTCCCGTAGCACTTTGAGGAAGCTGCCAGAGCAGGAGAGATGCGAGGAGAGTGAGGCAGACGGTCGCAGCGACCATATAAGCGCGGAGACCCTTGACCCGGTAGCAAAGATACGGGACGGAGAGCTCGATGGTGCCGATGACGAAACCGGCGGGCATGACGAGGAGGAGGGAGTTGAGGCCGGAGAAACCCAGGTCGTTGATTATGATTGGTTGGAAGGAGGACACTGGGGAAGGATGTTAGCATGCAGTATTGTGCGCAAGGATAGGTAAGGGCTGAGATTTACCTGGTCCGTTTGCCACAAGCATGGTGAGAGCAATGAAGAAACACAACCAGAATCTCAGGTCTGTAAGCAGTTCCCGTAGTTGCTCGAATTTGAAGTGCGTATTCCTGACGCCAGAGTTGTTGACCCGCATCCGGGCGACAGCGATATACTTCTCCCTTTCTGTGAATCTCTTCGCCCTGATGGGATCCGGTGGCATGAGGAACAGGATCACGAAAGCCCATATGATCGTGACAGCTCCAGCGACAATGTACATATACCTCCATGGGCTCAGAGATCCCGTGATATGGCCAAGGCCGTAGTTGATGAGTGGAGAAATGATGGAGACATAGCCGGTCATGCAGTACCAGGCGCCCATGCGGAGGGCTTGTTCTTGCTTCTTGTACCATCTGGATATTTAGATTAGTACAGTCTGTCACGCAACTCAAATCTAGTATATATGGTGACATTGCGACTCACCCGCCAACCACAAGCATCCAAGCTGGACTCACACCACTCTCTAGCGCCCCCAGGAAGAAGCGCTGAGCATACAGTCCCCGATGATCCTGCACGGCAGCTGTGCACATCAAACAGATACCCCATAGCAACACGATCCCAAATATCACTCGCTCAATCGGATATCGCTGGGCCAGGACGATGGCTGGATAGGCACCAACGATGAATCCAGGATAGAAGATAGCAGCAGCCAGCGAGTAGCGTATACCGACCGTGAGTTTGAGATCGGTCCGGAGCCCAAAAATTGCTGCCTGAGACAACATAGCTTTGTCATAGTACTGTAATCCGTAGGTGACACATAGGATGGAAAGGAGACGACGGTCGATCTTCCGGACGAGTCTCTTCTCTTCCTTTTCGTCCCATTCGGGTGCTCCTTGGTAATTGGCCAGAACTCGGACGGCTTCATCGTTATGCAGAGTATCGACTGTGATCGACTGCTTCAAGTCCTCAACTTGGTCGGCTCCCATGCCATAAGTCGGGGACACCGTATCGAACTTCTCGTCTACTGTCGCCATACTGTATGCTGAGAAATGTGAAAGGACGTAAACTCTACCGACCGCTCACGCTTGTAGGAAATTTACGAAAGATCTTCAGCAAACACCATTGATATAGGCAACTGCTTTGAGATGCCACGAGATGCAGTGCCTTACCGAGGATGGCGCCTCGATGTACCTCACCACGGCTATGTGACCCTCACAGCATGATGCGGGGAATGTCTTGGTATGGGCTTGGATTCGGTCATCTTCAAAGCGAAGGAAGCGTAGCAGCCGTAGAACCCTGAGAGGCAGCAGTAGCGAATTGTCGCAGACGAGTCACTCAACCCTGGGTCGTTGGTATGAGATTAATTGAATTTGAGTTCGGGAGTGCTTAGTGCTTTGTCAGGATTTCTGCTACAGCTGTTCATTCGACATATGAGATGGTTGAGGACAAAGCCGCCGGATTCAAGCATTGCAGCTGCTATGAGGCTGCAGACTCGCGTTTCTTTGAGATCAATTCACATGCAATCATCAGATGCGAAGTCAGGCACAGTTCCGGAGCTGTGTCAGCTCACCCGTCTCGTTTTCTGTTGCCCAATGGTTGTCGTATCCATAGCTTCCAGAGGCAAGTACCCATTAGCGAACCGACCTGGTAATCTGCATAATGTCAACAAGCCCTTAGGAGGGAGATAGGTCAGCCTTCACTACGTCTCTGACCATTTTCGGGAAGGCTTTACACCGGCGTCGCCTCTTGTTATAGCTGGGCTCGGATCGGACAGCATGTGTTGGGTTTCATCCAGTCCCACTGCTTTGTGCGCAGATATATTTCGATGGCCAGATGTCGGGCATCGTCTATGATAGGCATCAATTCGCGCAGTGGCCGTTGTCGAGGCAGAGCTGGGCAACTCCCGAAGCGCCGAGATAGACGACATTGCGAAACCATCAAAGCGGCCGGCATCTCATCGCGTCTCGCCGTAGCAGATGATGACATACGACGAGCACTGTCAAGATGAGACTGTTGTGTCAGGATGAAGACAGGAGACTCTTCAGCAAACATCAGCCTTCGCCACCAAGAACACCAGGACCCGGGCCGACGCTTTCGCCGATCGTCTCGTCTTTGGTGTGATAGCCACCTGCTCTCTTTTGCTAACCAGCCCGCATCCTTGTAGATGCTTACTTCGATGTGTCAAAAGAGACACTGCAGATGAAGGAGTGATCATACTGATCGTCAGGCTCGTGCGCTACGCTGGAATTCACTTCTCAGACGTCCAGGCACATATCATGACCAAAATCTCCTGGACATTCCAACGAACACATCAACCTCTCGGAGCACTTACAACAAATCATGCGTGTTACTCATTCACACCCGAATGCGACTGTAGATCACAACGATATAAGCATTACGACTCCAGACGGATTGATAAGCCCTCTCTGGCCCTCAGCCGCACCAAATGAGGAATTTAAGGCGCGCAGATGGCTACAAGTGGCAAGACCAGGGCCACCACGAGGCGCTTGATACGCAGCCCTGTATAGGCTCATCTACCCTCATCTCTCTGGTTCAGTAAGCGGTATAATGTGGAAAGCAGAGCTGACCTCGATGCGCGAAGACGCTCATTTTCTTGTGCGACTACTTTCTGCTCCCAACGAAGGTGTATAGCGTCAGCTACAGTATCGTCTTCGAACACACTCGTTTTAGACCTGACAGTGCGGTATCAGAGCAGTATGCGTTCGTACGTCGGCGCAATCGCATGTGTGTTCCCAACTCTTGCATACGGACAAGTCTGGCCGCGGCAGACAGCTTCGTTTACGAATAGCTCGACCACCCGATCTCAGTCTACCCTCTCAGGAAGCAAGACAACAAGCAGCGCCACCGGCACGGCGGTTACGCCACCGCCATGCTGCTGGGTATTCGTAAGTGTATTTGTTTGTCGCCAATTGCACAAAGCTGACGTCTGAGCAAAGGGAGGCGTTGAAGCGGTGCTGGTCAACACATGGTACGACACGACCTACACAGATGTCGTGGCTACAGAGATTACAACCCTCCTCGACTACAACGGTACTCTGGTTACAGCCAATTCGACGACGCGGCGTGCCAACGCAACATTCAGCATGTTTGGCCAATACGGGCCCGCTGCGGCATATGTTGCATCAGATCTATCAATCCCCGGCATACCAACTACTCTTCTACCGGGCGCTGTCCTGGGCGATGGTGAATATGGAGCGACCTCAGTCTACCTAGCCAACGCTACGAATGTGATCACTTCATTGGGGCAAGCCTTGTATGTTACTTAGCCCTGAAGAGCCTCTGCTGCATATGCTAATCTGTATTGTAACAGTGCCTCACCCACGCCCTATGCCATCTGGCAAGACATAGGTTTCACGACTCTGACTCCCAAATTCTACACTAATGCTCCTTCACCTCTTCCAACGAAGTGGGCTGCCAGTCAATGTGGCGTCTGGCAGGATGGCGGATATGACGCGTATGTATCGGGGACATGGATCTACGTATCGTCCTCACAGCTCCTACCATATACTGGTGAAATTGGTGGGCCCTTGGACAGCGACTATATTATTTCGACCCTCGGCATCCAATTCGCGTATACTCGCCTGCCAGATATTGCTGTCCCTCTAGCCACTGCCCTCCCAAATCAACATATCTTTGTCGAAATGCAACAATCACCGTGGCTGCTTGGCAGTAATGCTTCGCAGATCTTGAAAGAGACGCCGTGAATTACGGACTGTTGGACTATAGGTGGTGAGGGCGAGCCAACAGTTCATGTACCTGTAGCGCAGGTGACCAGTACATCGTCCCACATCATCACGATGGGCGGTGCACTATCGACGTCCACTCCTACCACTACACCGCCTTCGTCTACACCAATTACTTCGAGTGGTGGTAATCCAACCCCATCGTCCACAACGCCGGTTGCAGACCAAGGCCCGAGCACGAGTACTGCTAGCTCTGGCAATGGTGCAACAACATCTCCGACCAAGAGTCAGCAAGCGCCCACTTCAACCACGGTGAATGGTAACGGTGGTGCAACACAGTCTGCTGGGCAAGCTAGCTCAGGTGGGCAAGCTAGCTTAGAAGGACAAGCTAGTGCGGGAGGACAGGCTAGCTCAGGAGGACAGGTTTCCTCCGGCGGCAGCCCAACTGCAGCTGTCGTTGTGCCGGCAGGAGGCCAAGAATCTACGAACGGAGCAGGACAGGCTTCAGGAGGCGGCAGTGCGGGAGGTGGCAATACAGGAGGCGGTAACACAGGATCAGTACAACAAAGCACTGGCGAAGCCGCTCCGGCATCAGCAGCAGCAGCGTCGAATATCATTGGCGTGCTCACCCAAGCCAGCAATCAAGGAACGAGCGGAGGCAACACTCCGGCGGCCGCAACGCCAGCTTCAAGCGTACAAGTAGGTGTAGGCATCGGCTCGCAAACGGCAGTACCAGGAGGCCCAGCAGTAACATCACAAGGCACGACGTACTCGGCCTTGCCCTCCGGCTCAGGTATCCAAGTCGTAGCCAACGGACACACGACAACAGTAGCACCTGCAGCCTCAGGCTCACCGATCTCTGTTTCGGGAGGTGCAGTCCTGACACTCATCTCCGCCGCAGTGGGCTCCAGCGCAGCAGTAACAGTCAGCGGCAACACCGTCAGCTTCCAAGCCGTCGGCACCGGCAGCGTTATCATCGGAGGCTCAACCACACTTTCCGTCGGTGGAGGTGCAGCCACGCAAAACGGCCAAACGATCTCCTTAGCTCCTGGACCAAGCGGCCAAGCAATGATAGTAAACGGCCAAACAGCCACCCTCCTCCCCCCCGCCGTAGCGACCGCTCCCCAAAAGGCCTCACCAGCTCAACTCGTAACCCTGGGCTCAACAATCTACACAGCCTACGCCGCCCCCTCAGCCTCCGGCGCAGCAGTAATAGCAGGCCAAACGATCCTCCCCGGCAGCGCAACGATCATAGCCGGGCAAACCCTCAGTCTAAGCGGCACGAACCTAATCATAGCATCCGGCTCCTCAACCACGACCAAAACCCTCACACCCGCTCAATTAGCTCCAGTGCCAACACAATCAGTAACACTAGGCACACACATCGCGACCGCCTACGCAGCCGGCATCTCCGCGATCGTGATCGAAGGCCAGACGGTCGTGGCGGGGACGGCGAAGGTGATAGATGGGGAGACGGTGAGTCTAGCCGGCACAGCACTCATAGTCGTTTCCGGAACGCAGATGGTGACGGAAGGGCTGGGAGGGGCGATCATGAGTGGAATTGGGAGTGGAGGTACAGCCAGTGGCGCAGGCGTTGCGCCAGCGGCATATACAGGATCAGCAGGAAGGACAGCTGCGCAGGTCCTTCCTGCGGCCTTGGTTGGGCTTGCTTGCATGGCAATGCAGTGATGCGTACATAAAAATCGATAATGCATTGTTAACGCTAATACTCCACATCCTGATCATGTATCATGGGATCACAAATATGACGGCTCGAAAAAGACACTTCTCGCCCGTAATTCACAGTCCAGTGCGCAAAGTACACTTTCGATCGTTCGCGGCACGGCGATCATCCTGTCGAGCATGCAGAGATACTCGCTCCCTCCAGAAATCACCCTCTCATGTACTGAAAGCATGCCAGCCAGCAAGAGTTGGAATCTCTTAATTAAGAGGAGGATAATCCGCTGGTCTCCCAATGCCTGATACAGCGCCGTCTAAACCACTTAATATACATGTGCATCCGCAGCTCGGAGAAAGTGTACGTATCACGAGGCAAGGACTTCACTCCTCCCGAGAACCACACGCCTCGCTCATTTGGATATCCGCGCCATGCCAATGCCATTGATGCTAGGTGAAATCGATCCGTGTGCCTCGCTCCGCATCTCATGGCCCTCTCCGCTGGCTCTCTGTCAAAAATTCTTATTCTTCTCTTCTCGCTTTTGCACACTCCTCTATTTCGCAATCTCGACACCTGGAATCCGGATTAGCACAAAGTCATGACACGTTCCGGAGCAAGTGAAGTGAGAACATACCACCAACAGCGCCGAGCGCCCTCTTGATATCACCATAGATGGCGAATTGACCAGCAGTCAGGGTACCAACCATGAAAAGACGAGCACCGATACCGCTGAACGAGCCCCTCAGACCAAGCTCACTACCGATCTTGATCAAACGGCTGGTGGTGCTCTCTCCAGGCAGACCCTTGGTCTTGTTGATCTTCGAGAGCATGGTGTCGGCGGGCTGGGAGATGATGGCGGCGGCGAAACCGGCGATGAGACCGGAGCCGAGGTTGATGGCGGTGTTCATGCCGGGGGAGGTCTTGGACTTGTCGAAGTAGTTGGCGTAGGCGTACTCGGCGACTTTCTCGTAGACGACGAATTTGGCCATGGTGTATGGCACCCTGTTGTGCGTTAGTATCACGACGAACCAGGAATCACTGCGTCGTATACTTACTGCTTGAACAGGATAGGACCGAAGCCAGAGTAGAATCCACCGATACCCTCATTCTTGTAGATCTTGCCGAAGCCACCGACCAAGCCTTTCGCGAAGCCGGGTTCAGAGACCATACGGATACGGGTCGCCTCGAGCGGGCACAGGGCAATATCGGCGAAGAACTCGGCAAGGGCAGAGGAGGCGAGGTAGACGGGTGTCCGGTATTGCGAGGCGTTCTCGAGGCCAATAATGCCGATGGCTTGCTGCTTGAAGAACTCGTAACCACCGAACTTGAAGGCACCCTGGAGGAAGTAGCCAGCGAAGGTCGGGCCAACACCGGTGAGGAGGGCACCGGCGCCTTCCTTGGCGATGACCTGGCGGATACCGCCGATGAGGCCGCGGTTGTAGGTGACGGGATCGAGTTGGATGCGGGTCTTAACGCTGTTGATCGAAGTCCCACGTTAGTTGTCTGCTCTGCACTCCACGGCCATTGGGGTGGGATCTGCTGCTTACACATCAACCGGGGTCATGCCGCCGTGGGTAACGGAACAGCAGACGGCGCCGGCGAGGGCGAAGCGGGAGTAGAGATCAATGCCGGAGAGCTTCTTGGGCTGCACCATCGCCTCTGCGTTCTGCTTGAGCGCGTCGAGCTTGGCGCTGCCGGTGGACACCGGCGGTTGTGTCGCGGTGCCAGACATTGTGTGATACCTCTTGCTCTTGCTAGCCCGAAGGGTGCCTGACTGGCGAAGTAGTGAGTGGAGATGGAGAGTGGGTGGTTGGTTGGTGTGGGTGATGATGGAATGGTTGTCAGGAGCTCCAAAAGTTGTGCTGCTCGCCCGGATAATCAAAAAGTCAGTTGCCGGAGCCTCACAACGAGAACTGGCCGGAACGTCTTCGTTGGGACGATTGTTAGCCCCGAGCCAATCATGTCCGCAACGTGCCGCGGGAGCCCCCGTTCCGAAAGCTACATTGTGGTTGGTGAACTTCAGTCTCGCACGTCCTCACACCTGCTGCATAACATCAAGAGCACAATGGCCTTCACCTCCGCCAGAAGGTTCGGGCTGTAACAATAGACTTGCCGATGGCGCATGCATCTCTGACCCGCGCAAGAACAACGCTTGTCCACCGCCTCTGTAGCGTCTCGAACAATCAAGTGTGAACGACCGCTCAGGCGACATATCGTAGGCCATGAACTACTCGACCATGATTTAGTGTTAGCAGGCGTTTCTGATGCAAACGCGCCGCAAGAAAACTTGTACGTGGTGCGCGATCTCGCATTGACGCTGGCAGCTCGAGGCCACTGTCAGAATCAAGCTACCGACCCCACGAGTGGGTTGATGGAGGAATAACATGATGTCGTGACTGTTTGAAATAATTGTATACAAGAATGTATTAATCGGAGATCCACAAGCGCGAGACGCTGAACGTATCGACAAACGCCACTTCAATGCTTGTGATCAGACCGAAAGGCGAAGAGAACAAGATCGAATACCCCTCCCACTGCCACTTTACTACCTGTGCAAATCCTTGCTCTTCTTCCTGTCTAATCGTCTGTTGACAGCACCTGCGATGTAGAGTCAGTAGCCATAACAAGTTGCTATAAATCTGTTGCTCCACTTACCCAACACCACTTTCAAGATGCCATCACCACTAAGATGTGTACCCTCCGCGCCCGTGAACGGCACGGTATCCACAATATCACGCAAATCATCATCGCCGGCGATCTCCGCCAGCTCATCATCCAGCTGCTTGAGGTGTGCTTTCGCCTCCTCATCACGGCCGACCTGGAAGAATTGCACGCCCACTTGCCACGCAGGCGCATCGAGCTTATCAAGCTTCTTCGCTGCTGCAATGAGCGGACTCTCCACATCATCGCTAGGTTCGCCGTCGGTGATGCAGATGATGTTGAGCGGTTTCGTCGTCTCGGGGTTGGCCTCGTACTTCCTGACATACGGCTTCAGGATCTGGTTCAGGCGCTGTCCAGTAGGTGTACCGCCGCCTGGCTTGACAGTCGAGAAGACTTCACGGACGGTAGCTGAGCTGGTGATGTTACGGTGGAAGGAGTTGTCTGGGTGATTCAGGAAGAAGATGTCAATGCCGTCTGCGTCGTGGGCTGTGCAGATCGGGGTGATGGTTTCGAGCGCATCGGCTGTTTCGCGCCAGCGGCCGCCGGCCATGGAGCCGGAGTCGTCGATCAGGAAGGCGGTGTCGAAGCTGCAGAGGAAGGCGTAGGGGTCATCTGCTCCTTGGGCTGCGGGTGATATGACTGTGACAGCGGGAGTGATAGGGGCGGCATTTGGTGCCGGTGAGTATGCTGGTGGCGCGTCGCCTGGAGTGTTTCGTGTCGCATTCGATGCTGTAGAGAGTAAGTCTTGGCTCACGTTGCCGATGGAAGGATACATACCAGGTCTTCTCATTGCTGGCACACTGCTTCGCTGAGGATGAGGAGTGCTGTCTAGCTTGAATGGCATGCTCTTCTCCTTTTTGGAGAACTGAGTCTTTAGTCGGCCGAGCATGTTGTTCCTATTTTGTATGTTCGATGAATCCGTTCGACGTGTTTGTAGGGTGCCAATGTCACGGAACCCAGAGTTATGCGCAAGGACGGTCGCCATGATGTTTGCTAGGTTGCAGGTGCAGCCGATATGTAAGAGGCAAGGTTCGGTAAAGACAGTCACGAGGAAGGAAATGCTTGTGATGGGGATGAGCAGCAAACCTATGGCGATGTGTATAATGCTATATATGTTTATACTGTATGGATAATGCACTGCTACAGTCTCAAGGGCGAACTTCGCCATGTGGTTCACGGTGGCCCACATGAGGCGGTGCTGTATCGAGGTGTCCACTGACATTACTCTAGAATGGCATGATTCTTGTGGCAGTGATATTGATGGCGCTTCTCATGCGGTACATAGAGTGGGGATGAAGTCGAGGTTAGACATGAAGTGGAAACAAATTGCGGCCCCACTCCACACGAGACAAAAGGGCGCAGCGACTGTGATCGTGACTTGAGGCTGCAAGTTGAGGCCGCTTTTCATACTCAGCCTTGGGGACCGTGCACGCCGAACATCATGTGTGGGATGAGCAGGTACTGTGAACCGGTTATCGTACAGGCTCGGTGTTCCGCGCTCTACCACGACGTCGCCTGGCAATTACACACAGGTCAGTCAACTAGACCACGCGCACACAGAAAACATCGCGCACCCCGATTGACACCATGAGCATGTTCCATTCACTTCTGTACACTACAAGAATTGGCCACGCAACTCAGCTCCATTCACGCTCCGTCGCAGTGAACATCTCTCGTACCACGATATGCTTGCTCCGATGACTCTGCGCACGGAGACTGAACGTTCCACGTTTCCATAGAAGCGGCCTCTTCGCATTCATCCAAGCATATTGCTGTCTGTCGTTTGCCCAGCACTCGGAGCAGATACCAATGTGCAAGATTGCCTCCGAAAGCAGGTCCAGCAAAGGCAGGATCTTAGTTCGAATGCCACAGTGATTGTGAAAGCGATCGATCTGATACTCGGGAGTCTGCCGTAGAGTGTCCAGCAGTGAGACGACATCGCCGATATATGGCTCAGACGGCTCATCGCTACCACCGAAGACACCACCCTGCAACTTCAGCATACCCACTTTCGTGAAGAATCGTACCATTTCGCCCAGCTGGAATGAATCGCACTGTGGCGACGAGTCGTAGCCAAGTTTGCACTGCCGCTCTCGCGATGTATACTGGCCCAGGAAGAAGGCCTGAAGTGATTGAATGGTCTCCAAAACACTATCCCGACGATAAGCGAGCTCTTCCTCAAGCCGAGATGGCAAATCCCACCAGAGAGGTTCGGTCAAATCGACTTCGCTCCCAACCCAGCCTTTTGCGACGATCCTCGCAGAGTACTTCTCAAGCCATTGTGGGCAGTCCAGCATCATTGCTATGAGGAGCCGCTGTCGCACTCTCTCTTCTGAAAGTCCTGCATCCGTCTTTACTGTAGTCTTGCCGTCTATTGCCCTGAAGATCTTCTTTCTCCGCATGTATTCGCGAACAGCCCCAAGTGCATCGAACCTATCAGCTACGATGGCGAGATTGGCGAGATTGGCAACTGGAGGAATGGTCTGTAGTTCCTTGCCGTGCAGAATCGATAAGAAATCGGCACAGAGAGGTGCCAGTGACTTGACAGAAGAGATACGGCCTACGTCCCGAACACGAACCGCAGGTAGCTCGTTCGTAGGAACTTCCACCATAGACTTGTAGTGCTCCCGCAGCTTGCTGTGTCGTGCACTTATACTCTCTCCTTCGCCAAAGCGTCCAGGCTGAAGCAAGAGCTCGAAGTATTTCGAGTGATCACTGATTGAAGTACTGACTCGAAAACTTGCGCTATGCTTTCCAGTGGAGGGGAATTCGTGCTCGATTCGAAGCACGATGTCGCCATCAGCAGCAAGTTCGGTGACTGTCTCACCGTTCACTTCAAGCGTCTCGATAGCACTGTCTACACCAGACGAGGATCCTGATATCGGTCTAGCCGCGTTGCTACCACCGCTAGGTGATAACACCATGTTGGCGGTCTGATATGCTATGGCAGGTGGATTCGGGTATGTGTTTGTGTCTCTGCCTGCGCGAGGCGTCCGAACTCTTCTCAAGGGTATGGCCAGAACATATTGGAAGACTCGTGGGAGGTGGTGAATGGTGTGGGATGTGAAGATCAAGAAGAGTGTTTGAGCAGTGCATTTGACTTCCAACGGGTATAGCCGCCGGCAGGCAGCGTCATTTCCTGCACCATTATCAGACCTTCATCAGTAGTCACGTTGCTACGAGCCTCCATGGTGCCTTGCCTAACATGCCATTTTGGAGGATGCTTGTAGGGAGCTTGCGATGAAAGGGTAATTCTCAAGCTGCAGACGTTATTGATGTTTATGTGCTCTGATTATGCATTGGTCGTTATCTATACGCTGCTAATACGATCAAAATCTATACCCCAACCTCACGAACTTTTGTGAAAGCAGCAGTAGACTCGGGCGCATCCTTCTTCTCAAACGTGGGGTCGGCAACACCACTTCCACTGCGACTATTATCGCTGTCGGTAAGCTCATCATCGGCTTCCGCCTTCGCCTTCATGAGTGGCCAATGTCCGGTTTGCTCGAAGTAGCGCATGGCCAAGAAGCCGGCCATGATCAATACCCAGTACAGGTTGTATGCGATGACCGAGCCATAGGTAGCAGAATTGGTCCAGCCAAAGATGGCGTTGAAGATGCCCCATCCGCCACCGCCATTGATCTGGGGGTTGCAGCAGTTGACATGCCACACACTGTTGTGGATGTTGTACGAGCCAGGGCCAGAACCAGTTTCACTGGCATCGCCACCGACGAGCTTATTCCAGGCGTGATTCTCGAAAAACCAGACTGATTTGGAAAACAAGCCTACGGTTGTGTCAGTATTGCAGAGGCAGCAAAATGACGGCAAAGTGCTTACCAGCTGCGACCAAATACAAGAAGCAGGTGGAGATGATCAAGAAGATCTGAAGCTTCGTGGAATTGCCACCACTTAGAAGCCGTCAGTATATCATGAGCTGGCGAGCGACATCAGACCGCTTTCACATACCGATAGATGAGGTAACCGACCAGGACTCCCGCAAGTATACCGCAAACGACGGCAAGAGGGAATGCAGTAGCAGGCAGACTCAGGCCAACACCACCGATGAACACCACAGCCTCAAGGCCTTCTCGTAGGACCGTGATGAACGGTAGCAGGAACATGGCGTACTTCTGACACCATAGCTTGAAACGGCTGGCTGTGCTGCCCTTGGCAGTCTGATCGTTCTTCTCCAGTGCCCGAGCGAGCTTGACGCGCCATTTATCCTGCAGCTTGGAGACTCGCAGAAGGGCAGCTCCAACAACGGTGATGATGATGGTGGCTAGCAGTCCGAAAGAGCCTTCCCAGATGTCTTCCGTAGCAGCGAAGTGGTTTTTGCCAAAGCCGTAAAACGCACCGATCATGCCACCACCGACGATGATGCATATCGCAAGACCTAGTCCGACGCCCCACCAGACTTGCCTGACGAGCTTCTTGTAGACATGAGGGTCGCGTTCGGGACCAATTGTCTGCTTCAGCCACGCCAGAAGTACCGAGACGATGATGACTGTCTCCAAGCACTCTCGAAAGCAGATGAAGAAGACTGGGATGCGTTGTCAGCAGGCTTTGCAAGCTTGAGAGGACTTCGTGGGCGTACCTGGAACAGCGAAAACATTGACAGTCATTGTGACAATGTTTGAAGTGACTCGCAGTCAGCCACCACTGATGTTGAGGAGTGTGAGTGAATGTGAGTATCAAGAAGATCGATCTGATAAGATGAGTCGGACTTCACTTGCTTGCTCGCAAAAGTGGGCGAGCTCGCTGAGATCGTCAACTTGCGAAAACAAGCTCAGAAGCCGGCGAGGTCTAATGCAGTGCGAGTCAATGCTGAAGCTGATGTGGGCTGACAAGCAAGTCTGCAAGAAGAAAAGCGTCAGGCAAGGATGCTTGGGTCAGACTTGCCACATAAAGCCGGAGAAGGCACAATCTGTCTTTCAAAGTACAATGGCTAACAACGTCTCCGCCGCAATGACAGGACCAGAACTCAGTCGCACATCTGCCGAGGAACAACGCCCAATATCGACTCTACCATTGGGATTGCAGCTCCGAAATTTCCGACTCCTGAGCTGCAGGTGAGGGGACGCCAAATTAGCGTTTTATCAGATTGCGCTAGCGCTAATCACGCGAGAAGCGATTGCCAATCGGATTACAGAGCTGCTTTTCGAAATGTCAATGTTTGAGAAAAAGTTTTTATCAGATCATGGTTCAGCTTATCAGATCGACAGGTATCCCGAGCATAGTCAGAGTTATTACACCCACCATCATTGCCTTGGCGAATTCGAGTGCATTGCGGACGAAGTTTGTTTGACCAGCCGAGGTCGACACAGTGCGGTCGTAACGCACAGCACCTTCTCCGATTAAGCAGAACCCGGCAACGATACCGGTGTCGTCTCAACACCATCTCTGATTTACTCGACTCTGGCCATCTGGTCAAGCAGAGCAGTGCAGTCACAATCGAGCCACAAGCCGAACTTCCTGCAACATCCCTGCTCGAAGTGCTTGCTGCCCAGATCCGCTCAACACTCCGAGCCTCGCCTGCGATCACCAGGCCTAAGCGCTTTCCTCCACTTGGCAGTGTCATCTCGCAACGTGGACTTCTCAGATCCATCCTTTTCCTACCGAAGTCGGCGATCAACAGTGCTGAGGGTGTGCAGCGGCGGAGTGAAGGAGTGATCCCCCCATATTTTGATCTTATCGGATCGATCTTATCAATCTTTGTCGACGACGAGGTCTTTCTGACGATCGACTCTTCAACCCTCAGAGCGCTGTCTGCTGTGGACAGCCATACATTCACCACGTCTTACCGATAGCAATGGCTCTTTCACTTTCGAGCTTTCTCTTTGCAATATGCATCGCTCCAGCGGTTTTGGCAGACACAGTGACCTTCGACTGGAGCATTGGCTGGGTGAGAGCCAATCCTGATGGCCTAGCAGAGCGGCCGGTTATGGGAATCAATGGTCAATGGCCGCTACCGCTTCTGAACATTACGAAGGGTGATAACATAGTCGTGAACCTCCACAATCAGGTGTGTGCCATGACCTTGTTACGTGCGAGATAGTAGTTGGATCTGACCACGTCCAGCTCGGCAACCAAAGCACAAGCATGCACTTCCATGGCATGTATCAGAACGGCACGAACGAAATGGATGGGCCAGTTGGCGTGACCCAGTGCGATGTGCCGCCTGGATCATCTTTCAAGCTCAACTTCACGGTAAATGTCATAATCCTCCAGCAAACACTACGACTGTGCTGACAACCAGCAGATTGACCAGCCTGGCACATACTGGTACCACTCTCACACACGTGGGCAGTACCCGGACGGCCTCCGTGGACAGCTTGTTGTGCATGATCCTGAGAACCCATACAGAGGCCAATTCGACGCAGAAATCCCACTCACGGTATCAGACTGGTACCACGCCGAAATGCCGGGCCTGTTGGCTTCCTTTGTCAGCTACAAGAATCCTACAGGAGCGGAGCCAGTACCTAAGTCGGCACTCATGAATGATACACAAAATCTGACCATACCTGTCGAGCCTGGCAAGACGTACTTCTTCCGTCTCACGAACATCGGTGCATTTGCTGGGCAATACTTCTGGATCGAAGGACACACTATGCAAATCATCGAGGTAGACGGCGTCTACACCGAGCCGGCGGAGGCAAGCATGATCTACTTGACAGCAGCGCAGCGCTATGGCTTCCTGGTCACGATGAAAACTGATGATTCTGCCAACTTTGCGATGATGGGTAGCATGGACACAGTAAGCTTGGACATATTTCAGCCCAACCGGGACCCTACTGACCTCAGCATGCAGGATCTGTTCGATGTCGTACCCGATACTCTCAATTGCAATTCGACGAGCTGGCTAGTGTACAATGATGCTGCACCGAAGCCAGCGGCACTTTTACTTGACGAGTTCGAACCCTTTGACGACTTTACGCTTGTGCCGCAGGACGGCCTGAAACTCTACGACCACGTCGACTACTCCTTCAACCTCGACCTTGCCATGAACAACCTTGGAGATGGCGCCAATTAGTGAGTGCTGCCGCTTCACCCAGTCCATATATGAGACAGCATACTGACTACAACAGCGCCTTCTTCAATGATATCACATATACGACGCCAGTCGTCCCAACCCTATACAGTGCCCTAACGACTGGTGCTAATGCCTCAGATGTGGCAGTCTATGGTGACTACACCAACTCCTATGTCCTTGAGAAGGGCGACGTGGTGGAGATAATACTGAATAATGATGATGCCGGCAAGCATCCTTTCCATCTGCACGGACACAACTTCCAAGCTGTGTACCGAGGACCAGATGATGATGGCCACTACAACCCGGCCAATATGACGGACTTCCCAGCCATGCCGATGCGTCGCGATACACTAATGGCCAAACCGAACAGTAACTTTGTTATCAGATTCGTGGCAGATAACCCTGGTAAGAAAGATTGCTCACTGTCTCCCAACACCAGCGCTAACAGAGATCAGGCGTATGGTTCTTCCACTGCCACATCGACTGGCATCTCGCCACCGGTCTCGCAGCCACGCTAATCGAGGCACCTCTCGACATGCAAAAGACCTTGACTATCCCGCAAGACCATCTAGATGTGTGCAAAGCAGGTGGTGTACCGATTGCGGGCAATGCTGCAGGCAACACAGTCGACGTCCTCGATCTCAAAGGCCAGAACGAATCGGTCAAGCCTCTACCCACTGGCTTCACAGCAAGAGGCATCGTAGCGCTTGTGTTCAGCTGCATGAGTGCCTTCTTGGGCATGGCTGTCATTGCTTGGTATGTCTTCTTGGCTACTACCCATATTTCGTCTTCCTGGGTCTATACTGATGATGCTTGCCAATAGGTACGGCGCCATGCCCCTGAGCTCTGCAGAGCTTGCGTCCGCGAAGCGTTTCGTGGCCAAGCATGGTGGTACAGTCGAATGAAGGTGTGACACTCCATGTAAGCTGTTCTAGCCACTACCAAAGATCCTTGTACTTCGTTAGACGTCAGGGCGTGATGACGTTAGCGATCACAAGGATTCCAAGGAAGAACCAAAGCATGCAGCTCCTCTTAGCCACGACGATATTCTCTGCTTTAGGCCGCATAGCTAGATGCTCAGCTAGTCCTCCATAACAATAGAAGGGGGGAGACGTAGGCCTATTGTGCTGTCGGCTCTAGCTGCAACAACACTAATGACGTGGGACCCCAATCTCCGCGAGCTTGACTTCGCGTTCCAACATGACAAATGTACCCAATGTGATCAGCCCTACGCATGCACGCTTGCCGTCACCTCAAAGATACTTTGCTGAGGTCGAATGCATCTCACCACTCGCAATGCTCGACTCCTTGCGACTATGCGGAAGCCTGCAGCACGCCACCAGTGACCACCTATCCAGAGAAGTTAATAACCCGCACTGCAGCCGCCGAATGCAAACCCGCGTACACCTCCGGTCATGAGACCAAGAGCTTGCATTGCCACGCATGTAGCACCGCCTCGCCTCCAGTCTCTCACAAATCCAGGTTTGTTTGTGATTGTGCTACCTCATCATCTTGGTAGACTTCAATCGTGACACCCCGTACGTCTCGCAACAGCAGACTCTACCGGGTAAGCGATCAGCACGATTAGCATCCTCCAACTCCTTCAGATTGTAAGTCGAAAAGCTCAACCGGCTTTCTCGCCGGCCTCTCAAGCCACATTGTCGACGGCGTCGCATGGAGCATACGCCCACATGCTGTGGCAGAGAACCGTCCCTTGTTCGCCGTCCGGTTGTGGCGTCGTGCTTGCGTCAGGTCGCGAGTGCGATGATCTAGACCGGTGGGGGTGAAAGTGCAAGAGGAACCGGGTACGCTGCATAAGAGGCTGCAGTCAACCATATTGGGTGTACGTGCGTCACTGCATGCAACTGGGTCTACTTTGGAGAGTCGCTCTGTCCCTCCCATATGCAATGGTATGCACCGTACCATGCTCCATCAAGTCAAGGCACAAGGACGAGGACTGCCGACGTCCACGAAGCAGCAGATCTACCTTTCCACCTCCATGCATGCAAACTCAGGCTATCATAAACACCACCGGGAGTTCGTTGTCAATCGTACATCGGAAGCGCCGTTTGGCTTTACCGCCGTACTGATCCGACAGGTTCTAGCGGAGACGGCAGCCCTGAGCCGTGGAGCTGGTAGTGTTAGCGTGGTGGGGAGGGCGCGTCATGCAGGAGTCGTTGGGTTCGGTAGAAGTTTATCGGTTTGAACGACCTGTGCAGGGAGAGGATAGTGGATTAGTGGGGCGGGAAATGTTTTTGCGTGGGTTGGCGATTGCGATTGATAGTTGAGGATAGAGATGAGATCGGGTAGATACATGTGGCGGACTCCTACAGACAACTACTGCGACAGCTCAACCCTGCCAATCCGGCCACATAGAATCACATGCAGAATCTCCAAACAGACTCCGGGAAGTGGATGTGACAGCTGCAAGACAATTTGATGCTAGGCACTCGAACCGTCTACCGACGACCGCCGCTTGTAACGACCCGCAAACGCCTCCCTCGTGCTACTGCAGCAAAGCACCCTGTCAATCCTGTGCTGCCCTGGTCCCAAGCCAAGAGCCCGACAGTGAATTTCGTCAGAGGGCAATGAGTAAAGGATAGCGCGAGAGGGAGCTTTCTTAAAGTACAGACTGGGGCCTCGCCGCACCCTATGAGATGAGCAGATTACTACATCGCTAGCACATCATCCTGTTTGTGCGCTTGTCACTGTTTTGCCGATCACTTGCGGATTTACTGTACAAATCTGCCCGCCATCATGCCTGCTGCTGCTCCGCGACATCCCGGCCTCACACAGACTTATGGCGAGCGATCGGAACAACCGAATCTTCCACCTCTGGCGACTTATCTACTGCGATTGATACACCTGAAAAGGACGAACTTGTGCGTTTCTGCCGATGTCAATACTACGACCGATCTATTACGACTCGCGGAGGAAGTGGGCGAGCATATCTGCGTGCTGAAAACTCATGCGGACATAATCGATGATTTCGGAGATAAGACGATAAGAGGACTGAACGAGGTCGCGAGAAGGAAAAAGTTCTTGATCTTTGAGGATAGGAAGTTTGGGGATATTGGAAGTACGTGAGACACACCACAGGAGAGAAGTTGTAGATGCTAACCACGTACCTCACGTGCAGGTACCCTCCAACAACAATACACCCGTGGACCTCTGGCGATAGTGAAATGGGCACCCATAGTCAACGCGGCACTCTTTCCCGGCCCGGCCATCATCACCGCCTTAGCTGAAGCAGCACAAAGAGCAATCTCCGCGCACAACACTTCCGTCTCAACAGATATATCGGCTTCCCCCGTAGCATCTCTGGTAGACAGCGGACGGGACGACGAATCAGTCGAAGAGGAATCCCAAGACGACGACGACGACGACGACGATGACGACGATGATAATGACGATGAAGACGACAACAACGAGAAGGAGGAAGAAGGGCCAGGAAGAATGACGCACGAAGACCGCAAAGGCCGCAAACAATCCGTCGTCTCCGTCAGCACAACCATCAGCACCAAAACCGAAGCCATCTCCCCCCAACCCCACGCCCTCCGCCCCTCCCTCTCCCGCGAAGCCACAGAAGAAAGCTCCGAAGAAGAAGACGAAGACGACCTAGCAGCCCAACTAGCGGAACTAGGCCCACCCCCTTACTTCCGCTCCCTCCTCCTGCTGGCCCAAATGTCCTCGGTAGGCAACCTAATGGGTCCCGAATACACCGCCGCCTGCGTCCACCACGCGCGACAAAACAAGGATTTCGTGATGGGTTTCATCGCGCAGCAGAGTCTGAATCAACAAGTCGGAGACAATTTCATCACGATGACGCCCGGGGTGCAATTAGCAGCTGGTGATGGTGATGGGTTGGGCCAGCAGTACAACACTCCTGCGAAAGTTGTCGGGGAGAATGGGGCGGATGTGATTATTGTGGGGCGAGGGGTGTTGAAGGCGGAGGATAGGCGGAAGGCGGCGGCGTTGTATCGGCGGCAGGGGTGGGAGGCTTATTTGCAGCGGTTGAGGAGTGGACGACAGGGAGGACGATGATAGGGAGGGAGGGAGTGTGGGCAAGTCTCAGGAGGGATCATTTCCTGGGCATGATTCGAGATTTACCGTATTACAGGCTTGAGCGCACGGAAGCTGCTCGCCGGCGAATGCCCAATTTTCCACGATTTCTAATTTGATAGCGTTTATTACACAGGCAAGGACAAGGAAAAAGGGCTGCACCCGCCGAAGTTGTCCGCGTCTGGCGATTGCATTGCCACTCTTCCCAGTCCTCCACATTGTGCCGTAATCCTTTCCCTCCCTCCTCAGCGCGAAACTCTCGCGTATGAAAGGGCCTGAACAGGTCTGCGGAGCCAGAGCGTGCGGTCCTGCAATCGTGCTAGCTAGCTGGGTGGCGGAAATATGCTTTCATGGCTTTGGCACGTCATTTTGCACGAAGATGCTTGTGCCGTTTCCGTCATTTCCCGTGCCTCGCTGCTGCATAATAACACTCTATCCGCATTGACGACATGGCAGCATGCCACCTAGAGCTATGCGGAACGGCGCCAGGAATCGATCAACCACGCCAAGGCGAGTGGGCGGCACGTTATATTGCATGCAAGGTGGAGTATCATCCTCCTCACTGGGGGAGTAAGAAGGAATTCCCGCAAAATTCATTTTCCATAGACGAATCATGTACTTTCGTTACTGGCTGCTCGGCTGCAAAGATCGTTCATTGCTCCATCTCCTCGTCCCTCCCCTGCTCCCCATCCCGTCTCGCTGGCGCCGCACCACCAACAAGTGCCTGCACCACAGCTTCCATCCCCTCTACTTCATCCCTCGCGACACGGCGTCCTCCTGCGCCCGTGCCCCCAGCTTGAGCCCCAGCACTATCAGCCTCGACACCTCGTCTCTGCACCGCTCGCTTGGACTGTGCGTCTAGATAAGTCCTCCGTTTCGCATCGCGCGAGTCGTCGTTTTGTGCCGTGTGGCGCGCGTTCGGTAAAGTGTGAAGGGAGTCCTTGAGCTGGAGCAGGATTTCGCGGAGGGCGGGGAGGTGGGTCATGGTGTAGGCTACGTTTTGGGAAGTTTTCGAACCTGTAAGGAAGGCGAAGGGTGATGCCGACCCGTCACCTGGTGGTTGTTGTTGTTGGGCGTTTGTCCCGAGGAGGGCGTGCAGTTGCTCCAGTATCGCAGCATTTTTCGCCTCCTCGGCCTTAAGCATGGCATTTAACTTCTGTGTCTCCTGCAGCTTCCGTCGTTGTAACTGTACGGCTTCGGGCGTAGGTGTACTGTCCGGACTCGCCACCTCCAAATGCCGATAATGCTCCAACTGCACCCAACCGGCCAAATCCTTCGCCTCGTCCTCGTGCCCCAGAGCGAGAATATTGCGCAAGGTGTAGATCTCGAACTTGTCAAAGTCCCGATCTACGGTCGAGTTGAGGAGGCTTTCAAGCTGTACACATCCGTTTCCTAGCTCGGTCTGCTTGAGTTCGTCGAGGGCATCCTGCTTGCTTTCTTGACTCGTCAGGGCCTCGGCATGGTTGGGATCGAGCTTGAAACCCAGGGATTGTGGCGATATGGCGTTCAGACCTTCCTCGATGGCGTTGACGGCGCGAAAGACGAGTTCGTTGACGTTGTTGATTATGTCGTCTAGTAATGTCTTGATGAGATGGTCAGTCCAGGACGCGGTGGTGTGGGGGGGGGGGAGTGGTGTTTACCAAAGGTGTGTATCGGAAGTGTTCAGTCAGCAGCGCATTTTGTATCTGATGAGCTGTCGCCATGTTGTAAACTCTTACCGCAGTGATGGGTTGCAGTACCTCAGCCGGCGCATAGAGTATAGCATTGGGTGTCGACGCGGGCACGCGAGCCAAAACAAAGCCGTGCACGGTCCACCATGACGATGGACATGAATTTGCTTTCACGTGCTTCATGAAGCATTCCTTTCCCTGTACGAAACACCACCACACAATGGCACCACGAAAACCGCTAGGCTGGCGAAATCCCCCAGCAGTGAATGGGAATGAAACTGCGGCGAACATAGGCAAACGCCGGGACGCAGCAGCTGATCCTGCGGACAGCGAAATGGTCAACGGGAAAATGGACGAAGACGAACCAGAGTACCACACAGACGACTCAGCAGATGAAGATGATGTCGACGGCGGTGTCCCACTCGACCAAGAGGACGAATCACTTCCTTACCTGCCCGCGCATCTGCTCAGGCCCGCCGAAATCAAATCCATCGAAGCGGACGACCCAGCCCTAGAAATCCCCTGGGAGCACAAAACGCCCAAACAAAAAGCAGGTTCGCGGCGCTCGAGCCGGCAACGTAAGAAACGACAGTATGACAAACTCCAGACCAGAGTCGAAGGAAGTGGGGTGGTGGAGGCTGGTAGGGCTGCACAGGTCAAGCGAGGGGTCGTGACGAAGTTCCCGGATGTGAAGGAGAAGACGAAGAGGGTCGGTGCGAAGGGGAGGGTGGTTAAGCCACAGGCTTCGGGTCGACAGCAGATACTAGAGGCGAGGCAGCGGGAGGTTAGAGGGGTGAGGAAAGCTAAGACGAAGACTGGCGGCAAAGGGTGAAGGATTGATCGTGTCTTCTGAACTACACCAATGGATCCACACCACCAAACAGTACACTCGCCACCACGACATCTGATCCCGGACACCCAGAAGTCTCGACAAAAAAGACCGGAACGGCAACATAGTTCCACGACCGCCCCCCCCCCCCCCCCTCCTCAAAAATCCATCATCATCCCCGCAGCAACCTCCTCCAAATCCCCCACCTCCAACCACCGCACCTCGTCTCCCTCAACCTCCCCGCTCTCACCCTTCTCCCTCTTCGCCAACGCCGTCCTCGCAATCCCCTCTCGCACGAAAATCTCCATGTACTTCTGCAGGATCTGAAGAGCATGTTTATCTAGTTTTGTCGTCGAGGAGACGAAGGATTCATGTAAGAGGCGGGTGAGGAGGGGTTGGGGGAGTTGTGTTGGGTCGTCGGGGAGGGGGGTTGGTGGCGGTGGTGGTGAGACTGTATTGTTTAGACCTGCTGTTAGTTTTGTAGATGGTGGTGGTGGTGGTGTGGATGCCGGCTCGGATTGCGAGAGGATAGATACAGCGGGACGGTCGGGTCGTCTAGCCGGCGGTCTGTTAGCTAAGCTGGGCTTCGCTTTCGTCGATAGTGGTCTCTTCTTCTCTTCTTGTGGAAAAGGTCGCGCTGTCAAAGGATCATCCTCTAGCTCTTCGTCTGAATCAACTACAGTCTTGCTAGCTCGTGCTCCCGACCCTCCAGCTCCTACTACCGCATCATCTCCCTCCCTTCCATCGTCATCGTCATCGTCATCGCCATCGTTCTTATTATCGCCTAATCTCCTGCCCGCTTGCGCAATGGCTTTAGTCGAGCCCTCCGACTCCTCCGTAGTAGGTAAACGCGGTACCTTCGCCGGCCGACTCAGCGGCTTAAAAGGCGGAGCTTTGCGTTTCGAAGCAGGATACACCACTGCCTCCTTTGTCTCCTTTCGTGCTGGCATTCTGGCCGGCATCTTTAGTTCCTGCCCTCGTGTATGAAAAAATGTAACTTTCTTTCGTTTCGTTTGATCGCGAAAAACCGCGAAACCCCTCTACGCGAGATGCACGCGGCGCACGTGATACACGACTCCAGCTCCAACCCCTGCTCTTGTCTCTTCTACTGTGGCTTGACAACCTGTGATGTGGCGATGACTGCATGCTCGCTCGTGATGGGCATGTGCGATGGCTACCGGGAAGCTGAGTGTCGTGATCAAAGACTTTACAGAGACATTATCGTTCCGTCTTATATTTACATCTCATTACAATGACACACATCAGCCTCATCATCCACGTCCATCTCCAACGAACTAATCCATCCCATCCATCTTTCCCACCACCTCCTATAATGTCATATCACACACCCATCTAATCATCCTCCTGGTTATCCATCGTAATCAAATACTGACCATTCATAGTATTATTCGTAATGTTCGTCTGCTGAATCACCCCGCCCTTCAAACTCCCACTCTCCGCCACACCCCCAGCAATAGGCCTCTGAAGCCGATTCTCCCCACTCTTGACCGTGAAGTTGGCCAGACTAATCTCATACGGATTCCGGTTGATGATAGTCGGCATACCGAAGAAGGATGCATTGACTTCGTCGTACCCGATCTGCAGCTCGAAGTAGCCGCGGTAATAGAGGTCGTTCCAGTGGAGTTCCGGGTTAGCACCCTCGAGCCAATCGCTGTAGTTGTTCGCCGACTTGAGGGTGATGTTCTGGCCGTAAGGGCAAGGCGAGCTGACGGCCGAGCCGGCGAATTCGACTCCGAGGCCGCCGGCGCCGGTTGAGGAGGAGTAGTTGGAGTGATCGAGCCAGACGAGGTCCGAGACCCAGCTCGCGTGGGAGTCGCCGGAGATGACGATGTTGTTGCCGATGTTGTTCTCCGTTAGGTAGTTCAGGGTGCGGTTGCGGTTGGCTTGGTAGCCATCCCATGCGTCGTAGTCGAGGGGGTCGACGTTGCCATAAGCTACAGACTCGTTGATCTTCGAGAAGACGGTCTGCGAGCCGATGACGCGCCAGCGGGCGCCACGATCGGCGGACTCGGCAAGTTGATTGTAGAACCTGATGTGAGATGTAAGCATGAGAGATAAGTAAAGCGACGTGAAAGATGACCTACCAATTCTCTTGGCGGCTACCCATCATCGAGCGACCAGCGTCGTTGGAGATCTCATGAATGTAGTCGGTGTTCCAGTACAAGTCAGTAATGGAGCGGTCATATTGGCGAGTGTCAAGCATAATAAGGTCGAACAGGGAGCCGATCTGGAAGGAACGCCAAATGCGAAGATTGTCGTCCATCTCGACTTGACGGATAGGCATCCACTCGAAGTAAGCACGAACAGCATTCATCTTGCGCTGGTCAACCGCCACACCACCGTCCATGATGAATGAAGCCTCGGTGTTGTTCACATCAGCCTCGCCATCACGGTAGGTGTTATCAGCAACCTCATGGTCGTCCCAGACTGGAATCCACGGGAACTGCTGGTGAGACAGGAGAAGATCCAGATCAGTACGGTAGGAAGCCAGACGCTGACGGTAGTCGTTGAGGGTGTAGATGACGCTGTTTGGGCTGTTGACACGGTCGATAGCATAACCGTAGCCGTAATCACCATCACCAGCATATTCGTAAATGTAATCGCCGAGATGGATGACATAGTCAACGCTATCCTTGCGAGCGGGGTTCCCGAAGGCATTGAAGAAACCGAAGGGGAAGTTGCTGCATGAGTAGATAGCAAGGCCAACCTTCGACGTGTAGTCATTGGCATCTGGCACCGTCTTGGTCCTGCCGAGCGGGCTGGTGACGTTCGAGTTGCAAATGTTGAACTGGTAGTAGTAGCGAGTGAAGGCGGTCAAGTTGGCAGCCTCAACTTTGACGGTATAATCGATATCGCTGGACGTGTAGACGGTTCCGCTGCTCTCGACGTGCTTGAAGTCGGCAGTCCTGGCGACCTTGAACTGCACACAGACTGGTGCAGTGGAAACACTGACGTTGGGTCCGTGCCAGTAGAGAGGGACGTAGCCGCTGACAGTCGAGTTGCTGTTGACGTTCGCCTGCATGGGAGCGGCACGAGTCCACAGGATGACGGAGTCAGAGTATGGGTCACCAGAAGCCACGCCATGGGTGAAGTTGAGCTGGGAGGGCGTGAAAGCCTTGTCTGGGGTGTTTCCTGCGCCTGGTTAAACTGCTGCCGAATGTATAGATCTGCTCTTGCCACGCATACTCTTGTTGACCTTGCGGAGAGATATGCCCATTCCAGGGTGGTTCTCGGATGGCTACAAGCTTGTCAGCTGGTTGGGGTGGAAGGATTATTGCTTCCGACCAGCATACGGAACGGTAGTTGAGGTTCTTCACCCTACAGAAGCTGTCAGTCTACTTTCACCCTTCTCTTCATCCGCATCATCACATACCAGCTCGCCGAAGCAAGCGCTGAAAGCGAGAGCGCAGACACCACAGAGAACTTCATCTTGGCGGTATACCACTACAACGACTGACTGGCAAAACAGCTACAACAGCACTCCGAGTCTGACGGTGGGCGAGGGAAGCTTTTGAAGCATCTGTACGACCGCTGCAAAGCTTACCATCCGTGCCTGGCCATGCATTACTAGGATCTCGACAGTGTCGTCAATGGCGTGGGTCCGTTCCTGCTCTGGCCCAGCCTGCAGCGAATGAAGAGGCGCGCATTTCTCACGTCGTCCGTTGCTTAGCAGCCTTAGCCATCACCTAGCGACTTGGCAATGCCGGGCTGATGTACGATGGATCGAAGCGGCGGGATGCGAGAAGGAAGCAGACTAGAGAGAAAAGCGCATAAGCACGTGGGCGAGCTGCAAAGCTTCTGTGGTCGGAGTTGCTAATCCCGAAGATTTCGTAGTCTGGGAAGCTGGACTGGGTATGCGGGGCTATGCCAAGAACTCCGCGCGAGCACGACTCCATCGACCTGGGTAGGGAAGAGGAAGCGAAACGGGCTGAGCAAAAGCAATTGTTAGTGCGGAGTTGTTGCCGGCTTGGTGGACGGTGTTGGAACGTTTTCCGGCTTGAGCGTGCTACTGGTTAGAACGTTGTCAAATCGTGGTATGGTAGACAATCGTCACAAACACGTTCGTTTGGAGCGACAAGCAATATGAGAATGCTAACTATGATTGAACGTATCTGGTGCGTAATGAGACCACTTGAATGAGAACCACAAGCTAGTGAGGAATACAGCGACATAGGGATCTCCATCCTCCAGATCGATATCAGTAGTTCGGCGTCTATTAAAGATAGCTCGGAACAGCCGCTCTCTCGTCATCCAACAACCATCGAGCGTAGGAGTCAAACTGCGAAGCCATATCCCAGCCTCATCGTCCACAGATATGGTGGTATGTCTCCCTCTGGACCTCTACCAGGAAGTATATCAATCCACACAAAGGTGCGGCCTTGCCCTCAGTCCACCCAACCGAGCAGTCCCCAAAGCCTCTCGATCTCCTGCAACTCACCGCTCTGCCACTCAATCGTCTCACCGTCGTCTTGCCGAGCTGAAGCTACTTTCGCCTGATAAGCCTTCAAACCGACTAGGCTCCCGGCCATCCAGTCTCGGTAGGACTTCTTCGTACTCAGTCCCGCACTCATCGACGTGTCTTGATCACTTAAGGCGACCTCTGCGCGTTACAGAAAGGCCTTGATGTCTGGAGCAGTAGTGGTTATAGCATCGAGGGTTGCGGCAGTCGAAAGCTCGATATCCGGAAGATGAGTCGTCGTGATCTGTTGGCGCGCAACACGTGCGTGTGTCAAAGTAATGATGGCTCATCCCCACCGCCATGGTCAGCCCTAGAACCCCATAGGCCGCTCACGTGGCAGTTGGGCAGTAGTCTTCGGCTGGAGATTGCAACGTCGTCCTTCTTTGTTGTAGGGCTTGCGGCGTATCTTCTTGCGACCGTGGGGTTTTCCCATTGCGTCGACCGCTGTTGGCCACATCGTCGCCTTCTGAACGGCATTCATCTTATCAGCCTGTGGGATACTGTGTTGTCTTTCTATAACAAGCCTGTGCGTTTTACCAGGGGGTTAGGTGACACGCGGAAAGTCAGAATCCAGAGTGACGTGTTTTGTGAGGCGGGAGGCGTCGAGCATTCACCTACTGTCCATGCACGAACCACGGCGGTAGCTGGCAAAGTAGAAGGGGTGTGAAGTGGTGGTCTGGCTCGACGCCCACCACTCCCTTTTCTAACATCTTCTCCAGGCAATCGGATGCATGGCGCTTCACATGCTGTGTACTGGAGACTGATGTCCAGCACTCGAGTAGTAAAGATGTGTCAAGACAAAGGCAGCGGTAGGAACGCTCAAGGCCAAGTCATCACTGCTGCTTCCATCCGCGATGAGAGAGTCGCTAGTAGTTGCCATCTGGTCCGTAATGCTTGCCTAGTTGTACGAATAAGCATCATTCGTCCGACTATCCTGGGATATCCGAAATCCAGTCCCGTCACTACTGCGTCTAGACATCCCGATGCAACCGTGAATGCTGGTACGTTCACCACAGCAGATGTACTGGTGACACGTTCTCGCGCGCCAGACACCATCAGCATCTCTACTCTTACTTCTCTCCAATGCAGTCCTCCAGATCAACAGAACAACACATCCCATGCTCCAGGCTTAAGCGAAATCGCGCACATCGTCCTCGACTACGGAAGCGCAGCCGAATCAACATGACGCTAGCCCACCAGCAAGGCCTGAATCAAGGCAGCTCCGTCGAAGCCACGATCCCAGACCAGCTACCAGCATATCATCCGGCCCGCCTATTCCCTTACATCAATCGCAACTGTCTTCTTGAACCAGACAACGTGATCCACAAGTTCAACTACACTTCCCCGACAACGAATAATGGCCCCTTCACGCCCGAAGAAAAACTGATCTTCACCCTCGCCTTCGCCTCCACGCCCAAGACCTTCGATCAAATCGCTGCGGTCCTCCCAGGCCGGACGAGGGAGGATTGTATTTGGTATTACTACGCCCATAAATGGGACGGGAGGTTCAAGATCCAGACGATGGAGAAATCGGTGCAGCAAGCTCAGAGTCGGCGGCACGGCGGACTAGGCCAAGCTGTCGTGGTCGATTGGTCGACGGAGTCCCCTCGTAGAAGTCGAGGCTCGGTAAAAAGGGCACCGCGACTGAAATCGTGAGGTTCAAGATGTCGTATTTTATCCCCGAGCACGGCGGAGATGACCAGACAGAGAGTGTTCTCAGCGTACGCGACATCTTCACTGAAGCGTACCTGCAGCGTAAGTGGAAACGAGACGTCCCGCCTATCCATCAGGAGATCGACCGCTTAAGTGCGCTGAATCCAGCAACAGCCAAAGCCTGGAACAAAACACCAGTATGGAGCACAATCCCAACCACGCTCCTCCGTCGACCAGCCCTAGAAATCCTACGTCTGAGCGCCAAATCACCAGATCGGCCCCTGACAGATCAGAAACTCTGCTCATGGTTGCGATCCGTCGATGTCCTGCCACTGATCAAAAGATGGAAAACCGAATGCCTAGACGACCCAGCCATCTTCCGAGATCTCCAGCGCACACTATCCAGCTCCGAAAAGCCCTGGGACGAGGAGGCGGTGCGAGTAGCGACTCTCGCCCTGGTCGGCCGAAACAACAACCGCAACAGCAACGGTACCAGGACGACGCAGATCCAAGTAGAGCCACCACAATCCCACTCCTCCCTAACAATCACCGCCAAATACGCCGCCCGAGTAGCCCACGGCAATACAGCTCTCTGGACCACCTTCGCGCCACCAACCCCGATTACTAGCACGACGGATGCTCTAGACCGCCATCTCCTCGCCACATTAGTACTTTTCACAGCCTACGCCGACATCCTACGGCACGGGGAGTGCGGTTTCTTCGGTGTCTTACTCCAGAGTCCCTTAGTGGGGATGCTCAAGACGGGTGTCCGGGAGAAATGGGAGACGAAGTTTTTGATCCGAAGTGAGGTCGAGGAAGCCGCTGTTGTGGAGGGAGTGTTGCAGCAGCTCCCGATTTGGATGCCTCCTGTGGTGATGGATGGGCGGCCGATACGAGAGGTCGAAGTGTTAGCACGAGAGGAGGATCGGCAGGGGTCCAGGACCATAAGGGCGCAGCGTGAAGTCGTCGGCGGGGTACAAAGTATCGAGGTCACGAGACTGAAGGGAACGCTGGCTCGAAGGCGTCATCGTCGTCCATAGGCGTAAAGAGGATATGACTTCCATGGTCCCGAGATCGTGGGGTCGACTGGAAAAAGGAATAGGGATGATGTACACAACGCTATGCATAAACTCCAAAGTATACAAGACTCTATCGCTTAACCCAAGCCGGCATCTTCCTCGCCTTCAACTTCCCGGGCTTCTTCCTCTCCACCCTCCTCGGATCCCGCGTCACACACCCGGCCCTCCTCAACGCGGGCTTCAGATCCGGCTCGTGCGCCAACAGTGCCTTGGCACAAGCCAACGTGATCGCCTCCGCCTGCCCCGTCGTCCCACCCCCCGATGCCAGGGCGAAAACATTATATTTATCCAATCTTTGCGTGGATTTCAAGGCCCAGATGGCGGATTCGCGGTCGTGGAGACGGGGGAAGTAGGAGGGGAGGGGGAGGGAGTTGATGAGGACTTCCCCCGTTCCCTCGACGAGTTGGACGACGGCGGAGGAGGATTTGCGGCGGCCGACGGCGCGGGAGATGCCGTAGGGGGAGATTTGGATGGGTTTGGGGGTGTTGAGGTAGGGTTGGATGTCCCGTTTGAACCCCTCTAGGGCCTCAGCAACCTCCGTAGGCATGAGGGAAGGGTGGATATAATTTAGTCGCTTGAGGAGTTGGAGAAGGGTGTTATACCCTTTACTCCTGATCGGTTCCGCGAGCTCGGTCTTGTACTGGTCGATGGTTTTCCAGGCTACGCGGGGAGCGGAGCCGGGGGAAAGGACGGGGAGGAGTTGGTGTTTACGTAGTAGGTGGCTGAGCTTGAGCAGGTCGTCGGTGTATTGAGGGGTTGCGGTGAAGTAGGAAGGGGAGGCCGGGACGATGCGGACTTGGCGGAGGAGGGTGGTGGGGTCGTCGTTGTTCTCTCGTCTGGGGGTGCCATGTCCATTTTGACGGCGGAGGGAGGTGGTCGTGCTGTCGTTGTTGTCGTCGATGAAGCGGGCTCGTGGGCGGGAGAATTGTTCGGCGTCGTTGGTGAAGCGGATGGGGGATGCGGCTTGGATGTCTCCTGTGGGCTCTGCTGGGGTGGCGTAGCCTCGTTGTTGCCTCTGTCTCTGTAATCGGTTGGGACATTGGGCCAGCCTTCGTAGGCAGCGGGTGAGTAGTGGTGACTCCATGGCTGATGCTAATTATCCGAATTGATTAGACTGAATGCTGTATATCGTCAGGTAGAGATGTCTGCCGCTTCGGAGGTGGACGGCTCCTCCCGCCGCAGCCCACTTTTTCGTTTCGTGCTGGTGGTTCGAACAAATTTTGGACAGCTTGAGCGATTGGCGACTCACACATCCAACAATAATTACCTCTCCATCACCACACATTCGACCTGAACAAAGCCAACGAAGGCGCAGTTTATACACACACAAGCACACAGACAATATCGCAGCCATGGCTCCCTTTGGCAAGATCTACTCGTACCCAGTACGTCCTCGTCCACGCCGTTACCCCACCGCCTCCACCACCACCACCCCCAACAAGCACACCAAGGCATACGTACTGCTTGAAAGAGACATGCTAACCACTCTCACTTCCCCAGGACAACCCGCGCACGACCGCCATCCTCGCCGTCGCCAAGGCCAACAAGCTCGAGCTCGAGCAGGTCCACACCGAGCCCGCCAAGGGGGTGAGCGACGACTACCGCCTCCTCAACAAGCTCGGCAAGGTCCCCACCTTCCAGGGCGCTGACGGCTATGTGCTCAATGAGTGCATGGCCATTGCCATCTACAGTACGTTCCACACACAATCACAAACCACCCCACACACCTCATTCACTCTTACTGCAATGATGAACAATTACATACATTTTCAGTTATCCCTGTCTGAAATACACCTGTTGATAACGTATTCACACTCTGATTGCAACAAGACACACTCAAGCAACTTTACGACATACACACTCCTTGAGCCACCACTGACTCATACTCCCAGTCACCTCGCAAAACGAGAAGACAACCCTCCTCGGCAAGACCAAGCAAGACTACGCCTCCATCCTCCGCTGGATGTCCTTTGCCAACACCGAACTCCTCCCCCAGCTCGGCAAATGGTTCCGCCCTTTGATCGGCCGTGACCCCTACAACAAGAAGAACGTCGAGGAGGGCCAAAAAGCCACCGAGCTCAACGTCAAGGTCCTCGAGGACCACCTCCTCGTCAACACCTACCTCGTCTCCGAGCGCTTCACCCTCGCCGACCTCTTCACCGCCAGCATCATCAGCCGCGGCTTCCAATTCTTCTTCGACAAGGAGTGGAGGAATGCTCACCCCAGCTTGACGAGATGGTTTGACACCGTCCGCAACCAGGAGATCTACAGTGCCGTTGCCAGTAAGCTCGATTTCATCGAGAAGGCCATCCCCAACACGCCTCCCAAGAAGGAGGAGAAGCCCAAGGCTGAGCAGGCCAAGAAGGAGCAGCCGAAGAAGCAGGAGAAGAAGAAGGATGTCGAGGATGATGATGAGGAGGAGGAGGACAAGCCGGCGCCCAAGCCCAAGCACCCGCTCGAGGCCCTCCCCCGCGCTACCTTTGTGCTCGATGATTGGTACGCTATAATAATACGTAAAGGTCATGAAAGATACTAACACTGTTTTATAGGAAGCGCAAATACTCCAACGAGGAAACGCGCGAAGTCGCCCTCCCCTGGTTCTGGGAAAACTGCAAGTTCGACGAATACAGCATCTACGCCGTCGACTACAAGTACAACGACGAACTAACCATGACCTTCATGACCTCCAACCTCATCGGCGGCTTCTTCGCCCGCCTCGAGGGCTCCCGCAAGTACCTCTTCGGCGCCACCTCCGTCTACGGCGTCACCAACGACAGTATCGTCAAAGGTGCTTTCGTGGTCCGGGGTCAGGAGGCCCAGCCTGCGTTCGATGTGGCGCCTGATGTCGATTCGTATGATTTCAGGAAGTTGGATCCCACGAGTAAGGAGGACAGGGCGTTTGTGGATGATATGTGGAGTTGGGATAAGCCGGTTGAGGTTGGCGGGAAGAAGTATGAGTGGGCGGATGGGAAGGTGTTTAAGTAGGTCTGCTGATATTCGGGCTTGCTGGCTGTGGGGAATTGATGATGTGGTGGTGGAGAGGCTGCGATCGTGTGGCTTGTTAGAAGTGTCATGGGGATGTGGTGGAGTGTTGTCATGATGTGGAGGGGTGGAGGAAATGTGGCACGATGGCATGACATTTGTTCAAATGGGGAAAAAGCTCGCATGAGGGCGTTTGTGCGTGGCTGTGGATGTGCCGTAGCGAGGCATGTTGCATCTATCTGAATGATGTGTGTGTCCTCTTGCTTGGCATGTCGCATGGTCACGGTAGCTCGTACAGATAATTCAAAGGTCATCTAGACTCGATGGCGGAAGTAGAAGATACTTTTCTCCATCTTGATAATGACTTCCACGTCTCATTCCCCTCCTCCCACCCCTCGTATATTCTCCCCATGGGATGAATGTCCTCGGTACTACAGTCCTCTCCACGTCTTACTTCATGGGGAAATGAAACGATAAGATGTAGATGGGATAGAATACAGTATGTAGGGGTGTGTAGCGCGGGACCTGCTAGAAAGTACCGTTTTCCCGTCTCCAACACTTACTGCAATCTAGGTACCAACGGGGTTCCGTACAGGGGTATGAAAGAGACATGATCCTGGTTGGGGGGTGAGATATGGTAGGAACGGATTTATATAGTGGAGGGAACTGCTTGCTAGAAGTACCATTTCCCGACTCTCAACGAGTACTCCAGTCTACCCACGGGGTCACTGTATAGGAGCACAGAAGGGACATGATCCTGGTTGGGAGTGAATTACAGTGTGAACGGAAATGTAGTGCAGGGACTGCTTGCTAGAAGTACCGTGCTCCCGACTGAACGACTACGATAGTCAACCTAGGGGGTTACTACATAGCAGTGTGGAAGGAACATGATCTGGTTGGGAACGAATTGCAGTGTGAAGGGAGATATAGTGGAGGGAACTGCTTGCTTGGAGTATTATTTCCCGACTCTCAATAACTACTCCAGTCTAGACACCTACGGGGTTAACTATATGGGAGCGTGAAAGGCACCGATGATGGCCTGGTTGGGATGGGATATAGTATGAATGGATATATAACGCAGGGGGCTGCTGGAAGTACCAAATCTCCCGGTTTCTAATTTTGCTAGCTTACCTATGAGGCACGGCATAGAAAGATAGAAGACCACGATCTGGTTGGAATGAGACGCCGTATATAGGTATAAGTGCGTAGCGCAGGATCTGCTGGAAGACCCAACTTCCCGGGTCTCTAATTTTGCTGGTCTACCTACAGGGTACTGCATAGCAGCATGAAAGGAACATGATCTGATCGGGGATGAGGTCCTGTAGAAGTGGATATCGTGCAGGAATCGAAGGGATTTTACCCTTTCCCTACTCCACCTCAATCTTACTACCGTCTACCCACGGGGGTACCGTACAGGAGATGGAAGAATATCATCTAGTTTGGAAATGAGATAGAGTAGAAACGGACATGGTGTAGTAAATGCTAGAGGGACTATTTCTCCCGTATTGAATACTTTTACTACATACCCTCTGCATACATAGTCGACTATTCACCCGCAAGAGGGATCCTCGTAAATCTTCACGCCGTCGATCAGGAATTCATCCCCGTTGGAGTCGAGCAGTGTCAACACCACCTCGCTCCCATCTTTCAAAGTCGCAATAGTACCAGTCTCCTGCTGCACCGTCGTGCCCCGACTCGTCTCCACCAAGGCTTCTCCACTCGCCACAACGCCGTCGACTGTCACCCTGACGTGGAGGAAACTGTTTTTGGGTCCGTTATATGTATACAGTAATCCCAATACCTTCGTCCCCGCGGAGCCGGAATATGTAAATGAGAAAGTCTGGCTCGAAGTCATATTAGCTGCTTCCACGCCGACGCAGCCATCAGCGCAGGATATCAGGGTGGTATTTGGCGTCGTGGAGTCCGCGGCCGTGATAGTGGTGAAAGGTAAGTCGGACCAGATCCCCGTCTCAGCGTCTAGGGTCCAGCCGCCCGTTTGATGAAGACTAATACTCTTATCCTGAGAATCATAAACAACGGGGTAGAAAGAATAAGTGCTCGAACCCAGTTCGTTGCCAGACCAGTGGTCGCCGTAGTAGAGATACAGCGTCTCCTCTGTTCCATTGATAGTGATATCGTACGCATTCTGCGTAAGGTATGCATAACTGCCCTTCTCCGCCAACAAGGTCGAGGCAGACCAAGGTCCTGCCATGGAGGAGGAAGTGAAATATCCGTCTTCGGTGGGCGTCCAGCCGTCTTGAGGCGAGTAGAGGAGGTAGAATAACCCGTTAATTTTGAAGACCCCGGGGGCTTCGTAGTAGACACTACTAAAGGTATACAGGGACTCGTTAACGTTATAGTAATCGCTATCCAGCGAGGCAATAGCGAAATCAGCATTGTTCGTCGTGGCATAGATGAGGTACGCAGTCTGCGTATCCGGATCCTTGTAGATCGTCATATCGCGACTATCATTCCCAAAGGGCTTGAAGGAGCCACGGTACGAGTACGTCCCGTCGATGGTCTTGCTCGTCGCGACCCCGACTCGTGCGGCGCCGTAGTTGGCGCTGTCGCTGTGGAACCACATGACGTACTCGTCGTTCAGGTCGTTATACAGGACCTTTGGCCGCTCCACCACGGAGTCGGAGGAGATGTTGGTTCCGGATACAGGACTTAGCACCGGGCCTACGAATTCCCACGAGCTGAAATCGGGCGATTTGTAGCAGTTCACTGCTTGGAAGTGGCCTGAGGTCGTCTCGTTGGTCTTGTCTTCGCCGAACCAGTACCAGGCTGTGTCGTTGGAGCCGGAGGCGGAGGAGCGGATAATGTCGCCGCCGTGGGCTTGGATTAGATTGCCTGAGGTATCGGTCATGTTGAGGGTGGGGAAGAATGTTGCGTTTGCTGCGTGGGCGAGGGGGGTGGCTGCTGCTGCTGCTAGAGCGGCGAGGAGGGGGGCAGTGGGGAACATGATGGGTGGGTGGTCGATTTGGTAAGGCTATGAGATGGTCTGGGTGTTTGTGGTATGGGAGGGTCGATGGGATGTAGGTTATATGTACGACCAACTGTAGGCGAGAGTTTCATACAGTGTTTCATCCGGTCGTCTTGTTACTGCTTGTCCACTTACCGAGTTTGCCATCATATCCTTATGTCGTACTGCCAGGACAACGTCAAGGTACGCTGCTCCCCGGTGGATCATGTCACCCACCTCCCGACGTTACAGGAGCAGACTGGATACGATGCAGAGAGCTCACAAGGTTTGGAATTTCGCGGAGTCGTGGATGGAGTGATCGGCATTCACCCGCCACTACCGGGGAGGTGCTTGGTTTTATGACGATGTGTCGTAGTATGAATTGCCATAACGTGAAAATGGACATAGTGGTCGTCAGAAGAGTAGGTACGTACTAGTGCAATAAAATAAGTCAAGAAATGCAATATGGCGATGCCGCAAAAAGTGTCCCACCCTGCCGAATTCTCAAGTTCACTTCGCCCCCAAAAGTCTTGGCACCTTCCGTTTGGAGCAAGAATTGAATCCAACAACCAGAACAGCTAGCAACCAGTACAAAGCAGTACCACCGACAACATGGGTTTGATATTGCGAGCGTAGCGAGCAAAAGGAAAGTGCGTCGGCCGGGAATCGAACCCGGGGCTGGCCGATATTGAGATAATGGGTTGGATCATCTGGCAACGGCCAATTTTACCACTAAACCACCAACGCAGATCCGAAGTACGGACTTGTGCTTGGATGGAAGCATTTGCTGGAATAGTAATATATATGGTGTCAATTTTGATGGACGAGGTGCACCCGTCCTCCAAGATCGACATTCCAAGCCTAATACCTGCGGCAAGACCACCATTCTTGCAGTCCAAGGGCATTTAAATTGACATCCTGGTTACGATCTCCCTCTATCATGCCTCCAGTGCGGACTGACCGCACATGTGAGAGTACAGATGAGGATGACCTGTACGCTTCGCCCTCAGAGACAACTAAATATGTTCATGTTGAAAGGCTCTTCTAACTTGGATCTGAGGGAACCTCTCTGGTTCAGCAGCATCATTCTTATCTCCTCTCGGATGTGGACGGATCTCGGGATAGTGAGATTGCGGTAGATTGGCCCCTACAAGCTTTTTGCAAAGAAAAGAGATGATGAGTTAAGGGAGCGAAGTATGCAGATGAAGCTGAAGTACATAGCAGCTTATCAGTCCTCGCTGACATCTTCGGGAACAGCACAGCCAGATATATCTAAATACAATGCCGTCCATGTGCGAGCAGTCCCTCGTCTGAGTGATTGAGCACCATCAGACGATCATTACAAGACCGACCATTCCCATGATGCTTTCCATGAAGGACCTCGTCCAGAGCGTCAGTCCTAAACGATGAGCTTACCGTGAGACTCCAGATCTGTCGAATCGTTTCGGTACACGTCTTGATGGACACGACAACAGTGAACTCATGGTCCTTTAATGCGGAGCCGTAGTATCCTCCCTAGCCTCGTACAGAATCGCATGAGCCTCCTCAAGCAGCCGCAAGGTAGCCTGTACCTCCATCATGAAGCCACGGAGCTCAAGGTTTCCACCCGCACCCGCACATAGAGAGCCCAGCCAAGATCCAACAATCCCCATCGCGGACTGCTCATCATTGACCAGAACCCGCACCGCCCTCATAGTGGCGTACGCCTGAGTCGCTGCCAGCAGACCCATAGCTCCCGGCAGCCGAACACTCTCCAGAACACGAATTCGACGTGCGAACTCCTGGTCGCCCGAATGGTCCAGGTCGAAGTAGGGCGGTATGCCGTGGTAGACCTGGATAGTCAAGCGATCACGGGCGTCCGAAGCCGCGAGGAGAGCGTCAAGGATCGCTTGTGGAGGACGCAGGGCTCGAATACTCGTGTAAAGCGCTTGCAGAGATGTATTCGATGACGACGTCGGCGAGCGACCAGAAGTGGACGACGGTGCAGTTGTAGAGTCAGCATTTTGCTGGCCAAAGGCTCGACAGCCACTCAAGGTCGTGGACGAGGCATCGGTAGTGGCAGTACTGATCTGAGTCGACGGCGAGCTCGGGATAGATGTGCGAGTTGTCTGGTCAGTGCCTCTTCGTCGTCTGTGTTCTGGCGCCCCATTGCTAGCTGATCTCTGGAGATGTGCCATGGTCGCCTGCGTTCGAGAAGTCTGAGATGTTGTGCGTTGTGGAATAGCAAGGGTGTTGAGAGGTGCGTGGTCACGGATGACCAGTAGTGGTTGCCTGCAGAAAATGATCGTAGCTGGGCGTGAAGTGAGGTTGCGACCAACTAGCGCGGTGCTAACTCCTGAAACAGAAGTCGATTCACCTGCCATGGGAACTGCACGTGATAATGATGCTGCTCCACGGGCTACCTCCACACTTCGCATAAGCCCTGCAGTGGTATTGCCTCCCTCACGAGCATCAGCACCCATATCCGAGCACCATCTACCTCCCCACCCTACGCCTCCTCTCCCTCTCCCTACCCAGTGGCCCACCCATCCCACTCTTCCCCATCATCACCTGCTCAACACTACTCACCCCCTCCTCCCTCAACAACCCCGTCCCAACCACAAACTCCCAAAACCCTCTCGCCCCAAAATTCCTCTGCCCAACCAAGAACCCGCCCTCCCCACCACTTCCAGCACCCCTCCTCGCCAAATCCACCAAGTCCATCACGCGCCCCCACTCCCCAGATTCCGCCAGAGCCCTGGACGCGAGTTCCAACGCCCGCCAACCGGGTCGCAAACCCCGACTGCGCATATGGTTGAGGAAATATGTGAGTTCTTTTGTCGAACCCGGAGAGCGGGAGTACGTGGCGTACGCCTCTATAACGCGATCATAGAAGATCGCATCGACAGGGGCGCCGCGGCCACCATTCGCAGATTGGATATGCTGCCACAATGCGCTCGCGGCCTCGAAGTCCGGTGGGCGTTGGAATTGCGCCTCGTCGTTGAAGTCGGCGGAGGTGGAGAACTGCGTAGGAGAGAGGTAAGAAGTCATGAGGATGGTGTAGATATGCGGACTCGGCGTCAGGTTCATGCTGAGCATATGCGCGAGGACGGTATTCGCAGCCTCGGTGTTGTCGTGGCGTTTGAGTAGGCGGTCGATGACGAGGGCGTAGCTTTTCGAATCCAGAGGTTGGCCACTGCCTTCTTCAAGGGAAGTGATGAGGGTCATGACCTTCTCTCGAACCTCTTCTTTACTCAGATCCTCCAGCTGGCCGCGCTCGAAGACGAGGGTGAGCAGGACGGTCCACGTATCGCCACTCGTCTCAATACCTTCTTCCCGCATACGCGTCAGGATACCTTCGGCTTCTTCGAACCGGCCGTGGCGCATGCAGATGTTGAGGAGGGCGTTGTAGGTCGTTTGGTCCGGTTTGATGCCGAAGGAACGACCCCAAGCTAGGACGCTTGGGATCTGTTTATCGTCCCGTGTGGCGAGAGCAGAGATAGCAGCGTTCATAGCGATTTGCGAAGGACGAGGGACGCCATTGATGTCGCTAGGGAAGAGCATCGTGGCTTCTGCTAACGACAGCGCCGCAGGTTGTTGAGCCTGGTGTCGTCCTCGCCGTCCTCCCTGACCACCAACTGACCTACCGTCCATCCTCTGCTTCTCCTCTGCCGCAGCAATCAGCCATCTCCTCCCCATCTCCTCCACCGCCCCCATTCCCTCCGCCACCCACCCACCACGAATCAACCCAAAGATCCTGGTAGTCCAAGCATTAACATCAGGCCGCACCTCCGCCTTCCCCATCTCGCTCCAAAACCTCTCCACACCCTGCACATCCCTCACATGCTGCGCCCCTTGCATCATAACCGTGTACGTCTTGACGGTCGGCGAACGACCCAACGTCTGCGTGAAATGTTTCCAGACTTCCAGGGCTGCGGTTGGGTTGTGCAGGGCCAGGAGAGCACGTAGAAGGTGCTCGTAGATCTGATCGCGTAGAGCCGGACTGCTAGCTCTCGAGTCGAAGTCGAGGACCTCGCGCTTGATGCTGTCGGCTAGTGTGAGGGAGTGTTTCTGCATCGCTTGTCCGAGTCGATTGATGCGGAGATTCACAAAACGGTCGGCGATCTCATCAGCGTCTACTGGCGAGACCGATCTTCTGCTGGCGACGTCTTGTGGTTGTGTCTGTGCTGTCTGAGGGGCACTTTGAGCAATCGTCGAGGCTTCTTCAGCTGAGGGTCTGCTTGGCTCAGATGACGTCTCGCCATCTAGAGAAGTCGAGTCAAGCTCTGCCGAGAGAGCATCATAAGCACGCGGATCATCGGTCTGAATATAATTGGCCGGTATGAATCCTTGAATTGCGAGGTCATCTCCAGACACCTCGATGCGCACATTGATCCATCCACTCCCATCGTCATCTTCGATCAGGACAACATGTTGACCTCCTTGGACGCTGATTTCGCCCGCATCACCTGCTTCGTGAGCATAGAGTACCACAGCCCGCTGTCCTTCCAACATAGGCGTCATATGTGCTTCCTCTGCCTTCTCCTGCGCTACGATCGGCTCGGATTTGATATCATCGACGACTTTCTCACGACCTGCCACTCTTACACTATCCGATGTGTTCGCAGAAGACGCAGCTGGTGTCGATGCCAGCTGCTCTTCAGCCTTCAGCAAGTCTACCTCGCCCGTGTCGACCCCAACCCCTCTCAGAACCCGCCTCATATCATTCTTCTTGGCTCCGTCCGCACCGGCGTCTAAGAAGTGCGCTACTGCGGGTGGCATCGCAGACGGGAGGACTCTGAAGACAGTCTCGAGAACCTCAATGAACTGTCCATACATCTCGCTCACGGTATCTGCCTCGCTTGAGTCACGCAGCTGCGCCGAAGCCATGCGCAAAGCATCCAGTGTGATGATTGCGGCTGACGTATAGTCGTAAACCTCATCCGGCTCGCTCTTCGCGGCCAGCTCGAATGTACGTTGATCTTTGACCTCCGGCAACAGCATCTGCAGACCGTCCTCGAGGAAGAGCTTGGCACTCCCCCGACGGGAGCGATGCAACATCTCAGTGAAGATGTGAATAGGGGGCAGAAAAGTCCAATCGAGCTTTCCATTCGATCCCGAGCTTGTCGTCTCACCTCGATGTCTTTGCAGGCGAGCACGCAGGGCCAAGTTCCAGATGGTGACCAGTTCATCCAGGTTCAGTCGCTGTGACTTCTCCGGCAACCCACGTGCTCGCATACCTAGCAGATTCTTTGAGATTCGCCACAGTACTTTCGCCCATGTTTCGCCGAGATCAATCCCGAAGCGATCGTGCAACGCAATGATATCACTCGGTCTAAGGAACCCGCGCCCTTCCCCATTCACTACGTTCTCTTGAGCAGTTGGCCCCGTGATCGTCTTCCTGCTCATGTGGATGATTAGGTGTTTGTAAGGTGGGACGAAGTCTCGACGCTTGGAAAGAAGTCTTGCGTCTGGTGAGGCTGCGAGTTGCTGAAGAAGTGGCCATGAGGCGTCCAGAGGACTTCGATCCGATTTGCGGACATCGAGGAATCGTCGGAGGAGATCATGTAGCTCTGGAGGGAGCGCTGGGCCTGGCAGTGACTGTATTTGATATTTATCCTTGGATTGTGGAGTGGACAGCTGTTGAAGGAGCTGGTCTGGCTGTAGTGGTTGTCGAGAGTAGCGGCCTCGAATGGGCTGTCCATTTGCAGCCTCCGGCTGTCCATACTGAAACTGTCGTCGTTGCCCATTGCCATGACTATGCTGCTGCTGGTCTTGGACTGTCCGGCTTACAGAGAAGCCTCGTCTTGCCTGCTGTAGCGACAGGATATGCGCCTGGAACCGTTGTCGCAGATGACACGTCGAGCAGACATATCGGCACACGTTCATTGCCCCACCACTGCTTGTAATACTATTCTCGACACCTGCGTGCTGCTACGAGCTCTTCAATGGTATAATGTCATGTCAGTCTTAAAGGGGAAGATGCCCCGCCTCCCACGTTTTGCTGCAGGACAACTTTATTTGGTGGAGTCAGCCTCGGATGCGGCATTCGCGAGTCGCGTAGATCGATGACCCTCACCGCGGTAGAACAAGTGGTTTTGTTGAGCAGTAGCCCATCGTCAACTGCTTTAGATTCGTACACTGTCACCATGATAAATTTATAGATAAATTTATAGTACACCAGGCCATATCGGTCACAATGACGACTCTTACCCCACGACCAGCATACTCCCCGGCCGAGCTCGAGAAGCTATATCCATCCAATCTCGAGCTCCAGCAAGTTCAGATTCTACTTCGACACGGCGAGCGTACACCGGTCGGGACACGCTTCCAGAACGCCGGCTTAGCACCATACTGGCCATACTGCACCGCTGCCCGGCAGCTGAAAGATGTCGTGCTCAATAGCGATGGCACATGGGATTATCTAAGCTGGCGACGACGATTAGAAAGACTAGGTCCGAACGATGCGCCGATAACATCAGCAGGTTCGCGAGGAGAGATAGATGGCGTCTGCGAACCAGGCGAACTCACCGATCTCGGACGACAGACAACACTGGCGTTGGGCGAGCGAATAAGGAACCTCTACGTCAACCAACTCTCCTTCCTCCCAACCACAGCAACCGTCGACACTGACAACAACGTCTCCCTCCGCGCCACCCCAATCCAACGAGCCCTCGAAAGCGTCCAACAAGCGTACACAGGCCTCTACCCACCCACCCACCGCGCCACTGCCCTCCCACCCAAAACAATCGTCCGCCGCTCAATCCAAGACGAAACCCTCTTCCCCAACGAATCCGCCTGCCCGCGCTTCCGCGAACTCGCCAAAGCCTTCGCCGATCGGACGGCGAAAGTCTGGAACGATGGGCCGGAGATTCGATATCTGAACAGCAAACTCGGGAAGTGGATGCCAGAGGCTACGCCCAAGGTGGCCGTCGATGGACATCCCCGGCTGAGCGGGTTGATGGATACGATAAATGCTACGCGCGCGCATGGGTCCGCTACGAAGCTACCGAAGGAGTTTTATGAGCAGAAGGTGACTGGATATGTGGATAGGATTTGTACGGAGGAGTGGTTCGTCGGGTATCAGGAGAGCAACGAGTACAGGACTCTTGGGATCGGGGCTCTGATTGGGGACTTGTCGCAGAGGATGGTGGAGAAAGTGAGGGCGAATGATGTAGCCACTCCTGCTGTAGGTGCGATTGTGGCGGGCGAGGGCGATTTCAAGCTTTCGATGAGTGGATGCCATGACACTACCATCGCATCCGCACTCACAGCACTGGGAGCCTTTGACGTAAGTCGCGACCACTGGCCGAACTTCACAAGTAACATCGCTTTCGAGCTCTTCCGGCGTAAAGACGCGCTCGTGGTCCGGGACACAGCAGCGGCACCTCCGAAACAAACCCAACGACCGTCCTGGTGGTCTACCCTCTTCTCTTCCACCACCGCAACAACATCCTCAACCGCGACGTTGGCCCGCACACCACTCACAGACCTCCCACCAACAGAACGACAAAAGCTAGAAGAGCACTACGTCCGACTCCGCTACAACGACCAACCCATCACAATCCCCTTCTGCGCTGCCCAGAAAGACAGACATCTCGAAGGCGACGAGAGCTTTTGTACACTGACCGCGTTCAAGCAAGCGGCTGATTCTTTCACCCCCAAGGATTGGAAGGGGCAGTGTAGGATGAATCTTGGTGCGCCTGCTATGGGGACGAATATCTCTAGACCTCCGGGTTGGGTGGACGAGGAGGTGAAGGTGGTATGATAGATAGCTAGAGTGAGTATACACGTACCATAGATGGATGAAATGCACAGGTTAGATGCAGCTATGAGCTTTCGCGTGAGGAAGTCGGTGTGATACTGTGATGTAGTATCTTCGTACAGTCCTTCCATAAAGTAGGTATACGGCACTTGTCATAGTCTCCAAACCCAGCCGTATGGCACCTAGCACATAAGAAGTGGAGGACCCCCGACTCTCCCACCCGGTGTCTGTACCTTCCATATTAGACCTCTGTGGACAGCCAATCAGAAAACAGCTCGAATCCTTCCTTTATCTGGCACCCCATGCCAAAGCTAGCCACGAGTCCGTCTCGTCCTCCGCTAGCCGAGCGCTCTGTAAACTGTATGCGATAAGATCTGCGGACGTGTCGGAGCGGGGATGTCATTAGCTACTGTGCCATAGGCGGTATGGGCGGTTGCAGACGACCTAGGGGTGGCACAGTCCAGTCGCTTTGGGCAGGTGATCGACAGTGTGATAACTGGCGTCGGATGCTGCGATAACCGTCAACACTTTGACTTCAGCTTCATGATTGCTGTGTTTCTTGCTCATGCGAGCCTACGGTATTCCGTAAGACGCGAGGGAGTTGACCTGAATAAAGGCCTGCGGTTCAGCACAAGGGTAGCACACGATGTTGCGCAAGTCCGCCACAGGCACCTGGCTGCCGGCGTGGGTCCCGGACTCCTCTGCCACATTATCAGTGCTATTAATACTATGCTCGATGGTGCAGTCGGCGGTAAGTCGTGCCAGACAATCCATACAACCCGGCAAACACCCACAAGAGGTACTCATAAGTGACAGACGAACGGCTACGACGGCTCCATGCTCAACGGCCTAAACATTCTCCCCTCCTACGCAGACTACTTCAACCTCGACGCTGCCGGGACAGGCCTCAACACCGCCTCGGTCTTCATAGGCGGGATTCTCGGTCCTCCAGTCTCTGGAATAATGTGTGATCGCCTCGGAAGACGCCCGACCATCTTCTGGGGCAGTGTCGTCTGCCTCATAGGCGTCATCTTACAAGCAGCAGCCCAAGACGTGGCGATGTTCGTCGTGGCGCGGATCATTCTTGGATTTGGGATAGCAGTCTCGGGAATCGCTGCTGGGGTTTACTTGAGCGAGACGTTCAATAATAAGTATCGAGCCTGGGGTGTAGGGTTGCTTAACGACTTCTACTACGTTGGCGCTTTACTCGCGGCTGGGATCACTCTCGGAACGGGCTACTGGCAAAGTACATGGGCGTGGCGAGCACCCTCAATTTTCCAAGGCATCTTCAGTATCCTCTGTATAGCCGTCCTCCCCTTCGTCCCCGAGTCGCCTCGTTGGCTAGTCCGACAAGGACTCATGGAAGAAGCACGCGTATCCGTCGCTCAGGCCAACGCGAACGGGAACCTGGATGCGCCGGTCGTGTTGGCTGTCTACAAGGAGATAGTAGATACATTGAAGTGGGAGAAAGAAGAAGGCGAAACCATGACTTTCACGCAGATCATCAAGAATCCTACTGCAAGAAGACGCCTACTCATCGGCATGTCGCCGGGACCTTTCAGCTGTATTGCCGGGAATATCATCGCTTCTTACTACCTCGGTGCTGAGCTTACGACGGCTGGTATCACGGACACTACGGCACAGTTAGAAGCGAACGTCGTGCTGAACGTCTGGTGCCTTTTCTGCTGTCTCATCGGTACACAGCTCTGCGCACTCTGGGGTCGCAAACCCACGGCTATCATGACGGAGGTCTTGCTCGTCGTGTGCCTGTTCATAATAGGCGGCCTATCGAAGATCTACGCCGATCATGGGTCTGCTACGAGTGGGAGCGTGGTCTATGGCGATGTGGCCGTGATGTTCTTGTTCCAGGGGTTCTACAGTATCGCTTGGACACCGTTACTGTTCCTTTACCCACCGGAGATCTTGAACTACTCGATTCGTGCCAATGGGGTGGCGTTGAGTCAGTTCATGCTGAATGCTTTTGCGTGAGTGCTCTGTGCTGTGCAGAGTGAACCTGAGCTGATAAGTGAACAGCATCGTCTTCGTCTTCATCATGCCAATCGGCCTGGCAAACATTGGCTGGAAAATGTACATGGTCAATGCAAGCTGGGATATTGTGATTGTCTTTCTTATAGTAAGTGCTCCTTCACATCACCACCAAATCCCACTACCCTTAGCAGCCTACTAACATTCTCAACAGGCCTTCTTCTGGGTCGAGACGAAAGGCAAGACGCTAGAAGAAATAGATGCTATCTTCGAAGGGCACAAGCACTCGAATGTGCCGGACGTAGAGCTCGTGCGTACGGGACAGGAGAAGTTGGATATTGCGGCTATGGAGCAGCAGATCGAGGACGAGGTTGTGCAGATGAAGGGGAAGAAGTCTGAATAGTGATGTATGACACATGCTTTGTCTCGCTTCCATAATCACTCTGTTCGTCAATGACCACCTGCCGCTCTCAATTGGGTGGCGATGGCGAGCTCTTTGGTGTTCAAGCTCTCACAGCCTTTCGTCATAAGTGATATGTGGTTTTGATCAAGCCGTCCTTGCCCTGTATTGAATCGGGCTTTCTCAATCGATGCTGTTGACGTTGCACGAGATGCGGAAGCCAGAACGGAGACTCGTATCTCGTCGCGCCACACCTGTTTATAGGGTCACAAGGCTCTTCGCAATAGCGAACTTCCATCTTGCTTTCTGGGAGATGGCTGTAGTTGTCGAGACACTTTGTCGGAGCAGTCCTCTATGGCTGAGACAAATGGGAACAACCAATTAGAGCATTGGCTGGGGCTAACTTTGGGCTATGACGATGAGGCTTCTCCGCCCGTCTGGACTCAACGAGACAACTTTCGTTCTATCTTTCTATATGGAGTTACAGGCTACGCAAACTTCTTCGAGCAACTGAAGGACAGCCTTGAAAAAATCCCAAGCAGCGCATAATCGTTTCAATCTCATTTGACGGCCTCGTGAGTCGTGGTTTAACCTCGTAAGTCGTTCATTCACCCTTTATCCTCAACGCCAAGACGGTTCATGGCATCCATTATCTTGGCGGCACGGGAATCTCAGGGCAATTTTACATCTTGGTTGAAGATTATTCGTCGCAACTGACGTCCTCGCCTGCAGCGCTTCGTAACCTTCTCTGGTGGTTGCTTCCAGGATTTCTTGGGCGTCCGGGGCAGTTGTGCCCGCGGCGGTCATGCACTGAAAGCTAGTCGGAAAGGACTCCAGCCATCCCAAACTCAGGCCGTCGCAAGCTTAACCACTCTTATCATAATAACGACCATCATATCTCTAGCCTGCCAAGCCTAATCCTGGTCCAACAGTTTCGAGTCTGCTCCACACTCATCATCCACGCCGCCACGCGACTCGTTGGAGTATCTGCAAAGACGTTTGCCATGTGCGCTACGCCATGATGGCGTCTTGGCTCTCCACGGTATCTGTTCAAAGTCCCTGTACGTCCACGGGAGGACTAGTTCTTGCGTCTTGACTGTGTATCTTCTGCTTCTGGTCATGGTCATCGTCCTGCACGCGTTATACTTCGACTTCACTGCTATTGTTTACGCGACTCGCTGACACGCAATGGCAAATAATACCAGATCCTAGCGGACGACACGGCCTCTTTGGCCGACATCTGTACATTAATTATCATGACGAATATGCTTCTTCTGGACCGGAGACGAATCTTCTGGATTACGATCATCTCCGGCATTGCGATCGCTGGTTTTATACTGTTGCTGTTCATACTTCAACTACTACTCGTTCCTGTATTGGTGTACATATTCCCCGGCCTGGAGGCACCCTTCTACGACCTAGCCCTTTTCGGCGCTTACCGAACTCAAGACTATGTATCATTCAACCTCACCAGCCCTCAGACCAGCACGGTTCGATGGGACGATTCTTGCGACCAAGGCTATATCTTTCTCGATCCCTCTGGTCCTGCAGTCGGCCATCGTGGCCCACTGATCGTGGATGCGCAAGGTGGTCTGATATGGACAAGCGACCAGTTCCAGACTACGACGAACCTCAAGGTACAGACCTACCGTGGCAAGGAGTTTATGACGTTCTGGTCTGGCCAAAAGGCCAAGACGATGGGTACTGGATCATACTACATGATGGACGATACTTATCGCGTGGTTCATAAGGTTGATGCAGTAGGTGACGGTGCCCATGGCGATCTTCATGAGTTCAAGATTACGTCGGAGGGTACCGCATTATTGACCGTCTATAATAAAACCCAAGCTGACCTGACTGGTATGGGCTGGTTCCGATCTGATCATGGCTGGATTGTCGACTCTGTCTTTCAGGAGGTAGACATTGCTACTGGAGCTTTACTGTTCCAATGGAAAGCCAGCGACCATTTCAGTGCCGCCGACAGCTACATGACCAACCCTTTCGGCGGTTACACTGAAGGCATACCCTTTGATTTCTTCCACATAAACAGCATCGAGAAGGATAGGAACGGCAACTACTTGATTTCCTCGCGGCATTTTCACAGTGTCATGACTATCGACGGGCAGACTGGTGAGGTACTTTGGCAGCTCGGCGGGAGGTCTGACGAATTTGAGGATCTGTCGGACGGGAAAGCGAGCGACTTCAGCTGGCAGCATGATGCGCGCTGGCTTGACGAGGAGGAAGGTATATTGTCACTTTTCGACAACGGCTATGCCTGGCCCCACTACAATGCTCCTTACAGCCAAGGCCTTTTCATCAAGATCGACTTCGAGGCGCAGACTGCCGAGCTTACGCAATCCTTCGTCTCTTCTGGACACGCGCTTTCCTCCTCCCAGGGATCTGTTCAACCTGTGTTGACAGAAGAAGGCGAAGAACACGTGTTCATCGGCTGGGGATCAAGCGCAGCTTTCGGCGAGTTCACTATGGAAGGAGAGCTGTTGTGTGAGACACACTTCGCGGCATCGAGCTCATTTTGGTGGGAAAGAGTGAAGTCCTACCGCGCTTTCAAGATGCTGTACTGGTCTGGAACACCGGCCCTCTGGGACCCCAGCGCCGCAATCAGTGATGGGAAGCTATATGTGAGCTGGAACGGCGCAACAGAGGTCGCGTACTGGGAGCTCCATGGCACAGTGATAGTTCCGGAGCAAGAGCAAGGACAATGGCAAGATGTAGATGTAGCGGAGAAAGATGGCTTCGAGACGAGCTTCAGCCTGCAGACAGTCTCTGGTGAAGAGGAGGGCGCCAGGCCATACACATATTTCCGCGTGGCAGCTCTGGACGCCGAGCGCAACCTCATACGATACTCGAATATCATCAGTAAGCCACCGCACAGCATTATCAGCTACGTGGTAGCCGGTATATCTGCTATTGTCTGTGTAGTCACGATCGCTGCACTCTGGCATTATCGAAAGAGAAGCTGGAAGATTGTGGATTGGAGACAGATGGCGCAGAATACTATCGACCGCACAAAGTATCAGAAGCTGTGGTGAACACATGGTTGAGGAGGATATGACAATACATCAAAAACGCGATGGCTCACTGGTTGGAGTCCACTGTTGATAGCTTCTCCATCGGCACAACTCTCAGCCATGAACTTCTAGCCAGCGGGTCGCGGATACTTCTGGCAGACTGGCTGGTGGATGGCCTATGCTGCCGAAACCTGGCCTGCGAGTCCAAACCCCGCACATCGTCATGCTGAATCCAGGACCATTGAGACAAAGCTCAGATGAGCATAAGGACCTTCCCTGGTCGGGCTGGTGAGCTGCCACCCGCTCGCATGTCGGTGCTGCGTGCCGAAGGGCATTTGTGCGCCTTCCTGCCCTGTCGACGAGATATGCCCAGACCGGGTCCATGGCGCAGATATGAGTAGGAATGCAGCAAAGCTGTAGCGACGACGGTACGAGTAGGCACGTGTGTGACTGCGGTATCGCATGCACCATGGTACTTGATGGTTACCAAAGCGAGGCTCAGGGAGTCAATCGTGGGCAGACTACGTGTAGTGGGTTTGGGTCCGAAGGGCCACCTCACGTGGCGAAGCCTTCAATCTGTGAGGGTCGAAGGGTCGACTTAGATGCTGTTTGGCTCGGTGTAAGAGTCCGGTAATCATGGCCTCTGGCCCTCTAATAACACACGAATTCCAAGACCGCATGCAACTTCTTCGCTCCTGAAGTCTTACCAGTACGAGTTCTCGCTTAATACACACCACCGCCACAAACACCATGTCCGTAACCAGCTTCGTTCGAAGTGTCTTGATCATATGTCTGATGGATCACGTACGTGGAGGGAGTTTCGTAGGGGCCAGAACGCCCTCATCTACACTTTCATGTGGCGCGGGGATGTAATGCATGAAGTCAACAACCTTGTCCTGCCCTTGCATCATGCATATTCAACACAACACGACTACAGTAATGTCACCAGGCTTGGTGAAAGCTGCACTACCTGCGGTTCAAGCCTAGGTTGTTTACGGTTCCAGCGTGGTCAAACTTGTTTCATCGACGATCTGGTCTCACGTTGTGAAGATGATAGCTTGACACCGGAGGTTCGCTCCGATGTGACATCAATGTGATACATCGTTCCAGGAGTACAAAGCTATACTAACAAGTATTTTGATGCTGAGCTAATGCGTCAGAGTCGATACAATCCTCTGGACGGGCTGCACCACTGATTTGGCCGTGTCGATTGCGCACAATTGGCGTGGGATGGCAGTGCTGAAGCTGTTGCTAGAGTCAGCTCCGCCGAAGACATCCGACACTGTAGTGAATACAGCTGCCACTACAGAATCAACCATCATTTCCGGCTTCATCGAGAAGCACGACACGGTCGGCCACTTCCCGAACGACTTGCTTCCTCGAAAGCCATCACGATGGTTGGAACCTCACGAGGCTGCTCGACTGTCAGCCTTGTACCGGAAGACTATAAACCCGCCACATCATCGCAAGCCAAGTCAATCTCCTGGCACTGATAGCTCGGGTACTCGTGGCAGCTCTCGCCTGCTTCGTGTGCACGGCGAACCTCGTACGGCAGGTCATACCGATCTACAGCGGAACGCAGTCTCTCCAATGTCCATAACATTATCACGACAGCCGAGCGAGGGCCGGCTATGTCCATTCAATGCAAACGATGCAGCAGGCCAATGGAGTTATAGTTAAATCATGGACTGTGACTTCTGCCTCGATCAAGCCTTCTCAGCTCTGGACCTTACTCCTGAGGAGACGATAAACCGAAGACCATCCGCCCAACTGCTAGAAGCACAAACTATGCACGATGATCTACTATTCCAGCTGGCTGCTTTACTGGCTTCAAGATCTGCTGGCGACTACGGATTTCATATTGCGACTCGACCTGTGCTGACATGGTTACGTTACAACGTGCCGGGAGCACTGAAAGCCGAGCTAGCAAAAAACGAGCGTTCTACAGAATCGTTGATTGGTGTTGTCGCATTGCTCACAGGCTGGGAAAGGGTATGCAGTCATGATTGATGTAGTAGAGCTTGCGGACGTTTGCTAATTCCGCGTAGGCTTACGGCGAGGCTGGTGCATTTAGCATGCACTTACAAGCGCTGCGCAGAATTGTAAAGCAGTCAGACAGGCCATTGTACGACGTCCAGGTACCGAAGAAGGTGGCCGTCATGCCACCCGCTTTGGACGCAAGTCATCTGCCGGCGGGGTTTGCTATGCTTTATACTCAACGCTTACTGCCTGCCGAGCTCATATCAAGATGTGCTGCCGTAGCCTCAGCCCGGGTGGGTGACGCTGATATGTATGACAAGCTGTGGAGAACATCCTTGATAACCACGGGCTTGGGCCCGAGCAGCGACGCCGCCGCTGAAGCATTTGACGGCGGCCATATCACTGCGCAGATTGCGAAGCACGTCAGACTGGCCTCGCTGATGTGCATGACATTTCTCTTAATCTCCGGGCGACAAGAGAGGTTCCATCAACCATTGATGGAGGGATTCGAGCCGGCTCTTGCTGATACTGTCCACCTGCCCTCGGACACGCTTACGGGTACCATCTACGACGACGTACTTCTATGGAGTCTATGCGTCTTCTACTTGGCAGCTGGACGGCTGCCTGTACGACAACTACTTGCATTCCGAGACCTGCTGCATAAGTTCGGCATCCCAGTCAAAACCCAGTCCTGGCTCCAGCTGCGAGATCTTATGCGCCTTTATCTATATAACAGTGCCTTCGACGAGCGGTTACAATGGGTCATGGGACTGGAGGAGGCGGCGAATTCGAGCCAAGGCGCAAAAAGGTAGACTAATTGGGATTCTCAGAAGCGGGTGGAAGTACTCTGCACTCGATGAGGCTGCCGCTGCTACAGCATGTTGATGCGATACGTCCTCATTAGAGGGACTACAACTGCATAATAGTTACGAAGCCACGATATGAAAGTGCGGTTTGACGCACTCAATGACATTATGCGCAAGCGACTTTGCGAAACACTGGACGGCATGTCCCATTTTCTGTCATAGATGTAACACTAAGCAGGAGCATGGTAGCGAGCTTGAGGAAGTGATGCTTCAAATATCGTATTACATCTTGCCTATTGTGCAGGAGCTAATCCAAGTAGATCCGTCGCTACATGCTAAAGGCTTTCTTGAAGCTCGCGGTGAGTGACGCGCATAGGACATTGCGACCAGACCAGCAGACTCGTAACATTGTCTGACACCGATCTAGCAGACATACTTCGCCCAGATCTGATTTGTACGGTTTGTGTCAGAGTGAACTCGGCTTACACAGTTACCGCCCGAAATTGAACCTTGGTACGCCAGCAATCAAGCCTTCAAAATCGCCTCGAGCTCTTTTGCCACAGCATCGCCAACCTCGCTCGTGCTTGCTGAGCCTCCAATGTCTTTCGTGCGCACGCCGTTGTCAATAACCTTCTTGACAGCGAGATCGATCTTAGACGCCAAGTCTGGCTGCTGCAGCGAGTACTTGAGCATCATACCTAGGGACAGAAGCATAGCGACTGGGTTGACGAGACCTTTGCCGCTTATATCCGGCGCAGAGCCATGGATTGGCTCGTAGATGCCATTGCATTTGCCTTTACCGTCAGGACTTGATGTCAAGCTAGCACTTGGGAGTAAGCCGAGAGATCCAGGGATTACAGACGCCTCGTCAGAGATGATGTCGCCGAAGAGGTTGCTGGTGACGATGACGCCGTTGAGTGCTCGTGGGTTCTTGACCATAAGCATGGCTGCTGAGTCGATGAGGTGGTGGCCAATCTTTAGCTGCGGAAATTCCTTCTCCATGATCTCGGTGACGGTCTTCCTCCATAGACGGCTGGTGGCCATCACGTTCGCCTTGTCAAGAGACCATACAGGCAGCGGCGGGTCTTCAGCAAGTGCCAGGTGAGCGGCTAGTCTTGTCACCCGTTCAATCTCCATTCGTGAGTATGGCTCGGTGTCCATTGCAAAGCCAGAACCGTCATCCTCCTTTCTCTCGCCAAAGTAAATGCCGCCAGTGAGCTCGCGAACGATGTTGAAATTGACCCCTCTGCACACCTCGGCCTTGAGAGGGCTGATATCCACAAGGCTATCGGAAGCAAAGAAGCATGGTCGTAGATTGCCAAACGTCCCCATTTCTTTGCGTAGCTTGAGCAGACCTTGCTCGGGTCTCACTGTACCAGTACCCCATTTTGGTCCGCCGATAGCACCCAGTAGGACTGCATCTGCTGCTTTGGCTGCCGAGAGAGCTTCGTCAGTCAAGGGCGAGCCAGTTGCATCGATCGAGGCGCCACCGAGGAGATGTTCCTGAAAGTTGAACTTGATGTCGCTGTGCTTTTCGATGGTACGGAGAGCCTTGAGTGCTTCTGCAATGACTTCTGGACCACAATGGTCACCTCCGAAGACGACGATGTTGTAAGAAGGCATGTCGATGTGGTAGTTCGATTATTGTTTATTGCATCGCGCTGTTTTCATTGAAATTCGGCCGATGTCGCAAAGTGAGGTTGTTGTGGGGCCGGATGTTGGAGGTGAAAGGATGCACGTCTCGTACCAACATCACTTCACTGAACATCCGACTCTCATTTCATGACTATCATTATCTTGTTCATCTAGAGCGATGAAGGACATAGAGGTGGGTGTCATAATATCGCTACTAACAGCACCATGAGACAGCATGCTTCGCCCGTGTGGAAGCAAGTCTTCGCTGGCATTGACGCTCACCCAGTCAGGTGATAGTATCATCAATCTTTGCTCTGTACCAGAAATCGTGTGGTAATGAACCGGATCACACATTGTGACTTCTCCTGCCACTGACAGACCCATGGTTCCTCCCTGTGTCGACTCACGATGCTCCTTCGTTGGACCCGAACATGTCATGGTTGCTCTGGAAGGCTATCGGCCACCACGCCAAATGGATACGACCATCGGCAACTACATCCTGCACCGACTTCCCTGCGTCTCATCATAGCTGCGGATTTGCGGCGTTGTACACCTACTCATTCTCTTCACCATTGATGACGTGCCGGTAAGTGCTAAGACCACCGACACTCGCATGAGGTCGATATACCATGCAGACTCTACAGACACCGGCCATTCGTGGCGTGAGGACACAGGAGCCAGGTACACCTATGGACGGTCGAATATCTGTCTACAATATTGACTTCCTTCGCCACCGAGCACGCTGGATCCGCGATGACCTGGATCCGCGGGTCGCTCGCGAAGGTGGTGACGCTCTCCATGCCGACGAGATACTCAAGTTAGACGAGTTCCTCCGCCGTCTTCGCAACTCAAACAACAGCATCGACGACATCCGAGTGAGCCGTATCCACCTTGCAATACTCAGTATTGCTGGCCATGGCACAAGATGGCCCATCCGGCTGATCGACAGATGTGATGAGCTGAGAGCTGTATGGGAGGTCAAGTATGGGCCTCTAAAGAAATTGGGCATTCTACTATATGAGCAAGGTGGCCGCCTATACGACATCTGCACACCTGAGGATGCGAGCAAAGAAATACTTGTGGCCAAATGGCTGAAGACGCCTGAAGGCACCAAGCTCAGTCCTGTACGGTCATTACGACACGGTGATCTTGGCTTCAAGCCTGGCGAGTATGTATCACAGTCACCTTTCGCAGTACTAGGCAGCTGACCGCATTGCAGCTGGTGGATTAACCCTCTGTTTGCATTCCGCGAAGGCATCATAAATCATAGTGAAGCGAAGGGCGGAACCATTTCAGACTCGATTGGCGCTTACGCCGTCGTTTTGGCTGGCAGTCAAGAAAAGTCGTGCTCCAACGCAAACTCATTCGTCTACCGGCCGAGCAACAATGACAAAGGACGATATAGACTGGCCTCGGGTGCCCCTGAATCACGCCAACCAGTGAGAATACTTCGCAGCCACAACCTGCAGAGCTTTCTAGCACCCAAAGCTGGATTGAGATATGATGGACTGTAAGTATATAGTAAGGTTTCTGATTTTTAGCCAGGATCTTGCTCGCTCAATGTTGCGCAGGCACAAAGTCTCGGGCTGGTCCATCAAACGTGATGCAAAGACCAAAGCAATGGTTTACGACATCCACTTCGTGCGCTTGCCAGACCAGCAGCCAATGGAGGAAGTATTATGTCGACCGTGGACCGAAGAGATCGAGGACTACAAGGAATACAAGCGTCTGCGATTCCTCGTGAGGGACAAGAAAGCCGAGGCAGTAAGATCAGTTGCTGGTGCTCTGTCGACGCTGGCTGGATCAGCAGATGGTGCATGCGACGTGGACGACGTACACACTGAAGCGTCGAGTTCGGGCGATCTGACCGGAGATAGCCTGGCCGCTTTTGAAGTGACACGAGCCAGAGATCGCCGGCCACGACGGGTGTCGAGCTTCGACACCAGGCGTAAGAATTCCGACGACGACTGCGTAAGGTCTGACTCGATGTTCGACTGATGGAGAGGTTACGCTACTGGCCTGAAGCTGACATGGCTACATGAGCTGATCCGAGTAGTAACCCGTACGTTGAGGGCAGGGTACGCCAGGAGCAAGTAGCGCCGCTGTATCGGAGAGAGGAAGAACGCTATAAGGTCGACATCACATTACTCGCCTAGCTTGAGTCACTCATCATAACGATAAAGCTCCTCGTGATCGGAATTTATCACTGCGGCTGTCAGCAGAAGCAGTGCCTCTCGTAATTAGCATTAACGATGTATGTGTCGTGCGCTGTAGCTCATAACGAAGGAGCAATGCCAGTCATCTCCGAAGAGTGATTAGCGGCTTGTTTTGGCAAGACCACAAATAGCTTGGCATCGGCGACCTCTCTCACTTTCCTGCTTCCCAATCTTGCCAATGCTCCCTCTCTCTGTCCGCTTCACTCAAAGCACCCTTAAGAAAGTTCACAATGCCGTTGGGACGGCGCGGTAGACCTGGAACAGTGTAAGACATTTGTCACAACGACGCAGCAGCCGTACCGAACAGCTCCAGCAATTAGACTCCAATGTCGCACCGACCGTCGCCACAGACCGCTCCACTGGACCACATCGGGCAATAGCAGAGCTGCCACAAATTCCAATGAGGTGCCTTGGTGACGTGCAGGCTCTCTGGCTTCTGTATTCTGCGGCGTGACCTCTCCATTAACTGCACTGATCAGCAATGCAGGTCTTCAACACGACCACTTTAGGCCAGATGCTGTATTGCCGGCCAGAACAACAAATGATCGTCACGAGGATGCTTTGGCTAGTCGCACTAACTCACCATGTCACCAGCAGACAGCTATATATATGGGCCAAGGACGACCTCGTGCCAGACACATAGACTCGACGTATCAGCCTCACGATGTTGCAGTTTACCACGCTCTTGCTGAGCACTGCTGCTCTACTACACCCGACCTTCTCACTTCCTACCAGGTCAATACTGTCTTCTCGAGATGTATACACGGCGCCTCGTCTCGTCAACTACGTACAGACCTTCCATGATGTCGCCGGCAACCCACTTTCCTTGATGCCTCTGCTCGACGAGAACACTCAGATCACACACGTCAATATGGCAGCACTACATATCAACGACGATCCCAATGGCATGACTCTCAACGATGTCAACCCAAACTCGACATACTGGGATCCTGTATGGTCGAATGTCACGACGCTTCAGGCAGGTGGGATCAAAGTCCTCATGATGATGGGCGGTGCGGCCGCCGGCAGCTATCCAAGGTTGTGCGGTACCGCTGTCCCAGCAATAATCGTGAGCGCCTATCCCTCCAGTACTGCTATAAGTCTTGCTCACTGTTGCGTGTAGAACGAGAAGTACTATGGCCCGCTTCGAGACACCATCAAGTTCCACAAGCTCGACGGCATGGATCTTGACATCGAAGAGAGTGTTGACATAACATGCGCCCTCGCATTATTGCAACGGCTCGATGCAGACTTTGGTAGCGACTGTGCGTATCATCGGAATGCCATGAATGATAGTACCAGCAGACATAACTAACCCCCCTTCTCAGTCATCCTCACGATGGCCCCAGTAGCTTCAGCCCTCATGCCTGGTGGCCCTGGTCTGAGCGGCTTCGACTACACCAAACTAGACGCCATGGCCACCTCACCAACCCGTCCGAACGGCAAATTAGTAGACTGGTACAACGCCCAGTTCTACAATGGCTGGGGCGATGCAAGCACCCAAGTCAACTACGACGCCATCATCTCCACAGGCGGCTGGTCGCCAGAACGGATAGTGATGGGTGTCCTCGACGACAAGAATGATGGTGGTTCGGGTTTCGTGCCGATCAAGACGCTGATGTCTACTATTATGCAATTGAGGTCGAATTATCCCATGTTTGGGTGTGCGGTGGGGTGGGAGTACTGGGATGCTGGTGTGAACGATGGGTATACTTATCCGTGGCAATGGGTGAAAGAAGTGGCGACGAGTGTCTTTGGGCAGAACAGCGAGCTACCGGTGCAGAATCTGACGAGTTCGCCTGTGCCGAATGCGCCTGCTCCTAACCCAGGTCTTACGCAGACGCTTGTTGACCTAGGCGCTTCTTGGCAGTGGGCTGTCTGGGCGCTTAACGTTACGGATTTCAACCTGCTGGCGGCGGAACAGTTGCTTGGTCTGCCTCTGTGAGACGCTTAGCGAATGCCACCAGATGACTCTCCTAAGAGACGCCTTAATCATATCTTACAGATGTTCAACTTATTTTTGGAGAAGATAGCTTCACCATAACTTGCGCCAGAGACAAATGCAAGCCCCTACTGTGACCGAAATATGCTCAATGGTTCACCTGAAGGCTTGTCGTATTAAAAGGGTGGAACAAGGGTTGACAATGTTCTGAGTGAGGTCGCTGCCTGTGAGTTGAGTTTCATAATTGGCTTGGTATTGCGCGGACCAAAGACTCTAGCATCATCATCCCGTCTGCCAATTCTTGTTCACCTTTGTTTTCATAATCTCATGTTGCCCATGGCGGAATCATTGCACCGCAGACGCTTGCACCCCCAGCCGGACCTTTCAAGCCTTGGAGGCAGCCTTGGCGAGGTCAGCCAACGCCTCGCGACGTTTGTACTTGGCATCCTGAATCACACCTATACATCAAGTCAGCATCCGACAATCCAGCCCACGTACCTCTCATAATGCAGCAGGACATACCAGCGTTAGCATCACTACTAAAGTTACCCGTCCACTCCACATAAGTCGAGCCCTCCGCCTCACCACTCGTGACACTATAGCAGCGAATCGTGCTCAGCACACTCGAATAGGGAAGCTCAGGCTGCGCGGTAATGACGCTGTAGGTGATGTAGTGGTTGATGGTGCTGTGCTCCTCCTGCTTGACCTCCAAGACTGTGCCGTCGCTGAAGCTCCACTTGACGATGTCCGTCTCCTCGCTCGCACCCTTGACGTATTCAGAGGTCTTGACTGCGGTCCAGAATTTGCTAAAGTCCTGCGGCAAGAAGTTAGGGCAGGCTCATGGGAAGATGGGAGTAACCGTTCGAGCGTACCTGGAGTTTGATGAAGTGCCAGACCTTGGACAGAGGAGCGCGGATGACGGCAGACTCTACTACAGAGGTCGAGGTTGGAATGGCGGACGACATGATGTGCCTTTGGTGTGTGATACCTTGTTGTGTGAGTTAAGTTCTGTGCTACTCCGATGGTATGGATGTTTACATCAATGTCATGGTACAGCTTCCGTTTGGCTGGTGAGTTTCTGGCAAAATTATGCCACTCTCACGTCATGCGGGGCGAAGGCGGTGAAAGTGAGAGACAAGATGAACATGAACATGCAAGTGAGCAAACATCTGCTCACACCTCGTCTTCGATTTTGTCATTAGTCTTGATTGCAATCAGCTGATGTGTTGGCCCTCGGATTGTCAAGCTTGGAACGGAACGATGAGCATGGTGTCCAGCGAGGAGAATGTCCAAGCCGTCGTCCGCGAGCTATACACCGCGTACTGGAGTGTTGGGAGATATTGCTCTCGTACCAGTCAACCTATTTAATGCTCACAGAAGCAGAACCGATCCTCATAGAGTTTATCATCCACCTCCGATTGCCAGGCTGACCGCTCCTCCATCAGTTCCGCCCTCAACGTCTTGGCTTCCTCCATATCAATGGGAAAGTCTCCCGAACTCTCGAGAACATGCTCCACCATTTCCGGCGGAAGCTCAGCCATCTTGTCGAGACTCTGCACCATCTCAGTCCACCAGTGCTTCTGTTGTGGTGGTACGGTGGCAGTAGAGGGGACGCGCAGATATGGGTCAACCAGAAATAAGGCCAGGATCTTTCGGTGGCCAGGTCTAGTCTTGTCGTCCAGCTCAAAGGGCTCTACACGATGCTGCATCACGTTCGGGAAGGTGAGCAGTCGTCCTTGCTGAGTCAATACACTGCCAAGCCGTTGCTCCGGCGGACCTTCATTCTCGATATCGTACAGAATCTCGTGATGTTGAAATTCGCTCTGTTCGTAGCTCCAGACATCGAAATCAGTGCTCAAGCTTTCTCGGAACGCCAGGTGGCTGTCCGTGATATTATCACAATCGTAGTAGTAGAGTGCTGTGGCGCAGATATGCTCGTTCATCTGTCCTTCCACGTGCCATGAGCCACCGGCATACTTTGGTTTCTCTGGCGTCAAGACTATGTTGGCAAGCTTGACAATGAATTGCAGTCCTTGGGAGGCGGAATCTCGTTGCAGGTCAAGCTTCTTGAAGACATCCGCAGGGTTGCGAGCCCGCCCTGAATATGTAGCGGGAGAAGGGCACGATGGAGCACTAGAAGCGTCACGCCAGTTGTCCATTTCTGCATCAAATCTTTCGTAGGCGTCGTCTCCCTCGTCGTCGTTTTCGTCTGCCTCAAAGTCCTCCAGTTTGGGCTTAGCTGGAGTCCACTCGATATCTTCGCCACTGCCCACGCTTATCCTGGGCGATCTATCAGTCTCCCGAGTGCTCACAAGAGTCGCGCTCAGCATCGGTAGACATCTTGTCATGACTTGCTCTATGGCTTCGTAAAGATCGGTATGCGGTTCGGGGAGCAAGTTGTTGATATAGCTCGTTATTTTCGCATGTCCCTCCTCTCCCACGGCTACTTCGCAAGGCAGCCATTGAAACCTATCCGAGAAATATCCTGACTCGTAGGGGTAGTAGAACGAGCCAAGATCTCGACCCTTCTCTACATCATCAGGTCCCGCAATAGGCGAGCCAAGTCCTGTGTAATATACAATGTCTTGCAGAGATGTGATCGGCTCTTTCATGACCGGTGTTCGGCCGTATACCAAAGGAAACAGCGAGGGATGCACAAGGTCAAGCACTGTGTTATCCGAGCCTGGATGCCAGTCTGGGTTTGATGCCTGAGAATCTTCCAATTTTGCACCAGCTCCAAGTAATGCTTGACGAAGCTCATTAGACACAAGGGTGTCCGACTTGTAGATGGTCGCGGTTGCATCAAGTCCCGGAAGGAATTCATGCTCCGCCGAGTGTTTCGCATAATCTGCGAGTTCGGCCATGCACTGCTAATAATCAGCTCTGGAAATATCAAAGTAGAGCTAGAGAGAACGCCAGAACACACATGATCGAAGGCTTCCGGTGGAAATATGAAAGTATCAGCTCCGTCATGGGATGTCTAGCGAATGTGTTAATATGCACTGGGACAGTGTCTTGTGCGGATCTAGCCACTCACATGCGGCATGCCGTCAAGCTCCTTTCGCCATTTCTCACGAATGGTCGAATCCTGAATCTTCCGCTGCCAGTCGGCTTTGTCGGTGATCGAACCCATGAAGGCGACCATTTGGCGTTCTGCCACTGTGAGCGGCACCCCTTGCCAGTCTTGGATCGCTGTGGGAAATGGCTCAATTCTTCTGACTTCCACGGGCACGACATCGTCGGTCATCTGGGTATCGGATGCGTCCTTATTGTCAGACATGGTGGAGAAACCAGATCGGCGGCATGAGGGATTGAACTGCTTCAGGTGAATGTTGAGAAAAGGTGGGTTTGCTTTCGATGGAATCAAGCTGCAGTGATTACACCTTAAATAGGTCCTTGTAGTGGTGAAGATCTTGAACATAAGAGAAAGGTGTACTTGTACCAATGCCCAGCTTGGGTGTAGCTACCATAATCGCCAGGCAGATGAAGTGAATGGTTGGATTGGAGGTTGCAGTTGCCTTGCGGTCGGAGGCGTTCTCAGGCAGACACGCGTCCGTGCCTCTTCTTCGGGATATTTCGAAGTGGTCTCGTGATGCAATGACCGTGCATTCACGCACGCCATCAATGTACCAGAATGCGCGACATTTGACACATAAGAATATAAGTAAAGTATCCCTGGACATACCTCGATACATCATAATATCTATCGCTCTACCTCTCCCTCTACACCATTTCCATCCATGGCACCTCGTACACCCAAAGACCAAACAGGCCTTAAAACTCATGCGATCTATGTGCGTACTGTAGTGGGTATCAGCAAGATCGCTCCAACGCTAATGTGCAGAAACAGGCTCAAGCCAAAGAAGGAATCGAAGCGCTAATACGCGGCAACAAGCAATCAAAATAAACCATCCCGCCCCAAAACCAAAAGACCATAATCATAACGCCAGGTTCGTGAAAACGTCAAAGGGTATCGGCGACGACGTCGTACCCATCAAGCGGATCGCCGCCGCGTATTGTGGTTGGTTGATGTGGAGTCTAGAAGGTACTCCACACCATGCCACCCTCCGACCTTGCCATACTGCCAACCCGCATATCATCTGCAAATCGACCAGATTGTGGAATTGCCAGTGCCGGAACAGCAGTGCCCTGTGAGCTGGTCTGAGACTCGGCGATGCTACCTGTGCGGGAGTGCCGAAGCCTCTTGACAGTAGCCCATTCCTGCCAGCAGACGTCGCAGGCCTTGCTCGAGACACCATCAGGATGAAGTCGAGCATTCTGGTCTAGTGGTACCTTCTTGGAAATATGGTTGTCGCAAACAACGTCCCCGCATCGCCGACAATGATGTCGTCGGAAAAACCATGTGAAGGTCTCGTGACAGATCACACAGTCCAGTGCCGAAACATCTGGCTTCCAGTGTGCGGTTGTGGGTGGCCCTGTCACATCACCCAACTCTTCATCAATCAAGTCGCTTGCAGCTCTGCTCAGACCACGTCGCAAAGCATCGACGTCGCTTGTGAAGGACCCTGTCATGGGTGATGCTACGCTGTCTACCGCTGGAGACAATGCTCCGAACTTGGCGCTGTCGAAGCTGTTCTCTTTACTTGGTGGTGGTGTATCGGGTGCTCGTACCCGGACTGGAATGTCGGTCGGCCGTGTCAAGTGATCAGTTGGTCGAAGAGCAGCGGGAATATACATCGGCATGCGTGGCTGGCGCAGTTGTCGAACATTCAGGTGCGACGAGTGCAGATTGGTGGGCGAGATGCCTGCCGAAGGAGGTGTGGACGAGTCTGGACTCGCATAGTTGCTCTTCCCATAGAGGTAGGCCTCTGGTGGTGAAGGCTCGGTTTTGTTATTGATATAATATGTGCTGTTCACAGGTGGTTGGTATGTCATGGTTGCCATCCTCTCCGATCGTGCGCGCAACGTCTAAGGCGTAAGAGATAGCATCGGATGTTTTAGTGATATTGAAGAGGTTGTCGAATGAGAAGTCAGACTGCTTGTCAAGTCGACCAGCACCGGCTCAGATGGTAAGCAGTCTGCGCGACTTTTACTCTTGCGATGTTTCAGACTTATCGAGGCGGTCTGAGTGATCCTGGCCGTTGGTAACAAGGAGATCTTCCGAAGAACGGTACTGTAGGATGTGGGAACGACCCAATTGGCTCCTCCTGCAATGAGACGCGCAAAGATATTGATAACTGATAACAGATGCCGGTAGTCCAGTTAGAACGTCCGTGGCACCCGGCAGTGTGATTGTGAAGGAATGGACGTGCAGAAGGGTTGCTTTCAACTATGTACGGTCAGGGTGGGAAGATGGGTGTGCAGGTGGGCGCCGGTATACATAAACGCTGTCGCATAGCGGCGCCCCTGCACACCATGTAGCGGCGGGCACGAAGAACAGTGAACTTTGGGGTTGAGCCGGCCCACATTCACGAGAGCCGTTAGAGTTGACCGCCTGGAACGTGCTTTTCGTCAGGGACTAGGACCGTCATGGCAATTCGTCGCATGCGTCTGCAAGAAGCGCGCCACCATCTTGTCAGGTCTGCGTTGTTACGACGGCATATCCGTGCGAGGTAGATTGCGCTGTCATCTGCAATACATCTTTCGCGGTACGCATCCTGTTGTGCGCCTCAGCAAATCTCACTACAAGATTTCAAAATCGTCTGCTCGCCTTCTGTTACTTCACGAAAGAGGATCGACCCAAAAGACAAGCAGTCTTATCTCTGACCAATCACCGCTCAGTCAAAGCGCCTGTAGTAATATGCTAGCGCGGACTGTCAGCGGTAGATTCATTTCTTGCATGTCTAGCGCGGATGGCCACGGCTTAATATGGCGTAACTCCAGAGATCAAGACGATGCATTCCCGGCGTGTAGGTCGAAATGAACCGACACACGACACTGGAACATGTGGTCGTGTGCTTCGCTGTATGAGAGTGCTTTGCGACACTTCTTGCAGACAGATGGATGTATTGCGGCGTCGCGAAGATCGCCAAAGCAGCGAATCCACCGACCTCTCAACACGATCAGGGTCACCCATCACTCAGCCCACTTCGTACACTACCATTGACACTACCGAGCTGTGTCCGAGGCTCTACCTTACCGGCCAAGACGTGTACACGGATCGTGCCTTGCGAATGTGATCGAGACGCGAAGGTGATGCACCTCATATGATCCCGTCGACAGTAATTTGGAAATGCAGGTATGCAGTGTGCCATGTGAAGGGCAGATTTCGCACGCGAGCTGGGGATAAATTGTTCGGATCAAGGGCTTTGCGTGACTTGGCCCGGCAAGGCTGGTGTCGGTAGATTGGGGGTCGATGGTGTATGAAGTCGTCTCGCATTGTTTTCATGCCATCGGGGATGCTGTAACAAGACGACCATCTAATTCTCGTAGACCCTATCTCTGATGCGCTCATCAGAGAGTTTGTAGGCAGAATCGCCGCGACAGCAATTGCGGAGCGTGTGAAGTCGATCATGCTTTTGCGGAGAGCAAGGATCTACATCCCCGAGTGAGATAGCTTTGGAGCAACTTCACCTTTCCCAGTTTTGCCGCTGCAACATCATCAAGCGACCTGCATAATAGCTAAGCTATCACTTGCTCGCATTTTCAGGTGAACCATGGATGTCCGTTCGGTGTGATTCAGCCGTCGTCACAGGAGAGACTGTTCGTGCAATGGCTGCTATGGCAGAGCATGTACGACAGATACCAAGTCCGCTGCCAGCTCCGCCGGAACACGATGTCCTCACGGCCACCCAATGGGGCGTCCTGACCGCCATTGCGGATACCGTGATACCCTCCTTGACGCCGCTAGAGGGAAACAGGTTGTTGAAGCACCCTTTACGGAAGGAAATCTACGAAGCTAGCTGCAGACGTCTGGAGCAGCAGTGCATCTCATCAAGCCACCACAATCTAGCTGCCGGCTATCTCCAGGAGCTGGCTACTACACAATCGGAGTTCAGAGATGGCATCCGCAGGCTCATCAATATTCACCTGCCGGAGGATGCTCGGAAACAGCTTTTATTTATACTGACCACGCTGAGGTACGTTATAGTCAGGTCACTTGTGGTACTCTAGCATGCGGCAAGTCATGCATGTTTTCGTGTTCTCGGCTTGGTGCAGCATCCATACATTGTATTCTAGCCCTATGAACTTCGCATAGGCGTACCAGCCTCATTTATCACAGTCTACACGCCGTAGCTGTGTAAAAGAGCGCACATGATCCAGAGCAGACCGCGCTGATGACCGCGCTGATCGTCAAAGACATCCTTTACGATCCTGGCAGCTGACTGTCCCATAGTTCTCGAGCGGGCGCACTACTACTCACTGGCTATACGTCTCCGATCGACTGCCTGCCAGTACAGACACGGGAGCAGATACTGCTGGCATGGGCGAATGCACGCTTGCCGCTTTTCCGACAACTACACTCGTCTTTGACATCGCTGGTGAAGCTTTTGTGGGTGCGCACATCACCAACATTGGCCCGTGTGCTCAGCTTTCCACGCACGCCTGTGCACGATGTTCTACCAGAGTCACCATTCGCATTTGGATTCTTGCAGATTCCATCGAGCAGTGATGAGCCCGAGGTAGTCGAGGCGGATGTCGTTATTGTGGGAAGTGGATGTGGAGGTGCTGTCGCTGCCAAGACCCTTGCGGAGGCCGGACTCAAGGTCATGGTAATTGATAAGGGCTACTACTGGCCACCGCAGCACTTGCCCATGTCTGAGTATGAGGGTCCTGGGCACCTCTTCGCTAACGGCGGTGCGCTCCAAAGTGATGACTCGAGCATAGCGGTTGTGGCAGGAAGTGTCTGGGGTGGCGGTGGAACTGTGAACTGGAGTGCCTCCTTGCAGACGCAGGGCTATGTGCGCAGAGAGTGGTCACAGAAGTTTGGGCTCTCTCACTTCACGAGCTCAGCCTATCAAGCTGACATGGATATGGTATGCGAGCGAATGGGTGTAGGTACCGCAGCGATCGAGCACAACAAGACCAACCAAACACTGCTCGACGGTTCTCGTAAGCTCGGCTGGAGTGCAAAGGTCGTGCCACAAAACACCCGTGGTAAGGCTCACAATTGTGGATACTGTACTCTGGGCTGTGGGAGCTGCGGCAAGCAAGGTCCTAGCGAGACGTTCCTGCCCGATGCTGCCAAAGCTGGTGCCACGTTCATGGAAGGGTTCGAGGTGCATGAACTTTTGTTCGAAGGCACTTCAACGAGCGACAGAGTCGTGGCTGGAGTCAAAGGCGTCTGGATGGCGCGAGATGGCAACGGAGGTGTCGCTGCGAAGGGGCGAGTTGCACGGCCCGTGATCATTAAAGCACCACGAGTGATATGTTCTGGTGGCTCGATAGCTACACCAATTCTCCTGCGCAACTCTGGCCTCTCGAATCCTCACATAGGTCGACACTTACATCTTCACCCTGTCACTTTCGTCGGAGCTGTCTGGGACGAAGATGTGCGGCCATGGGAAGGACCGATCTTGACGAGTGTGGTCAATGAATTTGAGAACCTCGACGGCGAAGGCTACGGCGTCAAACTTGAGGCGGAGACCATGCTCCCCAGCTTCTGGCTGCCTTTCCTGCCATGACGAGGAGGTCTTCAGTATAAGGAGCTTGCAGCCAACATGAAACGCATGACTGGCTACATCAGCTTGGCTCGTGATAGATATGGAGGCCGAGTATATCCTGACCCGAAGGAGCCTCAACGAACCAGGATCCAGTATCACCCAAGCAAATACGACCAGGCACATATCCTCGAAGGCGTGATCCATTTGGCTGAGCTACTGTACGTCGAGGGTGCTCGCGAGATCTTCACCTGCAATCCACAGCTCGAGTACTTCGTGCGGCCGACGTCCGACCCCGTTGCGAAGGTCAACGTGGCAGGCATAAATTCACCATCACTGAACGACTCCGAATTCCAAGCATGGCTCACCAAGCTTCGCAAAATCGGGCTGACGAGTCCCGATACACCATTCGCTTCTGCACATCAGATGGGTAGTTGTCGTATGGGCACTTTGCCGAGCAACAGTGTTGTTGATCCGAAGGGCAGAGTCTGGGGAACGAAAGGTTTGTACGTCTGCGATGCTAGTGTGCTACCCTCGGCTAGTGGTGTCAATCCCATGATTACTACTATGGGCATCAGTCGGGGCATTGCGCGAGGTATAGCAGAAGATGCTGGGTATGCGAGCAAGACTGTGGGGCTGTCCAGACTATGAATGGAGCACTGACAGCGGTCGCATCTCTGATGCTGAGCTGTATGGAGTAGCACACGTTCCTTGCACTTTGTAGCCAACCGTAGCGGAACGATAAACGATGCTTAGGAGCCGCTTTATTTGAGCTATTCTCCAACATAATCTTTTGAGCATATCTTGGTTTTGGGTATGCGTCTGATGCTGCAAACGTACGTGTCAGATGCTTACATTTTGCTACAGCGATGGGGCGAGAGCTGCTCAGAAGTCCCACTATGCACTTGAGGAAGCACACGACTTGCATGGTGGCGCAGCATAGATAATTCAGCCTTTCGGCGCGACGATGTAAGATGGCTTCGAAGTGTAGCCTACTATAGCGCCGTGCAGCAGGTCAAAAGAAGAGGTCGATTCATTACGACATCACCGAAGCGACATGCGGCTGCTCAATACCACGACCTTGAAGCTGCAGGAGTCCTTCCAGCCGCCTCCGTATGTGATACTGACACATCGATGGAGCGACGAAGACGCAGCTACGAGGACTTCATTCTGGCCAGGAGGGATCTCGACCAATTACCATCGTACCTCGTCGAAGAAGCGGCCGAGATCAGGGAGCGTAGAGGCTACCGCAAAATCATCGACTTCGCGGCCAAAGCGAAAGAACATCTGCACTGGGGGACAGGAACACCGTTTGAATGGTGCTGGCTAGATACTTGCTGTATTGACAAGCGAAGTAGCTCCGAGCTGTCTGAAGACATTAACTCTATGTGGAAGTGGTACAATAACTGTGGGTTCTGCGTAGTGTACCTCGAGGATGTCTCTTCTTCGCAAGTTATGTTACAGAGTGGCGAATACCTCAAGGACTGTAGCTGGTTCGGCCGTGGCTGGACTTTACAGGAGCTGCTAGCACCTCAGAAATTGAGCTTCTTTGATAAAGAATGGGTTGCTCTCTTATCGGTCTACAAAGCTGCACATCACGAAGAAGGGACGCATTGGTGCTGGTGGTCGAAAGATGGATATTCTGCGGCGAAGACATTGGCAACAGCCGCACGTATCCCTGAAAGTATGCTGGCACGCGGTCGGATAGATGTTTCCGACGCCTGTGTGGCTCAGAAGATGAGCTGGGCTGCCCATCGACGTGCTACCAGAGACGAAGACGTGGCCTACAGTCTCCTTAGCCTGTTGGGTATCAATATGCCGCTCCTGTATGGTGAAGGTAGCAGAGCTTTTCTGCGCTTGCAACAAGAAATTCTGAGGTACATCGACGATAGCTCGATATTTGCCTGGCAACTCACTGATGATGAGCCTACTCTTGTACGGACAGCTTGCCCTCACTATCTGTGCGAGTCAACGAGTCTGCTGGCAAGTAGCCCACTTCTCTTCCAGGATGCTGGTATGATCAACAAGGACTCACGGTCAGCTTTCCGTATTCACACTACAAACAGTGCAGTATACGTGGATGTTGAAGCTCCCGTGCGAAGGATTGTTCAATCCATGGATAGAGTTCGTGGAATTTCGGATCGCATCCCATGGTATGTGCTTGAGCTGGGCTATTACATGGATGATACTGCTACCTCGCGGACTCGTGCTCCTTGTAGAATCATCCTCTGGAGAGATTCGTCAAATGGTTCAGAGACCGAGACCTACATGGCAGGCAGGCTGTCTTGCTGCACCTCCGCCTTTGAGAAGATCGACTTGGGTGGGCGCCAAGAAGAAATTACAGACTCGATCGAACGAAGGATGAGGTTTCGTATACCCATTGGCTACGATGATGATCAGCTCGACGGGTTGAACACTGGATCAAGACAGCTCGGTTGCGCCAATGCGAAGCCGCCAAAGCAAGATGTGGCAGATGTTAATTCGATAGCTGACACATCGGCGAGGCCAATGCGGGGTACTGCGATAGTAATATCGGAGACTGCACCTTCGATCAGCTCCTTCACGGTATCGGCTTGCAGCGTTGATATCGCCGCCCTCAAAGTACCCATCGAGGAAGAGCCTGCGACTCCGGATAGGCCGCGATCATTGTTTCGTAATCCGTGGCAGAGTGTGACTGCCATTGAGCGATTGCGTGGTCTTGTGGGTATTGGCACGAAGCGCCTCGGATGATGCGTAGGCCGATGTCAGAAAGCCAACGTCAGCTAGAGGCACAACGCTGAGCCAGGCCTTGACCCGCGGGGCCATAACCTATGGTCATCGTCTGGAAACTTGACATTGCCCAGCGCCACGAATAATGTATGCCTTTTGTATCGAAACGTAGGCGCGATCCTCGAGTCAGGCAGGTGTTGTCGAAGAGGAAGGTATGTCTAGTCCATATTCAGGTGTGTTGGCTGCTATAATCTATGAGACCGGACGTTGTGATGAGATAGGAGAGAGGTACAGGGTGACCGTCACACAGATGAACGAGTAGCTATTCGTGAGAGACACTGTCGAGATAGGAAGTGTATAGATAGAAGAGTGTGTTGTCGAATTTCGGCTTCCGGAGGAAATCTTGACATTCACTAGTTCTAGCCTGCCACTGAGCCGAACCTCTCAAAGACAGCTTTCGGGTCCTTCTCTGAGCACATTTCTGATCAGATGCATCACCATCACCAATATGTTCCGAAGACGTCCTAACCATATCGCCCGTCACTCATACGGCAATTCTGTCAGTCGCTCCTGGTACAGGCTCCAGGGTGTAGGAACAGACTGAGCTCGGAAGTCCGTTCGGTCGGCGACCTTCTACACTCCGTGTGTCGGATGTCCGTCTGCATTTCTGAGGGACAACGACATCGGACTTCCGAGCAGAAATCGCACGTCCATTAGCTTGACGAAGTCGACTGACCTATGAGCATCAGCAGTCGGGGCACTGGGAACAATGTTGGCCTCTGTTCTTCGGTCACCACGCGACATTCCCTCTACGTTCCGAACTGACAATGGTCTGATTCTGCAGACGGATCAATATTCGGACCAACCATAGTATCAGAACGAACACGTGATGGGCATATTTTGTGCCTTTCACTCTGCAGTTGATCCGACCTGGAATGTGGCGTTCGGCCTGGAGTGCAACTCATGGTTTGGGTTATGCTTTTGAAATGCCCCGAATGTGTTTCTGGACACCGAGGATTCATATGTCGGAATCCGAGAAATTTGACATTGCCTAGTCTGCAGCCGCGGACCAACGAATCACATCTATCGATCCTGCACTTATGCAAGAACCGAGGCTCGGGTCGTTTCGAGCCTCAGGGGTACGCTCAGAAAATACTTCTGGAACACCGAACATACACATGTCAAGACCCAAAGCATTGGAAGTTCACTAGTCTGCTCTGCTCCTCTGGCCTATCATGTATCCGCCACTATGCTCATGGCCCCGAGCTATAGACACTCCGACATAGCGATGGGCCCGGCCGTGGGATAGGATGTTTCGACAGCGTACAATGTCCCGGCAGGCTGTACGGCGACTAGTTTGCTCATAGGCCTTAGTCTGTTACACTTCCGCGACTTTACTACACTGGCCCGAGATCATCTGCAGCTCGCATTGCAGCCCGAACTCGGGGCATTATATAAAATCGTATGTGTCCTGACAATCAGCAGTCCACGACAATGGCCCGAAACCGTGCACCTAGACTATTCCGCTTCATGGTCAATCGCAGAAGTCGCGACCTGATGCATAGAGCCAGACTGTGCATGGCTCGGATACTGAGCAGGGATTCGGGCCATCACGGAAGTTCGCATATACCCCAACGACAGATACACCGACCATCCGAAAACCTGTACGTGAACTAGTTTACCCTTCTACTGTGGCCTATCAGGCTCTCAAGGCTCTCCAATAGGCACGTACATCGTGTACACTTTGTGCTCCTAGCAAGATTCGGAGCCATCTGGAAGTGCATATATTGCCGTTAGCGACGATGGCCTATGACATGCAGCAGCTGGCAGAAGACTTGCAAATGATATTAACACATGAGGACGATTATGGCCGTCTGCCAAATCTCATCACACCAAACGCTCCAGGGCATGCAATATATGAACGAAGGTTGATTTGTGCCATCCGCGTAAGATCATAGAGTTCGAGTTGTGAAGTGGTAGGACAACACGAGCATTGTCATCCTTGACGCTTCGCGGCGAGCCGATCTATACACAACATACTATGCAGAATCTCGTGAGGTTAAGAACATGGCCTGTCCGCTTGTGCTGCTTGCAGTGCAGGCGCTGCCACGTCAGGGCAGCATATACCTTGTGCAGAGCAAGTGCTGGAATGCTGATATGGATGAGCTGTTATGATGAGCTGTTCGTCATCATTGTCTTCCACCAGTCCGCAATCTGCGATGAACTATTACCGATACCTTCAGCGGTTGATAGCTAAAAGGACAGAGTCGCGATATTACACGAAGCTGCCATTGTACAACTTATCCTTTGGCAGTCTATCAGAAATGGACCCTCTGAGGAGTTCTGAGACCTCGAGTCTAGCTGAGAGCACTTCGCGGACTTCAATGATACTTCTGCACGAAGACGATAAGGATCTCGAATCGCTTGCAGATCTCAGCTCCACGAGCTCACAATGGTCTGCCTGTTGTGCAGACGCAGAAGCGAATCTTCATCGATGCGAGGCACTTGCGCTCGAGAACAAGCTGCTGCACGCGAACATCACAATCATCGAGTCTGCGAATGAGGAATTGTCCACAAAAGTCCTAGACCTAGAGAGCAGCAGAGTGCTTGACCAGACCCATTTCGAATTGCTCGCTGAAAAGTGCGTGACGTTAGGCTTGGAGCAGGCAGGCCAAGAAGACCAGATCGTAAGGTTGAGCACAGAACTGCAAGATGCTTCCAGAGATTTTGAGATCGAAGTCGATGAGCTCAGGATGCAGATCGTTGAGCTCCAGTACAATCTACAACAGGAGAAAGAGGTAAGGCATACGTCGTTCGTGCGAGCATCGGCCACATGACACAATCAAGACTCCTTCTTAGTTTGCTTGCCAGTCTTCCCGTTGTCATTCCGAGCTCAAACTCCACCATACTGATGTCACGAATCGCAGGCGAAGGAGAAGTTGCAAATCGACTACTTGAGGATGTGCCAAGCGGATGCTATGCCCCGAACGACTAGAATACCACTCAGCCCATCAGGACCGTCTGCCCCACAGGATGAAACATCTGTCGACGCTCCCAGAAGCGGCGAGGAGCAGACAATTCGCGAAAGTGCAAAGATGGCGCAGCTTGCGAATGTGCCACTCAAGACCTATGGACGACTGTTTCCTATTCGTCTCCACATCGGCCTGAATCGTTCCTGAACGTGACGGCGACTTATTTTGATGGGCTGGACATAACGGCATCTGACCTCCAGCATCAACTCTTGGGCGCTTCACATGATTGGGCTCGGGAGGATCGCTTTTCTGGCTGGGCGGTTCCTCTTGCTGTTCATATTAGGTTACTGACTGCTCTCTGTACACTGCTACACTTCCGGGATGTGGTGCGCTACCGTCGCCTGGTGCTCTCCTCTCTGCGCTATGATTGAACTGGCTTCTGCGGGTCCTCGATCAATTGGTGGAGCGGAGCGGATGCTGGTGGTGGCAGCTGCTTCTCCACATGTACTGCAACAAGCAATAAACGAGATGTTATGGAGTCTCGGAATCAAGAATATGGAGCAGGCTAAACCCCGAAAGAAGGGTATCCTCCGCGAGCGATCGTTGTCTGCGCATGTACAACATTTCGACAGTGCTAGATTGTTAGGTACGACGGTACATAGTGTGAGAGCCGCGGATCAATGTTGGTTGCTATACATGTTGATACAGCTTTGATAGGCATCTGGTCGATTGCTTATGGGTGTCGATGGTGAGGTACATATCCTCGGTTGAAATCAGCTATGTATTTGCAAGACATTCTGCATCGTGTGATCTGAGTGTACTCTTTGACCTAGAAGCCGCAAGAGATGATGAGTTGGAGGTAGAATCCAAACATCAGGGCATGCATGGCATAAACGTTTACATACTGCACATTCTACCATGCGGGTATCACTTCGGCCCATACCAATCATGCTTCGTCAGACCTCCATGAGCAGGCTCCACACCAGAACCATCCCCGACACCGACGCCTGTGCCTGTCGTACCACGACCACCTTCAAGACTAGCGCTCGTACCAGCTGCATGACCATGAGGATGGATCTGCGACGCCCCATCTGTGCCACCTACACCGGTGCCTTTGCTCATGTCCATGGGCAAGCCTGTGTTTGGCTCGTTGACCGTCTGGCCAGTGCCTGCTGTATTCGAGCCGTGGCTGTGGCCAGGAGTATCATGCTGACCCATCGCACCGGTTCCAGAGGCAAGACCTGCACCAGTACCAGCACCAAGAGCAGATCCAGTAGAGCCAGGACCGTGAATCTGTGATGCTCCATCGGTACCACCCTCACCAGTGCCCTTGCTCATATCCATAGGCAGTCCAGTGTACTTCTCATGCGCCACGTTGCTTTGCCCGGTACCATGCTCACCAGTACCATGCTGTTTCTCCCAAGACGATTGCGCGCCAGCTGTAGCACCAGCAGCGGTCGTGCCAGCAACAGGAGCATGCTCCCTTCCTCTCTCGGGCTCCTCGTGACTCTTCGAGCCACCAGGGTGTAAGAGCTTATGCAAGAAACTCTCCTTCTTTTCACCACTCCCATGATCGCCTCCATGCTTAGCCTCCTTCTCCCTAGCCTTCTCCAAGTCCTTCTCGTGTTTCTCAACTTGATGAGGTGTCTTTTCTAGCTTGCCGTGGTGAGAATCATGCGAAGCTTCGTATGCACCGACACCAGCTGCACCTGCGCCGCCTGCAAGAGCGGCGTCTCTACCTGTGTGGTGTGGTTCATCGTGCTTCACAGTCTGGGAGCCAGTACCAGTCTGGTTGTCATGGTGTTTGAGGGCTTCATAACCGCCTACACCCGCGGCTCCTGCACCAGCGCCAAGTGCTGTATCGCGGCCGAGATGGCTCTCGCGCGGCTGCTGAGAGGACAGGCCAGATGTATGACCAACAGGAGCTGACTCGTGCTCACGGTTGTGAAGAGCGCTTGCGCCGCCAGGACCAGCTGCGCCAGCGCCACCACCCACAGCTGCGTCGCGGATTGGGTGAGATGCACCAGGACGAGTCGAATCTGCAATAGGCTGACTGCTTGAGAGACCTCCTGGGCCGTGTATAGCTGGGTTCGCATCCGTTCCACCTTCTATAGTGCCCTTACTCATGTCCATGAGCAAGCCAGTATGCTGCTCCTGTACCCTGCCACCCTGTCGATCGTGATCCTTGATTGCTTCATAGCCAGCTAAACCACCAGCACCAGTGCCTGCCGCAATACCAGCGTCTCTTCCTAGGTGATGCGGTTGCGACTGCGAGGACGCCGACGGTGCCTGAGCGCGCTGAGCTTCGTAGGCGGTCAACTTCGGCTCACCCGTAACGCCGCCGGCGATAGGCACGTTCCTGTTGTGGGGTTGATGATCGTGATGGTGATGCGGCTGAGACGTAGACAAGGAAGATGCTGGATCCACAGCCCGCTGCTGAGACACAGGAGCATGACGATCGTGGTCTCCGAGAGCTTCGTACCCAGCAAGACCTGCTGTTCCCGCTCCTGCTCCAAGAGCTGCATCTCGGCCGTAGTGATGCTCTGGTTCGCGCTGGCCGCCCAGCACACCACCTTGAGTACCAGACGTACTGTGTGGGACAGTGTTGGTAGTAGCCGAGATGGGACCACTATGTCCAGTCGCCACACCGCCGAGAGCAGCATCACGGCCGACGTTACTGTGCCTATCTAGACCAGAGTCATCCGGAAACTCGCCAGGCACATGCGGGTCAAGCCTGTTAGCTGTGTCCGTCGCATGAGGACCGTGTGCATGATGGACGTAGCCTTCGTGAGGTCTCTCGTCTGAGTGATGATAGCCGAAGGTGTCGCCAGCAATGTCGGCAGAACGAGAGGAAGATAGAGGAGCCCCTGTACTGCTGCCCAGACCTGATGTGATACCAGGACCAGCTGAATTGAGTCCTCCTGCTGTGCTTCTGTCGTCATGACCAAGCCTGTCACCCTCGTGGTGGCCAAGAGCTCCCGCGCCCAGAGCTCCCGCGCCTACAATGCCAGCATCGCGCCCGAGGTGAGACTGATCTGACGTGCCATGATTTCCTGACAATGTGTCAAGGGCGCCGTGTCGAGACGTTGGGTCTGTTGCCGAAGACGTCCCATGAGTAGGTCGATCTGTCTCATGATGGGCAAGGGCGCCAGCACCAAGTGCACCAGCTCCGACGATGCCAGCATCACGGCCGAGATGTGACTGGTCGGTGTTGCCGGGCTGTCCACGCATCGTCTCCTCAATACCGTGCCTCTCAGTAGGTCTAGTAGACGAGGACGTAGCTCCGCCACTCAACGGGAAGGAACGTCCGTGCTCACCAGTCGTGGTCGAAGAGGTCGGGTGCGTAGCAGCAGCGCCAACACCAGCCAAGCCAGCCGCGGCAGGGATGTCCCGACTTCGGTCTGGCAAGGTAGATGTACCTGTGGTAGAGGAAGTCGGCTCCGTGCCTGGAAGCATCTTGTCAGCCTTGTTCGAGGCGTACGGACCCGGCATGCCTGATGCAACTGTTTCCGAGCTCACAGTCCTCAACGGCACTCCTTGGTCTGCACCAGGACGAAGGGAGGAGGTTTCCGTACCCGGAATGGTCTTGCCTGTTACGCCATAGCGCTGCTCGTCGTATTTGTCTCCACCTGGGTTGCTGTAGGAGTTCTCAGCAGGTATTACTGACGCATCGATGCTTAGATCGTACTTACAGTACCTGCCTTAGTATTGACTGCTTGTCCTCCGCGGCTGGGAGTGGCTCGATTTGTGGTGCAGACGATGGGCTGACAGTGGTTGCTGATGGGACCCCGAAGGGCCTATCCGCTTGAGCTGTCGAGCCATAGCGGACGGGGTCGTACTTCTCGCCGTCAGGGTTTCTATCACGCGTCAGCTTTGTCTAGCCTCCACTCTCGAGTAACCACCCACAAGATCTGCCTGGAGACATCCTTGCTATCCGTCTCGTGGGCAGGATGAGTCTGCAGAGCACTTCCAGATCCAAGCTTGGGCGCATTGGGGTCATTGACCGCATGTGCAGTCGTACCATAAGCCTGCTCATCGTACTTCTCACCACCCGGATTGCTATTGACTCATCAGACGTGGTCCAGACTCTGCCTATGTCCAGCATCGAACTTACAGTATCTGCCTCAGAATGCCAGATTCCTTCTTCTCCTCGCCAGGATCTGTCCTGACTTGATCCGGAAGGTTAACATGGCCAGGATTCTGTGCAGCAGCGTCCGATCCCAAACCACTGGACCCAACACCAGACGATCCAGTACCAGTCGCACCGGCACCACTTGAGCCTTCTGGCTTGGCGTACTTTGCTTCGTCGTGGTGAGATCCACCCGGCTTCAGTATGCTCATGATTTTCTCCATCTTGGCAATGTTTTAGCTATACAGAACAGCAAAGACACCAGAGTAGACAGTAAAGACTGAAACAATTTATAGCTGCAGCTCCAACATGTTGATCTGGAGCGGGGCGTGACAGTCCAGACGTCATCGCTTCTACAAGCTCACCTTCTACACCTACCTTTCAGAACGCCATTGCGGGATGGTGCATCGATATAACGCGTGCGAGTGGCCAGCCTGGAGACCGCGTGGTGTCAGGTGCAGGAAGCTTTGCCACATCTGTATGCGCGTGGCGGTGCGTGCGACGCTACAGGCGGCTTCGGACACCTTAAGCAGGCTTTTGCAGGGCTACCAGACCGCATAGATGCAGCTTGGAGAGGACACCAGTGGTCCAGTGGCTCGCTCATGCGCCAATGCGTGGTGAAGGTGGATTGTGAAAAGCAAAAGACGGGCCAGAATCGCTAGATCTCCCCCCACATGACGCACCTTGTAGGCGATCCTTGGCACGTCGATCTGACTATCTTATGATTGCAGCTGCCTTTGTCTGTATCCCGTAGCTTCACCTGTGTATCTCCTCGAGCATGGTATCAGGTGATAGAATCGCATCTGGTCTACGCCTAGTCACCGTCCAAACCAGCCTGCTCTTGTTGGCCCCAGGTCCAACATACCAGGCATGGTGAAGAGCACAGACAGGTCCAGACTGTTTTTGAAAGACGGCGTTGCTCAGCCGCACGAGAAGGGCTTCTCAGAAGCAATGGTTGCCTGAGTAGACTCAGGTTCAGCAACTCAAGCCTTAGACTTGAGTCAAAGAGATTGCTTGCATAAAGTACATGGTAGCACAAATACTCTTGCACAAGCACGACACCATCAATTTATTCTCGGCGGAGCCCCCGGCACGCCATGCAAGTGACTTCTCCCTGCTGGGCCAGTACCTGCAGCAGTCAGACTCGGCGTTGATAACGCCAGTAAGCGCGAATATGCAGGTTCGCCAACGATACACCTGGTCAGACGTCCGCTCGGGCTAGCTTTCGGTGGTATTCGTACCCCAGCATCGTGCCACTCTTCCTACACAAGTTACAACTACCGAGCAGCTCGTCTGGTTTATGTAAAACAGCACCGACACCAACAGGCTTCGGGACAAAGAAAGGCAGCTAACATGAATTGATCAATGCCAATAAGCTAGGCGCCCTGCTTTCTCCGCGTCCCGACGCCAGCGGCATTACGTCTTGCTTCCGCCTCTTCCATGAACCCCACCCGTCACTTACCTCACAAGCACATGGCTCTTCTCCTCCACTTGGATTGTTGACCTTTCGTCTATCCTCCGTGGCTGTACATATCATTCACAAATCTGCCCATGTCTTGACTATTATGCGTACTATCGTTCACACTCTTTAGCCCATTATTCTACCATTGCGCTTCAATCAAAACTGCCTGTAAGACTGTCTTCAGCCTAACGCCGTCATATCTCCACTGTCGATAGGCAATACAGACATTGTCTCCCAAAGAAGATCGCATCCTCTGTGTGCTGCCAGGACTCATACAAGTCATCACAATCACTATCCGAGAGAAACCTAAACGACACCTACCACCCTGCTGCTCGGGTCCACAGACAACCTTGTCGGGAATAGTCAGCTGGCCTCGTGTCAGCAGGTGTAGGTCACACAGCGGCCATGCCCTTCCGCGAGAAAGCCAAAGCGATCTTCAAACGGAAGACCTCCGACTCGCTCTCCAAAGCCAGCTCCAACAACTCCTCCCGCGAGCAATGGCCCAGCAATGTCTACAAACCAGGCGAAGTAATGCCGAGGCCCAAATATCGCAAACCGCCGACGAAAGAGCATAAGGAGCATTTGGAGAGTTTCAGCTTCGCGGATGCGTGGAGGAGGCGAAGCTTCCAGAGTGTTCATTCGCCTATGGGTACGAGGGCGCCTAGCAGGAAGAATAGTTCGAGAGGGCCGAGTAGGAGAGGCAGTCTGTGCTCGAGGAAGAGTTATACGAAGACCGCCAGTAGGGCGGGTAGTGTGAGTAGTGCTGGAGAGCCGGAGAAGGGTGGTCCTAAAGGCCAACATCGGGAACGAGAGCGGTTTGCGGCTGCTGTGCCTACGAGTCTCAGCACTGAAGAGGAGGCAGATGGGGACGATGATGTGCATAATGGTTACTTTCACCACTCGATATCGCTTCTTCAGCACTTTACTAACACGATGCAGTTGGCCTTTCGCGTGTACAATCTTATGATCAAAAACCTGTCATGTCTCGACCACTGACAGCGGAAAACACGCGGACAAATGTTGGTTATTTCCCAGCTGTTACGGCTCACGACCATTTACCCTTTTCAGAAAACGAGCTCGCTTTGGCACTCCAGAGGTCACATCTGGCTGTGCCGGCGAATTGATGTCGTCGGTTGTTACATTCTGGCGTATGGTATAGACGGAAGATACATGACGACCAAGCGAATGTGCATGTGGGTGGGATCTAACCAGGCGTTTATGAAGGTGGCGAGGCGCAAAGGGAACTCATGGCAGTGCGTCAAATGCGCAGCTGCTTGGATACATATGCAAACGAAATTTGTGTATAGTGTTGTGCTTGTGCATATGATCTGCTTTATGTACACCAAAATTGTAGAACAGGACTTTCATGATTCGAGATCATCTCACCGCTGTCCATTGTGGCTACGTTTTTAATGAGGTATTCATGATTCTAGTCATGATGACTGATTATCCTTCGTCGCCGCAGTAGTGCACGATGATGTTAAGCTGAAGTCGTGAAGGGCTGCCAAGCGGTCGATCTCGCGTGCCTTCCGTTTTCGCGACGAAGTTGCAGCCAGGACCTCGTGTGATGTCAAACAGTTCCACGTTCGGCAGGTGGATGGACATCACTTTGCGGTAGATCTGGTAGTTGCTCGTTCACTCATCATCCTCAGGTTGATTGAACGGATTCGCGATCTCCTCGCTGCCATCCACTGGGGATATGAGCACAAGAAGCGTGCCTCGCGCCACTAGCAGTCCGAGATCCCTGGTACTTGTGTTGCCTTCGTCGTCTGACAAGAGATTAGCACTGTTTCTGCACACCAAAGACACACTACACATACCTCTCAGTACTTCCTTCACGTTGTCGAGAACCAGGTTCATCAGTTGATCATAGCCTTTAAGCAGACCAGTCACTTTTGGTCAAGTCAGTATGACCACGATCGGTATGGCTGACAACACTGGACCGGCTCACCTTCCCGTCCCCCGTTGAACTTGACAACAATCTCCTTGTCCGTATATTTGGTCAAGTCAAGGATGTTTTCCTTCTTCCGATCGGCTTGAGCGCCACCTTGGTTGCCGCCACGTCCGCCACGATGATCTCCTCGACCACCACGATCGCCTCGCCCACGACCACCTCGAAATTGTCCCCTTTCAGACATGTTGGCAATGGTGTTGTCGAAGATGGGCGCCAACATCTTTCATGAAATTCAAATCATCCAGCATAACACGACTTCTGGCCGTGACCGAAGTGGCTTAGCGCCAACACGCGTTACTCGGTCGAATCGGTCCCCTCCACCCTGCAATTCTGGTTTGGACGGAGGCGTTTGCTGCACCACGACCGCTACGCGATGCTTTTACAAGCCTGTTCGCTGAGTGGGCTTCGCAATGACGCCGCCACGACGCGTTGGTATTCATGTACGACGCAATGGCGGCAGTGAGTACATCGCCACGGTAAGTGGGTGTGCTCGGACCTGCCGGAGTCACTACTGCGAGCAGGGCGGGGGCGCCCCAGCGGCGGAGCACCGAGCGGCAAGCTGAGCTGGCGTTCCCGTACTCCTTTTCAGCCTTCCTTCCCCGTTCACCCACTTTGTTTTCATCTGTCGCACCAACACCGCTATGGAGACGGCGACACCGCCAGACACCGCTGGCAAGCGAAAGCGCACCGACTCGGAAACTCCGCTCCCACAATCGGCACCAGCAGCGAAGGTCACCAAGACTGGCAACAACACGTCGTTGAGCATCAACTATCTGGCTCGTCATTCTCAGGAAGATCTCCCACTACTCAACAAGGACGATCCGCTGCCGAACTTGCTCCAGCTTTTAAGTGCCTACAGCAACGTCCTTGACCGACATGAATCTCTCGCCTCGAATCTTGGCGCACGCCCACTTGGTCCGATATTGATCAAGCGCTTCGAGCGATGCTTCGATGCCCCGCCGAAAGTGGTCGCATCCCATCACAAAGGCGCGGCGAGTGCACCACTTGAAGGAGGACATCAAATTACTTGGCTCGAGGTCATCGAGTTCGCTCGCGCCCATCCTGGCCAGTTCACGCTCAGCACATACTCGGAGGGCAAGAAAGTCTGTCAATTCTACTATCCTCAGAAGCAACTTCGAGTCCAAATCAGCGAGGAAGATTTCCTGTTCATCAACAGTGGAAGATGTCAGGAGCTCATACCTCCACTTCCAATATGGGAGGACGAAGAGAAGGAAGTTGGGACATGCGATGTTCTCGAGGTCAAGCTCAAGGAGCTCACGAACATCGCGGACATGGTCGCCGCACGGACAAGGCAGCTTAGCCACAGGCTGAAGGGACGAAGGGCTGCGATCCTGGAACGCCGAGCAGAAGGAGGCAGCGGTACACCAGCCAAAGTCGGTGTGCAGCAGACGACTACAGCTCCGGGCAGTAGTTTCGTGGCGGTGCATACGGCAGCCGACAAGCCCAGTGGCGACGTCGACATGAGTGTGGCATCATTTGCTGGCGTCAGGACGGAGTTGCTTAGACACTTCGAAGGACTACCGCAGAACCAAAATGTTCCACCAAGGCCTCATTCGCGTCATCACTCCATTGCCATGCACCCCGATCCACCTGAGAATCATCGACATACCGAAACAAACGACAATTTGCCAGACAGAGCATCTAGAACATCGTCACTCTCTCCCGTGCCTGCGACTCTTGCGAACGATCCATTGAGCTACTACATATCCGAGAGCACTCCGGCGCACGGCACTCAAGCCACGGTTCACACCGGAAGCAGACCTAGTATCAGTGGCCACGGCTACAGCAACCCATCAAAGCACAACTTCAGCCGTCCTTTGCCACCAGCTTTGGAAAGCTCGCAGCCTTTCCGGCCATTATGTCAAGCTCATATGGACAGCTTGCCACGAGGACACCGAGTCATCCCTCCTTGTGACCGTTGCAGACGTCTTCGTATGGACTGTGTCAAGAACCTCACTTCCTGCGCTGGCTGCACGAAGAAGCACGCCCGTTGCCACTGGCGGGATGTCACTCGCGAGGAGCTTGGGGATCTGGATCACTTGATTGACTCGGCTGAACCCGATCTTGGTGCACATGGTGTGGCTCCCAGCTATGCGAATGGCGATCATGGTGTCTACTCTGGCTCGGAGGACAGCGATGACGACGACAGTAATCCGCTGGAGGATCTTGAGGCACTTGGCGAGAAGGAGGATCAGCAGGAGAAGGATGACGAGGAGGGTTTACGCAATGCTCGGGAGTTGTCACGTCAGGGCAGGGAAGATGGTATCAGGTCTACTGCCCTTTCTGGTCAGCACACTACGCTGGAGGCTGGTACGTCGTGGGCGCATCCAACGAAGGAGATCACACTCGAAGAGAAAGCGCCGCAAGTCGACAAGCAACCGATGAGCGAAATGAATGTCCTGGCTGCGACAGATGCGAGCAACCCGGCTGCCACCGCAGCTCAAGCTAGTCAGATTTCCGTTGAAGTAGAACCTCCAGCTGCCGAACGTCCCGAGGCTCGATCAGGCCCTGATGCTATCAATGCAAGTCTTCCCGTCAGCTCCTTTATGCCGCTACCTGAGCAGCCTACCATGCCTTCCTATGGTGGCTTTCATGCCGTGAACGGTACTACTGCAGATGCTTCTTGGAGGACCGCCTGAATCAGTACGATTTGATGATCGTGCCATGGGAGAGTCTTGGGTGTCAACAAATGTGCGTGGAATGATGGCACGGTTGCGAGATTCATCAGGATCGACTCGCATGCGATGGGTTAGATGATTACATGACCGCATTCATCAGTGTGAAGTAAATAGACCGCGGAGGACATCCGTGAGGAGAGACGTCGGAAGGTGTAATCATTGTCGTCTGCCTGATACTGGTACTGGTGCTGAGCACAACATCACCTCTTTGACATGGCCCCTGTTGGAATGACCCGACGAGGTCGCCTACTCGTCTACTGCCCGGGCAATGAGGTGATCTGCTGCTGCGTAACAATGCAGCCTTTCTAGCTGCAATACGTAGATACGAAAGCTAGTTGATCTATGCAAAATCGACCTTGATACCGAATGGAGCAGCTCCACCAACTTTGGGACAGATTTGTAGCGAAGTCTATCTTGAGGACAGATTTGCTACTGCCGACAGTTTTCAAGCAACCTCCTTCAAAAGTGCCTTCGAGAAGATACAGCACGCAACAAATCGCTACTTGCGTATCAACAATCAGGTATGTGAAGTAAGCGATACCATCGCCCTCTCGATTGAGCAAATGCAGGCACTGGCGGTACTTAGCAGCATCAAACATACTGCACCTGCAATGCACAATCTTCTACCTGTTACGAGCCTACGCTGCTACAACAGCAAATGCGTTCCACAAACAGGCCTGCGATCAAATGCATTGCCATCCTCCTCTGTTGACATAGCGGGCACAAGAACAACTGGATGCTTCTCCTGTACGGACCATTTTTCTCCAGGCTTGTGCGACCCCTGGTGCAAAAGGCTCACAGATCTGCTGCAGGCCCTTATTGCTATGGTGGAGACTCGCGGTCGTGAAGATCCGCTAGAAGGGAGCATGCGCTGGCCGGTATGTTCAGCAGGGATGTGCGCTTGTTGAAACGTAGTGGCAAGCACGTATGGCGCGAGAAACGGGGCGGGATGGTATGAAGACCAGGAATGTGCAGCAGGAGTAGCAACCAGATTGCTTCAACGGTTCTAAGCACATTGCCGAGCATGCTACTGTATGCTGTTGCGGCTACAAGCTACCAGGTGTGCATTTGTGTGTGTCGATTGTATTTGATACATGAGGTGCAGTTCTGAAACAACATGATAGTCAGTCTATCTGCTGAGGCAGAGCACGAGAACCACTAACGGTCGCATGTTTGGGTGGAGCTGAAGAGATCAAAGCGCAAGAAGAAAATCGCAAAAGCAGCGTTGATCCTGGTAAGAAGCCAATATGCTGTGTATCCTTATGACTCTGTGTCACCCCACAACTCCATCACCAGAGACATATGTGGCGAAGACGGTCTGGCGATCTTCGTTCTACTCATCAGTCGACAATAATGCTTAGGCTGTCGAGATAGATCTGACGTCTAGATTAACCATACCAGTGCCATAGTACCACAGCGGTCACCTGCTACTACCCGACGCAGAGATGCATATTCTGACAGGAAGCTGCACGACATGACCAGGCACAGCAACCAGCATATGCGCCACTACAGACCGAATGGGACCAGATAGGTGTGCCCATAGTGCAGCCTAAGTCTAGCATCAGAAAACCTGCATCATAGCCTAGAGCGGATGTTGACGCTTGGGCGGTCGTTCCGCGATGTTCCGCATCCCACTATCCAGTCAATGTTCGATCCTCTCCAGCGGCATGACTATGCGAGCACTGGACAGTCCGATGGCAACCCAGTTGCCGCTCAATCGCTTGGAAACGTCTGTGCGTGTACCGACAGCGAGAAGATGAATATTCAAGGGGGATGGTTGACCGCCTCGATCGATTTAATAGAAGTCATGACTTTGAGAATTGTTGTTCGTTGTGCTCTTGCAGGCAGCAAATGGTCGTGGGTTGGCTAGGTGGAAGTTGGTGAGTTGCATTCCTGCATCGAGGCGTTCCAGAGGCTGACGTTACAATGGATTGGACCACCCTCCTCGACAGAACCGCTGCAGCGGTACCACACTCACTGTGTACTAAAGACCGCCTGTAAAGTCCCTCGAGCCTGCACACTTACTTATCGTCCGCATCGTCCGCATCGTCCGCAAGGTCGCTCTTCACCCTCTGTTCTGGTGCTCGATGCCCTTGAAGTGTCGTTCCTGAGTCCATACCTGATTTGGAGAGCTCACGCCATCCCTTGCTCTTCCTACAGCAATCCAGAGCACCTTTCTGGAGATTAATCGCCTGCGGTTGCCGAAGCTCGCGCATTCGTCACTGTCAGACTCGGGTACGATTGTACCTGGCATTTGTCGAACGTCTGAACTTTGCTGACAAGCCCAGTCGGTAGACGAGGCCCGACACCCTCCCTATAGCCCTGACTTGAAGCTTGGCCGTCATGTTGCGAGGAGTCGACCAGTCGAGCCTGCGAGTGTTGCACACTTGTAAGTGTCCCTAGCCTCCCCGCCGTCACCAACGGCCATGCATTCATGCCAGACGTTGAAAAGCCACATGCCTCCGCAAGAAAGGTTTTGAATTCGATCAAACTCAACCACGACGCCTTCTCCTTTGTTGAGCTGTTTTTTCTGATTACTGTGCAGTAAGAGCAGCGTGCTTGTATGTCACGTGGTGGTTGGTGACAGGATGAAGGGAGCTAGGATCGGATGTGCTGACAGCATGAATAGTATACGACATGTCGACGACATCTTCACCATCAAGACGTGGTGCCGATGTGCCTGGCATTGACACCCATTTCGACCCCGAGAAACACTCTACAGCTTTATCGTATGCGGGCTGTTTGACACCACCTCAATCAGCACACGAAAGCCGCTGTGGCTCGCTTGCCTATGGCGCCTTTCCTGACGCCTCGTACAACCATGGTGTCCCATTGCCATGTGTTTCTCAACCTGTCACTCCGATACAAGCTGTATCGCCTTGTGCTCATGATTTCACGCCGCAGTGGCATCCGCGTACGTCACCTCAGGCCCATCAAGCTGTACAGCACGCGGCCGCATATCCTGTACAGCATGTGACTACAGCATCGTTCGCCACCTGTTTACAACAGGCTGCGTGCAGTAGCGCCACAGAATATGGCTTGTCAGATCAAATGCTTCTGGACACGGCCTGGCCAGCACCACAGCGAATGGAATGGACGTCACATCATGACTACAACCACATACCGGACTACTCGGGCGTAAGCCTCAGCTCGTCTCTCCTACAAAGCCAGACAGGCTTGTCTACTGCTCCTAATCATAGTAACTCCAGCTATGCAGATGGCACGTACCCTCACGAGACCCTGGACCTGCACACTGCTCATGCTGCTCACTCAGATATCTTCGGGACTTCGTCTGCGCAAGTCGTACATCCTCAACAAATCACTGTTGCTCCGTCCATGCTCACACCAAACGACGGATATGTTATGCAGCCTTACCAAGAATACAGCAGCCCCAACGGAGCTCGTCAAAGCCTCGCGAGCAGCTTTACCACCAGTTACGGAAGCTTCTCTTTCTCGGAGTACGATGTACCCACGACCTCCGTAGACACATATCCGTACTCTGACGAAGAATGTGTGCTTGTCAAGGGCGAATACCTAAGCCCGACACCAGGCATGTCAAGGACACCAACGAACGATAGCCGAGCGGCTCGGCGAAGGAGGAGTACAGCGAGAGCTCCCAGGATTTCCCACGGCCAACGCTATCATAGCCACTGGGTTGGTGGTGCTGCAACTGGCATACGATGTGAGATAGTCGGTGATGCCAACGATGTCACTTACGACGTCGGTGGGTTATCCTTTCCAACATCCATTGCCAAGCAGAGCAGGAAAATGCACAGATGCAATCACGTTGATGATTATGGCGAGCCATGCCTGCGAGCCTTTGAGCGGGGAGAACATCTTAAACGCCACATGGCTAGCCATAGTACAGACCGCAAGTATGAGTGCGGTCTACCAGAATGCAAGCACCGGAAGGGCATCAGTCGAGGCGACAACGCTGGAGACCATTTCCGCACGCACCTTAAGGACACTGAGAAAGGTCGCCGCAATAAGAAGTTCGAATGGCCCGAGGTTCGACGATATATCGAGAGTAAGTACGATGAGAAGGAAGCGAAAAGACTAATTACCAATTTGACGAAATGGATTCGAACGCGAAAGGAGGGCAGCTGCCAACGACATTATCTGCTAGATGAATGAAGCATGAGCTCTTCGGTCGCGGTACTTGACTTTTTGATGATCACGACGGCATTTACGACATTTCGGATATACCTAGGTGGGCTCTTCATTTACGCATGGTGCTGTTGGTCGTTGTGCCGGGATACAACAAAGCTAGTAGGCTGTTTGATTATGGTACCTTTGCTTTACTGGTGTGTACGTTACTGTTGAGATCTTTTCGGTGGCTGATCCTGCTCGGCTCCATGAACATACGCTCGGCATATGTGAAAGTACTAGCATAGGTGGCAAGTAGCTTTAAATACATACCGTAGTGTCTGCAGCGTCTTGTGGTTCCCACGCCCATTGCAGGTGCCTTTGATACTCCGCTGGTGATCTGCATAGCAGCAACAGTGCTATATGGACGGGAATATGAGATGCTCATGACTTTATCCTGCGCCTGATCTTGACCATCATGTCGCCTCCTGGTACCAAGGCGCCACTACCCGGAAAGGCCTTCGCAAAGCCAGGAAAGTGCGCAGTCGTCTTGCCATCCATGTCCTTGAAACCCTTCACCTCGAACTCAAATCGAAGCAAGATCATAGCAAGTGCACCAAGCGCCTCTTGCTTTGCAAAGACTCGGCCGGGACATATCGTTTTCCCACCACCAAACGGGAAGAACTTTCCAGACGAGGCTGTGGCCATGCTGAAAGTCCCTTTGCCGTTGCCGGATGCCTTGGTGTAGAAGCGCTCCGCATAGAACTCGTTGTATGGTGCCTTGTCTGACCAGAGAGAGGCATCGCGTTGGCCTAGCCAAGAAGGTGCAAATAGATTATCGCCTTTCTTGAACAGTACAAAGTGTTTGCCATCCTCTTCCAGGGGTAGAGTGATGTCCTCTGGTAGATTACGAGTTACTAGGATGTCAGTGTACAGACGCAACGTCTCCACCCATACGCTTTGTAGCAATGGTTGGGACATCAGTGTAGGAACATCGATAGAGCCATCTGGTCTTTCAGCCTCACGCAATTCGTCCATTAACCGCGGGAGGACAGTTGGCTCTGCATCTGGCTTCAGTAGCTCCATCAGCATCCATCCTGTGGCTGGGATGGCATTGCTAGAAAGTCCAAAGACTATACCCAGATCCATTGCAGCTGCTGATCTAGTGTTCAAGTTCCGAACCTTGTAGTCTAGTTGTCGTGCTCGATTTAGCCTTGCCCCGAATAGAGGCTCCCATGCGACTCCTTCTGGATCTACAGGCTGGCCACCTTCGACAAGGTCAGCGATATACTGCTACTCTGAATTGGTGCTCGACATACCGCTTAAATCATGCATGTCTTTACTCCAGGCCTGTAGACGATCCAGAATTCGTGTCCTCCGTCCCACAGCTTCCCGCATCGCGAACTCCGGGAGAGCGAAGAAGAACATGAGAAACTCGTTGTCAAAGGCGAAGAAGTCCTGACAGAACTCAGGATACATCTGTAAAAGCTTCTCGCCCATCAGAGCTGTTGTCGAGGCCGTGAACATCCGATCCCGAATCCAATTATATAGACCAATCTCGCCCAGATTGATAACATCATCAGCGTCTTTACTCAGCACATCGTCCAAAACTCTGGTGAAATGTGTGGTGAGCTCATTTACTCGCTCGTGTTTGGTCAGGTACTGGCTGTTCATCTCATTCTCATGACTTTTGCCAGCCCAAGCATTCTTGATCTGGTCATCTGGCAGCTGGAAGACACTTGACAACAGCTCCTGCTCGAAGACATCCCGTGAAGGCGAGCGAGCCTTGAACATGGCCTGGACGGCGGTGGGAGAGAACAAGATGTGCGTTTTCCGTCCGCCGATCAGGAGGGTACAGACACCGGTGCTCCGAGGATACCAGGAAAAGAGCTGCTGCCAGAAGTGGCCCGGCTTCGAGGTCAAGAAGGAAGTGGTGTTTCCCAGCCATGGTATGGCATACGGAATCTGTGGCGGCGTGACATTGTGCTTGCCAGCTTTTGGCGAATCGCCGAATTGCTTCAGGCTTTGGTAATAGCTCAGAGTGGTGTATGCTCGGACAAGAAAAAGCACGAGGGCTGAGATTGCAAAGGGTGCCAGGCTGTACACCAGCGGCCTTGGGAACTTGTCCAGTATTGTGTTCATGATGCCGTCGCTGTTCTTGTCTGTCAGAGATCAATATCGACCAGTAGAGGTGGTGATGTCGGGGTGAGAGGATATTGGCATTGCTCATTCAGGCCCCCAAAATACTACATCGGATTCGCGTTCTTCATTCGAGGGGTCGTATAGATTCGTATATTTGTTGATGGTAAGTCTGATCAGCGCACGGTCCCTGATCCTTCGGCTGAATAATCCTGGCGGCATTTCACCTTCAACTTCAACGATCCTTACGGAGAATGATACGACTAGTCCGAACAGCCATAGCGATGCCACAAGCATCACTAGCCGTGGAGCGTGGAGCTGTGATGAACAATCACCTGCTCCAGTCATCAATCGTTGCTACATCGGTGGGACGAGTGCGCATGACGAAAGCAGAAGGCACGACTACGCCATAAAGAGCGCTATTCGGACACGTGAAGCAAATGTTGAAAGCTTCAAAATGATTTCGGAGCCCTATACCTTCAAAGTCTACGATAGCACGACGACTGGCCCGAAGCAAATAGCGATGCTCGCTCTCATTCCAGCAGTACTGGTATAAAGTACTGTATTCCACCAGACAAGAACAAACTCATTTCAGCCGAGTGGGATGATGATACTGGCAAGCTATACAAGCTGTAACGCGCGGTATACATGATCTTGTCTGTACATATCGACTTGAGGCGAGACTGACTAAGGTGCCCGCGCTCCTTTCTCCTGCAAAACGTGATCATGTTGTACAGCTGCCGACCGCTTCACTAGCTCATGAAGCTGGTACGAGAGAGAGACGGTTCTCGCGCATCAGCCAATGAACCTTGAAGCCCTCGAGCTTGGATTCGGATTTGATCGTTCCACTACCCGTCCACCCATACCCAGAAGGCGACGCAGCAGACGAAAAGCAGGAAAAGCCTGTGCGTTGTACAGCAGACCCACGTCTGGTCTCATCTGCCGGAGTGTCTGACCTCAGGCCCATCAGCTCCAGAAAACCGACCTCTGTGTCGTAGCCCGGTCAAGGTGCTAAGGACCTTGAGCACCACTTGGCCATTCTTTCCAGATTCGGGTCCACTTCGATCCGCCAAATGGAGATCTCGATGCGGATCTGGCGGACAAGGAGTCTGTAGACGCCAAGGTCGTGGTGAAACGACAGAGGTGTCGATGCTGGTGGTGATGATGTTTCTGTGCTCTTGGATGCTTTGCTCGACGAACTGGGCGAGGTCGATGGAGATGGAATGTTGCATTTCGATACCAGATTAGGCAAGCAATCCGCATGTGGTGCAAAGATGCTTCATGGTACAGTGGACTTCGTGATGAAGGTGGCGGTTGTCGATGATGTTGTCGGTTGGGCGGAATATGATCTCTGTCGTGCCGTCGCTGCCACGAGGCTGATCCACCAGGTGCGGAATGAAGGCATGGAGTATCTCCGCGGGTAGGCGACGTGCAGCCTCCGTCTGCTGTTCGTGGCCTCCGCCACCAGTCGTCGTCGCCATGGTGTTCTCGCTCTGCTTTCAGAATGTCTGTTGGTTATAGGGACGAGGATGCAATGACGAATTGAGTGAGGGTATAAGGTGTCGCGATGTGAGGATTCAAGCAACAGCAGAAACAAAAGCAGCCTGAAGAAGCTAAGCAGGACAAGCTCATGGCTGCCGCAGCGGAAAGGGCGAAAAGCAGAAGGAGAGGCTTGAGGTTGCCAAGAGGCGGAAGGCAATAGATGGGAGAATGAAGGCGGCGGAGGCGAGGACAGCGGCAAACGAGACACTGGCTGCCGAGAAGTTAGCTGCCGAGAGGGAGCGAGTAGCAGAAGGGAAGAATAATGCTGACGTATATAATGCGAATCTAATGAGATTGGAGGCCGAGGAGAAGGAGCGTGAACGTCGAGGGGGAGAAAACTTAGTGCGTGAGCGAGAACAAGCTGTCGATCAACAGTCAACTTCGCCAGGTTCAGAGTCTATCCCCAAGGCGTCTGCAGCACAACAGCATCCCGATACGCTATCTTCCGGTAGCAAGCGTAAAGTCAGCGGACGGCAAGAGATAGACAAGCTAGGCGCAGCCCGCCAACACGGGCGACCACCCTTGTCCCAGGCGAGTGGCAGTCCACAACGACCCAAGAAACGTCCAGCAAAAGGCACCTTGCCTGCAACCACCGAGGCTCTAGGAGCCGACGACGATACCGAGATGTTCGATGCTCCAGTGACCGAGACCGAGCAACCACTCACCACTGCTAATAGAGCTGCTGCTCTAGAGCCGGTAACTCACACGACTGTGCGTACTTCATATATGTTCCAGTCAAAACCTACCGCTGAGGTAAGGTCAAACTCGCCCACAACGCAGCCAATGACGCTCACTGGGGTCCTTTTCTCCTTCTGCGGCTCCTCGACAGATACATCACCCGGCCTGCAAACCCTCGCGAGAGGCGCTCACCACACCACTTCAACAACGCACCTCCGCCTACCCCAGCGGCCATCATGCCTGTACTCCTCCGACTGGTGTATATATTAACATGGCTCGCGCAAACAGAAGACCTTCACCATGAAACTAGTAGTGATGAGGATGTCAAGATGACTCCTCCGACTGAGGACATACCAATGTCGTCTGCACACGACATGACCAAGCACGCTAAGCGCCTTGACCTACCTCTCGATGTCGAGTGGGCGACCGTGCAGCTTGTGTTATTTGGTTGTGACAAGTGTGCACACTCAGCTATCAGATGCGGTGTCGTACAAGGCTGACACGTGGTAGTGGATGGATCACATATCGCACGCCGACAAAGAGGTCAAGTTGGACAGTACGGGAAGGCCGGGAAGGCAATGTCTGCCACGATGGAAGTCGGTGAGGGTCTTGTGCGGGACCCTGAAGGTGTCCGCTTAGCAGTCTGCAACAAGGAAGTCGTTCCAGAACAGCGAACTGTATGACGAATGCAGAACGCACGAGATCACGGATGTCTCCAAAGCAAAGCTTGTCAATTTCTCAGCTACTAACTGGCACGACTTTATCATAGTACTGCGTAAAGTCATGCATAACAGCCGTTGCGCCGCCAGCCATCTCGTAGGCGACGTCCTTGTCCGTCTCTGCACGGTGGAGCATTTGAATGAACTCGTCCTTCTCAATGGCTTCGGGATCCCATAATCGCCTGATATTACTGCTTGAGATCGGATCGATGATGGTAGTGTACTTCTCACGGCGGACGTCATTGTACTTGTCAAGGATGCTGTCATCAGCTCGACCAGCATAGATGCCATATAAGCAATCGTATGCACCACCAACATCTGCAAAGCCACCTGTGAGACCCATGCCGCCACTGTCACTAGTCAGCAAAGGGGTCGTAAAATGACATAAGATTCTCGCTTACAAAGGATTACACAAGTGTGCAGCATCGGCCACGAGCAGGATTCTTCCAACCCTCATCTGCTCGGCCAGCCTCTGATGGATCTTATATGGTGAAAAGTTTATAAGCTCGTATTCGTTTGGACCGGGACTGCCAGGCAGGATAGCTTTGAACTGTCCTGGCTGACGTGCAAGCATTTCGTCTCGAGTCAGATTCACCTGTTCAGCATACGTGACTCGTAACAGATTATCATTCGTCATACGTGCAACCATATGGAAGTGTTCAGGATGGACCATGAAGTTCGAACTTGTCTCCCAGCCGGCCTTCTCGAGCCCAGGATAGCGCACGTTGGTCGCCACGATCTGTTTGTCCCATGTTCGCCCTGGGAAGTTCTTGCCAAACAGGTCATGGCGTATCTTGCTGGATCCTCCATCGGCACCAACCAGATACGAGGCTTTCAGACGCTGTTCACCAGCAGACGATCGAACGTCGATCCAGGCATGATCCTCGTCTTGACCACTAGCAAGCACCTCATGACCCAGCAAGATCTTTGCTGACGGCTCCCTTTCGAGATGCGATGCAATTAATGGAATCAGTTCGTCCAGAGGCAGTGAGATGATCTCTGCCTCCTTTCGCTTGATACCTGTTGGCAGACTCGCTATCTTCGTGCCATCCAGATATCTCCAAGATACGCCTCTGCCATGAAAAGCACAAGCAGCAACCTCGTCGTATATTCCAGCTCGCTTGAACTCGAAGGTGGCTGGGTAGCTGTAGAAACTTGCTCGAGGCTGCTTGTCGTATTCTGTGCTTTTCTCGACGACTGTGACTGTTATGCCTTGTCTGGCTAGTAGTAGTGCTAGTAAGATTCCAGATGGCCCTGCGCCGACGACCATGACCTGCCGTATTTATCAGTGGTGATATCATTTATAGTATGGTTATAGTTCTCACACTAAACTCTGATAGCTTCGCAGAACCCATCTCGCGCGGGTGAAGTCACTCTGATGTGATGGAGTCAGGCAGGCAGCTCCAACGCCAGACTGCCGCTCTGCGAGCATATACGTGACCTACATATGTTACCTTGCATTGTGGAGACAATGCAGCAGGCTCCAAAGCTGATTCGGCAAGTAGTGTAGCTCTTCGAGCCGTGAGCTCCACATCATATAGCCTGCAAGCTACAAGGTACTGTCCACGCGGCTAAGGAATCTCTGAGCTCTACACTTCGGTCGCAAGACTATGTATGACAGTACTTTTGTGTTTATTTGCCGAAGCTTGTATCATTGAATCTTCGTTACCAACCGTGTTTGTCTCACTTTGCTGTCACGTGAGAGACTACACATACATGACTCCGACTCGACACCACAACTGAATCCCATACGAGGATGATGATATAGTGGTCCGAGGTACTCTCAAACATTACAAGTTCACAGACAACGACAGTTGACAATGAAGATGAGGTACTACAAGTCGTCAGCTAGCTTTCAGTCCCACTATCAACGACCGTCGATACTCATGCTCCATCATTCTTCTTCAGATATCTGACATGAAGTCGCTGAGCCACTGTTGTCGGGCAGTCCAGCTCCTGATCCTCTTGCCATAGATCCACAGCGGAATCGTGAGCAGGCAAACCGCAACGAAGCAGGAACCAAGGACATTGAAGACTGCCAGAACACCACTCTTCTCCAGCCAAGAGTTCACGAAGTATATTAATCCAAATGTAAGGAGGTTGCGGGTGTTAATAGCGACGAAAGCCTCCTCTGCAAGACGTGGGTAGCAGTCCTAGAGTAAGGTTAGCAGATGAAGTGAAGTCCTCAAGTGTCGGATCCTACCAAAACGTAGCCGAAGACGCAAGTACTAGCAAAAGCCAGTGCCATGTTTGCAAGACCGTACGTCAGTACTGGACCTGACCAGTGGGTCTGGGCGTGGATCGATGCGCCAAATCCGTAAAAGCCAACCGTGCCAAGGACGAGCACGACGCTCATGAGTACCAGTCGGAACTCAGGCTCGTAGATCCCATGGTTACGCTGTGCCATCTTGATACAAAGCCAGTCATTGAGTGGACCAGAGATACACTCGCCGACGATGCATAGGATCTGTACAGGGTCAGTAAAGGTCGCTGCAGTCTGCCGAACAGTATGACGTACAAAGGGACTGAGCGATATCAGGCCAGTCTCTCCGACACTGAAGTTGTATGGTGGAGCTGTAAAGATGACACCGTTTACGACACTAAATACCACTATCCAGGTCAAGGTCGTCCCGTAGATGAGGAAGGCCCAGAACACGCAAGGGTAGAAGAACATAACGAACGGTCGGCAAAAGATCTTCCAGATTTTAGCATCAGAGTAGCGTCCAGTATACAATGCCATTGAGCGAATGAAGCTGTGCCGGGCTTCTGTGCTTGCGTCAGGATTGGACCCGTTGCCAGTAATCTTCCTGGGTAGTGCATGGTACTCGACATGCATTCCAGTTTCGTCAAACTTCTCATTCTGTGCTCCTCGCTCTTGATCTTGGATACCAGTCTTCGCCAGAATCGGAGAGGTGACCTGCTGGCGGATGAAAGTGGTCTCCGGCACGAAGAAGATGATGCCAATGCCGAATATACCGAATAGGATGGCACACAGCCCAAAAGTCCACTTGTAGCCAAGATCTTCAATGATGTAGCCGGATACGAGACCAGCGCCTATGGGACGTCGTCAGAGTCCATCACCATATCTGTAGACATCTACATTCAAGATGGACTCACCGCAAATACCGCAGAGTAAGAACAGGTTCCATACAGCAAGACGTGTGGCACGTTCATGAACCTATGGTGCGATCAGTCATGTGTAGTGATCACTGTACCCTGGGGAGAGGACATCTTACGAAATACAGGTCGGAGATAGTCGCTTGTACCAAGACCTCATATGGCGCCATACCCAGTGCTCCTAAGACGCGAGAGCCTAGGAAGGAGCCATAGTTGTCCGCGACCGCTCCCCAAATGCTGACGATAAGCAATATGATCGAACAGAGGACATAGACAGGTCGCTTGCCCCAGATCTTTGCAGCCGGGTTGAAGAAGAACACGCACAAGCCGAGTGTCAGGATGAGCCAGGCAGTGGATTGCGAGAGGATGACAACGGTGATCCCGAGCTGTTTGGCGATGGGCACGAAACCAGGGCCAAGCATAGGTCCATAGGCTCCGACTACTGCAGCTGACATGCCGACCAAGAAGAGGATGAAGTCTTTCTTCCACGTTGACCTGCGGGTACGACCGTTAGACTGACCCGTACGAGGCTACGACGAAGGGTCACCAACCAGTTGAGAGGATCGTTGGGCGAGTCTGATGGTTGTGGTACAAGGACAATGTGGCTGAACTTGCCGCTGCCATGCTTGAGTCTGCTTGCATCGACAGCTCGAAGGTCATCTGGTAGATCACTTTGATCACGGAGGAGTGCCTGGCAGGATGTCAGTGCTGTCTTACTTCATGCTCGACGTATGATAGCATACCGTTCCCGGCACTATCTCCAGCTTTTCGCATTCTAATATGCCCCAAGGCATCTTGATGAGCTGAAATGTAGGGAGCTAATGGACGGAGGACGGTCGACAGAGATCGTGATCCGTAGAATAGCATGAAAACTACAACATGATACTGTGGATCTTGAGGGATCTACATATGTCCATATTGCATGGACCAAGCTAACCCGGCAATGGTCTGCAGCATACATGCCGCTTAGTACACCACCTTCAGTGGCTTGACAAGAACAGGACCCACGCGTGCAGGTAGCACCACGGGCCGCAAGGCGTCTTGCAGATGGCATGGCAGATGACAATGGAGCACGTTGGAGAATGCGTCTGGGACCGTTCCCGAGTCCAGAACGCTGGGGCTTTCTCCTCGGCACCTCAAGCTTGACGACCCAACACGAGTACGAGCGCCATAGCCCACGATTTCGCGTTGATATGAGATGCAGCTATCCGCTCCAAGGTTGAAAAGGTGCAGCGGCTGAACATGATTCAGTCAACGTGGACGTGGACCCACCCCCGTTTGAGCTTCTCCAGGCGGGGAAAGTTGGAGTGGATCTGTGGCGCATGTGGGTCCTGGCAGAAGTGGGTCTGGTATCCACATCCATTGGAAGTCTCGAGGAGACGAACTAGGGCAAGATGGCTATGCCGGCAGTCAGTATGCATACGCAGCCGACAGCACCCAGGACAGAAGCAATGAATGCCAGGCCCATGATGGCGAGCCGACTGATGGTTTTGAGCCATCTCAAGCCCACAGAAAGAGACTCGATACTAGATGGCTCCCTTCATGGACGGCGACGGCGTACCTGCCAGTGAAAAGCCTAAGCGAACGGGTATTCATGTCGTGATAGTAGGTGCAGGCTTCGCAGGTATCACTGCTGCCATCGAGTGTGTACGCCATGGTCACACCGCTCAGATCCTGGAATCGTACAAGAACACGAATGTACAGCTAGGCGACATCATTTCGTTCGGGTCGAATTCCAGCCGTATCTTTGGGAGGTGGCCCGGTGTCCCTAAGAAGCTTGACCCGATTTGCCACAAGAGTGACAAGCTGGAGTACCGATACTGGAACGGCGAGCACATCTACACTCAGTACTGGGGCTCAGAGCAGCAGAACTTCGGCGAACGGTACAACGGTCATAGAGGGGAGATTCACAAGATCATCTTCGACCATGCCGTCGAGCAAGGAGTCGACATCAAGCTTGGTCAGCAAGTTACGGAGTTCTTCGAGACCGATACCGAAGCTGGGGTGATTTCGAATGGCGAGCGCATTGTTGCTGATGTCGTACTTGGCGCCGATGGTGTACGCAGTAAAGCACGCCAGTTGGTATTAGGGTACGACGACAAGCCAAAAGCCTCTGGCTATGCCATCTATAGAGCATGGATGGACAGTTCCGAGTTAGCTAAGAATGACCTCACCAAAGACCTTGTCAATGGTGATACTCATACTGGCTGGCTAGGTCCTGATATCCACTTTCTCGCTGCCTCAATCAAGGGAGGCAAGGAATTCAGCTGGGTCTTCACCCACAAGGACGAGCGCGATGTTCAAGAAGGCTGGTCTGAGCCCGGCAACCATGAAGACGCTTGCAAGATCCTCGAAGGCTGGGCGCCAGAAGTCCACACCATCGTGCGCATGACGCCGCCTGACAAGCTTGTAGACTGGAAGCTGGTATACAGAGACCCGCTGCCTACCTGGGTCTCACCCAAAGGACGGATAGCTTTGATTGGCGATGCTGCTCATCCTTTTTTGCCCACGTCCATACAGGGAGCAAGTCAGGCCATGGAAGACGGTGCGACTGTCGCTGTATGCTTGGAGAGGGCCGGGAAGGAGCATATTGAAGATGCGTTGCCAACGTACGAAAAAATACGATACGAACGTGTCAAAGCGGTGCAGAAGACTGGCGAGACAAGTAAGTCTACAATTCTCCATATATCACCCAGCTTTCCTCTAAGTGCTTCACTAGCACGCGACGCATGGCACAAAGCCGATTTCAGCAAGCTCAAAGAGAACCCAGAGGCCATCAAGCTGAAGCGGGAAGAATGGGTACTGAACCACGACGCCGAAACGCACGCCTATAATGTCTACGATGAGGCAGTGAAGAGTACAGAAAGGCTGCCTATCAAGGTGACATTGGCGAAGACAGCAGAGCCTGGTGATGCTTCGATGGTATAGGTTCCGCAAAGCATGGTTTGTTGCTTACAGAGTGACGGCCAGGCCTCACTTCAATGTCGTTGAGCGCTCACTTCGACCTCATCTCGTATAGCTGATCACGTGGTAGATAACGAGATCGCCGCCTTGCAGGTATATGAGTTTGACCTTCCTCTTCTCACACCTTCCAACTTCTGCATCCCAACATCCATATGCTACAACCACTCATCTTCCGACACTGATACACACCAGATCCTCACTTCGGCACCTCCAATCGAGGCGATAGGTCGTAGCCTACTACTCAAGCTCACTCCACTTATCTGGCCCGCGCTTGACGTTCGAAAACGTCGAACGCTTCAAGCTTTCACGGCTATCCACTCCCAGTCAAAAGTCAACTCAGTGGAAATTGTACACTTCCTTGTTATCTTCAGCCGGAAACATCACAACGAGGTCACGAACTCGTGCTTTGGCTCAGCGTCACGGAGTCTACTTCACCCGGCTACTACCATCACTCAGCACTGATCATAACGCCAACTGTATCAAGACTTTGCACAACTTGTCATCCTGCTGCCTACACGGCACCACTTGCTTTCTGGCTCTTTTTCCTTAGCATCTTCGACCCTCGAACTTGTTGCAGAGCTCCACGTAGCTGGAAGCAGTCTCCATAACCATGTCTATCGACTTCAGCCGTAGAAAGGGACGCAGCACACGCGATGCAAGCAACTCGTCCCCGGGCCGCCTTTGCGTAGGATGGAGGATTGCCGATTGGACCAAGATATACTACGAGCCCATCATTAAAGACAACGAAGGCGACGCGATCGATCCCAACGATGACGAAGAGCCAGAGATGGGTCTGTACTGCCACGGAAGCGGCTGTCCACAGAAACGTGAACCTCTTGACAGCGAAATCTTCTGGCACGCGCACTTCGATCTTGCAAACCAGCCTAGCAAGGCCAAGAAGCATAAAGGAGTGCTGCAGAAGCGGTTCCTGTATGACGCTTGGCGGTACTGTGCCGAGACCGACCTGGCAAGGATTGAGGAGATGGAGATCACGTTCCACCGGCCACTTTCTCGGCATTGGCAAAGCTGGTTCGACATGGCGGAGAAGTGGAAGAAGACTGATAGTAAGCGGCGGGCCGCGAACAGGAAGAAAAAGATGGACATTGTCAGGCAGAGTGATATCGACCCGAAGGACGTTGACATCAACTCCGATGACTCCGATGACTCTGGTTTCGAGGACGATGACGACATGCCTGGGGCATTTGCTGGTCCTATGGGTCCGCCACCACGACCATCTCGAGATGGTGCTGGGTCGAAGCGGAAGGGCTCGACGGCGGCATCTAGTAGAGAGGGTCCAGCGACCAAATATTTACGAGCTAATCCCATGATGACCGGCGCTGGTAGGCGGGCACGTAATAGTCGGGCAGGCTCAACGTTCTCGGACGGATCTAAAAGCGTGCTTAGACGACTCCCCAAGAGCCGCATAATTGACAGCGATAACGAGGACGATGCACCGAGTGTGATGAGCAATGTTTGGGAAGACCAGCACCCATCACTGCCGCTTCGTGACGGCACACGACCACTATCACGTTCTTCGAGACACTCATCTAGGGTCATTCACAGTCCAGGCCGTGCCAACAGCGCTGATAACGATGACAACGAAGGCGATGACCTTGCCGACACCACCGCAGCACCGCGATCAGGACCTCGCATATCAAGTGGTGAAGGCGGAGCAGCCGCAGACTTGCCTCTGACACCACCATCGACATCGGCATATAATCAGCGGACTACCTCACGCAGAACAACAAAGTCTCCAACACAACGCCGAATCTCTTCCCGCCACGCAAGCGTCCATAGAGAATCCGAAGATCCCAGCGGTGAGCTGAAACCCTTTCATCAATGGGCGCCTGACAATCGTGCCAACAATACGATTTTCGGCTCAAGCTTGTTCACGAGTCAAGAGCCCGATAATGGGGCGGACGCAGATGCCGTTGTCGAGGAGCGAGACGAAAACATTACACTCGCTGGTAACGGGACATTCCCGAGCAACCAGGAGCTATTCGCCGCGATCAATGGTGAAGGCGTAAGTGATGCTGATGCCATGAGGTTGGCGACAAGGATGAGTATCGCTCCCGAAGAGAGGCTAGGCTCGCATAGGGCCCGAAGTGAGCCCGGAGTCGAGCAAAAGGATGTGATGCAGAGTATTGAGGTTGGAGTTGAAGGTACGGAGGTGGTGGATGATGGATACGTTGAAGGAAGAGAAGAATGAGTCGAGTCTCCGAAAGTTGGGAGAAGGATTCATATCTTCTGCGCTACGCCAGGCTGAATATGGCTGGGCGTTGAGTTTGATGCCGAAAGAGGTCTACGATGTTTTACGAGCGAGTGCTAAGCGTCCCTTTCTTCCTCCGTTTTCCACGAGCCACTAGGAGAGTGGGACGTATACGATGGCTGCGAGCTTTGTCCTTCCCTTCTCGAGTTGGTCATTACGCTCAAATCTTGGTCTATTAGGCTCCTTGGTACATAGCTTTTTGCTGCATATATACCTTGATCTCTGTATCCTATCCCAAATAGCATTCGAAAAGCAAGAAGTTGAATGATATCCTTCATTTGCACTCAGGACAGTCTCTACAAAGTCAAGCCCGAGAATCAAACTCTCCTCCCACAGGAGATCTGTATCATCACGTTCCAAATTGTATGTATGCATGGCCTTTTCGCCCCATTGGGCAGTTGTGGAACACATGGCAGTCATTAGCCGGCCAAGCCCGAAAAGTGGAGCGTTTGGCGGAGACTCCATCACTGCATCGGTCATCTCTGGGGCTTCTAACCTCATGGCATAGCTCTGCCGACTTCCACGCACGGCAGTAGCTCGCTCTCAACATGCCGAGCACATATGTGAATCGTGAAGACCGTCACTTGTTTGTAGACACTCTGTTCATACACTCTTTCTATACTTTCGCGCAACGCCACGATCACTACCAAACATGGCGTCTCCAACCACCATGATCGATATCCTGCTGGCTCACCCTTTCGTGGTGATTCTGTCAACGATACTACTGATCCCAAGCGTAATACTAGCCTACGACGTCTACGCCTGGTATCACCTCCCTCCAGGCCCAATACCGCTTCCTTTCCTAGGCTCAAACCACTTGATACCCAAATCACAACCCTGGCTCCAATTCGAAGAATGGTCCCGCCAATACGGCGGCATCTATACTCTATGGATCGGCCGTAAACCGACTCTCATAATTTCCGATCCACAGATAGCCGTAGATCTTATGGAGAAGAAATCACAAAAGTACTCTTCTCGTCCACGAATGGTCGTAATGGGCGAAGTGTACAATGGCAATTCCTCCATTCTGACTCAGCCATACGGAAAGGCTTGGTCAATCAGAAGGAAACTACTTCATCAGGCTCTCAACCCAAAGGCGCTGAGATTATACAAGCCTACCCAGGAAGCTGAAGCAACGAGATTATGCAATGCGCTCCTTCACAATCCATCAGGATGGGAAAAAGAGCTCGAGCGCTTCACGAGCAGCGTCGTCTTCTGCGTGGCGTACGGCCACCGCATCGACTCCCTAAAAGCACAAGTCATTGCCGACCGGTTCCGCTTCATGCACTTCCAAGCCAGCTTGAACATACCCGGAAAGTACCTAGCCGAGACCTTCCCATTCCTCTCACTCCTCCCAACCTTTCTCGCACCCTGGAAACGAGAAGTCCAAGCCATGGGAGCCGAAGAGGGCAAAGCAAACCTTCAGCTCCTAGAAATGGTGAAGCAAGACATGGCCCAAGCCAAAGCCACCGGCAACCCCGAAACCGTCCCAGACAGCCTCTGCAAGCTCCTCCTCGAGCTACGAGAAAAAGAACCAGTCCCCCTAAGCGAGACCCACTTTTCCTACGTCCCTGCATCCCTCTTCGGCGCCGGCAGCGACACAACAGCCTCCACTCTCTGCACCGCCTTCCTAGCTCTGATAACCCACCCAAGCGTCCTCCGCACAGCCCAGGCAGAACTCGACTCCATGATCGGCAGCACCAGAACCCCAACCTTCGCCGACGAACCCTCCCTCCCCTACCTTCGCGCCCTTGTAAAGGAAACCCTGCGCTGGCGTCCTGTAGCCGTGCTAGGCGGCACCCCGCACGCCAGCACTGAACCAGATGTATACAACACCTTCCGCATCCCCACCGGAACCACAATCCTAGGAAATACCTGGGCGATAAACCTCAACCCAGCCTACTACCCCAACCCACACCTCTTCAACCCGATCCGCTTCCTCTCCACCCCCGAACTAGGCGCGATGGGAATCGAGAAACAGCCCCACGCCGGCACCAAAACGCACCCAGCGAAAGGAGCAGGCCATAGTTCCTTCGGCTGGGGTCGGCGGATCTGTCCCGGTGCCGATTTAGCGGTGAATTCGCTCTTTATTGCTCTAGCCAAGCTGATCTGGGCCTATGACATCCTATCCATCGATGGGGAGAAATATGACATCTTCGCTTACACGGACGGATTCAATGTCCGGCCGCGGAAATTCGACTGTATCGTACGAGTGAGGAGTCAGCGGCATCGGGAGGTTTTGGAGAGGGAGCAGGGGTTGGCTGAGGAGTGGTTGGGACGCTTTCCCGCGTTTGGGGAATGAACGAAGTCGAAAAGAAGGAAACTAGATGCCATCATGGCTCACTCGGTCGAACGAGACACTTGTCTGGAAGGCGGGGCCGCATAAGAGCGCGAACTTTTTTAATGCTCCATAGTGCGGAAGCCAATCGATTCTGACAGCCTCATCGACGGGAAAGGGAGGGGGGAGTGGGGATAATCAAGAGCGAACATCCAAACCACGGAATGCTTTTGACTCATATATACCACAGCCCTTCTAATGCGCCTCCCCATCCCCATTTACCGCCACGGCCCCATCATTCACCTTCTCCGTCCCCTCAGCAGCCTTCTCCAACTTCCCCACCGCATCGGCCGAACCCTTCGGCGCCCCGTTCCCCTCACACTCAACCTGAACCCCAGACAATGGAGACGAAGGCTCCATATCAAGCGTATTGGACCTCTTAGGCCTGAACGGCACAGGAGTCGAAGGGCGTGAGGACAAGAACTACAACCCATCAGCTTACGAGTCGATCGATCGGGAGGGGGCGAGATCATGTAGGGAGAAGAGGGGGGGAAGGGGAAAAAGAAAAGAAAAAACTCACGGAAGAAGCAGCCCCCAACAGCGCAAACAGCGAACTCTGCACCACATCCTCATGAATCCCCACCCCCCACACCTTCTGCGCCTGCCCCATAGCCGTACACTCAATAAAAGTCGCAGCCTGCGTATCCCTGCCCTTCCTCTCCTTGCCTCCCTCCCCCTCTCCTCCCACCCCCGCACCCCGCTTTTCAATACTATGTTCCTTATAATCCGCAATATCGATGTCGATGCCCAAATTATTGAGTGCGTGGGCCAGGGCGGAGAGGGCGCCGTTTCCTGAACCGGTGAGGTGGTGTTCGGTGCCGTCGATTTCGATGACGCCGTCGAATTTGCGGAGGAGGTTGCGGGACGGGGCGGTTTTGCCTGATGTCGTCTGTGCTGGTTTCGATGCGTCGGTTGTTACTGTTGTGGGTGGTGCGGCGGCGGTGGTGGTGGAGCTGCGGTCGGTGGTGATGTTGTAATCGATCAGACTGAACCTCGGATTTCGATTGAGATGGTACGCTTCGGTGAAGAGATCCTTGATCTCATTCGGCAGCATTTCTCGTCCCAGCATATCCGTCTCCCGCTGCACGATCTTGCTAAACGCTACTTGCAAACCTCTCGGTAAATCGAGCTGCAAAGTCCGTTTGATAATCCACGCCACCCCACCCTTCCCACTCTGGCTATTCACGCGAATAATAGCCTCGTACGTCCTTCCAATATCTTCCGGGTCGAGGGGGAGATAAGGCATAACCCACGGATCTGTCGAGGTCGCGCCAGCTGTTTCCCGTGCTTGGAAACCCTTTTTGATGGCGTCTTGGTGGGAGCCGGAGAAGGCGCAGACGACGAGTTGGCCGCCGTAGGGTTGGCGGGGATGGACGGGGATTTTGTTCGAGGTTTCCACTACATCTATTACGCTGTTCAGGTCGCTGAAGTCGATGCCGGGGTGGATGCCTTGGGTATACAAGTTGAGAGCGAGAGTTACGAGATCCACGTTTCCTGTTCGCTCGCCGTTGCCGAAGAGTGTACCTTCTACTCGATCCGCACCAGCCATCTGTGCCAACTCTGCCGCCGCAACTGCACATCCTCGGTCGTTGTGTGGGTGAAGAGACACACTAATCTTCTCTCGTTCGGAGATCTTTGTGCAGAAGAACTCGATCTGATCGGCATAGACGTTCGGTGTGCTCATCTCCACCGTCGCGGGGAGGTTGAAAATGATGGGATTCTCGACCGAAGGCTCCCACGCCGCTTTCACCCCCTCACACACCTTCAACACAAACTCCGGGTCGGAATCGGAGAAAGTTTCCGGCGAGAACTCATACGCCCACTCCTCCACCCCCGAGTTGGGGTCATCTTTCGTGATACTCCTCGCATATTTCGTGCACTCCACAGCCAAAGCCATACTCTGCTCATTATCCATGCCAAAGACAATCTGCTGAAAACACGGCGAAGTGGCGAGATAGAGATGGAGGATCGCCTTCTTCGCCCCCTTGAGACTCTCCACCGTCCGCTTGATCAACTCTTTCCGACACGGCGACAGGACTTGGAGCCAGACATCATTCGGCACGACTCCGGGGGTGGTCACGAGACGTCGGGTGAAGTCAAAGTCGGTCGCTCCTGACGAAGGATAGGAGATTTCGATCTCTTTATACCCCAGTTTCACTAACATCTGGAAGTAGCGGAATTTCTGCTCGCCGTCCATGGGGTCGACGAGGGATTGGTTGCCATCGCGGAGGTCGGTCGCTAGCCACCGGGGTACTTTGTCGAGGGTTTTGCTCGGCCATTGGCGGTTGGGGATATCGAGAGGTTTGAAGCGGCGGTACTTCTTTGACGGATCCTTGAGCCTGTGTGTGTTTTGTTCAGTAGATGTTGCATTACTTGTACCTCATCTTGGCCATGGTGGGGTAAGACGGACATTACCATGATCGCTATGGACGCGCACTCACTTACGCCGGGTCTGGAAGGGACGGTGTTTAAGTGAGGGCAGAGATGATAGTAAGAAACTTGTACGCCTCGGAATATAGAATATGGTATTCAATGGCTGGCAACATGTCAAAATTACCCTTCTTCAATGTGACTCTTCTCCCTCTTCTCCCACAAAAATGTTTCACCTACGCCCTTCCGACCCCGCAATCCAGTGACGCAGGGCCGGCAGCCGTTCCGCTCTCGCGCTACAGTAGCCAACCGGCTACTCTGATACAGGACCAACTACGGTGTACTCCCACCTCCACCACCAAGAACACTTAAAAGTTGTGAACACCAACGTGCCGTAGCCATACGGCCGACGAGATGATACAACACGACTCTGTTCTGTATCGATTATTGTTGCGGAATATCTGCTCATGTCATAGTGGTCAACACGGAAGATGTATATGGCCCTTTTCTTTCCACATCGCCAGCTTCATCAACGACCAGGCAATCCAAGTCCTTTCTGTGTTGAACCACATAGTTGATAGAAACCCATAAAGTCGCCACCAATGACAATGACTACATCGTAGACGTCTGTCAGGCTTAAATTTCAAGGGAGAATCATTCATTCGGCATGGACATGCCCTCGACAGTATGTAGCGTTATCCTGCGAGAAGCGGCAGACAAGCAACGAATCTATCACCCTTACGACCAACATCATGCAGCCTCAGCCGCCCCATTACCTGCCCACCACCGATCAGGACTAATAAGACCACTCAAAGGAGATATCCCACCACTTAGCTTACGCCTACATCGCGCGACTAACGTGCTGGCATCATGAGCGAGACTTTCTGACAGTCAAGGCAAAACTTCTGTAGCATACTGAGCACTCTCACAGCAGTCCATTTCACCACATCGATACTAGTCGCGGGAGACATAGTATGGACTTTGGCGAAGCACTACTGCATAATAGCAAGCAATGCAGCAGCACAAAGAGTGTCTCCGGCCTGAAGTTTCCTCCACCGGGGCATCTCGGCTCCACACAGGCCAGAACTCTCACCACATATTCTCCAGCTTCCTGCATATGTTTGCGCATCACCTGGCAGCTATTGACCTGCGCACCCTCCGAAGTGCAGACTGAGCCGCCAATTTTCCCGCATAAGCTGCATGACTACCTACCGGCGAGCGAGGCAAAGCGGAAGTACGGGCGAGATTGTCCTCCCTCCATTGGACAACTCCTGGACAGCAGTCTTGGGCATGGCCCGGCAAGGACTGTAACGATCTCGTCATATATCCACGCTGATCAAGACATGTCCGAGCGTGGAGACCGAGGGATCTGCAAGTACAGCAATCGGGTCTCCAGCGAAGCGAAGTCCATTACACCGCCAGAGTTTTTACTCTAACAAAAAGTCACTGGTACACACACTGCAACGTATTGGCGGGATCCGAATTCTTCCGCCGCTTCACCTCGTGACCCCCGACGACTACAGACACATGATATGTCCATCAAGCAGCCCGATGTACCTAGCTAATCTAGGCGCGTCAATTACCCCAAAGCTTCTTGTTCGTGCCTAACTTGTGTTCGAGATGCTTATACTGTAGGAGGTTTGGTATGGAGGCAAGTACCAAGATTCTTCCGTGGCATGCTTTACTTCGATCGTCAGATGCACGACGACATGCAGCGGCTGGGAATGATATAAGAATGCAAGCGAGCCACCATCGTAATCAAACCAAAACCTCAATTACTCTGCTATTCTTATGCTGGCACGACCATGCCTACCCGGACCAAGCTTTACCGAGCTACCGGCCTCCTGGCCACGGCCTCCCTCGTTGCCGCAGGCCCTTGTGACATCTATGCCTCTGGCAACACTCCTTGCGTAGCCGCTCACGGCACCACCCGCGCCCTTTACAACTCCTACTCTGGTCGCCTCTACCAGGTCCAGCGTGGATCCGATAATGCCAAGCAGGACATCAGTGCTCTCTCGGCCGGAGGCGTGGCGAACGCAGCAGCCCAAGACAGCTTCTGCTCTGGAACAACATGTGTGATCACGACCATCTATGATCAGTCTGGCCGTAACAACCATCTCACTCCTGCACCGCCAGGTGGAGCAGCCAAGGGCCCACAAAGTGGAGGCTACGACAATCCAGCTTCGGCTATTGGTGCACCGGTCACACTCAATGGGCAGAAAGCATATGGCGTCTTCATCTCTCCTGGGACAGGGTACCGCAATGACGCCACCTCTGGTATCGCTACAGGGGATGCAGCAGAAGGGATGTACGCTGTCCTGGACGGCACTCACTACAACGGTGGCTGTGAGTCGGAGGATCGTATAGACCTAAGAAGGCTTTGATGGAATCTGACCATCGCTTTTAGGTTGCTTCGACTACGGGAACGCGGAGACGAGCAACACAGACACAGGCTCCGGACACATGGAAGCCATCTACTACGGTACCTGCACAATCTGGGGCACTGGTAGCGGCAATGGTTAGTGACAAGATAGGTAACATCCCTTTGTCGAAGACTGACAATCCCTAGGTCCCTGGGTCATGGCCGACTTGGAGAATGGCCTCTTCTCCGGCTACAATCTCAAGCAGAATACAGCCGATCCTACACAATCGTCTCGTTTCGTGACAGCCGCGGTGAAAGGCGAGCCCAATCAATGGGCCATTCGTGGAGGCAACTCGGCCTCCGGGGGTCTGTCGACATACTACAGCGGGACACGGCCAAACGCCGCCGGGTACAATCCAATGCACAAGGAAGGCGCGATCATTCTCGGCATTGGTGGGGACAACAGTATCTCCGGCCAAGGAACATTCTACGAGGGCGTCATGACCTCCGGCTACCCCACCGATGCTATCGAGAACTCCGTACAGGCCAACGTGGTAGCAGCGAAATACGCCGTAACCTCTCTTACCAGCGGCCCAGCCGTCAACGTAGGCTCGAAGGTCTCATTCCACCTTACCACGCCCGGTTACACGGATCGCTACCTCGCGCACAACGGCTCATCAGTCATAACCTCGATCGTCTCGTCCTCATCCCCATCCTCTGCTCGCGGCTCCGCTAGCTTCACCGTCCGGACCGGCCTTGGCTACAGTGGCTGCGTGTCCTTCGAGAGCGTCGACACTCCCGGCTCCTTCATCCGCCACTACGACTTCGTGCTCGAGCTCAACGCCAACGATGGCAGCCAAAGCTTTGCCGAGGATGCAACATTCTGTCCTCAAGCAGGTTTGAGTGGAACGGGAAACACAATCAGAGCATGGGGCTACCCGACCAGGTTCTTCAGGCACTACTACAATGTCGGGTATGTGGCTAGTGAGGGTGGGCCAGAGGCTTTTGATTCCACGACTAGCTTCAACAACGATGTCACTTTCCTTGTGCAGGCTAGTCTGGCTTGAGTGAGGATGTGATGTCGCATGAATGTGGCATGAGTCTAGCATGACTGGGACCGTAGCCATGAGACAATGCTCGAAAACATGACAATAAAAGTCGTTGTTTAAAATCTGAACAGCAGACCTGGCAGCGAACGAGTGCTTATACTATTCTCTGGCCCAAACTCCTTGCTAAACAATCTTCGCAGCTCGCAGCTATCAGAACCCTCTCTCTCATGAGGCGACCTTCATGCTGTAAACCGGTAACGTCACATCCTCATTATCGACGTGGCGATATACTGGCAACACCTCCGATTGCTCCATGCCGTCCTGAAGCTTCGTGTCTTGAGCGGCAGCGTTGTAGTAGACAGTCCCGTGGCCTTTCGTGGCATTCTTAATCTTCAAGCTGCGCTTCTCCTTTTTGTGCTCCTTGGCTTGTTTGACGAGGGCAACGCCGGCGATGACCAGGAGGACCGGGATGAAGAAGACCATCGTAGTATCGAGAGGCCGGGTATTGGTGAGCCTGAGTTATGCTGTTCAAAAGCGACGGAAGAGTGACGGCTGAAGGGGGTGGCGATGCTGACTGTGCAGATGAAATAGTGTTGTTGTGTTTCGCGAATCCGTAGGGGTATTCAGTCTGAAGCGTAGTAGATTCTTGAGTATTGCAAATATATCTGTCGTGATTCATTTGGGGACTGCCCTCGCAGTCTATATATTATTCCGGACACTGGATGGGTGTGTTCGCGATTCTCGCAATCGCACCTCGCAACGCTCGCAGACACAGCCATCTTGAGTTGACGTGGTGGCGCAGTCGCAAAGGTCATGCGTAGGAACGAGAACGACGGAAGCTCGACATCCGAGAGATACCAGCTTACGGCCGATATGTACACATGCCTCACCTGCTAATGTGTTGCAAAGCAGAACAGATCTCTTTCAGAAATGATTTCAGTCCCCAAGTTTTGAATCACGGTCTCGGCGTGACAGCTTCTCCAACGCTGCTTGGCGTAGAACTATACACTACAGCGCGGGAATAGTTTTCTGTACAAGAACCTTGATTGACGACTTGCGTATTTGGAGCCAGAGTTCCATAATCGATCAGTCCGCTCGCGACGACGGCCGTCACAGCTTTCGAAATGCTAGCGGCTTGATACGTTGTGTCGGCACCCTCTGGCCCAGAAGTGATTACTTACGTATCAACCTCAGCGTCCCACTAATCGAGCGGCGCGATATGTGCTGTACGTATTTCTACGCCGGACGTATTCTGCGGTCACAAGACCAGCCAGTTGATCGCAATGGCGACATGTCGTTGTTTGCCGCTTGAAGAAGAGAGCCATAGTGCTACAACGATGCCAGTCTTTCGGCCCCCAATCCTACTGCTGCGCCACCAATCTCATTGAACTAGGTCAACTCCATTGTTCAAATGCCGAGTGTCGCCCCCGATAATGCCTCATCGACGTGTCGGAGGTGCCGTGTATGTGTGGCAGCGTCGTCTGCAGCAATGATGAGTGTTCGAGAGCGCATGCGTGCATACGAGAACACATCGAGGAAATTTGGTCGTAACGAAGAACGGGAAGAACGACCCGCGCTTCCCCAACGCCCCTCAGCGCGCCCAGATGCAGCCAAGAAAGATTCCATATCTTTCGCAATACAAGACAAGCAACGACCTATCATTCCACCCAAAGCCAAGTCGCTGAGCGGCAAGCTAGTCACGCTGCCAAGATCGAATGCATTGGGAAGGCACGAGCTTGATAGAGATGCGAATGAGCCATTGATCACACTCTCGGATAACACCAATGACGGCAACGAGCATGAATGCCGGCCATCCTTACCGGCTCGCAAGAGCACGAGCCGTCTACTCACGGAGGACGCATCCATCGATGGCGCGGGCAGCAGACCACCTCTGGTATTCAGGACATTGACTGGTGGCTTACAACAAGCTGCCTCCTTTGTCCAACGAGAAGTGCCCAAAGCTGCTCGGAGCGCCACGAATGGTGCACAGAACACCCTCGACCAGATTCAACGGCAAACGCCCGGAGTATTCCAGCAAGCTGGGCAGAACATATCAAAAGCTTTCGAAGAAGTCCACTCAGGCATCACGAAAGTCGTCAACGACATCCCCGTACCAAAAGCCTTCACCCAGACCGCAGAAGATCTTTCCGACTTATCGAGACTCCAGCTCGGGAAACCCGGTCTATGTAGCCGATGCGCCATGCTCGACCTCACTAGCTGCTTCACCAGTAACGCCGACAACACCAAAGACCCATACGTCTGCTGGACATCCCCCCTCTCCCGAGTAGCACTCCACTATCCATGGTGCGTAATCTGCCGACTCCTCGTCTCCATGCTCTCACGAACCGAGAACGATCCACTATCAGCAGGCAACATACGACAGCACATCGAGCAAGAACACCTCAGGAACCTCCCCTTCCGCGACTGGATCTCACAAGGCCACATCCACCAAGACGCAAGCTGGCCCTTTGGCAAAAGCGAAGACAGGCACGAAGGCGCCACCCAAGTTGTCGGACCGGCATCCGAATACCTCCTCGGTGTAGCGAAGCGAACTCGGCATGTAGGCTATAAAGTCCTGATCCGATCCGCCGCGGGGAGACCTATAGTACTACAGCGAAAAGACTTGAGGCAGACTGGTGCGCAAAGATACAGAGCCGGTGTCGAGCGAGGTAGAGAGAAATCCCGACAATTCCCCGCCAGTGCCACGATCATAATCACTGTCTCGAAATCTGGCGCCGAGAAGCCAGGTCTCATGTGGGTAGATCTTTTCGCTTCGAGCAATAAACTAGGAGCGGAGCAGGAGGTAGTGAGCCACTTCATGCTTCGCGCAGTGAAGAACGGCATCTCAGTCCATAACAATCCCGAGGTAGGATTGTCCTACGGCCATGTGCTGGACAAGCACTGGATCGATGTGGAGATGGCGAAGCTGTGGTTGAAAACGTGCGAGATGCATCATAGTCCTCACTGCAGTGAGCACGGCTGGGCGCTGGCACTGGACAAGCCCAGATTCCTTCGAGTTATCGATGTGGAACGCCTACAAGTTCTCCGAGTCCCAGATCCGCGGGAATGTCGGTTCGTCGCGCTCAGCTATGTATGGGGCGGTGCGGGGATGCTGAAGCTGCGGTACACGAATCTCGAGGAGCTTTCAAGACCATTTGGGCTAAGGGGATACCTCGACAGCTTACCGCGGACTATATTGAGCGCAATGCAAGTTGTCAAAGCCATGGGTGAGCGGTACTTATGGGTGGATGCTTTATGCATACTACAGGAGCCATGCACGGAGTCTCAGGCACAGATTGATCAGATGGACTCGGTGTATGGGTCTGCATTGTGCACCATTACTGCGGCTGCCGGCACGCACGCCGATGCTGGATTTGCGGGCGTGAGGATAGAGGTCAGTGGGAGTGGTGTCGACAGCAGATCTAATTCGTCCAGACAAGTGGTACAGCTGACAGCTCCCGCCAAAAACAACATCACTATCATCGCGCCATCCCAGCCCGAGACTACACAACCACTTCCGCCAGGGACTTCAACATGGCAGGCTCGAGCCTGGACCTTTCAGGAGAAACTGCTCTCTCGTCGGCTACTTTTCTTCTCCGACAACGAGATGACATGGCACTGCCGCGGCATGATCGCGAAAGAAGACATGCTCGCTCAGGACTGCGGCTACGAAACTCCGGAGCTCGACTGGCTGGCCTTGAAACCTCAGCATCTCGGTGTCGGCGTGGACACACACTGGAAAGACGGCAGTTTCGAGATCACTCGTCATGGTCGTACACACCTCGTGCGTTCGGCCACCTTTAGCGAATATGCACGTGTAGTGGCGCAGTATACTCAGCGAAGTATGTCCTACGAAAGTGATGCAGTGAATGCGCTTGCTGGGTTACTACGCATCTTCTCAAAAGCGTTCGAGTCGCCTTGCTTATATGGTCTTCCAACGGTCTTGCTCGATGTCGCTCTTATGTGGCGGCCCGTGGAGTCAGTAACGAGACGTGATGCACAGCTTGGTTTTCCTTCCTGGTCCTGGGCTGGATGGAGAGGGAGGGTGAAGTACGCTGATCTGATATCGATCCGACGGGATGAGGCCGGTCAGTTCATCTCGATCGAAGGCGTTCGACCTCTGCTGCGCTACTTCGTGTTTGATGCGGTGAGTGCTAGGCTTCAGCCATTGAATGGGACCAGTCGAGGAATACCAGGTCTAGGTGGTGAAGACATGCCGCTGGAATGGGAAGCTCGTGGGAGGAACAGACAGGATCCAATGCTTTCTGACCTCTCAACTTTGCTGTTACAGCACGTCAGCAATCGCCATCTCATCTTCTGGGCGAGCTGGTCAGATCGGTATCACTTATCCGCGGTAGGCGAGGAGCTGAATATCCTTGACGCCGAGCAGCATGTCGTGGGTGTCGCAGCACTTGACAGCCACGAAGACAGGAGTATTTCAATCGGCATGAATAAGATCCAGGTCTTCGTGGTGAACGAAGCACACTCTTCCTCCTTGGCTCCTGGTAGCTCAGACGATGCTTTTCCTGCTTATACTGTCATGTTGGTCGAGACTGACGCCCGGACTGGAGTATCCAACCGTAAGGGCTTGGGATGGGTGTCGAAAGCGGCATGGCTAGCAGGTCAGTGTGAGGACAAACTAATATATCTTGGCTGAGTGCCTTGCAACTGGTTTGAAGTGGCGCCACCAAGGCTTTTGACTTAGGTGCGGATGAATGTTGAATAAATCCTCGAGGGACTATCCCGTGTGTATCTGTTAGGAAGTGGGCTGGTGTGGGAATGGTGTAGGTTCGTGAAGTCTCGGAATCCCATCAGCCGTCGCCTAAGACGTTGAGTGCCAACTCGTCAGACATAGAACGCCATGGTCCATGTCGATACAACCATACAAAAGCTTCAGTGCTTAGCATTTGTTATTCATGAGGCTCACATGACCACGAACGTGAAGTATTAGCTGTCAAAGCTATCGTGGTGCAGGTGCAGGTTGACGTAGCATGTTCTTCCTGCTGACGCCGCCAAAGTGGAGTGGAGTACCTAGGGTCCAAGAGAAGGATAAGTGTGCCTTAACCCCGGGTTTTTCGCCGGCTTCATCAGGCAATGGCTGTCTCACACAGATGTAGCAGTACTGAACAGCAGCAAAGAATGCCGAGGACATGAGATCGTGGCTTTGAAGCAGTAGAGTGGTAGATTCTGATGCTAGTAGGCGGTGAGAAGGAAGAACAAGGCAGAGGTGGGAGAGGAAAGTTTGGGAAAGGTGTGCTCGATCACTGATGTTTCTCGTTGCGGAGCACGTCTGCTGAACCGTGCACGAAAGCGAACTGGCGCACGTCTGAAGCGATGATGGTGTCGAAATCGTGGGTTCTTCTACTGCCCTGTAATGTCCTCTCAGTGCCCTCAATTATGTTTGGATGACCTCCCCCGATAACGACGAACACGAATTACTTGACACAATCCCATGTCGTGACCTCAGGCCCGCCTTGTTTTCGCCGAGTCATTATTCGCGAGCTCGTGCTTAGCAACTGCATTGTTGCTGGTCGGAATCGGCTCCATTTGACTGCAGATTTAGGATCAGACGTGTTGAGCATTCACCCAGCAGGCAGTACGAAGCATCTACCACGCATTCACACGCCTAACTTGGCAGGAGAGAGTGCACACGGTACTTGTGGCGGCGTGAAGCAGGGCGGCGCTTCTTTGCCAGCGTACACCAGCGAATCAAGCCTACGACGTCTTCATCCACGCCAGAAAAGGCCGGATAGGCATCAATAGCGACTAACCCGCCCATCTACCTCACATTGGCTTCCACAGTCGACACCACCTCACATACACCCATGCGGTGAAGAGCCGCAATGTCCACTCCGCAGACGCTCACACAAGCGCTGCCACCACACCAGCATTTCGACCACCACCGCCAGACATACCTCCCCTCACCCCAAGAACGGTATCTGCCGCCGCCGAGGCCAAGCAGCAACATCAATTTTCACCACAATTCAATACCGACCAGGCCGACCAGCAACGTACAGCTTCATCCTTTGCCGCCCCCACCACGCTCACAAAGCGGCATGAGCAACGGCTATACTAGCAGCCACGGCCAAGCAAGAGGAGGTGCTGAGTACGGCTCATATCACAACAGTGACCTATCGTCACTGCAGCAGCAGCAGCAGCAGCACGCAAGTGGAAGAGACGAGATCGCAAGGACGAATAGTGCGGCAAGTCGGTACTCGAGAACATTACCTCAGCCGGATCCACGTCACGAAGCACGTGTGCAGCAGCAACCAGTGACGTCTGCAGCTCAAACATCTTACACTGCCACAGCAGCAGCACGTGCTGAGGCGCAACAATCTAGTATGGAGAGAAAACGAAGAAGAGACAAAGACGTGGATTGGGAGAGCTACTATGGCGGCTTGGCACCAAAAGAGATCATTGTCATCCACGACGATGATAGTCCGGTGCCAGAGGACACACAGGCTGGAGCACAGCAGCAGGTACCACAAGCACGACCACTGCCGCAGACGAACGGCACTTCGGCACCACATCACGTCGACAAGAGACGGCGGGTGAATGCTGTTGGCGCTGACATTCCAAACTACAGCGCCACCAACACGCCCTACTCCAATGGCAAATCCACAGACAGTCTCGTCAACACGACCGCACCAACGTCACTCGGCTCGAATGGTAGCACCAGCAGCAGACTAGACAGCACGCAAACTGGCCAGAAGCGGAAACGAACAACGAGGACATCCGAAACCGAGCGCAAGAAGCAGGAGACTGAGCGATCGGGCCCGAGAGGCTATCTGGCAGAGTATGGAGAGTATGTGCCGCCACCGAAGCAGTATAAGAAGCAGAAGGAGGTCCAGGTGCCTGTCCTGCATGATCGACATAAGACGAATGAGAAGATCGATGATGAGGATGGTCATTATCTTGTTCACGAGAATAGTCGATTGGGTGAGAAGTATACTCTGCTCGATCTGCTTGGCCAAGGCACCTTTGGCAAAGTAGTCAGAGCTATGGATTTGAGGTCGAGGAAGGAGGTGGCTGTGAAAGTTATTAGGGCTGTGCCGAAGGTACGCATGCATTGTTACAACCAGGTGTACATCTGCTGACCGTGTTGATCACAGTACCGAGACGCCAGCCGGATCGAACTTCGTGTGTTACAGACCCTTCGCTCAGCAGACGAACACAACCGAAATCGCTGTATCCAACTCCGCGACTGCTTCGACTGGCGAGGTCACATCTGCATCGTCACACCCCTCCTCGGCCTCTCAGTCTTCGACTTTTTAAAACAAGGCGGCTTCGTACCCTTCCCAGGCTCGCACATCCAAGCTTTCGCACGACAATTACTAGGCTCCATTGCATTCCTACACGACTTGAATCTCATCCATACGGACTTGAAGCCGGAGAACATCCTTCTGATCAGCCATGCCTACCAGACTTTCACATATAACAGGAATATTCCAGCATCTTCGACATTGAATGCCAGGAGTGCAAAGTTCAGGAAGGTGTTGCTTACGCCGCAGATCAACCTGATAGATTTTGGGAGTGCGACGTTCGATGATGAGTATCATAGCTCCGTTGTGAGTACGAGGCATTATCGGGCGCCGGAAATCATCCTCGGAATCGGTAAGTCCCAAAACCCCACCAGAGCCTTAAAACTAAATCCACTGCTAACATCAGCTCCCCACCAGGCTGGTCGCACCCCATCGACCTCTGGTCCCTCGGCTGCATCCTAGTCGAATGCTGGACCGGCGACGCCCTCTTTCAAACCCACGACTGCTGCGAGCACCTCGCCATGATGGAAGCCGTCATCGGCTCACCCATAGACAAATCCCTGATCAAAGAAGTGAACCGCACGAGCAAACGCGGTGACCGCAATTCTCCCGCCCGCTTCTTCAAGAACTTGCACCTCGCCTACCCTTTACCGGATACACCGCGCCAAAGTAAACGTTTCGTGCGAGGCATGAAGAGGTTAGAGGATATCATCCCCGTCCCGCATTCTTCTTCTGGCGCACCGGCCGCTAGTGGGAGCCAGGCGCGCTTTAACCAGTTGTTTTTGGATCTGTTGAGGAAGATTTTCGTGTATGATCCCAAGAAGAGGATTACGGCGCGCGAGGCGCTGAAGCATCCTTGGTTTGAGGAGTTGGTGGAGGATGATGGGACTGAGGCCGGGAGGATTAGGGTGGAGAGGGAGAGGATTGAAAGGGAACGGGAGAGCGGGCAGGGACAGCAGGCTAGGGCGGGTGCGACGGCGGCGCAGGGGGGGTATGCGGGGGGTAGGCGGTAGTGAGGGTGTTGGGCTGGATTTGGCCCTTTGCGTGGACTTTCTGTGGCTGTGGATGGCAAGAGTCAGAGGAGATGGCGACGAGGGTCGGACTTCTGATGCTTGGTTTGCTCTGTGCTCGTCATGGTTGTCATGAGATATACGATGGCATACGGGATGGCGTTCGAATACTCCATAAAGAACGTATGTGCATGCAATGCAATGCTCACGAGGGCCCTTTCTCTGCCTCCGACTATGGAGCTCGGCGTCTGATACACATTGTGCTGCCCGTCGACGGTGAATGGAATTGACGACGCCAACGGGCTTGGGGTGATTTTGACCTGGCAAAGCAAGGGGGTCTGGTGCGGTATCTGTGTCGCTGTATCGGACGGTACTGACCGTCAGTCACTCTGTCTTGTTTCCGGCTAATGAGACAGGAACAGACCAATGAGCGAGCGAGGTTGTGTAGGATGATTACTCACCGCCTTGGCAAAACCGCATTGCTTCTCTTTCTGCAACGCGCCCTACGACGCATCAAGCACAGCTTCTAATGCGTTCAACACCGGCCCAAGTGTATTCATGGCTGAGTCTGAGTCTGAAACCATGGCATTTGACCACGATAACTCTGTCCAGGACTTCGCCGTCTCCAAGCAGGAATACCTGAAGCTGCGTCCAGATATGAGTTTCCGCCATATTGCCACAAGCGTGCTTGTCGTGAGCCAAAGTTTTGGAGGCGAACCACGAATTCTGCTCCTTCAGCGTGCGACCAGCGACTCGCATCCGAACAAGTGGGAGCCTCCAGGAGGAGCCTGCGATGACGAAGATCCCAGCATTCTCCATGGTGCTGCTCGAGAGCTGCGGGAGGAGACTGGGTTGAAGGTTTCTCGCTTTGATGCTGTGGTTGGTGAACCTTATCACTTTGAGGTGAGAAGTGGTCGGAGAGTGGCGCGGTTTCATTTCGCTATCAGAATCAGGGTCGATAGTGGAGCGTTGCCGGTGGTGAGACTTGATCCGGCGGAGCATCAGCATTTTGTGTGGGCCAGCGAAGCTGAGATTGTGGCAAGGAAGTCAGGTGGGATCGGTCTTGAGTTCACGAATGATTATCTGACGGATGTTCTGGTTCTGACTCTACGGAACTGCGTCCAGCTACCAGTGGCGCTTACATAAGGTACTCATGGAGCTCAAGCCAGCCCTTCGGAAACGGACAACTTCAAGACCTCCTGGGGAATTTCATGCAGCAGCTCGACGTCATTGCCTTCCCACCAGCTCATCAATTGTGACTTTCCACCGAGCAGTGCAGTTTTGCTCAAGTAATAACTGGAAATCCGAAGGCAAGTACGCGCTTTGGGAGCACGCGCCAGACCGTCGAGTAGTATGTTATGAGCTTTGGGTGTGGACTTGGCCTCGACCAGTATTGAGCTCCTCCCGAAGAAATCAGACAATGTCTGCTGGCAGCGCTGCGTGTTCCTTGGGTGGACATCCGTTACAGTAGTGTGCTCAACAGCTACTTGACCACAGCTGCCTAACACAGCAACAGGGACTGAATTGTACACTAATGACGTAAGTTCTATTACAGATCGCCTTGCGCGCCCAAAGCCGGACCCGCGCTGCGAGCAATTTGTTGAGAGATAGCACCTGACTCGCTACTTGGCACGCATACAGGCGTCACACGAGCGTACTGATTATCTTTCAACACGAACCGAATAAGCCGGCAGACAGAGTTCGGACTTTGTGCACGTAATGAAAGTGGGCCAGGCGGGCAGTACCCGCTCGCGGCGCACCCAGATGTTCAAGTATACATCACACATACTTTAACCCATCACGTTTGAACAGGCAAGCAGACAATGAGGCAATCAGACAGGCAGGCAACCAGACAGGCAAGCAACCAGACGGGCAGGCAAAACTTACTACAGCTCACCACGGGCGGAGACTCATCATGAGCCACAAACAGGATCTTCAGAAACATGATCTCCAGACTGAAGACATGTCCTCGCCACGCGATACCAAGCCCTCCCTCCGACACATCGTCTGGCACGAAAGCCTTCCCATCGGCTGCTTCGTCGGCCTACTGAGCGCGATACCCTTTTACCTTCAAGATTACAGCCTTGCAATGCAAATATAACGCCTGGACCACAATCTGGCTGACCGCTTTCTTCCTCAGCCCACGCCTGATTTCCACCTCTTCCGCCAGTATGATGATGATCGCTTGGACCGGCTTGCTGAGGGACTTTGTTATGCTCTGGGACCTCTACAATGCTAGTTCGAGACGGGCCATGGCTGGCACTAATGGTGGCGTGGCGGCCGTGCTATCAGTACTTGAGATGCTCGTAGGACCCCTGGTCATGACGATCGCAGCCGGCATTACGAGTTGGGGCTGGATCCTGTGGTGGGGTCGTGCTCCTACTGCTGCTGTTGCGGAGACGAGCATTGAAAATGGGGAAATGGCTTGTAAGCCCGAAAAGGTCTGATTTTCCTCGCAAGTCACATTACGCTTGCTCCGACGCAAAGTATGAGATCATACTCGCACCGGTCGCCTGATGAGTCCTTCACCGTCAAGTTTCAGACCAGTCCCTTCCCATTCAATCGACTAAGCACAGCATCCTGCTATCCAAGATCCTGCTCCATCTAAAACTTATCGGCATCTACAAACCTCCGCTTTTGGACCGCTACCTGGCAGGTCGCTTTTTGCCGTAGCTTCCACTTCTCGCCTCCGTCCGCCCATACCATCGCTGCATGGCTTCGCACGTGCATTTAGAGAAACTATGTTTAGCCTTTGCGATTTCGGTAGATCTGCTGGAATAACGATGGAAAAAGGCGAGATGGTAGGCGGAGTGGAGGAGGTAGAACCTGGCATTAGCAGCAGATGAGGAAAGTCTCCTTCCAATGTGTCTTCTTGTTCAGAGTATCGAGCTGAAGACTTTAAAGGTCTTCCATTATTGGGATCCCAACTACGAGGTGTCTGGTCATGTGTGGCTTACTAGTCGGGAGATGTTTGCGAAGTAAATTTCTCTTTAGAACAGTCGGTAGAACGGAGGGCTTGGGGTCTCTCAACGCCGGCTTCGCGGACTTCCGATCTGGAGGGATAGGGTCTCGTAGGAGGCGGCTCGAAGCGAGTCTGTACTGCGATGCCAAGTTGATACAGAAAGTTTTGGTGCCATGACGGATCAAGTGGATGGCCTCCTTGGGCTGCCAAAGGCTCCTGATGGACTTCGAGGGTGTGTCTGGATATCACCCGCGGTAAAATCATGATGTGCCCTGCTCGGCGCAGCTGTTCACGCAACTATACACTTCTCGAAGGACAAGCTCAACCCCTTGGTCGTCTCGAAATGGGCGAATTGACGTATCCTCTTCGGAATGACCCGCCGCTCGAGGTATGCCGTAGATACGTCTCGCTACTCTGCCACCCATCACTAAGTGACCATCGCCAATTGGAAGTATTGGCATCCAGCTTCATGTCTCGATATAGCCACATTGCTCCATCATCACTCTGCGCGAAATATCTCCATCTAGCTTCCTCGGTCTCTGCCGAAGCCGGAGGTTCGTGTCTGATCTGCCAGGTCATAGTCGGAACGGCGAATCGCTGCCAGACTGAAGGTCCGCCGCCAAGCCATGTTTGCTCGGAATTGATTAACGGTCGTCGGTGCTCTGTAGGTATGGCGCGGACGTGCGGGTTGCGCCAGCCATTTGGATCAGACCTGGATACTAATGCATGAGGCGATGCATCGCCTATCACGAATGAGAGCTCGACACTGCATTCCCTCACGAGTGCGGCTTCTACGAGGTCCCAAACCATACCCATGGTGACCAATGACTTGTCGCTTCGGCGCCGCCCACTACCTTTGTTCGAAGACACTTCGGCGCCTGATCGGGCAACACGGTTATTCGTACTATGCCAACTGTGTGTCCAGTCCATCTGCATCATCGGAAGTTGTGAAACGCACATGCGTCGCCATGATGCCTCTGGGCGTGTGAACGCTTGCCGAGCCGTTGCTGCTTTATCAAGACCGTGGCGTGCCCAAGGAAGATTAAACAGTGTGTGGTAGCTGGGAGCGGTAATCTCAACCCCGCGCATAGTGTCATGGTCTGGTCCAGGCGTCCTATCAGGCGTAGATGCAGTGAACCCGAAATGGCTGAAGCGGATAGGATTCAGCGAGACTTCGAAGATGTCGCTAGTTGAAATATCGTGTGAGGGCAAGAGGAACATTCTTCTTTGCAGCTCCTCGGACTGTTCAATTACGTGGTGCATCTTCTGGCATAAGCCATAGCATGTAACTAGCGTAGCAGTAGCAGCCTGTGATAGCAAGTGTAAGATCAACTCGTCGAGTGCAAAGAATCGAGCACAGGCAGCCATCTTCAATTAGGAAGTGGAGGGGTCGCAGCATCTCAATGGTGTCATCAGCAGCGCAGTCCAAAGCTGTTGAAGCATCTCGTGCAATTCCACTACAGCGTTAGCTACGATGCTGCCTGGAGGTGGGTCAAGCACAAATGCTCGGGGTTCCATGGAAGCCCGTACTGCCAAGCCTGAACTGCGTTACAAGATATCTACATCTACACTAAATCCCGAGATTTGCAATCCCTCAAGGAGGGGAAAACGCGGACGAAATGAGGAAAGATTGGTAGCCAGTTCGGTTGTAGCCAGTTCGGTTGCATCCAGTGTACTGCCGGCAAAGGCGTTACTGCGAAGCAGCATACCGCCACACTGGGGCACCCCATTACCTGGCAGCGGTACCCTGAGAGATCTCTTTGCTTGACAGAAGACCGGGAGCACAAGTGAATGCACTGATATCGTCCAATCGGAGCACTCGTTCAAGATGCGCTTCAGCACTTCCACTCGCAACGTGACCTTGGACGAGCGCTGGTTAGAAGCAGATGTACAAGTCAGTAAAAGCAGTGAAGATTATGAGCACGTTGCGTTGAACCTGGAGGAGATTCTTGGCATCAACGATGGCATGCTCACGATTAGCGGCAGGGGCCTCCAGAACGACGTAGAAGATCTATGGCTCGAGGGCAATCGACTCCGGGCAAGTCTGTGGGATGCCCACGAGGGTGACTCTGACCCCCTAATGGAGTTGGATGATGTCTTCGAGAATTGTGGAGGTATGCTGCGCCTGTAAGTCAATAGGTGTCTGTTCACTCTATGTGACAACTGCGCACGATATCCCAGCCGGGTTGGCGGAGACTATAGGAACCATCTGATTACTTGCAGTTGCTCTTCGTCTGGTACATCCGCCTGTGTCGTCTGCCGCGACTTCCTTGTAGCACCGACGGCTGTGATCGAACAGCGCGATCTGCTGGCCACGCGCAGCGCCGAGACCTGCTTGAGATGTGCGTACCTACATACCGTGATAATGGCTTACGTGGGTGAGGCCTTCTACAGTGACGGGCCTGCAAGCATTAAGTTGCAGATTCGAAAAGAACATCTGAAAATGTCCATATTTGCCCGCCATATGCCGCGAGAGTGTATTCTCTTCGCGGCTCAGGGTATGTCGCTTCTCAGGACTTGCGAGCCTACCGAACTGACCGACATCAGATGCCGTCAACAGGTCAACACTCTTCGAAGGGATGCCTACAGGACATAAACTCCTGGGCGATGCTTTCGAAGATGTCAGTGTGACATGGGTTCATGACACTATCATGCACTGCCTAGAGAGTCACCGAACTTGTCGAGTGGCGAAACCTGGGCCACTCCCGTGCAGAATCATTGCTGTTGGAACAGCAGACTTGCCAATGCTGAAGTTGCTCACTACTGATGGTGAACAGCAAGTATATGCCTGTCTGAGCCATTGTCGGGGCACTACTCGCCACTTTGTACTAACCAAAGCGAACATGGTTGAACTGCAGGACGAAATCCCTTGGGGACTTATGAATCAGACTTACAAAGATGCCATCAAGTTCTGCCGCAAGATAGGCGTGCGTTATCTTTGGATCGACTCACTCTGCATCGTGCAAGATGATGCCGAAGATTGGGCTCGTGAGGCGACAAAGATGGGGGAGTATTATGGAGGCTGCCGAGTGTGCATTGCGGCCACGAGCGCTGTATCTGGGGACGCTGGGTGTAATGTCCGGCAGAATGGAACAATGAGTTTCGAAGGCACAGGACCTGATGGACAACCATATATGGTCCACGCTCGCCCTCCAATCTCTCACTTATACGACGATTTCGAGGGCAAGTTACAGGATACATTTCCTCTGCTCACAAGAGCGTGGGTATACCAAGAGCGATTGCTTTCACCACGTGTTCTACACTTTGGACCGTCTGAACTTAGCCTGGAGTGCAACGAGTCAACCGTCTGTGAATGTGGTCAAGTGCCATGGGATCCTGACTTCGAACTCCTTCGTCAGGCCGTGGCATCCCATGACACCGGTGCCATTGTTGAGCAAGACAGTGAAGCCAGGTGGACTAACAGCTTTGTCCCCCAGCATGCTAGTGCCGAAGATCTTGAGGTTCGACTGGCTTGGGACTGGACCGATCTGATCGAGACATACAGCGCCCTGAGCATAACCTACCCTAAGGATCGCCTGCCCGCCATTGCTGGTATCGCCGCCGCTACGCGAGTCCGACGTCAAGCCAGTGGCATCCCACCTGGAAGATATCTAGCAGGTCTCTGGGAGTCCACCTTCATGCACGACCTTTTGTGGCAAGTAGACCCACCTTTGGTCCGCAACTCCAGAGGCCAACGGTATGCTAGTCCGCTTCCGAGACCGAAGGATTATATCGCGCCTTCCTGGTCGTGGCTTAGTATTCTCGATCCAATATACCACATGCGGGCGATTGCTGAGGTGATCTGCCAGCTTATGAGTGTGGAGGTTGCCTACCAGAACAATAATGTGGCGGGAACGATCGAGTCTGGCTACGTCCGTCTACGTGGCTATGTCCGGACTGGCATGTACGATGCTGAGGCTTCCAAGATTCTGTTCGATCACGGAGAGGACGTTCCGTGCTTTCCAGATTGCGGAGAAGACGGGTGCTCTGAGAGTACGCAGTCGATTGGAGGCACGAGAGGAAATGTACACCTACTTGCGATCGCCAATAGAGAACCATTGGAGTCCAACGTGCCGGGACACGACAGTAGCAAATATGATACAGTCTGGCTTGTGCTCCGGATGAAACATTACATATCTGATTGCCCTTGTTTCGAGAGGATTGGTTGCACTTTCGCCCACCTCGAACGAGCGAACAACGAGGCTGCTGATGTTATCATCATCTAATAACCCCGGGTCCCGCTGTGATAAGCACTGGTGCGGCTTATGTATAATTCAGCCTGCAGCGACCTAAAGACCATGTCGTGAATGGCAGCTCACCTATTTGTGAGTTCTGCTTCTACTGTCATGCACAACAGAGGTCGAGGTCGAGATACGGGTCTCGAACTTGCTGAATGGTGGCGACAGTCATTAAAGAACTCATCCGTGCTTGATGCCTACGGAGCTCGTGTTGACAGAGATACACTACTAGACATCATGTGCATGTCAAGACATGTGGCGGATAGTTAAAGTCTGCTGTACACATTGTCAACCTTTTGATATCACGCGATCTAGTTTTACCACATGTTGCCAGCAGACCTAGCTTGCGGTCAGAATCGTACATCCACCGGATTGACACACATAGTCCATTGCCGAACCTGGAACCTTCACATACGGCCATAGGTCGCAGAGAACAGAGGATCCCGTCCGCTCTCCTGTACTTAAGCTGCGAACCGGTAGAGTAGTAGTCAGGTCGGTGACGACTGGCGAATGCCTGCTGCTGTATGTTTTGCCATTTTGTTTCCTCCTTTTGCCCTGATCGGCTTCCACGGATTGGCTCGGAGGTGGAATTGACGCTCAACTGGGGTGGCTTCGCAGACGACTGACTGAGGCAGCCTTCTTGGATCGTCCATCGAGGCTGCCAGAGACGTGTTCAGCATATCGATCGCTCTGACTGACTGAGGACTGAACTTGGGTGACAAGTGCATGCTGTGACTTTCGGCTCTTTTCATTCATCATTTGTCGTGCTTTATTTCTTCTTCTTATCCTTGACTTTCTTCTGCTGTCCACCACCGCCACTCGGCCCTCCCGCACCATCAAATCCTCCTCCCATACCACCCAACATACCAGCCATACCCTCCATACCCGGCGGCAACTGTCCGCCCATCTCACCCATCATATCCTTCAAGAAGTTATCGCTCACACCACCCCCACTCAGCGCAGGAGAGTGCAAGGGTAATATCTTTCCGATCTTAAATCCTCTTGGTACCGCGGGAGCAGGAGGCGGTGCACCGTCTTTCGAAGGAGGCATACCCTGCATACGGTACTTGTTTGGAGTTTGAGCCGTGGTGGGGTGGGCACGGAGGTAGGTTGATATTAGGGTGTAGAGGTAGTGTTCTGGCAGAGTAAAGCACAGCATTATTAGCATAGTCCTCGCATAGAAGCATATTCCAATCGCATCGAGGGTACAACTCACTACTCGCAATCTTACTACTGATCGCCTTTCCCTCTTCCTTCACCAACACCCTCACCCGCCCCGGATTCGCCCAGTCCTTCGGATGCGTCTTGTGCGGCTCGAAGACTATCTTTAGGGGTACACCCTTTTGCTGCGCAATCGTGCTCAGCGCATCCACTATCTCCCTCGCCAAGGGGTTGGCCACCGCATCTTCTTTCTTCACCCTTCTGCCCCCTGCTTTTGACCGTGTCGAGTCGAAATAGAGGGGGTAGATGCATTGGTAGGTCTTGCTTTGTTCTTGGGCTTGGCGTTGTTGGTCTGCTGTCGGGTTGGTTTGCATGTTTGCTGCTTGTTCGGGAGACCATTGGTTTCGTCCTTGGGGTTGGGATTGTGATTGTTGTTGGAGCATCGCTTGGATGTCTGCGGGATTGATCTGCGAGGCTGAAGGGTCCATAGCAGGTTCGAGGTTTCCTTTGGGTCGGGCGAAGTCAAAGGCATCGAGGTCTCCGACGTCCATTTCTTCCGGGTCGTCGGCGAAGTCGTCGTCGTCCTCTACTTCTTCTATGCGTGGATTGGCCATGATGTCGGTTGGGAGGTGTTTGTGCGAGCGGTATTCCTCTTCCTAGAAGAATGATATTAAGCGCTTCTGTCGTTGATGTTCGCTGATCACATGCAATCATAAAAGCCGCTGGCCATGTTTGAGGTCGAAGGGTGGGGGCGATCGTGGGGCTCAAGAGCGCCAAGACTGCGGCGAAACATCTTCCTCTTCCTTTGCCTCCTGACATGCACATCGACATTGCAATATCATCGAGTCCAGACGCAGAGCGTCATATGGTGACTGTGGTGCAGCAGCACCATGACTTCGGGGACTGGACGCATATCGCCGAGTCGCTTACCTTCGATTCATCTAAAGTACAACGAGCATCGGCTATGCAGTGGGCAATGCAGCACCGTGCGAAGTGTATATTAATTCCAGCTCTGACATATCTCGTCCAGAACTCATGCTTTGCTCGTTACCCTGAACCATTGTACCAGACCTCTGATGTGCTTCATTACTCAAACCTATTGATGCCAACGAACTCCGACCCAGTGGATGCCGCTTTACCCACGCGTTTGCCCATAACTCCAAAGGCCGGCTTCCAACGGTGCGCTGCCACCCTTGTGCATCCGGAACTTGGCGCCGTATTTCTGCTCAAAGTACTGTGAAACGACGTGGGCCGTCGTGTCTACGATATGTCTGATATCATCCTCGCTGGCTGTGTAAGCAGGAGCGAGTAAGATGTGGTCGCCAGATTTACCGTCCACGGTACCGCTGCCTGGGTAGAGGGAGATATTGTAAGGCTCTTGCATACCTGTATCATGGTCAGTATTGCGGTCCCCATGTATGAAATATTGTGGTTGGAATATGCTTACCCAACTCATGCATTCCCATGGCCACAGCCTCGTGTGGGTCAAATGGTGCCTTAGTAGTCTTATCCGTTACAAACTCGATACCCCAGAACAAACCTTGACCTCTGATATCGCCGACAGCAGGATGTAAGCTCAACTTCTCCTTCAGCAATTTCTCCAGTAGCGCTCCTTGCTTCCGTACATTAGCCACAAGATTGTCATCCCGAATAATCCGCTGCACCTCCAAAGCTGCACGACAAGCAAGAGGATGTCCTTGGTAGGTTTGACCGTGACTGAAAGCTCCAGCGCCCTTCCGCAAAGCATCAATGACTTTGTGGTTGGCCAACATGGCTGCGATGGGCATATAACCCCCTCCCAAACCCTTGCCCATGGTCATGATGTCCGGAGCTACACCAACAGAAGGGTCCTGCCATGCATGAAGCGGCTTTGGATAATGTTCTGAAGGCCTCGGACCCACACGCCCAATACCAGACATGATCTCATCCATGATGAGGAGTGCACCATGACGATCACAGACACGCCTGATAGCTTCAAAGTATCCAGGAACAGACGGCACACATCCTAGCGCAGCTCCAACCACAGGCTCGGCGACAAAGGCGGCGACGTTCTGAGGGCCAATGCGCCGGAATTCGGCTTCCAGCTCGGCTTCGAGCCGACGAATGTACGATTTCTCATGGTCGAGGAATGCGAAGCCCCGGTATGCGTAGCAAGGGCTGACGTGGCTTGTGTTGGTACTGAGCAAGGGTTCGAAGAGAGCACGTCTGGCTACGTGGCCACCGAGACCCAAGGAGCCGAGTGTTGTACCATGGTAACTTTGTTGCCGAGCAATGAAATGTGTTCGACTTGGCTCTGCAGGTTGCTTCTCCAGATGGTATTGGCGGGCCATCTTCATAGCGGCCTCGATGGCTTCACTTCCACTACTAATGAAGAAGGCTTTGGCCATCTTGCCGTTCGTGCTTTCGATGAGCAGAGTCGCAAGGTCTTCGGCGGCTGAGGTTCCATAGAAGAGAGAATGGCAGTAAGAGACCTCATTCATCTGATGGTTGATGGCCTTTCGGACTCTGTAAGGGTGTAAGCAGCATCCATGTATATGCAGCCTGCGCAACACACTCACCGTTCATTGCCGTGGCCTAGGCAAGAGACGGCAGCTCCACCTGTGGCATCGAAGATTGTCTGTCCGTTGCTGAGGTGAAGATGACTGCCTTCGGCAGAGACGACTCGCAATGGGTCGTGGTGTAGAGATCGATGCAGGACCGAGGAGATAGCTGTTTGTTGCGTAGCACCATTACTGGTCGCTGCAGGCTCGACCACAGCATTTCCATCGTTCATGATGGTCGCTCTGGTCTTGTGCGGTTCCTTGGGGTTGTGTTCCAAAGGTACCATACCTGCGGTCGGGACGACCATATCGTCTTGACCGTCGCGGACGTCGTCGATAGGGCTTGTAAGGTGCATCTTGGAGTCGAGATAAATTGCTGGGGTACATGAACACAGTTGAAGGTGACTGGAAGATAATATCGTGATGCCTTGATAAGAATGAGGTGATAATCATGAATGACAAATACCAATGATCTGCTTGCTGTACTGATCGCTGGCCATGTTGATGCACATGCTGGCTAGGGTTGTGTGTTCCACCAAATCCACTCGACGAGTCATTGAACAGTTTGTCGGCTCGAGTTTGGCTTCGAAGCTCAGCTAAGAACAAGGTTATCCCACCGACTAGTGCGCAGGATCTTGTGTTCGGGCCGTCAGCTTTCATACGATCGGCATACCGACGGCATGTGGAGACTTGAGATATTGAGTTCATCGGTCCGAGTGGTGGTATGCTATCCTAGCCATGGGTTGAGTTGTATGTGACAATCTTGTACCACCATCGACGGCTACGTGCCCTTAATCCGATGATGACGCTGTGGCTTCTTGCCCAGTGTCGACATCGGAAGCTGCAATAAAATTCCAATTTCTCATTATACAAGTTCGCAGCCACGATGCATACATGACTAGGCATCGAAAGAAATCGTAGCTCTGTGATTTGTCCACACGGCAAATACCGTACCAGGACCCGGGAAGTAGTGTTCTCCGGCTGGTCATGCTGATCGTAAGGTGAGTACGTTGCGCGGTGTAGCGGCGGATACACGTGAAGCTCATGCATCCATATTGGAGCGTGAGATCTGCGGTTCCAGGCATGCAGAACCGACGTTTGAGCTTGACCAAGTTCCCGGGATTGCGGATCTGTCAACAGAGTTTCTGGTAACGATCTGCCGCATCCGCCGGCAACATTGAATCTAGATCGCGGTCTGCGGAGCCTCCTCTAGCCGCTGTGGTACCACGACTCCAAGCTATCTCTCGCAACATACCTTTGCAGCTAGCGTAGGTAAAAAGCCGCTACAGTGAATCAGGAGCTCCACATCATAAGCACTCTCTTGAAGCGCTGCCCAAACCTAATAGGACGTGTTCGTCGCGATCCATGCGATGTCTTTGTAGACGCCGCAGGTGAGCGTAAAGAGCGCAGCATCCGCCGTGACCACAGAAGATCGACAAGTGCCTTTGCAGCCAACTAAGCCAGCTTGGTCTGTTCTCCGGCCAGCTTGTGAACATGATCTCGCATCCCTGTGGCTGAAGTGCTGCCATCCACCGTGCTTGGTGGCATCGAATCCAGCCACTGCAGCATTAGAATGGGTGGTGTCAGGGAGCACGTTGTTTGTGCAGGAACGGAACAAGCTATCTTCTGGCTGGTCCGGAGTAGACGTGCAAGATGGGGTGATAAGGACGAATTGCTCGTTGCATGTACTCTTGTAAACGTATTTGACAACATTCGCAGGCTGATGATACCAGTTGTGTAGTTGTGTCACTCAATCCGCGAGCATGGTTTAGGATGTCAACGTTCGTGCCGATTCTGTCCTTGATGTAGCTGTTTGTAGGATTGTGAACTGACCACATCCGCGACTGTAGGACAATACCAAGAGATCTTCGTGGCAACGTCGGGTAAACGGATGGCGCGCGGCAATCGTGCTACCACGATCGCGTTCCATCCTTGATGTCCACGCGAGACTGCTCTCCGAGAACGGGCGAACAATATTAGCCGACGACCTCGCCCTGTACTTACATGTTGTGCGCCTGCTTTACCGCAGCGAGGGGGACCATCAAATGGAAGCATCTGCATAGCCGATCTCCTGCGCTATTCGTTCTGCTCAGGGAGAAGCTGTATCTTACCTCTGCCGCGGAGCTTGCTCCTTAGACATCCATGCAAGTCTGTTGCAGCTTGCAACCTCCCGGATCGCTGAATCCTAGTGAGTGACTCTCTCCACGAACGCTGCGCTTGGGATATGTGACGATTGCAACCGGCTTGTGGACAATCTGCAACCCTGCCGTCCAAGCCAGCAAAGCGGCTCGCCAACGTTGCTTTGCACGCTATGCTCCCTGCAAGCGATATTTCATTGGCCAAGATGGAATCGAATCGTGCCGATGAGTCTCATTCAAAGTACATGACTGCGATGTCAATCTCTCGGGAGTGCTCGCGCGCACTGTTCCACGACGTCCATTGGGTACGGATTTGCTCTATGGCATGCGGAGTTTGCCGTTGGTGGCTTCGGCGGTAGATGGGTAGACATCGTAGAGCGTGGCTGCATGGTGCCCACTAGAACTACTGAGAGGCGGGCTAGCATCGACCAAGATCAACAGCAGTCGATCTCTTCTAAGCTCGACAGCACTGGCAGTAATTGGAGAACTTAGCCGTACAGTGCAGTTCATACTACACATGCTTGCTCCATACTCGCTCTATGACCTTGGCGCAAGTCATCGCTGCATCCTTTCATACGCTGAGAGCTCGGAGCAGTGTTACCGTGCCAAGTCCAGAATCCTGAGAGAAGTCGCTACATGCCCGGTGTGTTAAGGAACGATCTCCGCTAGATCAATCCGTCGTAAATGTTGGACGCGTGTTATCATACCGATCAATAAATGTGTGTCAGTCAGAGCAGTGTTCACGGCCGGTGCGTAAGTCGGGAAAGAGCGACGCGTCGCTTCGCGTCATTTTCGTGTGGGGCAACAAGTACTGTCAATCACTGCCATCCATCTTCACATCTCACATCTTTGTCGGTTGAATCGCTTGGCACTATGTGCTGTCGTCTCGAATGGAGCCGCATATGACTGGGCTATCGTAGCATGAAGTGTGAAACAAGTAGGAGAACCGTCGTGCAGGAATGGGTCCTCAGAGCGAAGCTTCGAGAAATTCTTCCAGCACTGCAGACGGCCAAAGTCCACTGCATCGACCATGACCGCGAGTATATCGCCGCCGCCATCGAAGCGGCGCAAGCTGGTTCAGACATCTGGAGAGTCAGTTGCGGATTTGTCGACATATCGCTTGAGGATCTTCAGCCACAATGTCAATGGCATCTCTCCATATCTGCAGCCATCGATCGCGAGCTTCTTCAAGCCGAATGGCAATAATGAGGTCCCCAAAGCCTCCCTGCGAGACTTTCTTCGTCGGCAGGACTGGCCAACTGTGCTGTGTCTACAGGAGGTCAAGATCCATCCTGAGGACAGAGCGACAATCAGAGCTGTCGAGAAAGCAGTCTCCGCGCCCAGCGACAGTGTCGAGCCAGACTACGTGAGTCATGTCTGTTTGCCGTCGGACGCGCACAATGCTCGAGGTTTCGGTCGAAAGATATATGGTGTCGCTTGTATCATCCGCCGAGACTTCTTTGAGTCTCACGTAGAGAAATTGAGGCTGGTCGATTGGGATCAAGAGGGTCGTTTCTTGGTGGTGGAAACGAAAGCTCTCGGGCCGGTGCCGCGGCTCGCAATATTCTGTGTATACGCCGTGAATGGGACAGACTTTCCTTACAAAGACTCGACAGGAAGGGTGACCGGAACTAGGCATGACCGCAAACTGATCGTGCATGAGCTGCTTGCGGCCGAGTGTCGGGCGCTTGAGCACGGTGGCTTCAGCATAGTCATAGCGGGTGACATCAATATAGCACGGTCTGCCTTTGATGGCTTTCCCAGGTTGCGGACGAGTCCCGAGCAGCACTCTATCAACCGAGTTGATTTCGAGAAGAAATTCTTTGCTTCGACGGAGAATCTCTCACTAGGCGACGAGGACTCCACGGCTGATCAAAAGGGCGAGCCTCCAACTCCAGGACTAGGCATGATTGACTCCTTCCGCCACTTACATCCGGACAAGCGAGGCTACACGTACTACCCAAGAACGAAGGTATTTGGTGCAAGTGCTGATAGGGTAGACATGATTGTAGTGTCACGCTCACTAAAAGATTGTCTGAGAGCAGCAGGGATGCTCGAGACAGCTGCAGAGCGTGGCCCAAGCGACCATGTTCCCCTCTATGTAGAACTCGAATTCAGGGAAGCGTGAAACGTATGAGATGATTCTGGCAGTTTGCGACGTCCGCAAACAACGAGTGATTACTACTGCTACTCAATGCATTGTTCTTCTTTCCCCACGTTGAAGACGCGTGGTTACACAACATGAAGTTGAGCAGGATCGGCAGCCCATGAGTGCATAATTACATCACATCACTAATCATCGATCGCAGTGGTGCTGTTCTGAGGCATATGAAGGGAAGACCCGCTAGTAGTCATCGAAAGGAAATGTTCCATGGAAGGCGAGGTGCACACTGCTTTAAGCAGTCGTCTTCACACTGTCACCGCTTTCTGGCTGTCCAGGATACTGGCCTGTAAACGTTCTGGAGCATGCTGGACGGATCCTGGATATAGCCTGTAGCACCCGCCGGCATTTGGTCGCTCTCCAAGATGTCGAAACCGATACGAGACACCAACGCCAGGACTTCTTCATTCGTCAGCTCAATGGAGCCCGGCTCCGCAATGCCTACTCTGCGACTGAAACCAGTCATACAAGCACCACTATCGTTGTCAGCCTGAAGTGCCCTTTCTGCAGGCGTTTGTGCTGCTTCGAAATGCCACAGCAATGGACCAAGGTTGATCCAGATACCGCCTGGCACTAGGCAGTGTCTGATGGTTTCAAAATAGTTGAGGACGTTTGGAGCCGTATCGATGAAAAAGCAGGTCAATACAGCATTAAAGCTTGCCGCATATCTTGGTTGTTTGTACAGGGCACAGAAGTTACCAGCTGTCATGCTCATACGTTCGCCGTGAGAGGCACTTGTGAATTCGTTGGTCTGGGTTGCCATTTCGGCTGGATGGATGTCCGGAACGGCTACGCTCTGCAACTGTCTGGCCCTCGTGAGATGGTTGTTGAAATTCAGTGCCCACGGGAACAGTCGATGCTGGTCGGTGTTATGAGTACAGTTGAGCATGAAGTGTGCTGTGAGCAGCTGATGGTGTGAAATCTCGTTGCCTTCGACCACGTAGCCAGCCAAGGAAATTTCGAACACGAGTCTGCCCAGTCCCGCACCAGGCACGAGTATACGATGTTGCTCTCCGCTTGAAAGCTCGCTGAGAGATAGGTATTTCTCTAATGCAGCCATGAACGGACTATGTGATGCATATCTCTCTGCAGATCCTTCATCAGACCAGTCGCGATAAAGCTGGCGAATAGTCGATCGTGCTTTGTCCATGTCGTTCGGCGTCGCTGCGCCTTTCCACGATTCATCGTCGGGACTTAGGCCATATGCAGTCAGGCCAGAAGCCAAGATCGCTTCTGCAATTTCAGCATTGCTGTCAATAGCTTCATCTACAGCATCGAAGGTCTTCGGTATGGAGAACGGTGGCTCGCAAAGTAGATCTATGTGATCGGCCGAAAGAGAGTAGAATGCTTGACGTCTCAGATGAGTGATATTGTAATGTGCTGCTCGCCGATACTGCCTGCCGGAGTCAAAATTGTAAGACGGGTGAGATTGCGAAGGTGAAGAATGTCCAGGAGCGCATAGGTGGCGGCATCACATACCGGAAGCTGTCTAAGGCGGCGAATAACACACGACGCTCGTTGGGATCGGCTGGAATAGGTTGAACCGCATTGTCATGATAAATATCTTCCTCACGTCTGGCAGCCATCACGAACCATAAGTACCGCTCGTGACTTGTATGCTCCGTGATGTAGGCCAAGCATAGACTATGCCCACCAGGAAATTGCTTCACGAAAGTGCATTGGTGCTGTATCGTATATTGTGTGGTCGTAAGAGGACGATGTTTCGAAACACTGCCGAGATGATGTGTTTTGGGGATCCAGCACAGACTTCAAGTCCATCAACAGTCTCGACCCGCGAATTTCTGCAAGACGACATCACTTACATCAAAACACTGTGGTATCGACAACATGGCCAGTGATTTACAAAGAAGACCAATCATGAATGGTACACACGACGTGAACAAGCCCATAGAGCTCGTCATTCGACTCCCATTCCACCAAGAAACAAAAATCCACCTTCATCTCACCATCCTCGCCACCAGCATCATGCTCTTCGTGTCCACAGCTGCCCTGGATGCCGCAAGTGGCGGCGCAGCCATGGGTAGCTTTGTGTACGCAATGCCTGATGTAAGCATTGATATCATTCAATCCTGATAAATGCTGATGAAACCCAGAGATACAATCCTTCTCAGCCAATGAGCACAGCGATATACACAGTACCGTCATCCCAAGACTTCGTAACGCGTATGGCGAAACTTCTCGCCAAGCGGACTGGCAAGCTCTGCTACGTTGGTGGAGCTCTCAATATGTCCAATGCGGCAGCTGGAGGTACCGTGGACGAGGAGATGCAAGCATTCCGGTCTATTGTGGAAGTTGTCAATGCAGAAGTCGGAAAGGCCAAGGCGATGTCTGCTTGAATCTGATTGTGATCCACTGGCAGTCGCTTTTGGGTGGGGCGCTCAAGTCTGGTTGATGCCGAACGAGCGTGGTCACCCGGCTACCACACAGACGACAAACGCGCATCCAGAATCGACCGGCGAACACTTTTCATTAAGATGCAACGGAGATGCATGAAAATTCTCTCGGACAAAACAAAATTTGGCATCTACTTCTCCACTATCACTTCCTTCCACATATCTGGTAGATGCCGTCCCCTGCAGCCATACCTCTCGGGCTCCAATGCGCAGTCTGCTCCATTCGAAATACTGCTCGCCAGTCTGGCCTTCCATCGAGTGCCACGAGCAATAGCAGTATCAAAGCAACACATACAATTCCGCCGGGATCTGGACAGCGCCCTGCCGCGTGCAAATACCTGCCTAAAAAGATCACTCGACCGGTGTCATCACAATTTCTAGGGCGACAGAGTACCAGACTGAGTGCACCAAGTGCCTCCTGCTCTGTTACAGACACCGGGCGACCTCATCTTCCTGGTCGCATGAAAAGGCCGACCAGTGAGACTTTGAGGGCGACCACGAATTCGGACCTCTATCCCGGCTCCCACGCCAAGCCGACCATTTTGTACCAAACTACCAAGGTTTCGGTCGAATCAGCCGATCCCGCCCCGTTACAGCCGTGCCGCGGACCCTCCCCCACACACTAGCGCGTGGCGTCGCATATATTACGTGCTTCTGTTCCAAAATTTCGATTCGCGACTCACACATCCGACGAACACGGCTGCGATGAACCCTACCTTGATGAGCAATCGCTACTGTTCTCCCACGACGACAAAATTTTCGACCAACTGCTCAGCATGCCCGTCTCTCTTCTGAAAACTCATTAAGGTCGCTAGCATTTGTTCAAGCATATTTCAGGCCTTGCCGAACTTGCCGAGCTGTCCCTTATCACTAGCAATTTGAAGGACCCACTGCTCGCGCACGTCACGAGTACAGCGACATCTTGGCCTGCATCGATCTACAGGTACGTTGGCATCCTCTCCTTAGTATATGCCCACTTTTCTACCCACAGCCGCGACCTTCCGTTAGCCGTGATGCAGACACATTGTGCCGCATACAGCAATAGACCGGCTTGACCTTCAGATACGCTACAACAGCAGCAGGACTAACACTCTGCTAGTGAGAAGCTGCCCACCAGCCCTCTTTCCTGGCATCATGTCGCGATCCGAGTTTGTGGACTGTGTCCATCCCGTGTATGAGAGAATCGAGCTTTACGACGCCAAAAGCGTGCCCACCGACCAGCCCAAGAACGATGCCGCTGATGGAGTCAAGGCTCTGCCACAAGGCTTCATCGATGCCATGATTGTTCGTGAAGAGGTCTTCGTGCGTGAACAGAACATCGCGCTCGAGAATGAACTCGACGAGGACGATCAACGAAGCTTTCATTGGGTCGCATACGCCTCTCTTCCGGCCAAGCATACCTCGCCCGAGATAGCTGCCCAGGGTGCCAATGGGAAGAATAATGCTGCTAGGCGCATCAGCAACAGTACTAAGATTCCCATCGGCACAATTCGTTTGGTACCTCCACCACATGCTCCCCATTCGGACGCTTCTGGAGACAGCATCAACGACACCACTGAGTCCCAAAACGAAGACCGCAAGGACAGCTCTGTTGCGCATGATCCAAAAGAATCATACATCAAGCTTGGCCGCCTAGCTGTCATCAAGGAGTTCCGTAAAGCAGGCATTTCCAAGCTCCTGATCGAGACGGCCCTGAGCTTCGCACGAGAGCACCACTACGTCTTCTCACCGAACCACGACCCGGCCAAGTTCGAGGCGTCCAAGCAACTTTCGGATCGCGGCGTCACGCTTGACTGGAAGGGTCTTGTGCTTGTACATGCTCAGACTGGCGTGCAGAAGATTTGGCGTAAATATGGCTTTGAGACTGATACCACTATGGGCGAGTGGGATGAGGAGGGTATCATGCATGTTGGGATGTGGCGCAGGATGGACATTGGGCGCAGGAAGAGCAAGGCTTTTCACATCGGCAGTCCACTGGCTAGCCCGTGAGGTAGAATGCATGATTGATAAGTGGCATGGTCGTTACGTGGCGGCTACGACCCTGGAGTATGAGAGGACGGCGTTCAACTAGAGGCGGTATACCCTGCATCAGGCGGCATAGTCAATGATTGTGCTGCGTTGTATTGTGGCAGTATGTTCGTGTGATATGTAGACATGCGATGCCAACGAACAAGTCAATGACTTCTCACAACGGTATGGTGGCACAGCTCCCAAGAAACTCTACCCACGATTGCGTCCAGATATACAGACCCATATCATTAGCTGTAAGATGCAACAGACTCTATCGCAGCACTTTTCAGTGATGGACCGAGACAAGTTCGCGCAAGACAAGGAGATGATTATGATATGACGCGCAATTTTTAACCTACTTGTTCGACTCAAACGGAGTCATCTGAGCTCGAAGACACTTTCCAGCACCCAGTAAGTCACCAGCCTCGTACCAAAGACTTGCGTTTCAGTCGCCAAGACCAAGACATCCGTAGCACTCATCAGTCCACCTACTCACCCGCTCTCCAGCACATGCCTTCTTTCCTACTCACTCTCGAAATCCGAGGCCTGGAATAGCTTGCCCTCCAACAGATTACCCATGTGCGTCTTGCCTATGCCCTTGCCATTCCGTCTGATCTTCGACATAAGGACCTTGAAGAAGTTGACCGGACTCTTCTTGATGCCAGATGAACCACCCACACGGCCCTGATCATCGCTGAGAATGAATCCATCAGCAGTGACCTTCCACCCACATCGGCCCATTGCTTCTGTCACGGTATCGGCTGAAAGGCCAAGGAAATGACAAATCTCGCGATAGTCGTCATACGAAGTGATGTAGAGCTGGCCTGCGAACAAATCAAGCTGGATTGCAATAGCGCGAGGAACCCTGAATGGCATGCTTTGTGCGGATATGGTGTGGAAATCCAGCTGACTCAGAGATGAGAAACCAGAGTGAGTACGAGCCTTGTACACATGCATGGTCGCCGCGGTCGAGCTTGTCATGGTCTTGTTGAGCTGATTGGCTTCGAAGGGGCTGATGATGAGCACCCGCTCAACAACATCTGAAGACTTCTTGCGTGTAGTGAGAAGCCATTGCACAGGGCGTTGGAAGGCGTCCGAAGCATATGAGGAGCCGCCAGGTGTCTGAGTGGTCTTGGCGAAATCGGCTGTAACATACAGATTCTGCTTGGTGCTCAATTGGACTGTCGAAAAGTCTTTAGCCGCAGTCGAGCCTTGTAGAGCATTGAAAGCAGGCATGTAAGCCTCTGAGTTCTCAGAAAATGAGCCCCTAGTGGCAAACGCCTGAACATCTTTGTGAAGCTTGTGTTCGGCAGGGTCGGCTGCTGACGCCTTCTGGACCTGCCGCTCTTGTTCGATCTCTGGCGAGAGCTCGCGCTCTTGCTCCTCTTGGAGGGTGCTAGAGGTGAAGTGAAGATCGCTAATAGCTGCCATCGCTCTGCAATGTGCTGGAGGCTAGAGTCCGAAGCATTTGTCGAATAAGCAGGCTGACTGGGAGTCAAATGCGGGCGGTAGCGGTCATTGATGGTTTGAGCCTCTTGCTCAAGGAACTTCTCTGCGTGGCTCTTCGTCAAGGATGTCTTTTTATCAACGCATGCATCTCTCCAAAGCTTGTCTTGACGTATGAATCGCTCGCCCTGTACAGCCCACAGTGGAATGCTGCGGCGTGCATCGGTATGTGTCTCGAACATCGAAAACAGCAGAATGTCACTGACCGCTAGCTCTGACGCCGACTTCGAAGTCTGCTCAGCGATCTTGACTTGCATCTCTTGCGAAAGACAAAAGACCACACTTTGACCCTTTCCAAGCTTGCGCATTCGCATACACGCCTGTACCAGTCGATCTTTCGTGAGATTGGCCCCCAGAGTGACAGCTGCTCTGTAATGTACTGGTAGCTTGAGATCGATACCACGAGTGTGCGCCTCGTCGAGAAAGATAAGGCACGACTCGAGCCGAGCAGAGAACGAAGACGTACGCAACAGATCAACTCGGCCATGACGATCGACGACACATACATCATCATTATCATCAACAAAGACTGCAGCCTGCTTCGTTGGGTCATGCATGCGCAACCATGCTTTTGCGACTTGGAGGTTGTCAAGCTCCAAGATCTGAGCCCCAACATCGAGGATGACTTGTATTGGACGGTCCTGGCGAGTGACAGTGGCCAACAAGTGCTCCGCATCGGAAGTAGCTTGGGTACTAGTATCCATAAGCACGAGTTCGTTCTCCGGTTGAAGGATGTGTTCCATAACAAGCGCATTGGTGTGTTTCTGATCTGGCAGGTCGAGATGGTCGACTGTGACTGGTAAGAGGCATTTCGAATCATTCGTGCCAGAAAAGCCCGTCACAGGCAACCCTTTGCGTTTGCCTAGGTCCCAACCAGAGGCCGAAAGCTTGTCCGGGAACTCCTTCATCTCTTTCGGGAAGACGAGGTGCGATAGATAGTAGTCCACAACACTTTTGGCGTAGCGAAGGGCTGGGAAGATCTCCGCGGTACATTGTTGACGATCCTTGATGTTGATACCCTGAAGCTGCAGAAATGCATCAGGTAAGCTATGAGAGTCACGCACCCAGGCTTGGTACTCGATGTCACGTAGGTCGGACATCAGAAGGTGTCCCAATGTGATGAACATGGGCTCGTCCGAGAGCCCACCATAGTAGTACGAGAGCGACGTCAACATAATCACAACATCTGGGTGGCTGAACTCGGAACTTGGCGATGGGCTATCCTTGGCGCGGTATGGTACTGCAACTCGGGTGCGCGTAGTCAGGCCGTAGTTGACACGCCACCGCTTTTGACCCAAGACAAACTCTAGCACACCGCCCGCGATGAGGCCGCGGAGAAGCAGTAAGAGCGGAGACGTAGTCTTCGTCCAGAAAAGAGAGTCCTCTACCGCATTGATCTCGCCCATGGTGAGCTCCGCCTTTGTGATGTAAGCATGGACAGCTTTGCGAGTGGTCCCGGACTGCCGCGAGACCGGGAAGCCTTCCAAGCCGTTGTCGCAGATGGAATTAGCAAGTAGATGCAGAAGATGAACTGCAGCATTCGATCGAAGTAGTCTCACCCGAGGAAAGCCTCCAGTGATGCCAGGACGATACTCCACGGATAGGGGCAGCGCGGTCGCCACCTCCGATATCAGAAGTCTGATCAGCTGGAAGATCTGTTGAGATAATAACCATCTATCCGGGCTCAACTCGATGGGGCGTTGCATACCCATCGTATAGATCAACTCAAATCGGACTGAGAAGTTCTCGTCGCTTTCGTCGATGATGTCACGAGAGCTGGAGTTCAGGAAGTCCAGCATTGACATAATCTCCCTTCCAATATCGTCTTTGCCAGAAATATAGCACTCGGGAGCCATCAGCTGAAGAGAGAGAACATGCTCCGGTTGCACCAGGAGAATCCCTCCTTCCGACATGCATGTGCGGAGCATGGTGGAAAGCGCCGTGGCAGCTGTCTGATCTAGTCTCAATGATCTGGAGACCGGCATGTAGCAGACTCGTCGATTCGGCAGGCCGCCCAGCTTCGACACCAGCATTTGCGCCATTTGCTTAGATTGTGGTTTTGCCACGAACACCTTGACCAATTGCTTCCCATTGGCGAGAGCGGCTGCGACAATTGGCACAATGACGCTTGACTTGCCTTCACCCATGTTGAGCTGCATGACAGCATTGTCGCCGTTCTGTGGACGGCGCATTTGCGCAGCAATCTGCTCCTGGACCTCGCGAATCATAACACCGCTTTCGACTTCCATCAGCAGGGATTCTGGGGAGTCCATGGGATCCCAATTCTGATGGCCAGTGTTGCGCAACTCGTTCGCAAGATCCTCCTGACTTGAGGCCTCGGCGAGCGCGATCAATCGTCTAGCCCTCTGTAGTGCAGTGAGAGCTAATCCATAGTGGACTATGCAGGATTTCCATGCTTCGGGAAGGTCACCATGGCGCCCAAGCTGTTGAAGGAACATCTCAGGCGAAAGTCTCGGCCACAGATGCATGGCTTGTGCAGTGATCGAACCCGGGACTGGGCTCGTGGCCGCGGTCAAGAGATGATATATTGTCCGCACATGCTCGCCACATCTATCAAGATGTACGGAAAAAGCGTCGAGAGGAATGTCGATAACAGGCGATCGATCAATGTCGCGCAACGTGAGGGCGTCCAAGCTTCCAGTCAGCTCTGTCAAGTATCTCTGCTCATATTACGATTGTCCAGATGCAGCTGCGAAGGTAGTGATCAGTGAGCCCATCAGTGGCGGAGTGCCACGGCGAGAGCCCCTACGCTGAGTGCGGAGCTCAAGACTGTGGCAGTTCACAGGCAGCGAAGGTACTGGCAATCTAAACAGCTCATGATTGGCGACATGACCAGAACGACTGAGTGCTGCTGGAAGGACTTTTACCGTCGCAGTCTCGACCACGACGTCCACATTCGGGAGGCTCGATATAGTCTGCTCGAGGACCGTTACATAGCTATCGAGGCGGCCGTTGTCTTGCCAAATCTTGAATTGCTTCTTGACTGCTCCCATGGCAGCCGGGATATCAATGTATGTCGACAGACGCTGGTCAGTCGGAGCAATTGGGTCATTGGATGGCCACTGAGAACCGATGTGGGACATAAAGGTCTCAACTGCAGGATCGCTTGCGCTCCGCCATGCGTTAAGGCGCCGGCTGTTGAAATGCTTGTTCTTCTCATGTTGCTGCTGAGCCATGGTACTCTCTGGACACTGCTTTAGACTGCGTCGAGAAAGCGAAAGAGCACCACGTAGCGCAGAACGGTCGAAGGCGAGTCCACGCTTCGGATGGAAGGCGGATGAGTCTGGAATCTCGATGAGGGCCAGAGCATTCGACTTCAAGAGCATGGCAACTGCCTGCAGTATGCCTTCGTCTGCATTCAACGTCGAGGCTATCGTCGAGAGCCACATGGTGATAGCGAACTTTTGTTTCGAAGACTCGGTCGGCTTCGATAGCCATTTATGCCAGCCTAGAAGGTGCTGCATGACAGTAGCGAATCCGTCTTTGAGCAGGAGAGCGTCATACTTGACCTTGCGTACATCGTCCAGCACACTGGGCCCATAGACTTGGTCGACGTTGCAGAGCTCCTGCCATAGCCGCCTGGCATTCAAGATTGGCGTAGGGACCCCAGCATCTTCGATCGAGAAGAGACGAGACATACTGGATGCACGCATCGCCCGATAGCCGTGGACATCCCGATCTCGACCATTATAAACATGATCATGCTGGTTCGTGAAGTCTTCAGCGCCATAACCAGAGATTCTCACCGTAGCAGATGAAACATTGTCTCGTTGCAACAAGTACCCATCTGTCTTCTCAAGACAAGGCAGCAGTAGCTTCGTGTCTGGATAGAAGATTGCAGCTTGCTCTGATTGTTGTAGTAGTGCTTTCACCGCATCGACGAAGTGTCCATGCTGACACAGAAAGCTGAGTCGCCGATTCCAGTCTACAGTCTGCATGACTCGCTTGTATGGTGGATAAAAGCGGCGGCCAGGAGTCAGGTTGGCTAGCTGTTCGAGTCGGTCCACGTGCTGCTGGGAGAGCTGGGCAAATGACCGAACAGCGGCAGAAGCAAGAATCGTCAGGGCTTGCTCAGTCCCAGTCTTGTGCGTCAAAGGATCGACGAGACAGAAGGAAGTCAAGGCATGCAGATAAGCAAGGTATAGCTTGGCACCGAGATCGCCGTTGTCTGCTATGCGGCCGAGCAGTGAGTCGACGTGTACGGCATGGACTCTTGTGATCGAGTATCGTGGAACCTTGAGGACCGTGTGACCATCGACATACTCGTGATCAACAGTGCTTGACTCTGGAATGAGTATCAAGCGATCGGCACGCTTCAACGACTTGAGAACAAGCTTGCTGTGCAGACCGATTAAGGTCTTGGCGGTCTGATCGCTGTCAACGATCATGGAACGATACTCCTTGGATTCAATGCTCTCGGCCCCTTCGCACAAAGTGAAGCCAAGTCGAAGTGTCGGAATATTGACGTGAAGTTCTTTGCGACATGGCTGTAGAATATTGTGAATGCGGCTGTCCTTAGCAAACGGATTGAGCACATGATACACACTGGTGGAAGTGTGGTTCTTGCGACTCATGACGGTACACCCAGCTCTGCTTAGACGCCACGAGGCCTCACGGGGACGCTTTGAGAGCGTGTACAGCTCTGATGAAGACGCATCCCATAGAGTGTGTACTGGCCGAAAGTCCACAGCTTTTGATGATAGATCATACCAATGGACGTAATCATCTGCGAAGTGACTGGGATAGCTTGACTCGAAGAAGCGAGGTGGAATTGTCTCGTACGTGCGGCCATCCTTTGTGGCCCTGACGATGAGGTCTGCGGGTGTGCATGACGAGTTCATCCCTAGATGAATTGCGCATCCTCCAAAGCTCCGCTTGGTGCTGAATGTGAACCCAGGAACTGTGGAGGGCATCACTTCTACTGCAGCCTGACCAAAAAGCGTGTGATACATGGGATGAGCACGGTAGTCTTTCGGAGGCTGATCCAAGGGTAAGCCGTTGACAAGGAGCTCGCCACTGAGCAGGTTCAAGTGTACGCTCGTACTAAAACCATTCGTAGAAGCAGAAGATGTACTGAGCCAATGATCTGCGGATTCAGAGACAGGAGCCCAGCCAGTAGTACCTGCTGTATATGCCGACCAAGCTTGATGTACAGCATCATCCAAGCCTTCGATTTGCTCAGCGAGTAAAGGATACAAGCGATGAAGAAGCTTCTTGTGCCGCAGTGCAAGTGGAGCGATCTGTTGTTTCTGGTCCGCAGGCATGCTGTACTCGCCTTCCTGGATCACGATAGACATTTGTACGAGCGCCGATACATTTTGCGTTTGCGCCAGGATCTGAGCAGCATGATCACCATCGACGTTGAACGTGGAAGAGCAAATCAGCGCCAACTCAACGCTCTTGGCCACGAATGCGGTTTTGTCCGCGATCTCTGCCGCTGCGAATGCCTTCTCCCTCAACTGATGTACCCAGCTCATCGCCACGGTTCTGGCACTGGCCAAGAATGCAAGGCAGGATGCCTTCACCGCGATCGATGCGCTGAGGAACAGTGCACGGGCTCCGATGGCGATGAAGGCGTAAAGAGCCTGGGCTGATTCCCAGTTGCCCTTCACCCGCTGCAGGGCTGTTGACAGATCTTTGATGAGGCAAGATGCTTTCTCGTGATCGTTGAACATGTCGTGACTCTCGCGGAAGACCTTCGAGTTCGAAGGGCCTGCCTGGTAGATGCATTGAAGAATCACCAGGGTGCTCTCAAGCTTCTTAAAATCCACGCCCGGCATAGCAAGTTGAAGACGAATGTTGGCCCATTGAATGTGGCGTCCAAGTGGCAGTGTAGCTAGCTCCCGATACTCTTCGAGTGTCATGGACTCTGGACAGCTGTCCTGCGCAGCTATCACACAGTTCGGCGCTGGACCATCTGGCGCGGATGCTGGTCGAAAGATGAAACGCTGCAAGGCTTGACACGGCAGCGTGTAAGTGCAAGTCCTTGGGACTTGATCGTTGAATGTTGTCAAGCCAAGATAAGATGCGGTCTTAGTATCGTACAGCCGATATTTTAGTCCATTGGCAACACAAACATCTGAATCGCTCAATGCCAAGACAGCCTTGTTGCTGTAATGCGTATTGAGCACAGGCTTGACCACTGACAATAGATTGACTCGGCCACCAGCCGATCTCTCGAAGTACTTGGACGTAAGATGCGGGTCGTTAGACGACAGCAGATAAGTGACTGGAGTAGCAGTCTTGGAACGCTCGCCGAGAAGAACATCGCTGAGGAGGTACATTTGAGCCTCTCGCCAGTGTCCAAACCATTCGGGCACCCGTAGCTCGAACACCACAGCCTTGGCTTCATGAGGATCTTTCGGTATAGGCCATTCGTGTACCTTGATCGACAGTGCATCACGCTTCAGCGCTAGTGCTTCCTTCGCACAGCACCCCAGATGAGCTCGAACTGTCCTGGATACACCACTGGCGTCTCGAGTAACCTCGTCCTTGTACTGGTGGTCTGTTTGGTCATACAGCTGGTCGAGACGACGATATTCAGCTTGCAGCTGCTCAAGCTCGAGCTTTTTCTTCTGGCGAGCCGTGGTCGCGTCTTGCTCTATCTGGAGAAGCAAGGTTTTGTGCTCGGGAGAATCACTGGAGTATCTGCAAGCAAAGCCATCATTACCCTTCGTGGCGAACAGACGGTCTTGCGTCTTCGTGGCCTGAATGCGTCGCTTCTCCAAATACTCTTCGACCTTCGCAAGTCTCTTCATCTGGTCGAGTGATGGCAGAAGTAGATTTTGAAGCTGGCTGCTGGGAATGCCAGGATCGTACTCGCTGAGTAAGGAGCACTCTCTCGTTGCGAGCTCGTCGCAAGCGACCCAGAGCTCGAAGATGGTCAACAGCATGATGGACGTAGCCTCGGGATTGCCACTTGAGTGGACTTCTACCATTGAGTGATATTGAACCATGAGCTGATGAAGCTTGCTGCATGCATCGCTTTGAGCCACGATGAACCAACGATCAAGATGATTAGCGACCCACAACTCGAATGCCGATATATTGGCTGCCGCATAGTACGAATCATCGGCGTTCCTGCTAGGCAGTATCGGGAGCTCGCTTGGCTTGTACTTCTTGAGCTGAGAAGTCGGCACGAAAGAGGAAGTGCTTGGAGTTGAGGTGCGAGAGGCAATGGCTTCGATGTACTTGTCGAGTGTGGGAAGGTCCACGTGCGTATCTCGATCGAAGTCCAACGCCGCCAGTCGGTCTAAATGCAGATCTCGTGCATCGCGTCGCTGATGTGAAGCCCACTCTTGGGAAAGAGAATCTGACGCTTGTTGCAAAGTGTGGTTGATATCCGCGATGACCAGAGTGGGAAGGGTGAGTGATGGACCTCGTGCAAGTTTCTGCATGCGCTTATGAAGCTTGGCTTTCATGGAGAAGATCATGTCGGAAGGCAGACCGTTCGCTGTCCGAAGGATCCGACTCATGATAAAAACCATGACTTCCTTGTAGAGCGTGTACGAGCCGTCAGCAGAACGTACAATGACCAGCTGCAAAGCTACCCGAAGCAATAGCCACATTCGCGATCGGCGCCATGGCAGTAGGGCGTCGTTCCAGAGCACTTCATCGCGAGTATTCTTGGAGATCGCGGTGACATCAGCAGGGTTGCCAATGCCTCTCAGAACACCGAAGAACAGTTCAGACACCATTGCTGGATGGACAGTGTCTCGAATCTCTGCATGCGAAGTACCAGACTTCGTCGAAGTGGGAATCATCTCGGTCACCTCCTGCTGAGACATGGTCGAGAGGGTACATGCGACCATTTTTCGGAAGTCTGCTTCATCGAGGAGGCTTGCTTTAATTGTCACCGCTAGAGCTGGGAAAGAGCGAACAAGCCTGCCCTTTGTACCAAGGACGGCCTCATCGTTTGGCGAAAGCTCAAACTCTTCAAACACAAGCTCGTCTTGCAGCCGAGTGATTAGGATTGCTGCATTCTGGGCGCTGACATTGACAGCTATCGTGCGCCCGACCGCAAGTGACTTTAATCTCTTCTTCAGCGCGACCTCATTTACCTCACCGCCGGGCAAGCTGTTGGTGGCACTCGTGTTCTCGAGAAGTGAGATGGCGTTATCGAGAGCCTGTGGGGATGACTCTTGAGGCAGGAGGGCATGAAGTGACTTGAGCGCCTCTAGTGTAGTGTTGATCAAGGCGACTTCACTATCCTTGTCTGCTGAGTGAGGTAGCTTGGGTGGCAAGAAGACGTGATTCACGATCTTCTGCATCTTGTCCAGGTTCACTGCCGCCGCCATCGTGTAAAGCGATGGAGCGGCTGCTCTCGAGGTCGTTGAGTTGGTGTTGTCTATCGAGGGATGGATGTCTGCAGTTCGTCGAAGCCAAGATATGTCTATGCACCAAGCGAGGTACCAAGGTATGATGTGTTGTGTTGGGTATACCGCGTTGTGTGCAAACAGAAGAAATGTGGATCTGTATGAGAAGCTAATGCACGAGTACCCAGAATAAGGTCAAAGCTCCGAGCTTAAATTCGTGAAGTGAAGTTGAAGGCGGCGCAGTGAAGCTCTTACTGAGATGCCAGTATGTGCCACCACCGACAGAACTGCATCTTGCGTCCTACCAACATGCTGCATCGCCCTCCATCCTGGTCCCCATCACAGCTTCACTTGTGACCTTCAGTCAGCGCTTTTATAGTCCCGTTTGCACAGCACGCTTCACGTGCTGCAAGAAGCCGCTAGTCGTGTCTCAACCTGGGAAGCTGCATTGAAATGTACCAACGAATGGACATCGCAAGGAGCACTGGGACTATCCACAAATTGATTACCGGCGACCAGATCAAGCGCGAGAAGGCAAACAGTACGGCGGGTCCACAGAGCCAGAGCGTAGCATTCTCCTCTCGCGTCAAGCGTGGCCAGCTTCAGCGACATGTGACAACGAAGCAACATCCCTAAGCCTATACATGTTCTTGAAGCTCAGGCGAGCACACGGAATTGCGGTATCTCCATCTCCATGCCATCACGAATGCATAATGTATTGGCATGAGCGCTTACTACAGTGATGTCAGCACAGGTCATGACCAGACGAGGATAAATCGCAGCTTCTTAGATACGGACAGGCTATTATTGAAGCTCGCATCGTCCATAGCTGTGGACTGAGACGCCAGAAGGCAGCGTCCAGAGGATACGCATAATCCGAGTGCTCAGGGTGTGTTCGGTCAAGTATTGTAAGGCGGTTATGTCATCAAGAAGTCAGCACTCGAGCTGTTCGCAGACACGCGTCGTGCGATAAGGATTATATGCATATGTAAGAAGGAACAACTCCTGTATCTAAGTTTGAAATATTGCTACTTAACGTAAGTAATGCTTTTTCCAATCCAAAAGGTCCAACCAGTTCTATGGAACCTTTATCAATGACTTTGGTCTCTGCATGTCACTGCTCATGCTTCGACCACAAAATGGCGAGAGGGAGGTTCTTGATGTATAAGAGACGCATGAGTGAAGTCACGCGTCGCCAGCAAATTGTTAGCCAATCGTAAGTCTTGGCATGCAGCACGTGATATCATGCAATGCTCCCAGGCAAAACTGCAGACAGACTGACACGAAGCCGAATAGGGCAGTGACAGCAAGCATCGAAAATCGCAAGTTTTCTCGCAGCCAGATACATCGCTACATATCATCATATACACATACACAGTAACTCCCAGTCCAACCTACTTCTTCCTTCCCTTCTTCCCACCCCCCTGCCCCGCCACCTCGCCCAAAATCGCATCAAAAGTCTTATTAGCATCGACCTTATGAAACCCCTGCGAGCTCCTCGGTCTCCCATCCGGACCCGGACTCCCACCATTCGCTGCCCCTCGGCCGTCGGGCGAGACGCCGGCCGGGAGTGGGAGGGCTTCGAGACCCATGCCGATACTGCTCAAACGCTTTGGGTCACGCATGGGAATTCCTGTGCCCATGTTCGTATTCGTGGGCATGGGTGAGAGGGCGGAGGAGGAGCCGGGACGAGAGGAGTACGGAGACTGACTCCTGACCGGACCACCAGCATAGCCCGGCCCAAGACCACCCGATGGCGGCGGCTGTAAAACAGACACACCCGGCAGTGGCCCCACGGGCACAGAATCCCCCAACGCCTCACTCTGCCGCGCGTTGATAGCCTCCTGCTCATGCAACGCGGAATTCAAAATCGGATTCCCCGCCGACCACCTCTCAGCCAAAACCCAACAATGACTCCTGCGATAAATCCCCTCGACTCCATGTTCCACCAGATCACTCGGTAAACTCACAACCCCACCGCCGTCGCCGACAGAGAACCAGGTATTCCTCCCCGCTACACCGCCCATACCGGAAGCATGATGCTGCGCAGCCGTATGGGAGTTGGAATTGGGATTCGAAGCCCACGGAACCCCCGACCGCGGCGGTTCGCACAAGAAGTACTCCACGCCCTTCATATGCCGCAGCCCAGGAGCATCACAAGCAAGCATGGGTAGAGCTTGTAGGACGACATACATGAAAATCCACTGCCCGACTCTCAGATCCACCATCTCACTAATGGTGCAATGATGCGCCGCCTTCCTCTCTAGGTCGCGGAAAGCCTCCACGAAAGCCGAGTTGGGATTATTGGTGCTGGCTACCACATCGCGATTCCAGCTCGCGCGGAGCAGGAGTTCGATTTCGTCGTCTTTGAGGCGTTTTTGGATGGACTTGAGATCCTTTTTCTTGTCGCCCGTGCCGAAATCCGATCTCGTTGCTTTTAGATTTGGTAATATGGGAAGATCGAAAGGAACAGGAGGTTTGACTGGTGGACTCGAGCGATCGTATTCGCTCAGGACAGCTCTCACGCCGCGTATTGTCGCATCCTCCTGATCACGACGACTGCGGTCTACGCCGTCTACTGTTCGTGTCGTGAGGTTGCTCCTGTCAACCATCAGGTCGTAAATCGCACTCATATCGCTGTACAGATCCTTCAACACTTTCCTGCTCAACCCGCTCGTCTCGAGATTGTTCTTCTTGGAACTGGCTTTCGGTGGCCAGTGGCCGTAGCGCTGCTGTAGTATCGCGATCGTCCATTTGCGCATGCCGAGGAAAGCATCCTTCCATTCAGCGAACCGCACACCCTCTTTGCGTTCATCGCTCGTCTTGCTGCTCATGATGCCGGTGAAAAGGAATGGAAACTCGAAATCCTTCAGGACCAACTGAATAGACGCCACCCGCTTCTCGAGATCCATAGCCGCCCTCGTGAGGCGATTTTGTGTAAGTGAACTGATCAAGTCCCATTTCGGACTCTTCAGTGTAAGTATTTCCTCGTGCTTGCCCACCGCATGTGTGAAAGCTTCGTTGTACAAGTACACGCTCTTCATGCGCTCGCCGAGCACGATCCCGTCGATCGTCGTTTCTCGGCTCGTGCGCACATCGCCTAGACCAAGCTCTTCGACGTATGCATCGAAGCTGCCGCTCGCCACCTCACCATATGTACTTCCATCTACATTACTGAACTCGTATGTCTTGAGGATACCAGAGATAGACATGAAGATCGCGAACCAGCTTGCCCTCCGCTCTGTCGCGACCAGAGGTCCTCCGATCAGAAAAGCGAAGAAGTTGCGTATATCGACTAGAGTCTGTAGATCCTCCGCTGCAGTATCCAGCACGGGAGCTTCTCGGCCCTTCTTGCCAGGTGTAGTCTGTACAGTCGGTGCTGGGTCCGTCGAGTGAAGTCTGATCGGCAGGAAAAGATGCACATCCTGCGCACTACCATCCGACATCATCGACGACCGACCTCTCGAGTCGCGTGACGAGTTCGAACTCATCGTCTCGGCTCGATCGTTCAGACTCAAATGCTGCGTCCTCGCATTCAGACCATGTCTATCGCCAAAGGCAAGTCGAGTGAGCACCGGACTCGCCGCGAATACTGCGCTGTCGATCCTGAAGCTCGCGCCCTTGCCTGGCGACCCTTGTGGGAAAAGGTAGACGAAGCAATTCCCATTCTCACTCTCGTCCCACATCTCCGGGAGAGGCAAGCCGTTGAGCAAGCCATTGATCTCATATGGTGGCCGTTCAGGATGTCCTCCAATCCAAGCCACAGGCCCACGCTCCGCATGCCCATCTTTCTTACTTCTTCCAAACAACCCTTTCTTGTCTTTCTTCTTCTCAGACTGTGCAGAAGGCGGCGTCATCGGTGCCTGACCTTGCATATGCTGAGGGTTCGGAGTTGTAGGTCTACTATAATTATTGCTAAAGCTCGGGGTACCAGGTCGTGATCGGTCGGTAGAAGAAGAGCGCGGGTGTGCTCCAGCTGCTGCGATTGGTGGGGGTGGGAGAAGTGGGCTGGGTGATCCATATTGAAGGTCGTGTAATGAAGGCAGTGAGGGTTCGGCATCTGCGAGGTATTGGCCAGAACCTGCTCGTGAGTGACTGCTGGCTCTTGCGTGACTCGGCGCAGGTGGCCCGCCTCGCAGGTATTCACCTGATACACCACGTGCATGACCTGGGCCAGCTACGGGAGCTGGTTTGCGTAGCCTGCTGGAGGATCGAGAGTCTGCTCCCGCACTTGGTGGTGAGTGTCGACGGGGAGAGGACGGACTGTTCGAGCCTGAGACGGGCATGCCGGGGAGAGGCTTGTCGGTGGAAGTGAACAGGTTTGAGAGTCGTTTCGCCATGCTGTATCATGTGCTCGTACCGACCAGCGGTGCGAGTTCGTGGACAAAGAGTTCTTTCGAAGTTGGCGTCAGGTGCAAGCTGAACAATCGCTACAATAAGGCCCTATACTGTACAAGGAGGGAAGGATAGAAGAAAGAGTACTCGCGTGGACAGTAAAGAGATGTGGGAGTGGGGCTATGCCACGAGGACGAGGACGAGGACAAGGACTCAAGGACTCGTGGCAGGGTTTCGACGTGTTTCAAGCCTGGTCAGGTACCGGGTAAGGAGTGCAAGACGACGTAGTGGTCAACAAGCAGGTACTCGCCAATGCCTTCCTTCGAGTGGTTGATCTGCTGTGCCTTCACCATCGTCTAATCAGTTTGGCAATCGCATTGTTACATGCATTCTTGGTGGAAGTGTTTCATGTTTCTTCAAGCGCCATGTTTGCCGCCCTTGGCCCCCACATGTCCCCGCGACACGCGCTCATGACGTCGGCCAAGAAAGTTGCGAGATGAGGAAGGCATTGCAATAATGTACGTCCAATATCCATATTCCCAGATATCTCCTCCATCCGATTACATGTAGCAATACACAGCTCTTGTCTTCCTGCTGGTCGATGTCGAGTACCGTCTAGGTAGGCAGACACTTGAGAGGCGGAATTCCAAGCCAAAGCAACATCACGGAGCTTGGAAAGACACCTTATAGATGACATGCAGCTACGGTAGAGGTATCTTCTTGTCCAAATCCTCTCCTTGCTTCACTTCTGCCATCACACACAATCCATCATGGGCAACGCACCACCCCCAGACGAACCCCTCCTCAATGCCGACCCCATCAACCTAATGCGCGGCTGGCCCTCCAAATCCCTCCTCCCAGCAAACCTCATCTGCAACGCCGCAAATCAAGCCCTCGCAGACCCAACCACAGCAGCAACCGGCCTCCTCTACGGCCCCGACCCAGGCTACCAACCCTGCCGCTCAGCCATCGCAGCCTGGCTCACCTCCTTCTACCTCCCCAAGAACCCTATCTCCAGCGAACGAATATGCATTACAGGCGGCGCCAGCCAAAACCTAGGCTCCCTACTCAGTGTCTACACCGACCCGAGCTACACTCGCAATATCTGGATCGTTGCGCCGGCGTATATGCTCGCCTTTCGCGTATTCGAGGATGCTGGATTCGCGGGCAAAATGAGAGCTGTGCCCGAAGATGAAGAAGGGATAGATCTATCGTACCTACATGAAGAGCTCAAGAAGAGCAAAGATATGGACAAGGAGAATGGGCAGGAGGTACCACGATACAAGCTCAACAGACCCTGGGCCAAAATATACAAACACATCATCTACTGCGTCCCCACCTTTGCAAACCCCAGCTCGCGAACCATGAGCCTAGCCCACAGAACCGAACTAGTCAAGATGGCACGAGCACACGACGCCCTCATAATCTCAGACGACGTCTACGACTTCCTCCAATGGCCAGCAGATCTTCAAGAAGGCCAATCCCTCAAAACGATGAAAACCGCACATCTCCCAAGATTAGTCGACATCGACCGCGAGCTAGACGGCAACGCAGGAGACGGCTTCGGTAATACCTGCAGCAATGGCAGCTTCAGCAAGATCGTAGGGCCTGGCGTTCGCGTAGGATGGGTGGAGGGAACGGAGAAGTTCGCTTATGGCGTTAGTCAGTGGTAAGTCACACCCACAACCCTCGTCTCCTGTGCGACCCTACCTACCCACAATGCAGTACTGACGCAAAAGACTCATTAGCGGTACGACGGCCTCAGGCGGCGCACCTTCGCAACTAACATCCACCTACATCACTCTTCTCTTAACCTCAGGCGCATTGACGAATCATATCCAATTCATCCTCCGTCCAGCCTACGCCCTACGATACCGGATTTTACTAGAAGCCATAACCACACACCTCGTGCCCCTAGGCTTCAGCCTCCCGCAACCCAATCGCAAAGTGGTAGGAGGATACTTCGTCTGGCTGTCCCTGCCTCCTAAAATGAGTGCAGCAGAGCTCACGCAGAGGTGTAGGGAGGAGGAGAACGTGATAGTGGCACCAGGCACGATTTTCGAAGTTCCTGGTGATCGTGAGGGGAGGTTAGGATTCGATGGGCATGTGAGATTATGTTTTGCTTGGGAGGAGGAAATAAATTTGGCGCGGGGTGTGCGAGGGATGGCGAGGGTGGCTGGGGCTATGTTGGAGGAACTGAGTAGGGGAGGAGGCAGTGCACCTGGATTCGGTGATGGGCGTGAGATGGTAATGAACGAATTCAAGTAAGATTTGTTCCGTGTGCGACGCCGTGAAGGATCCTCTGGGAGAGATGCTATGGCGAGAGGCGATATCGTGGTGGCTTTGTCGAATGCGCAGCAGTGACGATGCAGGCACGTGCAATTGGCAGTGGTCCCAGGCTTCTGCTGCCTCTTACTGCGCTGAGCTGAAAGACGTCTTGCGTGGTGCACGCTCCTGTCAAAGCCATAGGTGTGCTCGAGCGGTCGGCGCGCTTGCTCGATATTTGAACCCACTCCGTCCATGGTGTTGGTGAATGATGGCATCAGATCGCATGATAGTGGCGAAGATCAATGCATTGCTGCATGGTTCGATATTGCGGTATCTCCTGTCGTTGAATGCCTACACGAGAGCTGTGGTCAAATGCCGCAACATGGGGTACGATGCTTTTGGTTGGGGAGTCCTCGCTGCGGCACATTGTCAATGGGTCTCGATCGCTGCCTGGTTCGAAGCTGTGCTAACACTCGTTGAGCACATATGGTACTTTTGAGTACCCACGCTGTGGCTGCCCGTGAAACTGCAGTGTGCTATATCATACTTTCTTGGCATACAGTCCTGCTATCTCGCGTTGGGCATTTACGCTCATGCGCGACGTCAATGCTGCGTTGTATAATGCTTGCATTTCCTCGCTTGCGTTTACGATATCGTCCTTTCGAACGCTGACGCTATAGTTGTGGCCAAAGCTGCCATATACAGTATCATGCGCGGTGGCTCAGACTGCGTTGCTGGTTTGCGTCGTAGGTGAACTTACGCCATACCCACAGTCAATGCTGCAATCTACGTTATCATGCTTGCAGCTCACCAGGTCGCGGTTATCGTCGGCTGCAGGTCCACCGCACCGTTGCTGCAGACCGCCGTGGCTTGAGAAATGGTCGGCAATAGTCCATGTATGGTATACGATAATCGCATCCATCAAGCAGAACAGGCTTGACAACAATGGCTGAACCATATCCAGACCTCGTGACAGCAGGAGTTCGCCTACAGCAGCAGACGTGCAACTGTGTCTCTGCCTAGCAAGGCTGTGCATGCATACCATTCGATAGTCAGCTGTAGAATGGCGTTCACTGGGAAAGGAAGGTGTCGTCGGGGTTGCATGAGATACCGGAGCATCTACCCGTAGCGGATGTCGTGCATGGCTTCTACATTGCTTCTCTGCATTTGTTTATTGCGGCCGAGGTACAGTAGTTGGTGCAGCATGCAGATCTCAGCGCTCGAAGCTTCCTGGTAGTGCATTTTGCGCAAAGATGAGGGGGGTGTGTAGATCGCGCCATGTATTGTCTGCCTGCTCATGTGTGTCGCGGTCTCTTCGGCAGGCTTGCTGGCGTCTTGGTGTGTGTCTTGATGATGCGTTTAGTTTGCCACGGATGCAGAGATGTGGTTGCGGCTGTGGTCTTGCTTTGCCTCTAACCACTTCCGTCCTCCTTGCCGGCATGTTCGACCTACCTGCAACTTCAGCCCGCTGCCAATCAGAAAGCTGCATCAACTCATCCACTGACTTCAACTCCAGGCCTCGGTAATGCCGTTCTTGCACGCCACAGCCATTCTCCTCAAGCTATCTCAGCAGGGGTACAGTCATTGTCGACATTGGCATCTGCTGCAGACATGACTGGTGCAACATCTACGGTCCTCGAGAATTGCGCTTTGACGAGAGCGATACGGGATGAAACGTAGCCGGCACTAAGAGATCTCGTAACACAGACCCCTCCGCACGATCAGACCCGTGTGAAGGCGGAGATTTATCTGTACCTGGAAACGAATGCTTCGGCAGCAGTGCGCCAAGGCCTAGATATTGCTTATCTCGTGCGCATCTGAGACTGCCGAAGGCCTGTCAAGAGATACACGCCTTATCTTTGCCTTTGCGCCGCCCATGCATGGCTTTGTAGTGAAATCCAGGATCCTGACATGCACTCAGTATCTGACACACTTTGGCCTCACCTGTCCGGCACGCCAACCTTGTCGAACAGTACCTCCCGAAGATGGCATTTGTGGGCTGTGAAGTCTTCTGGTACGGCTAAAGGACATCTGCCATGCAGTCGAAACCTACGAGGTATGTCAATGGTCTGAGATAAAGCATAGTCTACAGCGTACATTGTACCCACTAGTCTGATCTTAGAAGGAGCGAATAAGCTCCACGAAGTGTACAAGCTTCCCTTCTTCGCTACGGCTCGACACCCTGAGCAACGTCGATCTCCCTTGGCGGGCGCACCCACTCCCTGCTCTACACGGCCACCATACCTACACTGTCGTCACCAACGCATGAGGCTCGGCCAGTCCCGCCTCGGTCACCGTCTCATCTCTACGATTGGTCCAAGACTAATACAGCGAAGGCGCCCCCTTGATGGCGCGCCATGCAGAGGACATTCGCAAATGGCGTGGGTCAACCAATGCCACCACCGCATCCTCAAACACTTCGACCGCCGGACCATACTCTACCTGCCTGCTGCATGGAGCCGTCGACTCTAGCCTGGAACTACGTCTCGAGGGCCTGTGTCGATCTCATATGCACCGCTCGCCAGCTGCCATGTTGGGTAATCATCGTCCGTCAGGCTATGGACAACGAGCTATCGCCACTACCATGGCTGTGGTCACCTAAGACCAGCGTACGGAGAATGGATCAGCACGTGTATGGTCTCGCACGCCATTGTGTCCTTGTGACTGGCAATCGCTCTTTGATTGCTACCTCGCTGATCTTGCGGCAGTAGCGAGACTGATCGTCTCAAGGACATCAAGCCGACACATAAGTATCCTCACATCGCCGCTCCACAATTGCCTTTATTCTCATCCATCTCTCATTCTCCAGGACAACAGTGAAGGCTTGCCTTTGCCATATCAGATCTACTTTCGTTCTCCATCTCCTTCAACATGCAATACTCCCTCACAGCAGCCGCCCTTGTGGCGTCCGCCACTCTCTGCCTTGCGGCCCCAGCTGATATCAGCAAGCGCTCGAGCTTCGTCGTCGACCAAGTCGCTGCTGGCCAGGTACTCAAGAGCGGCCCGATTCAGATGATGCAAACCTACAATAAGTACGCCAAAGTTGGTGCCGTTGCACCTTCAGCTGTAGTCGATGCCGCTGCTGCCGCGAAGCAGAGCGGCAGCGTCTCTGCCAACCCAGAGCAGTACGACCAGAGCTACCTCTGCCCTGTATCTGTTGGTGGACAGACGCTCAACTTGGATTTCGATACTGGCAGTGCTGATCTGTAAGCCATCGACAGGTTGCACAAAATATGGATTCACGCTAACCTTGACTAGCTGGGTCTTCTCTACTTTGACCCCATCCAGCCAGTCTAGCGGACACGCCAAGTACAACCCAAGCACTTCTGGCACCAAGAAGAGCGGCTACACCTGGAAGATCAGCTACGGCGATGGCTCTGGTGCCGGCGGCACCGTCTACTCTGACAAGGTCGTCGTCGGTCCAGTGACTGCCACTTCCCAGGCCGTTGAGGCCGCCACCTCGGTCTCTGCTCAGTTCACCCAGGACACCGACAACGACGGTCTTCTCGGGCTGGCTTTCAGCAGCATCAACACCGTTCAGCCTCAGCAGCAGACTACCTTCTTCGACACCGTGAAGAGCTCTCTTGCCTCCCCTCTGTTCACTGCCGACCTAAAGCATGCTGCCGCTGGCTCGTACGGCTTCGGCTACATCGACAGCTCGAAGTACGTCGGAAGCATCACCTACGTGCCAGTATCCACTGCGAACGGCTTCTGGGAGTTCACTGCAGGCGCCTACGCCGTCGGCTCTGGCAGCTCCAGTGGCAGCATCGGCGACGCCATCGCTGACACTGGTACTTCACTCATGTACATCCCCACCGCTGCCGTCACCGCCTACTACAAACAAGTCTCCGGCGCCCAGAACAGCCAGAACGCCGGTGGCTACATCTTCCCCTGCAGCTCCACCCTGCCGAACTTCAAAGTCACCATCGGCGGCGCCACCTACACAGTCCCGGGCAGCTACATCAACTACGCACCCAACGGTGACGGCACCTGCTTCGGTGGCATCCAGGCGAACACTGGTATCGGTTTCACCATCTTCGGTGATGTTTTCCTCAAGGCTGTCTTTGCCGTCTTTGACCAGACTCAGAGCTCGCCACGCTTGGGTTTCGCGAACCAGTAGATTTCTGGTATGACGGCGATAGATGAATGTTGGTGGCACGGCATTGCATAGTTTTCGTATCTAGGGGCGATAGCACTAGATCTTCCGTATAGCAGGGCTGGGCTCTCGTATCATAATTTCACATCACTGTCATGCTTCACACCGCTTCCCCTTCCACTCATGTCAGGCATAGTGGACCTATCTGTCGAATCTCGCACCAGCTTGAGCGTCACATAGAAAACTTCTATGCAGCTCGTGGAAAGGAGGCTCACCGACGCAACTCTGCACTCCCCATCGTTCGGCCAGGTTGTGGATAAGTAGCATCCCTAGCACGAGACAGTCATGGTTGAGGCACACGATCCGTCAATTATTGCGTGCTTCCTGTGGAGTACGTCGGCTGTGGCCATGAGAGTACAATCACAGCTTACAAGCCTTCAACACCTACGACTCCTAGCAATGTCACCTTGTGCACGAAAGGTGTGCGCGTGACCGAACTACAGTCAATCACGGAGAAGCCGTACACACAGCATCCAAAGCTAGTATCTGGTGTTCATCGCTGGAGTGACGATCCCAATTGATAGACATGACTACACCGAAGCCAAATCAGCCACCTCCCACGAATCAATGTGTGTGGACGAGCAGCGCATCATGAAGTGTAGTGGTCACTACCACCAGCCTACCAGAAGACTTCTTCCAGAGAACGTTCTATACAAATTCGGTCAAAGCGTTGCCACATGATGGCACATGTCCGAGATGAGCTTGAGGTAGAGTCTTTGTCCCTTTGTCACAATTCTTGCGCGTGGCTGCTTGAATCCTCCCTGAGTGTCTTGGCCAACCACCAGCAGCGCTGAAGGATGGACGTTATCTCTGTCTTGGATGCATGCGAGCCACCGTATCTCCAGCAAAGTGTCGAGCCTTGATAATAGTGGAGGTCTGCCGTTGTGGTTGGCATTTGGGCGTTGCTGGAAGGGAAAGACTCGGCTACAGTATCGACTGCGCGCGACAATCCCTGCCCGCTTCTCTGCCGATCTGAAGCTTAGCTCACTTAGCCTGAACTCAGGGCGCGTGCGCCTTCCATCTGATCACCTACGCACCTGCCTTGGTAACAAGAAATATGCAAGACCAGCACGTTTGGAAGTGGAGCGGCCATCTAAACTGCGGCCAGTAGCTGTGTGAATCCCAGAGGTTGCGACGTGAGGTTGCGGCATCAAAACGTTTCACATCTTGGCTCGAACGAATGACAGCCAAAGGATTCGTTTTGACGGAGTGGCTTCGCGCCGCTTCCTTCGCTGGGGTCCACCTTCCGGCAAGGCTAACGAACCCTGCCACCGTGCCGATCAGGAACGAACCTCACGCAGTTCTTGTCGCACAATCAACTTCTTGGCATTCGTGAGAGGTCGGCAACGTTGTTTGTGGTGCAGCGTTGAAGATGCCGCGGCTTGGTTTCTTGTCCATGCTGGCGCCATCTCCGTCCGCAATTTGGTCCTGGGCGAATGGCCACGGTCACACGCTCCTTCAACGAAAGTTGGTGCGTTGGCTCGAGATGGCAGTCGTCCGGTTGTAGGTCTTTTGCCACAGCGCCCGGAGAGCGCATGCCACACCTGGGCAGAGTGGAGTGGCTCACGAGGTTGGCAACGCTGACCGTTGAGACAAAGAGGATGGTGGTGGCAAGACTGACTGACGAGATGTTTTCAGGATCATGCCACTTCTTAGTGTTGTAGTATGGTGTGCGCAGGTCAAACGGCCGAACATGTTACTGTATAAAGAAGCCAGGGTGCACTGGCCTGGCCTGGGGATACAGACCACATCGCAGTGGTGCATGCAAGCTGGAACCCGAGATATCTGAAACGGCGCAGGTTCACGAAGCAGGACAAGAGGATTGGACGACAACGAAACCTTAGCGTCGAATAGCGTTGTGAGTATCTCCCTCTCCTCGAAGAGAGCCTCAAAAGGATTGAAGGTCGCCCCAACCTCACATTCACTTCTGCATTCATCGCGTTCTGTTGCTATTGACTGAAGTTGCATTGTCGGCGGGGCTTCCCTTTATTCATTGTTCACAATTGCATTGTCCGCGTGCACCTCGCGCAAGCCATTCTTTAAGAAGATCCCACGCATCCCCAACTTCCACACAACCACCACCACCAAACGACACTCCTTCAACACCTCGTTCTCATTCCCCGACAGCAAACAATCTTTCTGCACTTGATCTCTGCGAGACTTGCAACCAACGCCAGTGCCGGCCACTGACATTTCGATCCTTCCAGTTTCAAGGTCACGACAACACAACAACAACATGCATTCTTTCACCAGGGCGCTGAGCGCCCTTCTTGCTTTGACAGCAACAACAACAACAGCACGTCCTACCGCGGATTCCACTGCGGCCTTGTCAACAAGGCAATCCAGCTCTAGCGGCTACTGGCTTGGCCAGTCTTCTTTCCACAAGAACGCTCCTGTATGGGGCAACAGCAACACGAACTACCCCATCTTCCGTGATGTGACCGACAGTCGATTCGGCGGAGGGGCCAGGGGTGACGGTGTCACTGATGACACTGCGGCCATTAACTTCGCCATCAACGCCACTCTCGGCAGCAACCAGAGATGTGGCGTTGGCTGCAACTCATCCACCATCTCGCCCGCCATTGTATACTTTCCTCCTGGCAAGTATCTCGTTAGTAGCCCTCTCCTCATGGACTACTACACGCAGCTTATCGGCGATGCGACCAATTTGCCACAAATCATCGCCAGCTCTGGCTTCCAAGGCATGGCCGTCCTCGACGCTGACCCCTATGGTGCTTACGGCAACAACTGGTTCATCAACCAAAACAACTTCTTCCGACAAGTCCGCAACTTCGTCATTGACATCACCCAATGGAACGGCGGTGCTACTGGTGCTGGTATTCACTGGCAGGTTGCTCAGGCTACCTCCCTCCAGAACATTGTTTTCGAGATGAGTACCTCTGCCAGCACACAGCAGCAGGGTATCTTCATGGACAATGGTAGCGGTGGCTTCATGAGTGACCTCGTCTTCAAAGGTGGCAAGTACGGTGCTTTCTTCGGCAACCAGCAATTCACCTCTCGCAACCTGACCTTCATTGGTTGCCAGACCGGTATCTACATGAACTGGAACTGGGGCTGGACTCTATCCGATATGACCTTCACTAACTGCGGCACCGGTATCGACATGTCTAACACACCGACCAACCAGACCGTTGGCTCCGTCGTCCTCAGCGACAGCACTTTCAGCGGTACTCAGTATGGTGTGCGATCTGCGTACTCCAAATCCAGCGACGTCCCCAAGTCTGGTGGTACTCTCATCATCGATAACGTTGACTTCGGCAGCGCAACAGCTGTTGTTGGCCCCACAAACGCCGTCATCGCACAGTCGATCGCATCAGGCTCGGCATGGGCTTCTGGCAATGTCTATGATCACTCCGGCACCGCGGCTATCACGCAGGGCCCGATCAAGTCTCCCGTCAAGAACCAGGCTCTTCTAAGCAACGGCAAGATCTTCGCCCGCTCCAAGCCCCAGTATGAGACTCAGCCTGCAAGCGCCTTCTCCAGCGCGCTTACCTACGGCTGCAAGGGTGATGCTACTACCGACGACACCCAGTGCATTCAGAAGTTCCTGAATGACGCCTCCAGCAAGAACCTGATCGCCTACTTCGATCACGCCGTCTATCTCGTCACCAGCACCATCACTGTCCCGAACAACATCCGCATCGTCGGTGAGATTTGGTCGACTATCTTGGCATCTGGTTTCACCGATGTCAACAGCCCCAAGCCTGTCTGGCAAGTTGGCTCTGGTAACGGCTCAACCGGTGCTGTGGAGATTAGCGACCTGCTATTCGAGATTAGAGGTCCGAATCCTGGCGCTATCATAATCCAATGGGAACTGAACTCGCCGGCCGGCAAGTCTGGCATGTGGGACACTCACGTCCGCATAGGTGGCTCGTACGGCTCGAATCTACTCCTGGCCGATTGCGCCAAGCAAGTCCAGAACCCAAGCGTCAACAACAAATGCCTTGGTGTTTTCTTGATGTTCTACGCCGCTCCTCAGTCCGGTGGTGTCTACCTTGAGAACACCTGGCACTGGGTGGCAGATCATGATATGGAAGATCCCCTGAACCAGCAAATCTCCGTCTACAGTGCTCGCGGCACGCTCATCCGCTCTTCTGGTCCGGTCTGGCTCTGGGGTACTTCCTCCGAGCACAGCATCTTCTACAACTACCAGATCGATGGCGCTTCTGCTGTCTTCGGCGGCTTCATGCAGTCTGAGACCCCCTACATGCAGCCGTACCCGCTTGCACCGGCACCATTCACGCCCAATGGCAACTATGACGACCCAACCTTCACTGTCTGCAATGGCGCGAACGCCAACAGCCTTGACTCTCCTTGCAAAGACGCTTGGGGTTTGCGTGTGCTCAACAGCCAAGGAATCCTCATCTACTCGCTCGGTTTCTACAGCTTCTTCAACGGCTACGAGCAAGACTGTCTCCTAAGTGGGAACTGCCAGCTTGACATGATTCATATCACCAACAGTCAGGTGGCAATGTATGCCGTCACTACCATCGGCACGGTCAAAATGCTCGTCGACGACAACGGCGTCACGATCAATGCCGCTGAAAACGCGGACGTCTACGGCGATACTTTCGCGGTGTACTATGCCGATACGTGAAGCGGCTCCTATTCACGTCCTTTCTCGATCTCAAGCTTTGTGCGATACATGATGAAAGACATCGAAGGCGTTTTTGCAGCTTCGCAAGATTCACGTTAGGGAACATGGCATTAGGGATACCCCAAGCATTGATGGAGGGCCACAATGCAATACCTCGGGCACTGCTCTTTCGAGCTGGCTCTGTAAGGCGCATGATAAATTGGCATGGCGTTGGGAGGGATTTTGTGGTTGCCTTTTGGCAGCTTTTGGGAACGCATAGTGCGCAGCAAATAGCTTGATGAGTAGACCCAGATGGTCTGCTCCAAGTGAGTCGTTATACTCAAATTTTCTTTCGTTTCTCACTTCTCGATCCTTTAGGGTTTCCCGTTCGCTTTCGCAGATCTGCTGAACAGAATGGTGTTGGACTTGGTGCCCGTGACATTATTATTATTATTGTTCTCACCATCGCGCATGACGTCGGCGATCAAGCTGCCACGTGCGCTCAGCTCTGTTCGGCCATTGGCGTAGAGGTACCTTTCGTATAACTTTGTCGAATATTCCTTCTGCAGGTACCAGCCGTTCGCGTGGAATCAGCATCGCAGCAGATTCGTGGAAACACTGCAGAGTTGCACCACTAATGCCTCGCTTGGCCAAGATGGGCCATCAGGCTGTACGATCTGGGAAGGTGAGTTTTGATAGAAAGCTTGGTGAGTGAGTACTTGATGATATCTCTTCTGTCTCGCCCTCGGCCTTCCTACTGTATCACTATTGCGCAGCGTTGTTGTCAATATGTACGGCTCTACTACCCTCGCCGCAGGTGCGATGCTCCTCGCTTCTGGAGCCCAGGCGATCAACATCACATCTGGGTACATCAACTATACGACTGTTGCTGGGTACTTCTTACAGGATGTTGCCAGTACTAACGCCTCAACATTTGACTATGTAAGTCGCATGATACTGAAGTAAGACAACTTCTTCGGCTAACAAGTCATCGGCAAGACTGCGACCAACTTCGGCCTTATCAACCAGACCTACTCCGGCACCACGAGCTCGACTGCCAACCTCACGCAATGGCAGCAATTCCAGGCTCAGGTCGCGGCGTTGAACGCTGCCGCGCCTCTCAATACTGTCTACAAGGTGCTGTTCATGGGGAGACACGGCGAAGGATACCACAATGCTGCTGAGACATTCTACGTAAGACACCACTAGGGCGACGTTGTGGTTGGATACAAGCATTGCCAAGGACAAGAGCTAGTCCAGGCAGTCCGAGACGCCACTGAGAGGGTCCTTACGCCGGAGGATCTGCCAGCAATGCTTGCTCCAGTCGCAACGGAAGCTCCCCGTCTGCCAAGAAACGAGTTAATCAGATATCTATAGGGTACCCCGGCATGGAACTGCTATTGGGCTGAGCTAAATGGCAATGCTACGGCCACTTGGTACGATGCCGACTTGACCCCAAACGGCATCAACCAGGCTATCATCGCGCACAACTTCTGGCAGCACGAGATTGCCGTTCAGAAGATCCCACAGCCGCAGTCTTATTACTCTTCGCCTCTTACTCGCTGCCTGAAGACCACCAATCTCACCTTCAACGGCATCCCAACGCCGGAGTACTACCCATTCGTCCCTACCGTCAAGGAACTCTTGCGTGAGGGCATCTCCATCCATACCTGCGACCACCGCCGCAATCGCACTTACATCCACAACCTCTTCTCAACCTGGGATGTCAGCGACCTTGGCGAGTACGACACCATTTGGAACGGTGTCTCTGCCGAGACCAATGATGCCCAAGATGCTCGTAGCAAGAAGGTTCTTGATTCGATCTTCGGCACTGATGACCACACCTGGCTCTCCATCACATCCCACTCTGGTGAAATCGGCAGCATCCTTCGTGTCGTTGGTCACCGCTCGTTCTCCCTTAACACTGGCGCCGTAATCCCCGTTCTGGTCAAGGCACAATTCCTGCCTTCCGGCCCAGCACCAAGCAGCCCTGCATACACTGTCAGCACTCACTGCGCAAACCCACCAGTGACTAGCATCGCCAGCTTGGCTCAAGGCTGTGTTTGTAGCGGGACAGCCGTTGGTGGCATCACGACACCCATCTACAATATTTCCAGCGACTACCCATCTGGAGCGGGTTTCCAGGCCACCGACCTGAACACGCCCACTGTACTTGCGAGCGCGACCGCCACTGCTACCGCCACGGGAGGTGCGAGCGGCAGCTCCAGCAGCAGCTTTTCTACCAGCTCCAGCAAGAGTTCGAGCGCATCAACCTCGGCAAGTATCACTGCTAGCGCGAGCACCAGCTCCAGCCGCCCATATGGACCACCGGGCTACAATCCGTGGTCATCTAGCTATGGCTGGTGGTAGGCGAGCACGAAATTTGTAGACATGCACAGCAAATAGTCCGTGTATAGTCAGTTCTTCGTACAAATTGCTTGCGACCATCTCTTTGCATATTGGCGTTGTGCTACGCACCCATCTTGGGCAGGGATTCCTCTGGTTTGCTTACCATACCATTGATCGCTGCAGAGTCTGCCACCTTGCGCAACGGCCAGATCATGAATAAAGATGTTTCAGCAATCGCTCTCGATCAATTGTAGCGCCTCGACTTCAAGCAACCACTCGACTTCGACTATTTCGGTCTCGTATTTGAAGGTCACAGACGACGCAGGTGGTACAATACTATCAAAATGCCTCTGGGTATAAACGCTCCATGACTGTGCAAATCACCAACACCTTCTTGGTCTGATCAACATCACGACACAATTCGTGAGATCCCTATCAGTGCTTTCAAAGCCTCTGGTCGTTGCCAAGAGTCAGCACAACCCACGCCACCGCCCCAACCTCATCCTTCAAAGGCGTCCAATGCAACGAGAACCTTTCGAAACCCATGTACGGCTTGGCGCACAGCTTCAACTCAACACTGACAGGCTGACCAGTCTTAAGCGCTGCCTTCACCGCTGACTTAAAGTCCCAGCTGAGTGACCCTGATGCACAATGAAGCCCAAGATATTTGAAGGCATCGGTGCCGATGGCCTGGGGTACGTAGGGAGTCCGTGATTTGACGGGAAAGAGCATATCGATCACGCCGCCTGACACGAAGCTGATTAGGAAGCTGCTGTAGTTGATGATGATGTACTACTTGTAATCAGCGCTTGAAATTTCACATATTGCGAGCATAAACTCACATTCGAGTAGGCTGTATAGAACGCATCGAGCTGGTTCGCAAGCGGCATTTCTGACAGCTTATGCAACAAGCAACCTTCCATCCCAGGAGTCGCGGCCTGCACGGTCAGCTTGCTACTAAGGAGAGCGTTGAGCACAGTACGACTTCGGGAGGGCTTGGCAGTAACGGGTCTTCCCATGTCTTTCTCCACTACCCACCCTCTCTTCAGCTCCGTCGGTTCTCCCAATATTCGCAGAACATCGGATGTGCTGTGGATCGCGGTCGAGCAGTTGACCTGGCCCCCAAGGAAAAACGCTACCTTCCCCTGACCGTCGTATAGTGGCGTAGTATATAGCAGGTTCTAGAAGGGCTCGCCATTCTTCTTGTGATTGAGCAGAAGCTCCACTGATTCATGCCGCTTGTCAATAGAGTCTTTCAAACGTTTCACAGCAGCTCGTTCAGTGTGTCGGCCTTGTAGAAAGCGGCAATTGCGAGGTATGATCTCGTTACGTTGGTAGCCAGTGACTTTCACGAAGCCGTCCGATGCGAACATGATTGGATTGTCCGCGCGCGAAGGATCAGTTAGCACAAAACAATCACCCAGTCCAGCATATTTGCCGCGATCACCTCCGAGCGCTTTGGCAGCACTAACACTCATCTGGTACCGTACAAAGTTGGGATAGATGTCAGTATAGACTAGTCTCTCAATGTCGGTCTGAGCTGTGCTGAAGATTGCCTCCATAGCCGGGATGGTGCTGGTGAGGGCAGACTTCATTTCTTTGTTCACCTGCAGGAGGACACTCTCAGCCACATTAATCTGCGTTGGCGCACTGCTGGCAATGAAATCTTTGTGGATCTCATACACTGCTTTCGAGACATCTGCCAAGAGGGACTGGTACTTGGTGACTCTGTCCAAAAACTCCAGGTTCTCGCCACAGAGTCGTGACTGGGCAAATCGGAGAAGTTGGTGAGCAATGGTTGGGTTGTGGAGGACTGTCTGGAACACGGTCTGGCCGAAGAACTCAGGCATGCGCGAGCCAGTCGACACCTGTTGATGTGGAGGGGTAGAGAGAGAAGTAGCCTCTGACATAGAGGTCATAGACGGTGCGAGACCGCGCTTCAGATCCGACCCAGGATAGAGTACTGAAGGCCTCTCACGCTCTGGTGTTTCAAGGTCCATTTGTGCGATGTTCAGTGTGGGCTCAGACGTTCCTTCCGTACTCGTAATCGTAGCATTGTCGTCTTCTGTCGTCGCTGCAAACCCAATGATGTGGCTTGAGGACCTCGTGCGTACATCGTCTCCAGGGAGCTCAGAGACGCCTGGCGAACGAGAGATTTCGTCGCGAATAAAAGTCGGTTGCCGGTGGCTTGCCAAGTCTATCGTTATAGGCATCTCGCCACTCTCCTCGCTGATTGGCTGTATATCGGAAGCGTCAATGGGCGAATGTGGGTTTACCAAGGTTGAAGTAGAATTGTTTCCTGATGATGAAGTGGGTGATCGAATCATGGAGGCGCGTCGCACAGAGAAGTTTGGGACATCTCTGGCGGTACCATAGTCTCGGGATGTCCGAAGCGAGCCCATGAGGAAGGCGTATCTCGGTTGGCCCAGTCCAGTATGAGGACCGAAGGAAAGCGCTACTGATCCTTCGATGACCTTCCAGCTATGCTGCAAAGCTTGGAATACTGCGGAATGCTGGTTTCCTGGGATGAGACTCTGGTACGACGAACGAACGCCACCAAGACGGTGGAAGGAGTTGGCCGGCGACCCTTAGAAGCGGGCGTTCATCAGATCGAAGTGACCATACGGTAGGTCTCTCAAGACGCAGGAACAGGCATAGTGCCGTGCGGGCAGAGGACATGGCTAGAGTATGCATATCGAGCAGGGATGTGGGGCCATCGTGCAGCAGCCAACGGATCGATAACGGCTACACTACATGAACGGCATATGAGATAGCGCTCGCGTTGTAGGTAGTACATGCGGGGTTTCTGTTAGCATAGCTCCTAGTCAATTATTGTGTATCTCGTACGCTAGGCACAGAGTCATTCTCGCAGGAGCTTTAAGTGCAGAGGATCCGAATGTGGCATCGCTGGTGTGCCGTGCTGCAGTAGCGGATTGGGCAAGGAGAAATCTCCACAACCTGGTTGATGGACTAGGGCCACGTCGGAGAGATCCCCGTCCAGGCGGATCGCTTTGATATCGTCGATACAACACTATCTCATTTAAGCCACGGCAAATGCATCGCGTGCACATCAATCAAAACGTGGACATGGACCGTGCCGCTAATCCGTACCAATTCTTGACGCTGGCGATCGATGCCGTTGGATTCCGGGTACATGTAGGATCATTGTTGCTAAGACTTCGACGCTTGCACCCTACCAGCGAGCCTCTACGTATTGATGACCACCTGCACGTTATGGACGTACTGCCGTCAATTGCGATGATGCACCCTGCAATACATTGGGGTAGACTGAGCGCGACATGCGATCGACGGCTGGTGTCAACAGGTGCAACTTTAAAGACACGCCAGTCTATTGAGCGTAATGATATGCTTGGTCACAGGCACACCGTGGCGCAATCTTCGACATCAATAATAATAATGTCGTGATTAGTGTGTCAGGAACTGGTTTTGCCCATTCCGACGAGGCAAAACTCAGCGGGCGTTTCTGTAGCGGGGAAAGCTCATCTAATCATCAGCTTCACCATGTTGTGAGCTTACTTCCACTTCTACATTCTTGCAAACACACCCAAAATGCCGCAAAAGATCAAACTCGCTGTCTCTCAATCTTACACCCTCCCTACTCTACGCGAAACACTTGATCATCTAGCCTCCGTCACCAAATCTGCAGCTTCACAAGGTGTCGATCTCATCCTATTCCCAGAAGCATATCTCGGCGGCTATCCTCGTACTTGTGACTTTGGAGCTACTGTTGGCTCAAGGAAGGATGCTGGGAGGGAGCAGTTTTTGAACTACTTCAAGGCATGTGTAGACCTTGGTGACACACCGCCAGGCGCTGGCGACGAATGGCTGGATCGAAAGCTTCCAGTTGCCAAAGGTGACGAGTACAGAGGCGATGGCACAAGGGAGTTCTTGGAAAGAGTAGCGAGGGAGACTGGTGTTTTCGTTGTGACAGGCATGGTGGAGAAAGCTGGTGGAAGCCTCTACTGTGCTGTTGTATACGTCTGCCCAAGGTTGGGTGTGCTTGGCAAGAGACGCAAGGTCATGCCCACTGGTTCTGAACGATTAGTGTGGGCTCAAGGATCGCCGAGCACGCTCAAGGCTATAACGACGAAGGTCAAAGGCGTCAAGATCACTATGGCTGCGGCCATTTGCTGGGAGAATATGATGCCTCTGCTACGATACAGCCTCTACAGTCAGAACGTCAATCTATGGTTAGCACCGACAGCCGACGCAAGAGATACCTGGTTACCGCTCATGCGCACTGTTGGTAACGAGGGACGATGTTTCGTCCTTAGCGCAATTTCATGCGTCAAGAGGAAGAATCTGCCAGGTTGGATCACTGGTTCGCAACCCGCAGGCTCCGTCAAAGAACAGCCCGCCATGGCCAATGGTCCAGCATCAAGTTCAGGTAAATCACCACCAAAAGCCGGTCGAAGGCGATCCACCCTCACTGTTCAAGCGGACACACACTCACTTGTGCTACCCGCCGCAGATGAGTCGGCTGCTGACTCGAGCTCTGCTATCGCCGAAGAAAGTGCTGACAGTTCACAAGATCAAGGTAACGAAGACTTCGTGTGTCGTGGTGGTTCATGCATCGTAGGTCCGTTTGGGAACATTGTCAAGGAGCCGATGTGGGAAGTGGAGGATGGTGAGCTGTTGGTATGCGAGGCTGATTTCGAAGACTGTGAACGTGGAAGACTGGATCTTGATGTTGCTGGAAGCTATTCAAGGAATGATGCTTTCAAGCTCACTGTGGCAGGCCTCGATATCAACCCTCCACCGTGAAGGTCAGGCAGTAAGCACAAGTCATTGCAAGCGATCCCTCTATCAATAAATGGCCGCCCCAGCCTACGCCTCACCAATTTCCGCCAAGTGTGCACCAACACTCGAATAGCACCATAGCTCGCTTCATTCCCCTTCGTCATCCGTCACCCAAGCACTCTCGCCGCCTTCACTCATGACTTGCGATGCACGCTTCGGTGTGCGACGGCCTGCGCCGATTGACAGATTGTAGCGCGACCGCAGATCCGAGACATGGCGCTTGTGGCGAAGACTGCTTTGATTGCTCTTGGTGGTGCCGAGATTGGGACTGTCGAAACCCCCAACGTCACTGGAGTCCTTGCCGGCATGTTCGGCCTCTAGTGCATCAGAAGCAGCATTTGCCTCTGCGAACACACTAGCGAACGATGCCACACTGTTGCGCCTCAAAAGCATGGCGTGCGCTTTCTTCATCAAGCTCTCGATGCTGAGGACGCTGAACTCGCGCTTCTTGCCCTCGCGGATATGGTGTTGGGTGCCGGCTTCAGTGACGTCGGAATTGCTGACTGCGCGGATGGTTTGTTTGGACGGGATTGGACGCTTCTCCTCTTCCTTGGCCTCGGAGTTCGCGATGGAGATTGCTTGGCTGGCTTCGCGAAGATCAAGAGATGGATCACGACTGATGGTGTAATGGCGTGTATGCCCGGAATGCTTTGATTGCTGCTTTTCGAAGAGGTGGGGTCGGCTACGCAGCGATGGGAGGCAGAAGACCATTTTGGCGGATGTTGTTCTCTGAGAATGTGGCAATGCTGCGGCCGTTGCTTCTTGCATTGGTCAAAGACTGTGTATCCTCGATTTGAAGATTACTGCTCGGACCCACTTTTGCAGCTTCCCGATTGAACGGCCATGAAACAATCACGCGAAGCTGAAGCGGACTAGGCTTCCAAGCCCTCGGTACACTCATTCGACTATCCTTCACTCACAAGGCACTCTTGGAGTAGCGCGAAGGAAAGGCTGTTTCCTGGACCTTCGAGATCAACCACGGTGACTTTCGGGCGCAGCTGGGACGACAGAATTGGCATATCAAATTTCAGTTTACAACCACATGAGGGAAGTTGTTCAATCGCTCACTCTGGATTTCGACATGTACAACTACATATGTGCCACCGCGCCAAGTCCCATGTTGACAGCTTATCCTGCCCTGCGCTTAGAGCCAAAGTCATCGCCAGCGGTCACATAGTCAACTCTCGCTTTCAATCTAGCACTTCACACAACCAAGTCCGCCATGTCATGTCCAATCATCTGTGCAACTGCCGAGAAGTGCAATGGACCTCCATCTTGCGAACCATCCTGTACCATATCGCCCCCCACACTCTCCCTCTTCCATTCTGTCTCACGACCTCAGGCGTCAGTCATCTCAACATCACTGCCTTTCCTGCTCCCAGCCGCCTTCGTCACGCTCCTCGTCGGCTGCTTCCGAGCGCCAGCAACAGGCACCGCTTTCGTCTTTGGGCGCTTGAAACCACCTACTGGCCCACTCGCTTGCCCTCCACTTGCCTTCGGCTTCTGCTCAAGCATTTGCCTCGCATGCTTCGCCTCGAAGGTATGACCTTGGTGGACATGAGACTTGCCCTTATCTGCACAGTTCTCGCAGCAGTCGAAGTCGGGGCAGTCCTTGCATGCGTAGTGAAGGCCGACGATCTTGGCATTGCAGAAGTCACACTCGACGATGCTCTCGTCCCAATTCGCCTTGGTACGGAGGCGCCTTCACAGCTGCCGACGGGGTCGTGTTGTTGGCGAGGACAGTATCCATGATGGCGGTATTGAAACCGTGCTTGGTCTTGGTCTTACTGGGCTTGCCGATCCGAGTCTTCTGGCCGACGATCTTTTCAAGCACGACGCCTTTATTCTTCTCCTGCTGTCGAGTAGTAAAGCGAAGAGTCTTGCTGTCTTTCGTTGCATCGTCATCGCTTCCACCGAACAGCTCTTGATCGAGCTTCGTCGCCGCCTCGACCGCTGCAGCGTACGCGTCATTCGCAGCTTTGACCGTGATCGGATCACCGTTCGCTTTCTGCAGCGCAATTCGACGCTTCATTGCCGGACCTGTGTGGTACTGAAGCTGATCAGCAGCCCTCTGATGAGCTGCTGTCTTGCCCTCGTCCTTGATATTGCGCATGGTCTTGGTATGTAGGATGCTTTCGGCCAGTACAGATTTGAAGACGTTGTCGCAAGAAACGCACAAGAATTCTTCGTCGCCATCCTGGTAGCGATCGAAGTCCGCTTGCAGAGCATGGTGGCCGCGTTCACCCTCGTACTCCTCTGGGCTGAACTCGCCTTTGCCAACACATTTCGGGTGAAAGTAGTTAGCACAGTCGGTGCACTGGACCATGTGGCTGTCGGCCGGCGAGCCGCATGTGCAATGAAGCTCGATCACTTCATCATCATCCTGCTCCGCCTGGTCATCACCTACATCCTGCTCGTCACGGTCTTCTGCTGCATAGAAGCCATTCCTGTTGCTGTTCAGGCGAGCTCTTCCATCAGCAGCATTCTCCGAGGTGACGTTGTTCTCCTCGTCCTTCATCTCAGCTTGCATACTGTCAGGTATGGTGTATTCGAAGAGATGCTGCTCACGGATCTTACCACCGTACGAGTGCGGTGGCTCTTTCCTCGGCCTCGAATCAGCCAGCTCAGCATGGGCAAACTGCCTCTTGCGCCTCTCTTCTTCTGGCATCGCGAAGAGCTTGTCGCTGCCATCGATCTTGAGCGCGCGCGAGAGGCGGTCGACGTAGTAGGTGGTGTTCGCCCGCGCCTTTACTGGCTTACGGACCTTGATATCGCCACCCTTGTAGCTCTTGTTGAACACCGCGCCCAGCTTCTTCTCCTTCTGGACGCACTGTCGATGCTCACACGCGAAGCTGCCGTGGCTTTTAGTTTTGGACTCAGCATTGTCGCTCAAGCGACAGCTGCGATTACATGCCCGTGGCGTAGCGGTGACGTGTCGATGGCCGCACGTCAAAATGTGGACTAGAGCGTTATGGGCGTGGTCTTCGAAGCACGCTGTTGGCGGCTGCTCGTCGTTGGGGTCGAGCTTGCGATGATCATATTGCGGTCCTCTTCTGAATACATTGTCGGGCATGTCACCAAGTCCAGGCTCAGCTTTCACAAACAACGGCTCTTCTTCTTGCTGTGTTGACTTATTGGCTCGCTTCCCTCGAACAAGACGAGCCGACGCTATGCTGACTGCCGATGTAGCAAGCGCATGTTCCGATCCAGCCGACTTCCTCGACTGCAGCGTAGCTGGGCTGGGTGACCTTGAGAATATCTCCTTCACTGGCTGATAGGATGCGGCATTAGCTGGCTTCAGCTCTGCTGCAGGGTGCATTGCCAAGGTCGTCGTGTCTCCGGTACCGAGCTCAGGCAGCTCGAACTGCCGGACATACTCATCCATATCCACCTCTTTCTTCACCTCCACGCCGTCATCCTCTGGATATACATGGCCCGCCTGGGCGAGATCGTCGTCACTGTCGATGTAGATATAGTCGTCCTCGTTTTGCGGGAGAGACGCAGCTGCTGGTGAAGCCGGGTTGGTCAGATACACGCCCTGCCAATCATCCTCGCCATCGTCGGGGACCAGACCAGGCGTAGACAGGAGCGTGGTCGGCTCTTGCTTCGGCTGTGAGTTAGTCAGTGCCAAGAGAAGTCCCGGCGGTGTGCGCAGTCGTGAAGTAGCTGTATCGTCAACCCTGTTGCTATCCATGGCGCGTAGGAGTCGAGGACTTCTCGCAAGAACTGCGCCGTATCTTCTTGCTTGCTACACTCTAGAAGCCAATCGAATCTGGATGGGTTCGTGATAGGGGGAATATCTGTTCGCGATGTGATCAGTCAACAATGATCTTGTGCAAGACGACGTTTTGTGTATGCGATGGCAAAGCAAGTTAGTGGCAGTGGCAGCGGCGGGTCCAGCTTTCGTAGTCGAGTATCCGACGTGGGAGTCCAAGGCAGCGATGTTTCTCGAATTCCTAGATGTAAAGGTGATTTTGCAAACACGTGATGCGGAACTTGTGAATGGTGTGCATGTGACACGAAGGTGTTGATAAACAAAAATCTACGTCATGTTTTTGTGGAGACGCTAGCTTCACCGAATTGGGAAGGAACGGCATATTCACCTGACCTGTTGCGATCGTTGGTCTTCGACTCGCCCTGCGCGGAATGATGGTGGCTCAAGCTTTGCAGTCAAGCCGTAGAGTAGGGGTCGACTAGCACCCATGGTGAGATCGTTGGAATGGTAGCGTTGGTCAGCTTCTGGCTTGCGGCTGAGAAGTGGGAGGATATACACATTGGTTTTGCTTGGAAGAAGACATTCGAACAGATGAGAGAGAGGGCATCGTTGAGAGCTGTTGTACAGATGTGGTCGGCCACTGGACGCAGCAGAGTCCGGAACTTCTGAGGACTTGGATCCCTTTATGTGTTCGATGACGATCGCCTGAACGGCCTCGCCTGGTGGACTCGCAACAGCATCTGGCGTAGTGCTGCCTCAAACTACACAATCGCCGCGTTTTGAATCAGACTCGAACGATATCTTTGTCTGGAGGTCTTACTTCTTTGTCTGTGTCACCAGTAAGTGTACGAGGGCTTGTCTTGGTGGGTTCGGACTCAGCCAGCATGTCTCACCCTGGAGGTATACCTCGCTGCATACAGTATGCTAAGCTCATGAGTCCTCATTTGCGAAGGACAGTCAGAGCTGTAAGAGTGTTGTCGATTCAGAACTGTCGCATCAATACACTCATAGGTATTCCCGTCACACCTACCTCATCATGGCGCTCAGCAACAACATGAAAGATCGGACCCGGACAACGGATGGCGGCCGCAAGATGTCGAGGAGATCCTCCAGAGTACCACAGATACCTCGCCCGAGAACGGACCTCACTCACAGCGGGAAGCGGCAACATGTTGTCCTTCAAAGAAAAGCCAAAGAGAGGATTCATTTCGCCAGCGCCGGTGCTCATGATTCTGCCGTGGATTTGACCACCAGCTCAAGTGCCGGATCCGCTCGCTTGTCACCGTCAGCGGCAATGCTCACGTCTTCAGAGCGATCCAAGTCGGGCGGAATCAACCTTAGTCCAATTTGCAGGATACCGTCGCCAGCAAACTCAAGTCCGTGGTCATCTCCACGAAGATACACTCCGATAACCCTAAGTAGTGCGAGCTCAGTCTGCTCCGATGAGCGTTGCTACGGACCGAGCGCTACCGGCAGCTCCCAGGAACCCAGACGAGAGTCCAGTAAGGATGACCAGACATCTTCGAGTGCGAAGAGAGCAACTGAGTTGCGAGATCTTTCAGCAGGCGAGATGGCAGAGCGCCGAAGGAGAGCAGCAAGTCATGTTGTGGAGTATAAAGGAGCACAGCTATGTGAGCCATGCACTGAGAAAGCCCTTACTCATGACCTCACTTGCGGCCATCGAATCATGACTAGAGAGCCTCGAATGTGTGCGAATAATTGTGTTCACAACGACTCGACGATGGCGAATCCGCGAGCCAGAGACGAGTCCTTGGCATGTTCAAGCTGCAGATTAGGTACGAGACGACCACGCAGAAACTCCAAGCTGCCTGATGAAGAAATTCAGGAGCGTAAGAGGACTCAGCATCGTGTGACTGCCAGGAGTGAAGGTCGAGGGAAGTCTGGCAAGAGATGGAAGCTAGGTACTCTGCTTCTCAGACCGATTCTGCTTCAACGGATCTTGCGAGAAGGCGGATGGGATGTTTCGCCAACCGCTGCTGAATGGGAGTACAGACTGTCGCAGGCCGATGTCTCGGGCATGACGGAGAAGCAAAGGGGATGGCGACAGCGTATGCGGAGATCTTTCGAGGCAGGACAATCTGGTGTTCATGTTCATGGTGGCGCAACAGGTGAAGTCGTTCTAAGAAAGTCGTCAGCACGATGATCAGCATTTGGCGTCGACTTGCACACTGTTGAGCTTATTCCATCACACGAAACATAAAATCATAGATTCACGATAACACATTATCACAGTGACCATGATCGAGGTAGAGTTCTCATCAGAGATGGTGCCTGACAAGGCTGAGCACGATAGATCTGCGCCACTCAGGTTTTGCCCCGCTGACGATATGTGACGACAACATATTTTCCAGAGACATTGGCATTAGGAAATCGTCGCGGGCACACGATCATTTCTGTGTATCTTATCTCTCTAGACATTAGTTCGACTATTGCGAATACCACATTTTCGCCACATACATCGATCAAAACACAACCACAATGGCAAGCAACGATAAGACAGGCTCGGCCAACGCCAACGTCGATGCTCTCCAAGGCCAGCAGCAGAGCGGTGCCAGCGGCGAGTTCCACAGTAAAGTCGGCCGTGATGAGCCAATGCAGACGTCTGGCGTATGTCCATTGTAGTGAAGTTGTTTTGTCGAGTGCATAGACTAACACAATCGACAGCACAAGCCCGGTGTCAACGTAGGCAACGACACCGTACCCGAGTTCAGCGCCCAGACCCTCCCAGCCGGCACAGCACCAAAGGACTCCACCTTTCAGCCCAACCCCGTTGACACCGTCCCACCAACCCAGCAATCGCGAGACAATAGCTCGATCGAAGGCGATGCCGAGCAAGCATCCGCACTCGACTTCCCAGGTGGTGCGACCTCAGGCTCCGTGAACACAGGTCTAGGCAAGCCAGTGCAAGGCCAGTCGAGTAGCGAACTTCGTCATGATAAGAGTAGTGGAACTGGGTTGGATGGGATCAAGTCTGGTGCTCAAGGCAAAACTGTTGACCCGCATCTGCCGGAGAATGCCAACCAGCGGGCGTTGGACAGTGATGTGGCGCAGACTGGCCGTGGTAACATCGGCGGTGCTGCGGCGCAGGATAGAGAGCCCGAGACTGCTAGCGGCGTGGCTGCTGAGGCGTCCAAGTCGAGGAACTAAATTTAATGTCGTGGATAGGGGTTGTAAATATATGAATCAGCAATAAGCTGAGAGTGGCACGAATATCATGTCTCGTCCCCAAACCCGCTCCACTCGTCGTCTTCTGCCTCCCTATCGCGTGTTTCATGATCGCCATGGGCATTTCCTTCCCGACCGATCTCGACATCTCGTGCAAACCCGACAACAAAGAACCCCATCGTGCCCTCCTCACTCCCCTTCTCGCACCGTATACACGCCTCCGCCACTTCTTCGGCATCGATCCCACACGCTGCTTCTCTGAATACCTCCAGCTTAGCCGAACACGCAGCTTTCCAACCCCTCTTCTTCCACTTCTGCATGCCATCCACCTGCTCACTCCTCCTCAACACTCGCCATCCACCCTGACGAGCTTCATCCGATAGTAAAGCTTCTATAGCCACATTCTCGTTTTCCTCCGGATGAATCGAACAGGTTGAGTAGCTAATCCGAGTGGCGGCCGGGAAGCGCATAGCATGTAATAACAGACGAAGCTGGAAAGCAGATAAGTTGTCCAGACGCGCTTTTAGCTTGTCAGATGACTCCTCAGCTTCCTGCGGCAGCTCTTCTTCGACAGCAGTGATGTCTATCGCCGCTGGCTGCGGCTTTGCACTACGCTTTCGCTTTTTGCCTCTAGGCTCTGGCTCCGATGCTGTAATGCTCGGCAAATGCACCGTGATTGCTCCTTCGTCCCGACCTACGATTCCGCTGCCTGAGCAGCTCGGATCGAGCAACAAGGAAGTTACGTTTGCGTACTTCTTGTTGTCTGGATTGAGCTTTGTAAAGTCCTGCTTTGCCATTACTTTGATAACGTCGTTCCCTCCAGCAAGCTTGACCATCTTTTCGAGTGTCAGCGATCGAACATCGTTCTTTTCACAAGCTATCACTCGGCTTCCCTCCTTTCGATCAGGCTGTGACTCGTGCAAGATAGCTGCCAGATGGGTGGTCTTGTTTCCGGGTGCAGCACAAGCATCCACCACATCTCCAGATGTTGCTGCAGGGTCCAGAAGATAAGCTGGAAAGCACGAAGCTTTGTCTTGAAGTATGAGTTGACCATTACGGTAAGCTTGAGTGGTCGTGATATCGATACCTGATGGGATTGCTATGAGATTCGGGACATGCTCGTCGAGATGTAACAGCTTCTTACTTGAGCCTCTGAGTTCCAGTAAAGTAGAAGTTCGGATGTAAGCAGCAAATGTCGAAACCATCTGCTCGTCGACTGTCGTCCTCAACGTGTTAACCCGGACCCAGCGAGGATGCCACGAGCCACTCAGACCTCCTCCCTCCCCATTACCATTACCATCACCCACCATCTCCACCCCCCCATCCCTTACCCCATCAACCCTCGCCGTCAACACCTCAAGACTCGCACAACCCCTTCTCAACCTCGCCTTAGTCAATTCAGCCGACAACCTCGCCTTATGTTTCGTTACAGCTACACACAACCCATGACTAGCAGGCAGCGCCACGCCCCTCTTAGCAAGAAACAAATCATGCACCAACACCAGCGCCAAAACCGGCGTCAATGCCCTTTCGACCTTCAAAATCCCACTGCGCTCCACGACTTCTGATAATACTGCGCTCCATTTCGCCGCCTCGGTACTGAGCGCGAATAGAGTTTTCTGGTCACTTTTCCAGGATTTATTAGTGTAGACGAGAGATTTGACAGAGGTCTTTTTGGTACGGGATTCAATGAGGATCTTGGCTGCTTCGTGGTAGAGCGACATCGAGAGATGTAGCTTCAGAAGGAGGTGTGGTTGTGGTTGTAGAGGAGAAATCGATCTAGCTTTAAGCCGGTCCACGCTAGCGACTGTCTCGCTTTCGGACTCCATGCCATTTTACACTTGTCCACGGTGGTGCACGTACATGGCCGTGGGCGTGATAATCCAAGTCGCTATTCACGCATCTTAGGCATCCTCCCGAGCATTTGAGAGATGTCATCGAAGTGAATGGTAGTAAGCGTGAGGCCAGCGATTTAGGCGCAATTCACACATTCTCACACATTCGCACGCCTTCCCATGCACTCTGGTTCAGTGGTTGAATGCATAACAATTTGCGGCACCTTCAGGAGTATTGGGCATTATGGCCTGGCTGTATCTCCGGCTCGCCGTGCTATACATAATCCAACAACCATCACATATTCGCCACAACGCCTCGCTAACATCGCAGCACGATTCCGCCGCATCAAATACATAGGCCAATGTCAAAGCATTGCCACATCACGTAGCCTTCTTCTTCCTTAGTTCCTTCATCCGATCCCTCCTGTCACCCTCCGCGAGCCATCTACTGGCAGCAACAAGCTGCACCACATTGATGTACTGCTTTACCGCCATGACCGGGGAAGACCCAACTGTCAGAATCCACGGAACCATAGAGTCCATCTTGTTCGCTCGTGCCATTTCCATAGCTCCTGCTGAGAACGGGCTGGGGAAGAGCAATGACGGCGCGGGGGCATGTGGTGTCACTGGTGTAGTGCCGTTTTGTGCAGCCAGCCCTGCAGAGGGCAAGAGGGCGGGTGTGATGAGCGGGCTGCTGAAGCAGAGGAGGTAGAGGGCGATGAAGAAGAGTTCGTTGAGGGCGCAGCAGGTGAAGAGGACGGACTGGGCCTTCGTTAGCAGATAACATGCAAAGGAGTCGTACGACAAACATACCTTGTTCGTGTAGTACATGTTCATGATCCAGCTCCGCTCCTTGCTGACATTCTTATGGCTCTCGGTCGATCCTCCCATGCTCAGGGTAGCGTACATGTGCATGTAATGGCTCGCCAAGTCCAGCGAGATCAAGCCCTGGAAGATCATGCTGTATGCCGGTTTTGCTGTCGAGAGGAAGACGAGGAGGCAGGTCGTGGTACACCGATCTGTGACCATGTCCAACACAGCTCCGAACTTGGTGGACTGCTGGAACTTCCGGGCTGCGATGCCGTCAAGGGCGTCGAGGAGGCAGGAGATGCTGTACAGGAAGCTGCAGCGTCGTGGGTGGAGGGGCATGAAATAGAGCGAGGCTATGCAAAGGACGATGCGGAAGTAGCCTGACGTCAAGGTGTCAGCTATGAGGGAACAGAGAGTGTACAGGATGTAGATGCCTACCGATCAGATTGGGCACGAAAAGGAATATGTTCTCATCTGTCTCATCGTCCTGCTCTTGCAACACTGCTTGTGGCCCTCGCGGTGTACCATTCTGTGTCGTTCTTCCATTCATCTCCGATGGCTTGTTGGCCGCTGCTCGAGCGACTGGTTGTGCGTTCATGTTTGGGAAGGCACGGCTTGGTAGCTAATCTGGGTGCCTGGAGAGTGTTTTGCTGAGATTTTGTGCTCGGCACTTGTATTAGCAGCTAAGCTTGACAACCAGCTTGACAACCAGCTTATCGTCGCAAATGTTTGCGCTCGGTCCCAGCCAGATATGTTCGATCGATATTGTCTTGCAGTTCCTCCACCAGAAACCTTCAATGACGCAAGAGGGGTATGTTTACAACCCGCAATGATCTAACCCAACAGCTCACCTCACGGTGTTACGAGTATGGTCGGCAAGAGGCTGTAGGAGATGGTATGCTGACTCTTTTATCAGAACGGGGTGCGAGGTGAGCAAGAGAGTGAAATCGATTGACAATCTTCCATCTCATCCTGCAGCGCACGTTCGTTTGTTAAGCAGCCCTATCCAACGCTTCGACCGGATCTTCGGAGCGTCGCGTGGGCCGGCCGTATCCGAGCGTACGTAAGCAAACGAACAACGCGATAACGATGAGAGCTAATGTAAGGCAACGACCGTATGTTCAAGAGAATCGCCCGGACACCTCGATGCGTAGCTTCATCTACGTACTCTTCACATGCCCTGAAGACCTATTTGATTGAATGCCGTTGGACTAGACGTATAAATGTCTAATGTCACCCAAGCACAGCAGAGCTGATAGTCGCCACAGCCCATATCTTCAGTGGACAACGTGCTCGACGGCAAACACGCAGGCTCATCACAAGCAAATACTCCATCGATGGTACAGAATACGTCAGGTCGAGCGAACATAGATCGCCAGTTTGATGGTACCTGCATGATCGCATTGTATGCCATGGTGACGTATAATGACGCCGATGATTTCCTCGGGCTTCGATGATCATTGATGAGCTATGGAAGTAAGTGAGTATGAATAGATAGATGTGGGAACCTCAAGTACTTCATTATCACTTTCCACACTACCTTACTATTTTCCACCCGACAGAACGTACCGTTCCAGCAGCCACCCAGCTCACACCTTACCAAAGCATCAACATGGACGGCGACGCAACCCGACGGACAGCAGACGCTGGCGCTTCATCGTTCGTTGAACTTTATCGAAAGAACGGTCGATATGCTGACTAAAGTAATCATCAGAGCACTCAAGCACCAGGACATGACCGATGGCATCCACGAAGACGCAAAGAGCATGGAAGGGGTATGACAAACCCTCTCCCCACGATCGAACCAGACTGGAATTGACTCTGATATGATGGCTTATAGCCCCCAGCGGGCGAGAAGACAACAGGTGTCGCCGGCTCGATATTCGATAAAGACGGTGCCATTGGGAAGCAGTTCACCAGTATGTACCACATCTACAGCACACCCCGACCTGGGCTGGCAATCCGGCTAATATATATGATTTAGCTGGTGGCGCGATAGGTGGAACAGCCCAGAGCATTGGAGGGCCTTTAGATGCGCAGGGCTCGATTGGCAAGCAGTTCACGACTGGGGGGTCGGTGGGAGGCGCTGTGCAGAGTATGCTTGGGGAGAGCGAGAAGAATACTTTTCAGGGGAAGAAGTAGGATGAAAGGAATGTTCTAGGCTAGATGACTGTGAAGATTAGGCTTGTGTATATGGAACATATATATGTACGCTTAGCTGTGAAGAACCTATCCTGCCTTTACCTACCAGACGTTTCACATGCCGACCGGTATGCACGCACGGACTCCCCGCATTGTTAGTGGATGCATGTGTGCCTACCTCCATTCGTATTGCATGTCAGCTTTCCATTTCCTTGACATTATATAAACTATAAAAGAACAGTCCAGATGGTGCCGAAGCCAGTCGCAAAGGAGCTAGATGAAGCTTCCGATAGCGAAGAGTATGACGAGAACGCCGACGAAGACTTCAACCCCGAGAAGGCTGCTGCCGAAGCGAAAGAGGGCTCATCATCTTCAGACGACGACGAGAAGGCTGCTGCTACTGTCGTGGAACACACAGCGAAGCGCGCGAAGAAGCGGAAAGTGGACGACGTCGATGATGGTCTCGACTCAGGCGATGAAGCGACGATAGCAGAGCGGAAACGAGGGAAGAAGAGGAAGAAAGATGCGCCTCAAGAGCAGGCGCAAGACGATGACAGTGGTGGTGAAGGAGGCTTCATACGCACGCGAGCACAGAGAGTAGTTGAGAAGCAGGAGCGGAAGGACAGGAAGAGGGCGAGAGTGGGAGACGTGACGATTGATGTTAATGCGATTTGGGAGGAGTTGAACAACATACCCGTTGGACGGTCAATAGAAGTGCAGAAGGTGCCGATGGAAGTGGAAGGTAGCGAGGAGGATACTACGGATCAGAACAAGGAGAACACTACCGATATGCCAGACGAGGACTTCATCACCATCACGAGACGAATACGATACGCCGGTGAAGTAACAGAAGTCACCGAACGCGTCCCACGCGCATCAAAAGAAGCCCAAGCCTACCTCAAAGCCAACCCTCCCCCCACCGAAAGAGACAGCGACTCAGCAAAACCCCTCCTCCGCCGCCCCCTCAAACGCCCCTCCCTCTTCGAACCCAACCCTTCCGCAACCATCAAAGGCGTCGCCCCTACCCACCCACTCCTCCGTCCTCGCACCCCAAGCCGACAAGACGCGCTCCTACTACAGACTCGACTAGAGGACGAAGCAAAGAAGAAGGCGGAACGGATGACGACGGTGCAGAAATCGGCGTTGGATTGGAAGGGTTTCGTGCAGAAGGAGGGGATTGCGGAGGAGTTGAGAGTTTATGGGCGGAGTAAACAGGGGTTTTTGGCGAGAGAGGAGTTTTTGGGGAGGGCGGATTTGGTTAGGGAGGAGAGGGGACGGGAGGCTAGGTTGAAGGGGGGTGGGGTGGTATGAGTGGGGGGGAGTTAATGGACGGGTGGGTGGGTGGGTGGCGGTGCGTTGGATTCGGAGAGAGAGGTGATGTAGTCCTGCGTGATCCGGACGGATACGCACGAGTATGATATGAGCTTCTTCTTCTTTTTCTTCTTCTTCTACGGCTCCCTTGCGTCTACAGTCAATTATCACCTCTGCGTGACATGGCTTGGCAATGGCGGCCTCATCCACGTTATGTGGCTTGTTCTAGTTAGTGCCCCAGCATGCAGGTGCAAGACTGTGGTGGCGTTGCTTTGGACTTTGGGCACAGGGAGGCGAGGGTCGTAATTACAGAGGCCGACACAATCTTACACTATACTGTAACTGATACGGATAGATTGACCGACCATCCTCTCATGCCTTAGGCGGTCATGTTGGAAGACGTTTGCAGAAGATATCGATATATCTCGATTTGTAGACGAGAAGCTGCGCGGAAATGATCCGCGATGTACTTCGACTGAGCCCAAATTTTATTGGTCGACCGAGGCTTCTATCTGTTACAAGCAGGACAAATTAGCAGAGATGCCGTTTCTGATAGAAGACGATTTCGTGCCGACGCTGTCAGATGATGATGATGTCCCGGACGAAGAAGCTGAGGAAGACTCCATTTCTCACGTGGCCACAGCGAAATCTACCAAACGGAAGCGGGCAGATGGTAATGAGCCAAGTGCAGTGAAAAAACTGAAGCAGGACGATGACGCAGTGAATAGCAATGGCAATGGCAATGGCAATGGTGGCAGTGTAGCACGTACGGACAAGGACAGCGATGTCGACTCGGAATTCGAGTTCGAGACGGAGGTCGCGGCCGATTTGGGCGATTTCGATGGGTGGGTCATGAATGGGGATGGGGAGGACCGAATTGCGGAGATCGTGCGGCGGAAGCGTGGGAAGGAAGGGGTGGCTGAGGTGGAGGTGGCGGAAGATGGGAGTGAGGAGGAGGAGGAGGAGGAGGAGGAGGAGGGTAGTGAGGAGGGTGAGGAGGGGTCGATAGATGCCGAGGAGCTGGAGATCTCAATGGATGAAGACGAGGAAGCTGACAGCGTGGACGAGGATGCAGAGGACGATGAGGCGGAAGATGATGAGAATGCCGAGGAAGACGACAAGACTGTTCTCAACGACTTCGCTGCTGCTGAGACACATCCAGACGATCTGGTCTCCGAAGCCGGCTCAGAAGCAGAAGACGAAGCAGACGCCGAAGAGCAAAGACGACAAGACGAATTCTTCGCACCTGAAGAAGCAAGCGCACGACCTCAGACAGGCGAGAACTCCTTCACCTCCATGTCCCTCAACCGCCGCATCCTCAAGAACCTCACCGAGCAGAAATTCTACGCCCCGACACCCATCCAGCGCAAGACCATCCCCGTGGCAATGGAAGGCAAAGACGTAGTCGGAGGCGCCGTGACAGGTTCGGGTAAAACCGCCGCCTTCCTCATCCCAATCATGGAACGTCTACTCCATCGACCCAAGGGTGCCGTCACTCGTGTCGCAATCCTCATGCCCACCCGCGAACTTGCCCTCCAATGTCTGTCCGTGGCGCAGAAACTAGCCGTAGGCACAGGGATAACCTTTGGCCGCGCCATCGGCGGTCTCAACTCCCGCGAACAAGAAAAAGAACTGAAGCTCCGCCCAGACATCGTCATCGCAACCCCCGGACGTTTTATAGACTTCATGCGCAATTCTCCCGCTTTACAAGTCGACAAACTTGAGATTCTAGTTCTAGATGAAGCCGATCGCATGCTAGAGGAGGGCTTCAGCGACGAGCTGAATGAGATTCTGGGGACGATCCCTAAGAGCCGACAGACCATGCTCTTCTCCGCCACCATGACGAGTAAAGTCGACGATCTGATCCGCGTGGGTATGCATCGGCCCGTGCGTCTGCTAGTCGATGCGCAGAAGACTTCCGCAGCGGGCTTGACACAAGAATTCGTGCGTCTCCGCCCTGGGAGGGAGGAGAAGCGTTTGGGCTATCTTCTCCACCTTTGCACAGAGCTATACCGGGACCGGACCGTCATCTTCTTCCGGCAGAAGAAAACCGCGCATCATGTCCGTGTCGTCTTCGCCCTGTGTGGTCTGCAGGCTGCTGAGCTCCATGGGTCTATGTCTCAGGAACAGCGGATCAGCAGCATGGAGGCTTTCCGCTCTGGCTGGGTGAACTTTCTCCTTGCGACTGATTTGGCGAGTAGAGGGTTGGATATCAAGGGGATTGAGACGGTGATCAATTACGAGGCTCCGCAGAGCCATGAGATCTATCTTCATCGTGTAGGACGTACGGCGAGAGCGGGGAGGAAGGGGATCTCTTGCACGCTGGCTGCGGAGCCGGATAGGAGGGTTGTGAAGGCTGCTGTGAAGGCGGCGAAGGTCCAGGGTGTAGTGGTGAAACAGAGGACGGTTGATCCGAAAGATTCCGATCTTTGGCAGACCAAGATCGACGGCATGGAGGAGGAGATTGAAGACGTCCTCCGCGAGGAGAAGGAAGATCGCGTGATGTCGCAGACTGAGCGGGATTTGAAGAAAGCGGATAATCTGGTTGACTTCGCGGACGAGATCAAGAGTCGGCCGAAGAAGACGTGGTTTCAGTCTGAAACGGAGAAGGAGAGTGCGAAGACTAAGGGGGCGGAACGGCTTAATGGACCCGTGGATGGGGGGAAGGGTAATGGTGCAGGGAGGAAGAAGAGGGGTGGTGGGGGGAAGTTGAGTAATAAGCAGAAGAAGCGGTTGCAGGATACGGATGATAGGAAGGCGGGGTTGGAGTGGAAGAAGAGGAAGGGGAGTGAGGTAGGTGGTGAGAGGGGGGCAAGGGGTAGGGGGAGAGGGGGGAGAGGTGGGGAGAGAGGTGCTTCTAGTGCATCGCGTGGCAGCTCGAGAGGTGGTGCTAGAGATGCTGGTGGGTCTAGGGGAGGTTCGAGGGGTGGCTCACGAGGCGGTAGAGGAGGTGGAAGAGGTCGCGGCAAGTAATGTTTTCCGTTTGAGCTGCAACTCCCCCTCATCGCCTACAAATGCACGCAATCGTACGCATCGGCGCTAGTCACGGCTAGCCATACAAAGAACGATAGCACGGCAGATCCACCATCTTAGATATCTGGAACACGGATGAGATTGCATTGTAGATACATACACAACAAAGACTTCTCGCAGCAAAACACATCTATCCCCACCCATTCTTTCTCTCTGCGTGTCCTACTTCCAGCATTTCATCGTTCTTCCAGCCCGTGGTATCGTCTCTCACTCGATTTTCACCCGCCACGTCCATACCGCAACTCACCAAGATACCCGAACCGACACTACACATTTGTCACATCAACCAGAAATGTCGCGTACACTCCTCCAGTCACTAGGCTACCTCGCCTCCCCCTGCCATCGCCACAGCCAAGGCTGGAAATCTCATATCGCCTACCCCTCCCACTTGTCCTCCACTCAACCGGAGGGACCCTGTCGTCTCCGCGCCTTCCGACGCACAGTCACCAGCACCATTGTGAAGAAGTGTCGGAGAACGGGTTGCCGGATTAGGGTCAAGAGGAAGCCTCGCAACATCATCGTCTTCAAGCGTGCGGGGGGGACGCATGCGAGACATCCAGCGTGTGGAGGGGCGGAGTGCAGATTGTGTGGGCTGTTGGGGTGGAGGATATTCATGGAGGATTTGGAGCTCAGGATGGGAGGCATAGTTGTGGTGAGAAGGTGACGTGAAGAGCTCTACCTGGAATTGGCTATGCGTCCTGTGTGGGGGTTGCCAGCACCTTTACAGTAACATGCCCACGCAGCTATCCCCAGGGCTCAATACGACACCGTCTTAATCTTCTCCCTCATCTCCTCCGGTAGATCCTCCAGCTTGACAATACCAAGTTGTATCGCGTCGCCCCAGAAGAACATGGCTCGGTGCTGAGCATAACCCAAGTAATCGAACTCCTCTTCCGCTTCTTCCACTTCCTCCTTGCCTGAGCTCTCTTGCCGAGCTAGATCACGGTACTCTTCTGCCCTCTCATGCAAATCCTCTTTGACCTGGTCCTCGATCGCCGTCTTCTCGTCTGCAGGACCCTGGCTGAAATCCGGCATTCCTGGGACTTTGGCTTGGACGATCCCCCAAGCGACCCATTGTGCGGTATTGGCCAACCGCCACAGACGTGTCTCGTGGCGGAGACGAGACACCTCGACATCCTCGTTGGCTTGCTCGGCCGCATCGTCGTGTGCGGGCTGAGATGTTGGACCCGTGCCTGGCGTTCGAGCATCCAGGAAGAAGTCGGAGATGCTGGTCGTTGACCTAGCTCTGAAAGCATCGCCAGGTGTAGTGGAGCCCGCCGTTGGCGGTGTTTCAGCCTGGAGCTTTGGTGTGGAGACATTGAATTGTGGTCGGTGGCGGACGTAAGCACGGAGGAAGCGATCTTGTTCTTCGGGTGTCGGATACTTGTTCGTGCTGCATGCGTAAGGCTTGCGAGCATCGTGGTAATTATAACACCATTCCGTGAAGTGATTGGCGAATTCGAGGCCGACCAAGTTAGCGTTAGCATATTCGAAATCGATGACCACGAGTTGCTTGTGCGAGTTTGCCGGTAGTAACAGTGGCGACTCTCCAGTCGGGACGAATCGAAGTATGTTGCCATATTGAGTGTCGTTGTGTGCGAAGACGAGTTTGTCCTTGATATTCTTCGACCCACCATACTCCCTGTACAGCCAAGCCCTGTACTTCTCGATGGCGCTCCGAAATTGCTTCCAGGGCACACCAAGGATATACCCTCGACGCTTCCATATATCTGTACCAGTGGGTTTGTAGTCAGGAGGGCACGCAGCGATCTGCTCGTCCATCCATAAGACAATCTGCTCGACCCTAAACAGCCACTTGTCCCAATTCCGCCACACGAATGCGCCATCGTCGCGCTCTTGTTCGAGCAAATCGATACCTTCGTGCAGTTCCCGCATACGCTTGGCGATCTGACGGCTGGTGTCGGGATTGCGAAAATCCTCCGGTGTGAGTGGCTGGGCATGATAGTACTCCTCGAAGCGTCCATTGCCGAAGCAGCCTAGCAGTCGTGGACCGATACGCTTACGCGCGAGTCGCCGCAGTATCGCAAGCTCGACTTCGCGATCAATCAGATGCTCAACTTGTGGCCCATAGATTCTGAGCAAGAGTTTCGGAGGCGGGTTGCTTGATCTCGTTGTAACATTGCCGTCTGCAGCTCGTTGCTCTTTTGGTGGGAGGTCGTGAGGTGGCGAGACCACGTAGACTGCATTCGTGAGAGCTCCACTGAGACGCTGGACGGTGATGTCGCCACACATGTCCATCGACACCTTCCGCCATCCTTTGAGACGCAGAGTGTGAGTGAGCCTGACGATTTCGAACTTGAATCGTGACCATGCGTCTTGGTCTTTGAAAGACGCCACACGTGTCAGTTCGTCTCCACTAGAGACATCAGATTCGTCCGAGGCACCGCCAGTGTAGGCCAAAGTCTGCGAATTGTCGAGTACAGCATCGCATGAAGGCACGAAGAACTCGTTATCGAAATAGTCCGTGTCAGATGAGACGGTAGACGCCTTCCGTTGATGTAGCTTCTTGATGGATGGGCGTTTTCGTAGACTTGTGGTGCTCTTTCGCCTTGGAAGGCGATCGAGGTGTAGTGTCTGTTTCAAGATGTCTTCGAGACGATCAAGATCTGTTGCGTCTGCTGAGACTGATTGTCCTGGAGCTTGATTTTCGTCATTGACATTGGTGCGATGGCCCTGCACCGAGCGTTTGGCTCGTTCATCTCGAATCCAATTTGAGACCTGTGTGACGAGGCGATCCACCTGGTTCGTAGAGTAATCCGTGGTCGGCTCCTCACGATGCTCGGGAATGGTCGTTGTGTCCACAATTGATGTGAGTGGCTTCAATCCTGGGCTTTGCCCGCTTGCGAGCCTGCCAGATAGCTTGAACGAGTTGAGACTCTTGACAGAAGGTTTCTTCAGTGGCTTGTCGTGTGCAAAGTCGAGGTCTTCAACACTCTTCTGTTTGCCAAGTATCAGTGGCGAAACTAGCTCTCTCTGTGTTGAGATAGAGACGGCTGTGAGGGAGGGTATAAGCTTATGGTCTGGATCAAGTGTCGAGAGGGATGCCACTTTTGTAGTGTATAGGCGCTCGGTACATCCGCTGTATCTAAGATTATGTACTCACATTTTGGCGTCGATCGCGGCGAGAGTGTGTAGCTCAGTCCAAGCAACGACGATGGCGACGCACATGTTTCGTCCAACTCAGTCTGTTTGAGAATCGGCCGCGGTGAGGCGGGATGTTGATTGTTGGGCATGGTGTAGTGCCATATACTCTTGGATAAGCTGCGAAGTAGAGGGTGACAGTGAATTGATGACTGTCACTTGGGCGTCCAACCTGGATGACTGGTTTCCAGGATTGTTCTTACGACGCGAGGTCTTGACAATAAGCATATATCATAGTGCCAGAAGTGACGCACAATTCGACAAAATTGATTTTCGACTTAAGCTGTTTCCCCGAGGACGTATCAACCTAGGAAATGTTGCACGTGGACACGAGCAAGAAACCTGATAATGACAACGGACCTTCAGGCTCGGAGCTGACCGAGCCGTGGCTGTCCACCTTCAGCCAATCAAGTAGCAGTCATGCCGCGCAGGCGGATTCACTCGGCTACAGCACTATCAAATACTCTTCTACGATCAAAGACGACATCCAAGGTTCACTTCAATGATCGGTTGGCAGTCTGCTGTCGCTCATAGTCGCATCGCTATGGTCAGCTTGATACAATCGCAGCAAGCTTTTGCACTCCAAAGCTTCAATCATCGACAGTCGATACCTTGTTAACCCTGTCCAGTTAGTGAGATTTTTGTCCAGCTTGTATGGCATTCAATGAGCAGCGGAACACGCTGGAATGGAGATATAAATATGGGCTATGGTAGGAGGCCACAATACAAGCTCAATTGCCTGCGTGATAGGCGACAGAGCTGGTAATGTGCATGAAGCACGAACCTGATAGCGACGTCCCGGTGTCGACACACCCACGACCTTATGCTAGCCATCTCGATTTACCAAATCCTGCGCCAGCCCTGTTGAACAAGCCGAGTCTCAGCACAGAATTGAGGGCAGCTCGTCAGCTGGTGGCCAATCTAGATCAGGTAGAGCCGGATCATACATGGCTCGTCCAGCGAAATGATTGATCGGCTCCTTCCACGTCTGGCGATGGGATCGCATGGTGACATCGCAGCGGGAGATCATGATAGATCAATTCGACCTTGAAAGTGGTCCGGCGTGCGACTTTCTGCACCTTGGCTGGTGACAAAGGTCGAGATACGAGAGCACATATTGGCATCGCAGCATTGTCGTCTCAAGACCTGACGTTCAGATCAGAAAGCATTTGTGGAGGTGATGTTCAGGAATGCATCTTATTGTCATAGCATTCCTCCCCCTCTATCATTTCCAAAACACAAAGTTCTGAACTAGACCGCACTGTTATGTTTCCTCGTCCAGGACTCACGAATCAGCGTACAGATAGTGGTCAACCATGGTGTTCTTCCACGACACCCCTATCTTCTCCACAGGAGACAAGCCACTCGACCGGATCCTAGCAGGCGCCACCATACTAGCCATCCTACTGTCCCTCGCAAACGTCGCCGGCCATCTGAAAGCCGTGTTCGCTGCACGTTGCAAGCATGGACAGAAGAGAACAGGACAGGCGATTGGTTTCCTCGGCCTGGCGCTGTCGTCGTTCGTGATCGTAGCTTATCTGCGCTTCGAGCATCATGACACGCGGATTGGGAATTTGCAGGATATTGAGAGACTGCGGGAGGAATGGTCGATTGTTCCGATATTGGGTAAGGAGCGTCAGGGGCTGGGTGGGGCAGCTATAAGCAAGTGAGTAGTCTTCCAAGAGTTCGTTAGTCATGTGTCAAGGCTACAGGGCTGATACCTACGTCGTAGCATCAAGGATGGTGTCGCCTCAGCTACAGAACAGATCCGACCATTAGAGCGAGTGACGGAAGGCGTAAAGGAAGCATTCGATAGCGGCGCTACTGCTGCCTCGCACGCCGCCTCCGCTATCCATACTACTGGCGAGCGTCTGCGAAAGACTAGTTTCGACGACGCCACCGAAGCAATGAAGCGGCAATGGCATCGCGCAACGGAGCATCTGTACTATAAGACCAAAAAGGCCGCCCAAGAAGCCGCCGATCGAGCAGAGCACCAGACCCAAGGAGTACGACAATGGTTCGATGACGGGATGTCCGCCTTGTCGAAATTAGCTGAAGATGACGAGGAAGGTCGACTGGCCTTGAAGCAGAAATTCCCGTTCCTCGACGAGCTTCTGTACCCGAATATGAGTTTGTGGGACTCTTTCAAGACGGTCATTGGATGCCATAGACATCTATGGTGGACACAGCAGTGGTTTGCTGGCTACCTGACCTGGGCGCTGTTCGTTGGGCTTGAGTGTGAGTACTTCCTCAGTTCATTCAAGGATGTGAGAAACGTAGCGATGTGCTGACCACTACAGGCCAACATCGTGGCTTTCAATCACATCTAGCACTTTCGCTCGTCGTCATCGGATATACCATAAGTCTCGCCACAGCGCAATCGCTGTTCTTCGCCTTGCTGCTGGTGACACCTGTTGGTGCAAATCGAAAAGGACGAGCGAGACGACTCGCGCATATCTGGGCCATCGCAGTCCCGGTAGTGTTCGAAATGGTAATACTGGCACGCATACCAGGGCTAGCAGTCGACCAGACCAAGTCGGGACGGATGTTCATCAAAGATGTCATCCAGTTCCTGGTTGCAGTCATTCCTGCTATAAGCGCTGAGATACTACACGTATGTGTCCTCCGTTCTCGATAGGTAGAAACGAGGTGGAAACACTCTTCACTGACACAGATTCCAGGTATGGACACCACGCCGCGCCCTTTTGAGACACGAGCCTTACTTGAACGCCTCTGAGCTCCGCCACGCTTTGACGCTAGTGTGGTGGTTTGCTGGCATGCTTTCTCTCGTCCTTCACCTCAACACTACTTACTGGGCGTATCGCGAGACGAATCCGACAGGAGGCCATCGCTGGTGGAACATATTGCTCAGTCGATCTTCTTGGTTCGCGAAGCCCAAGACCCACTTCCTCCATTCCCTGGGTACCGTCCTCGGGTCACTCGGCGAGCATGCATGGCTCAATGCGATAGGATGGGACGTCATCTTCTCTGCTGCATCACTCTGTGGGTGGGCGTGGGTCAGCGCCGCAGATATTGGCGGCATCATCAAGTGTTCGCTAGTTCCATTCGATGTGCTCAAATTGGCCACAACAGCGAGCGACAAGGCTAGAGATCTGGCAGAGCCTTCGCTAGAGATAGCCTCGGAAGCATACAGTGACATGCGTAAGCGAATGGAGCCGTATGCCAATACAACCGGCGATTTCTTTTTCGACCTGCGTGACGCCGCAGAGCCGTATCTGGATCAGTCAAAGGAGTGGCTCGAGGATGCGGGCGCCAACCTAGGATCATCCATGGAGCGTAACGGGTTTACCGCAGACCGCTTCGCCGACCAAGCCAAACAAAGCCTCTCTTCAGGCTATAGCGCTCTCAGTAGGGCCAGCAGCAGAACTCTCGGAAGAGCATCTGAGAATTCCGACAATCAAGATTGGGCCGGTGAAGAAGATTTCGACGCCCTACCACAATTGACGAGTAGAAGAGGCCGTCGTAGCGATAGCGTACGTGGTGACGACCAGGGGAAGGAGGACGGCCCTCGGCTTCGGCGAAGGAGCTCGCAGTCGCCTGCGAAGAGGGGACGTCTTCGAGGAAACAGTAAGAGCCGCAGCAGTCAATTCGAAATCTCGACCAGAAAGCTTTCTGGAAGGAGCCAATCCCGTGCTCGAGAGAGTGAACAAGACGGCTCAGGAGCTACACGCAGGAGTTCGCGGTCACGAAGGGCATTGGACAACGAGCTTCTGAAGTCCAAGAAGCAGGAAGCATCGAGAGGATTCGTAGGGTCACGTGTGTCGTCTGCAATGTCTCACAGCGCCGATGAGCTTGTTCGTGGATTAAGAGACAACCTACCGTGGTCACATGACCTGGGCATTAATGAGATTGATCCGGAAGACGCGGAAGCGACGGGATTGACTTTTACACTTTTTGTGCTTGGTGGACTTGGCCTGGCAAGTGCCGGAGTCTTTGGTGCTGCGCAGACGAGGTAATTGACAGCGGAGAGTTGTCGGGTAGGTTGGCATCAGACAGGTCTCATTGTTGAGTGTGGCTTGATAAAAGTGATAGCATACATTGATCGGACCTGATAGGGCCACGAAGGACGCGTAACTAGACGGTGCAATGAGACTTGCGATGAACGAGTCAAACTCCTCAGCGTGCGTGATACTGGACTGTGCTCTCGTACTTCTGCTCACGCCGGAGCGTGTTGAGTTACCTTTTCGCTTTCCAGGTGCGGATTTGGGAGCGAAATGGTGGAGATAATTCCATAGTGAAACACCATCGGCATCTCGTCGGCCAGAGATGCGAGCCAACCTGGAAAGCACCAGAAATACGACCGCAGCGAGGCGTCGCATGTTGGGCTTATGTTCGCGAAATACTACCCATTGGGAATCTTTATCTTTCTGCCTGGACAGCTAAGTTTGTCATCGACGCGTGTTCGGTATTCCTGCCCCGTGCTGATCGACGATAGAAGGGTTCTTGAATCTTGAGGGAACATGTGGCATTGAACTCTGCTTAATCTGCCGGTAGGATATCTTGTGAATCGCCAGGTGCGAAGGTCAAAGGTCAAAGTACCGTATGTGCCGGGGTGAGGTCACCAATGCCGTCGAGTTCCGGCAATGGACGGAAGTGCTGTTTCCGTGGTCGAGTTGTAGCCTCGTACGAACCACATCGGCGTTCCGGGATATCCGCGGCCGTTCTGCTCTGATTGGTTGTCAACTCTGCACTGCCTCGCTAGCCAAGCCGTTCACCAGCGTGCAACCTGGCACTTCCTTGACACCCTCATTCTCCATTTCACACTCACAACGCCATCAACACCATCACAACATTCACGTTGACCATCTTCGACACTCGTTATCGACCTTCGACCAGATTAGGAGGGAGGAAAGGGCAGCAACGCGGGCTTCAAAAGCGAAGAAAGTAGCCGCGTCATCAACACGGACGCCTAGAGTGAAGGCGCACCAAGGCCAAGGACCATCAACCGCGACGTAAACATCACCTTAAGCCGTCGTAAGGCATCGACGAAGTCGTAACCACTTCTTTGCCACTGTCACCAACGCACAGTGCACCGGAAATGAGTAGCCGACCAACAACAGGGATGAAGACGGAGAACTTCGACATGGACTCACTCTTCGACTTCAACCAGAGCACTACGCAGCAGTCTCCAGTGACCGCTTCCGCATCGCACCAACATGACTTGCTCTCGCCATACGACGATATGGAGGAGAGGCATCAGTATGGCGGCCCGAGTCATGACTACAATCAGTACAAGCAGCAGGTTGGCCTGCCTGTAGGAAGCGTGGTCAATATGCCAATGAGTCAGCCACAGATGTTCGACAGCTTCAACTCAGGCATCGACACTAGCATGGATGGCTTCTACTCGGGTATTGACCTTGATGCCGACCTGAGCATGGACTTCAATAACCCGCAGTCTTCCATGCCAGCCATGTTCTTCCCGGACTCTACCACGAATGGACCATCCGACAACTTCGTCAACCCCAATGCCATCCAAGAGGAGTCTGCCGGCAGTGTCGGGCGTCTGTGGCCAGGTATGCATTCGCAGCAGGCTCGTACTGCTGCTATGCAGAAGCAACAACAGACGCACGCGATGCAGCAGCGCCAGATGAAGTTGCAGGCTCAGCATGCCCACTACCGTCAAGCCAGCAATGCCTCGCAGACTCAGGTACCAGTGGCAGCAGCCCCGGCACCTGTCGTTGCTCAAAATAACAGCAAGCGTCCTGCTCCTATTACCGAGCCACACGTCGAGGAGAGTATCTCTCGTCTTCTCAACCAGATGCGCCACCAAAGCGCTATCTCTGACGAGGACGGCTCCCAGGATGACAACCTACCACACATCGCTCGCATGAAGAAAGATGAAGACGACATGGATGAGGATGAGCGTTTGCTCAACTCGGATGAAGGCAAGAAATTGTCCAGCAAGGAGCGTCGCCAACTTCGCAACAAAGTATCTGCTCGTGCATTCCGTTCAAGGAGGAAGGGTAAGCTCTGATCACACTCCCTCGCATGTACATGACCTATACTGACGTATCACAGAATACATCTCCCAACTCGAAGGCGAATTGGCACTCAAGGCCCAAGAAAGCAACTCACTCCGCCAAGACAACTCTGCTCTCATGCAAGAAAATCAACGCTACCGTGGTCTGATCGAGACACTGCTCCGCCACCCAGCATTCACACCCTTCATCAACGACATCTCCAAGGACCCTACCGTCTTGGGCATGCCGCAGCAACAGACTCAACATCTTCAGGCACCTGCTCAGACACCGGCTGCTCAGCAGCAGCCTCAACAACAGCAGCAGCAGCAGCAGAACCAGAATCAGCCACAACAAGACGTCAAGCCCGAATTCATGAACTTCGATGCCGGCCAGCTCGAGATTCCATCTCAGCAGCACCAGCAGCCGCAACAGCAACAACAGCAGATCAACCTCGCCATGATCCCGGAAGAGAACTTTTCCAAGCTGAACCTCAACAACGGTCTCCGCAACTCCATGAATCTCAATGGCGGTAATCACTTCGGTGTCAATGCCTACGCCGTCACTGACTTACCACCCGGACCCGACCCACGACAACTTCTCTCTGCTGCTACTTATGACTTTACGAATGGCTACGATTTCAATACACCATCTGCTTCTGATCTGTTGGCTAGGCTTGATGATGCTGCTAGGAGGACTTGAGGAGGGCAGTGATCTGGGGATGAGGGGTTGATGCTCGTGAGATCGTGAGATCGTGTTCGTCGTGTGATGAGCGAGGGTCTTGTGTTTTCACATAGATATCTATGCATATGGTTCAAACTATGCTACATATCTTCTACGCCTCCAGCTCCCTTTTTCTCTCGTCTAGTTGTGTCGCACATCATTTGGGACTGCTGTAACTACCTTCAAGCCTCGAGTCTGCTGGGTAGTGCCGGCTATAACTATGTATGTGTTCCATTCGTCTCACTATCCAGAGACTGAGTGAGATGTGCTCGCCGACAATCTTGAAGAGAATGCTCGCTGGGTAGTCCGCAGCTCTCAGCAACACTATTCGTCGTCAATGTCAGTTAATACAGGCAAATTCCCGCCTCCAAGCCCGACCGTGATGCTAACGATTGAATTGCTCCAGCAGCTCACGTTGCCACGCTCTGTCTCAATCGTGCCTCGAGCATGCTGCCCAACTCCTCAAAATCAATCTTGCCATCCACTCCGCCACCTGTGATATTGAGTGCCTGCTGGTAGACACTCTGCATGTCATCCGCAGAAACCCGCACAGCCCAACCAGTACTAGTCACCATAGTCGTTACATCTTGCCTCCTTCCAAGCAAACCAGCAGCCGTAGCGATCCGCTCAACCCACTCAGCATCCACATCAGTACCTACGCGCCTAGCCACCCGATCCAAATCACTCATCCTCATTCCCTCCAACTCCTCCCTCACGATCCTAACAGCGCTTTCCCGCCGCTGAAGTTCCTCCTCCCACTCTCTCTGCTCCGCGGCTTTCTTGGTCTCACGCTCCTTGGCTTTCTTCGCCTCCACGGCGGCCTCTGCAGCTTGTCTCCGCTCGCGTTCTTTCGCGAGACCAGCCTCCCGTTCCGCAGCACCTTCGGCATCGGCTGCGCGCTGAGCATCTCCTTGAGCTCGCTGGAATTCATGGTAAGCTCTTCTTTGGTCCCGACGCGCGAGAGCTTTTGCCTTTTTTGCCCCAACGTTTCTTTGATTTGGGAGGTCGTTGTCGCGCGCGGGGCCTGGTTGGGCTGGGGGTTGGATGTTCTCCTGGTCTCGGTCTTGGCCGTCCACATCGGTCTCTTCTTCGTCGTCAGATCCGTTGTCTGATTCGGGTTGACGTGCTTCATCAGGATTGTCCATTTGTTCTGCTTCAACAGCATCGTTCACGTCCTGGCCGACATCACTATTGGCATCCGGTACCTCTCGGATATCTTCTGGCTGTGGTGTTTTTGCTCGACCACGATACCATTCCTGAAGCTGTGGCGCGAAGTACAGAGCACCACATATTGCAGCAAGATGCAGAATATCCTGCAGGAGAGGCGTCCCGGGTGTGGCAAATGGAAGTAGCCGGTTCAGATATGAAAGTGCAGAACCCATCTTGTTGTTCATGGTCTGGTATCCAGCCGTATTCGATGGATCCGCTTTCGTCAAGACTTTGACTGCCTATGTCGTTGTGATGTACATATATTTGTGCATCCTGGCTTCTTGAACACAAATCAAACTGCGTCGAGTTTGTTACTTCGCTGCCTCGCAGTTCACATGTGCTTCTCTCGTTCCCCTGTAGTCCTGATATCTTGGCTTCTGTATCCTAGCACAGCAGTACAGGTAATCACCACGTAGAATTATGTCATTGGCAACAACGTTCTTTGGCAATGGCGAAGCACCCAAAATAGCAGAATAAGCTTCTCGGGCCGTTGGAAACGTGGTTCTATGCCATCATCGCGAGTTTCAAGGCCACCACAAGATTGCGTCTTTGAACGCACAAATCTGCATAGCAGGCTGTCAAAAGGGCGTATGCACGTCAACGAGGACGTAGGAAAAGATGGCACCAATAATGCCTGAGCTGTTGTCACGCGAGCGCTGCAAAGCATATTCCATTCTTGCTATCCATGCATTTGAGGTTGCACCGCTAAGCCGAAATCTGCAAGGCTACCGTACATGTAGCTCGTAGATCTTCTCGTATGGTTGTGGGCGGTGCTGACGATCACGAGAAACAGTGTTTTGGGGACAACTACTAGAGATATCTTGTACCTGGCTCGTCTGTATTATCCTGCTAACACCTCTTCCAATCGTAACGACCTCCTCGCCTCTCCACCTTGGTGAAATCGCAGTAACTGAGCCGGGACTTCAACGCCAGAGCAGACATCTCTCGAGACGTTACACAAGACACAGCCGCAAGCTGCGCACCCAGCGCTGTAGAGTCGCGGACATCAGATTGCATAGCAGTACTTCGGACGATAGCCTGGCGATCCTGGATGCGCTACAGAGAAAGACAGCGCCCATGGCGCGGCGGCGAGCGCGACCTTACAGAACACTAGACGGCGGAATGCGACAACGCGATGGCAAAGTGCCCTGGTACTGGCGCATACTTGCTCTTGGGTCAGCAGTGATCATACTAGGTGGCTTTCTAATACTACCTGTGACATTCGACGACGATCCTGGTTTGCGCATAGCGAAGTCTGCGCTAGGAATATTTGCTATAGCACTGCTTACGGCTGGCTTCAGTTTCACAGCGCTCCTGAGCTTTCTGGTGCGAACTCCGCAGTTTCAGGCTGATGCGGTCTTCTTGCCTTCGCTCCTAGCATGTGCGCTGGGACTTCTGACCGTGTTTTACGATTTCCTGATAAGCTCGAAATTCACCTGGAATGTTCCGGCCCTTCTCACCGTCGTAGCTTCAGCAGTAAGCACGATTGTCTACGCCGGACTCTTGATCTACACCTACCGCCGCATCAACCTGCTCAAATCCTCGGGAGCTTATGGGGATGTACGAGGCTCGGCGACTATGCACCTCCGCCCTGCGTCCTTCGGTGGTAGCTCAATGAGTACCTGGCAAGAACCAACTTTCTACGAGAACTACAACAGGAACATGTTCCCGTCTTCCATCCGCGAGACGCAGCCTACACAACCGCAAGGAGCACCACAGGGATACAACCCCAACGAAATTACAGAAGAAGAAATGCAACGCCAACAAATGCTCATGCTCCTCCTGCATCGCGAACAGCCTCCTACCCCAGACCCGTCGCAAAGTACCTTCCGCATCGACTGGCAACAGGGTCGGGAGGAAGAAGAGGGTAACGGGACGCCGGTAAATGGGTATTATGCTCCGCAACCACAGACAGCGTACCCGCCGCAGTCCACGTTGCCACCAGATACTGCATATCCTTCCCCAGGACTGAATAGGCAATGGACTGGTGAGTTGAGGCCTTGGGATGGGGTGTGGAGGGGTGGTCCACCGCAGCCTAGAGGTCGGGCATCAAGTTCGATTCAGGCGTGGGAACGGGCTGCTAGTCGGGAGAGGAGGGAGGCGAGACGGAGGGAGATTGAGGGGGGGTGAGAATGGTGGATTGGAATGGGTACTTGACGGCCGTTTTGCGTGTGCCATTTTGTATTATGATTGAGTATGGTGTGATACCCGTATGTAGTGATTATATGAACTTAATCTGTCTCGAAGCATCTGCGATCATAGTTGCGAGCATTTCTTCCACACTAATGTCCTTTCTCGCCCGCCTGGAGCTGACAACTCTGTCGCCGAGGTCAGCGCCTTGATTCAATGCCACGAGATTGTTCTGCGTTGATAATATGCTGGCGGCTGATACACGGCCTCAACGACACTATCTAAATACTGCGATGACCACGTTCGTGAGCAAAACTGGAGCGTATGTATTCGTACAAGGTAGGCTCCAACTATCTTCGCTGAAATTGCGGTCTGCGCTCACTCGAGCTGCACAAATGCGGAAGGCACGCGTGTCTCGACAGACGCGGTTTTCTTCACAAGCTGCTAAGCGTCTAAATTAACATCATCAAAGCTGCGTCAACCTGGACACTTTTACCATCATCACTAGTCGGTGCGAGGATAGCTGCCTTTGCCAACTCATCTTCACACATGATATAGACGTCTCCTTTCACGGCTCACCGTCACTCTCCTCCTCCACGAACTTCTCGGCAATATGGACCCGGAAGAAGATCCACTGAAGCTGACTTACCAGGAGACCATGGCGCTATGCAGAAGCTGGGCATCCGAAGAGATTGGAGACCCTGATGATCTCGACGATATCGCAGAGAGGATCCAGGAAGCCGTCTACAACGATGACCTCGCCAGTGTCTCTCCGCTGTGCCGCTTTATGCTGCAGTACGAGCTGCCACCTCTCTACGAGGCGAAGTTCAACGCCTACCTTAGCGACTGCAAAATCTATCTTGCAAGCTACAAAGGTCATCTGAGCGCTGGACGTTATGCGCAAGCACAGGAGTATATCGTTGAAGCAACGAATGCGATCAAGGCTGCGGCGGATGGGGTGGCGAACGGGGTGGCGGACAGGGTGACGGACGATGTGCGAGAGGAGGTCGAGGACCGGAGAGTACGCATCGAAAGTCTGAGTTCGGATATCGCCAAGGGTATCAATGGTCAGTCGTTGTGTCTACCTCTAAGCATGACTCAGGACTCACAATATGCAGAATGCAAAAGCGCAGCTTCTCTCCCGCCACCGCCTACCAAGCTCAACGAGGTCAGGGATGAGCCTGCTGCTCCAAACGGTCTGGATGGCCTCGAGGTGGAGAAGCCCGCCATCCCAATCGGTCTGAGCATTGTTGCAGATGAGCCTGATGCTTCCACCAGGGGCGAGGTGAAAAAAAGTGGCCTTCCTCCGGCAAAGACAGCCGCTGACATTCTAATCAGGTCCCCTCGAATTAACACATGAAGGCGGCAGTATCAGCACAGCAGCAGGAGAGGCAACACCATCGTGAAAGTAGCTTCAGCACGACCGCGTCCTTAGCTATGCCTCCCAAGACAGAGACTGGTCAGGACAGAAGAAGTGAAAGGAATACTGTCCGAGCGAGAGATCTGGGGACCAGGAGAATGGTGGCGGCTGCTCCCGCGTGACGTAGAAGGCACTCGATTAATCCAGAGTCAGCGCGACACTTCCAACATCCGGACTAGCAGAAGGATAAGAAGACATCTTCCTTTCTGTTCTTCCCCATCACACTGACAGATATCAAACCGCCATCATGACATCAGGCATGCAATTTACGGATCGCGCGACACAAGCCTTGAGTGATGCCCAGGACCTTACACAGCAATATGCACATTCGCAGATGCTGCCTCTTCACTTGGCAGTAGCGCTTCTCGACCCTCCACCAGATCAGTCGAAGGATCAGCAGACGAACCATGCACACGACTCACATTCAGGCTCGTCTGCTCCGCTGTTCAAGCAGGTGATTGAGCGAGCACATGGCGATCCACAACTACTCGATCGAGCCCTGAAAAAGGCATTGGTACGATTACCTAGCCAGGATCCACCGCCAGAGAACGTCAGCGTTTCGCCAAGCTTCAGCAAGATTCTACGATCTGCGAACGAATTGCAGAAGACGCAGAAAGACAGCTTTATCGCGGTCGATCACCTGATCCAATGCCTTGTCCAGGATACCAACATTCAGAAAGCTTTGGCCGAAGCCAATGTTCCAAACACGAAACTCATCGACACAGCCATACAACAGATCCGTGGTACGAAAAGAGTGGACAGCAAGACTGCAGACGCCGAGCAGGAGAATGAGAACCTTAAGAAGTTCACTATCGATATGACGGCCATGGCGAGGGAAGGTAAGATGGATCCTGTTATCGGTCGTGAAGAGGAGATCAGGCGAGTCATCAGGATCTTATCAAGACGGACGAAGAACAATCCGGTCTTGATCGGTGAACCTGGTGTGGGAAAGACGACTGTGGTCGAAGGTTTGGCACAGCGGATCGTCAACGCCGATGTGCCTGCTGGATTGGCCGCTTGCAAGCTCCTGTCTTTGGACGTCGGGTCTCTCGTTGCCGGATCGAAGTACAGAGGAGAGTTTGAAGAGCGCATGAAGGGTGTGCTCAAAGAGATCGAGGACAGCAAGGAGATGATTGTGCTGTTCGTGGATGAGATACATCTTCTCATGGGTGCGGGTAGCTCTGGCGAGGGTGGTATGGACGCTGCCAATTTACTCAAGCCCATGCTTGCTCGTGGACAATTGCATTGCATAGGCGCTACCACGCTTGCAGAGTATAGGAAGTATATCGAGAAGGACGCCGCGTTCGAGCGACGTTTCCAGCAAGTCTTGGTCAAGGAGCCTTCGGTACCAGAGACCATCTCCATCTTGCGTGGCCTGAAGGAAAAGTATGAGGTACACCACGGTGTTACCATCCTCGATGGTGCCATCGTCTCCGCAGCCACACTCGCGTCACGATATTTGACTTCTCGAAGACTTCCGGACTCCGCTGTGGACTTGATTGACGAGGCTGCAGCAGCTGTGCGAGTAGCTCGCGAATCTCAACCGGAAGTGCTTGACAACATGGAACGCAGACTACGACAGCTCGAAATTGAGATCCATGCCCTAGCTCGCGAGAAGGATGAAGCATCCGCAGCTCGACTCGGCGAAGCTCGTGCGGAAAAAGCGAACGTGGAAGAAGAGCTGAAGCCATTGCGCGAGAAGTACGAAAGTGAGAAGGCACGATCGAAGGACATCCAAGAACAGAAGATCAAACTCGATCAGCTCAAGGTCAAGCAGCAGGAGGCAGAACGTACGCGAGATTTGCAGACCGCATCTGATCTGAAGTATTACGCCATTCCTGACGTTGAGGCACGCATTGACCAGCTTGAGCATCAGAAGAAGACGGCTGAGATGCAGGATGCTGGTCGACGTGGGAGTATGGAAGACAAGCTAATCACCGACGCTGTCGGACCTGATCAGATCAATGAGATTGTCGGCCGCTGGACCGGCATCCCTGTTACCAGATTAAAGACTACCGAGAAGGAGAAGCTTTTGCAGATGGAGAAAGTACTCGGCGCACAGGTCGTCGGTCAGAAAGAGGCCGTCACGTCTGTCGCCAACGCCATCCGACTACAACGTTCCGGCCTCAGCAATCCCGGACAGCCGCCATCCTTCCTCTTCTGCGGTCCATCAGGTACTGGTAAGACTCTGCTTACCAAAGCTCTAGCGGAGTTCTTGTTCGATGATCCAAAAGCAATGATTCGTCTGGATATGTCCGAGTATCAAGAACGCCATTCCCTATCCCGCATGATCGGCGCACCACCCGGCTACGTCGGCCACGACGCTGGGGGCCAGCTGACAGAAGCTCTGCGCCGCCGACCATTCAGTATCCTCCTCTTCGACGAAGTTGAGAAAGCAGCCAAAGAGGTCCTTACCGTACTTCTCCAACTCATGGACGACGGCCGTATCACCGACGGCCAAGGGAGAGTGATCGATGCTCGCAACTGTATCGTCGTCATGACCTCGAACTTGGGAGCAGAACACTTGGCACGCAACAATGCTCCAGACGGCAAGATTGATCCCACGACTCGCGAACTCGTCATGACGGCGCTCCGGAACTGGTTCCTACCAGAATTCTTGAACAGGATCAGCAGTATTGTCATATTCAATCGGCTTTCCAAACGCGAGATCCGGAAGATCGTCGATGTGCGATTAGTGGAGATCCAACAACGACTTACCGGCAATGGCCGAAATGTCCAGATTCAGCTCTCGGATGCCGTGAAAGACTATCTAGGCTCCGCTGGCTACAGCCCAGCGTACGGCGCTCGTCCGCTCGCCAGATTAATCGAGAAGGAAGTCCTCAATCGTCTTGCTGTGCTCATTCTCCGCGGGTCGATCAGGGATGGCGAGGCCGCGCGTGTGGTGATCGAGGGCGGACATATCCAGGTCTTGCCCAATCATGGCGATAGTGATTTGGAGGATGGGGATTCGGATATGTGGGATGATGATGAGGATGCGCGGGAGGAGTTGCTCGAGAACCGGGAGGAGATGGATCTTTATGATGATTAGACGGTTGTACCAAGGACGATAGGAAAAGAATTCATGATTAGATGAGATGGGATGAAATGCATTGTTGAGCGTTCTTAGCGATGGTAGAGGAGTCCATGGATTTATGCATAGGGTCAATCGCCTTATGCTTGGACTGATGGTCCAGATGGTATATAGGTCAATCTGAGACACTATACACTTCGAGTAGAGGATAATTGTCACCTCGTGTGGCATACAATAACTCCCCACAACTCTGCTGCTTCTGTAGGTGCATCTATCGCATGGGAAACATAAACTGCGATACCGTCCACCTAGATGTGATATCATCACTTCATCCAATCATATCATTTCCTCTATATAGTATATATCATCTACGTCTATTCCTCCTCATCCCCATCATCCTCATCCTCATCCTCATCAACAATCTTCTCCACAATCAAGTTCCCTGATCGTCCAATCCGTTCCCGTATCGTGCCGCCTTTACTAACATCGTACACTTCTCGTGGCATGGGCGATACAAGTCGAAAGCCGTATTCGTGCTCGTAGCCCTCAGGCTTTTGTGCTTCCTTCTCGGAGGATACAGATGTCTCTTCATCTTCAGCTTCGTCCTCGCGGCACTCGACGAAAGCATATAATTCCTCCACGTCAGCGTCGGGTCGGAATTTCCTTACCACGCGTTCGCCATTCTGTAATCGTAGACTTATCCGCACAGCCTCCTTGACTTCGTTGCCAGGCTCAGGAGCGATGTTCTGCCGTCTCCAACTCTTCCATCGTGCCAACAGCTCCGCAGCGTTTGTCTCTCGCTCTTCTCGTTCCCGCTCCTCTCGATCCGCCTTCTCCTTGGCCGCCTCCTCCTCCTTCCGCTTGCGTGCTTTCTCCCTATCCGCAGCCAGACTCCGCTCGTAAGCGCTCTCCTGTTCCTGCCTCAGACTCCTGCTCGCCTGCTGTTCCTGCCGTTGTCTCCTTATCCTATCCAGCTCTGCACTCTGTGTCTGGATCCCAGCTTGCAATTTCTGAATCAACTCCTGCACCGTGGATGATCCGGCAGAGGTAGCGATCTTACTCATTGCCGTGCTCGATACGGAAGGCGTATGTGCTATAAGACATGCGTACGGGAATTTGGTGACGTTTAGAGCGGTGCTGACTTGGTATGCTTCGGCGTCTTGGACTGTGCCGGCCCACAATACGATGTTGTTCTTCGGCTCCTTCAAGAATGTCAAGAGCTCGGGTGCGAGTAAGGTGTCACGCACAAATGAAGCATTGTCGTCGTGTTCGGGCGAGAGCAGAATCACGAGCAGGTACTTCAGATCGCGCTTAGCGATGTCGAAGGCCTGGGCGTAACCTGCTTCGTGGAAAGGTACTGTGCCGTGCGTGACGCCGTACTCTTCTTCGAACTCACGCATGAAGCGTGCGGCTGTGTCACTTGGGCTTAGAGGTCTTCGTCCCGTGTCCCTACTGGGCCGGGAACCGCTTCCGGACCAGAAGCGGGAGAGTAGGCGTGGAAGGAAAGGGAAGAGGAAGCCTATTGTGCCAAAGAGACGCTGGAAGATGACGTAGGTGAGGTTGAAAGGAAGGAGGAGCAGTGAGAAGGGAAAGGGTAGTGGTTGACTGAGCTGGCTCTCCGGTGTGGGTACTACTCGTGGTGCCTCTTCTAGCCCTCCTTGTCGTCTTGATCGTGATCCGGGCGAGCGAGGATTTATGCTGTCCATGAGAGTTTCTGTCCGTCGGACAGCTTGAGTTGGTGGAGAAGGTGGTGCAGCACGTGCTGCTTCTGCAGCTGGGTCGATGGTCTCGGCATCGCCGTCGAAGAAGCGGGTTATGGCTATTTGAGCGTTCCACTGGCATTTCTGTAATATGGGTACCGCGTCGCCGAGCTCCTGGTCGGTGACAGATGTGTATTGTTGGAGTGCGAGTTGCTGGTCTTCTGTCAGGCTTGTGATATCGAAGCCTGAGGACGCCATGCTGGCGTAGATACGATATCAAGGTCCAATAACAACGATTTTTAGACAGCCAGTGTCGTAGAAGAGCGTCCGATATGTCCAGATGTCTTCGATATACGTGTACAGTATTCAAGAATATCGTCCACAAGATCTCCAGGCACATGCATCATCCAAGCCCCAGTTTCAGCCCTGCAGCTGTTCCCGCATCTCGGCTCGGCAGCGGGAGCCGCAATCGTCGCCGCATTCACGTGCCTGGCGTTCGACGACTGTCTGGGTGTGGAGCCTCACCTCATCTCATCTCATCCTCTACTCACCTCTCTCCTTAGTCTCGTCACTCGTTCGGGTCGAGGAAGGCGTCTCCATATCGATCGTGATGGGAGCGTAAAGGGTGGCTATGGAGCAGCAGCAATTTTGCAACACGACTCAGCCATTGTAGGAGCCTTCATCTTCGCCTTCCTGGTCAATAGCACGAGCATAGTGCTTGCCAATTGGAAACAGGAACAACATTGTAAGTCTCGACCGCAAGCTCCTTACTTGGCACATCTCAAACAGTCCTTCTGGCATATTGGCTTTGTAAGACGTGGTGCTTGGGCTTATGGCGGGAGAGGAGGCGGCGTCATCATCAGAGTGGAACATCGGCTCTCATAGTCTTCACAATCTGCTTCTCACCACCGAGCCACTAACAAGACCCAGCACGCCACTCGAGCCGATCGGAAGCCCAGCAGACAGAACAGATCCCAATCGCGACCTTCTACGACAAGCTGGCCTTGCTGACATATCATACGAGGCCTCACCTGAGACGAACAGACACCGACCATCGATACTGAGCGAACCACCACGGGGACCATTTGTGGAAAAGCCTAATCCTTGGTTCTGAACAGTCAAGCTCCCACGTAACGTGAAGCCAGGCAATACGTCGCGCTCAGACACGCCACTTGAGTTGCCAACCATTATACTGGAGAGGCGTAAGATTCTTCGCGACGCCAGAGCATCTTACCACAACTTTCGGAGGTACGTGGCACGATCCGACCGAGCGCGAGCGCCGTTGGAAGCACGGCTCGAAGCCTACCGCCAAAGGAACTTGGACCATCTTCCTCCGCCTTTCTGGACGACGTAGCACTTCAGCCAGACGAAGGAGCCGAGTCAGGATTGCTTGCTAGGAGAATATCCTCCAGCCGTAAGATTACCACCAGCTTGAATTCCTAAGTGGCTGCATCACAGGCAGCAGTACAACACTTTAGCGGTGCTACAGACCAAGAAGTGGAGCTAGGAGGCTTGGTTATCTCGATTTGCGACCATTAACATCGCAGCTCGATTAATTGCTTTTCTGGTCACATCATACGATCACAAGGCTGAAAGCTCTCGGAAGTAGAGTCGGCGACCTTTGGCAGTAATGATATGGCCGCAGGATTCGCTGGCCAGTCTGGAGATGCTCGACGACATCTCTCCTCCAGCCACCGCAACCCCCGCTTCTCAGAAAATTCCCGCCCGATGAGCCCGCAGCTGTGTCGTAATGGGCCACAGTGTCGGAAGTTTCAGGAGGGTCAGCATGAATTGATATCTCACTCTGGCAGCTCATTGTGCTTACGCAGTGCAGGAACGTGTAACTTCAATCATGACTTTGGCTCTATGCAAGCCAATGGCCTTAGCAATACGTTTGTCCCCACCCCGTCCTATTTTCCGGAGACGAGCTGAGAAAATTTAGCCAGAAGAAGAGCCTCAATGTCGAGTCGCCTGCGTTCACGCCGAATCTGACGCCTCAGAATGCTAAAGCGCTGCCGGCTAAAAGTCTGGGCCTTTCGCCCAAGGTAGCTGCAGCAGCCACGTTCACGCCTAGAGGATCCGGTGCGTAAACAACAAGCGAACCCCAATGGCAGAGCTGATTGATCGCAGGCTCTGTGACACCAGCCACAATATCACATTCGAAACATACCTCCGATGAGTTCATACCACAAAACGCCTTCCAACCACAGCAGCACTTCAATGAGTTCGTGCCGGGTCAGAACTTTGTACCGCAACCACAGGTAAGTCTTTCATTTTGATGCGCTCGGTGGGTGTAGTTGTCTGATGGCATAAAGTTGGAGTCGCCACCGCAAATACACCAGCAGGTGAATCCCTATGGCGACCCTTTCATGTCTGCGCAAACATTACAGCAAACCTTGCCCAGCCTGGATGGTACGCAAGCACAGATCAACCCATATAGTCAAGCTGCACCTGCTGTCTCCACACAGCCGTACTACCAGGACAGCAGCAGCTATAAGCACCCGCTCAACTACCATCTGTACGCTTCCGTAGGACCACGGCGAGAAAACATGCAACCCTATCAACGAGCATCCGCCGACTTCTTCATACCCGATAACCTTCGTGAAGATCTTCATAAGAGATCTGAAGCAGCGCTGCAGGTGTTCGCCAACAGCACTCTCCCTCAGAGCCTCGAACACTTCCACTCGCTAGTGGCGCTGGACACGAACAGTCAAAGAAGTACAACCACCTTCGGCTATGCGAGCTGGATCTACAAAGCTACATCGAGCAAAGATGGCCATACGTATGCTCTGCGAAGAATAGAAGGCTTTCGCCTGACGAACGAGCAAGCCATTCGCAACTTCCAAGCTTGGAAGCGGTTAAGCAGTGCAGGCGTAGTGCGAGTCCACGATGCATTTACTGGGCGCTGGTTCGGCGACAGCTCACTGGTGATCGTGACGGACTATCATCCTCTGTCACAGACAGTAGGTGATAAGCACTTCAACCAGGCGCGGCCAGGCAAGACTGGCACCCAATTTGTGCCCGAGAATGACCTCTGGGGCTACATTGTGCAATTGGCTAGCGCCCTAAAGGCTGTACATGAAGCTGGTCTCGCGGCGCAGACAGTGACTGCTTCGAAAGTGCTCATCACATCGAAGAACAGACTACGGCTCAGTGGTTGCGGTGTGTTGGACATTACGCAGTACGAACAGCGCCTACCAACCACAGAACTACAGCGCCAGGATTTGCAAGATCTCGGCCGTCTCATTCTCGGCATCGCATCACGAAATCCCACAGCACATCAGAATGTGCACAAATCGCTCGACTTCATTAGTCGAGCATATAGCGAGCGCTTCCGCTCATGCCTCGCATGGCTTCTTGCGCCACCCTTTTCGACTTCAAGTGCCGACGGTCTGCTAGGTCCAGCCTCTCCATCATCCGACGACGGTGTCGCGCGCACGCTAAGCGAATACAACATCAGCAACCTCCTCACCAACATTGCGGACAAAGTGGTGTTAGTGCTCGACAGCACACTCCAATACGAAGACGAAACCACGAACAATCTTATGCGTGAGCTCGAGAATGGTCGCCTCGTCCGGCTGCTCGCAAAACTGAACGTCATCCTCGAGCGCCCAGACCCAAGCACGACCTCCACCTCAACCACAACGACAACAAACCTCAACCAGCCCTCTTCCGCATGGTCGGAGACAGGTGAGCGGTACTACCTCAAGCTCTTCCGTGATTACGTCTTCCACCAGTGCGATCACGAAGGCCGACCGGTTCTTAATCTAGGACATATCGTCACTTGCCTGAACAAATTGGATGCGGGCGTGGATGAGATGATACAGCTTATTAGTCGTGACGAGCAGAATATCTTTATCGTTAGCTTCCGAGAAGTCAAGCGAGGCTTCGAAGCGGCGTGGGCAGAGATCAGTCGTGGTGCTGCGGCTGGTGGAGGAGGTGGTGGAAGGCGATAGAGAAGCTTACGTTACCGATGTGGCGACCAGGCGGAAGACTATTCGAAAGAGGGTAGAAAGGAAGATCAGTCCGAGGGAGGCAGACGGGAAAGACCTTTGGATACTAGTTTCCAGTATAACTGATGAGAGTGATACAAGAATGGTAGAGGTTCAATCGCTTTCATGTCCTCTGGTCAGATTTTCGTTTGCACTCTAGTCCACCAAATAAGTGAACAGAGGTCTATTGCAGGTGAGCTACATATGTAAGATATCAGAGTATCACTCGTCGATTCGGCTCTGTTATGTGGCAAACCCAATCCAGCTACCAACAGGGCTTATACTCCTATCGGCTACGCGAATATTCCTGGTCGATCCTTCATCTTGCTTTCCCTAGGTTTCAGATCGAGGGCGGAAAGCTTTTTGCTCCCGTAGAAGCACGATCACGTTCTGCGGCGCTGTTAACTAACTCACCATGTGCGACTCGCTCTTTGCTGATGCTCGGTATTCCTTGCGCAGCTCGAGATACGAGCAATGTCCCAAGAAGGCATTGTCGACGTCGGTACTTGGCCTGGTAAGTATTATTGCATCCTTCCAACGAGTGTAGTCATCATATATCAAGCCTCACATCAGGGATCAACACTAAGGGATGGTCTAAGAACAAGCTTCTTTCTTCGCTTTGACCAGCCGATCTTTCGAGACCCTCGCCAAAGGGACGTGCGAGAAGATACTTACAGCAGTAACAGCACCAAACAGTAAGCTTACTCGGTGTCAAGGCCGGAGAGTTCATGACAGTCGCGGGAACCGGCCTTGTCACTCGTGAATTCATGCATGCAGGATGCCGGACTTGGCATCTCGGTTTCAGCCCCAGCTAATTTCGGACCTCTCACCTGCAAGGCCTGCCACCTACACTCTCAAAACACCTCTGTACCGTACCGAAAACATGGCGCAGGAGATATATTAAGTTCATATGTAGCGATGAGGGACCCGGATCAAGATCAGGAGTCAGGCCACCTCAGCTTGCAGATTGGACGACGTGCGCCCATCACTTTCAGGGGACCAATAATCTTATCTGGTGTGCCACCTTGAGACGATCAAAACGGCTCAAGTACCAGTGACTATGATGGGCTTGCGTGAAGCATTGACAGTAATGTGTAGATTACCGGAGTGTTGACAACGCAGTTCAACGCGTTAAGGACGACAGGCGCCATGTGGAGAAGATGACTGCAAGGCGACCATACCATTGTTTACTGCATGTCGACTTCGGTACCTGTCAGCAGTATCCCCCGAACTCTACATCGTTACACGGCGCCTTGCTGCTATTATTGCCAGAGTCAAGCCTCCTAGCTGCAGATTCGGGGCTCCGTTCGGCATCTCTCCTGTATATATTGCTTGAGCCTGTTGCATCTCACCGCGGCCGTCTGTTCATATCTGCATTTTCATCGACTCACTACAAGGGCAAGATATCGAACAGACACCATCGATATGGCCACCAAACCTACAGAGAAGCATTCTGCGGTTGCGCACGATGTCGAGATCATACCTGGAACAGAGATCATGGCCGATGTTGGCGGCGTCCACTATGCTCATGCTGGAGGTTCGCAAAGTGGCTCGGTCCTAATCCCTCAACCAAGCAATAATCCCTCTGACCCTCTCAACTGGAGTCTGACCTGGAAGCTCACCACTGCTCTCTCGCAATTACTCTACGTCTGGGTCCTGGTCTGCTCCGCCTTGTCATTGGCTCCGATGTTTCCATTCCTGGGCATGGAGTTTCATCTAGGCCAACAGCAGCTCTCACTACTTACTGGGTTGAACGTGATCACCCTGGGGTTTGCCAACATCTTCATTGTCCCATTGTCTAACATCTTCGGCCGCCGACCAATCAGTATTTTCTTTGGCTTTTTGGTCATTCTCACTAATATCTGGCAAGCTCTTGCTACGACCCACAAGAGCTTTCTAGCGGCTCGTGCTTGCAATGGTATCGTCGCCGCGACCAGTGAGACGATCATGGTGCAGGTCATTGCTGACATGTTCTACCTTCATGAGCGTGGTGCCTGGATGGGCTTGTACTTCACCTTCTACTTCAGCGGTGCCTTCCTCGGCCCCATCATGTCTGGCAACATCGCCGCCCGACACGGCTGGCGCAGCTTCTTCTGGCTTTCCGTCGCCCTGGCAGCCTTCGTGACCATTCTCCTGATCTTCGCCTTTCCCGAGACCCGTTGGCGACGAAGCAACGGCAACCATCCCAGCTCCTCAAAAGTCACCAAGGATATGAAGGACAACCCCCACATCCAAGACGCACCCATCGACTCCGAAGCTAACAGCGAACACCACGACGGCCAACTAGTCGGCAAAGGCCAACCCAGCAAAGCCCAATGGTCGCCCATCCAGAGACCAGACGGCAAATGGCTGCAATTCATCGTCCGCGACCTGACAACCCCCTTCCTCGTCTTCTTTAACCCAATCATCTTCTGGGCAGCCCTCATGCTCGCCGGACCAGCCGATCTACTCCTCCTCTTCAACCTCACCGAGTCCGGCCTCTTCGGCTCCCCAGCCTACAATTTCTCTCCAGGCCAAGTAGGCTACACTAACTTCGCCTTCTTCGTAGGCGGTCTCATTGGTCTCGCCACTGCTGGACCGCTCTCCGACTGGACCGCTCGACTACTCACGAAAAGGAACGGAGGGATCCGTGAAGCGGAGTTCCGTCTTCCGTCCATGATTCCATACGTGATCTTCTTCATCATAAGCCATGTCGTGGGAGCAGTAGGCTACACTCAACTCTGGCGCTGGTCGGCTATCGTCGTCTGTGGTTTCGGGTTCTCCGGTCTTGCTGTCACTTCCATCCCTACGATCGCAATCGCGTACGCCGTTGACTGCTACAAGCCCATTTCCGGCGAGATCATGATCGTCGCGACGGTTTTGAAGAATGTGTTGGGGTTCTGCTTGAGCTATTGGGTCTTTCAGGTGCTGGCGGAGAAAGGATGGATCGCTGTGTATATGACCCAGTTCGCAGTGTCGATGTTCCCGGTCGTCTTGACGATACCCTTGTACTTCTGGGGCAAGAGTCTGAGGAGGTGGACGAAGAATTCGGAGCTCCATCGCATGGAGGCTATGCTCTGATTATGTGAAGTACAGAACACTTTCGAGTAAGAAATCATGTAACATAGCTGTCTAGTAGAAACAAATAATGACACGATCTTTGCTTCATTTCCCGCTCTTGCATGAAGTACACATTAAACATCTTCCACTTATGTATAGCCACGTCCCGTATCCCAGCTAGCTGAAAACACGCATATAAATTGGTATCATCGCAATCCAAGCACACTAGTCGAACTACCCGCCCTCCGCAATTCTTGCAAAGCACGTACCGGACTCTGATCACCAGCCGATGAACCAGGTCTTAAACTCCTCATAGGCGAAGATGTCCTCGAGGAGCTTGCGGAGCCAGGACCGCCGTCAAAGGGATCTATGAAAGCTTCTCTGTAAGCCAAAGAAGGAGACAGACGGAGCGAGAGGATTTCGCGGGAATCTGTGCGTCGCATGTGCAAGGTAGGTCTGCTTCTGCTTCTGCTTTCTCTGTCTTCTGCCTCGTTTTCATTCTGTTGCGATAGGCTGCTTAGGCTTTGCGGACGGGCGGACCGTCACGAGTCCTTGTCGCCGTCGTTCGGAGACTTCCATTGCTCACCAGAGGGCTCGGCACCTTTGGCCGGGTCCTCCTCTTCCTCATGCCTGGCCTCCTTCGCCTCCGTCTGGGCCTCCTTAGCCTTCTCCTGTGCGATATCGATGATAGAGCCACTCTTGCCCATGGCATCGGTGTCGTTGTCATCGTCATCTTCCTTCTTGTCGTTACCTTCGTCTTTTTTATCACCTGACTGGTCGCCAGACTGAGCCTTGGAGTCATCCTTGCCCTTGGGCTGCTCGGACTTTTCCACAGTGTCGCCTGGTCGAACAGCCTGAGAATCTGCCATGTTGGCATCTTGCTGCTCCTCGGACTCATTCTGGCTTTCGGCCTTACCTGACTTGTCGCCCTCAGCACCTGCCTTTGCAGGCTTCGAATTGCCCTGCTTCTGGTCTGGCTTGCTTTGCTTGTCCTTGTTGCCAGCACCTTGCGCCGGCTTGTCATTGGACTTCTGGTCGGAAGATTTGCTATCGGGCTTGCCGGACTGAGAGCTCTGCGGCCTGCCACTTTGCTTACCGGCCTGGCTGTCCTTGCCGTTCTTGGACTCCTGGCTCGATGGCTGTTCCTGCTTGGCGTTCGACTTTGGATCGGTGGGTTTTATATCGGACTTGCTCGGCGACGCCTTCCTGTCAGATTTGCTTGGAGACGCAGCCCGAGGAATCCCACTTTGTTTTTGATCTTGGCTGGCCTTGTCGTTCTGCGACTTGTCGTTTCTTGCCAGCTTTCTAGGTGAGCTACCCTGCTTCCGCTGGCTTTCAGACTTGGGCGCAGTGGATGAGGATTGATCCTTGTTGTCGTTGGTCTTGCTATCATCCTGTTCTGGTTTCGCGGATGGAGTAGAGGCTGACGGCTGGCTCTTCTTATCGTCGTCCTGCTTCGATTTCTCGGACGAACCAGAGGCTGAAGTTTGATCCTTCTTGTCGTCGTCCTGCTTCGGTTCTTCACGTGAAGCAGAAGTTGGAGGCTGGTTCTCCTTATTGTCGTCCTTCTCCTCCATGTCTTTCTCACCCGCACCCTCGCTCTGTCCTGCAGACTGACCAGACACATTATCCTTCGCCTGCTCCTGTTCCTCTTCTGCGCCCTCACCAGCCTGATCATCCTGCTGCTCTTCAGCCTCGTCTTCCTCGATGGCATCGTCCTGCTTAGGTGTGCCACTACCGCTACCATTGGTTTTCGATCGTGTGCTGCTCATCGCATCGTTGATCTGCTCTTTGGCCTTATTGACCGCACTCTTGGTCTGCTTCTCGAAGCTGGCTACGCGATCAGACACACGCCTCGAACCCTTGAACTTGCCCTGCTTCATCTCTTCAACATCGCGCCTCAATTGATCATGAACGTCGGCAGTCTTCTGGCGAATCTGCTCGGCAGCATCTGGGCCACGCTTGGCAATCTCGTCTTCGATTTCTTTGCCGCTCTTCTCGATGTAGCGCTCGGTCTCCTCTTCGGCTTGCTTGGAGGAGTCGATCGTCTGCTTGCCGGCCTGAGATGCAGTCCTGGGCTTACCACGCTGAGTATATGCTTTGACGAAAAAGCGACCGAAAAGGAACGTCAATGGTGCCAGGTAAAGTAGATTGAGGTAGATGGCGAATGCTTCGCCAGAAGTGTCGATGCAGTTGACCTTGGTATACTCTGTGCGCCAGCGGGTCTCGTATGTCTGCTCATTGAAGTGTTCGATCTTCTCTTCTATATGAGGTGTGATATACTGATGACGCTCGTCGCGAACGCGCTCGGCCATACCCTCTTCGCCAGCAGCACGAAGCAAGAACTTCTTGATTAGTGGTGCCAATGCTCTAGCAGTTGGTGTAGCCACCACACTGGAGATAGTCGTGCTGGCTTCAGCAGCCGCAGAGCTGATGCTGGAAGCGGCGCGTTCAATCACGGAAGCGACCTGGTAAGGAGTCGAGACCGGGATATCGTATGCAACGAAGAGGTGAGCCGCGGCGTAGCTCGCGCCGAAGACGAATTGAGCAATTTGCATCGAGGTCAAGGTACGCTTGAGTCCCTTTGGTACACGGTAGCCCAGCGCCGAGAGCGCGAAGTAAGTGTACTGTTTATGACAAGTCAGCTTGTGAATCTGATCGTCCTGACAAGCTAGATATGCTTACCATCATGCCATGAATTGCGCTGTTGATGAAGACGAACATCCAGATCGGTGGGCTCATATATCTGATGCCAGCCCACATACACAGCATGGCGCCTGCATGATGGTACGTCTGCAAAGTTGCACTGCGCTTGCCCTTCGCGAGGATAATCAGAGTGTCGAGGACCTCGTAGAACTTGCTGATATAGAACATCCAGCCCCAGAATGCCAGACCCTCGTTCCACAGGCGACCAACGTCGGTAGGATCGGGGTTGCCATCATATCCCATCTTGATTAAGCTGTTCTTCGTCTCCCAGATGTTGATGGTCGTGTTGAATGTCGTAGCGTCGCCGAGCCCCCTCGGGCCATGTACCTTGCAGAGAGCGTCCGCCACGCCAGCCAGACCATTCGGGTTGTCTCTGATGCCGGGCCAGGTATGCACAATGGCTCTGAACATGGCAGCGAAGGTCGCGAAGGAGTAGAAAGCCAGCAGGATATTGTGAACGACCACGAACCATTGGAAGGGCTTCTGCTTGGCGATCCACCATGGCTTGTTATCCCGGCTCCTGTTGTACGCGTTCAGGGAGAAGATGGTGACAATGTAGACGGCCGCGAAGGTGAAAGGAATCCATGGCTCGAGCACGGCGTTGAACAGGTTCTTCTCGATGCCGAACGGTGAGCGGAAGGTGCGTTCCTTGACCGGTGGTGGGAGCGTCGGTGGTAGAGCCTTGGGGAAGGGTGTGAAGGCGTTTGGCCAGGTGAGGTAGACTTGGGGACCGGACATAATTGCGTTTGACGCGATTGAAGCAAGGTAAAACAGCTGTGGCTGCCACGCGAATTTTGCGCCGCTGTGAACAAAAAGGACGCGTCGACGCGGTGTTATGGATCCGCACCTTCGTCGCTCCGACGCTGTACAATCCGTGAGAGACGAGATATGAAGTTGAATTGTTGCAGTAGTATTAGTATGATGGAGGTGGGCGCGAGGAGCGCATGTTGTCGTGTGGCTGGTTGCTGGTGACGTGTGGCGCTCGCGAAATGACATCACGTCACATGTTTCCAAGTTTTATCACCAATTCCAGAAAGCATAACGCCCGTACCCGTCGAACAGCTTCACCAACAACATAGAACGATAGGTCACCATTCGCCGATCACGATAGAGTAAGATGCAACCTAGTATCTCATAGTCGATATGCTGTCGAATAGCCGCAAGCAACGACATAATACATTGATACTATCTGCATCGTTACATGTGATGCGATACTAGAGACGGCTACACTCTCGTCAGGGCACTCATGGCGACCCCAACGCGCCGTGACATGTTAGTAACATATTACATGGCTACAGCTCATGCCATCACGTCGAGAAATCCTTCTTCGGCGCATCCCCCTTCTCATCACCAGTCCCATACTTCCTCACCGGCTCCTTCGCTGCATTCTTATCCTTCTCAAAATACTCCACCTCCTTCGAACTCATATTCTTCGCCACCTGATCCGCCTGCCACTTCTTGAACGAGAACCCAACCCCCTCATGCGAATAATCCTTATCGTTCGCCTGATCCTTATGATATTTGACGCGAATGAAGTCACTATCCTTCGTCTCCGGCTCCAACGCCAAAGAAACCAAGGCGTTGATCGTCGCCGTCTTGGGGATGATCTTGAAGGTCCAGCTCTGCTCGTTCTTGAACTGAATCAATTCGGAGTCGTTCTTGATGATTTCGTAGCGTTCGTTCTTGCTCGCTTTGAAGAGTTTGGGCAGGGCGAACCATTGGCCTGCCATCTTGTAGCGGTCGTTGGCGTAGACAAATTGGTCATCGTAGACGCAGTCGGGTGTGTAGCGTTCGACGCGTTTGATGGTTGGCTCGCAGGAGTAGAGAGCTATGATGTCGTCGACGAGAGCTTGTCTGTTGGGTGGGAGTTTAATTGATTTACTTGGGTCTGGGGTGTAGTCCTCTGAGGTTGCGGTTTGGCGTGGCTCGAATTGTTCTCCTGGTGCGGACATCTTGGCAATTTTGACTGTGTCACTTGTGGTGTTCTCTTGTGGGCGTCTGATGGATAAAGATTATTGTCACGGCGAGCGAAATGGTTGTGTTAGTATCGAAGACTACAAGACCGATCTAACAAGTACATACAGCAGCTTAAATGAGCGAGTGACGTCCACGACTCTGCATAGTGAAGTACTCGCGATCTTTTAGGCGGAGGTAAGCAGATCGTCTACAGATGATCAACAGACGTGGTTGGTCGAGCAGCAACATGAGCAGAGGAATTATGCAACCATGACGAGTTGTAAAGATGCAAGCTGCAGTCTTGGCAATCGGTTGGGCTGTAAGGCCGCTGCTCACCAAGAAACCTCCTGCGCTTCAAATAGAGAACTGGCAGAGTACAGCAATAGATGAAGGCAACCCACAAGGTCAAGCATCACATCTGACCTTTTGTCAATGATACGACAGGAAGATATTCTGGAGTCAAGGCATCGAGACTATGATGCTGGCTGGCTTGTTTACAAACCTTCAATGTCCACTCTATCTGGCTGACTGACCGTTCTTCTGTCCACCACAACATTTATCACCATCATAAGCCGGACACAGATGGAAGAGGGTAGAGTGTTGTAAAGCGGGTGAAATGTCCCTGGACACGATTGCTGCCAAACGACAGACATACGCATACAGTGTTTTATCACCTAATCTAATTGATCACTACACTGTACCCCGAGACAGTGAACTTGGCATTGCTGCCACTCGTCGGCTCAGTACCCGCACCAAGACTTGTCAAGTACTGAGTGTTCGGCAGACCCTCATGCTGGACAAGGTAGGCAAGGAAGAGCTTGATGTCGCCACTGAAGCTGGCGATCTGTCCACTGGCTGGGACGAAAGAGTACACGGTCGTGCTGCCGTTGGGACCCTTGTAGAGGTTGAAGCTGTGGCCGCCGATGGTCGTGGTAGCGATGATGGTGGGTTTGCCATCGGACCCTATGGCCTGTAAGTGATTGGTCTCGAGGTGTGAAAGGCTGATACTAACCATAGCCGCTCGAGATCGGTCCAGTGCCACCAATAGCTGCGAGCCAGACCATGATCTCGTACTGGTTCGAGCCAGTGGCGGTGGACGAGGTGAACATATCGTAAGCCACATCCGCTACAATGTTAGTGCCTGTGTAGCTCCAGCTCCAGGTCGAAGGGATGGTCTTGATGGCGCTAAGCTGCTTCACTGTAGACTCCTTCACCACGACATTCGGGTAAGACTTGACGCCGCTGCCGCCAACCCAGGTCCATCTGTTCACCTCTATCAGCAATCCATTTGATGCATACCAGATTGTGTAATGCTTACGTAGAGTGCCACTTGACGGTGCTACCGCTCAGGCTATCGACACCGAAGCATCCTGATCCAGACGTCGCACCGGATTCACCCCATAGGTCGTTGTAGACGGTGTATGTGCCTGTCGAAATGGAGTCATATTGGCCGCATTTATCGGCTCTCTTCTCGACAGTGACAGTAGGAGCAGCAAGGGCAATGCCTGCAATGCATGCTGCGAGGAGGGAGTGGGAAAGCATTGTGATGGTCGAAATCTGTTGATAGTGAGTCTTGGAAGAAGCAAATGTATACGAAGGAGTGTAAGTGCCAGACTTGATGCCAGAGGCAATAGAAGAGGTAGACACAATGACAATACTTGTACTAAGTGCGTTTGTACACCAGTGATCATCGTCCCAAGATCCAGCACCGTGCCATCGACTTTTCCACCAGCCGGAGTCCTTTCTAGAGGTCCCAGGTCGATCAATCCTGGGTTCACGTCTCACGTGTAGGCAGATAGATGAAATCGGGCTTTCTAGTGCCAGGCTTGTAGCACAAGCGAGAAAGCTTGTCTGTATGAAACAGCGGCGAAGTCGCGGAAGTTGTCGCTCCGCATTATGGCAAATTGTTTTTGTGAGATAGTGACAGATTTTCCTTCACGGCCCCAAAGAGACCGGAGGCTGGATGTGGTACGAAGCAGACATGGAAAGCATAACGCGTGGTTGTGTGGAGTATACGGAAGTTATACCGCCACAACAAGCTAGTCCTTGAGAGCAGCATGTGCTGCATCGCCTGTGTCCGAGCGAGGTAGAGATCTCGCTTTACCGCTTGATAGATCGGAGCCTGCCCTGTTCTCTGCTCCATACTGGTGCAGTCCCATCACCATTATGTCTCAGTCGCACCACCCGACGCCTGCGCTAAGCAAACGTGAAGCCATCGCTGGGCGCAAGCAATCTTTTCTCAACCTCTAAGTCCACTTCTTCCAGTCCGCCTTTTGCAAGTCTTCGTGACTGAAGTCACCTGAATCGCTGATCGTACAGCCCGCCACTGTAGCCTTGCGCAAGGGTAAATGGTCGAGCATCAAGAAGGTTTCTGACGCTCCAGGCAAGCCGTCGTCGGTGGTATCCAACCGAAGTGGACCTTCGACAAGATCCTTGCGGACTTGCTTGAACATCACTACGTCACGCAAACCTTTGAACTTGCTTTCCACCCAGCTACGCTTGGCAACAGAAGCAGTAGCCATCTCGCGAACTCGTGGTGTTGGATCTCCTCTCCAAACACGGCAGACTTGATGGCGCAAGCCTGTGCTAGAATCAAGCGGTCGATGAATTCGAATGGATCTGACTCGAATGAGAACACACTGTTGGTGAATGGCATCAGAGCGGTCTCTTGGTGGATCTGACGGCAGACGGTAAGCATCTCGAGTTCGTAGCTGAAGCGTTTGCCGTGGTGATTGTAGCAGTCGTTGTGGCGGTTACTGTAGACGAGTGTCGAGACCGGCGGGTCTAAGTTCTTGATCGCCGTCGCAGCCTGGACATCGTCCTCATCGTGTATACATTCGTAACGTCTGTAGTCTGCGTTGCGGTTCCAGATGTGAATGGTATACCGTCCGAAGAGTGGCTGCCATATTCGATTGCGCAGCTCGGGTGGCAATGTGAAAAGTGGAGAATTTGTTGCGTTATGGATAAATCTGTGCTTGTGCGTTAGACTTGGGCTCGAGCTCGAGGCATGACACTCAGAATAACTTACTGTCGGCTCACTTCTTCGGGCACGATCTTGGAAGCAAGCAGGTCGTGTGCAGCGTTGGTTGTGGGACGCTCGGTCTGCTTACTTCTTGCCATGGTTGAATGTGGCGTACTTCTGATCACCAAAAGATGTGGAGAACCGTGTTGATGAACTTGTGATGCTGGCAGGTCAAGCTTTTGAGTGTTGAGTGAGCACATGAGCGAGACCTCTCACGTGACAGTGGGTGAAGTTCGCTCACTGTGACTGATCACACATGTCGACAGGTTGCCCAAGCCTCCGACGTTGACCGGTTCCCGTATTTTGACAGGAGTGAAGCGGTCATGCATGCCAGCAGGCCAGATTTTTACAATCGCAGTCATGGAGCACCGAAAGGTCCTGCAGCCTCATCGCATGACCGGTGGCCTCCCCTCCTTATTCCACTTCACTCGACTACAAATCCATTCCACGGCCTCCTTGACTCCAGTACCAGTAAGAGCACTCAAAGGCAATACGCGACTATCCCTCACACTAGCTCCCTTCTCGCCCTCAAACACCTTCCTGACCAGTCCTTCCTTGATCCGGACCACTTCGACGCAGTCCTCGCGATCCTGCTTGTTCGCTAGCACGAGTATAGGTACACCTTCCGTAGCTTCGTGCTGTAGAACGTCTTCGATAACGAGCTTGCATTCGCCGAGTCGGCCTTCGTCCTCTGCATCTTTCTTATCTGATGAGGCCAGACTCTCGAGGTCAGCGTCTCCGACGTCCGTACTGTCTATCACGAAGACGATAGCATGAGCACTGCTATAATAGCTCTGCCAGAGCCCTCGCAGGCTATGTTGACCGCCTACATCCCAGATCCGTAGATAGCAGTCCGGCAAATCGATCAAGCTGACATTCTGCCCGACGGTGGGCACGGTGTTGAGCTTGGGGTGGTGGTCTGGGCTGTATATGGCCTTGATCTGTTCTAGCAGTGTTGTCTTACCCGCGTTGTCCAGGCCGAGCAGCAGGATGGAGTATTCTTCTTTGCTCGTTGCATGCAAGTAGATGGACTTGAAGAGGTGATACATCCTCCTTGCAGCTCGTGAGAGCGATTGGAAGTGGTTTAGCACTGTATCATGGTTAGAGGTAGATTCACAGCTTTCGCGTCGCGTTTGAAGCTGAACAAATTATGTGAGCCTGAAAGTTAAGGCACAAGTCCCCGCTGCCAAGACCCGCCCGACCAATTTCGTGCGTTTGCACTTTGGACCATACCGCTGCGATTGTATCATCCACACACACAATCAAGATGGCACCCGCAGCAACAGGAGGCAAGAAGCAGAAGAAGAAGTGGTCCAAGGGAAAGGGTACGATATCCACCTCGAAAACACCAACCCAGAACACCTCTATCTCGCACACCTCCACCTACACCCACCTACCCATCGCACGAGACCTGCCAGCTGAGGGAATAGCATACTAATGATCTTCGTGAAACGCAGTGAAGGACAAGGCTGTCCACGCCGTCATCCTCGATAAGAACACCTCGGAGAAACTGAACAAAGACGTCCAATCCTACCGCCTGATCACCGTCGCCGTGCTGGTCGACAGACTGAAGATCAATGGCTCGCTTGCACGAAGAGCGCTGAATGATTTGGAGGAGAGGGGTGTGATCAAGAAGGTCGTTGCGCATAGTGCTGGCAACATCTACAGTGAGTTGGCCTTGATACGGGAGATTTGAGGCGTGCGTGACACACAGGCATACTGACGAGGTGATGTAGCACGCGCTGTTGGCGGTGGAGACTAGATACCTGGCCTGGCATGATGGTGGGGATGGTGCGATGCATTGCTTGACGGTGCTACCTCTACGTACATGGCGCATATCGGTGGAAAGGACTGCACGATGATGGTCTCTGACGGACGGCCTCGCCATGTTCTGCAGTAGGCTGTAGCTGCCAGCAAATACATCAAATCGTCAACACGACATTTCAAAGGGTTCGGTCGGAACCCACAAATTCGTAATGGCACCACGAGATGGAACAATTCATGGCATGCCTACATACTAACCCTCATCATCTCCCAACCATTTTCTTGAAATCCACAATCTCTGTGGCAGCACGTTTAACATCATCAGTGAACAGTGCATCCAGCTGCTTCGCCACGCTCTCCTGCAACGGCCCCTTACTCAATTGCGCATGGTTCTTCTCAATATAGGGCAACTTACTCGCGCCCAGAATCATCCCATCCTCATCACCTAGGATCGAATGAAACTTCAACCACCTCAAATTGAGCTCGTCCATCCCCAGGCCCGACTTCTCAGAGATAGCCCGAAGTTTAGCAACGGCCTCGTGTAAAGCTGGACGGTCGTAGAAGTTATTGTACATTCCTCCTTGTGTCGCGAAGCGAGAACCAGATTGATGACCCTCCGTCGTGAAATTGCCCAGGAGGAAGCCTCCACCCAAAGGCGAATACGCATTGAAGGCTATACCGTACTCCCTCAGTAGCGGGAAGAGAGTCTCCTCGTAGGAGCGGCAGAGGAGATTGTAGTGGCCCTCGTACACCGTAGGCTTGACATACCCTTCCTTGTCGCAGATATCGATGTACTCCTGCAGCATCTCAGGCATGAAATTCGAGACTCCCAAGTGCGTGAAACGGCCTCGACGGTACTGGTCATCGAAGGCTTCGGCTGTTTCGGAGAGGGGCGTGGCGTAGTCTGGTCTATGGCAGTATAGTACATTCACCTTCTCTAACCCCAGGACTTTGAGACTGTTGGTCAGACTGGTCTCAATAGCGGAAGATGTAAGTGTGCCATCGCCTGGGAACCAGAACTTGATTTTGGTGTCGATTGTGAAGTCCTTGGGAAAGCTGGCGGCTCCAATTATTTTCTCCGACTCGCCATCTTGGTAGCGGGCTGCTGTGTCGATCCGGTGAATGTCTAGACTCTGTAGAGTGGTGCGTAGGTCGTTGGCGTGCAGTTTGCCTATGTCGCCAAAGATTGTTGTCGGTGGCATGGTTGTTATCACTCTCCGTAATCGCGGATCGAGGTTGTAGGAAATGGCAGCAGTATGAGAGATAACTACCTGAGCTTGTAGTGGCCGGGTGGACTATATTTGTGAGACATGCACAATGGTACGCGTCGATCACAGCTGACTGGACAGTTTTACGTAGGGGATGCTGTGCGAGAGCGTTGCCACTTCCTGTCGAGCGCAACGCGAGGAGCTTTGATGCTCTCTTTCGCGATGTATGAGGATTAATCAGCATACTGCAGGTGTGCGGATGCAATGGCTCGTAAGGCCAAAGGCATCGTGTATCGCGATCGGAGAGCTTGCTACTACACGACAGCACCCTCTCGAATAATCCGTACAGCTACTTGCGCAGGTAGATTCTTCTACTCAAGAGACGGAAGGGGTTGTTTTGGATACTATCATCATCGGTGGTAGTCGTCTTATAGCAACGCATAGCGTGAAGTCGTGCTTTTGCCGCTCTCGGGCTCTAGACCTCATTCGTCGTGAAGATCAGTTCGGTCCAGCGGTGCACAAAGCTACTTTGCCTGCTTGGCTAGAGGTAGTGGTGATGTCCTTCATCTAGTAACCACACCGTCTTACTCAAGACATTCGAGACCATTCACGATGGTAATTCATCCATCTGATATGAGTTGTGGCTGAACACATCGTCGACTCTTGGACCGACTTTCCCTTCAGTACACATCATTAACGACGCTACCATGACCGCCACCATGGAGCGCATCCAGCATGAGATAGCGAAGACAGACCCCGACGTCCCCTTCCGCGCCTTGACAACCCACATCCACTACACCTGGGCCAAGACCTTCTCCAGCCGTCCAGAACTCTATATCAAACCCCAAACCCTCCAGGAAGTCCAAAAGGTTATCAACCTTGCGCGAAAATGCCGAAGGCGCATAGTAGTCGTAGGCTGTGGACACAGCCCCAGCATCCTCACCTGCACATCGTCCTGGATGGTCAACCTGGACGACTATAGTAAGGTGCTGAAAGTGGATAAGGCGAAGAAGACCTTGCTTGTGGAGGGAGGTATTAGGTTAAGGAAGTTGAACGAAGAGGCGAACAGACATGGTATGACTATGCCGAATCTGGGCAGTATTGACGAGCAGAGTATCGTGGGAGCCATCTCGACGGCGACGCATGGGAGCACGCTCAAGCATGGTCTGATGTCCGAGTCGGTGAAGAGTCTGAGGATCGTGCTAGCGAACGGGCAGGCTGTACGATGTTCGGCGGAGCAGAACCAGGAGCTGTTCAGAGCAGCGCTGGTCTCGTTGGGCGCATTGGGGATTATTGTGGAAGTGGAGTTCGAGATGACGGATGCGTGCAATATCGAGTGGACGCAGACGTTGGAGCCGTTGAGCAAGATCTTGAATACATGGGAGACGACGCTCTGGACACAGAAGGAGTTCACGAGGGTGTGGTGGATGCCGTACATGAAGCGTGCGATTGTTTGGTCGGCCGAGGAGACGGAAAAGCCTGAGCGTGCACCAGAGAGTAATTTCTACGGTGGCGCTCTTGGGTTTCATACGTATCACAACTTGCTGTGGTTGTCGAACTATATCCCGTCGATCCTGCCGTGGGTGGAGTGGTTCGTTTTTGGGATGCAGTATGGATGGCAGACCGGCGTTACGACTTCTGCGGTCGAGCCACTTCGGTCTGGACTGCTGATGAACTGTCTTTACTCACAGTTTGTGAACGAATGGGCTCTGGACTTGGCCAAAGGTCCGGAAGCTATCAATCGTCTCTCCGCTTGGATCAATCGTGAAGGCGACAACGGGCGAATACCGTTCGACAACGGAGGTCTGTACGTCCATTGCCCGATCGAGGTCCGCGTTTCGGATACCTCGAGACACGAGCCACGACCATTTCTTGACAATACTTATGCTCACGGGCCGACATTATACCTGAACGCCACGCTGTACCGTCCTTATCTCAAGGACCCTCCATGCCATTACAGGTACTATGAAGCTTTCGAATGGCTGATGCGAGAGCTAGATGCTAAACCGCATTATGCTAAAAACTTCCAATTTACAGGCAGCGAGTATATGACGAAGGCTTTTGGAGAGAATCTGCAAAAGTGGACACAGGTCAGAAACGAAGCTGATCCCGAGGGTATGTTCTTGGGCGAGTGGCATCGTCAAACGCTTGGTCTGGGAGAGGAGAAGGCTTTTGCCCTTAGCGAGCAAGAGAATGATAGGAAGCCGTTTAAACCTGGTAGCTGCATTCTCTGGTCTGGCTCACTCTCTTCGGCTCCCGCAACATCATCAATCGTGAATGAGAAGGAACCTGGTCCTACTCAGATGCGGGCTGCGCCCGATAGTCCTAGTGCTTCGAGCAGTGGCGAGAGCTTCGATATGATGCATGGTTCTGAGGCGGAAAAGAGTATCTTGTATAACGGTGACGAGGAAGACGATGACGGAGATGAGACAGATAGGGATGAGAAGAGGTATCACGGGCGTCCGACAAGTGGTTTAGATGGGACGAGACCATTTGATAAGATGTAGATGCTTCTACTTTAGATAGGGAGGTAGTGATGAATCTATGTGGTGATGTCAACGTACTCCATTCGCATAGCCTGCGTCGTACCCTCTTGGCAGAGAATAAGCCACGATGGCAACGTAACAGAGGTGATGGCGGAACGTGATCATATGATGAATCGTCAATACGCCATCAAGCTAGCGCCAAGGATAACGCGTCGACTTCATGCAGGGTTCAAGATGCCTCCAAAGCCTATTTGATTACTAGCTCCAGATCTACATGCTGTTCATGACGGAAGACATAAGTTTCATAGAACATTGTTCTTGTTGTATACCCAGGCACACACCGGTCACGCTGTAAGCATCATGAAGCGCTTCACAAGTCTCATTAGTCGATCGAGGAGTATGTACATTACGAGCTACGCTAGGCAGCATCGTTTATGAGCTCATATAGCTAACTCCAGCCTTGCACAGGCCACGACAAGACCACAACGACTCGCGAACTAGCCAACGTACCAGCAGATTCGCCCGAAGCAAACGCACCGCGTGCGATCCGATCGTTCTGCGAGTCTGGGGCCAACAGCAATGGCGGGGAGGAAGTGCTGCACCTGCCGGTGATAGTCGAGGCAGCAGAGTCCTCGCCTGCTGCGTCGGCTGCGTCGGCAAGAACGATCCAGGAATTGCTCGGCAAGCAATGGAGTACCAAGCCCCATGTCCAGTTCAATGCGATCATGGTCCTGCGCATCCTCAGCGACCACCCAGGCCCGAGCTTCACCAAACACTTTGACAAGTCGTTCGTCAGTGCGGTCAAGGAGCTGTTGCGCAATTGTCGGGATCAGAGTACGCAGCAGATACTGCGCGAGACGTTGGACAGTCTCGAAGTCAACAAAGCGCACGATGAGGGATTACAGCCACTCATACAGATGTGGAGGAAAGAGAAAGGCGGCACAGCGAGCTTGAACCACCAGAGAGGGATGAGAGCACCGCAAGCACAATATCAGCAGCCCTATGACCAAGCGGGAGGCGCATACCAGCAACAACAGCAGCATTACGGTCAACCAGCCTACACAAACGGCAGCCAACAATACGGCAACCCACAGCAATCTACCAGCCGCCGCCAACTCCCACCACCCTTCGAGCTAGCAAGTCGAGTCGAGGAAGCTAGGAACACCGCGAATATCCTCTTGCAGCTCATCCAATCTACCCCCCATTCCGAGATCCCTGCCAACGAATTGATCAAGGAGTTCAATGAGAGGTGTCAGAGTGCTTCGAAGAGCATGCAGAACTATATCAGTGCTGATAATCCGCCACCGGACGATAATACGTTGCAGACGCTTATTGAGACTAATGAGCAGTTGAGTCTGGCCAGTAGTCGATATCAAAGGGCGGTATTGGCTGCACGCAGGGCAGTGGGGACGGGACCTAGTCCTGGTGCAGAGAGTGCGCCGGGTGGAAACGGTGGATATATGGGTGCTTCTGCTCCAGAGTCGCAGCCGCAGAGCTTGTTCCAGTCCGCACCTACGCAGTCGCAAGACCATGCGTATCCGGTTGCTGGCTCCTTGTTCGGTCAGTCGCACTATCAAAACGTGTCGCAGACGAATGGCTACTCGTCGCCACCTGGTCCGCCCCCGGGCCAACTTCAAGCGCAGCAACGAGCTTCGCAGCAACCTTCGCCGAATGTCTCGCCACCAATGCAATACTCGCAGCCTGCTCAGCCTGCGAGGCAAGGTCCAAGGACAGTACCGTTCTCCGATCCTTTCGCGGATCCTTTTGAGCACGAGAACAACCCTGCTCCGTTAGCATTCGAGCCTACAAATTATGGCAGTCAACGTTACAGCAACGTGCCCCAGCATACACAACCTCGCCCGCACGAGGCCAACGGCCTTGGCAGACGTGGAACTCTGGACCTTGAGAACGCATACAGTCCCAACCCCTCCGAACGCAACTCCTCCATCCCCAGCACCGTCTCCGCCCTCTCACCTACAGTAGGAGCAGGCAATACATCACCCACCCAACGTCCAGGACCAGGCGCCTGGCACAACAGCACCATCACCCCCTCATTCCTCGGCAGACAAACAAGCGCCGCGGATGGATTGACCATGCATGGAGCACAGAGCGATGACAACGTGGCGGAACTTGATCATCACTCTCAAGTCGGGAGAAGGGAAAGAGAACCCACGTCGCCAACGAGCGCGAATCGTAGTGCCGGCGGGAACTCGTTTCAGGTCTCGTCGCCTGTGGATGGCAATACGCCCCTTACGGAGCGGAGAGTCGATGTTGCGGGGACGGGTGGGTTTAGGAATAGTTTTATTGCGAAGAAATAGACTGAGCTGGATATGTGGATGGAGAGCAGTCTCTTTTTCGGGAGATTTTACAGATTGGTTTTTGATTTTCCTAATTTGGGCCTTCGATACCCATTGTGCGACTGATATTTGACGTGGTTAGGTAGATAAAGCACTGGGTAGCTAGTACAGTGTTGGCCGACGTCCTTGCTTTCTCTCTTCGACTTCGTCTGCTCCGCGAAACCTTTTCCGTACATTCTTCCTACACTTTCGCGGCGTGATGCGGGGTCCGTCGAACAGCCACACTACCAAGCTGGACTTGGGGTACACGACAACATGTATCCTGCATACTTGATTATGTCGGCTTCGGGTAACGTGTGTTGCTAGTGTTCGTGTACGGTCATGCTGACCGCAGTCGTGCCGTGAGGGTATATGGTTTGTTCTATCAGACTCCACGACATCACCTCCATCACTGCAATCTTATCCAGCCATAGTTCATTCACCACATACTGAGGCTTGCGGTCCTTACTACTGACTGCCGTTCTTCTTCACGTTCATACCTTCCAGGAATTGGTACTGTAAAGGCTGGTTGATACAACCTCAGAGACTTAGGTTCTCCCACGAACGAAGAACTTGAAGACCATAGCCCTCAGACCTCACACGAGATCTCTGTTGGACCCTCCTATCAACACCATGAACGGCGCTACCAACGGCAACGGCGCCGCACATCTGCCCTCGAAGCAGAAAGCGGCGCAGTTCGACCCGAAGACCAAGTCGGTTCAGATCAATGACGTGCCCGTAAGTCACCGAAAAGCAAAGCAACGAAACGCTTCAAGAAGCAAAGCACGTTCGCTCACGGCGACGTGTCCCGTGGCGGCTCGACCGAGGAGAGAATGCTGACGTTAGCACTGGTTGAGATCCCAACCATCAAGTCAGACGAAATCCTAGTCAAGGTCCATGCCGCCTCGTTATGCCACAGCGATCTGATGCTGTTCGAGCCGAACGATCAGGGGCTGGTACTAGGCGAAGCTGGGCCGTTTACAATGGTGAGAGTACCGTCTCACGATACGGATTGCCATTCTGACTAATGCCCAGGGTCACGAAGCCTGCGGAACCGTTATAGAAACCGGCAGCGAAGTCAAGGGTTTCAAAGCTGGTCAGAAAGTCGGCTGGCTACCTATCGTTGACTGCTGCTTCGACTGCGAGGAGTGTCAGATTCACAATTTGTATTGTGAACGTGGGACTTCTAAAGTGCAGGGTATGACTGTTGATGGTGCGTTTATCGTCGACTTGACCCACCTTGTAGGTTCTTGTGCTGATAGGTTCTGTAGGCTACTTCCAGCAATATTGCGCAATTGCCTGGCGGAATGCCGTACATATTCCGGAGGATATGGATCTGGACTCTTGTGCTCCCCTGTAAGACTACAATTTTCTATTTGATGGTCAAAGACTGACGCTCTGTTTGAGATTTTGTGCCGGCTGTACTGCGTTCAATGCTGTCACGGACACGATAGCAGAGCTCAAAGGCGAGCCTGGATCAACATGGATTGCGGTTGTCGGTTGTGGCGGCCTAGGTATGCAGACCCTCGAGCGCAATTGCTATGATTGCTCATCAATATGTTCAGGTCATCTTGGCATACAGTACCTCAAAGCATCTGGATACAAGGTCATCGGTATTGACCTCTCGCCAGCAGCGCTCGAAGAGGCCAAATCCCTAGGAGCGGACCACGTTTTCAGCCCGAAAACCGATAGCGATTACGTCCAGCAAGTCCGCAAGATCACAGGCAAAGGCTGCCATGCCGCAATTAACTATACCAACTCTGTGCAAGCCTACACTTCTTCACCAGACTTGCTACGCATGAACGGTGTCCTCATGGTGACCGGCATACCGCAGAAGCCTTTACAATTCCAGGCTATGGATCTGTCGATGACGAGGATCAGAGTCCGAGGATCGAATAACGGGACTACGCCACGGTTGGAGAAGTGCATTGAATTCAGTCACAAGCATGGGATTAAGCCGCATGTCACGCAGTTCGAGCTGGACGACTTCTCGAAGATGGTGGAGATGATGGAGAGCGGGAAGGCTACCGGGAGGCTGGGTGTGCTCTTCAAGTAGAAGTGTGGTATGACATTTTCGTCAATCTAGGCTACGCAAATACGTATCCTACGGTCAATCCAATTTGGCGTGAGCTATCACACCCTCACCGTGCTCATTACATGCCCAAAGAACGTCGTGATTGAGTCTTCTTTCTCTGCGGTCCCTCTATCGTCCAGCAGCAGTGGCTGTGCTGCTGCCTCCACTCGTGCTCGAAGGTAGCGGTACGAAAGGCTCAGTATGAGTCGCAGACGCGATGCCTGGACTGCTATAGTTCGCCGTGAGTGCCTCACTCCCATCAGCCACCACCAAGTTGCCAAGGACTCTGCGGAAGAACTCCAGGCTGGCCGCGGGTTGATAGAAGGGCACCTCGTGCCCGCTCTCGTACATGCGTAGGAAGGAGAAGTTGCCGTACTGCCTGACTTCGCCATATTCTTGCCCGTCTACGATGTATGGAGCATAGTCGGCAGCGCGGAACTCCGTAGCATGGGTGTAGTTGATCTGAAGCGAGAGAGCTTCGCCTCCAAGCCAATTACATATATAATCTGCATCGCCGTAATAAAGTGCAACACGAACGCCGGCGTTGAGGAGGTTCTCGAGGTCCTGGATCAGACTACGATAGACGAAGTCACCTGTCGAGCTGAAACCTCTTCCGACCTGGCTAGAGGAGTCGGCAGTGTAGTTTAGGTTGACACCGAGGGCGTTTTGGACAGCTGCAGTGTTGAGGTAGTCGATGAAGTATGTGGGTGGTGTAGGATCGTCGTATGGATGGCGGATATCATAGACACCACGGCTACCATATTCGTAGTAAGGCTCCTCCACGAATCCACGACAAAAATTCGTCGCCGCAGCACAGACAGCCTTACCAGCAGCAGTGGATAGATCGACTGCTGCGCACTCCAGGACCTGGTCTCGGCAGCCACCTTCGATGTAGTAGGCGACTTTCATGAAGTTGTATATGGACTCGTTGACGAGCTGGATGCCATAGGTGTTGTATTGGGTGAACTCGGGATAGTATGGTGCTTGGATCAGCTCATCGATGATGCCGTTGCCAATACCAAGGGTATCCATGTAGAGACATGTGCCGTTGGCCGTACCATTCTCGATCATGTTGTTCTGCTCGGAGAAGTACTCGTAGAATGCAGGTCCGTAGTGGCCACCATAAGACTCAGTCCTGATCGCTGCTTGTCAGGATGGCAAATATGCACTCAGATCTGACAGATTTGAGTAGACTTACCATAGGTTGAACGTTTTGTTCTGTACGGTATTGTCGAGGGTATCAAGGTTGGCCAAGAAGCCCTGGAGAATACCCCAAGTCCCAATAGCTGACAGATAGGTCGTGTCATATCTGTAAGGATCCGTAGAGCTGATCCTGCCATTTGCATCGGCTGGATCGTCGGTCGCATTGGTGTATCTGCCCGTAGTTGAGTTGAAATCAACCAGTTCCTCTGTAGCGTATGAAAAGCCGACCCCGATAGGCTGACTCAAAAAGAGCATATTCGAGACATTTGACCACGAGAACGGGTTTAGCTCTGAGGTTAAATTTGCAGTTACGTTGCAAGGCCCTAGCTCCTGGAAGAGACCGATGAGAGAGTCTGACCCCGGGCCACCATTGAGCCAGAGTGTCTGCCATCTTTGGTTAGGGCCCTGAGATGCTCAAGATTCGGTGTCGCAAGGAACCTACGAGTGGTGCAGTGGCAGCATTCTCCCGAGCTTCGAAGAACCAGAAGAACACTGGACGACATAGTCAGCAACAGTGCTAAGGTTTAAAGATTGCTGGTGCATAGTTTCTTGCAACTTACTATTCGTTGTCTCGTTCAGAGAGATGTAGCCGGAGTACGAATTAACCTAGACAATATTCAACTTGTGTTTGTTGCTGTTATACGAGTGATCGTCATACGCCAGGCGTTGTTTCACACACGCCATCTTTGCCAGGCTGCTTATATCGAATGGTAGCACCATCTGGTGACGATATGGTTATCACTCCATTAGGCTCTGCAGGGACTTGTCTCTTCTCAGGGTATGCAATTGCCAGCTGCAACACCGCGAAAGCGATGATTTGGTCGAAGAATCGCATGGTGTGTAGCGAGTAGTTACCGGCACCAAAGGAAGTTGTGGAAAACGACACTAACGTACATCAATGAAGGAGGAGATACATGTAGTTCTGAAGCACGTATCAACCTAATGCCCGTGGATCGTCACATCGCATCATTTTACGCAAAGCGAGGGATGCTTATCACATTCCTTGGCAGCCTTGCCATGAGAGGCATCTGCTATGCAACGATAGCAAGCAGATTTCGAGATGCCTTGAGTGAGGTGTTCGACTAACGCAAGAGTGCGGCTCTCGGAGGAAGATTAATGCCATATTAGGAAGGTGACGTCCGTGCCAAGCGTGGAGTTGCAAGGCTTGCGGTCACTATCTGCGGAGACAGTTGCAACCATGAATGCCTACAGTACTGCTCGGTTGTCTGAGTAGCTGCGACTGGAGGCATTTATGTCGCCGTGCTACTTCGATCCTCAAGTGATAGTCTCTCTTTGCGGCCGTACTCTGCCATTGGTCAGATGTGCGTTGCACTAGTATTATATGTCCAGCGCTCACCTTTTGTCGTACAACGCCGTGTCTTGCCCCGAATGAATACATCTTTACCGATCGTGCACTATCAGGGCGAGCACGCAGGATACTTTGCAATTTGCGGGATGTTGTTGGTCCGCATTCCGGCTGCATGCGCTGTGCGGTCTGGTCGGATCACAGGTGAGAGTTCAAATGTCTCACCTCAGGTCTGGCTCCCGCATCCAGCTGGCCAACTTGAGATTGTTCGGTTCTGCTTGTTTCTGCAGGTGGCTATGAGGCCTCACTGGTAGATTTGAGGGTCGTCTCTTGCCACCGCTCAAGTCTGCCTGGTGCATTTCGTCCCTCGCAAATATCCGAACGCCACGTAGATGGGTGTCCTTGCCGTTCTGATGGTTCTCCAATATGCGGACTTGAACGAGAAAAGCACGTAGGACCGGCCGCTTGCTCCAATCAATGCTAGATCGGGCTTCTTCATCATCCTCATCATCATCGTCCTGCTCAATTGGACCAACGTTGCCAAAGTCAACATCATGCCAGCCATTTGGTTGCTCAAAGGTCATCTCGGCAAATTCCTGAATGTCGTGCACACCCATTCCTGCAAGAAATTGAATTTTAGTAGGTGTGTAAGACTCGTCGTTGTCGAAGTCAAGTAGGACCTGTATTGAAACCACTGAGACGAGTTTAAAGAAGTGTATGCTCAGGAGATGTGGTTGTGGTCCATCAGATTGCCAGAAATGAGCAGGGTCGGGCGATCTCAGTGCAGCAACCCCATTACCAGGTTTCGCCGTGCTAACAGTCCAGGAAGCTAGCGAAGAAATCTCTTTCAATCCTGGCGGTGGAAACACTTCTGGTCCTTCATCATCTATAGCATACGTAATCAGTATGTCTTCTTTGCTCCGGTAGATATGTGGTTACCCGGCACACCCTCCTCCACCTCATCATCGATCTCTCCGGCCTCATGCAGACTGTCTTGAGCAGGATCAAGTTCCATTAACGGACGCTGTACCGGGTGCGCGACATCGCTGTGATTCTCGCTCGATGCATCGCTCATGGCCGATCGCCTTCGCGTACGCATTGAGGTTGGCATTATTGCCCTACAAACACGTTCCAACTACCCTCGCGTGCAGATCATGGCGAGATAACCCCACTATCTTACGATCCAAGCTCAGTTAAGCCCAAGCATCAGACTCGAATATTGGACATGGAGATCGATTGTTGTTGCCGATATGACGAATCTCGTCAGCAAATTCCAACCACGCGAGCATAGCCAGGACCCCCCACAATTTTACAGGCCATCGAGTCAGGGCACGTCAGCTTCAGCTTGGCTGAAACAAAAGCACTCTGAAAGGCATTCTTCCGGCAGTGCCCAGACGTGCACACAAACTTTACGAGGGATCCCACGCCAGCCCATCTATGCATCCGCAGAAAAGCGACATACATCGCATCGCGAGCTGCTGGCGACCAAATGCCCATGATCGCTTCTGTAGTGATCCTGGTCTCAGATACCCAACCGAAGAGCCTAATCTTCGCACATGATCGTCAGGGCTTCTTCACCTTGCGCCAGGGTCTCAAAGAACCTGGCTGTTCTCCGCGAGCGTAGGGCTGCTGCGTCTGGCGTGGCTGAGAATGTACCCATGCAGGTCACTGACTCACTACTGGTGAGAGCAACCAAGTTTCGATGATCGTGGCAAGCTCAAGCACACCTGGGTATTGGGCGGCATTTGTCACCAGCATTCACCTTGCTCATCGTATTTCTTCCGACTACGTGCGTATCAGACATCGCCCAGGCTTGGCATGTTCCAGTGCAGCAAGATTCTTGAAACAGCCGCCATATCGACAATGAACTCCTCGGCGACCTGTCAAAAATGCAACTGAAGCGTGGCAGACAACCACGCTACTGCAATGGGTATCAGTGCCAGTGGTTCCGATGCCATGGTCCATAGCCTAGCACCTGCACCATCTTCCGTAGAGAAGTCTCGGTTGCAATCTACTGCCATGGCAGGCCTGTCAAACGAGGCTGATCTAGGTTGAACGCGGTAAGATGGTGATCGAATGGGTAGCCCTGCTGCGGCCCGATCTTCTTGCTGACAGCCGAGCAAAGTTCAACATAGACACTTTGCATGCGAGGACATCATCCGTGCAATTAGATTGACGAGAGGGGGAAGTACGACAGGTAGGTCGTCTCAAAACCTGCAGCCATTGACTCCATCGCTTCTGTCCATCAACTTTCTTTGCATCAGATCGACAATCAGCAACTCGGGGCGATCTTGATCTTTGCTATTTATCACGTCTCTTGCGACATCTCTAGACATTCGCTGCGTGTTTATCTAGACTCTACGTCGTCTCCCACAAGCCAACATAGACCGACCATCTACCGACTGGACCATAGCGCTATAGGAACACAAGATTCAAAGGAATTACCGACTCTGGACTCAATCTCATCAGCCCTCTTGTTCCGATATCCTCAGCAAGCCTCACTAGCTAGGGGCTGACTATGATAGCCAAATAACAGCATACGCACAACGAATAGGGCACCCCTTGCCGAACATGGAGTCGTCTATGGCCGCAGCAAGGCTTATACAGCTTGCGAACAGTCGAAGTAACTCTCTGATAGGAGTGAGCGCGGCGTTCCTGGGAATCTCGTGGATAACAGTCATGCTGCGATTCTGGGTTCGGCGAACAATGGTTCGAGCCGTTGGCGCGGACGACTGGGCTATGCTTGCAGCTACAATCGTGTTCACCGGATACTGTATCTCCATGTTCTTCGTCACCACCTACAATCCTGATCTGATGCTTGGCCTTCTATCATTAAAGAAGTCGAACGAGGCATTCAAGGTCCGTCGTACCTCACTTGTTGATGCTTTCAATTACTGACGTTGAACTAGTATGTTATGGCCGCTATGTCCCTATATGTTGCAACCACCGTGGTACTGAAAGTCGCACTCGGCCTCTTCTATCTTCGAATAATGCCAAAGCGGTGGCAACGTAACACGATTTACGCCACCGTTGCATTCGCTGTCATTTACGGGTTCTTCTTCTTCTTCTTCACAATCTTCCAATGCGGACTTCCTACGGATTTCCTGCTAAAAGAGCTTGAGGGACAGTGTGTTTCGAAGGCTGTCTTGTGGCCCGTACTCTTCACGGCAAGCCTGATCAATGCAATCAGCGATTGGACGCTTGCTGTACTACCCATCCTTGTCCTAGCCAAGAGTAAGATGGTATTGCCAGCCAAGATCAGTGCTGGCTGCCTGATCTCCCTTGGAGCGCTCGGAAGCATCTGCTCCGTGGTCAGGCTGGTGTTCATATCTGGTTTTATGCCCGGACCGCACTTCTTCTGGACATCAGTCACACTTTCCATCTGGTCCATCCTCGAATGTGGGCTATGCATTAGCGCAGCGTCGTTGGCCACCCTACGACCAATGTTCAGGTGCTGCATCGAGAACGCTCGTACATGTACACCATCTCGTCGACAGCGTGGCAAAAGCTCGGCAGGAATGTCGGGAGGCGAACGCAGTGGTTCATTCCTTCCACTCTCTGACATAGAGAGTCCAAATAGCATTACTGTGACAAAGAGCTTCGACATTGAGGACGCCGACGACCACACCATCGACACTGTCATGAGCAACGCTCGAGCCATGGAGAAAATGGGCGTTTCTGAAGAAACGATTAGGAAATTGAGCCTGCAGAGATCAAAGTCGAATCCCAAACGCTATATCACGGCCTGAAGAAACATGAGTGGACGGCAACGGAATGCCTAAGGCGGGCGGCAAGCATGTCTGTATGCGCAGAAAAGGATGATAGTCCTGGGAAATATGGTCTACCTTCGAGTGTAAACCATGAGGAATACACCGCGAAACGACTGGACACTTCAATGGAAGCCTCAGTGGTCAGCCAACACAAGCGTCGGTCACTCGACCACGATAGTATTCCTTAGCAACGGTGTCACTACCAGATCGGGATCAGGACATCAGAGCAACGCGGCTCTACGCGCACCGTTGCCAAACTTTTGAGTGATGAACCAGGTGGCACCACTCAGCCCTTGAACTATATCTTTACGTGTGTACATACTGTATATCTCCGACATAGTCACGAACTCTGACTGCGAATGCCCGTTATATTGACCTCATGACACTACACAGTGTTTGAGTCTTGTCAGACAGAAGACCGTCTTCCAGATCAGGACCCTTTTGTTTCAAGAAGCCCAGCCACTTATCAACGGATGTTTCAAGGACGAAACAGGCCAGCTCAGCTTGCAGACATAGGCCGATGAGAGGGGTAGAGGACCTCGCTCTCGAGAAGAGCTTACAATCGAGCCCTTCGCCAGTGCGTTCATATTACTTTCGCTGCGATCGACGTCATCAAGCAAAGATGACATTTGGTTAAAACATCTAGGGCGAACATGGGGCGCGCAGCGCTCATGTAGGGCCCAAAGACATCATGACCAGGCGAAGGATTAGTAGATTAGATATAATTCGATGTTCTCTTGGAGATGATCATGCAATTGACCCGGGTTGTGTCATGCTAGGATTGCGCTAGCTGGGTGCATACGGATCTTCGTGCTCGCGATATCGAGTGCTTCATGCCCACTCGGGTACTCCGAACACGATCCATACCACTGATTCATGCGTGGTATGATATTATTCATCCTGTAGGTGCTAGAGTCGTCTGTAGCCAACCATAGATGCCGTGAGAGCAGCAAAGCATACGTTGATGTACCAAAGACTATCCAACGAAGCGTTATTTCGAAAGCCAAGAAAGGAGTGCACATGCAACGAATGAAGCTGCGTTCTCTCCATCTGGAAATCGCACGGCGATGCCATTTGCTTGGTACATGCGGATTTCGAGAGAAATACACCAACGAGAAGATTAGAGTGCAGACCTTGCAGTAGTCTCGCTAAGGATCTTGATTGATCGACACTCGGGCGCCGAAGCTTTCTCGGCCTCCACGGCAATTGCTCAAGTACTTCGGTACAGACTGCTTCTGCGGCTTCTGCTTGGTTGCTCGGTATCGCGGTGATCAGCGAAGGGCATGCGGGTGAGGAAGTGTTACAGTATCATCATGCCGGGGTAGTGCATGATTTGGAAACTGGATGGCATTATTGTACGTCGCACTATACAGCAGTCGACCTCGTCCCCATTGACGTTCGAGGACCGCAGAAAATATCGTCATCTTGTAGGACTCCTCGCTGGACAACTTGGCTTGGACGGTACGGTCATGCTCGTGGCGTGGCTCGCCCACAGCACTACACGATGCACCCTAGTCACCTCAAATAGAATAACCTCCACATTGTGCGTTGTCGGGAGATTTGTCTTTGGCGGCATGAGGCGGGCACTAGCTCTAACAAGATCTCGTGGGTGGACCGCTATATGCCCGAGACTCGACTCGACCCCTTCGCAAGGTTTGCCGCGTGAGATCTGTACTTGATCCTTCGGAGGAGTCTCCCAGTTCTTCGGCACACGGCCCCACCGTACTTGATCGCGATACACGCACTCCATGTCGTGCGCAACTCTCGATGCGTGGAAAGGACTAGAGAACATCTTGATGAGATTCTGATCACCTCGGCACCAGCAAACGATTACGCTCATCTGACACAGCGAGACTTTGTCGCGAAATTATTGAGCCAACGGTCATGTCTCAAAGAATGCTGGTCGTCCCAGGCTAGCTCCCTATCCGGCTCGATCTCGCCGACGACCTGCGCTTGTGCGACTGCCCCTAGCTGCATCTGCAGGTCACCATTCTGCTGTACAGTACGTGGACCCCTCGCCAGAATCGTTCGCACCCGATTCCTGACATTTCCATACCGGAGAGCACTGGTGTCTTGTTCGCATCTTGCGACCCTATCGCCCACTCATCCGTTAGCCGCGTCTGTACTGAACTCTGAAGTACACCTAATAGTTTGACTTTCGTCTTCTCGTTAGCGTATCGTTCATCCGTCGTTGGTCCCAGGCGCAAGTTACCGTATCCGCTACAACGCAACGTACGGAGTACATGATCCTCCTCCACCCATTTCTTTTCCTGGGCCTGCAAGACCTCTTCGACTAGCCCTGCGTCCCGTTTCCTCCGGCCAACAATTGTTCCAGATTACCAATAGTCTGTCCCACGACACCTCTCGTACATTGCCGAAAGCCAAACCATTGAACCTATCGGCTGAAGGACATCGAGGAACTGTACAAGTTCAAGCTATCATAAGGAGTATGCACGTGTGAGACTCACCGTTGAACCTTTCTCTAGAGGTTGCCGCCCACCATACTGTTGCCAACGACCCATGACGACCACGGTTGTCACACGCGAGAAGAGGGATAGCAGAGCCGACCTTCCATCTGCGAATGCTTGGAAGAGGGCATCTATAACAACGAACGAACCATATACAGACCTCTTCTCGAAAGGCGCCATCAGCGAGATCATGGCGGTGGCAGCTCGACCGTCGCGTGACAGGACGTCAATGGGGCAGTACGAAGCTAGCAAGCACAAATCTATTCATCAGGATGGCCAGTTCAGGTACAAGGAAGGTGCTGAGGCTGGTAACAACAGAGAGCGGATGCAGAAAGAGAGCCCAGTGATAGCGGAGCTCAGGACAAATGTGATTGTAAGTGCTACAGCATACACTGTGACTGTCTCGGTGTCAGGCAGGCTAATCTCCCGACAGATCAAAGACGAATTCACACTCGTTACAGATCTTAGCTACCACTTGGCCCAACGATATCTGAAACCCGACAGCAGCATCATGATCAAAGTCGATCATAGTGCATGCTTAGCATTGGGAGGCACTTTCGACCCTTGCTACATCCTCACCATCACGACCCTACCTTCAGAAATGGGCCCGACGCTCAACAAGCGCAATGCATCGCTCATACAAGCATTCATGGCAGATATTTTGAGCGTGTCTCCAGATCGTGGCATTGTGAAATTTCAGCCAATAGAGGAGGCCAACTACGCCATGAACGGAACGACAATGCTAGGACAGCTGGAGAAGCTAGAACGAAAGCAGGAAGAAGCAGAGCCTGGTGCGGCGCGACGCTCAAGTCGCAAGAGCATAACTTCCCCATACACAAGAGTTCACAGTGCCAAGGCTGACAACGACGCCAAAACGCTCTCCGCGCTCAATGGTACTCCTAACGGCAGCACACCCATCGAGAAAAAGCGGCGGAGCAATTCTGCCACACCACCAACAGGAACGTCGACACCAATGGTTTTCGAGCTCTCCGGCACCGATACAGAACGACCATCTACGTCGCACGGCGAGTCTTTTACTGCAGCGAACGGTCTGCGCATGAATGGCATCTCAACAGAAGACCTTTCAGCTTCCAAACCCTTCGGTGAACGTCCAAGAACAATCGCAGGACAAAGTCCGCACGGCTCATCTCGCGATCTCAGCAGGACCGAACCCATGCCAAACTCCAAGCGACAATCGTCATACCAGACACAATCAAAGCGCAACTCCATGATCCCAGAGGAGCCGAAGAAAACCAACGTACCTATTTCTCCTCGCCCTAAATCCGAGCACAGACCATCCACGGGCCCGATCTTGAAAACAGACATCTCGCGGCCCACCCCCATCACCTCTGCAAAACCCAACGACACTTACCTTGACGGCGTGTCTACACTCGGCAAATCGACCGCATCAGCACCGAACAAGATCGATCCCAAGATCGACGCACGGGCAGCTGAGAAGAATAGGGACGTTGATACGAAAGATACGGCCGCGAATACCGCCAAGCGAAGGAGTGTCGTGACTGCTACGCCGAAAATGCCTGCGCCGCCGCCTATTCCGGAAGACAAGAGGAGACTTGACCCGAAGGTTGGGAAGAGGAAGAGCTTCTTATCGGCATTCAGGCGGAGCTAAAGAGTAGCCTTGACTTTTTAATGTGGATGTTGTTATGCTCGCATTTCAATGCGGGCACTGGTGACCAAGGACGACATCTCCCAACCAGATGGGGGAATCTGTTGGAAATGGTCAGGAGCTACGTGAGCCAATTTGTTATGGAGGCTGATCGAGGGCTGGGAGGCCGTAATCTTGTGCCATGATACCCTTCTTATTCGAACGACAGGTGCTAGTAATCCAGTGTAAAGAAATGAGAGAGCAGCAATGTTGGTGTCCAAATCATGATCCTTTGCATTGCCACGACTAGTACGGAGTCTGCTCCCGTCATCATGCAAGACGAAGATCGTTGCATGTGACAGGGCACAAGTCCGGTTGTAGATGACTATAGGACTATATGAACTGCTCCACCCAGTGGATATTACAGCATAGGATCTGGACACATTCAAGCTGTCGGCTCTGCCTCACCTGGTTGACCACCTCGATGCCCATTGATATCAAAGTGTGATAAGCACGAAGTGGTCGACGACAAATGCCGTCGGCGTGTCATCGGCCTTGAAAGTGATGCCGAGGTTGTGAACTTCCGGTGCACGTTCTGGTGCGTGAGCCGCCGGACGTAAGACCAGGCGACAGACAGGTGAACACCACGCGATAGGAAATTGTGCTGTTCTTGATCCACCCTCGAGTTATTCGTCTTCTTCCACAGCCCTGCTTTCTCCTCTCCGACCGGCATCATGCCAAACCATCCAACCCTCATCAAGCCTCCTCCCCCTAACGATGACAAGAGTCCAATCGAGGATGTCCTGGAGCTCACACATCTGGAAGACATAGATCCGAATCTATTTACCAACACCCGACCGTTATGGCACCCTCCAGGCGCTCGAGGCATATACGGAGGTGCGGTGATTGCACAATGTCTAGCCGCGGCGCAAAGAACTGTACCTGAGAACTTCAGCGCACATAGTATGCACTGCTACTTCGTACTTAACGGCAATGCAGAAATACCAATCATATATCACGTCGAGCATGTACGGGAAGGCAGAAGTTTCGCGACTCGAACAGTACAAGCTCGACAACGTGGTCAGCCGATCTTCACGACGACGCTGAGCTTTACTAGAGAAGGCAGCGGAGGGAAGAAGCAGGTACAGCATGCGGCTCATATGCCAGCCGGTATATCGCCGCCAGCAGAAGAGGGTCCAGGTCTCGATATGCTTAGGGGACCCAGCAGTCCCTTTCTAAGTCAACGGATAGAGACCTTGAACAACGACTCACCGCGCCCACATGAGAAGAGAACAAGACAATGGATCAAAGCGCGAGGACGAATCAGCGACGATGGCGGTCATCAAGCTCATCTTTCGGCGCTGGCATACATGAGCGACTCGTACTTCATCGGCACCGTCTCGCGCGTCCACAAACTATTCCGGTACAGCACTAAGTCAGCCAGTGCCTCGAAGAGGGAAGGCGAAAGCGGACAGAGCGGCATGGCTCCGGACATGGTTGAGAGACTACAGAAACTCGACAACAACGCTCTCCGACGGATAGAGGGTATGGACGAGGATATTATCGAAGAACTTCGGAACGCCAAAATCATTGACGGAAAGGTGATATGGAAAGTCAAGAACGAGCAGCGGCCTGAGATCGGCATGATGGTAAGTCTGGACCATACGATCTACTTTCATGATCCAAAGGGTTTTAGGGCGGATGAGTGGATGTTCACGGAGTGCGATTCGCCTTGGAGTGGAGATGGGAGGGGTCTGGTGCACCAGAGGATGTATACGGGGGAGGGGAAACTGATTGCTACCTGTGTGCAGGAGGGTGTGGTGAGGCTGAAGCAGGATCAGGCCAAGCTGTAGGATGTCATAGGTAGTGCTGCTCATTGGGTAAAGGGGTAGAGGTGAGCGTATGGCAACCGCTCTGCCTCGTGGCCAGCAACACACTCGGGTGAGGAATTTATTTGAATAGACGGACGATAGATATCTTGAATTGCTGTATACCCTATCTCTAATTCACAACAATTCGTTCCGTAATCGTGGTGGCGGCCTCACACGACCCAGGACGTTTGCGCAGTATCGCTTTTGACGCATTCAGGCAACGTTAGACTTATCCTTTGCACGTTCAGCACGACTCGGCGGTTTCCAAGGTATCATACAACAATGTTGTAGACTGGTGTTCGTGATAGAATCGTAGGATTGCGCAATACTACAGTGCTCGCACTCTACAAACTGCTCATATGCGACTTTGCGCTCGTAGTCTCCTCTTGTATGTCAATTTCCACCCTTCTACTAATGGTATTGCCCAAGATCTCGCGCTCGCTCTCGCCACTGCCCCTCGTGTTGAGGTTACTGCCGACATAGTTCTTAACCGTGTTCGACTGGTTGCCCCAACCTGCCCAATCACGCGGATGAACTGATTTCTTCCCGCCGCTGGAGCTTTGGCCCGTCTGTCCTACTTGGCTGCCCTGATTGTTACTCAGTGCTCCTCTGTTCCCGGAGTTTGAGCCTCCACCGCCTGAGAAACCGTAGGTTCTGGACCGTGGGTCTTCTGTATAGGCCATGCCGCCAAAGCTGAATTTGCCGAGGGCTTTGCTCATGGAGATGGAGGTTGTGGCTGTTAGGCTGAAGAGGATGGCGACGAGCTCGCAATAGAAGGTTGAGGAGTAGGGCCATGCTTCGGTATGAATCATGAAGTGGATGTCGAGGTATGCGATGAGTGCGCCGACGATTCTGTCGACGTGTTAGTAGTGTCGAACCAAGTGATTGGCAAATATAACACTGACAAGAAGCGCAAAAAGAACGGCACGACTGGCCACGGTCGACTGTTCGTCATTCCGCCCGCCTTAGCTCGCCAGAGCTGCTGACGATAGACGAAAATGGGCCAGTAGACCGAGGTTATGACTTCCAATACCATGAGGACAATTATGGGAGCCAGTAGGCGTTTGGGCTGTCTGCTTGTCAGTCTATCCTCATCGCGCAGTCGCAGAACACATACCGAGGATGCGCAATAGCTTCGTAGTTGCAGATGTATGCTCAGAGGTCTGCAGCCGATTAACGGTAGCGTAGCCAGGAGAAGGCCAATAATGCTGACTGCGACAGGAGCAATGTAGATGAGAAGCTGTTTCGGAAGGCGTCTGACGAGTAAGACTGTGCAGAGTACAGACGCATAGCTGAGGTAGAGCGTAAGTATGAAGATGACCTGGCATCCCTCGTTCAGCTACAGAGTTCAAGTATCAGCGTCCAAGTGGATGACCAGTATGACACTTGGTAGCGTACGCTTGCAACTGAGCGCCTCTGGCCTTCTGTAAGGTCGTTCTGGTGGCCATCGGTGAGTTCGCTGACCGTCGATAATCGAGTGCCTATGTATATGAAGCCGAACACCTATTGGACCACGAGTCAGACGTCGCGCTTAATCGCGAGCCAGATCCCACGTACGTGTGCTGCAAGCCAGAAAGCATCTGAGGTGAGGATAGCGCTACTAGGCATTCCTTCTCGAGCGACTCTCTTGTAGGTGAGCCATAGCTTCAGACTCAGGGTGATCAACAGTATCGATATGACAGTCACAGCGAGCGCAACAACCAGGCCTTCGTCGCCCTCCAGTAGTCTGACGTAGTCGTCCGGTGAGCCCGTCACATTCAATGGCGTAGACATGTTGTTCGTAGGTTAGTGGTATGGAGTTGCCAGGAGGACGTCGGTGCCAGCCGGGAGCATTGGAGTGCGGTTATGCCACTGCCATAATACTGTTGAGATGCGAATCACTCTACTGGGACCCTGATGGCAGCGTAAGCCCCTCGAAGGAGGATCTGGTACGCTGCCAAAGGAACTCTGTTCGTGCTTGGCTGATTTACCGGAACGCCAGCTTTTCCTTCCACCCAGGCAATTCGTGTACTTGCAGGGAGTTTGGAATCCTGGCAGTGAAATCTGCTCAGGGTCGTGTTCGGCATGGTGCTAGATTGCGATAAGGTGGTGCGGCCCAGGGTAAGCGGAGTCTCACGGAGGCTTTGCCCCGAAGTAGAAGGCAAGCTCTATTAGAGTTCCTGAGTAAGCTAGGATAGCGCAGGCCATCTCGTGGTCCGCCATGCGGTGCGGCGAGCCGTGCGAACCAGTGACAAGCTAGTTGTGGACGCCAAGGAGGTGGAGATAGGAACAAGCTCTGGCTGTAGAAGCGAGGCGCCACGTTCCACCGCGCTGGGATATCTGCTGCAATGACAGCCTTTGTTGCCAACTCATCGGTACTGTGCGACACTTGCCGGGCCGCTTGAGCATGCACGAGCGAGATGTACATGTCGGCAACACGAACAGCTGCACGATCATTGCTGAATTGTAATATCGCCTTGGTAGCGTCAAGCCACCAAGCAGACTACCAAACTTCAATAGAGTGTCGACTGGGGATGTGGACCAACGATAAGATGATTATGAACTCTCGAAGCTAGCCTGGCCGCTTCATGCTTGTCGTGACTTCCCGTGGCGCTGCGCTCCGTTCTAGCTACTTTCTATCAACGCAGCCAAGATCACCCTGCAGATCGACAACACGATGCACTACCACCTGGTCACCACGTTGAGGGACGGCTGATCGGCACCTTTGCAACTGCACCCGCCCGCAGCTCTCTGGCTCTTGAACCATGGATCATTTCTAGCACATGTCCTGCGTCCTGTTGACATCCTCACTCGTTTGGTGCATTCTTATTCATCATAGAGATCATGCCTGGGCTATCATCTTGGACGGGTCGCGAGCGACGAAACACCAGCGACCATGGCGTTAACAAGGGCACTGCGTATGACAAGAGGGAAATGTCATTGATGAACAAGCTGCAAGTGTTCAGTGTATGCATGCCGACTGTGCGAGTCGAAAAACTCTAGCTGACACGGCAGCAGCGTGAATTCGGAACAACTGCATTGCTTTGCTTCGGTCTCATTACCAACTCATCATGGCCATATGCATTCTTGTAAGCAAAACAGATTCGTGTCAGGTCATGTCAGGACTAACAACAATTGCGCAGCAACATGGGTCTACCTCTGAACAACGGCGGACCAGCTGGCATGGTATGTTGCGATCATCCATCGACCACGATCACAGCCTGACACTGACCATGTAAAGCTCTGGATGACAATTTTGGCTGCCATTGGTATCTTCATGTGTGATCTGTCGCTTGCGGAAATGGCCTCCATGTCGCCCAGCTCCGCCGGACCATATCAATGGACCGCTGAGCTAGCACCATTGTCCATGCAGAAAGTGCTGAGCTTCGTAGTCGGTAAGGTCGTGCTGCGTGTAGATGTACCGCATTTTTGACTGACAATACCATGACAGGCTACTACGATGTCCTTGGCTGGCAAGCAGCTCTTGCTTTTTCGGCTTTCCTGATCGCGTCCAACATCCAAGGACTGCTGTTTCTCTTCCGACCAAGCTATGTGCCTCACAGCTGGCATATCACCCTGCTTATGATTGCATCAGCACTGGTCACCATCATTGTCAACTACCGATCGACGCGCATCCTTCGACACGCATCCTGGCTGATGGGTGTACTCTTCATTGCACTTTGGCTGTACATCTGCATCACCTTGGCTGTCATGGCACCGCACCCAAACACTCGCGCGCTCACATCCAGCATAGCACTCGACTTCCAAGACCCAAGCGGCTGGGGATCGAATTTCGCAGTCCTTGTTGGTATCCTGGGCCCGATCTCGACATTCGTGGGTGGTGATGTTTCCTGCCACATGTCGGAGGAGACAAAAGACGCTTCAGTATCTGTTCCAAGAGCCATCTACCGATCAGCGGCCATCGGCTACACTATGACAATCCTGACGACCATCCTGATAATATACAGCCTGGGTCCTGATATCAGCGCCATCTTGTCTTCCCCGTCCGGACAACCATACCAGCAAGTGCTGTACAACGCGACCAAGCGAGAGGATATGACGGTCATCATGGTCACATTTATGTTGCTCCTGATCTTCTTCAGCCAGGTCACGACCACTACGGCTTCATCCAGGCAGATGTTTACCTTTGCTCGTGATGGTGGTCTGCCCCTCCACAGCTTCTTGTCCAAGGTATGAATCTTTCTGACCACGAATGGAGTGTTCGACTAATGCAAGACAGGTCACAACCACGACTCACATCCCACGAAACTCAGTCTTCGTCACCTTCATCATCGTATCGCTCCTATCACTCATCCCACTCGGCTCAGTCATCGCCTTCAACATCATCACCTCCCTCTCCTCGATCGCCATCTTCTCATCATACTGGATCTCCATCGCCTGCCGCCTCTCAAATCGCTTCTCAGTAAACCGCATTGCCGAACCACGCTGGAATCTAGGAGTAGCCGGGATTGCGGTCAACATCTTCGCTTTGCTGTTCTTGACCCTCGGCATAATCATGATTTGCTTCCCATCGGCGCCAAACCCCAACCCAACGAGCTTCAATTGGACGGTGGTGATTTGGGGTGGTGTGTCGATTTTTGCGCTTATCTATTACTTTGCGTATGGACGTCGACATTATGCTTCGCCAAGGAGCAGGGTTACACAGTTTGGCCAGGAGGGAGATCTGGATATGCAGGAGTTTGAGAGCGAGCAGATGCGGAAGGAGGGGGACGTTCGGATAATGGCGGACGAGCCGTAGATGAGTCGGTAATTTGGATAATGTGGTGTATTCAGGCCTTCCGAGTGCACATTGTCCCGTGCGCAAGGACTCTTGATTCAGAGAATGTGGATCTCCATACCCTCACATGAGATAGCGGCAGGTGATTCAGAATAGGAGCAGCAAAGCTGTCATCATCTACCAAGGACACCTTTTACCACTAGCGCACAGCTGACAATGCGCAACAGTACCAGTAATAGTCGTTCGGTGCTCTGCATCCAGCTTACCCAGAAATCGTGCCACAGGTCGCAAAGACTGTCGCGCGGTCTCAACGATCACCTCATCTATCTCGTCGCTAACGGCACCAATCTCTACATCTCCATCAGCGAGTACAAAGTCCAGCTTGATCGGCTGCGCATCTGGTCGCTGCGTGAAAGCTTGTACCCTGGGATGCGTAGTCGCGCCTTTGGGTAGCGATGCTGTAGGCGGATTGAGATGGCATTCCAGTACTCGATGAGGCACCTCTACTCGCTGCACGCACAAGGCCATACCGCTAAGGTCGTCGAGCCAGTCGCCAATGTTGACGGTTTTGGGAAGGACGAAAGTATTGCGAGAGTAGTATAGTTTCTGGCTCTCGCGGAGTGTCTGCCGGCAGACATGGACCAGAGAACGGTAGCGCTGTCTGACGTACCACGCTCGTTGGATGCGTAATGGTATGGGCTCTTCGGCCATCAAGATCAATTCGTATATCTTGTTGCGTACCTCTGGTGGAAGTCCTAAGAAGGATGGCAAGGCTGCGTCCACGGCTGAAGCTATTGAAAGCTTGGTGGCGGCGAATTGGACGAGCAGTCCTTCGTTCTCATCCATCATCGCTCCCGTATTTTATGTCCACACTATCCAATAGTGATTCGCAAATTATATCAATGCTTCAAGACTTATTAACGTCGGGGTATCACTTGTCGTGAGTGAACGGCTGCGCCACAAGGGCAGCATCAGGCGACCAATTACTGGACATCACATGATGACCTTCCATCAAGCAGCATCCACGTTAGGCTTTGGGAGCTGTTGACGGAGCCATCACCATCACCGCCCGCCCCAGCTCCGACAGCTAGACGATGATGGGGGTCCTACAGGCGCGATGCTACGAGATGCCGTTGTTTTCTGGTCCACCTCGGCCTTGGCGACACATCTAGCAGTGGAGCCATGGATGTCTGACAAATGCAAGCCACCAACCTATGGTTTGGATCGAATGGATTCCTTCGACATGGCCTTCTCCTCAAGAGCTTGCAGACAGAATCAAACATGAGCGAACAAGTGATCTTGTATGATCTGGCCAATCGAAACGGTATTTCGTGGAGTCCGAATGTGTTTAAGGGCAGGTCAGGACAAGAGGCCGACTGTACATACTGCAGCTGACAGCAGAAAGCACGGCTTGCGTTGAATTACAAACAAGTCCCGTATAAGACCGAATGGCTTGAGTATCCAGACATCGAGCCAAAATTCAAGGCACTGTAAGTATCCCAATCCTGTCGAAGACCATGCACATGCTGAGGTGGCAATGCAGCGGCATCAAACCGAACAAGCCAGGTTCTTTCGCCAATTACTCTTGTCCGACTTTGCGCTTCAGCGATAGCAGCTATGTGATGGGCTCAGAAGTCCTTGTGGACAGACTCGAGCAGACATACCCAGAGCCATCTATGCACCTTAACTCGAACGTCCACAAACTGGCCGAAGACATCTGCGATCGCATCATGGCCAATGCCGCGCCGGACTTCATGGTACTGGTGGTAGACAACTGGCTGCAGGAGCCGTCAAAGTCATGGTTCGCCAAAGATCGGATACGCCGTCTTGGCATGACAGTCCAAGAATGCCGTCAAAAAGCTGGTGGTGAAGTTGCACGACCCAAGATCGAAGAAGTCAGCGCAGAACTCAGGGACCTCCTCTCGAAGCACAAAACGGACGAAGGTCCATTTATCCTAGGTAGCGCTGTCAGCTATGGTGATTTCGTGGTGGGAGGGCTGTTCGAAGGACTAAAAAGAATGGATCCTGAGCATTATCAGACTTTCATCGACTACGATCAGAGCTTCAGGAAGCTGCACGAAGCTATGAAGCCATGGGTCCAGAGGGACAACTAGTGTAGTACAAACACGTGACCAGCAACGGTGCCTTCCACTTTCGATGCTTGGCACAATTTTCAAACCCTGAAGGTCTAGTGCCAGCTTACTTGGGTCTCGAAAGCGTTTAGTGCCTGTTTGAGATTGCACACAAATACATATAGTTTGCAGCTGGCAGTGGGCATTCCTGTCCTCCTTGCAACATCGCCATAACAACCACACCGTCAGTTGCGCACACTGTAGGGGCCTCAGGCTTGAGCTGAGCATGGCAGATCAACGTGCGGCCCATAGCTCGCAGCGTCCTGATGACTTGACGTTGCTGCTGCGAGCCTTGGGCCTTTGTCCGAGCGTCAACAACCAAGGTAGCACTGTCAAGCAAACAGTTTACGATCAAACAGCGATCCATGCTGACGTTCTACACAGCTTCCGCAGTATCGCTAGCTCCTATCGATGTCGGCAAGCCAGCTCCGTACGAGTTGCCCTCCAGCAAGACGACACGAATGAATGTGGGCTCTCCAAGCTCCTGACTGTTGCTGTTGGACGAGCGAAGCTAGATACAGCTGACCTCGTAGCCGTCGCGCCGGGTCGGCTGGGCCATCATTGGGTCGAAATGATAGAACGCTTCTGCTATCAGGTCGAAGATGAACAAGTCCCGTTCGCCCGACAGCTTGGCGAAGTCTCCCGCAGTTTTAGCGAGGGCTGCGCAGTCAACGACAGCGAAGTCGTCGACATCAAGGCCATCAGAGAGTGGGCCGACTTAGGTAACGAGCCTGCAAAGGCATGCTCTGGGAAGGTGCTCCTCATCGCTGAGGAGGAGAACCTTGTGGTGCTTGAGCAAGAAATCGGAAAAAGGTTCCGCAACATGTGACTTCGACTCCCAGCAAGCATGGCATCGCAACCACTGATCCATTAATAGGCAATACCTGGTCAGACTGGTCGACATTGCTGATCTCTACCATGCAGCACAGCCATCGCCTACTCCAGCGGCTACGACTGACGACGTATGTAAGCTTACACTAGGTCATGATGCTGGCCTACAGGTAACAGATCGAGCGAGCCACATCCTTCAGGCCGCCAGGGCAATCGTGGTGGGACATGCTGCAAGATCGCAGCCCACTTCTCCAACCTTATCGCCTTCCGATCGATCAAGTTCGAGCAATCACAGCCAGCGCGCAGCGTCTGTCTCGCGCGGTGGCAGCAACGACACTGACTGGGGAGAAGACAGTGACACGGATGATGGCTTCGATCGGGTGAGGTCCATGACCTTCGGGTCGACTTTGAGCACACCGGTCCCGCCTCCCATCAGATCGACATATGTGCCCTCAAGCGGCTCCGCAGCTGTGAGACATCTCTCGTCCGCAATAAGAACAGCCCTCACGACACAGCCCACAACTACCGCCACATTTGCTCCGGCACGCTTAGGCCCAGCCGCCGCCGCCGCTGCATCTGTGCAACCTAGAAGCACGGCAGACACTTGGCCGCAGATTGTAGCTTCCGAGAGCAAGTGTACCAGAGAGTAAGTCACACCACTCAAGCATCGGTCTTCCACAAGCTAATCATGAAGCAGAGATCAGCACAAACGCCAGCAGCTCCGCGACCAATTCATTCCGAAGCGCATATACGACCGCAATGTCGAATACGACGCCTTGACTATGACTCTCGAGGGAAAACTCATCGACATCGCGAGGAAACACGACTACCCCAATTTCCACCGCTGCGTCTACCAAGCTTCCGCCTCAGCTCATCCCATCGTCATGCCGCCCGTGACAGTGAACTTCCCAGATCTCGCCAAGTTCGCTGTCAAGAAGGTCACTATCACGGAAGCAGTGATCCGGGGGGTGACCAGGAACATCGAGCTTCGTACTTTCGTTTCGGACTGGTACACTCCCATGCGCGTGATGGAGGGTCTCGCTGAGGATGGGCCGGTGGCCGAGCAGACAAAGAGGCATAGGGAGTTCACGACGATGTTGAGGATCTTGAGGAGGATTTTGAGCGGCGATCGAATGAATACGGGGTCGTCAGGAGCCGTTCGTCTCTAAGGTGTTTGTGAAGGTCACGGTGGTATGGCGGAAAAAAAGAGTGTTGCCGTGCTTCTTGCATCGGCAGAGGAGACAAAGCTAGGTCGGCGCTTCAGACTGCGCTCGCATGTATCGCACACGCTGCTTCGACGTCGGCGAGATCAATTCCATCATGAAAGCACTTTCCCAATCTTCGCGCATAGTATCTTCGTGCCCTCGCAAAGCCGTCTGCATCGAGTCTCCGCGCTGGTCCTCGTTCTGAAAAGGATGCTTGAGTATTCTTGCACATGACATCGGCACAAATCAACCACCTTCAGCTTCCCAAGCCCATATTTACACTGGCTGGTACAGGAGCTCTGTGTGCCACGCCGCAGAAATGCATTGTAGAGTCCTTGGTGGCTCTTATCCTTACAGACCGACCATACTCTACCAAATTACCTGGATGGTGTCAAAGCTGCTCCGGGCGAACGGCTCAACCAGGTCCCAAGCCCTCCTGGACCTTCTGCGGCAGTTCCAGACTCCGGGTAGCGAACCACTCCTTTCCTTTCACATTCGCCCACGCAGCGTCAACATGAACCCCACTCCTCCCACCACTTTTGTACATCACCCTCACATCCTGCACGCTCGCCGACCGATCCACGGCTTTACACATATCGTACACCGTAAGCGCCGCCCCGGAGGCAGCAGTCAAAGCCTCCATTTCCACGCCCGTCGGACCAGAAGTCTCGACGACCGTCTCGATGGTGACTAACCCGTGATGGTTATGCCCTCGATGTCCAAGCGTCTTTGGAAGCTGACTGGAGGGCACTAGCTGCACGTTGACTTCGACTTTGGTGATTGGCACCGGATGGCATAGCGGGATGAGGTCGGCGGTGCGTTTCGCTGCCATGATGCCTGCTATTCGCGCCACGCCGAGGACATCACCTTTCTTGTTGCTGTTCTCGAAGATCAGCTGGAAGGGCGCGGGCCTGCTGAACGCGACATGGGAGATAGCCACTGCGACACGCCTAGTCGCTTGCTTTGCTCCAACGTCGACCATGTGCGCTTCTCCGGATGCAGTCAGGTGTGTCAGTCTCGACTCTGTCGGTGGCGAAGCGCTGTCCACTCCCTCCATCTGCCGTGGTGTCGCGCCAGCCCGAGACTCCTTGACAACCTTTGTCTTCTTTGGACTCCTCGATGGCTGGGACGAGGAACCAATCGTTTGCGTCCTTATCATGGCGTCCTGTGCAAGTAGCGTGCGCGAATCACTACCCGAAGACCCTTCATGCGCATCAGCAACCTTTCGCGCAAGACCATGTGTCTGGTCAACATCCGTCATCCCATCACTGTTCGACTCCCTCAGGCCCCATGCCGCCTCCTCATCATCACGATCCTTAGCATCAAAAGATCTTACATCCCTCTTCCCAATGGCAAATGGGTTAGGGTGCCGCAAATCGATGCGCTTATGAGGTAGATTCGGACGCCCCTCAGAAGACTCTCTCTCGGTTCTACTTCCAGGGAAACCCGGGGTGTGCGGCTCACGGATCTGTTTGAATTTCAGGCGGTAGCCTTGTTGCTTCTCGTCCTTGCTGGAAACCGCACGTGTGGACGGTACTTCTGCAGCTTGGAAGTAATCATCGTCCATCTTCCTCTGGGCGAAGGACGAAGATGGCGCAGTGTTTGCTCTTTCCTCCGCTTGCGCGCTTCTTCCCACTTCCACGAAGTCAACCTTTCCCTTTTCTCGCATCTTTGGCCGGCTATACCGTGGTTTTGGAGCCTCTTGGAACAGCCCGCTAAGACTCTGAAATCCGAGAGCGGACTCAAGACTCGCCTTCTCCTCGCCGTCCCGAGGAGTGCTATTGTCATTGTCTGCTCTGCTTCGCATTGAAGTAGAGAAGGTGCGCGCATGTGAATACGGCGAACGTGAGCCATGCAGGAGATGTGTTGGGATCCTGGACCACGGCCGTGGCGATACGAAAGAGGAGAGGGGTGGATCACCTACCTCAGTATTAGCACAAGTGACAGGCACTTCATAGAAAGCAAGTGAAAGAAGGAAAGAAGGATTCCGTGGTTTCCATACAACATTTGAGAGTCGTATATGTGGCCTCCGTACATATCAACCGGCCAGACCACCATAACATCATCGCGCGTGTCCTCGTAGAAGCCAAGTCATGCATACCCCTTCGCTCCAGAACCACCAGTACAGACCAAAAGAACAGGAAACCTACCCACCAATCAAAATCATAGGCCGATTCCTCATATTCTCCAACTGCCCAATCCCGGCATGCTTCGCCTTCTTCCTCTTCACCGCCTGTCCAATCACCTCTAGCAATTGGCTCTCCTTGCTGATCCAGCCCTCCTCACCGTCAAATCGTAGACCTGATGGGCCTGAGCTTTTTCGTCGATCCAGCTCCAGTTGCCGTATAGCGTCGAAAGCATCATCGTTCATCGGTATACCGTTGTGATCGCTGCGCAACAGGTCGCGGAGGGAGACTTCCGTCTCGCCGTGAAGACAGACTTTCAGGTTGCCGTCTGATGTTATGCGCAGGCGATTGCAAGAGCTGCAGAAATTATGCGTCATGCTTGTAATAAAACCTACTCGCCCAGTAAAACCAGGAACCTGCCACGTCTTACTGGTATCGTTCTTCTTATCCTGCAACCTCCCGACATCCGGATATTTCGTGCGAATGATATCCAGCATCTCCTGATAAGGCAGCATTTTGTTTTCGCTCCATTTATTACCGCCAAAGGGCATGTACTCGATGAACCTGACCTCGACATCCTGCTCTCGCGTCATCTCGACGAAGGGCAAGATCTGATGATCGTTTAGACCACGCATGACCACACAGTTGATCTTCAATCTGATCCCAGCACCGAGCTTATTCATCTCCTGTACGCGGTTGATACTCTTCATTACCGCATCGAAACCCTGCCGTCGTGTCAAAAGCTGGAATTGGAACGGATCCAGCGTATCCAGCGAGATATTGACACCCGTCAGCCCAGCCTCGGCCATAGCGTCAAGTTTCCTCCACAAACTAATCCCATTCGTCGTCAATGCCAGTTCTTTCAAACCTGCACTTCTCAAGCTCCCCAATCGCTGCATAAGCGGCACGATATCATTCCTGACCGTCGGCTCACCTCCGGTCAACCGGATCTTGTTGACGCCTTGGTTGACGAAGAGCTGACTCAAATAGAAAACTTCGGCTGTTGTGAGCTGAGTGTTGGGTGGTTGCAGCTGGATGCCTTCTTCGGGCATGCAGTAGAGACAGCGCAGATTGCAGCGTTCGGTGAGGGATATGCGGAGGTAGTCGTGTTGGCGGGCGAAAGTGTCTGTAAGGAATTCACTGAAGGGTTTTGCTTCTTGTATTGCTTCCCGTCTGGCAGGTCTGTTTGAAGGCGGTGGAGTCGGTACTGCAGGCAGATGTGGCTCTGGCTCATTATGTTCCACTGCAGCAGTCGCTATACTTCGACTCGTCATGGTGCTCTTCGTTAGAGTGCCGTCCCATCTCGTCCGTCTTATCGCCCGTGGGACGCTGCGGCATATCTGAGGAGTCGCCATAGCTGGCTATGTTCGTCATTTGTAAGAATCGAAATACAACATGGCAAGGACCTCCACAAGCGACGATCAAGAATACAGATTGCCTACCACAAACATGTATGTACAGTCATGCATGAATATTACATCGCTGCCGAAAGCCGAGTTAACTTCACCTCCGGCGCTCGGCGACTTCCCCATTCAGAAGGAGTGGGCGAGATACGCACTTACGCTGTGCTGATTCATACTGCCCTCACCTACAACATGACCAGGACTTCTTAGATATACTATCGAATCGATACAATGGGGAGGAATAGTCGTCACGGCAGCATAGAAGGACGAATCAAGGCGGTCCGGATGTATGGTACCACAGTACCCACCTCCCCTTCCCGCCACACATCAACCACTGCAGCTTCACTGCGAGACAAAGTGTTCCTGTTCATTCAAGTGGGCATTAGAGTCGCGCGTGGAGTCAGCGACATGATTCTTAGCCTAGCCTGTGACGTGCCGTTGCAGAGCGTTTGTACATATCTCGCAATGCATGGGCAAATGCCGCTCAGCTAAAGTAACCAAAAGGGCTTGTTCAGGCAGTAGGACGTGTGATGATGGGAGATGCTGGAGTGCTGAGGTCGGCCTGCGCTTCGCAGAGTGATGGGTAATATGATCGCCGTCGGTGGAAGCGTCCGAATGCTTCTTGCTACGTGGACAGACCGTGTGCTGCTGCTTATACCTCTTACGATGAGACGGCATAACGCTCTGATGCTCTGCGCCTGCTGTGAAGTACTTCCGCCGTGAGCTGAGTCCAGCTGAGACGTAAGTCCCGCCGTGAAGTAAGTGTTCTGCGAAGTAAGTATTCTGCAAAGTGAGTATCACGCCCATGACTCCAACACAGTGAGAAAGCACATCGACATTGCGGTTTTGAGTGTCTTGATTGAACAGTATCATGAAGCCATAATTACAGGCTCAAGCACGCAGGTACGCGCAAAGGGTAGAGGCAGAGGGCAGGTTGCGTTGTAATCCCTAACCTTGCCACAAATACCCCGATCATGCACAGGCACACCTTGGCAATGGCCCTCATGCCAAACGTTGAACACCATATGCAGCCGCAGCAGCAGCCAAACACCAGCCCAACCCCACCCCACGTCTATCTGTTGGACTTGGCCACACGCTCCAGCTCGTCCTTCTTCTTGATGGCATAGCTGTTGCTGCTACCCTTGGCAGCGTTGATCAGCTCTTCGGCCAAGCACTCGGCAACACTCTTGATGTTTCGGAAGGCCGCTTCTCGGGCGCCGATAGTGAGGAGGGCGATGGCCTGGTTGACGCGGCGGAGGGGAGAGACATCGACGGCTTGGCGACGGACGGTGCCTGCGCTGCCGATACGGGTGGAGTCTTCGCGGGGGCCGCAATTGACGATGGCGTCTACAGCGATTTGGATGGGGTTCTGGTCGGTCATGATGTGGATCTGAATCATGTGTGTTAGAAGCTGTCATATATGCCAAGATTGTGCATAGAGGTGGTACATACAATTTCGAAAGAGTGGGCAACAATGCGCACAGCCATCAGCTTCTTGCCGTTGTTGCGCCCGTTCATCATGAGCGAGTTGGTGAGACGCTCAATGATGGGACACTGGGCCTTGCGGAAGCGCTTGACGGCGTATCGGCCGGCGGAGTGAGGCATGTAGACGGGCTGGCGGATCTGGATGTAGTCGGTGAGGGAGATGTCCCGGATCTCGACATCCTCGTAGCTCCATTTGTTGAAGAGCTTCGTGCTGCCAATCTCCGCCGTCACGTCCTTGGGCAGGACTGGGTAGCCCTGTGGCGCCTCGACTTCGACTTCGCCGTCAGACATGTTCGCGGTGGGCGGGTTTGTCTGTCTGTCTGGTCGAATGTAGGACTGGCCGGACGGAATATCGAGTATGGTAGTAGTGGTGGTGGTCAGTGGCAGAATTCAAGGTGGTCGTGGTGCGCTTTCGGCCTATCCACTAATGGAGATCGAATTCTTGAGCCTTGGCGTGCGGTGGTCTCGCTCGGAAGGCGGATTGTTCCGCGCCGATCTCGAATTGACATTTGCTTTCCCATCTCCAACACTTCTACATGGTAACAAATTGTTAGAGTCTCCTCTACGCATACTATTTCAGCTGGATATCCTCCCCTGGTATCGCGTCAGGCAGCCCTGAATTTTCGCCGTTATGCATAAACCTGAACAAAGGATCCCAGACTGTGACCGCACGCTTGGTGTGGCTACCATTCAGCAGCGGTGGCTCTTGAAATACCAACAGCCTATCCACCGACGCCTCAATACCCTGACCCGTCTCATCTCCCTCAATGAGCCGCAGATACGCCTCCACGATCGTGGACACTGGTGTGAGGCTAAAGTATCGTCAGCCAAAATCAGAAGCACCTGAAGTGTCGAGTGCCTTACTCCGCTTTAGCGACCACAGCAAGAAACTGTGGTGGTATGATATTCGTAGGCACGATCCCAGGTAAAACGCAATTCAATCTCACATTCTCCTTCACCTTCAGTACTCCCGCAGACCCTCTCACAAAATTTAGTACAGCAGCTTTCGTGCCGTTGTACTCCGCATAACTAGGATGAGGATGGACTGCAGCAATACTAGCAGTTGCCACGATCACGCCCCCAGGAACAGGGTTCTGCCGCATAAAGTGGATCGCAAGCTGCACTCCATACACAAAACCCTTCCAATTCACTTCCGTGCAGGTCATATCTGGTGCTGGAGGGATCTCGGTCTTGCCGCGATGGTTGAGGATGTACAGGGAGCTTCGGTCGCCTATTCCAGCATTGGCGCACAAGGCGTCGAGCCGACCTTTGACCTTGAAGACGGACGAGAAAAGTGAAGCCTGCGAGTCGTAGCTTGCTACGTTCGTCTCGTGGAACGTGGCATTGGAACCGAATTCCTTAGATAAGGCATCGTGGGGTCGGATGTCGGCCATGGCGACGTACCAGCCGCGGGCAACGAGTTCACGGGTGATGGCTTCGCCCATGCCCGACTATACCATATCAGCCATGAAAATAGCACGGTCTTGCTGCGTATGCTTGCGTACCGACGCCCCCGTCACTATAGCAACTTTCTGTTCTACGGCGGAGCCCATATTGAGAGTACGTTCCGCGAGTATGGTCGAAAGCTAGATCTGCCACAACACCGCTACAGCACTTAATCTAATATTGTAGAGGAGACGATAATATGCACTCCCGTGTAGCTTCTGTCGTTATAGTACTGATATATTTGCATGCTGTCTCCTCATTTGCATACACCATCTGGCTTGGCGTTCTCGGCTATGCTTTCCCGAACTCATCACAAGCTGGAGCAAATGGCTGCAGCGCACCCAATGCCGTACCACGGTAGATGGAATGCAGGATATACATAGAGACAGCCTTACGGATATATAGAGCTGCAACGGTGGTGCGCAGGGAGGCAGCAGCTATGTTCCAAACAGAAGTGCGGGAAGCGCTTCAGAATTGTACTGTACAGCATGATCAATTCGGTAAGGCTACGAAACCAGGAGCGGCAGGTCTGCCAGCTATGCCAATCAAAAATACACGAAAAAGCCCACCGTTCGCCCTCCCATCAGATGCAATAACGCCCAAGCTGTGCACCACAGATGCCACAAAATCCATTTCAAATCATGACGAAGCAGTCAAAGCCTCCACAATCTCGTCCAGCGAGAGAACGACCGGCTTATCGTCCTCATGACTTCCACTTCGTGACCCAGCCATAAGTCCAGCCGTGCCCCACAAACCTCGTCCTTCATCCCAATGCCTGAAGACATGCTTCAAAGTATCTGGTGTACCATGCAGAACTACCCCTGGCCTTCCGCCACCCTCTGCCCCCTGACGGTGTGCCGTGCGCAGATATTCCCGCGCGAACGCCACTCCCTGCCCAAACATTCTATTCCTCTTCTCCCTCACCGCGGAAGCGAACAGCGGGCCCACAAGCACATACACACTCCCATAAGCATCGAGGACGTATAATCCCTCAACCTCCAGATCAGCTTGCGTGAATGGCAAGATCGCCTTCGCCTCGATCTTAGCCCCAGCCACTCCATTATCCCGCCCATCAGCAGAAGGCGATCGTGAAGAAGTGCCAGAAGAATGCCAGCTCGGTCGTCGCTTGAACATTCCAACAAACAACCCGGTCTTCTGCTCTTCCTCCTGTATCCTCCAGAGCCTTACATCCGCGCTACCAGGATGATCCGCCTTCCGTCCCCAGATCGAAGGAGAAGACTTAGGCACATCCCCCTTCTTCGTCTCAGCCCCAAAGATCTTCAAGAAACTAGCGAATTCAGCCCCATCATCGACTTCAATAATCTCACCCGTCGAACTCAGATCCATAGCCACCAATCTCGCAGCCCCAATCTCCTCTGTTGAAGCCGCCGAGCCTTTCCACAAGTACATTTTCGTCTGCTGCAGGGTAACGGGATAAGAGATGAGGTACACGAAGCCGGAGCATAGACTCTCGATACCAAAGTCAACCTCGTCGAAAACGACCTGCCCCATATGCGCACGGCCACAGAGTGCGAACTGCTTCTTCGCCCCCTCTCGAGCGCCGTGACGAGTAATCAGGATCCCGCCGATAGCCGACAAGAACGCCGTGTCCTCCTTCCCTTGCGCAAATGTTCGAACAGGTAGACTGCCGCCTCCACGTGACAGACGACGAGCGAGGTTCTGTGCTTGTGATGTTGTGGCTTGGGGAGCTGAGATGCCGGACCAGATGTAGACTTGTGTCTTCTTCAATCCCGTGGGTCCAACGCAAGTCTGGCTGAGGATGTAGACTTCGTGCGAGAAGAGAGTATACTCTTCCTGTTGCGGCAAGGGCTTGAGCGTGCCGTCCGGAAGAACGATCTGAGTACTTCGCCGAAGAGTCTTGAGATCCTCTCCCGCTGAGATCTTCGCAGAGGCAATGACGCCGTTCACGTCAATTGAGGAGATGGTGTCGCAGACGGGCACTGAGCCGAAGTACTCGGCAAGTAGCCGCTCTGCGTGCGTGCGCGGCTCCCGTGGTGTCGGCGTGGTTGCTGAAGCTGCAGCTGTTGAAGCATGAGCACCTTACCAGCAGTTAGCCATCGAGCGCTCCACTACCACCAAAAGCAGTCACTGCAACGATACGTCAGAACGAAGGACCAAAGGATCTTCTCAAGCATTTAAGAAGATCGGAAGTCGTGCTTGCATTGGCTGGCTTAAGAGGAAACGAGACGATGCTCACCTTTATTCGGACTCGCCTCCCTCAACTGCCCACTAACAACCCTCGAAGGTTTCCCAGGCTTAGGAGGCAACCCCGCCGACGACGGCGGCGTAGCTACCCCACTCCCACCATCCCCAACAGCAGTCTTCTCAACAGAGATACCAAGACCACCCTTAGAAGATCCCGGTCGTGAAGGCGAAGTACTAAGTAGATTCGCAGATCGCAGAGCAGCCTCTTCATCCCTACGACTCAGAAGTTGGATCTGGGGTGGAGCTTCGGCTTTCTTGGCTGGCGAGGTTTGGCGCGTCCAGAACGATGCTACGTTTCGTACGGATGGAAGAGGGGAGTTGGTATTCTCTTTGTTGTCGTCTGGTTGTGCTGCTGGTTGTGACTTCTTCATGCTGCCGAAACCACTGAATTCTGGTACGTTGGCTTTCTTCGCTGTCTGAGGAGTCTGGGTGGGTTTCGCAGGTAGTGCCGGAGATTTTGCTGGGGTGGACAGTGCGGCTGGTTTGCTGACTGGGTTCTGCTGCTCCTGCTTCGTAGAGCTTATGGTGGGCTGTTTGGGCGTTGGCGGTGCGTCAGACTTAGAAGCTGGCTCTTGTGCTTCTGTGCGTCCACGCAACGAAGCCATCATAAGGCTAGCAGCGGACCCTGGCGGAGCGCGCGGCTTACTCGCCGAAGGCACAGCAGGCACTTCTTCTTCCTTCTCTTCAGACATCGTAGGTGATACTTCAGATGTAGCAGAAGACATGGTGACAGGCTCTTCGACCTTCTCCTCCTTGGTCTCCTCACCAGCACCACCCTTCCTCTTCTTCGGGCCCTTAGCCCTACCCTTCCGCATATCCTGCAATGGTCCATCCTTCCCCGACTCACCAGCTACACCCGACGCGGCAGGCGTGCGATCAGCATTAGCCGGACTCTCCGATCGCGAAGGCTTATTGGAACCACTAGGCGGTCCTCTAGCGAGTATATTCGCCAGACCGGGGTTGAAGCGAGCTGCCAGTCTACTAGTCTCGCTAGGCACTGCAGCAGGCGCAGAAGTCTGCTTCGACAAGCTCTCAAGTGGTGGATCAGCAGGTGCCGGAAGCGTCGTCGATTTACCTTTCAAAGCTAGCGGCTCAGGCTGCGTCGTAGCTGGCCTGCCGACCGGCTCGCTCGCTTCCTTAACCAACCTCGGCGGCTCAACTTTCGACTTCTCGCGCAGACTCTTCTGTCTCGACAATGCCTCAGGAGTGGCCTCCTTCGGCTTCTCCGGGCTCGCAGCCAACCTCCCGCTTTCAGAGCGGCCCAACAAGTCTCTTCGAGCAAGAGCCTCGGGCTTACTAGGTGTGACCGACGTCCCGCTCACCTTCCTTTCATGCACCGCTCCAGGCAACTCCCTCCCTTCATTCTTAGCCTTCTTCCAGTCCTCCTTCTTAGCGAGCAGAGACTCCTTAAGCTCATCTCGCCGAAGAGTCTTGACCGGTCCGTCCGTTTTCGCGAGCTCCGCTTTGCCACGCTTGATATTGTTGCCGAAAGTGTCAGGGGCGACGTACTTTTCTGTCGCCGCTTTCCGCAAATGACCGAACTTGGCGAGGAATTCTGGTGTCTCACCCGATTTCGTTTCGGGTGCTGGGCGTGAGCGGAGGGTGCCGCGGAAGTCGGTTTGCGGTTTTGTGGCTATGTCGGGTTTGCTTGCAGTGATCGTTGGCTTTGGCTTTGGCGCAGGAGTTGTGCCGATGGACTCTACTGTCTCATTTGATGTTGTGGCAGGCTCAGGCATGGTCGACTCGGCAGGTTCTGGAGCGGTCGACATCACTGGTAAGGGTTGCAAAGGCTCTCTACTGGACTGAAGTTGTGGCGAGGGAGATGAAGCTCCTGCAGCGGCATCCCTGGCCGGTATACTCGTGGTGGCGTGGGCCTTTGAAGACGACACGGCCTCTTCTTTCGAATCAGGCTTGGGCGTCAAGGCACCCTGCCTAGCCATACTCGACACAGGCGTCCCCGACCGTGACGGTAACTGCAGGTCTCTCGACTCACTCCGCTTCAGCAGCCCTTGACCAAACGGCGCTCCCCCAGAAAGCTTAGTCGGCGAGGAAGGTCGTGAGCTCTCTTCCGCAGGCTTTGGCGTGCCTGTCCGAGGCGTGAGATCGCCACTCGCCCGCTCAGCTTTCTGCTTCGCGATATTAGCCATCCAGCTCGGCTGCGAGTTCCGCGCTGGTGCTGCGGTAGAAGGGTTCGGTGAGTCGGGTTTCGTAAGTGCACTCTCAATCCAACTCGATTTGGTAGGACTAAAGCGCTTCGAGGGGCTGCTAGGCGGTGACGTGGTACTATCCTCACTCGTATTGACGGCGTAGTTCGAAACCACAGATTTACTCCTACTATGGTGTCGTGGCAAAGCGGGCTTCACAAACCCCTCGCTATCTTTGCCCTCTAGCTGAGCAAGAGCAGATAAATCATTGCTGCTGCTGGAGGTCGGTCGTGATGTAGATTCGTGGCTGCTCTCGCGACTGTTGATGGTGGGGTCGAGTTTCGGCATGCTATACGAGCCCTGGAGCCCACCATAACCGCTTCGAGCACTGGCGATACTGTTTTGACGGCTCAGACTCGGTGCTGCGTTGGGCTGGGCACTCCAGCGCTTGTTGACGCTGTCGCTGCGTTTCATCATCGCGCTTTGGACGAAGCCGCCCATGCCTTTCGTTGGCGAGCTTGGTCGTTCTGTGGCGTTGGCCAAGCGTGATTGGGAGGAAGACATTGTTGGTGTTCGGCCAAGGTTGCCAGAGTCGCCACCTGCTGACGAGTGTGGGTCTGATGAGGGCGAGGCTTCTTGCTGTGCCTGGTCTTCTGCGAGTAAAGACTTTAAATCTGGCTTGCTACTTCTCGAGCCCGAAGTGCCCGAAAAGCGTGCACTACTAGAGCCACTGTCGCGAGCTGATGGTGTGGAGAATGCCTCAGATACGACGCTCTCCGGTCGCGCTGGACTGGCAGGCTTAGCATAATCTCCAAACTTTTCCTGCGACAGCCCCGGCAATCCTCTTCTTCCACTGCCCAAGTCTGATATGGGAGCTTCGTCTTTACTCCGTCTGTACGCAGCAGAGCCAACACCTCTATCAGCAGTCTGCCGAAAGAATGAAGGATCCCGTGACCCTAGCGATGCTGCGATCTGATCTCTGCTTGGTTCAGCCTGTTCTGTTGATGTATCCCTCACGTGCCCATTTTCCTGGCCACCTATCACAGACGCAGGTCTGCTTCCTCCTCTCGACTGAGGCCTTCGCTGCCATGATAATGTCCCTGATCGTGCTAGACTGCTAGCACTTTGCGCCGGCTTTCCTGCTTCCCCTGATGCGCTGGTTGTGGACGATGCGCTCGCCCTCTTGATCGACCCGAAACCCTTGAACTCTGGTGTATCCTTGGTCGGCGAGGGTGGTCCTGCCTGCATGCCCTCCATTGTGGCAGTGGAAGTGGAAGTGGAAGTGGAAGTGGGTGGTGCGATCGAGGAGCTCAATGGTGGCGGCGTATCGGCAACATTGGCCGCTTTACTTGCTTTCAACGAAGGTAGATCGTTGCTCGAATATGGCTTTTTAGGCGATATCGATCGTGTACGTTCTGCCCATCGAACCCAACCATCAGCCTCATGCATAAAATCTTCAACAACAAACAGCGAAATCTATCACATGCAACAAACTCACCCAACTTCTTCTGTGCCCGCTCCGCCCGACTCCTTGCGACTTCCTCCTCCAATTTCTGATACCGTTCCAAATCCTCTCGATCGCGCTTGTCACTCAATTCACGGATACTCTTCAGAAATTCAGCCGTATCGACATCGTTCTCTTTATTGTTTTGATCAAGCTGTGTGTGTTGTTGTTGCGCGGCCAATGCGGAGGCCGGCCCTGCTGCTGCTGCAGCTCCATCCAAGCTTGGCTCCATAAGAACTATATCGACCAGGGATTATCGCTGCTGCGACGTGCACCACAATGCGCGTCGCGACGCGATCAGGCTTTTACTGCAGAAGGGAGTGTGGAAGTAAGAATGATGGTATACAGGGTAGACTTTGCTATGGAGTTGCCATAGTCAGAAGAGACTCTGTACCGGCGCCCAGGGATTGCGAAATGCTATCTCGATCGCCCACACCCCGATTACCTCTGGAATGCTTGTAGCAGATCCCACTCGATAATCCTTTATATTGCACCCACCTCACATCGTCTTCTGTCGGCAATTCGAACCACTTGCAAAGTCCAAGTTGGCATTCCGACCGTCGAGATGCCATGTATCAATAATGCTGCTAGATGTCCTGTTCGTCGTCGTCGTCGTCGTCGTCTTGACTTCTGACCCCTTGCTATTGCGCCAACGGTCGCTAGCGTGAACGCGCTATGCTTGGCCCCATGTAAGAAGAGGAAAGAATTGTCTCCATTACCAATATCATACAAATCATACAACCTCGTGACTCCGCGTGTTGTCCACATGGAGATGTGAACATCATGTCCTCTTGTCAATCGTGATCAGTGAGGTCGCATGTCCTCGCCGCGCTCGAGCCACAGCAAGCAAGCATGCGAAGCCCGATGTCGACGCAGGCTCGAGTCCTGCTGGCAGAAAGTGTTGCTTCAGACGACAAAGACGCCAGGTAGGAGGACGAGATATTGATTCCCGTGCTGTGAGAGTCGTCCAACGCTGTAGCCTCCATTGACTAGACTGCATATTACACTCTATAATTCCTGAGGTGGAGCGTACACAGTGCTCGACCACCCAAGCGGGGCAAAGGATCGCACGAGACTGCACGACCATAACCACGACTACAACCTCCATCGATCTCAGAATACACGACAATAACACACCCGACTATCTTCACGCAAGCCCTCGCAGCACGCGACCGCAGCGCCGAAGCTACACCTGTGGAACCAAAACCTCCACTAATAATGCATCAAGACCGCAGTACCATCGGCCCAAGCAGAGACATCTCGACCACATGTACTCTGCAGGTACACACACCAGAAGTAACCACACGCATCTCAAAGCGACGAAACCGCGGCTTCGTCCCACCAAAATCATTGGCTCGCAAGCAAAAAGTATGCCACGCCCTCCTACCGCATCGGGAAGCTTTACACAGCTATACGCAAGCCATGGCCACACTTCAGCCGAGTCTCGTACTGGAAGTCATACGAGTCTCTTTCCCTCATAGATAGCGGCTACCGAGGAACTGGGTAGGAGAGAGGTATAAGTACAATGGCTGTTCTGGGCGACTATTTTATCTCTTGGTATTTGCTTGGTGCATTCCTCACGTTGTTTCCGGCAACACAACCGTCTACGTCAATCGCTTGCAAGACTTCTCTCTCACGTTCGTCTTGCTCACGCCACTTGCTCTCTTCAGACAGGCATTTAGTATCTCTACCGCTACAGAAGTCGGTCACAGTACGTCGCCATCATGAAGTACATTAGCACCGCCGTCGCCCTTGCGGCCATTGCTTCTACGACTGTTGCGCAGCTTGCCAATTTGCCATCTTGCGCTGTAAGCATTCGACCCCATGGCAACACGGAGAACAAAATGTGAAGACTAATGCTCCTCCCAGCTCTCACCCGCCATCTCAGCAATCGGCACCTCCGGCTGCCAAACCACAGATATCAAATGCATCTGTAGCAACCAAGCCTTCATCGCCGCCCTCGAGCCGGCGATCGTGGCTGCCTGTAGTCCAGATGATCAAGCGAGTGCGTAACATTGAACCCCAGAACGACCACATGACATCGGGCGATAGACAAGAAGGGTTGCTGACAATGATAATTAAACAGAAGCCCTAACCGCAGCCCAAGGCCTCTGTCAACAAGCAGGTGTCTCCCTTGTCGTGCCCCCAGCTGCGGCTCCTAGCACTACCGCCCCACTATCTACATTTACATCTGCATCTACATCCTCTACCCCTGCCTCCATGACCGCAACTTCCAGCACTACCTCCGCATCAGTCTCCAAATATCCCACCTCCTCACCCACCGCACCGGCCAATGGCACGACGTCTGGAAATGGGACGGTGAGCGGTAGTGCGACACCGGCGACTTTTACTGGTGCGGGTGTGGGTAAGCCGGCGGCGGTGTGGCAGGTTGCTGTTGGTGTTGTCGCTGCGGCTGGGGGGGTGGCTGTGGGGTTGTTGTAGAGGGGTGGATGGGGGGTGAATGTTAGGTGGATTGGTTTGAGGGGTGGTAATGTTGGTGTGGGTAGAGGATAGAGGTACTTAATCAGTCTCTTAGGATTTCAAGCTTTCGCTCATGCACTCGAGTATTCATCTAGTTACTTGGTGCAATCTCGAGCTTTTGCTCCATCGACCGTCCCGTCTGGCTCCATGCGTAAACGTAAACCCGATTGATCCCGCCATGACATTGCTCGAACAAGACCTTGTAGCTCCTGAGGAGGCCCACGTACATAACGATATCGGCGTGGCCAACGAAGCTTCTCTCGGCTCAAGCCCGACGATTTTCAGAGAATGAGTCCCATGGCCAAAGAAGAGTGGTAATGCGTGCTCTACTTTGCAGCGATGAGATCATGGAAGGATACCGTACCATCGGAATGTTGGAGTTACAAGAACCTCACCGGTCACACTCGTCCCATGTGCGACATCAACTTCAGCTGGTGCATGCCGCTCATCCGAGAACCCAAGAGTGTCGGGAAGAGAGCACATAAGTAAGGGAGACATCGTCTGCCACTCCAAACGCAGTCAGCAAACACACCTCAAAACCGAATCTCCTCGATACTTCAATTATTCCGAAAGGCCCCCGTCGTCCAGAAAGAACCCCAATATGAAGACCTCCACCACCCTCACCACCCTCCTCGCCGCCCTCCTAGCCGGTCATGCCATGGCAGGTGCCAATCAAAACGACGTGTGTGGCATCAACGAAGTCGGAGCCAAAGTATGCGGGTGCTATGCTCCGGGCAACTTGGTAGATCTCCCTTCCCCCCTCCGAAGTTAGAGAGTGGTCAATGGCCGACCATTCATCTTATCATGCTGATATGAATTCTGTGTAGTTGCAATGCCAGGAGACAGGTGCTGGGACTTACAAGTGGACGTTGTTTAAGAAGGATTGTGGGTGTGGCAATGGGAAGTGCACGAATTAGACGACTAGTTCTGTACTTCGTGGTTGTGGATTGGAGTGGCGAGTGCTGACGGGATGATATGGGAGTGGCGATTGATTTGATTTTGTAGCAGGAGGGGTGGTTTAGTATACTGTTCTTACCTTGAGTCTTGCCACCAGGTAGCGCTTTTGAACCAGGCTACAGATGGTAATATGGGGCGACGACATCGTTCAGGTGATCTCGCATGAATCGCCGTCGTCATAGAGCACCATCCTATCATTACAGCCAGACCAGTCAAACAAGGGTGCCTGAAAATATTGCTTTCTTGAACTTGTGGTACAGCTCGTGCCGTGAGCGCAGCCGTCCTGTAGTGGAGCCAAGTGATGGAGGTTGGTGTTGCTATGCCCTTCCTCGCTGGCACCCTTTCCTATCGTTTCCTCGGATGAATGGGCCAGTATTTTGACGCAATGTCTGAGCCGCGATCCTTGGTTACCAACAGAAAACATTAATCCTCTTCGTGCGTGTAATACCTAACGCATCCACTTCATCTTTTCAGACGACGTAGCCCGGAGTAGCGGCAGCTCCTCGGGTTAATTTTGGAGGATAATAACTGATTTTGACTTCATAGGGAATCATGAATCAGTTATCGTCGCCCGGATCGTATAACGGTTTAGTACATTGGTCTCATAAGATGACTCGATCTAAGATCGGGGAATGAAATCCGGAAATCTGAGTTCGATTCTCAGTCCAGGCAGTAAAGCAGGAGCTTGTTTATCAAGTCGCTGGCGTCTTTTTGAAGTTTCCATGAGTTAGTGCGACTTTGGGCTTCAGGACGACGTCAGAATCACGTTTTGCGAGTTTTAAGCGGATAGGACGATTGCGCGAGATCGGCTCTATTACGTCCGTCAATTTGAGATCAAGACGATCATTTTTGATATCAGTAGAGCATATCTTGGGCGCCCTCTTCTTTATGGCCATGGATATGAGTAGGGTGAGGTCGAAAACTGCTCTATCGGGGACAAAGAAATGACGATGGATTGATTGATGGCTACATTTCACTGTACTGGACGAGGCGAATGGTTACATTCCTTCTAGACGTTGACGTGTCTGCGAGCAGAATTAGAAAGCCGGGGTCGACCGCGACGCCACCATAGTCCTCTATATGGCGGCAGACCAACAAAACTTCCTCGATATCCGTGACGACAGGGAAGTCGTCGCTAATTCTGTACATGCCCTCCGATTATACAGCCAGCAACAACATTGATGGCTATCGAGGAAGCTACGACCATGGCGATAGACGTTCACACTTCAGTTCACTTCTCTTCTCATCAGACCCCAGTATCCACGATCCAAAGCAATGGTTGGTAAAGCTTCTACCAGATCTATCTATGCATATCCAATTACCATATCGCTAAAATAAATAACATTATCTACAACTCCTCATGGCCCCCAGCCCCCTCCTCCCTCGCCTCCTTCACCATCCTCAAAATCTCCTCCTCAGTAGGCATCTCATCATCCGCCCCAACCGTAATCCTCGCCGCCTTCCCACTCGAACTCGCCGTCGCCTCTTCCTGCCCGGCATCAGCCGTCGAGCTCTTCCCCTTCCCCTTCTTCGCCGCCTTAGACTTCGAAGGCTTCGCCGACTTGGACTTGGAGGAGCTAGATTTCTTAGGCGGAGGCTGCGATCGCATCTTCTTGTATACCAGATCCGTCATCACTGAGCTCAATTTCTGGGCTTCGCGCTCGATGTCTTTGACTAGCAGCACAGGCTCCTCGTGTAATTTGAGTTTACCTTGCTCGGCTTCTTTCTCCTCGAGCCATTTCTTCGCTGAGGTGTAGGCGGATTCTAGGCCTTCGACATCCTCCGAAGTGTATGGGGAGAAGGCTGGGATCTCCGTCTCCTTTGCTGCTGCGCTCGAGGAGGAAGAGGAGGTCTCGGGTTCCTCTAGGTCGTCGAAGCCATCGCCTGAAGCTGATGAGGGAGCTGGTGTCTCAGTAGAGCTACTACTGCTCGCCTCAGCCGCAGAAGCTTCACTCGCAGACGCCGCTGATGCAGATGCCAAGGCAGCTTGTTCCACGCTCCCCTTCACCGTCTCAATGAACGAGTTCGTCTGCTCCAGACTCTTCCTTAACGTCTCCACCTTCTCCGGCCTCGCAAGACTCTCCGTTCGTCGCGACTTAATAGGTTCCACCAGCCCCTTCAACCCGGCCAGCTTCTCCCTCAGCACGGCTTCCGTCGCCTTGGTCACATCACCAGGGTTCTCCATGAACGATCTCGTGGTACCCAGAAGCTTGCCGATCTCCTCGCGCATGGTGTCGGTCGAAACGTCGACGTAGTCATCGTTGCCCAAGAAGTCTCGGACATAATAAGTGTAGCTCTCCAGCACATTCAAGGCCTCCTCTCGCGAAACACGAGCTTTGTCCGAGCGGTCGAAGGCAGCTAGTCGGTCGCGCATGCGCTTGAGGTCTGAGGGCTTGGGCTGTGGGAGGCCGAGAGGGGAAGTAGTGAAAGCGACAGGGATAGACTCGGTCCTCTTCTTCGGCTTTTCCAGGATCTTGGAAGCTGATGCGGTGCCAGAAGTAGAGGATGTGGACTTCGAAGATTTGCTCTTACTGCTCTTCGTAGACGTGGAAGTCTCAGCCTCGACCTCCTCAACCGGAATTTCCTCCTCGCCATCTTTCAACGGCTCCTGGTCCTTCTTACCTCCGAAACCCAGCCAGTCTTTCGCCGAGTCGATGACAGAGCCGCCTTCTTTCTTGACTGCACCCTCGACTTCACAGCTCACACTGCCGCCCACGACCTCCGGGAGTCCATCAACAGGACTCAACCTCAGGGAGAACTTCGTCTGTACATCTTCCTTCTCACAACCAAAATCACTATGCAACTTCTTCACCCCAGCCGTCAGGTTCGAACTCACAACACCGACCACGGCCCTATCACCACCCTCAACATTCTGCCACAAGGAGAATTCGAAATCCTCCTTATCCTTGAACGTAACCTGCTTTACCGCCGCTCCGCTACCGACGGGACTCTGCGCGGAAAAGATCTGCTGCCGTCGCTCCTTCCCACTTTCGCCACCTTCGCGGAATTTCATCCCGGCTGCGTACCCAGCCACGTCCGAATCCCTGATCTCCTTGACCTTGAAACTAGGGCTGAGACCAGCTCCTTTGAATGCAGCCCCGAAGACCGAAGACTCATCTGCGTTGACATTGGAGCGGAGGAGGTTCTTGTTCGCGGGTCCAACTAGTTCTTCCAACTTGCGCTGGACGAAAGGCGTCCTCACCGCGCCACCATGGAGGATGATGGAAGTGAGGTCGCTTATCTCCAGCTTCGCCGCAAAGAGAGCGTTCTCGATCGGTTCTGTGACGCGAGGGAGGAAGGACTCAGTCAACGTCTCGAATTCGGTGCGGGTGAGCTTGACACGGAAGTCGATTTCTGGTAAGATCTCCTCGAACGAACTGCTGGTCTCCGCATTAGCTGAGAGGACTTGCCGGGCTTTCTCCGCATCCTTCCACAGCCTCGACATGGCGCGGCCGTTGGATGTGATCTCCTCTGCCTTCGTGCCCCGGCTCTTCAGCACAGGCTTGGTGAGCAGTTTGTGCACGAAGTCGTCGAGAACGACCTGATTTAGCGCATCACCTCCTAGTGTCTTGTCCCAGCCTGTAGCCACGACTGCGACTTCTTGTACTGTCTTGTTGAACCTCCCTACATCCTTGACACTCCGACTCTGCATTCTCAGCAGCGTCGCGGTGGTAGATCCCGCACCCATGTCGTACACTACGTGATATTCCGGCTTCTCACCCTTACTGACCTCAGGAAAAGTCCTGCTTTTCGCATAGTCCAAGCCCACCGCCAAACCGTCCGTGATCAAAGCATTCACATTCAGGCCCGCTAATTCCGCAGCTCGTTGAACAGCTCGTCGTTCCTCTGCCGTATAGAAGCCCGGAATCGTGATCACAGCATCCTCCACAGACGAACCTTTGCCAGCCATGCTCTCGGCATTCCGTTTGATGCTCGCCAACTCCATCGCCAACAGCTCCTCCACACTCCATTGCGCCTCTGACGGGATGAAAGAAGAACTGGTCACTAGGACCGTTCCAGCCTCCTGATCCTGCCGTGCCTGCACAGCGGGATATCGAGAAGTATACACATCGACCGCATAATCCCACCCCCTCGTCTCCGTCCACTCCAGACCAAGCAGACTCTTCAAATTCGGGAAGACTTCACCCGGAAACCTCCCCTGTATCGCTAATGAATCACCGCCATATGCTCGTTCCGGGTAGACTCCTGCTTCGGCGAGGATCTCGTTCTTGGCACCTCGGGTGGGTTTGAAGGCTATGGAGGCAGCTTCTTTGCGCTTGGAGTCTTTTGTTAAGACGATTTCGAGGGGGATGCCGGGTTTGACCAGGGCGGCTTTGAGGAAGGCGGTGCCGAAGTCGACGCCGAGGACTGAGCCGGCGGCGTGGGTGGTTGGGATGAGGAGGGCGAGGAGGGTGAGGAGGAGGAGGGGAGGGAGGGAGAATATGGCGTTGGCTCGCCGGCGGCCGGGAGGTAGCATTGTGTGTATGTCTGTCCGTGTGGGTGGGTGGGTTGTCGTGTGCTTCACCGAAGCTTGAGGTGATAGGGTGGTGAGGAGATTAGGATTAGGACGACATTGAGTGAACAAGTCGTCGAGTCTTGAACAAGTGTCTATAGATCAAACGGTGAAACGTGGTAATCACGAGCGTGGCAATGTGTCCTTACAGTCCATACGCTAGCATTAATGTTTCCATCTGATAAAGTGATGATTTTAGCATGTGCCAGCTGTTCCCAAAAAAGTTGCCGCCAATGCCACTTCCCTTTCAGGGTCCATCCACATGCAACCGTCTGATCATGATTAGGCAAATGTAATGGACTAAAATATGATCGTGAATACACACTACGCAGTACGCTCATCGCGTAGTATACAGTATCACGAACCAAATGTCTGGCAGTATCAAAGCCCTAGTACCTTCCCGTCTCAACTTTATATGCTCCTAAGAGATCTCGCCTGCCCTAAGCGAAAGAAACACCCTTAGCTCCCATAACCCCCTCCTGCCTACTCTGCGGACTTCCACTGTTCTTCGTATCGAAGCTATGATTCCTCACCTCACCCAATTCATGCTGACTTTGACTCTTCTCCACATCCGACACGACTCCCCTTTCTCTAGTGCTCGAACGAGCTGTGGCGAGGGTGTAGAGTGCGAGGAAGAGGAGCAGGAGCTGCAGGATGAAGACGGGGATTGTTGTGTAGAAGGCGAAGCGCTGCACGACTAGTTAGTGTTGTGGATCTTGGGAGGCGGTGCGAGGACGTACTGTTTCATGGCAGATAGTATCGAAGCCTGATGGTGGACCTTGGCCACGGTTGATAGAAGTGCTGCTCCATCGACAGGTCCAGGTTTGAAGAGTATCTCTCCCAGGTGCTTGACCGTTCACGATAGTCGGGAAAATGATAGCGATAAGTGAGCAAACAACGCTTAGGATCGAGGTGGCGAGAACGATGACATTTGCTGGGAGCTGCTTCATCGGTCAGCCATGGCCAGAGCTCCACAAGATGCAATACCAACTGACCTTCTTCACGAACAATGATATAGCAAGCACAACATTAAGCACCAGAATGGCCGCCGATGTCCCGATCAAGGCCTGTAGCTCGCGTGTATCGAAGTGATTAGGCCAGATGGGTAATAACCAGACATTAATCTTCTGCTCGGTAACGAAGAAGTTTATCGTCTGGCCTGCACAGCCGATGATGGCGAGATTGAGGCAGATGGATAACGCCGCGAAGGCGAGTGTGGGCATGCGTAGTTTGGTGGCCATCTTGATCGAAGGTGGAGGTAAGGAACGTGGGTAGGACTGTTGCTCGAAAAAAGGAGGGTACTGGGTAGTCTGTGAGGTGACCACGACCGACGGACAGACGCAGGTGAGAGGCCCTCTGGTGTCTTGGTCGGGTGCGAGCCTTGTATACTTGACCCTTCACCTACCTGGACAATTGTAAGAGGAAATCCCACCTACCATCGCTAAGCACTTCATCCCACACTATATCTAGACGCCCACGATATATCTCACAAGCGTGATACTGCACCTGACCCCGCATACAGCAGGCGGTCTTCCGAGAGGTCACTAGTGCATAGCACAGCGAGACCGTAAGCCTGAAGTGTCATCCAACCTATCTGGAGGCCAGAGGTCATTGCCAACGATTCGGCCAGTAAGTATCCGGCTAGAGTGATGTGTAAAAAGCGTCTTCATGAGCATCGTGGTTGGTGGCCATGATGTCCTTGAAACGAGAGACGTATGTTCGAGGGGTTGTACAGCGCTTGCGGGTGTTGAGGTTTTGGATAGCGAAGCCGAGTTATTGGTCCACGGTTTGGGGCTGGGCGCTTGCGGGATGACAGGTCTCTTTACTGTCCATAGGTATCGTACTCAGATAGACTGCGTGCTAGATTCATCACGATGCGACATGGCTTGTCAAGGTGGGTGATGACTCGATGAGGTGAAGAATGTAGTAATTGTTCAGACGGTCGAGAATGAGCTCTCACAGCAGCATGGCCCGTGCATCGCTTTCGCCACCGCTTTGGCTCATGCTCCACCCCGAATGACTCACATATCAGGCTTCAAGACCCGTACGACAACCACGCCCAGCGAAAGATCTCATCATGAGTCTTGTGACCTGACCAGCGAAGTCGGAAGACTAAGATATGAGTCGGGATGACACGACTATCTACCAGTGAAAATCCATATATAGCCAAAGGATAAGTACTTGCACCCGCATCCCTCTCAAGCACATTTCCACTAAAAAATTTCACAATACCAATATAGACGACATGGGACAAAAGCACAATCGCAAGCGTACACGCCACCACTCCATGCGTTCAGGACGAAGAACGTTAGAGCTGGAGCCATCACCTATTCAACCTGCACCACTTCTATCACATGGTAGCTCCGCTATACCAGCAACACGATCGGTAAATTGGTCTTACGCAACATCATGTACAAGTCCACGCCATAGATTCGAGACGGCTGCAGATCGCGAGCGGAGGATATTTGGGGGAGTGGAAGGCGAGGACGACAGGACGACGGAGGCTGCGAAGTTGAAGGGCGCAATGCTCGACGTGGTACTCGGATTGTTCAATGGCGTCGATTTCGACGAGGATGGGATGATGTAGCTGCTTCTGTGCTTGCTTAGCGAAGGCGCTTGGGTGATTCGGGAGACCAGACCTGGATAGAAGGACTTGTGGCGACACACCCTTGAACAACAACTTGGATAGAAATATGATGGACGGCTAGAACGCATGTACACCAGCCACCGCAGCGACCAAAAGTCTACCGACCCACTGTTGACCCATATAGCTGTCACTAATTTGTTTCACCACCAAGCACCCTTCTTCTTAGCAGCTTCCTCATCCGAATCCGTCTCCGTGTCCGTCTCAGACACACTCTCCTCATCCTCATCAGTCCCACTCTCATAATCGCTCTCCTCACCCTCACCCTCCTTCCCACCCTTAGCCTGTATAGCCTTCCTCTGCTCATCCCTCCTCCTCTGCCTCTCCGCCCTCGCAGCCTCCTTCGCCTCCCTTTCCGCCGGATCACTCGTCGGCTGTCCTCGCAAACTAGCCATCTGTCCCGCAATACTATCCTCCTCGGGCTCAGAGATGTCGTCTTCCGCGACTTCCTCCACGTCCGCAGGGATCGAGGCCGGGTCGGCGATATCCATTATAGCATCCTGCTTGTGATCGAAACCAATATAGCTGTCGCAAATGACATTCATTTGAAATCTATACTCTCCCGCTTGCGGCGGAGCCTGGAATTGCATCTTCAAGGTCACGACCTCGAAAGTGGGTTTCAGACTCCCCTTCCCATCGTCCTCGAAAGCCATCTTATCAAATGTGCTGAAGGTGAAAGGCGGTACGGCAATCTTGCCTTGTCTGTTATCGGCCAAGAAGATATGCCAGCGTGGACTCCGGTCTTTGGCCAGGTAAGGGGCGTGCGCGAAGGGTATAGGATGTTGCTCGATTTCTTTCTTTTGCGCTTCAATGTCGCCTTCGGCTGGGTCGATGTCCTGGAGATCAGAGTCCTTGAGAGGTGGGATCGCAGAGGCGGGTGTGCCGGGTGGAATGAAGCGTGCCTTGACCACGAACTGTACCAGTGAAGATGGTAGTAGGTGCTTTTCACCCTGAACCTTGAAGAATGCCTTCTCGATTTTGAGGAGAGGAAGTTGTTTTGCCACACTTTCTGCCGCGCTCAGGTGGTTCTTCGAGAGACCGGCTGCTGTGGCCAGCGCTTGTCGTTGTTCGGCTGGTAGTGCCATAAAGTTTTGGATGGTCAGGTGTTCTTTCTTGGCACCCGCGACCGTCTTTTGCTCGATGGTTTGCACGGTACTGGGCGTGAAGTGTGGCAGCTGCATGAGCGGCAGGCGATCTGTGCCTGGCGCTACTGCTTGCACTAAACTTTGGCTTAGATGGTACGAGGCCAAGACTGGCGATGTGAAGCCATATGCTAAAGAGATTGAAACGAAAGCCTCATTCATCTGTAGAGTCGTAGGAGCCAGCTCGTACTTCTCAGCCTCAAGGCTCTTGTCATCCAGCTCCAGTCTTGAGAGATATGCCCAGATAAGAGCCAATGTCTTGCGTCTAGCTGCCTCCTCAGACTCCTCCAGCTTCCTCTTGTCCTTGGCCAGCATACCCGTCTCCGAGCTGTCCGCAGCCTGCAGCTTCTTCTCCAGCTTCCCCAGTCCAGCATCTGCATTCGCACCACTCAGAATCTCCTTGTACTCCATAGCACTGCTGACCGCAGCCACAACATCACCCTCATCCATGCGCTCCTTGAACTCCCTGAACATGTTCCCAGCCGTTGTGATCAGCACCTTCTCCTTAGTAAGCTTCTGCATACCATACCACCACTTCCCAACCAGCCACGGCAGACCAATACCCAGCAGCAAACCATAGAGAACCAGCACATACTTTCCACTTCCCTCGGCAACCAAAAACTGCGGCAGCGCAATGCCGAAACTAGTCGACTGCTTCCCATCCGGATTGCCATACTGCACATAATTATTTCTCACCTCCTCGTCCGTCAAAGCCTTGTACGCCTTCACAATCTCGACCCACTGATCATTCACACTCTCGCTCGTCTCATTGAGCGCAGGGTTTGGCTGCCGCTTATCAGGATGCATCGTTACCGACAATCTGCGATATCGGCTATTGATCTGCTTCTCGCTCGCACTGAGGCCGACATCGAGGATATCGTAGGGATTCCAAATCTTGGGTTGGGCACGTGCAGTCACGGCCATGAGGTAGACCATCCAGGCTATAGTTAGCCATCCTGAGACGGCGAAGAGGATGCGTTTGAGGCGGAGTTCTTTGCGTTTTTGCTTGGCGCGTTGGGTGTCGATTATGTCCGAGTTGTCTGGTTGGTATTCGGAATTGATATGTGCAGCTCTCTTCGAGGTGGTGGCACCGTCTGAAGGGGCGCGGAGTAGGGTGTATGTCAAGGGGATCGTTGTGAGAGACGTTATGGTCAAGACGAAGAAAGGGAAGAACTGCGCATCCGCATCGTAGTTGTACTCGGAGGACATTGTGCAGTTGTTTGGGCCAGGGCCGGAGAGTCAGAGAGGCTGTCCTAGCTCAGTGTCAAGTGTGTGGTCGAGGGAGTGTTGTGGCGAACGATCAACGCTCGCCTCTAGTGGTGCGTGAATGGAAAGCTGTGATTATTTCGAGATCATGAACTAGGTCTATGATAATTCCACGCACATGCAAATGCCACCTACACATCTGTGGAGGAGGGCGCCACTGCGGAACTGGTCCGCTCCGCAAAGAAGTAATAAGATGCATCAAAGCTGCGCTGCGGCATTTTCAACTACACGATCTACATGACATTCCTGACGATGTCCGCGGCTCTTGCAACGGCAAAGCCGAATGCCGGTAGTAGCATGATAACGACACTAGCGGTACGAGTGCCCTGGTTGACGGGGCGGAGAATATGAGGCCGGGCTGGAAGACAGAGGCAAAGATGCACATGATGCGCTGGAAGGCTCGACTGGTGAGCGACCACAGCCTCGTCAGTCAGCTCAACAGTTGATTTCTCGTTTCCATCGAAAACTCGAGGTAGCGTCCTACGATCAACTTCAACACAACTCACAATGCCATCAGACTTCGAACTAGTCTTCGGCTGTGGACCAGATCAGATTGTGCCACCAATGAAGACCTTAACATATGCATTCGGGACCGCGGACCAAGCTGAACATCCATGTGTAGGGTGTCTGCGATCTGGCTTCATTGGAGAAGTAGTAGAAGCCGCCTCACGCATGCGGCAGCGTGCTAAGACCGACAAGGCAGACCCGACATACGTAGAGACATTATTCCTGAAGTACAATCATCTGGCAGAAGATCTGGGACCGGGCGAAACTTCATGCCGTTTCTGTGATTTCATTCGCACGCGGCTCAAAAGGGCGGTCAAAGTCGACGAAGTGAAGAATAACCTTGAGAAAACGCCTAAGCTATTATTCTATTCCCACAATGACAGCGATCCTGGCATGCACGAGTATCGCGAGCACACTTTAAATCTTTTCGTTAGCCCAGTGGGGACATCTTCTGCTCTCGAATATGTGGCAAGCTTCTCGCTAGCTCCAATGCTAGGTATAGGGGCTCGTAGACCTGTTGACAAGGATACGCTAACAGCTCCATCAGATCACAGAGAATCTCGATCTGCCTCATATCCTCACTTGCTACGATTCTCCTCCGAGCATGCGAAGGATTCATCGGCGCAGCAGAGGTTGCGCGACTGGCTGAAAGCTTGCGAGCAGCATGAGTCATGCACAAGACATGGGCTGCTAAGTCTTCCAGCCAGAGTTATCGATGTCGGCACGCCTAAATCTCCTGCTTTGCGTCTCCACAGATCGCGCACGGAGGAAAGAGCGTATTACCTTACGCTTAGTTATTGCTGGGGCGGATATGATGATGTGAAACTGCTAGCTGGTAACCTAGAAGACTTTCAGAAATCTATCGATGAACACAAATTACCGCAGACCTATCGAGATGTTGTCTGGATGGCCCGTCAATTGAGGGTGCGGTACCTCTGGATAGATGCGTTTTGCATAGTTCAAAACGATGCCATGGACTGGAAAGCGCAAAGCGACCAAATGCATCATATCTACGGAAACGCTTACCTGACTATATGCGCTTCAAGTGCTTCGAGTCCCTTCGATGGCTTCCTTCACGAGCGAGGTCTTGACGGTTTTACGCACGTCCATGTTGGCGCCTTGTCCCATGCAGACGTCTTTTACCCCATCTACCTGACCTCAGACCGGGGAGGCGCCGCTCGGAGCCTCCATCACTCAGAATGCGGCGCCTTGCGTTACGACCCATTGACCTCGCGTGCATGGGCTGTATAGGAAAGGCTCCTCTCGAAGCGTGTGCTCTAATTCACCCAGGAAGCAATGATTTGGCAGTGCGGTCATGTCACTGAAGTAGAGAGCGGAGTGTCTACAGGCCCCCAGCGGGGTCTACTATCAGCGTTGCAGCACCGACCATCGCCAGAGGACCAGGCTGCTTTGAGAGAAGCTTTCTACGACACTGTCATGGATTACACAAACTGTAATCTGAGCCGGCCTCAAGACCGTTTGCCTGCCATCGGCAGCTATGTCGCTGCATTGCAATCGCTGTCCCCAGACATGGTGTACATAGCAGGGCACTGGGTAGAGGACATGGTGAGCTCCTTACTCTGGAGGTCCGCGCACAAGGGACGCAACAAGCTTCATCTGGCACCATCTTGGTCGTGGGCATCAATGGCTCGCAATGTGGCATCTTACAATTACGATCACTGCGAGCCTTTGGCTACGCTTCTGCGGTACCATGACGGCCAGGCCAGACACAATGAAGACGCAACTCCATTGACCACATTTCTAGAAATCTCAGCCCCACTCGCCACGGGCACGATCTCCTCCAGGCCACATAGACGAGAGGGGATATACGCGGATTATTTCCGATCGGACATGTTCCCGTTCGACGAAATCATGGTAACATCTCACCTGGACGATCATTTACCACTCGAAATGTTCACTTGCATTGTTCTACGAAGACGTAGAACAGATTTCGGGTAAGAACTACCATCTATACTACGGCCTAATCCTCCGAACGATCAGAGCAGACATTTCCACATTCGAGCGAGTGGGTAAGCTCACAGGCTCTGACATGCCTAAACCAGGACGAGCGTGCTTTCGTAATAGCACTTCCAAATTGATCTGAAACTCACACAACGCTCGGGAGCATCTGGATGAGGAAGTTCGCATGCCGTCGCCAGACTCATTACTTTATAATCGCGGCATCAGATAGCAAAGCACCGCCTGTGTGTGTGTGTGTGTGTGTGTGTGTGTAAACGGTAGCAAAAGCTGCGCTCTTGACCGATTCGAAGCATTCTCGGTGGCTCACTCATTCACAATTAGTGTCAGCTGGCTGGCGCGAGCTTCGAAGTCGATACCGTCGGCGGCGAACCAGAAACTGTCACCATCTTTGGATACGGAGAGATCCGCTTCGAATCTTGTGCTTACAAGATAGATCCACAAGGGACTATCGATGTTGAGCACATTGTACGTCTTCGATTCCACAATACAGTATCGCGCACAAAGTTGCTTGGCGTGCCTGCCAAATGCGGAGAAGTTCTTGGGCATCGCGTGGCATCCGGTATCCACCGATGATCACCCCAACGAGAAGAGGGCGCAGCTAGGCCTGGATTACCCGTAGCTGCATTGGCATGGACACGACACAGCACGTCTTTGGGGCGCCTGTGCTTGATTTCCCCTTGTCACGATCTTGGATGTTGGAGACCCTACCATATCGCTACGGCATAGCTTCGGTAGGAACAATGCCAGGGCTTGTCAGAGTTCCTGGAGTCGGGACTGTGAAACTCAGCTTCAAGGCATTGATAGTGCGCGACTTCTCGTGTTACTGAAGCTGTGCATTCTGATCCAGTTCAGGTGGCACATAAGATCACAAAACGCCGCCCGAAAGATTCCTATCCTGCAGGCCGCTTTGTCTTAGACATTCAGATCGTCTTGTTGCCTTCATTCAAGGCTAGTGTCCAAGAGTCGACGCAGTTCCAAGCCAACCATGACGGACCTCAAGCAGGAGCATGCAGTTCATGTTGAACAGCCGACCACATACGCGCCCGACGATAAGTTGCATCAGACAGTCACTAATGCATCTACCATCGATGGCGATGATCTTGAAAAGAAACAGGTCGCTGGCTTTGATTATTCAGGTGCCCATGAGAAGACCGATCCAAGGGAAATAGCTCTAGTGAAGAAGCTGGATCGGTGGATCATGCCGATGTAAGTTGAGCTTCGCTCTAGACATATCCCGAGTCCTCGATCAAACTGACTGACCCTCAGGCTATGGATCATGTACTGGCTGAACTATCTCGATCGCAACGCAATCGCACTCGCCCGCTTGAACGGCATGGAAGACGACCTAGGACTTGAAGGCTCACAGTACAATACTTGCATCTCGACCCTCTTCGTCGGCTACATCCTGGGCCAAGTGCCATCCAACATGCTTCTGACTCGCGTGCGACCTAGCTGGTACATGGCAGGCTTCATGGCGCTGTGGGCCATCGTGTCATCGATGACGGCGCTGAGCCAGAACTTCACTGGGCTATTGTTGACGAGATTCTTCTTGGGAGTTACTGAGGCTCCGTACTATCCTGGTGCTTTGGTATGTTCTCGTGGCATTCATCTGTATTCGGTTGAGCTGACTGGAGTCATGATTAGTACATTCTTAGCATCTTCTATACCCGTAAGGAGATCGCTACTCGCATTTCGATCTTGTATACTGGCAACATCCTTGCAACAGCCTTTGCCGGTCTCATCGCTGCTGGCATCTTCAGTGGCATGGACGGACTTGCCGGGGTGGAGGGTTGGAGATGGTATGTTTGACATCCATGATATGCAAAGATGCGACTTCTGATCGATCAAAGGCTGTTCATCCTGCTCGGCATCATCACTTTCGTGATCGCCGTGGCATCAGCTTTCGTACTACCCAACGACCCTACACAGACCTGGTGGCTTACAATAGAAGAGCGCGAGCTTGCCAATGGCCGTATAGTGTCCGACACGGTTGGTGGGAAGTCGAAGACCAGCACAGTCGCTGGCCTAAAAGAAGCCGCCTCCGATCCCAAGGTCTGGTTGTTCGCCTTCATGCAGCATATGCACCTGGCGGCGAACGGCTTCAAGAACTTCTTCCCGACCGCCGTTGAGACTCTGGGCTTCACGGACACCATCACCCTTGTGCTTACTTGCCCACCATATCTCATTGCTGGTTTCATCAGCATTGCCTGGTCATGGTCTAGTGGACGCTTCAACGAGCGTACATGGCATATTACCGCGGCTAAAGCCGTAGCCGTCTTTGGATTCGTCCTTGGCTGTGCAACGCTCAACACTGGAGCCAGGTACTTCTCGATGTGTGTCTTCGCCATCGGTACATATGCTGTCAATAGTATCATCTTAGGCTGGGTCAGCAGCACATGCGGGCAGACGAAGGAGAAGAAAGCCAGTGCTCTGGCGATCGTCAACACTATTGCCAATGCAAGCTTCATTTGGACTCCCGTACGTACATCCTGCAGTCGTGTGGCATCATAAAATGACACCTCACCCTACAGTACCTCTGGCCAAAGTCGGACGCGCCACGGTATGCTATCGCGATGGCGTCGAGTGCCGGTTTTTCGATCGCTGCCGCTGGCGCTGCTTGGGTCATGAAGGTGTGGTTGAAGAAGCTGAACAACAGGCTGAGGCAGACTGAAGACGAGACGATCTTGCGATACGCTTACTGATTCCGGGATAGCCAGTCTGCCTGCTGCACTATCTTGATAGATTTGTCGAAAGCGAGAGGGATGATGATTTGGTTGGGTATCCACAGGTGTCAGTCGTGGTACGGTCCGTTTCTGATATGAGTGTATGCTTCGTATCCAGATTGTTCCCGAGATGCCTCTCCCTTACTCCCATCACCATTGACAGCTTCCAACTAGAAGCTGAGCGGTCAACCATAAATGAAAGGTTATGCGCTATCCCTCGTGTCGTGGCTTCGAACAACCACAGCTGAAGATCGCGTTAATCTCTCTTACTGTACCACAATGAGCCAGACAAGACGTCTTGGCTAGATCATACAGTACAGATCATTGCTCGGCAATCTCACCATGAAGGACTGCTTTTGGAGTGTCGCTCCCCAATCGCAACAATATGCACGATAGCACAGACCGAGGTTCTCGATGCGGCTCGCACCTGCAGATCACAGAATCTTAATGTAAGACTGCCGCGTGGAGTTGGTCTCGGCGTTCTCCAGTCTTTTTCTCCTGAGCTCTGCGTTATCCTGATCTGACACGATTGCAGCCTTGAAAACGTTTCATCCAGCCGCGGGGAGATAGTCGGTTGACCGCGACCCAGATCTTGCATCAAAACACAAGGGGTTGTGCGATGCCACGCGGACGTCTCGGTGTGCAGCATAACTCCTAATAAGCGGCCGCAGGATACATTCGGACCTCTCTCGAAACAGCCTCTCTCGTCGACGCCGAAGAAAAGAAAGCATGAATAATACAGCTTGCTATTATTACTATAGACACATCAAACGTGCCTATTTCTAGCGCAGTGAGAGGGCGAAGTGACAGGGGCTCGCCGAAGGGACCGAGGGACCCAACGTAAGCCGCCCGCCACCAACGCCTGGAACGCCTCAAACGCCTCGAATCGCCATCGCGCCGTGGCCTTAATCTGTATAGTGCTTGTTACAGGATATGCACGATCCCGCATGCAATCATGAAGCGAGTGCCGATCACACGTTAAGTACTTTGGCCAGGAACGTGGTGTGCTGTCGCGTGGTGTTCCTGACGGTTTTGTGATCGACAACCACACTCAATTGACAGAGTTCCTCCCTTTCGTCTAGTCTTGCACAGCTGTAATTCGTTTGAAATACTTGGCGGGTACCAAGCACATCTGCCACGCAGGAGAGACTTTGCACTATCAGATTGCTCCGTCTGGACCGGGGATTGCGAACTCCTGAGTGTCGGACTCCTGCGGACATTTATAGTGTCATCCTCTGCTGCCCGCAGAGAGACACGGACATCATCTACTTTGACGACCGGGTACGACGACACCAGCCATGTCTATCATGCGATCGATGACCTCGCGGCTGCGAAAGCAGAACGGCGATGGTGGAGTTCGCAAAGCCTTAAGGCAACTTCAACCTGTGGAATCGATGAAGAATCTGGAGGAGGAAACAGCAGGGGACTACCAACGACGAGAGTTCTACCCTGTTCTGATTGGCATGACCTTGCAAAGCCGATATGAAGTGCTCGCAAAACTTGGCTGGGGAAGTGGCTCGACAGTCTGGTTCTGCAAAGATCAATTGTGCGTGTCCGAGCATTAATCTGCAACAATGGTGATCACCACTAACACTGCACTTCAGAACAAAACGCTACGTAGCAGTGAAGGTATGCACAGTCCAACTTGCTGCCGATGGAAGTCGACACGTTCAGCAACGATTGGAATGGAAGGCCTACAGCCGGCTCTCCGGCATGGAAACCACTCACGAAGGCGTGCGGTTCATCCGTGAAATTCTGGAACGATTCGACTTGATGGGACCTTCAGGAGCAGAACACCCATGCTTTGTTTTCGATGTTGCTGGTTTGCATCTGCAAGATCTGGAAAGAATCTACCCAGGTAGTCGACTGCCGATCAACCTGACCAAAGATGTTCTTAAGAACATTCTCAAAGCCATGGACTTCTTACACACTGAGGCTGGAATCGTACACACTGATATCAAGAAGGACAACATCTTCTTCCCAGCGAGCCAACGATGCTGTGCTCTGTTCGCTGAACGATTGGCAAGACAGAAACCGGCTGGTAAGCACGATGGGCAGAGCAATAACATCGTCTACAAGTCGGTCAAGTTTACGGATCTGCTCTCGAGTCAGGAGATGTCTCTCGGACGACCAGTATTGGGCGACTTCAGCGAAGCACAAATCATCAAAGACGGTCGATACGGACTTCCACCACGACTTGTGGGACCTGAGCCTTTCCGATCTCCAGAATCGATCGTAGGCATGCCACTGAATACTGGTCTGGACCTCTGGGCTTTCAGCCAAATGGCTTTCTCGATGATGTCTCATCGCTTGCTCTTGACAGTCTATGATAGCGATGGAGATTGGTCACCGACTATGCAACTCGCGCAAATGCAGGCACTAATGGGCCCACCTCCAAGAGTGATACTGGTGCAGAGCAGGTACGCTCTAAACTACTGGAATGACGATGGGAGCTGGAAACACAGCAATCGCCGAGGACCATCAGACTTCGACAACGAGCTCGACACCGCGCTCGAGACGGCTGACTCTGCCGCCCATGGCTACCTCATCGAGTTCCTCCGATGCATCTTCAAATGGCTGCCAGAAGAGCGTGCTACAGCTTCGAAGCTCCTGCATCATCGTTTCCTGGACGCGGCGTACGTGGACGATGTACCCTTTGAGCAGCCAGCCGCGGCGCCCGCTGTTCAGGAGCACCGGTATCAGCATCAGCCTCAGACTCGGCCTCAGCACAATCGACAGCAGTCTTTCCAGCAGGATCCTGAGAAGCTGGACCGGAATGTTGACCGGAGACCTCAGACTGCTTCAGCGGCAGGCAAGCCGAGCATGGATGTTGCGTGCCAGGAGTTGAAGCAGATGAAGAGGAAGCAGAGTGTGCTCAGGCGGGCGTTCATGGGCTAAACAGTTCGTGCTTGTTTTGACATGACGAACTTCAGTCTGAAATGGCGTGGGTGAGAATTAGGTACGCGAACATTGACTTCAATTTCAGTGATTATGATCACTAACGAGACGACTAGTTTCGGGTTGGTTCGACACAGCTACGGACTTCCACTACCAACCACGTTTCCTCGCACCGATGATGGCATTCAGACACTTCCCAACCGCTTCGAGATCACCCAACAGTGTGACATGACCACGTTCACTACTCACCACGCCATTCCTCACAGTGGTATAGCCCTCGGGAACCATGGCCGCTTTCGCAAGGACCACACCATCTCCAGATGCAAAAGCCAGCTCGTCATATGCATCCGCACGCTTGATGCCATCCCGTCCCTTCACTTTCGCACCATAGACCGTGGGAGTCGACTTGCCGTATATGACGGCTATGGGTGGGTATGCGTTCTTCGCCGCATGGGCGGGCTGAAAAGCGAGTTCTTGCTTGAACTTCTTGATTGTGGCTAGGGTGCGTGTGAGGTATGCAACTGCTTCTTCTCGTGGTATGGTGACGGCTGTGCGGACGGAAGTGGAAGTGTCGGCATCTGGAGATCGATTGAGGCCGGTGCGGTCGATATTGCCGTTCATCATCGTTTCTGCGGATTGTCCGTTGGACATACTAGAGGGCTCAGTGACTTGAGATGCGGCCTCGGTTGCTATTGAAGGCGCCTTGGACTGGTTGAGACTGTTCTTGCGGCCTGGAATCGGAAGACTAGGCAATGCGTTCGTCATGGAGCTCACGTAGCCTGCGAGACCTGTGGGCTTTTCTGGCGCCGTAAGAGGTGGTAGTGGTCGACCCACACACGGGGACCAGCGGTTCTCAATCCAATAATTCGGATCGAAGAAATCCACTGGGTACTCCTCCTTGGTATTCTTGTCGAAAAAGCATCTTCCATCCAGTGGCAGAAGCGCGAAGCTTGTGCGGATCGTGAAGTTGACTTGAGCCGTCAGGACCCGAGAACTCAGCAAGACTTCATCGCCATTCCGCATTGGTCCGAGGATGTTCACGCATGTATGTGGTACGCCAGCGTACACTACACCGCGGAACAGCTCAGGTCGTTGATTGACCGCATGTCGGGTGACAAGGCCACCAAGAGAGTGAGCAATCACAGTCGCGCCGCGTTTGCTTTTAGGCGTACCAGGACGATTACACTGGAGTCCTTCCAGGAACTCGATCAGCTTTTGACTCAGATATAGAGGATGTAGGCGCCAATCATATCCATAATCATGCACCCGCAGCCTCCTCTCATGTGCATTCTGACATCCTCGTAATCGTTTGAAGAGCCGTCGTGAGATGTCCACGGGCCCGATATGTGTTAGCATCCCTCCTGCTATCACTTTATCACTTGGTCGGTAATCGTCTTCTTCTTTTATGCCGAGTTCGAGGTCAGCTTTTCGCAGGTTCAGGCCTACTTTCACCGGCACCCAGAGTTGACGATGTGGTGGCTCGGCGGAGCGAAGGATGCTGCCGCGGTAGCCTCCCAGCACCACCACATCACCCTCAAGCTGTGCGAGAGCGCGGCTGAAGTGCGGATGTGTAGAGGGTTTAGTACTGTCGGCCACGGCATTCTTGGTGGAGTGCCAGGGCTGGCGAGTCATGGGATCAACTGGTTTGGCGTCATCTGTTATGATGCTACTGCTGTCGTTGCCGTCCTTCTTGCCGAAAGAAGCAGAACGTTCTCGCAAAAAGTCTGGCTTGAAGCTCGCGAGGCTGGGTAGTTTGATATTTGAGTCTTGCCAGCTGTCTTTGATGGCTTTCAACCGACTGTTGACTTGTTCTGAGACATGTTCGAAGCGCGTGTCGTCGCCCAAGGATGATACTCGTGATAGTGTACGATGTGTAATAAGTGATGTGTCGGATGCTGAGCGTCTGAGCTGAGATTGTCGAGATCGTACACGCCGGAGTTGAGGCCTGGTAGGCAGTTCTCCGATCGTGGCTTCGGCCTCTTCCTCTTCACGTGGCGACTCCACGCGGACCAAGTTCGTTACCATTGACTCGCTTTCGGATCGTTGGCGTACAAGCCTTCTAGGTTCACTGTTACGCAGAGATGATGGCGGGCCGGAAGTTGCGCTTCTTACCGCAGTAGAGTCATTGGTGCTCGCATCGGTGCTTGTAGAGAATGGGGAGCTTAATGAAAAGTGTCGAGGCATGGACGGGAGACTTGACATGAAAGATCGCTGCCAACTATCGAGGGTGGATTCTGTTGTGGCAGACGCTCCTCTTCGATGGAAAGAAGATAGACCGTCGCGTAGCAGTGACTTTTTCTTCTCTGGTGCTCGCCACGGTGAAGGCAGTCTGATCTGTGTCCCGCGTCGTGACAGCTCATGTACCGCCTCCCTGCCCCGTGCTGCTGCATTGTCCTCTTCTCCCTTTACTGTCGCTGTGGCATCCACACGATCCTTTTCCTCATCGTCTAGGACGCCCACATCTCCTCGTGGCTCGATTCCGGGCGTCTCCGCTTCCGCTATGCCATCCAAGCTGCTGCCGAAGAATCCACCTGCTTCCTCAATTGCCTGGGCTTTCTCGACTGCTGGAGTACGTGGAGAATTGAGGCGAGTCTGCTCATGACCAATACTGACACCTATCGCTGTTGTAGCATCGTCTTCTGGTCCTCCCGGCGCACCGGTCCCCTCATCCTCAGAAGATGTAGCCAGGTCTTGAGTAAGTAGGTCATTCAGGTGCAGGTCGGCCAGGGCTCGTGGTTTGCTTGTTGCTTGTGGATCATCAGACATGGTTGGCGTGGACTGTAGCTTAGTGAACACGATACACGACGCTCATGAACACAGGAAAGACATCCCATGGCATAAAACGGAAACAACGGAGCTCATCGGCTAGACAACGTGCCGGATATCCAGGAACGCCCAGCGCATCCGCTGCTCAGTGGAAGGAAGACATAGGAGAAAGTTGTGATGGCTACTCATATTGGCATTTGAGAAGGTAGAAGTCGGACGTGTCAGCAGGGTTGTGACCGTACAGGATACGACCGGAGGGATCCGCATTCGCGATTGTTGATGCAATGACGATGGAGCATCGGCTCTGGCTGGATCAAGCTTTCTGTTCAACTGTCAGCCGGTTCCGAGTGTGGCTTGGGTCGTCGATCATGCGTCTGGTCAATTATTCGTTTTCCGACCTGTCGTGTTATCTGTCCCGTCTGGGCGTTTATCCAAGTTTGTAAGGAGGGACGGTTCTGTAGATATGTAAGAACATGCCAACAGCAGAGCCAGGAGAATGTCATCTTCGAGGTCCGGCATGGTCAGTCGGGCTATCCTCGGTCGTCTACCCTGAGGCATTATAAGTAAAAATTGATACAGATTGTGGCATTGATTCGTCAAATCAGATGTTGAGTTTCGACTTCCATGATTAGCCTCAATGGGTAAGTTTGAATCGTTGGCAAATATCGTCGTGCTACGAAGCTAACTCCGAGAAGCGCAGTGGTAACGCGTCGCACTTGTATTGCTGTCCACTGGATCAATCCACCATGCGAAGATCCCTGGTTCAATTCCAGGTTGAGGCAGTCTCTACGATCTTCGGCAGCATCATGCTGTCACGTCTTTTTGCCATTTCGACGATCTAGGTTCGACATCGTTTTTGTGGTGTGAAAGTGGAGTCAACGGTGTGCGGACAACGGATTCATGTAGCGCCTTCAGTACATAATGAACAACTACGTCGAAACAAGGACAGAAGTACCAGGGGAGAGTACCTACTAAAGAATCCTCGTGTTATCCTGGATGTCTCAATTTGCGCAGCTTGCAGCTCGAAATCAGGGCTAAAGACACCGAGATGAAGAAGGGGTCGATTGAGGTCTACCAGCGTCACCAGCAGATGATCGAAAGTACTTCTAGGGGTCGAGTTATGGCCAAGCCGACGAATTATCGAGTCGAGTTCACGAGCACAGCCTCCCACCGTGCGTATTACGGTCATAGCAATGGCTAGCAGGATCTCTGAAAGCGCCAGCCATACTTGAGCTTGGTCAGATGGGCATCATAAGCAGCGACGATGGTTCGAACGGATGACAAGCGTTGGTTCAACTGAAGCAAACTTGGATAGCTAAGTAGCTATTGTGTAATCGAGAGAAGAAAACTCCCAAATCAAAAGCCTCAAAGTGGTGAAGTACAGTGTCTCCCGCTTCGAGACAAGTCCCCATCCTTCGACGACATGGTTGCGCACCTCACGCATTGCACTGTGCGTCTCGCAAGAATCCCGTTCCCTCCTGAAATATCCTCGGTGATCAGGACTTCGGGAAGAGGAGACAAATTACCATCCTGAGAATCCTGAGGATCCACCCCAGCCTCCTCCGTTACCTGCAGCTTCACCTCCGCCGTTTCCACCAGCGGGGGGAGCAGCTTTACCACCGGAAGGGGGAGGAGCCGCGCCACCAGCAGGGGGAGATTTAGCACCACCAGCAGGAGGAGGGTTCGCGCCGCCAGGAGGAGGAGGGTTCGCGCCGCCAGCCGGGGGAGGAGCCGCGCCGCCAGCAGGGGGAGGTTTCGCACCACCAGCAGGGGGAGGAGCCGCACCGTCTTTAGGAGGAGGGTTCGCACCGCCAGCAGGCGGAGCAGGCGGGGCTGGAGCAGGAGGTGGTGGAGGCGGAGCTGGAAGAGCCAAAGCTGGAGGTGGTGGCTTACTGAAGGTTAGAAATTTTGCATGACGAGAGCCGCAGTGGAAGTGAGGACTCTTACCGGGACCTTAGAAGCTGTCGGCGTTGGGACAGACATCGAGCTCGAGGTCGATGATGACACAGGCCATCCGTCGTTGGACGGCCAGCTGGAGTCGCGTCGATCGACGGCAGTCGGGGCTGCGACGGCACAGAGGCCGAAAGCAAGAGCGGCAGCGATAGTGGCTCTCATCTTGTCGGTCGAGTAAGGAGAGTCTGAGCGAGTGTGGTTGTGGTGAAGATGAAGGAATGGTAACGACGGTGGAGATTCAGTAGAGGAGGAAAGTCTTAGATATGAGTGAGTGGTCCGCAACTTGTCTTTATAACAGTGGTCGCCTCGAAGTGTCGATTGCCATTATGTGCCGTAGGGGCGATTCGTCTGTGTTTGTCTTGTGCTTAGACCACCAATGTCGATTTGTAGATGCCGGGTTCCATGAACAACGTTCAAGAATACGAGAGGGCAAGAGCCAATCTCTGTATCGAGTCAGGAATCGGACGGAAGCAGCTCAGCTGGATGCTACCACCATATGCAGATCAACACATACTGAGGGCACGCCATTCAGCCGTGTCCAGATGTCCGGGCCATGGCGTAGGCAAGGGTTCGCACCTAGCACAGCGAGGAGCGGTCTGCTCTCGATACTCATTCAAGTCATACTTAAAGTCTCCCTGGCATGAGCACACATTGAGACGGTAATGTTCAAGGGCCCACATGGGGTCGAGGTCTTCTGTGCAGCACCGGCAACCATCTCACTGGCCAGTCCATACACATTCCAGCGCATAGCATCGGCCGTACTCCACACATGTATTCATGCTCTCAAGCCACTGTATCCCAGCTCACTTAGAAGATCAAGAAGCTTCATTCGTGGCGGGATGGAGTGGCCTTGCCAAGCACGGAACGGCACCATGCTGCTCCAGCTGATCGCGGGCTGAACTCCTGAATGTGACACGTTGGCGGCTTCGGTTCAGCTACGGGTTGGAAGGTGGCCGTGAAGAGTAGTCCTGCAAAAGTAGCATAACCGTTAGGCTAACAGATGAGTATCTTAAGCTTCATTGGCCGCGCCGTCCCTCCGCGGCACCGACCATACACCCCAGATGTCAAGGCTTATTTTAGCCATGAGGCACGACGTAAGAGGACGACAGGACGATGCAGGCGGCACTCACGTGTCCGCAGAAGACGATGACTGAAGAAGAGCCAAACGGACGAACCGCAGATCTTGATAGCCATAAAGATGCCGCATGCATCGCCGCCTTGTACATGACGCCAATGACCATGCCACGTTCTGACTGGACCATAAGCTTCCGGCCCTTTGACCCACGAGCCTCGTGGCCTCAAGAAGTCCCCGATCTTATTCCCACCGTGCCCGAGTAATGGCACAGGGGGGTCGTCCAATACCAGTCCTTGGCATCGACCAGCGGCCACGATGCAGATTTCGATCCCCAGAACCTGGAAGATCAACAGCAACAACTAGCCCGGTGGAGAAGTCCCAGGCCTGATACAGTGCTGGAGACCTCCAAGGCCCTGCGTCCGAATCAGATACTGCCTAGGCTTCGAGGATGATCAGGCTACGTGACCCCGAATAGAGAGGCCTGGTGGGGTCTTGGGAAGTCTTTCTCCCTGGGACGTGACACAGCGCGAGTCGTGCAAGCCGAAATCCGAAGGGCACTCTATCAACAAACCTCGCTGCTCGACATCAGGATCTATCCCGTCAGGTTCCTATACAAGCAATATCTACATCACCGTCACTCATCGCCGCTGGTGCTTAATACTCCCCGCCCCCTTACTCCCAATAATATTCGTGCTCTTTCCCCCGGGACAAAACACGACCTGAAACCCCGCCCCACTGGGAATAACAAACGTACTGGTCTGATCATCATAAGCATAACTATACGCGTCCGGACACGCGCTCTTCGCCGCCTTCGAATAATAGCTCGGCGAGCATTTATTCGGATTATTGTAGGAGCCCGTGCAGCAGTAATTGGCTTGGCCGTATTTCACGCAGGCTGATGTGCAGGGGTTGTAGACGGGGCGTTGGATGTTGTCGTCTGGGTAGGGGTAGACTCCATTGCCGGGGGCGGTGGGGGGGTTAACTTGGAGGTCCCAGGGGCACCAGGAGGAGATGGAGGAGGCGGTGTTTTTGGTGTCGAAGGGGAGGGGTTGGGAGCTGGAGGTGCCGAGGAATTGCTGGTTGTTGGTGTAGGGGTTGTAGTTTGAGCCGGTGAAGAAGTTGCCTATTGAGGCTACGCAGGAGGGGTTTGTGGTTGAGGGGTCGATGTTTTGGCTGTCATAATTCGCGTTAGCATATCAGACTTCTGCATGTGTTTTGTATGACTTACAGCGCCTGATTCCCATTTGGCTGCATAACAATGGCCAAAGGATAATTATATCCATCCACAAGACTGATATCGTAAAAAGTCTGCTGATCGCTCCCCGTCAACGTGAACTCGGCCAACGTCGCCGGTGCCGCCCCAGGACCTTTACAAGCCAGCAGACCCCCACAGTCCCCCGTCGTGCATTGCGAGCCGCCTCCATTCGCATTCCCTTGTCCATTGCTGTTGAAGGTGCAGTTTGAGCGGGCCCAGACTCGACCTTGCCAGTCTTCGCTCACTTGGACTGTGACGTTTGTGTTTGGGGCTGCTACCCAGCCGGTGTTTTGGGGTCCGGTGCCGCCCTGGGTCAGGATTGCTGGGTAGATTGTTTCGGAGCAGAGGTTTGTTACGAGGATGGATGTGTTCGTGTTGCCGTTTTGTCGGATGGCGATGTTGTTCGTGCGCAAGTGGTGTTCGGCTGATGCTGTGAGGGCGTACAAGAGGATTGATGCGAAGGTAGACATGATGGGCGTATGCGGCGCGGTGTTGTCTCGTAAGGCGTGGCTATGTTCGTAAGGTATAGGCTTTCAAGGTGAGAGCTGACATCCAGCACTTCTATGTCAACAGTCCAGCTGCTATGGGAGGTTTCGTGGGCGAGGTGTGAGGAGGCATGAGATAAGAGATAGTGAACAAGAGATATCCTATCCTATCTTGACTCATGACTACTGTACGCGAGCTGTACTTGATGTCGCTTCCGTGCTGCATTGCCTCATGCGCAGGGGCAGCCGCAGCCCGATTGTTGATGATGTTGCAAGGGCCAATGGTCGAGGGCCTGAACGCGATCCTTGAAACGCGAGTCGATCGGAGACGCCACTGATGTCATGGTCGCTGGTGTATAGTTTTGCATTTAGGAGAAGAACTTGATCACGAGTACGTAGAACTTCGGGAATTCAGTTCTAATAATAATACAGCGACTGCTGAAGCACCTATCTATAGCGATGCACCATCGAAGGGCGCAAGAATGTAGATATACCCCTCGCTTCCCACGCCATCAATTCCTAATGAACAACTTACTTCATGGAAACAGCATGTCTCGACCACGACAAGGTTGCTACCGTCTTAAGGCGCCTGTCAATGCGCTCCTATTCGTTGTAATAATATAGGAAGTCCTGTCCCCAACAACGGAGGTGGGGCGAAGGATAGGCATGGGAGGCACGATTACCTACCGAATCCGCGGCTTGCTCAATCTCGTAAGATCCATTCAAACTGCATGTCTACAAGCCTGCTCCCCAATCCTCGTCGACTACCTATTCAAGAGTCACGCGCCTCCTACAGAAAACTAGTAATCGATGCGTGCACGCCCAGACACGCCTCAAAGATCGGCACACTCATACTCGTCAACCCACAAATCGTGATCGCCTTCGCCGACGCCGTCCCATTCGCATAAGGTCTGAACAGCTTCGTGCGGAGATCCGTGTACGTATGAAAAGTCGTCGCATTGCTAGCGATATCCATCGCCACATTGTGCCAAAACGCTGGTGACAGCGGCTCGTTAGGCGCCAACGTCTTGTTGTAGTCGTACGTTTGACGGGCGGAGTACTCGAACTGCCATTCCACGTCGCCCGCGGCGACCCAGGCGTGGGCGTTGGAGATGTTGGCGTAGTAGTTCATGCTGTCGAGGACTTCGAAGGTGTCGGCGTCTACCATGTAATACCTGAAGCCTGCGTTGAGGTTCGTGTATGGTGTGACGGACTGAGCGATCCAGCCGACTGCAGCCGCCGTCTGGGCGCTCTTGACGGTGGCATTATTGGAGTAGACAACGCCGAATTCATCCGCATGTGTGTGGCCTGGGGTTAGAAGTCAGCATGGATTGCGCCGTGCCTGTGATACTCTGCTCACCGAAGAAAGTTCCCCTGATTGTATTGTTGAAGCGATCTACGATTTGGTACCATAGATCAGTCTGTGCTGGATGGCCCTCGAAGCTTGTGCTACCACCAGTGTTTACGTGCTGGATAAGCCAAACAGGCTGGCTCTTGGCCTCCGCATCAAGCAAATAGTCGACCAGGATGGAGAACATGCCCGTGGAATCCGCGACGTTGCCATTGATGTAGTTGTAGATGTTGAAGTAGTACCACACGTCGCTGTTTAACGAGATGATGATGAGACCCTCCTTGGTCATCGTACGGTATATCCCGAGGCCACTGTTGACGACAGACTGGGCGTCAGCAGCGGACAGCCATCCATAGTTTGTCCAAGCTGCCGAGACGTTCTGGTAGTTCCAGAGCTGCTGAAGCGGGTACGACGCGTTCGCTGGCAGGCCCGTGTCCACCGGGAATGCGGTGAAGGCGTGAGGGTAGGTGTCGTGGTTACCGAGTGTAGGATAGACTGGTACGTTTGGTCCGAAGCCATTATAGAACTGTTGATAGGCCTCCAGCTCGTTCAGCGCGACGTATGGCTTCGTCAATTCCCAGATGTCATGGCTGACGAGATCTCCAGTGTAGATGCTAAAGGCAAAGTCGTCCACGGCAAAACCAGTGACTTTGGGAATGGCTCGGAAGAGCGACGTTGCAAGGGCTTCCGGAGTGTCGCAGAGGTAGTTGCCGAACAGGCTGGCGGGAAGAGCCACGTTGGCAGAGGTATTCGTGTACGGGAAAACTCGGCAACAGAGTGGGCCATTACAAGCTGCTTCAGACCCTACCACGTACCGTGGGTCAAGATGGTAATCGGAGAAGTGAATGACCTTGAGAGGCTGCTTGGTGCTGGATTTCAATGGGGCCGCAGCTGGCTTGTTCGGCTTGCCTTTGAAGAGCGCAGTAGCGTTGACAGGTGGAGGAGATGGCAGTGGGCAGACGCCGAACATGTATGCGCAAAGCAGAGAACCATCGTCTCCCGTGACATTCATGGCCGGTATCGTCGCACCAACGTCTGTAGACGCTATCTGGAACAGGCCAATGCAAATTGGTACTGGTAAGACCGCAGATAGGCCATTGCAGATTGGGTAGGAGATCTCTGCAAGCAACTCTTGCTGCACACGCATGGCCTGCTGCAAACCGACCATGATCGTTTTACACTGCTGGCAGTTTGCGCCAGAGGCATTTTTCGCATCCAAGATGAGAGCGATTGCCTCTTTTGCGAATTGCGTTGTATTCGGCAAGCCAGATGCGACTGGGCCGTTAGCCAGGGAAGCTGGGTAGGTAGGGAAGACAGGATACGCAAGGTCTGCCGGGTTCGGCACGTAAGATGTTACCACGCTGCTCGTGGCTATGGAAGAGGAAGTCGGCGTTGCTGACGTCTGGGACGGGCGATTCCACCACGTAGGCCATCCTTGCCATCCTTGCCACTGACGGGGCCAGCTCTCCCATCCATGGCCCTGTGAATAACTGGAACTTGCAGCGGCAGAGGTGGTGGTAGCAGAAGCGGTGATCCTGGCTGAAGCAGTCACATTGCTCGCGTAGGTTGTGGATGTGGTCTTGACAGTGCCATTCAAGAAGGTGTTGTATGAGAAGGTGAGGGGGCTGGTCGTGTCCTCGGCCAACGCTCTCGCACTCAGAAGTGCTACGGTGATAGCTTGAAAGAACATTATGCTTCAGGAGAGAGGACTTGCTGTTTCTGGAGACGAAAGAGAGAATGCCAAGCGCAGCTGTTGAGGGCAGATGAGAATATGTACCTTACCTTGGCTTTCCATCAAGATCCGGGCAGCACGTCGACACCAATGACAGCGTTCCTGCAGCATCTCGTCGCGCCAGCTAGATACGCCATGCTTTTCTGCAGGCAATTACCAATGGGAGGTGACGTTGGAGAAGCGTGGGATGAATGGAGAGGAGGGTCAAGCTTTGAGATCTGAGTCTGGAGCTGCAAGGTGGGCACGTGGGAAGCTTGGCGGGCCTCCAACTGTAGGCGAGTACACCCCGATCCTTTTCAGGCCTAGGATGATAGAGCTCTTGGTACATAGAGTTTAGTAGCTTCAGATCAATGAGGAAAGTGTAATATGCGGCATGATCGAGATGCAGCAACGATCACATCTACGGCCTGTAGGAGAATCAGTCCGATGGTGATCACAAGAAAGTGCCTTGCGAGAGACTACCTACTGGGCTTCTGGAGGTACACCAAATATCAAGCACCAATCAAGGACAAGCGAAGGCGAAACCATTGGTCAATACAAAGGGCGTTCAATGGACAGCACGACGCAAGACCAGAAGGCTCATATGTACGGAATGACAACCGGTCTCTTCTCCTTACCCATCGAGCTTCGGCTGGAGATCTACAATCTCGTCATCCGGCCTACTATTGAGACGACAGCATCTCAGCTGAAGGCAAGCCAGTCTCATCTCCGCCTCGTACCGCATGGCACCCACCACGGCGCTCTCCTCGCCACATCCCATCAGATCCGGCAGGACTGCCTGACCCACGGTGTTTATTCCAGCTTAGTGCACATCGAGACGACTGAGGACGATGGCGAAACCTGGACGCTGTTATCGGGACTCCAAGTCTCCAATCTACCACGGCTATACTTCTATCGATATCTGGATGCTACGCCGCAAGGAGAGAAGTACCGTATCACGACATTGCCCCGGATAGGAGGTAGAAGACGAGTGGGTGTAGTGTCTTTCCCGCAGATGGAGGGGGTGGGCGTTTGTGTTTTCTTCCAGGATTTGGAACGGAGGCCAGCGGTCTGGCAAAAGGGCTTGGTGAGGCTGGGGACTGTGTCGAGGGTGGATTCATGAGAGCAATTTTGTCGATGGGTATACCTGTCGATCGGAATAAAGGTAGGAGAGAGTATGAGTCGATACGAAAGGGATGATTGATCATATCTACTCTTGTGCCCTTTTGCTACAATGCTGACCGAGAATTGAAAGCGAAATGTCATAATCGTCATGGATGCCAAGCCAAAGGAGTGTGGGCGCAGTCAGTCGCTGCCGAGTCCGATTTACATGTGTCCACAATCCCTTCCCCCTCTGCAGTCTTCTGCCATACCCTCCATCTCGAACGCCGATACATACGAGACTCGCTCTTCCTCGCCTCCAACTTTGCTGTGACGGACACAGAATGCGCCGTGAACATGTGAGGAGGCTTTACATGGCAGCATAACCACCCGGTGCTGTGACAGTCACTGTGACGGTGTCCGTGCAACCACAAGTGCTAGCTTTGGATGTGGTCTTCGATGTCTTCAAGGTCGTAGGTGTGCTAGTGACCTTGGTCGAGGTGGTTGAAGACCTTTACACGGGTGGTTAGCTACCATCATAGCAGATGGCAAGATAATGAGCTGCTTACTTGGTAGACGAAGGTGTGCTCGATTGCTTGGACGAAGTTGTGCTGGAGACGGTACTGGATTTGGGAGTAGATGTAGCGGAGGAGGAAGTAAGTTTCGTCGAGCTCGTAGGAACTGTAGAAGTTAAAGAGAGGGTTGAAGATTTAGATGTGGTGCCTTTGGTCGTAGTGTCTGTGTGGGTAGTGGAGTGGCTGGCCGACGTCGATGTAGAGTGACTGGTAGAAGTGGAGTGGCTTTTAGAGATGGAAGTCGAATGCGATGTTGAGGTGGTGGATGGGGTGGTGGCCGAGATAGGGCTGGTGTGGCTAGAAGTCGAGGAGGTTGTCTTGGACGATTTGGAGGTGGTAGCCGGGGTGCTGTAGACCTTGCTACTGCTTGTGGTGGTCGACTCGGATGATGTAGAACGCTTGGTTGACGAAGATTCGACGGACTTCGTGCTTGAGGTCGATGCCTTGGAGCTGCTCTTGGACTCACTCTTGGTTGACGTGGTGATGGGCGATGTGGTGGCCGAAGAACTCTGCTTGGATGTGGTGCTGCTGCTCTTCTCGGACGCCGTAGCGCTTGAAGATGTAGAGAGGGAAGTCGCGGAGGATATGGGCTGTGTACTACTGCTCTTCTCGGACTTCGTAGTGCTTGAGGCTGTAGATGAGGATACTGGTTTCGTACTGCTGCTCTTCTCGGACTTAGACGCGCTTGAGGTCGTCGAGGGCGATGAAGTATAGGGGGTAATGGACTTCGTGCTGCTGCTACTCGCGCTCTTGGTGCTCGAAGAGGTCGTCCCTGGAATCGTGCTTGTGGATGAAGAGACTTTGGAGCTACTCGGAGATTTCGTGACGATGCTGGAGCTTGTACTGATTCGTATCAGCGTATGTCCTTACATCTTACCACTGGTAGATACGTACGATGATGATTTACTCTTGGAGCTCGAGACTGGAGTGGTTCTGAGGTATTGTCAGTATGACCTTGCCATTTTTCATGCAAGGAGCACGTACGATGAGGATTTGCTCGTCGAGCTGGAGGCGGGAACGCTTCTGGAACTCTGTTAGGTTGACATGGCGGGCCGGCATACGAAAAGATCCCTACGAAGTTGAACTCTTCTGCGTCGTCGTGCTGAAGCGCTGTTAGTATGGACCGTCTACATATACGACCACACGTAGGAACATACGGTGTGGTAGCTGATACAACTGGAGCCGAGGACGATGAGCTGCTTCCAAGGAGTCAGCGTACAATCCGCATGCGACGATATTGAGCTACACACCTCTTCGTCTCCGTTGTCTTCACCGATGCAGTAGATGTGGATGAGGTGCTGTAGCACAGTCAATACATGATTCGAGATAAGACGGCGACGACTATGCGTACCTCTTGCTCTCCTTACTTGTGCTCGAAGCTGTGGATCTGTTGTGACGGCATTTAGCGGCAGCCAGTGGCCTCAAGCTAGAAGGACGCACGATTCTACCGGCGAGCTGGTGGATGAGACGGAAGTACTGTCATTCCATCAGTATGCAATAACTAATAGGTAGAGTGAGTGTATTTCTACCTTTTACTACCTTGGCTTGTGCTCGATTTGGTGGATCTATCGTGATGAACATCAATGGTCACAAATTTCCACGATTGTCGGTACTTACGATTTTGAAGGCGAGGTCGTGCTCGACACTGATGTACTGTGGTAATGCTGTCAGCCAAATGTACTATGCTAGCTATGGTCGTGATCATACGTAGAGATCTTCGATGTTTCACTCTTGCTGGCCGAAGCAGTCGATCTGAGCATGGTCAGCAGTGGCGCAATGAGGTTCTGTAAGCAGGAACGAACGATGTCTCTCTCGTCAGTGACGTAGCAGTACTGGCGAAAGCTATCAGTTACATCGACTTTGTTCGGTCTCTGGGTCAGACTTGCCTGCTGGTCTTGGTTGTAGTCGATTTTGAAGGTATGGAGCTGGTAGAGCTGATCGAGTAGTCAGTGGAGAGTCTTCAGGAGTCAGGTAGTGGCACCCACCTGCTAATCTGGGTAGTACTCGGCTTTGAGGATGTGGAGCTGGGTGCCATGTTAGCTAGGTTGTATAAAGCAGACTTGGTTCGGTAATGATCGCTAGCTTACCTGCTTGAGCTTTTGGTGGTCTCGGACTTCGATGCGGTGGAAGAGCTGCCTCGAATCAGTGATCATACTCATGTGTAGTCCGCACACACTGTGATGGTCGTAAACTCCATCTCGCTCGACGAGATCAGAGAACGTAGAAGTCTCATGGTCGAGCATTAAGAGCGCGGACCATATCTTACGGCCTTACTGACGAGCCATAGATGCCTAAGAATGTGACCTACCTTGTCTTCACAGAGACACTGGTACTGGATCTACGGGATGTCAGTAGGAACACCACAAGAGCAGTGCAAGTCACTCACGACTTGACGCTACTTGTAGAGCTTGCTTTAGTTGTCTCTGTCGTTGGGAAGGACGATCTGGGGGTGTGTCAACTCATGACGATGATGGCAAGACGAGTCTGCTATACTTGGATGTTGTGGTCGGCTTGGTAAAGGTGGAGGAGCTATACCATCTTCAGCGTAAGCCCGAGGTCGCATGAAAGGAATTATACCTAGAGCTACTCTCAATCTTGGTAGATGTAGAAGCCGTCGTAGAAGCACTGCTTGTGGCCGATTCCGTTGTGCTAGACGATGAAAGAGGTGTTGTAGGTTTGGCCGAGCTTGTAGATGATGTCTTGACAGCGACACTCGTAGTGACCTTGGAGCTTGACGATGAAGATACTGGTGTGGTCTTGCCGGAGCTACTACTGGATAAGGATGACCTTTCGCAGACATCAGCAAGATACTGGCGTGCTGTCGAGCAACCTGCGGACATACTTTGCAGGTCTCGTGGAGGTGGTGTAGCTTCTGTAACGAATCAGTACTTTGTCCCCGAAACTATGCACAGCTCACTTACGACGACTTGGATGTTTCTGTCACCGAGGAGGGAGTAGTGGAGGAACTCATCAAGGTCAGCCTGATGAATGGTACATGGAACCTGGCGTGGCACTCACGATGCTTTCGACGTCACTTTCGTGGAGAAAGCAGTAGTGGACGAAGTCCTGGACGGTGGTCAGTCGCGAGGCAAAACGCTTCGGGTGGTGTGAAATGCTTTTGGGTGGAAGACGATGCTCTATGGAACGGTAAGCGGACAGGACTTTGATGCAGGACAGTGACACTTACTTAGTGCTCGAGCTTGTCGTCTTCACTTCGGTGCTACTTGTACTAGTAGTAGAGGGTTTGGTCGTGACTGGGGTTGAGCTTGACAGGGAAGATGAAGATTTCTCCGTAGTCCTGGGCCCTGGTCAGTGCTGCGCACACGAATGCATCGCACCTGGGACGTTATACTTCTGCGAGGATGTCACTGAAGAGCTGTGTAGCGTCAGTCATAATATATCCTTAAGATAGAGAGATCCAAGATTACTGACCTGGTAGACCCGGGCTTCGTCGAGGTCGAACTAAGGTCAAAGTCAGTACAACTAGCATCAAGACGCATACTCTGGCAATTCCAAACCTTGACTTGGACGTTGCGACAGGTGTGCTCGAGGCCGACGATCTGAATGAATCAGCAGAATGCACCGTATAATAAGGCGTTACTTACGAAGTAGACGTTGAGCTGGTACTGGAGCTTTCAAATTGTCAGCGCGGTATGGACCAAGCGTCGTGGCGAGGGATGCCATTACCTCTTGCTTTCCACTTTGCTGGTGGTACTAGTAGAAGACGTCTTGCTTTCTGGCTTGGTAGAAACGGCGCTGGATGTCTTCGACTCGGTAGTGCTAGAAGTGGAGGAGCTGGCAATACATCAGCCAACATCTGGTTCGTTGTTATTGGCCTAGAACCATACCTCGTCTTTGCAGTCGTCGAAGATACAGTGCTGGTGGATACCGGCGTAGATTTGCTCGAGCTGCGGAATTGTCAGTACGCGAGACAATATACAAGGAGTGGTTGACGCACGTAGTGGAGACCTTGGTCGTGGTCGAAGTTGACGAGGATCCGCCATAGCCACCTGGCGAGTCCGGGGTAGTCGACGAAGAGGTTGCGGTAGTATCTTTCGTGCTAGATGGCGTGGAAGTGGTTGTATCACCTCCATATCCAGGCGGCGAGCTACCACGCTTTTCGAGTGCTTGATCGATGATTTCAGGGGAGGCACATCGCTTCGTCCATTCGGTAGCGAAGGCAGCGTCACGAAGGGATAACCGAATGATATCGGTAAGCTCACATGCTGATAATTAGTCGTCAGCGTTGATCATGACTGATAGGCGTTCCATAACCCACGAGATCTCTCGTCGAGGGGCAGGGCGGCTCCGAATGAGCTCTTGCCTACCGCGAGGTGAACCGCCAATAGCTTGACGAAGAACTGCATCTTGATAGCGAGCGGACGCAGAAGCGATTGTGGTAGATCAACTACAGAATGACTGAACGAATGAAGGACGGGACAGACAACGAGAGCCTGCTGCGCACCGCCTTTGGAGTTGAAGGATCAAACCTGATGGCAGTCTGCCTACCTGGGCTGTGTATATAACTACGGTGGTATCTAGCCACGGAACACAAATTATCGCGATGAGCTGCAGCCCATCATTACTGCTTGTCTTTGGCGGCTGCGAGTAGAGTATCAGCGTTGACTGTCCTCTCCGGGTCTGCGGTGAAGGCCTAGCTCCCGTGTCAGCGACGAGGAGCATATGCAGGACATGGATACTACTTTGGGAAGTTCTGTTGTCCAATAGCAATCTTGATTGCTCGCTTTGGCCTGTTTTCGTCAAGCGATATGTCGGCGCCATATCACCGCTGCAAGCATGCACTGAATATGCTAGAGACTTCCAGGAGCACTGGGTCTTGTCGGGTGGCGATCTCTGCTGCAAAGCTGCCGCGGGACCGACCACGTTGAAGGCACCAGATCATAGGGACCCAACCCGGAGTCTCATCTTGGCGGATCTACACTCGCAACAGTGGTACGCTACGGGTTGGGCGAGGTAAGGCGGCTCACGGCTGGCTGATGGCGACATACCGCGCAGCGTTTCGTCCACCCGCTTGCCATTAATGAATGGAGCATCGCTAGGATTGAGTACATGTTGTGATCGAGCAAGCCGAGTGGTACATTACACCTTCGATATTGTTCGTTGCATGGTCGCTCACTCAGCCTCGTGGCCCTGCTCGACAGCTTGGCCGCGGCATATAGTGCTGGCATATAGCCATAAATATGGGGTCCCCGCACTGTAGACTTGAGCAGGAGCCGGGTAAAACAAGCTCGTGAAGTGGCTACTTCAGCGTGGTCATAGTGGCGTGGTGTAACGGGCGCTGTCATTCAGTGTCAACGCGAGACATGTCCACTGCCTGTAATAACGAACCTGCATGCAGAGAGCCCGGCCATCCACACACAGCGGCAAGTCTGTTGAGTTACCATAGGGGCACAACTCCCGAAGCCATCCCCACGTGGCATTTAGGTTGATCCGGACGTAGGATCAGCGATGACGCAGCGATATTCAAGGCCACCCGAGGAGGGACGGGATCATCTACCGCAGTCGCCGCAATAGCGACTACTTAGTACCTGATGATGCAAAGGCCAAGCGTCGGGTTGCTCGTGGCCGAGTCGGTTCACGAGATGCTGGATAGATGACCCAGAGCAGGCCTGATCCTCTGCATGCACGCCGGAAGATCTGTTCGATTGGAGGGGGATCAATTGTCCCGCCGCGTGTTTATATGAGTTGCAGCAAAACAGGATGTGTTAGTTCTCGGAGATGCCAGGTATTCGTCCTCGACTCCACAGTCCATTGGCATATGGCTCATCTCAACGAGTGAGGTCGACTTGCGGGTCGCCACGAGAATGATATCTTGGCGCCGATCTGCCAGATGGTAACACAGCGTAATAGACGGCTGCACGTTCTTTGCTGCTGTCGGGCTTGACGTATTGCACAAGCATGTTGTATTGGAACGGGATCGTGCAGGCAAAAGTAAAGGCTGCTTGTTGTTGCCCCTCGCCAGCCAGTTCGCTTCTTCCGGAGTTTCGTAGAAATGAATATTCTACAGGAAATCAATTCGGTGGACAGAGCTTTGCTGACAGCCTACCTAAAAGCTCATATACCCTGCCTGGAAGTGTCCGATACTGGCCATGCTGCACTATCCGCCCGCTCCCCAGTTTCTGCCGTCCAATGCATGCAGACAGCTGCATTCGCGGTGCAGGACTTGCGTCAAGAATTCAAAAGTAGGCCGGCTGCTCCTAATTTTGTACATTGGGCCTCGAGCCGCACCATGCTTGCGGTAGCTAGAGAAGAGCACTATTCTAGTGCCTAGATCTGTGTCACCATTGAGGATGCTTTACGGTTCGCACAGCTCGCAGTGTGCCCGATACAGGCAACAGAGCTCGAGCCGGGGACTGCGCTTTTCGTCCAGATCGCGGCGTCGCATCATGATAGATGTCTGCGACAGACTTGATACCTGCCACGCTCATTGTGACGGACAACAACTTTATTTTATCCTCCGCGGCTAAATAAATTAGTTCTAACGGAGAAATGATTTCCCGGGACATCCAACTTCACCTTGACATTTCGCTTTGTGGATGTTGATATTGAGGCGATCACCTATCATCGATCGATGCTCCATGCAGACTTCGAAAACCTCGCTACGCAACTCAGTGATTTGCCAGAATAAGTGTGCCAAGCATTGACCGGACTATCCGGACTATCAAGAACGTAGGATCTGAAACTGGCCTGATCACGGCCCAAAGGCTTTGTACCGTACCACATCTGGCAGTCGAGATCTTAGCAGCAGCGATTGCAGTGTTTGCTGTTAGTGCCCAGTGCTTCGGCGGCAACAATGCTGCGAGTGAAGCAAGCCAGGGAGCACTTTATTCAAGAAGACTCGGTGCTTCTTCCGCCCTGCTTTTTAGATTTATGGCATGGCCCGTCCTCACAGTTGCCTTTCAGAAATCATGGCAAAATCAAAGGCAGTGAGAATCAAGAACAAGCCCATGCTATACCTACAGGTCATCGAACGGAGATGTCCATGATTAAGCAGTGACTTCCACTACAGCACTCCGTTCGCGCTAGCATATTGGCGAGAGCAGAACACAACCGCGCTGTAACAGGAACGACGAAGATGTTTAAACACACTAGGAGTCTCTGCTCTATCGGCGCCCTTTTCCAATTGTTGGGGGTCTTGCCAGGCTCGACTCCAGCATCTGGTCGTGAACGCTTGCCCTCCCTCTTGTGATTCCGTAGCAACAATCGTTTCGCCGGGTCCGCGCATAAATTGAGAAGTGGCCGCTGGCCTTTATGCTAGGTTTAGAGGACCGAATAGCGCGATTCTGGCGCTCCTGGTCGGATACACATGAGACAAGTTTTGACAGCAGCCATCGTATAGCGAAGAGATTGTGGGAGGTTTGATAGTCGCGCGATCCTGTAACAGCTACAAATTCATCGCGCCACTTGTGACGCAGATAGGGCCGAATTCTTATTCTTCCAGGGTGGCGGTCCGTCACATGAACGGGTTTGAAGATCCTGGAGACTCGACTTGCGGACGTTCTTTCCCGAACTTCGTCTGGCTGTGTTGCTCGGGCTGTGTTCCACTGGCTGTGTTGATCTGGCTATGTTGGTCTGACTGTGTAGAGCGCGACGTGCTTGGGTCGGCGGCATAGGCCTGATTGCAAGCGCGCTTTCCGATGAAGTGTGAAAACTGGAGTCGTGCAGTCGAACAATCAGACTCCTCCTCTATGCTACACCATAACACCATGCTAAATTGACAGCAAGCACAATGGCTCCTCTAGCCCTACGATGCTCTCCCATGCACGATTGCAACAATAAGGTCGGCCGGGTTTCACCATGACCTAAAACTGCCTATCCCCACCCCTCCCACGACCATACCCACCACCATAACCCGACGAAGGCGGAGGCGGTCTCTCTCCTCTCCTCCAATCGCCCATTGGTGGTGCCGCGCCAAACGCACCGCCTCTCCCACCAGCATATCCTCCACGAAACCCTCCACCACCTCTTCCACCTCCATACCCACCGCTAAATCCATTCTCTCTCGGCGGCGGTGGCCCTCGCCCACCGAAAGGTGCTCCGCCCCTCGAAGGAGGTGGCAAAGGTGCTACCCGGCCATCCTGCCCCGGTGTGTAGATACTGCAAACCACGTAGTCTCCAATCACGAATCTTGCGTCGCCCAAAGATTTGGTCGAGTCACCTTCGAGGTTATGTGTGTTCGCGTCTGCATCCTCGTCGTCCCCGTTCATCTGCGCCTCGTTGCCACCGATAACGACGTTGCCGAGAGGTTTATCAATCCATTTCCCTCTTCCACCTTCCCGGACTTCGGCCCGCGTGTCTGGGAACACAAGCTTATACACCAGTCTTGTCCCCACTGCCGGACTAGGCAGTAACCCAGACGGCAGTACGCTAGTCAGAAGTCCCGTGAGCTCCGCCAATGTACAGTTAGGCCATGTGTATATCTGCACACTTTGTTGCCGTATTTGTGAAGGTAAGAGTGATGAATAGTCGCTGATGCCCGAGGTATCTGCTGGTGGTGCTACAGAGAAGTCGGACGCTATGTGCTCCCGATTCTGCTTCCAGAAGACTCGGAGGAGGAAAGGTGCTGTGTTTTCACGGTCGATTGGGCGATTGGTAGGTTGAAGGGACATGTCGGGTGGTTGAGTGGTCCTAAGCTGTGACTATCGCATGGGTGATAAGTTTGGCAAATAGCAACCCCGTCTTACGTTGAGATGGTGATATGATTGCGTGCATGTGTAGGGCAATCACGAGTTGATGCAATGCAATGCTCACGCGAGTCAAGAGTGAAGCTTCGATTCGATGCCTCGGTGGCGGAATTGTTCCGGCGCAAACATACGCCCTCCACCATTTATTCGAGGATACTCACTCGATCCTGCATTGAAGTTTGGAGCCTTGAGGAGCTAGATCATTACCATGGACTTCGCAAGTCTTATGAAGTCGCAGATGTCCGCCGCACCCCCTCGTGACATTGGTAAGAAGTATCTCAAACGCTCAGAAGTGGAAGCACAACGGCAGGCAGATTATGTGCGGGAGCAGGAAGAACTGGAACGAGCACGAATTGAGAGGCTCGGGAAGAAGCGGAAAAGGGATGAAGACGAAGCAGAGCGAAATGCTGCTCGGGAGGCCAAAAAGAAGCGTCTAGCAGAGGAGAGCAGGAAGCGAGCTGAGGAGGAAGCTCATGCGGAAGAAAATGTTCGACGCAAGCGTATTGGTCTGCCGGAGCTCGAGCTGAAGCCGGATGATCGCGAAGGTACGCCGCTGAAGGAGGGCGAAGAAGATATAACAGACGATGAGCTTCGACTTAAGCTGCGAAAACTGGAGGAGCCGAGAGTCGTCTTCGGCGAGATGCATGTCCAGCGGCTACGACGCTACCGGAAGCTTATTGCGAAGGCTCTGGCCCCTACTATGAGTAAAGGACCCATACCGACTACACTCCAACTAGTCGAAGAAAAGGACATGAAAGTACCGGAGACCGTGCCTTCAGATACAGAAGCCAGGCTGCTTCTCCACCGCCAAATAGCAAGCTACTTCGACATGGTACTCTCCGAATGGCAAATCGCTCTCGCCCGTCGAGACCAAGCCGTCAAAGAATCCTTCACAGGCAAGCAAGCCCACAACTCCTTCCTCCAAGCTCGAGATAACCTAACACCGTTATTTCGCAAATTGGAGTCCGGCACAATCGCCCCAGTAATCCTCGCCGCCGTCCTCGAAATCGTCAATCTAATGCAGTTCAAACGCTACGTCCATGCCAACGATGCCTACCTACGACTAAGTATCGGGAAAGCGGCATGGCCTATTGGAGTGACGATGGTTGGCATCCACGAGAGAAGTGCACGAGAGAGGTTGCATGAGAGTGAGAAGGATGGCGACAAGGCGCATATTCTTACGGATGAGAGTACGAGGAAGATGCTGCAAGGAATCAAGCGGTGTTTGAGTTTTGCGCAGGTGAGGTGGCCGCCGGAGGATTTAGGGCAGTTGATGGGTTGATGTACGGTGCGTGAGTGGAAGTTGCGCACTGGTGGTAGCTATTTCATGAACAGGTTGGTGAGGCTAGTCGCCGAACTCAGCTTGAATCTGTTGTTTGACCAATGGCTTCCTCCCAATTCATAATGAGAAACTCGCCACGCAATGCTCCGATACATCCTCGTCTCATGTTGTAACGTACGCTTTCCACGAAACGACTAGGTGAGACTTCCCTGTCCTGTAGTCCGTTGCGAACGTCTGTTTCTTGCTTTTATAGGTGTCTGCGAGGAGATTCACAGAATATCTCGTGGTTTGCTGCTCGTGGCGAGATCGACCTCAGAGTAAAGAACGTCAAGACTACCACGCGGTCGCATAGGCTTCGATCTAGCTTCCTGGATTAAATGACTGCACCATAACATACAACGGTGATGATGGAATGGGCGATGCACATATGCGAGATGAATGTTGCGTGCAGTTGTCCGCGGGAATGGCCGTGGCTCCACTTTAAACTTCACTTCACTTCATGCTCTACTTTCCAGACGACACGAAATACTCATCTGCTATGGTTTGTTCATGCACGCTCACTGGTATGCTATATCCGCCTTCACTCTTGTGCCGTTGCCCTATCATATGTGATACGGTCTAGGAGCGTCACCAAGATACATCCGAGAGCCTATCGCTTCTGCATACCCAATGCTTCACTCGGGAAAACGCACGACCACCTAGGCAACAACTTCTACGCAGTCCCAGTCTGTGATCCTTGATTACTCATAACCGGAATATGATGTAGCAGACTACACTTTGCAACTGGGTGGGACAACTTGGCGTGTGGCGACGATCCCAGGATTCGACATACTCTCTCGCGTACCAGCAGCCCACCGCATGGACGTCCGCCAGCTTCACACTTACAACGGACCTACCTCGGCACTTCTGAAAGCTATATGAATGATCTGCACTATTGTTCCAACATCACACAATACAAGGCTCGTAGGCTAGTGGTCAAACCGCTGTCTTGCTCGTCGGTGTCTGGGCACACTCGCACACCTCAATGGCTGCATACACAGATACCCGTGTTCGATTCACGGCGAGCTTGTTGCGCGCTGGCAGACCGCGCTGCGTATGCGTCTGCCCATCGAATGTACCGCAGCTCTACTTTCTTTGCTGGAAAAGTCCTACAGGACGCTGTTTAGGTTCGGCGGATATCTGCACACGGACGACAAACATTCAGAGTGCTCGCGAGGCTTCTGACCGAATCGAACGGGTTGGAGATATCCATCCCTAGAGATACCCATGCCGACAGGTGTAGTGAATGAGGGCATGTCAAAGAAGAAAAAAAGCCAAGAAGAAGGCACAGAAACAAAGAATCCGCAAAGAAGATCGCGAAAAGAACAAAATCAAAAACAGACTCTGACCTACACTGGCTATTTTTTGCTCAGCTGTCTCTTAGGCCTGTATACGACTCGAGTTTGTATTAGAGCTTCGGATCTGCGAGCCGCAAGAGCAGCTACACAGCTGTAGACGGGATTTGTAAAAGTCAATTGCTGGGACAGAGACGATGCATGTATCTTGAGGATCATTGTAACGCATTTTTGCGAGCTTTCGAAGCTCCGACGCTATATGTGCCGCTGATAACCTGTTTACGTAGAAACGGCGATACTTGCACGAGAGGTGTGACCTCCTAGCATGTCCTGCTATCTCCTGCTGTACACTCAAGCACACTTTGAGGGCAAGAGCACGTCAAATCCTCCACGCTGAGCACCCACAAATCACCATGATGGTCCTTCTTCAGCACGATGTCACATATTTGACCCGACGTAACCCCACCTTGTTCCTCAACGATGAAGCTCTCTACAGTGCAGCCTTCCACCCAGCCGTACTCTGGACCACCTTGGACGCGCATTTGTCCTTCGACACTCATCCATCTGACTCGTGGCTATGTAGGAGACACGGCGCGCTACGATGGACTTCAGCGATTGAGTCTTACGGAACTACCGGCTTCGTCGTCCTCGAGTACGTCTCCATAACCAGAGACACTGATTGTGGGGAGTAGGCTTGACATCAGGTGTGAACGTTAATATGCTCAGCTGGTAGCGTGTGTCATGCCGCAATCGGGTGGACATAGAAGTGGGACATCGAACGCGGAAGGAACGAAAATGAGTTGTGTGACAGAAGTTAGCAGATCTCTTATGCGCGAGGCGCTCCATCTGTCTACATCGACGCTACCATCGATTACGACAGATCATATAGAATGCAGATAAGCCGTTCGAATCCTTGCCATTCCCACGTCTATCTGTAGTGCGATCAAACAAGCTCGTGCAGTCAGACGATCTAAACAGCCATAGTGAAATACACAGTGTGAGCGTCCCCAATAAAGTCAACTGCAACGTCGAACATTCTACCAAGCGTGATGCCATACTCGCACTCCATCCCCTAAATCGTAGCCCAAGTTTCGTCCCCTTCGTTCCACAATTCGACCTGCATGTGAGTCGCTGGTGGCTGCGTGGGATGCATGCATCGCCAGTCGATACCGAGATACCGTCCTTTGTTGCGTCTTTCCAGCACCTCGGAATTTACTAGATTGGCGGCGAAGGCGACGAAGATCGTATCCCACAGTTAGTGTGCTCGAAGACGTTGTGTCGAGGCTCAACCAGTCCCAAAATTCTGACGTCCACGCCACAGGCTTTACTGGCAGCATTCTGATTCTGTTGGGCTGCATATTGAACAATCATTCCGTGCGGTCCTGCTGTGCGGTTACGATTATACTATCTGTAGAAGCTGCTGCTGCATCAAGGTGTGACAGATTCGTCGCCTCTGAGTAGACCTCATCATGCGTACTGTTGTCTTGCTGATGTACTGTGCTACGAGAAGCTGTTCAGGGTCCAGTTCGAGCAGGATCATATCGGCGAGCTCTGAAATCGTGAAGACCGGGTTGGCCGCAGAGGGTGCTATTATAGTAGTTGCAATAATAGTACAGTCTCGTCATATATCTATCTGAACAGCTGCAGATTTGTGCCAGTTGCGAAACATATCGCATTGCTGTAGACGATTTCATTCCACGCTCAGACAGCGAGGATGCAGGCACTCAAGATTCTAGCGGCGCGGCCGTGCTCCCGAAAGCTGATCAGGAAGGAACGGAGCGTATCGAGTGCTCGAGTCGGCAGGCAAAGATGACCGGGATGAAGGCACGATCATTCCATTGTCGGGCGTTACTTGGAGCCATCACCTCTGCACCAGTACTTGAAGTAATCGCCCAATCATCTCGAGGTGTTAAACTCAGGCTTATAAGCCTGCGCACCACCCTTCGTGAGCTCCCGCAGTGCCATGGTAGCGTACTGGCTACTACCCAGCTGGAACCTCATGATCAGTGCAAGCTTGTCTTTCTCATCGCCACCATGTCCATTGCCCACGACCACACCCTCCATATCCGCACTGTCACCGGCCTGCGAATTTCCAGTTGCGTCTTCAGCTTTCCGTAGCTTATCGAGGTCAGTCTCCAGCAATTGCTCCTCGATACTGGCGTACTGCACAATGTCCCACGTGACGCCCTTCAACGGCCTAGCCATGACTTTCCTATACCCACCACTCAGACTAGCATCCTTCCAGGACCTGCGCATACTATGCGGATCCAACCCTCCACCAGCTTCCGAGCCCATGAACTCCTTGTAGTACTCGCCCACCTCATTGCGCGGGTACAGTACATCAAACCCAGGCTGTGGTAGAACAACATCGAAGATATCGAACTTCCCACTCTCGGCCTCCTCCTTGCTCAGCGATCTCCCTCGTGTATAGGTGTCTTCCGCAGGTCCAGCATCATCGCCATGAGGTCTAACGATCGGCTCGCCAGACTCGTCCACCTCATCCTTGCCGACCTGCTTCTCTTCCTCACCCTTCTCACCCACGATCACGAGATCACCTTCCACAACTTTGCCACCATAAAGCTCCCAGCGCTTACCAGCCGCCATGTTCCAAACAAGCGACTGATAGGCGTGCACATACATCAATCGCAGACCTCTCTGGATGGTCATCAGTGCACCCTGCCAATCCTGCTCCTGTATCATCTTGCCTGACTTTCGATCTCTCTTCATCAGGTATTGCATGATCGACGACTCAGCCGAGAATCTCCTTGGGATCAAATCGCGAAGCTCAGACGGCGTTATGTTTTTCTCCCGCCAGCGTCGAATGCCGTCTGAACGCGTGATGTCATCGATAGGAGTCCTGTTCTTGTCTGCTGATTTCTCCACGTTCTCGGGCAGTAGCTCCGGCTGATATGTGAGAATGCTGTCAATCGCACCTCCAAGGTCTCCTTGCAAGATCTTGAGGCCAGTAATGTGAGTGCCGGTGCTCAAGGAGCCAAAGCGCTGCAGACCATAGTAGTTGAGAAAGCCCTTTGACTTGAAAGACTCAGCTGCCTCACCTACCAAGGTCTTCGCGAGCTCCAGCCTTGCTGCCACGTCCAGTCCCTCATCGCCCGGTACACGTAGATCCCGCAAAGTAAGTCCGAACTCGTTGCCGGTCAGATCACCCAAGCCTAGACCGTGCTTCTTATACTCGAAGCCCCCGATCCTCCAGCCTCTAGCCAGATGATTGAGACTAGCGATTCGCTCGGCCCGAACACGAAAGACCGCCACCTTCTGCACAGTCACACCGCGCCTATCTTTTGTCCCGGCGAACTCGAAATTCTTGGCTGGAATTTTCAGCTGCGATCCGATGAAGCCCAGGGCCTCCATCGTGTCTTTGTTCTCCTTATGCAAGGTGAAGTGCAGATACTCGCCACCGAGCTCGTTCCAGCCGACTTTGCCCTTAGCATGATTGCCGTTCTGATTGTGCTCACCGCGGGCTCCTGCAGCACCTTTCGTGGGTGCGACTTTGATCGCGATCACGCCTGGTTCTTCCTGAAGTGTCTCCGTCTGCAGCTTCAATTGAAAGACAATCCGGATGACTTTGTGCGCTTCTGTGCGATCACTCTTGTCGGGTATAAGATGTGATTTGATGGTTGGAAGATCTCTGGATTTCCGCTTTGGATTCCTCAGAACAGTTGAGTAGAGCCTGATGATTTTGTTCGAAACATCCTCGCCAAAGATGGCCACCACAGACTGCTTGTCTTCGGTTGATAAGGTTACATCAGCGTCGTTGTCATCCTTCGCATTCTCGGCTTCTGGCACATCCCGATCAGTTGGCAGGTCAGCGACTGCGTCACTCGGACCATGAGCACCAGCAGTAGCAGCAGTCTCCTTCAGCTCCATTTCTTTGGACTCAGTAGGAGCAGCATCGCCATCGGCTTCTGCAGCCTGTCCATTTGCTTGCTTGAAGTTCTTGGTAGCGACGTCGGTAAGATGTAAGACGTCGCCATTTGGAAGTATCTCGTTGACCAGAAAATCTGTATATCGTGTCTTCACTGTGCATTGAAATCCAGGTAAGTTGGGCGAGACGAAGACAGTGATGCCTACAGCGCGCTCCTGGTCATTTTGACTTGAAACTTGAGCATTTTCGACTCGAAGTTTCTTATTAGGTGGCTCGTCATCGTCCGCAGGTCGTTTGGTGGCCATGTTGGTTGTGATTGTATACCGAACAATTATTTGCTAAAACTTCCGTATGAGGATGATATTCATGCCAAGATATGTCGGCAGTCGGTGAAACTTTGGAGCTGTCACACGAGCTACGATAAGGTTCGAGATAGCACGGGCACCCTTGTCGTCATTGGGTAGGGCGGGTTGCTAGGCAAATCGTTCCACGCCATCTATCCTGCTGCCTCTTCTGCCATCTACTCTCCTCTCCTCATCATCACCTCGCTTCATTGTTGGACCATCACAGGTTCGTTATGAAGTTCGCGGCATCAACACTCCTCATCGGCGCTGCGGCGGCAGCTGGTCTTCCGCAGCAGCAAACGCCGCTCCAGGCGCCTGCCAGTGACAATGGTGCGCTGAAGGCTGGTGAGTGCTGATCATCCATCGACTTATCAGTATTGTAGTGGCTAATGATGGGCTTAACAGCTAGCGACAAGGCCTCATCGTGGACGAAGCCACTTCAGAATCTTCAGCATGAGCTCAAGCACTTAACTGGCGAAGCCCGCCAGGTGTGGGATGAGGTGGCGCTCATGTTCCCCGAAGCGATGAATCAAGCTTCTTTCTTCAGCCTGCCCAAGCCACACACGAAGCGATCCAAGTGGGACTACACAACGTCAGGCAAGGCGGTACAAGACATCTGGGTCACAAATAGCAACGGCGAGAAGGAGCGCGAGCTCGACGGCGACCTTGAAGCTTTCAGCCTCCGCACCAAGAAGGTAGACCCGAGCAAGCTCGGCGTCGACAAGGTCAAGCAATATTCTGGATACTTGGACAATGAGGAAGATGATAAGCATCTCTTCTACTGGTTCTTCGAGTCTCGCAACGATCCCAAGAACGATCCTGTCCTGCTTTGGCTTAACGGTGGACCTGGGTGCTCTTCTCTGACTGGTCTCTTCATGGAACTCGGACCTAGCTCCGTGAACAAGAAGGGCGAGCTAGTTTTTAACCCAAGCAGCTGGAATGCCAATGCCTCGGTCATCTTCCTTGACCAGCCAGTCAACGTTGGCTATTCTTACAGCAGCGGCACCGTCTCCAACACAGTTGCTGCTGGCAAGGACGTCTACGCTCTCTTAACACTCTTCTTCAAGCAATTTCCAGAGTACGCCCACCAAGATTTCCACATCTCTGGAGAGTCGTATGCCGGCCACTACATCCCTGTATTCGCTTCCGAGATCCTGTCTCACAAGAAGCGCAACATCAACCTCCAGTCGGTCCTGATTGGTAACGGTCTGACCGATGGGTTGACTCAGTACGAATACTACCGCCCAATGGCGTGTGGTGACGGCGGCTGGCCGGCAGTCTTATCCCCACAAGAGTGCACAAGCATGGACAATGCTCTTCCACGCTGCCAGTCTCTCATTCAAAATTGCTACAACAGCGAGTCCGTCTGGTCATGTGTTCCCGCCAGTATCTACTGCAACAATGCCATGATCGGTCCCTATCAGCGCACTGGCCAGAACGTCTATGACGTCCGCAAGAAATGCGGTGGCAACAGCTTGTGCTACGATGAGCTGGACTGGATACAGGAGTATCTCAACCGCAAGGAGGTGATGGAAGCTCTTGGTGCCGAGGTCGACAAGTACGATTCTTGCAACTTCGATATCAACCGCAACTTCTTGTTCCAGGGTGATTGGATGCAGCCATTCCATCGCTTGGTGCCAGGCATCTTGAAAGAGATCCCAATCTTGGTCTACGCTGGTGATGCCGATTTTATATGCAACTGGCTTGGTAACTTGGCATGGACACAGGCTCTCGAGTGGCCTGGTCAGAAGAAATATGCTAAGGCACCCATGGAGGATTTGAAGCTCATGGACGATGGTACCAAGATTGGTGCTGTCAAGTCTGGTGCCAATCTCACCTTCATCAGATTGCACGCTGGTGGCCACATGGTATGTTACTCGTTTCATCATCTTCTTTCGTGCCCATGGCTAATGCAATCTTCAGATCCCATACGATCAGCCCGTCGCTAGTTTGGACATGGTCAACAGGTGGTTGGGCGGTGAGTGGATCGAGTCGTAGACATCCACGTGTCGCCGCAGACACTACGACTTGCAAGTTCCCCGAGCTTCTGAGCTCGACAACATACGATTAGCATGCATGAGCGATAGTGTAGTATACAACAACATGAACACTTCCGATCCGATCCGTCTTGCTCCAACCTTTCACACTCTGAGACGGCTCACTTCTTGAAGCAGTCTTAACCCGCCTCAACCTATACAGAGTCTATGACGCCGCAGAAGGTTCCGTTTTCGAGCTGCATAGAGCCTCGACTTTCGACTCGACATGACGACGCCATTGTCCGATGAAATGTTACTAGTCCACTGAAGCGCCGCAATTTGCTGTGCACATCGGCCCGGCCTCCACGGGATGCAGTTGTGTACCCGGAAGGAGTTCAATATGTTAACGTGACGCAGACCGATCCACTGCGTGGAAACCACAGAGTCCAGCCCATCTGTCTAGCCCAAGCGTTCATCAGCTCTCCATGCCAGCTTTTTGCCGTCAGGCCAGGTCGTGTTAATCCTTCGAAAGGCTCTCACTTCCTCGTTTTCATGGAACTGGAGGTTGTTTGCGTTAGCTTGCGACATGGAAGAATACTCTTGCTATCCTAACTCTAATCAATGTAGACGGCTTCATTCTGAACTTCTTTTCTGGCCGCCTCCGCCGTCGAGACCTCGGCACATATACCGGCTGCTCTCGCCTAGACGCCCAAGACCTGGACCATCACATCTGGTCACAACGGTCCGTACAGCCAGAATGCCAAGGAACTTGCAAGGTGGCTCAGATGCGTTCGCAGATGAGGCCTAAAAGCTACTGACATGGTAGGCAAGGGAGTATATAGCCGATCTCGCTTCTATGCAGGACGACGATGCCAAGGAGTTTTGTCCAGGACGCAAATCCAAAGCCATGGCAATATGATAAGGCAATCTGGTAAGGCAATCTGAAAAGGCAATTTGGCAGACTGTGTCAAGTGCGTGGGCATCAATTGAAGTGGTGTATACTGACCATTTGCGGTTTGTCTAGATAGGCGTAAATGCAGTCTCTGGGTAGCAAGAGTTGATCAGGCGCTTTTCAAGGTTGTCACGAAGGAGATCTACGAAAGTTTTTGCTTGGTATGTTGAAGAATTCAGACTCATGGACCTTGAGCGGATCGTTAATCTATGTTGTACGATGATACCTGCAAGGTCGTACCTGGAGCCACGCGGAAACGGAGCAAGCATGGCCGCTAGGTAGCGAATTTCAAGAGCCATTCTACCAAACTTTGGGCGCGTTCCTGTCGGATGGAGCGTGCTCGCAAGATGTCTTTTGTCCCTTCCGTGATGGGTATGTCAAGGAGATTACCGCCCGGAACAGAAGAATCCTCGCGGAAATCGTCAGGTCTGGTATAGCTGCGTTGTGTAGCCGCCCTAGCAAGCATAATGCAGGACATATCAGATGTCGGAGTGCATGTGAGGCAGGCACAGCAGATCAGGGGCTTGTGGACTTGTGGAGGCGGAGAAGATTCCGTTTCAGGAAGCATGTACATAGCAAATCAAATATTGCAACGCAGATGACAGCGAGCCGTATGTGCATATCTTGACACGCTGAAGGCGTGGCCCAGGAGATCTTCGAAGTATGTGGCTAGTAGTCATTATTCTGCGCAATTCCATGGACTGTAGTACAGTACCACGGCAGTCTATGCAGGGCCGTCCTTGAGGACGTCTTAAATTGATTGCCAATGCGCGCTACGGGTTTAGCCACAATGCAGGATTAATCTGCCACCTCGCTCTCGACCAGCTTTGCAAGTCATCAGGCCAAAGGTCAATTTAATGAAGTACTTTGCTTTCCACGGTCACCAGACGAACTACTGTCGACTATGGCGGCGGCTACGCTTCGCCACTATGTTACACTGTCACGGCCAGCCCATTTACCTGGCACATGATGTCCAGGTTAATAGGACATGTCTCCCGTCGAGCCGGCCACACTTCTAGACTGGCTGTGCACTGGCAAGATCTTCGCTGTTGTGCCCAAGGTTCTATGCCCATGGGAAACCGCCTGATGGGGGCTCATATACCCTGCAGCAACGAGGTATTGGTCCCAAGCGAGCAACGAGCGACTTCACGGTATAAGTATACAGGGCGTCTCCTGTTCTCAACAGACTCTTTCCCTTGCCACGCACAATCACATTCACTTCTTCACTGCCTGCCCATCAAGCAGCACTTTCCCACAAGATGCAGTCCATTGCTATTGCCGCGCTCTCGCTCAGCGCCGGTGTCTACGCCCAGCAGGCTGGCACTCTCACCGCTGAGACTCACCCAAAGCTCACTGTATCAACGTGCGCGACAGGCGGGACCTGCACCACTGTGCAACACACAATCGTTCTTGACGCCAACTGGCGCTGGCTCCACTCGACCTCCGGGGCGACTAACTGCTACAACGGTAACACCTGGGACAAGACCCTCTGCCCCGATGCCACCACCTGCGCTGCCAACTGCGCCCTTGACGGTGCTGACTATGCCGGTGTCTATGGCATCACCACCTCGGGCAACTCGCTCTCGCTCCAGCTCGTTACTGGCTCGAACAGTGGTTCCCGTGTCTACTTGATGGACGCCAGCGACTCCAAGTACCAAGAGTTCAACTTGCTCAACCAGGAGTTCACCTTCGACGTTGATGTCTCCAAGTTGCCATGTGGCTTGAACGGTGCTTTGTACTTCGTCAGCATGGACGCCGATGGCGGTGTATCCAAGTACCCAACCAACAAGGCTGGTACCAAGTACGGAACTGGCTACTGTGACTCGCAGTGCCCTCAGGACATCAAGTTCATTGCTGGCAAGGCCAACAACGGCAACTGGACCCCATCTGCGAACAGCGCTAACACAGGTGCTGGTGCCACTGGTGCTTGCTGCAGTGAGATGGTAAGTCCAGAATATCGAAGTACATTCGTGACCAAGCTGACAATTTGTAGGACATCTGGGAGGCAAACTCCATCTCTGCTGCCTACACTCCTCACCCTTGCCAGCCAGAGGGCTACGCGCCATGCAACAGCCCCACCGACTGCGGATCAGGTGATGGCAACCGCTACAGCGGCTTCTGCGACAAAGATGGCTGTGATTTCAACTCCTGTATGTTTACCATCGACATACCGATTCGTGATCGTGTCAGCTGATAAATTCGTAGTCCGCATGGGCAACCAGACCTTCCTTGGGCCAGGCAAGACCGTCGACACCACCAAGAAGATCACTGTTGTGACCCAATTCATCACTAGCGACGGCACTGCTAGCGGTGACCTCACTGAGATCCGCCGCTTGTACGTCCAGAACGGTGTCGTCTACGCCAACTCCGCATCCGATGTTTCCGGCATCTCCGGCAACAGCATCACCGCCGACTTCTGCAAGGCCCAGAAGAGCGTGTTCGGTGATACTGACTACTTTGACACCAAGGGTGGCCTCAAGGCCATGGGTGAGGCTTTCAAGACCGGCATGGTCCTCGTCATGTCCATCTGGGACGACTACGCCGTCAACATGCTCTGGCTCGACTCCGACTATCCCACTACTGCTCCAGTCACCAACCCAGGTGTCGCACGTGGCACTTGCTCTACCACCTCCGGTAACCCCAAGGATGTTGAGAGCCAATCACCCGGCTCCACTGTCGTCTTCTCTAACATCAAGACCGGCCCGATCGGCTCTACCTACAGCGGCACCCTCTCCGGCGGCACTGGCCCACCACCTTCGTCCTCGTCCTCCAAGGCTCCGGTTCAGTCCAGCACCTCCTCCAAGGCCCCTGTCTCGTCAAGCACATCCTCCAAGGCCCCTGTCTCGTCAAGCACATCCACCAAGGCCCCTGTCTCGTCCACCACCTCCACCAAGGCTCCTGTTTCCTCTACCTCCTCTGCCTCCTCAGCTTGTGCGACCAAGTACGGTCAATGGTAAGTGCAGATATTCAAAATGCACATATGAGACGTTCCTTACTGACACGTGTTACAGTGGTGGACAAGGCTGGAACGGCCCTACATGCTGCGCATCTGGCTCCACTTGCAAGTCATCTGGCCAGTACTACTCCCAGTGCTTGTAGATATTGCCTCGAGAGAACGGTCAGGACAATCGGAAAGATGCTGATGAGGAGTGTGCATGCATGGGAACTGGTTAGATGTGTGTAGCATGAAAATGAAGATTACGAAAACGCAGCTTAGTTTGCCATGCTCACAATCAACTCAACGCCAGTTTGGCTCCGACTGTTCAATGGCAATATTGCTCCAGTCGATGCGGCCAGGAACAACATTCATCTTGAAAGAGTCTACATCTCAATGTCCCCACCAGCCTCGTGAAGCGGACCGCGAAGGCGTGTCAAGAGGAGAAAGATTACCTAGGTGAGACCGGAAAGGCGGAGACGCGGGCAAACTCGTTCACCTCCGGATCGTGCAAGTGCAAGCAGGGACCAGAATCTTGATCAGCATACACCTCATTGTTGTCAGCTTACTGCGAGCACACGCCTACGGACTGTGAATACCATTCTGGGCTACATCCTTCGCTGCGGGCGGCAGGCAGGACCATGTGCTGTTCAGCATCAGCTGGCCCATGACCACACGTCCTTCCTTCGTGTACACCATGTGTCACCAAGGGTCGATGCTTTTGAATGGTTCCATGCGAGTGCGAAAAGGACGACAAACAAATACACGTACATCTGCGTTCTTATGATGCTTCTAATTCTACCGCCAGACCTTCCGCACCACTGACTTATGGAAGTGGAGCTGCTGCTCAAGTTCATGTCGTCCAGCATGTCCTGCACCAGTCTGCAGCTCTGCTTTGATTGCTTGATCTCGATCCATTTCATGTACAGCAGCGTCGCCATCTGCTTCTGCGGCGCCTACGACGGCATGATCTTTTGGCATCTCTACCGGATCCTTGTCGCCGGACTCTTCACCACGCACCTGGGTCTGACCACTCAGATTACTTCGCTGCTTCGCCAAACATAGCGTCACCATTATTGCAAAGTAGACGACAAAGATGGCCACCACCACGATCCCAGCCAGGACACCAGACGCTAAATGCGGGTTCTTCTTATCCAGCTTCGTGCTCGTTTCGATGGGTAGCAGAATAGCAACGAGATCCTGTGCACCCCGGGATAGCTTGTCGTATGGTGAATGTGCCTCGTTCGTAATCCACAATCACATATGCTTCCTGCAGAAAAGTTCTGCCAAGCGTGTATTGCGTGGCATTCTGCGCACGCTTCAGCGGGAAATAACGAGTGGGCGTGTCGAATATTGGCTGAGTGAGGTTGAGATCGAAAGCTGAGTATGGCAGATTTACACTGATCGAGCTGTAAGCACCCTCCTCTGCTCCCGGTTGTGCAAGGCTGAATGTGAACACTGGATCCTGCGCCAGTAGAGCGTCATGGACGCTTTCATTGATGAGATAATACTGAATAGTGTCATTCCAAATGAGCTTGAAAGCCGACTCGAAGGCTTCACATGCACTGATCGGCAACCATAGCTCGGAGACCATGGAGTCGATGAAAATATCAATCCTCTGGGCAAGCAGCGGCGAGCTTCCAGTAGTATCGTAGGTGATTGCAGTCAGACTCACGAGAAGATCTCGGGAAATATCACTTTCGAACGAGAACATTGAGTCGTCATGGTTTGGCACGAATCTCGTCGTGTCGAACCCGCCAAGCGTCACGCTACCGAACACTGGTGGCTGTTTATAGCTTGCACCGGCTGTATAAGCCCTTGAGCAGGATGGGATCAGCGACTGGTTGCGGAGTGTACTCAGCATACTTGGTATCGGATCATCCAGGTCTGTGAAGTTGAACGGCAAAGGGCTGAGCCCAAGACTGCCCAGCCTACGGGATACATCAACACCAATATTGACATCGGCAGAAACCACCTACCAGAAGTCGTTCGTGGCAAGACCTGCAATCATCGTCGAAGATACCGAAGGCAGGCCTGAGCCGAGGGGTCCAAGACCCAGGTCGTCGAAGCCGTAGTAGGCAATACCACCGAGACCAAGCACACTTTCCTCGTAGGTGCTGAGCTGAAAGAGGCTACCATTTGCCAGTCGCTGCGTTGACCAAGTAGAGGAAGTGTTGCTGGCGAAGCTATAGCCTCGGTCGTCATCGCAGTCCATAAGGGTTGCATTCGCCTGAGTATATCCCTGCAGGATCACAACCCTGGACCCCATCAGGTTCGAAACGCTACTGTATCATGGTCACGCCCCAAATGACTCACCAGGTTGTGCTGCAAGCCGATGCGGACGTGCCAGGCAGAAGACGAATAGGTTGTCCTGGAATCCCAACTTGGATCTGGAAAGTCGACCAGCGGCCATCATTCCCATCCCTATTACCAACGTGTGATAAGTCTTTGGTCGTTTGTGGAAGTGTCTTAGATCGTAAGTCACCAAGCTGGCTCGGTGCAATACTCAGAGGCTTCACGACGGCCTGAACAGCACGGATCTGGGAAAGGACGACCAGATTGCTGGACCACACAAATGTCAGCATTATGCGTCGCAGGCAACTTGCGTGGGCGTCGAAAGATGTAGATTGAATCGTCTTCGTTGATAATTGGAGTGCAAAGAACTGTGCCCGTGTGACAACACCAGGCTTGACACCACGTTGAACAGAAGCTGCGCCGTTCGTACACGCAGCGCCCTCCTGTGTATGAAACCTACCGATATCGTGACGCGGCTCCTCGCATGAACCACCTCAGAGCTGTGTTATCGGAAGTGCCACACCTGTTCACACCGGTACAAGAAACAATACCGAAAATGAGTGGCTCCGCGTCAATGTGGTTACACCGATAATAATCCAGAACAGTCAATGGTCGTAAGGTGGAGTGGTTTGACAGTGACGCTGTTGTCGTCGAAGACAAATGTCCTCTGCATGGTTCCAGTCAGTGGGCAGCATTTCCCCATTTTCATCTCAATCCGCTTGTCGCTCATTTTGGAATCAAGGCGTGCTCCCTGCTACTGCAGTCCACCCGCACTTCCAGTAGGAATCTCGGCCTCGCTTTCGTCTTTCTCCAGTCCTGTGCTGCTCAATGTTAGAAAAGCCATGGACCATCCTAACCACACCTTGAGCTAATCAATGCTACACACTTTACCTCATTCGCAATACCCAATACACCAGGGGCTCAAGACAATGTCGTCACCTTCGGCTGGGTATACACGACGCCGTCGCAGCCGCAGTCATCCTCATCATTTTCACATACCCGTGGTCCTTATGCGCCCGCCTACAGCTATACCTGGAAATATATCACTCCCTCCACCATTGGCACCCTGTTGATCACGGTCAACATTGCCAAGAACGAGACCATATCTTCCACAGTGTTTCACACCAACTTCCGGGAAAATGGCAATCTGACAGTCCTGACTCGTACCGACGTCAACGACGCAAGCACAGTGACCGGAGTGGTGGGAACTATACTGTGTATGCTCACATGTCTGGGAGCCAATCATCCGTGCCCACGCTAATACATATGCTGCAGTAGTTATCCAACGCCAGTCTTCGACATAGCCACAGACTTCACCTGGCATGCAGTACAAGCACAAACCGGCACATGGGAACTTGCTGCATGAACACCACAACCCACTCGATCACACCTCCACACGCCACTTTCCGACCAACACTTACCACAGTTTCGAGGGATCCCAGAGGGTGGCTCTACTCTCTCACGGGCTACAAATTGCTGAGCTCCGCAGATCTACTCGGACCTCAGGACCTCACGAGTCTCTGGGAAGGCGGTAACCTCAGAATACCGTATGTAGCGCGTCTGTATACCTGGCGTGGCGAAGGCTATGCAGCAGATGAGGGCAGTCGAATTGGCTTTGTGACTTCTGTCCCGAACATCCTTGCGCCCTCAATCACCACGATCTTAAGCGCAGGCATGGGGAGTAGCACGACGGCACCCGCCTTTACTGGACAAGCTTCGCCCCCGCCCGCCCTGCCATGTCGGTCACCATGATCACCTCGTCGAGCACATCTCGGATCATTGACTCAAATTCGCCAGTTCCTCCAGTGGTGTCAGTGGCCTCCACATCATGCGTCTCAAGTGCTGTAGGAGGTCTCTCCAGCGCCACGAGCACAATACGTCCCACGACCACGACCATAAGTCCTACCACGTCACAAATACAGCAAAAGTCGAGTGGCAAGCAAGAACTCTCATCGATAATTGCACTACCACTAGTAACGTCTACATTGTTACCATCTTCTCTAGGATTGGCATCTCCTGCGGCGGCTTCAACCATCACAACGACGAGAACAACGGATGATGGTCTTGCAGCGCCCGCGCTTTCGATATTACTCTCTGCCGAGACTCCGGCTACGGCTACAGCTAAGACTCAATCACATTTTATCGTAGGCACCCATACCGTGACTGCCGGCGCTCAAGAATTTACTGTTTTTGGGACGGTCGTCAGCGACGCATCATCTGCCACGGAACTTATCATCGGCTCGTCGACCATTCTGCCACTCCAGACGAGTCCTTCAGCTGATCTTCTCCTAACGCTGAAAGTAGGCTCATTGACGATCTCCGCTGACAGCCAGTGCGATTCCATAATCGCGGATCAAACTCTACAGCCAGGCGGCCCGGCGATCACTCTATCAGACACGCTCATCGGTCTCGCCACATCTACCACAAAGCTCGTGGTGGGCTCATCGACTATACCGCTTTTCCCAAGACCCGAGAGAACGACAATACCAGATATTACCCTAGGCTCAACCGTCCTCACCCCTGACAGCGACTCCGTCTACACCCTCGGATCGCAAATACTAAGTCCCGGTGGCCCAGCGATCACGGTCTCCGGTACGGAATACACTCTAGCCACCGATGGCGGTGAGCTCCTCGTAGGCTCAAGCACTGAAGTTCTGACTACGACCGGCACGGGAGTGTACGTCTGGAGCAATATCGGGGCTTCCAGCATTTCCAGTGGCACTCTAGTATCACCGGCGAGTACAACCACCACTTCGGCCTCTCAGTCCAGATCAGGGGTTCTGTGCCAGCAACAGCGAGAGTACGTCTCCAGCCGGCATAATTGCATCCAGTGCAGCATTCGTCACCTCAAGTATACGCCGTGTCTTGAGCTCCTGCTTCCTCCTTCTCGTCATGGTTCCGTTCGCTCCTTAGCTTCACGTCGTGGCAACGGCAACGTTTAAAATTATACTAGCCGGACTGTTGGGATTTCTCGCTACGATGATGATGAGTCAATTGACAGACTGGAACTGATTGCCACGATTCAGAGCATGGAAAGTGTTCATGTCATACCCCTTGTGGCGTCTACTTAGGTCATTGGTATCATGCTACGCTATGATGATAAGGAGGTCTTAGTCTCACACACGCTTCAGCCACCATGGCACTTATCGCACTCATAGCCTGCTCCAGGTATTTGCTTCCAGGCCTTTCGTTCTACCTCCCTCTGTCGTTTCGGATTCCCCACTCTAGCACACAGCATGCGTCTTCCCATGCTTGCCCTGAAGCGAATGCTTCTCATCCGAGAAATGGTCATTCGTATTCTTGTTCTTCGCATTCTTGGAATGATGGTTCTTCATATGCTCCTGATACGGCTCAATAAGGTTGTGCTCGTCCAACTTGCAAAGCTCCTTGTATGCCAGCCCGATATCCGTGATCAAAGCGTCGCAACGTGAGCGACTGAAGTCTTCGCGGACGACCACACGCATCATCTTCAGCTTGCCAGCGTGAGGAGCCATGGTATAAGCCGGAACAACCCATCCGCGCTCGCGAAGCTGATGAGCAATGGCGAATTCGTCGAATTTGTGGTTGTGCTTGGGGTTGAGGCGGAAGGCTACGAGAGGGAGACCACGGCCGCGGGTTTGGGACATGAGTTCGAAGCCCATCTGCTCGACGCTGTGGGCGAGGTAGTCTGAAGTGCGGGTGAGGTTGAACATGATGCTGCGGTAGCCCTTTTTGCCGAGGCGGATGAGCTGGTAGTATTGGCCAATGACTTGGGAGGCGCCGCGGGAGAAGTTGAGGGTGAAAGAGGCTTGGTCGGCGCCGAGGTAGTTGATGTTGAAGATGAGTTCTAGGGAAGATGTGTCAGCAGTGGACTCTGATGGTGAATGCAGAAGTGCTCACCCTTTGGCAGGAATTCAGGGTCACGCCACACGACCCAACCGACACCAGGGTAGACGAGACCGTACTTGTGGCCAGAGACATTGATGGAGACGACCTTCTCGAGCCTGAAGTCCCACTCAAGACCAGGGTTGACGAACGGAGCAACGAAGCCACCGGAAGCAGCGTCGACATGGATTGGGCAGTCGATGTTGCGCTCGACGAGCAAGTCGTTGATCTTCTTGGTGTCCTCATACTCGCCGGTGTAGGTTGTACCAAGGATTGAACAGATACCAATCGTGTTCTCATCGACCAAGTCAACCGCCTGCTGCGGGTCTATCACATAGCGGCCTTCCTCACAGAAGACGTACTTCTCCTCGACGTCGAAGTAACGAGCAGCCTTCTCCCAGCACACCTGCACAGCCGAGTTCATGATTATGTTGGGCTTGCTGGCGTCCTTGCCCTCGGCACGACGCTTGTTTTGCCAGCGCTTCTTCATGGCCAGAGTGCCCAACATGATGGCCTCGGAGGAGCCGATGGTGCTGGTACCCATGATCTGGGCATTCTCGTCATGGACCGGGGCGTTGAAGAGGCGGGCGATCATGGAGACACAGCGGTTCTGGATGTCAGCGCTGACTGGGTACTCCTCGTAGTCGATGAAGTTCTTGGAAAATGCTTCGACCATGAGCTTTTCGGCCTCGTCTTCCATGTAGGTGGTGACGAAGGACGCCAAGCTGCGGAATGTCAGTCCAATCGATATTCTCTTCATAAGGCACGGCTTACTTGAGCGTAGGAGTGCCATCGAGAGTCAGGTCGTCCCTGTTTACATTGTCAGCTGCTTTCCAAAACAGTCCGTTTGATTTCTACATACTTGATCATGCGGTAAGCAACCTCCCTCGGCATCTCATCCTCAGGCATCTCATGCTTGGGCAAATCCATTGCGGCGTAGCGTGAGCCATAGACACTAGCTGTGACCTCATCCTGGCCAGGAGCACCAAGATCAAGACCGTCAATGTCAGGCAGCGTCTTGTTCTTCTCTTCAATTTCTTTGGTCGTGGCGACCTTGCCGAGATGCACCATCTTTGCGGTGTTTGTGCTAGTAGATTGGGGGAAGATGGATGTTTGGTAGACGGTGAAGCTGCTCTCAATGGATGCAGCTGTTTGAGGGCAGATTGATTAGAGGTTGAGGTTGTATGAGTACTCAGACTCAAGGCTGAAGAACTTGAGGTGGGTGTGAGAGAGTGAAAGGTAGTGCGAGAGACTGAAGGGTAAGATGGAATATCTCAATTCCCCGCTTGTAAATAAAAGCAAGGCACCCTGCCGTCTTTCAAGCAAGCTCCATGCACCAAACTGCCACCGTCGCCCGTCCCATACTTTCCTTACATTGGTCTAGCCAGGCACATCCAATAGCAAGCTTCGCGCCACGAGGCGCTGCCACGATCAAGCTCTTGGACAAAGCAGGAGCAAAGGACATCGCACGTTTCAAGCTCCTCCATCCTAGTATTTACGATCCAATAGCGGGGTAGCTCGGACGTCATGACGGGCGGTTGCAGGCGGCTGGCCGAGAGCTTCTTCACCGCCTTGGCGATGAAGCCAAATTTGGTTCGCGAAGCTTGCGCACAGAGGATAAATCAGGGTACAGTATAATAACATACTGATATCCTTCACTCATATCATCTAGTCTGTCCACCGTAGTGCATCTAGCGAGAGCGGTCGCAATGAGGACCGCCTGTCCGCACACTTTGGTTGAGTCTCTCCCATATCCCATCGCGATATGTCACGTCCATGTCTATGCTGGCGATGTTGATCGTGGTGCTATACTATGGATGAGAGGTGAACTTGTTGGCACGGAAGGGCCGAAGAGCAGCGTCGCTATACGTCTGGCAATAAGCTCGCGGTACAGCGACTCAGTGCAGCTTGATGGCCCGACCTGGGAGGACTCACGGAAAGCATACATCCTGCTGAACCGCAAATGATTGGTTGCTGCTCATCTGCGTCTTCAGAGAGCCGGCACGCTCGTCACATACGAAGCATTGTATGGTACTGTCTTGGTATGCAGTATCGGAATCCGTCTGTATTGTGTTCCCAGTGAGGAGGTACTTTCGGATCCGAATACGTAGCTCCACAGGCGAAGGTAGGAGAGGTGAGTTAACCCCGTTCTTCTTGCGTATCTGTATCATGATTAGCTACATGTTATTACGACCGACAAGAGCAGATCTTCACAGTACTTGCATCGCAGAGTGCACTCCTACCGACACCCGTGTTGTAACGGCTCGCTTGTCTGCAATGGCTAAGATCATCTCAGAGGTCTCGAGACGCAGATCGCTTGGAAGCTTTCGGACTTCATGGGCTATGCGAAATATGCAGCCGAAGTCGACAAGATGCGGTTGGATCACGCAACTTTCAAGACACGTGCCATTCACTTCAAGACCTCAAGCACGTCTTCCTCAGCTTTTGGCGAATCCAGATCGCCCTCTCTGCTTGCCAAAGGTGATGCTCCTTGGCACCATCTTCAGTGAAGACATGGAATCCACAAGATCGTCCACATTGCTCGTCTGTGTCGCAGTAGTACTATCATTTGATTTCTCTTTCTTCACCGTTGCCTGCACCTTCATCGCTGACACATCTGGCATCACTTCACCTGTGGAAGTAGCCTCCGTGCTAGTGCTCTTCTCTGTAACAGACGATCCACTCCTTTCCCTACTACTCTTTCTATGACCCTGTGCATCAATGCCAGGCCTGAGCATACTCCTCTTCCCATCCACCCCACTATTAACGATGAAGAAGTCGTAGTTCCGAGGATAATTGTGTTTATCCACTAAATGACTTCTTCGCTTCCTCCAATCCATACAGATCTTCTCACAGTCCTCGACGAAGCAGGTATACGTCTTTTCTCCGGCGTCCCTTTTGGTGGCTGTGATCGGGTCGTGGTTTTCTGCTATGTGCAAGTCGAGGAAATGCTCTGTTGGGAAGTTCTTGTGACAATCGCGGCAGCGATGTGTATGAGCTTGATTGTAATGCGACTCATACTCCTCATATGTCCCGAAGCTCAAAGGTTTGTGTGGTGGTAGGAGGCAACGCATAGCGGCTGGTTGTCCTTCTTGGGGCTCGAGGGATGCGTACTTGAGTGCATGAGACGGAAGCTCGATACCTCCTGCTGGAGAAGCAGAGCTGTCTGGTGAGGAGACGGCCTCGTGCCGTTCACGTTTCGCCATGTCGGTGTGCGATGAGCTGTACCTGCAGCACTACTGCTCCTCGTAATGGCGCGTGTTGTCCTGCAGCTAGAGGGAAGCGTGGAGAATGTTGTTAAGCTCACCTTGGCGGATGCTGTGTTTACTAACGGATTACCTCTCCCGTTACCACGTTGAGCAAAACGTGCCCTTCACGAGGTACGCCGACACTCTGATCACACTTGCAAAAAGCATGATGCATGATAGCCGCATCGCCTTGCTCGAACAGAGTCAATCGTGCGTTCTCGGACGGCAGCTCGATTCACATCCGAGCCGAACGCCTCAAGCCATCAGCCACAAGCCACGAACTCGAACCTCCCACCTCCTCCCCACAAGCATCGTGTATTAGTAGCAGCAACACTCACCTGGCCACTACTCTTCTCCGAGAAGTGTCTTCACTCGCACGCTTACGCTCACCAAAAATAGTCTGTACCTCCTGATTCACGATTACTGCTAGCGACAAACGACTCTGTTGCCGACTATATATCTTCCCTCCGCCGCTGACGAGCCAAATGGATCGCATCGGCAACTGTGCCCGCGCAAGACAGACATCCTTCACTTAACCGCCAAGACGACCGAGCGGTCACTTGCGCGGGAGCACACCACAATTACCACACCGACAACGATATCGATACCCACAAGTGCGGCGCCTCCTTATGCGCCGCCTGAACACGACCGTGGAAGCAGAAGCATGGAAGAGGTTCTCGCCAATGAGCGAGCAGCCGAACAACATGCTCTCACCCTTGTGAAGAACAAGGACCAGCCGATCGCGGACACCCTGAGCGCTTTCAACGAGTACCGCCAGTGTGCCCTAGCTGCTACCTTCGCCGACTTTGCTCATGCTGAGGAGCATCAAGTCCGGCTGTGGCAAGCTCACACCGACGGGCGCCGCTACTTCAGAAAGCCGTTGAGTGAGCTGAGGAAGCAAGGCGCGGGTCGTGCAGTTGAGGCCAGACAGCTCGCAAAGCTGTACAAGGAGTGGATCAAGGCTAGCACACACTTCTACCGCGAATATGTCCTCCAGCTCAGCACCACTTTTGGTGGAATTCCGGAGCTTGAGGCTGTGGCGCACAAGGTGAAGTCTGACCACGCGGGCGAAAGCTCGCGTGTTCACCTCTCGCCTGAGGAGCACAAACTCGTCCTTACCGCTTGCCACCAGGTCTTGATCTACCTCGGTGATCTTGCTCGGTATCGTGCTACGGATCAGCTCGACAGCAAGCAAGAATGGGGTCCAGCTATTGGATTCTACGACCTCGCGCACATTTTACTGCCGACCTCTGGTCATGGTCAGCACCAGCAAGCTGTTGTGGCGCTTGAACGTCGCGCTCACTTGGCTGCGCTGTACCATCTGTATCGCTCAGTGCTTGCTGATGATCCTCATCCAGCCGCAGTCAACAATCTCAAGCTTGAATTCGGTAAAGTCAACGCTGCCTGGGACAAGCAGGAATTGATCCCAAAGCTCGCACCAAATGATCCCGAGGCACCCAAGCATAACCTCACTGGTTGGTTCGTGCGTATGCACAGCGTGTGTGCCAAAGGCGAGGTCTTTAGCTCCCATGCTGAGCTCGAGCGGGAGGTGTTGAGCCAATTCTCTGCCATCATCAGGAAGGACAGCAACATATTTGAAAGTACTGTCATGCGCATGGTCATGATCAACCTTGCCGCGCAGTATCACGCAGGCCTACTCTTTCAAGGCAAGTCGGACTTAACAAGATTCTCGAGCGAATTAAGGCTGACACGGGCAATAGAGAAGCAAGGCAACAGCTCTGAGAAAGAGCAACAAGCATTCTTCTACTTCTTTCGCCTCAATATCAAGACTTATACGATTTTACTTCAAGCATTTCACGACAACGTGCAAGCGCTTCCGAAAGGCGTTGCGGAGGACGATGAATTATCTTTAAAATTGACGCCATGTACCCGTCGCCTGCTACCAGTCTTGCGTCTGTACAGCTCTTGGCTTAGCTGCAATCTGCACCTTGTGGCTGGCCTCGGTGCTGATGCTTTCCTGGGCGATTCTATCGACAATCTGTGGACGACATATGCTCGCGCGGTTGATGTCTTAGCCAACGAGGACATCTTCGGTATCTGGGCTCTGGACGAGTACGGGACAGCTTATATGTTTGAGGAGGATGTTGATACGATTGCGTTTAGTCCTCTTCAGAATAGTCAACAGACTGTCTGGAGGAACTGGAAGGCCGGCTCTGGTGCGCTGAAACCAAAATTCTCAGATGCTGGCGTTGAGCGCATGCCACAAGACGAGGAGATGCTGGCACGTGTGAAAGGTCTGCTCGAGGATGGATCGAAGCTGGCGCATGAGGCCGAGGAGGCGCCCATCGGAATCGTAGGCGATCGCATCTATTATGGCCAAGCTCTCACGACTGCCATCGCCGCTGCGGAGGAAGCCAAAAACCGACCGCCAGAGCCACCACGACCGAAGCCAGTGCAGAAGCCACTAAGCTATGCCGCCGCTGCGAAGAGTGGTCGTAGTGTTACGAAACCGACCGCCAATGGTGTGTCAAACGCCAATAACCGCGCTCGTCAGGCACAAGTGACGCGCATGGTAGACAATCTTGTCGATGAGGACGAAGACAACAACCCAGTAACGCCGCCTCAGCAACATATTGCGCACCCGGCTGTTATCACTAATGGCGAAGTACCCTACAGCGTTGGACCATATGCAGCTCACGCCGACTTCGCGAACGTGACGAGCTACCAGCCTAAGGCGAGAAGCCCATCGATCATGCTGCCACCACAGCCGAATCTCGTCCCGACTCCGCCACAACCACGCACGCCGAAAGCGTCGCTCACAGCAAATTCCACGGAACGCATGCAGTCCATCTCTCGACTCTGGAACGACTCCATGGCATCACCCACCTCGACCTTCCCATCTGGACTACCTACCGGTACCCTCGCCTCTCCTGCAGATATTCACCCACGATATCCACCACGCGGCCACTCTCGTGTTAACTCTGTGAATAGTGTTCGCAGTCGTACTTCGCAGGGGATGGCTGATCCGTGGTCGACCCTCGAGTACGGGCAGACGAGTAACGGCGAAGGTGCCGTGCAGCCTGTTAATGGATATACGAATTTCAGCGCTTCGGGTGTTACGAGCCCCTTGTTGTTTGGTGCTGGAGGTGGGATCTGGAGTACCGGCCAGGGCGGCAATGGGCCTAGGAATACGAGTCCGAATAGTGGGCATGGTGGCTGAAGGATGCCGGGGTTATGGACATACAGACGAGACGGTTTTCCCTGCCAGGTCATGGAGAGGCACACATATGAGCTCCAACTGGAGCGTGATCGGTAAGGTCGACAAGACTTGCTTTCGCTCGACTAAGACATTCGAAATGTTTTGTGGATGATGAGCCAAGTTCGGACTCAGAGTTGAAGCTCACGTGGCGTGGACGAGGTAGCAAGACAGTGTGGCAGAGCGGAAGGGGAGACTATTGGATGGACGGCGAAGGATATGATGAAGGATATGGTGGTGGAGGCTTCAAATTGTGATATTGTGTTTGTACTTACTGCGCTGGTTCGTATGCGATCGCTTCTTCTGTTTCCAGTAAAAATACTCTGCTATGCTATGCTGGCCGCGGAAGCGGCTATGTCGGAGATTCGAGATATTCAAAAGTTCGCAGCTGTACTACTTGATTGAAAGGCAATGCTGTTGTACGATGTCCTTACATTCTCCAGGATTTGTTCCTAGAGCTCAACAGACAGTGATCGTGTCGTAGAAGCGTGATCGTGTTTCAGCGTCCACAGTCTCACAGCCTGCAGATTGGCATCGTGGCAGGAAAACATGGCAGAGGTCTTCTTCTTGTCATATGAACCGGCACATTTGATCAATCAATGACCTCCTAATGGCATGGCGGCAGTAAGTACTGAGTAGCGTAGAGTGTACGTCTAGCAACCGGACTAAATTCATAGGCATAGTAGAGCTTAAAGGTGCATGCAGCAAAGAGGAAGCATTCACCTCTATCCTACCCAAACCCTAACCCTTGAGGACGTCCGTGCTCCATACATCCCATTCTGCATAAGATCAATGTCGAGACCCCATGCTTGATAAGACACAATGGGACGCGGAAGAAATACCGTCCCGTGAGCATGTGGTCAGCGCAGGCACCCCTCGATAAGGCAAAAGCGTTTCCCTGCGTAAAAGATAGAGTGAAGTCCGCTATATCAACAGCCCTGAACCTTGACTGCTCAGACTTCTGCAGACCTGTAGTGCACGACCAGTTCATCCGATTCGTCACGTAGACGATGGCGGATGATCAGCAATATTCCTGCACTCTAGCGAGCAGCGCCAACCTGCGGAGAAACAATCTACAGAATCTCGTGCTCGAACTTATCCCGATAACAGAGGAATGGAGGGTCGAAGCGGTCTGCTGGGTTTTGCATTAGCGCCGTGCGGACGGTATGAAGCAGTTGCCTCAAAACGGTGTCGAGTACAGGAACTGAGCATGCAGAACATTAGCCACGACAGTAGTTCACTGCTTGCTTGCTTGATGCTGCACTGAAGACCCACAACTAATCACGAAGTCCACACAAGCATCGAGCCAATCCACCGGCTCATCATACAAGCTGCGATACGGTGGCCGCATCTCATCGAGCGCTGCGAGCGATTATGCACGGCGTACCGTCTTGGCGGACAGAGAGGCAAGATCCGAAGGATGAAGTCGAGTCGAGATTCTGCAAGCTCGTGAGCCATGGAGGGGTCCTGCGCCAGAGTGGGTCGTCTGATTGGTGGTGCATGCGATGCACCTGCAGATCTACCAAGGCAGAGGGGTGGAGATCTTGGGTCAGATACGGTAGCTGTGAGCACTTGGAAAAAATTGTTGAGCCGGCTGAGATCACATCGTCTTCGATGCGCACTGTACCTTGCTTCGCTCGGGCGTCGCAGGTGAGTGGAGCGGCGGCGAGGTCAGTATGATGATATACTTTCCGTCCGTTGCTGGAGACATCCAGATCGTGAGCGGGAGATCGGACAGCGTATAGTGAACTTCTCGATTAGTGCTAGCCCTTTGGATGAACGCGCAATTGCGTGGGGAGAACTAGAGAGAAAGCGTGGCGATTGATCCCTGCAGCGGCTTTTTCCCACTGCTGATGATGACAGACGTGCCGGCTCTAGGCGCGTTCCATTCGCTGCACTCGAAAGCCATTAGGCAGGCGCGTGTTAAGGACTCAAGACATAATTGAGAATCCCGTGGTTACGATGTGCATGGTCTGAGGGCTTGAGCCAGTATTGTGCATTGATCGAGCGCTTTGGACGACTCCACCAGTTTGCGGAGGACGTTGAGAGATTATGTTAATTCCGATCAAGGTTTGTTGCAACGTTCAGATGGATTACCAAGGGGGACGGTACTGCAACAGCTTGATTGAAATGTATGATTGCATAGGAAAGATGGAAATGCTCGAGCTGATGATGAGGGAGATGCAAGACAAGGCAAGGCTATTTCGGTGTTTCACGACGCGGGAGAGCTGCATTGCATTGGGAAAGCTTCACCATCGGGAAAAAGGTGTGAGCGGGACCCGTTCAGCAGTTATCATTTCCAGGCCTCTTCGCCGCCGTACGCGCGAAGGTCAACCATTGTATAAGGAAGCGGAAGCTTTCGGCGTGCAGGACGCTGTAGGCAGAAGATTGACAAGTGCTGACAAGCTGAAACAATACCAAGCAACGCGGCCCTTCGTAATGATGGAGAATTGGAGGTACTGAGGCATCATGCCGAACGAATGAGCTGGCATCGGGGTGGGAAGGTCGAAGCCCGAGTGTGCATATGAGACAGAACAGCTTATTTTTTCCGTGGGTGCTTCGTGACTGCCATTGCGTGGTCCCGGAGCAGCTGCTCGTGTCTTTCGAAATCGCAGCATCGTACAGAGGCAAGACAGGCAGGGGAGTGGCTGTTACGCGGACGGTAGCGACGGCGAGAGCAATATGTAGATACTGTAGGCCTGTAGCCGCAATTGATTTGGAGGCGTGGACTGGTCAGTGCAGGGCAGATGGTGCTCGATGCGGGAGTGATCCACAGCACTAAGAGCGTTAGCGGACAACAACTGGCTCGCCCGTCCCCTCGAAGGCGCCATCTTTTGTGGCAGAGACCAGCATCCATCTTCGGCGTGCAGATGTGTGCGTGAGGAGAGCATCCAACACCGCTGCTGTCTGTCCATCGAGCCTTTCTTTGCCTTCTTGAATACAGTGACTCCATCTTCGTTTGCTTTTGTCCACCCAGACAATTCGGATATTCTAGCACCGGCGTTCGTGTTGCGGGCGAGACAGACAGTGTTTTCTGACGCGTGCTGCCGAGAGCATTCTTCGCTTCGAAGCCCCCTAGCGGATCAGCAACCTCGACGCCAACATTCACCACTCCTCCTCCCTTCACCCAGCATTCACCAATCTCATCCATTGACGACCTGCCACGACTCACGATACACGCTTGGCATAGCAAGAGCAGTGCTACACACATAATATTATCGTCTCCATGACTGCGTGAGACCTGCTCAGTCCGCTTCGGCAGGACGCACTTTCCATCACCAGCACCAGGCTGAGGTACGCCTGATCAGGTACGTTTGGCATTGCACTGCACTGCACTGCACGCTCGAGATCCTACACGCATTGAGAAGGAGGCATCAAGTGGTCTATCTTGCACACACATTCACTACCGTCTCCACGCATTGATGGGCAAACATGTCTCGAACTACCACTTTCGGCTCCATCAGCATCAGGGGCCCTCAACTTCACATCTAGCACTGCAGCACCACCGCAACAATCGTCTCGAACCCACACACTCCTTTCGTGTCCCTTCCCAGCAGCGTGTCCGCCTCACGCCGCCATCACGATTTCACTGTACTGACTACCGGCCGGTCACAGACATACTTATCTCCCACGCCACCTCACGACTTGTCCAACGTTCCTGTGTCCATTGATATTCGACCACCACCCAATCTCCATCAGCCACGACGGCGGACCCGATGGCGGAGGTGTTGCCACCGCTCATGCAGAACTCCAACTCCATCACCATGCTCCACTCTCGCCCTTCCTCCTCCGATGCCTTTCAAGCACAGCCACAGCAATACCCGCAACCGTCACGGCCCGCACAGCAACCTCGGAGCGTATATGGCGGACAGAATGGCAGCTATAGGGGAGCATCGGCTGCTCCAGTCCAGCCGTATGCTTTCCAGAATACACCACATTTACGAGAGAACAGCCGGACGACTTCTACACCAGCCGGGCTACATAACGGTCTTCGGCAAGCGACGCATGCTCCGTCACCATCTACATCGTCCTCGGATGCTTCCTCCGTGCCGTCGGGGAAGGACGATTCAGTGATGGGCTCGCGGCCGGGATCAGTTATCAACCTTTCTCCACAACTACCGGATCTGTCATTCACACCCTTTGACCAAACAGTGAAGTCTTCGCCAGACCGATACCGACGTCCAGCTCAGAAACGAATGGACTCGAGCAGCGCCTCCATCAAGACAACGCAGCAAGGCTCGGCTGCTCCATCAGGCTCAGGCATGGGTGCTGTCAATCACCTTTATCAACCTGCTCCTCCAGTACAGAGGCAAGAGAGTGTGGACGACACCGCTGTGTCGAAGAAAGAGTCAGAGCTTGCCAAGCGGTATAGGAGACGAAGTTTGAACACACTGGACACCCAGGCACTCAACCCACCACAGGCTGGTGCTGGCGCTCAAAGGCCAATGTCGGGCCACAGCACAAGCGCGACATCTACGCCAACCACTATCCGACCCGTGTCGTTCCAGAGTCAGATATCCAGTGATGATGGCCTCACCAAATCCACTAACGCTTCACAAACCTCATTGAGCAAGGTCGAGCCGGTAAAGGATGGCTTCAAGGATGTCAATAAATCCGCAGCACCTCACAAGAATCTCGCAGTACCGCCACGAGGTTCGTCAGACGCTAGCAAGCGGCTAGGTGCACCGTCACCGCTGTCCAAGCAAGCTCCGGAGCAAGAGCGGCAGCAAGCACCCGTCATGCCTAGATCGTATGCTTCTGTAGCTCAATCCGCCGTTGCTTCGCCGGCACCTAGTGCTGCGGCCGCTCAACTGGCTGCTGTGTCAGACAAGGATCTCAACAAAGGCATGAAGTCACGGTTACGACGTGCGCTATCGTTCGGCAGTGCGCAGGAGCTTCGACGAGCAGCTGGCGAGAACAGCCAAGCTGCTTCAACTGCTCAGCAGGTCAGAGCACAGCACCAACAAAAAGTCGAGACAGAGCTGGAACTGGATGCGGAGCAACAGGAGATCGCGAGACGGCAGGAGGCTGCTGGGATTGGTGCTGGCATCTATTCTGGACAAGGTGGCTTCTCAGGCTCTACGGACAACTTGTCCATCTCGTCTACAGCATCCTCTGCCTCCATGATGTTGAGGAAGATGGGTCGTGGTGCCAAGAAGAGTGCTAGAAGCATCAAGGGCTTGTTTAGACCCAAGTCCGTGGTCGGTGTACCAGCCGCTGATGGTCCGGTCAACATGGGTGCCGGGTCGATCACACAACCAAGCGTGGCACAGGTATCCATGGTCACAGTGGAGGCCGAACGGCACAAGGTCAACGTCAATGCCGAAGCGTCGGAGAAGGCTGGCGGTGGCACAGGATACCCTAAGCTGGAACGCAACTCGATTGATACTGGCAGTGTGACGCTGGTACCTGAGCGAGGATCTGCTGATGGCTCGGACTCGCGACGAAGCATTGTTGGTAGCGACAAAGATCGCACTGAGGCCCTGACGGCCATCAAGAAGAGTATCTTGAAGCGTTCCGGCACAGGCTCACCTAACGGCTCACCCGCTGTGATACCTCAGATCGTTGAGAGTCCGTCGAACAGCCTGCCCGGCACACCCCGAGATGGACCTCAAGGTCGAAGCTCTTCCCTCAATGGCGACTACTTCAGCCCACGGCTGGCTATGACGAAGAGCATGCCAGCTACACCCAACGGCACCTCACGTAACATCTCCTTCAGCCCACGGATTCAGTTTCACGATGTCTGGTCTAGCACCGAGTACGACCGTCGTGGCGAGATTGCCACTTGCAACCGCTTGACGCCCATGCTTGCTCAGCAGATCAAAGAGGAGTTGAATACGTTCAAGATGGTATATCATCCTTAAAACTGTTCACTGCATTGCATCTACTAACACATCCACAGGAAATGGAAGTCCACGAGCAAAGCAAACCGCACACGCACTTTTTCTAATGACATATTACACCACTACTACTATCTCGAGGGGAGAGCGACTACGAGTACGACCATCTGCAGGAATCGAACTGCGAGATTCAGCATTATATTTGGCAAGCGGGGTCGTCATACCTTTCTGGGCGGGTCTTCCTGGCCTGAGAAGGCGTTCATAAGGCGTTCTCGAAAGTCCACATTGGGAGGGAACTGCTTTTCTTAATCGTCGGGAACTGGATTAGCGTTTGCATATTGCTGCTGGAGACTACTATTGAGATGCAAGAGAGAGTGGGCATTGGCATAGGCGTAGTCTGCGGTTCGACTGGCTGAGGTCTCTGCTTTTTTCTTCACTTTGAGAGGAAGATTGAGTGGCTGCCTTGATTGCTTGAGTATTGGCTATCGAGGAAGTACCATTTCAGCGTGCTTGCAGTGCTGTGTCAGGCGCCTTGCTGGATGGAGAGGCTGGCGCGGCATGGTTTTCTGTAGGGAGGCAGCTTGTGTGAATAATTCGAGATCTCCTTCCATGTCTGTACTACCTCATGGCATATTGTTGGCTTCACAGAGTGCTTGATGGTTCTTGTGTCGATGACGGCAGATTGCCGGATGGTTTGCGTAACAATGCACGGCATTAGACTTGCTGGTATGCATTGACTGCATTCAGTGGTTCATGCCGTGCTCTGCAGTCAACGGCGCCTGCCTTTGTTTCACGACAGCATATAATAGCTCAGCTCATAAAGACTGGCGCGATTTGTGGAGTTCAGGTCTGGTTTGACGCATATTTAGTCTGGGGTGGCAAAAGTGTAATCGGGAGGACCGCGGCTTGAGAGCAGTCTAGCTCGATTCGACGGCTTGAGCGACGTCAAGACTGAGAGGTTGGTCACGAGCCGCAAATCTTCCACCACATACTTTTAGTGTCAGAGAAACCTGTATTATTGTAAACCAACTATTTGAGGCAAGATAGAATTTCCAAAGCATGGCAGCTTTACTCATCGCAGCAGGGATTGCGCTCGTGGAGAAGGTCGACCAGAAACGGCAGGCACGCAAGGATAAGAAACTGCAAGATGAGTTGAGATACAAGGAGTTGCAGCATGAGACTATGGCTCGAAGTAAAGGGGGCGAGATGCAGCGCAGAGACTCGGAGTCGGACTCGGAAGACGAAGGTGCACGTCGCATTCGGCGAGACAGAAAGACTGAGGTTTTATCGCCACCATCGTATGAACAAGCTACTGGAAGGCGGTGACAAGGCCAAATGGGTGTGAATGAGGTGCATCACAGGTCTGAGATGATGGTACAGACTATAGGCATAGGAGTCGTTCGCACAGACGTGCATGGGTACAACGGCGCGGGCGCGGTCCAGGAGACATGAGAGCGACGTTAGGAAGGCACGACATTGCAAGGAGTTCAAACCGGCGTCGAGGGGCCACGAGCGACACCGGCGCAGATGGTGTCGGCTTGTTAGGGTGTATCCCTTCGTTGTAAGGACGTCGTCCAGATGCGATACGTGAGAGCACAGCGAGCAGAGTAAGAGGAGTTCGATTGCTGCGGATTTGAAGCGTACATGCTGGCGTCCGGCATGCATGTGCATCGCGACCCCTGTATTCGTACAAAATTCTACTTTTCATGAGCGCCATTACTAAATCACAATTCCGCATTAGCTATAGCATGTTCGCCAGCGGACATGCTCCCTTGTTGTACAGATATATTGCAAATGCTTTTGTGCATATCAGCCACCCAATCCCTGAAACGCCGGGCTAGTCGTGCAGGTCATGCAAGCCATCAGAAGCCACATCAACCATTAGTGTCATTGCTTGCCGTAGAATAGTAGCGCCTCATGCGCCATGTATTATTGCCCGTTGATCGGACGGTATATTTCATCTAGACTTGAAACCTTTCGTGCAATCGGAGGTTGCTAGAGTGGTGGTTCTTTTCGTTGCAGGCCAAGTCCCTTTTCTGGTAAGCGTTGGTCGTCTGTCTTTGCTCCTGCAGAACCTTATCTCGCTCTCGACGCCCCTGCCGCGGACGATTCTGCCTGCCGTGCTTCGCCTGGCCCTTCGATCGTCTCCAGGAGCGCAAGACACCGCAGTATTAGATTGACTATCTCCTCCTCTGCTACGCCCATTTGGTAGTCCACTAGACCGTGCCTCTCAACACTGTCGCAAAGTCTTATAAGCTCCCGCGATAAATGATCGAGAGACTGATGACTCATTATTGACTGTGGATTCCGGTAGGCTTGTTGTGTACATGCGATCTCTTCCGTCATATCCAGTTGTCTCTGCAGAGTCACCAGCCAGGCTCGATTAAACTCGTCCCATAGCCGTATGCGTTCGTCATGCAATGCCTCGTCGTCTCGAGTTAGACCTGTGATACACTTGTCAGAGCTGCCAAGCACTACACGATAGTCGCACTTACCCAAGGCTTCGCAGTTGCCGAGAAGATATTGCGATATGTGCAGTAAGTGCTGCCCAATATCGCCCAAGCTACCTTCCTGTGCCAGAGTGAAAACAGTTCGGACACGCGACTGATAATCATTGAAACCTTGGTCGACAGCTTGAGCTTCCTGCCTTTGTGGCTGTGCATATTGTTGAGCTTGTTGCTGATGCTGCTGCTGCTGCTGTTGTTGCTGCTGATAGGAAGCGTATGCAGCGGATTGGGCTGGGTCCATCATGCTCCCTGGATATGCCGTGGGTAACGAAGATACAGGCTGCGGGTATGCTGCTGTTTGATACTGCGAGGCCATCTGTTGAGCCGCAAGGTCGGGCGCAGGTGCGCTAGTCGATCCTGCAGGTGCTGCAAGGTAATACTGATTACTTTGTGGAACGCCAAATTGGGAGCCAAGTGTCTCGGATGGCGCAGCCGGTCTTTGTCTGAATTGCGGGACCTGTTCATACACAGATCCTGCTGGCTGCTGCTGGTTTTGCGGCGCCGCCATGCCATACATAAGATTAGGGCCATAGGACTGGTATTGTGGTGTTTGTGCTTGCCGCTGTGAAACCTGTGTCTGAGGACTTTGCGCATAGGTCTGGACAGAAGGGGATGCGCCATACGGTGCGCCCTGCTGGAAGCCATACATCTGCTGGCCATCACTGCTGAGCCTCGCCGATGTCGTTGACGCAGTAGGTGACTGCTGCATGAAGGATTGCTGCCGAAAGCGTTCGTTGGCTGTCGGTGTGCCGTACTGGGTCTGAAGCTGCCCGCTCGCGTGCTGCTGCTGCTGCTGCTGTTGTTGTTGCTGCTGCAATGCATAGGGATTGGTCGCATACTGTCGTTGTGACGGATCATGCTGATCCATCACAGGGAAATGTTTCCAGAGCGCGATGCCGAGTGGGTCGCTACCCGTGTCCTGCGCCAATGGCGAGATAGGCGGAGTTGCATATATTGTCGCCAGCTTCTCGGTCGGTGGCTTAGAATGAGAGGACCCTTTCGATTAAGCAGGTCAGAGCGATGGGAAGTCTTGCGGAGCGCGAAGCATGCGATGTCACAATCGAGTCGATTGATGCGCTGATGATAGCTTCTGGCTGTGTGGTGAAGGGATGTGTATATGCGTGCACGCGTAGATAACAAATGCTCGTAGAGCCCTAGAGATGACAGTGAGATCCAGTAATGCTCGAGTCCAGTAACGCAAGATGCCGCCCAATGTATAGCCGAAAGGTCGCTCGCAAAGTCGAATGAAAGTCTCTAGGCCTGTGCCGAGTGAATGTCGAAACGAATGTATGTGCACTTGCGGCCGAAATGAAGAATCAGACGTCGAGGCACTGAACAGACTGTGCTCGGAGTCGACATGCAAAGTGGGATGGCAAGTCGTGAGGCAGGATCAAGGTGGGGTCGAGGTTCAAACCTTCTCCGACTTGATGCGTGCCGGCGACGGGAGACCGCATGGGCCTCCTAATGATGCCGAGATGAGAGACCTTGCGCGGGATCAGAAACGCAAGGCGTGAAAGTAAGAATTGGTAAGGATGACGACGGGGCAGGTGGTGTTACATGAAGGGGACATGCTGTAATTCGAGGGTAGAGTAAGGCTGGTCGGGCAGGAAAGGAAGAAGTGAGGCTCCAACGCTGGTGGATTGAAGACGCCATCTGAGCCACGAGACAGGTTGACACGCGACAAGAATAATTAGACCGGAGGCGAACATCTCCAGCTACTGTAGGAAGGACCGCAGGATCGGCCAAGTTGCGAGAGCCCAATGGGTCTGACCGCGAAGAGGGTCGGCGAGGCGTAAGCGCTCTACGGCACATGATTGGTTGCCAAACTTCTGGTGCTGCATGAAAACGGGCTGCGAGGCATCCGTCGCTTCGTCTGAAGCAAAATTTAGATGTCGATGGAGATGTCATCGCATTCTGGACGGGGACAGGGCTGCGGTGTCGCATAAGCAGGAGGTCAACCTGCCTCCTCGGGACTGACCAGGAAGGAATCGCTGTGACCAAACAGTTGCGAGAGTTCGCTAGCGTGCCATTCCATCTGAACCTGAAGCAGAGCCTACATGTGAACTTTCAGCTTCAGCTTCAGCTCAACGGGTGAGAATCATGCCCAGTCGGCCGTCGCGCCGTTGTGGCTGTTCTAGTGGTGGCGGTGATGTCGCGTCTGAGACACTCGACAGAGTCATGTACTCGAAGGGATCGGTGTCGGGGATAACGAGGTCGACAATCAAGCTGACATCTTTGTCAACATGGTTCGCAACAGTTCACGCGTGCATCTGGACTAAGGCACCCCGTGGCTGTAGATTGGTACCTGCATTAACGCGTCTGCAAGCCATCACCACCCCTGACTTATGCGGCATACGCGGGAGTAATAGAATTTCGACATCTTCAAAAGTGACAATATGCGTTCTGTAAGGTCGCAGAACACGCCTGAATTGCATGGGGGCCGAGCTCGTCAGCTCGCACGGCACGAGTCCAAGGCGTGAAGCATCGCGCCCATCGATGCCCAGAATTATTCTACGAGGACCAACACACGGCACCTCCAGCGGTTCTCGGACATATCGCCGAACGCGGCCTGGAAGCCCAAAAGTCTCCATTTAACGTCCAAGTCTGCACAACTTACACAAGCAATCGCGACGAAATCTAATACAGAGGTGCAACCACGCCTGAGCATTGCAAGATGACCTTGTTACGCATAGAACGCGACTGACGTCTTCAAGCAGCGATCAGATCTTCAGCACAGCGCCGTTTCAACCGTTGGGCAATTCCGTAAGAACCAGGATCAGCCAAAGCATGTTTCACGACTAATCGGGTCTACACTAGAGTATACTGAGTAGTATGGCCGAGCAAGTCCACCAAAGTTACTACCGAGATGGGTACTTCGTACCGTCTTCCGCATCGTCTGAGGCGCAGACTCCAATGCTTTTGCTTCAGCCCAATGATAGCGAGGAATCTCGAACACGTTCGACGCAATGCAAAACAGCTTTTCTGTACAGTGTACACGTCCAAGCAATAACACACCAGTGGCCGTTGCCGCTAAAGTTCCGAATACTCGTCTGACATTCTCCGTAAAACCAGGAGTATGCCAGTAGACCGTGATGCGTGCGTTGCGGCGTAAGACAACCCAAACATCAAGGCGGACTGGCGGGCTCACCATCGACCAACTCCCGGGCAAGCGATCCTGGCCGAAAACAATAACGGTCCTTCTCGAAGGTCAGATGGAAGATGTCGAGTCATGCTACGTACAGTATCACAATGTCGTTGGTTCGAAGGCTATTACACGAATCGGCACCTCGGCCTTGTCGCATGAGCGCCTCGCTGGCACAGGCGCAAGAACGCGCTCAAGATGTTGTTTGACCATTTAGGACATGGCACATCGTCGCCCAACAATCAGAATACAAGGCCCAAGAAGATGGAAGCCTGGGTGTCGCGAAACAGTATGCTTTGCTAAGCTGCATGCACCTTGTTCTATATGAGAGCATCTTCTACATTGCGTCGTGGAGGACGCCTTGGGTATCAATCTCTATGCTCGTGCTTACGGTTGTTGAAACACCGGAAAATGCAGAACGCCTATGCGCTCATGGCTTCGCCGTATACCTTTACGAGGACGCCGAGTAGGTCTTGGCTGGAAATGGATATCTGGAATCATATCAGCGATCATATAATTTGACTTCAAGTCTGATACGTACGAAGGACCGAGTTCACGCAGACTTTGGGCAGCGAGCCACTGTCCCATGTCCACGCAAGTCTCAAGCTTCTCGCCCTTGGCGACACCCGCGAAGAAGCCTCCGGCAAAAGCGTCACCTGCACCAGTCGTGTCGACAATCTCCTTGCCATCAATCTTGTGCACTGGGAAAGTCTTGACCTCGTCCTCGCCTTGGATTGCAATGATGGTAGGGTCTGTGCCTTGGGTGACGATGGCAACTCGCTTGCGTTTGTTATTTTTCTTGGGCAAGTTGGCCATGTGCTTCGCGATGCTCGCGATGTCGTGTGTGTTCAGGTCGTGCGAGTCAGCATAGGTCGTCGCTTCGGTCTCATTACCGACCACGTAATCCCAGTATGGTGCTGTCTGGTCGAGAGGATCCTTAAAAAACTGCGGGATGAATGGCGCCGAAAGCGAAAGGAAAAAGGGCTAGCAGAATCAGTACCAAAACTCAACCAGGACCAACGACCCCTTTCGCAATCTGTGGACATACCTTGTTCTCCTTATTTGCCTCCTCAGCCAAGGCCATGACAGCTTCCACGCACACGGTCAAGTGGTATCCACCAACATAATACGCCTTGCTCTTCTCCACTACATCCCAATTCTCCTTCAAGTGCTCAATCTTGTAGCAGTTGGCTGCCGCAAGATCGGTACACATGCTGCGGTTATGTCCCGTGATGACCACACCACATCTGCCCGTCCCAACTTTCTCGTCATATCGGTACTTGACAGCCAGACCAGCCTTCTTGTTCGCCTCGAGCAGGATATCGGCATATTTGTCCTTGCCTACGCAGCCGATGTAGATGACGGAGTTCGGTGGGAGCATGTATTGTGCTCCCCTTGCCGTGTTCTGTGCAGCACCGCCAGCGATGAGCTTAGCATCTCTCTTTAGTAGCTCTTCGTAGATGCCCATGTGCTTCTCCTCGGCCAGGATAGCATCGTTGGCCTTCAAGCCATATTTCTCCAAGAAGGCATCGTCGCTGGTTGTTGATGTCAGTGAAGTGGGCACTGATGCTCGATAAGATTGACTTACCAGCTTGCCTGGATGTCCAACAAGGGATTCTCCAAGCAGAGAAGTTCGTATGTGCCAGAGGAAGACATATTATTCGATTTTTGTAAAGTTGTTGTTTTGGTAGAAACATTGAGAGCATGTGCCATTAGGAAAAATGTTGGAGGGGCATCGAAATCACCGATATCGCGGGGTCCAATGTGATCTCATCGGGAGTAAGTGTTGTTCATGTGCCGACTTCATCATATAATGCGAGAGTGAAGGAGAGCATCGTCTGGTCCATGATTATTCTCATATGGTATAGGTAGTCCTAGGGTATGAAACGCCAGGGAAAATGCCATCCTCACACAATGCCTCGCTCGATACGCTCCATGAAATCCAAGACACCTCGCAATGCAAGCAATCACAAAGCAATAAGATCAACATTACTGAAGTCTGGTGGGCTGCGTCTGAACACCACCTTACCTTTACCGTCCAACGCAGTACCCTCATTCGACATCCAAATATTCGTCTTCTCCACCATGCTACCGCTGTCACGGTCCTTCTCATTCAACGACGCAGGAACACTGACCGTGCTCATCTTCTGCGCACGCTTGATCTCATCGTCGCTCACGCCAAGATTATCACGTGGAATCCAGACGACAGGACGTTTGGCTCGCAGCGCAGAGTGCTGGAAAGCGTAGCGGACGAGAAGGTCACGTTCTTCTGACGTCAGGTCTTCTAGTTCATCCGCGAAGCCAGAGAAGAGGACGTCGCCTACTGTATGCTGTGCTTCGACATCGCCAATCTGTTTCTTGGACTCTGTATTTGGTGACACCTCGACGGTGGCTGATTGTTCGGCACGTTTGCCTTCAGCCAAATAGCGCATATGATCCACTGCTTGAGGAGCAGCATTGCGCCAGCGATCCGTCTTCCAGCTAGGACTGTTCGGTTGTCGCGGAGACTGCTTGTGCGCCCAATCGCTCTTATGCGTTCGGGGTGTGGCAGGAGCTGTAGCTTGACCTTCTTGATTGTCCATGTGCGAGGAGTGTCGATGCCGAGCAGCTTGGTCCGTGTCTCGTCGCTCCATAGCTTCGTCTGCATTCTCCTCAGCTTGCTCTTGGTCTTCGAGCACATCCTGTATGTCTCGCTCGTCTTCAGGCTGGACCTCTCGTCCGTTCAAAGGAGCGAACCTGCTCGCTTGCGTTTTCGCGAACTGCTCATCACGGATAACAGCTTCGTCTTCAAGCGTGATCGGCAGAAATTGGAACAGCGGAGCAAAAGTCTGGTTGAGCTGCCACTGATACAGTATGGTGAAGATCACAGCCACAATCATGATGGCACCTTGCGGGATGGCGGCTGCGTTTCCGGCCGGTCCTTGAGCGATGAAGAAATAGCCGGCAAGTGCAACTTCCATGAAGTAGATTCCGACGAACAGCTGATTGACGGCAGTCGGGAATAGAAGACCTCCAGTGTCGTTACGAAACTGATATACATATAGGACGTTGTATCTGTAAACGACCCAGAACAGTCCGAAGATGATGATCATGAAGACCAGAATGAAAGGCGCGATGACAGAGTAGATAATGCCAATGACAGCGAAATTTGTGAATGCCGGAAAGAAAGAGCCCCACTGGATGTTATTGAGAGTCGTCTGCCGAGCCCATTTCTGTCGCGGCGTGTTGTCTAGGAAGAAGGCGAGGATGAACCAAGAGAAGAGCGTGCCAGCTTGCAGCAGTGCAGAAGCAGAATTTCCAAGGCCTTGAATGAGGAGATATTGGAAGAAGTAGTCAGCAGCCTTCGGCAGACTCTGTGATAGCGACTTGACCACCTGACCTGGCTGTGTACCAAGCTGCTGGAAGAATTGGGTGAGACCAGACGAGAGGGTAACGACGAAGAAGACCTGGATGAATAAGAAAGCAAAGTACCAGGTCTGGACACCCAGCTCTTTCTGGTTTCCAGTAGCCACACCCTGCTGCTTAACCAGAGCTCTGAAAATGATCGGCACCAATAGCAAGATCAAGTTAAGCAACAGTGGCGGCAACGCACCCTGGATGATAGATTTCGCTACAGTAGGCAGTGTTCCGGCCCAAGCCATCCATGAATACGATTTAGCCAGCGTATCCAGATGGGCTAAGAGGGAGGTGAAGGTGACCGGAATGGCATAGAGGATGATCAAGGCAGCACAAACTACCAGCACGAAACCGGTCCGGATATAGCGCTCCCACCACTTGATTGACATGTTGTCCCACAACACATCATCAGGACTGATTTCCAGAAGTCGAGGCGCCATTTGTTGGGGTACGTGGTGCGAGAGAGACTGACATGCCATGTGGGCCGCGACTTGATGGTTGAACTGTATGAAAGCGCTGTTCATGAAGGGAAACTTCTCGACGTCGTTTTGGTCGGCCTCGATCTCCAGGTTCAGGCGGGCCAGCTCTCTTCGCAGGAAATATACCTTGTCGATCTTCTTGCCGAGGAAAGGGAGGGAGGGAAACCAAGCTTGATCTACGAGTGGCATGCGAAGAGTGTCGCGATCCTTAGACTCGATGAAGTGACGCCAGCGTGGTTCTTCGTCTTTATCTTCGTCCCACTTATCGTCGAATGCTCGCGGGTACACTTCTTTCACTTCGTGTTTGTTCTTCTTCCAGAATGAGAATTGTTCGACAAATTTACTGGCAGACAACTCGTTGTTCTCCTTCAGCTTGGGCTTGTCCATGTCACTGTGCACGACACTCGCGTTCAGTGGGAATTCGTCCTCATCAGCTGTGTGTGGCTGAGGGGATGGCATGCCAAGGGACATGTCCTTATTCTTCCACAGCTTCCAGGTGAGCTGCTTTGGCCGTAGTGCACTATCGTCAATTTCCATCTGGGAGCGAGGCTTTGACTCCACCGACGGCCTTGTCGTCTGAATGTCGGGTCGGCCTAAGGTTCTCTCACTATCAGGCGAGCCCTGAGACAGTTCGCCGGGAATAGCTGGGGGCGCGGCAAAAGGATGTTGCTTCTGTTGGAGCGTGTCTCTAGCAGCATCTCCTTGAAAATGCAAAGCTGAGACAAGTGGAGCTTGATTATCTCTGGTGCTCCTGTCATCTGTCCGGCCTTCTCGTGTCACAGGTCGCATGCCCCGCCCGATATCTGTGTCATTCTGCAACCTCGCTTGGCGCTCCTCTGCTGGTGTCTTTGGAGGTGGGGTGGGAGCCACATCACTCATGCTAAGAATGGATTGGCGATACAGTTCATCGTTCGTCACAAAACCTTGGCCATCATTGGCGGCAGCCGTGGCGGTGTCGAAATCTCGACCAACATTGCGGATACCGGTGTCAACATCACCAGCCACACGTTGTCCAAACATGCCCACATTCTTACCAAAAGCACCGATGCCATGACCAACCGCACCCAGCCCCTGGTTGACAGCGCCTAGGCCTACTTTGTCCAGGCCATCGCCTACGAAGCCTAGACCATGACCACGCTTCTTCTGCTTCTCCCTCTCCTTCTCTTGTTCTTGATCCTCACGCTCTGCTTCTTCGTATAGGATATCCTGCAGCCCATGATGCGTGGCATGCTGATCGCCTGCGCTCACACCCTCGCCATGAGCCAGCTGCTCTGCCACAGCGTCACCCTCGGCCCGCTTCTCCTTCAATTCTTGCTTGCTCTGCTTCTTCGCACCCTCCTTCTTCCGCTTCTCTTCTGCCTTCTTCTCATATGCCTTGCGACACTTCTTGATCAGATCGGTCTCCGCACCCTCCAAATTTCTCGCGTAATTATCGCGCAGCTGTACTTTGTTCGACAACTCGTCGAAGTTGCGATTGATCCAGATGTTTTTTATGCCGCCAGGGAATACATCGTACAGACCATCCAGGGCCTCCAGCGTTAGCCATTTGCGTGGTATGCCAGTAACAAGCACGGTCGTGGCTGACGCTCGGATGCGATGTTGAGGTGACGTCAGGTAGGCTTGCCGGACTCTGATATAGCCTCGCAGCTCCTTGTACACGATGTAGCCGAACCAGACGGTGACGGTAATGGCCATGACTAGCTGAGCCCAGAGCCTATGGCCCATATGCTCCGGGTTGATATTCGAGATCGACAAGAGATCCAGGCCATGAACGTTATTAGTAGGGCCGGAATATCGATTTAAGGGTAGCATGATGGGTAAGACAATGACGGCCACTGGCAAGAAGAACTTGAGCAGCATGCGTAGGTATCTTAAGAAGAAGTATGCGTCCAGACCGCACTTCTGTATGAACGCCAAATTCGGCGTGGTGAACAGCGGGTAAAGCCATCGCACGATGCCAGGTGGTGGAGGAGGCACTCGTTCGCGCTCGGGAACCAGGTACGATCGTGGTCGGTAGATTCGTGATAGTCGGAGCCTCAGGAGCAGGAAAATGAGCACTTGTACGGCAAACGCAATAGCACCAGTAGCAATGGCTGCCAGCAGCGCATTGATGGAAGTGCCAGTGTTGTTCAACGCAGACCCAGAACCACAATTAATGGTGTCCCACCAGTGGGTGCCCGGTGTGCATGTCGGTTGATTTGGTGAAGACATACTGTCTCAGTCGATTGCTGCCCGCAAGCAGTCTATGATCGTGATGGCATGTATGGAAAATCAGAACACCAGGCCGCTATGCAACGCAACGCAACGCAACGCAATATCAATGTCAAGAAGGGGAAGTGTTGTGCTCAGGACCAGGCGGCTAGGACAGTGAACATGACAGCCAGTGCTCGAAAACAAGGTTTCGAGACAATCATGAGCAAGCGCGAGGGGTTCCACGCGACTTCGCTGATCTGACGCGAGTGGCGGCTCGCTTCACTAACCGATATGAGCGTTGACAGGAGTATAATAAGTTTCTGCCCAAGGAAGACGAAATGCAGTACACCCTGTAGTACTGTGAGACAGCTCGCGTTGAGCGCAGGATGGACTCCATATGTCTACAAATTTGTCACACCTGACGAGCATGGAAAAGAGGATGCATTGCCTCCTCCACTCTCTCCCGCTACAGACGCAATTAATATGAGCCTGCATTGAGCTTGGCAATAATCCCCCTTGAGAACGCCAGGCGACATCCCCCTTTCTCGCACTTGGAAATGGGCAGTGTGATGATACGTCCGACAAACACCCAAGACAACTCTACAGGCACGACACGATACCAGCGCCCAAGAGAGCGGTTCGTAGGTATGGACACCATTCGATCATATGCGGAGCTCACTCATCAGCCATACCATGAATCTGTCCCAGCCCACTAACCTTGTATATCCCACCAAAACCAAACAACCATACCTCATCCCTCTTGCTCCCAGCAAACTGCAAATTATTCACCGTCCCTTCAACCTCGATCCTCATGATCAACTCCCCAAATTCGGACAGCACATCAACACCAGCCCCTGCGGCTCCAAGCAAGTATCCCTCTTTGGAAACATGAAAGCCATCATCGCCAAAAGTCTCCGCGTACCATATCGGCCTCTTGGCCGTCAAGTAATTTCCAGCAGGTGAGAAGTTGATGTCGTACGCATTTACCGTTCGACCACCAAGAGGGTTAACGGTATATCTCGGCAGGACATCCACAGGCGCATTATCGAAGTTCGTGAAGCCGGTGTCGGTAATATACATTGTCCTGCCATTGGGACTAATGCCAATGCCGTTGGGCTGCTGCAGTGTATTCTCTACTATACTGACTGCGCCAGTCGATGGGCGAAAGCGATAAGTATTGGGTGCCAGGACCGGGTAGTCCGTCACGTTAATAGCATAGCCGTACCAGGAGTCAGTGAACCAGATATCGCCTACGCTGTCGATGAAGAGGTCGTTGGGACTGTTGAGGAGTTGGCCGTAATAGTTGTTCAGCAGTGTCGTGACTTCGCGAGTGATCGGGTCCAGCATATAGATTCCTGGTGCTTGATGCACAATCTGACTTGCGTTGCTCGGATTTGGAAAGGGAAAGGAGGCTTCGACCGCCCAGTAGATTTTGCCTTTGTAGTACTTGCCGCCATTGACAGCGTAGACCGGCGGACTTGTAGTGAAATTGCTCAAAGTTGGTGGCGTGCTATTCAAGTTGACGATCTGTTGCTGATAAATGCCCTGATGTGGCAGCGAGTAGATAACCGCATTCAACTCGGGCACATAGACCGGTGCTTCGTGGATGCTGTCTGCCGGTGGTGCATCAAACACCTTCTCGACCTTCGGATTGATGCCCAGGATGTCGAGTCCTCGCGCCTGATTGAAAACCACGAAAGAAGCATTTTGTAGCTGGCTAAACGAAGGATCTGACGGCACAGCAGTGTCGACGAAGGTGTCGTTATCAGGTGGTATGCCGTTGACAGTCTTTGCTCGTTCGAAAGGATATGGTAGCACGGCTGCATAGTTCTGGACGCAAGCTATCTTAGATGCATTCTCATAGCCTGGACACTTTTCGACGGTCGGTGGACTGTATCCTCGTTGTGCGACCGCAATGGCGGCAGAACCGAGTAAAAGAAGGGAGTACATGTCGATGTCGGTGCTATGTCGACTGGCTTTGCTTAGGAAGAGACCTTCACTAGTTCTTATAGCTCTATCATTATTACTACATGAAGTCCTGCTTTGTTATCCAACGTTTACAAATATCCTTCGGCCATGCGTCATTCTGGTGCACCGCATGCATACTCCACAAAGGTGCCGAAAGGCAACGGCTGTCGCTTACTCGCTTTTGCCTCTTTGGGTAAAAAGTATAACCCGAACAGGCAGCGTTATTGAGCTAGTATAGCAGTGATGGCCCTCACAATAACACGAACGCGGCTCTTACAGCTCAAGAAAGTTACGATCGAAGATTTCGTATGGGACTGGTCGGTGCAGTCCATGAAATCGGAACGCAGAATGGAATTGTGCATGATGTGTCTTCGATTGGGTTGTGCTATGGACGTGATCGAAAATGCTGTCAAGGACATGGTAGTCGACCTCGTCCCTCGAGATCGAGATTCGCCGACATGTCAAATCGCCTCCTTCCTACTCGTCGCTATGCATGCTCAGAAATCTCAATGCCGGGGTCTGGGCTCATGCTGTGTTCGACGACGACAGACAAACGTTGGGTATCTGGTGTATGGTATTCCGGCGTGCGTGATTCGGGCGTCCAAGGTAGTGTTTCGTGTCATGCTGATAAATGTAATATGGGTGGGTTATGATACATGCGGTGCGTGCAAGTCATTGGTGCTGGCGGTGCATTGGTCGGTGTTGGGGTTGGGATGTGGTCGAGTGCGGCGTGGCGCAGCATGGCGAAGGTCGGACTCAAATCGAATTGCTTCCGTGGTGGTTTGGAGGAGCCTGGCGATGTTCTGACAAGTTTGCTCAACTCGACTCGTGCATTCGCGATGCCATCGATATGTCGCCCACATCGCTGATTGGACTCGAAGGCGGTGAAGACGGCAGTTTGGCCGAGCTAGGTCGTGATGGGGCCATACAAAAGTCTCTAAGCAAGCTTCTGACATCCGTTCGTAGATCACCGAAGGCTACAATTACGCGGTCAGCGCACTGTGTGTTGCCAAGCTCTGTAGTCCATATGCATGTCGTGAGTCTTCCGAAGTCAGTGCGTCCCTAAAAGTGCTTGCTCATGACATCTGGACGTTGCCTGCAGCAGCTTCGCCAGAAGTTAGTAGATATTCGGATAGTGATATTTGTGTCCGCTGAAGGGACCTCAATCCACCACCAAGCAACCATGGTTGACCTCAAAATTAAAGCCATTCCGATAGGTCATCCAACCATGGTGCTGGACGTGCAGCCGCTCGTTTTCCTGACTTACCAACTTGACGCTTGATTTGTTCTCGTGCCCATCTAGCAGTGTCTTGTGTACGAGACGAGAACTCCTTGTTCGCACGAGTGTCGCGTGCCATGTTTGTAAGCCATTCTGCCCGGTAGAATTGGCTGCATTCGCCGTTGGGGAAGGCTTCGGAAATGTCACTGCACAAATGTCAGCACGCTAGCAGCACAGAAGATGATCAATATAGCTCACCCAATTACACCCATCGACGACCTGAGAAGAGCCTCCGTGCGGTTTGGGTCTTGATAGACTGTTTGCAGGAGCTGGAATATCGACTCGACGTAAGGTTGTAGCAGATTGGCTGTGATGTTGTTAGCAGTTTTCACATGCAGTGTATCGAGGAGCTCACTGTTGCCGCCTGCTCTAAGAGCATTGATGATACCGCTCCAGGCATCAACGATTCCCTCACGCAGAGAGACGATGTAGTCCAGCATCTCAAAGCTACTAACATTTTCGCCAGCAGTAGAGATGCCAGCCGCCTGCTGCAAGACTTGACCGACTACTGATAGATACGTCTCGAATTGGCCACCAATCGCCTGAGCAATGTCACCGAAGGACTGCAAGATAGCAGGCTTGAACTGATTGCCGAGTGTTGTGGACCTCAAGTTGTTGAGCAGACTGTTCATGAATTGGTCACAGAACGGCTGTACCTTGCTCTCTAAAGCACGCGTAATGTCCGAGACAAGGCCGATAGCCATGGCGCACAACTGTGGCTCCTCCTGGTTGTTAAGCGCATTGAGCAGGAAGGGTGAAAAAGGCTGCATGTACTTCTCGAAGTCGCCCTCCAGAGCATTGGCGAGCGCACCGATGGCAGCGAAGACTGTATCGGGAACTGAGCTCTTCTGTCCGAGACTCTTGAGAAGCTCAAGCAAGAGCTCCATGAAGCGGTCCGCCTGTGGTGCGATCTCCTTCTCCACACGCTGAATAACGGCAATGATAACGGACGTCAAGCTTGTTTGCATCTCCTCGAGCATGAGCCTGTCTTCGACGCTCACCACTTGTTGTTGCATCGGGATAGTCTTGGCTAGACGCTCAATGATCACATCAGACATGGAGGCGACGATGTGCACCGAGTCGTTGGCTGCGTTTGTGACGAAAGCATTGAGCACCTCATATGCTGCAGTTCGAAACTGATTGTCTTGAGTGCTCTCCGTGACCTGCAGAAGGTGTTGCACACTTGCCTGGAAGTGCGGGCTGAGATTGTTGGTTGCACATCCTGGCTCGCCTGCGAACCTGTCCGCGAGATTCATGAGTGCCCAACAGCAGGATGCGGCCATCTTCGGGTGCGAGGAGAGTCCGCCAAACAGTGCTCCTATCAGTGTTTGCAGATGCTCGTTCGGGTCGATCGAATCCGGCACGGCCTCGCAAATGCGACCAAGAGCATATGCGGCGGAGTCCTTGACTTGTACAGAGCTGTCGTTCATCATGCTAATCAGAACGGGCAGGGCCTGCTTGACCAGTGGCTCCAAGACTTTTTCTTCTGGACCTTCCATGATCGCACCGAACGCGGAGACAGCAGCATCCCGGTAGTGCCAGTCTTCACTGCGTAGATTTGCCTCCACGAATGTCAAGACAGGCGCAACAATCTGGCTACCAACAGCTTGTGCCCACAATTGGACGGCTTGGTATGCAGCACGGGACACATTGTACTCGTCTTCTGCCGCATCCTCGTCCTGCTTGGCGAGAAGTTCCAATAATACTGGCACGACTTCTTGTGTGGCGACACGAGTGAAATTGAAGTATGGTCGGAGCGCCTCGGCACCCTCAGCCTGTGAGTTGTCGTCCTCGATGCTGATCTCCTCTTCGCATACGGTGCACCAAAACTCCACTGCAAGCTTCGCAACATCTTCCTCATCATTCTTCATGCCTTGGATCGTAAGACCAAAGAGTGCCTTCTCCATGTAGAAGCGCATCTTCTCATAGTAAAGACCCATGATGCGATTCAAGCAACCGTACGCGCCTTGTTGTATCCGGTTGTCGTCTGCCTGTGTTGCCTCGCAGACAACCTGCATGATGTAGTTGCGCTCACCTTCATTCTCAAAGTTGGTCCGAACAAACTCAAGCGAGTCACCCAGTGCGGTGATGGCAGCGTTGCGGATGTCAGCGTTCGCCTCCTCTTTGCGTGCCCCCTGAACCACTGCGGTCAGGATAGCGTTGCTGTGCTGGGCAAGGCTGTCACGCAGGTCTTGATCCTCAGATTCGCAGATGAAGCCGATTGTAGTAAGTGAAGACTGCTTCTTCTGATCCGTGCCTTGGCCCACATTGTCCACCAGTGTTCGCATAAGCTCCGGCCATTGCTCTCGCGGCAGCTCAATCGCAGCGATGGAAGCAATAAATTGTGCGGCAGATAGTCCAGCTCTTGTATCGCTGGACGACAGGGTCTGCAGTGCAAAGTCCTTCACCTGTGCCTTGACAGTCGGGTCGATCTGAGTAAGCCACCGGTTTTGCACCTCTTTTAGGCGAGCATAGTCCCGAGCGGTGAAGGAGTTTTTGAGTGCGAGGCCGGCGGCCATGCGCACTTGTGGTTGAGCCTGCTCATTTGCGAGTTCGCGGGAGAGTGTGGTAAGGTAGCCTTGCTAAAGTAGAGAGTTTTTGGTCAGCTGATCTAGAATGTATGTAGCACAAGGAAGGGACCTACGAAATCGGCATCAGCGGCTTGACTGAGTTGTGTCTCTGCTTGTGTGCGTATGGAGGCGTCTGCGAGTTCTTTAGCATACTGTTCCACATATAGCCCGTTCGAGGAGCGGAATCCTACCTGGCGAAAGCGTCCCCGTGAGGACCTGATTGACATCCATCCTGGGCCAGGCTAGTCAATCCGAGTCGTCGAAGGGCGAAAAGATCTTGGGGGAGATGTGAAGTGGCATACGCCTTAGCAATCAATCCGCTTCCGAAGTCAAGGCGTAGGCGGGTAGATGTGTGTGCAAGTAAGTGAGTGTCGAGAAGTCGTGCGTTCCTCCGCCTTGTTCTTTAGTCGTGTTGCGCACGGATCTACTGTAAATAAAAGCCCACTCTGGAGGCTCTGCAGGGTCCTTAACGCATGGACGACGTAAGGGAAGTAAGGCTAATATTCTATGCGGTAATGCGATCGACGAGGGCGATGTGTTTGGAGTCTACACGTGAAGGCCCTTGAGTTTTCGAGGAAGTGTTTCAGACCGTAGATTTGGTCGGCAAGAACAATTGTGTATTTGCTTCATGATGAGTGGATCTGTTTGGTGGGGTCCGCGCTCGGAAATGGTCAGAGGTCAGGTGTGAGGCGGCAGCACTGCATTCATGTACAAAACACACGAGGGAGATCAGAAGGATCTTGTAGGTGCGTCTGTATTATAGCTATATCAACAGTATCATATACACTTCCTGACCAGTAAGGTATTGTGGGATCTCTCTCAAAACAAAAAAGCCAGCGTTTCGCCCCCAACACCTACGCTCGTAAAACAATCCGACCGAATCCCATAGAAAATTGTATCGTGACAGGGAGTTCATGGGCTTTTGATCAGGCCCCGTACATCTCTCGGAACCATATTATCAATTGTCGACATCCATCGGTGCCAAGAAACCAGCTTCCTCGAAATCGTTACCGTGCTCACTCCCCAGCATGCTGTTGGTCGCCGCTCGTCGTAGACTAGACTTCGACTTCGCGATAAGTCGGATCGTAGTTGAGGAATCCGCGGCCTCCATATCGTCGAACAAGGCATCCATATCCTCCTCCATTTCTTCGTCGAATGTCCGTTTCTTGCTCGGGACGAGGACCGTAGCAGCCACGGCAGACATATAGCTGCCTTGGGTAGACGGTAGAGTCTGCTGTGACATGGAGAGACCGGGTATGCTGTCCTCATCCTGATTGTACCCTCTTCTCGTTGCTGGTGGAGCAGATGAAGGAGGAGCGTAAGACTGTGGTTGCATCGCCATCCCTCCCACCCTGTGAAGTCCACAGAATGGCATGAGCTCCCTACTAGGCTCCTGGTTGTAGCCTGGTCGTGTATTTTGAACTGGTGCCGCAGGAGCCGTGCTAGGAAAGGGAAAGCCGTCCGTGCCTATTGGCTTATGCGTCTTGTATCCTTCCGGTACCGACTTCCGTACTCGCATCCCCACGCTTATGAGCGACGCCTGGGTTTCGGGTGGCAGTGGAGGTGACATGGGCGATCTCGAAGGACGCGAAGATGTGCGGTCGCCATGGTTGAAGAAAGAAGTTATCGAAGGCTGATATTGCCGTTTTCGGATGTGACCAGAGGTTGCAGATGCGACGGCGGCCATGGCGATCGTGTGTCCAAGGCTGTTCCGATATTGTCACCGTCGCCTATGCGAGCACTTTGAGGGTCTTTCGTACATGAACTTTGTGGATGGTCGTTGCACGGGTCTGGACGAAAGATGGCTGGCGCGTACAACAAACACGAACAACGCGCGACGCCTTAGCGCTCTTAGAGAGCCAGACGTCATCAATCTACTGAATCCTTGTAACATTCACGTACATCGGGCAGCTATGCTTTGATTCTGTAAATCCCTGTAGGCTGGTGGTAAGCGTTTGTGCGTGCATTCCCTTCGTGCTTAACGTATCTCAGCGGCTCGAAGGACCTGTACAGTGATTGACAGACTGATATCATTCGACGGGAGTTCAGCACGACCACAATCCTATCTGACTACAGCATCACCATGGCCATGGCTTCCGCAACAGCAGTACCAAAGTCTGTGATCATTGCAGGTGGCTCCCTTGCTGGCCTCATGCATGCTCTGACTTTCCTATCGCTGCCATCGCCACCCAATGTCCGCATTCTAGAACGCTCCCCAACGGCACTTCTCCATGACCAAGGAGCTGGCATCGTAGCTGGCAATGAGCCGCAGGAATTCTTCTCGGAGTACGTTCGCGCTGGGAGGGATATCGCTGTGACCAGCCCAGCACGACATTACCTCAACAAGAAAGGCGAGATAATGCCCGAGACTGTAGAGCATCGAGCACAGCGTATGACCTCCTGGGATCTACTCTACCACCTTTTGAGGTGGCGAGTCGAGGGACTGGAAAGCGAGTACGTCAAAGGTCTGCAGCCCGACGACCGGGCAAAGGCACAGTACGACAATGGCTGTAACGTCAAATCCGTTCAAAGCACTTCCAATGGTGTGAAGGTGACTTGGGACCAGAAGGACCAGGGCGAGCAGTCCGCAACGGCCGATCTCTTGATTGCTGCCGATGGTGGAAGTTCAACCATAAGGAGCCTCCTAGAACCAGATGTGAAGCGAATGTATGTCGGCTATGTCGCATGGCGAGGGACTGTCCCAGAAACCGAACTATCAGAGGAAGCTCGCAAAGTCTTCATCGAACGCTTCACCTTCTACCACACAACCGGCATTCAAATCCTTGGCTACGTGATCCCAGGTCGTGATGGAACGCTTGAGCCAGGCCGGCGGCTCTTCAATTGGGTATGGTATGTCAATTATCCTGAAGGCAGCTCCGAGCTCGAAGACCTCATGACGGGCACAGATGGCAAGCGGCACGCCATCACACTTCCCGTGGGAACGATGAAAGACAGTGTATGGGAGAAGCACAAAGCATATGCTGCTGAGGTCCTTCCGCCCCAGTATGCAGAAGCGGTACGGAAGACCAAACAGCCTTTCGTGCAAGCTATCACGGATGTCATAAGTCACCAGAATAGCTTCATGGATGGCAAGGTGCTGCTTGTGGGCGATGCGTTGGCCGGTTTCAGACCTCATACTGCTGCTTCGACCGGACAGGCAGCTCATGATGCGCTTGTGCTTGGGCAGTGGATGAAAGGTGAGATTAGTGAGAAGCAATACGGTGAGAAGATTATGGAGTTTGCGACGAGAGTACAGAAGCATGGGGTGATGTTGGGGCAGAGAAGTCAGTTTGGAGAGCACCCTTACAACGGCTAGGTGAGTGTGATAAGCACCTCCCTAGAGCTAGCTTAAATGCCGTGATAATACTCAATCATGAACCCACAAGCTCGGTCGATGTTTCTGTGAGTCGTTGAAACACTACTCGTCTATTTACTCAAGCGGCATATACGGAACTCGGCTCCTGCGAGTATGAGGCACGAGCACGACCAAGCTCACGCCATGGCGTCCTCCTCGTTCACCAGCAACGGCTGAGTGTGGAGCTCGAATGGGCTCGTGCCGCGTCGGTTCGACTCCGAAAGTTCACCATCGCGCCTACACAATTCCCCAACAACCCTCATTGTTCAAGTATGTTGCGGTACTCACATTGGAGACTCATCGCATATCTTCGACCTGAACTCGCCAAGATATCAAGTGAGCATCCAGCACGGGCGAATGAGATGACTTTCGGCCCCTCCTACCAAGCCGTTCGCGTACCGTGGCGTTCTCGGTATCGGGCTGCGCCGCTTGTTAGACCTCAGCCTCACCTCGATTTAGGAGCTACTCTAGCGAATAGACGTGTGGAGGGCGATCAGGCGACGATGGAGTTGTGGGCTGAGAGTCAGCCTTTGTAAGATCGGGCGGCCTCCAATACATCCGCTGTGAAACATAAGTATAGTCTCTTGAGGCCTCCAGCTGGAGTAGAGCTTTTCTTATCTGGGCATTTCTTCCTTCTTCAAGTCTACCAAAGTAACATTCTCGCTTGCTTACTCCGAATACATCCGTAGACTCACGAATCGTGATACCGACGACGAGTGGGTCTCGACCATCATGTCTGAAGGACGCCACGGCTCGGTAGCAGCGGAAGAAGAGGAGCGCATGCGTGTGAAGCTCCCGAAGAAATTGATCATATGCTGCGATGGTAAGTGCGCCTGCCCTCCGTCTCAGTTCTCCTGGTAGACTGACAGTATTCCAGGAACATGGATGGACAGCGATAATGGCTGGGTGCCAGGCAAATGGGGTCAACCAGGTCATCTCCAGAACCCAACCAATGTGACTAGACTAGCCCGTGCCATTAAATCAGAGGACGACCATCACCATCCGCAAATTGTCTACTATCAAGCCGGGATCGGAACTGGTCTCGGTCTCTACAACCATATCGTCGGTGGCGGGACGGGTCTTGGTCTGGCTGAGAACGTTCGGGAAGCCTATGCCTTTCTAGCTAACAACTATTCTGAGCACGACGGCCTCGTTCCGAACGACAGCATCTTCTTGGCCGGCTTCTCACGAGGAGCATACACCGCACGAACACTCGGTGGGTTCATTTGTGCCATGGGTGTGCTGAAAAAGGAAGCCATGTCACATTTCTACGAATGCTTCGAGGATTGGGAGCATGCCGGTGATCCACATTACAAGCCACTGTTTTTTGACAACTACATTCGCCACCATAAAGACAGGCAGACTGCGGTCGACAAAGTGAAGCCGGACCCCAAGATGTCTCGAAGCAAGGATCACACCATCCGCGACAAGTACATAGACGACTACTTCCGCGCCCTGCTAGCCCTCGGCCTCTCCCAAAAAGTCACCATCAAAGCCATCGGAGTCTGGGACACGGTTGGCGCACTCGGCATCCCCGTCAACCCCCTCCTCCATCGCATCCTCCCCGTCCTCCCCTCCTTCTTCCGCACCTACCGCTTCTTCGACACCAAACTCCACAACTCGATCAACAACGCCTACCACGCCCTCGCTCTCGACGAACGCCGCTTCCCCTACTCCCCAGCAATCTGGGAACGCCAACCCGAATGCACCACCAATCTCGAACAAGTCTGGTTCCCCGGCGCCCACAGCAACATCGGGGGCTCCTACGCCGATCCAGGCATAGCCGACATCACCCTAGCCTGGATGATGGACCGGCTGTCAGGAAACATGCTCGAGGATCGCTCGAAATTCGAGTTTCACGATTGGATCCAATTCGACGACAACTATCTCGACCACTGGTACGGCTGTCTCCACTCCTGGCTCACCGACCACCCGGACGAAGCTCTAGCGCATCAAGGCTGGGCCCGCGGCACCCTCTACGACAGCAACACCTTTCCGCAATCCCTGGCGGGCGCCCGCACCCGCTCCCCGGGTAAATACCACGGCACCTTCTACGAAACCGGGAACACCGACTTCCAGCATGTCCTAGCCGACACACAAGAACACATCCACTCCTGCGTACGCGCGCGCCTGGATCTCGGCGGCTTGGCGCCAGAACCGGATTGGTCTTCCGTCTTCCCGCACGGTCTGAACCTCACTCCTCTCCTGTCCCACTTCTGGCGTCTCCTCCGTGGGGGGAAAGAACCGCTTTACCTCCCCCAGAAACGCCACGGTCCGCTGGAGGAATGGGTCTTACACGATAACCACGCCTACCACGACGAGGTTCACGGACCTAACAACAAGATCTCGATGGACTCTGGTGGGCTCGAGCATGTCCAATGGGAGTATATGGGGAAGGAGAAAGTGGCGCGGAAGGTCTTGCCAGAGGCGAGGTTGGGGCGGTTTGAGGTGAGGTTGTTGAGGCATGATGAGCAGATTGCCAGGGGGATGGAGTTTTCGAATAATGGATGGAGGTGGGCTGAGAGGTTTGTGAATCCGAGTAGGCATGGAAGGACGATGCCGGTGTGATGTTGAGCGATGTTGGGGGCGAGGAGGAGGGGAGAGAGGAGGTGTGGGACAGGATTGTCCCATGTTTATCAATCAGATTGGGTTTGTTTGCTTGCTTTGGGAGCGTGGAGTCTGGCGTCACATGTGGTCCGGGTTGTTGAGGACACATTGAACGGGCCGATGAAAGGATGTTCCAGGGTAGCCGTGATAGGGGTATTACATTATTTAAGTTCTCATACTATCTCTATGCCAAATCTAAAACCAGCGCCAGCGTGGCGATTTCCCCGTCCCGCATTCCTTAGCCAAACACCACCAATCGATGCGATCCTCTAATCCTCCTCAGACCTCTACGTCACGTCGTCTTCAACACCTTCGGCATGGGCGGCGGCGGCAACTCGGTGCCAAACACGCGATCCCAAAACCTCGACGTCACCCCAAACCCATTCTCATAATCCATGAAATGATGCTGCATATGATACTTCTTCAACTCGCGATACCACAGGGGCAAACTGCGATGATGTAGGAAATAATGCGTGAGGTCATAGCACACATACCCGAACACGCCACCGCAGTAGGCGGCCACAGCCGCGTGCCAATTGTAGAAGATGACGGCGTGGGCGAAGGACCAGAAGGGGGTGGCGAGGGCGAGGAATAAGGTCGGGGGCATGACGAGCCGGAGGCGGTCCATGGGGAGGTAGTGGTGGATGCCGTGAAGGAGGAAGTGGGCGGTTAGCGCTGCTCTGTTATCGGGGAGCCAGGCGTCGAGGTGGAAGAGGAAGCGGTGTAGGACGTATTCGATTAAAGTCCAGAAGCAGAGGCCGAAGATCCAGTAGCCTGTTGTGGAGGCGAGGCTGAGGTGTTGCGATGCGAGGAGGGTGCCGTAGGTTATGGCTGGGAGCCAGATGGTGGGGACAACCCACCAGGGGGTTTTGGATAAGGGTTCAAGAAAGTTGCCGAAGAGGGGCGCGGAGGCGCCGCCTTTGTAGTGGCGTGGGCGGTGGACTTGTTCGAGGTAGAATTGTTTGCTGAAGCCGCCGTTCCAGACTTGCATTAGGAGCGGACGGTCGAGGTCGAGGAATTTGTGGCGGGTGTAGTCGGCGCGTGCGTCGGTTTCTCTGCTCAGGTCTTCGGCCGAGGACATGCCGGTGCTTTCGTAGACGGCTTTGTTGGGGTTTTCGGCCTCGGGACCTGCTGTTGTGGCGGCAGCTCGCGCGTTGACATCGGAGTATGCGCCTGGGTTCGTCTTCTGAAGTTCCGTCATTCCTTTCCCCGTTGGCTCCATTGGGAGGACGGTGAAGGGATCCTCACTCCGCATAGCTGCATCGATGACTTTGTTCGTCGCCATGAAACCCACTAAGCTGTCGTCCAGTATGTCCCATGCTGCTTCACTGTGCGTGTGGCTGATTGGGTCCTCCATCGCTTCCTTGACGTCCATTCCGCCATACTGCAGAATCAAGTCGGATCCGCCCGGATGGCTGTCCAAGAAGTCTGTGACATCGTAGACTTTGGTGCCGATGGTGACATAGCAGGACTTGTCGGTATTATGTGATGCGACGTCTGCCTGCGGGAAGGTAGGCAACGTGCGAGATGGCATGCTGAGGAGATTCTCGTTGGCGATTAGTGTGGGGCTTGGCGTCGGATGCGCTCGGGTTGTGTTGTCGTACAGTATACTCTATGTTGCGCTGGTAATGTCAAAGGAGTGTGTTGCAGCAAAAGCATAGAGAGGTGAGTAACAGCAAACGGATGATGGAGAAAGGCTCCTAACCTCACCGCACCGTACTTGCAACTGTAATTTATGATTACTTCATCACAGTGGCAACCTCTCGCATCCGAATCCGACGCCGACGCGGCCGATTTCCGTCCGCGCTTCCGCATCCGAGTTTCAAGATCTGTGCCGATCGCTCCTTCCTCGACTTCACTTCCACTCTCCTTCGTTCTTTCCGTCAGATGGAAATTTTACGACACACAATGCTGCATCTACAAGACAACCTGGGAGACATAGATGGTATAGGGCACGCGATGACCCACGAATATTGTCAGAGCCCACTTGGCGGCATATCATTGCGCCATGCGTGGAGGCAATCATCTTCCTGTCACGGTGGTGAGCGCAAAAGCAACAGTGTATGGCTGCCTACGCCGTGGAGCAGATGCGAGTCAGTTGGTGATGATTTCATAGTGATGTTCAGCTCGCTCAACCACTTGTGGGCTTATCGTGAGAAGTATGGTATGCTTGGCAGATGAACAGTGGAGATCGATGTATTCATACGTAAGGTAGACTTTATTTCTCTCCTTCTGCCTGCTGCCTACTGCTCCAGAAACCCCACAAGCTTGTAAAAGTGACTAGGTAGATTCTTATCGCAGCTCGCACGACTCATATCCATTCATAATACATAATTGTCAATAGATCGATTGCACTCCTTTCGCATCGCCTCGCAATAATGGACGGCACCAAGCGCAAAGCATCGCCATACAGTGACTCTATCGACCTGGGTGTGGCGACTCCCACTTGGACTGACATGACCGACTATCCAGTGTCCGCCTTGCGCTACACCCAATCTCCCTACGCCCTGCCTGCCAAACGCCGCAATTCGTTCCAGACGCGCGAGGAAGCTATCAGAGCCATCTCACCCATCACCATAGATGATGACAGCAGCAGTAGCAGTAGCAGTAGCGAAGCCAGATCTAATGCCTCTCAATACGAATACGAGGTCGATACTGACAACGATGGGGTCTGGTTGACCAATACCGGCGAGCACACCTTGTAATTGCCCCTATTCCTATCCCAACTGCTTGAAGCTGATTTCCAAACAGCTCGGGCACATTAGCCAGCGAGAACGATCCCATCGTCCAAGCTACTCTACCACCACAAGTGGAAATCGCCCTCCTGCGTCTCAAACAAGCACAAAGACTAGCAGAGCTCGACGCAAAGAAACACGACAGCGATCGCATCCTCCGCGACCTCGTTCGAGATATCAGCAACCGACTGAAAGCAGGCGCTAGCCTCACTCTCGAGCGCTTGGCCGGCGACAGTAGTATCACCATCACCTGCGCCGACCCCTTCTGTCCAGGCCCTGAGCACAAGATCGCGGCAGGGGCATACTACTTCATCCTTGGCCAGCCCCGCCAACTTCAAGACGCGCAACACTACTGCCTCTTCTGCCTAGAGGAGATGTGGGACGGTAAAGGTATGGTCGGTCCGCTACCTCACCCCTCCATTTGGGACGACTTTACTGAAGCCCAGAGCACAACGACCGTGGCTTTACAATCCGATCTAGATGGTCTTGCCCTAGACGGTACGGTGGAGGAGGAGGAGCATAAAGCACTGCAGCGCTACCTGAGCGGCGACTGCAAGGCCTGCCGTTCCTCTCTCTTGAATAAATTTCCGCCGGAAGAAGTACCGGGTTCCACATCTATCCTTCCCGCTCCTGACGACGACAACACCACCATCCCATCATCCCTCCTCGAATCTCGCTGGGCGCCTAAAGCTACATCAGGTGATGATGAGACACGCCCCCAGACACCTGAGGCTCAAGTTGAGAACGGCGGCACGGTTTTGCCACAATCGCCAGAGACGCCGGGGGGTCCTTACTCCCCTGTCGTGCGGGAGCGGACAAGGTTCCAGTTTCTGGCGGGGTATGTGCGGGCGGGCGAGAGTCTGGATGGGAGGGAGAAGGAGGGTGTGAGGGGATGGAAGGAGGGTGGGGGGTGTAGAGGGAAGGAATTGAGTGTTGTGCTTGGGGGTTTGAGGGAGTGAGGAGGCAGAGTTGAGTGGATGGTAAGGTGGTGATGGTGAAGGTGTTCTGTGGCAAACGTTCAGGAGAGGCGGGATGAGCAGGATGAGGGGCGATCTGGGAAGGTTTTTCGTGCTCGGAGGGTCTAAAGGGGTTTGCATCGCGTTCAGAGATGATGATGAGGGCGGATGATAAGGCAGGTCGCAACTTTTTTGTTGCCAACGATATGTCTGATATCTGTGTGTGGTGTATGCCACACGGCGAGAAAGCCAAAGCATTAGATGGGAAAGTTCGTGTGGGCAACCGATCACGTCATGTACAACCTCACGACCGGACATTTCAGACCCACGTTGTACGAAAGTCCTCGCCCAGCTGCCTTTGTCTGACTTGCGGATATCTTTTTTATATACTGATCTAGAGCAAACGGGCTGCATTTGCCTATATACTCAGACCTGCAAGTGAGTGCAGCAGTGTCAATCATCATCGATAAGATTTCTTTCCGGGCGAAAATGGTAGCGGTAAGCAAACGGAGTCCAGCTCTCGCCTTATTTCTGAGCGAGTCCTCATCAGGCCCCGGACCCCAGACCTAGATCTAAACCTAGTCGTTCGTCTAGACCTGCGATGGCGTCGCATGCCCATCCTCCCCCATCTCCCCTCCGTAACCCTGCATCCCAACCTCATTACCAGCACTGCAATTCCCACTCGGTAAGGCAAGAGGGTACTCTCCATCCCCCATCACTACATCTGGCCCGGGAAGAGGATACTTGAGCTCCGCAGTCGTGTGAGGGGTTGAGCAGCCGTTGCCGTCGTCTGCTATGAACATTTCTGGGCGGGAGGAGAAGGGGATTGTAGATAGGGTTGACTGAGTTGAGAGTAAGGCGTAGGGCCCTGGTGTTGAGGTTGGGGCGGTGATGTTTACTGCGGCGCCTAGTGAAGAGTCTTTGTTAGTCTGAGCGTTTCGGTCAGGGGAGTGGGGAGGTTGAGTAGTGGTGGGACTTACAGTTCATGTTGAATTCCTGCTCCCGGTTATACCAGATCCAGGCAAAGACCTGCACCCCCGTTGCCAAATCAGCAGGGACTCGCATCGCGAAATCCTGCCCACCGGGTCCCACGCCATTCTTGCGATACGGACAATTTCCCTCATAGCTCGTCGCGACGCGGAAAGTGTTGCCTACATAAACAAATTCACACGTCAGCAAGCCAAGCCAAGAAAAGGCAAAGAAGCAAATCAGTCGCAGAAAGCAAAGCACTACATACCTCCATCCACACTAAAACCCACCTGACAACTCCCCCCATAATGATTCCCAATCCCCGTCAAATTCCACGTCTGCATGCTTCCAGCTTCCCAGGTGGCGGTGGGTAAGCCTTGAGGCGTGCCGAGGAGGGAGAGGTAGCCGCGGCAGGGATAGGTCCAGCGGTCGTTGGGGCCGCAGCAGTCGTAGGGGTATTGGAGGTACGGGTCGGAGGGGGTGGTGCGGTGCGGGTTGTGGGTGCTGTTGAAGGAGGCAGGGGAGTGGAGTTCCATGTGTGCCCATACTGTAGTTGCCATGAGAGCGGAGAGGATGGTGTGGAAAGGCATGGTGGCTTGTCTCGTGGTCTGGTTTGTCTTGCGGATGGAGGCAGTCGGTGCTTGTTGAAGTTGGCGTGTGTAGCTTCGACTGTCGACCTTCTACCAGAGAAGTCGGGGTTATGTGGGTGCGTGAACGAGTGTGGATATCAGTCTTGGGGGGATGACAGGCACTTGGTGGCAACAGAAGGAAAAGATGCGAGAGGGCAAAAACCACAATACTATAGAGTATGATCACGCGTTCATTGTCACCTTCTGTGTCTTGTACTGCAAAGGTCATCCACTAGCGGGCGTTAGGATTCACGAAGGATGCCTGACGGGTGTCATGATGCGAGAAAGGACGCAGTGAAGCTGTTTCAGGCGGTTGGTCGTTACACAGGGATTTGCGGGCGTGACTGGTTGGACTGCAGCGTCTATGTCGGAAGAGGGTGAAGGGAGGATTGCGAACGCTTGTACATTTCGCTACACGAGACCTTGTCGTGAGGGAGGGAGGATTATAGGACGAGCGGGATGTGTATCAAATCGTGGTTTGGCGGATGTTGGTATGAAAGTCTTCGGGAGTGTAAGTCACCTCGAGGTTGCATTCTTGCAGCACGTGAATAGTAGCTCATCATAATGAAATGGGATGAATGAGATATGGTGGTAAAGAGTGAAGACATTGTAGAGACGTTTCGTTTCGGAGTAAAGGCGAATCCTCCACTTCCCGCAAACGAGAAAGTGCAGGCCGACGACCCCTCGTGGCGCTTCTGCAACGACCACCTTGACTATCGACCATGGTTTGGTGGCAGATTTGAGTCGCGCCTGGAGCGGTTCAATGAGACCCTTCTGAGACTTCCATTGGATACAAACACCCAACATGAGCCACTATGGCGTCCCCTACAACATCCGCAATGCCCTCCGAACCGTCTTCGCGGAAAGTCAACCACCCATCCGGCGGAGCATTCACCAACGTCGCGCCTTCCACAAGTACTTCGTAACGCACCTTCCCTCTTCATCTCTAGCACCAGACAAGCAAAGCCCGAATCACCATCGTCTGCCACGAGATGAATCCTCACCACATGCCGGACCGAGCAAGCGAGCGGCAAAGGTCGCGCAGTCAGCTTCCAGCAGAGATACGACGATCGTCAGGATCCCCATCAAGAGCGCCAAGCATCATTTCGGCGCTGGCGTGAGTCGAGGAAGTAGACCGTATAATGAGGATACATATCAGGCAGGCACGATCGAGATCCCGGCTTTTGCGCAGCGACAGCCCGTCAGCTTGAGCCGGAAGCTGCCTGGTGCAGGTGGCGGTATGAATGATGGAGGTCAGGCAGCGAAGAGCGAGAGTGGCGACCCACAAGTCTTTTACTTTGGTGTATTTGATGGTCATGGCGGGAGTGAGTGCTCAGAGTTTTTGCGGGACAGATTACATGGTTATGTGGAGGAGGCAGCATTGTTATTTGGTATGGAGAGTAGTCTCAAAAAGGAAAGCACGAACGATGCCGACAGTCTAGACTCGGAAGGTGGCATCATGGGCGAGCAGGATGCAGAAGACCTGCAACGAGGGCTGGTCTCAGACTGGAAGGAGACAGTAGGCGGCTACTTCAAGCGCTTCAAACCCGAATACTTCCCCGCCGTCTCCAACCGCGCCTCTGACGAGACCGCGTCCACGCAGAACAACAGTTCCATCGAAACCGTCCTCACCTATGCCTTCCTCAAAGCTGACCTCGACTTCACCGCCGCCCAAGCAAGCAAACACACCAACGCCAAGAACAAGCAAGCCTCCCTCGACGACCCCGTCCTCGCAGACAGACCGCTAAACGACAACGACGTCCTCTTCCATCCCGACCGCCCCGCCTCCCAAAATCTCCGCACCCGCTCACAAAAGGGCTCCTCACCCGACCTCAGCGCACCCATAGGCGGCATCGAACGCTTCAAAGGCGGCTCCACAGCCTCCATCGCCCTCATCTCCACACCCACCCCAACCCCCTTCTGGCATCCCGCATCCCCATCAACCTTAATCGCCGCCCACGCAGGCGATACCCGTATCCTCCTCTGCCGCACCAGCGACGGCAAAGCGGTCCCGCTAACCACAAACCACCACCCCGACACCCCCGTCGAAGCCACCAGACTCCGCCGCTACGCCGCCACCTTCGTCACCGACTCCTTCGGCGAAGAACGCATGGGCGGCCTAGCCAACACGCGAGCCTTTGGCGACATCGGCAGTAAACGCCTCGGCGTCAGCGCGGAACCGCAAATCACCCGCCTCAACATCTCACCCGCCGAACACTCCTTTCTCGTCCTCATGTCGGACGGCGTATCGGGTCATCTAAGCGATCAGGAGATCGTGGATGTGGTCAAGGAGGCCCGGACGCCGGAGCAAGGGGGACGGGATGTTGTGAGTTTTGCTACGGAGACGGCGGAGAGTGGCGAGGCAGATAATGCTACTTGTCTTGTTGTTAGGTTAGGGGGGTGGGAGAGGAGGGGTGAGGGGGGTGGGGGGAGCCTGGGCACGAAGGAGATGAGGGGGTTTAGGCGGGAGGAGGCTAGTGATCCGAGGCGGGGAAGGCAGTGAGCGGGAGTGGGTGGGTTGTGTAAGTATGTAAGTAGAGGGTGAGGTGTATATGAGATGTTTCTGTTGTTGAATATCCTGCTGAATGACCGCAACCTGTGGATCTCAGTCAAGTACGAATGGTCGGGATCTACCTGACCATCACCGAATCTTCCTCCCTTTTCCCGACTCATGCAACCAAAGGCTTAGTGGTGCATGCCTACGCTGACGGGATCTACTCCTCGAGCACCTTCTTCAGCCCAGCCAAGGGCCTGGCCCAGCCCAATCAAATCGCCAATGCCCGACGCCACCACGACTCCCTTCGCAGCGGCCTTTATTTCCGCCAAGACCTTTGCCTTCCTTTCCGCGACGTCAAGTTGCGCAAGTTCCTCGTCTCCCAAAAGATCGTTCGCGTCTTGCTCTGTGTGGAAGAGACGTTGTATCCTGTTCCTCTCTGTTTCCAGGTCCGTGATCTTCTTAGCTTGGAACTCGATCTTATCTTCTTGCTCTCGGATTGTGTTGCGTAGGCTTTCGAGGTCTGTGAGGACTTTGTCCATCCTGAAGGAGGATGACGAGATTGTGGATGCTGGGAAACGAGGCGAGTGTTCCGTTACTGGGAGGTACAGTGCTGGTGTGAGGAAATTGTTTGTCTTACCTGCTGCCGGGACGGCTTGAGGGGGCATCGATTGAAATGCCTTCTTGCTACTGGCTGTTGTGGTTGCTGTCAAGGCGCGCTTCCTTTGTGTTTGGAAGAAGAGGCGAAGGCATGGTTAGTGCTGGAGGGAGGATGGTGGTTTGGACATGAGTGGCCGGGGCCAGGAGTGGCATTGATATGTCCTGCTGCGATGCAACGAGTAGCAGGTGACGGGAACCATGGTGCATGTGACATGAGTGTCACAGAGAAATGGACGGCTTCATGCATTTGAGTGAAGTCACACGGTGAGGAAATCAGGCGACTGGATTACGCCTCAGCGGGTTGACGCCCTGATCGAGGAGAGGAGACATCGTAGAGGGTCGAGGCCTTACAGATCTAATGAATACGCAGGAAGATCTATGGTCAGGCCCTGAATATCTAGCAGGGGTCTGAGTACCTGCCGGACTTCCCTCGCCCCCAATTGCGGGCAAACATGCTGCATCACATCTACAGCCCACCGTCTCACGACCCTTTCTTAAGCGCCTCCTCCAACTTGAACATGGCATGTCCGAGCTGGAGAATACTCGAGCGATCCGCTACCCTCACCACCTCCTTCTCAGCATCCACAACAGCGTCCAGCCTAAACTTCTGCTGCTCGAGCTCGGCCGTCAGCGCTTCAACCTCTACTCTGTGCCTCCCAACAGTCTTTTGCTCGCATTTCAAGTCGTCTTCCAGACCGTCAACCTTCTCCCTTGGCTCGTCGATTATGTCCTCAACAATATCTTTGTACTCGTCGGCGGCAGAGTACACTCGGTCGTCGAGCGAACATGTCTTTTTCTGCTTGCCGGTCGATTTCGTGCGCCCGGGTCTTGATCGATCCGGCCTGGTTCTCTATCTTCTTGGCCTGGTCCTCGATTGCCTTCCTCTGTTGCTCGATTTGGCTTGTCTACTCTCGGCTCTTCGCGATCTCTTGCTGAAGAGAGCAACGCAGGTAAGCCAATGTTTCTAGTGAGCTCGGTCTCCGAGGTCGAGACCCTGACTCTCTTGCCGTTCTGTTCCGAGCCATATGACAATGCTCGCATGTTGGCGTTGGTAGTCATGCTTGATGTCTTGGGAAGTGTATTGGACGACTTTCAAGAGGCAAAGGGAGCAGAAGGCCTGAGATGTTCTTGAGGTTGGAAGGGTGAATCTCGCGAGAAGCATGTGACAGGTGTTCTGAGGCACGGCAGCTCTAATGAAGCATGACTGAGCTGTCCTGAGCCCGCAAGTGAGTGCCGCCAGCGATGGAAATCAGCATACTGGATGATATACAATCTGGGGCGATCCTTTGAACCACAGGAGGAAAAGCCAGGCTATACAGGGGGCAAGGTCGCAAGGCGATGGCAAGGTGCAGAGTCACCCCTTATGTTCGTGACCATCGGAAGCCCTGAGCTAGCTACGTCTTGATGCCCTCTACCCACCGTGACCCCAATCCTGGGACCGTCATGTCCAAGCATTGGTAATCACTCCTCGCCCTCGAGCGCCTCCTGCAGCTTCACCAAGGTAGGCCCAATCCCGAGCACATCCCCAAAAGCTGCCAGGACTTCTTCAGCCGCTGCCACCACGTTCGCGGCTCTTGCCTCCTTACGTGAGAATCTCCGCTCCCACAATGCTGCCATGGCCGTAGACGCGCGAAGCCCGGACTCCAGCTCCCGGTACTCTTCCGCTTGCTGCTTGATCTTCTCACGCATAGAGTTGAGGGAGGCGAGAGCCTGCTCGAAATCTGCGTCGGTCGTCTCGGACCGGGGAGATGGCTGAGGCTCGTCGTATCCAGCCGGCCACATCATCATCTCCTGAGTACTCTGCTCGGAGTCCGCCGCTGGAAATACAGATACCAGTGTTCAGTGGATCATTTCTAGTGCCTTCACACCTTATACCGGAATCCAACAGTGACTCACATTCTTCCAGGCACTGACCGAGGAAGTCGCACGCCTCTGTCGATTGCTTCCTCGGAGATGGAACGCAGAGTCTCGTCGTCTTCATCCGCATCGAGTACCGATGAGTCGTGCAAACATTGCCATTCATCCTGCTCCGACACGAAGAGGTCATTGTCCGCACGACGTTTCAGACCGCGTACAGAGATAGTCGAGGGGGGTTGCAGAGGCCATGGCCGTTGCTGATGCGTGAATGTGTTGAGCTAGTGTAGAACTTAGGAAAGGACCATCAATTAGAAAGGGTTTGAGCTGGACTTTATACCTACCATGAACACTCCGGGAGCCATCACATGTCAGCACATACCCTTGAATCAATAGCGAGCTTCAACCAAAGTGAGGGAGACACTCACTACCCTCCAGCATCGAGTGAGCCAGGCTCTTTCCCCTCAGCCGGTATGCACAGCGAAGGTTCGAAAAAGTCTTGCGGTCCGGGACCATGTCATTCAATGGCGAGGATGAGCTGGATTGAGTATGATACTTACCGTCTCCAGCATCGACTGAAGCCAGGCTCTTCCCCTCCCCCAAGCGATATGCGTGGCTCAGATCTGAACAACGTACGATCCATTCAATGACCGAAGTGCGTTCGCCGCGCCACGGAACGACAGGACGGGATTTCAGACAGCCAGGCCTGATGGTAAATCTCCCTTTCGTATCTACTCTGCTTTCCACACTAGAGCTTGCTAGTAAAGGCGCAACTCGTACATTGCCACAATCCTCCCTTTCGCTGCCTCGTTCCCAATCTCGTAATGCAAGCAAGAAAGCAGAAAACAAAACCGCTGAACTTTCCGCGTCGCCACCAAAACCACAAAACCCAGGCGCCAACGCTAAAAAAAAAGCAATAAACCGCACGCACGACGTGACTTTCTCTGGGAATCTCGCCACCACCACAAGCCATAGACCACAGCCATGACAAAAACGTATTGCCCCCTCACCCCCACCCCCGCCCCACGGAAACCCCCCCAAAATTCTCAAAACCCCTCCCACTCGCAGAAATCCCCGATTCCCCACCTCATCTCTTCACCCACCCCAACGCATGAATCCCCGGCCGGCCCCCCAACCCCAAATCCCTCGACCACCTGACCCTCACCCCCTCCCCAAGCCCCACCTCCCGATACCTCCAACCTTCCTCCCGCATCCTCTGAATCACGGCAATGCCGATCCCAGCCTTATCCGTCGCAAACGCCCACACCGCCCGATCATACCCAAGAGCCTCCTAAGCGAGTTTGGTACTCAGACGCTGCAAAGCCAACCGCGCCTTCCCATCCCGCTCGAGCACGAACATCCAGTCTCGACTCTGAATCCCCTGGTTCTGGGGCAGGAGTTCGGACCAGTAGCCCCAGTCGGGTACCTCTTGTGCTGTCTGGTCGGCTCCTGAGGCAACCTGCGGGGATCCAGCGGAAAAATTCGCCGCCGTTGCCGCACCGCCCCCACCACCACCACCAGCAGAAGTCCCAGCAGCAGGCGACCCAGGCCCCTCCGCCTTAACCACCGCACCGCCTCCCAATACCGCCCCAGCACCACCACCACCACCAGGCGTGACCGTCCCACTCCCACCTGCCCCCCCCGCCGCAGCAGCAGCACCAGGAGAAACCTTATACCGATTCTGCAACCCCGCCGCCGCACCCCCAGACATCCAAGAAAACCTCTTCGCATTCTTCCCCAAAGCCATCATAGCGGCCGTCTGATTCGTCGTCGTCGCGCTCATCTTCTCGGTCTGCTTCTTCTCCTCCTTCTCCTTCCGCGCGATTTCCTTCTTGCTCATTTTCGGCGCCGCTATGTCTTCGGCTGCTGAGCCCTCGCCGGCTGCTGCTGCGTCGTCTGCTGAGCCGTTTGTGAGAGCGGCGGCGTCGGAGGCGGCTTTACGGCGGGCGGAGCGGCGCGCGATGCGGGATTCTTCGGCGCGTTTGTCTGCTGCTGAGAGTTGGCGGAGGTGGGCGGCGGTGGCGGACTGGAAGGTGAGGGTTTTTCTTGAGGAGGGTGGTGGGGTAGCGGATTTGGTAGTGCCGTTGGGTAGGAGATCCGTCTCAGGGACCTTGTCCCACTGCGTACCAGTAATACTCTCCTGCACCACCTCGTCCTCTTTCTTCTCCCCCTCACCTACTGCAATGTCGGCGAAATCCGGTGGGACGCGGCCGTGGTCACCATACCGTCTCGCTCGACTCAAAGCATACGCATCATCCACCAAACCTCTCAGCCTCTCACCTGCAGCTAGCGACACCAGACTCATCAACTGTTCAAACATATCGCCTTTGGTCGCCGTAAACTCAGGCCGCGTATCGATCGCAGCCAAACCTTCAGTCCCTGCGCCGTTCATCATACTGACTGTGCGAGGTTCGGGCTGTTTCTGCCATAAGCCCTGCGTATTGACCGTCACGCCGTGCTCGTGTGCCCTCTCCATCATCCGCTTTCTGATACAATTTGTCTGCAGGAACTGGTTTTCCATGTGATGCTGCAACCTCTCATTCCTCGCTCTCGTCGCCTCTGCCTTCTTCCGCTTGACCTCTGCCTCGATCTCCTCTTGGGATTGCGGACGTCCGATCGTCCCAGCAAAAGCACCATTTGGCCCGTTCTGCGACCCGAAGGAGGTGGATTGCGTGAGGAGGTTGAAACTGTTGTTGGGTGATAATGTGCTCGAGCCAGTGAACGAGCCTTGCCCGGAGACAAAACTTCCATAGGTCGAATGCAGATTGTTCTCCTCGTCCTTGACGTTGACACCAGTCCCGAACAACGAGTCACCGATGTCATCCACATTCATACGCTCTTCCTTCTCGTCCTTGTTTGGTCGTGGAGGCGGAGGCATCATCTGCGACTGCGAGCTCTGCGTTTGCGGCGGACTCATCTGTCGCGAAGGTGTGGGTGCTGCTGCTGCTGCTGCTGTTGCTGCCGGAGTCACAGGCTGGGAATGCTGCCATTGTGGATGATATTGAGGGGTGTTGAAAGATGCTTGCGGAGAGGCGTATGATGCTGGGCTACCGTATGGTGAGTGGACGGGCGCCTGTTGGGCATAAGGGTTCCCGTAGGTGTTGTATGGGTTCGCCATGTATGGCAGTCCTCCACCGACAGGCGACCGCGCATCAGGCGATAGTCGCTGTCGCTTCGCAGGTGGTGGTTGACCATATGGCGAGGCCATGTTGGGCGAGCCAGCGGTGGTGGGTGTTGGATATGCCGAAGGGGAAAATGGTCTCGGCGCAGGCTTCTGCGGTGGCGGCGAGATGGCGTAGTTTGACATGGCGAAAATGGTCTCGGTGGCGACTGTGTGGATATATGTATTGGCAGGACCACGCCTGCCTAGTCCCACAGCACGCGAGGAGCTCCTCCTCCTCCTCCGCTTCTGCCTTGCCCACCTATCCTCTGCTCATCCAGTTGGGTCGTTATGATGTTGTGTGTTCCAGTGTGATGCCTTCAGGACTTGTTCAAGGTTGATGTGATGGCTGTTGGTGACGTTCCGGCCTCGGATCGCGGCCTTTGACTTGTGCTTGTAGGTGAGGAGTCTCGAAAGTGACCAACACTGCGACGAGCGGGATCGGCCGGCGCGCCAAGAAACCGCTCTGCCTCGCTAGCGTGCCTCCTCGATTCACTTTCCCGGCTTCATTATTATTATCATTATTGAAGGCAGGAGCAGTCATCATACAACCCACTCATCTTCACCTCTACCGCATCACTACTACTACTCCGCCTGTCGGAGACGTCACGCAACACCCCATTCTGATTCTGCTATCTCGCAAGATTGCCGACTGTTGCCTGGCACATAGACGCGACCTCGGCGCGGTCAGCGCACCTTGACCTTGACCTCACCTCTCCGCAACCTCAATCATGGCCAACAAGCGCTCCCACGCCGCTCTTAACACACCCGCCCCAGATGACGACGACCCGATCGACCCGTCCGATGAGCTCATCTTCATCGCGCTGGGCGGCGGAAACGAGGTGGGGCGGTCATGTCATATACTGCAATACAAGGGCAAAACGGTCATGCTCGACGCTGGCATACATCCCGCGTATGATGGACTGGCAGCATTACCCTTCTACGATGAGTTCGACCTGAGTACCGTTGATGTTTTGTTGATTACTCAGTAAGTGGCACTTTCTTCAAGCGGTTATTATGGCATGCGGAGGATAGGATGGCCACGGCGGATGGCATGCAGTATATGGCCGAACAGCGTGTCCTGCTCTTCTTCTCCTCCTCCTCCTCCTCTTCTTGCTCACCTTCACAGCCATCTATCGTAGTCTACATAGCCACTGTATGCCATTTCTTCTGCTTTCGAGCCATATCTTCCCTGTTCGCCTCTGCTGTGGTGAACCTCATATCAGCACATAAATACAGCAACCACTCCCTCCCAACCACAGCTAACACCATTCCCCAGCTTCCACATGGACCACGCCGCCTCCCTCCCCTACGTCCTGGCCAAAACAAACTTCGCCGGCCGAGTCTACATGACCCACCCAACCAAAGCCATCTACAAACACCTCATGCAAGACTCCGTCCGCGTCCAAAACACCCACGTCTCCACCTCGGCCTCGACCTCCACGACCTCAGGCACAGACGGCTACGTAAACCAACTCTTCAACGAAACCGACATCCTCACCACCCTCCCCCTAATCCAAACCATAAGTTTCAACACCACCCACGTCCACAATGGCATCCGCTTCACCCCCTACCCCGCCGGCCACGTCCTCGGAGCCTGCATGTACGTCGTCTCCATCGCCGGTCTAAACATCCTCTTCACAGGCGACTACAGCCGGGAAAACGACCGGCACCTCATCCCCGCCTCTGTACCCAGGGGAGTCAAAATCGACTGTCTCATCACCGAATCCACCTTCGGCATCAGCACCCACGTCCCGCGTCTCGAGCGCGAAACCGCCCTCATGAAAAGCATCACCTCCATCCTCCTCCGCGGCGGCCGCGCTCTCCTCCCCGTCTTCGCCATAGGTCGCGCGCAGGAACTTCTGCTCATCTTGGAAGATTACTGGACGCGACACGAAGAGTTCCGGAAATTCCCCATTTACTACGCTTCCTCCTTGGCGCGGAAGTGTATGGTAGTCTACCAAACCTACATCGACAGCATGAATTCCTCCATCCGGGCGAAATTCCAATCGGGGGCTACATCGACCACCACCTCCGCCGACGGAGCGACGAGCACGGGGGCTAGTGGACCCTGGGATTTCACATATATCCGCTCCCTCAAATCTCTAGATCGCTTCGACGATGTAGGCGGGTGCGTGATGCTCGCTTCGCCTGGGATGCTGCAGAATGGGGTTTCGCGGTCCTTACTCGAGCGCTGGGCTCCGGACCCGAGGAACGGGGTCGTTATCACGGGATACTCGGTTGAGGGCACGATGGCGAAGACGATTATGTTGGAGCCGGATGTGATTCCTGCTGTTATGACTGCTAATCGTGGGGGTGGAGGAGGAGGAGGGCAACAAGGCGGTATGCTGACTGGCAAGAAACCCGGCGCGGCTGGTGCGGACGGGGAGAAGGTCATGATACCCCGCCGTTGTACGGTACAGGAATTTTCTTTCGCCGCCCATGTAGATGGGAGCGAGAATAGGGAATTCATCGAGGAAGTCGCCGCTCCCGTGGTGGTTTTGGTGCATGGGGAGAAACATAATATGGGCCGGTTGAAATCGAGATTGTTGAGTCTGCAGAAGATGAAGGTTTTCTCCCCGGCGAATTGCGAAGTCCTTCGTATACCCTATCGTCAAGACAAGATTGCTCGCGTAGTTGGGAGGTTGGCGAAGGAGGTGGATTTGGCGGGGTTGGTGTTGCCGAGTCCCGCTGCTTCTGTGGAGGAGGAGGAGGAGGAGGAGGAGGAGGAGGATGGGGATGGAGATGGGGATGGGATGAGGGGTAGAGGAGATGATGGTGCAGGGGAGGCGAAGAAGCTGCGCACGGCTGAGGGACAGCTCATCAGCGGTGTGCTCGTGCAGAACGATTTCAAGCTCTCGCTCATGGCGCCGGAGGATCTGAAGGAGTTTGCGGGCTTGACTACGACGACGATTTTGTGCCGGCAGAGGATTACGCTGGCGGCGGCGGGGGTGGAGCTTATACGGTGGGCGCTGGAGGGGACGTTTGGGGGGGTGGGGGTTGTGCCTGAGGCTGACGAGATAGAGATGAAGGAGGAGGGGCAGAATGGTGGGGATTCGATGGTGAGGGAGGAGGGGAAGGGCAGTAGAGTCGTTATGGACGTTATGGGTGGTGCTGTTCGGCTTACGCACCATTCGACCACGGGGGAAGTGGAGATGGAGTGGGAGGGCAATGTGACGAATGATAGTATCGCCGATGCGGTCATGGCTGTGCTGCTTAGTGTCGAGAGTTCGCCGGCGGCTGTGCGGCAGAGCTCGAAGATGGGGTCGCATTCGCACTCTCACTCACACTCGCACGGACACAAAAGTGGGTTGAGGCGCGAGAGCGTGGAGGAAGGTGTGTATGATCCTTTTGGCGACGAGGAGATGGTGGAGGGGGAGAAGAGCAATGGCGATACGAACGGCGATGGGGCTGTGGAGGACGGGCTAGAGGCACGGCTGAAGGGGAAGCGACATCCTCTCGCTGATGTCTCGGCGGAGGAGAAATTAAGCCGGGTCTTCATGTTCCTCGAGGCCCAATTCGGCGAGGACGCAATAACTCCCATCGCTCGCCCGCGCCCTACTACGTCACAGAATGGGACGGATGGCGAAGCCCCAGACGAGATCTCTCTCCAAAAATCCGAAGCGGCAGAACTTAAACGGCTTCATGATATGGGAATTCCGGTCCCGGGGATTGAGATTCAGGTCGATAGGAGTGTGGCGAGGGTTTGGCTGGAGGGGTTGGAGGTCGAGTGTGGGAATAAGACCCTTGGGGATCGGGTGAGGGCGGTGGTGGAGAGGGGGGTGGGGACTGTGGCGCCTTTGTGGCGGTAGGTGGGATGGGGGTAGGATGGGGTGGGGGAGGTCATGGGGGATGGTAAGGAGAGATGGTGGGAGATGGTGGGGAGGGGATGCAGGGGATGCAGGAGAGACGGCCTGGAAGGGAAACGTGGATGTTCATGTGGAGGGAGAGGGTAGTTTTGTGGACGGCCCCAGGGAAATTGGCATTGTTTGCTATATGGGTTTCGCAAGGCGTTTGTGAGTGTTTGTACTACGCTACGCACAAGGGTACAAGGACATATCGGTCGCACGTGAGTATTGTGTGCCTTGCTGCAGTTAGCGATTTGTAAGATGACCGAAGGCTCTTTCCGCATTCCGTGCACGATTCACACGTGCATGCGTAGCCTGACCTACTGACCTCATACACATAATCTCTTGTCTCATTCTCATATCCAAACTGTTGACTGACTCCAGGGTCGTCTCAATAACCATCAGGCCAGAACGACATACCACACAAGATCCAACCAACACAATACAGCCTCGAACATGGCGACCATCAACCTTCTCATCACTACACTCCTAAGCTTCCTGTTCTCAGCAACCACAATCCTGGCAATTCCACGCCCCCTCCTCGCCCCAACACCCCACAACCCCATCGCCGCAAACACAGCCTCACTCTTCCAACACTTGACAAAGCGAGCCATAGGCGGCGTCAAGCTCTGCACCGGCACGCACTACACCGGGAGCTGCGACTACGTGGTCTGGCCGTTGGACATATGCGTGAATCTGAACGACTAGTACGTTGCTTTCCCTCGCCCCCGCTACCTACGTGAAGCAGGTGGAGAGTGGGCGAGAGTGCTTAATGAGAGAGATTGTTGACGGAGATACACAGTGCGGGCCACACCCTCTCCTTCCTCCCCGACGAGGGGAACGAATGCTATCTGATGCAGTAAGTGCGATCCATAGTCTCAGCCTGGGGCAGAGTGACTGATTGTATTGCAGAGACCGCTGCAATGCCGAAGAGCTCTACGCAGATCTTTACAACAACAGCCCCGAAGCTGCTGATTTGACGGAATATACCTGGATCGGGCACAGTCAAAGCTATATTTGCATGACGCCTCTGCCACTGTGAAGAATGCTGAGACTGATGGGAACGAGGGCTTTACTTTTAGCTGCATGGTTGTAATCCAGTGATTTGCTGGCAAGGTTTGAAAGACCAGACTCTACATTGAGTGCAGTGAAAGAGCTTTTCAATTCAAGTACATTGTCGTAGAGATATAATACCGTACCGTCGGACAGAAGCCTGAGCGCCATCTACGTCCAGCTTGTTACCCAGAACTCTCAACGCCCTAAAAGAATTCGTTACTTCGACTCGCCTTCCGCTAGAGCATCATTACTCATTTAACTGGAAATCTCAACCATGAGAGCGAACGCACACCGAGAGCTCGCCACGAGTCCGTCATCAAGCCTTGAAAACCTTCCCGTCCCTCTGTTCACCATATATTAAGATGGGTATTGCATTGGGATTGGAGGGTTCTTCGGATCAATGATGGTGCTCGTCTTGCGCATAAATAGAGCAAGGTCCACACTAGAGAAATGTCAGTCTTCTCTTCAGTTCGTAGCAATTTGATAAGTAAAGCACACCTCTGACCAGCTTTCTTGCCAATGCCATCAAGAGCAGCAACTTGCTTGAACTCCATAACCTTCAGCCACCGACTCATCCACTCCAGACGCTCAGGCTTCTCATACGGCACATGGGCGATAATGTTCTCCATCGTCCGCGCTGCACCAGTCCCATCTAGCTCATCCCCTTCGACCTCATACCCCCCACGCTCGACATACTGAGGATCCAGCAGATTGAGCAACTTGTCCAGCAGACAGGAAGCGATGCCCTTCATATAATAATCCTGATGAGTGAACACTTCGACTTCGCACGTGAAGCCATACATGCCTTTCATATCCTGAAAATCGTCTGCGGTTGCGAATCCCACGATCGTCTCGGGCAGCCAGATACCTTCTCCGTCGCCGTACTGGTACTTCTTCTTGCCTTTGCGGCCTTGTAGCTGTCGACCTCGCACGCAAGCCACCAGGAAGGGCAGCTTGTTTGCAACGACAGCATGGTAACGCTGCTCCATGTCAAGTGTAGTACGCTTCTCGGTCTCTGGTACTTGGCAGGAGCTGGACACATAGTAGTTGTAGACTTCACGCACTTGCTGCATGTCCGAGACCTTAGCGGAACGGACGTAGATGCTCAGGCCAGGCTTGATCTTCTCAATCGTGTATGCATTGTTTGAAACCAGTTTATTGCGCTCGTCTGCGCGGACTTTGGCTCGCTGGCGTTTCTCGGTCTGCGCTGCGCGTTTGGAAGCTTCGAAACGCTTCTTATTTTCGGCATGGTGATTGGCGCCATGATCGGCTTCCCGAGCCAGTCGTTCTTCCTTGTTCTCATCAGGGTCGATACCTGTGATTGCAGGATGGGTATAAGGGAGCAACAGAGATGTGTCGTCTTTGTATAGCGTCCACCATGGCTTAACGTCCTGAAGATCAGACTCATCAAGTGGTGCTGGACTGAGAGACGCAACCATTTCCGAGAAGAAGGCTCGCAGTGATTGCTTGCCGACTGCTGATGGCACCCAGGTGCGAGGAACAACCTCATCGCCAGCTCCTATCAGCACATCATGAGTAACGAATGCGCCATTGTTATCAACATCATCTAACCAAAGATCGACTGTAGAGAGCTTCTTCGCATCACGAAACCCGGGTCGGGCATCCCAGTCGATTGGTGCAGGCGCCCAACCACCATTGAAATCCGTCAGCTTGAAACCGGCCTCGGCAGGCTTCGCATCATCGCCCCAGCCACTATTAGCTCCTGAGGAAGAAAAGCTACGTCCGTCGCTTGACCGCCAGGTTGCATCCCAGCGTTTCTGGTCAGGCTTCGGAATCTCGTTCTTGCCCGGCCAGCGACCACCGCGAATGTTGCCGCGTTGACCTCTACCACGAGTAGGAGGGGGCTGATGAGGTACGGTCGTGGACTGAGCTTCTGCCACGCTCATGTAAGAGGGGTTAGCACCGATTCCGTGAGCTCCACGTTCACGGCGATCACCTCTCCCACGTTGATTCGGCCTGCCACGAAATTCAGGCTCCAGCTCTATCTCGGTCGGGTCATGGCCTGATTGGTTTTTGGTAGCCTTCTTGGGGCTGGTTACAGTCACACCAAGCTGTGAGAGCTTGTCGCGGACGTCCTCGGTAGTTGGCGATAAGGGCTTGTCATTTACTGATATTCCGGAATCCTCGCGTGAAGAAGTGCAGGGGATAGTAACAGGGGATTCAGGATTCGGGGTACGTTTCGATGCTACCCTTGGACGGAGATGTGGTGGCAAAGCCTTGCCGTTGACTGTGGCTGCCATGTCGTCGCCTTGAACGTCCACTGAGCGAGCAATTGTAGTTGGAAGAAGAAATGATTGCAACTGGGTTGTCAGCCCGCCAAGATCCTCGCTTGGTATTGTTGAGATTGACAATAGGGCCGTTGACGTAATGTACGAGTCCGCGTGATCGCGCAGGAAGGTGGGTAGGTTATCGCTCCTGCCTCCGTAGAACAACTTATTGCGCTCGGAAGCGGGTCCGGGAGTGGGCTGGAGGAAGCTTGGTCGCCCATATCGTCCGTTTCGTGCCTGCTTCAAGCGATGCTCCATCTCCTAGTTGTGGCGAGAGGAATTTTGCTGCCATGGTGTTGTTGATCCTCGCCTGTATTCTCGATACTGATTTAGCTGGTGGCACAATAGTGATATGCACGTGATCCACAATTTTCTGAAGTGAAGCTTTCTCTTCGTAGGTGACTTGCTTCTTGATCGTAACGAGAGGTGAAGTGAAAATGTTGTCGATCTTGCGCAAAGCGCGATTGAAAGACAAGGAGATGAGGATATTGATGTTGTGAGTATGCTCTGGATATAGGAGTCAGGTACTATGCCACTAATCAACCGCAGAGGGCTTGATAATGCTGGGAAGACAACAATCGTAAAAAGAATAATGCAAGAGGATGTGAACAGTGTCAGTCCAACGCTAGGCTTCATCATCAAGACGATCGACTACGACGGGTGAGTGAGCCACGAATGCAGTTCAGACGAGCCAATGATGCTGACCATGGTGAAGCTACAAGCTGAATATTTGTGTGCTATCCTCTTACGCGTGATCGTGTCGCCGGCTGATAGTACGTGTAGGGGACGTTGGAGGGCAGAAGACACTCCGAACGTATTGGAAGAACTACTTCGAGAAGACAGACACGCTCATCTGGGTTGTTGACGCGACTGATCGCGAGCGACTGGACGACTGTCGACATGAACTGAAAGGACTGCTTGTGCAGGAGGTATGATCCCAAGCTCTTGCATTGTATCTTCCTGGCACGCTTGCTGACACCTTTGTAGCGCTTGATGGGCGCCTCTCTCCTCGTCTTCAAGAACAAGAGCGACGTGCCGGGGTGCCTGACTGAAGACGAAATATGCGAGGTACGAAGTCATCCTGTTCCTTGCCCCACACGTGGCTGGCGGCGCCGTCTTGACTAAGCTGAATTTGTAGGGCCTGCAACTCGACACGATCCAGACTCATAAATGGCATGTTATACCGTGCTCTGCTATTACAGGCGAGAATCTACAGCAAGGCCTAGAATGGGTCGTCAAGGATGCGAAAGACCGTCTCTTCTTGTACTAATTGCGTTGTCTCTATGCCGTCGTTGATAGAATCGAGCAGCCCATCGAAAATCCGGTCCTGTACGGAATTCGATCACAGTCGATGTGGGCCGGCACATCTCGCTTCCAGAACGGCGCTGTTTCATCATCACTTTCAAGATGAAACGCAGACGACCTCTCCTTCCGCCAATCGAACGTGAAGCTTCTCTGGTTGAACAATTTCTTCGCCAATACCGTTTGTAAGAGTGTGAGACCGCCATACAGTCTGTAGATGCCGCGCTCTTCTCGATGCGGCGAGACCAGCATCCACCTCCGTGCGTCTATACAGGTTCCACAGCCGCCTCTTCCCTGGTATGCAATATGCAATAGGACTTTCGTCCCGTCTGCCACGGCTGGCAAGATCTTAGCGTCGATATCGTCTTTATCTGGGACAAATCGTGCACGGAACCGCGACGTTGCCTGCTTCACCAAACTCCACCCGTTCGGTTGACATTAGCCACAATATCGATGCTTGTACAGATCTCAAACAAGCATTTCTACCGAAAGCAAGGAGAACAAATATAAGTATCAGGTACGTACTGCCACTCTCTTGGTTCGAAGTCCTCAGATCATCCATACATTCTTTTGAACACTCTCATTCATTCATTACTTTCATACTTCAAGATGAAGACTACACTTTTCACCGTCGCTGCGGCCGCAACTGCAGCCAACGCCGCTACGCAGAGTGCCTATGGCCAATGTGGTGGTCAAGGCTACACCGGTGCTACGGATTGTGTGTCTGGCTATTTCTGCCAGTCGAGCAACCAGTACTACTCTCAGTGCGTCCCTGGTTCTGCGTCTACAGCTGCTGCATCTCAGCCAACAACTGTGGCAGCAGTAAAGACCACGACCAGTGCGAGCAAGCCGACCACAGTAGCTAGTGCTGCAACCAGCTCTGCCGCTGCTGCGGCGGCCACTGGTAAGGTCGCCTATGCCGGAGTCAATATCGCCGGTTTCGATTTTGGCTGCGGCACTGACGGCACTTGCACTACCTCCAGCGTCGACCCACCAGGTACCGCCGGTATCAACCAGATCAAGCACTTCGTCACTGATGATGGCTTGAACGCCTTCCGTCTGCCAGTCGGATGGCAATACCTGGTCAACAACCAGCTCGGTGGCACCCTCAATTCCGCCAACTTGGCCAACTACGACAGCCTCATGCAGGGTTGCTTGAACAGCGGCGCTGCTATGTGTATCCTAGATGTCCACAACTATGCCCGCTGGAACGGCCAGGTTATTGGACAAGGTGGACCTACCAATGCTCAATTCGCCAGCTTGTGGTCTCAATTGGCTACCAAGTACAAGAGCAACTCCAAGGTCGCTTTCGGCGTCATGAACGAGCCTGTAAGTATCGAACGTATCAGTCGGTCGAGATGTAAAGCTAATAAAGCCCAGCATGATCTCACCATCGGCACATGGGCCACCACAGTCCAGGCCGCCGTCACCGCTATCCGCCAAGCCGGTGCCACATCCCAGAAGATCCTCCTTCCAGGAACCGACTACACCTCCGCCGCCAACTTCATCGACAACGGTTCCGCTGCAGCCCTCATGAAGGTAACCAACATCGATGGAAGCACTACCAACCTCATCTTTGACGTCCACCGCTACCTCGACTCCGATAATTCCGGCACCCACGCCCAGTGCACCACAAATAACGTCGCCACTTTCACGACCCTCGGCAACTACCTCCGCACCAACAAGAGGCAAGCTATGCTCACTGAGACTGGTGGCGGAGCCAGCGATAGCTCTTGCTTGACTATGGTCTGCCAGGAGCTGGATACTTTGAACACCTACTCTGATGTCTTTTTGGGCTGGACTGGATGGTCGGCGGGTATGTTCGATACCAGCTACGTGCTTACCGAGACTCCCACGCTCAGTGGTTCGACATACACCGATCAGCCGCTTGTCAAGCAGTGCATTGCGGGCAAGTTCAAGGCGCAGAAGTAGAATGAGACGGGGATGAACAGATAGACTTGTGTGAGCCAGAGGTGTAAAAATTTATCGTCGGTGCAGTAGCTTCTTGTACATATTTATCAACCCAGCAATCCGTTACCAACGCCAAGCGCTAAGAGTGACTACAATGGTGCTTCCACCAAGTATACCGTCGAATGTACAGCTGCACGCGCAGACTTATTCCTGCCACTCGGCACGGCAGTAAGGACAAGTACTTCCATCCTCCTCACTCTCATGCCAGTCATCCATACATCGTCGATGGAAATTGGTGCCACATTGCCTCCGGCACCACACAGTGTTTTCGTCGCTCGGCAAACCGATATCCTCGTAACACATCGGACACTCGCCTTCGACGGCCTTGCGAAGAACTCTGGTTGGACGACGAAGCCCTGCTGCTGTAAGATGTCTGCGATCCAGTGGACAAGACGAGCTGTGGTCGAGCCATGTGGCTATGCAGGCACCGCAATAGACGTGGCCACAGGGCGTCTCGCGAGCCTCTGTTACGGGGTCGAGGCAAATGCTGCAGATTTCGATGCCAGCTGGGCTCGAACTCGCAGTTGAGCTCGTATTTGTATGGCTGTGCTGATCTGCAGGAGTGCGGTTGCTGGCTTGTGGTATCGCAGTAGCGCCTGCTGTGCTCGCCGAAACTCTCTGATCGTCTTCAGGCGCCGCATTGTCCCGTTCACTGGCAGACACAGCGGCAATGCGCAGAGCAGCAAGCCTTGCTGATCGCCTTTCTGTGGTCTGGACGACGATGTTGTCAGTCTCAACGATGGTTATCGACTCGCTGTCCACAGTCCGTGCAGATCGTGAAGATCCAGCAGTAGTTATGCGATGGACCGCCATCGACGACCTGGCCCTATGCTCAATGACGATCTCGCCTGTGCTAACGATCATATCCGGTGCATGACGAGGAAGCGAAGGCTGAGGGCTCAAAACCCGAGCGCTTCTAGCTGCTTGATGTTCCGAAGCAAAGGCGGTGACAATTGTGCCTGTAGTAGCTGGTGAAGATGGCCGTGCCGTGCTGGTTTGCTGTGTTGGAGCTGCTGGTCGAATCGTGGTTGTGAGCTGCGGTACGAGTGGCGTGGTGGCTCTCGCTAATACTGGTGACGGCTCCCTTGATTGAGTAGATTGAAGTGTTGACTCCGTCCGGCGAGAGATCGTTGCAATAGCTGGAGGAATTCCCTGCCTACTCTGCAGGCCGCCAGTAAAGTACGGGTCGACAGGGCGTAGTTGCGTAGAAAGATGTTGTTGATGTCCGCCATGCCCTACCGTACGCATGATGGCCATCCATTCGCTCACGATGTCGTCCCGCTGCGAAAGATGGCCGTTACGTGCGTTCTTGCAGATGCACAGTGTGGCCAGACTACGTAGTCGTCGTTGAAGACGAGCAGGATCATCAGCGTAAGCTGTAATCGTGGTGAGGATCTGTTTCGCAGCGTTCACATCGCGGTACGCTATCAGGTTGCGACATCTTCGTCTTTGTTGTGTGTTGCCAACGCAAGTGATGGCATGCTTGTCCGGGTTCATGAGTCCGAAGGCTGCCACTCCGTCAAAAATCGTGGCCATTGTGTGAGCTATTGATGCAGTAGGAAGATTGATCTGAAAGGTATGAGTCCTTGGTGATCCGTCATGGAGCTGTACAACCAAAGTCTTATACATGAGAGATTTCTGTCACATAGAGCTTGGGCGAGGCTGAGCTTGCATTCACCTACCGTGCCGCAAAGCACTGCCTCACAGGCACCCAAGACACGAAGCTCCACTTTGAGGACGACTCTTTTGACCGTGAACTACCTGCAAGAGACATGCACCACGCATTCGTCACAAAAGTATCCTTGCACTGACGAGGACGATTGTGCTATCCTCAAAGAAAGTCTCGCTCTCAGAGGTCTGTAGAACGCAAGGTGCTCGAGAATAGCAGCCAAAGTCTCGCTAAGCGCCGCCTCAAAACCTGTGCCGCATGGCAGCAGCACAACCCATGGAAGCTGCTTGGCGAGCCCCCACGTAATAGAAATGCATGAAGTCGTGTGAGGCCGCCGCAGTCAGATCATGCGTTAGATATTTATCGATGCAAAATCAAGTGGTGCAAGTTGGCGGACCTGTGGTACGTGCAACGTGCTGAAGCCTCGCCAGGAACTTCTTCCCGAGACAATGCCAAACACCTCACGAGTCGACCTGCATGATGTGAACACGGTTCATGTCTCCGCTGAGAGAAGTGTGCATCTGTCTGCTATTTTGGTTGTTACATGTTCATTGCGGTATCCTCTGGTACATACGGCTGTAACGTCCACGTCCTTGGGGACTCCTTCTTCGTGGTGTGCAGTCCTGCAAAAGCCCTGGGTGTGTAACACCTGGCCGTGATATTGACCAGTTGTCTCTCCTCCGTTGTCTAATCTCAATCAGTTATTCCTCCTCCCCTTGCCACCACCAGCACCACCTCTTCCAAACTTCTCTTTCTTGCCCTTCTTCTTCGCACTCCCACCCTCCGCCTCGCCATCAGAACCACCACCAGCACCCTCTTCCTCTCCCCCATCACCCTCCTCAAACAACTTCAACAGCGCAGGGGTGAAGTGCTCCAGCTCCGGGATCTCGCCAACCTTGACCCGCATGTAATCAAATGCCACAGCGACCTTCATATCGGATTTCAACTTGAAGCGAACAGCCTCCCCGGCTCCGGAAACATTCGCAAAAGACCCGGTGGTTTCTGGCTTGAAATGCTTCTTCTCGTTGTTGATCACGTCCTGCGTCTCAGGCGGTAACGAGTTCATGACGTCCTCGAGAGGGGCATCCATATCGTCGTCCGGATTTGCACTATCTTCCACCTCCATCGCAGCAGTCACCTCCCCATCCTTCTCCGCAGCACGCGCTTCGTCCTCCACCCCTCTCTCAAGCACCGGAACCTTCTGATACCTCTGACTAAAATGCGTCAAAACCGCACTCCGACTCCGCATCGCCTCCGCTACTCCTAAAGCCTCAGAAGTAGTACTATGTCTCTTCGCCACCGCGTCCCCAATTAACTCATCATCGAACGTCGCCTCGTGAATACACACCGTGCTGCCCTTCCCAATGACCTCGAAAGCTTTACTCGGCCTGCAGTCCCCGCTATAACTCGCCTTGAACCCGGAAGGGAAGGTTATGCTGACCGCCCGTGCGCCGGCGCAGTGGGAGACGGAGACGGCTTGGATATCGGACAGATTTAGGCGAGAGGCCGGGACGGCGTGGGAGGAGCGGAGAGCGTTCGTGGCTTCTTGTCCGACTGCCGTTCTCAGGACGGAAGGCGGGATGAACCATCCTAAGCGTGCGGGCTTGACAACCTCGCGACCCTGGATTAAAGCAGCGGAGATCTGTAAAGGAGCAAGCCGCGAGAAGCCAAAGTCTTCAATCTGCGCGTACTCCGTCAACCAGCTCAACATAGCCGGTTCAGACACAACAGCCAGCCCAGTCTTCGTATTCCAGCTCTCCCTCGCCTGGTGCCCTTCCGATAGGACGAGAGGTCGAGAGGCATGGATTTCCTCATACCAAGCTTTGATTACACTGACCGTTCCAAGGTGGTGATCCGCATGCATATGACTGATGAAGATCATTCTTAACTCCTGCAACACACTCTTCAGCTCCTCCGGCTCAAAGACCCGTTTCAGTTGTCCTAGAGTGTTCTCCCCGGCATCGAAGAGCATGCTACCCCAACCCGGAACCCGTAGTAGAGTGGAGGAGACGTTGCGGTATTTACTCGGGAGAGCTGAACCAGTGCCGAGCGTCACTATCTCGGCATCGCTGGCGCCTGCAGGGAGTGTAGAGAGCCATTTCTGGTTCTGCGGGCTTGTTGCAGCTGATTTGGCAACCTCCCGGCACCTTTCAGCCTCCGCTCGAACATCTGCGGAGATTTGTATATCGGGGACGTTGAGGTAGGGCACTGCAACTCTCTCGTGAACCTCCATCTTCGGCTCCAGCTGAATAATCTGACCCCTTGCCGCCGCCCTTGCATTTGCTGGTAGACTAGAAGCCGACATACTTGGCTCATTGATGTGCGCAGATATTGCGTACCTCTTCCCATCCACCTGCCTAAGCCGGACGGTAGCAGCCGCCGCCGAATCGAGGGCGATATGATTCGGACACAACTCCGGAGAGCTAACAACATGCTCTACCTCTTTCATGCCTTCCATGAAACCCATGAGCCTCTCGTCCCCAGCGACACCAGGTCCTAGAATCCAGACAATAGCGCACACACCCCTCATTACACCCTCACTCCTCCACTCCTTCCTCCTCAACACAGGCTCCAAGTACTCGGGCCCATGAATATCGATCACAGCAATCCCGCCACCCTCTTTACTCTCATCAAGCACTTGCTCAGGCGTAACAATCTCGCCATCCTCACTCTCTACACTCTCGCCAGAAGAGAGTCTAGACCATTTCTGTCCCTTCGCCACATTCAACGCCTTTGCTCGTTCCGGGTGGAATTTACCGCGTTGAGTATGATTTTTGAAGATGTAACTTACTGCTTCTTTTCTCGGTGCCGTGGGTGGCAAGCTCTCCACCAAGGCACCTGGCCATGGTTTACGGACTAACACGATCATATCAGGATCTGCTTCAGGATATCCTGGTTTTGGAGCTTGGCCGGGCACAGAGCCGTTGTATGGTACCGTTTTACCATCTCTACGCACGAAGACTGAGGCCGGCATCTTGACTTTGCCCAGCGGAGTTTCGTGGAGAGTGTCGAGGCGCCAGGAGGAGTTGAACATTTCGCCCACTACGGCTTTAACGGTCAATTCGTCTCGTTCGGCTTGCGATAGAGAGGAGGGGGATGTTGCAATTTTGCCATTGGTCTCTGTGTCGTCGACTTCTTCGAAACTTCGCTTCCGGGGCGAGACTGTGCCCGCCATCTTGACTTCATTCTCGATACCGCTCGCTGGAGCACTGCCGTTGGTCTGCTGAACGCTCCCATGACTCTCCGGCAAAGTAGCAAAAGCCCAAACCTTGACATTCCCATCCGCCCAGTACGGCCCCTCCGCATCGTCTCCTTCCACATTTCCCCTCGCCTCGACAATCTCATTAACATCAATCGGCATACCCTTCCTGAATACGAATCTCCGCGCAGTAGCGAGCACATGATTCACGCCCGGCGGAGCAAAGAAACCCAACTTAGCCTGTCCCTCCCTCCTAGCCTCCTCTTCCAATTCCTTCATCCTCTCAACATCCTCCAGGACTCCCATCCGTCTAGCCTTGGCTACTACGCGCCTCTTCGCCTCATCCTGACTAGCAGCCGCACTCGACGCGGCTGCGTCTGCAAGAGTCAAGATCATCCCGATCAGACCTCCCGTGTTGCTCCATTCTGTGCGGCCGGTGATGAAGCACTCGCTGACTTTCAGCAGACGAGCGCCCATCTGGATACATGCTCGTTGTGTTCCTTCCGCTAAGCTACCTATCAGATATCTCTTATTATCGAAATGCAGCAATAAAGTCGTCCCAGGTGTGTCAGCCGTAGGCGTCGTGAGGACCTGGATATGTGACTTCATGGTCGTGTGTGCCACGTGCTCGTGGGAGCGGTATTTGGTGTTGTAGTCCTGATCCGGTGGGAGGAGGAACTTTCGGTGGTGAGGGTGGAAGTTGATCTCACTCGTACGACTTCGGGTTCTGCTGGTGGTTGATTTTGTGCTGGCTTCGACATCGCCTCCTTCCGATCTCGTACCAAGAATATTCCTTCTGCGCCAGCGCTCCGAAGGTTGTTCTTTATAGTCGTAGCTTAAAAGTCGGGGTTCCCACTTTGCTGCGATGGCCTCATTTGTGGGTGTTTCGGACGGTACTTTTGGTGCGATGCCGGAAAGGAGATCTTGGATTGCTGAGGCGACTGCCGCTGTCGAAGACGTCGTTAGTTTCGAAGGCTTCTTGATGGAAGAGAGTTGAGAGATCTGTATTCGGCAACGGGATCGGAATGCTCGATCAACGAGCGTTAGGACTGGTCGTGAGGTCGTGTATATCGTTATGCGTTTGCAGGGAAGCCACGCCGAAGCCAACGTGAACGACTGGTGGTGATTGTGATGGTTGCCTCTATCTCTTCCTAACCGTCTACACCAACGCCAGCAAATGCGTGCCTTTACAGTATAAACGTGGGTAGTGGAGAAAGTTGATGGTTGATAGTATACGAGTAATACAATTTTTATGCTTCGAACATTGGAAAGCGTTCCACCCTGTTCTGCCTGTTCTGCCTGTTCTGCCGCAATGCCAACACTGTTCCCCGAACACGACGATAGGTATGGTACCAAGAAGCTGCTGTATCATCACAGCTCTTACTCATCCTTCTCATTTCCGTTTCCGAGCATTATGTCGTTCACAAAGCCTCAATATCGAGGGAAACATGCATGCTCCATATGCACATCTCGTGGCTTCGGCTCAGCGGAAACGTTCCGCCTGTCCTGTGATCGTCTGCAGAGGCTGACCATTTGCTACCTTGATCCTATCCAGATCCACCTTCCATCACCACATTACATCCATCTTACCGCCGGCATCCTCACTGCCGTCGACGACAGACTAACATTTAGGCCACCGCGATCCCGACACGACTCACCCCACAGATCAGACCACCATCACCACCACAGACACTGCATTTTCCACCTGTCAGCGAGGAGTCACCACTTGCCTGCAGTAGTTGAGCGACCAACCAGCATACTACAAGAAAATCACTCAGCTGTGAGCATACATATAACACATTACGCCGAAGGGCATCCACCAATGAATCTCGATCAGGCTGTGGACGAGCTCCTCGAGCAGGAGGAGAAGAAGGCGCAGGAGAAAGCCAAGTCTTTGCAAGCCCCCGTGAAGGCCAAGCCCACCACCGCCACTAGAAAGCGCAACAGCAGTAGCGAGATCGACCCGAATGAGAACGCAAATGGTAACGGCAATGCAGGCAGTCGCGACCCGCGTCGTGCCGGTCGCGAGGACAAGTACGCAACTGAGCGTGAGCAGAATGACGAACGTAGGGCGCGGAAATTGCGCGAGCACGACCACGAAGACTCTGCTAGTGACAGGGGAAGCGCTAATGGGAGTGTGAGGTCCAGACGCCGATCGCGCTCTCCGGACCACGACCGTCGCCGTCGCAACTCGCGTGATCGAGGCGTTGACCGCTATCGTGATAGACGCGATCCAGATGCTCGACGCTCCAGCACCGAAAATGCCGACCCTCGCTCTCGCCTCGGTCCCGACAGGCGTGATCCCGACCAAATGGCGGAGCGTGATAGAAATCGAGATGATCGATACGGGGGCAGACCTCGCGCCAGATCTCCACGTGACCGCGAGATTGATCGTGCGTACGGTGGTGGGCGTCGCCGCTCTCCACCACGTCGCAGATCGCCACCTCCACCCCCACCACGGAAGCGCACACCAGAGCCCACTGATGATGAGCGTGATAGGCGCACCGTTTTCGTCCAACAACTCGCAGCCCGTCTGCGCACCCGCGACTTGCAGAAATTCTTCGAGCAGGTCGGTCCAGTGGTCGAGGCTCAGATCGTGAAGGATCGTGTCAGTGGACGGTCAAAGGGTGTAGGCTATGTTGAGTTCAAGGAAGAAGAGTCTGTCGAGAAGGCTATCCAGCTTACAGGGCAGAAATTACTCGGCATCCCTATCATTGCGCAGCTTACTGAAGCAGAGAAGAACCGCCAACAGCGCACTACCGAGGGTCAGCCGACTCAGACTAATGGCATTCCGTTCCACCGCCTCTACGTCGGCAACATCCACTTCTCTATCACCGAGGAGGATTTGAAGAATGTGTTTGAGCCTTTCGGTGAGCTTGAATTTGTGCAGTTGCAGAAGGAAGAGCAAGGTCGCAGCAAGGGGTATGGTTTTGTTCAGTAAGTCCTATCATCCACCCTGTACCCCACGTGACCACACTAACCCATGATTTACTAGGTTCATTGACCCAACACAGGCAAAAGAAGCCCTCGAGAAGATGAACGGCTTCGAGCTTGCTGGCCGCCCCATCCGCGTCGGCCTCGGCAACGACAAGTTCACGCCGGAATCCACGCAATCACTCCTTCAGCGTTTCGGCTCGCAGGCCCACCAAGCCTCACACCAACACGGAGGCCAAGGTTCCTCTTTCAGTGGCATGGGCGGTCGTGGCGCACACGCCGGCGGCACCGGAAACTTCGATCGCGCGAGTGGTAAGGATGCGGAGAAGACTGGCGGTGCAAGCGCGCTTGATGATACCGATGTTGCTGGCGTGAACTTCAGCAATTATTCGCGTGACTCACTGATGCGGAAGTTGGCTAGGATCGAGGATCCGGCTGATGCGGCGGAAAAGAAGCCGCAGAAGCAGGCGGAGAAGGTGAGGAAGGCTGCTCCTGTTGAGGAAGCTACGCCATCAAGGTGTGTGTTGTTGAAGAATGTCTATAATCAGGCTGAGTACGTCCTCCCTCACCCGTTTTAGATACATCACGAATACTGACATTGTGATCTCCAGGGAATCCGAACCGAACTGGAAAACAGAACTCACCGAGGACATCAAGGAAGAATGTAACGACAAGTACGGCCAGGTTGTCCACATCGCCCTCGCGCTCGACAATAATGATGGCGAGATCTACCTCAAATTCGACAGGGACCAGGGTGGTATCAATGCCTACCGTGGCTTGAACGGTCGCTGGTTTGGTGGCAGGATGATTACCGCGCAGTATGTGGTGCCGCCGGTCTATCACATGATGTTTCCGGGCGCTGCGAAGGTCTAAATGAGAGGTAATTTTGTTTGCGTTGTGCACTTTTTCACATGGCGAATGAGCGGCAGAGTTGGTGATGATGGGCATGGATCTGGGCGAGGTGGAGTGGCGCGTGTGGTGTATGGTAGTAGAGTGGGCGATCCGAATTACAGGGCGTACAGCTCCTGTACGATTGAGTTCCGCATGCAATGCGATTCAATACAATCGAGGCAATGAAGCTGGCGCGGGCGAAGAGGCGTTCGATGTTTTGCAACGCCATTTTCGCGTTTGGTACACGACGCTACACTTGTATGTAGGGGATGGTAGGGCAATGCACATTTTATACATCCAGGGCTGCTCGTTTCAACAGATTCAATGTCTTGTCAGCAGGTACCTGGGTACAATGCTACATACCTACTGCAGTTCCCTATTAGCCAAGACGCGACGTCGTTCTGCATGAAGCGTCCCCGCAGTTGCGGCGTTTGAAGGATGCTGGAGGTGTGCATGACATCCGATCATCTCGTTAGTATTATTATCAGCACGACATGTTTCCCAATTCTGTCACGCAGAGACTTGGATTTTTACATCAATATGGCGGTTGAAAAGATGTCGCTGGAGCATGTCGAGAAGAACGTACATCAGGGCCACGATCGCAGGCTGAGTGCTCTTGCTGCGCAACATGGTGATCGAGCTTTGGCTTTGCTTGGGGATGAGAGGGTGCGGTTGACGGAGGAAGATGTACGGATTTCGCTTTCATTTCTGATTTGTTGAATGATGCTTCGCTGACGAGTAGAAGAACAAGCGCATTCGTCGGAAGACTGATAAAGTCATCCTCGCCATCTTGGTTTGGGTGTACTTTCTACAGGTATGGCTTTACAATCCTTTGGACTTAGCTTGGATGTTGATTTCATCGAAAACTGTCAGATCCTCGACAAGACTGTCCTCGGCTACGGCGCGACTTTCGGCTTGCAGAAGGCCAACCATTTGACTGGAAACCAGTACTCGCAAGTCGGTTCAATTGCACCGATAGCACAACTAGCATGGCAGCCTGTCTCCTCCTTCCTGATCGTCAAGGTCCCGCACAGGATCCTGATGCCTTGTCTTTGCCTAGGATGGGGCGTAGCGCAGGCTTCGATGGCCGCGTGCCATAGTTTCGGCGGGCTTATGGCTGCTAGATTCTTTCTCAGACTGTTTGAGGGAGGGTGTCTGCCGCTGTTTAGCATCATCACGTCGCAATGGTATAGACGATCTGAGCAGCCTTTGAGGGTCGCAGCGTGGTATGGGACTAATGGTATTGCTACTATGGTTGCTTCGGCGCTGTCGTATGGGTTGGGTCATATTCCTTCGGCTGTGCTTGAGTCGTGGCAGATGTAAGAGCGCTTATGTTGAACGCCAGAGTCTCACAAGCTAACGAAATGTTAGTATATTCCTGTTCGTCGGCCTCGTCACAATCGCCTCCGCACCCTTCATCTACTGGAAACTCGACAATGATATTCCGTCTGCTCGGTTTTTGACATCAGAGGAGAAGCCACAAGCCCTCGAACGCCTTCGCGCCAATCAAACAGGAACTGGAAGCCGGGAGTTCAAAAGCCCACACCTTCTCGAACTCCTCCTCGAACCGAAGACATATCTCTGGCTAGCACTCAGCATGCTCCTCAATGTCGGAGCATCGGTCACGAACACATTCGGTCCGTTAATTATTGGAGGTTTGGGCTTCGACAAATACACCACTTCCCTTCTCAACATCCCCTTCGGCTTCGTCCAATTTCTGATTATCATCTGGGCATCTTGGATGGCTCAACGTTTCCGTCTCAAGTCAGCTGTGCTTTTCTTCATCACTTTACCTGTCATAGCTGGACTGGCCATGCTCTACATAATTACGCATACCAAGAAACACGAGGGAGCATTACTAGCGGGCTACTATCTCCTCGCCTTCCTCTTCGGCGGGAACCCGTTGATCGTCGCCTGGATCGTAGGCAATACAGCCGGCACGACGAAGAAGTCCGCCATGATGTCCGCTTACAACGCCGCAAGCAGTGCGGGAAATATCGTCGGACCTCTGCTATTCAACTCAGCTGATGCGCCTACATACCATCCGGGTCTGCGAGCCGTGCTGGGGATATTCGTGGCACTAGCCGCTTGCTCGATTCTGCAGTTGATCAATCTTGTGTTCTTGAATAAGTTGCAGGAGAGGAAAAGGGTGAAGAATGGGAAGAGTGCGAAGTTGGTAGATCATAGTATGGAGGAGAAATATCATGATGTCGATGAGCAGATTGATGAGAGCGCTGGGGTGGCGGAAGGTGAGGTCGGTGTCGGGGTGAGAAGAGAGAGGATTGGAGATCAGGCGTTCTTGGATTTGACGGATGGGAGGAATGATGAATTTGTTTATATCTACTAGGTGTGTGTCTTGTACCTATCCTACGAGCCACTTCCTCCTTGCCATCCGCATTGGGACATAGGTATGTCTTGTACGCACGGTGTGATTAATGATATGATTGCTAAACCCTAGACCACATACCACATATCCCCCTGCATCCTCAGCGGTTAAAAACCGACCTCGCTAGCTTCGGGGACTTTCTGAATCAGAACAGAGCTCGCCTTAGGCACGTCTGATCAGCCGGCCTGTACCAAGGACCTGATATGGTTGAGCAACAGCGATACTATAGGGCTTCCAGACTCCCTCGCCATTTCTGATCGCTAAGCCTAGTCTTGACAGCCGTGTACTCCACTATTTCTGAGCTGACGGTGCGTATGGTTTACGATCTCGTAGGGTTGACGCTTTCGCGTTAGGCGCCCGGGCGCCCTTGCTACTGACATGACTTTCAGCTCGCATGAGTCGATAATGTTGGAAAGCGGCAGTGGCAGTGGCAGGACATATATATTGAGGTATTCGGTGCTGCAGAATGGTCTGCGCTGCTCACTTACTTCACTTACCTTCCTTGAGACGCTCTACTTCCATATATCTTCAACATGAAAAGCATCGCTCTCATCATTGGCGGTACAGGCGGGTTTGGCCAGGCCTGTGCGCACATGCTCGCAGCTAAAGATTATCATGTCGTCGTCGCCGGCCGTAGCGAGGCTCGAGGCAACGAGTGTGTGCAAGCAATCGCGGCGAAAGGCGGCGAAGCCGAGTTCATCACGTGCGACGTGACAAAACGAGACGATATCCGGGCTCTGCACGCTAAAATTGCCTCTAAGCATGGTCGTCTGGACGTAGCTATCAACTCAGCGGGTATCCTCGGCGAACTCGCCAAGACCGCAGACGTTGCTGAAGCAGACATGGACCAGATGTTCAGCATCAACATCGTCGCCTTCTATATGAGCATGCAGGAACAGATCAGAATCATGCTCAAGAATCCCGGCGGACCATCTGGTCATGTTATCAACTTCACCTCCATCTATGGGTTACGCGGAATTGCCTACGGATCCCCATACTCCACTTCCAAACATGCTGTTGTTGGAATGACGAAGTCAGCTGCAGCTGAGTATGCCAAGGAGGGTATTTTCATCAATGCTATTGCCCCAGGTGTCATCCCGACGGCGATGATTGCGGGTGTTCAGTCGCAACTGACTAGGCCGGAGGCCGATCCTTACCTGGCCAATCTCGACTTGATAGCTGCGTATCCGGTGGGCAGGTTCGGGACGGTGGACGATATAGCGAAGGCGGTGGCGTATGTGATCGACAATAATTGGTTGGTGGGCAGTGTGCTGGAACTTGACGGTGGACTCGGTGCAGTCTGAGGGTGGATCAGTGTGAAACGTCCGGACTTAGATATGCTGAGTGTTTCAGGCATGTACTTGAGTACGGCCTCCTAGAGCAATCGCACAGTACTAGAAGCATTATCTCATATCCTGCACAATTTGAGGATGCCCTGCAGCTTATCGTGGTTGGCTTTCAAGATGTTCCCAAGCCCGGACATGTCATCTGCACTCATACTCCTACGGATATTTGCAATGGCAGCAATACCGGGTTTATCTCGTGAGACTTTGGCAATCAAGCCAACGCCGACTAGCATCCCAAGCATGTCGACTATAGTATACTTGGGGTCCTGGACTGAGTCGTAGATTCCTAGGGCTACATTCCTGACGATTGCGATTGCACCGGCTGGCGAGGCAAAGCCCGCAGCTGCGTCAATCTGCTCTCCGACCACGAGGATAGACTACTCAGTCATTAGTGATCGGAGCACCTGTGCGAAAGGCTGAGCCCGAGGTCCGGCTTACCATGGCTGACCACCACACTAGCGATCAGAAGCATGAAGTTCTTCACTCCGGCCCCTTACTGCTTCTCGTCTTCAGTTCTTGGACGGCGGGAGCTTCTACCTGTGCCGCAATATCGGCGACTGGCATCAGCAGATAGACCGGGCTACTATGAGCCTGCGCAGCATGCAATACGGACGCGGTATTACGGGTTCCCAGGATGGCGCCCATTAAAGTGGCTCGCCACCAGCGAAACAGACGCTGATTTTCGATGGCAGAATCTTTCTACACAGGATGTACCTCGAGGTGTCGTCCGCGAGTAGTGTTGAACGGTGTGACCTGTATGGTCATAGCTTAGGCCACACTTTTTGGTACATAGTCGAAACATTACAGCTGGCCGCAAAGTGTTCGCCATGGTCTCATTTCCGTAACCATCCATCTCTACTTCTTGTAGCCTGAGCTCCATCGAATCTTTCGATTCCCTGGTGAGATCTTGCGGAGTAACCACTGCACTCATCGTCTTCTCATATTCTTCGGCCAAGTCAACGAACTTCTCCAAGCGGCCCTGGTCAGCCACGTCTACTACTTGCAAAGTCGCATCACCCTATTGCAAAAAAATCACATGTAAGCATCCAAGTCTCGCGAGCGTTCCATTCAGTCGCGGATCACCTACAAGCAAGCCAAACATTCCTGTCGCAGCAGCGGTCCTTAGGTCAGCATGCACGACAATGATCCGCATAACCACGAGCCACTTCTGAAGCTGCTTGAGGCTATGACATTCGTCCTTGTGCCTGACTCCAAACGGGTCCGATGCTCGGCTCCAGATGCCGACGTGTGAAAGTAGGCCGAAGTCGAAGGACCCAACGCCAGAAGCTGAGTGCAAGACATGCCAGGCCAAATATGCGACTGGGTGACCCGAAGACTCGTATCCTCCTTCGTAGGCCAGGTTGTAATTCAGATGCCAGGAATCCCTCGTCCGATCTTGCCATCCATCTTCCACACTGAGCATCGAGACCCAACGGGCGGTTTCAGGGCGGTCGTCTTCGGATCGGATGTGAACGTAGCCTGTCTCGAGCGCTACTTCACGAGCCTCACGACACACCCGCGTGATCAGTGGCGGTCGGCTGTTCAAACTCGTTGTACGCTCCAATGTGCATGGCACTGGGGCTCCCTCGTCCACGTTGAAGACAATGTCGTCTACCAGGAAATCCAGTTCGCATATGCGGTTGGGCAAGCAAAAGCGCCATATTTCTTTGCGCAAGTCTGCGGGTAGTCGTGGAAAACAATGGAAGACTTGCTCGGTATTGGCCATTGTCGAAGGAGAAATTGTTGGCGAAAACACAAGTCAGTCACGAAAATCGAGAACGGACATGTGCTCCTCGATGTCGAAGAAATGTTGTAACTTCATATCCGTATAAGTAACAGCACACCATACGTGCGTAGTCTCACCGAAGGCGCGCGGCTGTAGCACTCTTGACTGATGAAGTTCGATACGGGAGGGATTTGTTGAAGTTAGGTCGGGCGGTTGCCAGTATCAGGTTTCCTGCTAATGTGAAAGAGAGCGGTATGCGAAAATTAGGGGGGCATAGCCTCTGTAAATACGAGTTGAAATACAGCAGCCTGCAACTTCGCGAACGTCCTGGCTGCTGTTAGCAAAAATCACTACGGGAAAGGTGTTGGCCAGAAAGCAAAGGAGGCAGAGGGCTGTTGTGGCTGCGAAGGGCACTCTCTTCGCTATGCTCGAAAACGGGCTAAGGACGACGACTTCGACTTTGATGCCCAGGCCAGGCACAGGTTAAGTAATACCATCGACCAGACACGTGTGATGCATGTCTTTGTATGCCGAATCAGGAGCACATCGCCATTATGTTGTCTGACATGATCATACTACACGTCCGCCTTCCCAAGGAGCCAGCTCCAAGCACTGTGCAAGGTCCTAGCTAGTATTGCGAGGATAGGAACGAGCCATGCCCGATCCTACAAAGGTCTGCATATCATCGACATTTGCTCCGCAGGGCCCAGATACTCATGAGCGGCGGAGCTCAGGCGTCATCTGCACCACCTGCGTAACAAGCTGGACGACAGCCTGGAGCTCGCGAAGACTCCTGACAAATCCCGCTCTGGTCTGATCGTCGTTCAACATCCCTCGCACCATCATAAGCCCATTTGCCTCAGCCTCCTCGTAGCCCAAGTACTGTACGAGACTGGATGCACGATGTAATCTATCAGATAGTGTACCGTAATCAAACTCTGCGCTAACGTGACGATGCAGTGGTATGTCGATTCTGGCAAAGAACAGGAGAATATTGCTGTATAGCTTCTTCAGATAAGGGTATATTTTTGCCGATGGCTTCCCAGATAACGAGATCAGTGCATGTCTGGCTACCCAGAAGAGACATTCTCTCGTGCATAGCTTCGGCGGCGTAGAGGATACCGGTGATCTGGTTCATCATTTTGTTTCTGAGGTGGATGAAGTTCCTTCGCGTGGTATGGGGAAAGATAGCATGGATGACGAGCCCTAGGCTAGGGTTCGTTTGAGCTCCTGTGCGCGCTGCTGAGTTCTGCGGACAGGGTTCGATCATGTTGCGTGCCTTGTCCAGAGCTTCGTGGTGCTTGTGTCTAGTTTCTCCGGATCACATGGGGTCAGTTCGTAGTAGCTGTTGTCTAGAGGCAAGATGGGGCCTTGGTATCGAGCTGTTGAATCTATCTGGAGTGTCAGTAGAGTAAAGATCAGGATTCGGGGCTGCTGAAGTATGCTTGTCAGGACATAATGGATGAAGACATGTTGAGATCTGTCGTTCGAAGCCGAGTTTGAAACGAGACATGCCGTGAACCATGCTCAAACAGCAGCTACTGAGACCAGAATACACATCTGTCACTTGCGCTGTGGCTCAGCGAGACTGGCACGGGCAGTCTCTGCTGTCTGATCTGCTGTCTGATCTGCTAGGAGTGTTCCATGACCTCTTGTTTCAAGAGCCAGCCAGGGCTAATATATGAACGCTCGCAGGAAGGGGGTGAGACATGCGCATTTGCCATCCGGACATGCATTGTAGCATGATTTTGTTCGACCCGTAGACATCTCGACCTCTACGTATCCTGTGCACCACATTCTTCTCGACGCTCACCGCCCACCACCCCTGTAAGCAGCCCCGGCATCTGTCCCCTCCGCTCCCTTCCCCTTCGGCCTCTGCTTCTCCGCCTGTGCACATAAACCCCTCTTCGGCGTCTTCTCCAACCAGTCCCTTCCCCTCCTCACCTTTCCAACCTCAAAATAATCTTTCTTGCCAGCCCCACTAAACATAGTCGCCCATCCGTCGAGCGTGTCCCTAACCTTCTTCTTCGCCTTCCGGACCTCTTGCTCGCGATACGTCTTCTGCTCTCGTGTGACCCCTACCGTGCCTAGGGCCGCGACGTCCAGAGGTATGTATGTCCATTCTACGCCTCGAAGATCAGGCGTGGCATCTTCGGCAAAACAGCCTGTGACGAATCCTCGAGCGGCGTCTTTTCCTGCGAAGACGTGGTAGCTGCCTCCGGGACCATAGATGCGGCGACCGGCAGAGACATCGTAGATGGTACCGTTGAGGGCTAGGTAGATGGGCTTGTTGGCATCGGAGCCGTCGTAAGAGAGAAGTTGAGTGTCGGTTAGGGAGACGGGGCCTTGCTGTTGGTAACTATATCAGTACTCTACTTACAGTAATGCCCAGACTGGCGGCAGCTCACAATATATCGCATCACAACACTAGGTCGGACGAACCATGGTCGCCAACCCCAGAGGACGCTGTCATTCGTAATAAAGTAGCTCAACAGGCAGTTGAGTAGGAAGACACCACCCAAGATCCGTAACACATCTACGACACTGAGTCCATCTTTGGTCTTTCGGGTGCTACCACTAGCAGTCTTGCTTGTCTCATTCGTCTTAACATCCGTGGCATTATTGCTTGTCGTTCGTCGTCGAGCTGCTTGATCAGCCATTTAAGTATCGTGCCGCGGGTATACTGGCAACGTCCAACAGAAGGTCGCCAAGCACAGCGCCTTTGTGAGACTGAGATCGAGCTTCTGTCATCATGTTTGAGGTCAGATGGTGCGATGATATTGTGTACAGTTGTCAGGCGGGGCCAACTTTGAGCGGGCGTCGACGATCGACGCTAAAGCGCCTTGATGATGGGTTAAACAACGATGGACTTCGTTTGTGACGATAGGGCTGAACGACCAGCACGCAACTCGTGTACTTGCAAGCTGGATGAAGGTGCTTGCATAACATACAGACACTAGCTGAATCATGGGAGGGAGCGGGTCTATCACGACAAACAAATTCCGAAAACTGACGACTCAGGGCTTGGAGAACATATGTATATTGTTCATTCATTCTCTTGTTCGAGCTCTGTATATTTCTATGATATGGTAGATACATGTAAAAGGAAAACATCGGACAGACCGGCCAGACTAAGGAGAGATCCGACGAACACTTCTTGTCGGTGTTCGGAACGGCCATTAAACAAGCATAAAATTCATGCATTGATTTTACAGGAACCGAAGTGATTAGCCTGTTTCAAAGCCCCCTCTACAGGAAGAGAGCGAGAGCCATGACAGCAGCGATGGCCATAGTCACTGGCTTAGCGATGGAACCAGCGTTCGTGGTCTGGACCGCCACAGGCGAGGTGGTGGCAGAGCCCTGGGCACCTGTCGCACTAGCTCCGCCGACGGGTATGGTGCCGTTGGAGGCACCAGTTGGGTAAGGAACAGCAGGCTTGCTGCCGGTCGGCAGACCCATGGAGGAGTACGAGCACTGGTCACAGCCAAGAGTGACGTAGACAGTGGCAGTTGCCTGGCTAGGGCAAACAGCTGGGGCCGTGTTGACGGGTGCCACTGGCGAAGGAGCTGGCGAGGTGTTGCCGGCGGGTGCGACGGGCGTGGTGCCTGCTGGCGCTACTGGAGTTGTGCCTTGAGGAGTTGATGGCGAGACTGGCACGGGAGCCACTGGGCTGGATTGAACTGGGCCGGAAGGAGCTGGAGCGGAGGGCATGCTCTGAGCTGGGACAGAGGGTGCTGGACCAGATGGCATGCTTTGAGCTGGAGCGGAGGGAGCTGGGCCGGGCGGCTTGCTCTGGGCGGGTGCCGAAGGAGCAGGGCCAGAAGGCATAGATCGAGCTGGCGCCGAAGGACCAGGCGCAGTCCAGACCGAAGTGCTCTGTACAGGCAGAGGCACGACAGGCACCGTGGTCTTGACAACCGGGACCGAGAGGCTCGATTGGCTCGAAGCAATGGCTGGCGAAGCCGGGAGGTAAGACGATGAAGTAGCAGAGCTGCTGACAACGACCACAGGGGTAGTGGTCGTGTGAACCGTAGTGCTATACCATGTGTTTGTCAAAGTCGACAGTGTGACTGGCGAAGAATAGGTGGAAGAGGCGCTGGTCCAGATCGAGGTGCTTACTGGGCAGGTAGTAGTGTAGTAAGTCTGAATTTCGGTGGTGAGACCAGTGTTGTAGCTTGTCACGGTCGTAAGGACGCTGGACGTGCGGGTCGTTGTCGCGCCAATAGTAGTCTGAGTGCTAGTGCCGACAGCAGATGATGGCGTAGAGCTCCAGCCATAGGACTCGGTCACTGGGCAGATCGTAGTCGACACAGGGATGGTCGAGGTAACCACAGTAGTCGAATGGGCAGGGCAGTTCGTGACGGTTGGCGCGCAGCTAGTGAAGGTGATCTCGGTAGTGCGGTAGACAGTCGAAGTTGTGTACTGGGTGGCTGAGCTCGTGGATACTGGCGAGGAAGTCACAGGACTGGAGATCGCGCTGGTCTTGCTGAGCGTCAATGTCGTCTGGTAGGTGGATGTAGCAGTCGACACAGTTGTGTAGGTGCTGGTCAGCGTGCTGCTGCCAGAAGTCCAGGTCGATGTGACGGGGCAAACGGTAGTGTAGATACTTGTTGTGTCAGTGACAGTCGTTGGGTGGACTGGGACGGTGGTCGTGCTGTTGACCGAGGAAGACCAGGACGGGGAGCCCGACCACCCCTTGGAACTCGTCCATGGAGTCGCGGTCGGCGTGACTGGACTAATGGGCGAAGAGCTAGACTTCGATGCGGTCTCGGTCACCGGGCAGACGGTCGTCGAAATGGCAATAGTACTGGTGGTAACGATCGTGGAGTGAGCTGGGCAGTTGGTAACCGTCGGGGCGCAGGAAGTGATCGTGATCTCGGTTGTGCTGTAGACAGTAGATGTGGTGTATTGTGTAGAGCTGGTGGTCATTGGCACCGAAGAGGTGGTGTTGTGGGTTGAAAGAGATGAGCTGGAAGTGCTCAATGTGACCGGAGAAACCGGGCTGGTAGTGCTCTGTGAGCTTGTGGAGATTGAGCTGGAAGAGCTGCTGGAAGCAGAAGTAGTAGATGCTGAGCTACTGGACAAGGTCGAGTTGTTGCCCCATCCTTCGCCACCCCAGGTCCCGCCTGGGTGACCCCAGCTACTGCCAGCAGACACAGCGCCTACGAGGGCCAAGATGCTGAATGCGTTGATCATCGTGCCGACCTGTATTATGTTATATGGTATTTGGATAGTTCGTTCTTGTGGAACGGAAGCGAGTGACTGTAGACAGCGAGCGAAAGTACTGACTAACAGTTGTTGCGAGAGAACGAGGTGGAAGTGATTGCAGAATGAGCAAGAGAGCAGACGCCAAACAGCATATGAATACTTCTGGTGTTGATCTTGGCTTCCTCTTGGGATGGTCCGTCAACACACTTCAGTGACGTACCACCCATCGTGTCAACGACTTCGCCCGGCAGTGCAAGACACACTTCGAAAGTATGCGAGCCGCGTACCGTCGCAACGACAAATGGAGGAAGTCTTGTGCGATGCACTATGAATGGTCGGAGCGTCTTATTCAGATCAGCATGAACGACCCACAAGGCAATAGTGGATCGAGGGATTACTGCTTCGAGCGGGTTTGCCATGAAAAGAACTCGGATACGATTGGTTCTAGAGAGCGCCGGACATCGCGGTGCGATGGGAAGGTTGTCAACGAGTAGCCAAGAGGGCAGAGGTCTGCATGATGGAGGGTACGCTTATGCAGGTACTGGGAAGTGTGTTCCTGAGCTCGCGTGCGACAGCTTTAGTGCCTCTACGACTTCTTTGCGCCGTGCGCTTTTGTGAAGTCTGAAAGAATGCGCACATGCTGTTCAAGGTGGCCCTTCCAATGCGCGGATCTGGTGGTCGAATCAACGTCGTCATGGCGTGTCCCGACAAGACAAAGACGTTGCGATCGGACGGAAGACGTTTGGAGGTCGGGCATAAGGTACGGTACCTGCATCGTGTCAAAGTCATGATTGGTCGTCGGAATAGGAACAATCCACACCTCGTGACGATTGCTTGGTTCGCCGAGAATCCTTCGAAGGATTGTGATGGTCCCGCTGCTCTCCGCTGTCCGCGATGCAGTGAGCACGCGAGGCTGGCAGATGTCTCGCAGAATCAGCAACCTGCGGCACGTTTCTCATACATGATGGCTGGATAGTCAATAACATAGGCACGAAGACCAAGAGATGCTGTTGACAAAGCCAGGCATCACCCTTGCGACTCCGCGAAACCAAAGGTGGAGGCGGCCGCTTGCTGCTCCGAAGTGAAAACTCTGACGACTCTTTCTCACTCACCCGCACAACCTCCTCACCACTATTCCTGCTAGCGGTGCTGCCATTAGAACTCTGAGTTATTATGATTGTTTCTACGGGTCGACCAAACGCAGGGAGATGGAGCACTGCCCTATTTCTCGGGCACCTTCGGCTCCATCTCCTGCTTGCTCCGCCTAAGTATACCACAAAGTTTGCGGTGCTTTGGTGGGAACCGATGGAGAGGGCAATAGCCACGTCCGTCATGACCTCGGTAGACTCGGTGCCTCCAAAGACGAGTATGCTGTCGCAAGCCACGTCGAGCGGACCGGACTCCAGCGGGACATGCAAACAACAAGGCTGGTAATGTCTTATGCAGCCATCATACCCTGCTGGGCTGCACAAGACGAAATCCTAGTAGGTCTGCGCGTTCCTGCAGCGGGTCGGGTGCCCGTGTGGGAAGTCTGTAGAGCTCGTATTGACTAAAGGTTTATGCAAAGTATTACTATACACATCATCGACTGCGCCTTGTGCGGACATGCTTTCACTACCACACGCTATTATTATTGCTTCGGGCTCTGAACGCTCTTGCTGAATCGAGGAGGTGTCACGATTGTTGTGATCGCCGATTTTGTCTTTGCGGTCGAAGACACATGTCGAACATGTAATAATATGAGGTCTTTCGGAAATGATACAGACTCACTTCGAGTCTCGTCCACAAACAAGACAACAGAACTAAAATCTTGATTACTTTCGCTCCATGCACTGTCAGACACTGCCAAGAGGATCCTCTCGCTCTGTTGACGAGTCCGAGCAAGTCAGCGACTTGCCAGCTGGACTAGACGGAACCCAGAATGGAAGTTCGGTCGAGCGTATTCGCCCAGACATGCCCGAACTCGTTGCATGATCGCCTCTTTCTCGACCACAGCATGGGCTGCTGCGAGAGCCTTTGCACCATTATCAATCCTCACCATAATCCTCATCATCACTCCACCCTGCCTCATACTCCTCTGCCATACTAGCAAGACCGTCGCAAAGTGCTTCTCGCTCGTCTACCCCTACTATGCGTCGTGCATGATTTTCTAAAGACCGGATACGTGATGCCACTGTCGTATCTGTGGCGACTAATACTTTCACGGTGTAGGTCTCTGCCCTGCGTGATCGCACGATGGGCGGAAAGGACGACAGCGACGGGAAGAGCAGGTTCGTGTGATATGTTACTACTCTTGGTCCTTCTCCAATGCGGCCGCGAAGCTCAGCTTCCTGATCTTCCTCTGTTGGTAGGTGTCCACGAAGCAGCCTTGTCTTGCCAAATACATAGGGCCGGGTGTTTGATTGTCCAGCACTCATGCCTGCAATGTCGAAGGAAGGGAATAGGTCCATGTCAAGCTTCTCCTGTTGCTCTCCGGCATCGTCGTCGTCTTCGTGTACTACCCCGTTGCTCATGCGACTGTCGTGATGGCCGTTGGTCATTGATATGCCATCCTGCACTTCAGGCTGACCAAGCGAGAGCGCTGTGGCGCCTATCCGGCGATTGCCTTCTTTGCTCAGCGTTGTCTCCATTTCATCGAAGGTCGCTCGACCGCTCTCGGCTGTCATCCGCAAACGTGTTGGTAAGGTCAATGACTCTACACTCGCAGCTTGCAGAGCAGCAGTGTGCCATCTGCTGTTGGCATCTAGATTAAGGTAAGCCGGCAGCTTGCTGGGCGCTGATGATAGGGGCAGATCCATGCTCGCCGAAGTGTTCAGGGCTAGTATGGACTGAGCAGCATTGCCAATCTTTGTTATCTGTCTTGACCTCGGCGCCGATGTGCCATCCTGCAGTCCTACAACCCACCTGCAGCCTTTCCCCATATCATCTGCAATTCTCTCCAGATACTTTGCAGCGAACCCACCCCAAGCATCATCGATCCCAGTGAATATCTGCAGACCCTGAAGTTGATCGCACTCCTCGAGGAAGGGTCGTAGATCACGATCTAGCAAATCGTGCTCCCGATCAAGGCTGGCGAAAAGTTCTTCACCTGTATCCCACCTTTCGAACGGCATTAGGGCACTATTGAGCTCGTATTCGTTAAGCTGTAAAATACTTCGCGGATGATAGTAGACGTGGTTGTAGTCTGACCAGAATCGAACAGTGTCTGTCCTAAGCTGGGGAGGTTGGAGGCCTTGATCCAGAGCTTGCTGGTATGAGCTTGGTTGAATAGCTGGTAGTTGCAGTGGAATAGTCGCGCCACTCCACCCATTCTGTTGTGCTGGGTTTGTTTGTTCCTGTAGCTGATATAAAGCATTTTCTCGTCTGAGTGTGCCGAATGCCCCTTTCAGATCATAGAGGAGAGTCCGAGGCGAATATGTCTCTTCGCCGTTGGCACCAATGCCTGGCCGGAACGAAATATCGTGGTCGACAGGAGACTCTTCTTGGCCAGCATATGTGAAGTAGGATTCCTGGATGTTCCAGTAGTGAGTGCCAAGATAGTTCGCCTGTTGGCCAAATTGTAATGTGATGACTTCGTGCATTATGATGAACTTGCAAGACTCTTTGGGTAGACAACACTTTCCGAAAACTAGCTTAAATTCGCCATAATCCTGACTATAAGCTTCTAGTCATAGTGCTGGTTTCCCAATTTTTGAATACCAGTGCGTGGTGGCGTCCTGGTTTGTGCGTGAACGGCAATCTTCTGTCAAGGCTGTCTTTGCTACCTCACGAGTGCCAGGAACAATTTCTGACTCGAGCTCCGTGACGATCACACCCAAGTCGCTTTTGTCAGAAGGAAATGTCCGCGTCGATGCGATAATGAAGGAGGACTCGAGCGAGACTGGATACGACGACTTGTGTCAATGCAGTCTCGGTGATCAGAAGTACTCGCACGAAAGTTGCGTTCCAACTCGAGACGCGTCTTGTTTGAGACGCATTGTGAAGAACAAGATGGAGATATCAGATCGTGTTGATGCTCAGCACACGACACCATCGAGATGTGGGAACCTCCTGGCGTTTCTACAAGACGGGAAGCTGCGTGTCAATCATGTCGCTAGCACAGAGCGATGCTTGAACGAATACAACATCAAAATACCATCGAAAGAGATCATCAACATTACATGGTCGGACGATGGTACTCGTATCGCAGTTTCTTCTTACAAGCAGATCGGCATAGCACACGTCGACGAATCAAGCCATCACGTACGGCTGGACAATGGCGGCGGCGGACTCGGACGTTTTGCCTCTGCAGCATTCCTTGACAATGAGCATCTACTTACGACCTGGGAATTTGGTAGAGGCAGGATCTGGCACTTATCGAGCGGCAGAAGTACAGAGATCGGAGACCTGAAGACCACCTCTTCTGGTCAAGCCTGGAGCCAGCGGCCAAGATCGTCTTCAGCAGCTCCAGACATGCTTGCAATTCTTTCGAGAGTATCAGCCGAAGATGTGCTTACCATACACTTCGTCGAAGACGGCAAGTCGACCTCGAGGGTCAGCCTACCAACGATTGATGCACAAAGTCTGTGTTGGTCTCCAGATGGCAGGTGGCTGGCAGTCATGGACACCCCAACGGCAGCCTCGACCATCCACTTCTGTACACCGGACGGCCATCTGTATCGCTCGTATCCATCAAAGTCGCCTTCTGACCCCGACGGACTCGGCGTCAAGTTCTTGAAGTGGGCGGGCGACAGCAGAACCGTAGCTTTGGCCCATTACGAAGGTGGCGTTGTACTACTTAACACACGTTCGTTCACACCCTTTGCTTCTGTAGAGCACAGCACGACTATTGACCAAACTGGTCTCCCCCCAACGAAACAAGCCCCGATCTGGCAGGAACATGTCTCAGCTACGAGCGAGCGAACATACAGTTTGGCCACACAACCAGTATCGCCACCACTGTCACATAGCAAGCCAAGTACAGAGCCAAATGAGCTAGGCGTGGCAGAGCTATGTTTCAGCTCGAATGGCGAGTACTTGGCTACTCGAGATGAACGAATGCTAAGCACTGTCTGGGTCTGGAGTAAGCAAACACTTTCAGCTCATGCTGTAATCATGCAGCATGCCAATGTGCGCAAGATGCTGTGGCATCCCTCTCGCCCGGATCTCCTAATGCTGGATTGTGGTGAAAGTGTTGCCTATCTGCTCGAAGTCGGTGCTTCTAGCCCACCGATGCCAGTAACTGTGCCACTGCCTGGTACACCCATCTTGGCATGGCTGGAGACGGCCGTAGATGCTCCGCCAGCCATCTTAGCACTCACAAAGTCAAGCTTTCGTGTAATATTCCCAGAAGGACGACCAGCTCAAGCACGTCCCACGACCGACGGACGGCCATCAGTTCCTGGTGCAGACATCTACGAAGAAGGCACGAGCGAGGACTCGATCATGGACGTCTTGTCCGGTCGCAAACCTCATACTCGGGCAAGCGAACAGTCGTACACCGAGCGCATAGACATGGAGGCAGATGGCGAGGACGCCACGATGGGCTTGGACGACACATTCAGAGCGAAGCGGCGACCTTTGGAGAACGCTGTCGAGGTGGATCCCTTAGATGATAGCGAGATCTTTTGAGCGTCATGGCGGGCATCCAGACGTTACAACCAGGTTGCAGTGGTGCTGGCGATGATACCCAGATTACATGTCGTCACGATTACGAGAGAGGAATGAGAGGAGCATGACATGGTTTGACGAAGACGCCATTGTGCAGCTATGATGTCGAAGTCACATGAATGGCTATGCCGAAGTGATGCGAGAATGAAAAATCAAAAGCCAAACGCCAAAACCCAGTCCAATACCGAATCCCACAATCCTCCACCCAAAACCATCCTCCAAGAACCTATTGTATGCGAAATCAATCTGTCCCTGATCCTCCGACCGTATGCGAGATCAATCTATCCTTCATGCTCCAAAAGTGCTCAGCGCAATGCAGTCAACCCGTAAGCATTGCTTACTGTTGATACGGCCACTGCTGGTATTGCTGTGGCAGGAAGCCAGGTGGCGAAGCCTGCGCCTGCTGGTAGACGGGCTGAGGCATGGCAGCAGGATATTGTAACGCTTGTGACTGATGCTGGTAGTTTCCCACTTGCTGTTGTGGCTGCTGGTAGGCCATGTAGGTCGCCGGTGCTACCGGCGGGGCTGCACAGTATTGAGAAGCTACCCTTCGCATGGCAGCGTGGTACTGTTGCTGCTGCCGCTGCTGAAGCATTGCAATGTAGTCAGGCTGTGGTGATGGTAACACGGGCTGCTGCAGCGCGTGCTGATATGCCGAGGAGCCTGCCATCATGTTTTGCGTCCTCTGCGGTGGCGCGAGATACTGTTGCTGCTGCTGTTCCCACGTGGAGGGTCCTGGTTGACTGTCCTGGCAGCCGACATGCTGAGCTAGGGAGAGCTGCTGCGCGCGGAGAAAGTCTTGCTGCTCCCGATGCTGCTGCAGTCTGATCTTTGACTGGATTGCATAAGCCCGCTCGTCGTCGTCTAGCTCAGCAGCACGTGGCCGCTTACCAGCCTTCTTTGCTGACATCGTCTGTTCGGTGACAGCTACCTTCTGACCCTGCGCCGCCGTCTTGTCGTTGGCGGTGAGGTCAACGACCGATGACTTTGATGGCAGCGGTGGCGAAGCCGTCCGGTCGCCTGTATAGTCAGGATTAGGGGCTTCGGTCGTCCGACTCGGGCGACCAAACTTGGCAGGTTGGCACCACGTAGCGGGGCCGCCAGTGGGCAAAGCAAGAGGCTTCATGGTCGGGAGAGCCGTCTGCACGACAGCTGAGGCTTGCGATCCTGAGATCACAGCAGTGGGCACCGATGGCACGCTACTACGAGCGGCACCAGTCACCTCACCGCCTCCAAGATGGATGAGATCAGCTCTACCAGGCAGAGCAAGTGGAGCAAGAGCTTTCTTGATCGGCGACAGACTATCACGTGGTTTGGCAGCATCATCCTCACCATTATGTAGGGTGAGCTTGGCTTTGGCACCATCTACTCTCACCACAACCGAGGCCTGGGTATCCCGTGGGATCCCAGTAGTGGGCACCAACGCCGTGCTTTCACAAGCGGCCTCAGTAGCCTCACCGCCATCAAGCTGGGTGGGAGCAGTCGTCAATATGTCGAAACTGCTCTCATCGACTTCACCATCGAATAGCGAGTTCGTGTCGCTGTCATCATCAAGGTCGCTAGTGAACTCGGCGGCAGCAACAGTAGGTACCTCATCTGGATTTGACTGAGGTGGCGACGCCAACGAAGCTTCCGGCTCGACCTCCAGAGCAGACGGGACGACTGGCTCTTCGGGCTCAGTCTCCTCATCACTTTCGTCGCCGCTATCATCGTCGCTCTCATCACTGTCATCCTTGGTGAAGCGATCTCTGACGTCTTCTGCACGCTGCAGTTGCGTCATCTCCGCCTTCAACAGAGACTGCTCCCGTTTGAGAAGCAAATCATTCCTCTGCCCTGCAATCCTGACCTCACGACGTGCAACGGTCGTCTTGAGCTGCTGGACGATTGCATTTGCCTCCGCCCAGATGGTAGGAGAGGAAGTGGAAGAAGACAGCTTCACAGGAACCAGCTGGATATGGCTACAGCAGTGAAGACAAGAAAAGTGTGTATCTCAATTGAAAAGCAAGTGTTCTAGACTGTTACAGTGGACTTCACAGTAGTGGAATGAGTATGGGAAGAAGGAGAAAGCAAAGACGATAATTTCTGGGTTGTGGGAGTAGTTGACTTTTCTCAGTGAGGGGAATCGAGTTGCCACGAAGCTGGTAAGCAGAGGACAACGGTATAGCTATGAAATTTCTGCCGCTGTGGCAGTTATGAGGACAAGACGACGAGCCAGCTAGAGGATAGCAATGTCAGCAGCTCCAAGCGCAGACGGGATCCCAAGAGCAGCAGTGAGGGATGGACTGTGGCAGACAGTGTGTCCAGGACAAGTTCACCTGCCAGCTAGAAAGCAGTGGTATAAGCAGCGCACGGTCCAGACGACAGATTGAGCAGTGCGCAGAAGCAATGGGTCATCCCGATAGGACGAACATAGCCCCACGAGTCGAGCACAGGAGCTTAACGGGAAGATCTGGCGAGTTTGGCCAGTAAGGATCAGATGATTTGTAGTATGGTTCAGGCACACCAGGTGGCATGGGTCAAATCTGCGGAGCTTCATGGACTGGTGAACATTAGCTTTGTCTTTATGCCTACTTCAGGGGGTCGGACGACAACAATAGTGTCCTCGAGTAGGAGCATCAGACGAACATGAAAGATCTCAGACTTCCGTGGCCGGCGGACATGTCCCCATGATCAGTCCGCGGTTTCAAGATATCAAAGGCCATCGTAGTAGCTCAAAAGTCGTATGCGATCCGTGGGATACACTCGTGGTCACATGTTGTCGCGTGGTCTCCAGCTATATATCCTCATGTTGGTGGAGGAGTGAAGTCTAAAGTTTATATTGGCCCACTTTAATTTTGGCTGTGCGTCACATTCATGTGCCTTCTCCAGTACTTGATATCATTCTTGAACCGCTACATACCCACCCAACCATACGATCAACTACGCAAGACCTCGAGATGCCTTCCGCTCAGATCAACCAGCCCTCGAATCAAATTCGCCTCACGAACGTCTCCCTCGTTCGTCTGAAGAAAGGCAAGAAGCGCTTTGAGGTAGCCTGCTACAAGAATACCGTAACGTCCTACCGCTCCGGCCACGAAAAGGACCTCGACAATGTCCTCCAGATCCCCAACGTCTTCGTCAACGTCTCCAAAGGCCAAGTCGCTCCGAATGAAGACCTTAAGAAATCCTTCCCGGGCATGTCACGCGACGAGATCGTGCTCGAGATATTGAATAAAGGCGAGATTCAGGTGGGCGAGAAGGAGAGAGGGGTCGAGTTGGAAAGGTTACAGAGGGAGGTCGTGGAGATTGTGGCTGGACGACTGGTCGATCCGAAGAGTAAGAGGGTTTATACGACGGGCATGATTGAGAAGGCGCTGGACCAATTGACGAGTCAAGGTGGGCATGCTGGAAGGGCTGCTGGAAAGTCACACGGGCCGGAGAGTTCGAGTGCTGGTGCTGGTCAGGATAGGAGTAAGAGCCGAGAGCAGAGTGGTGTTGGTGCTGAGTCTGGCTCAAGCACGCCGAGGAAGGACGATGGGGGTGCGGACGCAGACGCGGAGAAGGCGAAACCGAAGTGGACGGGTGTGACGACGAACAAAAGTGCGAAGTCGCAGGCCCTGGAAGCGATGAAGGCACTTATTGCACATCAGCCTATTCCTGTTGCGAGGGCGAGGATGAGGTTACGGATCACGTGTCCAACTAGCATACTGAAGCAGAATGTGAAAGTGCCGAAGCCCGCTGAAGAGGATGGTGAGGGCACGGAAGCAGCAAAGATGACGGTGAAGGACAAGATACTCAGCTTCGTGGAGCAAGTCGAGAGTCAAGATGTGTTAGGAGAGGAGTGGGAAGTGGTAGGATTTGTGGAGCCCGGCACCTTTAAGATCCTAGGCGAGTTTATCAGCGCACAAACGAAGGGCAGAGCGAGGGCGGAAGTGCTGGATATGGCCGTCAGGCATGAGGGTGACTGAATGTTTGGATGGATACTTTAATTTGGCCAAGCTGCTGCGTTCTAGCGCAAAAGATACCATACACCGTTCCGATCCATGCGAATCAGTCTTCTCCTACAATCAGTCCAACTTGTGCAAATTTTCATCAAGCTTTAAGCCCGCCCAGCACAATGCATGTGAGTACAACCTTCCAACCCCTGAGCTTGAAGCGCTCTCATGGTGTCAAACATGAAACCTAGAGTGACAACATTCTTCTCCTCCGTTAAGACGTCGGGTAGCTGCTCCTCCCATGTTCGGCCCGTGGTGTACGTAACGACGACCTTCCAATCATCAATCGGCGGCTGAGTTGGCAGGAGGTCGCGCCACCCTGCGCAGATGGGATCGTGCGCTTTTTAATGCGACCGCAAGCCGTTGCGACCAAAGCGAATGATGGCGGTCCTTTTGCTAGGGTCGTAGTAGCTGCTGCCAAAGGGGACGATGGGAACGACGCGTACATGGGCGTTGGTGGCGAGGTGCTTGGTTGACTTATTGTCGTACCAGGGTGCGAATTTGGACGATGCTTTTACTGGCACGGGTTCGAGATACAGTACTCTGCGTAGCTGCACCGACTGAAGGATAGTGGCGAGGAAAGTCTTGTTGATGCGCTGCGCGCGAAGGAGGCGGCGGAAGGTTAGGGCCAGCAGAATCCGCTCTAGAAGCTCTGTTGTCCCGAGCACACGCGTGACGGCGCTTGCAGGATCGGACGTGGCGCTTGCAGACGCGGAACCTATGTTGGAGGGGCTGGCGTGATGATCGTTCAGGTCCGTCTTCGTGGCGTCGCCGTCCACGTCCGTGGCTGTGGCGAGAGACATGATTGTAGCTCGTGTGGTCGGAGATTAGCAGTTGAAACGCGACAAATATGCAAAGTCTTAAAAGTCTTTGTGTTGCCAGGGTGCTTCCAAAAAAGACCCATTGGCGGTTAGCGGGTCGAGCCGTCAATTCTTGAATGAATGAGGAAGGCACGATGATCAAAAGGCTAGTGGCCACCAGCATTTGGTCGTTAACAGATGTGCGAGTGATGACTGGTCTGGAACGCGAGATGATGAGTTGCTGAGATGTTCAAAGCAGATTATTGTGGCTGAGGATCCACCTAGCACCTGCATAGTGCTGGCTTTCACTTTCGACCCGAGCAATATGGCAATGTACGGGGGGTGATCTCTTGTCAGACCATGGCTGTGCTTTGAAATATGCCCATTCCGACTTCATCGCCGCGATGTAGAGAATGACATCGATGTGGGAGTTCAGGAGCAAGCTTAATAAAGATCTTGCAACCTAGGTGCAACCAGATAAGCAGGATTACCAAACAATGGATGAGGAAGGAAGGCATGAATGTCGAGATATGCTCTATAGTATCTTCTTCTAATGAGTTATCATGCTTACTACTACAAATCTGTGAGGCTATCCGGTCATACACGGCGCAAAGAGGTGTGCCGGAACGGCGCAGTATTTCGTTCTCTGGAGGCTATGAAGCATCAGGCAGCCCATGCTGTTGAAAATCGGACGCCATGGGTATATGCTGTGGCCCTGTATGTGCAGAGTGCCATGGGCACCTCTTGACGAATATGCGGCTAGCTACCCTTCCGAGCTCAAATGCTCATCCTGAAGCGAACAGTATTTCCGCGGGCCCGCTCTCTCATCGCAGCCGCAAACATCGCACCGAGCGTGAAGCCCACCTCGTGGTCCATACTGTATCTCGATACTTGCCGTCTGGTAAAATTCTGACTCACCTCCACCTCCATGACCCTCGGTGGTGGCTGGATCAGGTACATGTCCCACCAATGTGCGCCCATTGGTGTCTTGCCCGCAACCCTGGCTGGCAGACCATACTTGTCGATATCTGCATCCATGAGTCGAATGACGAAGTCGATTACCAACCCCGGGGGCGCTGAATCCGCCGAGTAAGACACCACGAGTGTGCAGAATGGTGGCGTTGCTTGTATGACACCATGGCTGACCCGATCGTCGTCGACGCGATACGGTGCCCCGGATGCTGGCTCGAGATTTAGCTTCTGCCGAAGCGGCCTAGAGGTCTCGAGCATATGCAGTACGTGTTTGCTGACTTGCTGAAGCGCTAGGAGCTGCTTGAAGCTAAGCTTCAAGAGGATCTTTTCGAGAAGCTCATAAATCGCAAAACCTTTGCTTGAGGCGAGCTCTGGTGTGGTAGCTAATGATGGAGGCTGAAAGATACATGTGGTTGAGTCCATATTGACACAGATACCGCAACGATCCGCGTTTGTAATTGTAGTGGTTGATGTCTGTTGACTTTGCCACGTGTTTCGCATTGGCACCGGCGGCAGCTACGTCCTCGCAATAAATTTGCATCGAAGGCCTGGATCACACCTGCATTGTCGAAGTGCGATGAAGTGGAAAGGCCATCCCACATCTTTGTGGTTCTCTCCTGCACTATGGCATGCCCAACTTCGCAGCTTCAAGATCAAGTAGCCTCCACTCCCTCCCTCCTTGCCGTTCCCCAAGCACAAAACATACACTCTTCCCTTGCCGGCCGCCAAGTAGGATGCGCTGGGCTTCAAAGTCTGGGTCAAAAGCATGCACAACTTCATTCTCCTTTGTCACAATCGCGATCGAGTCGTCATCTCGCCGTATTAGCACAAGCACGGTACCATCTGGTGTGGCTTTGGCATCCGAAATCCGGCCGTCCATAGCACACACTTCTGAGTCGAACGCCTGGGCTTTACTGGAGGGATTCGAGAGGTTCTGAATAAGCAGAGCTCTACTATCTGCCTCTGGGAGCAGTAGCAGCTGGGTGGTGGTACTCGCGCCAGAGTTTCCACCCACAGAAAGCATGCGTAGATCCAGCATCCGATCATTATCCCGGGCAGCAATGCTCTGTGACATAGGTGCCTTCAATAGCTTACTTTGCCATGCCGTAATCCTCTGAAGCACCATCCTCGCACTTCCATGTGTCCAAGCGGCCAATGCTGGCAAGCTTATCTGCGCAACCGGCGCTACCTCCTTTCCGGATCCCATTACCTGCAGAAAATGCATGACACGCTCGTAGCTCATCACTTCCGTCCTCTTCACCCACTCCTCCCTAGCGTAACCACCTCTCCATTCAGCTAGAGGCAGCACAAATCCTTCGATCTTCGACCCAGTCATTAGGATGTCTTCAACATACCCAAGCACGAATCCCATCTCTAAATTTGGCTGCTCTCTTTCCTCGATCTCGATAGCAGCTGCTGTACCGGGCTCGGCAATAGCCACGTCGATGTATACTTTGAGCCACTTGCTGAATGCCTTGAACTGCTTTAGCTCCGCCGCGACCACAAGTTGAAGCTTTTGCGCTACCAAACGCAAGCTATCAGCTCCCTCGAGGAGGTTAGTGAATAGCTTGGGCTCAACAGCAAAGTGACTGTTATTGCTCCCCGCGTGGTGAATAGCATGCCCGCGCAAAGTCGTTATGGCTATCTCAAGGCGGGTGAGTGCTGGCAGAAGGTTGAAGAAGACATGGTTGAGGATATTGGTATACATGGTCGTGATAGCCACATCCCAGCGCTTGTGATTCGTCTCCTTCACGATATCGGACAGCCACTCCAGCATAGTGGGTGAGTATTGTCCGGTCATGGCGAGGTGGTACATGTTCGAGACCAGGTCTCCCTCTTGCTTTTCCTCAAGTTCCATGATAATGTTTTTCCTTAAGCGAGAGGGAAATTGCAGGCCGGTCGTGTAATCGTGCTCAATACAACGGATAGTCTGAGCGATGTATTCGAGGAGATGTTGTATGCGTTTTGTGTTCGTGGAAACTTCGTGAAGGAGCGTGCTGCTTAGTGCATGGAGGGCAATGTCGAGCAAGCTTACCACAGTTTCGCCTTTCCCAGAACGTGATATGAGGGTATGTGTAGGACTTTGAGTATGCGAAGCTGACAGCACTAGCATGCCAGGAACAGTGCAGCTGCCAATCTCGACTGTGTCGTCAATCATGACTCGGACAATGCCATCGCTGCAAGTGATCACAAGCGTGTCAACAAAGCCTGTATCTTCAGTCTTTGCTACCCCAAAGATCGTGTCGACCAAAGCCTGCGTGCTGAACTTGCTCCCATCCGGTCCAGCTCGCAAACCGTGGGAGGGAATAGCACTCAGCTTCGGTAACACAGTCGTAGCATCCATCGTAGCAATAGCACGAGCTAGCCGCTTGACAGAGCTTTTGCTGTTGGTTCTCTTCTGCACTTGGTGGAGGCCATCGAATTCAAGCGCAGAATCAAACATATCCTCCCAGTCCTCTGTACTCAGTTCAGCACTCAGATCCCCTACAGCGCTACCTTCATCACCAACGTGCTTGCGCCACTCAAAATGTACGACGTTCGTTCTACTTTCCTGCTCATCGTCGTCTCCGCCACCAAAGTCAGGCACTAGGTCCAGCCTCCATTCCCTCTCACTACCGTGATCCTCTGACCGCACACTGCTGCGATGCAAGGACTTCCCATTCTCGCCCGAATGCAAGCCCCAACTTCCATCGCTCCACGCTACAGCAAGTACACTACCGTCTTCCTTCCAGCTGAGAGCAGTGACCACGAGGTCGTCGTCCTTGCGCTTGATCGTAAACGCGATCTGGCCCGTGATGCGGTAGACAATGATATCGTGGGCCTCAGTGGCGATGGCTATCAGGTCGTGAGGATCACAGTAGGCCACTAAGTCGCCATCTCCGGGTTGATGGCTGGTGGCCACGCCATCAAAAAGACGTTTTGATGACAGAGTCGGAAGAGACATGTTGGAGATCCGGATCAGTGAGGTCTGTCATGCGTGTACCCAGCAGATCAATGATCATTGGCACCCCAGACCGTACTGATAGTCCGAATACATGCGAAAGATATCGTAGGAAGCGCAAGTTTGCCATGAAGAAGGAACGAAGTCCGGATCCAGCGCTGACGCACGCTAGGCACACGGTATCACGTGCACTCACATACTCAACAGCACTCGCTTTAGATGCAAAACAAGAGGAGATCCAAAATACTGTCATGAGTACCATAATGCTCACGCTACGAGCTAGATCTATCGGCTGCTGACACAAGTCATCAACCACTTTGTCTTCCTTTGCGCCTCCCGCCCTGGACCTCAACAAGCACTCTATTGCCGCAAGCCTAAACCACCATATACCCATCTCCCACACTCCTGACTTCCTTAACAAACGGCACATCCACACCCTCATTCAGTAACTGCACCCCACGCACATCTACATCCACCCAAGGTCTCGACTTCCTGAACTTGACACCCATAGGAAAGAACTCCGCCTCATCACCAGCCTGTGCCTCGAACTCAAACGAGCCTGTCGCGTTCCCCTCGTCCACGTCTCCGATCGTCCAGTCGATACTGTCACCGCTGACTTCGTAGACTGCGTCGAAGGACGATACAGCGGGCTCGGACGTGGCGTACGGTATCGTGACAACGACGTCTTTGAGATTATCGGAACCGGTTAGTTCGTACTCGAGGGTGATGTTCCATGTTCCCGGAGACAGTTCGGAAGTCCAGACCGTGAACTTAATAGGTGGGTCTTGAATCTCGTCGGGTTTGGCTGTCAACCTCCATCGTACGATCTGGATACTGTTGTTGGCTGGGAAGCCCTTAGTGGTATCTGTAAGTTGCACGATATTGTTGTTACGAAACTCGTTCCTGTCGACTTTGGGATGGGCGTTAAGTTGAGCACCGCGGGTGTCGCCGAGTGCAAGTTCGAGTTTCACTTGGGTAAGTGTTGGGTCTGTGATGCGGAGTTGGAGGTCACCTTTCACTTCGAAAGTCTCGAGGCTGCCTTCGCGGCTGAGACGGGCAGAGATGGCTTCGGCGACTGTGATGTGGATGGCGTCAGAGCCGGACGATGCAGAGGCTGAGTGAGCTGGAAGGTTTGGCTGTATGGAAGGTGCAGCTGGTGTGGAGACGCCAGCCAGAGGTGTGTTGGCTTCTGCTTCGGGTCCGAGATCGCCGCGTACAGCTTCGAACATGGTGTTGCCTGGCTTCTTTTTGCCAAGCTGCATGCCCTTGCCACGAGACGCCAGAGGCTTGTTGAAGCTTTGGTTCTTGGCGGCGGTGTAGCTGTCGTAGGTATCTGGCATGGATGGTGTTGCCGGTGGTGGGGTGTATGTCGGATAATTGGGCGCTCTGGGTATGCCACCACCACTCCCTGCTCGTGAAGCTCTCGACATCTCCTTGCGTTGCATCTCCAGCTGCTTGGCCTTTCGTTTCCGCTCCTCAGAAGCCTCGAGCTCCTTGTTCCGAGCAATGATTTCCTGGATACGCTCCTCGTGCGACTCCATGTCCAAGAATGTCTTGATCTGGGACAGCGTCAGGTTCTCCCGGTAGCCTTGGGTGACCACCTCATCAAAGGCAGACAGGAGCTCGAAAGCGCATCGTGCAATCTCTCGCTCGTCCAGGCTTTTGCATATTGAGCCCACGACCTGTGCGAATAGATGCAGTGTAGATATATCCTGCAAGATGTTGCTTTGTCGGTTCGTGATCAGGACCATGTATAGCTCGTCCAGAGGCTGGTACACAAATCGAACATTGTCCTGCTCGACTGTGGTATGCTGGCTGGCTGTGTCCGCGAGCTTCGGGAAGGAGGCTAGAAGTGCTTCGACTCGCGATCTTTGCATCTGCCGGAACTGCCTGGCGAGGATTGGCTTGCCCGAGCGGGTTGTGATGGCTGCTGAGAGGATCACCTATTCACACATGGCATAAGCATAAATATTTGTGTAACTGTGGCAGACATATACACACCATGTTGGGCGGTCTTAACGTTGTTGTGGCCCGTATCGACTGCCCAAGCTATTTTCAGTGTATAGACAGATGTGTTTGAGTATTACGTTGCTGACAAGAAGTTGCTGTCGCCTATTGTTGTCCTCACTGCCAACTGTCTCGTCCACCATTCGCATGCCTCACCCACCAAACAGGACCCTGGGGAAATGTTGCAGCCGCTGAGTCATGCTTCGGTCCAAGCGTCTCCACTCACGCCTCACACTTTCCGGCGTATAGATGCTCTTGCTCATCAGCGTCGCCTCCACCATCAAGCTACCGCCGACCATCACGTGAAGACAACGCACATACGCTCATTTCCAGAACGACGACGCATGCGCACTTCATTGCCACCGCCTCTCACCAATAATTCTCACGCCAAGAGCGAACATACCACACCTTCCATTTCCGGACTCGCCTTCGCGACAAAGACAGCAATCGCGCTTGCAACGACGCGCATGAGACTTCAACCACCCACGACAACCTCTACACCCTCTCAGATATCACCAGTAACTCCGAGAACGCGTGAATAATCCCCTCTCCAGTCGGCAGCTCTTGACAGCGCATGTCATGGCTGCCACTACCACCTTTCCCTCCCTTTCTGTACCCGCACCAGAGGACAGCATGGAAATAGCTTCGCCTGCCCAGAACTACGATGGCGATATCGACCTTGACTTTGGTGACGATGATTACAATGGTGGCGTGCAGATACTAGAAGACGAGCACATGCTCACAGATGGCGAACAAAACCGCCCGGCTACCGCCACTGATGATATGATGGACGACGACCTGCAACTTGTAGAAACGCACGAGGCTGACATGCAAGATACGCCTGAGGTAGATCAGCAAGTACTGTATGAGCCGGCTGATGAGGAGCTGATCGACTACGGAGATGAGGAGGCCGCACAGGACTACGTTGAAGACGCCACACTCGTTAACGCCGATGACGGGTTCAACACCTTCCAGGAGCATACCGAGCAGGCCGACGAGGACATTGTGCGGCAGCCTGAGGAATTCTTCCCTGCCCTCGATACGAGTCTAGCATCTACGGATCTCGCAACGCACAAAGTTGATGATATCGTGAACGTGCCAAATGATGACTATTCTGCCGCATTCCAAGAAAATGACTCTGTAGTGCAGCAGCCACAGGCAGAACTTTTCACGGACGATAATCACACCGCACTCGAAGACGAAGAAGCAGGAGTGGCCAATACTGCCAATGTCTACCACGAAGACCAACTGGCAGTAGTAGAGGCTGGCCACTCTGTCGCGCAGCCAGCGTTGACACTAGATACCACGACATACCCAGACTATGAGCAACCAGCCACGCCTACAGACACTGGCTTGCATCCCATGACTGTATACTATGGCGACCATGCTATGCCGCTGTTCAAGTCGAAGCGACAGCAAGAAGGACTGCTCAAGGACGACAACCTCGCGAGTCTGAGCTTGCATGAGCTTTTGACCAAATGTAGAGAGCGACTCGTAATGAAGATAGGTAACATTCCAGAAGAGCAAGAGTTTACTCTTGCCTTCGACCACTTGGGCCTTGTGCTTGTTGACGTAAGTACCACCTACGCAGCTACGAAAGCACATGTGCTAATCATCTTGCAGAACTCGCGAGCGGCCTTCGAGCATTCCCTTAACGATGTCCTCGAGATATACCTTCGACTGCACAGTAACGACGGTGTGACTGATTGCCCACCACTTTCCCTTACCTTGTCCCATCAGCAATTCAGTGGCCAGCTGGCACTTCTTAAGCAGGCAGCACAAGCAGGTAGCGGCATGTCGCACTTCGTACCAACCAGCCAAGACGCCGAGCAATACTATGAAGAGAATGAGGAGGATGCACAAAATGGAGAGGCTCAAGCTGAGCAAGAAGTGGATGGAGCAGAGCAGCAAACACAGCAATACGGTGAGCATGATCAAGAGGTATATCAAGAAGGAGGTGAGGCCTACATGGCGCAGGGGTTTGATGCGCAAGATGCGCAAGATGCACAAGAAGAGTACCAGGAACAAGAGTATGCAGAGTACGTGGCAGAAGAAGCTGGTGAGCCCTACGAAGAGATTAATGAGCATGACGCAGAAGCGACCCTGTCTGCCCCGCAAGATCATGAGGCAGTCTTCCCTGAGGGTGATACATCTGCACAAAGTTTTGCGGAAGCGACCCAAATTGTGCAGGATCGTGGCGTTATGCAGCATCCATCAGCCGCCAATTCTCAGCCAGCCGAGGGTGTATCCGAAGCGGAAGACGCTGTCGAGCATGACGCGTCGCTAGACAGCTCAGTGACCTTGCAAGGCGATCAAGCGAGCGGGACTGGTGAGTACAAGGATGAAGCTGAGATCGATTGGGATGATGATAGCGATCTAACGGGCAATGCCTCAGAACTGCCAGCGGACCATGTCGACGACTTCTCCACCCTTGTTGCGGACCTAGAGGCTGATCGGGGTCATGAGGCAGGACAGCCACTTCCTGCGCAGAAAACACCGCATCCTGCGTCCGATGATGTTGCGGACCACCCACATGAGCAAGATTCTAATGCCAACCACGATCAGCCCCTGAATCTAGGCTCTGAGGACCTTCTTGGCGAAGAGGAGCTCGACCAAGAAGCCAATGAAGAAATCGAACCGCTGGACGAAGCAGAGGAAGCGCAGCACGAGGGCCAGCAAGAAATTTACCAAGATCAGGCTGACACATATGACGAACAGCAAACAGACCAGCACGATGGGGCTGGTGAAGAGGCAGAGCAATCCCAGATTACTGATGATTTTGCCAACGAAGAGGCGTACGAGTCCGGCGACGAACTACAAGTGAATGGCGAGACACATCTAGCAGCCGACAATATACCAAATACGATCGACGAGCCCACCAAGACGGACAACCTGGACACGCTGGAACTGGAAGACACTATCGATTTTGATGACGATACTTCGGCAGAATATGCAGCGAGAACGGCCTCCAACCCCGACATCTCAGCACCCGCAAACGACGCGAACTCGCCACTTGGCAAGCGCTCTTTCGACGAGCATAATGCTGAAGACGATCTGGAATTCAGCGACGACGATGAACCGGAGATGAAGAAAGTTCGTGCCGGGTGAGAGACCGCATTACAACAAACACGAGAAATTATTCATGACGCTGTCATGGGCTGGCAGCACTGGATTCGGCGGCGAGGAACCGAAAGTACTCGACTGAGCTGGATCTGGAGCTGGGGCACTGGCTAACATAGATCCCTGGCACAGTCGACAGTTGCTTCGCATATGCAGATGCAGAACACGAGCTCTGGAGAGCAGCCGACAGGAGGTAGGTCAGTGTGAATTACTAACAACTAACACATAGCGAACAATTCCTCCACGACTCCAACTAATTGCCTTCTCTTTCGGCACCTTCCAACGATCTTCCTACATGTATGTTCTATGGAAGAGAAACCACGGACGACGTTTGGCTCGAGCAGATGGCTCGACGAAACGCTGCGTGCGTGCGTGCTTCCAGGTGGTCGTGGTGCAAAGTGGTGTTAGCTCTTCCGCGCGTGCTTTCTTGCTTTTTGATGTTTGAGGGAGTGATGGAAGACACCCCAATTGGTGCAAAGTTCCTGGCGTTCTGCAACTCATCGGTTTCGATGGCTATGGCTTTGACGATTAGAGCAGCTGAGCGAATATGCGCGGTGTAGTCTACTCTATTTAACTCCACATAGCACAAGTACAGATTACAGACCCTAGGGTAGCCGAACCAGTATTCCTCATATACTCGGCATTCATCTAGAGGAGATTGCTAGTGTTGCACCATGTGCGTTGTATAAGACGGGAGTGAGGAAGACAGAGGTAGAAGGCCAGCAGACGCATCACTACATCGTGATCTGATTACATTGATGGGATTTCCTCCAAAAGTTCTCGCACGCCGCCAATAAGATATCTGATAACCTCGCGGCCAGATTGCATGCATCTCGTGCTCTGCCACGCCGTCAGTGCCGTTTGTTCGTCAAGCACTTCGCACAACGAGATTCGTCGCACATGACCGCATATCGCCGCTCCCCAATACCCGCCCAACCATGAAGTGTGGATGCTCTTGGGCTCTGATTGCCGCATGCCTGGCGTCTCTTCGCCGAATATTCAAAGGCTAGGACACGGCGCAAGACTGGACCCTAGCTACAGAGTCGGGGTCTTGGGCTCAATCCAATGCCTGCACGATCCCCGACACTCTACCCGTGCCGCCAGTGGCCAAGCCGTCATACTCACTTTCGACCTCTCTTCCTTCTAACCCCTCAACCCCTCTCCAGCCTTCCGTGACGCCCCAAGCGAATCTCAAAGCCTCCAGCTCACGCGCAGGCATGAATTGGGCAATGGTACCCAAGTTCCGATCACGAGCCTCGAGCATGAGAGACTTGAGTACCGCTTGTCTGGTTCGGAACCAAGGCGAGAGCATATGGGTGCCGTGTTCGATTGTGCTCTGGTCGAAGGACGGTGAAGGGAGGCGAACGTAGCCGCAGGACTGTAGGAGGATCTTGCGAACGTTGGTAGTGATGGGTACTGCCTCCTCTTCGCCGATTAATGCAGACCCAAGGACACCCCGGCGGTGAGGGTCTGGGCTGAAGGACGCCAGTTTGGCTCCTGGCCCGACCAGGTCCAGGAGATGAGCCCATGAGCCATCACGATGTGGTTCGCTCCAGTGACGAGTCGGCTGTGCCTGATGATGGTTGATCGCGCCGAGGATACCGCCATGCAAATTCCACTGTTGTCCCATCTGATGGAGCTGTGCAGCCTGAATTTGCTGTTGTTGCAATTGCTGCATGTTGTTTTGCCACTGCTGTACGTACGCCACTTGTTGGGGGGTAGGATTGCCATGATTCAGGATATGCACCACAGCTTGTGGCATTGGGGGTGGCTGGACAGGTCCAAGGCCCATTGCGAACATCTGCTGAGCTTGTGCGTTTTGTTGGTTCTGCTGCACCATCGCCATAGCCTGCCCTTGCTGAACGTTCGCTGCTGCTGGGAAGTGAGGGTGCGCTGTCAAAGACACCGAGATCAGGGATAATTGCTTAAGCTCTTGCTGCGCGTGCTCCGTAACCAGGCCTTCCAGCACGACCGGCGTCAGCCAGCAGTTCTCGAGCACAAGCTCTTCCACGTACGGAAAAGTGAGTATGGCATCCACTGGTGGATTGGCAGCTGTGGCAAATTCTAGTCGAACAACCGGAGCAGGAAGAATATTGGTGTTGCGAGCAAACATTCCGGGTGCATGCTCACCACATTCGGACGTGTACCCAATCCTCAACTTCTTGATGGTAGCGATACCCCAGATGCGGTCATGTAACAAACCATAGAAGCTTGACACGGCATCGCTCGGGTTCTTAAGAGTCAATTCGGCAAAGCCGGCAGCATCCTTGTTCGCCGAGCGCCATTCTGGAGTGATCAAAAGAGTCAAGTCCTTAAGTGCTGGTAGCGCCTGCCAGAAGTGCTCTGCAGCAATCGTCTGTATGAAGCCGGAAGACAGTTTGGCGATATTGAGAGTCGTGATGCGTGAGAAGTTTAATGGTGTGCCAGTCATGGCCAACATATAACATTCGAGGAAAGCTCGTTGTGCCCACTCGGTCTCCAACAACCATTCTTTCTGGCCCTTACAAAGTTCCGCCGGCTTGACAGCGCTCATGTTGCCCGCCTGCAGAAGCGAATCTAGCTGGGCTGTGTAGCAGTACACAACGCCGAAGCATCCTGATTGGCGGTGGAGATCGGGTATCACCTGTGATATGGGAGCCTTTAGCCAGAGTGAGGTGTTGGCGTAGATGGTGTCCTCGAGACCAGCGAGGCTATTAGGTGACATGTCTAACGACCGATACGTCAAGGTAGACTCATGCTGCATCTGTGGAGCTTCAGCAACATCTCCTTGCAGAGCTGACCAGAAATCCGAGGTGGCTTTGAGGGTATGCTTCGATGCATCTACTCCCTTACCAAACACGGGAGACGGTCGTCCGAACACCTTGGCATGCGCAGATTGGTCTGGGCCAGTGAGCCAGCCCAGGCCGCTATCAATCGAAAGACCGAGCTCTTTCACGACCTCAAGCTTCTCGAAGGCTTCTTTCATCCTGGATGTCTCATCCGCTGCAGTCTCGAGACCTGTCAAGGCATCAAAGCGCCGATAATACGGGTGCGGCCAGTTGTAGTACCCATGATAAGATGTAATGTCATCGAGCTCCTTCTTCACCGGTGGATTGGAGAGGTGCTGCTCAGAGACCTCGAAGCTCATGCCGAATCTTCGGATGTGAGGACCAAAGCCTTGGAAGACTTTGAGTCCATGACCCTTGTAGACTTTACCATCCGGGTCTTCGCTCGCATTCTTCCAATTGAGGCTGCTCGACATTGCTCTACCTTTACCCTTGCTGGGTTTAGTACAAACCTGGGGTAGTGGCAGCTCGGTAATTTTCGTGTCATCCTCTATCATGTCGTATAGCTCCGTGTTGAAAGGGACAACAGAGGTAGTGAAGAACGACATCGACACTTTCCTCTCAAACTCGCGGTTGACCAAGCGCATTGACTGCATGTCGTCACGAGTCAAGAAGCCGGTGATATTGTCGAACAGCTCTACTGGTAGCTCGTCCGATGGCCAGATGACTCTCGAAGATTCTTCGCCTCCGAGCTGCGGCTCGAAGCGCTGACGACACGCCAGCGGTATAATATAGTCGCTGGAGCGATTCGAGGATCGGATTGTACGTAGAGGTAGGTAGTGCAGACAGTCATCTTTGTAAGCTTGGTAGATGAGAGCAACAGAGCTTGGTGGGCATGTCTGTGTTGGTGTGTTAAGTTGTTGTTGCTGTTGCCGCCGCGTCCACGTTCGGAATTCGTTGGTCAAAGCAAACATGTGGCCAGCATCATCTTCTCCGCCACTATCTATGGCATCCAGAGCTGGTAACGAGCGCGGCAGCGTCGTGCTGGTAGGAAGGTCGCCTTGGAACAGGTCGTAGGCACGAATTACTGGTCCCTGATCGGTTATGTCAGGGGGTGTAACCACGGGGGTGGACGCCTTTCTCTTAGAAGACGTGGCTTTCGAGATCATAGGCATGAAATCTAGATCCTCGGAGCTCAACGGCGGACTGCGCACTCGCTGGCGTTCGAGTGTTCTCCTGTGTCTTGCTAAGCCGAATTGCATGCCAAAGGGCGCTGATGAGGCTGGGGATCTGTTTGAAGTTTCTGGTCTTGTTTGTGTTTCGCTATTGGAGCGACTTCTGGAGCTAGACATCGCATTCTTATGACGCCTTCTTAATGGGCAGTGAATGGCAGCGAGATGGAATTCAGTGCTAGCTTTTCGAGGAGTGATGTTGTTGGAGGCATGTGAAACGACCTCAGTTCAGTTCAGCGTAGCGGGGTTCGCGCATGGGGCAGATCAGGAAATCACCACCCACGACTCTTGCTGACCATTCGAAGCAACTACACTGCACCTTCGTACGAGTTCGACAATGCCTCCATCAGCACACCAGCAGCGATGCTGTATTATCACCGAGAAGTGTTACAGCCAAGTCCCTACATTCACATGCCCTGCGTACTGTGCCATCGGAACGTCGTGCTGCTTATGTGGCGAGTACTACTGCAACAAGCTACTCAGTCAGGATGCCATCGATGACAACTATCGCTCCCTGCTGATGAATTTGGACATGGCCTCTCAACAGCGTTGGCGTTGGTATTGGCCACTACTACTTGCAAGATCCAGCAGACCTAGTATACCTACATGTAGTCGTAAAACAACTCGGAATGCGCACCATCCGAAAAAGCTCCATTAGTGGAGATGTGACGCGTCAGGGCAAGCACTCATCGACAAGATCATTACTATAGGCAACGACACTTCGCCGCACTACCGAGATCGTCATTGCCATGGCGAACTCTCAACCGCGACAGACGCGCACGCATTTGGTACCGTAATAGATCTTGGAGTGTAAGTACCTTACTCAGTGCATAGGATTATACTTCTTGTTCTGCGGATACACGTTTCTATCATATCGCCACCATCTCTGTCTTCTTACATCAAAGATACCGCTGCGATGTCTAATTACTCCAACAAGTCGAGCTTCGCACTGGAGGGCCATGGCTACGGGTCACAGTCTTTCGAGAAACCAGCACCCTCAAATGGATCGAAGTGGTCGCCACGCAATTGGAGCAAGAAGATCTGGATCATCGTTGGAGTCGTAGCAGCAATGATCGTTGCAGTGATCATCATCGGCGCTGTCGTTGGCACCCAGAAGAGCGCCTACCCGGACTATTCGCCACTGTCATACACATTGCAAGACACATACCACGGATCATCCTTCTTCGACAATTTCGACTACTTTACGGGCTATGATCCGACTCATGGCTTTGTGCACTATGTGCCGGCAGCCACCGCCATGAGTGCGCAGTACAACCTCACATATGCTTCCCAGAGCTCTGCAATACTACGAGTGGATACCACGGATGAGAATGCGAGTACAGGTCGCTATAGCGTGCGCATATCCTCCAAAAAGCAGTATGATCAAGGTCTTTTTATCTTCGACGTACTCAACTCGCCGTACGGATGCAGTACGTGGAACGCACTGTGGCTAGCGGATGAGACGGACTGGCCTCTGAAGGGTAAGTATTGCATCAGTGATCTGTCATTACACCACTGACCCACGATCTAGGTGAGATTGATGTCATGGAGGCTGTCAACAAAGCCAACACGGGCGTCCAAACGACCCTCCATACCAGCAACAATTGCAAGATGAACGTCAAGCGAAAGGAGACGGGCAAAGCCCTCACCACGAATTGCTGTAACGAGACAGATTCGAATGCCGGCTGTGGTGTACAAGGACCGGTAGACAGCTACGGCGCCGGCTTTAATGCAAATCGCGGCGGTATCTACGCCATGGAACTTCGCGACGCCGGCATCCGTGTGTGGTTCTTCGCGCGAAACAGCATACCATCCAATATCCCGACTGATGTCACAAACACTACCGCGCCAGATCCAAGTGTTTGGCCTGAACCTCTGGCCGACTTCCCAAGCACGCACTGTGATATCAGCAGCCACTTCAAGAACCAGAGCATCATTGCCAACATCGATCTCTGCGGTGACTGGGCCGGGTCGACAAGTGTGTACAGCACTCAGAGTGGCTGCCCCGGGACTTGTTCGAATTTCGTGGCGACGAATGCTACTGCGTTTGACACAGCGTACTGGGAGTGGGCCAGTTGGAGGGTGTATACCGCATCATAGATGCGACGGTGTCTCGGAATTGGCGTTGCCTGGCGTTATGATACCCTGCTTGGCCCTTTGATACACATGGTCATGATAGAAACAGAGACATGCTAGGCATTGAAGTGTTTGGTCAGTATGTACAATACACTTCGCAAAGCTTTCTCTTCGTCCCGCGCGTTCTTGTATGCCAAATCCATAACGCCATATTCCCTCGCCATCAGCCCAGAGTAGCTCAGAATTCTGCAATCGTGTCCCCTCGTAGCTTGCCGCGTAGCGAGTATTTGCCCTAGAATAGTCAGTATTCCATCCTTCGCCTCTGAAGTTCACCTCATCTCTTACATCTGTCTTCCAGCCCATGTAGAGGAAGCCTGCTGGTACTGCCAGGATGTATACGACGGATAGCCAGGCTGTTCGCGGTGTCCATTTGAAGTACTCGTGTCGCTTCACATACATATCTAAGAGCTGTCAGTCCATGCAACTCCCTCTTCTTCCTTCCTGCTCTCGCCGAGCTCTTCCCCGACTCCTCTATCTGTACCCGGTTGTCCCCCCCTGCGCATATCTTCACGCTCGTGCTGAAGCAATGGGTGGGTACGTACTGGCATATTTGACCAACGCTGGGTCCATATGGACGCCTATCAAGCACACGTCAGCATTTCTGCTCCTCCTCCAGCCTCCACCAATACCTACTATCAGTGTGACCCGCCATCCTCACGATTGTTGGCCTCATGGTTGGAGATGCGTATGCCAATTGTCAGGTGTCAATGGCCAGTACCTAGTAGTGAGCTCATGCTCGCTTTCGCAGACAGTCGCATACCGCTCCCGATATGGTTAGATATCGGGCTGTGCCGCTGTTCGGATGTGTCGGTTCCGAGATACGTGTATCCGAGGCACGTTTAATGCACATGATGGGAAACCATATATAGTGGCAGGCTTCCCAGGTTTGTAGAGCTGCATCATTTTCAAGTAACTCACGTCGCCAGCGTCTCGAAGAATATGATGGCAGAAGCTCATGAGCAACCCAAAGTTGTGCTTCACTGGTACGTTCCGAGTGTCTGCATCTCCCCATTGACCTTCTGTACGATCTGGACTCCCTGGGCGAATCGAGAATTTGTTTGCAGAATGATAAGATCTTGTGCTGACGCGATTGCAGGCTCAACAAGTCCCGCGCCCAACGCATCGTCTGGCTCCTCCAGGAATCCAAAGGTCTGGATTGGGACATCAAAACCTACAACCGTGGATCCGACCAACTCGCCCCTGCCGAACTGAAAAAGATCCATCCTCTGGGCAAATCACCCGTAATCACTGTCGAAACCTCCAAGACTCCTCAGCCTATTGTTCTGGCCGAGACGGGTCTGATCACAGAGTACATCTGCGACTACTTCGCCCCCCACCTCGTGCCGAAACGATACCAAGAAGGCAAGGAGGGACAAATCGGTGGCGAGACGGAGGAATGGATCAGATATAGATTCTTCATGCATTATGCCGAAGGCTCCTTGATGGGACTGCTGTTGATTTGCCTGATCATTGATCGTAAGCCTCTTTCCACTCATGCTTCCCACAACAGCGAAAGAGTATTGATTGACACCATGACAGAAATCGGCGACAATCCGCAGACCCCCTTCTTCATCAAACCCATCACCCGAGCCATTGCCTCAAGGGTGTATTCCGCTTTCTTAACTCAGAGCCTCAAGACGCACTTCACCTTCCTGGAATCGCAACTCGCCACTTCGCCAAACAACGGCAGGTTCCTCTGTGGCTCCGAGCTCACGGCAGCGGATATCACAATGTCCTTCCCGCTACTGGCCGCCGTCCGAGTGTCGAAGAAGATCACCAAAGTCGACTATCCTAAGTTGGTGGCATATTGTGATCTTTTGGAGTCTCAAGAGAGCTACAGGGCGTCTGTCAAGAGGACCGAGGAAGTTTCTGGCGAACCTTACAAGATTCTGTAAGGGGCTTGTCTGAGAAGAGGTGTGTCGATGGCACCTGTGCTCTTCTACTCTCGGGATTTATTCCATGATCTCTGCTCCTATGAATTTCAGTTGGGATGGCACATAATGACCAATGACATTCTATTATCACTATATAAGTTTGCTGGTCTTGCTCTCGTGCCACACTAAAAGCTGTCCACTCGAGCGTCAGACAACGATAAGTCTTACTATATCGTCTCGGACAGCTACCTCGTGGCAGCGACGTTGGCACATCCTACCACCGTGTCATACCATGGCCTTTGCTCTCAACGACAATAGAGAGACGACACGGTGGATGTCTACCACGTACACTGCCTTGCTAGTCTTCGAAGGCCTGTCAGCCGTCCTCCGTGAAGCGTTCCAGAGAACAGAGTACTTGCTGCGTTCTCCTGTGTTGACCACTATCTCAGAGATACATGCATAGTAGATCTAGCTGCCGTGCGATAACATAGCCACCGCATACCGCAATCAATGAGAGCACATCATTTGCTATAACATCTCGCGGGACTCGCTACAGCTTCTGCTCATCTTTCAACGTCAATGTACATTATCGTTTGCTGCTACATTATCGTTTGCTGCCAACAATGCTTTCTTTAGACATCACCAAACGACTGCGCAGTCCAAAGCCGTCTGTAGTCCATATATGCCTCCCTCAAATCCACACCCACCTCCAGATTCATTCCCACATCGTGTCCTCCATCCACCTACACCCGCACTTACAATCTGATATATACTCTCTAACCCCCCTATCTCAACCATGTCTCCACCGCCCGTTGTCGACTACGAAGACTTTGATGGTACGTCCCCACCCCTCTTCTCTCCGCACTCCTCCCCAAGCTCACCTCTCCTCACCACAAAGTGAATGCCACGGACCACCCGCGCTGTTGGCGCTAGTGGTGACCAGAGACCCACCTACCTTCCGCCTTCGTCACCCGCACGCACGTCGAAATTCTCCTATTTCTGCTCGCCAGCTTAGCACGAACTGTTCGAAGCATTTCTGATACACAACAGACTCTTTCGGTTCTTCCTCTCAACGTCCACAAGTCCACACAACCTCCGACGCCTTATCAACAGCGTCTCGCAGCTCTTCCACCACCTTACCGGCTATCATACACCAGCCAGCATCCTCGTCCTCTCTCCATTCACCACCGACGCACATCTCCAACTGTACCAATGGCGCCCAAGTCGAACCCAGGAGAAGGCAAGAAGACCATGCGTCCCTCTGACCATTCGCCGTCTCCTACCTCTCCACCTTCCCTCGACAACGACGCCCTCCAACATCACGCACTCAGCAACACCCGAGCCACCGACCTGGTGAATACGGCCGCGTACCGTGAATGGCGCGCCAACAACCCACATCCCATACGCACATGCAACCAACTGGCCCGCCTATACAACGACGCCCAAGCTGCGGGCAACATGCCGAACCCTGGTGAGGTGCCATGGGGATCCGGTCACTGGGAGTGGCTAGAACCTCACGACGGCGTGGTGGCAGCTGAGATGGGTTACAGCAGCCATCAGCAAGTCGAGCGGACACGGCAAGCCGGCCGTCTGCCCAACAACACCAATCGTGCTACACCTGCAGACGTTGGCCCGAACACGGTGTGGGTTCCTGTCCGCGATGCTTGGAATCCAAGTAGACCTTCGACTCGGCACGGCTTCTACGCCTTCGTTGCCCATGGTGACCGTGCTCTGGCAAGGATCAACCTGGGTGGGCAAGATGCATACGGTCTTGGTGATCGAGCAGACCCAACTGCCGATGAGGTCTTTGCTGTTCGCCGGCGCCAGCAAGGTCGCATGGCTGCTGATGAAGACGTGCTCGACCCCACGGATGGTATCGATCTTGTATGGGTTCCTGAGGGCACACCGCCAGCTGCTGCGGGAAGCGATGGTGAGCCCGTTGTCGGCATCGGTAATGGCCAGGTCGATAAGGAGACCAAGCTCACCCACGAGCCTACGAATGGTGAGGCAGGTGGTGAGCACGACCAGACTGGCGATGAAACAGCTCATTACCAGAGCCGTCTCTTCGATGGTCGTCAAGTTACCGTCGATCGTTCCGTCGCTCGTCTTGGTCAGCCAGAAGCGCACAAGCGTTTCATTGTGAGCAAACGCGGCAAATTCGCCCAATGGCTCGGCTACGCCAAGATGAGCTGGGAGTCCAAGGAGGACTTAAACAAGCTCAACAAATGGCGCGAGATGACTTCCGAGCGTAACTTCTGGCCCAACAAGCGCAAGAAGGCATACATCGACTACACCAACCCGCAGAAGAAGTACCTCTTCGACATGCTGGTGAAGGCCGATGGTCGTCGTCGTCTATTGGGCGGTGCTGCTGAGGCGTTGAAGGATTTCAACGACAAGTTTCCGAATGCCCAGCGCAGCCAGACCAGCGTCGACGCCCAGCTTGCGCGGATGGCGGAGATGTGGCGGGACTTCAATGGTGTCTTCCAGCCAGGGCCGGGTAAGAAGAACAAGAAGCGCAAGGAGAGCGGTGACGAGGAGGGGAGTGAGGGCGGTGATGGTGATAGGAAGGAGGGTGGAGACAAAAAGAAGAAGAAGAGGAGGAGGGATGGAAAGAAGTGAGGGATGAGTGGAGGGGGTTGTGCTTCGAGATTGTGGTTGATGCCTTGCTTGTATGGATGTTGTTATCTCAAAGCATTCCCTTAATGGTCCAATGTTCTTGGCTTTCTGCTAAGTGCGATTGATGCCGATGACAATGCTCTCCCTGTTGCGGAGATACTGGTACACGATTGTCAATAGCATTGAAACATCCTACCTTACCATGCATTGTCTTGTGGCCGCGAGCATGTCAAGGCGTTGCCTCTTCCCCATCGACCACCATGGTAAGTAGCTAGCACATTGACAGCCATAAGTCCCGTGATGTCGATACTATGGTGGCAGTGGCCTCTGTGGCAGATAGCTGGAAACACGTATACATGTAAGATGTGATGAAGAGGAGGAAGCGCCACGCTTGCCTTCCCATTTAGCCATCAGGGTCCACCGCCCGCCGAGCCGCATTCTGAGGAAAGCCGTTGGCCGCGAGCGAAGCTATTCGCGGCGTCTGCAGGCGAAGCCAATAGGTGATCTCAGCTCACAATAGCTGACGACCGAGGCCACGAGGCGTATAACGTCTGTCTAGCCAGCCAGATGTCTGTCACACTACGACTGCTGTTATTACATCTGGGAGAGCAGTTGCTGAGCGTAAGCACGAAAGCATAGGACCCATATCTTGACTAGAAACGAGACAAAGCCACGAATCCCTTTCGTCCAAAGCTTATCCATAGTTAGAAGAGCTGGGCTGTGCCTTTCGGTTGTTTGGCCCGCATCCCTGGCTATCGCAGTCGTCTTCTATCATACTGTCATACACCTCACGACCGTTGTATTTGCCCACACGAGCACACGATATTGACGCCCTCCCACCGGTCTTTACTGCATTTAGCCATCACCGTATTACACATCACAGCACACCACACGACTCGACCGAACGATAATGCGCAAACAATAGCGCACCCCGTCGCTCCTTCCTCGACCACGCACCAAGAACAACACCCTCGCTTATATCGACCGCACGTCACATCACCCTGCAAAAATGATAGAAGACAAATACATCGGCCTGGCGCTGGCCGTCACCTCTTCCGTCGGCATAGGCGCCTCCTTCGTAATCACCAAAAAGGGCCTCAATGCCGCCGCCGCCGCTCACGGGTTTGAAGGTGAAGGCTTCGTCTACCTCCGCAACCCAACGTGGTGGGGCGGGATGATCACCATGGTCATCGGCGAGCTGTGTAATTTCTCCGCCTACGCCTTCGCGCCTGCGATATTGGTCACCCCATTGGGGGCACTGAGTGTGTTGATTGGGGCGGTGCTGGGGAGTTATTTCTTGGAGGAGAAGTTGGGGGTGTTGGGTAGGGTGGGGTGTGCGACGTGTTTGATAGGGAGTGTGGTGATTGTTTTGCATGCGCCGCCGGATAAGGAGGTTAAGGATGTCAATGAGTTGTTGAGTTATGCCCTTATGCCTGGTGAGTGGACATATATCTACATCTCTGAAGACATGCTTTGTATGGAGGAGGATGAGAGAGGTGTGGCTATGCTGACATGTCAAATGCAGGCTTTCTCTTCTACGGCGCCATCGTACTTGCCTTTTCCGTCGGCATGATCTATTACGTCGCTCCACGATACGGCAAGCAGAATCCCATGATCTACATCAGCATCTGCTCCACCGTCGGCTCCGTCTCTATCATGGCGATCAAGGGTCTCGGTGTAGCCCTCAAAATGACCTTCCGAGGCGAGAATCAACTCTCTCACGCCTCTACATACGTCTTCGCTATCATGGTAGCACTTTGCATCGCAACACAATTGAACTACTTTAACAAAGCTTTGGCGACATTCAGCACGAACATGTACGACAAACCCACGCGTCCATCAACTTTAAGCAGCCTTGCTAACATGATTATTTGCTAGTGTCAACCCTCTCTACTACGTAACCTTCACCACCTTCACCCTCCTCGCCTCCTTCATCCTCTTCCGCGGCTTCAACACCAATGACACCGTCAACACCATCTCCCTCCTCTGCGGCTTCCTTACCATATTCACAGGAGTCTACCTCCTCAACCTGTCGCGAGAAGATCCTAACGGAGAGAACCTGGGTATAAGAAGTAAGAACGACCAAAGAGGGAACTATCACGAAGTCGATGGGATCCCGGTAGATGGCCTGGCGGGTTTCGGGACGAGATTGAGTATGCAGGCGAGACGGAGTCAGGAGGGTCTAGATGGAGATGGAGTGGGAAGACAGCATCGACGGAGCGGGAGCTGGAGTTTACGAGATCCCTTGCACGGCCAATTTAGCAGCGAGAGAGGAGACCAGACACATCTCATGCATAGTTATGATGTCGAAGCTGCCAATGGACTGGCGGATCTGGCTGAAGACGATAGTGATGAGGATAGTGGTGCGTCGGGACGAAAGAGAACGAGTTTCGAGGATGCGAATGGGAAGAGGAAGGTAGAACATGGTTCGTTTGGGCCTCCGAGAAGGGTAGGCACGGGTGGGAGCGAGAGGGTGAGTATGGGCGGCAAGAGCTTTGATCGGGAAAGACGGTGACACTTCGTCCGGGGTCACGCGAACAGATCTTCATGGCTGCTGCGTCTGAACTCGGCAGGATCTGAGTGGGCGAAGGGATATGTTTGGGATTGCGATTCATGTACAGGGTGTATGGGCGATTTTGAAAGGGCAAGGGCAAGCAAATGCAAAAGCGTATCATGTTGCATTCATCGCCAGCGTTTCATTTGGGAACGCACGTGCAAGCTTTAGGTGCACGGCGGTGGCGTTAAAAGGAGTGATTGGGCGAGGGATCTCGGGTCTGACTTTAGGATGACCTGCTACGAAGGAAGGCGATTGCGTTGGCGCAATGTACGATGATTCCGGCGATGTATGGTTGGATATGTAGACGAAGCACCGAATCTAATCCACACGCGACCTCGAGAATTCGGCAGTCAGCTGAGGATGATTCCCACCTTGAGTGCTGGTTGGCTATGCTGTGCATCTGCTATCTACAAATCGGGTATCCTTGCTTGAACGCTGGAAAAGAAGAACAAGAAGGAAAAGCCACCATTTTCCTCTGCTGCTCATTTTAGTTGATGCAGCCACCCAAGTATCCCAGCTCACTGAACAAATCCTCCATATTCGTCACGGAGAGCGTCAGACTGCTCGCAGCTTCCGTGGCGGCTTTGCGGCTGAAGTCGAAACCTAGACTCGGTAGGCCTGCGTGGTGGAGCGCAATAGGGGGATCGAAAAGTTTACGGCTGAGATTTGTGTCGGTTTGTGCACGGCCGGGCGCTGCTGCTGCTGCTGCTGGTGGTGGGAGTGGGAAGATGCAGCTGTCCAAACCTGCGAGTTCGAGCGCTGGCTGCTCTGGTAGCAATCCGAGGTTGGCCAAACTCTCGGCTTTGGTACTCGTATCCAGGGTCTTTAGTCGCTCGGTCACGTCGTTCATGTTCTGGGTGTTGTGGTCCAGGTCTTCGGGTGAAGATCCCTCCATGCCGTGCGAGTAGCCTCCACTCAGACGGAAGGGGGTGTCAAGGCCGCCATTGGAGCTCACAGTGTCTGCACTGAAGGTGGGCGACCAGAGCTCTTCTCCAGAGTCAGATGATGGCTCGATTTCGTGGCTCAGTGGCAATGAAGGATCGGGTGACATGGTCGTGCCGTCGTCTGCAGCGTGGGTATCTACTGCATTATGGGAAGAGCACCAGGTTTGTTGCTGAGCAGGACAGGATCTCGTGCTGCTTGGAGAGCTCGACCCGCGACTATCGTAGCTTGAGACGGAATCACGACGAGCGCAGGGACTACTCGGGCTCTGGTCTCTTGCTTCCTGCTTTGCAATCGCCTTCTCGCCAAAGCCAAAATTGAATTGGTGCAAACCTCTCTGCAGCTCGTTGCGCACATCCTGGTTTACGGGCGAGGAAGCCAACGGGTTCGGGTGGACGGCTTCGACGAGAGGTAACTTGGTGGCATAGCCGTCCACAATGGACCCGTAGCGACAGCTCTGTTCCGCATGCGTGCTGACGGTGCATTGAGACGCCTTACGATCACTGGATCGCCTTCGCTTCGAGGGTCGATCGTCCGGCGATTCGCCAGTTGCTTCCTCTCGATCCCGTGAAGCAGGTGGCGAAATGATAGAACTCCTCCTGGACACCGCCGGTCTTTCTAGCCTCCCGTTGAGAGCCATATCAGAGATACATCTCCCATGCACCTTGCTCACGGGTGGTGGCCTTAACGCCGCAAATTTATCACCCGGCTCCAGCGTCTGACGAGGCCGCATACTGGTCATCGCAGCCAAAGTCCCAGCAATGCCCTCGCCACAAGCACTGCGACATCGACTAGGCGGCGACAACATTTCAGTGGGAACCTCAATCATATTCATCATCTGGCCTGGCATCAACGGGCAATCCGCTGTACATCGTCTCGAGTCGTCGTACGCCTCGATGTCGAAGTCCAAGCGATAGTAGTACCAGTAAGTACCACCTTGCTTTAATCCTCCAGATCGGGGCCGAGACCAATTCGGTTTCGGGCTGTCGCCGTCGAAGACAATGTTCTCAAACTTGAAGCATCCGCTCCAGAAGCCCGTCCCTCGTCGACGATCATGGTGCATGCGGTAAGTGTGAGTGAAATTATCCCAGGATCCTAGAAGTTCGACTGTACGAATGTGAGGTGGAGCGCGGAAGAGAAAGGTCACGAGAGTTTCTGGATCCATGATGGGCACGAGGTCCTGTTTACTGCAGTAAGAAGGTGCTGTCGTAGGCAGATGCTCGTAAGCACAGATTCCAAAGTAGATCAGATCGTTGGCAGAGCAGATATCGTGACATGGTACGTCCAGTCAGTCAACCAGTAGTTGTAGTAAGAGCAAATGAGGTCCAGTGAGAAACCAGCTGAGAGGTCCGCAGTATTGTTATGTGAGGTGGAGACTCGGAGGTTGGGGTGTGCATAGAGTTCATGTAGGATGTGGAGCGCGACCGGGTTCACGTTGTCAGGTCAAGGCAGGATCATGAGATAAGTCGGAAGCAGGGTGGAGGTGCAGGAAGATAATCGCAGGCGACGGACTTGTACGGCGGCGCAGTTCAGGAGACGCTGTACCTGGTATGTGGTGCTCGTGCAGCATACTTATTATTACAGTATCGCGATAAATAAATCTGAGCACAACATGACTAGGAACCCTGTTAGCCCTGCCGGTAGTGGGATTGGTAGATCTGGTGCGCGTAGGATTCTTGTTTATTATGGCGGCAGCACTATATAATGCAAGTTACAGCCCTGCTTCGAAGTGGCGAGGTGCGTTGACGAGACACCACTGGCCGAAAACGTCTGTCGATTGTGAGCTGTCACGTTGGCGTCTCGTAGTTGTCTTGCACAGCCACCGTAGAGTTTGCGAATGGGCAAGCGCCGTTGTGATGTTTCAGAACGCCATGTCCCTTCCGGGTCCCCTTTGGCTTTCCCGCGCGACAGCTTATCAGCGCGAAGGGCGAACGATGGCGTCTCGCTTGGCCAGTGGCGAAATTGTGATGATGATGCTGTAGCTTCCAAGCCAGACGAGCATGCTCTCAGCCAAGTACTCACTTGCACAGCGTAGCCTACAAGAGTATGCAGTGGCTCGCCACGCGGTCACCGTTGAGCAACGACAAACGGGGAACCTGATCTGCTGTCTTTTCGCTTACAGTGTGGTATACCACGCTTCGCAAAGTGACAGCTCCTGCGGCCTCACCTCCATCTCACGGCAGCAAGATAAGAACGACTTGGAAGTTGGAAGCAGAAGTCCAAACAAGGCCTCATCCATCACATGTCTTGAACGACTGGTCCCGGAAGGCCTGCCAATCTGGCTCGGAAATAGAGTTCGGCAATGCATGGGAACTGAGCCGCCAAGGAACCCGTCAAATCGGGAACGGTGCTGAGGCCGTTCGGGGGCCTGCACGACATCCTCAATGCGGCCACGTGCGCCGTTCATCGAGGGAAAGCGCTGTATCGAGCCTTGGAAGCGAGCCATATCATAGACAAAGTGGAGATGACTCAAAAGATTTCGACACAGCTCAGAGGGCTTATTACCTGGGGGTTGCGGTAGTCGTACATACATATGTGCTCACAATGGCTAACATTGCCACCGTCAGTGTGCTGGTACAACTTTAAGGGTCTCATAATCACATCACGTCCGGAGGAATACCGAGATCTAGGTCACGAACCCTCTGGCCTCGTTCCTCCCCCTCTCGCTGCTGATAGCCTCGATTTTAACAGCCCCAAGCACAATTTCCATACCACTCCTTCCCATCTGCGGTCCTCTCGACTCTGGCTGCACTCGTAATCGATACTGCGCCTTCCTCACGACCCACTCCTCTCCATCTTCCTCCTCGTCGACAGTCCTTCGTCTCTTACTAGTCGAAGCAGGAGACTCAGGAGCGACATCCATACTCTCATCGTCGTCATCCTCCTCGTTCGCACCGTGCCATGGCTGACCATCAAGCACGACATGCGCATCGGAGCCTATCTTCACCTTAACTCGCTCCTCGCTCAACCCACTATTACCAGGTGAAACAGGCAAGCTAGCTACACCAGCTCCCCGCTCCATCATCATCAAGCCCAGCGGCTGCGTGATAGGCAGATTCATCTTGTTCGCTATCAGTGTCAACAGCTTTGTCATCTGACCCAGCGTCTCACGGTGAAACGTCACTCTCGCCAGTCTTGGCGATGTGGAAACCGAAGGCGGTGCAATGGAGAGAATACTCGACTCCTCGCCACCGATCTCAAGGATGAGACAGTATGCTTCGGAGTCGACGTATGGCCGCTGATAGTACACCCATCCCGGTCCGAGTCCAGGTGCGCTAGTGGCACTGCCTGTGGGCGATACACCACTCGCAGAGGGTGTGGAAGCGGCACTATCTGGTACGAATGATATCCCAGATGCTCGAATGTGTGTCAACGGGATTACAATTTCAGATATGGCGCGTCCAAGATTGTACGATATCGAGTGTGGAATGATGCGCTGCTCGAGTCCTTTTAGATGGTAATACCGTGCGTCACGAAGAAGCTCGGCACGGTGCTCTTCATTTCTGATGTGCACAGGATAGCCCTTAAGAATGTGTAAGATGTCTGCGAAAGTCTGAGCACATTTGTTGGGTACACTTGGTGGCAAGATAGAAGGCGGTCGCAGCAATGTTCTCTTATTCAAGCCGGGAAAGACATCTGTGGGGGTGGTGAAAAAGATTGAGAAGCCGAGCGAAAAGTAGTTTGGTGAATCTCCTGGATTGTTGAACAGATCTCGAGGGATCTGGAATTCACTATCGCCGATCCGAATGTATATGGGGGAAGCGAAAAGTTGTGCTGTCAAACGTGGTAGGCTGAAGAACTGTGCATCTGCGAACAGTCTAACAAAGTGAGGGCCGTCCTTGGGCTCGATGTGATATCCCTGCAGATGTAGCGATATATCCTCGAAGGTCGCAGGGTCGCGGTCGATGTAAAGGGTTCGCAATGTCTCTGCACCTTCGTTCTGCCGTAGTTGTTCTTCGAAGAATTGTGAGAAGTAAGAGGGAGCTGGGTGATATTATTTAGTGGGTACACTCAACAACAAGAAGTCCATACATGGACTTACCATCTGATGATATCGAGGCTCCTGACAGACGAAACAGCTTATCACCAATCTGGATCGGGAAGACTTTCCGTGCAGGTAAGGCGACCACTGTCGCAGCCTCCGACTGGCCCCTCGTCGGAGCCGGAGGGACGCCTCTCCCAGACTGTGAAGGACTAGGAACGGGACGCGGCCTCGCTTCTGCATTGCCTGGAATGCTGCGTGATGCCGCTGCACTGTGTGATCTTGCTGTGTGGGCCGGACCTGGGTTAACAGATCCTGGAGTGATGATCTCGGAGTCTTCGGTCATATTTCTTGACAATCTCTTCTGCGCCGAGTGCTGTGTCAATCCTATGGAGTCGTCCTCTCCTGTAGACTTCCTTTTCGAGCCAGCCACGGTGGCGACCCTTCCTGTAAGGCGTCCAGGCACAAGGAACCCGTCTTTCTCCTCGCCGGGGTCGCTATCCTGAGGGCCAACGACCGTAGGTATGGTGAATTCCGAGGTTTTGTCCCGTGGTGTATGGTCTTGAAGTAGTTCACCTTGGGGCTCGTAATAGTACGAGGTAGACTCTCCGACAGACTCGAGTGGCGTGTCCCAGTCCCATATAGATGTTTCCATTTGGCCTAGATGGGAAGCCGCAGCCTTGCGGAAAGTAGCAGAAGGCGAACGTTGATTCGCAGGTCTGGAAGCCGACGAGCTGGCAGCAGTTGGCTGCTGTGTATTAGCAGACATTGGGCTTCCATGTTCGGAATCATCTATGGCATTCTTCCGCGTGCCTGCAGCTGAGCCTTCCAGACTTGCTGATATGTCAGCGAGCTTACTCTGTTGAGTGGCTTTGCTAGGCATGAAGTTGAACGTGCGATATTGTCGATCTTTGCTACTATAAGGGGCTTTAGCGCAAGCTGTATCGCCATGCAGGTAAGTCCGCCATACGCCGCAAGAACGGCCTAGCTCGCTGTCCAATACCTGGTCCAGGTAGTCTGGCGGCGAGCAATTAAATTGTACGCGACCGGGGAGACCAGGAGCGAAAGCACTTAAATCCGCCTTCGAACTTGAGCGAGCGTGCTCAAACTACTATGCATGCAACAGTGGTATCGTGATGCTGTCGTGGCTGAAGTTCCAATGAGTCCAAGTCGTGCCTGCTATCCGTAGTGTCGTCCTATCAGAGTCCAGCTTTGTCGCGGGGTCCGTCTTGATGCGAAAGTACGAAAAGCGATCCCGAGATGTACCGTCCGGACACCAATTTTCCAGGTGTTCCGGGTCGAGCTTGGGAAGAACGGAGTATTAGGATAGCGAGCATTGGCGACGGAGGACGACTGAGTGGCTCCAGCTCATGAACACACAGATCTCGTCATCGTCGCGAGGTTCAGGAGGGACCGCGGCAGGTAAGCTCGGGAATCAACCCAACAGTGTGTCATCTTTACTCAGCCGCAGCTCATCGCCGTCGTTCCACCGTGGGCGCCAGCGACTGGCCGATGACAGATGCACGAACGCCACAATTCGGCGTGTCCTGGCGAGAGTCACAAATGAAGAGGTGCTTAGCTCTGTGCAAGGAGATTGAGTAAGCACGAATGCAGATTATTCAGCTAAATCTTAGCAGTGCTTGGCTGATGGAATCGATCCGAGTCTTAGACCTGACATCATTTCTAATCTATACAATTTGGAACATAATCGTTCTACCCAGGTCATCTTGTTGCACTTCTCCTGCTGCAGAACGTGTCTTCTTTGCCACAAAGCTAGCCTCCCGTAGCAACCCGCCAGTACGGTACCTCATAATACACGAGTCAGCGTCAGCGGCCGACTCCATCCCAATGGGTGATGATGCCGACAGCAGCGAGACGATGCTTGGGGTTCTTGTTGAGCTCGCGATCGAGATGTACACAATAAGGCTTGAAAGCTCCGTCACGACCCACGACGCTCACCCTGCACCTCCTCCCTCATCCCGTCCATAATCTGCACGTACTTCCCTCTCCTATCCGCATCTTCTCTCAACTCGATCTTCCTCTTCTCCACAACTCGCGGTCTTCCTATCTTTGGCGAGTACACGCACTCGGCCAGAAACCACTTGGCTTCCTTGTAGACATACAGCGTCCACGCCTCACCTTGTTTCCCAGCTCTCGCTGTGCGTCCAACGCGATGAACATAGCCCTCAAGGGTCCGGGGGACGTCGTACTGTATGACATGCGTTATGCTTCGGCCTTGTACATCGTCCAAGCCGCGAGAGGCACGATCGGTGGAGATGGCTAGGACTGGTTTGGACGTGGTGGTGGCGCTCGTGGGCCGTTTCTTCCTTTGTTTGTCTTTGGTAAGGGTTGTGATATAGGGTGACCACTCTGGTTTCAACTTGCGGAGTAGATGAGCGAGACGTGTAGCCGACTCATTGCTGGAGGTAAATATCAAGATTGTGGGTTGCATAGCACCGTCAAGTGTCCAAGCAGGCATCTTGGGAGCAAAGAGTGCGGCACGGGCAGGGTGGATGGTTGATTCGGGCTCTGCATCCTCATCAGCCTCTGCATCTGCGACTTCTTCGTTCGAGTCGCTGATTTCGGAAGGACTACTCTTTGTGTTCTCCGATAAGTCTGAGCTCGAGTCCAAGAGGTCAGAGTCGGAGCTGTCGGAATCGCCGCTGTTCGCTTCGTTGGTCGCTTTTGAAGTTGCTTTTACAGGACGTGCACTGTTGCCGATCATTATATTCTTCTCCAGCAGCTCGACCAAGTACAGAGGCTTGTCGCCATCGGCGTCTTCGACTAAAGGCACACAGTACTCCTGCAGCGTAGCAGGTAGCTCGAAGCGATCCCCGACTTGCTTGACTCGCTCAACATTGCTGATGATGCTCTTGTCCACAACGCCCTCGATGGCCGAGGCATCCTGCTCGTGGGTTCCACGTACGACGATCAGCCTTGGTCGACTTAGACGCAATGCGGTAAGCTTCGACACATCCCTGGTCATCGTGGCAGATAGTACCACCTTCCTCACTCTCCTTTCGAGGTGCTCATGCCACCATCCTTCCTTTCTCAGCAACCGCTCGCGGGCACCTTGCTCCTCCGACGTACGCCCTCGTTCAAGCTCCGTATTGACAGTCTCCAAAAACCCGTCATACTGCTGATCAAGTAGCTTATCTGCTTCATCAAGAATCAGCCACTCAAGATGTGCTAACGTGAAGCCGAGTGTACTTGAGATATGCTCGAGAAGGCGGCCCGGAGTGCATATGAGGATATTAGCCGTGGTCTCATATACCGGAACGTGATAAGGCGAGCCAGTCACGGCGTCCTCAAGGCGTTTGACTTCTCGCGGATCTTCGTTTTCGATCTCGTCAAGGCAGTCTTCGAAACCGTCGTCCTCCTCGTTGGGTGGGTAGTCTCGTCTGTGCGCGGTTTTCATGAGATCCTGGTACGCAGCACCATCATGTCTCTGCGATAGTCTAATAAGTGCATCTTGCTCATCTCTGAGCTTTCCAATACCAGTCGCCGTTCCTACAGACACCTCACTGCCTTCCACCAGTGCCTTGGCGACCTTCGAAACCTGCTCAACAAGCTCGCGCGTCGGAACAACCACAAGTCCTTTCAGCTGCCCAGATATCTGGCCGGATCGTTTCAATGATTCAACCATGGGCAAAAGATATGCGATGGTCTTGCCACTACCTGTTGCAGCGCCGACAGCTAGATCTGGCAGCACTGACTCCGTGCCCGGAAACCACTTTGCACCTGCTGTTCCGGGAGGCAGTAGTAGTGGTATCAGAGCTTGCTGGACCGGCGTAGCATCTGTGAAGCCGAGCCTTGATAGTCTGTTAACCAAATCCTGCCCGAGATCGAGACTACTGAAGCCTGCTCTGCTGTCGCCTGAGATGATGTCTGGCTTGGCTAGCCATGTGGGAAGTGAAGACTGGTCGGCTATAAACTCTGGTGTGACGACTTCTTCGGGCTGTGGTAATGGGACGAGGTCGCGCAGCACTACAGGCTCCGCAGAGTCGGATTCTTCCTTCGTAGGTAGCGCCTGTGTTTCGTGTGCACGAGACTTGCTCTTCTGGAACTTGTCAAGGACGTTCGAGTGCTTGCCAACTTGACCTTGTTGCCCATCGTTGGACTCGAGAGGCCCGTCCTCTGTCTGCTTCAGCACACTTTCGAGCCTATGTCGTCTTTTGCGAGGTTCCGTCGTTGCGAGACCGTTCGTCTGAGGTTGGGATTCGGCCGAAGTGGCTTCGGTGCTCTTCCCTGTCGTCGCGACATCCTGAGTCTCCTCCACATCATCGTCCATCCTCTCAGAATCTGGAGCAGGCTCTGAAGACAAGTGCGCATCAGATGCTCCAACATCAAGACCCTCGTCATCGTCCTTGCCAGCCTTATCGGCCTCTTTTCGAGCCCTTCTTGCTTCCTTCTCCAGCTTATGTCGCTTCTTCTTGTTTTTGATATGTGCAAAATCACCCGTCGGCACAGCCTCTGGCGCTACATCGTCGCCGTCCATAGCAGCATCCTCTTCGCCATGCTCGGCACCCGGCAGCGCATCCGTAGACGCATTGGCAACAACTTCGACTTTAGCCTCTTCCTCTTTCCGAGCTTCAACTTGAGCTTTGAGCACACTCTCTTTCGTTGCCTCGAGACCCTTGTTCCTCAGCTTCTTCGCTTTGCGCTCCGCGACTTCATCCTCTGATCTTTCTCGCTTCCGTTTCTTTTCCGGCACTGGGACTGCAGCTTTCTGCTTTGGCGGCGGCTTGGGCACAACAGCAGCAGCCACGGAGTGAGCTACATTTGACGTCTCTACGCCCCCAGTAGACTTGGGCGGTATATATCGCTTGTACAAGCCCGCCATTGCCTTCCTGAAATCTTCCGTAAATTTATTGCAGCAGCAGGAACTTTGACATGTGAACTTCTGGAGTCTCTCATCCATCATGCATGCTGACTAAGCCATGTTCCACTCCACTTCACTTTCCGTACTCGACTTCTCCTTGCCGATCGACCATGAAGTACTATCGACTACCGAATACGACCCAACCTCATGCCGCACACTGGCTTGGAGAAATACGCACCGAGAGCAATGCCGTAATATCGACTCATGCGCGCCGACTAGGCGCCACATGACCATCACCATGCCGTACAATATCGCGTAGGACAATGTCGCATTTTGTCTTTACGGCTGTTCGCTGAAAATGACAGGATGATCTCCGACTTCTTCTATCCGCAACCAGGGGGCGTTGAAAGTCACATTTACCAGCTAGGCACAGTAGGTCTTCCCTGATCTTTCTCTTACCACTTCGACTATGATGTTTCCATTATTCTTTTAACAATTGTCCTACCAAATATATGGGAACAGACTGTGCAATATCCTGAGCCGAAATCTCACCTATTCTTGTTCGCAGGAGACAGTATGCCAGCTTGGTTCTGACCAGCTAGCAGAAACTTATCGACCGCGGCCACAAAGTGATCATAATCACCCATGCCTATGGTCCGCCCTCCGATACATACCCAAGCCGGACTGGTATACGCTATCTCACGAATAGACTCAAGGTCTACCATCTACCTCATTGGGTCGTCTATCGAAGTACAACCTTCCCGACAGTTTTCAGCTCTTTCCCGATGCTACGACAGATATTCATCCGCGAGCAGATTCAGATCGTGCATGGGCATGCCTCATTGTCGAACCTGTGCCATGAAGGCATACTGCATGCGCGGACGATGGGCTTGGGAACAGTGTTCACGGATCACTCTCTGTTTGGATTCTCGGACGCTGCAAGTATTATGGCTAATAAGCTGCTCAAATTCAGCTTGAGTGATGTTGGGCATGTTATATGTGTCTCTCATACTTGGTACGTGGTAGTCCCACCGCGATGGTGTAGCATGGTCGAAAGCTACTAACGACATATAGCAAGGAGAACACTACTTTGCGCGCCTCGTTGAACCCATTAGCAGTCTCGGTGATACCTAACGCGGTCGTCGCAAGCAACTTTCGACCTCTCCAACCACATGAACTCCAACTCCTGCAACGTACGCCGCAATCACAGACAGATCCGAAGATCAATCTTTTGCCACCTCCTCCAGACCCAAGTCAGCCTGTTGGGCCGAACGACATAATCACTATCGTGGTCATATCCCGCCTATTCTACAACAAAGGAACTGATCTCCTCATATCTGCCCTTCCACTCCTGCTCCGTCGACACTCGAACCTACGATTCATCATCGCCGGATCTGGACCTCAGGCCATCGATCTAGAGCAGACCCTCGACTCCTTGCCACAACAACTACTCTACACAACTTCGGGGCAGAGTCGAGTGGTACAGCTTGGTAGTATCCGTCACGAAGAAGTCCGTGATGTTATGGTGCGTGGTCACATGCTCCTCTCGACTTCATTGACAGAAGCGTTCGGCACGGTTCTGGTCGAGGCAGCTTCGTGCGGCCTGATGGTGGTGGCTACGCGAGTTGGTGGTGTACCAGAGGTGCTGCCAGGTAACATGACTGTTTTCATACTTCCAGAGGTCGACGATGTCGTGCGTGGCGTGACCGAAGCAGTAGGTCTACTCACTAGCAAGGCTGTTCGAAGGGACAAATTTCACGACCTGGTCAAGAATATGTACTCGTGGTCCGACATCGCGCGGCGCACAGAAAGAGTGTACGACCTGATCACGGGCTCGCCTTCAGCGACGGACAATCAGGAATACTACAACAACGAGTGGGAGTCGTACGGGCAGCCAGTAAATCAGACACAGAGATCGGCTCTGATTGACAGGCTGAAGCGTTACTTCGGCTGTGGTATCTGGGCTGGGAAGTTGTTCGTGATTGTGGTTATTGTGGACTATCTGATCTATTGCTTCCTCGAGCTTGTGTACCCAAGAGAAGGCATTGATCTGTGCAAGGCTTGGCCCACGATTGTCAATGAGAATGGAGCGTTTGATGGTGCTGAGGACGGTGGGGATGGCGAGCTGGAACGATATGCTACTGTCAAGCAGAAGACGAGGAAGCCTAGGCAAGAAGAAGCAGAGGGAGACTATGGGTAGCTTGCAGCATGGAAGCCTACTGAATCGTGAGTAGCTACTGGATGGACGAAGGAGTGCTTGCTAAATGAGACAATGAAGCCGTGGTCCTCCAGTATCGACCGTTGTTCATACTCTAGGCGTCGGCCAAAATCAGAACAACAAGCACAAATGGTGCTTTCGTGGCTTCAGCTCCCTGCTAGCAAGCGGTATGAAAGATAACTGCTCGACGATATGGGAGCTACAAAGGCCTTTGACGTTCCAGCAACAGATAAGTAAGCCCTTCTGGCCCACCAACTCTGCTTCTCCTCTAGCACATCAGCGCCTACTCACTCACCCTCTCCCGTCCGTGCACCGATTCTTTCTCGGCTTTATAGGGGTGACGGGATTGGTCTGTGCTGTGTTGTGCTGCTGCTGCTTCCTTCTTGGGAAAAGTGGGGCCACACTCGTTTATCTTATTTATCGTGGTTTGCAATTCTTGAGATCTCGACGCATTGCACTCAAGACACACAGACTTCTTGGACACTTCCTTTAAAGCTGCGACGTCCACATACAAAGGCTATATCGACACAGCAATCACACCACCCGCATATACGCGCATACAAAGATACATCACGTATAGAAGTACAACTCTACTCACCAGACTTGCACTCTTGCTTCAAGTCACCGCCACTCTTTGCACACTGCTTGCAGCTCCTACGCGCCTCTTACCAGCTTCTACACGCACCATTGCACAGCGATCTCAGCAGCGCCACGCCAGCATTACATATCATCGGAGCATACAATGGCTCCAACAAAACAACAGCAGAAGGGGAAGGGCAGGGCGAGAGCGGCGCCAGAGTCTCTCGACTGGGATAGGTACCTGGTTGAAGAGGAGACGGCACCACCTCGTCTCCCACAATATCTCCGCACACCTGCAGAGGCTCTCCTGGATACAGACGATTACAGGGCGTATCAAGAGAGGCAGAGCAGAGGTGAGCAGGAGGAAGCTGCCGCGCCCCGGCGCACGTCATCCGAGACGAGGGCCGCCGTTGGACATGTCCGCGGTGGCGACGACGAAGACGCCGATGAATTGGTCTTCGTCAACATTGGTGAGGCTGCTGCTGTTCCTGCCGGCCTAGGTCTATGGCATTGGCTTCAGGCAGATGTGGACGGCATTCGTGCAGCGGAACTAGGGTTCGACCATCCTGCCCAGGTCGAGCATGCCCGAAATCAAAGCCTCTTTGCAAACGGTCTGGGTTTTGACGCTGGCCCGATCACTTTGTGGTACCCGCGCAGGGAGCTCTTCAATCCCCGTCACCAGCCTGATGGCCCTGGGAGATGGGCTTACCACACGCCGGCTGATCAACAAACGGCGGACTTGAACATGGGCGGGCAAGCGGATGATGCTGGTAGGTACGACTTTACCAATGTACCACATCCCACTGCCGCTCAGGTTTGGGCTGCTCGTCGACGAAGCGTAGATGCTGGAGAGCCACCGAATTTTCACCAGAGCCGGGATGTCAACGTTGTCTGGGTTCCAGGCACTGATGACCAAGAAGTTGGTGAGCAGGAGGCGGAGCAGCAGATGAGCGATGGAGAAGATGGCGAGGTTGGCCGCGTTACTGCTGGCCAGATCGATCCCGTTTCTGGGGTTGTGCACGATCCCCTGAACCGTGGCGAAAATGACCAGACTGCGCCAGACGACGATCTGGCAACCTACCACACTCGCGAAATTGCTGGCAAGGTCTTCACGCTAGATCGTATGCGAGCTCACGCTGGGCCACCTACACCACGCCTTGCTTGGATTCTCACCAAGAAAGGGGTGTGGCAGAAATACAGCGGCTACGAGAAGGTTGACTGGACGAAAGAGACGTCAGTCGAGTCTCTGAACAAGTGGAAGGAGCAGGCTCTCAATCGCAATGGCTGGCCTTCGAAGCGCGGAGACCGCCCAACCTACCCGGACGACCAGCGCGAGTGGATGCTGGAGTATGTCAAGGGCAAAAAGCTCCCCTCTTCATCCATCGCTCTCCATGAGCTCGCTGCTGCCTTTGACGAACGCTTCGATTCGAAGCGACCCGTGACTGGGTTGTACGGACTCATGACCCGCATTCGAGGTGAGCTGGATAAGTACGGCGGACTCCAGCCTGATCGCTTGAGGAGAGGTGACAACCTCAGGCGTAAGCGAAGTGAGGAGGAGAGCGAGGGTGAGAGCAGCGCTGGTGAAGGACCAAGCAAGAAGGCGCGCAAGAAGGCGAAGAAGTGAAACGAGGTTGAGCGAATCTCCTCTGAATCTGTAGTCGTTGCTTTCATCAGGATATCCATTTGTACTACGCTTCTTGCCAATCATCTCTTGCAAAGTCAGTATATCTGCGGTGATGTATAGTCGATCCGCAGATTAAGTCCCAAAGAAGGAATGAAAAAGGATCGTCCTTTGCTCCTAGCACGTTGGCAAGCCAGCCTTGAGGCACCGATCGGTGGCATATGGATTATGAGTACAGCGCCTCTGTCCATGCGCAGCATTACACGTATCACATTCTATGCCGTGGTATTCGCATGCGAGTGTGGTAAGCAAGGAGATATGCAGTCGTCTGATTAGATAGCAAAATAGAATGGTGTCGTGATTGTTCCCAATTGTACAAAAACAGGTCTTCCAGCTCGTACGAACAGCGCCATCATATTGCGTGTCTGTGTTCACTGGAGGAAGTATTGCACGACACAGGTTGGCTCTGGGGTGAGAAGAGGTTGGGGTTGGGGTGTGGAGATACATCTCGCTTGTGGCGCCGGATTTGCAATTGAAATGCAAGCAATCAATCAAGCATTCTTACTGTCGCGACCTTGTAACATGGCGCTCGAGAGGAGCAAACACTTTGCGAAACGGCAGTGATGCGATATGCAAGAGCGCGAGATGCCTTGGGATCATTACTGGGAAGGATAGAAGGAGACAAGGCTTGGGAAGGAGAAACGTGATCATGAACATGGCAGTTTTTCGAAGGCAGGACAACCTTGACAGTGCTCGCGCCATCGTCAAGGACACGAGGGCCAGTGAAACAAGACGCCGCAGTCACTGAACATGTTGAGATGGGCGCTGCAACGATAGCCGCTAAGCAGCACTTGGGGCCCAGTGTCATACCACATGAAGTGGACCTCTTACCGCTATCTTGAAGGGAAGCCATTACCACTACTCATTCGGCAGAGCATCGCTCATGCCCTTGTCACTCTTCGGAATCTCGTCATCAGCACTCTGCCTGCGTCATTGCTCCGACACATTGACCTTGACGATTACAGCCCGGCTCTCCGTCGTCTCAAGCAAACCATACTCTGTTTCGGCGCGGAAGAAAACATGATCGAGGAGGACCTTGACCTCGACTGGCGACCTGATAGTCGTCAATTTTGGCAAGGATGACTGAGCTGGCTGGCTGCGTCTCCGTCCGAACCACGATGACCCTCTGCGCATGGGTGGGGCGGCCGCCGGCTCAGGCACGGTCGGTGCTGGCAGTTGGACCTCGTCGTCGGACAGAGCGTCGAAAATCTGGCCTTGCAGCATACTCAAAGCCTCGTTCTGCCTCCAGAATTCGACCGTGTCTGCCGGGCCTCCAAGCTGCACGACAAGCGGCAGATCTTCATGCTCGTAACCTGTCAGGATGCCTCTGGTCCTTGCACCTGCGACAACACATTAATCCTGTGTACTGAGAAGCTGTTATTGTAGCACGTACTGTCATCTGATGGCAGCATCACGATCGTGGTCTTGCCCAAGCCCGACTTCACGCGGCTCTTCACCAGTGGCAGGAGCTTCGAACAAACTGCGGTAACATGCTGGAGTCGCGAATTGTTGAGTTCTATCCGGATCCTGAAGCGCTTGGGCTTCTTCCAATCGATCTCGTAGTCATCGGAAGAAGCGATACATGGTGAGGAGTTGTCTAGCCTGTTGCTCTCCTCGTACGTGGGAAGCCTTGTCTCATCCATCACGGCCATTGTGGGTAGACACTGGGAGTATGTCGTGGGCGTCGACTGTACTGATGTGTACAGGATGCGCCGTGGCTATGGTAAGAGCTGGGCTATGCAGTTCTTGGCACCAGCACGCACGAGTATTTCGGCACGTCGCCTTGTGATTGCAGAGGTAAGCAAGTTGTCATTGACTGTCAAAAAAGCTACTCATGGGGCGGAGGCGAAGCATATGATTGCAGATGCCTCAGGGCTCACCCAATTCATGTGATAAGGCTGAGCATGCGGATCCTCGTTCACCGGCCCGAGTTTACGCCCTGTGCGCTGCAGGATTCACTATACCAGCCGGATGCGCCATTTACTAGCACAGGATATCTGCGCCTTTCTTTAGGCCATACACAGCGTTGCATTGATGTTGATGACCACCACCGGCAATATGTGCCTGGGTTTGCCAAGACTTACACTTCGCCACGACAAGCCCTCAGCCGTCCCGTTCACCTCCGGGGTAAGTCGGGCACGTGCAAAGTATATTCACCATACGAGGCAGCCATCCTCCACTGCCCGCATTGCAATAGCAAAGATGGGATCATGAGGCCGCTATGCTGTGCATCTAAATGCCGGTTGCCAAGAGATTCGGCCTCATCGTGTGACAGGACTCCATACAGATGCCATGCATTCCATTGACTTATCGCTTAGCCTCGCAAGCACTGTCGCGTGAATGCAGAGTCATTCAGCTGCATCGCATCGCATATAAGGCCAGTCATGTGCGATTCACCTCCTTGGGTTCTCCTTCCATCTTTCATCATACCATCAGTGGCCACACATCCACTGTCGCTTCAGATCTCTTATAGTATACCAAGACCCAAGCACACCGCCCGACCAAGACATACACCATCAAGATGTCGTATCACGTTGCTGAGCCTAATGCGTACCTCGCCGTGAGTAGAAGCAGTCGTCAACACCGTGTAGTTCCATGCTAACTTCGACGCAAGATTACTGGCGCTGGTATCGACAAGCTCATAATCTGCAAGAAGCGTATGGTATGGCCTTTCCAGAAGGTCACGAAGATCTCTATCACTCCCTTCGACTTCAGTATGTCGTTGCAGGCTATGACCAGCGAGAAGCTGTAAGCACATACATTTCTTCTGAACCCCGTACAGGTCTGATATGCCCGTAGTCAGTTTCAGCTTCCAGCAGTCTTCACCATTGGCCCAGCAGACGACTCGGCTTCATTGCAGAAGTATGCCGAGCTGCTCACAGGAGATTCTGACGGCCAGCCACAATCAGCCAAGAATGGTCGCACGGTTGGAACCGGTCGCAATCATGTCCAGGACATTGTCAAGGGCATCATCGAAGGCGAGACACGTTCGATTGTCTCGAATATGACCATGGAGGAGCTCTTCAATAATCGTCGCAAGTTTAAGAGGGATGTCCTGGAGGGTGTCCAGACCGAACTCGACCAGTTTGGCCTTCGCATCTACAATGCCAACGTGAAGGAGCTTCAGGATATGGGAGAGTCACACTACTTCGAGTCTCTGGCCCGCAAAGCTCATGAAGGCGCTCAGAGCCAGGCTCAGGTCGATGTGGCGCATGCTCGCATGATCGGTCGTGTGGGCGAAGCTGAGAAGGAGGGTGAGTCTAAGCAACGCATCGCCGTTATTCAGGCCAAGACTGCCGTTGCCGAGACTCAGCGCAAGATCGAAAAGGCTGATGCCGACCAAAACCTGCGAAGTCGAGAGCTTGAAATTGCTCAGGAGCTCAATCTCAAGCAGATTGCTGCTCAGCGTGCTGCAGAACAACAAGATGCTGCGCTCCAGAAGGGTGTCGAGCAGAAGAGGGCTGAGATGGAGCTGGAACGCCAGAGGGCTACTACTGTCACTCAGGCTCAGATTGCTCGTGAGTCTGCTCAGCAGAAGGCTGAAGCAGATGCCTTTACGCAGATCAAGAAGGCCGATGCGCAGAAGTACCATCAGCAAGCTGAGGCTCAGGCCATCTCATACCGTACCCAACAGGATGCTGATGCTGCTTACTACAAACGCGCCAAAGCTGCTGAAGCCGATCTGGCTGCCAAGGAGAAGGAAGCGCAAGCTTTCTACCTCTTCGCTGAGAAGCAGGCGAAGGCCAACTACATCACTCGTGAGCGCCAGGCCGAAGCGGAGGCCGTTGCAGTCAAGAAACAAGCTGAAGCTCACTTCGTCCAACAACAGCAAGAGGCTGCCGGTGTGATCGAGATGGCCAAAGCCTACGGCGAACTCTCCAAGGTTCTCGGGGGTCCTCAAGGTCTTCTTCAATACCTCATGCTGCAGAAGGGCACTTTCACGGAACTGGCAAATGCCAATGCGAAGGCGATCAATGGCCTACAGCCCAAGATCAATGTCTGGAACACTGGCAGTCAAGACGCAGCGGCCTACAGTATGGCACCTATCCGCAACCTCATTCAGACTCTGCCACCCATGCTCAGCACTATACAGGAGCAGACAGGTATGACTGCGCCTTCATGGCTGATGGGGCAGCCGCAGCAGAAGTCTCATGAGAACGGTGAGATGAGCGTGGAGGAGAAGGCGGCTGCTAAGCAGAGCTTGCAGAGGACTCTGATGAACGGTCACAAGTAGCCGAAGGGCTGGCATGGAAGACGACGGCATTTTGTTGTGATGTGATACCCCTGTTTGTAGCACTACTGGCGAGGTGTATTGGTATAGATCTCGATAGTGCTTAGTGATTATCAGATCTTCTTTTCATGGCTTCTCATTTCGAAACTTTAGCTACGTATTTGAGGCGTGTTCAACTACTCTGGCTTTCTCGGCTGCTTGTCTACCAGCGTTGTGGCATACAGCGCCATAGCAGTCATGTTGACCTCTGCCGGCATGGGCTTGCCTTCTTCACCAAGTGTTGAAAGCAGCTTGAAGTAGTTGATGTAAAAGGCCGGCGTGCTTGTGAAAAAAATCCTGGCCTCCTCGTCGAAAGGATTGCTGAAGGTGTGTGGCGAGCGAATGGGCACAACCATGTAGTCGCCAGCTTTGGCATCGATGATCTCCTTATCGACTCCCGGGTTGCCTGGCTCTGGCTTGTGGAAGCGGACAGTGCCTTGTGTCACGAAGAAGGTCTCATCGTGCATTTCGTGCCAATGTGGTGGTGGACCGGGGGTCTTGGGTGGCATAATCAGCTCAGCTACACCGATGCGGTTGTCTGCAACGTATCAATAGTGTAATTCATCTCTGATTCGTGATCTGACGTACCGGTCTTAGACCCATCTTCCATGATCCGGCATGTCAGTGGTCCTAGGTGCAGGACTTCGCCGGCCTTTGCAGGCACAAAGCTCAATGGCACCTCCGGAATTGGGATGCCATTGGGAAGACTAGGCATGATAGGCTATTAGGTGAACTATGTAACCACAAAGAAATGAGGAGGAAATTATGATGTAGCTCCAAGAACAAGCTCCGATGGACTTTCGAAGATGAGACGGTGACGGAGAGTGGGGACGATTTCGGACTTGCTTTTCATCTAGAAGAGTTACGAGCTGCAATGGGTGCCTTCACATACTACTGTAACTCGAAAATGACCAATACTGCCCCTGCCGGAGTCTTGTCTCGCATTTCGTCCAGCCACCATATTCGGCACGATGTCGGTTTTAAGGATAGATATGCTCGGTGCGGGCGCAGTTCGGTGCGTTGGGCTGGCCCATCCCGAGGGCCTGGCGGCATGCTTTGTCTACTCCATCAAGAGCGCGGACGGGTAAGACATCGAATGTCGTGGTGAGGCCCGACTTCTGCCAGCATGCGGAATACAAAACTGTTCAATGGCAGAAGGCCGGTCACGATTTCTCGTGACTCCCGAAATTCGCGCTAGTGGCGCGTGTCGCGTCTCCCAACTTCAACTTCTCGACCTTCACTCACAAAGATGTAAGATGAGTGCCATTTTCGATGATGAAGCCATTTCGACCTCCTTCGCTTTTGAGCAGACAGATGTGCGTTGGTGATATCGGTCCCATGGACGGCAGAAGCGAGCCACCTGCGAAGAGACGACGCATCAGTGGCGATGATGACGAAATGGAAGTGCTTGCAGCTGCAGCAGACGTCCTGAAGAAGCCAAATTCTATCAGCAAGAGATTCCAGTCGCCCGCTGTCAGGAAGCCGTTAGAAGTCGTAAAAAACCCTTCTAGCTCCTCTCAGAGCAGCAACACAAACAGCACCAATAACGCATACTTCACCGTGCTATGGTAAGTCGGATCGCTTAGGGACGAAGTTGCAACCTAACGCAAGACAGGCGCAAGTTTACGACCAAGAAGAACAAGACCTGGGATGGCGATGGTGTGCTCTCCGTTGTTGGCGGCATGGCCAACTTGCAGAATATCTCGGGCAGAGAAATGGGCCGTATTCCATGCAAAGGCCCACTCATGGTTGGATCTGAGCTGAAAGTTGGAGGCAAAGACGTTGAGATCGAGTCTATGATCACGAAAGAAGATTTCCTTGCTGGTCGACCATTCCTAGGTAGCACCAAGAAGCCAGAGCCTGCCCAGCCACTGAAAGCAATCGACAAAGTGAGCAAAGGGAGCCGCAAGGCGCAGACTAAGCACGACAAGATGGCTTCGACACAGAAAGACATATTGCGATCAGCCCTTCCTACGTCCCAGGCTAGTAAGTCTAGCTTCAAAGCACCACTACTCGCCGACACCGTGCAGAAGCAACAGAAGGATGCTCCGCTTCCAGTGCCACGCCATGACCCCAATAGTGAGAATGCTCTCGTCATGAAACGACCCAAGTCAGTGCCGAATGGAAGACAAATCGTGGACGTTGTCGTCGATCCCATACTGAGCGCAAAGCTGCGGCCACACCAACGTGCAGGCGTGGCGTTCTTGTACGAGTGTGTCATGGGTATGAAAGATTATGATGGAGAGGGCGCCGTGCTAGCGGATGAAATGGGACTTGGCAAAACACTACAGACTATCGCTCTGCTGTGGACATTGCTGAAGCAAAACCCGATCTACAAAGATGCACCAGTCGTCAAGAAGGCCTTGATCGTCTGCCCTGTCACTCTGATCAACAACTGGCGTCGCGAGTTCCACAAGTGGCTCGGCAAGGACACCCTCGGTATCTTTGTTGCAGACACGGACAAGAAGCTCAAGCTGTCGCACTTCACGATGGGCAAGACGTACAGTGTGATGATAATCGGGTACGAGAAGCTACGAATGGTACAGGAGGATCTGAAGAAGGGTGGTGGGATCGACATCGTGATTGCCGACGAAGGTCATCGCCTGAAGACAGCACAGAATAAGTCCGCTGCCGCGATAAGGGCTCTGAACACTGAGCGCCGTGTCATTCTTAGTGGTACTCCGATCCAGAACGATCTGGCTGAGTTCTACACTATGGTCGACTTCGTCAATCCTGGGCTGCTCAACAAATATTCGGTGTTTAAGAAGGAGTTCGAGACGCCGATACTGAAGAGTCGCCAGCCTGGTGCAAGTGCAAAGGAGCTCGAGAAGGGCGAAGGTCGGAGCGCGGAGCTTGCCAACATCACAGGCATGTTCATCCTCAGGCGGACTTCTGAGATACTGGCCAAATATCTGCCAGCGAAGACCGAGTATGTTGTTCTATGTCGGCCGACAAAGGCTCAGACATCAGTGTATCGAGCCATCATCGAGTCGCCTACTTTCAGCGCTGCCCTTGGGTCCACTTCCATCACGCTGGAACTCATCAACGTCCTTAAAAAGGTCTGTAATAGTCCAACCCTGCTGTTGAAGAAGGATAGCAAAGGCGAAGATATTACGAAGCCGGAATTGCTGGAGTGCATACCACAAAAGTTGCTCAAAACCCCTGGCGCGAGCGGAAAGCTACAGGTGCTTGATTCGCTACTACATCGTATCCGTACCGACACGGAGGAGAAAGTTGTGATTGTCAGCAACTACACTTCGACCATGGACATCTTAGCAAATCTGTTGGGCTCCTTGTCCTACACTTACCTCCGTCTAGATGGCTCTACACCGCCTGCCAAACGCCAAGCTCTGGTCGATCGCTTTAATAGATCGTCTGCAAGCGATGCTTTCGTGTTCTTACTGTCTGCGAAAGCTGGAGGTGTCGGCTTGAACCTCATCGGCGCGTCACGACTAGTGCTCTTCGACATCGACTGGAACCCTGCGACTGATCTTCAAGCCATGGCACGTGTGCACAGAGATGGCCAGAAAAGTCCCTGCTTTATCTACCGTATGCTTACGCAAGGTGCACTTGACGAGAAGATCTTCCAGCGGCAAGTCAGCAAGACTGGTCTCGCAGACAGCATTGTGGATGGCAAGGCTAACACGAACGGCTTCACACGCGAAGAGCTGAAAGATCTCTTCACGTTGGACGAAGACTATGATGGATGTCAGACCCACAAGCTACTCGGCTGTCCTTGTGGTGGCATCGGCTCAATCTCGCGCGCAGAAGACAACGTTCTAGAGCGCAACGACCTTGCAGTCCTTGACCATAATAACGATACGTCGCAAAACGTAGCGGAGCCTGAGCTGGAAGTCATATGCATGGACCAGGATTCGGACGACGAGCCCGTCACGCGAAGAAAAGCTAGGTGGCGCACTGGGAATCAAGTCGACTGGAAAGCCGATGAGACTGATGAACGGCGCATGGCAAAGAAGCACACTGATGCTGCTGGTAAGACCAAGATGCTTAGCTTAATGCAGTATGCGCACTTCGACACGAGCCGGGCTGCGCCGCAAGCTGCAGGTGGCGAAACAGTAGCAGCTGTTGGGAACGATGGTGTAGAGGATATGGAGGAAACGTTTGACCTCGATTTGCTTGAGAATGCTATTGAGGACGATACTTTAAGAAGTGTCATTCGTGAAGATGGACATCGCGTCGGCTTCGTCTTCACGAAGACGAGTGCTTGATACGTGTGCGGCAGGCTTGTCAGCATGGCCATGCAGAGCGTTCGCATGAAGGCGGTCATGATGTACAAACATATATGGGTCTGAAAGGCCGAAAGTGTGTAGAAACAGCACATGTTCCGCGTCCAATATTGCGACTTTATGTACTATGACGACGCTTAAATCTACTTTGGTCCAGGGTGAGCAGACTCATAATTGGGCAGATGCGCCTGCCACACAAGGATCTGCGTATCAACATTCAGACCGCTCTTATCGCTATACTTTGTCTGGCCGAAGTTGTAATAGCCGTCTTGCGTGATGAAATCATTATCGCTGACGCTGATGATGTAGAACTCGTGATCACCAGCTCCGGTGACACCCGCAGGCACTGGTACAATCGCAATGGACTCCCACTTCTCGTTCAGCTCGGTGGCGTAAGGAGGGCCATTCTGCAGACCGAATCGAGCGAGATCAGTATTGTCGTTGATATCAAGGAATGAGCAGTATTGCGTGGTCTTGACGTGAGGGAGTAAATAGTCATTAGGCGCGAGGGCGATGGCAGCGAGGCCTTCCTCCGAGGCGATGTCGCTGGCGCCTTGAGTCGATACAATATCGATGTGGCGGTATGTGGAAGGGGTGTCTGAGCGGCTACCACGACCGTGTCCGCCATCTCGCGCAAGCACAAAGTACTGGTTCTGGGATAGGTAGTGTGTGTCGCTGACATCGAGAGAGCGCGGGTTCTTGGTCTCAGTAGGGTCGTTGACGGCCGGCTGCTCGACCACCCACTCGTGAATTAGGCGCGGGTTTCTCTGGTCAGAGACGTCGTAGACCACCTGCCTTGTAATATTGGCACGAGTGTTGTGTGTGCCACCATCTTGGACTAACGCAGCCTGGATTTGAGCTGTGAGGATTCGCTCATCCTATCATCACGTTAGTAACACTTTACCCGCGTTATGTGGTTGGAGCGGACGCCTACAGGAGATATGGCAAGTCCCTCGAAACCGTGATTGTTTACTCTGCCAGCATCTGGATCGTTCGCCTCGTCAAGACCTGACCCGACGGGAGGATTGCCAGAAGTGAAGATCTCCACGCCATCCACGAATGGGATGAAGGAGATCGGTGGTCGAATGGCCGATGTCATCTGGCCGTCCTTTGTAAAATGGTAGATGTAGGGGCCACACTCATCGGACATCCAGTATGAGCCATCACGGAGCCTGACAAGACCCTCGATATCAAGGGCTGGGGCAAGCTGGCCACTCGCACGCTTGCCTGCTGGAAGATCTGGATAGCCACCTGCAGATGCGATCACATAGTCGGCGTCCAGGCCAGTGGTGGGCACACCGCCTTTGGACAACAGAGTGGAGTCTTGGTACGACAAAGCAAGATTCTTGCTGCCATTGTTGACGCTACCAAAAGTTGGGCTGAACGTAAGCTGGAATTGATGGACTCTGCCCTGATAGTCGATGGAGCCTTGTGTGTTCCAACCACGATCTGGGCTGGCGTACAGAGTCCCAGACACAGAGCCATTGCTAGACTTGCTGAATCTGGACAGATCAGGGCTGATGGCCGAGCCAAAACCACCAAGCGTATCGCCGAACTTGCCACGAGCATTCCATGCTACCGTGCCAAATGCTACAAGGCCACGTTTAATGTAATTGGTCCCGCTGCATATCGATTGGCTTGAGACCGGAAGTGTCGAGCCAGACGGGTATGGAGCGGGCGGTGGTGGAGTCGCAGGTCGTGCTGGAGGCGGTGGTGGCAGAGGGGGTGCAGCGTCAACGAGGCTTGAGGCGCAAAGTGCAGCGACAGCTGCTAATGTAGAAGTATGCATGGTGATTGCTAGGCCTACGGTCGCTACAAGCGAGATGGATAGATATATGATCGCGCGGTGGCATTCTCGCCACCAAGCCGTATGCTTCCCGTATTATCAGGGGCTGTATGCGTCCAAGACGACGGCCATCCCAAAGACACGGAATGCGACAATAGATCGACAGGCAAATTTTTCGCCATTCCATCGTCGTTGGACAGTCCCCTTCCTGTTCTAAAAGATTTTTGTCTGTGGTGGAGTCTTATTATGAGTTAGGTCCTGGGCGCTACTCTTGGCAGTCGACGTTCACCCGGTCAAAGGGTGGGGGTTTTCCCTCTAGAGACCAATGACTCCATTGGAGACACGACAGTAGGGTTTGGAAATAATAATTGTACTCTGTTGTTAGATAGCAAGAGTGGAAGGCGGATGGCCGTCGTGGATATGCAGGCGAAACATCCAGCTACGCCATTGGCCGCTCAAGCGTACCAGTAGCAGAGATGCATGCTGCAGCTTGGGGCCGCCTGGTGAAGGCCGTCTCAGCCTCACACCCGCGACCTCGTAGGAACGCTGTGTCAGCTAAAGTGCCATACGACCATTATACGCTTCAGTGGTAGCCTACGTGCGTCTGGCCAGACTTAGCGAAGCATATCTTCCAAACCTGACCTCACAATGAGCGTCCATAGAGAGGATCAGGATTTGATGGGTGCGGCGCCTGCAGATGCTGAGAACAGCGTCACTAACACTGGACGGACCAGAGTACACCCCGTCGAGCAAGCGATGACGGGTGAGCAGATGCAACGACCAAAAGGTATACTGAAAGCGCCTACCAGCAAATTTCCGGAGCACCCTATAGAAGATGGAGTGTTATCCATAAAGGTATGTCGCACCTGTGGAAGTACAATCCTATTTACGTGCACAAGGCTGACTGCAGACAGCAAAACAATGCCAAATCCATTCCTCCCGGGGCTCGATGGACCAAGATCGATCGACGTTTAGTCGACCCCGAAGCGCTCGAGGAGGCCTCGGAACGCTTTGAGGAGCGCCTCGATTGTGTCATTGTGCTTCGTGTGCTTACAAAAGAAGAGATTCAGCACCTGGCAGACAGGACACTCGAGCTTCGAGACGAGCGGTATGAGGCCGAACTCGCCTCTCGCGGGACTCCTCGAGGCAGCCGATCCACCACACACGATCGAGATGCCGCACCAGCAGATGATGAGAGTCTCCCAAAGCCGGACGATGGCGAGCCTGAACAGCAGAAGGTGTTCGGGAAAGCTTCGTCAGCCCAAAGTAAGCCAAGTGATCAGTACCGTCCAACTCCATTAGACGGGATCGTGGAACGTCACACATCGCCAGAAGCTGGTCAGACTCATCGCGCCACCTTCTTAGCGGACGACCACCCGAACATCGAGCTCCAAAATAGCTACGTGTATACAGATCCTGCTAGCATGTATGCCAACACGGAGCCGAAGTGGTGCAGGACAGAAACCAGAGACAAATTCGACAGAGCAGCTCGTGGATCTTCTTTGACCTCTGTCAGTCCGTCAAGGGAACAACCAAGTCAAAGTACCGAGCGTGCTCGGCAGTCCGCACGCGAGCTCAGTACTTCGACGTACGCCAGAGGTTGGGGATCTGTCGACGGAGCAGGTCCCCCTCGAGCTTCCGCAGGTCAACTCAGTGGTCCCCCTCCTAGTACTCGAGGGTGGGACAGGATCTTGGAGACTAGCAAGGCGAAAGTTTTAGTCGGTGACTTGCAACACGCTGCTGGGAAGCTCAACGTCCAGTTGAGAAGGGTGATGGCGAAATCCCTGATTACGATAGCGGTGTGAAGAGCACTGGGCCAGGTTCAAATACAGCTCGACGTCGTTTCAGAGATACTTCACCCACCGGCCATGTACAGAACTACGCAACTGATTCATACTCTGGTTATCAGACCATGGAGCAAGTTGAGAGACAGAAACGGCGGGTGGATGATGCTGTCCACGAATTGGCGTTCGATCTCATTGGCAGGAAAGAGAGGAGACAGACATTGTCCACTATTCCAGAGCCGGGTCTTAGGGATTCCAGTCAGGAGCAAGATGGGTATAGGGACCGGAGGGACCAAATCCAGCGTGAGCTGGACGCATCTACGATCAGTGATCGAAGTAGTCCTGAGATCGACCCTGACCATGAAAGCCGTAAGCGAGCGCGTGAACAAAGGCAACGTGAGAGGATCCATCGCGAGCAGCATCCAGATCTACAGCAAAATAAAACTGAGCGAAGTACCGCCGCTACTGCTTCAAGCCTAGCCAGAGTAGATCACACAGAAGGTGACTCTGGCGAGCCATCGCAGGAAGACGAGGTCCAAACTCAAGCAGTACAGCCCGATGCGTCCCTACCTCGTTCTCCCCACCCGCTTGCATCAGAGATACCACACTCATTGTCATCGTCAACCACGCCCAAGATTTTGGGCTTTACAGATACATCTATGGGCGATGCAACCGGGGAGAGTGCGCTCGCAGGCCGCGCCTCGGTGGCCACAAGCAAGACCCAGCAAGTCACCGATAACAATGTACTGAGCGAGGCACCACAGGAAATCACAGAGGACGATCCGATGTCAGCAGTCGATAAACGTACAGGGGATGCATGCGAATCGGTGAGCAGTCTCACCGATAGCCACACAGCCACTTTGTCATACGCAGTAAGCGGTCAAAATTCGACCTTGCCTACTTCGCTTGATCTAATCAACCAGCCCTGTAGACCTGATGAGCAGCGAACAGGCATACGCATTGCCGCTAGTGTTGCTGATCCTGGTCTTGATGCCGAAACGAGTGCCAAGCTTACGTCCTTATTTGTGGACGATTTTCTAGCCAACCTACGTAGTACACCCGGCTTAATACGAGAGCTTGCAGAGTCGGCACACAACGCTGCTAACTTGATCCGCGAGTATGCCCGACTAAAAGCGACGGCTGCCTCGACATCAGTTGAAGAAATTGCTGCTAGCGTCGTACGATATAGGAGACAGTATGTGCTTCCGCTACCCATCTTGACTGAGCCTAGTTGACGCTGTCTAGTGATATCGCTGCAAACATCAAATCTATCGCCACCACCTTGCCAAGCCAAGACGGCGTCCTCAGCCTTGCGGACAAGCTTGCCCTCCTATGGGCCAAAGATCGACCAGATCGACCAGATGATTTTGAATATCTTGCCGCAGACGATGACTTAGACGACATCTTGCCTGAGCTCCTTCGTGAGCAAGACGTACGAGAAGCGCTGACGTTCCTGTTCGCAAGCGAAGAGTACCAATGGCTACTGGAACGGATGAAGCTGGAGACCATGATGTCAACTACCCAGTCCACATATACACTCGTACGTGAGAGACTGATTGATGTACAGGCCAATGCGTCAACCACGACACTCCAATTGGACTGGTCACCAAGGATGTTCATTGATCAGCAATTTGGAGAATCCACTGAAATAGGATCTACTATCTGCTTGGTCGGAGATGAGAGCAGTGCATATGCAACTACGTGCCGTGGCTACATAGACCTAATGTGGCCGCAAATCGGGCCTTATGTACTTGACCTGATGGCTACGGCCATCACAGGCGGGCAAGACGATTTCAGTGGTATGTGTCCTGTTTCATGGCTTCTCCCTGGGCTTGTGAATTTCTCTCTTACATCATGATCGACTTCGAACCCCCAGAGAACTTTGCGAGGACTTGGGTCTACCATAGTTGGCCCTTAACCGAGCAGCGCAGCTTGACGTGGTCGATAATGCACTAAACAGGGTGCGGTGTCCAGCATTGGGCTCCAATGGACTTCTTGATATCCATGCTTCTAGCAATTCGATCGCCGGGGCTTCCTACTCTCCTCTAATGGTTCTTGCTAAAGTAGATCAACTTGCTAATATAATCACGCAGACACAATCGGCGGTGCTCATGCTTTCAGCGTCTCTTTCGGCCATGGAAGCACTGTCGTCAATATTGCTGGTCCAGCAGTGTTGCGCCTCGAAGCTTCGGAGGTCCTCGTGTGGCTCGCTGCTGCCTGTCAATCGTCGTCTAGCGAGACGATGTTATCCACCTGTATGCCAACGATACAGAAGGCGAGTGGAAACGTCAGTAATGTTGCCTACGCCCTGTCACCTCTCTTTGATCCTGCAGAGACCATCGGCTTGTGCTGGCTTAGAATGTTTGGCAATCCTGTTATGGTATTGGGATATCCCATACCGCGACGATCCGCTGTTGAAGTTGGCCTTGAGGTACCTCTCGCCATGATGGCTGAGCTTGGACAGGCCGTGGACGTGGTCAACTTCTCAAATACGACCATCATCAAAGGGTTCGCGTCTCTATTCGTACCAACAATTTCGACGGCGACATCAGTTGTGTGGCATTTCATGTTGTCTCCAGATGGTAGTCGCGTTTCCTATAATACGGGGGCGGACGCCACTGGAATATCAAAGCACTTGGAGCCGGAGCAACTGCAAACAGCAAGACACTTCGTGGGATGGACGGCAACAGCAGATCAGCTTACAGGTTCGTGTCTCCGTCGCTAGTACTTTCTGTCCGAATTGCCTCCCACCAGCAACTTGAGGGCGGAGCAGTAACATCCCACAAACATCTGTGCGTGGGACATGCGCCACTGTTATCCAGAATCTCGGTATACTGCTTTGTCTTCTGCTTTACCACTGGCGCATCCCAAGTACACTCCTGTCTGTCGTGGACAAGTAGGGGCGTCGAGGTGAACCTTGCCAAAGTCGGCTAACACCTGAGCAGGTAGTTCTAAGGCAGGGTATGCCGTACGCCACAGCAGGTCGCCACTAGCCTCTCCAGCATTAGCGAGCTTGTCCAGTGTATGTCTCTCCGTTAGTAAGATTGTTGGGGGAAGCATAAGCTTCGTTCGTGGAAAGAAAGACATACCTGCTCCCCTCAAACATAGCGGTGATTATCTGGCCAAGATTGAGTGTGCGGGCGAATGGAATGTAGTATTCTACGACGTCCTCTCGAGGCGAGCCTAGCTGTCTGATGGTGCCTCAGTCCTGCTCTACATCTGCAGCAGCTGGCTTTACAAACACAAGCAACGTCTGCAACTAGAAGTCATGGCAAACCAGGAGGATGAAAACGAATCCACAAAAGAAGCAGAAGGTGTCATTGGCGCTATCGATCACTTCCGGCACCCTCTCACCCTTGAGGGAAAGGCATCAGCTATCTCCGCATTATACAATAGAACGAACCGCAATCTGAAGCTGTCGAAGACGGTAGAGAGTAAGATTGAGGTGGTCAATGGTCAATCATCCCAGAAAGATACGACGACTTGGACCACTTGGCAATCAAATGTTGAAGAGAAGTTCTCTAGTCTTGAAATCGTCTTTGACCATATCGTGAGAAGCCGATTGTCTCAGACAACCAGAGATGTGAAGATGCCTTTCCGCAGTGGCACTTTCGAAGGGTACGAGTTCAACGATGTCGTATCTGGTACCTCGACTCTGCAACCTCACGAAGTCTCTCTTCTCCCAAATGCGGATGACTGGCTCAAATGGTGCTGTCAAGGTCAAATCATACCTCTGATGGGTTCAGACTTTGGTGAGCTCGTTCGACCGACAAATCCACCTCCAGGAGCACATAATCAGTCGTGCGGAAAGTACGCGCTCTGCCCAACCAATCTTGACTACCTCGCCGCACCCGTCTCCATCCTGAGATCGCTGAATGACAGGATAAGCTCGCCTACAGACGGTAGCATCATGCTTGACCAATCGTGCGTTTGGAGACGTCCGGTGTCTTCATTTCGCCCCTGCCGATGCAAATGCGATGGAATATGCGAAGTCGATGTCACCAAGCTAAACGATAGATCACAGCGATCAAAGAAGCATACATCGGCTGACGATCCTGACATGATCTGGACCGAGTATGGTCGAGGCGCTGTGATATTTGGCAGCATTCGTAATCGGCTTACGAAGATGCACGACGACCTCGACGGCCAACTAGCTGTGCCTACACCGCCTAAGCTACGAAGGTCGAAAGCCACCATCTCTGATAGTGGCATCGATGTGGGTTCCTCAAGCAGTTTGGGGAGCTCTGATCCATCTGGCACAAAGAGTCCGCAGACATCAGAGAGCGGACTCAGCCTCGAGACCCACAGTAGCTCGAGCTCCCATCAGTATCAGCAAAGGCAGCAGACCGCAACGATGCAAGAGCGGTCGTCACAAACTCCGGTACACTACACGCCAGGACTGAAGTCACCGCGGACTGGAGGTCAAGCACACGGAGGAGCCGAAAAACGGTAGTATGCACACTCTAATCGTTTTTGCCTTCCAAAGTCCACATTTATCATGTTGTCGTGGCGTTGTAGCCAAGGACGATGGGTCATCGTTGTGGGTTGTTAGACTGTTGATGGCTGTGATATATTTGTTGTTGTTTTGACCAAGTCACAATCATGGTTTGCTTTGTTGACAGCTCACACCAAGTGCTATTATTTACGACCACAGTCAGCAGTAAGGTCGCCTCATGACTCTCCATGATTAATGGATGTTCACGAGTGCTCCCGACATGTATGTTGCCTGCATCTAGCGTGGCTCGTGCTTTGGTGACATTATTTCCATCGCAGCCGAGGTATCTTCTTGACGACATAGCCGTCGAAGACTCCAATGATCGTGGTCTTGTAGGCTCAGGTAGGTACGTTACTCTCTCGGTATATTTATTATCTCAATATGTCAGCTCAAGCAGATGTTCAGCTCAGAGATTTCAAGAGCCTCTTCTCGCTCAATGGCAAGGTAGCTGTTGTGACAGGAGGATCACGAGGCTTGGGGCTACACGCTGCCTCTGGGTATGTTGAGGTCGTTGGGAAACGTCTCATCGATACAACCATTGACGACTGCTTAGTCTCCTCCAAGCCGGCTGTTCCAAAGTCTTCATCACATCCCGAAAAGCCAAGGCGTGCGAAGAGGCTTGCGAAGCCCTCAATGCCCTTCCCTGCAATGGAAAGGCCATTTCAATACCTGCCGACTTGGCGAAGCTTGGTGAGGTCGAGAGGCTAGTGAAAGAGGTCGAAAAGCATACAGACAAGGTAGACATCTTGTTCGCGAACGCAGGAGCTACTTGGGGTGCACCGTTCGACGAGCACCCAGAGAATGCCTTCCAGAAAGTCATGGACTTGAACGTGAAGAGTGTTTTTGTCTGCTCGCAGAAGTATGAGTGCCTATGTCGTATGTCTTACGTATCGCACTGACAGTATGGACAGATTCGCACCTCTCCTCCGCAAAGCAGGCACGGTCGAAGATCCATCACGAATCGTGATCACAGCCTCGATAGCTGGCATTGGCATCGGCACTCTGGGAGCCAACGCAACCTTTGGCTACAGCGCTTCGAAAGCGGCCGTCCTCCACCTGGCTCGCAACCTGGCTGCTGAGCTGGGCCCTCAGAACATCCTCACCACGTCCATCGCACCTGGATTCTTCCCCACCAAGATGGCCAGTGGGCTGATGGAGATGACAGGTGGAGTCAAGGCACTGGCAGATGCCACTCCCAACAAGAGATTGGGTATGCCTGAAGACATTGCGGGAACCGTAGTCTACTTGTGCTCGAGAGCTGGCAGCCATGTCAACGGCGGACACATTGTGCTGGATGGTGGTTCTGTGGTGGCTACTTCGAAGCTGTAGACTGTGCACACTATGCATATCGTCCGATGTTGAGATGATGTACTACACTCGATTGGATTGGCATCTGAAGTGCTGGAGCGGGAGCACACGCCATAAAGCCACTATGCTGAAACACATATTTCTGTCGTATACATACTGTACATCATTCATAAAAAGCATGCTTTTGCCCGTACTGTTTTTTGCCGGTAAGCACAACTTTTGCTTTCGCGAGCCTATGGTTCTCGCTCTTCGCTCGCAGCCTGCTTCAATTGATTTCCAGCAACCATGAAAGGACTCCTTGACCTCAACTCCCGTCCGAACAAGATGAAGATCACAGGTGCAAAACTAAGCATCAGTGCAAGAAATGCCAAAAGAGTACTCGCCCAGTGGAAGCCAAGATTGGCATACATGCTCTGGGCAGCCAACGGCACAAAGCCTGCAACAATGTTCTCGCCTGCTGCAACCGCACTCACAGCTGAGCCGGCGTAACCAGATGCGGCGTAGATGTCTGTGATGTAGTCTGCGACCGCTGTGATAACAACTTGGATCCCGAAGCCAACCATTGCCAGTCCTATCGCAGGTACAATCCAATGGATCCAGGCATACGACGTCCATGCATAAACAAGCATTCCACCAACTATACTGATGAAGGAAGCGAAGACACTGACGTAGAGTCGTGCTTCAGGTATCGGCGTCCCGGGTGCCTCTTTATTGCGTGCAGCTGATTTGAGGTAAAGCCGTGTGCTGTAAAACGATGGAAACCAGCCGAGGACTTCGCCGATGACCACTGCGGCTTGGATATAGCCGATGCTGTACTCAGGCCAGTCATACAGTGTGCTGAAGACTTGTGCAGTGGATTGAGTAAACAGAAAGACCGTGCCAAAGCTGAAGGCAGACCAAAGTGTACTTGCCATCAATACTGGCTCGGTGAAAAGTAAATATGCTGGCCGGGTGGTCGATTTAAACAGCCGGTAGTACAGCGGTGGCTGGTCCATTTCCGCGGCAGTATATATGTGCTTTCCAGTTGACTTGCGCAGCTGCTTGGCACGGCGACGCAGTATCACATTCCCTCGTGTCTCCCTCAGCAGCACAAAGAAGACTGGAGCCATGGCTCCGTAGAGTATGAGCTGGATGTAGAAGATCCATCTCCAGTCGCCGATATGCTGCATCACACCCGCAAACATCGGTGGCCCAAGAGTGTTACCAACCAAGTAGAGGACGATGTAGAGTCCCACAGGCACACTTCGTGCCACGTCCGTAGCCCAAACATCAGGTATGACAGAAGAGATCGTGTTGGCCAGCAAGGAAACGCATCCGCCAGAGAAGAATCGCGTCACAATCAAAGTAGCAAAGTTTTGAGCCAGCGCCTGCGGTATTACCATAAGAAAGAAGAAAATGTAGGTCACTAGAAACCCGATCCGCACACCCACATCCTCCATGACCGGAAGGAAGAATATCACGAAGACAGCACCGCCGAGCGTCCATGATGTTATGGGCCAGTAGCTGTTCGGGAACGTGGCATCACTAATCCCAAAGTCCTGATTAATCTCCAAAGCAGCGACGGAAATGCCTGTGCCGTTCAAGGTCACAATCAGAGTCGAGAAAAGTGCAGTCGTCGTGACCAGCCATTTTCGTTGCTTTGGCCAATTGTATGGATTCGCAGGATCATGCGGTCCATCCCAGTCCAGTATGGTCACATTGTCCTGAGGTGTCGAAGCCTTTTCACTGTCTGGTGCAGCAAGTGGATATAATATGGTATCGTGACGTCGTGAGCCGCTAGAGTGAGAAGCAAACCTCTCCGCAGTATATCCAGCCGTAGGAGTGGTCATCGTGTCGAACGAAACAGATTCAGAACAGCCACCCGCGCCATACGAGAAAAAGTAAAACAGATGCAGATGAGGTAAGGAAACAGTAGAGGTCCGGTGTACTTCTCTTGAAAGCGAGGGCGAGAGCGCCATGTCACTGTTCAGGCGAACCAAACCTTTTCCGACTCTCATTACCTAAAAGCAGACGTTTCCGTGATCTCACACGCTCAAGTCGGACGGCCCGTCTGGTCCACTGCAGACCCGCTGGGGTTGTCGGAAGGCCTTTGGGTGTTGTGACAGGTGCGAGCAGAGTCACATTCACACGTGAGTGAGGAGAAATGCAGTCGCCCGGGACTTTATTGCCACAGGGACAATTTTGCAAGAAGCGCGACAAGCGACTGTCTGCCGTGAAGTCGGAGCAAGATCGGCCTAAGGCTGACAGTTCGGTGGCGTTCCGGGCGGCCAATTAGAGGAGGTGCATATGCAAGTCATAATCGATCGCCTAGTAGGCGATAAGCGATGCAAACCACAGACGATCATATGTCAGACTTGATGCGTAGGTATACTGCTATTGTGTAACCTACTTCGCCATGGCAGAACAATACCAGAAGGCTAGAGCCAAGATCTATGAAGCTCACAGCGAGGACCCGAACAAGCACAAGACTAACGATGGAGAAGAAGTGCCGTACGAGACGCATTATGCAGAGCAGATGGAGGGCTACCTGGACAAAAGAGCTCCAGACGCATCTGAAATTCTGAAATTAGCTGTCTGCGGTCAGCATTTCCGTCGCTGGGAGGTGCCTCGTGACAGCTATCCAATGACAAGGATTGGTTATCACACTTGGCGAACGCACCTGAAGAAGCGGCAGGCACAGCTCGTGAGCCAAATATTGGATGAGTGTAGGTACGAGATGAAGGACATCAACCGGTGCATATCATTGATCGAGAAGGAGGGATTGAAGCAGGGAGAGGATGAGGTACAAATACTGGAAGATGTTGCCTGCTTGGTGTTTTTGGATGACCAGTTTGAGCAGTTCAAGGACAAGCACGATGAGGAGAAGATCGTGAATATTTTGAAGAAGACCTGGGTGAAGATGTCGAAGCAAGGCCAAGATTTGGCTCTCCAGATCCCGATGACAGAGGAGTGTAAAGCGCTGGTCCAGAAAGCTTTAGCTGCATGAGCAGTACATGCTGTCGGCATAGCTGCACACCAAACCGCCCAGCTCAGACTTCCACGACCTCGGCCTGAAATTGCGAACAGCAAGGTAGCCAATCCCTCCGTCAAACCACCCTGAAGTTTGTTCGCATGCGCCGCATAACAGGCGCCTGGTTGGCAATCCTAGACAGAGCGGCGAGGAAAGGACAGAACTTGCAAACGGCGGATCCGAGTTCTTCGCATCCCACTTTCCTACACAATCTTTTGCCTCCTTGTTACTTGAAAAATGCTCCCACACAACTTGCACGCGGACGTCCTCGAATGCATTGAGAAGGACTTGCGCCCAGCGTTACCTGACAGCATTATACTTTTCGACCTTCGTCCACTTGGCATATAGTGGCGCGCACTTGTAGCGCATCAGGCAGATCTGCGAAAGTACGTGGTGTACAGGCATTTGCTTGTGCACCAGAGTTCTGATCCGCCATGGTTGAGTTGCGTCCTCGGTCCAGCACAAGAGGGCATCCTGAAGAAAGAGAGTGCAGATCGCAACACGTACCTCTGCCGGGAGCTGCAACAGGAAGGAGTGATGCTTCTGGATGGTGCGGATGTGTAGTCCGAGGTCTGCGAGCTGTCTTGGATTGCAGCCGTTGAATGTCTCCTTCAGCTGGCCTAGTGATGAAAGATCGAGGCCGTCGCTAATTTTGATACTGATGCCGGCCATGTTGTCTGCTTGTAGTGCTCTAAAGTCGTGATGGGAAAACATAGTGGACTTTGTGCGAATCAATATTCGAGTCAAACTTGGACAGGAAAGCTGAGCACAGACCAGTGCAAATAGACATATTCTCTTCATGCTACTTGACGTATAGCTTGTTTATGGGCTCCGCCGCGCCTACATGCGACTCACAGATGTGTTCACTCGAGCTTCAACTCGTTTAGCACAGGAGAATGCGGTGTGCTAGCAGCAAGCAACGTGAAAACAACAGCCGTCCTCGCGACAACCTAGAACCCCAACGTCCGCGCACCGTGTCATCTGCATGAAGTGTCCTTGAGGTCTCTCTAGGATCTCTTGCGCTTTCATGTCACATGGCAGCCGCTTCGCCCCTATACGCCAGTCTCAGTAGTCTCCAACCGCGATCAAACGCTTTACTTTCACACCCGTAGGCAGACCGACAGGAGTTCCCTTTCCAATGCCATCTGCGGGCCAATCTCTCATAACGCCCAAGTCATTCCGAAGAATCCTCCTCCCCAATCCAATACGAACATCCTTCTTAAAAACCTTGATACCCATTTCCAGCTTATCAGTAAAATACATAATCCCAAAATGGTGCTCCTTGCCACCCGCTACCACACATCCGATCAGACCTTCAACTTGCTGCTCAACTCGGAGCTTCGCGGCCGTGATTGAGTCGGAGGTCTTAACGCGAACCCAGACCGAGCCTAGGATCTTGGGGTCGATAGTCCTCCATTGCTTGTTGCCCACGTCTAGCGCGAGAGCTGTCATGGGCGTGCTGAGGAGTGCCACGTCTTCGCGAATCTGGCGGCAGAGGTTAAGAAGGACGCGCATTTCGGTAAGTACGCGGCGAAAGTAGCTTCGGTCTTTGTTCTTGTTTTGCTTGTCCCAGTCAGGAGACAGCCAGGCAGTGGTATCGTTACCTGGAGGCGTTTGATTCCTGGTGCTGTCGTAGATGTAATATTCGTAGATCTGGATTCGAAGCTCGACTGGTAGGCGAAGGATAGGAGGCAGTATCTTCGTGTCTTCTTCTGTTCTCAATTTGAGGTTAGCCATATTTCCGATGACCGCCTTGGTCCCCATTGATGGCATGGCGGTTGCATCTATTTGCGAGATGTTCATGACAAGAAGCGACAGCGGTGACGATGGCAGTGACGGTGGAGGCAGCGATAGTTCCGTACGGCCAGTCAGTAATGTGGCAGTCCAGTGTCCAGGGTCCCCAATTAGCTCCTAGGAGGCTTTCATGGCAAGGCTGCGCAAAAGCTTCCTCGGTCTCCGTTCCAAGCCCAGAAGCTGATGCTTAATCGCATGCTATTGATGCTGCAGGAATATGACTATGGCAGTACCGCCACAAGGAAAGAACGATAGTGCATTGTGAAGGTGAGGTTTGTAGCACTGGCGGGGGGGTGATTGGCTACGTGAATCTCGAATACTGGCTCGCTTGTTCACTTTATTCTTTCCTCCACCAATTATAGAACACTCATTGGAAGCACTGTGCGAAGGCCGCGCCGTCACTATCAGGCAGCTCACGCAGCAAGACGATAGCGATCATGGTGACGGTGCTGGCTGCCTCGACGAAGGCAAATGATTCTATTGGGATGGGATGAGACGACCTCCGGCTCGGCAGTGGCGGTGCATTCAACCTGCGCCTGCTCCTGACGGCGAGCCACCTCTGTTCCTGCATTCCTCACACGACACCTTTCTTGTCACATATTCATTCTTCGTTATCTGCATTCATGATACCGTCGAGCAGCAAACATGACCAACCCACAGGATGCCGACCTCCATTACTCTATTACCATGCGACCGCATCCCTTTCACCAACATCCCAACACGAATACAGAGCAGACGGCAGCGACGTACCTACCAGTCCTGGACCCAGCACAGAGTAATGAGCAGGGTCAGCCAGTATCGAAGCAACCAGGTCACTCCACAGCGCGTGAAGCCATGAGCAAGACCGACGAGCCGGCTAGGCAGCGGCCCGTATATCAATCTCGAACTAGTGCAGAGTCCGCTCGAGGCAGCGACGTCGATGTAGAGAGGGGCAGTAGTCTTCCCAGCTACACCAACGCCAACGACCCGTATAGTCTACGGTACGGCCTCAAGACGGACGAAGACATCGAGACGATCAAAGCCAACTCGGCGAAGAAGAGAAGTGTAGCTTTATGCGGTGTTGGGCCTGCACCACGAACAGCTAGAAAGCTACAAGGATTCTACGAGTCGCAGAATGAGAATATCGAGAGATTACTGAAGCCTGTGAACGATCATGTGAGCCAGCTTTCGTCACATCTCAGGCAATGGTCGATTGTGTCGATACTGACGACCCAACAGGTTCGCGAAGCAAAAGAGGAACGAGAAAGCGATGGTCTGCAGCTCAAGATCGCAATAACTGGCTCCTTCGCCGCCAACATCACCCTCGCTGTCCTACAAGTCTACGCGGCCGTCTCATCCAGATCGCTCTCGCTGTTTACCACCATGGCAGATGCTATCTTCGACCCCTGTAGGTATGTTAAAAAGCTACTAACAGCTTATTCGTCACAGTCATGCATCATCTACCCACTTTGCGAAGTGTTCGAGTTCTAGCCTGACCCACGTTACAGCAACCTCACCCTCATCTTGGCGAATCGAGCCGTCAACAAAGTCGACCCACGAAAGTATCCTTCGGGTAAAGCGCGAATCGAGACGGCCGGCAATATCGCTTTCTGCTTCATCATGACGGCTGTATCTCTCATATTGATCGTCGAGTCCATACAACAGATTGCCGGTCATAAGCCCGAGGAGTAAGTGGTTCCGTGGGCTAGATGCAGGCCCGACCAGCTAACATTGTTCGCCTCCAGTGTGGCTAGCTTCCATCTCCCATCTGTCATCGCCGTGGCAATTGCGTTCGTAACCAAGCTGTCGCTCTTCCTCTACTGCTGGTCTCTACGGAACAAGTACAGTCAGATCAGGATCCTCTGGGAGGACCACAGGAACGACCTATTCATCAATGGCTTTGGTCTGCTTACGAGCGTCGGTGGCTCCAAGCTCCGATGGTGGATCGATCCTATGGGCGCCATTATCCTTTCCGTCCTCATCAGCTTCTTGTGGTTACGCACGGCCATTTCTGAGTTCCAGCTTCTGATCGGCGTAAGCGCCGATACCAGTTTCTTGCAACACATAACCTATATCTGTAAGTCACTTATACAACGTCCTTCTTTTGTCATCACCAGGACTTCTGCTGATAATGACTGCAGCCATGACACACTCGCCCCTTATCATGTCTCTTGACACTGTTCGAGCGTGGCACAGCGGTCCTCGCCTCATCGTTGAGGTTGACATTGTCCTTAGCCAGGATATGACGGTCAAGGAGTCTCATGATGTTGCCGAGGAACTGCAGATGAAGCTCGAGAGCTTGCCGGACGTCGAGAGGTCCTATGTCCACATCGATTATGAGACAAGTCATGCGCCGGAGCACTTCACGAAGAAGGAGCTATGATCACGACCTACTTTACATTAGATTCATGAGCTGTACATAACATGTAGCTCTTTGATTGTTGCAACTGTTTAGATCGCAGACTTTGGGACAAGAAGTCGTGCCTCTATTATTTAGTAACATAGTCCTCGTTGTATCGCTTGAAGTTATACCTCCAGACATTGGGTGGAATGGCCAGTGTTCATGGTCAATCCTCGTGCATCGACCATGATCTCCAACCGGCCATGCCCGAACGTTCTCGGGTTCTCGGCTCGGAAGATCGCATCGGAGGTTGGTTCTAGTGTCTCGAATAATGTTTTACTCATCAGTCGTCCCGCGTCATCACCACCGCAAAGAGGCGGATGCGCCGGCAAGAACCTTCGTCTCTCAGGTACGATTGGTCTGAGAGAGAGCGCGAGCGTCTCGACCATGTATCGGTCAGGCGAAAGTGCAAGGCTGTATATCGCGCTGACATAGCTGCATCCTTTTCTCCTTCAGGCTATCCTACCTATCTCCAGCTCGTCTGCTCTTATGCCTATCAATTGTCGCGACTACTGATACCTAATCACTTATACTATTACGATCGACGCAGACAGAACTCTTGCCGCGTCTACTTTCCCTCATCAACTGCGAAATCACACGACTACAACACGACCACATACAACCGCGCATCATGTTTGACGTCGACTTCACGCACGCCTCGGCCTCTCCACTACCACCCTCTGCATCGCCTGATGTAGGCGTCCAACTGCTCCACGATTTCGAATTAGTAGTCAAGCTCAACCCAGACTGCAAAGGCTGCAAAAAGATACCACCACCCCAAGGCACGAAGAACAGGAACCCGCAAATCAATAGCGGGAAGACACCAGGCGGCCGCACTCCAGGCGATGCGCGAGGCGAAATGCAATACTACGAAGTCGAAGACGACCTACCCTTCATGCCCAAGAAGCTCTGGAGCGGCGGCGTGAAGTACGTTGCCGATTTCCTACCCACAGAAGATGGCTGCGATATCACGGTCCACGCACCAGGCGGTTTCACCTCCACGAATCACTGGCGAATACTCCGAGAGAATATCCCCGAGGATGGCGAGATGACATTACAACGGGTGCAGTCGAAAGATCTTATGCATGCAGACAAAGGAATGGGAGGATGGTATGTGCAGATCATCAGCGATGCGAGATGTAGTCGAACATTTGCTGGCATTGTGAAAGGGTTTTTGAAGGCGAGCCATTCGCAGTTGCAGACGGCTTTCATTGGGAAGCTGCAGGCTTCGCCTAAGGAGCAGAGGTCTAGGCGGCCGACGATGGGTCGTAGGAGATCTAGTGAGTTCTGATGGGTTGTCGTATGGTTTGCGTGGCAGGTTAAAGTGCGTAAGTGGTATTGATTCGGACACGGACTGTAGGCATAGAATGACAATGACTGGCTTTGAAGAGATGTCTTGAAGGTGTACGATATAGTAGCTAATGTATCGATAATGATTCATGACAAGGGCGTCCTTTGCTTCTATCCTTGCCTGGAACATGTCTTGGGACTTTAGCAAACAAGAGACGAAGACATATAGGCAAGGGCTCTGGGAAGCCCTATGTGCCTTTGCCACAATCAGTCTGACAACAGCCAAATACATGCCGATAGAAGAGCCACATTTTCTAACGCCATCAGGTGCAGCAGGCGAAGAACGTCTCGATGAATTGAAGCGATGGCTTACCCGCAGTTCAAACCTTAGGATTGAGATCACGCACACGGATCTCGTCATGGCGGTCAAAGCAGCAGTTGATCATATCTCCATGGACTTACACGTTCATGCCCACATACTCATCGGGGCAGCAGAAGCTGGTGAGAGACCACTTATGAAGATCAAGGACGGAGAGGATTGCTTTCAAACAGGCGAGGCGTTTGCCTGGGAGACCGTGACCATGAAGAGAATTGCTGATTTGAGTCGGGAGGCTTTGCAGGAGAAGCTTGAGCTGGCGCAGTTGGAGATCTGGTGGTTTAGGAGGGAGCTTGAGAGGTTGGAGGAGAAGTTGAGGAAGGCGAGGGAGAGGAGGGAGCAAGGCGTGGTAGAGCCGCTAGCATTCGAGGTTGTCGAGAGGCTGGAGGAGGACCGGTGAGTATATGATAGGCTGCTATGACAGCTTGGGCACTTCCGGAGGCGATCCTCTTTGAAGCTGTATGCTTCTTGTCACCATTGTCGTCAGATTCATCGCTGGAGCCGTGGTCGGTCCGGCACATCGTTTCATCATGGTCTGCTTAGTAGTTTGAGGAAGACTTTCGCAGATGCGGACGGAGCACTCACATGTAAGACATTAGGCTTCGTGGTCGAAGAGAGAGCTCGTGTGGAGTGGAGTGGAGGAGAATGGGAAATTAAGATGACATGGCGCTAGCGTTCGTCATGGCGCATTGCTTGCTTTGGGAGGGGGTCGCTCTCTCTCTATTCACCCAGACTTTGTTCTTGGCCATTGAAGTGTGACAAGTGAAGTCTGAGAGGCAGGGATTGTAACGAGCCTCAAGAAGCCGCAGGAGCGCTCGATGTTGCAAGATGAGTGAAAAAGCCAACCCATCGTAAGCGACTTCCTCATGCACGTTGCGGCACGGACAGATTCCAGATTCCACGTGTTTGGCTGCTTTACTGTGCAACCATTGTCAGGAAGGAAGGAAGGAAAGAAGGAAAGAATCAAGCCTGCTGACACACCTTCTCCAGGTCGCACAAGCGAACGCGATCAGCTGTTACCCGCGCACTTCAACGCATCTCAAGCCGAGGAGAGGTTCCAACGCTAAGCACACAACGCGAGAACGAGAACGAGATGGTGGGCCCGAGCCCTACAGACGATGGAAGACGGGCATCAAATGGCGATTTGTTGTCGCCAACTGCACCGCGAGCCTCGATGCAGAGCAACCGCCCTCATCTGTCGACGACTATGTCCAATGCTGGAGCGCCCCGTAAAAGCATTGAGTTGACCAGCCCGAGGGAGCCAGCAGAGTTGACACCATCCAGTGCTGCTCAGGGCACGTCGATTGAGCAGTCCGTGCGGCTATTCAAGGTCTTCGAGAGCTTGCGGAATGGAGATACGGCAGCTATAGCAAGAGCTTGCAAGCCGGATGGTGATTCTAAATTGGAAGGCACGACTGTGCTACACCTATCTATACAATGTGCTGAGCAGGCCGTGATCGAGTATGTGCTGTCGCAGCAGTCACAAGACATCAATGGTCGCGACCGTGAGGGCAACACCCCTTTGCACGTTGCATCTATGCTTGGCCGAGCTGCGATTGTGAAGTTGCTGCTCAACTCGGGCGTCAACGATACCATCGCGAACTATCAGGGCAAGACTGCACTAGACGTGGCACGGACGCCCGAGATTTTCCAGCAATTGCAACTGAATAGATCGATTCTCATCGACACCAATGTCCGCAAGGTTCAGCAGCTGGTCAAGTCAAGCGACTACGACGGATTAGAAAAGCTGCTTGGTGATAGCCGTGTTAGGTCAACTCTAGACATCAACGGTCCGGAACTTGCAACAGATCCCGCTACTATGGAGCAGGGTGGGACGCTATTGCACGAAGCTGCACGAAACAAAGATATCAAGCTTGCTCAGCTTCTTCTGCTCAACGGCGCGGATCCATTCAAGCGTGACAGGAAGGGCAAGTTGCCGCAAGATGTGACCAAGGACGAGCGAACACGATCAATACTGAAACGCTCGCCCGCGGCACAGACTGCGCAACGAAATATCCAGGAGCGCACTATCCTTGGTGAAGGCGCCTCGGTGGGCTCTATCGCATCTCCAAACGATGCCGGTGTCGGTGGTAAGGAGGCTCGTGAGATGAAGGGCTACTTGCGAAAGTGGACCAACTACACAAGTGGCTACAAGCTCCGATGGTTCGTCCTAGAGGACGGCGTGCTGTCTTACTACAAGCATCAGGATGATGCCGGCTCTGCGTGCCGTGGCGCTATCAACATGCGTATTGCGAAGCTGCACATGGATTCGAAGGACAAGCTGCAGTTTGACATTCACGGCAAATCTTCAGTGAAATACAGCCTGAAAGCAGATCATGAGATCGAGGCGAAGCGGTGGTACTGGGCACTCAACAATGCGATCCAGTGGACCAAGGACGAGGCCAAAGAGCAGCAGAAGCGTCAGCAACAGGAGACTTTGGCCATCCGAGAGGCGCGCAACGAGCAGCTCGAGCGGCAGAGGACGAGAGAGGCAGAAGTCGCACAGCCTGGTAAACTTATCCCGGGGACTGTGTTGGACGTGCCATCAGGAACATCCACTCCGCAAGTTGGCAGTTCAATCCGCGATGAAGCTAGTGTGCGAGACAATGAGTCTGTTCACGGTCTAAGCAACATTGGCACAACCATTGCTGGCGACATGGACGATGACGAAGAGTATGGCGACGACGCAAGCAGTCACGATCTGAAGCCAGCTAGCAAAGACGCCTTCAGCATTACTGCACAGTCTGCTAAGCTCCAGCTGGATTTGTTAGATCAAGTCAATGCGGCTGTGAAGAAGGAGACCGAGAAGAACCCGGATCTCCCAGTGTCGGATCCCACCATCAAACAGGCTGCAGCGTCGTACGAGACAGCTGTTGATAACCTTAAGGGTCTGCTCATGGATCTCCTGCGCATCTCACGTGACCATGAGGCATACTGGCAGTACCGGGTGGATCGCGAGCTGAACATTCGCCGATTATGGGAAGACAGCATGGCAAAGGTGGCAGCAGATCAGGAAGTGCTGGAGAGTCGTATCGGAGAGTCCGAGGACAAACGCAAGCGGACGAAGCGTGCCCTGAAAGATGCTTTGGCTGCCTCTGAAAGCAAGGCGCTCTCTCCAGAGGAGGACACCACTGTCGACCCGACCAAACTAATGTTGGAGCTGCCCGAAGATAATTTCAGACCCCGATCTAGACGGCCTACTATTGCTCAACTTACGAACAATGAGGTGTCGGACGATGAGGCTGACGACGAGGAAGAGTTCTTCGATGCTGTGGATGCAGGAGAAGTCGAGGTCGTAGATACCATGCCGCCATCTAGTCCACCAGCTTTCACTGAAGAGCTGAGCTTGGACCAGGTTCTGGATCAGAAGGTCGATCCTGAGAAGCAAGGCAAGGAGCTTGAGATCGCCAAGTCCTACAAGGGCTATGAGGACGGCACACGCAAGCGACTGAAGCTTGATGCTGACAATCGACCCAAGGTCTCGCTCTGGAGTATCCTGAAGTCCATGATTGGCAAGGATATGACGAAGATGACACTGCCTGTGTCCTTCAACGAGCCTACGTCGCTACTGTATCGTGTCGTGGAGGACATGGAGTACACTGATCTGCTGAATGTGGCAGCCGATCGCATGGACTCCACCGAGCGTTTGGTCTATGTTGCCGGCTTCGCCGCGTCTGAATACGCTAGTACGATTGGACGTGTCGCCAAGCCTTTCAACCCGCTGCTCGGCGAGACGTATGAGTATGTCCGCCCGGATCTTGGCTACCGCTTCTTCATCGAGCAAGTCTCGCATCATCCTCCAGTAGGTGCAGCATATGCTGAGAGTCAGAGGTGGGACTACTACGGCGAGTCTGCCGTCAAATCGAAGTTCTATGGCAAGTCTTTCGAATTCAACCCTCTGGGTACCTGGTTCTTACATCTACGACCTGCTTCTGGAGGCGAGGAACTGTATACCTGGAAGAAAGTGACCTCCTCCGTAGTCGGCATCATCACCGGTAATCCCGTGGTAGACAATTACGGGCCCATGGAAGTCAAGAATTGGACCACGGGAGAAGTCTGTTACCTTGACTTCAAGCCCAAAGGCTGGAAAGCTAGCTCTGCTTTCCAGGTCTCTGGTCGTGTGGTGGACAAAGGAGGCAGGACAAGATGGAGTATTGGTGGACGATGGAATGACAAGATCTATGCTCGGTTCACGCCTGGATACGAGGCTGCTGTCGAGGCGCCTTCGGCTGAGAAGCCAGGCAAAGATCAAGCTTTCTTGATTTGGGAAGCTCATGCACGACCGACAGGTATCCCATTCAACCTTACGCCTTTCGCTGTCACGCTTAATGCTATACCCGACCGTCTGAGACCTTTCCTCGCACCCACAGATACGCGCTTGAGACCGGATCAGCGTGCTATGGAGGAGGGCGAGTACGATTTTGCTGCTGTGGAGAAGAATCGTGTCGAGGAGGGTCAGCGTGCTAGGAGAAGGACGCGAGAGACGAGGGGTGAGGATTTCGTGCCGAAGTGGTTCAAGAAGGCGAGGCATGAGGTCACTGGTGAGGAGTACTGGGACTTCAATCATCATTATTGGCGTGTGAGGGACGATGTGGCGGACGGGAAGACGAAGTGGGAGGAGCAGGGGTTGGAGCCGATCTACCAGTGACGAAGGCAGCAAGTGAAGATGTGTATGATTCGAGGGCTGCACTCAGGCACTACGATGCTAGGTACATGGATAGGCTGAGAACCTTCGATTTCACAACATGAATCAACGTATTTTGTGCCCCTAATATCTGCCCTCAAACGTGTCGACCTTTCCCTTCGCCACCTCAGCGATAGCGTCCTTGATCGGTGTCCCGCCGCCTACCATATCGATAGCGAGGCCGATAGTGGCATCATTCTTCCAGACCTCGACAACAGCCCTCGCAACATCCTCTCTCGGAATCGTGGGCGAGATATGAATCTTACCCGCACTTATCTTCCCCGTCGCCGCTTCTTCGCTCAGCCCGCCGGGTCGCACAATAGTGTATTGCAGTCCTCGCTTCCCGTTCTCAGTCACGAGGTTGCGGTCTGCGGCGAACTTGGCTTTGTAGTAAGCTCCTATCGCTCCCCACGATTTGTCCGAGCGGGCACGGTCAGCGTCGTTGTACCATTCTGGCTCGGGCTTGCCTTCGCGATCTCGGACATCGAACGCGGAGACCATGATATATCTCTTCACGCCTGCTTGAGTGGCCGCGTCCATGGATTTGATCGCACCGTCGCAGTCGACGGCTTGAATGCGAGCGGGTCCACCTTTGCCACCTGCTCCCGCGGACCAGATGATTATGGAGGCTTTAGTGTCCTTGATCGTTTTCGTAAAGTCCTGGACTGTAGATTCTTCGATCGACTGAACGATGGGTTTGCCTCCAAGGGCTTCGATCTCGGGCTTCTGATCTGGGCTCCGAATGATGCTGTGCACTGTGTGGCCTTCTGAGGCTAGGATCTTGGTGATGTGGCGAGCTACCTTGCCTGAGCCACCGAAGAGGAGAAAGGTGGAAGTCATGCCTGTTTTGAGCTTCTAGATATGATCTGTGGAAATGATGGCCGTCTTGATTTTCCTGTACTTATGTTGTGAATATTGGTATCTCTCCTACTTCCCTTCCGCGAAGCTGGTCTACTTATATGCTTGGGGTTTCATCTGTTACAAACGAAGTTCATTCAGCATCTGACGTCTTCATGGCTGTTGCAGGGCCATTCATCGTTACTACACCATCTCATTACTAAGATTTCGCCGCGGTCCTGACGTCGATAGCTCGGACACAATCCGAAGCCATCCGAAAAAACTGCGATATTGCCGAAACAGCTTCTGGAATCCTGAGGCCAAAAAGTATTGCGTGCTCGAGAAACACAAAGACGTGCTGCGGGCGGTCACGTTGAGATACTGGTATAGGTAAAGCTGACGCCCATGTCGCTGTCGTGTACCTGCATTGCTACATTATGCTCTCAAAATCAGAGCAAAAGCAAAAGCAAAAGCAAAAGCAATCATACTCATGCACCCATTGCCAATGGCCTTGTACTTGCACTTCCACCACAAAGCCTTAAAAGTCCTGGCTCAGACTTTGATGGCATACTGCTTGAGATACTCATAGGTGTCCACATTATCAGCAACACACTTCCGAATCATATCCGCAGCTTCTTTGCCGAATTTCTCAACCCATTCGTTATACATCTCCTCATCAGACTTGGGCTTGTGTTTCTGACTAGAGCATTAGCATACTGACTCGCGACCAGTGCAGATATATATATTGACTCACATGAACCCTAGGCTTCAGATCCTTCGAATGAATTGCATCGTCGTGGAAACCATTCCACTTCTCGAACTCCTGCTTAGCAAACTCATGATCGGCATCATTATCCCACGTCAACATCTCCGGACGGAAGTCGAGCCCGATACTCTCGCAATACTTCCTTAGGATGCCTTCCGGGTCATCTAGCAGGTCATCGGCATCGATGACGCAGATCTGGACACCGCTATCTTTGTTGGAAGCGGTCTTCTTATCGACGGCGTTCTCGCCTTGTCCGCAGATCTTGGGTCCGACTAGGCCGGTGTCCTTGCAATAGTCGAAGAGGCTGCGCAGCTCATCGTAGCCGGCTTCGCTGGGCATGTAAGGGTTGAAACCAGTCCTCTCCACAAGCGGTGGGATGCAACAGCGGTAGTAGCTTGGGATAGCACGGTTAGGGTGACGGATCAAGAATGTGAAGTGGAAGCGCTCCAAGATCTCCCGAGGCACAACGGTTGGGTTGTTCGGCTCGGCCTCTGTGTCGAAGGGGAACGGCGCACCCTTCGACAGGCTGTCGGGCGTACCATTACTGGCAGGCTTCCCGACATCCACTCCAGAATCGCGCGGTGTGAGGGTTCGCTGAAGACCGAGACCACCTTGCGCATTCAGCTCCTCTTCTGTCCCGACGCCGCGCTTGACTTTGTGAAGCGATGGTGCGAGGCGGGCATCTTGCTTTCCGGGAGGGACGAGGTAATAGGTGATATCCTTGATGAAGACGCGCTTGCCCTGGTGATGCGTAAGTGACTATCCACGCATAGCGTTGCGAAGGGACGAGCTCGATGACTGCTCAGGGCACTCTTTTGCAATGCATGGTCGGGATCGTGTGTGGCGCGGAGCAGGTTGAACATGCTCGAGCCAGTTTGATGCTACACCGAAACAGGCAAACATGTGGCAGGTAACGACTTCGTGCGAAGGATCCTTGCCAATAGAAAACGCGCAGAAAGACAGCAAATATAGATAGTGCAAGATGGAACGCAAAAACAAAGAACATGGCCTGCGTGTGCTGGGAGGGGGCACGTCACACCTCAGCAGCTTCTCTGTCGATGCGGTCGAGGATGGTCTTGAAAGTCGAGTCGGCGAACTCGGACTTGAGTCTGGCTTCTTCGTCGTCTTCGAAGCGCGAGCTCATGCGCTCAGGGCCATAGTAGAAGGCGTCTCCAAACGGCTCATGGATGGTCTGAAGACTCTTACGGCGGGTCATGAAGACCTGATGAAGATGTTAGCTGGTCTGCCTCGACACCTCTCGACAGCCCGGAACTATGGTATACGACTCACACGCTCAAAGGCGGTCGAGCATGCCCTGGGATGGGTTGCCACAAAAACTGGCTTGTTCGACATCGTTGTCGCTGTCTGCTCGGCAGATCGTGAAATGCAACGCTGGTCCTTTGCAGGACAGAAGAAAGTTCTGATATTCTATTTTTAGTCTGTACTAACACAGCGAAGAGTGGTAATCCTTCGAGAAAGGTTCGCGAACAATGTTCACAGTATGTGAGAAGAATGTTCTGCGGTGTTTGGACACAAAGAGTGGGTGCTTTTGAGGTTGCAGGTCCTGACGAGGACAGAGCGGACAGCTCCGCGCCGAGACAAAGCCTGCCATGGCCCAGAAGTACGCTTTGCTTTGTTGAGAAGCAGCCAGTGACGTGAATTTAAGGTCTAACGTGCCTCGCGTGTGGGTGCTCAAGCAGCTAAATTGTGGCTTCCGTGACAAGAAGCCAATTGCGTAAGGATGTCGTCTTGTTTAGCAACCCTGTTCGTGAATTTGAGCTCCACTTCGGCCCCGCGATCGGAGCTAGGCCGGTATGCTTGTCGGCATAATGTGTCTTCGTTACCAAATAATGTCGTCTCTGCTCTTGAGAATGAAGGCTGGTATGTCTAGAAACGATCGCATGATCACGACAGGTTGACAGCACCCGACCTTCAGTCGCACTCAAGTCTACGGCCACGAATCCACCACCACCACACGAAGGTCTTGGCTCGCCAGTGCAAAGGCAGGTAGCAAGCACACCATGAAAAGCAGCAGCACATATGCTCAAGAATGGCTTAACCGTAGCATGAGCCGTGTGCAGCCGTAAGAGGCGTCTCTCGTTCTGCAGACCTGCATAGCTGATGCCAAAGCAGAGATGTGCTCGCGTGATCTTGAGGCTTGCGCCATACGCACTTCTTAGCACGACTTGCATGAAAATATGCCTCCGACGCCGTCAGGAAAAGTCCACCTGAGCGTTCGCTGCGGTCCTTATCAGCGTCCACCCCACAGATTCTTTATCACTTCTTATCTGTCGCTGTCGTGCTCACTTGCGTAGCGAGTGGTAGCATAGCGTCTCTGAAAGAGCCTAGCTGCTTTGGTCCTGCTGTGTATGGTCCCGACACCTATGGACTCCAGTTATGTCCCTGACTTATTGTCGCTGACCCAGCGTGAGGGATGAACAGACACACGGCCAGAGCACGCCATAATCTGCAAAGTCTAGTCCGTCTAGCCAGTGGTCAGGTACGGGATGGATTTCTGACCACGGATACGTCCTGCTCAGGCATCGCCAGATCCAGCAGAAGCGAATTTGGTCGTGAAGAACTCCTTGACGTCGTGCGCTTTCTCCTCGCTTCGCAGATTGTGCTTCGTACCAGCAGGTAGCTTCCAGTTGTTTACACCCCACCACCACCGTCTGATCTTTGCACCCATCGTCTGACCAGAGTACTGTGCGCCGGCGTTCCAGTGTCGCCAGCCAGAAAGGATGAGTGTCCAAGCTAGTCCTTGTACCAGTGGCATCAGAACCTGGCGTTATTGGGTCAGTCACAACATCTTCACAAGTGTTTCGTGAAACATACCTGATCTCGCATGGTGATATACGCGACACCTTGCCAGCCCGCCGTGTCTTTGATGCTAGCCAGATAGCTCTGCTCGAAGCGAAGATCGGGTAACGGAGGCATCTGTGGTCGTCGTGGTGTGGGCCGTAACATGGAGACTGGTATCTCGTCTTCATCTACATCATCGTCCATGTCGGCGTTGTCATCAAATTCCACCACTTGCTTCCGATCTGCTGCCGTTGATGGTGCTGCATCGTGTCTGATGTTTGGATGCTTGTTGATGTGGGCAGTCTGGATGGTCTCGGCAGCTTGTATCACTGCGTCTTGAAGAGGGTCCATGGTGCCTATCTCACGAATGACGATGCGTGCTATCGGGTCTGTTGTGGTATACTCTTCGTGGGAGAGCCACACGAACCGGAACATCTCTCCCGAACCAGCCATAGTGCACGTGGCCCTTATGTAACGGAAGCTCTCCGCGCAGTCCTACCGCCCCGCTAAGACAACTAGGGTCCCGCCAGCGATTCGAGGGTGCCTTCACGTCGGTGTGGGAGTGACGATGTCCACATACAATCCTCATACTCCTCGACAGCATAGGCAGGACCAGGACGTCGTCATGGGTAACGCCAACTCCCAGATGCTCGACAATATCGTGCAGGGCACGAACTGTACGTTCCAGTATGCGATCAATGGTTTCAGCTGAACATGGACTGACGATGAGATCGCAATAGTCGATAGAGAGGAGATTGATCGATTACGGAAACGGTTCATGAAATTGGATAAGGTACTAATGATCGCTACGGGACAATAGTATGCCACGAGCTGACCGCCCCAGGACAACTCCGGTACCCTCGAGCGCGACGAATTCCTCTCCCTACCACAAGTCTCCAGCAACCCCCTTGCAACCCGCATGATAGCTATCTTCGACGAGGACGGCGGCGGCGACGTCGACTTCCAAGAATTCGTCTCTGGCCTCAGCGCCTTCAGCAGCAAAGGCAACAAGGAAGAAAAGCTGCGCTTCGCCTTCAAAGTCTACGACATCGATCGCGACGGCTACATCAGCAACGGCGAACTATTCATTGTGCTGAAGATGATGGTGGGGAGTAATCTGAAGGACCAGCAGTTGCAGCAGATTGTGGACAAGACGATTATGGAGGCCGATCTGGATCATGATGGCAAGATTAGTTTCGAGGAATTTCAGAAGATGGTGGAGAACACTGATGTTTCCATGAGTATGACGTTGGATCAGTTTTAGACGGAGTCCCTGCGATTGGGCATGCGGGTGGGAGGAGCATGGCGAATGGCGTTTGCTGAGCGAGAAGAGCTCATGTCACCTATGGGTATCATTTGCATTGACCGAACTACAGACTATGCATCAGCAGGTAGCTCACTACGCTTCAGCTGAACGCCTGTCTTCTTCTCCCAGCCTTGTATCACCTGCGTGTGGTCAGCTCCAGGCCCGGCGATCGCATCCGCTGACGATAGTTCGTCTACTATCAGCCCCGCCAAAGAGGAAGGCACTTCCATCGCCTCAATGACAGATTTCGCAATCTTCATATCCTTGAGCAGCAACGAAAGCTGGTATCCCGACTGGAAGCGGCGAGTCAAGCCCTACAGAGTCAAATCAGCATATACAGACCTGCAAACCAAGATAAGAAACTCCACAAGCCAACTCACATCAGTCCGGAAACTCTCTTTAGTACTGAAATTCACACCAGTCCCAACGTTCATGACCTCCACCATCTTCTCCGGCTCCAGGCCAAACTTCTGTCCTGCGATCAACGCATCGCACAGACCCAATATACTAGCAGCCGAAGTGTAATTATTAAGCGTCTTCATCGCATGGCCCGCTCCCAGCTCACCCATGACATGGACGTGTCGGCCCATGGTCTTGAGCATCGGCATTACCTTCTCCAGCGCTACAGGATTCGAACATCCGACCATGAGTGTTGCGTCACCTTTCGCTAGAGCATGTTGGTAGGCTTGGGTAATGGGGCTATCGATTATTGTTAAAGTGCTATTGACCCCCGATAGAAGTTCCGCCGTCTCCCTGGTGTGGAAAGGTGACGAGGAGGAAGTATCGACTATGATGGCCCGGTCCTTGAGATGCTTCGCCAGTCCCGTCTTCGAATCCAGTAGGACTTCCCGAACGATCTCGCCATTGGGTAGCATGGTGACTAAGACATCGACATCCTTGAAAGCTTGAACATCGTCTGCTGATGCAACGATTGCGTTGTTGTGTCCCGTAGCGAAGTTCTTGGTTCGAGCGTCGTCGGCGTCGCGCACGATAAGCTTGTAGCCTGCTCGTGACAGTGTTGATGCTAGGGGGTAGCCGGCGTTGCCTAGGCCAATGTAGCCGACTGTTTTGACATCCTCGGTGGCACCGTTGGCATGAGTTGTAGCCATTGTTCGTTTTAATGAAGGACACCAACTATGATCGAGATCAATTATCATCTATGTAAGCCTCATCTCGTGTCGATGAACTTCGATTTCTTGTAGCTTGACAAACATATACTACATAGTCGTTTCGTTGACCCACATTATAAGCGCATCTCCATGTACACAACCCTATGGGTAGAATGCATATAGCACGGTACTGCTTCGTGGAAGTTCAGCAGGATTGTGGAGACAGCACGACCTGGAGCTCAACTGCCGAGTAAGCTTGCGGAAGTAGTATTACCGAGCTGTACCCAACGTGCACAGCGGACGAGACGAGAGCTAGAATTGCCAACATGAAACGGGCGAGTATATACACATGTGTGTATAGATAGTACAAGATTCCTGCTGCTCCGACTTCGCGTTCTGCAATGGGCCATTGCCATCAACCTCACACCATCGTGCCAAGTATTCCCGAGACAGAGGGTGGATGAGCTACGTCGGACGTGTCCGTTAGTGAAGTAGTGTAACACACAGCCAGGCTCTGCTCGTGGTGTCGACGAGGATCGTCGGCCATTGGGCTACGCAAGCGAAAAGACGCTGGTTGGTGAAATCTCGCGGAATACTAAGTTCGAGCCTTTCGCCTGTCCTCTTCTTTGGCAGAATGGAGGTCGCTAGGCTTCTGCTGTTGTGGGGGACTCCTGAGTCTCGCGTCTGGCAAACAGATGACCAGACTCATGGCATCGCCTCCCTATACATCTCACCCCTCTCCCTCCTCGCCGCCTCCTCAGCACCCCTGCGAATACACTGAAGCATCGCCTCGCCCTTAGGCGCCACTGTCAAATTCTCATACCCGTCTTTCGTAACGAGAATGTCATCTTCAATCCTGACACCACCGACGTCCATATAACGTTCCAGAACTTCCTTGTCGATGAATTGGGCATGCTTCGGATCATTCAAGAAGAAATTCTCGAGTAGGAAGGAGTTGAAGTAGATGCCCGGTTCGACTGTGATAATCATCCCTGGTTTGAGCAGCGCATAATCAGGCCTTGCACCTGAGGTAGATGTAGGCAAGGTTTCAGTGGCGAGCCAGGAAGACATCAGCTGCCACGAAGGCGGCAGCACAGCAATATGCGAATCCTCAACGCTCATCGACTTCGAAGAATCCTCCTTCGGTCGTGGTCCAGGCGAAACATCATGCACCTCGAGCCCCATGTGATGACCCAAACCATGCGGAAAGAAAGCCCGCCATGTGCCCTGCGCCAGAACCTCCTCGCAATCTCCTTTCAGAACCCCGAGATCCAGCAGTCCACGCGTAGTCATGTTCGTAGCATGCCACGCGATATCTCGGAAACTATTGCCAGGTTTCATCAGAGCGATACAGGCTTCCTGTACTCCCTCCACGACTCTGTACACATTCTCGCACTCCTTACTTGGCCAGTGACCAGGCTTCTTACGATTCAAAGGAAGCGTGCGTGTGACGTCCGAGGCGTAGCAGGAAACCTCACACCCGGCATCCAACACCATCATCTTCCTATCTCCAAACCGCTCATTGTTGGCTACATAGTGCAACACACCCGCATTCGGACCGGAGCCAGCTATGGGACTATATGCCTGCTCTTTAGCATGGTGAGCTATACAGATGCGCATGTACTCCGCTTCCACTTCTGCTTCGTTGGTCAACTGGTGGAGGTGCTGGAGCACTGCTTCGTGGCCCGCGGCTGTTGTATTGTTCGCCTTCCGAGTGAGATTGATTTCGTGCTCGTCTTTGATTACTCGACATGTGTCTATCGCGTAACGGAGATTCTTTCGCTGGTGCTTTGGGCAAAATTTGGAGACGAGGCGATCGCAGTAGAGGTGTTCTGAACTTAAAGCTGCCACTTCATCTGAGTGGCCGGTGATGGAACATATGTAGTTGATGAGAAGGTCACGGTTGTGTCGGCTGGGCTGATGACCTCGACGCACGATCCTGGGCTCCATCGTCTCGTGCGTGAGATACTTAGCCTCGTCGATGTCGTACTTCTCCAGTGCCTCTTCCACCGTACTGCCCCTACCCTGCCATACCACCCTCGTCTTGTTGATCGTCGGTAGCCAAAGCGTCAAGACGTCCCTCTGTAGATCGTAAGTCACGTAACAGCCTGGCTCATTGCATCCGCTCAGGTAGTAGAAGTAGCGGTCCTGCCGGAACGGCTGTGGCATGTCCGAGTCGGGCCATAGTATTGACTGAGCAGCGGCAAGCACGATGAGACCTTTTACGTCTCCGAGCTCTTCTGCTACGCGACGGGCGTGAACTTTGGCTGGATACTTGTCGATGCCATGTCCTTCGGTGTGGAGTCGGAGAGGTAGGGAGGTGTTAGAGGCGGTGGAATGAGGCAGATGTTCAGGGATCGAAGCGACCTTTCCGAAGTCATGTTCGCCTACAATGGGCACAGTCTCGGGATACATTGCAACAGTGACTGGAAGCCAGGTATATACGGTTTTGATGGGCATGGCATGGCAGACCAACGAGCCCTCGTCATCGGCCTTAACCACAAGTTAACCCCGAGGCTTTAGGTACTGCCTGAGCTACCACCAACCATATTCACGTCGTCCAGCATTCTTATTCTTATCCTACAGTGCGGAGACGCTCCCGAGCACAAAATGGACAAATTGAAAAGCGTAGCGAAAGGCGGCTGGAAGCCCGCCGGCGATCCAAAAATCAGTCGTGACACCTGGAAAGAAGACCTCAAGGGTATGGCAACGGGGAAAAAATCCGATCCGCATGAGGCCACGCGAAACCACACTTCGGCGCCGTTGAAGACGTTGAAAGATCCGGATTCTTTTGGTGCTCCGCCGAAGCATACGGGGGTTTATGGCAATGCTGCGAATGTTCCATCCTCGTCATCCGCATACTCAGAGCCATCTGGTGGGCTCGGATCGCCTATCCCTACGCCATCTCGGAGGCAGCAGCAGGAGGTGGTGGAGGAGGAAGAAGTGAAAGGCCCGCCGAAACCGTATAGCAAAGACACGACTGGATTACGGACAGACAACCTGCCGAAACCTCCCATACGAAGAGGAGATGCGGCAGCAGGAAGTAGTAGTAGTCCTGCCCGAACAGCCTCGCCCAGCCTGCCACCTCGACAAACTCCTGGTCTACCGACGCGACAAGCGAGTAGGCCTCCACCTTCACTACCTCCACGTATGACGGAGAATCCGAGCGAGTGGACGCCTGCACCTCCTCCCACTTATGGTGAGGCGACACAATCACCTATCCATGATCCAGCCGCTATAGCCCAGGGAGCAGCGACCCGGCTATCTCAAGCCGGAGTCTCTGTCCCAGGCTTCGGCATCGGATCTCCCACTTCCTCGACTCAGCCACAAGCGCCTTCAGCACCGAGAGGACCACAGCTTAGTGAGCTGCAGCAGCGATTCTCACGGATGAACACTGGATCTTCGCCCACACAGCCGTCTGCTCCTACGGCACCATCTGCGCCTGTAGCAGCAGTGGCAGCAGCGAAGAAGCCGCCGCCGCCTCCACCGCCAAAGAGGAGTGCGTTGCATAGTGCGGCTGGAGGTAGTAGACCTGCTAGTAGTGCCGGAGCGCCTGAGCCACCACCTTTGCCGTTGAGTAGTAAGCCTCGTCCTACTGGCTGAAATGAGCCTCAACATAGGGGACTGCTTTAGCAATATGGACATGGTTTCGGAGAGAGATCAGGGATAGAACTCTGCAGCCATCGATCGCGGACGCTGGCAGATGGTACCGATTGAATTGTTATATCTAGTCGGTCGAGCTCAAGACAGTCTGAGAGGGTCACGAAGTCGAGCGAACTACACGTCATCAGAGAGGATATCCGGAAGGAAGTGGTCCCGGGCAGAGCCAAGCTCTATGCCAGGCTACGAAGGGTAGCGCCTCGGAGTCTCGATGTTGGATAAATGTAGCAATGGCAAGCCACCGGAGCATCCGGCAGAGTTGGAGGACCGGTGTTTGGAAAGGGGACCAACTGGATGAATACAAGTCGTGAAGTCGGAACCGAAAGGATCTTGAACGAGACATCTATCAGATTATCGCACAGTAGCTTGATCGCAGCAATCTACATGCGCCATCCTCTACAATATTTTCAGCCACTTTATGACAAGCCCAAACTCATGACCAGAAACGCCTCTCGCTAAGGTTCGCTCAAATCATCCTCCCAAAGTGTATAAATCTACTCCCGCTCCACAGATCATTACAGGTCGTTTCATTGTACAAAGTAAAATCAGCATTAGTATCTAAATTTGCCCACCAGGCCGAAGGTGTATACGGCTTCTCGTTCCTAGCCACAAAAGTCAGTACATCTCCTCATCACCATTGACCTTGCTTTTCTGTTGCATAGGGGTACTCACCGATTTCATCTGCATCATATAAATCCTCGTCCGCGCATTACTCACACCCCCCGTATCAGCCACCACCGCCCTCCCATCCGCCGCCACACTCTCCTCCCACACGGAAACCGCAATCCCCGTCCTCGCCACCCGTTCAAAGGCGCCTTCAGGTAAGATGACATCTAGCAATGTCTCGCCTTTACTCTTGCCGCAGATCAGGATCCGTTTCTCCATCCCACTAATTGCCGGGTTTAGTGAACCTTGTGGACGTGGAGGCAGGAGGACGGATAAGCGCGCTGAGCCCATGTCTCGCCATTTCTGCATTGATTCGCGGACGTAGAGACGGATTTTCGTGTTGTTGATGCCGAGAGGTGTGCCCATACTTCGATCGAAGTGCATCGTGGGTGTTCGCGCGCCGCCGGAGTCGAGGGAGTCGGAGTATGTACTCCTCGTTCCCTCGCGGGATGTCAAGGTCGATTTGGCGATGTTGAAGACGCTCTTACTGCCGCTGAAGCGTCGGAGGGCGGAGAAGGCGGAGTTCACTGTTCCGAGACTTGATTCCGTTGCTGCAGTAGAGACGGCACGAGGTCGGCCGTCGGCGGTAGAGCGGTATGTACTGCTTTTCTTACTTCCAAGACGTAACCAGGAGCTGCTGGCGGTGCGAGCGGCGTTACGTCTGTCCATGACCTCTGCCCAATTACTTGTTGGAACAGGTCCCCGTGCTTGCTGCAGGGCGATGTAAGTTGGATTGTCTATCCGAGCGCGATTGATGAGGTGGTAGAGTTTCTCGCAGTCTTCGCTGCTCTGGGACCGGAACATCAAGTTGTTGGAAGCTCGCATGACGGAATTTGGGGTCGGTGGAGAGCGGATGGAGATGTCCAGGGCTGTGCCGCGGCGGAGTGGCACAAGCGGTGTCAGTTCGAGCGCGATGAGTGGCTTCACACCCTTTTGAGACGGGCTGACGATGTCGGTAGACGACGGGCTGGAAAGCACTGCGCCGGCCTGTGCGAGGTCAAAGGCTTCGATTAGACCGGGTGTGACGATTATGCAGCATTCTTGCGGGTGCAGGCTATCCCACGTCCCTTTCTCGGACCAGGCGAAGATACTGGCTACGGTCTTCAGCGACTGTGAGATAGCTGGCGGTATCGTCCTATATGGGCCTTGCGAAGCTGACTCCGATGGTCGTAGCGATCCACCACTGCCAGAGAACTCTGATGTGGGTGGCGTAGGCTGCTTTGGCGCTTGTTGTCTTGAAGGCTTCACGTATTGCATGTTACGGAAGTCCCTGAGCTCGCCGATCGTAGAGACTGCTTGCTCCTCAGCAGATGACTCAGAAGTGATGGACTCAACATCGTCGTGGTCGGAGAAGTCGCTGTCACTTAGCGACTCCGAGGCTGTCGACGGCGCGTATTCATGCTTGAGTGGCGAGGAGGCACGACGATGCTTCTTGAGGAAGTTTGGCGTGAAGGACGGGAGAATACCAGATCTCAGGCCAATGGAAGTCGGCCTTTGGGCTGGAGTCTTGTCCTTCGGCTTTGACGTCTCTTCTGGCGGTGTTGTCTGCCGCTTCTGCAATTTCGAGGGTGCTGACCGTGGTTCTTCGTGATATGTCTCGTGCTCAGACCGTGAACGATGATGCTCGGTTGGCTTTTGCGGTGTGCTTGGTGGAGCCTTGCGGAGTTTGCGAATGGTTGGCATGTCCATCGAGGGCGTGGAGGATGTACGCTTGTGCAGGCTGGGCCGCTTGGACGATATCGGCTCGTCACGTTCATCATCGGATCCAGAAGAATTCGACCCACGATCTGTGGAAGGCATCCAGACGCTGTAGTCCTTGCTTGGAGTAGATACTTCCGATGGCGCCGACCACTCTGACTTCTGTGAGAAGTAGCTTGACTTAGACCGTTGGTGGTACCTTGATCGTGGGGTTTCGTCGTATTGTTGCTGCTCAGCAATCCGATTCGCCCTAGTGTGTACCTGCTCATATGTGTCCGCCGTCTCGGTGGGCGATGCTGCACTTCGGTGTCTTGTTGCTTTCGTCCGGCGCAAGGTAGCCGACGGCGCGAGGTCGTCCACTACGCTCATGACATCGCTGGCGTCCCATTTCTGAGCGCCTTTGGACACACGCTCACCGATAGGAGCGTCCACTTCACTAGGAGATGGCGCACGAGCCGCTGCTTTATGATACGACGCCCGTAGCGCATTGAAGCTCGATTGCCGCATCAAACGTGGTGGCGCGGGATCACTTCGAAGCAGGCCCAGCCAGTCATCAACGGCCCCGTCATCTTGTGACCTCAGAGACAACAGCTCGCGCCATTCGCCGCCTCCAGAAAGAGTTCCTCTGATCATCACGATGATCTCACCATCCTTATCGCCAGCACGCGCGGAGAGGAAAGCAGCTGGTATAGGTGGGTACAGCAGCCATCGACCAGCCAAGGACACATCGCAAAATAGCATATCGCTCAAGGAACCACGATGTGGTAGGTCGTCGCGCATGACTAACTCAATCTTGCATGTCAGCTGCTGTCCAGTCGAGTGGAATACCTCCAGGTCGAAGTAGTCTCGTGCTCGGACGGTCCTGGTAGGATCGATGAAGACTTCTGCTAGTGGTGCTAATGTGCGAGGATCTCGGGCTCTGCTAGGGTCGATATTTGCGGCTGCCTCGTCTTCAAGTCGTGCTCGCTCATCGCTTGCTCTTCGGCGAGCTTCTTCGACCAATGTGTGATACTTCTCAGCGATGCTCTCGGCAGCTGGCGATTGCTCGAGATTTTGTATGCTCCTAAAGGTCTTCGTAAGATACTTCAGACGCACCAGAGGGCGTTTGAGCAGATATTGCACATCCGCCTTTTCGCCGTCCTTTGCCGCAAGGCCATCCTTGGGTTTCCGCGGCGATGGCTCGTCCTTGTCAGCTGGCGCAAGGTTGACCACAACATCCTGGAAGCCAAGTCTCCACGCCTTCAGGTATTCGGCATATTTGTTGAATGCGTTCTCGGCCCACTTCACAAGCTCGTGAGGATCGTGCAAGGGTATGCGTTTATGCGCGAGCTTCAGCTTCTCCAGCGCAACACCCATCTCTACTATGGGACGAGTGACCGCTTGCCCATCTGGTGAAGAGCCAGAGAACAAACGCTTAGCTCCTGTCGCGTCAGTCTTCTGTAGAACATAGGTCAGAAGTACTGGGATCACCCCGTCTACGAGCGTGCGCAGCTCTCGCTGGTATTTGAGCTCATCCGTGGTAAGCTCGTTCATCAAGTCTTGCAAGGTCGCATCATTCGACAATGGTCGTCGTCGGACACTTCGTGTTGACTTGCGACGGCCGCCTTCACCACGCGCACGAGAGAGTACAGAGATGAGGTCTGAATGCTTCGTCAAGCGACGTTGGAGGCCTGGCTCGTCACCGTCACTAGCCCGTGACAAGACGGATCCTTCCAAGATGCCTAATGGTCGCAGCGTTTCAGCGGAAGCAATTGTTGAGAGTGCTCGACCGTGCGGACTTCGTTCTCGTGCTGGCCGATCCTTAACTGGCGAATGAGTTGAACGACGCGCACCCGCTCTCCGTAAAGTTGGCGTCGCAGAAGGAGATGGCGCCTCATCATCGTCGCGGTGGCGAGCCGTTGCAAAGCCGAGGTCTTGCCGCGATGCGCGCCGTCTACCACTGCTTCGGCGATGCTCATCATCCGAGTTGTCGTGTGGCGCCTCTCCTGACCTTCTTGTTTGCTTCCGTTGCACATCGAGTGGTTCGGGTGTCAGAGATGCGTCGCGCGACTCTACGAAAGGATCTGATGTCGTCGCGAGCCAACCATCGATACGCTTGTTGTACACTCCGGGGGCAATCGGAGCTGCTAGTCGATTCGCTACCTTGTCAGTGGGCTTGACCTCAGCTTTCGGCTTCAGATCTGGCTTCGACTTGGATCTGCTGGGCCGGCGCTGCTCCGGCTCAACATCCTTGACTCGAGACTGTCGCTCCTTTGGTGCAGTCGAAGGTCGTGGCGGTGTCCTCTTTGTAGGCGAGTGCGGAGGAGTCGTATTTGCTGTCGAGACAGTCCTTTTCTCCACGGACGAACCAGCTGTGAGACTACTTTGTGACGCACTCGGATCAGAAGTGGTTTGAGATCGCTTCCTCCGCTTGATGTAAACCTTCACACCACTGTCTTCATAGTCTGGCGTGCCTTCCCGCTCGCGCTCTCGTGATGGCGAGTGTGACCCCCGCAGAGGTCGGACCTTAGTTGGTGCACGCTCCTCCTCGACAAAGGCTTGCACATACGGTGGGACCTTGAGACCTACATTCACAACGCTCCGTCTGATCACAGTAGGTTTCGGCGTCGTTTCCTTTTCTGGAGTCGAAGCTGCCGCCTGCTTTGCTGTCCGGTCCTTACGCCAGTGGCCGTCACTAACGACACGCTTCTTCGGGAGACCGGCATGCTTCAAATCGAGTGCCACTTCGACTTGTGGTTTACTTTTCCGTCTTATCCATGCCTTGCGCTCCAGATCTACCTCTCGAGAAGTATGCGCCGACACGACCACTTTTGGTGAAGGCTTGCCGTTTTCGTCCAGGTGTGCCGGCGTAGTGGGCGCCTCACCTTCAATCTCCACCTCGTCTGCAACAGCGTCATCTTCGATATGCACAGTCGACTCCACTACAACCTCAACAACCTCTTTCTTCTTGGACGACACCTCACTTCTGTCTTGCACCACCACGACCTCATTATGCTGCTGCGCAACCGCAGCACTCCAGCCCTGAACCTTGGAGGTGAAGTCTTGCGACCTCCTCTTGGCTAGCCTCTGCCCGAGTTCCTGTCCCTTCTTCTCCGGGGTCTTCTTCGCAGAGGACTTGTTGGCGCCATTCGGCGACGGCATCGGTCCGTGTAAGTCGGAATAGCTACCAAGCAAGTTAGACATTGAGTACACGGCATGTTGCGCGTGGTTCGACGTGACGTCGAACATCGCATAGCTTCATTCATAGTAGGAGTCGAACAACGGAATCGCAGTTTTCGGGTTGAGTATCTTGGTTTCGCAACCTTGTCTATGGTATCCATCCTTGGCTCCACTGTATGAAAGCTTATGTACTGACCTGATTAGCTGCTGTCCGCGGGCGATTATATCATCCGCTGATGTCGCTGTGTGTATGTCGCGGGGTGGGTGTATCGTACAGTCGTGTTCCCGTCGGGCTGAGACTCATCGTCGTAGGCTGCGATGCAATGCTTCCCTGCTTTTGCTTGCTCGTGCAGGGATACCGTCGAAAGGTATGGTTGCTATGTCGCAAAGCTCCGTGGCGGCGATGTGGTCATATTGCTTCTGTACAAACCACAAATATATGTCAAGGACTATGTTAGCCTCCAGTTGCTTCAGCTCCTCGCCTCGAGTGTGAATCAGTGGCACGTTAGATGGTTTGCTCGAGCATTGGCGGCTGGTTGTCTGGTAAACAAAAGCCAATCCCTGTCCGAGCGAGGTCGATGTGGCGCATTTTGTCTCCGTCAGCCGAAACTCTCAACGCCTCACACCATCTCTTTTATCGACCACGATCCTTTTATTCTGATACACTATGTTCTAAGGCTTCTTCGCCATCGCAATGTAGGCTGTCCATGTCTTGCATACCAACCTCGACAGCTTAGCACCTCCACCACCAGTGCGAGCAGCTGGAGCACCATCCGATGCGCAATCGCGCAATCCCTGCCGCACATCGATGCAGGTTGTAGCTCCGGCCTCACCGTAGGCCACTATTGGCCGGGAACAGCACTTGCAGATACGTTCAACTCCAGCTCATGAACGGCATGAGCACAAGATGGGAGATGTTGCTTGAATACGAGTATACTTGGCAATGAAGCTCACAGACTGTGCCTTTAGTATAGCGATGCTAGTGCCCGCAATGCGATATCACATATGCCGCACTCGTAGCCAGAGCAGAATAACTACGGTTACTATAAAGTCTATGCGAGTACTCAACGCTACCAAAGCTTACTAAGGTACCTTCGCCCTCAGCTCCATTATTAGCTGCTCGCTCAGACGAGCCCGATCCCTTTGATCAACTCATCATATCTGATCTGGTTTCCTCTAACATGAGCACGAGGCTGAGAAGAAAACTGGGGTGCAGTTTCCCGCGTCAACATCACTTCATCGCGCGTCTATAGTCTCGCAAGTACTGACAAAGCCTCCAGTATTGGGCGATGTGCCCAATATCTGATGGCCTAAACGTCTCACGTCAGGAGCTCGAGAAGGGGCAACATACCAGTGACGGGCACCAGCAACGACCTATCGAGAGTCCTGACCGACAGCTCAGACCCGGCACAAAAACCCACTTTCAAGTCTCACGCCTACGCTCTCCACCACACCAGCTAGGCGACCAGCGAAGGGGTACCAGCGACAGCGTACAAGTTGCAAACTGCCAGTCACGAACAGCTGATGCCACACTTGTCCCGGCGATAATTTCCTGCGATCCCTCCTGCCGATGTGGTGGTGCCGAGACATTTGCTGAGTGATGAAGTGGGTTCACTGGCGGTAACTGCATGGACACGCCTGCGTCGAACGCACATGCGATATGATCGATGACTCGGTGGTCGGTGCGCAAAATGTGCCTGGCTTCGGGTTCTCGACAGGTCGTGCTAGTGTGGCGGCTTGGTGCGTCGTACCAGGAGAAGTAAGAGGCAGCTGTGCTGCAGTCTATACTTGTACCTGGCGTCGATAGTGTCATATCAGCGTTTCGAGATGTTGACGTTGATATAAGTCCAAGGGTTGCAAACGACGGAGAAAGTTGTGTTTAAAGCGGGAAGCCTACGTGACCAGCAGTGTGTGTGCAGGGGACAAAGGTAGGTGACAATTTGATATGGAGCCGCTCGCATTTACTTTCGCTGGTAGTATCAAAGAGTTGCGTCACCCGAAGAGCTCGAGTATTCACCTCCAAAAGTCAGGAGCCGGTCTGAAACGCAAAGCGCTGGTAGATTGGTAAACGTAGCGAGAGGCTCAACAACTGCATTGACTGGTCAACATTTTCTCAGACATCTCATTGTCAGCAGACCACTTCGGAGACATGATGGCAGACATCGAACCTGCCATTGGACTTGCTACAGGTGAAGAAAGCTTTGCGAACCGTTGATCCGAGTGGGCTGCAGTGAAGCAGACGTACGTATCTCCCACCACCTTTGCAAAGTCAGAGCATGGCTCTACGTTGACATCTCAAGGCCAGAAGATAGAGGCGGAAATCGGAAACATCGCCTTAGGACCTCCTGTTGGGAGTCCTTTTATCGTGCCTCGCGATCCTGAATGGGAGCCTAAACAGGTCTACGAGCAGACTCGTTGGGACGTCTGGCCTCATGCATATTCCTGCATGTTGATGGGTAAGACGTCTATAACAGGACAGGTGTCGTTGCCAAACGTCCAGGTGTACCCAGCGCCACTATTATGGCAGTACGCACAGCGTAATGCTACAAGGTTGTAGTGGTGTGCTTTCGGGACTTTGGAGTGTCATCAATATTCGTACCTGACCTCACGGGATGAGTATAGTGAAGTCGCGCCTGATATGGCCGCACTAGGAGTTGTGAGAGCTCGGTACGAAAGAGGTGCCTTGGCTTGGGTTTCAGCTCCAGCCACATGGTCGAAGCAGCCAGGCCGTGAGATCGAGTCAAAGCAGCGGAAGTTCGTTCTCGAGGAGACAGGACGTCAGCTGGATGGTCGATCTAGAAAGGCAAATGCAAGGTTTGACATAGCTATGGACAAGAATGACTCCTTCAACACACGCCTGCAACTGTTTACCCCGAAACTAATGGCCAAACACTTTCTCCGCCCAGATGCACTATATTATAAGTCTTCTCGCACCTTTTCCACCCCCCCAGCGCCGTTGCCATGCACGCACAATACCTCGTGCCAACCTCCCCAATCCCCTCACGACCCCGCCTGCGCCCACTCGACAACCTCAAGCGCCAACATAACAAGCACAAGCGTACTCGGGAAGATCGCGCCCACATAACTCGCCACGAGCAAACTACTCATCGCGCCCATGAACACGCCGTTGATCTGACAAATCTGCGCCAACTGCAACGCGCTCGGCGCACCCGTAAGCAAGAAACACACGATGACGAAAATCGGATCATCCAGGATCGAGACCGGGACGAATTTCGCTACGAGGGCGAGGATGGGCGCCATGACGATTGTCGGGATCACCATGCGGGATAGGAGGGAGGCGTAGAGGAGTTTGCGCTCTTCGGCTTTCTCGGCCGGGGTGGAGGCGAGTTGGTCTTGCGGGAGGGTGGATCGAGCGAGATTCGCTCCAAGCACGACTAGAATGAGAGGCACGGCTACACCGCCCGTCTGGCTGATGGCGCGCGTGACGGAGTTATTGACCAGGGTTCCTTTCGCGAAGAATAAGCTCTGTAAGGATGGGATCGAGGCGACGATGAGAGCGGCTAGCATGGCCCATAAGGGAGGATTCATTTGTCTCCAAACGCCGCGCCAGAAGTGCGTGTTGTAGTAGTGGAGTGTGCTTAGGACTTTTTGCATGGGTTTGGGGAATTTGTTGAAGAGTTTGTTCCAGTGGTATAGGATGACGGTCTGGAGGCGGCTGAGGTAGTGCATGGTTTGGTAGTAGGCCTGGTAGAAGGGTGATTTCCAGCCATGGTCTTTTTTGCTCACGCTTTTGCTCGTCGAGGTGCCGTTAGCGTAGGATGGGAATTGCGTGATGTGGCCTGTTGAGCGGGAGCGATCACCCAGCACTGTGTTCGCTGGTCGTTTTTGAGTTGGCGAGGATTGCTCTATCTGGTGGCGTGGCTCGCTGTCGATGTTGTTGCCGTTGGCAGGTGTACTAGCGATGATCTCAGGGATGTCATCGTTATCTCGCGATGTGAAGCTGACTTGACTTGGTGAGCCGGAATTGAAGCCAGAGTCGGGTGATTGGCGTAGGTTGCCATTTATGCCGACTTCGATTAGGGTGTCGTCAGGTTCCTCGTCCGGGTCATCCCTATACCGCCCTTCCTCCCTGATTCTATGCGCTTCTGTACCCTCCTCACGCTCGTCGTCATCGTAGGCTGCTGCAGGCTTAAGTAGCACACTATAGCCCCATGTCCACCTCAATAATTGTCCTAGTTGCTGAAAGATGAGCAAATATAAGATACCTCTTGCAGCCACCTCGTTGTCGTTGTCACCCGGCACCTTGTCCCAATGCAACCCACTGATCGTCTTGCTCAGACTCAACACAAGTGAGATAGGCAAGCTATTGCTGTTGCCAAACACACCCATGGCCAGGATAAAGTTCTTCTGCCTCTGCTTCTTACCGAACCCCCAGAATCTTGCCATGAGCTGTGCCGCGCACCAACTCACGAGGGTCTGCGCAGCGAAGATGAAGGGTATCACCACCAGATCCGACAGCTTATCCGCGTTCAATTGACTCGCGAGCTTCGTGAAGATCAGGCACGGCGTGAAGACCATGGTGTTTAGCTCAGCGACGAACTTCTGACTGTTGGCGTCGAACATGCCGGTGTATGCTACGATGAAACCTGGGAGGGCGACGAAGACGACTTCCAGCACGGCTTCGCTGACTAGACCAGCAAGATGTAGGAAGTCCGGATGGTTGCTGTGAGGTGGTAATGGCTGGGCTTTGAGCGCAGACACGGTGTTGTTTGCGACAGCCATTATGGTAGGTATCTGCTCCAGTGCTCGTCGTCTGATATTGAATGCGAGATCCGCCGTGGTCGCCAATTCGCGCACGCGGAACGCGGTGGGTGCCTCTAGCCACGGCATGTCGGCGGTGATGGGGGTGGCGGAGACCAGGCAGGTGCTCCTGAGAGTTGACCGCTGCAGGAACGATCGTGTGGAAGGAGTGCTGTGTATAGGGCAGTACCGTATGTTGCTGCCTTCAACTTGCTTTGTCCACGACGCTGCTCTTATCAGATGCCCACGCTAGCGCTTCTAGACACAGTCGCAATGCCAGTACTCCGTAGTGGATGGGAAGGGGAAGCTGTGGCTGTGGCTGTGGCTGTGGTGGAGATGCATGCACAGCAACTATGCCTGTATTCTTCAGCAGCACACCATCGTCCTGCTACTTGTACCGATCACGTGTCGAACATGAGCGAGAACGAGAACACAACACCGTCACTACGAAAAGGAGGGTTTGGCAGATTTACTTGATCTTGCTCAGTCCAGAACTCGGAAACCTGCACAGCCCGTCTTGGTAAGGCGCTTGGCGGCACGTGGTTTGGGGTGGGTGAACCGATGCTCCGAGGAGGCCTCACTTCAAGTCGATCAACTATCACATGTCCCTCAAGCAATCCATAAGAAGATATGGATATGGAATCCAACCAGCACACCCGCCCTTCTCACAATTGCATCAAGACTGCGACATGCACAAGGGACACATTGATACTGCTCGGGATCCCAGCCGGCCTACAGTATGCGCTTCGAAGGCCTTGGCTTGATTTTGCATGCTGCCTTATTATTCGATGCTCACATACCATTCACGTCTACGTCATCACCGTCGCGTGCGTGAACCGGGAAGACTCCCATATGTATAATGTCGCTTGCCAAGAGCGTGACATATTCGTTACCATCTTACTGCTTCGATGCATATACATGGAATTATGTAGATGAGGTACTTTTGCACGACCCCTCATCAGACAGCAATTTTGTCGCAAGAGAAACATCTTTTTCCGCAACGTCAAAAAGAGCAACGCCGATCGACACTTGTGCGTCCACCCCGCCATTGCCGCGATTGCCCCGATACCATTCTCATCCTCACAATCGACACATCTCCCTCGCATCGCCACGGATTGAGCGGCAACCTCATCTTATCGCAGACCAACCTGCGACACCAATCCAACTTGAAACAACCAATCGTAAGACTCTTGCGCCCCCCCCGCGGACTTCCGCCTTGGTTTCGGATCTCGGCAGCCCAACCTATCGGCTACGTGCACCGCCACACTTCGTGCTTTCTCGATCCCGATGACCAAGAATTGCATGCTTGCTTAGCAGAGACGGGAGTGCCGGTGGAGACTCCAACATCAAGTAGTAACATTTGCTGTTCGACGATCTGCGCACTAACAACAACATTCTGACCTCCTCCATAGCGACGAAACATCTCACACTCCCATCTCTGCGGAAAACGTTCTCCTCATCACCCAATCCGTATCTGTCCGCCTATTGCGTAGCCCATACGAGGGTGGGGCAGAAATAAATCATGGCATCGCCGGACGAGTCCATGAATCCCCTCGACGCTCCCTCTCCGCCCACTGCCCCCGAAGAGATCGTCTCACCACCCATCGGCAGTCCAACCTCACAACGACCACCCCCACTTAGAATGGCCTCCGACATGACTCCTTCCGCCACCTTCTCGAACATGTCCACCTCCTCACAACCGCTTGGCAACATCAATGCCGCACGAAGACCTCCGCCAATGGCCGGACGAGGCGGAGCTGCGGCGGGAGGATCAGACATTGCTGCCAGGATGCGTGCCTTCCATCAATCACGGCAGAACACGCCGACACCCGGTGCCGCTGGTCGGCAACCAAACACGCCCGGTGCACCTCCCGCTGGCGGCGTGGCTGCCAACCCTGGCTTCGCTGCGAACCTGCGACTACCACCCATGCAAAGACCTGGCGCTCAGCCCGCCGCCTCATCACCAGCTGTGCCTGGTGTCAACCCTGCTGGCAGAGGTATGTCATTAGCGGAGAAGCGAGGTATGAAAATGCCCGGTGGCCTACCGGGCGCCGCAGCATCACCTGCGCCTGGAGCCCCTGGAGCACCTCCTGGGCGTAAGAGGCCTGGCATGACGCTGGGTGACATGAATGGCGGCGCTGGACCTGCGGGAGCGAATGGTGAGATTCGTGGACAGCAAGAGAAGCCAAAGACAGAGAACATGATGGAAAAATATTCCGAGTTCATCGATACTAAGAATGGTGCTTTGACTTTCAAGAACAAAGCTACCATCAACGCGGATGGAATTGAGTTTACGAACGGCAAATCATTCCACATAAGTCTGGACGAGATCGAGACAATGGACGAGCTCGGCAAAGGCAATTACGGCACGGTATATAAGGTACGACACGCACGACCAAAATTTCGAAAAGCAGGGCTAGGTCTTGCTGGAAACAAAGCGATACGGACTTCTGATCGTGCGAGCGAAGATGATGTCCCACCGTCACCGACGACTGCAGCAAAGGCCGGTGGAACAGGACTGGTGATGGCCATGAAGGAAATGCGACTAGAACTGGATGATGCGAAATTTGCCTCGATTGTCATGGAGCTGGATATTTTACATCGATGTATATCACCCTACATTGTGGACTTCTACGGTGCCTTCTTCCAAGAAGGCTGCGTCTACATCTGCATGGAGAACATGGACGGTGGCTCGATGGACAAGCTGTACGGCGATGGCGTGCCAGAAGGCGTGTTACGAAAAGTCACATATGGCGCTGTTCTGGGCCTGAAGAGTCTGAAGGAAGAACATAATATCATCCATCGCGACGTCAAACCCACAAACATCTTGATCAATACACGAGGTCAGGTGAAATTATGCGATTTTGGCGTTTCGGGGAACTTGGTGGCGAGTATTGCGAAGACGAACATTGGATGTCAGTCGTATATGGCTCCCGAACGGATAAGTGGAGGTGGGATGGCTTCTGCTGGAGCGGCGGGAGGAACGTACAGTGTGCAGTCTGATATTTGGTCGTTGGGACTTACGATTATCGAGTGTGCAATGGGACGGTATCCGTATCCGCCTGAGACTTATGACAACATCTTCTCGCAATTATCGGTAAGTCAGGCTTGCTCGATTGGAAACGTGACGTGTGCTAATAAGTGATACGACAGGCCATCGTGGACGGCGTGCCACCAGATCTACCAGCAGACCAATACTCCGAAGCAGCACGAGACTTCACAGCCGGCTGCCTCAACAAGATCCCTAAAGCACGACCCACATACCCAAATCTTCTTCAACACGCCTGGTTAGCACCTCTCGCAAAACCGGAAACCATCACAGAAGAAGACGAGGACGAAGAGGCCATCGCGGAGAAAATGGCCGCTACTAATATCGATCCGAAGGAACTAACGGCCGTGAAGATCGACGAGGCGGAAAGGAATCTGGATCGCATTTTCGACAAGGAGGTTTCGGAATGGGTTATTCAGGCGATTGATAAGAAGAAAAGGGGGGTGTTGGGGCAGCATGCTAAGCCGGCTTTGCATGCGGCGCCGTTGGATGCTGTGGGGACGCCGAAGGGGGGGCAGGAGGCCGCGCCTGTGGTGGCTGTGCAGCCGGTTGCTGTTGATGCTTGATTGGTCGTGGGTTTGGGTGATGGGAGTGGTAATATTGTTCAGGGCATTTGCGAGAGGAGCGTAGGGAATTATGGAAGAGATGTTGGCGTCGAAGAGTAGAGATCGCCGAGACGCTCGAGGAGGATCGCGGTGGAGGTCGGCTCAGTTTTCTGTCCTATCTCTGGAAGGCGATGGAATCTCAGGAAGGCGATGCATCAGTACACGTATAGAGAGACGATGCTTGTGAAGCGCAGGCTGCAGGACCGCATGATCTGAAGCCGAGTGATGAGATGGAGGGCCCGCTTAGGTTATGTAGATATGCTGTGGTAGAACGGCCTAGCCTGTGTATACGAGAGATATGGCTCCCAAGGATGTATGACCTTAAGCGGTGCATAGATAGTTCCAAAATGCACGTTGGGCTAAAAGCTCTGGTCCAAGCTCAATCTGAAGTGAAGTCCCCACCTCGAATACAACATGTACACAATCTCGCCAGGCTATAGACTGGCCAACAAATCGATACCAAGCGCAGCTCATCCTGTATTCTTATGATAGTCGTCTGAGGCCAAGACCAAGCTCGCACTCTGTCAACGGCACCACCCTCCCACCACTTGACTGCATCATGGCCGCCGAACCCACCATCCCAATGCCTCCTCACGAGCTGGAAGCCATCGAACACATCGACAACAGCCTCGTCTTCCCATCTTTCACCTCAGCAACAGCCTGGAACCTTGGTGTGGCATTAAGAACGAAGCTCTTAGCCTTTGCGAAGCCTTGTGTGATCGACATCAGTCTAGCCCACGGCAACCATTGCCTCTTCCACGCCGTCACACATCCCGGCACCACCCCTGATAACGATAGTTGGGTTTCACGGAAACGGAATACGGTCTTACGATGGGGTAATTCGACGTGGTATGCGCATAACAAGTTCAAGGGTGACGAGGCGGCTTTTGCGGCGAAATTCTCGCTGGGGACGAGTGCTGGGAGTTATGCTATGCATGGTGGTGGGTGGCCGGTTAGGGTGCAGGGGGTTGCCGGGTTGGTGGCGGTGGTAGTTGTGAGTGGGTTGAAGCAGGAGCAGGATCATGGGATTATTGTGCAGACCGTGGGGGAGATGTTGGAGGAGATGGGGGTGGAGGTTGAGAAGAAGAAGGAGGATTGAGATTTTACGTCGTGTTGTAGTCATGAATGGCAGGACACGCAGAGCCATGGAGTATACCTCGTGGCCGTGCTATGGCCCGTGCATCACAACGCCTTGAATGCTGTGGGAAGCTGTGACATGGCGATGCCACTGCGGGATGACAAGAGGTTTAGGGAGACCAATCGAGCACGGTATCGACATACTGGACCCTTCTCAGCTGTAAATACTTGGATAATGCAACAATGAATTATGGTCTTCGTATTCACCGATTGTTACTCATCGACTTCTGTTGGGTTAAGACCAAGTGGCAAGAATCGTAGAAGTATGGTCAACAATGCTACTCAGCCGAGCACACAAATCTGGGCCATGATTGAATACGGCCGAGTCTGTATCGGATTCCTGAGCTTGCCACTTGCCACTCCCGCGAGCACAATACCAAGATGAGCAGCGACGACGCGATCCGTGTTGCTACTTCCTTGGTCCGGACTGCACGGCGCTTGTGCATGCCAGTCCAAACAACGGACACTATTTCCAGCATCTCACGGACATACAGATGCACTACCATCAGCCTTCATAGCATGTATCAAGGCCCTCCTTTGACCATCAATACGACTCATCCATTATGAAGCACAGCACTCACTACCCAACATTCGGTTCCTGGCTCAAAGACGCCTGGCTTGACATACTCACCCTTCTCGCAATCGGAGGACTGGGTCTAGTCGTAGGTATACCACAGCGAAGTAAACACAGCAGTCTTCGTCGGACTAACCACTCAACTCACAGACCTTCTTCTCCCAACCTCTCTTCCCACACTCGTTCCCAATCTGGAACCAGCACGGCGAGATGGTCTACCCACAATACGACTATCCCCTCCGGTCCCAACAGATCCCGACTTGGGTTTCAGCAATAGTAGCCATCCTAGTACCTACGACCATGATGCTCCTCATGCAAATCAAAGTCCGCTCCTTCCACGACCTGAACAATGCCCTCTTCGGCCTCTTCTTCGCTCTCGCAACCACGGCCGTCATTTATTCGGTCCTGAAATGGTTCGTAGGTGGTCTACGACCTCACTTCTACGCTGTCTGCCAGCCGCGAGCCAGCGCGATACTTGAAGCACAAGCTGCCGAGCGATTGATGTGGTTCGACGTTTCCGTTTGCACGAACCGGGACAAGAGAGCTATCGTAGAAGCCATGCAATCGTTTCCATCCGGGCACACGGCAGCCAGTTTCGCCGTCGCGGTCTACACAACACTGTACTTCAACGCAAAACTCAAGATCTGGTCCGACAGCCGTGCGATCCATTGGAAATTAGTACTTTTCTGTTTACCAATACTCGGAGCGGTCATGATTGGATCGAGCATGATAATCGATGGGTCACATCACTGGTATGATGTTCTTGCTGGTGCGGCTTTGGTACGTCGATGGCGGTTGCAGCGTTCAGGATGGTGTTTGCTAGTGTGTTCGGTTGGAGGAATAATCATATTGCTTTGAGTAAGAGTAAAGGGGTGCCGAAGGAGCAGTAGTAGATACACCTAAGTCACCTACAAGTACAGTGTGAGGGCTCGTTGGTTGCTAGTCCCGCATAATTCCGCTGGTGAAGCTCTGGGCGCACGTTCGGATTAGTCCATCATGAACCATTTACATGCTGGCTATTGTCCTTCACAGCTGCGGCACTTCATCGCCATGGTGTGAGATATGTTTCCTTGCCCCAGGGCTGCAATCATGCTGATCAATTGCTGACCCGATATCGCCTGTAAGCTATCGGATATATGGCACCTCAAGCTCGACGACCCCTCTTGTCAATAACAACATCGACCATCGCAATTGTGGCCATCATCTTTTCGATATAATTCCAGAGAACAAACAGAACAGAATAGCAGTACTCCATTCCCTGAAGTCAGTTTCAACAACAGTCAACATGACCGTCTACGAGCTCCGGATCTACACAACCCTCCCCGGCCGCATGCCCAACCTCCTCGCCCGCTTTCAAGATCACACCCTCAAAATCTGGGAGAAACACGGCATCCAGCAAGTCGGATTCTGGTTCGTTCTGTCGAAACCCTATCACATCTCCGTCCACTGATTTGTTGTTAGGAACACCCTCGTCGGCCCTGACGCCAACGAACTGACTTATATCCTCAAATGGGACTCCCTAGCCGATCGCGAGAAGAAGTGGAATGCCTTTTTCGTCGACCCTGAATGGGTGCAGGCTCGAGCGGACAGTGAGAAGGATGGTGCGATCAATGCTAAGGTGTCAAGCTCGTTTCTGACGCCGACGAAATTCTCGGCTTTGCAGTAGACACTCATCATTCAAATAAGACAAGTGATGCAGCCGACCTGACTAAGCTACACCCTCCCAACCGCATGACTTTGAGCCTTCATTTGAACGTGCTACCAGCCTGCCTTGTCATCAAGTCATCTTCTCTCCGTCACAACTCGAGCTTTGCACTCTCCTCCACACCTCCAAGCCTCTGCAACATCTACCCCTCCCATTTCCTCAACGTATCCTCGGAGACCATTCTTTCCCATTCAGCAGTCTGATTTTTGGAGACCCAAACATTACGAGCACGGACTGTGACCACGCCTCCAATCGTGTCCCGCAGATTATCGAGCCCAGCCGCTGGAACATAACACAACGGTTCAGTAAGGGACAAGGAACGGTATCTATCGACCAAGAACTCGAACATGATGTCCAAGTGCTGGAGACCCTTGAGATTGTTGGCCAGACAGCGCTGCGTACTCTTCGTGAGCTTGTTGCCGTGAGATGCAGAGCAGACGAAGCTTAATGAGCGGATCGGGCGCGCTTGCTCAAGTGCAAGACCTAGTATGAAGCACTTCAGCACCATGAGCGGATTGCCGTGGGCAAGGACGAAAGTATTATCGCTATATGGGATCAGGGAGGCCTCGATGTGGACTTGACGGCATGTCTGTAGGAGGCTGAGGTTAAGTCGTCGTTCTGTCGAGCCAAGCTTTTCTTTGCCCTTTTGGCTTCGGAGTATGTCGACGCATGTGACCTTCTGCTCCAGCATGGAGGCTTGGCAAGGTTCGTGCTCACTATTGTAAGCTGGCGGTATTCGTTGGTCCCCCGAGTCTGGATACGCTTCTTCCACGGAATGGGCGATTTCGCAGATGGCGTCGCGGACTCTTGAAGCAAAAGGCAGCCCATTGGAAGAGATACCCATGATATGGATGAGATTACCAGCCAGCGCAAACCTCCAGATTCGGTTCCGGATCTCTGGAGGTAGTTGCAGCCCGACCATGCGTCTTAAATGGTATCCTGGGGTGGGACGTCCAGTGACGCTTTCCTGCCATCTTGTGATTCACGAGCTGGTGGGCCACTGCAACAATCTCCACAAGTCTGGACGAACTTCTCACCAAGTCATGCTTGATCGCGTGGAGTTCAACGGATGAACTCGGCTACAGCACTGGATGAAGCCCGAGAACTTTTGCAGGTGTCATGATATGGAGGTCTGTTGCGGGTCTGTGTTGCTTTGGTGATTGTTCTTGGAAGGCACGACATCGGGAAAGAGGATCTTATCTTATCTCCGATCTCGAACTTCAATCTACAAGCTAGAATAATTAGAGAAATCTCCAGGCACATTTTCGCGTGCTCGAGGAATAATTGACGATCACACGTTCGTTCATCGTCGCCACCATGAAACGCAAACTCGCCGCCCTGGAGAAGCTGGATGCTGACTTACCAGCGCTCCAGCACAAAATCCGCAACGATCCGCCCTCCTACCGCGACGACTTTGTGAACCAGTACTCGCAATACCAGTCCCTGTACGAACTCTTCGAGGCCTCACCCACCACTACAGACGACACGGGCATTGTGCGACTACGTGATCTGGTGGACTTTGTCAGCCATGTCGCCGACTGCTACCCGACACTCACCAAAGCCTTTCCGGGACAATTGATTAGATTGCTAGAACTGCACCATGCAACGCTTGAAGCAGAACTCCGAGACAAATTGGTGGGCAGTCTGGTGTTGCTGAGACGGAAAGAGGTGATAGACAGCCAAATCCTGCTGAATGTGCTATGGCCACTGCTCATATCCACCCCTTCCAAGAGCCTACGAGCGCTGCTCTTCCAGAAGATCCTGAGTGATCTACGAACAAGCAACAACAAGACGACAAATCACAAACTCAACCGCAGTGTGCAGACGACATGCTACAACCTCATCGCCTCCAATCCTGCCTCGCCCAAAGGTCTCTGGGCTGTGAAACTCACGCGCGAACTGTGGAAACGTCAAGTCTGGACCGATGGAAAGGCAGTCAGTATCATGGAAGCTGCCGCGCTATGTCAAGACGCCAAGGTAGTCACGGGTGGTGTGCGCTTCTTCTTGGGAGGCGATCAAGAGCGCGAGGAAGCGGCAGACGATGATAGCGAGGCTGAAGACACCGTGGATGTCAGGAAGTTGAAGCACCAAGCTGGTATCAATAAAAAGAGCTCCAAGCGAAACAAGGAAGTCCGTGATGCGACGAAGAAAGTCAAGAGGCAAGAGAAGAAGAAGAATGCACCTCATCCTCTCAACTTCAGCGCCCTGCATTTATTACATGATCCTCAAGGCTTTGCAGAGAAGTTATTCCAGCAGCATCTTCAGCCTGCTCAGCCGAAAGTGAAGTTGAATCTGGATCAGAAGCTGCTGGTGCTTAACCTTGTCAGTCGGCTAGTGGGTCTGCATAAGCTCACGCTCATCTCGCTCTACTCGTACTTCTTGAAGTATTTGTCACCGCGACAGCCTTCGGTCACTTCCTTCCTGGCTAGTCTAGCGCAGGCGACACATAGTCTGGTTCCACCAGATGCGCTGGAACCCTTGGTCCAAAAGATCGCGAATGAGTTTGTGTCGGAGGCTGCGGCGTCAGAGGTGGCGAGTGCGGGTCTGAACGGCATTCGGGAAGTTTGTGTACGGCAACCTCTGGCTATGAACGAGACATTACTACAAGATCTGGTGCAGTACCGGAAGTCGAAAGACAAGGGCGTACAGATGGCTGCGCGAGGTTTGCTATCATTGTACCGCGACGTGGGCGCAGAGATGCTGAAGAAGCGTGATCGCGGTCGGGATGCAGCGCTTAAGCTGCGAGCACAGAACACGCAAGAAGGCGGCATTGAGGCAGCGAGGAGGTTCGGACAGGTTGATGAAGGAGGAATTGAGGGTCTGGATCTACTGGAGAAGTGGAAGGAGGAGCAGGGTTTGGACGAGGATGAAGATGAGGCGAAGGGGTGGGAGAATTGGGATGCGGAGAGTGATGATAGTGAGAGTAGTGGCGGGTGGATCAATGTTGAGAGTGAGGGTGAAGATATTGATGTCAGTGATTCCGAGGATGAGAAGGAGAGGAAGAAGGATGTCGAGAAAGCAAAGAAACAGAAGCTTCCTGAAGCCAAAGACGATGAGAAAGAAAACGTCGACGATGCAGAAACGACCTCCCGCGCTACAGCCTCCCTCGAACCCGAAGCCGCCGTCAAAAGAGAAGAACAGCGCATCTCCAAACTTGCCACCACCCGCATCCTCACCCCAGCCGACCTAACCAAACTCAAAGAACTCCAACAATCCGCCGCCATAACCGCCAACCTTCCTTCGGCCAAACGCCGCAAACTCGCCGTCCAAGCCGCCGCCGCCAACGCTGCCCGCCACGCCGACGACGCCGTCACCGCATCTGACATCGCCGGCCTGGCCAAACTCAGCGCGGGCAAAGCGACAAAAGAAGAACGTGTTGCACTCGCCCGCGGAGTCCGAGATGGAGTGGAGGCGGAGAAGAACGATCATAGGAGTACGACTGCGAGGAGGAAGGAGAAGAAGGCGAGTGAGGGCAAGTCGACGACGAATAAGGAGAAGGCGCGGAAGAAGAATTTTATGATGACGTTGGGCAAAGCGAAGAGGAAGGGGAAGAGGAGTTTGGTGGAGCAAAGGGGGATTTTGAAGGCGCATGTCGAAAGGGGGAAGAGGGGGGGGAGGAAGGGGAATAAGTAGGTTGGTCTGTAAGGAGGGTATGTGTGCTTAAGATATGTGGGGGCTACGATAGTCAACCTTGGTCAAGAAGGTTGGGTGGGTGGGTGGTATATCAAGCCATCTTGACTAATAGACCACGAGGTCCATGGTGCAATTGATCAATGACGAAGATGTTCTGCTTTTGATCAATGAACCAAAGTGGTCAAGGTGAATGGTAGTCAGCTCCTACCCAACCACGAAATTTTAGCATTCGCAGGGATTCGAATAAATCCGCTAGCCACGCACCAAAGCCTTGACCATACGACGACGATTGCCTCAACCAAGCACAGCATCAAGTGACCATAAGCTTCCTACGCAACCAAGCACTCCTCAGTCACTTCCATGCTCGACTGTTACGAGCACCAAAGTCATGACCCTCATGCCTAGGATCTAGTCTGCGAACTCCTTTGATCATCCGTTCCCGAGAATATTGGATTGCTTGCTCAAAGATCATCCGTTCCCGAGAATATTGGATTGCTTGCTCAAAGGCGGTAGATCTGTTGCAGCAAACATGTATCCAAAGACTGTATTATCCTATATCAGTCGGACAGCTTCCTGCCATGTGAATGCTGGATCTGGGTGGCTGTTGGAACGGAGCTACTCACGATGTGAATGCTGGGTCCCCATGGCTGTCACAAGTGCACGCATTCATACGAAATTGCGCTAATGTTGCACTAGCTGCCGAGTCATGTATATATTCCCTGCCTCGTTCTTGGAAACACACACATCCTTCTTGACTGTCCACCTCCACCTACAAATTCTTTCTATCGCACTTCGGCTCTTCCTGGCTCCACGCACAATGAGCTCAACTCTACGCAAGATGGCAGAGGACATGGTTCAAACTAAAAAGGCTATTAAGCCCACGAAGGTATTGCCTGCTGGGCACGATGGGCTTCCCAAGCGGCTACAGAAAATGTGAGTCAAAGCACATACTCGAGTCTTACAGACTTGCACACTAACAGTACTATTGCGAAGCTATGCAAAGAACGCACAGAAGTCCCGGCTACTCGATCTACCACCCGAGCTTCGGACTCGGGTTTGGAGCTTCGTCCTCTGCGGCCACACCATCCATTTGCCAGGATACCAGAACGGACCTCGACACCAAATCTGCAAATGCGACACCCCAGACTCCGAACTTCTAGAACGACTGCGTGCGCAAATTCACGTGAAGGACCTTTACCCGGAGAGGGATCTCTACGCAAAATGCCATGCCGACTGCACTCCCGGCCGCGGCGCCCATTACGATAGCGGCCGCAGACTATCAACAGCGATCCTGCAGGTCTGCCGACAGATCCATGAAGAAGCCGCGCTTCTGCCTTTCCATGGCAACATCTTCGCTGCTGCTAGTCTTACCTCACTGGCCTCTTTTGCCCAACATCTGCTTATGGAACAAGCTCGCGCTATCGTTGAGATCGTCATTTACACCCACGAAACATATGACCCAAACACCAAGACAATGGCGAAGACCTTGGTGACCAGGTTGCGAGGGGTGGAGAAGCTGACGATCTTCAAGCCTGCTAGAGACGCATATAGGTACTCGAGCCTTAGTGGCGTCGACATGGTTATGGAGCGGCAGCACCTAGCGAACTGTCTGAAGGAGATTCAAATCGCGGATGTCAAGATCGTAGCTTACGATGTCGATTATCGGCGACGCGGGGTCCGTGATTGGGGCATGTCCATGCTGGAGCTGCGCGAGTGGGAAGCTGGTGTTGAGAAGGCGTTTCACGATGCGTGCTACTGGGGTGAAGATGCTTGATTGGCAATTTTCCTACAATAGCTGACTGACTCCATGTGTTGATCGTGGGATTTTGGGTTAAATGTTTGGGCTATACAGAAGGAAGCTTGCACCTGGTTGATATTCGCTAGTAGACGGCTGTAATTCATGGCGTGTAGTACAATGAAAACTGCATGTATGGGAAAGGTCAGTTCGAAGACTTGGCTGCATGTGACAATACCACATTCACTCGAAAGCGCGCTAGATCCAAAGTCTCCTTCCTAGCGTGCTTGCCCAACTATACATGTGAGATATGCACCCTACGACCCCACCTGCCGCTCGCTCTTACCTCCTCACAGTGACACAAACAGCTTCAGTCCATGCCGCTTTTTCTTCAGCGGCCATCACATTGCGACTCAACCACGGACATGGAGCAGCAACCTGCAGCAGAGAAACAACGCATGCCGATCAAAGTGCTCACTGATGACGGCCGTGACACTTTCAAAGAGCTGCAAGCAATGTGGGTGAACTACAGACCCGACTTCTTGTCCGTATACTGACTTGACTGCGCCGCGCAGCTACAACACAAACGCTACTGCATCGCCTCTGCTCCGCTTACCGCCAGAGCTACGCCTACAAATCTGGAAGCTGGTGCTTGACGGCCATGTTATCCACTTGCAGCCCAAAGGCAAGCACACAATATGCCAAAGCAACGTTGACGATTTCGAGCTTGCCAAGAGCCTGAAGGCAGTGAACGACGGACAGCCGAAGCGTCGGCCTTCTTACAATGATCATCATGCTGTTTGCAAGAATCAGCACTACCGGACGACGGGTACACCAACAATTCCTTTGAGGCTGCTGCAAGTGGCACGGCAAATTCATCAGGAGGCTGCGCTTCTTCCTTACTGCGAAAATACGTTCACAGCCGGACCCGTGATGGATCTCGCAGACTTCGCTGCATGCCTCATTTCTGACCACGCCCGTTCGATGCGTAGAGTAGTAATTCATCACACGCTTCCCAGCCAACCTGTCGCTTGGCTAGCACACCTTAAGATCTGAGGCAGTCGACTGTCAGGGGTCAAGAAGCTTGCAGTCATGCGGGAGACTGTTGGGAGATCTCCACAGTTGCCAGAGGGACACGGTGGTGATGTCCCCCCTTTCAAGGTGGCCCCCAAAAAGGTCCTGGGTAAGCCGCGGGAGACGGTGAGGACAAGCGATGTCACGGTCGCAGCGTATCACGTACCCATCATGGGGCCGTACCGTGTTCTCGAGTGGTCCATTGTGTCGAGGAGTGAGTTGCAAGAATGGGAGAGCAGTATTCGAAAGTCGATCTCTGATGCCTGGGAGCTCGATGAGGAGTAACCAATTCGGATCAGGGGAAGCATGGACTCGGCGGGACTGATAATTTTCGACTTCTACTCGATCTTTGACGGAATGATGCCTCGAGCACACTAATGAGCTTGGGTCACACACAGCACTATACCGTGAGACTGAAGAGGCCTCGTATGACGTACCATCAGCTGTGCAGGTTGATCATGTGGCTTTGGTAGTATTGCGACATAATGATTGGATATTACCGGTGGATTGTGCCAGCGATTCTACACTTTAAATACCTGTAGCAGTGCATCCTGCAATATACCGACATTATAGTCGATCAGAGCCCGTCGGCGGATTGTACTACCTTTGCCCATGACGCAGAGTAGTGTGAGATGCCTGAGCACAAGTTAGTATTGAGGTCCAGAAGCATCTCGATGGTACTCACTCGTCAACCTCCCGTGCGTATACATAAGTCTCGCCACTCGGATCCAGCGTCACCGTGCTCTCGTTGATACTGTCGCCACTTGCCACCGAGCCACCTTCTTCATTGTCTTCTCGGCTATGCCACCCATAGATTTGCTTGATGTCCACAATTACATCGATGTAATCAGAACAGACCTCGTAATCTCTCAAGAACGTTGGACTAGCATCGGTAGCCACATAAATCTTGCTCCCGACATCGAACAAGTACGCCTTCTGTATTCTGCAAGTCGAGCAGAGCTTATTCAGCAAAGTCTCCATAGCTGGTAGTTGTGGCAGCAGCTTCTGTACAACCTTGCTCATTGCCTCGAAAATACTATGATCGAAGATGCTGGTCTGGTAGTAGCTGACACTACGATCGCCATGACCAAGATCGCTGAGCTCGTCCTGGACCCGTTGTCGCACTTCCCGGAATGTATCATATTTATACTCTTCGCTCAGGCCGTCGATCTTGTGTATGAAGATCTCAAAGTTGATGCGAGGGTAGTGCTCAGACAAGAACACCGCCGTCTCGATCAGCGCAGCTATGCTGGCGAGATATTCGTCCTGGACGTCTAGGACCCAGATCACGGCTCCTGCGTTTGAAAAGAGAGGTTGATGATCCAGTTCCGACGAGTCAAGTGTTAGATGAGAAGGTATCTCAGCCGTATCGATCGTCGTGAAAGTCCGCAGGCTCGTCTGCTCGACTTTCGTCGTTGGTTCTAAGAACAAGGTATCGGCAGGCGACAGTTTCTGGAACACCACTTTCTGCACCGATGACTTGCCGCTTCTGTAGACATCATAGGTCAGTATTTGTAGCGAATAGAAGGTCGGAAGGAGTCACACACTTCTTCAGCCCCATGAACAGAATCTTCGGGTTTCCCTTCCTGCGGACATGATGTCCTCGATCGCTACTCGACTCATAGCTCGTCCTGGTCGATTCATCATGTTGTTGTTGCTGTTGTAAATACTGTGTCAACAAGTCGTGCTGCCGAGGCGAGCTTTGCGTAGAAGCACTAGAGCTCGTATGAGAAAGGCTTGAAGCAGTGGCAAAGTGTAACTCGAATGGATTGCGCTGAGGCACAGGTGTAGGAGATGGGCTGAGAATGTTCTCAGAGAACAGCGTCCGCATGATGAGTGCTGTTCAGATCGATGAAGTCAGAAACAGACTTCGACACTGTAGGTGGGAGATGCATGTAGGGTGATATGATAAGTGCATGTCGCTGTCGACCTGTTCTTGCCATCGTCTATCGTCGCACGAGACGTTTGAAAACTGGTAGGGAGACTTACACGAGACAGCACCACGATCTATCACATACCACGAACCCAGCATCCGCGACGCCACTCAAGCACAGTACCACCCATGGTCCCAGTAAAAAGATGCGCAAAATCGAAGGATAGAGCCCAGTGCAATGTGTAGCGTCATCCTCGCGGCATATAAGAGAACCAATGCCCAACCCATGACCAGGGCCAAGAAGAAAGAACAATCAATCACTCACCTCCATACCGACATCATCCGCCGGGCCTCCCATGCCGCCCGCGCCACACCCACGATTTCCCTCCCAACGGCCAAGAGCCTTGCAGTAGGACCTTGCAGCGGTAAGAGATGGGACGACCACACCGCTATTCCTGCCGTCGATCCGCGGGCAAGAGATCAGGTCTTCCGTCCGGATAGGTCCTCGCAACGACTCACGATCGCAGTGCGAGCAGAGTAAAACAAAGCGACAGGCGCAGCGTGGCGGTTGCCTATCCGTACTGTCGAAGATCCGGGACTTGCATGCAGCGGGTTCGTAGGGCCGGAAGCACTTGTCCAGTCCCACGTTATCGTGTACCACACACAGTCACCTTTTACACGAACGAACAGTCTCTCTGCAAGATATGCGTGCCACGTTGTTCGCGGGTCCACGGGGTGGTGGTAGTCAAAGCTGACACGAAGTCGTGGGGTGTGCACAGGAGGTGGTGTGCGATCTATCGTCGAAGGTTGAAGGAAAGCAAGTTCTTGGCGTGGGACATCTTCCTCATGAAACAGTCAACCTCGCCTCTACTCCCATACATCATCTTCGGACTCAATTACGACCGTAGATACATGCTATCATCATCGCAAACCTTATCTACTAAATGTCCCTACCTTTCCATCTCCTCGCACCACTGATAAGTAGTTATAGATAAAATGCTTCTGTGCACTTGAGTCGTGAGGTTTTTTCCTCCACTTGAATACCAATAATCCGTCGTCCAAAGGCGCAAGCTGTGTACTGGCCACCTTGCTGCAGTCCTCGCTCGCCTGCTCGACGAGTTTGTCCCTGGTGAGATTACTCCCATAGCCATCACTCGTAGGAGAAATCACCGCATCTACAATATCCAAAGATGTCCGCCCACCCATTACCGCCAGTGCTTAGCTGGCTACATCACGACCATTGCCACTCTGCCTCACGCTCGATATGCAACGGGTCCTAGAAGACTTGCACGGCCGCAGATCCTTTACCTGAAGCGAGCAGAGCAACGACCCATGACCTCGCCTTGGCAAACGAGCTCGGCGTTGAACTCAGAACCATCGAGGGTGAGGTAGATGTCGAAATAGACGCGGTAGAAAGTGCCTTGTGGGGTATCCATGCGCTCGAAGTCCTTCTCGAGGTTCTTTCGGCTGAGATCGGAGGTGAGAGTGACGACTTCCTTGATGCCTGTGGGATCATGTCAGCTTCGATCCGCAATACTCGAGTACGAATGCAACTCACGTGGATCCTTGGTATACTCAGGGCAGACGTCCTCGTCGCAAGCATAAAGCACATCCTCATACATGAGCGTAGCACCAGGCGCCACCTGCCTGAAGAACGAGACCTTGACTGGCTCGCCAATCTTGACTCTTTGTCCCTTCTGCACGAAGATCTGCCTAGTGTACTTGCAACGATCCTTGCCGTCCAGGGAGGGAACACGGTACTGCTCAGGATGGTGGCCCTCTTTGAATGGCTGTAGGGTAGCCATGAGGTAATGTCTTCGGGCAACACGAGAAGTGATGACACGTTCGGTGATACCGGCCGTGACGGCACCCTTGACGATAGCGGCCACGGAGTCCATAGGTCGGACGACCTTGTTTTGGAATTGTGGCGGCACGTGCAGCTTAATTTGCTGGAAGAGATATTCTGATGCGCCGAAACCACCAACAACCAGCACGTTCTGCAACTGATTAGCTTTGAAGATTAAGCGCTAGAATGTACTCATGCACTCACCTGTAGTAGCCTGTTCTGTGCCTGGATCGCAATGATCTGGTTCCTAACCAGCTCCAGAATCCTGTTCACCACAGGCTCGAAGCACTGCAGAATCTCCTCGTTCGTGAACGTCATGTAACCCTCCTCGATGCCAGCCTCTGGGAATTCAGCCTCAATACCAACATCCACAGCCCACTTTTGTCCGTTGTTTCGGAAATCTGCTTTTATTCTGTTCTCAAAGTCCATGATACACTTGGCGTAGACCTTTCCAGCAGTCTTCGAGCCATCAGGCAGCTTCATCTTCCTGATCTTCGCGCGAAGAATGTTGGAGAAATTTCTGTTCAGCGCAGTGGAACCGCAGGAGTCACCAGAACCGGCTGTACATTCTGCGACTGTGAACGGCGATTCTTCCTCGACCTCGTATGCGATCAAATCGACTGTACCACCACCGCAATCAACGATGAGTACGGCATCGTGTACCTTCAAGTTGAGCAGTCCAGTCTTCGAACAGAACATGGCAGCGGCTTCTGGCTCGGTGATCAAAGTCAAGCGGTTATCATTCTCATCGCGCAGAAAGCCAGCCTGGATAGCAGCAGCTCTTGTCGCAGCCTTACCAGCATCGTTCCAGATAGCTGGCACAGTCAAGAAGTACCGAATATTGCGTTCTTCTCGGTTGAACACCTCTCCCAAAGTCTTCTGTAGCTGGTTGCGCATTGCTTGGCGAAGCTTGAAAAGGTAATCGGCGGCGACATCGATCTCCGACTTTCCTGGTGGAAGTGGTGGCAGGTTGATAGGGTCTATGTAGGTGTTGCCGCTCATCATTAGCTGCAGCTTGAACCATTCGACTTTTTGCACGCCTGGCTTTGGGTAGCCGGTGGGCGCAAGCGCTTCGGCAATATCGGGACCCCATCCTACTACCTGTTGGTGTTGGTCGTAGTAGAGGACGGTGGGAATCTGTGAACAGAAGGCAATGTTAGTATGCCGTCCAGCTCGAGCTCGTATGGCACATGCGCACCTTCTGTTTCGTCTGTGTGCCAGCACCAGGCCATTCGACGATGATGTCTTCTTTCGCTTCGGTGTTCGTGGCGAAGGCGAATGCCACACCTGAAAAGGTGGTGCCCTGTATCGTGAATGTTAGCTGTACGCTGCGGTGGTTTATATGGCTCTGTCACGCACAAAATCAATGCCAACAATAAGCTGAGCTTTGCTCCGTTGGCTACCTTCAACTTCTGCTGGTCGGCCGTACATCGCTTGCTGCTGAGGCTGACCGTAGCCGCCAGGATTGTACTGTTGTTGCTGGCCATTCATATATCCTGGCGGCGCCGAGTGCGTCTGACCGTACATTTGCTGCTGGTGAGGCGGCGCATACTGCATACCACCGCCGCCGGTGTTGATAGGAGGAGGCATGGGAGAGTTCGGTCTGCCTTGGTTAGAAGCAGGCGCACCGAGATTGTTGTTATTCGCGTACTGATATGACGGCGGCCGTCCGAGCGGCTGTTGTCCGCCTTGCTGTGGGTTCATCGCAAGCGACGTTGTCGAAGCGTTCGTGCTTGGGATGGCAGCTGTGCCCTGCGGTGTCGGTGCGGGAGCTGCAGAAGAGGTGATGGAGGAGGCAGAGGCGTTCGAGGCCGCGGTCGGCGTGGCCGTGCCGTTGGTGGTGGCAGCGGCGGTGGAGGAAGTGATAGGCGGGGAGAGGTTGGTGCTGGAGGCAGTCGCTTGCGAATTGACAGACTGGTTCGACGATCGTCGTGTCGAGCCAACTAGTCTTTTAAAACGCTGGTTCATCGAAGACATGGAAACATAGCCCCCAGTCTTGTACAGACAACTGTGCAGCGTTCGGGATCCACGCAGCGCAGCCTATCTGACTTGGTCAGCCCTGAACCGCGGATGCACCTGGCGAAAGGCTTTTCACAGCTGCGGGCAGACTAAGATGTCTCTGGCAGGCGCACAAGAGAGAGTACCGGGACTTGGCAGGTCGAAGGGACAGCCCAAGCAGGCTGATTAGTGGGGAGACACTTACAAGCACAGTAGCACGGATGTCACTCTAGCAGACAGACAGACAGGTCTAGCACACGGTCCAAGGTCGTCCTCGCGCTTCCACACAAGCGGGCGAGTGCACAAGGCGGTAAGGTGGGCAGAGCGGGCAACGAAAGTGTTGGTGCCGGCCACTAATGCCCATCAGCCTCACAATGGATAACGCTGGAGCTTGGCGCTTCAGTTTGGGGGCAAGCGGCAACTGTTTCCAACGTTTTTCAATATTCCAATGCACGCCACGCCATTATTCGGCCTGATATCACTCTATCTCGGCTGCTTGCCATCTACATTCTTATGTACATCACCCGGCCATTGAGACCTACCCTAAGCGATAGCATGGGAACACATACAGCTCTGCGCAACCGTGGCTCGAACAAATCGTCCTTAGACCCGACATCTCTACTCGTACAGCAAATGCCCTGCCCTGCCAAGCTCAGCTCGTCCATCAGCACCGAGCGCTCTACCGGCAGGGCTGGACAGGCCATCGTCTGCAAGAAATCAGCATTGGCGCAGCTGAAAGATTGCCTCCTTCCTTGACCGGAACTCCTCTCAGCCAATAGTCCCTTCTTGAGCTCTTCCCGCTAGAGCCACAGCATCCCGGCGCACCACATTCCCCTTCTCGTCATGCCACGTGCAATGATAGTGGCGTTGGGGTGGCTAAGTACAAAGCACAGCCTCATATCAGAGCACTTTCGTACCGTCTCATACAGTATCTTATATGAATGATCGATGTGTCTGAGACATTTTCGGCAAAGCCCTGATGTGGTGATGGGAAGAGCGGTTATTATTAAGGTGTGGAATTCAAGCGTTACACTTTATGGAGCTGGAACATAAGTACCGTAAATCGCTGATTTATCTTGTCCTTGACTGGCCAGAATAAAAGACGAAATCACCTAGACCAAAAGATTCTGGTCGTACTACGCAGTGCAATCGTCACCATTGCTCAGCAAATATTTGCAAGTCCTGACAGTATACACACTGGAAGTTTGACTGGGCAAAGCAGAGATATCCAGATACGGGTATCGAAATTATCGCAACATCAACCACAAACCATGCCCTCCTTCGGCACCCTCAAGTCTCCTGCTGCCACTCCCTTATCGCCATCACTGAGCACTTCTCTCCTCACATCCTTCTCTACATTCTCGACTTTACCACCCGCCGCCACACCAGCGTTACGTTCCTCCTGTCTGTCCTGCTCAATCTTCCGCAGCTGCTTCTTACTAAGCTGCACACTACCCTTTTCCAGCGCCTCCTTCGGCAGAGGTCGGACATAGGGCTGGCAGACCCAGTACGGCTTCTTGCATCGTCTCACAGCTTCGGTACTGGACTCCGTATTGTCATTGTCCAGGGCCTCGGTAGCAGGTGGATCGTCTTCACTCTCCTCAAAGTCGGCAGGGTTGGCGTGGTATGCTAGCAGGCCCTCTTTGACTGCAGCTTCTGTCAAGGTGAGCATGTTCTCATACGCGTCAATGTCGCCGGCTTTGCAGCGTGCTAGAGCGTCTCGGACGGCGTGATGCTTGGAGACCAAGGAGCGTAAGATGTGAAAGCAATGTGCTTGCATTGCCACTAAGTTGGCGTTCGTCACTTTCTCGCGATTCTCCTTTTGCTTATGCTGCTCCTTGGCTTGCTGCTTCTTTTGCTGCTTCTTTGACACAGGGGCGGGAGCAGTGGCATTGGTGGCCATGCCATTCGTCCTTTTGTGGTCATCGGGTGTATCATTCGAGTCTGCTGTGGTGGAGTGATCAAACTTCTGCTTCTTTGCAGGCCGCTCATCATCCTGAGCTTCAGCCTCAGCTGTTTGCGTGAACGGCGAATCCGTAGGCAGGAATAGTGGCGCTCGTTGTGGTGGTTCTCTTCGCATAGTATGCTTGTGGATAATATCCAGATACCGCCTTAGCACAGCATCAGCTCTGTACCCTCCCTTCCCATCCCTCCCACGCCAATATTCTCTGCCCTCTTCGCCAGCAGGCGGTGGTGTGGCGAAGATGCTGGGATCGTATAGATTGCCTTCCGCAGTCATTACACCATCCACTTTCGTAGCCTCCATACACTCTTTGATATCCTCGTGCTGCAGAATGTTCCCATTAGCGAACATCACAGTGTCCGACGGTAGCTGCTCCCTCAGATATCGCAGGACAGTCCAGTCTGCAAGGCCAGTGTAATGGCCTTTCTGCTCTCTTTGCCTTCCATGGACTGTGATTATACTCGCACCTGCATCGAGAATCATCTTCGCGTACTCCAGCGTCTTCTCCTTCGTCTCTAGTATGCGCATCTTCGCCGTCACAGGAATATCAAGGTTATCGTGCAACTTTCGTATAAGCTTATGTATCGTCGTCCAATCCTCCTGCAGAAAGGCACCATAATGTCCTCTCTTCGCAATACCCTGCGGACAGCCTAGGTTCAAGTCCACCGCATCGCAGTACTTCTGCACTTGCTTCGCGCCTTCGAGCAAATGTTCAGGGTCGTTGGCGCAGAATTGTACGAAGAGTGGTCGGTCAAACTCTTCATTACCGTCAAGGTATGCCTCGCCATCCTCCTTCAGAGCCTCGAAGTGGGAGTTGCGGTACTTTGGCGACTCAGCGAAGAGCTTTGCATGGAACATGGGTGAGTAGGCGAGAATACTCCTTCGTAGATCCGGAGGCAGAAAAGATCGCGTGAGTAGTCGCCATGCAAACTCGGACTGATCGACCATGGGCGCGACGACATATTTGGGGCATCCGATACTCTCGTAGAAAGCGCGGCCATGAAGCTTAGTGGTAGTGGATGCCATGGTGGCTAGAGTACGACTGCGAACTGACGGAAAGGTGTAGGTGTAGGTGTGAGAGGAGAGTAGACCTAACTTGCTACCCTGCTCGAGACCTGCTCGAGAGCCTTTGCACAGTGCGAGGACGGAGCGCGAAGACAGCAACATCCACTTCTTGCCCCAAATCGCTGTGTACGAGTGAGTGAGGGTAGATGCTAGGAAACGAAGATTATCACAATGTCTGCGTACGGCGTACTATATGTAGAGACGTCAGAATTTCTTGCCCGATAATATGACAAACGGAAGGAGGCATCCCTTACACATGAGAACTGTTCACCGACAACTTGAATGCACGAGGACGGTGATGACCTCAGACTTCTCCCTGGAATTGCATGGTGGGAGTGGATGATGCTACTCATACGCTGCCTTTGCCGGAGCTCCGAAGCCTACGTTTGGTAGTGACAGGATCGTACAATGGCATATCATTCCATGGTTGAGCTCCGCACTTCATCAAGAACCGCTATTGCTGCATTGCAACCACAAGCCTCGAGCCACAGTTTTACTCAAGCCAGCGACGCTTCCCTCCGCTCATCGACCAGACTACCACCCCTTCGCAAACCCACTATGCTACCCCTCCCAAATGTGTGGTGCCGAAGGAGTCTTCTGCCTGGTGAGTAGCTTCTCGAGAATCGTCCTGAGCTCATCTGCCCATAGTCGGGCCATTCTCGGGCCACTTGGGCTGGGGCCCAGAGAGTAATCGACTTCCATCTGCGGTGGAACAACGACACATGAGCTATAAGGCAAGCGTCCGAAATTGCCAAGGTCATTCGCAAACCTAACTAATGCGTCTTCGTCCTTCTCTGTCAGTGCTTGCTCGAGGGAGGGCCGAGCCCGTATAGCCAGTGTCCGAATAGACGTCAACCTCTGCACGAGAACTGACCACGTACTGTGGGTTGGTTGTGGCCACCCCAGTGGAAAGAGTAAGAAGATGCTGATATGCAGAGTCCTGATGCTTTGTGCTTGTGCAGGAGCCAGCTGTCTGACGAATCGATCCAAGGCCTCCATCTTTATATCGAAGACGTTCTCTTGAAAGGGGAGCAGGGCAGCTTCCTCATGAATCTGCCTGCATACCAACAGAACCTGGACGTTGAGTCTGGCGATGAGATGAGTTGGGTAAAAGCCTGGCCGGCTTTGTTCCATGCAGCGTTCATGTTCGACGTATGGCTCATTTGCCCCGTGCGAGACCGTCTCGTCGTGCCACGGGCGCCCAGGCCCTCTCGCAAAATCATGGCGAGCCACACAGACTGCGCGGATCATACGTCCACGACAATTCTTAAGCGTGCCAACGTGGAAGAGCTGTCCTCCTAATACAAGCTTCCAGATTCGATTGCGCAGCTCTGGTATCAAGCGTAGCAAAGGCGAGTCATTCGCATTGCGTACACGACTGTCGTTCTTAGCATTGATACTTCTTCGTATGAGGGTTGTGCACCAAGCTTACGATTCTTGCTGGTCTTCAGTAGCATTCTCCATGAGTAGGATCTTCCGTGGACGTTCTCCGCATGTGCTATGCTATCGCTCAGTGGGACAAGCAGAAGCGTGGATGAGGAATTACTGAACTGATCTGGATTCTCCTTTCTTAGAAAACAACAATGATATTCTTGTGATGCTGATAGCCTGTCAGATGGAAGCAGCCAGCGAGCGAGTGACGTTGAGAGCTGTGGCCCAACGCAGCTTCCTTGATCGAACCTGACGAAATTAACTCGACATCATTAAACAGTTCCATGATTAATCAGAGGCACCGAAGCAGCTCGCCGAAGACCTTTCGAAGATACAATTACGTGTCTTCTGCTCTGCGGCATTGGATCTCTCATTCTCGTCCTTGACCATTTGTTTGAGCTTGTCGCCACCCAGATCTGTGATGTCGAGCCGAAGGCACTGCAGACCAGTCCGTACTCTCAGCAGCTGGTTTCGCATGTGGTGCAGCGTCAGCAAAGCATCTTCAGCCTGCCTCTTGCTCTGAGCCTGCTGCCTTATGGGATCGCAAGTGTTCTCGGGAGGAATTTCGGATGTGCACAACGCCGCAAGAGTATCGATGGCAATTTCCATCTCATCCGCAACACCTTTATGCTCTGGCGGAAAGTCGAGTCGACTAAGCGTAGGGAGCTTCTGGCGCCTGTCGTAAGGCGACGCTCAAGACCGTCGACCTGTCCTAGTATATGTAGATACAGGTTCTGTTGCGACCGAGATTCTGTTGTCGTCTCCTGTCTGGGTTGTGTTGCGAAGGTAGTGTGCTTCGTCGCCACGGCTATATTATCTGTACAAATCATCAGGGGTGTCTGTTTCATGGAGGTGAGGGGACATGTACGCAGGAGCAGATATATGAGTCTCAGATGTACTTGCTACGTTAATGTGGTCAAGTGACGTACTGAAGAGTCGAACACTGCTGCCGCCAGCTGAAACAAGAGCAAGAACGTGAATAAGGCAGAGCATTTGCGTAATAGCTTAGCATACCGTGAGCATACATAGGCACAACAACAGCAGCAGTGCATATCCGCCTGCCATCAGAAGTGATCCGCAAACCCGTGCGCCCCTTTCAAATGCTCCATCGGCCACACCACTACCATCACCATCATGCCTGCCATATCCACCAGCATACCACTAACCCTTCTTCTTGCTGACACCAACGGTCCTACCCCTTCTGCCGGTGGTCTTGCTGTGCTGACCCCTCACTCGGAGACCCCAGTAGTGCCTCAGACCACGATGCGCGCGGATCTTCTTCAGTCTCTCCAAATCATCACGGAGCTTGCTGTCGACGCCGTTGGCCAAGATCTGGTAGTCCTTGCCGTCCACGATGTCGCGCTGTCTGTTGAGGAACCAGGTCGGAATCTTGTACTGGGTTGGGTTTTGGACGATGGTGACGATGCGCTCGAGTTCTTCGGAGGTGAGTTCGCCAGCGCTAGAGAACGTGTTAGTCATTCCATTTTTCCAACTTCACCACGAAGGTAGATGTACCGCTTGTTGAGGTCGACATCGGCCTTCTTGCACACCAAGTTGCTGTAGCGGCGTCCCACACCCTTGATCTTGGTCAAGGCGTACATGACCTTCTGCTTGCCATCGACGTTGGTGTTGAGGAGACGCAAGATGAACTGGAAGCTCGACTTCTCTCCAGAGACGAGCGACATGTTGGCGGTATTGCTGACACTGTCGCAGAAGTGGTTGGAAACGCTCGTTGTTGTTGCCGCTTGGCGTTGAAGATTGGAGTGCGAATTCGCTAGTGCGCGTGTCTGCGGAGCAAGCCGACGTCCGCCAAGATTTGATCATGCCTGAGGTTGCTCGCTCACGGTTCGTCCATTCACTTACCTATGTACACTCGGAGATTTGCTACAGAGCATGGCTTGCTGATCTCATAGTATACTATCTGTTCTACCACTATACTATCTGTTCTACCACTATACTATCTGTTCTACCACTATACTATCTGTTCTACCAACTTGAGCCTACGCATCTGTAATACGAGTTTGAACCGATTCCGCTGCCTGCCATAGACCTTCTACGCTCGGGATACTCGACGCTCATGTCTATGCTTGTGTAGACACGTCTCGATGATGGCCTATGCTGTGACGCTCTCCTGGAAGTCTTCCACATTGCTCTCACATCGGATCTCGGGAAGGTCGGTTTGTCAAGCTTCAGTGTATCCAGAGCTCAATTGGTGGCGGCACCGTTTTGCCTTCATGCCGTATCCATTTCTGGTCACCGCTTGTAGCTTGTACCACCAAGATGAAATTGATTGCTAGTTATGGTATGCTTGCTCCGCGAAGGCGCAAACGATGCTCACAGACCACTGCATACTCACATAAATACCGCCCATGTCGCCAGCTAACCACTTTCCTCCTGTCAAAAGGTGTTGCCCCCCTCCTACGCGTTCTCTACCTCACATCACCTTATCCTCTACTTCTGCTTGAGCTTCCGCTATTAGGCACGACTACATCAGTAAGTGACTCACGACTCAATACTCTGCCACGTCAAAGACGAAATATCGCATTTCACTCGCCGTTCTGAACCGCCGTGTTGATAACTCATGCTAAACAATAACCCATCTGAGCCTATTGTCTTTCTTCCACTTCGATCACGCCACCAATCCTCATGAGATCGAGGCTGACTCGTAGCGTGATAGCAGATTTACGTGCAAAGACCTGATCTTCACAACTGGGAGAGCAGATGAGTCTGGCCACAGTACATTCCAGGAAGACGATCATTACTTCACACCATAGTATCATACACTTCATACAGTGGTAACCACACTCCCTTCTTCGTCATAGTGCTCGTACATGTTCCGATACAGTACAGTTCTTCTTACGCATAGGCAGCTGCATCTGCTCTCTCTGCCAGGACGTCGTTGGCTAGGTCGTTCGTGGAGCTGGCCAAGCCAAGTCGCATTTGTCGCCCTTCAACGGCGCTTTGCACTCGTGGCATAGATCGGAGCCCGAATAGACCTGTTGCCGACTTGCTGGCACAAGGTTTCATGCTTCTGAGCAAGGCACTCTATGGCTGGCTCACTTACCGTAGCCCTTCCAAAAGATATCATCTGGTCGTATGGGTATGGGCCGATGCTGCATGTTGCGAGTGTGCGAGTCAGAACGAGATGCTCAGTCGCAGCCGCTACATGACTTACGAAGGGTCGACAAAGACGTGCTCAAGGCCAAGAGTATAGGACTCGGTATTATCGTAGCTTGCCATGTTCCATGCGAATGTGGTGTTGCCGCATTGTTTCTATATCATTATCAGCAAGAGGCTACTGAGAATCCTGCTGACGACCTCACGTATGAGTCTTGTGGGTATCCACCAGAGCCGGTCTTCCACGATCCACTGCAAACGCCGGTGCCATTCGTGAGTGGATCGGGGTCGAGGATGTTGAAGATAATGGTGGTATTGTGGCCTTGTATCTCCCACATGAAGAGTCTTGAGATCTGAAAGCCTGGATTGGTGGCAAGGGGGCGAGAGCTAGCGATGACTGCAAGAAGCGCGAAGAAGGTGACCAGTATGCCGTCCATGGTGTCGAACGTCGTCTCACTATAGCTCTATCATAACACGGCGAGACGCTGAGGACCGATGTGAAAAGAAGCTTGAGAAACAAAATGCTGCAAAATTCCTGCTTGAAACACGAAGAACGGGTGCCAAGTCTAGAAGTGTAAGAGGTGCAGACAGATGAAGAAGGGACGACCTGAGAAGGAAGTCACGATCATGAGTGTAAGGTATTATTACTTGCTCCATTTGCTTGAACTTCTGCTTAAGAACTTGTCGCAGGCATATTGCAGTTTGTATTAGCCTGGACGATATCCAAGATCGACGGGATTGATGCAGACAAGCATGCCCTATAGATGTAACCCGAAGGAGAAATGGTGTATTGCGGTAGTGGACGATGTGGTTGTGATTGGTTGATCTTTGTTCGTGGAAGATAGCAGCTCATCTGAAACGGCCCAAGACGAAGATCATTATCACCAATGTCTTTCCAATTCTCTGACGTCGACGGCGTGAGAGCGCTGTCTGTCCTCGGGTGCGAGCGTGAGACAGATGGAGCCGTTGCTTTGTGATGGTCTACATATCTTTCCGAGTGGAGGAAAGGTAGTTACAGCCCTTAGGTCCTTTCCAGACGGAAGCATTTGCGCCCAGGATCTCATAGCATAGTCCCGATCTTAAGCCATCCGGGTCGAGCATCTTCTTGTCACCCAAATAATGCATGTAGGTTAGACGACGACAACAGCGGGACAGCAATTAAATCCCCTACTCCTGCTGACCTTTATGGACAATTCATTACTGTACATGCAGGGCACGTCTATATATAGTCAACGTGGAGAGCGCCGAGAGTGGGATATGATGGTCAAGGCGTGCAGATGTCTCTGTCTGCGGCCACGAGTAAACGAATGGCAGTAGCATGCGCGCAACGCCGCTGCTTTGACATGGAAGCCATAGGGCTGCGGGATCTCACCTACGCTGCGGAGGTCTGTATTGCATAGACTTTGGGTATCCGCCACGCATGCAGAGCCAAGCTCCGTCTCTGCAGTGTGTCTCGATCAGCCAGCAAATGAACGAGGATTGTGGCGCCCTTGGGATTAGAGTGGGAGGCTAGGCGGGACGGGGTCTGCAATCCATCATTACTATTGCTCTTGTCTCGCAGCTCCCTTACAAGCGCGCATACTGGTCGGGAGCAGCGCTGCTGCGCCCGCAAGGATAGTACTAGTCACCGACGAACGAGTCGCCGTCCCGCAAGGTTTTGCTATCCAAAGGCTAGATGCTTTAGCACCCATCACAGGGCGCTCAGACCAGCACTACATCCACACCTTTTCGTTCGCACGACGTTGAAGGGGGCAGAGGAGGGCTAGATACCAAATGCCCCGTTTCTCGCTGAGCAGAGACAAGAACAAGTCCAGGCACAACATCAACTGGTTTCCGGAGTCGCAGCACCCGGGTAGGTCGTCTCCCCACGACAAGCTTTAAGCGAATACCCACTTCGCAACGTGAGCCTATGACCATTGAGCTGACCGTCCCATTGATCTTCCGCTCCGCCCACAAGCCCCTCAACCCGCTGCTGCACCGGCCGCGCAACCTCGACCACAGAACGCGAGCCGCAGCACCACTGCTACCGACCGATTCAGCTGGGGCTACAGCGGTGGTAGGTCTACTGCCCGCATCATGCGACCGCGCCAAGTACTGAATCAGAGATAACAGATCGGCGCTCTATTGCAGGCATCCCGGGCGGTGAGCAGGGTCTCGGGGTCAACTACGAGCAATCGGAGGACTACGACCAACCATCGCCGCTGCTGTCGGGAGGACTGTCACGCTCACAGACAGTGCTGAGAAGAGAAGTTGTGCGTGGGGCCAGAAACATCGACCCCTCCTACGATTCCGGCTCGCCTTCGCCAGTCTGGTCGCCCGACTTCTCCCAGCTGCCCACACCCAGTGAGCAGCACGAAGCCTACCTTGGAGAGGTCTCCATGAGCAACGGGCAGCATCCCACTAGCGCTGGCAAGACGTCGTCCGACTCAGGACAAGGCAACTCCGCGCTGGATCGCTGGTCGCAGCGCCGGCTGCAGCGCCTGAACACCGAGCAGGGCTTTCGAGAACAGCGACAGGGCGGCGTGCAGGTCTTAAGCCCCCCGCTGGGCGGTGATCAGCAGCCCAACTATACTTCTGGCGGCGCTGCTTCGTATCCGCCAGCTCAGCCACAGCCACCCTTGCACCAACAACCTCAGCCGCATCCTGCGCAACAAGCGCCGTATCAAAGCGCGCGCACGGCCCAGCAAGAGCACCCAAATGCAGGTCTTGCTATACAGACACAACCAGTATGTCAGCACCTTGTCATCGCCGTCGTATCAGCATCCGCGATTCTTATTGACCTTCTCGCAGCAGAGCTATCAGCAGCAGCAACATTCCCCACCCGACGTCACCTCGCAGACAGACTCCATAGCCGCGTCCCGACCCTCGATAGCACAGAGCAGAAGCTACAATCAGCAAGGCGACGACCCGTCCATGTCGTCCAACAATGGCAGCTTGCCGACGCCGAGGCCCGCAAAATCTGCCAACAACAGACAGAGTGTACACAATGGGTTGAATACACGTGATACGCAGCAGCAAGGTGGAGCGGCGTACAACACCAATGTCGCGCCGCCCACGAGCGGACAAGCTTTCAAAGGTAATCATCAAGCTCAGCAACAAGGAGACATCGGAAGAGTGACACCGCAGCCAGCACAACTAGGGGAGGATATGACCGAAGAGGATGTGGCACAGCTTATTAAAGATCACAAGGAGCTTCGTATGTCCATATTGTGTTGTTGGTCTTGTATGGCGCCTGGCTGACACAATCACAGGCGAGAAGTACACGAAAGTAAAGAAGTACTACTTCGAGAAAGAAGACCAGGTCAAGCAACTGCAGAACAGCCTGGCACACCAGCGCCTATCCCAATCACGAACATCACTAGACGACAGCGAGTACACCACGCGATTCAACCGCCTCGATGGACTGATTGCTCAGCTAGCGTTCAGCATCAGGAAGAGCTGGAAGTCGCTCCCAGATTGGCTACACAAGTCGGTGAACAAAGATGCCGTGCTTACTGGTAAGCAAGAGATGACGGCAGCCGGGCGTGCTGTCATTTCGAGATGGCTGGTTGAAGACTGCTTCGACCGATACTTCCATCCTGACCTTGACATTGCACTTTCTACACAGCTGAAGGCGGTACAGCTCAACATCAGACGGTTCGCGCCACCAGCACAGACGGTTGAGGAGGATGAGTTCCTGACATCCAAAGTCGTAAACTGGAGATTGGCAACGCTGGAAGGCTTGCAAGATGCATTGCGATCACAACAATGTGCAGCGAACCGAGCAAAATTTACAGACATGCTCAAGGACCAGCTGATTGGTGCAATATCTCTACACTTGCAAGACCCACCACCATCAGATCTGGAGGGTGGAGTGCACATGATCATCGAGTTGGTCGTCAGCATTGCCATCCACTTACCAGTGGAAAGCAGAGACGTGGCGATCGAGTACTTCAAGCCGGGTTACAGCATCTTGCAAGACCAAATGAAGCTCGAGACCGGCATCCCCGCACTAGCAACGTCATTGTACGACGAGAATACCGAGCGAGCATCGATCCGTAGCGCCTCGAGCGAGGTGACGGACATCACAGAAAGCAGTAATAACCCCGGCGATCAACCACGCAAAAGGAGCATGCTGAGTGCTTTGACAGGAACGGGCAAGACCAAGAGTGCCGCGCAGGGTAAACACTCTGGTGCTGGTGGGAGCTCGAGCAGTCTCAATCGACCTGAGAGTTCGCAGGGTATAAAGGAGGATTTACCACCGAGGGTGCGCATGGCGGCTGGTATTGGTGTTGCGATTCGTGGACGGTCGGTGCTCAACAAGGCGCCTGTTTTCTCGACATGATGAGCTTGCGATGTTCTTCGAAAATATGGACGAGCGCGAGGCTGCCCGGCTTGGTTTGCGAACGCCGTTCGAGGAGCTCGATGCTGGCACGATTGGGCGCAGCTTTACCTTCTTGACCCAACCACATTTTCTTGTATTCAGGCATGGCCATGGCATGAGTGGGATGATGAGCCGAACATTTTGCAGATACCCTGGATTGTTGATATGGATATATGGAAGACCGAGAGCCGGTACATATAGTAACGCCACATAGACGGGACATGAAAGCATTCTTTGCGTGGAACAAGGGCTTAACTCGATGCAATCCTGATCGTGTTCTAGGTGGTAAGGAATGTTAGAAGTGCTGCCGATACACAGTGAACCGATACGGCGGCCGTAAAGAAATGTACGGTGATACCATCTGGCAATTGGGAGACACTTTGGCTGATTGAATATGGAGCGGCTGAGATGCGCAAGACAGTCCAAGTGGATTACCCGCGCTCGGTTGCGATACACCAGCTGACTGAAGACCATCACCACTTAGAGCTACCCCTCAAGCGTGGGATGGCATATTGCTTTTGAACAAGGATAATTGCTGTCGAGGCACGACGTATTATCCTGCCTATGCTCGACACTCTCTCAAGATCTATTCATGAGCACGTTACTACTGGAATCCAGCTCGACAACAGGACGAACAAAGCTGTCGACGGATGACATTGAGGCGTGTACTCGCCATGCTAGCAAACACTTTCCAGGCCATGTCCTAGAGCCTGTGGCACAAGGTGGCTGTTCATATACCTTGAAGGCCAAGACCAAGTCCGACAGCTGCCAGTCATTCGTTGTCCAGTTTCGTCTACCTCGATATGCTTTATCGCTAGACACGGCCGTCACAGCATATCATTTGTATTCGACACTTGCGCCAGAGACTCATGAACTTGAAAACATCAGCATCGATGACGAAACGTCGCTTCAGGTTCTGCGAATGTCTTGTATACCAGGCATACGCTTCAGTGACGTTCAGCCGCGGACGCCTACTTTGAATCACCAGGACTTCGTCCGCATGCAACTAGTCATCAGATCCTTCAGCAAATTCTTTGCCAGACAATGGTTTGGAGGAGGATGCCACTCTCCAACACTCTCGGGCTGTACAGGAAAGGTTGGTTTCAGCCTGGTCGATCGTCTGCGAATGCTGGAGCTTCAGCTACCCAATTCCAAGCTTCGTCGGCGAGCAGGAGTAATACGACAAGAAGTCGAGAATGGTCTGCTGGACAGCCTCCCTGTCGTCCTGACCCACGGAGATCTATTGCCTTCCAACATCATGGTCGATGCGGCGTCTTCCGAGATCAGAGGCTATGTCGACTGGGCAGAGGCAGAGCAGCTGCCGCTCGGGATCAGCTTATACGGACTCGAGCATCTCCTGGGATATCTCGACAACGATCCTGGGACGAAGAAGCCAGTCTTCACATATTATGCACAGGCCGAGGAGCTTCGGGTATTGTTCTGGGAAAGCCTGCAGCGCCACGTACATGAGATCAATTCTGATACTGTCCGCCACGCCATAGAAATCGCTGCTCAGCTTGGCATCTTGCTCTGGCATGGCTTCGCATGGGATGACGGCAGGATCGATCGAGTCGTGGACCCCGAGCATGACGCTGTAGAGGTGGGATACTTGCAGGAGTTCTTGCGTGTGCAGGCAGAGCCGTCAAGGCGGGACTCGGCCATCGTCCATGGTCCTGCCGCTGGTTCAAGCTGATGTGAGGCTCCATGGCAGACGTCGGACGTCTCATATTTCGGCAATACCTGTTGATATGAATGATACATGAATGGACATAATGAACCTTCTATTATTGAACATCGGTCTAGGACATCTCTGCTTCCATCGAGCCTGTTTCCTCCCGTATGTACCCTCTCGACTAATTACAGCACCGAGTGTGGTCATTGCCCATCACTCTTCGGCTTGACCAGACCAGCCGACTCAGCTTCTTGCTTGAGATCATCCCAGTCCGGTCGCGGAATCTCTACGCCTTCCGTAAGTCGGCCATACGTTATACCGCCAAGACGAGACATTGGTCGTAAGATCTAACGGCAGTCAGTAACGCATTCTACACGGCCTTGACTCGACTTACGGCAGGATCGATGATGTTCCGCTCTTCATTGATGGCATCCTCGCGTGCCCAGAAACGTACACCCTCAATAATAGCCATCACACCAGTCTTCTTACCAGGCGTGGCCCGGCTCTCGAACTCCTTCGTGTCCACGAGCTTGCCTTCGACACTGAATACAGCTTCCTTGACTCTGCTCGCTTTGACATCTTTGCAAGGTGCCGGAGTCAAACCTGTGAGAGCCCATTCTGAGACGCCATACGGGGCGTTTACTGACGTGGCGTTTGCAGCTTCAATATAGTGCTCTGAAATCATGTTGATAGTACATTCCTTGGATTCCATGAGGTTCTTCAGACTGTCTTTTGCCTTGTCGAAACCACCAGCATAGCCGACGATGAAGATAGGCGGATCGTGATTGACCATTTGCGTATACGAGAAAGGTGCTAGATTCGTGCTGCTGCCGTCCTTAGATCGAGTACTTACAAAGCCGATGGGTCGTGGTATAATGGCCGAGATAAGTAGCTTGTAGTTGAAGGTGGCCGGCCTACCGTCTTCGTATGGATCGATGTCGACATGATCATACTTCAGACTTTCGCCACCATCGTTGGCGCCCTGTCCGACTTTCCAAGATGGATTCTTCGTTTTCGTGAATGCGAATTTCTCGTTGGCTCGCCAGTCCGGTCTGCCACCTTCGACTTCTTTGAAGTTGCCATGCGGGTTACGCTTAACGTGCTTTCTGTGATAGGTCAGGCCTGCCTGTGTACAGTAAGACTTTCAACGTACTCGCTGTCCATCATCTGTTCATGGGCGGTAGGATCCTGCGCTTTCTGTTCTGGCTCGCCTGACATTCTGACTGTCTCTGTATTACGACAAGCTACGAAAATTCTCGAATTAGCGAATGCGAATCACTGGCATTAAAAGTGCGCAAGGAAGTCGAAAGATATGGTTGGTGTCGCCAATGGCAGCTAGCAGATAGAGTCCGTTCCAATATCGACGTTTCACTGTCGTCATCGTTCGATACGAGAAACGAATTCTCGCGAATGGTTCTGTTGTACACAAACATTCGTGATATCGTGTATTCAATTGCTCTCTGGAACACGATCTGCGCCATGCTGGTTGTAGGAGAAACGCTGGAGACCGAGCATGATTCTTCTTGAGTATGAGACGTGACTTACCGGGAGCAGTTGTCGCCTTCTTCTCATGTGGCACACACTGGCGCATCGACTGAAGCCTTTGCAGCATTGGATGACCTTGCAAATCTACACCGCAAGCCATGTCATTTGCGTCTTTTGGCGGATTCGGGAACACATCAAATGCAGCTCTTGAAGTCGTGACCCGTTTGTAGGTCCACGGTACAGGCATCTCTATGAAGCGCGCATGAGCTTCAGGCTCGATGACCCACTCGAGGCCACGTTGACGCAGCGTCCGAAGCTCGTCAGCAGCAATGGAAGCTCGGCCAATATTCAAGGCGTCCTTAGAGCTCAACATATGAGCTCCCTTAGGCCAGATACGCAGTAACCGGACAATCGTAGCCTTGGGATCATCGCGCGCAGTCGTAATGTGCTGATCGTCAAGCCAATGGAAGAGCAGACTGCCGGAGCCAGAATGAGCATCATAGGGTTTGATAGCAATGATTCTGACCATAAAGCCAGGCTTGCTTGCTTCGGCGTAGACATCGAGAACACAAGATTTCACTCCCAATTGCTACTTGACATCGTCCCAAAGCTTACGAATCTGGTGTACCATCTCCACGAGAGCGGCATCGGACATCTCCTGAACTTGCGCTTTGTAAAATCGACTCTGGCTCACAGCAACGAGGACTCCTTCGTGAATGAAGCGCGGCCACTCACTCAGCGGATCGAGTTTGGAATGAAAGGGAAGACATTGAGCTTATTGTCCAATACGAAGTCCTCGCGATCGAGCAGGTTCAGCAGAGAATGTTCCGTGGCCTTCGAGTGTACTAGCTTGAGCATTGCGCCTCTTATGCCGTAAGTTGCTTTCAGAAATCTGTGGTCCAAGTCCTTGAAACTGCAAGAGGACATCCGCACGAAATGACCGGTCGTGCTCCACGGTAGGTATGGGAAGCTTTGTACAATATCGCTGAGCTCAGCCCAGATTTCGCCATGTTTGTCTCGATTGTAATCGATCTTGGCGGCCAAGGTGAGCAGGCCTTCGATCTGATCTCGACTCACGTCGATGATCCACGATGGCTGAGCCAGCATGCGTGGCTCCACTCCTGAGGTCATCCAGTGTGCCACATGAAATGGCAGTAGTGCTTGCTCGCGGTGATAGAGGTAAAGAGGTGTGAGGTAGCCAGTGCCTTCAAGCCATGGTGCACGAGAATGGTGATCGTACGAGTTTAGGCGCGCGTCTGGCGATGTGTTGAGGGTCTTCCTCTGAATAACGATGCTGGTCTCTGCCATTGTGATTCTAGTACTGAAAAGTATCGTTCGTATGGATGGCGAACGATATACTATGTGGATGCTGAATTATGGTCCTATGGACAAGCTGAATCTGAAGCACACGTTTCTCCATATATCAGAAGGGAACAACAGCTGCCCTGACAGTTTCTCGTGCTGCCGTGAAGTGAGAAGCACCGACTCGATGCGATGCTCTTGCCGCACGCAGGGAGACCCAGTCATCACCTACGATGAACAGCTCGGGGAGTTGTACTGGGGCCAATAAACAACCGCATGTATGATATCACGGCGAATATAACGTGGAGCTGACATGCTGCTGCTGCATGTTCTCTGCTTCGTATCGAGCGCGCTCATCGCCCCTGTTCAAGCTGAAGGATGCAGACGAATACGACTTGGGGTTAGCTCATCTTTTACGATGAGCCGTGCTTAGGGTCTTCGATGCGCTTTGGCAATGAGCTCTACACCGTACTATGATCATCATCATCGTCGGATACGCAACATCACTATTGAGGCCCCGACCGAGGGTGAGTGATCGCAGATCATGCCGAGTCTCGTATTCGATGTGCGATGTACGCGGATGCGAATGCGCAAATATATCAACATATAAGTATGCAGCTGGTGTCCATCTACCTGCCTCAGCTCAATTTTACTCGAACCACCGCCAGAGTCCTCAACCATGAAGTCACAAGTCAAGATCCTCGCTTCGATAGCTGTACTTGTAGCAAGCGCCACAGCTAAATCAGACTTCGCCCCGCTACCACCAACGCAGGATCCATGGTACACTGCTCCGCGCGACTACGAATCAACGCAACCCGGCTCGATCCTCCGTTTACGCGTAGCACCTGGAAACCTCACCGCAGTCTTCAATGCCAGCTCGGCGGCCTACAACATTCTCTTCCGGACGACAAACAGCCTCTACCAACCCTCCTGGGCCGTAACCACGCTCCTCATCCCCAGCCATGTCAACGCCGCCGCAAACACTAGTGCGGGCGCCCTTCTCTCCTATCAGATCCCATACAACAGCCCAAATGTCGACGCCTCACCAAGCTACGTCCTCTCCTCACCGGACTGGGGCGGCTCCGAACCCTTGAACACCGACATCCAGTCCGCTCTCCGAGCAGGCTGGTACGTCAACATCCCCGACTTCGAGTCCCATACCGCTTCCTTTTCGAACGGCGTGACAGAAGGCAACACCGTTTTAGACTCCATCCGTGCTGTTCTAAACCCTGGCTTCGGTCTCGATTCTAGTACCACTCGGACTGCATTATGGGGCTACTCCGGCGGGAGTCTAGCAAGCGAATGGGCGGCTGAACTCCAACGCTCTTATGCTCCTGACCTTACCATCGCGGGAGCAGCACTCGGAGGCCTCGTAAGCAACGGTACGAGCGTCCTAGCGCACGCCTCGGAACAATGGTGGAGTGGGCTCCTCCCTGGTTTCTTACTAGGTCTCACGGCCGAGTATCCCACCGCACGTTCTTACCTTCTCTCCCAGCTCAAGCAGTCAGGACAGTACAACGCGACTAAATTCCTCTCAGTCATGAACGGCACGGTAGAGGATGCCTTTGTCACCTTCGCCAATCAGCCAATCTTCTCCTACTTTGTCGATGGCTCCGTTAGTCTCGACGATCCCTTGATCACGGATTTGGTAAACAATAATGGGCAAATGGGATACCATGGGATCCCGCAGATGCCATTGTACATCTACAAAGCTGTTCGGGACGAGATCACTCCGATCACGGATACGGATGATTTAGTGAAGAGATACTGCGAGGTTGGAGTCAACACATTGTACGAAAGAAACACTAATGCTGGACATTTGGCCGAGGAGACGAATGGCGATGCTTCTGCTTTTGCTTGGTTGAACGAAGTGCTTGGAGGGACGTACAGCCATAGTGGCTGCACTATCAGGGACGTTTTTCTGAACGTCACGAATTCGCCACAGTAGAGGTGGGTAATGCCGAGCTTGGCAGCTCGTTCGGCTGCTAAGAGCAGATCGTTGCGGTATCATAGTTCCCAAGTATACTGCCGAAGACATTATGTGCAAAGCCTCGTCATGGTTCATGTGGTCAAATCCCTGGGCAGCCAATGTTCTTCTTTCCGCTTCGGCTCTCCAGCACCCTCCCTAGCCAGATCCCAAACCCACCTCCCATCCATCTCCATCTTCTCTCCTCTACTCAGCCTGTCGACCAGATACATCCAACCAATCGCATTTCCCACCGTACCAACCTCATCACTCACCCTCGTCTTCGCTGCCTCGGACATCCTCTGATAGACCTCCTGATCACCGAACAGCAGATCAAGATACTCCGCCACCTTCTTGTAACCTCCCAACTCCACGACGAATCCAGACTTCTAGTGCTGGACTTATAGTGGGATCCCGCCTGCATTCGAGACGATCATCGGGACACCTTTGTGTAAACCTTCGGAGACTTTGATCTCGAATCCCTCACGTGTGCTGAGCTGAAGTCCCACATGTGCGGAGGACATGAGTGTATTCAATATCTGATCAGTTGGTCCGAGGCGCATGGCAATTACATCGTCTTTGATATCACTGTACTTGGTATCGAGTAAGTCAAGCGTCTGCTCGAGGACTTTGACACCATCCGGATCATCGACACTATAGTGTCCCGCAATAACGAGCTGAGGCGTCGCCTGCGAATGCACACCTTGGCAGTAGGATGAGTGACGTCTGAACTCTGCCTAGCTCGCCGGACATCCGGGATGCCTTTGCTGGGATCCAAGCGTGCTATTTGGACGACGTACTTGCGCTTCGGGTAAGCGATCTTGGCAATACTCCAGCGCGTGGCTTCGGCATTGAACTCGTGGAGATAGTAGGCTGTGTCAAATTCGCTCAGAGGCTTGTTTAGGCCATCGAGCCAGTCTGTGGTCGCTGGCATATATGCAAGCTTGTTCAGGTTGACAGTATGTGGTACGAAAGCTTTGACCGGATGGCTAATAAAGACATCTGCCTGTTGGAGACTCTGCCATAGCCAATTCCAGACTTCTGCCGTAGGCGCTGCAGAATCTTGGGCTAGATCGGAGCGGATTTGGATATGAGAACGGAAGATGACTGGACGGTCAGGGTCAAGTCTCTTGACGATGGGGATAAGAGTAGGCATCTGAGGATCGTCAACGATGACCACATCCACCCCACCCTCAGAGCGCGGAGCAAGGGGTCCTCCTTCAGAAGTCCAGAAGCGCCCGGCGTTAGTCTGGACCCAGTCCTCGATCAGCCGCTTCTGCTCCGATTGAAGACGTTCTTCGGGTTTCGCGACGCCTTGCAGAATATTGTGGTTCGTCTTTGTGATCCTGAAGATTTCTGGCTTAGGGCTCGGTACCCACCAGGTGGTATCGACTCCAAGAAGCTTGTAGAAGCGGATCAGAGCATGCCTCATCAGGACTACGCCGCCACCTTGGGGTGTGGCGGAGAAGAATGAGAACTTGATGTTTCGTTGCTTGATCGACTCGCGGTAATAATGGGCCGTGCGCCATGTCTGCTCGCTGACCAGTGCTTGTTGTTGAGCCAAGGAGATGAGTTGGATTTGATTGTCCAGATCTACTTACACTCTGTTGTTGAAGCCCACCTGCACTCGTGGATGCTTCGCAGGACCATAGAACCTTGTATTGGTCAGTGTGAAAGGCGTCTATGTATATGAAACGTTGAAGGACTTGCGCAAGACCCTTCCGAACCATAGAGTCGGCGAGCTCGTCGACACCTTTGTTGGCATCAGGCGTCGCCCTGCGGGTGAGGCAAGGAACAGTGATCGGGACGATATCGAGCTTTGCCCAGATTCTTGATGGCGCCTGTGGACTCAAAGCGACCAGTTCTTGAGCAATACCAACCGCTAAGAACTTGTAGTGGTTCTTTTCTTGATATTGGTGAACACTCTTGATCAGATAGTCACAGATCGCGTGGCTCGCCCCTTCGTTTGACCCATCTTGATCCTTCACCACTCGTCTATCACTCTGGCCCGGTTTCGGTATCTGATGCTGAAGATCGAGTTGGTGAACGGCAAAGTCAATGGTATAGGTGCCATCATGACACGCAAACCCGAGCTTGAAAAAGCCATCTCCAGATTCGATCGCCACACCAAGCCAGAGTTCCGGTAATGCGATGCCGAGCTCACCATTGCCCTCTCTATGACGGTGCATGCGATCTATGTTCCTGTTTGGTGGCATGACTTGGAAGCCATGGTGCTCTGTGGCCGAGATAGCAGGGCTTTGAGGCATGCTGTCCGGCCTATCCTTGGTGGCGGACTAGATCCGAGCGGAGGTGTGGTGGGCTGCAGAGTCAACAGTGTGAGATAGAGGGGTTTGACGTCCTTTGTGTAACGCGAGGAGTCAATGGCCGAAGGAGATGTGGGTGGGGGATATGCTTGAGCGGAAGGGGTGGTAAGATACTTGACCTCGCTTCTGGGAGGCGTGTACCTGTCTATACTCGACGGTCGCTGTCATGGGCATGCAACCGTGTATTGTGTCACGTCCCATTGTGTCGAAATTTGATATATGTAATGTTGACGCGAGTGTGTTGGGGAAGTGATGTTGGCGAATTATCGACGTCGTGAAAGAAGCTGGGACGCGAACGCGTGGTCAATGTGCGCTAGTAGCTTTGGCTTTAGCTTTAGCTGTTGCTATGCGGCTCTAGTGCAGATAAACATCGCGTGAAATACTCGCAATACCAGAGTGCCATGATGACAAGCAGCTTCGGAGCGAGGATGGTGTGAGACTTTGAGACGAGCAATTTGGGATGGCATCAGGCGCACTTCCGCCAATCCGGCTACGGTCAGACAAGTCAGAAGCGTTACATCAACTATCGCCCGAGCGCGTCAACACACGAAACATCTCGATAGCGACGACAGCAAGCAAGGATTCCCGGACGACGAATGACGATACCGAGAGCGACGTGTTCGCACCCAGTAATCCTGGATCCGCCCAAACATCACCAACACGAAAGGCCAACCTCTTTGCCGACTATCATCCCATCTCGCCGAGCAAGAACAACATCGCGATAGGCCTCCCACAATCACCCTCCTTGCCGGATATAAATGCTCTGCGGGGCCATGTCCGAACTAACAGTGATGTACAAGGACTCGTGAAGCGGTTTGAGCATCTTGATGTGCGGGACAAGGATGTCGAGAGTAGTGAGCGGAGGCGCAAGCATGAGGCTGAGCTGCGGCGAGCCCAGATTGCACGAGAGGAGGCGGAGAGCGACGTCAAGAGGCTGCGAGAGGAGTTGAGACGGGTGAAGAGGGATAGTGAGGAGGGGCGAGAGCGAGAGAGAAGAGTAGGCAGGCGGCTGGAAGTTGTAATGGTAGGTGATCATGCTTTGGGCACGCTGTGTGGCTGTACTAATGATATAACAGGAAGAATATGCCTCGGCCAAGGAGCAGTACACATCCCAGTCCACCGTCTACGAAAAGGAACTTCGCAAAGCCCGGAAAGAAGCATACAAGTCTTCTTCTTTCGTTATCAAACTCCAGGAAGAACTCAAATCTACCCGTAGCAGCCTGCGAATAACACAGTCCGGGTTTGATGTCGAGAAGCAGAAAGTGCAGCGTCGCGAGCAGGACACTTTCAATGCGCAATACCAGCTGGCTGCCGTCCAAGAAGAGCTGGATAAGCTGAGGGCGCAGCTCAAAATCGTGGAAGAGGAGAAGGAGGCACTGAAGACGAATCTGAAAGATGAAGAGGTTGCGAGAGTGGCGGCAGAGGGCATGATTGCTCTTCCGGCTTCGCAGGAGGATGAGGATCTGTTCACTTCGCCTCGCAAGGCACGATCGCCTTTCTCGGACAACAAGGAGAATCTGGGGCCGAGTCCGAGGAAGATAAGGGAGAGCAGATCGATGGAGGAGGATCTGCTACGAGAGAAGATGAGGAGGGAGCATGCGGAGGAGATGGTGGAATTTCTGGGTCTGGAGTGCAGGTTCAGATGTTGTAGGTGCAGAACGCAGGCGCGCAACGTGCATGGTGGCATAAATTTACCCATGACCGGAGATTTGTCGAAAGCTTTGCTGGATGTTATGGAGTCGATGAAGGCAGTCCTCGGTGCTTCGGAAGTACCCGAAGATGCCGACGACATGGACGTGGAAGCCCGGGAAGAAGCGCAGATCGTTATTGAGGTGCCAGAAGGGGAGGCTGTAGAAGGTGCCGCAATGGAAGACGTCGTCGCCACCCAAGAGGTCGCCTCCGAACACATCCAAGTTGAGTCGGAACTCTTGGACGCGAGCAGGACCATGCTCTCCGACGAGCAAGAAGAAGCACCAGTAGCACCACATCCCACGCCAGCTGAACCAGGTAGCGAACGGGGAACGATACCAGTCGAGGAGTCCTCACCTCATACACTTCTTCACGAAACCTCCCACCAAACAAACGCCTCCCGCCACCTTCGCACGGTAACAACCACGACAACAATACCTATGCACTTCACCCCTGTCACCAGTAAACCGCTCGTCTTCCCATCGAGCGATGAAGACAGCGAGAACATCCCACCTCCATTGCGCTCCAACATTGACAACGACTCCGCCATCGACACCGAGAGCGCGACTCCAACTTTCGACCGCGCAGCCGCACTAGCAGCAATCGAATACCGACGCGGTCGAGCGAAGAGTTTCGCTGCGGGCCATGTGACGCCCAGGAAGCAGATGTTGGAAGGAAGGGGCGTTGGTGGAGTGGGGAGGAGGGATATTAGTGCGCCGGCTTTTGGGTCGAAGACGACTGGGATGGGGAGTGCGAGTTTTGGGAAAGGTGCAGGGAGTGTTGGGAGGGCGGCTGGGAGGAGAGGGATGGTTTGAGGTCTTTTGTGACCGGCTACTGTGGAAATGATGGAAGGGCAATGCAAACTCGAGGTTGGTCGAGAAGATTGAGACTGGTATCATGACGGGTTGTGTTCTTGAGCGTGGCGTTGCGGTTGTGAGGGACCTGGTGTTTGTGTTCTTCTTTGAGCTACTGAGTCTGCAGTATACTCGTACCGCTCGTCCTCCTTACCACTCTCCCAGCGCAAGGCACTCAGACGTTCTGTCATTCCGATTGATTACAGTGCGTCCCAAAGGTCAACTCTCGGGATCCAGTTACATCGCATGTTCGTCTCGTGCACCATGTGCCAGAGGCCAGATATGCAGTCTAGTACGATGTGCCGAGTCTATTGGCATGCCATTCCGCCTCGCACGTCGGAACCCGAGTAAGCAGACAAAAGTATCCACGAGAAGCGAAAGCGAGAACGATGTACAGCTCGGAGTCCGACCAAAACCGCACATGATCTAGCGCTTTCGCAAACGCACACCTATCAGTGCCCACAGAGTGAAGAACAGCGATCGCGAAAGCGGAAGGCACAAATTTCGGAATCCGAGGTTTTGGTCTTGGGCTAGCGTCCATATTCATCGGACCTATCACAATTCCGGGGTCCTGGAAGCGAGGTGCTGGCGGATTCCGAACGCAGATTGAATATTGATCAATCTAGTGGACTGTCGCAATTCACGTATCCCGACCCATATCAGGCAGAGACGCGGAAGCGACACGATCTCGGATTCCGAGCGAGGATTGAGCATGAACTAGCGTCTTGCCAAAATGCACGCATCACAGCGAGGAGAGCTCTCGGGTTCCGAGCGAGAATTGCGCTTTTCCTAGTTCCGAGTTTGAGAGAGACCTATCAGGTCAGATCATGAGCTGGAAAGTTGCAGTGCTTCGTGAACTAGACGGAGTCGAGCGGAGGTCTTGAAGAGAGTCATTTATACATTAGTCGGAGTAGCTGTAGCTGTACCTTACGATACACACTGATCCTCCTGGCAGCAGACATGAACAAAGAAGCACAGCGCTACGCCATCCCTAGTCATGTCTCATTCGATGGCCTTCCCCTCAAGACCATACCTTCATCTTGAACATCCAGTCCTATGCCCCAAAAGGAGATATTGCAGGACCGAAGGCGTCACGATACGTTGATGTTTCTAGGCCCGACACACACCGCTAAGATGCCTTCAGACGCCTCAGACGACAATCATACTTTGAACTTCGCAAAGGCGCATCTCTACTGCCCCCCACCATTCCCCCTAGCAAGCGCATTCTGCATAGCGGAAAAATGCTGATCCAGATTGCCACCGCCCTGCTGCTGGCCCTGAAACCCTCCACCACCCTGCTGCTGTTGCTGCTGCACACTCATCTGATGCTGCAACATGGCCTGGTTCGCCCTCAACTGCTGCATGTACTGCGGATTCGGCGTGCCGGCGGGGACATGGCTTTCATTCCCCACACTGCCCATGCGCTGCGCCGCCATATTCTGCTGATGCTGTCGCACTTGGTGCTGGCGAGATAATTGCTGACGCAGTAATTGTTGGACTGGGCCGGGTAGGTTCTCGACGACTTGGGAGGGGACGTTGTGGAGGCCGTTGTATTGTTGGCCGAGGCTGCGGATGTGCATGCTGGCTTGTGCCGCTTGGTGCTGTTGTTGGGAGGCGAGGCGTTGTGTTGCGATTGCGTTGGCACGTTGTTGGGCTATTTGCATGTTTTGCTGGGCCTGGAGGGCAGAGAGGTCATTGTTGACGCCGTTGCTGCCGCCACCATTTTGCATTGCGTGTTGTTGTTGGGGTGTCTGAGGATGGCCCATCTGTGGGGTTGGTGTGCCGTGCATACTATTCGCGTTGCCTTGCTGATTCGCCATTTGCATTTGGAGCTGCATCTGTTGCTGTTGCTGTTGTGCGGCACGCATTTGGGTTTGCTGCTGTTGATGTTGAGCCATCGCACGCGACTTCAAGTACTGTTGCTGCAATTGCGGATTCATCGGCACACCTTGCGCTTGTGCTTGCTGATGCTGTGCGTGGAGAAGGGCAAATTGGCGTTGCTGGTTCTGGCGCTGCTGGATGGCTTGCATATCATGAGGCGTCATGCCGTTTGCACCATTGACCATACCTGGAGACCCGGCCATTTGATTCGCTTGCTGCTGCTGTTGTTGTTGTAAGTTGCGTTGCTGCTGCTGAAGAATCATCATTTGCTCAGGGGTGAATTGAGCATTAGTCTGAGTCATTTGTGGCGTAGGCATATTCATGCCAAGTCCGCCAGCACTAATTGGCGTTCCCTGCATATTCACCGCAGGAGAACCTGGTGGCAAGCGTGGCGTCTGTGACATCTGTCTACTGGGCATTGCCTGGCCCATACTGGGCGTACCTTGAGGTAATTGCGGAGTGTTGTGCTGGCTGCCGTGCTGTTGTGAAACCTGCCTAGCCATCTGCGCCCCGCGATTCTGTGAGCCCGTTGTAGGCCTCGGTGGACTGCCTGCGCCCTGTGAAGATGTAGGTACCATTGGAAAACCATTTTGAGGCATCATCGGACTCGAGTTGATAAGACCGCTAGGCGTTTGTTGTCGCGGTATTGGCGAGCCCTGCATAGCAGCATTCTGTTGCTGCTGTTGAAAGTTGGCTTGTTGAGCTTGCAACATCGCAGCGGCTTGGGCATTGGTCTGATTAGTGTGCTGATTAGTCATGGCTGCGGCCTGCGCCTGGCGTTGTTGTTCCATCTGCTGTGCTCGAAGTAGAGCCTGGCGTTGCTGAATGGTATTGTTACCCTGCACAGCCATAGCCTGCTGTTGCAGCAACACTTGCTGTTTCCTCTGTTCCTGCTGCGCTAGCTGGACTTGTTGACGAGCCTGGTTCTGCTCGTCAAGCTGCTTCTTCTCGAGTGCCGCCCTCGCCTCTTCTTCCTTCTTGATGCGCTCATTCTCCTCATGCTTCTGGCGCACCATCTCCAAAGTCTTGAAGCGGGAGAAGCCAAGCGATGCAGCTGTGCTTTGATTACTTTCAGCCGCCGTACCTGCTCCCGAGCGAGCAGACGGTTTGATACGTTCATCCATGATAAGCATCCGCCTCTCCGCCTCTGCTGCCTGTGCATCATCTGCCGCCATCTGCGCTGTAGTTCTCTTACGAGTCTTCTGCGAAGGCGGCTTCTCTTGGTGTAGAGGATGCGAAAGCATGTCAAGCACTCGTTGCGCATCTTGAGGATTCTTCACGGGTTCGAGAAACAGTGGTGGCTCGGTAGCTACCAGGAGGTCGCTTTGAAAGGAGTAAAGATCACCTTCTTCCAGTGCCATCTTCTGATTGCCGCTCAGAGGACCATGAGTTGTGTTAATCGGCGTTGGTGGCACGGATAGCATGGGCGTAGCAGGTACAGCACTTGAAGATCCATCTATGCTTCCCTTCTTCTTATTACTGCGAAGGTCAGATGCTGGCGTAGCAGCAAGTAATAACATCTCATGATGTCGCGACAGTTCGGTCGGATGCAGCACAGTCGTAAAGGTCTTTGGCTCATCTTTGCCTTTGCCCTTATCCTTGTCCTTCTGTTCCTCCGTATCCTTCTCATCTCCGTCCTCGTCCGTCCTCGCCTTCTTCGGATACGGCGCGAAAGCACTCGGGGTGATGTGCTCGTTGTATCTGTGCATACTAAACTTCTCACCACCCTCCTGCTGTCCCTTCGCACGACTATTTTGCTTCCCTCCGGCCGTCTTGTGGTTGTGCACCTCCACGATCAGACACCCGTCATACCAACTCACTCCCATAGCCAGCATGTCCTCCATCATCTCATGCGGCACGGTATGATGTCGAAGGTGCTGTAGCACGAACTTCATGCGATCATCATAGCCATAACTTCCTTCCTGCCCGCCGAACTTCCAGTATCCATCATGTAAATGTATCACCAGACTCGGCTGCTTGCCTCTGTGCTTTCGAAGAATAAAGTCATTATTACGCACGTACGGCTCCTCCAGCTTGCGCCTCTTAGCTGGCTGCTGAGCCTCGCCGTCCATGCCAGTGGTCGTCCGTTTGCCTAAGGATAATCGTGGGACCTCGCTGCGGCGTTGGCGCAAGGCCTGTGTTGGTCGCGAAACTGCAGCGGTGGCCATCTCTGCGACAGGGTGTCCAAGAGCGAAGTAGGCGCGACGCGCGAAACTCGTCCTCTCCTCTCCTGGTGGGCTCTTGCTGACCGAAAGGCGACCTCTGCTGCTCCCACGTAGCTGGTCGTACCAGTACCCGATTCCCCCTTAGTGCATCAGCTAGCAATATTGCGGCCGTATCGCAAATTACACAGCACTACTTTGGCAATCCTCGTGCTGAAGGAGTGTGTCGCGTCCAACGGTGACATCCTTGTGTATTTGATGTCGCGATTCTGATGTCGCGATTCAAGCACTCCGCATGCGCTGTGACGATCCTTTCACGTGCGCACTCTTGAACCGTGCCCGTTTGTGGAGGAAGCTTGCCGAGAACCGAGAAGCCCTAGTCTACGCTATCGACCATTTACTACTGTCCACAGAAGGAAAGCCAGGACGCCATGATACACGACGTGGGAGAGTATGTAAGGCTAAGGCCCTTAAGCCTCGTCAAAGAGTTTGTATTGATTTGCTATCTGCTACACTACACCACACTATCTTCCACAATCTCCCTCTCTCTCTTGCACGACCCAAAATGACCTTCTCCCCTTCCATCTAGTGGCACTCATCCTCCGAGCAACGAAGACTATCTTGTTTTTCCGCTCGATTCGAGCTAGTAAGTGTTAGCCATCTTTCTCAAGGCAGTGGCACGTACCTCATCTGTGGCCACCATGAAGTGATTGAGTGATTCTGCCTCTTCTTCGTCTTTTTCTGTTTTCTTCTCGCTGCCTGCTCGTCTTCGGCACGCATCTCGGGTGTCAAAGCTGATTCCGGCTGCTGCCCCCAGATCGCGCGAGATCCTTTGTGGCTGTGGCTAGCATTCGATCAAGCACTCGAATGCTCGGAAAGTAGAGATTAGTAATAGTAAGTTCGTCTTCAAGACGGTTGTTCTTTTCAACCCACGGTGCCATTTGTAGTCGATGCAGTGCCAGACTGCCGACGCTTAGTGGCAGCCGCATTCTCCTGTGATATGAAAGTCATCTGTCAGCGAATGTCGTACTCGTACGGCCAATCACGCAGCCTCAGCCAGCTTGCTATCTCGATCTTCACGTACGTCGATCCCCGCAACCTGAAAGCTGCGCTTGTTACTCGCATTGTCTACGCCGTTCGTGGTCGCCTTAGCCTTCTTCTTAGGCCGTGTAGGGCGAATTTCGCCGTCTACGAAGACGTCCGCAGGAAGGTCGAAGCTGCGATGAGTCAGTAATGATTTCTCCAACAAGAGGGATATGGTCTACTCACTTCCTGATGTGCTTGATGCATATTGAATGCAGGTCTGCGTCATAGCCTGCCCATCCTGTGCAGTCGCCGGAGAAGTTGCGGACGGGAAGTGAAATGTCAAGGTCTTTCGCGCCCTTGACCAGACCGATGCCGAGGTAGTAGGTCGTGGTGTACACCTTCTGTGGCCACTGAGACTGACCATCAGCACCGTGTTGATCTGCTGGCGCATCCTCGCCATTTGTCGCAGTCATCTCGACTCCATCCATGGCGGATTGAGCAGCAAGTTGCATCTTCACATCAGCAGCTTGGTCTGTAGTCTGAGTCTTGATGTCCTTGGCTTGATAGTCAAGGCTGCCATCCTTCGCCTTGGTCATCTCCTCTTCGCTGTTGCACTCATGTACACGATCGAATCCTTTGTTGTACGGATGAACTAGCTCAACGCTCTTGGCGCCCGAGTTCTCGATGCCTGTGACTAGCCACTTGATCTTCGACTGCACTAGACCAGACCATTTGTCTTGTGCATCTTTCGTTCTCGCCGCTGTATTGACACAAATGTAATGCTTGTAAGCCTCGGTAAAGAACTGGTGTCTGGTGAAAAGTGTGCTCCAGGGCTTGCTGTTCATGTAGATGTCGGTGGCAAGATCTTCGCCACGCTGGAGCTCGGCCATCATGACGATTTTGGTCGACTTACAGATCGTGTGTGCTGTGTTGGTAGACGGAATTGCTGGCGTCAAGATCGGCATGAGGTGAGCAGCGTCACCACGGTATGCGACAGGGTCCCACTCACGTAGCTGGAGTGATGTCTCTTCTTTGTGCTGTAAGAACACAGGTCTTGGCCAGTTCCAGCGCTTCATAATGAAGAAGAACTTCTGGACTATAAGAGGCGCAGCAGCCTTGGGATATAGTTGACAGACGCGGGCGACCAGGATAGCATACGCGACACCACCCGGGAAGCCCACAATATTGCCGTAGATTGCACGACGCTGAGCCCAGAGCTTTACCGCGCGGAGAGCGTAGCGGAAGATTCTCGATTGAGGGACCAAATCAAGGATACGATTCGTCACACGTGTCCCATTGACGCAGCGCCGGTCCGTCTCGTCCAGGCCTCGCAGGAGGTTATCGTCAGAGAGGTCCATCTTCTCAGGTATGGATGACTGCTGCAGACTTGCGAAGATGAGATCGATGTCCACACCTTGAATGCAGAGCTTAATGATTGGCACAGAGATGTCCCGTACAGGCACGAGCTCGGTAATCTCTGCAGGTCCGGTAGACTGGCGGAGAAGGTCCGGCATGATGTCGAAAAAGTCATCTCGTGTCACATGCTTCGGCGCAACCAGCAGCGTGTCCACATCTGAGTTCGGTCCGTACACTCCCAGGCGATAGCTGCCATAGGTGAACACCTCACCTCCAGCAACATCCAGTATACCCTGCGGAAGCCCTTTCTTTTTGCCGACGCTTTGCACCATCTGTCGCAACAGCTTCTTTAGTCTTGCCAGGACAGCCTCTCTGTTGTCGGTGTCGCTCTGCGGAGGGAAATTGTTCTGAGCCTTCAATTCAGCAACGAGCGCATCATTGATTTTAAGGTCGCGCGGAGTAGGCGGATCGTTGTTGAAAGGCTGTGTGACGCCCCATTGCCGTTCGCTTGCCATGATGATGTGATCGGGTGTAGTCGTTCGAGGTGAAGTCCTCTGACCAGCTTCACGTCGCAGGCAGCAGTTCGGCAGGCGTGATCGCAGGTTCGTGCTTGACGCAACGTCAGGCTATGGACGCCTTAGTGCTCCATACTGGTCAGAGTGATCCTCACGACAATGTAGCATACGCAATTTCTGCTGCAGCAAAAGAATACAGATCAATGGTGGAATGTTAAAGGCAGCACTTGAAGCACGTGAAGCCGAGCCGAACGAGCGCTGCGACTGGCGGCGCTATACCTTTCTCGGACACGCGTATAAGACAGGCAAAACTCAATCTCATACGCGTGGGTGCTGTTGAATGTGCACAAATATCATTCGTCCACCCCATCAATCGCACCGCAAGCTAGCACGTTGCCATTCGGCTATCTCACGTCAACACAAGCATCTGGAGTGACGGAGGTCTATCACGATCTGACCTCGCCACTCCAGCCTGGACGGTCGATGAACCATCGCAGCTTCGAGTCCAGCCAGGCGACATCTGCCTTTGAGTCGCCGGGACCGCCAGCCCAGTGGCCCCTATCGCTTTAATCAGCATGTAGCATTACGGCCACTCGAAGTCGCGAAATCTCACCATATGGAAGGGAATGCAATGCAGACTCCCACCCCGGGTCTCATGTGCTGAACCTCAATTTCCGAATCTTCCGGTGCTGGACAGTCCATGAGCTTTCTGGCACAATCGTCGCTCTTTCGGTTTCTGACTTACGAAAGTACAGATCAGTCTGAGCTGGAAGCACCAATGCCTTCGCTTTGATGCCCTTCATGGCGGCATCAAAGTCCCCGTTGTACGGTTCCTGCGCGGAACAGTCTCCCGCTTGCCAGGTATGCAGCATCACGAGCATGTTCTCGGGATCTATACCATCAGCGCGAACCTGCCGCAAAGTCAAAGATCCACGAACCTTTGGACAAAGCCCAAGCCTCCCAGAAATTCTTCATAAAGTCCTCCAGATCCTTGAAGCCTAAAGCTGACTCGTGTAGTTTCTCGCGATAGAAGGCCTGACTGAAACCCCATCCGGCATATACGCGACCAAGTGCTTTCATGCCAACAGTACGCTCTTCGTCGGTCCAAGTGCGGTACTCTCCTCTGAAGTCTTCGCCCTTGAAAACGCCTGCAGAAGAAGCCCGCTTCCCGCCGAGGACCGCCACCTTCACGCCTTCCAGGAACACTTGATTGTGCAGTGAGGTCTTCGCAGATCCGCAGAATGGCACGACATAGTCCATAAAGTCCGGGTACTGCGTAGCCCACTGATAAGTCTGGCCAGCACCCATGCTCCAGCCTAGGACAGCATGGGCATGCTTGATGCCAAGCTTCTTTGTGACGAGCTCATGCTGTGCTTTGACATTGTCGTAGAACAGCACATCAGGAAAAGGCTTGAGGTCAGGTTTGTTGCTCGGTGATGATGATTGACCATTGCCGAAGAGCGCTGTAATGATGATGAAGTATTTGCTGGGAGACAGACATTTGTCTTCGCCGATCAACCATTCATTATCTTCGATTGCACCGGAATACCATGATGGGTATATGATCGCAGAATTCTTTGGGTCGCCGAACGTCTTATATGCTATATGGGCATCTGGAATACTGCCGCCACTCTTCAGCTTGAAGTCACCTAGAGAGTAAGTTTGATGTTGTGCCGACATGATTCCACTTGCTCAGTATGATCGCCGACTGCTTGGAATCACCCTCGTCTCTCAAGATAAGACCTGGGTTATCGTGTTTGCGGCTTTACCAAGCAACCCCACTTCTCGTCCCAAAGGTGGGGATGGCTGAACGCTGGATTGCAGCGATATCTTATTTCCTTCGCTCACATTTGACTCACGCCATCGAGAATAGCCTTTTACGAAGTCGCTGTCGATACCACTCTTGAAGACCTGATGATCGCATTGGCCGACAGTGAAGACACGGCAGCAATGTCTCATACGTTGACTAAGCCGACACCCAATGTAGCAACACATAATCCATGGAACAATCGAGCATCACCCCACTACAACCACATTGGACAGTCGCTAGGTGCATGTAGTATAGTAACGCCTGCTGGCCAGGTGGGCATTCACCCAGATGGCAGTATACCTAGCGACCCTTCGGAGCAGATTTGGGTGGCCCTGACCAATCTCAGTCGCTGCCTCGAGGCAGCTGGAGCTGACGTGATAGATATCGTCAGGTATACCCAATACATTGTTGACTATGACTACAACAATCCAGTGCACCGAAAGCCATTGCAGGAGTTCCTGGGCGAGCATCGGCCTCCTTCCACGTTGATACCAGTTACGAAGCTTGCGTTACCCGGACTTGTGTACGAGATCGAGATTACGGCAGCAGTGCCACAATTTCCTACAGAGAAAGTAGATGTCGTGGTGGTGGGTGCCGGCTTAAGCGGGCTGCAGACTGCCGTCAAGCTACAGAAGGCGGGTCTCCGAGTCAAGGTCCTCGAAGCACGAGATCGTGTTGGCGGCAAGACATGGTCTCGACCAGTCCGTGGAAGCATCTGTGATGTAGGAGCTGCTTGGATCAATGATACGAATCAGTCCAAGATGTATGCTCTTGCACAACGCTACAAGCTGGACCTCATCGAGCAGAACACTGAAGGCAGTATTGTGGTTGATGAAGGCATTGGAAAGCATAAGTTGCATCCGTATGGCGAACTGATCGCTGATGACGATGATAAGGAAGATATCGAGGACGCTGTACGAGTCCGCAGCATCTTCGAAGAGACGCTACAGCAGATCGATATCCGCAATCCAGTTGCTTCAGGCCAGGCTGTACGGAAAGACCTCGACAGCATAACATTCAAGGAATGGATCAAATCGCTGGACTGTCGCGAGTCTGCTGTCAATGCACTCACCGTCGGCGCACGTGCGATGCTGGGTGTTGAGCCGGCTGACATGAGCGCTTTGTATTTCCTCGACTACTGTAAGTCGGGCGGCGGGTACCTTACCATGCGGTCGGATCGCAAAGATGGAGGGCAGTATCTGCGCATCAGGCAAGGCACGCAGTCGTTTAGCACAGGCCTTGCAAACGAGCTTGAGCCGGGCTCGATCGTGCTTCAGTCGCCAGTAAGGGTGATACGACAGGAAGATAATATCGTTCGGGTTGTGTCCAATAGGGGTAGCTACGAGGCTTCTCGGGTCGTTGTCTCAATTCCGACGCCTATGTATGGCGAGATCACATTCGACCCACCGCTGCCGCAAGAGAAGATAGCACTTGCTACATCGACGAGACTTGGCGATTATTGCAAAGTCATCGCTTTATATGACAGTCCATGGTGGCGGGCGCATGGCTTGACCGGCATGAGTCAATCAGTAAAGGGTCCTTTTGCAGTGACTCGAGACACGAGTATCGAGGCTGATGGACACTTCAGCCTGACATGCTTTGTCGTCGGACAGCCAGCACGAGACTGGATGCTCAAGTCGCCTGCCGAGCGTCGGAAGGCGGTACTTGACCAGATTGAGAGACTCTTTGGTCCTTTCGCGAAAGTGGAGGAGCCCTTGGAGGTTGTCGAGCAGATATGGCAGAATGAGCAATGGAGTCAAGGATGTCCTTGCCCGGTTATGTCTTCAGGCATGATGACTGAATATGAAGCCGTGCTACGAGCACCATTTGACCGAATTCACTTCGTTGGCACAGAAACAGCGTACGAATGGAAAGGGTATATGGAAGGCGCAGTACGATCTGGCGAGAGAGGAGCAGAAGAAGTTATATCAGTTTTGGAGAAGCAGCAAGCACATCCATTGAAGTCACTCTGATATTAACATTTCGATACAAAGCATGTTATTAAATCTTCACCAGTCGATCAATGAGTGATGACGGTCCTCTCCCTGGCAACGATCCCAAGCGTCTTGAGGATTGAAAGCTCTTGTGGGCAGCCAGCGTAGGCAGTGTAGAGGGTGGCATTGAACCTGGGAGTGGTCAGTACGATCCGGAAGTCCCCCGGGTATCGACCAGTGTCCTACCAGTTGCCCATGTCCTGCACAAGAGGACGCACACGACCGAGGTCCTCGAGGCTGCATGTGCCGTGGCCACCAAGCGAAGGTGGGAAGGCGCAAGGCTCGATTATCTCTGAGAACACAGAATAATTGACGCTATGACACTAGAAGAACCAGTCAGACATGCGGGACGAAGAGAGTCACCAGTACAGCACGTACCGCGAAGTCGTCGTAAGCACAGCCATCCTGCTGGTTGGCCTTGATCTGGCAAGGCACGACGCAAGCAGGCAGGCGCTTGTTCCACTCATCTGTTGTCAAGCAATGATACTTCTGGAACTCTCCTGGCTGAGTCGCTTGGGTGATGTTGTAGGTGAGAGCAGCATTAGCAATAGCCGAGAAGGCGGCGAGAGCGAGAGTGATGGTCTGCATGATGGTAGTGACTGTTGGGGCGAAGTAATCAGAGATTTGATCGATAAGACAACTTTGGAGGAAAGGGTACGGTACAGACCAAGCTGGTTGTGGCTGCAAGCAGTGTCTATATAGGAGCGGACAACCCGTCCTTCGCATGGACAACACGCTCAACACGTGCGGGAACTCGAAAAGCATATTGACCTTCGTCGACCAGTCTGTACATAGCACTGTTGCCACTCAATCACTTTCAGGTCCCGGGGCGTGCCAAGCAGAGTCGATGCAGTAATGATCACGCAGAGTAAAAGCCTAGATCACACAGTAGACTTTGTTGGTCCAGCCTTATATGCAAGATACAGTTTGTTGTCGTGGTATAAGGTTTCGGACAACGGACTGTACCTGTATGATCTTCATGGAGTAGCTGAACGTCGTCTGTGCACATCTCACAACCGGCATCTTCTCAACGGCATGAAATCCTAGTCATTGCTGGTCGTTCATTGCCCTCCAGCCTTGATGAGTATTGAGACGGCAGAGCTTCTGGTCTGTTACCGCGATGTTGTACAACAAATCTCGTCAACGCTTGTAAAGCCCACCCTGAATGTCCGAACAACCGAAACTACCACAAGCGGAAATAACAACAATGTAATTCATCGTAAGCTCTTCAAACCTTGCTGATCACTCGGCAGCTTCGCCCGAATTGTGCAGAGTTCAGGGGGCATTGTAGCGGCATATTATGCTTTGGCAGGATGCAAAGCTAGAGGTCCTTGCTATTTCTTGAACGTGATAAAGTGAGCTCGAGACGGTGTATATCTCGGCCCGACCAGAGTGATGCTGGTAAGCTATGAATCGAGCAGCGTAGTTTTGGGAGAATGCGATGAACTAAGTGCTTCATTGTTGTTTTCGGTACTCGAAAGCCAGCATACAAGTTGGATGCGTTCGCAGTTGCCTGGCGCCATAACTGCACAGAGTCTCACTCAGATTCCTCTGTTGAACTCGACGTTGCCACCGTGCCCAGCCTTATCCCAGAACTCCTCTTCAAGGCCCTTCGCGCTGACTGCTTGACGCTGTGGGAAAGCGGCTAATGCAAGTGGCAAAGCAAAGATACTGGTGGCAAAGATCAGACCAAGATTGACAGGTAACACCATCCGCGGCCGCTGTTTCAGCCACTCTCCCCGCTGCAATCGCACAAGAATTAATGGTGGTAGGACCATAATGGGCGTCGAGTTGAGTACACGAGACACCGCAGTCTCACCGACTGCTAAGGTAGCAGCCTTCTTCGATTTGCCGAGCGATTCCAGCGGTTGGTTGTCTTTCTCGCGCTTCGTTCGCTGCTTCTCAGACTCGCTCGGAAAGACGTCGATACCCCTTCTGATCTCTTCGCCACGCATCAAGAACACATTGAGTGCACCGGCACTTGCTACAGCAGCAAAGGGTACCAACCTGCCGAGTGTCGTCCTTGTTGCCGGGCTTAGACGCCTCAGTCTTGGTACGATGGAGTTCAAGCCAACAGCCACCGTACAGCTCGCACCCACCGCCAAGAAGTAAGATTGTACCAGTTGAGCCGTCGTGATAGGTGTGCTCTTGTTCGCGTTCGCACTGTTGATGGCCACGTTCAAGCTTTGGTTAGCCCATTGCCATGCAACCGTGCCAGTAGTAGTTAGATTTGGTGTAAGCATGCCAGCTGTGACGACCAGATTTGACAGCACAAAGCTAGACATGCGAAAGGGCAGAAAGACAGGTTCGCCAGTATCTGTAGTCTCGTCAGAAGAAGATCACTCATCCGCTGTGGATTTCCTACCTGGATGCAATGTCGAGTCAACAATCTTCTTCGCCGTCCATAGCTCTGGCGTCATCTGCTGGATTTTCCCTTGCTTGTATCGTACAAGGAGATCTTTGGCATTTTGCAGACCGCTCGAGCTTGTGAATAGTGTTCTACTCGACGGATCAGTAATTGTAAAAGGGGGATTAATGGTGGCGGGTTGGTAGGTCTGCTGTATTGAAGGCATACTGACCCTTGCGGATCGCAATGTGCGCCCACTCCACGGCGGAGGTGCTGTACAGTCTCACCTCGGATCTGATATGTCTGCAGAGTGCTTGACGCGCCCCCAGTATGTGTTCAAGTCGAAGCGGGATGTTGGCAAATCTCGACTACCCGGTAAGGAGGCAGACATGACTGCGATAGGACTCAGGCACTTCAAGCTGGCGGTAGCTCACCTACAACGAGGGTGAGTAGTACGTAGACACCTGCAATCGCTAGCATGGAGTCACGACGGTGAGACAATCAATCGGCTTGTGCCGTTGGATCCTTGTCCGCTTGCCCGAACTACCTTAAAACTTCACACTCATTAACAGCACACATCTCATCTTATCTGTCGTAGCTAATTTGTTGCCAGCATGTTCACAATCGAGATACGGCTGAACAGAAGATACAGTTGCAGTACCTAAGGGCATTGTTACTTCCCATCATTCTCTGCTGCGCCAACACGTCTTTTACTGCGCTCGGTTTGCGCTCGCAATCACGAATCTTTGAGCTGGTCACAAATCACTTCGGTGAGAGTGCAAGACAAGAAGGACATCGACGGTCATTGAGTACGGGACGGTGTACGCAACCATTGCCTGTCTCGTAATTTACCAAACGAGACAATTATTCACACCTCTGCAACCGCTATCAGGATCAGCGCCCTCGTATCAGTCTCGCTACTTCACCTTCCCCATTGGGACTCAGTTGACATGCTTTGTGTAGTCAGAGGTCGACCTGCAATCGTGAGCTGCTGATTCACGTGGGTCTTGCAGATAGGCAAATGCGGCTTCATGCAACATGCATGTTAGACTGCGAGTAAGTCATGGCTTGGCATGTACCAATACTAACTGTGCCCTCACCCCTCACATCCTCATCTGTCCACCTCTAGTCGTCTATACTACTCCGAATGTCTACAATGGAGTTGGCTTGATACCACACGGAATCACTCACGCGTTTGTCGTTGTATCCAGGATTAGCGTCAACATCGGGCTGGTATTCTACTTGAGGCAACCTTGACCACACGAGCCCGGTACTTACCGAACTCAGAGGATGGACCGCTTCAATGCTATCCGACAAAGGCTCATACTCCATCCTCGGCCAGGATCCTTCACAGCAGAAGGTGACAGTGCCCGATGGAGCAACAAAGACCTGGATCCAGTTCCACCAGAGGAGAAGAAATGGGAATGGTATCACGTGGGTGCATTCTGGGTCGCGGAAGGATTTAACGTCGCTCAACTCGAAACGCCGTCCAGTGCGATTGCTCTTGGACTCAACCCGGGTCTGGCCATCACGGCCTGCTTCGTTGGCAATATGCTTGTAATGATCCCAACTTTCAGCAGCGCCTATGTTGGCAGCAAGTTTGGCCTCAACTTTCCCGTGATCTCGAGAGCATCTTTCGGTATGCGCGGAGCATATATCGCTATGGTCATTCGTGGCGTGGTCTGCGTCATCTGGATGGGCGTTCAGAGCTCTGTTGGTGGCAATGCTGTACGATGCATGATACAGGCTATCTGGCCGAGCTTCAAATATTGGCATGCGGACGCTCTACCAGCCAGCGCCGCCATCACCGCACCTGATCTTTTGAGCTTTGCCGTGTTCTGGATCCTGCAACTACCCTTCATGTTCTTGTCAGTAAACGCTCTGCGCTGGATGCTAATGATCAAGGTCGCCGTCATGCCATTCTTCGGAGTCTGTCTGTTCACATGGGCGTTGACAGCGTCCAATGGATGGGGGCCACTTTTCAGCATTCCAACTAAAGTGTCGAACGGCTGGACGGTCGGCTACGTATTCTGCTCGACGATCACCGCAGCCATTTCAAGCAATGCTACTTTCGCCGTCAACATGGGCGATATGACACGATACGCACACAATAGACACCATGCGTGGCAGATGCAGTTTGCGCTTCCAGTTGTTATGACTCTGACGGAGCTCCTCGGGACTGTCATGGCAGCGTCAGCACAAGTGGTGTATGGCCAGATTTTATGGAATCCGCTATCTGTCGTGCTGCTATGGACCAATCGGCCAGCACAATTCTTTGCTGGTCTACTTTTCTGCTTCGCCAATATCATGACGAATGTGGTCGGCAATTCTGTACCTTTTGCCAATGACTTGATGGGCATGGTGCCGAAGTGAGTACGATGAAGACGATCTCGTGATTGATGCTGATCATCTTTTACAGATACATCAATCTTCGCCGGGGCCAGATCATCTGTGCCATCTTGGGCTTCGCTATCTGCCCATGGTTGATACAAGCAAAAGCGCAGCGCTTTCTGGGCTTTCTTAATGGGTATACCGTTTTTTTGGGACCACTTATCGGCCTGCTGGTCAGCGATTACTGGCTGGTGCGTAAGGGTCAAGGCTACAACGTCCGAGCACTTTACCAGCCTGGGAACAGTCTATACTGGTATACGGCAGGCTTCAATTGGCGCGCGATTGCAGCTATGCTTGTTGGCATTGTGCCTCTGGTTCCTGGGCTGGCCCACTCGATCAACAGCAATTTGGCTGTTTCACGTGGTGCTCAAGCGTATTATACAATGGCGTGGCTGGATGGGTTGGTCCTAACGGCCATGTCCTACTACATATTGTTCCTCATATCTCCATGGACGCTAGAATCGAACAGCATCATCGACGGCAGGGATGACATTGAAGCGGTGCCAGTTGAAATGGAGGACAGCGAGGAGAAGTACACGAAGCAGAGCTAGCCCTACTTGATGTGTATAAATTTGATAGATATGTTGTTAAGCTGCTTCCAAATATTGATAAATAATAAATCGATATCATCTCCACATTTCTGACATCAATGAGACTTGCTGCTTGGATATCTCTCTTTATTGGCTGTGAGGCGTTCCGCATCTCTTCTTACCATCTCGAAAATACGTCAGAAAGCCATGGATCCTTTGGTCGTGCTACCGCCGGAAATTGTGCTACGCATCCTTGAGTTTACTGCCGTGCCTAGCGTGGCTCATTTGAACAGGACATCGTCCGCCTGGCACGACTTCATCGACAAGCTTCACCAGGAGGCCGTTTACTCGTCCAGCGGCAAAGTATGGCGTCCGCCAGGCACGAAGGATTTCGAATTTCTGGCAACCGCGACAAGTTTCGCTAAGATATATGAAGGTGTACATACATCCAAGGAGCTATGTAAACAGCAGACGCTACTTGCTCGCAATTGGAATGACCAACAGCCTCTAACCACGGAATCCGTCCTCCAAGTGGGCAATGATCCAGTATGGCGGTTTAGACCAGACTTCAAGCGCCGATTCTTCGTGTCGACTTCTCAATCGGGCGGGCTCAATGTTACGGACATGGATTCTGGTAACATGTTGTGGCGTCTACCATACACAACGAGCAGCGATGAGCACTCTGTTCGGCCATATGCCCATCTAGAGTACCAGGACGGTATGATGTGCTTTGACCGTGAAGGCGACGCGATAGAGGTATGGCGGACGGACATTGAGGTTCTGTCACGTGGAGAATTCAAACGGATCACGATACTGCCACATGACTGCCAGACGAGAGGCTTCCAACTATCGCACGATACACTGTGTGTCGTCTCGACTGAAGGCCAAGCTTTTGTGTACGATATGCAAGCATCGCCACCAGTCTTGAAGAAGCACATTCGGATGGATGAAGGTGCCATTGGCCATCTCGACCAGAACGAAGAGATTATGGTGGTTTCTATGGGCGATCGTGGTTACCATGTCTACGACAAAGGCTCGGGAGAGCTTATTGGAACACTTGAGCCGCGCCATGTTACAGCAGCCAAGCGTTACCATATTCGTCACCCTGCTAGGCAGATGGGAGCCTCAGATGTCAGCAGACACGGTCCAACACCACGAATCTTCCCTCCTGAGAAGCCGAGCAGGAATCGGCTTGTACCGCTCAGCATCGAGAATGGTCCGCTACCACGTACCGTAGAACCACAGACAGACTGGCAAGGCGACGACGAGTGGGGTGCTGGGCTATTGTATGGAGACATGATGGTGGGCTTTTCAAGGACGGGGCAAGTCTTCATATGCTCCGACTGGCGTAAGGCTCTCAAGGACCATGCTGCCCTGCATACTCGTAGCGCAGTAATTGAATGTGAAAGTGATGGAGCGAGCTTTGATCTTGGTGGCTGGCTTTCTGCAGCAGATCATCGGATCATGTTTGAGATCCGAGATCGTGTTTACGTTGTTGGGCTTACCGACGAGAACAAGATACCGACACTGGCCGAGCCTGAGCGACCTTCATACTCACTGCTCTCGAGCTCGGCGCCGCAGTTGGCGGTTCCTGTGAGCTTCATGGCATTGTTTGATGACTGCATCATGACCACCTATACGGTATGTTCGTACTAGAGTGTCAATCTATGACCTTGGACTGACGGATCCCGACAGACACTGGGCTGGCGGCAGAACCCTCCTGGTTCAGACGGAACCCAGCAGCACAATGGTGGCCCTTCTCGAATTTTCCCCACTAAAGCAATCCGAATCATCAGCCTCGCGCCAGTCGCGAACGATGTCGAGGTACAGTCTCCTGTACTGGAAGTATCGATGGCAGATGATACGGAACATAGGACGCAGACAGGCCTGCTACAGCTTGTGAGCATGCTTGGCGACGAGCTGGCCGACGATGATGAGGATGCCCTTGGTGTTATGGAGACGGACTTCCATGATGCGGTGTGATCTACAGAATTGCTGTGACCCTGTGTCTGTCGAAAGGTTCCGCAGTAGTGCCGAACTTCACTACACTCCGCTAAGGCGTGAGCTTTGTGCGGCCCGCACCTTCGAACACGACAGAACAGAGAGAATAGGTCGAAGGCCAGACTTGTCCCCTTATCCCATCAAATTTTCCACAAGAGCAAATCTTGCACGAGGCTCACCGATTGCGTCCTGTAATCTCTGCCCCTTGACCTAAAGAAAAGGGGAACGATGCAAGACATGAGTGCGTGGAAAGCTTCACAATACGACCAAGCAGCCACTGGTCCTCGCTTGGCCCCAGCATTAGCATTAAGGACCGGGCGAGTGGCGGACAGATTATGCGGCCGACCTGGCAATGCTCAAATCCCTAATGCGGATGAGATGGAACAACTGTCCGAGCTTGTAAGGTAGAAACGTTACACATGGACAGAAGCGTACAGCTACCTTATAGAAGTCGCTTGTAAGACTACTCCCAGTCCACGATCTGCTCCTTGACCTGTTGCGGGTTGGAAGCTCCAGTAGACGGGCCCTCACCACCATCCTTCGCTTCCCCCTGCCTCTCCTCATGGTCATCGTGATCGCTCTCCTTCTTCCTCTCCATCTCCCTCTCCTTTTCCCTACCCTTCTGCTCCTCACTCTCCATCTCCCTCTCCTCAGCAGCCTTCTTCTCATCCTCCTGCCTCCTCCTCTCCGCCACTTCTGCCTCATCCCTTCGTCTCCGCTCCTCTTCCTCACGAGCCCGAACATGCGCTTCGCCGACTCCAGGCCAAAGACTTGCTACGAACAGTGCTACGGCCCGTTCGACCGGCCGGATGTACTCCCGCAAGCGGTGGACGCGAGCGTTCTGAGCCTGATTGCGTTCGTCTAGCAGGCGTTGGGCGACTTGCTGCGGTGTTGGCATTGCTCCTGCTGGACCCTGCGCTGCTGCTCCTTGCCCATCAGCCTGATCACCACCCCGTCCTTGCGCTTGCGCAGCAGGTGCGCCCGCATTCCCACCCACAACCCCATCCCACCATCTTCTCGCCACACCACCATCACCCAGCATCCCAGCCCTCACCATCCAGAAGCCTAATCCAATCATGACCAGTGCCAGAGGACGTCGCCACCCAAGATTAGAACCCATGATGAAGTATGCGAAGATCAAGAGGCGGAAGAGAAGCCACATGTGATTGAGAAGTGGTTCCAGCGGACCGAGGGCATTTGGTTGCGCTGCTGCTTGCGCTTGTGCTGGATTTGCGGCTGGGTCGGCGTTTGCGACGGCTTGACCATTGGGCTGAGCGGCAGGTGGCTGCGCTGGGACAGCGTTGTTGGCAGCCGGTTGTTGCAGCTGTCCAGTTGGTCCGTGCTGAAGAGTCGTGGCATTAGGGAACAAGTGTTGTTGCTGCAACGGCATGACAGTGGGTGTCGGTCGCAATCCAGCTGGCATCCTGCCCGTGTAGGTGCCATGCTGCGGTGTGAATAGTAATGCCTGCGGTCCCTGCGGGCCAGAAAGGAGGTAGCATGTTGTGTCGTCCGGCCCAGAAGGGGCTGCCTGCCCGACTGCGCCCTCATATAATGAGCGTTGATTATGTGGCTGGCCATTCATCGGCTGGCGGCCAAAGAGCGGACCGCCTGGCACACCACCGAACAGACTTGTCTGAGCGTTTGCATTGCTACCGAAGAGGCTTCCTGGCGCAGGTAGCGCACTTCTAGCGCCTGCCCCTTGCTGTCCATTGGCATTTGCAAAAGCAGCCTGCCCACTATCGAATAAGCTGCCACCTCCAGGCGTTGTCGCTTGCTGCTGAGGTGGAGCAGACCGTCTACCAGCGTCACCGAACAAACTTGAGGCGTTGACACCAGCGTTTGCGAAAAGCCCGGCTCTCATATTTGCGTTTCCAGCAACGCCAAAGGGATCAACATACTCTCTAACCTCCCGCACCCTCGCTTCCAACTCCTCCACCCGTGCAGTCTGCGTTCGCAATGACTCCTCAGTATGCTCGCCATTTCTAATGGTGTCTCGGATTTGCTCTAGCATCGTTCTCATCTCTGTCAAGTTGCTTCTAGCACGCTCCAATGCAGATGGTCCTGGTGGTGGCATATTTGCCTGTTGCTGCTGCGCTTGAGGCGGAAAGAGATGTGGAAAGAGGGGCATGCCATTCGGCTGGCCAGGTGGAAATGGTTGGCCAGGAAATTGCAGAGTTTGCTGATGAATCTGGATCTGCTGACCATTTGGTCCGACACCCTGAAAGTGGAAGCCCTGTCCGCTCACGGGCCGTCCGTGATGATGATGGTGGTGGTGATGGGGTTGCCCATGGATAGCAGGATTGTGCTGGGGGCTAGAGCCTGCGGCCGGTTCTTGCTGATCTTGAGCTTGAGCAAAGTTGTCTGTAGACGGGCGGTCATGCTGACCATCACCACCCTGCTGTGGCTGTTGTGTAGGCATCAGCTGTGGACCAACTCCCTGCATACCCATCGATGCTCTCTGCTGCTGTCCTTGCGCCACTGCTTGACCGAATCCAGGCGGCATCGGCACCTGCATACCAGGAAACTGCATCGGTGGCATACCTGGCTGCATTACCTGTCCATGTGCCATATGCTGATGTAACATCTGCTGCTGCTGCATCGCCATTTGCCTAGCAAGTGCTTGCTGGTGGAGGACGTTTGGATGCACGTGTTGTCCAGGCATCGGCATCTGCTGACCAGGTTGCTGTGGCTGTTGCATACCAGGGGCAGGAGGTGTGCTCACGGCCCTTCTATGGCCCTGACCATCTCCATTCTGCGCATCGTTCCTGACAAGCAAGTGAACCACATACTCTGTCTGCGTGGGATCGCGCTTTGTGTTCAGCGCATCTGCGAGGGTTTGCTCGTTATCCACTAACGCCCTACCTCCATATAGGATCCTTTGCTGCTCCGGTGTCGGATGAGATGGTATTGTAGTCTGAATCTGCTGCCTCACTGCTCCGATCGTGGTGTTGGCTGCGAGAGATCCAAGCGGGAATTCATCGTTGCCATCCGTGCTGTAGCCTGGCGGGACCTTGACCTTGAGTGTGATCGTGGTTGGTGGTTCCGGTGGCGCCATGTCTGAGGCTATGACGGTCGTGTGTGCATTGAGAATGAGATGTTGAAGAGATGTCGAGTATGAGTCGTTTGTCAGCCTCCAGCTGTCCTTGTGCTCGGACATTCACTTCGCGTGCATGCCATGCGAAGCTTGGTACGTCATATTTATTCTTTTGGGAAGGAGCCTCTCTTGTCCTCATCACAAGCAGAAAGAGCGATTCATCATCATCATGTTGTACATATAGACTGTAATATACGCAAGAGAAAGATGCCGCCATCAACACCCCACCGCCTGCTCCGCTCCGCCATCCGTCACCATCCCCTCCCACTTCCAACCAGACGAATACCACACGCCCGCACTTTCCACCAAACCTCGAGACACCGCAAAGAATCCTTCGCCTCTCGAGCCTCAACAGCCTGGCGCAGTACCAACACCGTCTGGCGACCCATCCCCATTGCCTTAGGCATAGCCCTCCTCGGCGCCTTCCAATTCTACCGCATCCAAAGTCGGGAATCTCGAAAGCAACAAGAAGAGTGGCGGAATCGCTCCGAGCACCCAGAGGAGTATGAGACGAGTACTTTGCGCCCGAAAAGGAGGGAGAGGATCGTGCCGAGTGGGCCATGGACGGTCCAGATCATGTCTACCATCCCACTCAAGGCAGTGTCGAGGTATTGGGGATGGTTCAATAGTCTGGATATTCCTTACTACATCCGCATCCCCGGTTTCAAACTCTACGGATGGGTGTTCGGCGTGAACTTTGAGGAAGTGGCGGAGCCGGATTTGCATACCTATCGCAACCTGGCGCAGTTCTTTTACAGAGCTATAAAACCTGGGGTGCGGCCGATAGACCCTGATCCGACTGCGCTTGTGTCGCCGGCAGATGGGAGGGTGGTGCAATTCGGGTATATTGAGCATGGGGAGGTGGAGCAGGTGAAGGGTGTCACGTATCATCTAGATGCTTTGCTGGGAAAGCAGTCGAGTTCTACGCCTAAAGGGAGGAATAGTAAAGTCACGACCAATGCAGCTTCCTCGCCTTCCAGTCCTCAGCCCTCTGCGAGTCGAGAACGCCACGGCGACGAAGAAGCTATCCGAGCAGACGAACAGTTCGCCCAAGTCAACGGCATCTCCTACACCCTCCCTAACCTCTTCTCCGGCTCCTCGATTCAGCCTCCTGAGACACGCGAAGGCGGCGGTGGCAAAAAGAGGAAATGGTATCAGCGTGCCAAGCCTTCAGATCAAAGTACAGGCAGTACCGCGACCTCCGAGGCAGCCGTACGAGCAGACTTAGCTCAAGCCCCTGACTACCAACGCTCCTCTAACTCTACCGAGACTCCAACAACGCTGTACTACTGCGTCGTCTACCTAGCACCCGGCGACTACCATCGTTTCCACAGTCCCGTCTCCTGGGTCGTGCAGACGAGACGACATTTTGCGGGAGAATTATACAGTGTGTCGCCTTACCTCGTGCGGACACTACCCGGCCTCTTCACCTTGAATGAGCGAGTGGTGTTGCTAGGGAAGTGGAAATACGGCTTCTTCTCTTACACGCCCGTAGGCGCTACGAACGTCGGCTCTATCATCGTGAACTTCGACCGCGAATTACGAACAAACTCACTCCTTACCGATACCCTCGCAGACCACGCAGCAGAACTCGCCAAAGAACGCGGAGAACCGTACTCGGGATACTCAGAAGCAACATACAATTCTGCCTCGGCTGTCCTAGGAGGTCATCCACTGAAGAAGGGAGATGAGATGGGTGGGTTCCAGTTGGGAAGTACGATCGTGATGGTTTTTGAGGCGCCGAAGGGACGAAGACCGAGTTTCGATGAGGGATGGGGCACGGGGAGATTGGTAGGGCCGGATGGGGAGGAGGCGAGGGGGAGGAAGGGTGGGTGGAAGTGGTGTATTGAGAAGGGGATGAAGGTGCAGGTTGGGCAGAAGTTGGGGTTTGTTGAGGAGGAGTGAGGTGGATAGAAATTTACGCGTGCTGTGGTTATTGATAAGAGTGACTTACGAAAAGGAGGCATTGCCCACTGGTCCTAGTCTGCTCGCCTGATGCATATTCTCGTCTCGGCCTCGCCATATCGCCTGGTCACGTGGATGTAAAAGCGACTCGACCGCCGTTCTATCTGGCATGACGACCTCGTGGTCTCGCACCATCGGCTATCCTCCTCTCGCGTACCAAATTTCCCTTGTCCTCAAAGTACGCCACGCTTCAAGCCTGAGATGACGTGACGGATACCAATCTATGAAAAGTGTCAGCTAGGCTCATACGACATCCTCGTATCGTTGACTTACTGCCTCAAGGAACTCGTGGTCGTCATCGTCTTTGATAAGTAGGCCACGCGTAGCGACGATGTCGTCGTCCAGGGCCTTGGAAATTTTCTTGCGCTTGCTCGCTTGGAGACTCAAAATGTGCGATTCGATCGAGCTGCTCGAGTAGAAGCGACGAACAGCGACGACATTCTTCTGGCCTCTGCGGATGGCGCGAGCGATGACTTCGTCTTCGATGAAGGGGTTGCACGACGGCGCGAGGATGAAGACGTCCAAGGCGTGGATGAACGTCAGGCCCTTGGCACATACCTTGACTGTGCCCGCCATGGCGAGGTATTGGCTGGGCTCGACATCTGGCCAGCTGAAGTTTTTCGGTCCCCCCGCCTCAATCTCCTCGAAGTCGTGATGGGCCAGGTCACGTTGCCGCTGGTCGAGGGTGCCGTCGAGTCGCAGGATCTCGATGTTGGAGTGCTCTTTCAGCCCAATCGCGAGGATGTCGAGAGCCGCGAGAGACTCACGGAAGATGAGACATTTGTGGGTGGCGATATACTCCTTGCGCTCTGCAGCCGTCGGTAGCTGCTCGGCCTCGCGACGATGTTGTCGTAACATTTGATCAACTCCTTCGGCGACGGCGAGGAGTCTGTCAGACAGCCCTGCATCCGTGTTGTGCTTGAAGAAGTCGAGGAACTCTGCGCGACGGACGGCCACCTTCTCGCGCTTCTCTTTGCTCGTCTGCTTAGCACAGCGAGCTTGTACACGTTCTGCTCCGACGCGAGCGTCTCGCCTGATTCCCTCATCACCCTCCTGAACTGCCTCAAAGGTCATGTCTGCCATCGTATCCATGGTCATGTTCTTGAGATCATCGACGCCAAGCTCGCTGTACTTTGCATCGAGCATCTTGGGATGGATGACATGCGTGTCGGCATTTGAGTAAAGTAGCAAACGTCTCTCCCTTGGGTCTGACGTCCTCGTGAGCTTCACCTGCCCGGCGCGACTTATTCATGCGGCGCTTGTATTCCGGGTCCCAAAATCGCGGGCCTCCTTCTGATATGCTTACGGCTTGCTGCTGAGCCCGCAGCCGGAGTAGTACGAGTCCCATTTGGGCGTACCTAGGATCGGCTCGTCGTCGAACAACTGATTCCTGACACGACGAATGCCGATGCCTGAACGTATCGCGAAGAGGATGGCGTCATTATCGTGATACTGGGCCTTTCTATCAGCCGGAAGATCGGATTGCCATTGCTTGGTCATGAAGCATCGCTTAAACAAGACGAGGTCTTGCCATGGTGAGATGTTGAGGAACATGAGGAGTGAGCCGAGATCTTCTAGCGAGTCCTGCAGCGGCGTGCCAGTCACCGCCACTCGAATCTCTGCATGCATTTGACGGACTCCACAAGTCACCAGCGTGTTCGAGTTCCTGATCTTGTGGGCCTCGTCCAGGACGATCGTAGCAAAAGAATGAGCAAGCAGAGGAAGTTGGGCTCGACTCTGGCATAGCGGTCGAACAACAGGCGGGTTGGCTCGATTGAGATTGCTTCGCGCCAGCGTCTCATCATGTATGGCGGCCGAAGCGTCCCCTGGACGTTCAGTCTCGTCCTCGAATCCTTCTTCACGGATGGCAAGCCCCCTTACCGTCTGACGAATCTCTGAGTATGCCGCCTCAATCGTGGTGTAAGACACCAAGACCACGTCGCAAATGCCCAACTCGGCCTCGCTTCGAGGGTTCTTCTTGATGTGCTTGACACGGAGCGAGGGTGCTTGACAGCGGGCTCAATGTTCTACAAGCCAGTGCGCTGCAGTCTTTTATCGGGTTCAGCACGTTCCGGTCGCTGGTAGAATATTGTAAGTAGGTCAAGGTAGAAGGTTTGTGTTTGTATCAAGAAGGGCAAGTGAGTGAACGTACCACAAGTCTGTGTCTGTGGTGCGTGACCAAACACTAGCGCGGCACTAGCGTTCTCACATGCTGAGGAAGGAACGACTGGTGACCGCGTCCGCTTTCGATACGCCCGCCATTCTTCGGATACGCCATTGCGGACTGAATGATTGTACGGTCAGGAAAATATACTTCTACGCATGCTTGATGGCACCAGTCTTTACCCTTTTGACGCTATTCAATCTACATTTCGTTCCAGAAGATCTATGGCAGTTTTGCAGAAGATACAAGTGACGAGCTATGAGGGCGCGGAGCGACTTATATTTCTGCTCGATCTCCGGCATGATATCGAAACTTGAACGCTGAGCTGGATTCAACATGACGGAAAGTGAGTAATGTTTCGTAGAGAAAGTCAGCAGTCTAGGATACATCAGTACATCCCCATCACTGTATCGTACGAAATAAACACCACAACAAGCCCGTCGGCTATACGCAAAATCTCTAGTCATACTCTTCATAGATGCCTTCGAGTGTAGGACTTGCTCGCCGGATCGAAAGGTCCCTTTACTTCACCATTCTTGCCCACGCGGAGCACTGGACAAAGAGACCTTTCGCGCTTTAATGCTGGAGCAGCACCCACATACTTTGACTGAGGCAGCCAGATATTATCGAGTCTTTGCGAAGCCCTCGAGACAGGCCGGAATCTCCAAATCGAGTCGACTGCTGCTGATGCAGGTTCGTCTTCAAACAAGTCCTGCACCTCGTTACCAATCATTATGCTGCCGGTTTCGAGGCTTTCCGTGCCCGGAATGGGGTCGGCGAAAAGGTCATCGGTGTTGTCTGTCATACAAACACCCTCTTCCTCCTCGTTGTCGTTGACAGGCGCACTCTCCAAAGGAACAGTGCTTGCCATATTACCATTTTCGTACGTGGAGAAGGCTGTTGCGGCCCAAGGAGGATCATGTAGAGGCCGTGACGATGTGATCGGTGCACCAGAGGAGGTCCCACTCGGTAGAGCGTCACTGTAATGAGCAGACAAGCTTCCAGGATTGGCCGGATTCTGGACGGCGGTGCGTATTGCCTGGATCGGTTTATTAGCATGCAAGTCACGCCGAAGTTGCCGGAAATGGGAGCCTACCGTATAGATCTTCACCACTGAATGGTCATCATTGCCAGAACTGTGTCGTCCCTGAAGCAGCCGTTCGAGAAAGTAGACTCTCTTACTTTTGCGCCAATTAGCAGGTGACAAGATGGTAAGGTGTATTGCGGCGACTGCTATGACAAGAGCCACCTTCTCAGCCATCGACACGATAGAGCAGGCTTCACAGCCGGTATTATGCCAGTCATGCGACCGCAGAGCATCGGCGAACAAAGCTTTCTCAGGTGGTACTTGGCCTGTCTGTGTTAGAGGCGATAGCGTCTTTCGCAGCTCATCCACAACAGTGTGTCGGACGATTCGCCATAGACTGATGATAGGCAGTGGATTCAGCTTCCTGTGTTTCGCGCAAAAGGTCGATAGCCAGGAGTGCTTACAACGAAGGTTCTTGGGCAGGCGTGCGATCATGGCACTTGTCGCTTCTTCAAACAATGTCGCCGCAGTAGCTTCTGCTGGCGAGGCTACGAGAATGTCCGCCACACAGTCCAGATCCGACTTGGTGAGATCCTTGTAGTCGTAGGATAGCCGATTCGCTTTTCTGCCTATCTGCTGAGCCGTGCCGTACCTGTTGAGCGTCTGAGCTGCCATCTTGGTCTATGATTGTTAGGTTCGCTATTCCTGAAAACAACCTTTCTCCGCAGCCATGTCTGCGCTATCGACTTGATATACCTACATGCCATGTCTTACAATCACATTGTAGCTAAGACAAAGGAATTGATACTGTCTGTCACTTGTGTTTGAGGACGATTTCTTTGTCTGTATTCAGCGCTCGCCAATTCTGCTGTGGTAATGCTAAGAACCCACGATATTGCTCGGAACACATTACCATACTGATAACAGTCGCAGCCATCAAATAATGCTCAGCTAGCGGAAACCAGCCGCTACTGGCTTCGTACATAGAAAACAAGTAAATCTTCGTGGTGGCTGGTATGGATCTAGACCCGTACAAGTCGGATGTAACCATTGCGTGCAGGAGGAACACTGCAGAAGCGGCGAGCCATCATCCTCTGTTCGGCCGCAAAGGCAGCGTATCAGAGGCGCCGCACGGGTCCGAGGAAGTGGCTGCTGTTGCGGTACTTGCTGGTCGAACGACATCATACTCCAGCGTCGGTTGTGCGCATCCAGCGTGGCTTCTCGAGGCCTGAGCATAGATCCTGGAGGTGACCAGATACTCTGCGCAGCGTGGACTTCAGCACCGGCGGCTGTACTGTCATGACCCGATTCGACAGACATATCCATAGAACATGAATCGATCAAGGAGCCCGTAGAAGAAGAAATGTTCCTTCTACCAGCCGTAGAACGACTGGTACGCCGAAGACTGCCCTTGCGTCTCAGCTGTGCAGCAGCGGCCACTGCAGCTCGTGAAGGAGTCACGCCTTTTACAGACAACGCCGAGTTGGTACGCGGTATGCTCAAGCCCTCCAAGTTCTCCACCGGTGGATCCAGTCTGGCAGCTTTAGCGCGACGCTCTTCGCTCCTGGCGAAATTGAACGACGCACTTCTGCTCGGAGGCTGCTCACTCGTGACAGACTCGTCCTCGTCCTCATCATCACTCGTATCAGAGTCGAAAAGTCCTGGATAGCGTTCGCGTATGGATTTCGTCGGACTGGGCTCGGGCCGTCGTGTCTCGGTACGTGCTATCCCGTTCTCGTCTACTGTAAGAATGACAGACGGCCGGTGCACGGGCTTGTGCTCAGAAATAGCTCGTAATGGTGTCCTTCCAATCCTCTTCAGCGGCGAAGCAGTCCGTGGAATCTGTTGCATGCTCTCGCTTCGGCTTAGTGACTCTGCCATACTTATAGCAGACTGTGCGGTGCCCGAACGTGGGTTGCCAACGGTGTTGCTTCTACGCAGGCCGGGTCCAGATATGGAGGGGCCACTATCCGCGGGCGAAACACTGTCCTTCTGTGCCTTGCTCTCGAGTGCGCTGTCCTTACGCTTATTGACAGGCTTGTCTGGCCTGACTTTGCTTGTCCTGCTTGCAGACCGACTGATTGGTCGGACCGGCGAGCTGTATATAAGAGATGGATCGAGACTTGCCGCTGAAGTCGCGACCGTCATCGCGTTGTTGACAAAACCACCAGGTAGTGATGCTGCCGATGCTGGTCGAGGATGTGGTGGTTGCACAGGAAAGCTGGTCATGGCTGGAGTTTCGAAGCTCATTATGGGACCTTGGCTCATCGCTGGTGATACTGAAGACCAAGTCCCCGATTGCTGTATGGAAGGTGCGAAAGGGTCGTCCAGAGAAGCTTGTTGAGGTATTGCAGCCATCGGACTCCTTACCTGATCCCACAACAATTGTGTTTGAGGCATGACTGGCGCAGAAGCTGGACCAAAGTTGTTGAACTGGTACATGTCGGGCGAGAACTGTATTTGAGGGAACTGCACTGGTGTGTAAGGTCCTTGTGGTATGGCTTGTGCTTGCTGCAGCTGCTGCTGAGGGGTTGTGAATCGTCGTGCGGCAATTGTGGAAGGCGTTCCGAACGCTACTTGTGTTGGCTGCTGGACTTTTCTTCCCGGCGTTCCACGAGTTGGTGGTGGAGTCTGCATTTGCTGTGAGGCAATGATATGCTGCATCATTGGCTGAGCAGGTGAAGGCTGATATGCCATGCCTTGTCCCGGACTGATCACTTGAGGAGCGTAGTTCATCTGTTGTGGCATTGGTACCGGCTGCATTACACCAGCTTGCATACCAGCATAAAAGTTGGACCGTAGAGTCTCTGACGATGACTGCGTTCTCTGTACTGGTGTCATCCTGCTATACTGTGGTTGCTGAGGTGTAGCATAGCTTGGCATTTGCGGTGTGCTGAAAGCATCCTGAAAGTGGGAAGGGAAGGTAGCGTTTTTGGGTGTCTGAAAGACATGGTTGCCGAAGGCAGCGGCTGTAGGTGTTGCACCTGGGCTTGGGAAGCTCCAATCTCCATTGCTAGAATGTATGTGAGCATTGGCGATAGGTCATGTGCTCACCAGGGGAGATTATACCCTGCAAATTGTTGATCAAACTCCATGGCAGAAATTTGTATTGTGACTCAAGAACTCTTGTAACGCTCACTGCCCCGACACCCACAGCTTATGGTCTCTTCTCAATGCATATCGAGCTCGATCTGGTGGAGTGGGTTGTTCGGAGGAGGACGAAATGAATGACTGGAACGTAGAATCTTAACGGGATCCGATCGGGATCAGTGTATGTGTCTCTCGGTAGGACGGTATTAGGTAGGATTCTTGCTAGTAGCGACGGACAGCAGCAGTACCCAGACAGAGACAGGCAACAGTGCAGTCAAGAGGAGATAGATAGACAGTAAGAATGCCTGCTGGCAATAATGAACATAGGACAGTGACAAAGATGCAAGTACCCGACAAGGAATGGCTCGTCAGAGACTCCGCAATAATTGGTTCAGAAAGCTAGGACGCACAACGGCGGCGCCGTGCAAGGCACAAAGACCTGCAGGTGCGGCGGGAAGCATGGCATTCCTCGGTGGTGGCCTGGAGATACCGATAGTCATAGCTGAAGGATCGGGCGGGAGGGAACCAAATGCTCTTCTCCTTGGAAGTCAGAGAACAGCCGCAGCCCAATAGCCGCTTGTGCCACAAATGGATATGCGGCAGATAAAAGGGAGGATGTCGCCACCGTCATCCGACAGGCAGAAGTGGAGGGTTGTGCCGTTTGCTGAAGCGAGATCATATCAGCTCACCACTGCTGGCTGAAGGAAGCACTGCAGCCCGCCATGTAGAACTACAACTATGACAAGAAAGATCTCGCTTCTGCAGCTCCCCGCTGCAAAGCTCCTCAGCCAATTATGCCGTTCGCAACGTCGACTCAAAAACAAACGCCAGGAGGCACTCCGGCCAATGGAGTCTCGTAGCGGGTTATATTCCATTCGTTCTGCCGCGACATCTCACACCTCGCTTCCCGCAGCAGCACTGCTGATGAAATAAGCGCACCCGCGGATACTTCATCTCCACACGGAAAGCCTACTAAAGTGGCCTCGGAACAACTCGACTTGGGAGGAACGTACCGAAGGAGTTATACTTTTCTGATCTGTCCTTGGTCTTGTCTAGGATGGCGTGACGATGACCCCCGCCTTCACGATGCTTCGCAGGGATGATTCCGGCAATTCGGTCAGACAGGTAATCTGATGAATGAGAATAATGTCGGACCGGTGAGATGGATTAGCGGCCTGGTACATACATAATGGACTACGGAGGTCATGTTTCCCGCTGCAAGTCCCAGGAGGACCAACATAATAAGGCATACGGCTCGTAATTCCTGCATGTCTGGGAACGAGACCCGACAGAAACTCAATTGTATGAGTAGCCGTCATTTCCAGGCTGCGTCCCTCTTCTTCTCTCCGCCCCAGCAGCTGAGCAGCCCAAGCAGACGGATTGACTCGCAAAAGTAGTAGCTCTGAGCCACCACTCACCCTGTTCCAGACCCTTGTACCAGCTCATTCTGGCCTGACGCATTTACAGGACTTCACCTTTGTTACCCTGGTACGTTGCAAGAGCTCAGCAATAATTCATGTCTATCGCTTAATCTTGGCAGCATCAAGAGCGGAATTGAAGTTGGATATAAAAATGACACTACCTATGTCGAAACTCGCTGCTATGCGTGCTTCTCTATATCGTCCTCTAGTTGCTGTCTGCTGACTCTCCGCTCTCTTACTTCTCTATCCTTGAGTTCTTTCGCTTCCTTCTTCTGCTTAAGCTCCTGACAGAACTTACTATTGGCACGAATCTGACCTCCGTACTTGATAAAAATAAATGGCACGGCCGCCATGATCATGCTCAAGAACGCAAGCAGTGTACAAGCCCACGCAATACCCAGACGCTCATACATCGGCTTCGCAGCAAAAGGCAAAACCACACCGAATATGGATCTCGAGCTCGACGCTGCTCCCATGGCACTGGCGGCGAAGACTTCGTAAGCGTCCACCACGTAGTTCAGCTCCCCCATGAATATCAGCAGGAAGCCAATGCCGAATGGTAGCGCAGACAGTGTTGGCACAATCCAGTGGATATCTGCTCGAGCAGTCCAGCCGAGCCAAAACAGCGAGATTACGAACAGTGGCCCACCGAAACAGGCCAGTGGTAGACGAGCATATTCCTCAACTTTCGTCCATTGCGGTGGTGGAGATTTTCTCAGCGCTTTCTCGTAGTAATCGTTCCAGGCCAGATAGACGCCAGTCGCTATAACAGAGCCAACGCCAATCGGCAGGAAGGTGAGACCCGTTTCTCCTGCATTGAAGCCATACACGCCACCAAAAACAACCGGGTATGCTTGGAAGAATACTATCTGTTGGTCAACATTGCAGCATGGACAAGACTGTTGCAGACGACTCACTGTAGAATATGCCATATATTACTGACAGATAGAGGCATGTGGTCAGGACAATGGCCTCGGTGCAGAACATCCGGATAGGTCGCATAAGCACGACTACAACCAGTTCGTGAAAGTCTCTTGTCTGCAACTCACTCGGCGCCACTATACTCTCATCGCCAGTTTCCTTGCGCAGCTTCTTGGCTTTCCTCTCCAATATCACCGGGCCATATGTCTCCGGCATAAACAAGAGGAAAGGCCAGGTCGCTCCAGCGATGATCAAAAGAACCCAGTACGACCATCGCCACGATACTACAGACACGAATCCCGAAGCTATCGGACCGATCAATGGACCCCAGGTAGTTGCTGCCATGAACAGAGTAATGACGAGACCTCTCGCTCTTGGAGTGCTGTAGATGTCTGCATAGATACCTCCCACAACAGATATTGGCGTGGAAGAGCCGACGCCGGTCAGGAATCGGAAGACGATCAGGCCAGCGAATGAAGGTGCTAGAGCACAACCGAGTGTGAAGGCTGTGAAGACGACGAAGGTGCCTATCATAACGATCTTGCGGCCATAGGTCTCGGACATGGGCTACCTAGCATTAGCGCTGCTTGTATATCGATTCGTTCATGCATCGTTGAGGCGGACAAAGCAAGAACAAATTTCTTCGTCCTCTCAAGGTCATGACTTACCGCGAACACTAATGGCCCAAGGACGTAGCCGATCAGGTAGATTGAAACGGGCAGGACAAGTTGTGCTTGGTTCGTGACATTAAAATATCGAGAAGTCTCCTCAGTCGCTCCGGAGGCTATCGAGCTGCCTATAGTACTGTTGAAGACCATAAAGATTGAAGCTAGGACAACGTATATCTTCTTCGTTTGGCTCCAATTATATGGATTGAGAGGATCGCCATCACTGAAGCTGACGATGGTCTTGCCATCTTCCCGATGTATACTTGCGGCAGGGGATGGTGTCGACGACGTTTCTCGCGAGTTGTCTGCTGTTTCGATCTCGGCTTGCTTCTCTACGTCGAGTTTGTCTATGTCGTCAATCGTTTTGTCGTGCACCTCGGGTATTTGATTCAGTGGCGATTGCGGGGAGGCTTGCGCGCCGTCTCTGACGCTCATCATAAGCAAGATAAAGATGAAATGGTACGAATGTTCGACATCTGAGACAAATGCTAAGACTGTGAAATGTGAAGAAGATCGTGGTTGAACCCATCATACTCTTGAAACATAGCGATTGGTTCGTCCGGCTCTCGGCAAAAGCAGTTTGGCAATGATCATGTACTTTTGTCCGGCTTAAGGCAAGCTTAATATCGATCAGCAAGCTTGGCGTCCAATATCGAGAGCCTCGTGCATGCAGGCACATATCGAATTGATGTTGCTGTATGCTGTTGGTTGTCTTATCGCTTTCGACAACAATTTGCAGGCGACATTCAAGAGTGTCGATTATATTCCGATGATTCGTTCTGTGTTGCTCTCGCATCATTGTGCTCAAGCTTCGAGATTGATGCTACGGCCAAATCGTCCATACAAGGCGGCCTTGAGGTCGTTCATCTCTTCCCGCAACTCACTCAACTTCTCCTCGAGCGAGCCGACTTCATCGTTGATCTTTTCCACCGAAGAAGATAGCAGGTCTTGTACTTCCACAATAGGCAGTGAGAAGAATGAGTCGCCGATTTTGTAGCTGCGTAGGTCCATTAGTCAAGATCCCGATCACGTTGTTGTAGTTTTCAGGTCACGTACGGCACCTTGTCGTCCTCGTCAGCGAGTTCCAATTCCGAGGAGATTTCTTCAAGGTCTTCCTTTTCCTTCTGAGAGAGTGTTAGTACTGATTGTGGTTCAACTATGCACCTCACGCACCTCCTTGGTTTTCAGTTGCTCATCGAGACCCTTCTCTCGCGAGTGCAGCCTGCTGAAGCGATTGATCTTTTCTTGATCCTCACGCCGCACTTCTTTTTCTTCGCCAATCTGTGCCTCTTCTTCTTGTGATAGCTGCGGCAAATTAGTGCAACCCAACTGTAGCTTTCAATTGGTACGCACCATGCGTCTTGACAACATCTTGACGGAGGGATAATAGCAGAATGTAGAAGTTGCCCTTGCACTTGTGTTCTGTGGTATCAGCACAGGCCAGCGATTATACTTTTGACTTTGGTGGGGTGCATGACAAGCGTAAATTTGCGACAGGACGCCTTGTCAAAGTATCACCACTTTCTTGTCAACGAATTGAGTATGAACCGTGAATCGTATCTAGAATCTGATGAAACTCTCCGACAGTATGTATGCCGGCAGATGCCAAATGATCATGCACAACGCCATTTCAAAATGCTATCAAAAAGCCGAAGGAATGCCGCCCTATCAATCGTCCTTGTCTGTGGCGCTGCCCTCGTTATCTGTACATGCATGCGCGACCAATCGCAACGGCTATCGCAGGCGAGAACCTGACGTGAGGGGTATGTGCTTGCGAGATGTCGGAGGTCTCGACTGACACGCCATGTACACTCGCTGGAGCTGACAGGGTATACTTTTCATGCTCGCCGCTACATAAAAGTCATCAGTCCCAGACTTGCTTTCCTACCTCAGCACGCAAGATGGAGTCCGAGAAAGTCAGACGAGTCTCGCAGACTACCATAGACAAAGGCCTTGCTAGTGACGATGATGCCGCTGTACTGGGTGCGTTTTGTACCTACATCGATATGAAGCATAGAACTGACAGAGTGCAGCTGGCTTGGGCTATACCCAAGAGCTGCGGCGCAATTTCACCATGATAGAAGTCTTTGGCATCGCTTTCTCGATCATGGGTCTGCTTCCATCGATTGCAAGCACTCTCGCATACTCAATCCCAGCTGGGCCTGCAGGCATGGTATGGAGTTGGTTCCTGGCTAGCATGTTTATATTCGTCGTGGGCCTTGCTATGGCCGATTTGGGATCCGCTATGCCGACTTCTGGAGGGTGAGTCGCCGATCCCAGGAGAAATCAGTAGCAACGATACAATGCTGATGTTTGTAGTCTTTACTGGTGGACGCACTACTTCGCCTCCCCAAAGACTCGCAACGCGTTGTCTTTCTTGGTCGGTTATAGTAACACTCTCGGCCTTGTCGGCGGCCTTGTCTCGATCGACTACGGCTTCTCGCTTATGCTGTTGAGCGTCGTTGTACTCGCGAACGACGGCAACTACACACCATCATCCGGTGTGATATACGCGGTGTTCTTGGGCTGTATCTTGTGCCATGGCGTCCTTGCCAGCACACTGAGCAAAGTTATGGGCAAGCTGCAGACAGTCTTTGTCGCGCTGAATTTTGTCCTGATCGTTGCAACCATCATCGCCCTGCCTGTTGGTCGGGCATCGCAAAGGAACAGTGCACACTTCGTCTTCGCGGAGGTCGAGAACTTGACCACGTGGCCGACAGGGTGGGCATTCATGTTGGCTTGGCTGTCTCCCATCTGGACCATTGGTATGTGCAGTCGATGAGATTAAGGGCGCATGATGAGCTGACACGGTCTACAGGCGGCTTCGACAGCTGCGTCCACATGTCAGAAGAAGCCTCAAACGCTACTCGTGCAGTACCCTATGGCATCATCATGTCCATCGGCAGCTGCTGGCTCTTCGGCTGGATCTTGACCATCGTCATCGCAGCATGCATGAATCCCGATCTTGAGGCAGTACTCACCAGTCCATTCGGCCAGCCAATGGCTCAAATCTACTATGATGCCCTCGGAAAGCGTGGCGCCATCGGCATGATGACTCTACTCTTCATCGTACAATTCCTGATGGGTCTTAGCATCCTGGTGGCGGCTTCACGACAAAGCTGGGCCTTCAGCAGAGATGGTGCATTGCCTTTCAGCAGCTTCTTTCGTAAGATCAGCGCCAAGCTTGGCTATATACCTTTCCGGGCTGTCTGGGGATGTGTCGGTGTTGGTGCCATTCTTGGCCTCCTTTCGTTGATCGCACCGGCCGCCGCTCAAGCATTATTCTCGTTGGCAGTGGCCGGCAACAACGTGGCGTGGGGAACACCTATCCTTTGCCGTCTTGTTTGGGGTCAGAATAAGTTCAAGCCAGGTATGAAAATATTTCATAATGCAAGGGAGATCTTGTCTAACACACCTTTGCAGGCCCTGTTTACACAGGCAGGTACAGCATTGCAATTGGCTGGACTGCAATCGTCTTCTTATGCTTCGGCACACTTCTAGCCATGTTCCCAGTCGGTGGTACGTACTGTCTAGTCGTCTGCCATAAGACAACTAGCTGATCATTTACAGGACCGAACCCAACCCCATCAAGCATGAACTACACGGTCGTCATCAACTCGGCAGTATGGCTCGGTGCCTTGGCATACTACTTCATTGACGCTCGCAAATGGTAAGCATCGAGACTCCAACCCACGAATGTGCAAACTCTGACACTCCACAGGTTCACTGGGCCAAAGATCACACTCGACCTTACAGATCTAAGTGAAAGCCAGGAGAGGGCGATTGTGTCTGAGGGCTTGGAGGTGCAGCATGTCAAGCCAAGTCCGGTAGGTGTGGAGCAGAATGTTGGTGAGAAGAGGGCAGAAGTGTAGTTAGCAAGCTTGCGATAGCACGCCTGAGAACCAAGACAGTTGTCTGTTCTCACCACGTATCAGACCTTCCAAAAGCGGACTGTACCGGATGCATTTGCCCTACTGGACTTGCCCCGTAGGAAAGGGCAAGAGATAGAGCAAAGACGTGATGGCCAGGGAAACAAAAGTAAAAATATGAGAAGTTTCACACCAGTGTTTAACTGGTCAAATCGGATTACGAGCCTTGGATGAGGTTAGGACGAATTCTAAGCATAAGTTGTTGGAAATGACTTACAGCATGGGGCTCGAACCCACTAAGTGAGAATTAGTGCCTGTTCGAGGGCGAGAGATAACTGTCTGAGACAGCTCAAAGACATACCAGCCTTTGGTGATTCTCAACCGAAAACCAACGCGCTCTGAGGGTTACATAATTAGCATGGTTTAGATGACTGTGGTGTGTAGAGAGTACCTACACCATTGCGCCAACCGCCCACACCACAGGAATATAATGTCCCAGGTTTCGCACACTTTCATGAGGTGACATGATTAAGTCCTGGTATTGCTTTACAACTAAGACCCCTTCACTCAGATCCGAGGAAAGAGCGAGACGAAAGCCAGTCATACTGGTAGCGTGCGGAAACTCCAGGTTAGCATGATATAAGACCTGGTTGATCCGAGGGATAGGAATTAGGATCTTGACCAGACGATTGATGGTGCGATGCATCATGCTAGGCAAAGCTGCCAAGGCAACTGACGATGTGATCGGTCTTCATTGGGATGCTGGAGAGATGGCGATTGTATTGCATTAGATGCTCTATATATCGCGTATGGCATGGAGTGAAGTTGAGGAAGCCGAGTCCGAACGCCTGTAGTCTTTCTCGCTTGCTCCGGGCCAAGTTTGCCACACAACTTCGCCTTCTACTCACCAGGCATGAACTCCTTATTTTGTCCGCATTGAACCCGACATATCTCATATCTCATTCAGCTTCGCGTCCTGACAGCCAGCCTATGGCCAATCACTCAGGTACGACTTTTCGCTGTTAAGGGGCCATCGGAACGACACGTCAGGAGCAAGCCTCAGTCGTTGACCGCATGTTCGAACGTCGTTCTTTGGCCGATCTGCGTTATGGGAAGTGGCCGGATCGCGACCACTGGAGCTTTTGGCGAGATCTTCGTGGGTCTCTGGCACGACTTGACAATCTGGTGCTTCGGACCTTTGACCACATGCCCACCCATTTGTTAGGCATATCCTCCTCTCTCACGTCTGCGCACCAACATATCTCCTCATACCCACACTCATCGGCGACTTTCCCTTCTTCATCTTCTGCTTGGCCTCCATCGGATGCTCCCTTTCCCATCTTTCGTCATCTTGGTAGGCCCTCACAGCTGTATCGAGATCCCAGTCGGCTTGCTGCAGGTATAGCAACGCCACATCGTATCTAAGCCGGAGCGGAACACTGGTCAGCACATCAGCCTCGTACCACTAACTTCAACAGATGGCATAGAGCTACTCACTCTGCAACCTTACACGCCATCATCCACCTCCTCACCTTTCCTCTCTTTACTTCCTCCTCTTCACCCTCCGGTGGCTGTGGCGAAAGTGATACACCACCTTTGTAGTACTCGCCCGGAATCAACACCGTCCTCCGACCTTGTATGAGATGGTCCGAGAAAACATTATTGGCTTTCCGTAACGCATTGGTCGGCACCCCATATGCCAACGCCAACGACCTTATACTATCCTCCGGCGTCAAGAAATGCAGTACATCCGGCGCGGGCTCACCCTGCCTCTCTTTCTCTGATGGTGGTGGCCGCGAATCGTGCGACGAATATGCAGGCAGCTCCTCATCCTCCTCAACTTGCTTTTCACTAGGTGGCGGCACGCTTGGCTCGTTCAACGACGTATATGCGGGAGGATCTTTCAGTCCTTGTGGCAGCAGAGACGGCTCGGTTGTGATTTGGCAGTATGGACAGTACGTCTCGTATCGCTTGTTCTGGTTCAGACATCGCGAACATATCGATCGATCACAGCATGGTAAATGTCGTCCTGGAAGGAGTGGTTTCTCGGAGGCGGGGTCAAGGGGACTATCGTATATGGAGGCGCAAGTTGCGCATGCGTTGGCCATGATGATGGTTGATAATAGATATGTGCTACAACGCCTAATGGTGCTATGCTAGTGAACTGTTCAGAGGATATGCTCTGTATCACGTCTCTGCATAATGACGCCGTACACACCTCGCTATCGATTATTGGCGCTTCGGCTTCGGATGCGAGAAGGAAGCGGCCGGGTTCGCATGGCGGTGCATTAGGCACGATTCGCCACCCGCTTTGCAGGGCTGGGCTGGGCAATCTTACTTGCCAATCGTGACGCTTCCAAGAGACCCTTTCTAAGCATAACTCTTGTCGTTGTCGTTGTTCACCTCCTTCTCTCCCTCTGTGCTATCTCTACTTACAATTGACCTCCATACGCTCCTTCCAGATAACGTGAACACCGAAATCGCGACCTTGTAATACTTTGAGACGACGAGATCTTGATTGATCCGCCTGCATTAACGGATTTAAGCTTACGGATCGCGTGGAGGAACAAACACTTTACTGAGCTCGCAACACACCAGCAGCGCCATCTGGCGCATCATGGCCACCTACACAATCATGGACAACTCAACCTCCACCCTTCCGCCACTTCCGACTTACACGATCAAACCTCTACCCTCCCTCCTACCCTACATATCTGATGCGCACCTCTCGTTAGCACTGCCCATAGTAGCTTACTGGGGCGTATCAATGATCTTCCACTTCATCGACGAGTGGGACCTCTTTCCACAGTACCGACTACATACCCCAGCCGAAGTGCTCAAGCGGAACCACGTCAGCAGATGGCACGTCCTCCGTGATGTGGTTATACAGCAGATAATTCAGACCGTGTTCGGACTGGGACTGGCTTTCGTAGATCCGCCTTCGACTTTTGGGAAGGAGGATTATGATGTTGCTCTTTGGGCGCAGAGAATCAGGCTTGCAGAGAGGGCTGTACCGGCTGTGCTGGGAATGGTTGGAGTGGATGCTGCGGGATTGGCGAAGAGCGTCGGGAGTGGACATGCTATGCTGGGCAGTGTGCTGCTGGGTGGACAGTATCCGGATCTGATGCAAACGGTCGTCTCGAATGGGCAAGCAATCGCAGCTCCAGCCTCTGCGCAGTGGGAGCTTCTAGCCGCGAAGACGATCTATCACGCTTTGATCCCGGTCTGCCAATTCCTGCTGGCCATCTGCATTGTCGACACATGGCAGTATTTCCTCCACCGCGCAATGCATATGAACAAGTACCTGTACACGACCTTCCACTCTCGACACCACAGGCTCTACGTTCCCTACGCATACGGCGCACTCTACAACCATCCAGTCGAAGGTTTCGCCCTGGACACTCTAGGCACAGGACTCGCATACTTGATATCTGGCATGACAGTCCGCCAATCGATCTGGTTCTTCACAATGTCCACGATCAAGACCGTAGACGACCACTGCGGGTATGCATTTCCATGGGACCCCCTCCAGCATCTCACCAGCAACAACGCCGGATACCACGACGTGCACCACCAAAGCTGGGGCATCAAGACGAATTTCAGCCAGCCATTTTTCACATTCTGGGATGGTCTACTAGGCACGAAATGGGTTGGGGGAGACGTCAGTGCACGATACGAGCGTGCGCGCTTGGCTGCGCGGAAAAAGGCCGATGCGGAGAAGCCTTTGACACAACAGCATGAGACGGCGCCCGAGATATTACCACAAAAGGCAGCGCAACAGGCAGCTTTCTCACAGAAATGCGTCCTCGCCGATACCTCTGCAGCAGGTGGGCGGAACGTTCTGGTAGAGGAAGCGGCAGAGGAAGTCAAGGCGAGAAGGGAAGTGAGAAGGAGTCCGCGGAAAAGAGTCATGACCAACTCGGGCCTCAAGGGCTTCGCGGATAGAGTTGGCGAGAGCTTGCATGGGAAGAGTTCGGGGGTCTTGAGTGTAGATGGTGGAAGGCGGTAATGTATAATTTCCAAATGGCATGAGTATTGCAAGATGCCGTTGTTTATGATAGCTTCTGATTCTCTTTGGCCTTCGCTTGTACACAAGTCTTACCTATCTTATGTTTTAGGGCGTGTATGACCTACATTGAGATCAGGCCGCTTGGCTTTCCGCACAATTGCATCTAGAGTTCTGGGTCGCACAGCTCTCGGTACTGGGTTTGTAGCGGCTCCACGACCATGTTCGTGAACTCACGACGCCAGACCGTGTCGTTCGGCCGTACGAACATCTTCTCCAGGCACCACCAGATAGCAGCCGAGTGCTCTGGCCCTGCTTCCCCTGCCACCTCTTCAGCCCAGCTGATGGCTAGAGCTCGATCGTGGACAGCATCCTCGACTAGCATCCCCACCTGACCACTCTTTCCTCGCTTCTCCTCGAGAGGCATACCGAAACACAGCTCGAGCAACAGAATGGCGAGAGTAGACATAGGGATATCGAAGCCCACCTTTGCAATATCTGGAACACTTTTTCCGAAACCACGCCGCAACAACGGATTGTCGTACTGGATCTCACCACCATCTTTTGTGAGGAAAACAATGTCGTTCTTGTTCCATCCTGTTCTCAGCCATCCGCTTGAATGGAGCTGAACATGCGCTGAGGCTACGGCTGCTGCAATGCCGTACCTGTTTTTGCGGGACGGCCGTGGCGTACCTTTTAAAATGTCCGCTCGCAGCAGACTGCCTAAGGTCAACACTCTTGGGTTTCGGCGAGCGAGATCAAATTGATCACTCGCATTCAGAGTGTACGTATTGACGTCGTCGGTACTGGCGAGCAGAGCGAGGTGCTTCGTTACTAGCTGCCCATCCCCTAGCTTGGCGCACAGATCTACAGTCGGCGTGCTTTGCTCTACTTCGCCCGCCATCATATCAGCACCTGGCTTGGTATCCTCTGCAAACATGACTTTGCCATTCGAATGGCCGACGCTTGAATCGTACACGTGGCATATGCAGGCCTGTCGTTCTGTCCAAGGTGGCACAGGCATATGTGTACCCTCATGTCTGCTATGGTACAACAACAGGACGTCGAAGCGTACTGTCGGAGACGATGGATGTCTGAGCAGTAGATCTGCTCGATGATGCTCTATGCAACTGCAGCCCCATGCTGCGGAAAGCATGTTGTATATTGCATTTGCGTGCTTGTGAAGCTGCAGCAGTGTTTTACTAATCATGGAAGTAGTCCGCCGAGCGACTTGCTGTCGAACTTGCACGCTTGCGTTGCTACGTGTCAGAAGTGCTTGCAGGAACTCGAGTTGTTGCCGGACTGCAGCGAAGGCCTCTTCCAGAGTCGGCTCTGTGGCGGCGAATTTGACTCTATTGCGCTCATTCTGGAAGCTGGAGTGAAGCCGGGACAACGTGCTCTTGGTATCTTGCACATCCTGCGGACTCGTGGAGACTAGCTTACGTCTCAGCTCCTCCATGTCATCTCGCAGGTCGGTGACCGCTTCTATGAAGGCTTGAGCAGTTCTATCATCCAGCCTCGCCTTCAGCTTAATTTCCAATTGACGCCACTCGGGGTCATCTGGCCGTGTCTTCAGCCGCTCTAGATGGTCCAGGTCTCCCAGCACTGGCAGGAACAACACTTCGACTGTCTGGCTGAATGCAATTTCTAGAAGACTTGCTTGTGTCTTGTACCGCCGGTACACTGCTCGGAAACCTTTCAAGGTTCCCGTCATTCGTTGGAACTCACGTTGGTGCTCTAGCCATGAGATCAGTAGAGGTGGTCCGGCGAGGATGAGACCAGCAAGTGCCTCGGCCCCGCTCATGTTGCATGTCGAATCGAGTTCAGCAGGATTCTAGATTCGCGCAAGTCCATACAAAGGGCACACGACACCAATTCCCTGGCCTTTCTGCAATGGTCGAAGATGTTGCTTCAGCTTGGTCGGTTAAAGTAGCTTAAGGTAAGCTCCAAATTCTTGTGGAGGGGTGGAGGGGTGGAGGGGTGCCGCAGCCACACGACCTGCAGCTATCTTGCTTCTAACACAAGAGATAATGGATCCTGAGCCGTGTTATACCAAGCTCAAAACTCGAACTCATCCTGCGGGTGGATCAGAGCACAATGTCACCAGCTAGCCAAGATCTCTCGGTCGTTGGTGTCGAATGTCTAGAACTCTTGGATGCGACGACGCGTGAGGATTTCTCCAGACGTCCTGGCCAGCAGACCCAATATGCTCTGCAAGAATTGCTTTCGCGTTATCGCTCTTGGGGTGGAAACATCGGAGCCTTCCAACCGTACACCATTCGTACGTCACTGTCTTATCGTCTAAGAGAGGCGCCGGCGTTACATGCCAAATTCCTGGAGCACCTGGGAGATTTGCAAGAGGATGTCTCTGACCGTACGTTCTCTATCCACGCTGGGTTCGCTGGTTATCAGCACCATCGGCTCTGACACAAATAGTAGTCCTGATAATACTGACCGCCACAACGAAAAACGATGGTGGTAGCAAGCCCAGGCCAAGCGAACAACTGGCCGCTACCCTAGCCAAGGACTACAGGCTAGGTTCGGACGATGTTCAAGAGCTACTCCAGGCAATTAGTGAGGATATCGTAGCCTTATTCAGATTGTCCGTACTGGCAAGGAAGTCGTCTTTGCGAGATAGATACGCCATGGCGCTTGCTCGAACTGAGCCTCCTTCGCCTGCGGAAGAGGTCGCAGAGATGGATGCTATTGTCGAGCAGCAGCCATGGCTCAAACAACCTGCACTACTTTGGCTTCGACAGCGGCTTGCGTTGGCAAACAATTCACGAAGACGCTTCATGAGCTATTGCACCCAACATCAAGCTCACCTGCGCGGTAATGCCCTGCCCTCAAGTCCATTCGGCTATCAGCCATTGGTCGGAGCAATATCCATGGAGGTACTGGACGCTTCGGAAGATGCATCCACCGGCTTTGCTGAGACATCAGCGTCTACTACGAATGACGTTCTGTTCCAGCGGCTTGCATCCACTGATGCTGACATCGACGACCGAGCATCAGAGGTTTCGTACGTCTCCTACACCAATGAAAGCACAACACTAAGCTCCCATCTTGATGTTCCAAGCTTTTATGACGTGAAGGGAGAGCAGCCGGTCTTCACATGTCCGATTTGCAGATCTGATGTCGACTGTGCGACGTCTCGCAGCTGGAGACGCCACGTATTTTCGGATCTGCGAGCATATGTCTGCACTTTCAAAGATTGTCGACTGCGCATTTTTAGTGACTCTGAAACCTGGATGCAGCATGAAACTACGGAGCATTATACCTTTTGGGCTTGCCCCTATTGTGCAAACAAGGAGCCTTTCCACTCGAAAACAGACTTGTCAGCGCATGTCCTACAAGCTCATGGTTCATCGGCTGATCTAAGCTCTATCGAGCAGCTAGTCCAAGCTGGACGGTATTGTTCCGATACGATCGCTGCTTCAGCATGTCAGTTCTGTAATTGGCCTGCGAAGATCCGGGATATCGACCGTTCCGCGCCACGAGATGGTGAAATACTGGTCCCACTGGCCCGTTATCGTAGGCACGTTCGCGTCCACCTGGAACAAGTTGCATTGTTAGTCACAGATAAGCAGCTCAAAGATGCGAACGAAGTGGAATCGCCTACCTCCTCGGAGTGTGACCCGGACGAAATCTTCATTGCCGTCATAGGCGAAACCGGCGTTGGCAAAAGCAGTTTCATCTCGTTACTGACTAATGATGACGAGGTTACCATTGGTCATAGCCTGACCTCGCAAACAGCCAGTATTAGCGTACACCTCTGTGCTTATGATCATGGACCTAAAGTCTATCTGATCGATACGCCAGGCTTCAATGACACTACGAGGACTGATACAGGAGTTCTTCTTGAGTTGGCCGCTTGGTTAGCATCTACTTATCAAATAGACATGAAGCTCAGTGGTATATTCTACTTGCACCCGATCAGTAGTCCTCGGTTTACAGGGTCCTCGCTACGACAAATGAAACTTTTCCGGGCACTGTGCGGCCTGGAAGCCGAAAGTCATGTTGCATTGGTGACTACGAAGTGGGATCTGGTTGACCATCAACAAGGAGAGTTGCGAGAGCACGAGCTCGTGACCAAACCATACTTCTGGGGCGATATGTTCGCGCAGGGTAGCCGGATTGCTCGCCACGATAACACGAGAGCATCGGCTTCTCGTATCTTAGCTGCCACAGTGGCGCAAACCAAGACCACCTTGAAATTGCAACGTGAGCTGGTGGACGAGCAGATGCTGTTGCGGGACACCGAGGCTGGTCAAGTTATGGCTGAGGACTTATCACGTTTGCAGAACGGATATGACAGCGAATTAGCCGAGATCCAGCATGACCTCGCAGTAGCGCGGGAGGTGCACGATCAGTCTACTAGAGACACGGAGCACGAGGATCTACTACTTCATGCGCTCTCCCGCACGTCTTTGGATCTCAATCGACGCCGGAAGGAGGTCTCCACCGAGATGCGAAGGCTGCATGTGACGAAAGATGAGCTCCTAGATCAATACAGAACACGAATAGCGCAGCTCGAGGACGAGAAAGCGAACATGTCTAAAGAGAACGCGGAGCTTCGAGTGAGGCTTGCTGCTGCGAGCGTCAACCTGTGAGCACAAGTCAACTACTCAAAATTATTTCTGACAGGGACAATGGTATCTTGCACGTTACCCATCAACGATCAACTCGGCGCACCGATCGCTTGCCGCTGTACTCCACACATATACTCGACCGCGATTGACATTCGTATTCTGATCATGATCTCGCCGAACGACAACGCTGTAAATAGTCTGACCAGGTTGCTCGCCCCCAAGAACCTCGAGCCTGACAGCATCGACCACATGGCGTTCACGGGAATATCCGACATGCAGCGTGCCTCCCTCAGCCGTTCCTTCTTTCAACGTTCCTTCCCTATATATATGCTCCAGCAGACCTGAAACAGTGGTCAAGCAACTAGCGCTCAACGATCAAGGTCACCTTAGCCATCCTTCTTCCTCAGCTTTCCATCCTGACCTCTCAAGCTTCCATCATTGGAGCCCAAAACGACAAAATCGTGGACGCGACTTCACTATCCCCAAGAGCTGTGAACGATCACATCGCCAACATGAGACTCCTCACCACAATCATTGCCATTCTTGCCACGGCTGCGACGGAGTTCATCTCTTTCGACCTCGGCTACGACGATGGCTCTCGCTCCATGAACTTCATTGCTTGCTCCGACGGTGGTAATGGTCTTGAGACTCGTGAGTACAGTCTCTTATGGCTTCCGAGTCGTCGACACGAAGCTGACACAGTATCAGGCTACGGCTGGGAGACCGAAGGCCAAATTCCAAGCTGTGAGTCAGGCGGAGACATACCCGGACGGCATTGTTGAGCTAATCTTTACCAGTCCCGTATATCGGCGGCAGCATTGCCATTGTGGGTGAAACTCTCTTGTTTGTGGCGCCTGCTACGCGTAACCTACAATGGAGTGACAGTCCACATGCTCGTAAGTGTTCATGGAACTCACTGTATGACAGCACGCACTGATACTCTGCCCAGGGCATTGACACCGGTGGCTATGGCCTAATTGAGCTCAATGACAACGACTACGTACTCATTCCTGCCAGTACTAACATCATGTTTTAGGCATGTCCGAAACCGCCATGAACAAGCTTACGAATGGGCAGGCGGTCCAGCTCGGTCGTATCGATGCTCAAGTTGAAGTGCCGGAGAACGCGCCGAACGCATGTGGCCAGTAAGCCAGTCTCATCACCACCACGGCCGGCCACGAGCTACTGGGGTCGACGAAAACGATGACGTTCTGCTGTGAAAGACGTTGGAGGGCCATTCAAGGTGATCTGAGGAGCCTGGAGCAGCATCGTGCGAATACCAGCTAGCTTCCACCAGACATTTCATGGACAATTGCTGCATCGATGCGTAGACTGGTTCTAATGCCATCAATCCCTATGCGTCTGTACGTCGTCCGTGGCTCCTGGTCCCCCATCCCTGCTTGTCGCGTGCATCCTCTGGCACCATGTGGTGATATCTTCTCCCTCCTTTGTTTCGGTGCTGGGGAACAACAGTCAATCTATTTGCCTACCATGAAGCTGAGAGCATTCGTGATAGCATTGCCAGATACCACAAAACGCTGTGCCGGCGTCCAGCTTCGATGCTTGACTAGAGCAGCATCGACACCGAGGTGAGAAAGCATAGACGAATATTCGTCCATTGCATCATCCTTGAGTGTATTGGTCCACTGCAGTCAAGCTGATCATCAAGACATACTGCGGTATAGCACGTGCAGAATAGATTAATGATACAGCTCATGACTATCGTAAGGCATGTACGAGGAGCAAGTCTTTGCGCACAACTTTTCACTGATCCTGCAGACTACAATTTGCCCTTTTGAATATCCGGCCAGACCTGCGCGATAAAGTCCTCCATATCCTTGACAAACGCCTTAGGGGTCTCCATAGCCATGAAGTGCCCCCCCTCAGTATGTTCTCTGTACCACACCATATTGCCCGTCTCCTTGACCCAGTCTTTTGGCACGGCAGCCAGCTCCTGTGGGTTCCACGAGTAGCCCATTGGCTTCTTGATATACCAGTTCGGATCTGGATGAAAGAACGAAGGCTTAGGACCAAAGAATTGGCGGTATGGGTAGATGGCGCGTGGGAAGCTGTCCGTGAACCAGTAGAGTGTCACAGAGTCCAAGATCTCATCGAGAGGTGGGGCGACGTCTGACCATTGGATGAACTTCTCGCCGATCCTATAGCACATTGTCAACATCTACTTCAAATACCGGCCGCATTTGAGACGCAACTTACCAAGCTAGAGTAGCAACGGGGCTAGATGCCAAGACCAGACCGACAGTGGCTGGGCGAGTGCCGTGCTCGTTGGCATACGAGTCTCCAAGCCAGCTGAAGTGCTTCCCACGGTCTGCACCTTTTTTCTCCGCTTCTGTGAGCTTGTCATAGGGTGCGTCCTTGGATTCGCCGACACCGATGGCTAAGTTGACTGTAGCTTACTTAGCAGGCTGTCCATGATCTACCGTCGGCAGTTAGATCGCTGCACTCACGATGCACAGCTTTGCAAGCCTCATGACTGACACCCAAAATTCTCGACACGAAACTGCCAATATCGCCACCCTGCGTGACATAGCCCTTCCCAAAGCCAAGACCGACCATTAGCTTGTCCATAACCCTGGCAATACCCTCACAATCGAAATCCTTGTCAAGTGGCGGGCCGTTTGAGTAACCGTATCCTGGCAAGCTAGGCACAATGACATGGAAAGGCAGGGTCTCAGGTGTATACTTCTCCTTCAAGACCTCTACCGTGGAAAGGAACTCCAAGAACGAGCCAGGCCAACCGTGCAACAGAGTCAAGGGCACAGCATCTGCTTTCTTCGAGAAAAGTGCCATGAAGTGGACCTGGAAGTCAAACCCTACATCCTCAATACCGACCGTGTAGTTGGGCAGCTTGTTAATCCTGTCTTCCGTCTTGCGCCAGTCGTACTTGTTGAGCCAGTGGTCTTTCGCATCCGCAAGCCATTCTCTCTTGATGCCCCAGCCTAGGATTTCCTTGGGATCTGCGGTCAAGTTTTCGTACGTCTTTGGTCCGATATGAGAGTACTTGAGGCAATTTTTGAAGTCATTCAGCTCATCGTCCGAAACGTGCGCCTTGAACGGTTTCGGCTTGAGGGACGCGTTCGACGGAATGGTATCATAAGACATGTTGGTGGCCTGGAGTGGTTGGAATGGTGCTAGGAAGCTACGAGAAATGGCCAGCGTCTAGTACCTACCTTCTTGACATGCTTATACTGCTCTGTGTGCCCGGAAACAACGAGCGCGTGGTGGTCCAGAGCATCGTAACTTGTGGTAGGTTGGTGTGGTGTGAGAGGGGGAAGCTCCAAAGGTGAACGCGATCAGCTCTCCCCACATCCCCGAGCGCGCCGGAAATGACGACGTTGCAGGGAAACCACAGGCGGCGCTTCGACCTGCCTGGACCATTCGAATGTAGTGCCTTCCTGATCTAGTCAATGTTGAGATGAGATGAATGGATCAGTCGTTAGACGAATGGGAACGGGCTGTCGCAAAGTACGAACAAAGCTGGTATTTATTAGCTTGTATCTTTACACTATCTATTCATACGGTGCAGGACGTCAGTAAGAAAGTGTACTCCTCGGAGCTTTATCCATGCAGAATCATCATGTACTTGGAAATAGATTAGTAGCAATCACCGCAGAATATTCCGTCACAAATTTGACCGATACATTTGTGGATGCTGGCCCTTGGGTAGCTCGATGCCATCGAGAGGTGTGCTAAAGATGAAGCCGCAGTTGTCTCGATCGCTGGTAATCTTCGCCTCAAGATCTTGTCCGTTCGAGCTATCTCCAGTCGTAGTAGCTCTCCTAGGACCACGGTCGACTTTGATCTGGTACGTGCGATTCTGTGGTGCAGACATAGGCGTACGAAGCTCAGGCTGATGGCGTTTTGGCACAGTCTCTCGGTGTGCTGGGTCAGAACTCGAGGCTCTCTTTTTCCCCCCAGGTAGAGAGGGTACCGATTTGTGAACTGGCTCATCCGATGATCCTGGTGCATCAAGCATGGCCTCCTCGATCTCATCGTCAGCATCGTCGGAGTAAGTCTGATCAGCTCGCAACATATTGGCTCTAGTGCGGTGTGTAACTGGCTTCGACTGCATATAAAATGCCAGCGACATCGCTCGATAAATACCCATACTCTCGACTTTGAGGAGACACAGTTCACTACCAGCCACGGTGAACATCATCTTGCCTTGATTCTTGGCATACGTGCCTGCCAAAGCAGAAGCCTTTAGCAGATTCCACGGCGAGGGTGTGTGACCGTACGCTCGCAGCCATTCGTTCGCTGTTGGATTCTGCGGATCAACGGGCATGATAGCAGTGAAGATATCACGACATGTACTGACAGCGTCTTGCCAAACTCCCGGGTTCGTATCCTTTCGTTGATACCTTGCCATACCTTCGTTCCATGCCGTGTTCACGTCCTTGAGCTGTTCGAGCAAAGCCTGAGCCGCTTGCCGTATGTAGCTCCCATCACCCTCGCCCAACATCATGTTGAACCGAGCGGCCAAGTCAGTGTCCAGTGAGACTGCTGCCTGAGTCAAGTGCTTAGCCTGAGCCAGCGCAGCGTCAACAATCGGCTGTGCAACCGTAAAGCATATGCGATCTAGAATATTCTTCGGACTGGTGTAACGGGTCGCAAGTTCTGACATAGCTTCCTCGCTGGTATCCTGGCTCATGTACTCACGATAGGGAGGTGTGGGATAGTCACGGTCGAGAAGTCCATGCTTTCGTTGGAACTCCTGCCAGGCTTCTCTCGGGAAATCGTAGCCTTGTTTGTCAGCATCAATATACACATCATGCAGGGCCACAAGTATAAGTGCCTTCGGCGACGAGAGGGTACCATCTTTGTGTGTTACGGCCGAATGCTTGTTCGTGATCTCGCCGAGCGCACTCCATTTCATCCTGTGGCCAATGCCGTTTCGGATGAAGGCTCTCGCAGCTTGTTCGGTCCACGCTCCTTTCCGATGTGCTTCTATACCAGCCAAGTCATGTATGGTCCTTGTGTCTTGTATGATGCCAAGGTCCGAAGGCGCGGGCAGATCCCAAGGTGCAGGTGCATTCCAGAACGGCTCGGTAAGCTCAGATACCCACGTCGTCCAGAACATATCACCGTCGTAATCGCCACCCGATAACTTCCCAGCAGCTGGACGTGGACCCTTCGTCGAGAAGACGATCACATCGTGCAGATGTGACAAAGCGTGATGGTCAACTGCTTCTAGCTTCTGTACGTCCCAAGGTCCCATCCCTGGATGTCGAGCAATCAGTAGCTGCCCTAAGACTCGAGACCAGATTTTCCCAGAAACATCATCCTTGAGTGGCGTCGAGAAGCTCATATGCACCTGTCCAGGCTCGAGCACCCCGTACGGATCCGGAATACCCATGAGGAGAGTAGAAGCATTGAGATGTATTGTGAAGCGCTTCGCCTTGGCGCTAAACACGTTCCGCCCCAGCTTGTGCGTTTGCATCGCGAGGACATCACATCGTAGCGGGTCAAAGCCTGACTCGAGCATCCTGCATATCCTCTCGGCTGGTTGCGTTGGAAAGTCGGCAAGCTCCCAGATTCTATTGCTAGCGCTACGCTGCGCTGCTAGCCCCCTCTCCTCGTGCACCCATCGATGTAGCTGTATAGGATCCTGCAATGCATCTAAGAACTTCGCGGTGCCGGTCTCTGTAGCTCGCTTTGCAAAGGCCAGCAGAACATCGGCCGGGACACCTCGATCCATGAGGATAGGGATAAAGCTCGGATAGAGGAAGGACGAGCCAGTAGGTCGACTCCAATTTATAACATTGAAAGTCAAGTGCTCACGGCTTGTCGTCGTGTCAAGTGTATGCTTAACTTTGCTTTGACTTTTGTTGATTTGAATGGTTCCCTTCGGAAGGCGAGAATCGCATATCCAAAGGCCTTTGCTGCCGCAGAATCTGGCCTGGAAGACAGAAGGTGTTTCCCGGAGGCCAAGTAGATTGCGGATCTTTTCCATCAGGTCCTCTGCTATAGAAGAAGCGCCATCACTCATGACAACATGCGCCTCGAAACGCGTTGCATGCGGGTCGGAACCGTCCATGAAAGTATTAGGCTCAAGGTCTTTGGTAGCGGTCTTGTCCGCAGCAAGGTACACGATCTGTTTTGGCTCAAAGCCGATGGTAGGGGTTGACCTAGAAGCACCCAAGTCAAGTCTTGAGTATGCCTTGCAAACTGATTGCTCAGCATTCTCACGATAGGGCAAGAACCACTGCAAAAACTCTTGTATGCTGATGTGGGAGATGCCGGGACCACTGACCGCAAAGAAATGAGCTTGAAGGTTTCCCAGATCGTCGCCATTCGTAGCACTCCCACGTTTGCGCTTCTTGTCTTGAACGAGAAAAATCTCCCACGTGATGCCGAGGATGACCTGCGGCTTGGAGACGAGCTGAAGAAACTGGTCCTTGACGGCTTCACGGTCATATCCCGTCGGTGGTTTCTTGAAGTCCGCTAGATCTACCGTCAAGATACGATGGCCACCATACTCACGTTGATAGCTCGTCGTGCCTGCCATCTGCGGCACTTTCAGTTCAAACCTAAAGAAGGGATTCATGTCTTTGGTTTTGTTAAAGTGTAGGCAAGCGGACAGGGTGGCGTTGCTGAAGTCTGTTCGTCGGCCTCGAACAAACGTCCCGTTGGTGTCGAGGTCGTCAACAACTTCGTGTAGATGGTTCAACCTTACGTCGGTGCTCAAGTACGGTAGAAGCTTCGTTTCCAAACTTACTCCTGTATGATCGAATCGGCTCATGATGCGATAAGCTTCGCAGCGCAGATCCATCGGCAGACGAAGCAGCTTTTCCGGCATCACGATTTGTCCTAACCCGTGGGTTGGCATGTCACGAAGCTGGTAACGCTGAATCTTCTTCTTCTGTGTTTCTGGGGTGACAGGAGCTTGCTCATCCGGCATGCCCAAGGAGGATTGCATGTAATCCGTATGTTGTGTAGCGGAAGTCTCGTCGTAGAACGATGTGGCCGCTGTGTTGGTTGACGTCCTGGATAGGTCCGTAGAGGACGTCATGAAAGATCTTGTCATGGCCGTAGCCGAGTCGAAAGAAGTTGCTGCCGATCGGATTGGGCGCGGTAATGCTTCACCAAGAGGTGGAATATCAATGTCGATTGCAGCAGAAGTAGGTGGGGCATGCTTCACCGCGAGTGTCGGTGACTTTGGCTCGTCAGTTTCGGATCCAGCATCAAAGGCAGGCACGTTCGCATAAATCTTCAACTTGCTCCGCGACGTCCTGCGAGTTCGAGGAGTACCAGGGAATGTAGTCATGAGTTCAGCAAGTCGAGCATTGAGAATATCCAATCTATCTGGCAAGTGCTTGACTTGCGGCCGTCTCGCAAGCAGCTCAGCAACAGCCAAATCCAAAGCATCCTTCTGTCGCCAGTACAGCGGTCGGACTTTATTAAGCAGGGCATGGCGGGCTGTATTGGCTCTTGTGCTAGGTGAAGCTGTCTCATCAAGAGGCAATGTAACGTCGAAATGCCGGCAGAAAGTGTTCAAATATTCGCGAACATCGTTCCTTCCCGATTTGCTTGGAGTTTCGGGTGATCGCATGGCAGTGGCCGTCGCAGATAAGCTTCCGGCCAGCGTGCCAGATGTCGTAGTACTTGCAGCCATTGAGCACCGCGCACAGCTCGTGAGCTGCTATGGCGGGCTCGGGATTATGGTTTACGTCTATACAATGTCTTTGCATTGTGAAGAACGAAAGGCTGAAGCGCAATGGACTACGATAAACAGATTATGCGAGCGTGCAAGCATGTGCCTCGACCCCTGCCAATGCCAACGGTGGCGCGTTAGCCGCGCGCGTGACGGCTCGTGGCGTCGGTAGTGTAACTTCGGCGTGATGCCAAGGCATATCCTAGGTAGTGTAGAGCTTGAGCATGAGAACTTATATGGGCGGCCATTGAAGTACGTCAGAACGATAAGCGAATGTTTGGAGTCGTAGCGCAATGATATTGGCATGTATCTGTTTACTATCAACCAGCCCGACCTGACGCCTTGCTAAGCATGCACATTCGACGTTTAGCACGTGCTGTCAAAGTTGGCGCAGCGACAGCGAATCTAGTAGAAGAAACTGTTCAATAGTTGTTAGCACCGGTTCGCGAGCCAGCCATAAGATTTAGTGGGCAGACTCACCCAATGATCTTGCCGGCGACGTGTTTCCTCCTCGCCTCCTCGTGGTCCATAATGCCGGCGGAGGTGGTGAGGACGATGTAGCCGAATTGACGCGAAGGCAAGAGCTTCACAACCCACTTCTCCATATCACGAAGCTGGACGTTGTAGCGAGGGCTGATGACACCAGTCTTGTTGAGGCGGCCGTCGAGCTGAATTACGACCTTGCCGTTGCGGTGGTCGTCGACCTCCTCGAACTCGCCAATGTAGCCTGTAGAATAGTATTGTTAGTGTTTATGTCGAGAAAGAATAAACGTGCATCCTTCAGCCAGGCTCATCCGAAGACGTGTAAGATCCTTCCCATCATGTCTCAATCTCCCGAGTACTTAAAGGGCGTTGGTCGTGGAGACGGAATGAGACCATTGCCTAGTTATCAACCCGGTACGTGTGTGCCATCACTTCAGGCCATGCTCAAGCTCATCCACCTCTTGCGATCTCTGGATGTTGCTTGGCTGAAGATTATTGGTTGGACACGTACCATGCTTCTGCATAACCTGCAAGAATTTGACGATAACCTTGGAGCTGGGCCTGATCATGACCTGGCGGTTGCCGCGCTTCTCGGCGTTGTTGATGGCGTTGAGCGTATCATTGAGGACGGAAGTCTTGACCATGTTTGCGGTATGGAATGTGAGATTCTGGAGGCGCTGATGATGGCGGCTGCAGGTATCTGTAATATCAACCTTTTGTTAGCCTTCGGCAAAGCCATCTCGAGCGCAAAGAGTGCCCTTCGGTGCCACGAGTGCATTGATAGGGTTCTTCAGCTTGTGTCGATGTAGGCGCAGCAGTATCATGGTCGCGAGGACGCATGAGGGCTGGCCATGGCTATCCGAAGGGCAGCTCGTTCTTGAGTCGTGACATACCTCGATGTTTGAGCGGCGAGCTGTGGTGGATAGATTGTAACTGGTGCTATCGTAAAGTTCTCGTTCATGACCTCGCAAGGAGCCGAATTTGCAGATTCGTGGGCGCTCGGGCCAAGTGCCAAGATTACCTCTTCTTGCACAAGTGGATACACCAATCGATGCCCCTCCAAATTTTGGTCTGCGGGCAGAATAAATACTACACTTCACAGCGCTCGCTTCTTGCACCCACTACCACATATACCACCGTCGCTACTCTCCTCCTTCTAATCACCGCCAATATGATTATCTTCAAGGTATGTAACCACTGCAACACACCGAAGCGAACGAAACCGAACCCCTACTCGCTCAACGCAATAAACCAGCTAACACCGCTCTCCACAGGATCTGATCAGCGGCGACGAGATCATCTCCGACTCCTACGATCTCAAGCTCGTCGACGGTGTGGTCTACGAAGCCGACTGCAAAAAGATCTCCATCGGCGGCGACACCATCGACATCGGCGCCAATGCCTCCGCCGAAGAAGCCGATGAGGGCACCGATGATGCCTCCCGGCAGGTGATCGATATCGTCTACTCTTTCCGCATGAACGAGACCAGCTTCGACAAGAAGAGCTACCTCGGACATTTGAAGGGCTACATGAAGAAGGTCAAGGAGGCGATGAAGACGAATGGTGCTAGTGATGAGGATGTGGCCGCTTTCGAGAAGGGTGCAGGGGCCAAGGCGAAGGAGATTGTGGGTAAATTCAAGGACTATGAGTTTCTTATTGGCGAGTCGATGGACCCGGATGGGATGTGAGTGTGCTTCGTACCCTGCAGCCATGAAGTCTTTGGTTTCGCTAATGCTATGTCGCAGGGTTATTCTGCTCAACTACCGCGAGGACGGTGTCACCCCTTACGTGACGATCTGGAAGCACGGTCTTAAGGAGGAGAAGGTGTAAGTGGTTGTACTGCCACCACAGAAGATTGCGCACATGGGCTACTCGCGCTATACCCGAAGCCGTCACCCTTCACGAGCTTGACGCGATACGATACCTCCGTAGATCTCTTAAAAGTAGCCTGCTTGCTTGCTTGGATGCAGTTGCCTTCTTCGTTCTGTTCAAAGCTCTTGTGAGCCTGCCAGAACAAGTTCCATGTCAGCTCACTCATGTCGTCGTATCTTGCTCCTCAATGTACGCTCTGTGCTGTGAATCGCATGGTAGCGGTACTTCCACCCACCCCAGTGACACTGCAAAGTGAATGTGAACGGTCAAATACCTCACTTCACAAATCACTAGCGCCATTTCATCGAAGAAAGTTCAAAAGTGTCGCCCCCACGCTTCTCATGTAACCTTTGACACTTTCACGACATCACAACATACACAGCACATCGCATCGCACAGCTCAAGAGAAAGAAAGAAGAACACGTAATCGAGACACCAAGATGGTGCTCGAGAAGATCTACGTGGTTCGCCACGGCGTAAGTATTTCCCTTTGCTTTCATTGCGTACAGTCCTTCGAGCGTCCGGCGATTGGTTGGTAAAGGTCGCGGCGGTATGGGATATGGATGGCATACAAGGAAGGCACAGGAGCTTATGGCTTGGAACGTCGAATCGAACCACGCACAAATCTTCACATCCGACAACGAGATCAGCGAAACCGACAAATGCAAACCATGATCGAGCGATAAAGGTTTCGCAGGCACCGAGCCTGCGAGAATGAACCACAGCGGCACTCATAAGTCTATATCATCCTCGCCACACGACGCGACATTCGCAGACCAACACCAACAAAGTCATATTTACTTGCTATGGCTTAACCCAGACTCCTCGCCACACCGCTATCCATTGTACCACAACTGACTCATACACAGTTCCGCTCGAACTGGGTCGTCGACCCAAACACAGGCACATACAGCAGCAACATCACGTCACCCACCGGCATTCCTTCGGACCCTGCATTAGCTAGCTACGGCGTCAAGCAAGCAGAACAACTAGGCGAACATCTTTCCAATCTGCAGCCTCCCGTCGACATCATCTTCTCCTCGCCCTTCTACCGCTGCATCCAGACCCTCGTTCCCTTCACCACTTCCGAAGCCGCCCGCGACAAGGCCCAATCCCTCAAAGCAGGCAACCACACCAGCGAGACTAAAGTCCGCGTCAACATCGAACCAGGTCTAGGCGAATTTTACGGCCTCGCCCGCTTCGACCACCCATCACCCGCCACCCTCAAAGTCCTCAACACGCACTTCCCGAACCTGCAGGCCACAGAGAACCCCATTATCGTCCCCAGCACGAAGGGCGAGTCGATCCCACAACTCCACGATCGTATAGCGTATTGTCTGCACAGCCTCATCGCCACCATCGATGCCATGCCCGATGGCCCAAAAGCACTGCTCATCTGCACGCATGCGGCGAGTATGATCGCCATCGGACGAGCTTTGACGGGCCGCATGCCGGACGATGAGTGCGAGGAGGACTTCAAGTGTTTTACCTGCTCGTTCAGCCAATTCTCGAGGAAAGAAGGTGGCAAGATGGCTGGAGTGGCGGACGACAGTCTCTCGGTATCAGAGGCAGTGGAGAAATGGGATCCCAACAACGCAGACGAAGTCCCAGATATCGGCTGGCGCAACAAAGGCATCCAAGGCGGCTGGAAAATCGAAGTGAACGGCGACTGCTCCTTCCTAGAAAACGGTGAAGAACGAGGCTGGTAAGCAAAAAACTTCCCCCTTTTCCTCCCTACCTTCCTAGCCCTTGCACTATGAACACCCCTTTGTTTTTTCCTTTCCATCCCACCAGGAGGACTCGGTACTAGCGATCGGCCATTGGACACTTTTCGGACCACTTACGAGCATAACTTTGCCTATCAGGGATTTCTCTATCGAGGAGCGGACCGCTATGGAAGAGGCTGCACGGGTTTTGCTGGAATTGGCTGCGGGCGTTTCTACGCCTGGTAGTAAGGACGAGGAGGTTGGAGGCGAGGAGGAATTGGAGGCAGAGGAGGAGGAGGCGGAGTCGGAGGAGTTGAAGGAGGGTGAGTATATCTGGTGAGCGGCCTTGTGGGCTTGGGTCAAGTAGTCTGGAAATCGAGAGGATCTCCGTCGCGGGCCGTGATTATGACCTATCGTAAAGGCCGGCAGGATACACTCCTCTATCGTGGAAACGGGGACGGACGATACGAGCACATGACGATCTCACGATACTCGCAGCCTCCTTCCCCTCACTTGGCGGACACTGGGACCTTATCCTACCTGGAAGCGAGAAATGAAAATGCTTTTGCCATGTACTACGGAATTCTCCTGGATGAACGTCCTATCCTGAGCTACTATGGCGGACCATGCCACTTGGATACCTGTTGCGTTTACTGCACATTTCCCGATATCGCAACAGCATATCAGCATCGTACTGACCTACCTTCTTCTTTCCACAGGCACTTCTCAGGCGACGAGTCGTTTCTGCGCGATCCAAACGCTTTCAACGATGCGAAGAACACGATCGTCACGAATACGGCACCAGTGAGCAATGCAGCAGCGGGGTGTGGGGTGGCGGCGAGAGGGAATGGGAAGTTATGAGGAGAGCCCAGAAGCAAGGTAGAATTGTTGATGAGCGCTTTATTGGTTCTGGGTAGAAAGCTACATCTAGACGTAAATGCTTACACGAGCAGCATATCGTAGTCGAGATAGCAGCCATGCTTTCAGCACCCGTACTGCCGTTCCATCTCCATCTTCCTGCGACTTTGCGCCAGGCCGGTCGATGTTTGACGTACTGCCGCGAAATTCATGCATGCTCATCATCCCACTTTCCACAAATAATGCTAGCTTAACCCTGAGTGATAGCATGGCGCTGCCTCTGACCACGCTGGCGGCTGGACAAATGTGCCTTCTCGCGCGCCACAACCTCGGGAGCCTTCTGCACGACCTCCTCGCCCTCTGTGAGGATCATCTCGATGTGGCAGGGGTTGGACACTAGATAACGGATTAGCATTCCATTGCAATTCTTGCCCCACAAGATAAATGGATGGACACATACTATAAGGGTTGATACGACCGTGAGCACGGTATGTGCGTCTCCTCTGCTTGGGCGCCTGGTTGACCTGGATGTGCTTGACGATCAAGTTGCTGGTATCCAGCCCCTTGGTATCGGCGTTGGCCTCGGCATTCTTGAGCAGACTGAGCAGGAACTCGGCGGACTTGACGGGCCAGCGGGCTTTGGAGACACCAAATTGTTTGCCTGTTGACCATTACGAATAACCCCAATCAGTATGTATTTTCTCTTCACAACCACAACCACAGCCATTTTCGCAGGCGGGTATGTGGTGTGTATGCATCCTCGCAACATGAGCCTTTCACGTACCTTGGGCAGTGCGGCCAGTGCTCCCGGCATATCTCCTCATGGGAATGGCCTCGGCGTGGTTCTTGACATTCTCGAGGTACGTGACGGCGCGGGTGAATTTCCAGCCGTTGATGGCTTGGGCGGTCTCGCGTGTGTTCTTGAAGGAGACGCGGAGGTAGGAGCCTCGTGCGCGCGCGGACTTGCCGCTGTCGATGTGTTCGGCGGCGTAGCGGACCTGTTGGGGGAAGAAGAGAGGGTCAGTAAATGTTTGTTGGTGGTGTGATCGAGCTTGATGGGTGCGTGTTGCTGTATGGATGGCGTAAGGATATCTCGTCCGTTCATACATACCATTTTGACGGTGTTGGGTCTCGTTAGTATTGCTTGTCGTCGTGCAGCTTGCGGAGTCGCAAACTTCTGAATTCCTGTTCACGAATTCGGTCTTGGCAGTGGGCGCTCACGGATGCTTCCGCCAGACCCCTGCAAGCTTCCGAAGCTGCAGCTCTAAAATTCTCTCGCGGTAATTCGAGATTCAGCAGTGTGCATACATATCTTTCCACGGTACCGAAGAAAGCCAGCATAGTACAACACAGCATGGCTTTTACACCAAGAGGAGGCAGCAGAGGAGGCGACCGCGGTGGACGAGGTGGTTTCGGCAGCAGAGGTGGCGGTGATCGAGGTGGACGAGGTGGATTCAGCAGAGGTGGACGTGGTGGAGGAGATCGAGGCGGGCGTGGAGGTGGACGTGGTATGTCATGGTCACGAGAGCATGCGACCACATATGCGTACTGACTATGGCTCGTAGGCGGCTTTGGCGACCGGGGCGGACGTGGCGGAGGCCGTGGCGCACCACGAGGCAGAGGAGCGCCGCGAGGTGGACGAGGCGGCCCAGGTGCCAAGGGCGGGCAGCGAGTCATCATCGTACGTCTCAAGTCTTGACAAACGACTTTGCATATTGAGCAGCACTAACATACATATCCTACAGGAACCCCACAGACACGCCGGCGTCTTCGTCGCCCGCGGCAAAGAAGACCTCCTCGTGACCAAGAACATGACGCCCGGCGAAGCCGTCTACGGCGAGAAACGCATCAGCATCGACACGCCCTCTGCCGTCTCCGGCGACGCCACAAACGGCGACACACCCATCGCAACCAAAACCGAGTACCGCGTCTGGAACCCTTTCCGCTCCAAGTTGGCAGCTGGTATCCTAGGAGGTCTGGAGGAGATCCATATGAAGCCCGGCAGCAAGGTCCTCTACCTGGGTGCTGCTTCTGGAACTTCGGTATCACACGTCAGCGATATTGTAGGACCAACAGGCACAGTCTTCGCAGTCGAGTTCTCGCACCGTTCCGGCCGCGATCTGATCAATATGGCCACCCACCGTACAAACGTCATCCCCATCGTCGAAGACGCCCGACACCCGCTCAAATACCGCATGCTAGTCCCCATGGTCGACTGCATCTTCGCCGATGTGGCTCAACCCGATCAAGCGCGTATCGTTGGCCTGAACGCACATCAATTCTTGAAAGTCGGCGGCGGTGTCGTGGTCTCTATCAAGGCAAACTGTATCGATTCGACTGCTGCTCCTGAGGCTGTCTTCGCGCGCGAGGTGACGAAGTTGAGGGAGGAGAGGATCAAGCCGAAGGAACAGTTGACGCTGGAGCCTTTTGAGAGGGATCACGCTATTGTTGCAGGTATCTACCAGAGGAGTACCTAAACGATGGAGGGAAGTGAAGACTACGTGGGTGAGGTTGCCTTTTGATGGTTATGCTATGGGTTGTATAGCTACGAATGGGAAGTCTGGAGTGCGAGGCGTTATCGTGGAGTCTAGTGGCGCTGGTCTACTTGTGTGCGGTCCTGATGTACATCTGTAGTACGCAAGAAAAGACAAACTTCAACCGATAGGTTTCTTTTCACCGTGTCATTGTCACAGTTCAGACCTGTGGCAGTGATCGAGGTTCGATGGCCACTAACACCATGCAAGAAACTGCTAGAGTCTACCACACTTCTCTACAGGTCCAGTATCGTCAGTCAGATGAAGCGTTTGTACACTATGGTGATTGACGGAGGGCAGGATTATGGGGAGCCACCTAGGAACGACGATGAGATGCTCCGGGCGGGAGACTGATACCTTGTTTGATAAGTAGTTTGGCGTGCTCTGGTGTCATGAGGCTGTAGCAGTATAACAGTGCCAACGCAACGACGGCCCCCATGAACAGTCTTGACTCGAGTGAAAAGGGGTTGACGAGTATGTCAGCACATCATTTCATTGCGCGGTTCATTGCATTGTTATCGAGGACATCCGCTCTCTCCGTGAAGTGGCGAACGCGAGGTCGACAGCAGCAAAATTCGGGAGCGGCATGTTGAGATGCCTTATGCTAGTCATGATTTCACTGTTGAGGTGAAACGACAATGCGAAAACAGACTTCCTTCCTCATCCTCCATAGCATTAATCTCTCCTACCACCACTCTCCCTTAGGCCGATCAATAGTCATCACCACGTGAGATAATCTCCTTGCAGTTCGGGCGCAGTAGAACAGTCTATTACCACGGTTGCGTCAGCAAACATCCTCTGCGTCAGAATCACGCACGAAGTGTAGAAGGAAGGGAACTCACATGCTCGAACTGCGCCACGTGGCTCCCGGGAGTATCGACCAGCGGACCATAGGCATTGACAATGCCATGATCCACGAGCGTCTTCATACCCAGGTGATAGTGCTTGACACCCAGCCTCTCCAGCGAGCTACGCGAGAACACGATTGTGCCGAAGTTCTCGTCAATAGTCTTCAACAAGTCCCTCGCGCCCTTTGACAACCCCAAGCCCGCCGTGCTCACCGCCTTCTCCCGACCGTACCCGTAGATGGGAGTATCGTCTTCTCTCAGATTCCCCCTGCCTGTCGTGCCGAAAGTCTCAATGGCGAAGATGTCGCCTTCTTCCATTCGTTGGGTCGTGCGAGAGGCGACGAAGGGGACCTGTTTGTCGCCGTGGATCTTGTAGCGCAGGATGTTGTGGCCAGTGAGCGAGGGGACGGCTTTGACGGGGAGGACCTTGCCTGTAGGGAGGACGACTTCGTGGCTTTCCATTACTTCTTGCATGGCGGCGCTGAGGGCGCTTATGCGGGCGTCTGGACCTGCTTCCTGTAGTAACCTGTCAGCTTGACTTCCCATGATTCGCTAACAAGAGACTCATGAACCTTCAGTCCGGTGTTGGTGGCTGCTTTCACAGCCTCCAGTAGTGGGTCATAGACTGGATTAAAAGCCACCGTGAAAGCACTATCCACAATCCTACCACTAACATGCACACCAAAGTCCACCTTGAGCACGTCGTCGTATTGTAAGACGACCTCCTTGGCTCCTGGATTAGGTGTCCAGTGGGCAGCTATGTTGTTCAGAGCTAGACCTGTTGGGAAGCCGAGACCAGCTTTCAGAACATCTCCATTCTCAATGCCCTGGTGACCAACCAGAGCTCGCACGCTTGCCTCGATGTCTTGAGCGATGGTGGAGAGCGCGATACCAGGTTTGATCAGAGTCTGGGCGTGCTGGCGAGCCTGACGATGGGTTTCAGCTGCTTTGCGGTAGTCCTTCAGGAAGTCGGCGTCCATGTTCTTGACCGCAGCTTCATGACGGAGTTCCTCGGCTGGGGTACGGGTGAGGTTCTCATTACGGGCAGCGTACTCCACGATCTGACCTTCAGGGTAGCTATCGTTGGGAAAGATCTCAGCAAGATGGATCCTGGGAGGCGTCGTCTGCGTGATGGGCGACTTCTTCTCCCTCTTCTTGTTAGACTTCTTTCTCTTCTTTTTAGCTGCGATGATATCAGCTTAACAGATAAGAGCAGGTCAAAAACGCGATCTAACATTTCTCGCTGGTGCCGTTAGTCTTTAGCTCGGCTCCCGGCTTCTCATCATCATCTCCATCTCCGTCGGAGTCCTCATCTTGCCCCTCAAGCGCGCCATGGACCAGACCGCTTGCTGCGGCAGGCCTGGGAGGATTGATGCTGGCAATTGCAGCATTGCCTGACGATCCTGCTTTTAGTATTAGTGGTCTGCATTCTGAGTCATTGTCACGCTGTTGAAACTTACCATTGGGGCCACGCTGATGCTCGTCGGGTGTTTTGGAACCCATGTTGTCTCTTCAGCTTCGCACATGGGTCTTCTTCTGTAGTTGCATAGGTAAGAAAGGACTCCTAAGGCAGGCACAGGACGAAGATCAGCCACACAAAATTTAAGGGTCACACGTGATGTGGGGTGCAGATGTGGGGTCGGTGGTGGAGAAAAGGTACAGTACACACATTCGGCACGACAGCTACAGCCCGGATGAGCTTTCGCGAAAGCCGATTCTAGCGAGGTCATGCAGAAGCACACGATACGAGTGTGTAGATTGACAGTGGCTAAGTATTAACAGAGAGGTGGGCATCCTTATAACGCGTTCCTGTCATTCTTATCCTATCTCTACAATCTTCTAGCATAACAGCGCAGGTCAATTTCAATACAGCCAGCATGGCATCGCACAAGAGACCAGTACGAGTAGGGGGCGCCAGCGGTGGCTTCTCTGACCGCGTACGTGCAATCTCATCTCTGGCAAAGAACGAAGATGTCGATGTCATTGTTGGCGACTGGCTATCAGAAATGACCATGACGATACACGGCAGTGGCAAGCAACGGACCCTTAAGCAACTCTCAGCAAAGAGCCAGCAGTTTGGCCAACTCAACTTGGAACAACAGCTCCAGACAGCCATGTTCGCTGAGAACTTCATGGATTGCTTCGAACCCGCTATTGATGACCTAGCTAGACGAGGAATCAAACTTGCGGTCAATGCTGGTGCTAGCGATACCGAAGTGCTGGCCAAGCTCGTACTCCAAAAAGTCCAAGCCAAGGGCCACGATCTTAAAGTAGCCTGGATTGAGGGTGACGAGCAGACCGATAATGTTCGTCGACTTATCAAGCACGGCGAGACATTCGAAAGTCTTATGCACGGCCGCAAGATCCAGGACTGGCCGAACGAGATTGTGTGCGCTCAATGCTATCTTGGAGGCCTCGGTATCGCAGAAGCATTTCGACAAGGTGCAGACATTGTGATCGCCGGCCGGGTAGCAGATGCTGCGCCTGCGATAGGTGCTGCTGCTTGGTGGCATGGCTGGAACCAATCGAACCTGGACGAACTTGCCGGTTCGCTTGTGGCGGGACACTTGATCGAGTGCGGAGCTTATGTGACAGGTGGCTATATGTCTTCTTTCAAGGACTTGCTCAGACAGCGAAAACATGTCAATCTCGGCTTCCCAATCGCAGCGATAGATCATCTTGGCCAATGTGTTATTACCAAGGAGCAAAACACCGGCGGCTGCGTGACAGTCGACTCTGTGACCAGCCAGCTGCTGTACGAGATCCAAGGGCCGATGTACTACAACAGCGATGTCGTTGCTCAGCTGGAGGGTATCCGTATCGAGCAGATTGGTGATGACCAAGTGACAGTATCTGGCGTGCGAGGACTGCCGGGTCCAGACACTACTAAGGTCGGCATCTCAGGGTTCGCCGGCTACCAAGCTGAGTACCATATCTACCTCTGCGGCCTGGATCTTGATGAGAAGTGCCAGTATGCTGAAGAGCAAATTCGATATGAGCTGGGTGAGGAACGGCTAAAGAAATTCACCTGCCTGCAATTCACACGTAACGGAGACTGTCCTGTCGATCCTCGTAATCAAGATGTCGCTACTGTCGACTTGCGTATTTTTGCACAGAGCAGAGATCGAGAGCTGTTGAGTACGGACATCGACAACACTTTCATGCAAGCTTGTTCATGCTGACACAAGTCATTAGACATGCGCAATCCGGAAGGCTTCTTCCGCATCAGCATGGTCAACTTCCTGATGAGCTGCCCAGGCGCATCTCTCGGCAACGACACGAGACTAGCAGAAGGCAAGCCTTTCTACGAGTACTGGCCAGCGCTGCTCCCACAATCAGCCGTCACACACAGAGCACACCTGCTCTACACTCCAAGTGGTGGAGGCCAAAATGTGATTGACATTCCACCACCAACGAATACGGCCAAGCATCTTCGCCAGCAGCCTTCGTATGACACGAACAGCCCTGTCGACCTTGCTGCTTACGGTGAAACTGTGAGAGTACCGCTTGGCACAATTGTGCTCGGCCGCTCAGGTGACAAAGCCTCAGATTGCAACGTTGGCTTCTTCGTCCGCGAGTCACCCAACAATGAAATTTGGGAGTGGTTTCGAAGTGCTCTCACAGTCACCAAGATCCGCGAGCTCCTGGGACCAGAAGAGTGCGCCAAGTTTGGCCAATGGGCTCAGCAACCCTCGCAGATCACATCACTCTCAGCGGGCCACCTTGCGAACGGACACACCACTGAGCCAGCGAAGAAGAAGGCGAAAGTAAGCGGTGCGACGAACGGTGCATCGCATGATGTAATGCGCATCGACAGATTCGAGATGCCTCATGTTCGTGCCGTACACTTCTTGCTGCATGATCACCTTGATCGAGGATACGATAGTTGCTCGACATATGACACACTTGGCAAGAATTGCTGCGAGTATTTGAGGTCGAAACTAATTGATGTGCCGAAGAAGTTTTTGGAGTATGCCAGGATCTAGTTTTTAGTGTCGGGAATATCTGCTTCTCCCAGCATCGCAAGTATGTTGCCGTTATACACTCCATTACCCTCACAGCGCATATGCATCCAGATTAAAGGGCATGGGAAGTTGTTCCAGCCCTTGTGCATCCTTCCTGATATACACACTAGCGCTCATGCCTCTGCATGGAAAGAAGCCAGTACCCTTCTCGTCGATCTTGACATCTGCTCGCTGCTCCGCTATCCTCAGCACGTCCACATATAAATCGCCAGGTTGGCCGAATGATATACTCTTCCCAGTCCAGTTGTCGGCTTCCACTTTCTCCTTGGCATCGCCAATGGACAGTAGGGCGACACATCCACTTCCAGGCTTGTCTGGTGACCCAGCTCGTGTCCAAGCAATGCAAGACATGGCGTCCCAGTAGTCGATTTGCTCACCGTACGCGAACAAACGCCTGCACATCATCAGGTTAGGCAACAAGCTACGTCTGCCGCCCTTGCCATCTGGCACTGTACACGCTGGAGGTTCAGCTTTCGGTCCACGAGTGCCGTACAGATCGCCCCAGAAGACACAAGGGTAGCCTTCTTGTCGTAGGAGGATGAAAGCATACCACAGCGCTTTCGTCTCTGGTAGCATCGATGTGAACGACGTCTGACCGGGCTGAGTGTCATGATTCGTGACAAGAGTGACAGCGACATCCGGTCGAATCTCCAGCAGGCTGTCGCGGATGATAGTCCGCAGATCAGCGTTCTTGCTGCCTTTTCGTACATCCTCCGATATGCGCGAGAAGTTATAAAGTAGTGGCGAATCATATGCGCAAGCGCCTTGGCTAACTACATCGAGCCATTTCGTGATTCTGTGCACTTCACCAGTCCAGATCTCGCCGACAACAAAAGCGTCCTTGCCATTCTTTCCTTGACTGACTTCATGTACTCGTGCTGTCCATTCTTTGGTGAAATTGTAGGAGAAGTGCTGCACAGCATCTAGCCTGAAGCCGCTGATACCAGTGCTTTCCAGCATCCATCGACCCCAGTTCATGAGATCTTGTTTGACCTCAGGATGCGAGTGGTCAATATTGGAGAACATGAGATAGTCATAGTTGCCATGCTCGTCGTCCACATCCTGCGCCCAATCTTTGCCGGGCCGTCTTGGTGGAGCCTCAGCTCGGAACTTGTTAGCGAATCGTGCGAGACGATTCATGCCAAATTGAACAGTTTTGTTGCCTGACTGCTGCTGTGATGGCTTCGGGTACTTGGCTGGGTCGTCGATGAGCTTGTATATGGCGTTCTTTTGCCCTCGTTGGTCCCAGTCTGTGCCGTTGAAATGCTCTGCTCGCCATTTCATGCCACTGTATTTCATGCCTTCTCGTTCTCGTCCAGGAAAGTCGTACCGTAGCCATGCTTCAATCTTTCTTGGTGGACATATTTCTACACGTCTGTCTGACAAGTTTGCACAGTCAGCACCTACCACATGTTCCAGTATTCTCACGTAGCACACCTTCCTTGTCCGACTCGACAGCCCAAGTATCCTCCGTCCTATCTCCCGCAGTCTTGTGATTCAGTACAGCATCCCAGATACATTCAATACCTTCCCTCTTCGCGGTGTCCATCAAATTCCTCAACTCTTCTCTACTGCCCCATTTCACACTCCTGGCATATTTCTGATCAAACTCACCCAGATCCCATAGATCGTAGCAGTCGTAGCCATTGCCTCCCGGACTATTTGCCTTGCAGCCAGGTGGCAGCCAGACACGGGTCACTCCTACGGCAGCTAGACCTGGCAAGAGACGATTTAGACGGCCGTAGTGAGATTTTGTAGAGTATGTCTCCCGTGGTGGAGGTGGCTCAGAGGGTGTATGCCATTCGAATGTCTGGAAGAGGATACCGTTGTCGTCCCGATCGTGGCTGTTGGACGGTTGTCCTGCATTGTTAGAGCTGACCATCATGGGCGAGCGAGCGTTTGGGCAAGTATGAAGCCACGAAATCGACTAGTAAGGACCACGAGAATGAAAGATCTGTAGAATGCAATGAGAAGAACACCTACACGATAAAATACGAGCTTTGTGACCTACGCTTGATTATCGGCCAGTTTCACCGTGACGTTGCAGACGGAAATGCTGGCACGATTGGAAAAGTGTCTGGGGTGCTCGACCTACTTCCGTTGTCGTCGCCTCGAAGATGACGAGTCTCTCTCTTTCCTACATTCATCATTCGTGCCAAATAGGATATCCGGACACAGATCACGACTGTTGCTGTTCACTGCGGTCATTACAGCCAAGTTGAAGGAGGAGAGGTCTTCAATCAGATAACACCATGATCATACGAGACAAGACATGAGGTGATATTTGTTTGGTTCACATTACCATGTTCTCGAGCAGGACGGCGAAGAGATACCATCTTGCTCAGCCTTTAACCGTTCATACAACCTTCACTCAACCGTGTTCAGCATCTCGAAGTGCTCTAGCCTCATCATCCATCTTCTGCAAACACTTTCGAAGATCCGCAACAATCCTCTCCAGCTCAGGAAGCGCATAGCTCGGCTCCAATTGCTCCTTGACGATACCAGCAAGCGTGAGAATGTTCCTACAGAGTCTAAGCGTGTCTCGGCACATGGACAAGTTTGTAGCGGTCTTTCGCGATCCTGCTGGAAGCCTGGCACGAGTTGCACTGCTGATATCGTAGCTTACGGGTATCCTCTCTCCTGCATCTTTGGTCGTGATGCGGTAGCTATGAAGTAGCCATCTCAACAACGCAGGTCGCTCCTCTCGGGTTGTTGAGCAGAATAGGGAAAGAATGACTGTGACACGCTGGTTTGAGCGAAGAGCGGCTTCATCCTCTTCTGACATGGAGGCTAGGACGTTGATAAAATTGTCGAAGTCGTAGCGGATGACTTCTACCGTGATTGCAGCAGTGCATAGAAGAATTGGGTAGTACTCCTGCCTGGTCCTTCTACACGCCATGAGTAGGCCCGGAGCATTGGGCACTTTCCCTCGTGATCTGACTGCAGGTAGTATTATTTTCGTCTGCTCTGCGACATGCTCGTATATTTGGATACGAAGCTCTGCAGGTAGACCGAAGAAGTTGGCTCTGCACGACTCATCTCGGGACGTGACGCCGACGCTTTTGTTGTGGCCGCTGCGTTGCGACTTTGCCTTGCCTGTAAAGGACCCGCGCGATGTCTGGAGTCTAGCTAGTGATCTGTGGAAGATGTTCATGGTGGCTTAAGCGTGGAAACCAAGACAAGTCAAGTGAAAGCACTTGATAGAGGGAGCAACACAAGAGGCCTGGGAGACCTCTATGAATTTCAAGGTCAGCTGCATACATGTACGCCTGATGACATCTCCAAGCAGGTCAGCTTCATGAATGGTCCGAGCGCCCACAGATATGACCGGATGGTACAACATAAGAAGTCTCCACTTTCATGTCCTTGGCGGAATTTGAGGTCGTGAGTTCGAGTATCGCTCATCGAATATGTCATACGCGTCAAGGAAAAGGCGAATACGTAGGCTAGGATGCGTTCTGTGCGAACGAGGTAACTCATGTTGGAAGGGTATGTATACTCTAGTGCTTTTGTCCCTCAACATTTTCATCGAGCAGTGGATAGAGCAAGGCCGTCATACCGAGACATTACCGCCAGCGCGTTCCATTTCATGCCCATGCCTCCGCTCATCTTCTCGGTATAACACACCTGCTGGACGCCGCTCCATATCTGTTAGCTTGTTTCCTTCAATCTCATTCTTAGCCTCTCACTAGTCCTCGTCCATCCTCCAAAGATGTGAAGCCACTGGGACGCAGCTTGTGGCGAATTATCACTGTTTTGGAGATTGATGTGTAGGTGCTTGACATGTTGCAAGCCCAAGCTGGATCCAGTGAAGAGCTGTGAGAGTCTGATGTCTAGGGTATCCTTGATGTCGATAGCCATTTCGCGATAGAGTATTGGTGTCGCCATGGCAGATTAAGATTGGTTGGCGTGACACATTTGGCGAAGGCCACGTTTACTGGCCAGAGACTCGAAGGTTACCGTCAGGATTTCAGAGGGTAAGCTCAGGAAGCTGTTCTTCGCCTCATCCGCGATTTCCGGCCTCTTGGCAGCATCCTTCGTGAACTTCTGCATTTGATTGCATTCTGTTGGGCCGTCACGAGTGACCCCTGCGTAGTTGAAGGGCGGCATCGTCGCGGAGCGGAGCAGTCGTGGGATACGAGCCGTGTGATGTTGCTTGTCGACCAAGACTAGTCACACTGGACACGCAGTGGTTGGAATGTGCTGAGAGAAAAGGGATACAGGTCAGTAAGATGGAGGCTCATATATTATACTCAAGAACACGCGCGTGATCGAGCTTGGACCACGACATGAGTTGTGGCGCTGCTGGGTTCACATTGTCCCCCGGTTGATGAATGTGTGTAGAAGCTGAAGCTTGCCTAGACGGGATGTCATTCACGGGGAGGCGACTGAAGCCGAAGCTCTGTACAAGTTTGCTATATGGAATGTAAAACATGTGATCCAAACCTGCTTGCCACGTGTCAGCGTTTGACAAGAAAAGGAACAAAGAGGATGGTTAGATCCGTCAAGGTGTGCATCAGAAGGAACAATTGGATAAATTAATAGAAATCGTCACGATATATCGGACAGTGTGAATAATAAAATCATCAGTGCAGAAGTATGGCAGTGCTGAGAGAAGATGACTGACCTCGACCCGACTGATGTACGATCAGACCTCTTTGTCCGGTATCTCGTGGCCGACAGGCTGCCGGCCATTGCTTCCCGCAGCTGCCTCGCGCGCCTTCTGGGTGTCGAACTGCTGCTGGACGACAGAAGCAGTCCTGACGTTCACTGGTGAATTGACCGCTGTGAGCACTTGGTCGTCCAGCTCGACTTTCGGGCCTTTGTAGTTCTTGCGTCCATCGACGAACCATTGGATCATGCTGATTATGAGCACAATGGCGAATGCGACGATGCAATAGTTCATGCTGTTCCCAGTTACTGGAAGTGCGGGCGGGAAAACGAAAAGGACCGTGGTGACGATGACGTAGATGACACCCAGAATATTTGCGAACCAGGCGAACCATTCAGGCAATATGAATGACCGTGTCGATGGTAGCATCTTCCGTCCCCGTAAGAGATTGATCGCGACCGGCATAGCGTACGACAACCCAAGCGCTACCACAGAGGCAGATACTATTGCGTTGAATGCTGAGCTAGAGCCGAGAAAGATAAGACCGAAGATGAGCACCACGGCATTGGTCAAGCCGAGAGCCTCCAGCGGTACATCCAGCTTCGGGTGTACGCGGGCGAAGAAACGGCTGAACGGCAGTCCTCCGTCCCTCGCAAAGGCGTAGGTCATGCGCGAAGAAGTCGTCATGATGGAAATCCCGGCGAACAGCAAGCAGACCAGCGGGAAAATTAGCAGGCAGACCGATCCTGCCTTGCTTCCCGTGGAATAGTATAGAATATAGCCGAGTGGACCGAGGGGCGATGCGATGACCTCGTCGACCGGACCAGCCACAAACAACAGGCAGGATAAGAAGATGAAGCCAGTGAACATGCCAATGGCTACTGCGTAGATCATGATTTTCGGGGCCACCATTGCAGCATTGGGTATTTCTTCCACCTGAGGGGAGAGACAGTTAGCACAATGGAGCTCTCTTGACGGCAGCAAGGGGCGTGCTTACCATGTGGGACGTCGCATCATAGCCTATGAGACCAAGGCTACAAGTATCCAATGTCAGAAGCGAAGCTATAAGTCATTGAGTTGTATGTGGCAGCATCTACTTACCCGCCTTGGAGTAAGCCCAACATCCTTCAGATTTGTCAGCAACAAAGCATATGCGTGAAAGGATGAGATATAATCACCACGAGATCCCGTCAGGCCATCCCGTATTGTTGATGAACTGCCTGTATACGTAGTCGCCTGAGTTGAAGTTGGGCGAACCCGTCGACAGGATTGTGATGGAGATGATGGTGAAACCTGCAATGCTCCATATGATTGCTATCTGGTTGACGTGAGGTAGTATGTGGTTTCCAAAGGCATTGACCAGGGCAGCCACCACATTGTACCCAATGTACATGAGGAATTGCTGCCATGGTTTGGACTCAAAATCGGGGTTGTACAGCGAGATGATGCCCAGAATCAACTGCGATCCTAGGAGGCCGGCGGTTGCTGTCAGTGCGATCCATCCGAAGCACGCAATCCAACCACAAATCCAAGAGAGTATAGGCATCCATCTTCTCCATGAAATCGTCGCGACCCAGTGATACTGTCCTAGGCAGTTTCAGCTTGGTCAAACGGCTAGACATTCCATCGGGACATTACTAACCTCCTGCTGTCGGATATGCAGACAAAAATTCCGCCAGAGAGGCTGCCAGGCAGAGATTGCATACGCCTGCTGTGATCAGGCCCCAGATGACAGAGGTTGGTCCACCGCTGGGTAAAGCGAGGGAGAGGGAGGCAGACAGCGCAGTCCAAGAGTTGAGGATGGCGAAGGCCAAGCCCAGCATCGACAATGGCGAGAAGTTGCGCTGTAATTCTTGTTTGATGCCCAATGAAGCCAAATGCTCGTCGTCTTTGAGCAGAGAAGCTCGACGCCCTTCTGACTGCTTTCGAGGCATCCTGAGTGATGTTCTTGGCTCTTCTCCTCTTGACCTCCTCTCACTACCCCTTCGAATTCCACCGCATGTGTTGCGACCCACGGGATGGACGAAACGAGAGCGCAGTTTCTATCCGTCTCAGCGATCCTTCCTTACGGGCCGAAGCCACGAATGACTTCACACTTCACATCATCCTTGCGCGACCCCGCCCGAAGAGGAAAGTCCTTCCACAGAAATCTCTCGCAATGGTCATCTATTGGGATGCAATAGTGCCGATGGTAGGGCGCAGCATGCGCGAAATTTAGATGAGTCTCTCGGTCATTGGGAAACGTGATATTGCTATCGCTGAATCTTTCCTAGCATGACGGAAAGAAGGCGGCTTGGCATGCGATCCCCGCCGCCTTGGTAGTGCTTGAGGTATCACTTGGGACCATGATCGATCGATCATGTACACGAGAGCCGCAAGACCTTGGCAATTTTGCACGCTCTCCGAAATACGTTGCGGGTCAACTTTGATACATATAGTGTTCTTTCCTTCGAAAGCTTTAGATACACTACTCGTGATTACACATCTGAGCGCACAATCGAAACATAGATGCCGGCCTTAGTCTGCTTGCTACTTCTTCGTCCTAGTATGCTTCCATAGCTACAGCGTTAAGTCGATCCTGAGCAGCTTCCAGAGACTCTCGTTCGAAATCCTGCGGTAGGGTCATAGAATCTGCAGCGTTCTCGCTGCTTTGTGCCAGACTGAAGTAGGCATCCATGCGTAAATCCTCGGTGAACTCGACGATCTGGACAGGTGCTTCGGCCTGAAAGCGGATTAGATAATCATTTCAGTACACGTAGCTGTGTTGAAACTGGAAGACCGTGCAGAGAGCAGATGCTCTGTGATAGAGAAGGACTTACGAATAGACCAAACATGCCCATCAGAGCACCTTGCACAAGTGGCATATGCACAACGATGGTCTTCATGACTACCCGCAAGACCGGGAATCGCTTCAACGCCTTCACGTCCTTGGCAAGCGGAACCGGACGATCTTCTTTCGAACCTCTGTCATATCCACAACGCCTGTAAGTCAAGAGATCCAGAGTGAACGAGCAGAGGCGAGACCTGGTTTGCATAGAATGCCAGATAAGATAAGCAAGAGGGTTGCCATGTGAGTGGTATTGCTCAGTGTGAGTAGCATCAAAATTGAGGTGCCAAGAATCTCGTGCAGTATCGAGCCAGATGCTCTCCACATACAGTACGGAGATCAACTGGCAATGCGATGGAGCCTCAGGGACGAGCCTGGGACCTGTTATAGCACCAGTTTCGCAGGCGACCTCTCGGGCTTCACTACAGACTTGCGTGATGGTTGGTGGACAACTATTGAGATAAGTCGTTTTCCCCGGCTTGCAAGGAAATTGGCTGTGCTCATCGCTACCTTCATAGTAAAACACGACGTCTGGTACCGGGTAGTCGACTTCGCAAGTGCGGATGGGGAGGCAGAAGCGCCATATCTCTTTCCGAAGTTCTGGAGGGAGACAAGAGAAGAGATGAAAGTCTCGGGCGCCAGATACCATTGACATGTGGTGAGTCGCAAATTATGCTGGGAGGGAATTGAGAGCGGGTAGCGCCTGAGTGTTATGTACCGACCTGCAATGCCATGCCAGCGCTTCCTGACATATATCTCAACTTGGGCGGCTGCACATCATGGCGTTTGCGGCTGGAACCTGCCTCGTCCTTTTCGGCAAGATCGTGATCCGGAAGTCCATGGTCTGCTCGGACTTACGAAATTATATTAAAGGTGTACTGTATCATCGTCGACACGCTGGAGGTTCGTCGCAGGTGCGGTGCAGGGTGAGATTGTTTTCAGACTCAGACTTGGATTCGTCTGGTCGACCGGCTTGGCATCTTGTCTCGATCCCGAGATTTCCAGGATCTGGTGATCGGATCGCAATCAACTCCCTTCTTTCATGGCTGCGGCGACCACAACTCCGATCAGCCTTGAACTCCTGACACGTCAACACATGCCTACATGTCTGTTATCTGCATAAGATATACCTTGGGTTCGTTGCTGATATGTTCGGCGCGCTGTCAGCCATGGACTATCGTGAACAAGATCCTCGACACGTATGCTGCAGGGCCATGAGCCGCCCATGATCCTCCCCATCCAATCAAGTGCCAAGGCATGTCGGTCTCAGACACACCTGCAATCTCAAACATCTAGGCTAGTGGCGATGGAGCCCACAGTAGTCATGATGAGGCTGTCGCAAAAAGCTGAGCGAAAGAGTCGTGTGCCATCAACCTCACCTCACTGCTGTGACGCCCAACTTCAAAACGCAGAGGAAGCAAATCTAGCGAATCTAGATCATGCTTCAAACACCGAGGGGACATGTCCGGCAGCGCTCGACAGCATCCATTGGCCCATACGAGGCAGAGAAGAAGGACATCGCCGCCGAGGAGCCTTTGCTCGAAGACGATGTGACCATTCATGTTCCTACCAAACGATTACCTGCCGACCGGCCTGTGGCCATACTCTGGGGAGCTTCGCTTGTCTTGACTGCACTCATCACATACCTGATAAGCTCGAGGACAAGTAGCGGCGAGCTTGGCGCCTTGGCGAAGGGATATGCAACGGAATTGGGTATGATCAAATCCCGCTAGGTATGCGATCATACTGATAGCCTTGCAGAAAGTGCCAAGTCCGCTATCGAAGTCGTCGTGACGCAGTTCACAGGCAGTCTGGACTTCAAAGGTAAACATGGCTTTATCCCTCTCGACTCGCCCAGTCAGAAGTATGTTGGAAACACTGCAGACGTGGACGCAGCCTGGTCCGAGCTAGTAGATGATCGGTACTTCCTGTTGACCAATGATGAGGCCCATAAAGCCTATGGGGACGACATCGAGACTACTTGGAACGTACACCATGGAGGATACGTCGCTGGGCTTGACGTCTTGCATACTCTGCACTGCCTGAATCAGCTCCGAATGTCACTGTATCCGAAGATCTATCCTCAGGACCCGGAACATGGTGTCATGCACAAAGCTCACTGCTTGGACCATCTTCGACAGCTCGCCATGTGCAATGTTGGCCTCACGCCTGTACCTACACAATGGTTTCCTGGTCTCGGGCAAAACTACATCAACTCGTCTCGTGAGCATACTTGCCGTGACTTCTGGCAAGTTCGAGATTGGGCTACAGAGCGCTTCAATGGAAGTACTGCGGTCAAGCCGCGCAATAAGGACGGTAAGATATGATTAGGCTTCCAAAAATGGCGGTGCTGACGTGTCCGTGAATGGAACAGGTTCCCTGAGAGAAGAGTTCTATGCACCATGGTCTCCTTGAGCATGACTCTTCAGACATACGCCAAAGCGCTAGACGGGTGGCTACGATACGACTCGACTGACGCCGCTCGAATCCTCATGCTTTTCTGACATCCTTCTCTCGCAACAACAGAGGTCTCCGAGCAAATAGCATCGCCAGTACTGTATGGAACGCATCCTGAATGATCAAAGGTGGCTGGATGGTGCTCCGAAAGCAGTGTCAGGAACAGTAATATGACTTCCGCGCTTCGAGTAGTCGGACGTGATATACGGGTATTAGCATACGAGCTGCGGAGCTGCACCCGTACTCCATGATGGCGAGCTTACTTGGGTAGAGATGTACCCAGATACAGTAACTCATATCCCATCTTCGTTGCCGCAGATACATGGACTTCAAGAGAGCTCGAAAGGTTGCGTGCGGGAGATTAATGAGTTACGGCTGATCCTCTTACAGACGCTTCCAACTTAAAGGGTCCTCACCGGGTGAACTACACATGCATACGACAGCAAGCTGAAGACTCTGTAGCGGCGAAGGGACGAGCTACCGCGGTTGCCTATCGATCACTATGTTGAACAGCTTAACACAAGCCTGTCCCGTTCCGCGTCCGACCTGCATAGGAAGGTTATCAGGCCTGTGGCACGATCATATGCTACCTTTGATGTCCTTCGACATGTACGTTGCCCCTGAAGAACATCTTTCACTTCTGCAACACCCTGGACGACATCGTTTTCAAACCTTCTGTACTGACGTTTTCCCACCCTCTCCTCGATACTGGTGACGGCCCCAGTTCTACTCTGTCGCGGCTACAGACCTAATGACAAGTCGCAGCGCAATCTGATGAAGAGACGGACGATCATTGAGGAGCTTGGCAATAGTAGTTTTGGTTCTCGGTGGCTCTAACTTAGCTGAAGTGAAGGGAAAACAGCACGAAGCCTAAGGCACGATCACGTGCTAGCGCCAGACCTCAGCTAGCATATATCGACCCCCATCCCCCTACCGGCGACAAAATCGTCTTCACAACACATTGACACCGCTTCCAAATTGTCACAACATCTCGGTTTCCCTCGAGATCTACCCTCCAGCCATGTATGAGGCTATATCATCATGTTTCAGTCGAGTTTGCTAATATCCGTCTCTGTGTAGTGACGTCCAGCGATCATTCACTAGGTCGCACATGTTCGCTCCGACTCTATTCGCTCGAGTCATACGGCGCCGTTTGCAAGACCGGTGAAGCTGCACTGTTGAGGAGCTAGTGCGATCATTGCATGCACTGGCGGAGGCAATTGCGATTGATCTGGACCCTGGCGACTGGGTGAAGCTGAGGGCGAAGCTGAGTCGACCACGCCATATTTTCTTCCACGAAGGTCGGACGACGACGAGGTAAGCAAAGTCCGCACTATCTCGCGTTCCATAGCCATCTCCCGGTGAGCTGGCAACAGATCCAGTCGGTCTCCGTGCACAAGAGCCTCGCGCAGGTAGATTCCACCACAGCTTGACACCACGCCTCACCTAACCCCACGCCCGATCCAAGCAGTCGCTCCTTCCCTTCACGAAAGCTGATGAGTCCACAAACAGGCTTCGACATCCCTAGCGCCACCGTCTCTGCAGGACCAAGGTCACAAGCACCAATAGATCGAGCTTATCGGAACAATAAGGAGAGCCTGAACCACAACCAATACCTCAAGCTCCCCCACCAAGCGTTTCGCACATAAAGCCGCCCCTTTTCATCCTCCGTCGAACTTCTTCACCTTTCACCTTCTCACTCTTCCACCCCCACAAGGTCGACAACACTTTGCACAGCTACGTCGTGCATCTCAAGCATCGGACGCCATCCTTTTCAGCAGTACAGGTAAGTTAGCATCTTCCTCTGTCATCGTCATGACTTCTCCACTTCCCGCACGACACGTTGACCGACATTGTGCTCCAGCGATCACATTCACACAAACGCACTCACGGTGCTCCTCGGCACATCCAACACACGATTTTGCAGTGGAGCTACTTTTGTATCTTCACCGGTAAGACTTTTATTTTTTCGTTCAGCGCGTCAGTTTCGGCAAGGTTTGGCAAGTGGACACCTTCCGGCAAGAAGATGTCTGGAAATCTCGGTCGAGCGCGCGGCGGCGGTATTGGTGGAGGACCTTTCGGCAGTACCGGCGTCATGGGCGATAGACGTGGTAGCCGCAAGACCTCCATCGATTTTAATGACATGACCATGAGCGGGTGAGCTTTCCTCTTCCATGAGCTTCGTGCTCTGTCCTGCACTGACGCGTGTATAGTGACCCGATGTCCGGTAACATGAAGAAGACCGAAGAAGGCATCCAGAGCCCTCCTGCCAAGGGCACGATCGGTATGTACACTTCAATGTCACTACACAGGTCTTCAGCTAACACGCCCATCAGATATGAAGATGCGCACAATCAGCAATGTCAGCATGAAGCTTCCTGACAGCGGCGTCGGTTGGGATGGCGGCCCTGCCATTCAGCCAACTTCGCCGACATTCCATCATGGCGAGCACAATCGCAACACATCTGTCGAGACTGTGGAGTCGCAGCCCGAGCACCGTGAATTCTATCCATGGGCTCGGGTCACATCTCCTCGCGATGCCATCTCTTCCTACCAGCAGACGGGATACCATGCTCGTACTCCATCCTCTGGTAGCACCATCGGGCGCCACCCCTCCGTCAATCCAGTCGACCAGACCAAGATCAAGCACGTCTCTTATCTAGGCAAACACGCTATCGTTGAGGATGAGGCCGAGATCATTCCCGACTATCAGCACGGTGCCGCACTCGTCAACCACCGAGGGATGATCAACAACCACGGGAGAATGCTCAGCATCCACGCCCGGCCGCTTGACGGGCAGCATGATCGTCTAGTACAGCAGGATCGTCTAGCGCAGCAGGATCGTCTAGCACAGCAGGATCGTCTAGCACATCAGGATCGTCTAGCACAGCAGAATCTCATCAACAGGCAGCAAGGTCGTACCAACGAGAGATTGTGGATCCAGACTGAGGCGACCGAGATCCGCATCGACGATGCGGAGGAGCGCAACATGGGCCGCTTCCAAGGTGTGAACACTCGCTTCGCTCGCGGTACCGCCCAAAACCAGGCATCCAGTCTAGACCTCCACAACATCAACAGTCACATCCAAGACCAAGAAGAGCGTAACATGGATGCCGACCATCGTCAAGCGTCTATTGATTTCCAATTTGACGATGTGCGTGACCAATTTTTGGCGAATGACCGCGACCTTGACGCCTTCGAGCTTCAGCTCAAAGCCAGCGACACTCGCCTCCAGGCTCGTCTCGACACATACGCATTGCACAACTCCAAGCACGTTGCGAAGGTCGCCCAGCTCTTTCACCAGCAGTTGCACAAGAACACGCAAGTGTACGACGCTGCCTTCTCGCAGCAAGCTGCGAATCAACAACAATTGCAGCAGCAACATGCTACGATGGTGCAGCAGCTCGAGCAGGCACAAGCTCAAATGAGGTTGCAGGCTGTCATGATGCAGAACGTCAACGACAACTTTGCCAGGCTGGGATTGAGCACGATTCCTATCACCCCGACTCAGGCAGGCATGAACTTCTCCAACAGCGCGTACACTCACCAAGTTCACGCCTCCCAATACCTGCCATCACAAGGCTATCCGTATCAAGGCTTTCCGCAGCATTCGATCACTACGCCCGTAGCTGGCCCAAGCAATGCCGCAGCCACCGAGTCTAGAAGCGATCCACGATCCACCATCGCTCAGCCCAACCCTCGCGACGATGTTTTCGGTCCTGCTCTTAACCTTCCGCAACGCCGCCCAGGACCTGCACCGATTGCTGAGTTCGAGCAAAAGCCGTATCACGAGCTTCTTCACTCCGTCTTTGTGGGCGTCGAGATTGCCGTCCGCGGTGTGAAGACCAAGCGCCTGGATCCTAGATCCTCCGATCGAGACATCCAGAAGCTGATCAAGGATATGGCTGAGCTCAACAACAGCATCCAGAACACGAAGACTGTCGTGCTTCGCGATCCGAAGTACACCATCCAGATGCTCATTGGTTATATCAGCAAGTGCCTCGTTGTCGAGACCATCGACAGCACGATCCTCAACCGCTTCCCGAGCGTTGCGTTCACGGCTGAGTACTTCACAGCCTGCAACAATGAAGCTCGAGCAATGGTGGACATGATGCTCGCCAATGATGCAGGTGCTAGAGCCGGTTTGGCGAATGAGCGCGCGCGCATTGCCCGCTCTATCGCCCAGCTACCTGGATTTCAGCAGTGGATCAAGGATACCGCCGTCGCTATCACGAACGATCTCGTCAGCGTTCTCCAGCCTGCCATTCGTGAGTTCCAGCACGAGTCGGCTTACAAGCTTCTCCACAAGCCTGTCCTCGAGGCACTAAAGATCGGCGTTCGCATGCGTCAGGACCCCAAGAACTTCATTTGCAACTGGTACGGCTCGGGTCATCGTTGGGACTACAACAGAATGGTGCAGCGTAACGACGAGTTCTCTGGCCTGGATCTCACTCAAGATCCGCCCGCTCACTGCGTGCTCTTCACCATGGCACCCAACGTCGACGAGAAGTTCTCCGACGGCAAGACAATCATGAGCACAAACTTGCACAAGGCTGAGGTCGTGCTCGGTATGCGCAAGGATCTTCTCCGCTAGATCTCGCTTGATCGTCCGGCTCGTCTCGCCGCTGGCTGACAGCGGACGTTAAGCAGCAAGGAGGGGGTGATATGGTGGGGGGATGATGGGATGATGAATGGTGGCATGGCATGGTGGGATCTCGGTTTCTGGCTGAGAGTTGTGTACGATGGTCGGGGGCTCGCAAAACGGTGCTGGTTAACTGCGATTGAACGCTGGTAATACTGGGGGCTTTTTTGCTTGCTTGTTGCAACGAAAGGGAGGAGTTCATGGACTTGCGTGGTACTGCAGCGGCAGTGGTGATTGCTTTTTCAGACCGCTGAGGTCTTTGCACATGGACGGCAGAGGTCTTCATTGACCAGGCGGTGGCTCATGGCTGCTGCGCTGCTGTTGTACTATAGTATCTTAAGGAAATGGTTCTACCACCACTTGCCGCCTCCATATAACCGTCACCACGCACTTGGGATGCTCTTTCACTCACTCAAGGTGTGCTTGACGGCCTCGCACACGGGGAGGGTTTCAATAATCACAATCGTCGGCCAGTCCACCGCCGCGTTGCTAGGTCAATGAGGTAGACTGTCTAAATCATGCTCGTTGTACGTGCTTGAAAGTTCCAGCGAGTTCACGATACGTTACGATCGCGCAATACATGAGAGTACTACTACAATAATGATGCCGGAGTACAAACGGCAACTCATGGGTTGGTGTGGCGCATGACGAGTGTCGATCATCAAGCGTCAAGCAACTTTGCCACAGCGCCAAAGCTCCACCACGTTCTGGGCCGCGTGGCGTTTGTGGTCTACGTACACTTCGTCACCTATCACAATAACCCCGATATCATGCCTGTCCTATCATGCCTGGCACCGCAGCACCACCCCTCTTCCAAAGGTTTCTCTGCTGCTCTTTCCACGACCACCAACGTCTATACTGACTCACAGCTTCGTACGAGCCGTCTCGGACTAGCTGACGACACCTCTAATCGCCTGTTGCTACCATATGCCGTTGCCTGGAGGTAGGTGTGTTTGCGTAAGTATATAGCTTCTGCTTCCCTGTCTCCCTGTATGTGCCTTTCTTTTGTCTCTATCAACACAACAAAGGAACACATCAATCATGCCATCAGTACGATACTACAACCAAACAGCGCCTTTCTGGGACTGGGTAGCTCAGCTCGAAGAGCAAGGCGCTCAACACCCCTCCTTCGGCGGCCGTAACCAACAAGGCGAGGATTCTACATCCGACAACGGGCAACAACGCCCAAATCCATGGGCTGAAGGATGGGGTGCCTTTCCTTTCGGACCTTTCCCTCATCGCGGTCGCAGACACGGATCGCCTGGCCGTCATTGTGGACCACCTCCACCTCCACCGCATGGCCCGCCTCCTGACAACGAGAAGGGCTCGGAACACGACAACCCCGACGAAGGTCCGTCCGAGCCACGCGGCCCTCCTCCACCCTTCTTTGACGGGCCACCACCACATCACGGACCCGGACCACATCGCCATCACAGCCCTCCTGGTGGGCGTGGCCGAGGCGGCCGCCGCGGCAGGGCCGGCTTCGGAGGTCCATGGGGTCGTCACGGCCAGCATCATTTCGGTCCAGGAGGCTTTGGAGGATTAGCCGAGATGTTTCAGTCTCATATCTTCGGCGATGGCGAGAAGGGTGGCGCGACCGACAAGTCTGAAGACTTCAAGCCCGACGTTGATGTCTTCGATACTGCTGAGGCGTTCATCGTACACGTCTCCTTGCCAGGAGCAAAGAAGGAGGACGTGGGAGTCAACTGGGACTCGGAGAAGTCTGAGCTCAATATCGCTGGAGTCGTCTACCGCCCGGGCGATGAGGAGCTGTTGAAGACGCTTGCACTGGATGAGCGTAAGGCCGGGGCATTTGAAAGGAAGGTGCGCCTGGGCAGCAGGGCGAATCCCGCGCAGGTTGACATGGATGGCATCAGCGCGAAGCTTGAGGATGGTGTCTTGAGGGTGGACGTGCCTAAGCTTGACGCTGGATACGTGGAGGTGAAGAAGGTCGATATCGAGTAGAATACAGGGGAGGACGGTAGTGCACTGAGGATAAAAGCTCAGCAAGAATAAGTCAAGGTAAGATAGTAAGTCATATAACGAATCACGAGTTGAGAATACATCAAAGCTTCACTTTCCACCACACAGCTTCACGTAAGGTAATACATACCTAGTGATAAACTCAATCAATATTCTTTCCACAGCCAACGAAGTACGCCCATATTCATTATCATGCTCGACGTCAGCCGCTGATCATACATCCAACTGCCTGATCGCGTCCAGGTCTGCAGCAAAACGCGACAATTCCTCAGTAGCCTTGCGCCGAGGGCACTTCGCAGCTATCTCGCTTGCCATCCCAAATACCACTTCCTTTGTTCACATCTCTATGTCTAAGATCACAGTAGTCTTGGCAATTTCGTATCCCAGTTGTTCTCGCAGCAATGTTCTTTGTTTGATCTCTGGGAAGCCGCCGGATCCGGCCTTAATGCCCATCGATTGTTTGAAACATATACTATCGCGATGCAGAGAATGTACAGCCTGCCACCGACACACATCAGATTGCAAAGCAACGCTGATTCAAGATGCAGATCACCGCAGCATTCCTGGCTTTGGCCGGCCTCGCGACTGCAGCTGTCAAGCGTGGAGCACCAGCTTACGGTTATGGCTCTTCGTCTAGCTCATCCTCGCCTGTCGCTCCGATCTCTCCGTCAACAACGAAGCCGACATCTGTCTCGCCAGTCTCGCCAGTCTCGCCAGTATCCCCAGTGTCACCCACGAGCCCATCATGCGTCACGCAGACATCCAGTGTCTGCAGTCCGGTGTATTCCACCAGCATCAAGACTTCCTCGACCCCTGTCGTGTCCACCCAGGTGAGCACTAGCATGCAGGCCAGTGTGATCACGAAGACCGTCACTAGCACCTACGTTTCGTACTCAACCAGTAAGTCTTTTCTCGTACAGCTCTTGGGTGTTTGACTGACCAGTCGCAGTTCTGACGACCGTTATGACCACCGAGACCGGTTGGGAGACAAAGACCGTTCCGACGACGATTACGACTTCGACGATCATTTGTACCACGAAGCCTGTTACCATCACTACCAGCACTACTTCGCTTTCAGAATGCCATACAACTTACCCACAATCGACGTCGATCATTAGCACTTTGACCGAAACTGCATCTGGCCCAACTGTCTTGACAACGTCCAGCGCCATTTACTCCACGATTACGAGTACTTCTGAGCAGATGCTCTACAGTACGATGGTTGCCACAACCTCGTCCTGCTCTCTCAGCTCTTTCTCCAGCTGCAAGGCTCCAGAAACTACACCTACGTCTCAGCCAACCACTCCGAAAACATCATCTTCGCCTGTCGCACCTACCACGGTCCCAACGACGACACCGTCTTCGAGCAAGCCGGTCACAAGCTCTACGACCTCCCAATCTACCACCACGTCCTCTTCGTCTTCACCAAGTTCCCCTACGACCGTTCCGACCACAAAAACATCCAGCAGCACGTCCTCCCCAACGATCCCGGCATATTCCAAGCCGGCTGTTACCACGACTTCCTCCAGCTCACCCATTTTACCCACTAGCAAATCCCCTTCGAGCTCAGCGACCATCCCGGCATACTCAAAGCCGTCATCCGGCACACCCGTTATACCAACCAGTCATGCTAGCAAATCCTCTTCGAGCTCGGCGACTATCCCTGCATACTCCAAACCGTCATCTACTTCTTCAGCCCCTACGCCTGCTGTCTATAGCTCCAAGACATCAACTTCTTCGGCTACACCTTCTGTGTACACATCCAAGCCCTCCTCTTCCTCGGCGGTGACAGTGCCATCGACTTACTCCCACTCCTCTACCGCGGCACCGATACCCACGACGTATCAGTCGAAGAGCGTCTCAGTCTACTCAAAGCCCACTTCTAGCTCGAGCGCACCTGTCATGGTCTCAAAGCCAACCACCATCGGTGGCTATGGCAGCTACTCTTCAAGCACAAAGGCCTCGAGCTCCGCTCCATCATCGAGTATCACGGCCCCAACAACAAATTCAGTCAAACCTAGCTCGTACACGCCGACCTCAAGCTCTACCAAATCGACCATCGGTGGATACGGCGGCTACTTCAATGCCCCATCACCATCAAGCAGCAGCAGCAAAGCTTCGGCTACGACTTCAAGCACCAAAGTCTCTAGCACGACTGTTACGAGCAAGAGCAGCCCACCCAGCTCCTCGTCTGAGCGCCCAACAGTATACGCTTATGGCTACGGACCATCCTCTTCTAGCACAAAGAGCTCTTCGTCTTCGGCACCAGTCTCCTCAGTCAAGGCTTCCTCGGCTCCACAAGGATACACTTCGTCTAAGCCGACTTCTTCAGCACCCGCACCCACAAGCAAGAACTCTTCCGCACCTCCCGCTTACAGCAGCGTAAAGCCATCTTCCGGCATGCCTCCATACTCTAGCGTGAAGACATCCTCCGTACCAAGCGCATACACAAGCGTCAAGACATCTTCCACACCGCCCGTGTATCTTACCAAGACGACGACCTCCACCTGGGCTCAAACCTCGACTCTGCGTCCTGGTGCCAACGCTCCCGGCGGCTATGCTCAGAATAACGGCTGGTAGAACTCTGTATACTCGTCCGGATAGTATGGACTCCGGAGCTCTCTGGTTTTGGATATAACCTTGTGCAGGCAGGGTGTTCATATAGTCAAATCAGTAGATATCTAATCGCATCACGTAGTCCTCTCCATCATATCATTTCACCCTTGCGGCGGCTGTGGATCCTGATAATTCCAATCTGCCCACCCCGGCGCATCGAAAGGCTGTCCGCCTTGTTGCTGCCCGGGCACACCACCATTCATAGAAAACCAATCGATTTGGTCAATACCGGGCACAGCATTGTTCGTGACATCCGGAATTTCGGGAAAGGTATCCCACATCATATCGTCCCAGAAGGATTTCATGGCTGCGTCGCCAGAGGGACTGAAACCCCATGTGCTCATCCCAGCGCCACCAGCACCAGCATTCAAATCTGTGGCTGCGGTGGCAGTGTTGGGCATAGGGACGTGGTTGGTTACGCCAGGCATATTGAAGACGTCCATACTGGCAGCTACGTCACCGTAATTCTGCGCGGCGCTCTGCTGTTGGCGTTGGCTGTGCTGTAACTGCTGCTGAAGATAGAATGCCTCGTGGTACTGCCTTACATGCTTACTCGCATCGTAGAGTCTTTGCACGACGTCCTTGCTTTTCTTCGCCGCGACGGAATAGTGCTGCATGCTGTCGAAGAATTTGATCGCGAGCTCGATTTGTGCTCGCCACTTCTCGGCCTCTTCATCACTTCCTGTTGTTCCGTCCGTAGAGATTTTGCCGGGACTGTCTGGTTTCACATATGCGGCTGATGAGGATAGATAGGAGAATAGTGACACTAATGGTACCATGGTCGCTTGGTACATGAGCCACACGGCATTCCAGCCGGCGATGAGTTCTTGTCGGCATGTCGCCTCAATGTCTCGAATAGCATCGCTAGCAATCACACGACATTTGCTGACTGCGACTTTCTCTTCAGCAGTCATGTTGGCGAAAGGTGTTCTGCGCAGAGCTACTGCTAGCAGATATGGTCTATGCATTAGCATACGCAAGGTCATATACCACCAGTGCATGATGGCACGAGGTGTCTTGAGCACTTCCGGGCATGCTGTGTTATCCCGATCTGGTGGTTGGGAGAAGTCGAAGGGGTTGCGCATGGAAGCTGCTGCTGGCGATGGTGTCAGTAGATTCGGTTGACCATTGATGTTCGATCCGGAACGCTGCTTTCTTGCGGATCTTTCGGTGACAGCTTGCAAGATTGGAGGCAGATCGTCGTGCCAGCGAACGAGCTCTGCATCGAGGGCGAACAGCTCATCAGGCTTTAGCAATGACTGCACAGCCAGCTTGTCCTGGATCTGAGTCGCCAGTTTGCAGAAAGTAATGTTATGAATGATTGGCAGCAACCGTAGAGAAGCAAGATACTGCGCATTATTCATCTGCTCAGGTATCCTAGGACTCTGCACCGTCACTGCTGGACTCATGCGTCCAAGCGAAGGCCTCCCAGTGGTCATGAAAGCCCAGGTATCCAGACAGAACAGACTCCACCACGTCCTCCGCCGAATCTCGACTGGCACTTCACTGCGTATACTTCGCACGGCAGTCGCGCCGTTCGAGGCAGGCGGGCCATCGCTGTATTCCCGGTGCAGTCCAAGCGCCGTGGCCATTCTCAAAGCAGCCCCCATCAAGCTATTAGCTTCGTTTGGTCGATTGAGCCAATGAAGGTAGTAGCCGCCAAGCAGACCAAAAGCTTGCAGAACAAGCAGATTGCCACTACCGAACGTCTCCAAATGAAGATGAACTCGCGCTCGCTGAAAATACGCAATGTGATCTTCATCCTGGCACGTCGAGCCTGCCAAGGAGCCGAGCGCAAGTACGATGTTGAGGAGAGCCAGCCATGGAGAGTCCTTGCGCTCGCCGTACAGATATGTGTGCCAGAAGTTGTCCTCGTCTACCATGGGCATCATGACATGCACACGGGCAAAATAAGACTCGATGAGCTTGTGTCCCACATCTGCGGGAGGGAGGTAGTCTGGATCATAGTCCTTTGCTTGTGGAGGCGGTGAATTGCTTCTGCTGGGCAATGCAGTGTCTGTATAGCTCTGCACGATAAATGGACGGGCGACCGGCGCCGTCTTGAAGATCACCTTCAATGCTGCTGTGATCGAGGACACACCCACATAAGACGATTGCGTGTCCACGGACAAAGACAGACCGTTGATGTCGTCGCTGATACCTTGGACATTATCCCGATGTCGCTTTGTTTCGTCTGATACTGGGTCTTGCTCAGGAGCCTGCTCCAAAGCCTCCAAGCTTTGCGCACCGTCGGATGTCTGCCTGTGAAAGTCGGGAATAGAGGTGTTTGGTTCGATGATGCTCGATGGTGAGGTCACTGTTGCTGGGAGCGTCAAAGCGAGGTTGATTAGCTCTTCTCGTGGCAAGGATATGATCGATTGTATATCTCTGCCTGGGAAGAGGCGGAAGAAGACGGAGCTGTATTGGTCGACCTGGGACTGAAGTCGATCTACGAGCCTACGATCGCGTTGTCAGCGCACTTCGTACACGGTCGTCTACCTTCGACATGCTTACTTCCTAGACGGAATCACTCTCTGCGCCGGCTTCGAATAAGTGCACAGGTCCGGATGCTGATACCACTGACATTGTCCACATGGTTGTGTCCCGTCACATCTGATCTTTCGTCTCCGACATTCCACACAGGCATTGCTCGTCGATATCCGTCTCGATGCCGGTATTCTTGCGCCTCTTTCTTCATTCTCATCTACACCTACGACGCTTGTCGCAGCTTGAAACGTATGATACATCTTGCTTCCTCCTTTTTCTCGCCAGTCCACACAAGACTACTTTGTCATACCAAAGCTGTTGTCGTCCACGGTCACCACCAATATCATTCCATCACTCTGGTACAGAAATCCGTCGACGTCTGTCAAACATCCAGAGTGAAATGAGAAACGAGAGACACCGAAATGATACACCTGACCAAACCTTGTACAAGTACCAAGGCCAACCAAACAAGATCGACACAACCTTCAATACATCACGAGATTTGGCACAGGCAGCTCTCCATCCTGTAACCGAGCAGGGACGTTTTTAATCTAGAGGCTCTGACTTCTCCCCGCAAAATCCGCACAGAAGGGATCTCCGCCAATCTTGCATGGGCAAGCACTGACCCGGTATCCACGTGTCGTGTTCAGGGTGGAGTTGAGGCGTTCATGATGAGACGGACGTGGTTGGAAAAGTATTCATTTCGCCATCGGATGGAATAGGGTGCATAAGTGCGTCGTGTCAAGGCAAGGCGCAATTCTTCTGCACAGCGCTTGTACTGTAGACATCTAACAAGCCTACTTGATTGTCACGCATACAATACAAAGACACTAGAACCCCTCCGCCCTATCATGTGGCGGGAAAGCATCAAACCACGGCATATCAAGCCCGAAATCCAACGCACTCATATCCACATCTCGAGTCTGGATCATCATGTCGCCGTAATCCTGCATTACGTTATCATTGGTGAAGTGGAAGGGGTTATACAGAGGCATGTTGGGGTCTTGGTGGTGGTGTGACTGCGTTTGACCTGAGGTGAAGTGCATATCGTTCACGAAAGCCTGGTGTTCGTGGCGCAGGTCGGGGTTGAGTAACGAGCTTATGCTACTGCCTGTGCCGTTGTGAAGGGTAGAGGCCGCGGGGTTCGTGGGTGGTTGAAAGGTATATTGGCCGTTCAGGCCAGCTGATAGCCAGCTCGTAGTATCTGTCGTAGGCAGATCTGGCCGCGAAGGCGTGAGCTGCTGGCTAGCTGCCATTCCGGATGCGTAATGTCCGGCGACGTTGGTGCTAGGTGAGTTCATTGTGCCGGTCAGTGTCCAGCCAAACGCCAGCGTAGGATCAACACCAGGTGTAGTGGAATCGTGAGTTGCTCCTTGTGCTTTGAAGAAAGGATTGCTTCCTGCTGCTATTTGCTGGCCCCACGAGTGTTTCCTACGCCAGCCAGGAGATGTGAAAGCTGGCTCTGGTTTGGGCTGCTCCATCGCACTCTCGCCCTCTTCGACAGTGTACAGTAGTGGGTCGCCAACACCCTCGAATTTCTGATCAAGCACGGTCAAGATGTACTTGGCGCCTGCCCAGTATGTCTCGAGAGACTGCAGAGCTTTATAGCACAGCTGATAGTGCTGCGTGGCTGCAGTGGCGAGTAGAGTATGCTTTGCGAAAGCTTTATGCTCTGCCGTGGCGACGGATGACCGCCGATTTGGTGTTCCAGAAGACCCTTCTGACTTGACTGTGTAAGAGGCCGGATCGATGTGCAGCACACGGGTCGGACTGCCGGCCCTAGACTGTGCGTTCGAGCTCGCAGTCTGCTCCGCTGTCTCCTTCAAGAAAGCACAAGCTGCAACATAAATTGGCTGTGTCGTGAATGGGTTGCCAAGACTGGCTTTCGCATCCATAAGCTGAGAGTAGGAAAGAATGTCTGCGATTGTCTTGGCAGACGACATAGACAGCCGCTGACTGTTCGGGAATAGCTGCAGCATCCGTCCCTCGAAGGTCTTCATCAGAGTCGGCTGATGCAGCAGAACGATTAAGGTATGAAACCAGAAATGCAGGAGCACAAAATTCGTGCCTTCTCCAGCTTTCATGTAGTGCTGAAAGTTAACGGCATCGAAGTGAAGCCTGGATGAAAGGCCTTGGTATAATCGAGTGGCTTGGCGCTCCATCGTTGCAAGCTTTTTCGGCGTGTCTGATGTGATGTCTGACGGCTCCTTGATGCTGTTCAGCAAGTCTGCAACCCTACCGTACAGATGCACGATCCTGATCAAGGCTGGAAACGGTGCAGGCCAGTCCGATGCAGGTTCTCGCTGGTCGAGATCTGGGAACGAGAGCTCGATCTCCTTGTCGCGAAGAGTGCTCCTCCGTCCAGTACCGGATGACACGACCCGATCGAGTAGAAAGACAGCCCAGAAGGTATCTACTCGTTCTTGCTCCACTGCTTTCTGCTCCTCGATTTCTCTAAGAGTTTGTTGGTCGCTCCTGACTGTTCCATCCTCAGTGGTATTCGATATCGTCTGAGTCAGTGCATCATCATCGTTACCATCGTCATGTGATGCGCGCTTGACGAGCTTCGGAGTCGGTCCCTTCCTGCCCTTATACTTCATGCCTTCGAGGGTGTGCATGCCAAGGTCTTGCGCCATGCGTATCGAGATGCCCAGGTACATCCATAAACCGCTGTCACGACTTTCGCCAAACTCGTTATAGGCTAGCAAAAGCGCAGCTTGCACAGCCGCGACAGTCGGACATGGAAACATATCCACCAAAGCATTCTTTGCGCGCTGTGCAAACGCATGACCATATTCCGCTGGCGTGGCTTTGCCCTCGTCGAGCGGCTGCTGCTTGACAACTGGATGTGTCGAGAAGCGCGCTGCGAGCGCACATACTGCGTCGACTAATATCGCGTCTACTTGCTTCTCCTCCAGATCTCGTAAGAAACGTTCTCTGGGTAAAAAGGGATAATTACAGCCAAGATGGGTGAAGAACGTGTTCACGAGATGTGTAATCAGTTCGCTGGGTGGTGCAGGACTTGTATCGTAGAAAGGTAGGTTGAGTGGCGTGCGCGCTTCTGTCTCCGCACCAGCAGGAGTGTTGGTCAGGAAAGAAGGAATACCATGATCGCCAGATCCATTGTTCACAGCAGGCGACGACTGCCCGCCATCTATTGACGACCGTGCCAATTCCGACGTGTCTTGTCGTTTGACTTTGACAACCATCTGCTTGAAGCCAGGCATAATGGCTGTTGGACCTAGCCAGCGGAAGTACGGCATTCGATTTCGTGGTCCAGGGAACAGAGACCTCTCTGCGTCTCGCTTCGTACGAGTTCTCGTAGACGCTGTGGTACGCGTGTGCTGGCTATGGTCTGGCGGTGAGTCTGTGCGAGCGTCCTGACGTTGCAGCAATTCATCGAAAGCACGACCGGGCGCTTTGCCATTGATCTGGCCTTGCGAGACTGCTGCACGATGAAGCTCCGGGATGGCTTGGTCCTCGAGCCCGACCTTCTGCTTCGCCTTGATGCTTCGCACATCTTCGTTCGGACCACAGTGGCCTCGCCTGGACCGCGAAGCATGATCGGCGTATCCAGCACACTCCTGCTTGTTCTGAACACACGTCTCGCATTCGGGTCGCTCACCTGAACATGCTGTCTTTCGCTTCCTACACGTCAAGCATGCTGCGCCTATTCGTCGCCTGATCTGTGTCAGCCGCAAATTATACCATGTCCTCGCTCACCAGTATCATGTACCTCTTTGGGTTGGGTGCGCCATTGTTCATGATGAAGCGAATCGCCTTCCCTTCCTTCTTCTGCACCTCATCACCGCCACTCATCCCATCGGTAGACATCCTCTTCACTGAGTCCTAATGCTGCCTCTCAAGGTCAAAGGCCAGCCCGCGGTCCGCCATGAGCTTCGCATAAGATGTGTTTCCCCGCTTCGGTGCGTCGTGCCTGTACATGGTATCGAAGCTGCTCTCGTCTCACGTTAAGAAGGCCTGCATCTCCTTTAACAGAGCTAAATATGCTGGCAACAACATGCCTCGGAAGGCACCAGCGCCGACGACAGCAAAAATGGCCCAACCGTTGCGCCAGTATTCCTTCCAAAGTCTATCGTGCAGCAACCACGGTGAAGGTGGAAGCTTCTCCAGATTTGGCACAAGACATCGGAGCCAGAGCCGAATTGATGCCGCCATCAAAGCAGAACAGCGTCAACAAATCTGACCGTTGTACATCCTCCATCACATTAAGCGATCTTGAGCAAACTAGATGGAAATACGACAACTGTCCCGAGCCATCAAGGCGACCTCTTCGCTGAGCGTGCGCCGCCCTGCCACCACTTCCTACTCCCGCTGCCTCCACACGACATCCACCCGCGAAGCCACGCCCCTTCCTCATCCCACCGTCGTCGCGCCACCTCCATCAGCACCCTTAGCCTCCGTCACCTTTCCCCAAAACCGCGTAGCCCGCAAACGAGAGCAAGCGGAAAGGTTACAACAAGGCCAACAAGCCAAGATCAACCCAGCAAAGCCGACGACAGCACTGCAAAAGAGATTCTGGAAGAACGTCAGTGTGAAGGAAGATGAACAAGGTCTCCATGTCCTACTCGATACGAGACCGGTCCGAACGGCGTCGAAACAGCCATTGCTGCTACCGCATAGTAAACGTGCTTTGGCGACGGCGATAGCGGTGGAATGGGATCAGCTGGTTTCGGCTCAACAGGCGTTGAAGAATCATTACATTCCACTCACCTCCATGATCTCCCGCGTACTCGATATAGAAGCGGCAGATGCGAAAGACGACACGACCATTCGCCAAGCAATCGTAACGATGGTGATGAGGTATTTAGGAACTGACACCCTTCTCTGCTGGGCGCCAGAAAACAATGACTACGATCGCGCACAGGAAGGCAAGACACCATTGCGACAGAAGCAGAGGACTGTAGCGGAACCCATAATCGCGTTCTTGAAGACGCACGTCTTCCCTGGTGTGGACATCTTGCCTATACTGGGCGAGGACAGTATCATGCCTACGCCTCAGCCGCAAGTTACTCGGGAAGTCATTAAGGGGTGGGTCAGTGGGCTGCCGGCTTTTGAGCTTGCGGCTCTGGAACGGGGCGTCCTTGCCACCAAATCTTTACTTCTGGCGGTCAGGCTGTTGGTGGACTGGAGTCCTGAATTCGCGCATATACGCAAAGATGCTTCAAAGCATGAACGCTTTGGAGTGGCAGAGGCGGCGCATGCGGCTACGTTGGAGGTCATGCATCAGACTGATATGTGGGGAGAGGTGGAGGATACGCATGATGTTGAGCGGGAGGATTTGAGACGGCAATTGGGGAGTGTGGTTTTGCTTGTTGGTTAATCTTATAGAGGCACAGAGCTGCTTTGTTGTACAATAGACCTCTGTATACTTGAGTGCATTCCGCGCCGCCCTCCAGGCCGCTGTTAGAGACAGCTCGGGGTGCCTTCATGTCATGGTGTACACCATCCTCGATAGCCTAACATTGGTCGGCTCCGATGTCCATCCGAACTTCACCCAGAAGACCCCGCACCATTCTCCTTCAAGACCGGAGTAAACAACCCTCCACTTCCTTCCTGTTCGCTGCAACCGGTATGATCACCAGCTTCAGACGCCGCTATTAGGTCACCTGCTCTTGAGAGCCTTCCTCTTCGGTTCCTCGCATTACCACAAACGTCAAGCGGTCGCCGTGTGCTCCGTTTCGAAATCTCACCCGTCGGGGACCTGGTGATGGCTGGCTGGCGTGTCTCATGGCAATGGTTTGACATGGCGTCGCCTCGGCCTTCTAGTTTTGAGGATTTACTAACAAGGCAGCTACTGCAAGATCAGGTACGGGAGGCCTACACCCGTTGACCGGATAATGTTGACTTTGCATATGAGCTTTCATTCTTGCTCACAATTCATGACAAGATAGGTGTCTAGAGTCTTTGCTTCATTGTCTTGTACTTTTTCAAGGCCACCTTTCCTACCGTCTTCTTCGCTGTGGTCTGCCAAGACAATATACTTCACCATCGTTCAGCCCAATATGGCAGGCGCAATGGCGGTCCAGGAATTGAGCCATGGCTGGCAGTTCAAGCAGACTGACACAGAAGAATGGCTGCCTGTTGCGAAAGTGCCTACGAATGTGCATTTGGATCTGATGGACAATAAGAAGTATGACGTAGACTCACTAACTGGCCCAGACAACTCACTGACACAGACAACACAGAATCGAAGACCCGTTCCTAGGTTTCAACGAACTGAAGTGCGAATGGGCGGGCGAGAAGTCGTGGACATACAAGGTTGAACTACCCTCAACCTCAGCATCGAAGGAAGGTACAAAGCATGTCTTAGCGTTCGACGGCCTAGATACTTTCGCCAACGTCAAGCTCAACAGCCATACCATTCTGGAAAGCGACAACATGTGGCACATCCACCGCGTTGACATCACAGACAAGCTTCAGCACAACAAGGCGAACTACCTCGAGATTGACTTCAAGCCAGCTTTGTTCGAAGCGAGGAAGATCAAGGATGCACATCCTGAGCATAGATGGGTCGGCTTCAACGGTGATATGGCTAGGCTGGCTGTGCGGAAAGCACAATACCATTGGGGCTGGGATTGGGGCCCTGTGCTCATGACTTGTGGGCCTTGGCGCGCTGTGCGGCTTGAGACATATCAGGCGAGGGTGGAGGATTTGAGAGTGGACTATGAGGTGGACAGCAGCTTCAAGAAGGTTAGCGGCACAATCACGGCCACTGTGGAAGGAAGCTCGGCCAAGCAAGTACATTTCTCGGCAAGCTTAGCCGACTCGGAAGTCTTCAAAGGCACAGCAGATGTTGCAAGCGATGGCACCGCAAAAGTTGAATTCCACGTCAATGAGCCAAAGCTTTGGTACCCATACGGCTACGGCGACCAACCCCTCTACACGGTCACTGCGACGGTCTCATCTGGCGAACACGATCTGCACACCATATCAAGAAGGACTGGCTTCCGCAAAGGCGAGCTCATACAAGAACCCGACGAAGTAGGAAAGACATTCTTTTTCCGGATCAACGGCATCGATGTCTTCTGCGGCGGCTCCGATTGGATCCCCGCCGACAGCTTCACGCCCCGAATTACAGAGTCAAAGTATAGAAAGTGGCTAGAAATGATGGTAGATGGCTACCAAATCATGATCCGAATCTGGGGTGGCGGAATCTGGGAGGAAGATATCTTCTACGACCTCTGCGACGAGTTGGGGGTGCTGGTTTGGCAGGATTTCATGTTCGGGTGCGGAAATTACCCTGCGTACGAGGAGATTAGGAAGAGTATTGAGATCGAGGGTATATGTCAGGTGAAGCGGATTCGACATCATCCGAGTTTGGTGATCTTTGCCGGGAATAACGAGGACTATCAAGTTCAGGAGCAGTATCATTTGACGTATGATTATGAGGATCAGGAGCCGGGCAATTGGTTGAAGACGGATTTCCCAGCGAGGTACATTTATGAGAAGGTGTGTCGTATATCTCCATCTCACCTCACTGCGGACTCGAGCTAACAATTCCCAAGCTTCTACCAGATATCGTTGCCGCCCACTCGCCACACATACCTTACCATCCCGGTTCACCCTGGGGCGACGGCTTGATCTCCTCGAACACCACGGTAGGTGATATGCACCAATGGAACGTCTGGCATGGTACGCAAGAGAAATACCAGATCTTCGACACACTTGGCGGCCGCTTTAACAGCGAATTTGGCATGGAAGCGTTTCCTCATATCGATACCATCAAGGCTTATGTTACTGATCCGAAGGAATTATATCCGCAAAGTCATATGCTCGACTTCCATAATAAAGCGGATGGCCACGAGCGACGAATAGCAACTTACCTGGTCGAGAACTTCCGGACGCGAACAGATCTGGAAGGCTTCATCCACCTCACGCAGCTCAGCCAGGCAGAGGCCTTGATGTTCGGCTATCGTGGCTGGAGAAAACAATGGGGCCAGCAGAGATTCTGTGGTGGTGCGCTGGTTTGGCAGCTCAATGATTGCTGGCCTGTGACTTCGTGGTCGATCGTGGATTATTATCTGAGGAAGAAGCCGGCGTATTATGCTATGCGAAGAGTCCTGGCGCCGGTTGCGGTAGCGGTCAAGAGAGATCATCATGATTGGAGTGTTGTGCATGCGCGGCCGGCGAAAGAAAGCCGTTGGGAGTGCTGGGTGGTGTGTTCTCATGTGGAGAAGGAAGTGAAGGCGACAGTGGAATTGAGGTTTGTTAGCATTGCTACGGGCAGAGATATCCAGGAGAAGGTTGTGAAGAAGGATGTCGAGCTTATTTCGAACGGGACAACGGGTATTTTGAAAGGAACCATTGATCATACGACTACGGAACCTCATGTCCTAGCGGCGAGAATATGGATTGATGGCGTCGTGGTTTCAAGGGATGTTGACTGGCCGCAGCCGCTTAAATACCTGGACTTCGAGGACCGAGGAGTTTCAGTACGACATGAGGGCGACAAAATACATATCAAGGCGGAGAAGCCGACAAAGGGTTTGGTATTTGAGGAGAGGGAAGGTGTGCTAGTGGATGATAGTGCCATTGATATTGTGCCTGGTGATGAGCAGGTGATTAGGGTGAGGGGGTTAGGAAAGGGAGAGAAAGAGCTTGGGTGGCGGTATTTGGGGCAGCCTGGGTCGTAGATATAATTTTGACATACGATGTTGCACCATGGTCCTGAAATTACACTCGATTTTGATAAGGCAGTTGCTGTAGGCTCAAGCGAATGTTTACATTGATCGATCCGCTGCCATTGTCGACGATCCTCGAGCGATCGTATCGTCATCTCTCATTTAGAAATGATTTATTGTTGCCCGCTGGCAGGTTAGGGTCTGCGCAGAGGAGCACCTTCGACCCAGTTCACATGTACACCATCGCATCATCGTTCATGCAGTGACTCGATCACCAGATTTTGCACAAGTGTCTTCTATTGTCTTCCCAAAAAGCAGTCTTGCCATAGGAAGAATCAAGATGACCACACGTCCGCCACCACAGCCGGCATACCAGGCGACACCGGGATCTATACTTCATGCAGATCGCAGCTTCTACGACTCCATTACCAATTCAAAGCGTTCGTGCATCGACTCCTTCGTCCTTCCAATACGGTCCGGTCGAGCCTGGCAGATTCCAGCAGGCCATATCGTACGTCTTAGTACACCTGAGGGACCACAGGTAGGCGACCTCAATATCTGGAATCTGCACAACCCACGCGAACGATTCTGGGCTGCGAGGACAAGGCAGCTACAAGCTAGTCATGTTTCTACTTATGACAGGCTGTGGTCCTGTCTGCCATTCCTGAGGCCCATGGTAACCATAATCCGGGACTCGCTGGCTGATTATGGAGTCGATGAGTTTGGTGGACGATGTCATGATTTACTAGGTACACGATGTGATCCTTATGTCAATACTATGCTTACGGGAGACTCGTACGATTACCATTGCCACTCTAATCTTACCCGAGCGGTCTTACCATACGGTCTGACGGAATTCGACGTTCATGACGTGCTGAATGTCTTTCAAGTCACTGGTCTAGACAAGGATGGTAGATACTTTATGGAGGCTTCACCAGCAAAGAAAGGCGACTACATCGAGTTCTTTACGGAGCAACCAATGCTTATGGCGTTGTCTACATGTCCGGGTGGCGACCTGAGCACGTGGGGCTGGGGCGAGGGAGGTTGTGGAGAGGATGGAGAGGCCAAGACTATGCTCGATTGCTGTCGGCCACTGAAAGTCGAAGTGTTCAGGCTGGAAGATGAGAGCGTTCTGGCAGGCTGGAAGGAGCCACGGGTATCTGCTTACAAGGGTAGTCATGGTATGACAGTTCCTGGTGGAGAGGCACGGAAGCAATGAAAGAGGTGTAACGATCAGAGTGGTGTTTCCGCCACACTGCTGGACTTGCGAAATAAACTAGGGCACTTGAATGGCGCCGCACACTTCATGTATCAAAGCTGTCCAGCTCCTCTGCCTCATGTATGTGCTACATTGATCGAGACGATTCACGGCTGCATGAATTAGGTGCTGCACAAGCTCGGCATGATTGGCTACGTAAATGAGCATTCCACGATGGCCTATTGTTCTCAAAGACTAGCGGCGTGTCCGTCCAGAATTCGTTCTCGCAGTCTCCATCGACCATCCTCATCCTTGTAGGACAGCATCTAGTGACTAGTGTCAGTCGAGATCGCCCAACGCTCTTCTCTGAGATTCAGTCGCTTGTCGTAGCAACTACCAAGAAGAGTTCCCGTCTTCGCAAGAACGACAAGTCGTACACCAGAATAATAGCCATCTGCACAATTGCCTGCGTGGCCTTCTTGTACGCTGCGATACCTTGCCTTCATGCACTACCCTGGGAGAGCTCACGATACCATGGATCCACGATACTTCTTTCAGTCATGTCTTTTACGAGTGCCGGAAGTGATGTAAGTAAGTCCGATTTATGTTTAGCCAGCTTCATCCTGATGCCTAGAGCCGTGAAGATCCGAAAGGGTGCTACCAATCATCCGACCAGTACGATCTGCAACCCTCCTCAAGAGTGTGAAGCATCAGTGCCAATGTGTCACGATATTTTAAGTGACCTTCCAGCCTCGCCCTTTTGTAGTGACCGTTTGGCAAAGCTGCAAACCAAGCATCAACCTTATCTCCAAGCCATATCTCCAGCTGCAACGGGCCTAAAAGCTTATCGAGTATCTTACGGGGAGCTCGTTTGACAATCTCCTCGGCGAGATCGCTATGTCTGCCACTCACGATGTACCAATGATCTTCGTTGTAATTGTGCCTCATGTTCAATGTCGACGTGAAGGAGGCAGCCGTTCGACATCCTCTTGGCTGCTGCCCGAGGACGGTTGCACATCGCTCGGCAGTTGTCTCGTTTGCGGCTTTGTACTTGGGAATCAGGCTTCCCAATCCTCGCGGAATACTTGTGCAAATATGTTTCGATACAATTGTGGTATTTGGCGGTGACGAATTCGACGAGGATGGTGGTGTGTGATTGATTCTCGGCGCTTTTGCAGGGCCTGCTGGCCACGGCCTGACTTGACGAGAGAGTCGTCTAGAGATGCGGATTCCAAAGTCTCGCAATCCCCTGATGATCTCCTGCTCGTGCCAGGCCACTAAGTCGCGATTGAAGGGCACACAACTTAGGCGGGGACACAGATCGTCCACGATGGCAGTGTCCGAAGTCAGCAGTATTTCAGTAATCTGGGCTGCCGCGACCTCCACTGCTAGCTGCAGCTCGATCTGCTCACGCCGATAGATGAGAGCCAGCAGTAGACCAAGGGTAAGTCTTTCGGGGCCGCGCGGCTGCAATTGTGTGACATTGATAGGTGTCTGGGGTTTTGCTTCGCAGCAAGTAGTCCGATGGCGCAGGCGTACGCCGGACCCAAAAGTCTTCGCGCGACGCCAAGCGTGCTCAAAGATGTAGGAGATTTTTAGGCAAGCTGAGCGGTCGTAGGTGTCATTATCGCAGTATCTTGCCGATACATCGGCGTTTACCGTACTGATCGTCATGCTGAAGAGGCCCGAGCTGCGTATCGAGAGTGCTGTGAGGGGAGGGGGCCTTACATTGAACGTGTATTGCATCGACAATGCTTGCCTCTCACACTAGCGTAAGTGAATGCTACCCCGATGCGGCATAGTCCATTTTTGATTCGCATGTGGTACTGCGCTTGTAGGCATCCTCAACCGCAGTCCTCTCATAGAACAGCTTCAGAGTGCAGGCGGCCGCGCACCAACGGCTCACAACTCACGACCAGACAAGCTTCTTCAGCGAGTACCCAATGCTCTCCATATATCCCGTACTTTTCCTCGCCTCGACCAAGCTCACAACGTCCTTCTCCTCGACTGCCGCCACTTTCTCCAGCTCAAGATGATCCGTACCAGTGTTCTTCTTCGTCACGGTAACCATCATTTTGTGCACCTCATCACAGACCTGCTTAATCATTTCAACTTCACTTAATTTGATTGCCTGGTCGTCACTATCGCCGCCGCCGTGCTTCACTGCCGTCTCCTTCGGTGGCAGAGCTTTGAACGCTAGCAATCTACTTTCATCCTTCTCGGGCTGCTTCTGCTTCTCCAGCTCGTCTTTGCCTTTGTTTTCATCCTCTGCTGCTTCTTCGTTGTTCAGAGATCTTGTGTTAGTCCGCACGATAGCCTGACCATGAGTTTTGTACCTCAACGCGAACCCAACGTTCCTAGCTACGTCCGTATGCGTAGGCCCAAGCGTACTGGTGATATATGCTCCTCTCCACATCTCACTCACATCGGCCAGATCGACCCTCTCAAACGACCCAACTTTCTCCGCGTCCCAGTCGAAGCGGCAGAAGTACAGAGCAGCATCTGTGAGCAAAAGCACGCACTCCTCGAAGGGGAGAGTACGCAATGTGTTAGCTTCCTTCGGACATGATAGCGTCCACCCAGCGACCAGATTTTCTCTCGGATCCTCCAGTACGATCTTCGCACATGTATCGATCGCGTTCTGCCTTACTCTTCGCATATCCAGAGCGTAGTCTTGATTTAGCATATCTGCCTCAAAGTCATCAAAAGCCGTCGGTCCGACGTTGCCGAGCAGATAGTCGATGTTCAGCTGCAAGAAGTAATCCCCGAAGATGTTGTTGTAGTATCGGTTAATAGTCAAGCTGAAGTCGGAAAGTGCACCCGTCCAATTTCGCTTCCGTGTGCGCGTGAAGTCGCCTTTGAGCGCCGACGTGCCGGCATACTGCTTCGAGATGGAGTCTCCGTTGTCCGCCCAAAGTGTGTTGAACCATTGCGTCTTGGGATCTTTCTTGAGGTCAATGTTCAGTCCAAGCTCTGCCAATTGCTGTTCTAGTGCCCAGCCGCCGATAGCACTTTGCACCACATTCGTGCGGTCGAGGCAGTCCATGCAGTTGGTCCGTACGATACCTGTCTGCTGCTGGATGTTGCGATCATTCTGCTTCACGATCCAGCCAAAGGACTTCAGTGAGGTCTGTAAGGTATCGAGTAGTATGGAAACATTCTCGAACTTCATACCCTTACACTGGCTATGGAAGTCGAACCATTCGAAGGCCAGCTGCTTACCATCAATACCGCCATGCTCATTCAGCAGCTTTGCATGTTTCTCGTAGGTCTCTCCAGCGGATTGTTCTGTGCCATGCTTGTCGATCAAAGAGGCGGCCTGCACAGCGCCATAGCGCTTCTGAACGCTGCTGAAGTGCTTGCGGAATGCTTCTTGATTAGTGCTTTCGGAGCCGAACAGAACTGGCAGTGGCTTGAAGCTGTATGGCGTCTGAGAGAAGAAGAGTGGTATAGAGCCACGATATTGTAGCAGAGAGAAAGTCTTGGCGGAGGAGTTCCAGTCCTGTGGTGATAGCATCTGTTCTGTCTCGACGCTGTTGGCCACGTTGCCATCGTTATCTATACCACGCCTGAGGTAGCGCAGTCCTGCACGCTTGATAGAGCGCCTTGATATCAGCGTCAGCATCAAGTCTTCCTGCTTGGTGCCAGAAGGCTTTGCTGGATCTTGAGCAGATTCGGCAGGCTTCGACGAGCCCTGTACAGCAACGACCTCCTCAGGTTTCTGTACTGCCTCTGCCACGACATCTTGCTCACCGCTTTCTGTGCGTGCGATTGAGAACGCTCGCTGCCCAACGAAGCCCTGGATGAGTGGCAAGACGAGTGCATCCTGGCCGGCTTTGATAAATGGCTCAGCAAGGTGGCGGTTCCAGAAATACAGCTCGTCATACTGTTTCCAAAGTGGTAGGGAAGAGCTGCTATTCTCTCGTTGCATCAATGTGCCGGATAGATCGTGCTCGTAGGAAAAGAAGAAGCCACTCGCGCTGAAGTAGAGCTTCACGCTGCGCAGTATTCGCGGAGTCAAGGATTCCAGTACACTTTGCTTTTTCGTCTCTGTCTTCTTGTCTGCGTTCTTGTCGCCCCTGCCATCCTCAGCAACAGGCGTGCTAATCTGTCCTGGAACGACGTTTGCTGCGCTATCATCCTTTGGCAGTACTTCAGCTGCCTGCGCCTTTTGCTCCTCCGTCAAGTTATCCTCCTCGCCCATACCCTGCTGCTTCCTCCCGCTAGCATTCCATCCACTCTTACTGAACCACTTCGTTGCAAAGTGTCCATAGTTACCCTTCTCCTGCACCACATTCTTCACAAAAGTCGTGCTCTTCTTTAGTGGCCCTGGTTTTGGCGGCTCGAGTGCGGCAGCTTCTGGTACTGGCTCTTGATCGTCTGCCACTGATTGATCATCCTGAGCGTCATCCTCAACATCGCTTTCTTCCGTCTGATCTCCGGTAGAGTGGCCTTGCTTCAGGCTCTTCTGTGCTTCTGTGACTGCTTTTTCCGCCTTGATTTGCGAGGAGAGAGGGATGAGTGCGACGTCCTTTATGGTGTAGATCGGCTTCCCTCGTACCTGAGCGACTTGCTCTCTGCCAGTTGTGACCACCAGGTAGCTACTCGAAACAAGGTCCAAGAGTCCTATACGATATCAGAACGCATCGGGCAGGCACGCAGCCAAGCAATGTCTACCAATCAGTCCATGCACCTCGACCGACTTCTCGACTGCACTGTTTCCATCGTCCTGAGTCGCAGATGTAATTGCATGATTGCCGTAGCTAATACAAACACTATGTTCTCGACTGCCGACAGGATGTAGGAAGAGGCCGTCTGCTGCGGCGCAACTGTACTATGTAAGTTACCATTGATTGATGATATCCAAGCAATGCCACTCACATTAGCATCTTCTTCACCAAGCCAGGCATCTTGGCCAATATTATCTCAAGCGACTCGGAATCGCGTTTATAGCATTATTACGACAATGCGACAAGAAGAGACACAGGGCATGTTCAGTACTTGCATCTTGTGATGCGAGAGGATGACGTCGACGCGCAGGCCTAGGACGACCAAGGATGCAATCATTATGTGCAGCATAAGCATCTTCTGCTTTGACTATGGCCGACAAGTAAGGACAGTAGATCTACCTAAGCAGCGACAGCCTCCTCGTCCAGCTCATCTACGGACATTCGTACTCTCAATTCCCTCTCGCGCACGACCTCGATCACCATCCTCATTTCGTTGTCAGTCATGCCACCCTCCTTTAAAAAGACAGTCAAGCCTTCGAAAGTCCAAGCTTTAGACCAAGGCAAAGCTCTCAGCCCGTCAAGGAAGACCTGCTTAGCCCTCGCCAGCCCCTTCGTCCGCTGCGAATCAGAGGAGGGCGTTGCCACAGACATCTCGAACTGAAGCCACGACTTCCATAACAGCACCGAATGCCTCACTCTACTTTCTGGCGTAGCTAAAGCACGAGAGAAGATACTGCGCACCGAGTTCTGAGTCGACCCTGTAGCTTCTCCATCTCGGTAGTGCCGTAGCTCTTGGTCAATAGCGTGAGACCAGCCTACGATCGTTGCTTCAGGTCCAGTCACCAAATCGTGGTGCAGCGAGGCGCGGATATGGTCGTCAATGCGAGTACTTGCACTCAAGCATTGGTAGAGCTTGATAAGATAGCTGTTGTTAGGAAAAGCTGCGAGTCCGTCTGCTACTTCGGCACGCAATGCAGCTGGCTTGTAAGGCCGATGATGGTCCAGGTGATATTGTATGAGATGTGCGTGAGACTGCAGCAGTACCTCCTCTGCGGCTCTCGCGTACGAGACATGCCTTTTAAGCCTTACCGTGTATTGCTTGCGTATTTCAAGTGCGTGATCCAGTGAGTGGTCGACGGCGAAGTACTCGAACCACATATGGCAGTCTGCAAACATGGCTGCTAGATCCAGCTGAGACTTGTACACCATCCGTTCGAAGGCAGCCTCGAGGAGCTGCTTGGCCTTGATTCGCTGGGAGGCGGAGACTTCAGCACTAGAATCCGAGATGCGCCTTGCACGATCAGCGTCGTTGTCGCACATGGCTAATATCACCTGTACCACAGCGGCATCCTTGCTGTCCCGGTTAATGAGCGTGTGTAGCCAGCTATGCCACAACAGGACGCTGTTGTCCTGCTCGCTATCTTGGAAGCTAGCGCTCATCTTTAGAGCCGTCGACCATACCTCCACGGCCTTTTCTATCCGTCCTCGCTTCGCTTCAACAAGTGCATATGCATTGTACAGTCTCAAGCTTGAAGGACGAGCTTTCAATAGCTTCTTTGCTGCTTTGACTGCCTCGTATGGCATGAGAGCTAGCTTGAAAGCCAGATAGTACTCTGCTAGGCACTCGTCGTCAGGCTTGGCGCTGATGAGTAGACTTATGGCTCGGTCGACAAACAATACTTGGCTGGGGCTGTGCTTCTCGCAACCGTCGAATGCGGTCGTGAAAAGCTCTGTCGTGGTCATTTCGAGGCGTTGGACGGCTAGGCTATGGTCCACTCCAGGCGAACAGATGAATTGATCTGTTTGCCAGCTACTGTCGCCATCACTTGTCGCCACGGTTGGAAGCCGAAGAAACGCAAAGAATGCGCGGATCAGCATATATGTCGGCAACGGTCCATTTAACTGCTCCACGATCTCACGTATGTCCGCAAACATTACGTAGCAGTAAGGGTCGTCAATAATTTCATCGTCGTCGTTTGTAGCTGGGAGCTGCAGCTCGTCCAATGTATCCTGCTCGCCCTCCAGCAGCCGGGATAAGACACTGGTGGCCGTCACATGAGACCCATTGCGCGGCGATACTGCCTTCGCGCGTTTAATGTTGCTACCAAAACTGCACTGCCAGCCCTGAGCTCCCGTCTCGCCAATCCGGGGAGCATCACTGTCCCAGAACTCCTCTAGCTGCTCCAAAGCCTGCTCAACACAGTCCATTCCAGAAGGCTTGAAGGAATGGTATTCAAGCAATATCTGCCAGATCGCATAAGCTAGCTCATCGTAGCCTGCATCGCGCAGGAAGATGGTATAGCGCAGCAGGACATACACTTGTACCTCGCTTACAGCCTCAAGCTCAGCGTTTGCAGTGGACTTACGAGCCTTGCCCAGCACAGTGAAGCAGTTGAGGTACGTCGCCTTGCATATCTCGAAGCGAAAAGAGTTGTGATCAGTCTGCACAAAATCCAGATATTTCGTCCAAAGCCTCATGCTACCGGCATTTTGCGCGAGGACTTCACCCCACCTCGATGCGAGTTTGGAACCCTCCCAAAGTATTGTGCCTTGTTCGAGCATGCCTAAGACAAGATCTTCAGATTCTGCACTACCAGCTGGTACCTGTTTCAATGCTTGGTCATATATCGACAGCCGTATATCAGCCAGAGCACGCTTCTCCGCATGTGTGTAGCGGTCAATCGGGACGTGGGATCTGATGAGTTGGGCCTGGTAATTGATGAGGGCAAGCCAGACCTTCGTGTCCGTCGGCCGCTCCTTTGTTGCTTTCGTTAGCACGGCGTTTCGTCGACGCGCCTCACTCGCGACATGCCCCTCAGCGACATCATCCGAGTCAGTATCTTCCAGCAGATCCTCGTCTTGAGGCTGCTGTTCTGACTTCGCCTTGCCCTCGATTGATCTGTAATCGACATCCAGGCGCGAGGAGTATCTGTCATCTCCATCATGGTCGCCACGCTTACGCTTCCGGCTTGCGGTAGCGCAGAGATGCATATAATCGGCGCTAGCGTCTAAGGGCTTGGTGGAGGTTTCGGGCAGAACAACACGGTAGTGCTTTTCCTTGTGAGTTGTGCTACGATGTGTGCTAAGGAGGCTGCGGTTTTGTTCGTTGCGGTTTGAGGCAGGACGTGAGAGAACAATGTGCTTGTCAGTGCTCTCGTCTCTATCGATCTTCACACTTGACAGCCCGAGAAGCCTTCCGTAGCCTGCGCGGTGGTACTGTGGCACACTGTAGCGATGCAGAGTACCATACTCGACATTCTTGGTGTCGCCGCGCCGGTCCACGAAGTAGTCATCGGATTCAGCGAGCTCATCAGCTGCTGTGATGCGGCTGGCGCGACTTGAGAGCGCATCTTTGTCGTCGTCTCCATGCCGCCGTTCGTAATCGCGGTGGCGTCGACTCGTCTTGGAGCTTTCCAGAGCGCGAAATTCTGGGTCTCGGTAAGTCAGGTCTTCACGATTGTCACCGGCGCGCTTTCGTTGCACACGTCCAGTGTGCCGCCGTCGTACATCTGCGTCATATGGGTCCGAGTCGAACTCAACTATACTCGCTTTAAGAGACCCGGGTTCTGGTGCTTTGCTTTTAGGTCTAAAGCTGCCAAACTTTGGCACAGAGTCAGACATACTGCTCTCGCGTGTCAGCAGTGGTCTCCAATCAACCCTGAGGATCTTGTTGCAAACATACCTGTTCCGAGCAAAGGAGTGTCTCGTTATGCAGTCGAGGTGAGCAGATGGCTCGCAGCCGCACGGACCTTATTTACAATCTAATCTGATCTGATTTGATGGCCTTCACAATCTCGAAAGTTTTAAGGTCGACCTTCGTGAAGAGCTATTCGGCGCAGAGTGTCTGCGTTGAAGTACGGTATAGGAGTGCTATAGTGAGAGACAAGGCGCAGTAGAAGAAGTCCAGCGGAGGAGATATTATGGCGACCGCACTCCAGCAGCAACTTGCTGCCATCGCAGCGAACAGCACACATCAACTCGACTTGAAGGCGCAAAAGACCCGGCACAGCAAATCACTGCTCTTCGAATCACGAGACGCAGCATCACAGAGTTTTGACACCATATACCAGATATGTATAGAAGGTTTTGAAGAGCTGTGTATGCTCGACATACGATTTGCGGGCTTTGGACGGAACCTTTTCAGCGAGCAAAGCAAGAATGAGGATAGGACACAGATGACCGCTGCCGAGAATGCAGAACTGGACAAGACGGCGGAGAGCTTCCTTGGTCTTATCAGCGGCAGACTGTTGTTGAAGCCTGCTATGAAGGCGGTGGAATGGCTGGTGAGACGATTCCGAGTGCAGGAGTACAACACTGAGGCGATACTCTTGACATTCCTACCATACCACACATCGCACATCTTCCCGACACTGCTATCGATATTGCCGGAACAGCTCCCAGCCACTTTCCGGTTTCTCCATCCATATGTAGCCGCGTTGCAGAGCCCACCACGACATGCCATCCTCACTGCAGCCATCACCAACCAAGGATTCTTCTCTGCTTTCAGCCAATATGTCCTGGGGGTGGCGCGAGCAAAGTTCCATTCTGCGATGCTTCTCGGACTGTGGGCGAGCATCACGGCTCAGGCAGTCAACGGTATGATCGACACGACACGATCTGGTCGAGATACTGTCCGAAAGCAAAGAGAAGAGGACTTGCTCTTGCGGGTGCTACCGATCTTGCAATCTGCTCTGAGCATCAAGGGTGTACCCGAGCTGTATCTTGGAGCTTGCATGATCTTGACTATCTTGGCCACAAAAGCCTCACTTCATGACAAGGTCCTGGATGCTATGATGGAAGCTATAGCTGGCGCGTGGACGTTACAGACTGTCGATGATGGTTTGACATGCTTGTCTGTTCTGGCAGAGGAGAAGGAGCAGCTAGGTGTACCGAAGGCGGTGGCAAAAGCTATACAGGCGAGCGATGGCTCGCTGCAGCGTCTTATTCAACGACATCAGGCAGATGGCCTTGTGCTTGGTTTGGCAATGGCGGCGCCGGAACTGCTAGAGCAAGCCGATCTGCTTCTCCTTATACAGCATGCTGCGAAACGCAAGAACTTCGACCTGAGCAGGTTGTCTGGTCGGCTTGCACTTCCGGCTGCCCAGATGGAAGTCGCACAGGAGGAAGAAGAGCCCGAAAGCATGGATATTGACGAACAAGCCGCGGATGAAGTCGATACGCTTGGCCCCCTTCTGGATGCACTTCCCGCTGTGAGCGGTAAAACCTCCTTCCTAGGACCTGACCAGGACGAGCTGTTCGAACAATATCTCTCAGCGTTGCAAATGGCCTGTAGTAGCGCAAAGAATGCTCATCGAGTCTTGGATCTTCCAGCGCTACGACCGAAGGAGATCGCTCATAGCGCTGTCTACCTGACTTTTATGGCGAGAGTATGGCTTTGCAGCCACCAGATTTCCGCACGCACTGCTGCTCTTGACGCAGCGTGTTCCGCACTTGTCGACCACAAGCGCGCTCCAGCCTTGGACCTCCAGACTCTGCTACCCGCTGTTGTTGTCGCACTATCAGACAGCTCGCAGAAAGTGCGAAGGTCTGCTGCGAGCTTATGCAAGCTCATGCATCAGTCGTATGGCGATGGTAAAGCCGCCCAAGTATGGTGCGCCAAGTCTATCTACGGCGAGCGCTCATCGTCAATACACCACTTGTCATCACAAGACGCAAACCGCTTCGTTGCTTCAGCACTTCTCCCCATCCTGGATGACTGTGTCCTTGACCGCGAAGTCGTTAGCCGGGCTTTAGCCGAAGCAATCAAAGGTGCAGAAGGCTCAGCCAACAAAGACGCGAAGCCAATGAAACAGTCACTACGAGCTGACATTGCGACTTATCTTGCAAGTCATGCTGTTGCAACATCTTCAACGGCCATGCAGCTGTGTCTGCTGACCATGGTCAACAAGGTCGGCAAAGCGGGCGCAGATGCGAGGAAGAAGGTCTTAACTCCTTTCATCCGGGACTATAGCAAGCAAGATTCTCGTGGGCAAGATGTGGACAGAGCAGTGCTTCGTACAATGTCCAGCAGGACTGGAGAGGAGCTGGACGTGCTTCGATCCGTTGCGGAAAGCAATACACATCTTGCTAGCGTAGCACTAGAGCGCTTGCGCAGCCTGTTCAGCGCGATGACGGAAGCGTCTCAGGTTGCCACTGCCGACTTCATGCTCCAGCTGGCACTGCGCAGCTCGCAAAGCGATGCACTTGAGACACTTCGCACCCTCCCATATACCACACCAGTCTTGGTGCATCTGGTCAATGACTTACCAGAGGCCTCGAGTCTGCAGGACCAGCCTTCGTCAGCCAAGAAAAGGCGCATGAGCGTTAATAGCACTTCAGGAACACGTAAAGCTGATTCTGCAGCTATCAATGCGGCTGTGCAGAGAGTAACACTAGTCCTCGAGCTGGTGGAAGGCTCAAAGCCAGAGAAGCATGTACAGCTCCTTGAAGGCCTTTTCCATTTGCTTGGCGAGCTTCATATTTACAAGGCCATGCTCGACTCGCAGCTTGTCTATCTTCAAGGCCTACTCATGAGCTGTCTACTAGCCGTCGTCAATGGCCTCAAGACTGGCACAGCGAGCAGCGAGATCGACCGCTCTGTCATTCGCGCCGATCTTATTGTTGAGACTGTCCGCACAACGTCCAGCACACAGGTTCACAACACAGCGCTCCTCCTCATCTCCAGCCTCGCATCATGGGCCCCAGATCTGGTTTTGCATAGTGTTATGCCGCTTTTCACGTTCATGAGCACCACACTTCTACGTCAGGGCGATGACTTCTCGGCACACGTCACGGATCAGACAGTGTCGAGGATAGTACCTCCTTTGGCAGCGTCGCTGAAGAAAAGAGGCAAAGACTTAGTCAGTGGTGCTTCGGAACTGCTATTGAGCTTCACCGCCGCTTTCGAGCACATTCCATTGCATAGGCGAAGCGGGCTGTTCAGGCATCTAGTGCAGACTCTAGGACCGGAGGAGTCGCTGTTTGCGGTGATGGCTATGCTGGTCGAACGTTATCCTGATGACGATCGAGTCAGACCGTTTGTGAGCGAGCTGATGAGCCACTTCAATGTTGAAGTACAGCTGCGAGCTCTGAAGCAGTATCTTGATCTAGTCTTCGATGGCCTCAAGGCCAAGCGTACGCTCTCGGACACAATCCTGGCTTTTGGCGAGAAGGATTCGGAGCAGATCGAGGAGTCGATCGATAATCTACTACAAGCCCTCGCCACGCTTATGCAAGCGCCTGCTTTACGAAAGAGGGTCGCGAAGTTCTTTGCGCAAGGAGGCGCGACGATTGATATGCTACAAGGCATCTACGCCCAGCTTCTCGAACAGGCCATGCGACTCAACCGTGACCTAGTCAATAATGACGAGCTTCGCGACTCCGCGGCAGAGCTTCTCGCATCTCTGCTTCGTCTCACGCCGACGAAAGACTTCATCGAGTCTTCAGCCCAACTCATGCAGACGGGCTCGGACGAGACACGTCAACAAGTCTTCCACGCACTCGAAGCTCGGGTCCTGGAGGCTAAGCGTGGCGACGCAGAATTGCAGCAGACGTTCCTCGAAGTGTTGCCCAATTGTGGGGTGTTCGTGCAAGCTGAGCAGCCTGTTGGCGTCAGACATGCGGCCATTACTTGTATGGATCAGATCGTTGAGAAGTATGGGAAGAGGGATAGGGATGCGGTATTGCAAGCTGCGCAGGCTGTAGCTGGAAATGCTGCATTGGGTAGTGAGGACGGTGGGCTACGGGTCATCTCGATCTTGTGCTTGGCTTCGATGGTCGAGGTGCTGGGCGGTATGTTTATCCCTATCTTGCCGCAGGTGCTCGGCAAAGTCCTCGAGTATCTCGAAGGAGAAGTGGGAGCCGGTAAGGCGAAGGACAAGCTGCAGGACGCGGCATTCGGCTTCACGTCAGCCGTTCTGGATCATCTGCCTTGGATGTACTCGGACGACTACCTGGACTCTACTCTCGAACTGGCTGGCAAGCTGCAACAGGGTGACAACCATGCGGCTAAGCAATTCTGTTCCCTTGCAGCCACAAACATCAGTGCAAGCACTTTGCTCACATCACTGGATCGCACTTTTGCCACGATCGTGGATGACGGCCATCAGGCTGCCGCCGAGCAGTACTTGGACACCTTGAGCCTGGCCATTAAAAAGCACAAGAAGATGACACTGATCGAGAACTCTGCAGCCCTATTCGGCATCCTACTGAAAGCATTTGACTTGCGTCGCACGAAGACAACTACAGACGACCAAGACTACACCACCATCTTCACCAAAATCGACACCATCGCCCTCGAAACCGTCCTCAAGCTCGACGACAAAACCTTCCGACCCTTCTTCATCCGCCTCGTCGACTGGTCCTCCACCGGCCTCCCAAAGAAAGACCCCCCCGGCCGCCTCCTCCGAGCCACAAGTCTCTACAGCTTCGCCCATCGCTTCTTCGACCAGCTACAATCGATAGTAACGAGCTACGCAAGCTACATCCTCGAAGACGCCGCCTCGCTCCTCACAACCTTGCCCGCTCAAACCGACTCCGAGCGAAACCTCCTCGATGTTCTATTGCAAGCGCTCACGAGTAACTTCACCAACGACCAAGACGATTTCTGGCAGTCCCCCGCCCATTTCACCACCATCGCCTCCCCTCTCCTTATCCAACTGGAGAAAGCACAAACCTTACCTTCTCCCACCATAACAACCCACGTCATCCCCGCCATCACAGCCCTGGCCGCCGCCGCTTCGTCGCCAGACCACCATAAGAATATGAATACGTCGATAATGGCATATATGCGCCACGCCTCACCAGAAGTGAGATTGGCGGCCGTGAAGTGCGAGAGGGCTATTTCGGAGCGGTTGGGTCTGGATTGGTTGAGTCTGTTGCCGGAGATGCTTCCTTTTATCTCGGAGGCGCAGGAGGATGATTCGGAAGAGGTGGAGAGGGAGGTGTTGAGGTGGGTGAGGCAGGTTGAGGGGGTTACGGGGGAGAGTTTGGAGGGGATGTTGCAGTGATCTCGTTGTAGAGAAATGAGGGCAGGGGTGTGAGATGAGTGAGATTTGTGTTTCAGTATTGATTTGGTGGGTCATGGGACCGAAAGTATTAGTTGTGAAGGAACAGAAATATGTACAAATGTCGCAAAACTCCTTCGCTTTCGCATTCCCGCCGCTACATCACAGATTGCTGTATATCTGTTCCCTTTCTTTTTTTTTCATTCTGCTTTTTGCCGTGATGTATGTGCTTCGTCCGTCTCATGTGCTCATCCGTCTCGCTCGCCTTCGCTCTGGAATACGCCGCTTGTTCGCCTGCCTGACTTACTCCTCCACATAGATCTGCCTGCACTGGCTCTGCCTGCACACCACGCCCTCCTTCATGCTACCTTGGCCCGAAACAACAAGTCGGTCCTCACTCCTGGCTTACCTGTCTTCTTCAGGAGGAGAGTGTTTATGTCACCTTCTTGGTCCCCTCGACCTTTTGCAGCCGGCTAATCGCTCTGGCGGATTGGATGGTGCTGTCGTAGATCAGATCTGTAGAGTATCACAAATTAGCAGTGTCCTCTCATCCCATGTATACGGGTAAATGGAAGAGGATCGGATACTCACACCCCGGAATAACAATCCAGAAAGCATTCATCAGCACGAAGTAAAACCAGAAGTAAAAGGTCTCGGGCCGCGAGTACGTCACCCCGAGGACGTAATGGTCAAAGGCGCTCGTGGTGTAGTATAGCACGTCCCCGTAAAACTGGCCCATGCTGACGATAATCTGGATGGGATGTCTAAGCGGATGCCTGAGCATAATCATGGCCGCGATAATCAGGCACCCGGGGCCCCAGAAGACGGAGGTGACAGTCTCCATGCACAAGACAAAGGCGTTTTGGGTGAGGTAGCGCGAGTCGGAAAAGGCATACTCCTTCCACATCTGCCCGATCAACGTCTGCTTCTCCCCGAGATTCATGAAATTCGCCGCGTAGTAGCCCTCGAAGAAGACGTGGATGCAGCCGGAAAGCACGAACCACATGATCTGGCTCAGTTCGGCCGAGGTGAGGGTTTTGTCGACGCGTTTGGCGACGAAGTAGGTGGAGGTGAAGAGGATGGCGCAGGTGGTGAAGAAGATGCCGAGCAAGGCAGGAACGGACCAGGAGTTGGCGGCGTAGTTGAGGATTTGGCTGCCGGGAGGGTAGTAGGGGTTCCAGGGCATATTGGCCGGGTCGGAGAGGAGGTGCGAGGCATTTTTCGCCGCGGCGGAGAGGAGGGTGTCGGCCATGGTTTTGGTTTTGGTTTTGGTTGGTGGTGCTGGCTTGTTTCGTGGGGTGTGGGGTGTGGGATGATGTGGTAAGTAGGGTTTATTGGGTGAGGTGAGGTGAGGTGAGGTGAGATGAGATGAGGTGGCAGTTCTTGGAGGATGTAGTGAAGGAAGGAAGGGTTGAAGTGGCAGTGTCTTGGTGAAGGACTGACAAGCAGCAGGGACCAAACTGGCCACGTAAGTAAGTGGTATACTTTTTGAACGGGCACACACACGAGGTGGAAATCTGGGCCGATGGCTTTCTTTCCTGCAGCATGATGGTATTGTGGCTAGACTGCCCCCACTAGCTCGCACCTTTTTCCTCCCATGTGGCGCAGCGCTCCTCGTCGCGATTGGGTCATCTGCGCTCCAACTTCCTCCGCGCCTGATTTATTGGCTCCACCCGCACACAGCAGCAGGTTTTTTGGGCCAACGAGACGGTTGCTATTAGTTTTGTGTACGAGACCGAAGCATGATCAAATAGTTATCTGAAGAGTGTCACTGTGTCAGACGACTCGGTGATGGTGCGCATGACATAGCTGTGCGCTTTGGCTATGCTGCATGGAGTAAGGCCTCGTGCTCGTTCCGTCGTTCATTCTGTAGCGTGCCCGTAGGATTACATTGCTTGATGACGATCGTTTGGGTTGGGCACTTGTGGCTCGAACCACATGGCACGCGACGAATGGAAAAGGCCGTGTTGCATATCTTGATTATTGCTGTCATACTACTGGTAAAGGTGGGTAGGAGCTGGCCCTGACAAGCACCAGAAGATGCTTCACTATATCCTGTGCTGTACAATGCTTCCCACGCTCAACGCTACAGTCTAACAAATCAAGCCAAACGAATTTCCCCTCATACCCAAGCTTTCTCTGCATACACGCATCCTACAAATCCTTCCCCTCGTACCACAAAACCGACACCTACACAGCACTATAACCCCCCCGACTCCCACCCCCACCCACACCACCCCCCTTAACCCTCTCCACCAAACCTCCCACCCACTCCTTCAAAAGATACGGCAAATCCCGAATCGCATCCCCATGCGGCAGCAAATCCCACCCGCGCGCTCCATACCGATTATAATTCAACCACGAGCCGAAAATGATATACGTCGCTATCAGCAGGAACAGCACGATGATGAACCAGGTGAAGAAGCCCCAGCTGTTACTGCTGCCGCTTTTCCCCTTCTTCTTCTTGTCTTCGTCCGGCGTGGAGGGCAGGTCTTTGGCGTTTTCGCACGCGTATTTGGTTTTCCAGGTTAGGCGCAGCACACCCACGTCGGATTCGGTTTTGTAGGAGATGAATTGCAGGCTTTTGTCTTTGTCGAGGTCGGGGAGTTCGGGCGCTCCATCATCGCCATCGTCTTCGTCGTCCTTATCGTCGTTGTCGTCTGCTCTTCGCGCCATAGCTCCATACGCCGCAACATCCATAGCTTTACTTTCACCTTCCTCCTCAAACCCCTCATTCCCCGTCCTCTCAACATCGCAAATCAGTTCCAACACCGCCCGCTGCTCCTGCCCACCCCTCGCATCCGGATACCGGCCCCCATTCAACTCGATCCTCAACCCTTCCTCATCCTTATTACTACTCTCCTTCAGCCGCGTCACCCTCGGATCCATCGCCTTCCCATGACTCGTCGAGAACTCCCCCGCTATCGTCCGCACCTCGTCGATCTGCCGTGTGTGTTCGATCGTGTTGAAGTGCTCGTCTACGGCGCAGATGCGGGTGCCGGAGGGGCATTGTTCGGCTTTGGGGATGGAGGTGTTGCGTTTGAGGGGTTTGCAGAGGTCGATTGTATATGTGGTATTGGATATCGTTGGAGGGAGGTATTGTTGGAAGTGAACAGTCTTGGGGCCTGCTAGTGCTGATAGGTCGAAGGACTTCTTGTCCACGCGGATGTGGTCGCAGTCGAGGGTTACGGCTTTGATGGAGGCGGGGAGGAGGAGGAGGGTGGTGAGGGTGTGGAGGAGTTGTGGCATGGTGGTTCACAATTCGGAGTCGACGGTGACACCTTTCCAATGGTTGCAGTAAGGAGTGACAAGAAGGCAATTATGGTGGTATAGTATTGGGTAAGCAATCGTAACTTCGATGCCTTGACGATGCTCTGCGACGAAAGCGGTTTAGCTCCAAATTCCTAACTTTCAGGTCTGATTGCCTTCTTCTCCCGCAACATGGAACAAGGCAATAATGATGTTGCACTACGATGAAAGGAAACACGTCTCGGATGCTTGGATCTCGTCTCCATGGTCTCCGCATCTCTTCTACTGCGCGAAGTAAGGTCGCCAGGACCCTAATGAGAACATCGACCACGGGGTGTGCCTTGTTCTGGTTTCGATGGCTTGACGACCACCTCTCAAGACCAATGTAAGAACAAATGAGTGTTTTTTGGTGTGTGTAAGTATGCCTTGCTTGCCTTAATTGACGCCACGTTCGATTCTTGGAGACTATCGCGGCAGAAGCAAAACCGGGTGACCGTACCCCAAAGCCAGGCTGAACCTTTGCATCATACAGCCTTGCGCCGTGATGCATGCTGTTCGGCCAGTTGAGCGTCTTCAAATGAGACTGCGAGGATCTCCATCCTCCTCCATTCTGCTTTGGCTGTCAATATCATGGATCCAGTGAGCATCCTGAGCCTGGTAGGAGTATGTTGGACGATTGCAGCGCGGGCGGCAAGCATCGGCACCGACATCAAGACCGTCAAGAACCTTTTCAAAGAAGGATCTAACACGACTCAGGAAATCGACCAGCTTGATGCTCAGGTACAGACACTTGACCTTACCGCCAGTCGGCTTGCCGATTGGCTCAGACATGGAACGTCACAAGCGATTTCCACTGATGAAGCGGCTCGTCTGCTTGAAAGCCTTCGAGCGTACGACATGGGCACCGCCCGCATCCAAGCGCACATTCTCAATGTCAGGAATGGCGCGGAGAGTGTGGGCTTTGGTGGCAAAGTACGACATTGGTGGTATGAGAACGACCTGAAGAAAGACCAGGCTGTCCTCTCGCGTCAGATCCAAGCCATGTCATTCATGGTTCAGACATTCTGCCTGTCGGTACTGACATCACGACAAGCCTTGCTACGACTGCTAATGTTGAGGACAGACCCGTCACGGAACGAGCCCCACTCATGCTGTCCGGCAGCGAATGTTCAGAATTCTTAGAGCAAGCAAGGGAGGACGTCTCGTCCCTTGGGTTTGTGTACGGTCTCTCTTCCGCGAGCGATCTACACGGACCCGTGCACGAGCATGAGCGAATGGATACAGCTATACCCATCCCGGTGAGGCCTGGGGCGTGGACTCGAGCTCCGCTCAAGAAGAACGGGACTGGAAAGATGCCGCAGAAACAACAAGCTACTGGACCCAGAGCTCCAATCCACACCCCAGGAGAAGCCTATTCTTACGAGCAAAGGCTGGCGGACAGTCGCTTGTACCAGAAACGAAACGGGACTTTCCCGATTGAGCCGAAAGTGGAGAAAAGGATTCAAGCACTCGAGCACACGGTAGCTCGGCTGAGGACGTAGTGAGACGCAGCCACCACGCAAGCCCAACTCGCAGACACCGCAAGAACGAAACGAGACCGGGAAGTCGCCACCCTAGAACAAGATCTTGATCTCTGTCGAAAGCGAATAGCCGTCGCCACCGAACGGGCTCGGTCAAAGGCCGGCGAGAGGATCTCAGGCCTGCAGTAGGAGATGGCGGGCTGTAAGGAGGAAATCGCGGCGGCGAACCAGCAGATTCGCCGCGCTTCTCGGCATCGCGACCAGGATTCGCAGATCATTGGGATGTTACGGGATCAGCATGCGGATGATCGGCTTCTGCTGGGGGCTCATGAGAGGGATCGACGGCTTCTTGGCGATGCTCTACCGGCGTTGGAGAAATATATGGATAAGTGGATTGACAACGTCCTGCTTTTGATGTGATAGCGTGGCATTGTTTCTGTTGTACGGGATCAAGAAGGGAAGTTGTCCAGGTCTCGGATTGGCTTCACCGTGGGAGTGTATGCACAGCTATTCCGTGGTTCAGGATCATTATCAAGAGCTGGTGCACCGGACGATGAGCTCTCCGCTTCGGACTTTCGGACTGGGTGCCGAACCCCTCGAGTATGCGAATAGGCATCGCGAGCCATACACTAGCCCGCCATGAGGCCACACAAATCGTTGCCAATCAGTAATGCCAAGGATTCGAGCGAGCTGGCTCATCACCACAGCCATAGACCACTCCGTATGGGGCATAGGGTGCGATTGGGAGGTACCTGGGCACACCGCCTCCACCATCAAGACACTCGACAGGATGAACAAGCATGCATTGGTAGAGTGCGCGCAGGATACGACGGATTCCTCGGAGAGAGGTAGCTATGAGCAGAAGAGTCGTTAACAGCAGAGACGGTGCGAAGGGGTGGGTGTAATTAGGTACATTGTGAGTCCCCTTGGCCTTTCCAATACTTGGATGGGTAACTGCACGCTTTAGTCAGGTATCACGACTATGTCACGTCAGGACTCGATCGGTCCACCGACCTGACGACCAGTCTGAGTAACCCTGGCTTCAAGTTGGAGCCTCGAGAGCTCGTAAGACGGAATTATGTATAGAGAGGTAGACAGATACAGCCTTGAGCTGTCGATCTTGATATATGTATGCTACGGGACGCTAAGAACGCTGGATTACTACAAAGACGCGCTTCACGTGCCCAACTCCCTCGCTTAGAACGTTATCATCCAAACTAATGGCTGCTCACACTGGTTTCTCAGTGGTCTCCTCGTCGAGCAGTTCTACGAAATTCTTTCCAAGACCATCGCCAGCCATGCTAGTCTTTTCGTGCTGGCTCACTTTTCCACTCACCGCATCATCCACAGCCGCAATTCCAGCGGTGATATTCTCGTAGGCGTTCTGAATCATCTCGGTGCCTTGGTCCATCATAATCCCCGCGACGCTTTCGTTTGCAACCCAGCTTGCGTTCCCAGCCGGCAAGATGTCGAGATTGGTATGCCCTGCGGATCTGCTTAGTAGTGCGAACCACAATGCCACCAAGCTGAGGAAGAAGATCGCTACGTTGCGACGATCTTTGGCCAGTAGGACTAGGTAGTTCCTGAGGAGCACTGACAAAGGCACTTCGGAGCGTCGATAGACCTGTGGGAGCTCGGTCTGTGGCTCGTTAGATTTTGCAATTGGACTTCCAGACAAGGCGGCCAGTGGCTCAGGACATTGCACGCTTAGCTCCTGCTCTCGACCTCCGTACCCTCTCGCTAGCACATCATGTTCGGCCCCCGTAGGAGCTGCTAGAAGCCTCTCATCTTCCTGCTCACATACTCTTACCTCTTCCTCCGCCTCCCTCGCCAGCTCCTCGGCCACTTCCACCTCTCGGCTCTGATCCAGTCGCGCCCGCGTGGCATCACCAATGTAAGGCAAAATCTCTACATCTACAGCCTCCATTTCACTCCACGCTGCCGCCCAAGCAGACGCTCGCATAAGGCCATTCGAAGCATATATCCTTATCGACCATCGCAGAGGCCGAGATTCTCGTGACCCCTTGACGGGACTACGACACGTTTGGCACACATCCAATTCCAGGTCCACGGAACCTTCAATGCTAGAGCCGAGCCCGGAGTCGCTGCCGGTGGACAAAGTTGAGGTATCAGAACCTCGTCCGCGAAAGTGTCCACATTTGGAGATCCGCTCTTCCTTCAGCTCTAGGCCTTCGAGGAGACGCTCCTCCAGCATTTCGTACTCTTCCCGTGGATGCGGGATCAGAAGGCCACGTCTGGCCATCGTCTCGCTGACTTTGGACCGCAAGAGCTGGAGGTCGTGCATGGTCCGCTCTGGTAGAATCTCTTGAATTGCTTCCGCGCTCCAGGGTAGTATTACTGGTAGGAGGGTGATGTGCAGCAGAACCAGAGGATACTCTACCTTGTTCTCCCCTGAATCCGTAGCGTGGCTGCCATATCGTTTTCGTGACATGGGACTTCCTCGAGCCTGGGCTGAGCGGGCAGAATGTGGTGTTCCATGCCGTGATGGGCGACTGTGACGGAGGACTGATTGCCGTGGACTTCGATATGGGGGCGGCGAGCTCATCTGCATGCGTCGGACGCTTTCAGGTCGCATGAACGACGGTCGGATGATCGGTGGAGCGTACGTGGGCTCTTCCTCGCATGTTGTGTTGCCCAAGGAGGAGATGGATGTCCTGGTGATTGCGGACTCCCGTCTGTCCTCACCCACCGCCTTCGTGCCATCCTCATGTACCTCGTCCTCCGCATCTTCGGCATACTGATCAGTAGCTCCTCCTATGTCCTCGTCGGCTATTCCATCTTCGTCCTCCTCAGGCACATCGTCAAATGGATCCGGCAAAGTGGAGTCCGGGGTCGGAATGCCAGAGTCCTCGTAAATAGCGAAGGAATGTTTGCTAAGTCTCGCCATATGCGACAGCACGTGGTTGGCGTAACGTCGTTGATTCAGACTCTCATACTGATCGTGTTACTCTTCGCACGTTGTCCCTTCGCATCAACGCTCTAATTAAAAAAGTGTCTCCATTGCTGCGACATTTGACGTTGGCGGGTGAGGATCTCGAAGCGAGGCGTCAACAAAAGCGCTGGCAGGGCAACAATCAACCATCATTACCTCAAGCTTCACTCTTTAGTCTTCACCCGACCAATCCGACGATGCGTCTTACCATCATGCCATTCTGCCATTCACTTGCCAGCGGTACACCGAGATAACAGTAGATTCCGGGCGCTGGCATATCGTTGTACATGGCACCTCACTCGCTCATCAATTCCAAAAACCTAACACCCAAGACCTTCTGCTAGCTTCGTCCGGGAGGCTATATATCATCAACACGATAGGGACGTGCGACCGTGACGGTCTACAATATCAAATCCCTTGCCACTAATCTTGAAGCCCTACGGACAAAGCATGTATCATCCTCCATATGGCAGGCACGAGTATCATCGTGGCGATTCAGACATGGTGTAGAGTATGTCATGATACCCGCGAAAACTGCAGCGTAAATCATCATGCATTCTGCAACATATGCAGTAGTACCGGCTAACATATCATACTCCACACAACCAACTCGCCTCCCTGGCAAATCACACGACAGTTCGGCTTAGCAGTCGGCTCGCCTTCAAGAGCTCCATTATTTCATCCCCGAGCTCCATTATTTCATCCCCTTTCTTCCTCCCTCACTCCCTCCTACTAGCCGAATCCAAACAATGAATCTCCAAGCCCAACAAAACCCGCTTCCTCTCCGCAAACACCGTCCGCGCCACCTTGGCACTCCCCAAATCCGGATCATGCAACTTCCTCACATTCGCCGCGCGGAAGTCTACCGCTGTGAAGCCCCTGAACACTTCTCCCTCCTTTACTGCCGTAGGTGAGGCCGCCACGGGGGACTCGGGGGCTGATATTGTTGCGCCTGCTGTCAAGTTGGGTAGGAGTGCGGCGATTGGACCGAGGGGACCATGCCCATGACCATGACCGTGATGTGGAGGCGGCGGTGGCGGTGGCGGTGGTGGCGGTACTCCATGCTGTTGCTGTTGCGCACTCTGTTGCAGACTACCCTCAGAAGTCGAAGTCAACAGGTTAAAATGCGCACTATGCACTCGACAAGCACAAATCACCTTCACCCTCGGCGGATCAGGCCGCGCACATGCCTGCGGCGCATGCGCCTTGTGTAATTCCAGGAGCTGTCGCTTAAACGCCATATCCTCGCCCGGTCTCCGGGCGTCGACGAAACGCATGAATTCCCACTCGTTCATTTCGTTGAGGGGTTTGACGCATTCGTGTTCCGGTTCGCCGCGGGTGGATGAGGAGGGTGGTTGAGGTGGGGGTGGAGAGAAGTAGATGCCGCGGAGGCTGTCGATGATTTCATCTAGCCGGGTGTCGTCGAGGCAGTTTTTGAGGTTCGCGTCGGGGGAGAGGGAGTGGTTCCATTTGTTGCTTCGGTAGCGGATGCCTAGGTCGCGGAGGGAGGGGAAGTCGGCTTTTAGGCTGCGGTAGGGGTCGGTGGTTGTGAAGTAGGGCATCCAGAGGCGGGTGTCAGTGTGTTTTATGTGCAGGCTGAGGTTTGTGATGTGTTGACGACTTAGAGTGGGATTGGCGAGGGCGCGGACTAGCATGTTGGCGTCGCTGGGGTGGTGGAAGGTTAGGGTGTTGAGGGTGTAGAGTAAGGGCCCGGTTTCGGTGTAGATTGGTTTGCAGGTGCGGAGGAGTTGGGGTTGGAGGCCGTAGCGGAGGTTGGCGAGGGGGAGGTGTGGCCATTCTATTGGCAGGTTCTCGGCTGCTGTTAGACAGAAGGTGTAGATTCTGTCTCGTATCTCTCGTGGGAGGGTGAAGAGTGGACACTGTGCTACACTCTCCGGTAGCTCGTGGACGTCGCTTAGACCTGTCTCATCTCTTCGCGGCAGGCTTGTATCGCCTTCCGCATCCGCCATCTCGAGATCATCCCCGTAGTTTGATTCGGAATCCATTGTGCTACGGCGGCCATATGCGTTGCTCGGGTTGCGACTAGTGTGGGTTGGTGGGGCGAGCGCATCGGCGGTGCTGAGGTAGGAGAGCGAGCGGGTGGAGAGGACGGACTCGCGCCATTGGTAGGGATCCATGGAGACGGCGGAGAGTTGTGAGCTTGACATGTGTGCGCAGGGAGTGGGGGTGCTGTGCCCGGGTCCAGAGAGTGGTGGGTGTTTGTGAGTGCATGCGCCGAGGTCGTCGCCAGCCAAGCAAATGTGAGGCTCTTGTCAGGCTGGCTGGCTGACTGGCTTCAGGCTTTCACACGAAAGTGACGATACTCCGATCATCTTTTTTTCTTACTAGATATATACTATGAGATAGAGATCATATACACTACGTGGTATCAAATGAAAGCAAGCAAACAGCACATCAGAAGTCGTGAAAGGGGTGCCAGCGCCATGGCAATCTCTCTCGCACCCACAACGCCACCATACCCAGCACTCATAGATCCTCCGCATCCTCTGCCACTTCATAACATCCCAGGAACTGCTTGCAAGCTTCCTCTCCCATAACTTGTCTCGCTTCTCCACTCACATCATCGTCAGAACTCCACCCTCCCATCTCTCCTTACAATCACAGACAACCCTACTCAGCAGTCTTCGCCCACAAATCCGCAATCTTGCCCAACCCAGCCGAGAGCCCCGACAGCCCCATAACCCCAACATTGAACCCTGGAATTCCGCTCTGAAGCGAAACATGCGTAGCCATAGGAACCCAGCTCAGCGGCACCACAGCCTGCGCCCACCACTCCTGATCCTTCTGCTCGTCGGACTTGACACTGACGTCGGTGGAAGAAGACGAAGCACCCTTCTGACTCCTCCTAGTCCTCTCAAGCTGTGCCTCCCGCCCCAACCTAACAAAATCACACAGAATCCCTCCCAGCCACGCCCGATAAGCCCAAAGATAAATCTTCGCCGTCTTGCCCCCCGAAGCAGCCGTATACTTTGCCGTATACCTGGCCGGCAAAATCTTGTTATCGGTCAACAACGCCACGTTCTCCAGGAACTGGAACGTCATGTACATCAGGATCTGCGTCACCGAGTTCGCGTAGAGGACTTGGTCTTGGCCGGGTTTGGGCCCGTTGAGGAGTTGGCGCAGGCCGGCGTACATGGGTATGAGGCCGAAGAGACGGAGGGTGGTGCGGGCGGAGCCTACCATGAGGGCGAGGTTCATGATGGGGGAGGGTTGGACGGCTGCTGTGGTGGCTGTGGCTAGGGCGGGGGTTGATGTGACCTGGCTTAGCAGCTGAAAGAGGCGGGCGCGTAGGCCGGCGGATTTGGTTTCCAGGTAGGCTAGGAGGTAGAGAGTGTAGTTGAAGGTGGAGAGGAAGGCGGGGAGGCCGCCTGGGGCGGCGAGGACTCTGGTTGGGCATATTAGTATACTGTTGTACAGCTTGTCATGTAGAAAGCGATCTCACTTGTTCAAGCGCAGCAAGATCGAGTCCGGCGTCGCGGCCAATGCTAGCAAGCGATTTGGCACCCTCTTCTTCGCCTCCGCCGCGACGCTCTTCTCGTTGGCGGCTGGGACATTGGTGCTGCTTGTCGGAATACCGGGCTCGGCGACGGGGTCTGACATGGTTGCTTTGTGCGGGCTGTTATATCAGTCGTTGCGTTGACGAGGGAGAGAGAGAGGGTGTAGAGATAGAGTCCAAGAAGTGAGGGCTTGATCAGGTGTGTTGATACTGTAGAGCTGTCTCAGCTCACCACGTCGCGGGAAGGGCTTACCATACGCCTCTAGTGTGGATGTTTACCTCGGTCATGATCCAGGCTGGGCCGGCTGCGAAGGGAGCTTCCCCACACCTCGAGCTGCACGTGCCACATGATGGAGTAGCGTGCTTTGGAGTGACTAACCTCGGACCCGGTAGAGGACTTGGCGTCGTGCATTGGAGACATCCTTCTCTATACATTCAGTCCCTCGTGATTGTGGCCTGAGATATTTCGGATCAGGAATAGGGACCGTCAGATCACCATCTGTGCCCAGGGCAATATCCGGATCGTTGTCATCTATCAATAATGGGCGAAACATGGCAGAATATCGCTGGCCGAAAGCAGAAAGAACGTGCCGATCGTATACCGAAAGAATGGCGTCTATCATCCTCGCTACTCGAGGAAGCAGAGAACAAGACTGATGTACGAGACCTACCACGAAAGAGCGGTCTACTCACGCAAGACGAAGTCCGCATTACGGAGAACTACGACGCCACTGCCTTGGTCGGAGAACTTGCAACAGGTCGTCTATCAAGCGTAGATGTTGTTACGGCTTTTAGCAAAAGAGCAGCTATTGCTCAACAGCTCGTCAACTGCCTAACAGAGACCTTCTTCGACAATGCTCTAGCACGAGCGAAAGTCCTCGACGAACACCTAAAGAAGACCGGCAAGCCAATCGGTCCCTTGCACGGTCTACCCATCTCGCTGAAAGACACTTTCAAAGTCAAAGGCTACGACGCCTCCATTGGCACCGGCACCTTCTGCTTCCAACCGGCCACGGAAAACTCTGCTCTCGTCGACCTCCTCCTCCAGCTAGGCGCGGTAGTATACTGCAAAACCAACATCCCCCTCACAATGATGGCCCTCGACTCCCACAACAACATCTTCGGCCGCACCCTCAACCCAGCTAATATTCGTCTCACCGCCGGCGGTAGCTCGGGTGGCGAAGGTGCTCTCGTGGCTATGCGAGGGAGTCCGCTCGGTATCGGGACGGATGTGGGGGGGAGTATTAGGATTCCGGCGATGTGTAATGGACTTTTTGGGGTGAAGCCGAGTCATGGTAGGGTTCCTTATGCGGGGCAGCAGAATGGGACGCCGATTGGGGCCAGTAAATTGGGGATCGAGAGTACGGCTGGACCGATTGCCAGGAGTGTTAGGGATTGTGAGATGTTACTTCGAGCTATAGGAAGTGGCAAGGCGGAGTTGCTAGATCCGGATGTTTTACCGCAGACTTGGGAACAGCAGACGTCGTTGAAGTTGAGAGGAGTATCGGAGAGGGCACAGAGGCCGTTGCGGGTTGGTATCGTTCGCACAGACGGGCATGTTACGCCGCTTCCTCCTATCCAACGACTCCTGGACGAAGTAACATCGACACTGAAGTCTCCTGCCCTGCCATCCTGGAGTCCAATCGAGGTCTTCAACGTCGACATCTCATCCTTCGGGCCACAAGTCCTCAAAGTCTTCAACGGCGTCATGTCGATCGATGGTGCGAACGCCTGGTTTGACAATATTGAAGCTACTGGCGAGCCACTGTCGCCCTGGCTCGCCACTCGACTACGTCGGCGGTCAGCGAAACCACTAGACGAGGTGCGGAAGCTGCAGGAGCAGAAGTTGCAACTGCAGACGGGTTTCTTGGAAGTCTGGAAGGAGAGGGGCGGGTTCTGGGATACTGCTGACAGTAAAGCCCGCAAGGGAAACAGAGAACTAGATCTTATCATCTGCCCTGTGGCGCCTCATCCAGTGCCTCTGATCGATACATGGAACACAACGAATTATACTTCCGCCTTTAACCTCCTGGACGTTGCGGCCGGGGTCTTGCCCGTGCGAACATTCACTGAGGCCGACACCGAAGGCGACGTGCCCGCTAGCAAGCCGCTCAATGGGTGGGATAAGATCAATCGGGAGTTATGGGAGGGTGATCGTAAACACTTCGTCGGTGGGGCGTTGAGTGTGCAGGTTCTGGCGCCGAGGTTGATGGAGAGGAAGTTAGTTGAGGGTATGGCCGTTCTGGAGAAGGCACTTGAGCCGTTGAAGCATAAGCATGGTAATGCGAGAGCGAGGCTCTAAGATACGGAGCAGTTGAGTGGCTTTCAATTGCAAGACTGAGTTGCACGTGACAGCTAGGCCGCGCAAGACCATCGAGAGTCTCGATTCTCCTGACTGGCGCATACGTACCAGAAGAAGATTTTACACTCGGAGCGGTTCTCGTAACGAGCGTCATGCTCACAGCTCAGGTTCATGCAGGCGGGCCTGCAGCTTCAGAGTAAAAAGGTGAGACCTGGCGAGACGGTCTCGTAATGCAGTCGCCTGTTAAAAGTCTATGAGTGGATGGCATCAGTTGCTGTGGCGGCAGGAAGCAACCATCGAATTGTCCAATGCGTAGATGCGGAGTGTACGGATTTGGACTATCTGCATGAACTTTAGTGCAAATGTTTGAAAATGACAAAGGCACGAGCAAGGCTCCACGTGATCTCGACTTCGTACCTTCCTCAACTTTCCGTTTGCGCTAAGAAACACCAATCTCTTCCGCAAAATCATCCTGCCTCAGTATTCTGCTGCATCGCATTTCGGCCAACGCCTCCATTTTAGCCTACGGAGAGTTACCGTCGAAAATCATGAGCCGCTTTCAAGCAGGTCAGGCAGGTGTCCCCGTCATTCTTTGACTACTGATTGTAAAAGCTGACGATACTTAGCATGGCATGAGTAACATGTCCCAAGCCAGTCCGGCGAAAATGCTTCGGTGTGACTTGAGCAGCAAGCTCTCATCTCCATCCGTCAACGAGCCAAAGAGCAGCGATCGTCCTTGCCAACCAAATCGAATCCACACGCTCGCACCTCATCTGCAGGCGCAGGCCAAGGCCAAAGCCAGGAAAGCAGAGGGGGCAGCTGCTCTGATCTGCGACGGCAACGAAGTCCTGACCACTCCGGAACAGACGGACGCCATGAGACCTCAGCTGCTGGAGCAGGCTGAGACACAAGCAGCGAGAACGGATTTTGCTCAGCCCACAATCAATGGCGGGAATTTCCCCTTCTTGGAACAAACGAAGAAGCTCGCATCTCATCTGATGAAGCAACTCGAGGCGAAGAGGCGGAAGGAGTCCACTACCCAGCTCAACACCTCAAGTGCAGCAGTATCCGAGCCCGCGCCGACCAAAGAACCCGGTCATCTAGTCGAGACATCGAAATCTTCCCGTGGAGAAGTGGTGGCAAACACGTACGAGCCGGCAGAGAACATCATCCTGCGTCTTAGTTTGACAGAAGCTCTCGTCTGCACCATGGTCTGCAAAAGCTTCAAAGAGGTCGTAGAGACCTCCATCGGTCTACGCAAAGCACTACGAAGAACCGTCCGCATCAACGACACTCCCACCACCGACAAAATCTTCGGCTCCCCGGTGCTTCCGACATGTATCACTCAGCTCAGCATCAACACAAAGCACAATGACAAGCTACAAAAGGAAGAACCAGACTTCCTCTTCGTCCGCGTCAAGCTCGCCAACCTCTTCGCCGCTCGCCAAAGATTCGGCGTGGCAAGGGAGAAGCAGCATGGTTGGCGGTGAATCTTGGCTACGCAGCCACCTGTCAAACATGCCTTCGTCAGCCAGACCAAGAGGAAGCCAAGCGAGTGGTTCCGACTCACACAACTTCCCGACGACCTCATTTTCGACGAAGAAGGCATTAAGCTGGGTGGGATTGTGGATGCGGCTGAGGAGATGTACGAGAAGCGGGCGAGGAGGGGCGGCACGTTTCGCAGCCTGACGTTCGCTTTCTACGTTGGGTTGAAGGGTCTGCTTGGGGGCGAGGAGGACGATGAGTGATCACCTGCACCCAGATCGAACGTAATCTGGCGGGCTTCTCAGGCGGCTTGTCTGGATATCATCGACTGGACATTGAATTGTGATGTTGGGAGGAAGCGCACGTGAAGGAATAGTTGTTGATCATATTGATCAGTGGTGGCTGTCCTGTGCATCCGTCCATATCTGTCGCATCTACTGACGGTGTCAAAATCCATCCCAAATCCGCCCAACCAGCCATTGCTGTCGAGGCAAAGAAGAAAAACACTCATGCATCTGCTCAAATGCCTATCATCTCCAACGCGCGTATTCACGCAATCCTTTGGTGCAATTGCCGGTTGGCACTCCCGGGCCGTGGTCACCTTTTGGTGTCCCACGTAGGGAGGCCCGTGTTCCAGCGCTCCGCGGCGTATGAAGGCAGCTCTGGAAGCTCTCTCGCAACCTCATGGTCTCGTCTCGCCAATCTACTCGGCTTTTCGTCATGCGTCATCTGCTATTCGGCCACCTCCCCTTACATGATATCTTTGATACTGATCCTGCTGCTGCCACCATTACCCGGTGCAGGACTCACGCTCGTTTGGTGACTGAGCTGTGCAGGTGTTAATCCTACACTGCCCCCTGATGAGGAGCTCGTGTACTGTAATGAGGACTGTGGGTATGGTGGCGCCTGTGTATATGTGCCTTGCTGCATTGATGGCGGCTGTTGCTGCTGTGGCTGCTGTTGCATGTTCGCCGATTGTGGCAGTTGTCCTTGAGGCGGCCCGTGTTGTGTCTGATGCTCTTGCAGAAGTCCTTGTAGCGTCCGCTGAATGTGCTCCCAGCCTCCCCATCCCTGCATCTCGCGCTCGCTCAGCGGCTGTGTAGGTCCCATGTCGACTTGTCCATGAGGCTGGGTCATCCCATCGGGTGCCACGGATCCGTTGGTCTGATTCAGATTCGCACCTGTCTCGCTACCTGCCCAAGCCCAAGCCTCCTCGGCGCAGCCTTGCATATCGCCGCTTGTGTAGGCTAGCATCTCCTCGTCCATCTCCAAGTGCTGCATCGTAGACCCGGTTCGTAGTCGCTGAATGAGCTTGTCCAGGAAGAAAGCGAGGTAGCGACCACATGCAATGTTGCTCTTCCGCATATCACCAGCAGCAGCGGAGGCTTGGACTAGTGTCAACGCGGAAGCGAAGTCAAGCCGTATGCATAGTACAAGGGTGCAGCGCCAAAGGTGGTTGCAGAAGAAGGCCGGTGCCATTGTCCGAAAACGAGCAGCCCAGTTCGCCATGTGGGTAGGACTGAAGTATCCAGATGCAGACGGGCTTTGTGCTTGCTGCATAGAGCGCTCGACATAGCGAGCTGTATCGCGTGCAACAGACACGCAGCGGTCCAAGGCATCTCTTCTGTCCTGTGGCCTGCAGCTTGGTGATAAGTTGTGCCTGTACAGAAAGAAGCGGGATGTCTGCAAGCTGCATGCCGCAGTGAGTAGCCGCGGGTCCAGATGAGCTGAAGAATTGATGGGAAACGGATCCGGGTATGAGGCCATCACGGACTTGAAGTGGTCGTCGTAGGTTGCCAACGTCGCCGCCGCTATTGTCCGTGACTTGAGAGTCTTCTTGAGCTGGGCCGTGATGCGCACGACTGGCACGACTGCCATCAGACCATTTGGGCCCATCTTTCCTTGCGGTGGTAGTATTACGCCGGTAGGTCGGATTGCATCATCATTCACCGGTGTTGGCTCACTGGCATCGCAGTCGTCATCGTCGATATGTAACGGTCGACCAATCTCCAGCGACAATAATCTGTGCAACTGTTAGCGCCGCCTCGTGTGTCCCAATGAGTCGCACATACCTATCCCAGTTGTAGATGCTCCACCACACGCGACGCCTCATCTCAGTCTCTACGGGTGGATACGGACCGCGTTCGGTGTGCAGCCCGATATCTTGTGCGATCCTGACAGCTGCGCCTAGCCAAACCCATCCCCCCGTTCGTAAGTTGACCTCCACGAAGTAGATTGAGATCAATAGAGACGCTCGTGCAGAATCCATGTCCGGCTCATCGGTCCATGTATTCAGACATCGCATGCACATATCAACGTATGCAGCACCTTCTCCTTCCTGCGCTGAGCTGTTCGGCTGCGGATCCATTAAAGTGCCACATGCTAGAACGCCATGGAACAGCGCGACCCAAAGTTGCGTGCTCTGCTGAAAGGTGCCCGCGCGGTAGACACTGTCATATTCCTGCATAAACGTTGGCCAGTGAATCATCGGCGCATACACATGAACCGAGCCATGATAATGTGATAGAAGGCGGTCCACGACCTGCTTCGGCGGTAGGGGGTGATTCGCATACGGAAAGAGAGGCTGGGGTCCAGACTGCTTGTATGGTGCAGGAGGCTTGAAGATGCCCCTGGAGAAATTGCGGATGTTACGCCGAGTCTCGTCGAAGCCATCTATAGGAGCAGGTCCAAGTCGGCGCTCTTTCGAGCTCGAGTCTGGAAGCTGGAGAGTCGGTACGTTCAACGCGGCATCAAGATCCATAGCGCCGCCGTCTTGTAGGATAGTCCGCAACTGGGCAATGTGCTGCTTGGCCTGCGCGAGCTGTTTCTCCAGATCCTGGACCTGTTTGATCGAAGACATGCGCCGGTTCGTCTCCTTGGTGAACTGACACTTCACGCCTCGGCTGGAGCATTCTGAGCAGCTTGAGGCATCGGACGCGTCGCACTTGACTTTACGTTCCCGACACGCATCACAGCTAGGATCCTTCCTTCGCTGCCGATAGGCGCGCTTTTGTGCTGAAAGAGCGGCTGCGGAAGCATGTGTTGGCGATATGCCAGGTGTTGACATGGAAGCATCGTTGGCGAAGAATTGGTCCTGCATCATGGTCGAAGAATCAGCGCTTCCGACCGGGCCGTTAGCGCACTGATACTGAGGAGGCGGCATGCCGTTAGTCTGCGGCATGGACATGTTCGTCAATGCTGGCGAAGGCATTGGCTCTGTGCTTTGTTGACCATTGTGTGAGGCGTAAGGTCCTGAGGCTGATGTCATTGAAGCTGACGGAGCGGCATGTGGTAGCATCGGAACCTCGTACGGCGCCGAAGTCATTGGTGGCATCAATGGTGGAGGCTGAAAATGCCCTCGTGACCCGTCCATTCTGTCGGGAGTATCGATGGTCCCAGGTGGAGGAAGGTGGCGAGTTGCTCGAGAAGCCCGGAGATGATGTCGAACTTTGACGTGCGTGGCATTCACATGCCGGAAAACGAATGTGTGGGAGGAGCGAAGTCGCAGACTCTTCAGGTCAATGTATGGACTGTTGGTCGATGGCCAAAGGCGAGATTCAAGCCACAGTCATTGGCTCGCCTTGTATCGGTATTAGTGACCTGTGGTGAAGCAGAAAATCGAATCCGAATGTACGCCGTGTGTGACTGAATGCGAGTGATGCTCCAGTAGAGACGCATGAATATGAGCGACTGGAAACAATGTCGGAAATGTAGTGGAAGGAGGGCCAACGAAAAGGCGTTGGTACGTTGCCGGCTGCAGATCCGACCATTAGCACCTTCCGTATTGTGGCAAGATACGCAACGAACCCCGGCAGACGGTTCGAGTGGCCGGTGCAATGCCATGTGTCGCGCACGTCCCGGCTGTCGATCAGTCTCACTAGCACGCCGCATATCCTGAACACGCCAAGGGTGCGAACTGCCTGCAAAGAGGATGTAAAGAGAAACTTCCACACCGACGGGAAGGTTTCCCACACCTGATCGACACCGACGTGCTGTGCGCCGAGCAAGTAAGGCCTCACTAACACTGCATCCATATTCATGCCTCGCCAAGACTTGATTCTATGCATTACGAATTGGTGACATCTTGCGGAGCTGAACCCGCTCAGGGATATCAGAAACGCAAGACCTAGACCACCAAGCATCTCACCTGCTGGGCTTTTCTGGGGGTCGTTGCGATTTGCCGGCCTACGGCAGCGGCGTGCGGCATGCAGTACCCCTGTGCAATTCAGCTGCCGATCATGCCACGATGGCTCTTCCGGCCAAGTGACATTTTCGACTGAAAAGATGTCTCACACTAACATGAAGAGCTGCCGAAAGCCTTGGGTGCACATGTCTGACTTCACTACTGAGTAGCTTCTTGAGGCGAAAGCCTGGCAGATTAGACAAGATCTTGGTTAGCTCTGCTGTCATTAAGGGTGTTGACTGTTCTAGGAGAGCGATCGTCATGTGCAAGTGTTCCGAAGTGCTCTGGAACTTGCCGAGCAATAGAGTTTAGTGGTCTACGCAACGCTGCAGAGGGAGCGCGGCAGAAGCCTTCCCGCGATCTTCTGGAAGACCTTATTCGCTCCTCTTTGCCTGCACGGGCAGCACATTGTCGGGAATATGGTTCGCTTATACAAGCTGAAGCACCCGGCTGCCGCCCGAGTGGGCCGAACGAAGGATCAAACAGATCACAACCACTTCTGATTTGTACTGGGCTATCGTAATTGGTATGAGGTAAGGCGTAATGGAAGAGGGCGGTCTCGAACGCGATGGTCTGCTACCAAGATGCGTTCTTCTGCTTCCGTCGCTGTAGAGGTTGGCCGCCCCGCCTATCGGCTACTGACTGTGGCTGCAGCACTGAGGTCATAATTTAATGAAAGTGCTCAGGATATGCTTCTTCTTAGGCACATAGAGAGTTCGGCGGACGTCCAGGAGACCATAGCGAATGGCTTACAGGAAATATCTAGATACACGTGCCAGCCACGCAAACCCTCTGTTTTGGCGTCAGGTTGTGCAGATCGTGTCTCAGAGCAGCCGATCCGCCACATCGTCATTGTGCCGTTCCTGCTGGGCTGAATGGACCGCTCTCCGAAGGGTTCGCGAGGGAAAAGCATCCCGTACATTTCCTTTTCCCTGCCGGAACAAACACTGGTGTACTACAGTTGCCTGTTCGAAACTGAGGTGCAGGGCAGTCGATCAGCTGCAGATCTCGAACATCTCCACGCGAGCATTGCAAGCATATGAAATTGTCGCTCGGGTCGCTTTCCGACACTGTTCCCATCGATCATTTTTCTCTCCACCTTTCCGACCGATGTTTGTGCAGCTGGAAAAAAGACCATCGGCAAATCAAGCGACGACTCTCGAAGCCTTATCTCAACCCTTGACGACGCTCTGGACCTGAGCTTTAAGGCTGTTTAGACGGGAGCAGTATTCTGGTGTTGCTACTACCATCCGCCGAGTGTAACGTTACCGTTCAAACAACAAGTATGAGGCGAGAAGATCAGTTCCTCTGTTTATCGGTTCGGACCCATGAACCGAACCGTCGATTCCTGAGCTTGAGCTCCGCCTTTGCCTTTCTCTTTGCCATCCCAGTTCAACCTTTTGCCCCCGCAGCCTACAGCGACGATTGGCCCCGGCGATGCATCTTCGTATGTAAGCAGTCCTTCGAAGCGTTCGCCAAGTATTTGCATGAAGGTGCCAGGCCCAACGTAGTTAACATGGTCGTTATCATGTACTACGAAGCATCGGAGAGGCCCGAAAAGCACCCATGACTTGACAAACTCTGCAAATGGACTGTGCTTTGCGCAAGTCAGTGAATATCAGCAATAATGTTTGTGTTGTGAGGAACCAAACAAGTAATGGTTTATTGAAAAGTACACACTTGCATCCACATACCTTCTACAGTATCTGCTCCACTTAGCCAGTACGACCTTGTATCACATTCATTATCGGGCCTGTACAGAAAGCATGGCTAATACCACCATGTACGAATATCTCCAGAAGCTGCCCAAATGTGAGCACCACATCCACCTGGAGGGCGCCTTGACTCCGGAACTTCTCTTCAGCATGGCTCAGAAGAATCACATAGACTTGCCAGAGGATGATCCTGCTTTCCTGAGTCCGGAGAGTCTCACAGCAAGATACCGAGACTTCTCCTGCCTCGATGACTTCCTGGGCTACTACTACATTGGCATGAACTCGCTACTTGACGTCGCTGACTTCGAGGCTCTGGCTTGGGACTACTTCCAGCATGCTGCTCAGGACGGTGTGGCGCATGCTGAGTGCTTCTTCGATCCTCAGGCTCACGTCTCGAGAGGTGTAGGTTACGATGTGGTGCTCTCGGGCTTCAAAGCTGCACAGAAACGTGCTCAAGCAGAGCTGGGGATATCGAGCGAACTCATCTGCTGCTTCCTGCGCCATCTCCCGCCGCCAGAGGCACTCGAGACTCTGCGCAGCTCCCCTGTGCAGACCAGTATGAAGTCTGGAGACGTGATTGGCATAGGTCTGGACTCTAGCGAGAAGGACTTTCCGCCCCAGCTTTTCCAACAAGTGTACGACGAGGCTCGTGCTTTGGGCTTGAGGTGCACTGCCCATGCTGGCGAAGAAGGACCAGCAGAGTACATCGCCACGGCATTAGATGATTTGAGGGTTCAACGCATCGACCATGGCGTCCGACTTGCCGAAGATCCGAAGCTCATGCAGCGCATTGCCAACGACCAGACTCTCCTGACAATCTGCCCTATAAGCAATGTATACCTGAAATGCGTGACGTCCGTCGCGGAGCTTCCGATCAGGACTTTCTTGGACGCGGGTGTCCAATTCAGCATAAATAGCGACGACCCGGCCTACTTCGGCGACAACTACATCCTGGCCAATTATCGTGCTGTACAAGATGCCTTTAGCCTGACGCCACGGGAATGGGCAGGCATCTGTAGAGCGGGCATCAAAGGTAGTTGGTGTGACGAGACGAGGAAGAAGGAACTAATGCAGAGAGTGCAATCTGTGCTGGACGAATGGGTGGCGAGACATGATGCGTAAGCGGTCAAGGCCGGGATGGATGAGGTATGTCAGCATAGTTGCCGTCTATTTTGGTCAAGGACGGCACCCTCTCTGTGCCTGCTCTTAGCGGCAGTTACGGAACATCTTCCGAAGTGTCGATGGCCAATCATGCAGAGCGGATATCTTTATGTCGGGCACCATGTTATCATGCTGCCAACTAATGACGTATGTTCGACTACGTTGTTACTCCTGTGCTCTGGCGTGACAGGATACGTAGAAGGGAGGGTCATATATCGAGTAAGAGTGACAGAGCTTGAGCAGGTCATGTACATGGCCGGGTTCTGGGTGAAGCTCAACTTTTGTATCTACTCTACATGTCTATGCATCATGAACTTCATTCAACTCGTTGACGTCGTAAAATTCCATTAAATATTGCGGATCGGCACTGCATCGCAAGTCTATTTCACCTTCTATACCGCGTACGGCTTGTGGATGGTGCCATCCAATAATCCAGGTCAGCCTTTCTGAACCTTGCGCCAGAAATCGACTGCCACCTGCTACTATTGTTCCATATCGCTACGTTGACCTTACGATCATAGCGGCATCGAAGTCTGCGGCGGCGTCGTGACCAATGGCGTTCGCAAGCTGTGTCCAAATGGATGCAAGCCTGTAATGTCGGCATTTTCGTCTATATCATGTTGGGCTGTATCAAGCCTCTAAGGCAAGTATTGGTGCTGGAACTGTGGAGTTCCGGGCGACGGATTATTCGTTGGAGTCGTCCTGGACACTTACTTAGTCTTCGTCCTGTCGACTTATGTCCAAACCGCAGTCGGCTGTACGAACCCGGTGAACCCGTATGTCTGCTCTTCCGGACTGCCATAGCCGTACTGAGGTGGGAATCGAGGCGATGGCACTGCGCCCCAATTCTGCGTGCCGAATGTGAACGACTGATCTGTGGGGACCTCCAGGAAAGGTGTCGCGGATGCTGACGACGGCTGACTGGGCAGGAAATGCGGTACGATGGGCGCAAATGCTGGACTCAGATTTCCCATGCTATTGTAGTTCACCATTTCGGGAGTCAAGCCCATGGCCGCTTGTGCCGACTGTATTGGCGTGCTTGGTAAGTGCACCACACGCGCTCTGTATTCCATTGCCGTCTGTGTTGGATATTGCATTGACGACGCTATCTCTCTTGCTGACGTACTCGCGCCGTGTTCGGACTGCATGGCGTTCGTGACACTAATGATAGCTTCGAGAGGTGGCAGTGCTGTGGCCGCGCAGAATGATGAGCCAAGATCTGGAAATAGTGGCTCGAGAGACAGCGCTGCCGCATAAAAGTGTGCCAGAGTCAAGAGTCCTGGGCCTTGTCCACTTTGGCGCTGCAGTAAAGCCACAGGTATCCAGAAGAGCCACTTCCTCAGTTGATAGAGATAGTTGAATTGGTCGTCGGGTGATTGAGCAGGTTCGGTGTTTTGCAACTGTTGGATGTAGATGAGAAGCTGACCCGTGTAGTGAAGTTCAATGTCGTTTCCAACTAGGGTTGCCTGCAGTCTTTGTAGTGCGAATGCAGTGTTCTGTAGAATGATTACTCTATCGCTCGGGTTGACCGATGGTCTCCTCTGGTGGACGCGGAAAGCGATTGCAAGGACGTCCTCGCTTGCAACAAACTCGGTGAAGATGGATTCGTGCTGCCACGTTTGCATTGCAGAAAGAACCTATCAAGTCAGCCAGATGCCCTGATCATGGTTCCGTTGGCACGCAACTAACCGACTGTATTCCCGCACGCAAGGACGACCAGCTACGCCTGCCCTTTGTCAGCGACTCGTTGAGACCTCTTCTGCAGGTCAAACAAACCAGTCTGTGGCCTGCCATAGTAGTAGCAGCGACGCGGCCAGGATCGCATCGGCATTCGCCGGCGAAAAGTTGCCGATCGCGTCATGTAAGCCTCGCAGTGCGATGCTACCGTGATGTAGATGTAGGTTTCGTGTTTCCGTGGACGAATTTACCCATGCCAGATGGTTTGCAGAGAACGAGAGGAGTGCGTGCATCACGTATGGATATGATGACGCTATGCTCAGGAACCTTCATGATCACGTCAGCCAAACTCAGCTCGGTGTAAGCAAGTGGACTAATGAATTACTTTGGCATCTTTTGCGTCCAGGTTGTCAGGTGAGTTGTCCCTTTCAGGAGCAAGTCGTTAGAGATGGTGGACAAGTGATGTATCAGTGTGAGCTCTGTCTTTGAGAGTTCGTGTGCCAGAGGCGCTGGAAAGACCTGGAGCTCCGGGTACGGAAAGTTGCCAGTCTGCTGCCACAGATTGACGCGCGACTCGGTTCCAGGTGTAAGAGTCAGGGAGGACTGCTCAGGGCTCTGCTGGCTCTCCGTGTCCGATCCAACACCTTCCATATAATCGCATCTGACCTGGTGCTTTGTGCAGTTGCGGCTGGTTTTGTTTGTTAGTGTCCGCAATTCCATAGTCAACGTGGTTGTGTGAGCTCACCATTGTGGATATGTCTCGTCGCATCTAATGTGTCTTCGCTTGCAGGTCTTGCAGCCTTTCCGACTTTTGGTATGGCTTCTCCTCGAAGGTCCTGCGCCGGTCCCTGCCATAGCGACTGCTCGAGGATGCAGACGTGGACGACTCTATCTTCAATGGTACCCAGATCTGCCTCTCTATTACCAGATTCAAGGGAAGCAAGACTTGATGGAGAGAGTCACGAGTCGTGATCCAGATAGATATGCGTGTCGAGTAAGTGAAGTTGACCTAGAGCTTCTGTACCAGGGTCTGGATTTGATGAGTTAAGTTGATGATTAGTTATCGTATGGAAAGCGAACGTAATTGAGAGCACCAAGCGAGTGTGGTATATTCTTCTTGCGGTCTGCTTAGTGGAAAGCCGATGTTCACTGTGAGTTGCGACGTTGATAGACATATACCACTAAGCCCGACTGTGGAGGTAGTATCGACTTCTAGGGTGGAGAGGTGAGGTACTTGAAATAGACTGCACGGTCTAGCTTTAAGTGGTGATTAACATGTAGTCCCTTGAGCATGCCCAGCTATGGTCTCGGGTCCGATGGAGGAACTCGTAATGACATCGGTATGCAGGTCCAGTAGCAGACACGCGATGCCGGGCCTAGCCGTTGTAGCGAACCTACAGGACACCGAACGTTCCATCGGCGGCGGACTAGCATCGACAGGGTGGCTGACTGGAGGCAAAACGCAGCGCTCGGAGCCGTCGCAACCTGGATGACTTCGGCGCAACGTGAGCTTGACTATAGCCAAGTGCTGGCCGTGCGCCAGCTCGCATGGCTGGAGTGTTTGGTGTGCACGAAGCAGTTGACAGACCCATCATGACCAAACGGCACAGGCAGCGTCCGATTCGGCGCGGTAATGCGTATTGGGCATAACGCTGCTGCCTCCCCGAGGCGATCCTGTCATAGCTAAGCTTTAGCAGGAGTACGGTCGGGTGATGGCTAGCTCTGCGAACGATGCACAGTCCAATAAAAACAAAAAAGAGCCATCCAGCAAGATCTGCAGGAACCGTCCATATCCATTCGCCCGTCCGTCTATGGATGGAGACGACTCAGCCTCCTTCTGTACCACGCACGCGACAAGCAGGCGGTCAGCATGCTTTGACCAGGTTGCGAAGAGACGGCGTGAACGATGTCGAGCACGAAGGTAGTGCCATACAAGCCTAGCGTGAGGTGCCCACCAGCCCAAGCGAATGACGCATCTCCGGCTATTTTAGGAGAGAATTGTTCCATTCACCCACACGATGGATGCTCCATGCATGAATTGCGATTGGCGTGGCAGGAACACGCGAGGATCGACATATATCGAATGCACCAGTCTGGGCCGCACGAATGCATCGTTCGAGGAAGCATGAATGAAAGGTATTCATCCGGTCGTGGCACAGTGCGTGTGATCAGAATCCGCAACCGCGGACTATTGCCTGCAAGAATCTATTGACTTCCCACGAGGAGAAGTGAGTCCGCTTTGACCTGAAGCAACATTACCGCCGTCCCAAGTCTTTGCTCGCTGCCATGCATAGCAGCAGCATCGCTGCATCGGTCACAGCGTCGTACCATACTTTGAGGTCGGATGCCGTTTGACGGGATGGCCGCGGTGGCTCCGGCAACGAACGGCAGATGTAACACACTTTTGTGCACCTTTTGAAACACAAAGCAACTTAATCATCGATCACCTGGCTAAGATACTCTTCTGATAGTCTGCACCAGTCTCCCGCTCGATTCCGCTCGTAGGTAAACGTTATAGTTGTCGCTGCAACTGCACTGGGTCAATTGATGGGCGACACAGCCACAATATAGGGCCGTTCCTGGCGATCTGATAGCCTCAAAATAGAACACTAGCGAGCCTTTCGTCTGCACGTCCACCATACCGTAGGATGACTATCGCGGACCTGCATCCCGATGCGCTGCACAAACTGACATCCATACCACTCTGCAAGGGACGCTGTCACGGTAAGCAAGCACGATTACTTGTCTTGGCCCTCGGGTGGTCCATACCTCGAAGCGGTAGTTACGGACGAGATCAGCTGCGCTGAGATTGATGAGTAAGGATGAGCCACTACTGGGGCTGTCAGTTGTCCAACCTTACCACCCTTCTTCGTCACCTCAGGGCCCCATCGGTGCGTGGTAATGGATGGAGGGTGAGTACTGTAGCCGAGCAGGGCGGACGCTTCGCCGCGGAGACACCGCATGAACTGCTGTCTGGCATCGGCGGCCACAGCAAAGCAACACACCTACAACTTGCAGAGTGATTACCACAAGCGGAGTGCAGCCAACATATGCATACGCCGTCAGCTTCGGTATCATTGATACTCCACGGACAAGCTACGAGCCGCCAGCAATATTGAACAGATGAGGCCCACGTGACAGCACGCATGTGTAGACACCTGCGCAGCGTCTCTACGACTTGTCACTATGGTAGCCAACGGGGTCCGTGGACGACTTCAAGAACTCCATGAGTAGTCCTGCTGACTAGCGTAAGCACGAGGTAGTAAGGACCGCCGTTACGAAACCTGTTCTACAGGACCCCAATTTGTCGTTTACATACAGCACCTGTCAGCTACGCCGACGGCAGGGTTCATTGTCTACCTTTTGGACCATCAATTGCCGTCATGGGGTGCAAGAGCATCTGTTTAAGCAACTTACTCCACTTCCTCGCGAACTGCAGTCCGCCCACCACGACACGTCCTCGGTTTACAGGGACATACCTTACGCGACCGACGCATACAGGAAGTTTGCGCAGAACTGTGTTAGCGAACTCCCTCTCCGAAGGGCCGATATGCACATATCCAGAGTTCGATCGTGTGGAAGTTTGGTAAAGATGACAAACTCTACTTTCAACCGTCTTGCGGGCCGCAGGAGAGGAAAGGCAAATAGCACGACCCAGCCAAAGTCAAAGATAATGAGCCGAATGGAATGCTTGCCGAAACACTATCTTGCTCGGCACTGCCACCTGATCACTACTGCATTGGAAAACGACTCTCTATATGCGGAGATCCTCGACGCTTCACGCACTGACGGCGGCTAGGTTCATCTCATGTCGGTATGAGAATTTTTGCTCGCACTGCCCAAGGACTGGACGTTCTACGCACCCAATCCGGTGAATGATAAAACTTTTAACATGGAAGGCGTAGCAGCGGCACACCTGCCGATATCAGAAGTTTGAGCTCAAATCTACACCAAATTACTCCTGCGCCAAAAGTCTGCTGAGCTAATACGTAGTGGTACTGGTAGCCGAAGGTCTAGATTCTGTCAGCCTATCAAGCTTTGACTATGCCTTAGCATAGTACGGAGACATTCGGTCCTGTTCGAAGAAGGGCTTGTCGCCGCGTGGCTTGCGTGCTCGGGCAGAATTGGGCTTTAGTAAGTTTGACATGATACCATGTGCTGGTATAGTTTCTTGCTACGATCGAAGTCTTCGGTCATCCTCCGAACTCTCGTGGAGATGGAGATGGAGATGGAGATGATAAAACACGTGGATGGAACGACGAGAGCTACCTTGACGGGAAAGCACTGTCAATTTATGGGATAGCTTCGCAGCTACACACCATGGATCCCTTATCCAGCAACAAACCTCCGTGGACCAAAGGAATACCGCATGATCATTGCACCAGAGATCGTAACCTGCGCATGCTGCACACGCGGCCTGCGTGATGTTCTTTGATCACTACCATAGCACCGTGAGGCCTTTTCCCGCCGACGACCGTTCCACTGTCATGATAATCGCCCGTCAAGACCTCTTGATCTTGGTCTGTCGTATCTGGCCTCGCTACAAGGTCACACTGGCAGTTGTACCAGCTCTCATTGTGCCGTCTGTGTCGTGGCCACCACATTGCCTGCACTACTCCCGCTTGAAGACTGCATCACCTCCAGCACTCACTCGCTTCTGGGCAGCGTTCAACTCGACGACCTTCTGAGCAGCCTCCACCATCTCAGATTGGCACGAAGTTTGGTCAGCTGCTCCTTGTGACTTGCCCGTAGCTCATTCAACTGCTTTCTCCAGTTGTCACCTTTGGCCACCTGGGATTGATTGGTCTTGTCTTTGAAGCTCTCCAGCTTGTCCCTGTAGATTTGCTCCTTCTCGGCGAGCGAGGCAGTCGTAGCCTTCTTGACGGCTTCGTTCTTCTCCGTCCAGCTTTGTTCTTTGGAGATGAGAGCATATTCGTGCTTGTTCTTCAGTTGTTCGATTTTGGCTTTACATTGCTGATCTTTCAGGTCCTGCTTCGAATAGTGCGACTCTCGAAGATCTTGCACTTTACAGTCGTACTCAGCCTTTTGCGCTTTCAGCTTTTCCTCCCACTAGTACCTGACACCATAGTCCCGTTCAATGCGTTCATGCTTGGCGACATGAACTTGAAGGTCGGTAATGGTCATTGCCACTTCTCTCAAATTCGTCTTCTCCGCTTCAACCAGCAGGTTGAGAGATGCTATGATGTTTCGGACCAGAGCCAGCTCTGTGCTAATGTTCTCCAGGATTGGATCGGCCGTTTCAAAAACATGCTCGTTGTCTTCGCCATGAGATGGTGGTGGGGTGCGGTGGCGCTTCTGCGCTTGCGCCATAGATGATGGTATTTCGCATAATGCACGTTTAGTGGCCATGTTCTCTTCTCAGGTGGTGGAGAGGCTATGATACGTCAGTCGAAGTCAGACTGGGATTGATTTTGCCGAGAGGGCAGATAGGCCTTGCCACTGAAGCAGCGAGGTGAGCTGTGCCTGATGTTCGCGCACTCTTGGATGTGTCAAGCTCTGGTGTGGGTTTGTTTCAGGAGTCACTGTGAGAACGAGGTATAGGGACTTGCTATGAAGGGAGACTGAGTGATGCCCTCGTTCTGAATATTGGCAGTGCCTCTTAGATTAAGTGAAAGACGCTCGCAGTTGAGGTGTTCGTTCGGAGACATCTTGTGCTCACCCACGCATCCTACGCAGTCACGGTCGTGAAGTCCGCACGGATTTTCTGTCACTGTCACTTATTCTTAGTGCCGGCGAGGTGAACAGTGTCGTGCCAGCCTGTGGAATCAAGCCATGTGTCCACGATACAATTCTGGCGATTGCGAGTCACCTTCCTCGAAACTGGCTTGTTGAGGAATCCTACCACTTCGAGTCACTTCTCGTCGAAACCCTCCTCGTGCTACCTCCTGCCTAACCTTCATAGATCTAAGGAGACTGAGGACAAAAGATGATGGTCGTCTGCGGCATCTTCGGTGCTTGGTAGCAAGCCATGCAGCCGATAACTTAGGTCAATGGTGTCCAAATTATCTGGTAGTGGTAGCTGCATAGTTGTGTCAGAACGGCGCTTGCAACACAGGGAGCGCTCTTCGAGCATGACGATAATTTGAGGACAGTCACCAGCACGGAGGACGCTGGCTATTCCGAGTGGCTCAGATGATAAAGCATTGCATCAATTAGCTTAAAGTAGGATTCAATGTTGCTACATACCGTGTCCAGGCCGCTCAAGACAACGCCGCTCTTTCATGCGCCATCATCACTAAGGCAGGAACGTTTTGCACCAACCTATCCCAGAAAGACCCCAAAGTCCTCCAAACTGTGCCAAAAGGTTCCAGAAAATGCACAGGTGAATGACCAAGGCGCATACGAGTCGTGTCCAATAGCCATCCAAATCGTATCGCACCTAGAACATCACCCCCAATGCCAAGATTCCGTTGCTGCAATCCCAACAATCAAAACCAATAGCTCTCCCCACTTTCCGAGATCACAAACTCGCACCCAAGCGCCTGCCCTTCACTTCGTAATCGTTCCTCATGATCTTGCAACTGGGCAAGAATGACCTCACTTACATGCGGACCATCTTTCATCGTGTCTTTGATATGGATGATCACCACTCTGATACCCTCTAGAGGCGCGGCTTGGCCTGCTCGGTCGCTTTGGGACGATTCCCGAACGAGCTGCGAAGTCCTTGGTGCGCCGTGCTCCGCATAGCCCGATCGGGGCGAAGTGGCTACGCTGCCCACGGCGTAGTGCTGCGGGTGCTGCGAGGATTCCATTGGGTTACTTTGTTCGGTCGCTGGAGAGGTCATATGGGCATCGTTCCAGAGTCCAGCATCGGGCACACTACTTCTCCTTAGATCGCTTGGTTGGGGCCGCCCACCGCCGGCAGCACTCCGACTACGTTTGCTATCCGCTTCGGCTATAGCATGTCTTGCCGATATCTCAAGGCCATTCTGTTGCGAGCGTTTGCGTTTCCTAATATTCTTCTCCCGCGCTCGAGTTGTTCGTGCTTCGTTTACCATGTTTGCCAGGGTCTGGAGCTCGGCAATCAGGTGCCGAGGGCATAGATGGCCAAAGAGTACGGCATCGGCTTGACTGTCATCATAACTGCATTCGATAAAGATTCCTCCTAGCACTCCGTGGACTATCTTTCGCGCTGCTTCCTGCCAAACTGTATGATTGCGCGGTGACAAAGATATCGAGTCTGGTTCTACGTCGCCGAAGATGAGGACTTCGCGGGATAGTTCGTTCTCGCGAATAAAGAAGGCTGTACTGTCCACGACACAAGACGTGTCTGCTGGCCTCAACCGTGGAGAAGGCTGATTGGAGGCATAGAAGCTTTGTCGTGGTGTAGGACCGGGCGTGCCAGGAGTAGAGAATTGCGCATGATGTGATGCCGAATGTGACCGACTCATTTGCGGTGGTGCTTCGTTATTCGCAAACGGGTGCGCTTCGTGCAGGTCATGTATACTGCCTCTGTGATGGTGGCTAGGTGGTCCTTTCGTGCACGTCCCATGGGATACTTTCAGCGCTCTCACGCCCAGACCCTCCACTACGTCGATGTAGCCTCTACCCTCGCCTTCGCCCACCATGACATCGCCACCTTCTTTGAGCCGTTGAAATGTAACAAAGCCAACACCGCCATCTTCGTCCGTGAGATTCGGCCAGATAATGTCATTGAAGATGTGGTGCTTGATCGCATCTACTGTGCTTGGCAACGCAGCCAGCGTCTTCGGTTTCGAGGTAGCATGGAAGCCTGCTGTATTGACTGCGAAGCCGGAGAAATGATCGAGATGAGGGTGTGTAATCAGGTACGCGGAGATGTATGATCGCAGGACGTGTAGCGCGTTAGCACGAGCCGAAGCGTTCGGTAGCTTGAGGCCAGCAAATGGACCGCTTTTCAGTATCGTAGGCTCAGGTCTCCGTGGCACATCCTGATCCTCACTTAGCGGTGAAGGCGACAGAGAACCCCTGCTCACACAGTTCGGCGCCCGCGACCCATTGCCATTGCCATTTCCATTCTCCGCCCCCAGACTCCCATCGCTGCTTGTCCTCGCAGGCAAAGTCTTACTAACACTAGGAAAGTCCCTCTCCAGAATCCTCACGATAGGGGCCAGGTGACTCCCAGCATCCACAGCCAATGTCGCACCCCTCATCCATCCACACTCCACCGACCTCACCAAGAAACCAGTGACATTTTCTTCGCATGGCCCGCCGGAGTGGCCGAGACATATGACTTGTAGCGCTGCGTTTTGACCATGCAAGCCGATGCCCGTACCCGGTGTCTCGTCATTGTCCGTGTCTTTCATCTGAAGGGAAGCATGTAGCCGTGCCACTCCCTTCCCGTCCGCTTGGGCTTATTTCAGCCACGGATCTTTTGCGCGGTCATGCGGCTGTTGGCTATGTCCTCAGTTGTCGTGAGTTATCTGGCCTTCCTCTCCAGTCTACTCGTGGTCCGCCTGGGTGGCGGGAGTACTGGAGGGCGAGAGGGACTCGAGGCAGTAGACTCGCTTGCTTTGTTGCTTGCTGCTTTGACTCGACCGACCACGTGCTTCTTTGCGAAATGCTGCAATCAGCCGCGCGGGGTCGTCTGTGAGTCGAGCTGAGGTTCCACAGGTATCACGTAGGGTTGTTGATGATCTCGGGTCTTCATAGACAACGTGAACGATGTGAACAATGTGTGTCAAGGTAATGGGGACTCATCAAATACAAATGGATCATGCGCCTGCTATCACGACGTCCACCCTGGATCCCGCGCCGCCAAACTCAACCACGCCAAGCTCCAGGCCTAGCCATGTGAGCGGTACGGCCATGTGCTTCGCAGCTGGCGGTATAGTGGCCGGTAGCACGATTACATAACAAGCTCTACATTGCCACCCGTCTCATGGTCTCACTAGCACTACTATGTACTCGCAAATAACTGGACAGCAGCGCTATCGTTGTCAATCTCAAGGGCGAGGCCCTTTCCGTCCCGTGTCTCGGCAGCGACCACATGGGATTGATACTGCACCCCACTGCGCGCTAGTGTTCTAGATGAGGCTTATCATGAGCAGGTTGATTTGCCCAAGTGTTTTCAAAGGCATACCAAGTGGAAATCCGGGCAGAATCAGAGCAAAGGCTTGGGACACTTTCGATATGCCTGATATGACATGGTAGAATGAAGCGATGGAGGAGAGTTGTGGCTGGACTCCTGGCTACACGCGTGGAAGTTCTTAGTATAAAGTTACAACGCTTGCGATGCGTAATGTACAAAACCATTGCAATGTTCAGTCATCCTCCCAGAACTTAGCAAATACTTACCTCACATCTCCTTAGAGTGCCTAGGAGACCGTCTACTACTACTCCTCGAAGTGTTCCCATCAGACGACCCGCGTCCTTTAGATGAATTTCTAGCACTCCTCCTGTGGACTTGGCCGCTGGATTTTCGTGACGACTTGCCACTTCCAGCTTGACCACTACTGAATTGGTTGAAGTCAAAATCTCCACCGAACATCTCGTCCCAATCGGGTTCTTCAAGGTCCGCAGGCCAGCCATTCGTACCCTCTGAATCTACGGTGGGAAGGCCTTGCGTCTCTGGCTCTTGCGAGATACTGCGGGAACGGGTGTTCAGTGCTGGTGGGGAGTTGGTGGGCGTGAGGATGGCGCTTGGGCGGCGTTTGCCTTGAGCTTCGATGTCCATGTCACCCGTCTCATTCGTAGGCAGGATAGTCGTTGACTGGTTGCGAGGCGAGCGTCGTTGGCCGGGAAGCGCGAGGCCAAAAGCGTTCGTCGGTGCCATAGCCATGGTAGACGGTGGCTGGTAGACAGCGTAAGGCATCATATTTGCTTGCGGCGCCTGAGTCTGAGTTTGCGGCAGCACATCTGCATCCGGCACATTAGCATCGAGCTCCACACCCGCAGCCCTAGACTTGCGCACGTTGGTAACATAAGCTCCGCACGTGCATGAAGCAGTGCCAAATTTATTGTCCTCCAGTCCACCGATCTTGCTCTTTGGCATGAACTTGTAGCCCGGATACATACGGGCATGGTTCGCCGCCTCGGCATCAGCAAGACGCCTATAATGATCGCGCTCACTCTGAGGCAGCTTCTTCCACTGCTCTCCCGCAAGTCTCGAGGCGGTGATTTGCGATGTTGAGTCGAGCTCGCGCTGGATACGCTTGAGGTTCTGCGTCCGCCAGAGGATGAACATGTTTCGAGGTCGTGGGATCTTCGCCTTAGCGGACCCGCAGACGCATGTCTGCGCGATGCTGGGTCTCTTGCCGGCAGAAGCGTTGCGTTTACGTTTCAAGTCGTTGCGGTCTTTGCCCTTCGTCTGTGCTGGTTCATCTTCGCTGGAAAAGATCTCCTCTACCTCCATCGGACTGGGAGACTTGGCAGTGCGCGCAGCACGAGATCGCTGGCGCTTGTTTAGCTTACGTCTTCGTTGTTTTGGCTCTTCATCACTCTCAGATGATAAGGACGACAAGTCAGGAGATAGCTTACGTTTGTGCTTGGCCTGCGTACTCCTGTCGGCCTGTTGCGTGTCAGTGCTTACCTGCCGTGGGCGAGAGCTGGCGAATGCCAACCTCGAATCACGATGCACAGGCATATGCTGACGAGTAGGAAAAGAATGACTTACCACTTGTGGCGAAAGCGCGAATGTCGCTGGACCAGAAGGCGCCAAAGGCATAAAGGTCCAGCCAGAAGTGCGTGGGTCCCAGAATGGGCCAGCGAAGCCTGGAATTGGTGGAGGAACGGCGGCTGGCATCATAGGAGGTGCGGTTGATGTCAAATAGTACGGCATAGGAGCCGCCGTTGGCATAGGCGCAAACCCTGACATGCTCGGTGCATGGCTTGATGTTGGCGGTGGGAAGAATGTGCTCATGTCTTGAGAAATGTCCATAGGCGTGGAGGTCGTGTCTGTTGGAAAGACGCTGGCATCGCCTGTGGCCATGAAGTCATCGAAACCGCTGAAGTCGAGGTCAAGATTCGGGTCGAAGTTGAAGCCAGTATCGGGGCCAGCCCCGTTGGTGAAGGAGGATCCTGACATATTGTAAGTGTCTCTGTACCTGGACAAAGTTTGCCGCAGTTGTGAATGTAAAGTTGCGATGACCTACCAGAGGCTGCTAATCTGAGGGTAAGTATGCTCGAGTGTTGGACGACGTGGGGGATGGAGCGAAGTGTTCTTCGCGATGCAATCTTGGGTGATGAAGGTGATTATAGGAAGTCTTTGTGGCCAAGGCATTGTACTTGAGATGATAATAGAGCTGAACAAGGAACGGGACATTGCGATCTTCCCAGTCAAACAAAGACAAGACAACAGCATTGTGAACTGCATTGTCGTCATCGACAAAGGAGATTCGCACTGTGAAAGGTATTGATGGAGTATTCATGGCTTGTGTTGCTACGGGGTGGCCACTGTGGCAGGAAAATGTGCCTTTGAGTGGCCGTGGCAGACAGATATCTAGGATACTCGTCAGCATACTGTCCGGTGCTTGTGATCACGTGAATGTGTATTTCGACGGGATGTTGGTAGTCAGAAGGTCTCCAAGCAGTTTATCCACATGTGGTAGGCTGTTTGCCGGCCATACGGTACAGGTCTGTGAATGCATATATTCATCATGTAGAGGAAGGATGGATAGGTGAGTCTCTAGTACGTACCAATGGCAGCCACAACTCATCTCGTTGGCATACGCTCGCACGTGACAATGGATGGTTGGCGGGTGACCGACACTTTTATAAAGGTGGTGTGAGGGAGCGAGCGAGATTTTCAGAAGAAAGTCGGAATTTCAAGTTCGGGGGGAAAGCGGCACGTGCACTCCCGTCATGCCTTGATGCCTCAATACCACAGTCATCACAACATTGACCGTGGCAGACGACGATGTTCGGTGACGAAAGCGATTACGGCTCAAGCTTCGAGGAGACTACGGTCGATGTCAGTATTGACGAGCGAGCCAATGAGCTGGATCAAGTAGCAGCCGGATCAAGACCTCAGACGGTCACCCTTCATCACAACCACAGCAGCCAGGACACTAATTATGGCTCGGATGTTGACCCTGCAATCGTGGATCCGGAGGTCGTAGACATCAGTGACGGTAACGATGAGACTGACTACGGCTCTGACGATGGCCTAGTCGTTGCCGAGCACGAGGTGATCACGATCAGCGACGACGATAGCGAGAGCGATTATGGTTCCGATATAGACCATGCCACAGCGGAGCAGCTCTATGGCATAGCGTCGAGTAAAAATCTTCGCCTCCAACTACCTCAAGATAGGCGAAGACTTGGACGTACAGTCAGCCAACCGAGCTGCGCTTTACTTCAACTACCGCCCGAACTACGTGATCTCTTCTATGAGAAGGCATTCGAGGATTTCACTGCCGAGTGGACGACAGGCCAATGGTTTAAGCCACCTGGAATCCTGTTCTCGTGCAAGCAGATCTTCAGTGAGGCTATCAACATATTCTACAATACGGCGACTTTCCAGACTTGCTCATACAACATGCTTGAACGCCGCCTGTTGCGGCTAAGGTATCAGCATCGCAGGCTAGTCAGCAAGATACAGCTCGACAGTGCAAGTCAAGGCGTCTTGAGCAACGAATCCACCCTGCGCAGCACATTTGTAGCCCTTGTCGCACATGGTGCTCTACACAAACCACACCATATCAAGTCAGCTCAGCAAGCGGAGGATGATGTGGCGAAGGTTCGCGCACTCTTGGGTAAGAATCGTAATCTGAGGGAAGTTCGATTAGTCAAGCTTGAGGCGAGTGTCAAGGACCTGCATGGCGGCATTATCTGGACGGAAGATCCAACTTCTGTTCTCATTCGATTCGTGGCAGAGGAGATCAAGCGGCATGACGAGCTGTAATATCTGTGACTTGCGTGTGTCCAAAATCATCTCGCTACGTTCTAAGCTGTCCACGGAAGGGCATAGCTAACTCGCTTACGAGGGCACGAGGTCATGATCGTGATGTCAACGATATCACGATAGCGACAAGGATGTGATACATTTGATTCATCTCATTCCTGCAGATATCGGGAGATCTAGCCAATTATGCTGCCGCTGATTCGAGCGGACCAGATCCCAAGCCAAATCCCATTGGCACACCACCCGACAGCTCATCCAGTGAGAACAAATCGAACCACGACATGTCACCGGGTATACTGTCCAGACCAATCCCACTGTCATGGACAGAACTGCACACTACCGGACTACTCCCAGCACTCTGAGTGCAGAAAATATTGTGTGCCACTTTCATCAAATGCTGCAAGGCATTCCTCGCTACCGCCCATGTCTTGCCAAGCGTCTTCAGAGCGCCTATCATAAGCGTGACACGATCACGATGTTGTTGAAGGCACGTTCGGGCGTGGCTCGAGCATGCTGAGAGCTGCACAATACAGGCTAATATGAGGCCGCAGGTGAAGAATGGAGAATGTACTGTAACGCACCACGGTAGCGCTGCAAGATTCGAGAGCTCCTTTGAGGCCGCTACAGCTTTCACAGTATGCTGAGCCGACGTTGCGGAAATACGAGGAAGATCCTTTGCGCATGCCAGATTCTCGTCTGTTGGTACGGTCATGGGTAGGTCACTTCGTGGAAAGTGGAGAAGGATTGTTGCCCATTGTATAAAGACGTTGGCCTGGAAAAGCATGTGGTCCACATTGCCATATTGATCGATCACGTCGGCTTTGTTGGATGGAAGATGGTACTTCCAGCTCGCAATGGCATTGTCCACCGCTTGTACTTCGTCCGGACATGCGTCGTTTGCACCCGCAACAGCTAACACTCGAGCAATGATTCTGATGGCGTCGATGCGGTAGCAGTATGAGGAGAAAGTGCACGGTGCCGTGGCAAACACTCTATCGTCGAATTGAGCGAGTGATCGAGGATGGAGGTCGCAGACTCCACGAGCATACAGCGAGTCTTCGCACGGTAGGTATGGATGCGTACCAACACTATTGCTGCGGAAACTAGGCTGTCTTGAGAGAGCAGCCATATAGCCATCGACAATGTACAGCTCGTACCAAATCCGGCGCAAGCTCTCTTGCTGGCGAAGGTCGTGAGGTGCCATATCCGTTGCAAAGCTAGGTCGGTCGAGGCCAATGTCAATGGCCAATTTCGCTGCTTCTGAAATACACGACGATGCCTCTCTAGCTTGGTGCGAGGCATGCAAGACGATTGTGTAGAGTACTAATGCTTGTACACGAGATGCGGTGCAGTCAATGGTACTCGTCATCGCCTGTGCTACGACCGGTGCAAGGCTGTCTCGACTATGGCGACCTGTGGCATAATGACTCCCAACGAAGCAGATCACCAGCCGCAGGTAGCGTGGAACAGCTTCCTTGCGATAGAAGGTTCTTGGCACCAGGATCGGGTGTGCTGGATGGAAATTTGAGTAGAAGAGGTTTGTGAGATGTTCTTCTTCACAGTCCGATAGGTTCAATATGGGCACAATTTCGTCGATGTACGTAGAGGTCACCTCTTGACCCCCTCTGCTGTCAGTCCGAGGGAGCGTTGTGAGGGTAGCGAGTTGAGTGCTGGACTCATAGAGCGTAACCTGATCCTGCACGGCATCCTCTTGTGACATACTTCCCGGCGAAAACCCTGAACGATCGGTGGTGTGTTCATCGGTACTTCGTCGCTTTGCGCGACATATGCCACCACGCCGTGAAGGTGTCCATATGCACTTCAGGCCTGTAGTAGCACATCTTGTGCAGATAGGCTGCATAGGCAAGACTGCATCACACTTGAGATGTCGTTTCCTACATTCACCGCATGCTAGTGGTGATGGTCGACTTGACGATGGTAGGGACATTTTGACACATTCGATCGCATAAGACAAAGGAGGGAAAGAGCAGTCACAGAAACCCGAACACTATGGCCCGTATCCGCAATGCCACAGGTGAGACGGCGACTCGGGGACCAAATATATAATGGCCAAATTATTTAAAACATCCTTGTGCTTGTTCTAGAAGTTAGAACTCTAGGGACAAATTCTCGAGGATCTTAAACCCCTTTATTTATTTATTCTCGATTCTCTCGCTTATCTTATATAGTAGAGAAATTCTAAGAATAGAGTTTTAATTATCTCTTCCTAAAGAATATAACGTGCTTTTAGGAGTTTTTATAGTAAAGGCTAAAAAAATTCGAGGTTTTAAGTCGTAGAATTTTGAAAGTCGCAACGATTAGACTAACGAGACTAACGAAATTAATAAGACTAACGACTTACTAAATAGAAATTCTAAAGAGTGTATTTTATCTCTTAGAATCTAATAAGTATAATATTAGCTTTATCTTTTTAATATAGTAATAGAGAACTAAATAAATAGAGAAAGAAGGTAGATTAATTACGGAGGATTTTTAGAAATCCTCGAGAACTTGTCCCCTAGGGTTCTAATGAATAGAATACGCTAGTAGGTGGAGGTCGAAGCTATCGAATGCCCCACACCAAGATAGCTGCGCGGCATACATAGACGTCATCAGCGAAACAGAGTCGAAAGAGACAGAGAGTCGCAGGATATCGGAATAGCTTCGTTGAAGTTTTGTATTTCAGCTCGACACTGGTACTGTACCGTTTCGTACTTCGGCATCTTCCTATACCTTCGTTTTAGGCTGCACATCTTCACATCCTCCTATACGTTCAACAGTCGAGTCCTGCCACCTTACCATGGCGCTGCTCATCGATGTATATATCATTGTCGCGTGGTCGCTTCGCCGGTTGCATAGCAAGAGCTGGTGGGTGTCCATTCGCCTCAATCGAGTGAATCTCGCCCGTGAATCCAGCCATACTCGCATCGCTTCCGCGGTGATCCTCCTGCGTATCCACGCTATACTCATCGCTATTCATTTCATCGTCCGTCACCATTTGACCATGAATCGCTTCAGCTCTAGCACCACCATCCGTCTCTCCACTGCTGCCATTCGATAGGCGATAGAGACAGCTCTCCGGTCCACCTTCCTAAGGATCTCTGAATGCGTCTATTACCAGAGATATGACCACCATATATGCACCGTCCTCGCCCCAAGTATACGCAGCATCCCAACCACTGTCCTCCAAAGTGTGATTCATGATTTGGACAGCCGCATGGAACATTGTTTCATCCACATCGCCATGTTCACGTGGGTACCATACGCCCTGTGGCAATGCCTTGTCGTTCTGCGTGCATACGTTTAATATCCTGATGGCGTGCGTTATGCGGTCCATTCGCAATTACCTCCACATCTCATGTGGCCGGTATACAGCCTGGGGAGACCACCAAGTCTTGGTATGATCGCATCAGCCTCTTGAGCTGTCTCAGCACACCCTAACCCCACAGACAGTCCAGCCCTCAGCCTTGCCTACCTCCGTCTCCCTCCCAAACCACTTCTTCACCATCTCAGCAACAAATACCCTATCGCTCTCACTCCAAGGATCCAGACTCAAGTTCCTGACATCTTCAGCGGAAACACTCACAGCATCCTCCGAGACGCCGGCCTCGGTCTCGTCATCGGCGCCGTCGACGAGAGAAGCTAGGCTCGTGATGATGTGGGTGGTCAGGCGGTGGAAGTAGGATGTCAGTAGAGTGGCGGTTTCAGCTTTCGAGCTCAGACCTTCTTGATTGTTGTCCGCGGTCGGGGTTGTGGTATTGTTGTCAGTCGAAAGAGCATCATGGATCTCTGGAAGCTCTGCTAGAAGTTCTTGCTCAAGGAGCAGCTCTTCTTCTGCTTCGTTGTCAAGATGATTGGCGCCGGCTGATGCCCACCAGATTGCTGCGTTGTATGCTGCGGCAGTCCAGCTGACAGGCTCGACAATCTCACTCTCATCGTGCTGAACGTCGTTGGTTGCAGAATTTGTCTCCACTAGCAATGCGTCCTCGGCTCCATCATGGTGGTCGCTCTGTAAAATGCCTAGGCGGCGCAGCTCTTCTCGCAGAAGTCTATACCTGCGCAGATCGCGCTGACTAGCTCTGATGATCTTACCTTCCGATGTGGATAGTCGTGGCCAGCGCCGCTTCGACCCCGGACTCGCTGGCGGAAGCTCTACTAGCAGATCATACAGCGTCTTCTTCTCTCCTAGAATGTCATCTGTAGTCGTAGCCACATATCCATTGGCACCGGATCTGCTTGTGAGTGTGGTCATGTCCGCAATACCAATGCTGAACAGGCTCTCAGTTCTGGCCAGCTCATCTACGGCATCAGGCTGTAGCGCATCTGCTGCAGCGTGGGTTATACTGGAGAGGATGGAGAGAATGTAGACGGTGCTGCAGCTTTGCTGAACAGGAGGGGAGCCAAGCAGGAGGATGCGCTGTCGTGACAGAGCTGCACGATAGATTGGAAAGATCAAAGGTCCAAAGGTTTCCAGGAAATCGTGCATGTGCAGGGCAGGGTGGTCTGTAGCCTTGCCATCGCCGATATGAAGGCCTTCCGTGGCATTCGACACCGCTCTCTTCTTTTTCATCCCGGCACCGGATGATCGTCTACTTTGCTCTGGCGAGGCAGATTGTCCCGAGGTGCCATTGTCTGCCCTATGGTTCTTCCAGTACAACTCAATGACTCGATTGTCTTGACCATGCTTAAGTTGCTGCCGCGCCAGCTCCCGTAGACCAGACGCGTGTAGCCAGCTCTTCCCCAGCTGGGTCCCGTTGAGTGGAACCAGCACACCGACCGCACAGAAGAAGGCGTTCCGATGGGATTCGTCTGCGACGTCCTGGGCAAAGGCACTGATGCCGGCATACTGTCCATCGCCATGGACGAAGTATACAATGTCTTTCTTCACTCCATGTAGTCCAGATGGCAGTGATCTGAATTCCACGCCGGAGAGATCAAGATCGGGTAGTGTCCGTTGCCAGGCGATGGTGTAGCTGAAGGTAGCAGTAAGTGGGAGCGAAGGATTGTATGAAAGACGAGCGACCTACGTACCCTACCTTTTGGTCGAAGATGACTCGGAACAGCGCTGCTATTGGTGGCGCGTCATGCGAAGCCATCGTCTTGGCGAATGCTGCTGTGGCATTGATTGTATCTTAGTCTTCGCCTATTATGCCTGGTGGTTCGCAACCAGTGGTGTGCTCCTTAGCAATTCGTCATGGAATTCCAGCGTTCTCAAGAAGATGCACTGATCAGTGGGCTGGTTAGCAATGTAGCTAACGAGCGGACTAGCAAAGAAATACGAGTATGGGTCTAGTTTTGGCTTGACTTCATTAAAGACCTATGTCCTCGCTAACGTAGCCATACCCTACGACTTCTTCGCATTACCCTGCCCATACGGCCACAACATGCTTGAGACACTCGCTAAGTCCATGTTATCACCATTGTCTTGCTTGGAAACCATGGTCCGGACCATCGATGACCTGTTAGCCCATTTCTGGCAGGGGTAGATACCCTCATGAAGCTACGAAGCTACCCGCTCGTACTTGCTACATATATAGCAGAACAAGTCCTTCGTTGTAATTCGAGGCTCATCAGCTAAAGTGCCATATACACTTCCACTTGTCCCTCATCATCCTACGTCTCAATTCTGTTAAGATGTCTTCCAAGAGCAACTAAGCTGCTTTGATGCTTTCGCCAGGAGCACCTCTTATTGTCACTCCTGCCGAAAACGCTTCGCCCGGTCCAGACGAACTGCTGGTCAGGAACCACGCCTGGGCGTTCAACCCCGCGGACTGGAAGGCACAAGCCTTTGGTCTGTATGTCCATTCATATTCAGCGGTGTTTGGCTGCGATATGGCTGGTGAGGTGGTAAAGGCGGGAAGTGGAATCAGTAGATTCCAGGTCAATTATTAAGCACCGAGGGGCCACGTTGAATCCTCGACTGATGCTTTGCTTTGCAACAGGTCGGCGACCGTATCGCCGCCGTTCCACTCGGTGCCATCACCCAGAATCCACGCGAGCAAGCCTTTCAGACATACACCATCGTGCCAGCCTGCTGTGCCCTTGTGATCCCACCACAGATGTCCTGCGAAGACGCAGTCAAGCTTCCACTAGGTCTGTTTACCGCTGCTGCTGGGCTATACGAGGAGCAGTATCTCAACCTACCTTTGCCGAAAGCGACTCCTGTGCCAAGCGGTAAGACCTTACTGGTATGTGCCGGCAGCTCAAATGTCGGATCTGCGGTCATCCAGTTGGCGCTCGCGTCCGGGGTAGAAGTATGTGCCACTGCGTCGAAGGAGAACGCTGATTTGGTCAGAAGTATGGGAGTGGAGCATGTGTTCGATCATCATGATAACAAGGTCGTGGATGATGTATCAGCTGCGCTCAGGGGCCGTGATGTGGTTGGCGGTTTTGATCGTAAGTCTCGTCGACATGGTTTCCACTGATAGCTCAAGGATGGCGCCCATGACTGATCAGCTCTACAGCTATAAGCAGCAACGCCACCATTGTGCTGATGGCCAAAATCTTGAGCGGGATCGGCAGTAGCAAGCTGGTCACAACCTTGCCAGTCAAGGATACATGGCCGCTTCCAAGCAGCGTTCATGTCAAGCAAGGTATATCCCCCCTTACCGGGTAGGGCACGTAGAGATGAGAAAAGCGGGTTCACATCCAGTCCTCATATCGGCAAAGAAGTCTGGGAAGACTTCATGCCGCAAGCGCTGCGCTCTGGCCAGATTCGCCCAGTGCTGAGAACGAAGATTGTAGGCAAAGGACTTGATGGCATCCAGACAGGCCTCGATGAGGCGAAGATAGGTGTGAGTGGGACGAAAGTCGTCGTGCCTGTTTAGTGCGGCTCGAAGATCTGAGCGGATCGTACTCTTAGTTGAACGTCGCGGTTGGGATAGAAACGAGAGCCTGCCTGCTACAGGTCTGAACCTTCTCAAGACCTGACCTGCTCGCAGCCCGGGCCGAGCGTTCGAAGACTCTCTCGAAGTACTATCACCTCAAGTACTGCTGAACCCTGATACAGTGGCACATTGCATCGTATGCAGTTTGAGAGCAGCAACGGTCTGAAGTCAGGTTGATATCGGCGGAACGGCGCTCAGTCTCTTGTTACGATTGCTCTTGATCTATGGTGGCACTGGAAGCTCAACGTCCATTAAGCTGGCGCATGTTCTGGCTGAGCTGTTGGAAGTGGTACGATTCGACGGCATTTCGATGGTTACTTCAACTGCCTCCGCAAGGCCTTTTCGACGACTGCAAGCCCTCATCATTTCCTTTAGGCCTTTATGCCTGCTGATGTTCGAACTTGCTCCTTAAGATACATAGAATTCTGGTGGTTAGGCAATGATGTGGCTGGTGGAATTATAGCTGTGTTTGTTCGTCATAGTACGCAATATAAGAAGGGCTGACTTCGTGCTGTGCTCCTCTTTACATGGCTGGTATTTGAGTATACGATGACCTGTGTACTAGGTTTATCTCGCATGAAAAGAAGACGTTAAAAGAAGATCTTTCACCCGACACTATATCCTACTCTATGCCGACGTACTCGACCTTATTCCACACGTCGCTGGCTGGCAGTCCTTTTGACAGGCTCATACAAGTAGGCACCACGCCTCGTACGGTCGCGCCGAAAGAACTTCTCTTGTGGTCCACCATCTGGCCCCTCATCCTCACTCGCCTCACCAGCATCTCGTTTCCGCTTCCTCACTTCTGCATCCTTCGCTGCCCGCTTCGCCTCCGCTTTGCGAATTGCTTTGCCGCCCCGCTTCGACCGACAATATGTGTCCCTATAAGGCAATCTGTTCGGAACCATCGCCACCGAAACATTTCTCTTCGTGCTCGGTGCAGGATCGGTGACAGTGTACGATCCGGCACTGCTTGAATATGGCTGGCTTGATGGGGAATGAACAGGGTTGCCGAACAGTGTGTTGCGAGGCGCCGCGGGCTTGACTTCCAGCATATGCTCGAACAAAGAAGGACCACCAAGAAGCTGTACAAAGTAGCCGACCTTGTCATGTTGTAGGTCCTTCAGCACCGTGAAGAACAAAGACCATGCTGCCTTCCATTTCCACTCATCGTCTGAGTAGAACTTGCCAGTCGAGATCACAGCTGGTATGGGATAATAAGCCATGACTATTCCCTGTGCGTGTGCACAAGCCATCGACTGAGCAGCCTATCCTGAGGCGTATCTCTTGGTCGTACTACGCGTCGGGTACTGTTCTGCTGAGCGGGGACTTTGATCTTGCCCTTTAGGCTCTTGAGCTTGCTAAAGTCGTCCAAAACGTTGTGAAGCTGATCGTGGTGTTCACGCTTGTCGATGTGCTCGCGCTTGAATTGCATCAGAGTCATTCGAGTCTCGTCATCGCAGATCCAGAGGCGGAAGCTCTCCTTCGACACGTTACGGTCGCCTTCCCACATGTATGATAGCAGGCCCCGGAAGAATGTTGTGCTCTCCATACTGCCAGCGTATGATCCACCGGTCGCTGGACGTGGGCGATTTGTGCAGAGCCATGTCTCACCCCTACCCGTTACGGTCCGCTCTAGATGGTAAGGTCTTACTGAATTTGACATCCTGTCTCGTTGTCGATCGCTAGGCGTTGCCGCGCATAGCTCCGATAGTCGAGTCGAGGATCTATTGAGCTGATTCGGATCTCGCGTGCGAGCTCGATGCTTGGCGAGACTCCTTTCTTCGGCCAGAGTCGGTCAGCAGAGTATTCATTCGACCCGACGAGCGACCCCTGACTCGCTCCTTCCCAGACTACAGCTCGGTCCTTCCCGAAGTACGGGAAAATGCCCAATGACTTGCAGATCTTCAGTGACCACCACATACACAAGGTCTGAGCACCTCCGTATCGCCGCCAAACCGCAAGTACAGAAGGCGGTATGAAGTCGGGAGAAGTTGCGTCCGACTCGAAGGAAGCGGGGCGTATGTGTCGCCGGAACAAGCGTGGCGGCAAAGTTGTCCGCAAGGCGATTGCTAGGGCGGCTTTGAGGCAAGAGGAGGAGAACAAAAGGATTCTTGAAGCTGGAGGTGTTATCAAAGAGCCGCAACGAGAGGTCGGAGAGCGCCAATTCTTTCGTCGCGATCGTACGAAATGGGGCCCTGGGTCAATGAAGCCAGTCATGAAGCACCAGGGGACGTGAGCCATTTGGGTGAGGACGAGCGATAACATGTCGGAGTGGTCAGTAACGTACAGGCATGGAACAGATGAAAGTATTTCTTGGGACGCTCGTCGGCGAGAGATTGGATGCTAGCCTCAGCGAGTGTGATACTTCGGTGGACTTGGGTCCTTGTGAATTAGCGAGACACGCACCACCTCGTCATAGCACTCTGGCCAGATGTATACATGGCGCACATCGTACCTCAAGACTCGAACTTGTCCTCAAGCAGATGCAGTGGTCTGCTGACGATGGGAGTCATTGTGCTAGCGAACACATTTGTCGTCGCTCTTCGGGAAGCACAGCAGCGGGTCTCGAGACAGCATCGGCACGCACATCGCTTTCACTTGTCGTATGCATCTGCAAAGACTTGGCGTCATAATTGCCTTGATTCCTGATCCAGCCTGAGACTGACCTGCAAATCCACGCACTTTGCCTCATGGCACACAACGGTTAGCACGGAAGCATCTCCACTCGTCTCGTGACTCTGGAGTTGTACGTACTGCAGATCTCTCCATTATTATACACTTTATACACTTCAAGACATTGACCCGTCCGAAACAGTCCTAAGCATGGAAGCTATGGTCATCTGTTCGCAGCCATGTGCTCGTGCCACGTTCTTGAGACCATCTCCAAACAAGCAAACTCGAATGCTGGTGGTTGAACGGATCGCCACCGCACTGTACCGCCAGGATCATATAGGTGACACAATGGCATTGTCTGGTCCTCGTGCTCCAGCAAGAAGAGCCTGGCAGGGCAAGATGAACCTAAGCAGGCCACGCCTGGGCCTATGCACTCTTCATATAGCTCCAGCGCTTACTCTGACCGGATCATGGCCGCGACGCCAGGCCACTGCCTTGCAACCCAATTGGCTGGCAGTCGACGTACGCAATATCTGCAGCGGTAAGACGGGTGTGGTGCAGTTTGAGGTTGGAAGACAGCTTGAATGAGTGGACGAGAGCTCACGGCCAGCCATGTCGTCTGTTCTAAGCGCCCATGGCCCCGCTATTGGTTCGTTGGCACAATGGCTTGGCAGAATAACGCGGACTATATGCCCATAAGCAGAGATTACTGAGCTATTGATATCGCGACTATATGCAGCCGCCCACACTTGCGTTTGGAGATCTGCGGCCGGCCGATCTGACTTGTATGAGGCCGCATGTGTCGTTGAGATGTGGAAGCGAGGTGTGGGAGTTCAGGATTGCTATCGTTGGGATGACGCAGTCTGAACACGCAATCGGAAAGTCCAGTCTCCAGGTAGCATTGCCCATACAGATACGAATTACGGCGAAATTCGAGGTGAGGTTGTCTGGAGGAAGATGTCGCGTGTGGAGTTGGAACGGTAGGATCATGTCGACCCATGTCTAGCGCCAACCGCCACTGAATTCTTAATTTGGAGATGTATGTTAGCCGCCCGGACTGCAGACCTTGAGGGAGGACAATGTCAGCCATGTATATAGAAATGCTCCGTCTGGCGCGAAAGGGCTGCAGACGACATTGTCATCCTTCTTACGCCGTCCTCTTGCCTTGCAGCTGTCAATATCTCCCTCTTCTCTTCGACTTCGAGGCTCTGGACTTGTGTTGGAACAACGAGGTCGACGACGACCATTGATCGATTGATTGACGACGAACGATAGTGATACGACATGCTCTTCTCACAAGCAAGCTTTGTGCTTGCAATGATGGCGACAGTCTCGGCAGCGCCTTGGGGCGGATGGGGAAGCTGGGGCAACAGTGCTGGACGACCATGGTGGACTCCCTCACAAGCATCATCATATCTTGAATTTGGCAAACGTTTTCCTGGAGCCAATACAAACGCACCAACGTGTGACATGTCACAAGCAGTGATGCCAGCGTGTAAGCATAATCCTGAGCCTCATCCAAAACTATCGTTTGCTGACCCACGGTCAAGCAGCATCGCCACTCCCAGCACCAGCAGCCGGCCTATCGCTGTCCCACGTAGCCATCGGACGCGGAACACAAAACTACACCTGCGATCTCGCAAATCAGACCGCCATACCTGTAGCGGTCGGTGCCAAAGCAACCCTCTTCAACGTCAGCTGCATCGCCGCAAGTAGCCCCAGTCTCCTGGCCAAACTACCCGACATCGCTCTCCAACTTCCTATCCCATCGTCAACAGACCAGACCAACCCAGCCTACACGGACATGTCAGGTCACCACTACTTCCTCGATGCCACGACTCCCTTCTTCAACATGGACACGGCGTTACACCAATACGGTACCGGTGCTTTCAAGAAGACCGGTTCTGCCGCCGCCCCGAGCGATGCGATGGTCGGACAGAACAATCAAGGCAATGGTGCCGTCGCCTGGCTCAAGCTCGACGCAAAGACCAGCTCCGGCCAGATCTTCCAGGAAGTCTATCGTCTCAACACAGCTGGTGGCAACCCGCCAAAGACTTGCGCCGGTATGCCGGCGGCGTTTGAAATAGAGTACGCGGCTGAGTACTGGCTGTGGGCGGCATGATGATCATGGGGTATTGCTTTGTTGTTCTTATTCTTGCCTTTCTTGCTACGCACTCCAGCGGCATTGGGTGGCGTGATTGGCGAATGGCGTGCCTTGTCACCTGCTTTTGGTTACATAGATACCTGCGGCCTTGCATGGTCAGCACTTCTTTTGGGGTGGATCTTCCTTCGTATGCGACACGAAACAGATTAATACAAGACTACATTCGAGTTCATGATGGCTGTCCATCGTTTCGTTTATGATGCAGCAGGCGCCTGACATCCATTCGAGTCTGGGTACGGAGAAAGCATGGTTGTCTCTAAGCTTTCCGTTCCGCCAGTGGGCCTTGCTGGGGCGGCCGATCTCTACTGTAAGCGCCCTGGGTATCTACACCGACCACATTATGCTCAAATGATTTCGCTACATGCCATGGCTGCCAGTAGCCGAGTTTGCCGCACAGTAATTTTCATGTAATACTACCCTCTCGTACAATTCCGATCATGTCGTAGGCTGTACGTATGTACCCTTTCACACCACGGTTACTCATGCTTTCCAACTTCTCATGCATCACCGAAAACTCAGACTTCGCAGAGCATCCTTCTTCCAATCATCGCTCTCCTGCCTCGAATGATTCGCCACTCTCAATCCACCACCACGGCCGCCAGCGCCGCCATCACCCACAGCGTGTAGTCCAAGAGTCGGTGACACAGGGCGATAATCAAGATACGTCGACGGAGTCGATCCCTGCGCTGGCTCCGGCTCCCGCTCATGATGTGTACCAAAGTCGAAGTCGTCGCCTGGGGCATACGTCGCTTGCATCTGATACTCGTCCCTCCCACCCATCATACTGCCGCTCGTCGGCGCCTGCTGATGTCGATGTAACGAGTCCGGCGAATCGAAACTCGTGGGTTCGACAGGTGAGTAGTCTAACGTCGTGTTCAGCTGCATCTGCGTGGGTCTATGCGTCTCGTTCGTAGGCGTAACATCACTGCGTGTGGTCCCTCTATCATCCATCCCATCTCCATATGTCGTCTGGGAATCGTGCCGTGCATGTCCGTGATTGGTAGTCTGTAGTGTGAGAGGCTCACCCTCCATGATAGGCGGCTCTTCTGACAGAGGCATGTGTGTCACACTCTCCACATTACGAAGAGAGCTTCCACCTGTCAGCGTCGCTCGTCTGAGGCTCCCACCTGCGGCACCAGAATGTGTGCTACCTCGTCTGCCGTAGCCGTCTTCGGGCACGACGGTGCCCACGCTGCCTTCGGCATCGGGATCACGTATGCTGAATTGAGCGATCGTGCGCATTTTGCGACTGACCCAGCTTGCAAGGATCTTGCCTCGTTGCTTCTCACCTAGTCGCGAGCGCGGGAAGTCGCCGAGAGCGACAAAGGCGACGATATCCAGCACGAGCTGATGCTCATTCAATACCGCATTGACAATGACCGGTACCAAGCTCGCCAGAAACGCCCTCGTCCGCACCTCAGCAATCAATACTAACAGACTCCCAGCCTGGAAGATTGCACACCCACCCTTCGCTATCGCGCGATGTGCGCGCTCGGCTGAAGTCTCAACGTCCATGGGAAAGTGTTGCAAGCCACAGACCTCGAACGTTTCGCCGATGCTTCCCAGAACGAAGAGGACCTGCATATCCACCATATTGCCTCCCGGCCCAATAGGCCGCGAAACATTGTGCAAAAATCCGAGATCCCCTGTCCTCATATACCGCGCCGAGGGGTCACCGTCTACAGTCCTCCCATTGAATCTTTCCGTGTCGAAGGCATCTGTTGTACCATAGAAAGAATGCGCGTTTGCCTCGGACTGCACCCAGATCTCACCGTACTCGCCCACAAGACACAGGTGGTTGGTCTCGGGGTTCACGATGCTGATTTGGGTGCTCACGGGCACCATACCAGAATCTTGCATCATGAGCGCGAACGGCTCCTGGTCTGGGTCCACCGGCACAACCAGGCCTCTCCGCAGCGAATGCGGGTCCAGGTAGAGTTCGATAGGCTCAATACACATGTAACTCCTACTCGCCACCATGGGGTTGAGGACGTGAGAGTAGATTGTATTGATCGCCGTTCGGTCCAATCCGCTCTGCGCGAAAGCCATGCGCACGCGATTATAGACATCCATCCTCGGCCTCTGCTCAGTCGAAATCATCAAATTCTTCAACTCAAGCAGTGGCGTTGTCTTACCCGCATTATGTCCGATTGCATGATCGAGCATCTGTGCGGTGGCATAGGTATCCTTGATCTTATACCGACTTATCGTCTGGAAAAGAATATTCGGGTTCCCGGCGAAATCTACCGGCGAGACCAGGTATGTCGGCGAAGCGAGGAAGATGCCCATGATGCAGGTGTGTAGGAAGCCCAAGCCCATGGTGCTGCGCACACATCCCAACACAGGCCGGGTAGAAGTCATCTGGCACGTCTCCTTTTGCACTTTGCAAAGAGCCATGATATTGCTATGACCCAGCTGCACTGCTATCCGTCGCTGATCAGGAGTCCAGTACGTGAAGACGATGACCGGATACCCTGCCGCTATCCACGCAGGCCGGATCGTCAATCCAAGCTCTCGACAGCCATGGCTCTGTTTCGGCGGCTTGGTCGTATTATAAGTAGGCGGAATATGCACCTTCAAAATAAGGGCACTCTGCTTCAAATGCTGACTCACCGCTTTCTGCTTCAGCAGGGCATCCACATCCGCGTTGACGAGCACGGCTTTGATCCGGAAGTCGGCCATCATATGCAGCAGTGCCGGTGCATCTTCGCTCAGGCGATTACTGTCGATCGGCGCCATAGGCACCGCGATCGCCCCCAGACAGATACAAGCATGTACCGCGTAGACGAAGTCCTCGCTATGCGTATACATCAGTAACAAATGATCGCCGGCCTGAATCTTTACCTTATTCTTGAGATACTGCGCCACGCCCGCAACCTTCAAATCAAACTTCTTCCAGTTCACCCCCTTGCCTTCTCTTCCTCGCCCATCAATAGTACAATAACTCAACTCCTCCGCTTGCCGCGAGACCCGCCACTGCAGAAGATCATGGATATTGCTGAATTGATTTAATGGCGTGCTCGTCCGATCATCGATCACCACCTCCCTATGATCAACACCTGAGTACTGCTTATCCGCATGCAAGGCCAACATATCCTGCCGCACCTGACTGGACAACGGACTCCACACCCCACCCGCTGGATCATCACCCAAAGGCAAATTCTGCACCGCCCGCTCAACGCCAAATTTGACGTGCACGCAGGGGAGGTTCCCGTTGTCGAACTCCTTCCTACACAGCATGTTCCCGATGTCCCGTCTCCCATTCTTCACCACACGCGGTAGTGTGCTGGGTGCAGTCATCATGACGCAGTAGACCCGGAGGTGATGTTCCTGGTACAAGACCTCCATGACCCGCTCACTCAGACTGTCCAAGAATGGAATATCCAGCTGCCTAGGCGGTCCTCCTGTAGTGGTGGGCGCGGTACTGGCGGCTTGTGTCTCAATCAAAATTATGGGTAGGTACTCGCCGTTCACATGCGCGTCGAAAGCCGAACAATCGTAGATCTTCGGCACCGTCTTCATGACTGTGAACACGAGATGCTGGACGAAGAAATACCGATGCTCGATCTCATGCGCACCATGCTCGACCCACTCAACCCGCTGGCGTATCCTATCCTCATAGAGTCCCAGCACGAACACCTTTCCCTCAATCACGCACCCTAGTAGTCCCGTGCGCAAAAACTCGGGCTCGACTAGCACGGGTGTCGGACTGCCCTCGACAAAGTGATACGGTCGGGCATGGAAGATCGTCTCGGTATGTTTCGGGAGCGCCCAAAATCCTCCCGATAGAGAAGGCGAATCGACCCAGATTTCACCTACCGTAAAAGGCGGACACAGCAGATTCGTCTCCGGATCGACGAGCGCCAGGGTGGCATCTGGTAACGGGTACCCGAACGCCCCCGCCCTCACAGTACCAGGCTCGTTCGCTCGTTTCCGTGCCTCCTCGCCCATAGCCAGAACAACGACCTCATTCGTCTTCAGACTCTCCTTATCCAGCAGAACCTCACTTAACTCCGTCCGCCTCCTCTTCCCTCCTAACAGACCCCTCTTCTTCTCATTCGCCCCACCACCCAGCAAACTCGAGTAATTGTTCCCTCCATTCCCTGTCGCCGGACTCTCAGGCTCATCTTCACTCTCCTCATCCTGCATGATACTGAGTGGACAACCCATTCTCTCCTCCCCACCCAACCAATCCCGCACACTGATGATCATCCCTCCATGCTCAGGTAAACACAGCATAGGCGCCACCAGCTCTCTCGCCCTCGTATTCCTCATAGGCCTCAGCCAGCGATCCGCCAGAATTTCATGGAACTCCGTGTCCACGGTCAAAGAATCGATCAAACACAACTTCAAACAAGAGAAATTCGGTTCCATCTTCTTGGTAAAATTCCGAGTGGCCATGGGATCCTGCTGGTAATTATACGCCGCTCGCTTGAGGCCGGGATAATCCGCTACCAGCAGCGTCGCACGATATTTCGTGATCAAGTTGGCGTACATGCCTGGCGTGTCCACCGTTTTGCTCTCGAGCCATACCGTCGTGTGCCCGCCATACACACCCAACAACACGCCCAAGATCAACCCACATCCTTCGCGGGGATCAAGGTACGAGAGGATGATCTCGCTCTTGCTGGACCGGGGTACCATATACGCCCCTTCCGCCGTCCTCAAATTCGCCGAAAAGGTATCTTTGTCCTCATTGCCTTTGGGGATGGTAGAGACCATCGCGCTCAGACAAGCCATTTGATGCATAATCGTGCGATGCGATAGCACTACTCCCCGAAGGTCTCCTGTCGGGGCGCGGGAGAACTCAATATAAGCCAGATCGGGAACCTGCAGCGGCTGATTCTCCTCCTTCTTCTTCGGATGGTAGGATCCAAACTCATTCGTCTTCCACCATTCCACGCCAGGCGGCCACTTCAATTTCTGCGCCGAGATGTCCCGTTGGAAGATCTTGAGGTTGTTGTCCGTCGTCAACGCCAAATGCGCCTGCGTCGTCGTAAGTAGCAAGGATAACTTCTGATAATCGTCCACATTATTGATCGGGACCGCCACCACACCAGCAATAAAGCAGCCTAACAATGCAATCGCGAAATCAATCGTCTCGATATCCCGATATACCAGCGCCACCCGATCTCCTCGATACAAGTTCGATTTATCCCGTATCAACTGCGCCACTTTCTCCGCCCGCGAAGTCAACTTCTCCCAGGTTATGGAGCTGACCTCCTTTCCCTTTGAGTCAACTATCCAGTACGCTGGCTGCCGCGCCTGCATCTTGCCTCGATGCCGCAGTACCGCACCTATGTTGTCGAATTGTGACATTGGGATGTTGTTGTTATGCGGATCGTACACAGCGAACGGCACATCTCGGGGCTCGAGCGGGAGCTGGTGGATTGGTGCCGTAGGTAGTTGACTAAGCGGTGGCGGGATAGCAGCGGTGGGTGAAAAGGCCTCGCCTGCTGAATATCGTTGTGGTCCACCGTAGGAGTCCTGGGCTCGATCGTCCATCATTTGCGTGGCTGTGAAGTCACTGAAGTAGCCTTGGGAATCGCCTAGCATGGTGCTCCTCCTACTATCCCCGCCATCCGGTGATGTCCAACCTTGTTGATGTTGTTGTTGATCTTGAGGTTTGTTGTCCGGGTTGAAAGCATAGTCCGAGTTCACCATCGTTCCATTGTTCGAGCTATACTGGCTTCCAGCGCTCTGTGGTCTTCCGCTTCCTGCTACTCCACCATACGATCCATACGAAGTTTGCCTTTCCCTATGCATGCCCAACTGCTGCTCCTGGAACCGCTGCACCTGACTCGGCGGTCCCATATCTCCAAACCCAGGGGTCGCAGGCTGCAGACTAAAAGCTGGCGCCCCTCCTCCACCATGACCGAGTGTATACGGATCCCGCTGACCATCACTTCCCGGACTCATGCTTGGATCGTAGCCCTGCTGTGCGTACGGACCAGCCGTGAAATCGCCGTAGCCTCCATCTTCCATCTCGCTACCATTATTCCCACCTCGTCCGCGCCCGTACGACGAGGTCTCCGCGTTGTGTACTCTCAACCCTTCGGTCAGTTGGCCGATTTGCTGCGGACTCATGAATTGGCTCATGATCATCGTCCGTCTCTTCTCGTACCCTTTGCGCGTGATGTCGCCTTCCTCCAACTCATGGTCGAGCTGCTGGAGTTTGGCTTGCAGCTCTGGCTGCTGTTGAGACTCTGCCATCGTATTTTATACTTGCCTCTATCACGGGCTTGACGAATATGAGCTGTGTATACAAAGGTGAACTCGCTATCCGGTCATGCGTCCAATGTCCGGGCTTGGCAGATACTGATGATCGCACTCATGTGCATCGCACCATCCTCGAGACTCCAATGGCAAATCCAGAGTAGTCAATCCGAACAAGTCATGCAGCCCGTACCACAGTAAACACAATTATCCCGGGCCCCTGTACCTGACGAGGGAAAACACAGCTACACAACACGAAACGGAACAAAGTACACTCGGCAAGCCGCATCAAAAGATCGGCGTCATGAGAGACCAATCGCGTGGGGTATCAAACTCTACTGAACAACTACCGAAGACCATGACATTACTTTCTACATGATCACCCAGAATCTCCACAGAAGACGAGGTAAAGATGGCATGAATTGAGGCAAGAGAATGGGAAAAGTCGTAAAGTGATAGGTATTCGCCTTAGTTTCGACGATGTGATTTCATCCTTCCGGCTCGCCACCCAAACATGGCAGGCAGAGCTCTATGTACACACACACATCCAGAGCAGATCCGCTATGCAACAAACGGATTTTCAACTCGCACATTCGGCGCAAATATCTAATAAGTAAAAGCCTCCTCCACGAAATCCACCGCCCCCTCCTCCACCACCGTCCTCACAGCCTGCCTTACGCTATCAGCAAAAGCTCCAGGCCCACAAACTGTCACCCCCATCGCCCCAATCCTCTCCGCAAATTCCCTCTCCACAATCGTACTCGGGTTACACCTGCCGGGAAACATCTGCACGGAGCCCGTATTACTGATCACCTCCGCCCGATGCCGGGGTTTGGTAACAAACAGCTGAATCCTCAAGACATCCCGTCGATTCTCCATCCGCAGGATCTGATCCATCCATTTTCGCACCCATTCTAGGGCTTCGGTGTTCGGGACGGACCAGACCAGAAGGATCTTTTGCGTGGAAGAGGTCCCGGCTTGGTGTTGGAGGAGCAGGTGGTGGACGTAGCCTACGCAGTGGGTGATTCCGACGCCGCCGGCGAAGAGGACGACGGTGCCGTAGGAGGTCATGGGGTCGTGGCCGCCGTAGGGGCCTTCGATCGCGCCCCAAGTGGTCAAAGTCTTGGTCGGGGCTTTGTTGGCTGCTTCGTAGAGTTTGCGGGTCATGCCTGTTCGTGCTCTCATCACAAGTGAGACCGATGTCACGGCCGCGTCGCGCTTGAGAGCGATGTTAGTGCTCTCGGGTGCGTGCGTGGCTTCTGCTATCGTTTTCACTGTCGGTGCTGCCATGCTCTTGCTTGAGTACATTGACCGGCGTGTGAGGCTGGGATCTGTCATGACCTTGTCTTGTAGGCTCATATCGGTTGAAGCCATCTTCTCCATCTCGATCATGGGTGGCTGAGCACGAGGTGTGCTTTCCGCCCAGGCTATCGAGAAAGGGTGGCTTGACAAGAGTGCAAAGGTTGGGAGGTATGCGTGGACGTGGCAGCCGGGCTTCCAGTGCCATGGTCTTGACAAGTCGAATGTCACTCTGCAGGCTTCCGAGGGTAATGCTTCAACTGTCACTTTCGTGATACCGTGTTGCCGACTGACATTGTGGTAGACGATCCGGCAAGCTCGCCAGGCTAGTTCGAGGGCGTAGAAGACGATGATCAGCTGGATGTAGGGCAGCTGTGGCAAATTCGCCTTGTAGATGTGTACGAAGACTGCGCTCACACCAAGAACAATCAGTCCACGGTGCAGGAAGAGGAAAGTCTCGTAAAAGGCGTGTCGGACTGGGCTCAGTGACTGAACCAAAATCACACCAAAGACACACGTTCCTACCATTCCCCAAGCATAGCTCGTGCTCGTCGCAAGCGAGACATGAACTTGATGCATGCCACCTGCCGCAATGGCGTTCACCGCCCAGCAGACGGTGTGGACGATTGACTCGAAGATTGCAACCCTCGCACACCATCTGTGCATGAGGTTGAAGGTGTCGTACGAGACCCGCGTGATAGGTATAAGCGGATTGTTGCGGAGTGCGAAGAGCACCGTCGGTATCAAGTTGAAGGCGGCGAGGGATCCAGATCGTCCTCGCAGCTGTGCAATGACTGAGTACTCGTCTTCCCGCGTCCAATCCAGTGCTAGACACCATGCCACATTCGTCGCCAGGTACAGCAGCAGTAAGAGTGTATGAAACCTCGAAGGCAAAGTCCCTATGCTCACAGCTTTCGACAGCTGGATTTCTCGGTTATGCCTAACCTTCCACAGTGGCGAGTATAGTAGCCTGTTTTTAATCATAGGCCAGTATTGAGAATGGTTGTACATCCAGAATCTCTGATCCTCTTCTCGCCGCGAGCCCATCGTAAGCAGATGCCGTAGATGAGCATTGCCCATGTGAACCCATCGGTACCCCAGCGCCACCACTAATAGCACGCAGAATGCTATGATGAGGATATTGATGAAGAGGTAGTTGTCCGTCTGACTGACGCCATCGAGGCCATGTGAGTATGGTGATGCTGCGCTTGTGGTGTTGATAAGATCGCCAAAGTCTGTCGCAGGTCCTTGACTGGGTTGTGGTATCGCACTGGGCAGCGTAAGAGCGAATCGTGGTGCCATGCGTGGTATGGTTGTTCTTATGTCATGTTGTTGAAGAGTATCGTCAGTCCTGCTGGTAAGGAAGTAATTGATGAGGCCATGACCGGGCATGATGGAATGGGAGGGCCCAATCGAGGGCCAAGTAGCGATGGTCGCGTGCGTTGCTAGCCGCCGGGGCTTCTGGTATGCGGGTTGCGTAGGACGATGATGTAAGTCGCCTTTGCGAACAGAATTTACTACGCTTCCAGAGCGGTTTCTCTTCTTCTTTTGCGATTCAGCACCTTCGGTAGTCACGACGTCTTTCCTGCGCGAAAGATGATCTGATCGGCTTTGCTTAAGTGGCTCGCTTTGAGCAACAATGGCTATGTCGCCTGAATGATCTGCTGGACAAAGCGAAAGTGGCCAGAGCTAATTTCAGTCATTGTTCCATTGTGCGTATCATGACGTGGTCCTTCATACTGCTGTATCGTGGTTGCTACGCTGGTGGAAGCGGTGGAATCCCAGTGAAGAGTTATTACGGTCGGAGCCTGCGCTGCTGCTCCTTGTGCGAATGTAAGCGGTCAATAGTCAAGGCGTGACAGACACTTCAACATGAAGCTCTCATCTATCTTGCTCTGCGCGACTAAGCGGACAGCGAACGACAATAGAAAGGAAGCATGAATAGTGGAAGCGGTTAATGGGGTGGAAGTGAGGTTGCAGCACAACTACTTCCCGTGCTATACCATCATCTATCTTGCCTTCTCTCATCCTTCGCATTCTGCATCCGAGCCGTTGGTCGTGCAGGCTCGTGCTACGGCCAAGCTGTTGTGGAGATCAGGCGAGTCGGAGGTAGAGAGTGCTTGTGATTGAAAACACTATGAAACAAAACGCTACGATAGTGGATGTAACAAGAGATCGTGGATCGTCCCCAGGGAGTGGAGTGTCATAATCATTTTTGATTGGCGCGTTTAGAGATACGGACCGTGCTCCCGGATGCCGTGGGCGTTGAACAACAGCCACAGGAAGCTCCTGCGACAACGAGTGTATCGTTTCAAGTGTACCAAGAAGCGCTTTGTAGGACATGTCTGCTGAGATGTCCGGCAGAGTGCATGGGACTTCCTTGTTATTGCCTATCAAGCTTGGCGACACAACTTCCTATTTCGACAAGGTGGCCACAACTGCTCGGTCTTTGCAAGGCAGCTGACATTACTTGGAAGACGCTGTGTGCAACTATATCACCTGCTGCAATCGCTGGCATGTATAGAACTAGCGGACCAGCATGCGTCTAATCTCTACTATCACGGGGGAGCTAAAGGAGTTTCTTCAAGCACCTTCATATGCCATATTATCCCACCGCTGGTGTGATGACGAAGTCTCATATGATGACTACTCCATAATTCTTGAGGCTAAAACGGAAGATGCTACGCCGAGAGACATGCGACGCTCTATTGCGGTCACGCAGCGGGCGTGTTACCAGAAGATTGCCCAATTCTGCAGGCTGGCAAACTTAAGAGGTTTGGATTGGGCTTGGGTCGATACTTGTTGTATTGATAAACGCAGTAGTGCCGAATTGACGGAATCGATCAATTGAATGTGGGCATGGTACCGCGATGCGAAAGATTGTGTAATCTACCTGGCAGATGTACCTCCGGTCAAGCATAGCGAGCACCATACACGGTTTCAAGGCAGCGAGCGGTTCCGGCGTGGATGGACGCTTCAGGAGATGCTGGCGCCGCTAATCTTGGTGTTCTATGCTGCCGACTGGAGTCTGATCAACGTGCTCAACAAACCCGTCAATTTTGCTGGAGATGCGTCTGCCTTCCCGTCAAGCTTGTGCAAGATAACGGGGATTGCAATCAAATGCTTCCATCGCATCGATTATATAGAGCAAGCTTCCACAGCTGAGAAACTTAGCTGGGCCTCCGGGCGGACGACGACTCGTGTCGAAGATGAGGCGTACTGTTTGCTCGGGCTCCTCGACTTCAACATGCCTCTGCTCTACGGAGAAGGGCGCAAAGCCTTCTTGCGCATGCAGAAATCTCTCCTCGAGAGCTCGGACGATGACTCGATCTTTGCGTGGCGGGCCACCGCTGACCAGTGTCTGAGGGCGCCAATGGAGGGTGGTGATGGAGGGGTCAGGATCGAACGCCTCACTCCAGGATTGCTGGCAAGAAGCCCTGCAGATTTCGGAGCTTGTGCTGATATTGCTCTGCTGCACGAGAGTCAGCGCACTGGCTTGCAATGCAATGTATCAAACAGACGCTTGGAGCTGACGGGGAGACTGACCTTGATTGAGAATTGTTTCGTGCCCAACGTTCTTCCAGGAAGCTTCTCGAGAGGCTACGTTTATGCTCTCAAGCTCGATTGCGGTGTGAGGCCGCCTGACTTCATGAATGGACAACTACGTTCCGCGATCGCGCTGTGGTGCCTGGACCGCGAAGGGCCAAGTGGTGCTTTGATGGCCACGCATAGATGCGCTATTGACGAGAACGACCTTTACGAAATCTTTGATGGTTACATTGGCACTCCAGGGTCAACGCCAGCGACAGATAGCGGGGTCGTGGAGCATGTGGTCTCTGAGCGTGGCTTTCCTGAATCACAATTGAGGCGTCCGAAAAAGACTACAAGGAGGCTCTTCATCACACTTTGACGATCGGGAAGCTGATCTTGTGCTCAAGGCAGTCTTCTGCTCTGGATCTCCCTGGTGGCAGAAAATGGAATATGGTGGCTTCAAGACCCTGGCAATGTGTTGCGAGCATGGAAGACGTGTAGCTTCTGAGCTTCTCTGCCTCAGCTGTCAAACTATGAAGCCTTGGACAACGACACCGTGACCAATCTGGCGTCCTGCGTTGAGAGGCCGTAAAGTCGCAGACATCGTAGGAGTGTAAGGATCCATTGTGCGTGAAGCACGTACGTTCACCATTTGGCCGGAGAGTTGGATGATGTTGCGTCCACAAGCGAAGTATGGCGCGCGTCATGGCGGCATGAGACTTCGTTGGCGAGATCGCTCGTTTGAAGCGACGAATGCCGCCTGAGCTGATTTCCGGCCTTGCTTGAAAGTCTCCCGCAGGAGTGCGGGCGAAATATTGCCGTAGGAGAGGGTCTCGAGAAGCCCAAACCCCCTGAGTAGCGTACTGGTCTCGGAGAAGCGGTCTCAAATAGTCTTCAATTACTTTACAAGGCTTCACCAGTCGGGAGCGCAATCTCAGCCTTATGACCACTTCACGTACCACCCTGAAATCCTTCAGCCTTCCAGTCCCCATGATCAGCTGCTCCTTTCACGGCCGCTGCCGCACCTGCTGCTGCACTCGCACCAAGATGACTCCCGTGGACCTCCGCATCAGCCGTTCCCATCCAGAACAACATAATCAAGACAAGCAAGTGCAGACCAAGACAGTAAAGCGCGAACAGATTCCGACTCGTGCGCGTGGCGAGGACTATTCTCGAAAGTTGAAAAACGGCTCGTTCAGGGAGGGACATCCTCTTCATCGCTCGAGCGCTAGCAGAGTCAAGTCAGCAGATACAAAGGTTAGGTCGCGACAAAGACTAGGCATACCTCTCCCGTCCCCTGAACGCGGCAAAGGGGCTCAAATTCTGCTCATAAGCACTCCTATATCTCTCACTAGTTCCAGTGCCTTCTCCGACTGCTATGGTAGAAGGATTCGGATTCCCACCATAAGCCACCCCGCTACCCACGCCCGTCCTTTGGTGCGAGCCTGCGTAGCTAGAGACGTATCGCGTCTTCTCGTAGAGGTCTAAATTATCCTTCTGCAGACTGGCCACTTCGGAGCGGAGTGCAGAGACGGTCTGGTATTGTTTCTGTAGTTCTTGCTCCACTTCTCCTATCTTCTTCTTGAAGCGGTCACGTTGCGCTGTTACCATGGGTAGGATACCGCTACCGCCGGCTGCGGAGGCTTCGCCAGCGCGGAGAGCTTCTAGCCCACCTCCACCTCGTGGTGAGTTTGTGCCACCTGAGATGGAGGCAGACGGGTCAAACCCGCCGATAATGGAGCTCGTAGGTGATGCGCCACCGCCTCTTCGGCTACCGTATGCAGATTTCGGATATCGTGAGGTGTATGTCCCGGCCACTGACATGGTCTCAAACGCACTACTCGCTTCTCGCTGGGTTTTCAGTAAGTGGTTCTCCAGTGTGGCGTTGAGATTCCGTGTTCGTTCGAGCTCCATGTTCGCTTCTGAGGTTTGTTCCTGTAAGATCTCCAGCCGTTGCAACAGCTCGTTGTGAGATACGCGCAGTTCGGTCAGATCGTTGCTAAGCTTCCTGTTCCGCGTGATGAGCAGGTGCTCGAGGGTACCTTCCTTGGCGCTACCGTTCGTGTGGTTTGATTCTCCCTCGTCCTCATCGTCTTCTGCGCCTGCGAATTCGACGGCGCGAAGCATCTCTAATTCTCTCTTCACCTCCTCATAGTCACTCCACTTCTTCACCTTGGCTTTTAAGCTATCGCGATCGATCTTGAGGCCATTGATCTCTCTTTCCAGACTTCGAAGTTTCGCTTCAACACCGCCCTTCTCACTCTCCTTATCCGACCGCGCAGAATCGAGTTTCCGTAGTAGAGACTGGTTCTCCGTCCTCAGTCGCAAGAATGCCGGCTCATCTTCCACAGTACCACTTCTCCCAGAACTTTGCGATTGACCTACCGACTGCGCCAGCTCTGCTCTCAGTGTCTCATTCCGCGCTTCCAGATCTACGAGTCGTACATTCGTCCGTTCCAGCTCGGAGCTCGCTATATCCAATTCCGCTTGCGTAGCAGTACCTTGAGCTGAAGTTCCATCGTCCGCTCCAGATCTTCCTAGCCTCATCTCAACCTCATGTCCAGCCTTCAACTCTCTCACCAGACCTTCTAGTCCCTCCACCTTACTCTCCAAACCTGCCTCCTTGGCTGCCCAATTCTCCTCCTGCTCCTTCACTATCCTCTCCCACTTCCCCTGTGCCTCCCGCACACCTTCATCCTTCTCACTTTCTAGCTGCATCCTCTTCACCCGCTCTACCCCCAACGCGCCTTCCGACTCCTCCAGCACTCCTTCCAGCGTCACGACTTGCTTCTTGAGTGTCTCATTCTCTCCTTCCAATCTCGGCACGACTTCATCCGCTGTCACTAGCGCCTCGACACTCGCTTCAAGCAAAGGGTAAGGATCGGGTACATCGCTTAGAGGATCATACACTTTCATGAACGCCGCCTGTACACTCTGGCTTTGCTTAGTCAAGAGATCAACATAGCCCTGATATGCTTTCAATAGATCCTTGATCTCTCCCAGTTTCGAGGGATCGTCGAGCTTGCGGAAGTCCTTGGTCTTCTGCGCCAGGTCCTTGCGTCGGGTGAGCGAGGCTTGTTGTGCGGCTACGAGGTCCGAGGCGGTGGTGTCGAGGGTGGTGATGAGGGTGGAGAAGGAGAGGTGTCGCCATGCTGATATTGCTTGCTGGAACTTGTTCGGTGTGTCGTCTGAGGTCTTATCGTGGTTGTCGGACTCAATCGCTCCCGCTGTTGTCGCTTCGTCTGATATTTCGGCCATACTTCTTGGGTCGTGCTACCGGCGCATGACTTGGTGGTGTGTCGTGCCTGCCTGCCTGTACCTTCCTATGAAACGATTGCTATAGAGAGTGGAGCAGTGGTGAACAGGAAGGTGAGTGCATGGGCATACGTGTTGCGGGCAATGCGGAGGTGGAGCTTTGGGATGCACAAGGCAGCTATTATTATCCATTCATGCCCTCGGTCCTACGCCCAGATACTATAGCTCCCACACGAGATCCACGACCCTACGACGTCACGGCCTGTATAATCTGATTATGAATGACATACAATAATGCATCACCATGGAAGCGTCCGAGGCAGCTCCCACCACCACTGCCGCCAACGATAATACCACAGGCCCATACACGCTCCGCGAGCTGATCCGAGATGTACCGTTGGGTGTCCATGAGGATGACACTCCCGCCTACATAACCTGTGTGGACGCCTGGAGCTCAAACCTCTACATCGGCACCTCTGCTGGCCAGGTGCTGCACTATGTCTCGATCCCGCCCGACCCAAGCGATACTTCTGGCCAACCCAGCTTCATCTTCGCCACCAAACTTGAACCGGCATACGAAACGGAACAGGAAGGTGCAGATCGAGGTGTGAAGAAGATCCTGGTGCTGCCTAACGCGCAGAAGGCTTGTATCCTCTGCAATGGCACCTCGACATTCTACACCCTACCAGAACTTAGTCCGGCTTTTGGTGGTAGGATCAAGCAGGGGAATTGTTTATGGATTGGTGGTATTGATGAGGTGGAGCATAATTATGGAGGCAATGCGGCGTATGGGACTGTCATTGTCATTAGTCTGAGGACCAAACTTAGGTTGATCAGGATCGGGGTCGAGGCGAGGAAGATCAGGGACATTGAGCTTGGTGGTGTCACGGCTGTTGCGAGGAGGGAGGATCTGGCTTGTGTGGCGAATGGGAAGGCTTACAGTCTGCTCGACGTGGTTAATCAGCGGAACTTTGAGCTGTTCCCTATTTCTACTTCGAGTGTCCCAGAGTCTGCACCGGTGGAGACTGTGAGGACGAGAGAGCCTTCTCGTAGCTTTTCGTCCCGGAGTCCGGTGAGGTTGGGCCGGGGGCATGAGAGGAATTTCAGTCTTGATGCCGCGCCGCCGAAGAGTGGCGATAGGCTAAGACCTGGTAGCAGGTCGCCATGGCCTGCGCGGCGGTCATCGAAACCTACGGAGTCTCCTGCGCAGCCTGCCAGTCGAGAGGAATCACCGGTCAAACCTGGATCCGGGAATGCTTCGGCGAGGACGAGTCTGGAGGTCCCACACGATCCAAGTCCTGCGCCACCAGTGCCAGCATGGAAACCTCTGCCACCCAACATCGTGTCTCCGAGCGCCAATGAGTTCTTGCTTACGACTGGTACGAGTCTTGCGGAGCCAGGCGTGGGCATGTTTGTCAATGGGGATGGGGATCCGTCGAGAGGAACTATCGAGTTTAGTACTTATCCTACGTCTTTGGTGATCGATGGCGCAGGTCGCCACTCCAATCTTCCTGATCAAGATCAAGGTGAGAAGTATGTCATGGCTCTTGTTAGGAGAAGTCTTGATGGGGAGAGTGGCCCGGCAGTAGAAGTCCAGAGATGTGATATCGACATGAGCGAGACGCTCAGTCGGAAGCAATGGCTTGCTCTGCCTTCAATTGCGCAGGCTGATGTTGGGACTGTCGGGAATGAGATCAACGTGGGCACTGGTCTTCAACGAGCAACAAGCTCAATACAACTTAGTGTACCAGAGATCACGTCATGTCTTCGCCTTCGACGACTCCCTCTCAATACCACCACCACTGACGCCGAGAGATCTAGCGAAGCAGAGAGCAAGCGCAATGCAGAAGAAGATGGTTTCACCTCGCGCCTGGCGAACGTGGAAGCTAATATCCTCCTCTTCCACGGCGATCAAGTCTCCTGGGTGCTTCGCAGCGCATTAGTCACGCAGCTGGAGCGGCAACTACAATCTGCTGTTCAGGAAACGAGCTCTAGCGAGCTGAGTATCGACGTGCATACTGTACAACGAGTTATCAACTCAATTCGCGGACAAGATCCTACCACCGAACTCGACTTCCTGACTCTCACCTATATTCGACAAAAAGCCTCACTCCTGCTTTTCGGGAACTTGGGCTTACAGACCGCCGCTGGCACCATAGCGTACGAACATGATAAGCGACGGGCTGAAGTGGCATTGATGGATGGCGAGATCGACCCGAGAGTTTTACTACTGCTTGTGCCACCATTTGTGGATGAGGTAGATGAGGGTGAGAGAGGAATCTGGATCAGCCAGGGCCTGAGGGATACTATCGCTTCCCTGCGATCGCATTGCGATACTGAAAGCATGGTGCAGGATGCCAAAGGTGCATATGGTGATAATCTGCTCCATCTTCTCAAGCGATACTTGACTATCTGGAGAAAGAAGAAGGGGATGGCTAGTGTAGCTGACGAGGCACATGTGTTCCGTTCTGTGGATGCTGCGTTGCTGCATGTTCTCTTGGTACTCGATCAGGACTCGCCTCGTGGTATCGCAGCGCTTGGCACTATTCGAGCCGAACTGAACGAAGTGGTGGATAAGGGCGTTGATTGCTTCGATCGCGCAAAAGAACTGTTCGAGCAGTTCCACCGGCTCTATCTGCTCTCCAGACTCTATCAGAGCAGGAAGATGACGGCACAGGTTTTGTCGACCTGGCGGAGGGTCTTGGAGGGTGAGGTGGATTTGGGAGGGGAATTGGTCGAGGGCGAGCACGATGTCAGGCGATACCTCACAAAATTGCGGGACGCGGCGTTGGTGCGAGAATACGGATCGTGGCTGGCTAACAGAAACCCGAAGCTCGGCGTGCAGGTCTTCGCTGACGAGACTGCAAAGGTCAAGTTTAGGCCCGAGGAGGCTGTAGCTATACTCAAGGAGAACGCACCTGGGGCTGTGAAGGACTACCTTGAGCACCTCGTGTTCGGCAAGAATCAGGGGCAGTATGTTAACGATCTCTTGATTTTTTATCTGGATACTGTTCTCTCCGAACTCGATCGCGAGGATGGAGAGTCCAAGGCTACGCTCAGGCAGAGCTATGAGACCTATCGAGCCCTTCGTGCACCGAAGCCAACGTATAGGCACTATATCACGGATAATGCTGTCGAGGCGGAATGGTGGGCTAACCGTCTGAGGCTTCTGCAATTGCTTGGTGGTAGCCATGGAAGCGCTGCAGAGTATGATGTTGATGCTCTTGACAAGAGGCTGGAACCTTATAGTGATGTTCTGGTCCCGGAGATGATAATCTTGAACAGTCGTCGTGGTAATCACGAAGAGGCCCTTCGTCTGCTAGCACAAGGCCTGGGCGATTGGGACACGGCTATTCGGTATTGTCTCTTAGGCGGCAACGGGCTATTTCATACCGCATCTCTTGGCAGTTCTCCTATAACCATCACGCACGAGCACCAAGCCCGCCTCTTTTCGACGTTGCTACATGAGTTCTTCCGCATCCCAGACTTATCCGAACGGCTTGAGCGGACTTCGGAGCTTCTGGAAAGGTTCGGAGCGTGGTTTGAGGTCGAGGATGTGCTTGAGAGGATTCCGGAGGGTTGGTCGGTTCAGATGGTGGAGGGATTTCTTATGCATGCGCTTAGGAGGTTGGTGGCGGAGAAGCATGAATCGAAGATTGTGAGAGGATTGCGCGGAGCACAGAATTTACGGGTAGTGGATGGGTGGGGTGAGAAGGTTGAAGCGATGAAGCCTGTTGTTGTTACGGTTGCTGGGCAAGATGGTGAAGGCTGAGATGGGAGAGGACAGAGACACTGAGACTTAAGGCTCGCGCCCTCTGGAAGTTCGACCATTGTGCTGAGCATATGGCTATAAGTCGGACTACATCATGAACTTGCTCTGCTTCCCTACATGAAGCTCTTGTCCTCGCCCCACGACGGCTCTCCTATTTCTACGCCCCGCCACCATTTCTCCACAAACTCTTCACAAGTGGTCGGCTTTAGCTCCGGAAACCCTTGGTTGAGAGTGTCAGGCACCATTGCCCACTTCTCCGTTAGCGCGATGCGGACCTGGTTGTAAAACACCTTGCCCGGGTCTTCTTCAGCCTGCGCACGCATCTTCGCCACTGTGTTCTCTTGCACCAGAATCTTCCTGCTCTGGACTCGCTCTGCTATGGCTATCATTTCCCGGAACGACTTGACGTCGCCTCGCATCCCCAGCACTTCAGGCCAGATAGGTAGCGAAAGCGCATGATACACGAATGTGGCGATATCTCGCATATCCGTCAATACGATCGGAGCTGTGCCGTGACCTGGTAGATCTGCCGTCCCGGCTTTCATGTTTAGGACAAAACTCCAAGGCCGGAGGCCGGCTAGGGCTTCTTCTTCACCTGTTTTGGCGCCTTCGCGCAGGCCGATGGGCGTGGGTGGTTTGGGCGTGCCGGTTGCGAAGATCGACATGAAAAGCCCGCACTGGAAAGATGTTACTTCCATTCCTGTCTTGCTAGCGACAGCTTGGCAGGCGGACCAGACTTCGGCTTTGCCTGCGTATAGGTCGATACCCTCATTCGAGGTCCCAGCGTACTCGGATGGAGCAAAGCGTTTCACGCCTGCTTCTTTGGCTGCCGCGAGGAGAGCAAGTTGAGAGTTGCGGATGGCTTCGGCATCACCACCGATGACGGAAAGTACGGTGTGGACGTCTCCAAGGGCTGTAGTGAGCTGAGAGTGGTTGGCGTAGTCTATGGGACGAACATCGATGCCTTTGGCACTCCATTCTGGTTGGGCTGAGCGGGAAAGAAGGACGAGTTTGTATGGCTTGATGCCTTCGGAGTTGAGGTGGTGGAATACTCGCAGCATAGTCAGGCCGAAGCCTGTTGTTGCTCCTGCTAGAGCTACTGTGACCATGTTGAACGAGGGAGGGAAATGAGTAAGGAAAGTGAATAGAGGAGTGCATTGTGAGGTAGAGAGATACTCATCTTTATACGCAATGGAAAGAGTCGAATCGCCTTTACACGCTATCGGCGACGGCTCAACTACGTCCTGTTCCATCGAAATACTGCTTTGGCCTATGCAAATCTAGTGCAATTTTGATGTTTATTAGTATGAGCAGCAGCTAACAAAAAGTCACGTGTTGGGCTTATGCGGAGGTGAAGTCCATCCGGATGAGCAAGTTTTGTGATTGGCTTGGACTTTTTGCCGGTGTCCTCTCACCAGACCAGGTGAAGCAGGACTACTCCACTGCGCCTGGCACAAAGCAATCGTAGCAAGTCGAAGTGCTTAATGGCGGTGCCTAATCAGTGGCTGTGGGGAATAGTAGTCTTGCTATAGGCGGAGTCTTATGGTGTAGTGCTGTTGCGCATACGATGGAGAGTTCTAGACTGTTCTGGACATCGACACACTGTTTGACGGAGTTTCGCATCTTGACCGTGTAGCACAACGTTGCGTCCGGACTGCCAATATTGCGCTCGAGGATGAGCTCACCACGAATATCGAACTTCCTTCGCTCACAGCTGGATGACATAGGCTCAGCAACAACAGCGAGTAGTACTACTTCGAAAGCCGTGAAGACTTCGAACACACTATATGACACACTAGTGGAGCGCAAGTATCGTGTTGAAAACGATGTACAACACGGGGAGTCACTGGGAGATGTTGGGTGTCCATACAAGCTGCTTGGGACGCCAAACCACATTCGACGGCTGATGCTATTGCCTGGAGAAGGCGATCTAGAAGGTGAGCTAGAAGAAGTGTCACTGGAAGACAATCCAGAATACGCTGCTTTGTCTTACTCTTGGGCTTTGGCGAATGGCGACGATAGCAAGTCTGGAATTATACGTCTACATTGCAACTGTTCATACGATGACTCCATCCACGATAAAGAGGTCGGCATCACGCGCAATCTGTACGAGGTTTGATCAGGATTAGATCGAAGACCACGAAACCCCTGTCCTTGTGGATCGATGCCCTCTGTATCAATCAAAATGACCCGATGGAGCGGCAACAGCAGGTGGTGTCTATGGCACAGATCTACAGTAAAGCAAGCCTTGTCATTGTGTGGATTGGCAATGATCTCGACGGCGATGAAGCATTGGCGGCCGAGATGATCAGCGAAGTCAAAAATCCAAAAGCAGCGGCAGAACTTGGCGATGGAATCATGCATCTCACCAATGCTTTCGAAAGCTTGCTGGTGCAACGGTACTTTCGAAGGCGATGGATCGTCTAGGAGCTGAGGCACGCAATTGACGTGGTAATGTGCTGGGGAGAGTATCGAGCTGATCTTGAGAGTTTCCGGATCGCTTTGCAATTCCATCAGGATAGAGATGGTTCTGCCGCCCCTGAGATCTTGTCGCTGTTTGATGAGACATACCGGCATTCATTACGCAATATCTCAGTGTGCTTGGCCAGTTATGAAGACATGGAATGCAGTGATCCTCGTGACCGACTGTACAGTCTGCTAAGCTTGGACTCTGAGTGTACTTTGGAAGCTGACTATAGCGTTTCCATGGAGGAGGTAGGCCGTCGGCTGGCTCGCTACATGTACTACCAAGGTGACACAGAAGTCCTGCTCCGCAATTGTAAAGGTGCTTTGAGAGCCACCGATCGGTTCGCGGACAGACATGAATCTTTGGACGCCGGGACCTCAAGCACTTGGGCCATTGAGCTAGGGGGGAAATTTGTGCTTCCAGGTGGCGTAGAACCCTACAGCAACATATATCGAACCCACCAGCAGAAAGCGCAAGAACGATGGCAACGTCTGCTACGCCATCAGAACGAACACTTTTTAGCGATGTGAAAGGCGGAAGTGACGTACACGAAACCCTCATGGACCGGCGGTCTTCGCACTATCGTACTGACACTTCATCTCTTTGGTGTTGTTGGCGAATGAGAATGGGGTCCTAATAAGAAGCACTCGCAGCGCACGGGCTATCGCGAGCTTAACGAGACTTCCACACCAGCTACCAAGGTCAAGGTTGTTGGGAGTTGGCGTGAATCAGACGTGAATCAGAGTGACCTGCGGTCGGGGGATCTTGTTTGCTCGCACGCACACCCGACAGGCTTTTGGGTTATCTTGCGGAAGGGTGAGGATCATTCTCTCGAGTACAGGATCGTAGGCATGTGCCAGCTGCAGACTATGGATAGCGATAGATGGTGTCGTGAGCCAGTAGCGAGGCGAGAGTATCGCATTTCATAGGGGAAGGAGCTTGCACACATCACTGACTCAGACGCATGATCTCAGGAACTTCTCTGGCAATGGCGGTGTTTCACGGGCTCACTAATCGCTGGCGCCTCCGGTGGATGATGCTACATCGCATCAATAAGACGGCCGCCGATGACCCACACGAGTCTGACGAATCGCTCGACTCTGGTCGAAGGTGGTCAGACTTCATCGGCCGTCCCTTCCAAAGGCGCCTCTTACCAAGAGGTCGGACGAGAGCAGCCGCGTTTTATGCGGATGCCATAGAGCCGGCGCTCTTACTGTCAAAATGGGACGTTAGAACGTTGGCTCGGAAGGCCAGGTCAAGGTGGACTCGAGCGCACAAGCGCGTGCTGATAAACAGCACACACTCGCTTAGCAAGATAATATCATCGCGATATCGCTAGTGTTCAAAGGGATCACTATGCACTAAGGGCATATGTCTGTTGTACGAAACTGCGCATACCTATCTCAGCTTTTGCCTCCTCGAAGTGGAACAGCTTGTCAGTATTTCCTCCTTCTTTCCACTAGAGAAGTGAGGCTATCAGCAGATATATCGCAGCGAAAGCCTAATCCATCATGGAAGCCCAAGCTAAGGAAAATGTCGATGGGACTTCTGGGACACAGCAACCTGACACAGGTCCGACTCTAGCACCTACAACGACGAATCCCGAGATTGAATTAGCAATGATGGCATATCTGGACGATCATCCAGCTGCGATCAGACGGCTGCAAGAACATCAGCTACAGCATGCTCAGACCGTTGGTAGGCCTGGAGTTCCCACGATCAATATCCAGATGCTTCCGTTCGGTGGAGGAAAGCCTTACCCGCCAGCTCTGCTCAATGCGGACGACTACGTTGTCGGATTCGACGGACACCATGATCCAATACATGCGCAAAATTGGAGCCGAGGAAAGAAAGTCGGCATCACAGCTATCCTTGTGCTGGACTCCTTGGCGGCCACACTCGCTTCGTCGATTTTCTCGCCCGGCAGTGTCGATGTTGAAACGTATTTCGAAGTTGGACCGGAGGTCACGACTCTGGCTATCTCTGTGTTCATTTTAGGCTATGCTTTTGGTGTGAGAAGAAAGTATGGCAATGAGACATCCGCCTCATCAAACTGACTCGGGCTGCTGTAGGACCTCTGGCTTTTGGTCCACTATCTGAGTTGTTCGGGCGACGTCTACCGACTCTTGTCGGATCCTGTGGCTTTGGCATCTTCAATGTCGCGGTAGCCGTCTCTAAAGATTATCAAACCTTGGTGATATGTCGATTTTTCGCTGGAGTCTTCGGATCTTGTCCACTGGCCTTGGTTGCCGCTGTGCTCGCGGACATGTTCAATAATCAGTCCCGCGGCATAGCGGTCGCGATAATTTCAGCGACAATTCTGTGCGGGCCTCTGGTCGGCCCAATGGTAGGTCACGCTAGCACCACAGTATCGGGCTCGTTGTGAGCTGATGGTTCCCAGATTGGTGGATTTATTGCGAAATCATATCTTGGCTGGCGCTGGACAGCCTATGTACCAGCTTTCATGGCTTTCACTTCGTGCGTACTTGCTATCATCTTCCAAGATGAGTCTCATGCGCCCAGGATATCGATGTACAAAGGAAGCGAGCTTCGGCGTCAGACGCGTAATTGGGGCATTCATGCAAAACAAGAGGAAGTGGAGCTGAGCGTCAAGGAACTCATGACGAAGAACCTGTCTCGGCCACTTCAGCTTCTCCTTGAAGAGCCAGTGATTTTGGTCATCACGGTCTGCACGTAAGCACAATCCTACTGCTTCCACCCTGTCCGACTAACTTATCGCTACTAGAAGTTTCATCTATGGTATCACCTACCTTTCTTTGTCGGCATTTGCAACAATATTTGGACAGACCCATCACTTCAGTCGAGGAGTTGCTGGACTCCCATGTCTCGGGATGATAGTGGGTGTCTTCTTGGAACTTTTCGCCGTGATCTGTACCAACCGCAACTACGTTCGGCAGCTTCGGGCCAACAATGACGTTCCCATTCCGGAATGGAGGATGCCACTTGCGATGCTAGGGAGCGTCTGCTTCGCCACTGGTAAGTCTTCTTATGTGCAGATATCTACTGGGCTGCAAACTAAACAGACCGCTTTGAAACAGGTCTCTTTTGGCTGGGCTGGACAGGATTCTCCTCATCGATACACTGGATTGTTCCCGCTGTTGCTGGATAACCACTAGGCTTTGGTATCTACACAGTATTTCTGCAATGCTTGAATTATATCCTAGACGGCTATGTGAGCTTTGCAGCATCTGCAATGGGTGAGTGGCTGTCTACTCGACTCGCTCCGACCTCACATTTCCGACAGCTGACAGGATTTAGCAGCAAATACGATGATGCGAAGCCTTTTCGGAGCTTCATTTCCCATTATTTGCCCGATGTAAGAGCTCACTTTGTGCCTAAGACTTCTATTAGCACTGACGATGGCTGGCAGACATGTTTGGGGAACTTGGTATCGAATGGGCAATGACACTGCTTGGGTGCTTAGCTGGTTTATTCGTTCCGGTACCATTCTTACTCTACTTCTATGGGAAAGCCATGCGAAATTCCACCCTACTGCAGTGAACACATGCAGCAGCCGCCCAGAAAATGGGAGGCAAATCTAGCTAGATTGATGTTCACGTCGCAAAGCTGACCTTACAATCTTCCCCGTCAGAGTCAACCAGTAGCCACCTTGGACTTGATCAGATGAGCCATCGGTACGAGGTCTTGCTAAAATCTGCGATCCCGCTACTTTTTAGACTGTTCATACGATAGGTATTTCGACAGGCTTGCAACTTGCAAGTGTGTGACAAGTACAAAGATGTTTTCTGCGACAGAAGGGAGCCGTCACGCTAACAGCTACACATCGACATCTCAGCAGATGTACAACGTCGTCACCACCGTCGTGAATATCAACTAGTCGAATTCAGCACGCCGACATCGCCCTAACATCGGGCAGATGCTTTGCTTCCGCACCTTGAACCACAATGACTGCAGAGATGACGAGACTGTATGATGCCTCGTGAGAGACAGCGGGTATGGTAGACTGCGCCGACATGCGTTGCATTGCCTAACGGGCGACTAAAGGAGTCCATTTTCTCCGCTGATATACTCTCTCCGTGTCATCGCAGGTGAAGATAATTAAACCTGATCACGAGGCATCAGCGCAAACATATCGAGCTCATGGGCTGCTGATTTACTCTTACATCAGCCGGCATCAAGACGCCCGGATCACGACCGTGATACCCATAGTCGACCATATAAGCGTACGTTTTAGCCATCTCCTCGGCGTATCCAGCGTCACCGTCGAGCGTAAAGTGCTGGTGAATACTTGTCTTCTGTAATCGTGCTTTGACGTTTGTACATTCCGTCCACATGCTGACATCCTGGTCCCAGGTAAGTCTATCACCATATGCGAGTAGAACCGTACCCTTAGGTAGCTGCGCTAAGGCATCAATGAACTTTCCAGTGTCACTCGGATTGACGAAGGACACAGCTTGGTGTCCATTGCCCGGTATACGGAGAATATTCGTTACATCTGCTTCCTGTGCTGCTGTTAGTAGCTCATATGGTGAGGAACACGGACAAATACCTTGAACCACGGCACTGAGATTGGACCCCACTTCCAATTTTCAACGAAGAGACCCATCTGTAAGATGGACATTTGCTTTGCTAGATGTGGATGTGCTTCTTTAATGTAGTCGACCACACGTGCTTTCGACTCGAAGTGCCACGCTTTGCGATATTGACCCTGGCTCCATTTGCTAGCGTCTGCAAGGGAGGACCAGATGAATAGCTCCGACCCTTGAATTGTTGCTGCGGCGTCTGCGATGCTCTTCCCAAGCATGGACTGATCTTTGGACGCTTGTGCTTGCATGCCCGGCTTAACAGCTTCGGCTGCAGGATAGGCTGTGTTGGCGAAGAGGATACTAGCTCCCTGGCATGCTGTACATAATGCTTTGTGGTCGAGAGCGCCGGCCTTGAGGAGCTCCACACCTCTGCGGATAAGCGCTAGCGCCCTAATACCGCTCACGTCGCGAGTGACTCCCCTGACACGATACCCTCCCAGCTCCTGGAATGTTGCTGCCACCGACGACCCCCGTATGCACTATCAGCTTGCTTCGACCTGCCAAGTGAGTGATAATGAGCCTGTGTCCCAGTAGCCCCAACAATAACCACGATGCTCGACATTGTCTTGATCTCCATCTGCGTGATCGCGATCAAAAGGCGAGAAGATTTGCAAAAGCACAAACACCACCAAGCCTCGCCGTGTGGCAAAGCTGACGTACAAACGTCGGCGACTTATGTAATCTGACAGCATCAGCATGAATACTCGATATGCGGGTAGATAGGAATGCTCATTGTATCTGCAGAACTTATACTTCTACTCTCGTTCACCCGTGGGTAATCACTCTTGCGCTCTTACTTCCTAGTTTGGACATGTGTCTGCGGCGCTCATGCTTCCTGATTTGGCTAGATATATGGGCCATGTCCTATCACGAGCAATCCTCGTATCGCTCGTCTCTGTAATCAAGCTTTGCATTCAAAATATATCAGGCTCGGACGAAATGATCATGCATGATCTTCGGATAAGTATGAAGCCCTTCAACGTGCGGACAGCCTTACGTTGCATCAATCCTATATATGCACTCCAGCTTGCCGACTAGAGTCTTAGGCAACCAATTTTACACTGAGAATTCCTTTGCCAGTTCTCATGGCCCCAAAAATTCTCATCGTGTTGACATCGCACGCTGAAGTGAAAAATGGACCCAAGACGGGCTGGTTCCTGCCCGAGCTCGCGCACCCTTACAACGTGTTTGGCCAAGTCGCCGACGTCGTTGTCGCCTCACCGCTTGGTGGTGAAGCTCCACTCAGCGTACAATCGATAGAGATGAGCCCCGACGAGGAATCGCAGAAATTCCTCAGGGAGAAACAAGACGTATGGAGCAACACCGAAGTGTTGAGCACGTTCGGAGGACGAGCCCAAGAGTTCGACGCCATCTTCTACGTCGGTGGCGGAGGTCGTAAGTACTATTGTCGTCTATTGTTGATGCAGAGTCTAATCCAAAGCACCAGCAATGTTCGACCTAGCGTGCGATGATACCTCGCAACAGATCATCAGAGAGTTCTACGAAGCTGGGAAAGTTGTCTCGACTGTCTGCCATGGGTCGGTTGCTATCAGTAGAGTTAGGCTTAGCACGGGCGAGTATTTGGTTGCCGGGCAGAAGGTCACCGGCTTCAGCAACGAAGAAGAGCATCAAAGCGGCCTGTGGGATGTGGTACCGATCCGTCTGGAGGATGAGCTTCGGAAGAACGTGGGCGAAGGTGGTGCCTATGAAGCAGCTCCTGCATGGACTCCGAAAGTCTTGATCAGCGGGCCTAGGAGACGCCTTCTAACGGGACAGAACCCAGCAAGTGCTAGGGCCCTGGCTAACGCAGTCATAGAGGCTGTCGCCGAGAAGTTGTAACTCAGCTCATTCACGTATTTGGACGACAATGCCTCCCTTTGCGTTGGACTCATGCCAGTATTGTATCAATCATTATGGGTCAGTGGAACATCGGCCGCAATACTTGGCGTTGCTGTTGGAGTGTTGGAGTGTCAAAGTGGGCAGAATCATAGCCCTCCACGGACATGCTCTCGATCATGTTTAGCCAGTTCGCGCATCACAGGATTTGTCCTTCTCAATCGTTCAACTTGCCTTCCCTCGCTATGAGGCTAAGGTGAAGCATAGTAGTCAATTTCGCCGGCGCAGACGTGCATGAATCGGCTGCCACGCTATGCTACTGCAATGTCCTTCCTCCTTCCCACAGTCAATCTCCGCCGCCTCTACCATCTCAACTCATTGCCTCTTCAATCAGATCGTCAATGCAGTGCATCAGTAGAGCTCGGCTGGTGGAATTCATGCTTGTCATCCAATGAACATGGGTATCTCCACCCTCGAAAGCATAGTGTCGCTTGATTCAAGCGTTGGAAGGTGCGGAGGCATTGACGGCGACTGCAATAGGCTATGGTGCCGTCGATATCCCCTCAACTTCCACAACTGCTTCAACGAACCCTTGTAGTATCTTCCGAGCGTCTTCATCGGGCCTTGCAAACCCAGGATACCTTCTATACAGCTGCTCAGACGCGGTCCGGTTTGTACTATCATATCGGCCATCTCTGCTGCTTTGACTTTATCGTCTTTCCAGGATCGTACGATGGTATCTCGTAAAGTCACCGAGTCGCGGTCGTCCGTGCCCTGATCTAACATGACTTCCTGCAAATCAAGGCGTACTATAAGTAGCTCCAATTGGAAAGCCCAGTAATGGCTAAGCATACCGGCTACTGGCCCACTGAGGAAGACCATGCGTTGTGAGCTGCTTGAGTATGTAGGTTGACATTCGAGGTCCTGTATATCCAACGAATTCGCCTGTGGGTAATTACGTGAGTGAGATAGTTCTACCGGAACGGAGGTTTTGAGATCGCAGTGCCATTGCTCAAGGGATCGCTGGAGAGTAGAAATATCGTTGAGAAGGAGCAAGCAGCGATCGACTATGGATCTGTGGCTTGGCTCGTCTGAATCTGCACTCCGCAAAACGTCACCTGAGGATTGCATATGTATTGGTATCTGGAGGCCAAGATCAGCCAGTCGATCTCTCGTCGTCTTCTTCGTCGTAGCATATGGTTTGTCCCGCCACTCAGCTTTTGCAAGGACGCTTGGCACTCTTCGGTCAATATCGACGAACGTAGCCATGCCTCTGAACCCGCCAAATACTGCACAGGCGTTCGGATCGCTCCGCAGTGCTTCGGGACCTGCCATATTCAACATGGACATCACGCCGTCAAGGTGCGTGAGTTGGCCTTCACCTTCCAGATCTGTGTCATTGAGAAGCTCCAGTATCTGAAGGGCCACAGAAGTGCACATCAGTGTATGACTGGTTGAGTGTCGGTTGTGCGTGGTGGTGGTGGCGAGATGGTGTGAGTAATGATTGAGCGTCACTGTATAGCTCGAGCGCGCAAGCGTCGCGAGTCCAACGTCACCATGAAGCAAAGCGTAATACAGTGCTAGTAAGCTGAAAATCGAGCGGTCCAGTATGGTATGTGAAGTAGTTGCGAACAGCATCAATGCCCGTATACAAGTGGCAACATTAGATGGCTGCGCAGCAGTGTCTCCCCAGGCCTGATCCACTCGGTCGGAACCAAAGATGCCCACGTCTCTGCTCGCTGCGAAGTCGCCCAATAGGGCGATGTACGTAGTGTGCGCTGAAGCTCGCTGTCCCGCGAGGTGGAAACTCGTGGTGGCGAGCGTCGTTTTCCACTCATGCTGCGCCATCACAGCCTTTAGGCAAAAGACGCTGGCCGTCATCAACCTAAATAATTCGTCCGGAGTGGTCGGTACTGCGTTCTTGATCTTTCTTCGCGCCCGAAAAGCACTGCGCAGGGCGCCTCGTTGATTTTGTGAGGTGAACGTATCCCTAACCCGATGCACAAAGGTCGTGGGGTCTGCCTGTCCACTGCATTGCGTACCGCGCCGTTGACATGGCCCACATTGCGGTGCTCTGGAGTCACACTTCTTGCGTCGTCGTGCACACTCGCGGCATCTTGTGCTCGATCCTGGTATGGCCCCACCAACCATCTTGCGTCGGATGCGTCGTATCAACCACGGCCAGGTCAGAGCCCAGCAGGCGACCGTACATCCATATATACTCCGCCATCGTGGACCCAGGGAGCCGGGTTTCTAAGCTTATGAGCGTGCAGTACAAGCAGATCAAGTTGATGCAGAACCGATGAGCCAATGGAGAGCCTCACCGCTTAGCATCAACCTCACTTATGTAATATTGATTAATAATCTGGTTTGCCTACTGCTGACAGCACGCCGGAGTGCCACCTCCCGCAGCTAATTTCTCAAGCGTTTACGTCTTTCGACTCATCGCGTTTCACATACCATCCCTGGGTTCCGCTTGCCCGGTTTCTCCACGAATCGACAGAACGACAAATCTGGTTGAGGTAATCGTGTCCGCGCCTGTGATCCGCGACTTCGGGCAGCAGAAGACAGGATTACAGTTATGCGTCGATCATTCTTCGAGTGTTTACGTTTGAAGATTGTGTGATCAGTCGAACGACGGGCCCGTTCGATTGTACAGAATCCTTTGCCTTCTCCAGCAGAATCTTTTGCCTTCTTCAGCTCGGTGACCGCGGCCTGGCTAGAGCAAATCAGCGAGGGCTGCAGTAAACGTACAGGACTTGCAAAGATCCTAACAGAATACCGGGAGCTTTCAAGGTGGCTCGAAGCACAATCTCCAATCCTGCAAGTCCTTGACACTACTTAGCACGGAAGGCTAGGTGAACTTCACTCCATGAGTTAGCAACGTGCGGATAGTCACACGCTGGCCAGGTTCCTGACAGGAGCTTACTCAACAACAACAGCTGCCTGCAAAGGGGTCGTGCTCACATAGACAGGCGACAACATTCTCTGATGCTACAGCTAGTGGACGTCTGGTCTGCGTGACCACCCACGGGAGGACAAAAATGCCTGGCAAAGGCAGCTGATATCTTCCCAGCAATGTGCGACAACTTAGAAATGAGGGAATATGGCGCGCGAACAGCAGTCGATCAGGCCCTTGTGTCGAAGACTAGTTCTGTTTGCCGATGGTCCGACATATGGCTAGATACGGCAGTATGTGCGCGCAATTTGGGCAATAGAGATATGCTCATATTACCGATCATCGAGATGGACGTCACCATGACAAACCACCCAGTCACATGCTGTACTGGACAAAGCACTGATTGAAGCGCAGTGGAGAAGAGGCAACAAATGGGTTGAGTCAAGCCTAGGCGCATCTTTTCATAAAAGCGCTCTTACTTCCCGATGCGGAAGCTGAAGCTTGTGCTGAGCTGTGGATAGCGATCCGGTAGTCTGACCAATAGAGTCAATATAGCAAGACCAGCATTACCAGAGTTGATCATCTATGCAAGAGTCCCATGAACATCATCCTGATCTTGTTTCGAGTAGATCTTCGACAACTTCTCTCACAAGAAAAGCCATCCAATATGCCCGAGAAGACAGCGCTTGTGCTGATCGATGTCTACAACGACTTCCTCCATCCGGGTGGCAAGGCAAATGCTGCGCTCGGAGAATCTCTCGAGGCTTCGAATACAACCGAGCACATCAAGCTTGCTTTGAGGGTTGCTCGCTCAGCTGGTATCCCAGTATACTATAGTCTGCATCAGCAGTACCATGATGGCAAATACACTGGATTCGAACATTGGAACGACATGCTCCGCAGCGTGCAAACTTCGCGGTCCTTCGAGGAAGGTAGTTTTGGAGCACAGATACACGAGGGTCTGGAACCAGATCCTAGCAATGGTGATGTGATCATCTCGAAGCACTGGAACCAGAGGTGTGCCTTCTCATGATAGGCTTGCGTCAGAACTTGTTTTGAAGCTAACTTTGAGCAGCTCATTCCATAACACTGACCTCGACTGGCTACTGCGCCAGCGTAACATCACGGATTTGGTGTTTGCGGGCTTAGTGGCGAATACTTGTATCGAGACTACAGCTCGCATGGCGAACGAACAGTACGTAGTCCGCATTGATTTGCGCTTTCCCATCACCTCCGTCTGCGACTTGCTGACCGAAGCGTGATAGCGGCTACAAGGTTATCATGCTGTAAGCCCCCAGATTTGTTCCAGATCTTGTTCTACGAATGATCACTGACCATTTCTGATAGCGACGATGCTACCGCAGGCTGGACTGTCGACTCGATGAAGGCCGCTGTGGAGCACAGTTGGCCATCTTTTGCTCATCAGATTATATCTACTGGAGATTGGGAGAAGTCTTTGGCCAATTGAATACAGCTGAGGGTTCAGATACAAGACTTGCTAGGCTGGTGGCGCCTTCCAGAGTCGCCGAGATAGTCATTCCCCTACATCTTGTATCTCTCGTGCTCATCAGGGCGAGGCGCATCCGATGCAACGCCAGTGACTCGCGTGTTTTCCAGGTCATTGAAAACAGGCTCAATATCACATTACTCGATCTAGATTTGCGTTGGTTGTTCCAAGGTCTCAACGGCTCTCTTCAGCTTCTCGAACTTGTGCTATCCGCCAAGCGATATTGAAGTCAAGATATAGGCTCTATAAGCAAAAACCGCTTGGCGTACGGGCAGCCACCATATGTGAACATAGCTCACTATGTGCACACAAGCTTCGCGGGCCTAAAGCAAGGTCGACAGACCTAGCAGCCGAACTATAGGTCAGCAGCCGAGCTATAGGCCCAGCGGCCTCGCCAAGTATGATACGAAAGCCCGTAATTATCGCAATATGCATCAACAGCCATGCAACCATAATGATTTCAATGCTGTGACGTGGATTTGGCTCGCTCGGCTGTGTGATCGTCTCTGTGAAGGTTATGTGGACTGTGAAAAGCGATGGTGACTACCTCTACCGTAAGAACAAGACTCTCTACGCAAGACAAAATTCCGGCTATTATCCATCTACAAGCACTGCGAGTAGTACTGTCCCGAAGCCGTGCACTTGCTTCCCGAAGCACAGCATGTAGGTCCTGTCCAGCCTTGTCCACCACTACAGAACGCACTTTGTCAGCATCCATTAAAAGCGACCCTCATTCGTGATTGTTTTGGAACACTGACCATTGACCATACTTAGCAGCGCAGGAAGCCTGAGCGGTACTTGATGATGGTGCGGCAGAGGTAGTACTGGTACTCTTAGTCCTGGTGATTGTGATCGTGCAGGAACTGGAAGCAACTTGCTGTGCAGTTGAGACTGTGGTCGAAGCAGCAGTGGTGGGTGCTGCTGTCGTCGGTGTGACCGAGGTGGCCTTAGTCGAGGTGGCGAGGGTTGATGAGGCAGAAGTTGGTGCTGCGGCTCCGGAACCGCCAAGGCCGGCTATGTGATTGTGGTCAGCTATTGATTCTATAAGCACGATGAGTGGCGCTTGGCAACTCACTCCAGACGGCTGGACCGGGGGTAACGTAGGAGTTGAAAGACTGGTAGAGGTTGAAGTTGATACCCGGGTCAGCGGCGTTGTAAAGCTTCTCTCCCACACGGCAGTCGGCCCCGCCGGCACAGGGTGTGGCCGTGCCGGACGAGACGACCTTCACGTTGACACACACTAGATTTATGTTAGCGCGAAATTGATGGTCTGCAGGCGGTGGTCTGGATCATACTTGGGTAGTTCTGTGCTCCACCGGCATTGTTTGCGGCGTGGAGAGATATGATCTCGTGGCGGAGGACGTAGTTGCCTGGGGCAAGGTCTGCACGATGGAGTCTCAGTGTGTGATCGTCTCTGGTTCAAGGCCTAGCGATTGCTACATACTGGCCGGAATGGTGAGCATGCCAGTGAAGTTGTTGGCGATAAGAGTATCAGTGGCCCACAGTCCAGGGTTAGAACCACTGTGCCATCCGTCCAGCTCAACGGCAAAGAAATTCAAAGCAGTCTTGTCAATGGTGGAGAAATCGCCAGACACAGCAGCCATCTGGTTGAGGACATCACCGTGGTGCCCATCGGGCCAGGTGTTCCACTGTAGACCGATCGTCGTGCCGGCTGTCAAGGTGAGGTAGCTGTTGCCTGGTGTGGCATTCTTGTGGCAGACAATGTCCGGGTTCTGGTAGGAGGATGGGGAGACGAAGCCGTCATCCTGGTTGTACGCGTACCAGCCTGGTTGCTGCGCTGGGTTCTGACCCGGGTACATCCAGTTCGGACTGCCAACGAAGACGGTCTTACCGCCGATGATGGCGTTTTCGAGGTAGCCGTGGGCGGAGACAAGTGGTAAAGCGGTAGCGGCCAAGAGGCCAAGGACTTCGACGGAGTGCATCTTGGCGAATGGTATGGCAGATAACGAGCGATTGAAAGGCTGGCCAGCAGCGACAGAGTCTTACGGAAAGAGAGGTTGGCAGGGCGCTTGAAAACCGCATCTCGTCGAGGCGAGCGTGCTCATATTAGTACTTACCTGGATTGTGTGGCAGCTGCTACTGCGACAGGCGCACAAACTTTCCTACCTGCAATCATATTGCCTAGCCGGCGCCCATATTATAGCTTTAGAGTAGGTATACAGGTTGTCGACCATAAAATCTCAAGCCTTTGGGGGCGTTTGTCAGGAGGACTTGATCATCTGCTGCAAGTCTGAAACTCCAGACCATATGGTTCCCGTTCCGGCTTGCACCTGATACTCTAGGCGTTGAGTAGAAGCGCGGTCTGATCTTGTCCGATTCTGCCGGCATTGGCTGTATGGGATTTATATTGGCCACCTGACCTTTGCCGAAATTGCGCGAAGGCTTTGCGGGCCGGCGGTGATTTGTACGACTTCACATCTCGTAGCAATAATATCTGTGAAGTCGGAGAGCACTTGTGCTTTGCTTCGGCTATTTGACATTGCTTGGTTGGCTGACCAGTTGGGGGCCACTGCGATCAAGTACGAGTCATGACCCTCATGTGTGTACAGCTGGAACACGGAGTTGCGTAATGAGTGATTATACGCGCCGAGCTTGTGGCGAAACAACGTGAAGCGTCCTTGGTCTGTTGTGAGGACTGTGAAGTCGCAAGGTGATCTCACCGTCTCATCGTACATATATATGTGTCCGTGTTCTGCCCCGGGCGTCGGACGCAATGAGGAGGGAGTGAGGCGTTTTGAGCAGGATGCACTAGTTTAGAATGGTGGTTGCCAGAAACGTTGGTGCCTGATATTCTAAGGCACATAGAAACTCGTGACTTTGTCGCTCTTGTACGCGTCAGAATGCTGTGTGTTCTCACATACACCTAGTGCAAGACGCCACAGTGCATGGTCCAGCTCTGTGGGTGGAGGAAGAAAATCAAGAGCACCCATAGCGGTATGCGTCGTGATGCGAGGCACCACCGCGAGGTCCCGACTCGAGCCGGTAAGACTCTTGCGTAAGTTGTTCTTGTCCTTCACCATATAGCCGACATGTCTGGAACAGGACCAGGGCAGCTTCCAGGCATACAGCCAAATCCAATTGAATGCGAAGGGCTGCTCTACTTGGCTCTTGATGCGAAGAAACAGGAAATCCGACTTCTGGATCTAGAGCCGTGTACGCCAGACGCAAATTTGGCCGGACTGGTATGTGACATGCGGATCGTCTCACTTGTCGACATCTTGTCACCGAGATACGAGGCTATCTCATATGCTTGGGGTGATAACGAAGCTAAGGCAGAAATCCGTGTCAACGGCATTCCCATCAACGTCCCAATAAATACTGCGGCTGCGCTTCTTCGAGTCCGCGATGTCGACAAAGTGCGAACTCTGTGGATTGACGCAGTATGTATCAATCAGCAGGACATCGAGGAACGTAATTCTCAAGTTGCACTTATGGCAGCTATCTACAAGTCGAGCTGGAGAGTCATAGTCTGGCTAGGCAATCCTGGCTTCAGTGAGCGCGAAGGCCACCAAGCCATCTCGACAATTGATACAGCAGTTGACGCCATTATCGCCTGGGCCATGTCCGAACTGCATATAGGCACTTACGAAACCCTCATCGCACAGCTAGCTACCTACAAGAGCATCGACGGGCTGATGAGACGATTCCCGCATCAGCTCTTAGCCCAGGTTGCTCAGGTCTATGCTGTGTGCCATCAATTTTGGTTTGGCCGTCGTTGGGTGGTACAAGAAGTTGCACTGGCGCAGCAGACAATATGCTATTGGGGGCGAATCACTATGTCACTGGAGCGTGCCCTCGTGGCTGCTGTCATAATGGCGCGGGGCAGTCCGAGCATTGATCAGTGGAGAACCATCCACAATTTATCTGGCTATGGATCAACTCACAGCGCGAGTATCGATGAGCTGTACAAAGCTGCAAGGATGTGGCAAGTCCTCCGTATGCCCTCAGCCAGGTCTGCTGGTGCTCTTCTGAGCGCTAATCTCGAGCAGCTCCAAGACTCGCTAGGTAGTGAGCCTAGAGACTTGGTCTATTCAATACTTGGCCTCTGGCAAAGGTCATCGGGTATTCACGAGCTACCTTCGCTGTTGCAGCCTGATTATGGTAAGCCTGTAGGTCGTGTGTTTGCAGATGCACAAAGGTATATCATGAGGTCTGAGAAGAGTGTGAATATGCTGCAGGATACGAGGACTGCTGAGGTATGGCCTACAAGTGATCAAGGGTCCTCATGGGTCAAGAGGTGGAGCGTGTGGCATCAGAATGCACCTAGTCTACTCCCTACTTGTCACTCCGCATGTGGCAAGAGACCATACGAAGCAGATCTTCGTGAGCCGGATCGGGAGCTCTGGCTTCGAGGCATCGAGATCGGTACAGTGACCGATTGTGTGACAGCGGTCTCGCCCGAGGCCCTTTCGACTACAGCTGGGCAACGAGCTTTTATGGACAGCCTTATCACGAGCCTGAGTATCGAGGTATTAGCTTATCAGCCTCTCGCTCGAACGCTTGTAGCTGGTGTCACGTGGCAGGGTCGGGTCTTAACTAATGTTAGACTGATCACCGATGCTGAAACCGAGATGGCCGTTGCTGTCATTTCAAGCAGTCCAGAGACTCATGAAAATGTGGTGCCGGACAGGGCGATGCTTGAGAGTAATCTCTCTGCTGCAGCGCGGTACTCGTATGGACTAAAGAGAGCTTGTCAGCATCGTGCTATCTTTCGTACTGAGAACGGACGCTGTGGTCTCGGGCCTTCCAAGACTATGGCAGGTGATGTTGTGGCGGTCGTCGATGGATGTGACTTCCCACTTCTTCTACGGCCTCTCAAACATGGTTACGAGCTTGTAGGGGTCTGTTACGTCGATGGATTCATGCAAGGAGAAGCTGTAGATAGCTACAAGACGGCAGAGTTGGGTTATAAGATGTTTGTGCTATTGTAGGCTTCCCTATAGTACACCAGTGAATGCGTGTATCATGTGACGAAAGTCGGCCTAATCTCAATAGGGAAGCTAATAAATCCTACTGCCACGAGCTTCTTGCAAGACTCCTAGTTCTTTGGAACCTCGAGATCATGGCGTTTGCTCGACAATGCTACGATATCACGACGATACGACAAAGTGTATGGCGGCGTAGCGCAGTATGTCTAGCGAGTGCTTAGAACTATGCTGCCAATGCACCGATAAACGATGACCGCACGAGATGCGTCTGTTGCACATCTATAGTCACACCTTTCGTGAGTATCATGGCGAGAATATACCGCCTTACGTTATTACCTCACATCGATGGTCGAACGATGAAACGACCTACAAGGATGTCCTAAAGAAGAGGAACACTACCAGCAAAGGCTGGGGCAAGATCGAGGGCTTCTGCGATCGAGTGCAAAGTGACAATGGGCTCCTCAAAGCGTTCGACAACGCTACTTGCTGCGATTGGATCTGGGTTGACACGTGCTGCATCGATGCTAGGAGTAGTGCTGAAGTGTCCGAATCCATAAACTCGATGTTCCAGTGGTATGCTGATGCACAGGAATGCTATGCTTACTTGACTGATGTGCGATCGATTCCCGCGAGTGGAGATGTCAGCGAAGTCTTGGATGACTTCAGGAAGAGCGAGTGGTTCAGGAGAGGTTGGACATTACAAGAGTTGGTGGCCCTTAAATGCGTGGTGTTCTTCACCAGGACCTGGGAGGTCATTGGGCATAAATGTGCCTATTGCACTGGAGCAGCAAAATGATGCGAAGGAGCCGGGCCGCTGCTGAATGATATTATCGCTGAAATTACTGGTATACCTGACGACGTGCTTCGGGACTACGAGCGTAGTCATACTCTAGACATCCAGGCCAAGATGCAATGGCAACAAGGCCGGAGAACGACCAGACCCAAAGACCAGGCATATTCTCTGCTGGGCATCTTCAATGTACATATGTCACTGCTGTACGGCGAAGGAAAGAAAGCTCGGCTCCGACTAGAAATGACCATCTTCGAAGAGCTGCAGCAACCTTATCAGTCTCGGCTAACACTTGACTTCTTTGCTTCAAACGAGCTCATATCAGAGCCTGTGAGCCAGCGCCAGCACTCACGTGCCGGTAGACCACTCGCTCTAGTCCGCTTCTCGGACATCGAAGGCGAAGTACTTTGGATTTGTGGTTATCAGCGGCTGCTCGAACGAGACAGCGCACCTGTAAGGAAAAAGATGCGTAAAGCAGCTTCTACCGCCGTCGCACCTACACACTGGAAATCAGACCCAGATTACAAGGAGCCATCGAAAGAACCCACTTCACCATTGAAGTTCGATCAGGTCATGGAAACCGCTGCTACCATAGGTGCTGCACCCGATATTGACGGCGTTGCTGCCATAGATCCTTCGACTCCCATACTTCCAGACAGCCAAAACAGCTCGATGGGCGGCTCGCAACTGTTTGTGCCACTCCAGCAGCAGCTTGAGCCGATCGCCAAGATGACTGTGCGCGAACGTCAGAAGTTGACGGACGTTGAACATGTTTCTGCTTTGCAAGCAGGGCAGACATGGCGAGGCCTCAAGCCGGAAGATTGGCACGGTGATGGCAATCAATCGGCGCCAATGCCTATGACCCGGAAAACATACCCAGCACAGTCCCATGCAGACAGTCATCGAAGTCTAGATCTGGACGAGGCAAACAGAGGTTTATGTCCACTAGCCAGTTGTGGCCGTCATGTGAAGGACCTAGAGGCGCACATGCTTTCGCACCAGACAAAACGAACGACCAGAAAAGTGCCCTGTCCGGACCTGCGAATACCATACGAAAGGCTTCGCGCGTAGGTACGACAAAAATCGACATACATTGACCCACTATCAAGGCAGCTTGTCCTGCGCGTTCTTTTCGACCGACAATTCGTTCAATCGTGTCGATGTATTCGAGCGCCATCTGACCTCAGTTCATAATGTCGAGCAGACACCTCCGAATGCACGTCGAACGTCCTCCGTCGACAATTCGAAGGTGCAAAGGTTGAAGGACTCCGTTAGGAGCAGCTCATCCACTACATGCTCAGCCTGTGAAAGACACTTCAGCGAACCGTAGAGCTTTTATGACCACCTTGACGACTGTATCCTCCGCCTCATCCAGGTGCCACAGGGAGAAGAGCATTTCACATGCCAATACGTCGACTGCGCGTCCGCGGAACTCAATTTTGCCTGCCTAGCAGATCTGCAAAGACATACCAGGACAGTACATGATCAGAATGTCGGGTTGCACAGTTGTACGGTGCCTGACTGCTCTCGTATGGGACCGTCTGGTTTCACGAGAAAGGACAAATTAGTTCAACACATGCTAAAGGCGCACTCTATAGGCCTAGGTCGAAGATCGAGCTAGCTTGGACATTCGATGGTTGTTGGAGGAGATTTCCTCGACCAGTCGCCAACGGCTGATAATTACTTCGTAGCTGATGCAATCGTTGTGGCAAATCTATACTCGCTTCAGTTCCAGTCCAGTAACATGCTGAGCGAGGTGAATTTGAGCTAACGGTCTCTAGCCAATGCCACACTGCCCTCAATGGCAATGCCGTTGGTATCCTAGAAGACGAGTGCCTTCCCTAAGCTTTGAGTATTCGACTTACTTTTCCTGTCAGCCCGATTGATTCATCGCTCCATCCTAGATGGCCGGATCGATGTCGAGTCCCCCGCCGTCATCACGACGTTGCATGCATCATGGATCAACGGCGTCTGACAAAAGTTCTTGCCCTCTGTGATTGATGGAAGTAAGGTTCCGACCACCGTGAGCCTCCTCTCGGCCGTCTCGCGGCATTTGAAGATCGCCATTTTAGCCGGCACTGCTCATCCCTATACAGATCCCTTCGAGGACAATCACAGTCATGCCTATAGCAATGCGATCGATCGAGCCCGGTTCAGAGGATATCGAGCTCCATATAGGTATGTCGACAAACTCTTTGTGGATCGGTAGTTGTTTTGACCGGTGGCGGCACGAAGTCCTGGCTAATATGAAGCTCCTGCGAACACAACATATATTCCACGCAAATACCAAGTCGACAGAGGACGTATTGTGCACTCTCAGCACATAAAATGATGTTCGGATTCAAGCTTGCGGCCTCGTTCGTCGCTCTCGCAGCTGGTGTTGCTGGGTACTGGCCAGGACCTCATAACTCTGAGTGTGGTGACGGTGTACCAACCCGTTGCTCACGCCTTCCTTTACACCTCAAGCTCGTCAATCAAACCTATACTCTGCCCGACCCTTTCCACTTTGTTGGTGGCCAACCAGTTCGTAATCAAGAAGATTGGGCCTGTCGTTCGGCGGAGATTCGAGAGCTGTTCCAGAAGTATGAGCTCGGGTACAAGCCAGCCAAACCTCTAGTCTTCTCCTCAACCTTCTCCAACAACACGCTGAACATTGTTGCGGGATTGTCGGAGAGCAAGACCATAAACTTCTCTGTACCGATCACGCCAGCCGTCCACACGGGTAGTGGACTAAGTCCTGCAATCATCGTATACGATGCTCCGAGCATTCCCATCCCTTCGCAGGTCGCCACAATCACTCTCAACGTCGACCAGATCGCACAGCAGGACAGTGTCGCCAGTCGTGGCATCGGACTCTTCTACGACCTTTACGGCAATGACACGACCACAGCCGGTGCCTTGATGGCCTGGGCGTGGGCTGTATCTCGAATCGTCGACGCACTCGAGGCTCATCCCGAGGTAGGGATCAATCCTGCGAAGCTAGCTGTGACCGGCTGTTCGAGGAATGGGAAAGGTGCCATGGTCGCTGGCGCTTTCGACAAGCGCATTGCGTTGACCATCCCGCAAGAGTCTGGTTCTGGAGGCGATGCGTGCTGGCGTACGAGTCGAGACATGCTTGTCAACCGCAATCTCGCGACTCAGACAGCGAATGAGATCGTGGGCGAGAACGTGTGGTTCAGTGAGTCCTTCAACTACTTCGGCCAAGACAATTATACTGTAGCACTGCTCCCTGTGGACCACCATGAGCTTGCTGGCCTGGTAGCACCTCGTGGTCTTTACAGTACTGAGAATGTGGGCTTCCTGTGGCTCGGCGACTGGTCGAACCTGGAATGCATGTCTGCAGCGAACAAGATATACCAAGCTCTGGGTGCCAAGGATCATCAAGGCTTCTCACAAGATGGGCCGCACGATCATTGCTCGTTTCCTGCAGATCAGGACGCAGAGGTTGCCGCATTCTTCAACAGGTTTCTGCTCGACGAGGCGGTAGATACTGATGTGTTCCGTACCGTGGGCAATTGGACATTCGATCCAAAGTGGACGCCCTGGACGGTGCCGAATCTGGCCTGAATACAGTCTATCTCTAGTGATAATGTATCGTGAGAACATAATTCAAATAGCATTGTGAACCATTGAGCGCCTTTTCCTTCACGATTCTTGTGGCTCGAATCGAATTCGCGTTTCTTGTTTCCGTACTATTCGAGCTGCGTAGACCCACCCGTTCATCTTGAGAGCACCGTGACAACTTGAGCTTCCCAATCGAATTGCCTTACAGTGCAGACTCACCGTAGTCGGTCGCGACCGGGATGCTTCTGCAGATACCTGTCAGTACAAAGTCGACGTGCTGATGGCGATTGTACACCTCATGCTGATCAGCCTCGCGACTGGTGGTGAGTATTTGTTTTCGCGCTGTTGATATGCTTACACCCGATAGTCGTCCGCGTGGTATAAGCTAATTTGGCAATATATCTATCCGTCCAATAACCCTGTGTGATCAACCTTTCGCTGTTCCGAACAAAATAGGCCTACTAATTCCACCTCGTTCCGATGGACACAGGAGGAGCCGCATGCGTACTCGCTGCATTGACCATCACGTAGCGTACCAAGACTTTATCGATCAAATCAGACAACAAACAACTCTGGATCACAATGGCACTGGTGGACGCCGCTGTCAAAGGACCATAGTCGCCTTTGCTAGCGACGATGTACTTGGTTACTTTCGAACCTGCCAAAGAAGGTACCAAGACTAGTTATTCAGTCGGCAGCTTCCAGATTCGATCTCCGAAGTTGTCAGTTGCGGATGCCGGAGGCCGACTGGGTGACGCCAGCGCCGAGTCTCCTCGACTAAACATCGGATCCGAGGAATCTTGTCGTAATCGAACCACATGGGTACTCTGTGGGCGCCAACGGCCTCATGGATGGCGGTTTACGCTTTGCGCTGCAACTCTGCTCTGAGTAGCGCATCACGGCTCCCCAAAACGCCAAGGTAAATATCTGGCTCTTATCCCACGCATGTGAGCATGAGGTTAGAGTGTGCGACTACTTACAGTAACGTTGCTTTCAAATGATACTAGGTGTCTCGACTGTTGAAGTCAGCCTTCCAATACCCTCACGTACCTTCTCCGCGGCGGCTCGTAACTCCTGAACCAGCCCTTCGCCGGCAACCTCTCCTTGTACAAGCCACCAGGGGGCAATGTTCAATGTTACGAGATATAGAGTCCGCACCTCCTCCCACGCATCCCCATCTAGTCCATGTAGAGGCGTTGCCACCCCTCGATCCTCCAGCTCCCTGAAAAGCATCTCGACAGCCTCGACCGGCCAGTCGGTTTCAACCTGTGCTAGATTCGTGAACTCCTCTTCCGCGGGAAAGAAGCCGGCGAATTCGAAGTCGACAATTCCCGTCACCACAGGCGCGTTTCCTGCACCACAGCGAGATATCAAGATGTTCCGGGGTGCGAAGTCGTTGTGCGTGAAGCACGGTGTTTGAGGTAGCAGTTTGAACAGACGTAATCGAGGAACAATGTCGTGGATAAAACGGCGGACAAGAGGCACCAGTTCTGCTCGCGAAGGGGCAAGTGTTCCGGTCGCTTCCAGCTGTGCCAGTTGGTTCTCCAGTCGGAGCATCTGATACTCGAGCCGCGTCGATGGCGTTGCGGATGGGTTCAAAGTACAGTCTAGGAGCCCAGCGACTGTGGGACTAGGCAGGTCTGGAAAGGTCTTGAGAGCTGCTCGGGATGCCAGATCTGGACGATCGGGTAAGAGGAGGTTGCCATAATGCTGGACATCGGGCACGCAAGAGCGCCACTGCGACATGTATCGTGCCAGCTGCTGAAGCGTGTCATGCTTTTCATGTCCTTGCATCTGGCTCAGGTCAAGAGTCGTGCCATGACAACGACTCATCAAGATCCAAGGCCGCTTCGTACTCGATTCCATCAGCGGTGGGTGAACCAGGTCCCGGACTGATTCAGGGTACCCGTTGCCCGAAGAACGCGGAAGAAGGCGGATCGTGTCTCCCTGCTCGGAGTACGCGATCACGCGAGGCGCTGGAACATTGGGGCAGTATTCTTCCAGCAGCAGTAGGCACGAGACCTCGTTCTGCACCTTCTCGATCCCCCAAAAACGTCCAGAGACCTTAAGCACATGGTCCAGAGTCGATAGATCGTCTAGGCATTCGACGCCAGTATCGTCGCATGCTCTTTCAAAGGTAAGAAAGTAGATACGGTTATTGAAAGACTCTCCCCGGCCAAGCTGTTGGATACGCTCTAGCGTTCGGTCGGGCGACACGAGTGCGGCAATGTCTCGAATAGTCGAATCTGGCAAATTGACACCGTATGTAGGATGATCTTCTGGGGTTCTATCCGGCATAGCGTTGGGACCAACAATAAGACGGAGGTATACCAGCTGTCAAGGACCAGGCTATAGTTGTGATGCTGGACCTAGTACTAGTAGATGTTATAGCCATCGATAGATAATCCTACAAGAATAAGTGGAGTATATTTGTTAATAAGTTCCCTGCAAGTTGTCCGGAACACGGAGGATTGTTCGAACCGAGAATGCAACTCTCTGCAACTCCAGCATGCTCTGTACCAAGATCTACTCATATTAAGATACGACTACATGACTTCACCAGAGCTGGCAAGCCAGACTTGGTTCAATGAGCCACATAGAGCTGGCACTACTTGAACTCCCACGATTCATGTCAGTTATCCGCCGTAAGCGTCGTACTACACGTCAACTCGGAGCGTCGTGATGCACTGAGTACTTGCGCTCACGATGTACAGTACCACACGCACAGATGCCGACCATTCACCCCGTTTGTAGAGAGCAAGAAACAAGCTTTGAGCGTGCATCGTACGTGCGGGCAGGCAAGATGCTTCGCAACTACTCCACCATCTGATAGCGACATCGGAAAAGACACCCCGAAGGAATGAGGCCATGGGCTTATAGCTACCACTAATAACGATCGAGGTGCACTTTTGCAGTACAATCTCCAGCACGCACATTGACTCGACACAGCAAGGATGCCTTCACTCTGCACCAGCTTCACATCGATCTTAGCTGTGGTGCCCCTGTGTTATGCTAACCGGCGCCTCACCAGATGCTCCGCCACACAATTAGAACACCCTGTTGTGTTCGGAGCGCAGATAACCAGCGTCACTGCTACGCACGTCCATCCCTATTCGACAAGCAGCACACAGAACGGCGCAGTGCCCGCCGCGAACTATACCAATCTCAATTTCTGCAATATAAAAGTCACTTACACCCACCCAGGCTATAACGACATTATCCACGTCAACGTCTGGCTGCCCTCGGAATGGAACGGTCGCTTCCAGGGGACTGGCGGGGGCGGCTGGATCACTGGCCATACGGATCAAAGTCTTGCTCCTGCGATTGCACAGGGCTATGCCGCAGCCTCGACAGATGGCGGACATACCGAGTCCGGTGATGGCATGCCCGAAACCTGGGCGCTGTTGAGTCCGGGAAATGTAAACCATAACCTGCTGCAGGATTTCGCTTCGGTGGCGTTGAACGATATGACTGTGATTGGCAAAGCCATCACCACGAGCTACTACGGCAGTGCTCCAACATTTTCGTACTGGAACGGCTGCTCGACGGGTGGCAGGTAGGGTCTGATGCTTGTGCAACGTTATCCTGATGCTTATGATGGTATTTTGGCTCTCGCACCCGCGATCAACTGGGCACAATTCATCGTCGCCGAGTACTGGCCTCAGCAGGTGATGAATCGGCTGGGTTATTATCCGTTGTCGTGCGAACTCGATGCCATCACCGCCCCGGCTATCGATGCGTGCGACGAGCTGGATGGGGTCAAGGACGGCGTTATCTCCTTACCAGGCGAATGCCACTTCGATGCTGTAGCGATGATCGGGCAAACCTTCAACTGCCACGGCACCGAGATGCTCCACTCGCCTCAAGCCGCGCAAATCGCCAACGCTGCATGGACTGGCCCGCACAACTCCTCGCTGTATGCATGGTACGGTCTGAACCGCGATAGCTCCCTCACAACCGGCCTCGCAAACACGACCTGCAGTAACAACAACGATGCAGCATCCTGCATCGGCAACCCGTTCGCCATAGCCTCGCAATGGATCAAGCTCTTCCTCGCCAAAGACGAGAATTTCGACATCACCGCCCTCCCTACGACGATTACACCGATATCTTCCACCAGTCCGTCCAAGAATACCAAAGCAAAATCGGCACCGCGGACCCAGACCTCTCGCGTTTCCGCCACCACGGAGGCAAAATAATCGCCTGGCACGGCTTAGCCGACCGTCTCATCTTCCCCAATGGAACAGTGCAATACTACGAGCGCGTTCTGGACCTGGATCCCCATGCTGCAGACTTCTACCGCTTCTTCGAGGCGCCGGGGACGGACCACTGTCGGGCTGGAAGCGGACCGTATCCGAACGATACGTTAGCTGCGCTTGTGGACTGGGTGGAGCGTGAGAAGGCGCCGCAGACGCTGACGGCGGTGGATGCCGAGACTGGTGCTGTGAGGAGGCTGTGTGCTTATCCCGCTACGCAGAGATATATCGGTGGCGATCCGTTACGGCCGGAGAGCTTTGCGTGTGAGAAGGTAGAGTGGCGGATCATGAACAGCGATCGGCGCATCAGGGGTTCACGAGTAGGGCCGCGCATGGTGTAAGCAAGTGGCGGAGTGACGTTACATAGAGAGGCAGCTGTGCTTCGATCTCCCGCAATATCGGTCGCCAGTCATTGTTAGCGGCCGCAAAGATTCTCGAACAAAGTCATCCAAAGAGTCCTCGAGCCTTCTTCAATTCCTTCCTCAGCTCGTTTTCCCAGGTCTTCATTGCGAGCTCCCGCCCCTCTTCCCCGTGGGGTTAGCCAGGAGAAAGCACTAGTCAGTTCCATAAGCTCGGCAGGTGGAAACACGGGAGATAGAGTGCAACCAAAAGCCCGGAGGAAAGTCTTGAAGTACAACGAATCAGCAATTTCGAGCCTTGATCGTCCCTGGAAACCCCCCTCCATGTTCTACGAACTGCAAGAACGAATTGATACCCGAGCTGGCACACGTAACCCCCCAAATCATGGTCATGAACTCGAATTGAGAATTGGTCCATCCACACCAAATTCAGTCAGCCCACCCTACTCCCCTCCTCCCTCAACCCTCGCCTTCTTCCCCGCCGACGCAGAAGAACCCCCACCCAGTTCCTCCCCTCCACTCCGTTTCCTCTTCGCCTTCCCTCCACCACCACCACCACCACTCCCACCTCCATTCCCACTTCCCTTAACCCCTTGCTTAGGATTATATGCCCCATCCCCATCCCTCCCCCCACTACCACTACCTTTCTTCTTACCACTACCGGGAACCTCACCACCCATCACCGTCATCTCCTCATCCCCATACCCACCACCATCATACCCAGAAATCCCCGGACTCCCCCCCTCCTCCCTCGCTCGTTCCAAAGCCCGATCACCCACCTGCTTCGCCAGATTCTTCCCCGTGCCGCCACCGCCTCGTTTCCGCGGGGCGGTTGTGAGGCTCGAGGGGCTGGGTTTGGAGATCGATGAGATATTCCCACCTTGATCATGCGCGGCTAGGCTTTCGGTCTCGCCGTTTGCACCATCTTCGAGCAGGCCGAGTTTGTGGTGGGATTTGAGCCAGTTGTGTTGGCTTTGCGGGTTGAGGAGTTCGACGTGGCGTTCTAGTTCGCGCGGGGTCATTTCGGCGAAGTGTTTGTCTTCTTCTGTCGTTGTTGACTTGGAGGGAGTCTTGCTGTGGGTTGGGATTGCTGTCTCGCTTAGACGGTGGGCGCTCAGGGGGTCGGTGAGTTTGGTGTCGAGTTTGGTTAGGTATTCTGTTTCTTGGTCAGCGGTGAGGTAGCCGGGTGGTGGTGGATCGTCGCGGGGGTGGAGGAGGTCTTCTGATATGCTGTCTGCGGTGGGGCGGGAGGGTAGGCTGGCGAGGAGGTTGTCGAGGGGGCGTGATTCTTGTGCTGCGAGCTTGTATTCGACTTCGCTGCGGACGATGTGGAGGTCGAGATGCGGGATTGTGCCTTGGCGGACGGCTTGCTGGTAGTCGAGCAGCATTTGGTCGGCGTGTTCGGGGGTGAGGCTGTCGGGGATTTCTACGACTGGTGGTAATCGGAGTGGGGGACGGATGTTGAAGCGGAGTTCGGGTGGTAGCGATGGATTCTCGTTCAGGTCGAGGCAGATGTCCAGGAGGCCGCTGCCATCGCATTAGTACCAATTCATTAGTACCACTTCAATATGCAGGAAATATCTGCCATACTCAAGCTCCTCTCGTAGTCTCTTGGCTAAGCCCTCCAGCTTACACTCGTCGCGAAACATGCGCCGGTTCTCCTCCAGCACGCCGTCGAACTTGGCACGCATCTTGCGATATTTCTTCCGCCATGACCTGTACGACTGACCTCTTTCAGGTGCGGCATATGGGTTTGGTGGCAGATTATCCAGTGACTTTCCGCCCAAGGTAGGGTGGCCGGTGGGCGGGGTGGCTGTTTCGGCCATGGTCAGTCTTGGGGTAAATTGTTAATGGTGCGCAGATCGAGTGAAGCAGCGACAATGGTTGGAGAGAGAGAGATCAAGCTATTGGTGTCATTATATTGGGTAAAGGTGGACTGATGAAATATGCTTGTTGTGGTTGTTGTCGCATGCGCATATAGGCAATGCAGCGCGAGGTGATGATCGTCGCGTGCCTCAAATTATCGTCCAGTCTCAGATATACACCCCTGCTCAAGCTTCTTCACATGAAAATGTCAAGTTTCGAATCATAGCACCAAAGCACGATATAACAAACAACAGATCACAATGTCTTCCTCCTCCCCCGAAGCAGAAAAGAAGCGCAAGCGTACCATAACCGCCTCAGAAGACGAACTCGAAATTGACGTCAATCTCCCCGAACCACCGTCCAAAAAAGCCAAGCGAGCAGAAAAGAAGAAAGGGAAAAGTAACAAATCCAAGACCAAGACTACGAAACCCAGCACCACTACCACCAACAACAACCATGTCGCCACTTCCACAAACGACAACGCCGACCTCGAGGACGAAACCCCAGCACCACCTCCCGCCAACAATGCCACAGGAAGAAGCGACTTCGGCATCTGGATCGGCAACCTCCCCTTCACCACCACCAAAGACTCCCTCCGCGACTTCTTCAAGACTGAGGGCAAGATCGCCGGCGAAGATGTAGTGCGCCTGCACATGCCCGTCCCAAGCGATAAGCGGGATAAGGCGACAAATAAGGGTTTCGCTTATGTGGATTTCTCCTCACAGGAGGTGTTGGAGAAGGCGATGGCGTTGACGGAGTACATGCTGCAGGGGAGGAGGGTGTTGATTAAGAATGCCAAGTCCTTCGAAGGACGGCCGGCTAAGGTGGCGGCTGGGGTGGATGGTAATGTTGGGAACGGGGTTGCTGGTGCGCAGGAGGGCGAGGATGCAGCGAAGCCCAAGGAGCCGGCACGGAGGGTGTTCGTGGGGAACCTAGGTTTCGATGTTACGAAGGAGGATTTGGCAGAGCATTTCGGTCTGGCGGGCGAGGTCGAGGATATTCATATGGCGACTTTTGAGGATAGTGGCAAGTGTAAAGGGTTTGCTTGGGTGAGGTTCGTGGAGGCTAAGAGCGCGAGGGCGGTGGTGAGGGGGTTTGTGTACGTTAAAGCGGAGAGCGAGGAGGATGAGAGTGAGGAGGAGGAGGAGGAGGAGGATGGGGGTGCGGAGGAGGTTGAGGAGGAGGCAGGACAGGATGATGGCGAGGGTAATGCGGTTGACAGGAAGAAGAAGAAGAAGAAGAAGAATGGCAAGAAAAGTGGTAGTAGCAGCAGCCGGCGCAACAAAAAACATCTCAACCGCCTCCACGGTCGCGACCTCCGCTGCGAAATCGCCGAGGACTCCCAAACCCGATATAAAAAGCGTTTCGGCAAGAAAGACGATCTTGCCAACGCCGAGCAGAACGGCAGCGATCGCGCGCGTCCAGCTCGCTCGTTCGATCGGCCGGCCTATCGCAGCGCAGATGGTGCTGCTACTGCCCCGTCTCAACGACAGCAAAGACCGGATAAAGACCAACGACGTGATGATAGGAGAAAACGACATGATGCGCGGACTGTGGCGCCGGGGAAGGCGTTGGCGGATGCGCCGAGGGCTACGGGGGCGATTGTGGAGGGGAAGGGGAGGAGGGTTGCTCTTGATTGAGTGAGTTGAGTGGATTGGGTGAGTGATGGATGAAGGAAGTGGGGTTTGAAGTTTTTGTGATGGCACGTGTAACTGTATACTTGTACTGTACTGTACTGTACTATATCATCGTGTCATAATCAAAGCATTTGTAAAGCAAACAAGAGTGGAGTGAATGAGCAAAGGAAAAAAAAATTCATAGCCTGTGCCCGATTGAGGTCTGGCTGCCCACCCACCCTCCACCCACCGAGCACCCATGCATTTCCCTTTTGTGTCAACCTTCCGACCGTTCCGTTTCCCTTGCATACACCGTAGAGAGGGGGATACATAATCGAGACCATTCCTCCATCAGACCAAAACGCCTCGCAGCTAGAAATTGAGCCCACTCCACAATGAGATATCTACGACGCACATCATACCATCATAGCAACCCCCAACCCCGCGATCGCGAGCCCGAACCACGCCCCCTCCTCGCTCAAAGCTGCCAGGCCCTCGGAAGCACCACTTGCGCTCTGCAAACCCGCCGACGCAGGGGCGGTGCTCGAAGGAGAAGAAGTTCCTGCGGATCCGCCACTGCCGGATGCGGTGCTGGGTCCTGAGATCGCGGGTGCGCCTACGATACTGGTTATTGTGCTGAGCGCTGCTGTGCTTCCTCCTGAGTGGCCGTTGGGAAGCATGGTTGTGGTTACGAAGGTGGAGGTTGCTGCGTTGCCGGGTCCGGTCGCTGGATTGGATTGGGGGTTACTTGCTGAAGAGGGGATTGAAGTGGTGGTGGTGGTGGAGAGGGTTGGTGTTGTTGCCGGGGCGCCGGATGATGTGCTTGTGTTTGGTGTATTGGTGGGTGTAGATGAGGAAGTGGTGGTCCCTGTAGTTGTATTCCTAACCGGTACCACAACGGTCATCGTGCTTGATGCACTTGTGCTTGGACTTGAAGTGCTTGTCTCGGATATGCTTGTGCTGGTACTCAGGACGGTACTTGTAGTGGTACTAGAGATCGACACCCCTCCACCACCAGAACCGCTCGACGTACCATCACCAACACAGATAATACTCCCCACCTGCACCGTATTCGTACTCAAAAACGCCGGCTGTCCCGCCTTGAAACTCGGCCCGGCCGCCATCGTCCCATTGGCATCGCGGTAAGGTTGGCATGTGATACTGTTCAAGTCGACGCCTTGGGCGCTGGTGAGGTAGAGGTAGGAGACTTCGTCCAGTAAGGCATTAGTGTAGGTGTGATTGAGTGGGATGGAGATGGTGGAATTTGTGAGACCGGAGCCGGCGCCGCCGTGGGAGGCGGTGATGGTTACGCCTGCCAGAGGGTCCGAGGTTAATTGGGCGTGGACGAGGGTGAGGAGGGTGAGGGTTGCTGGGAGGAGGAGTGGGTGGAACATTGTGGAGGTAGGTAGATTTGGGGTGTATGATGTTGTTTCGTGTTGGATGTTTCAGTGGTATGCCTCTGATCTGTTGGTCGCAAGTAGTGTGTGTTGTAGTCAGAAACCCGTTGCGTGGACGCGTAACGCGTTTAGGTTGAAGCAATGGAATGTGCTCAAAGAGTGTGTCTTAAGAAGGTGCAACTCTCGCGAGGAGAAGTGTTCACTGCCACGCCTACCTGTGAGTGTCTATAGTAGTACCCATCGAATGAGAGTCATCTCCAGCCTTTTGGGTTTCAAAATAGCCAGCCTTCCCTCGACTCGGTGGCTGTGGGATGATGTACATGTGCAACGCGCTTGTGACGTGGCTGGGTTTTGGCTTTCACGTTCCACTAGCTCTCGGGAGCAGCCGCTAAAATGCTTGGCGGTGACAACGAATCATGCTCTCACACCTGTGGCACAGCAACGATCCCTTCATCATCAACGCCTCAGACACTCCTGTGACACCTTCGCTTTGCAGGCGCGCGAGTACATCTTCCAGCCTCGAAAGCTCATATGTCGGACCATGTATGGCACTTTCTTAAGCGACGAGGCTCGAACCTAGTCGTCTAATGCCGAGTCTACCTCGTGCACCATGCCGAACAGGACCTCCAGATCATTAGTTTCTATTGTTTTCGCAAAAGTTAACCGTTCGGGGGCGACCGGGGCCGCAGTTTGTCTAAGATGCTGAACAGCTGGCGGCCGCCGAAGCGATAGAACCATGCCCTTTGATACCGCGCTATCTTCAAGATTATCGAAAAGCGCTGCATACGTTCCCAAATTTGCCGGCTGGACAAGCTCTTCTGCCGACCTCAATTCGTCGAGGAGCTGCTCAGGAATGTAGAAACTGGAGTCGATGGACGACAAGTTTTTGATTCCAGCCAGGTACAGTCTTGCGAGGGACATGCCAATGTCGAAAGCAGTACCTGCTCGAGACTGTAGGGTGCTTGGCAAGACCCTACGCTTCAGAAAGTCCCGGGCGGTACGATGAATGAAGAAAATCCTTTCTCTGGTCACTTCCAGCAGGTCAGCACACCGTGCATCTATGTATCTGGTCAGGCACTCGTTCTGAAATGGTGTCTGATGAGTCCATGGCTTAGAGCACATGTGCGCAGCGTTCGCGTTGTCGATGGCCGGACACTCCGGACCAAAGATGAGATAGCCATAGCAGGAACTCCCATGACAGTCGATTGAAAGGGCGTAATCTGGCGACTTGGTCTCTACTTCAATGCACCGCGGTGCCCAGCGAGGCAGACCTCTTCCAGCGGAAAGTGCAGCAAGCATCAAACGAGCTGATTGCTTCGAGTAGACACTCTCGACACGGTCAAACATCCGCTGGAAATAACCGTCCAGATCGTCCGGGTACGCGTTCAGTCTGCGCTCTAGTGTCTCCAAGTCGTCGTCATTGCCTAGACCTCGAAGCAGCGAGCGAACGACTAGATGAACCCAGAGGAAGACGCCTTCTGCTTTGGCTCTGATCTCATCCATAAGCTTGACGCAGCCTACCGGGTCGCGCAGCCGCATGGCCGCGAACACAGGGTTCGCCAACATCTTGTCCCTGACATAGATCTGGATATCCTGCTCGGTCAGCTCCTGGACCGCCAACTCGCCGTCGACTCGATTGCGGTAGGCACGAGTGAACACGTTCCAAGGTCTACTTGAAAGACAGAGCTTGATTCGAGAGCTCTTGGCCAGATCCGAGAGAAGGTCAATCAAGTCCACGTGCTCCCCTTCGTACTCATCCAGCCCGTCCACAAACAGGCATAATCGCGCACCCTCCTAATTATGCACGCCCACTGCTTTGATGGTCTCAGTGAGCTCTGCCTGCGTCCAGGGTGGAACCGTTTGATAATGGTTATCCTTTCGGAATCGTTCAGGCAAGAGTTGGAGCACAATCTCGGGTGCTTGCTGTAGCATGTGTACGAGGAGTGTGCGCAGAAGACCAAGCCTCGATTTCTGCAGTGTTGTTCCGGCGCTCCAGAAGTAATGGTACGCCACTATGAGCTCATCCCGGCCAGCCCAACGCTGAAGCAATTCTGTCGTTCGAGGCTGTTGCATAAGATACTTTATCAGGGTTGATTTCCCAGAGCCCGGTTTGCCTGTGATCCAGAATATGCCTGATATGACGCAAGACCAATTAGCTTCGGAAAGTGACTCGCATGAACCTGGAAGCGGCGTAGACGATATACTTACCGTCCTTTTCAGTAGCCCACTTCGTGTACCCAAATCCTGCTTTCTCGTATATCCATTGAAAGGTCTTCGCGTGGGCCTCTACAATATCTTCCTGGCGATTATTGATCTCGGAGAACTGGAGGCTCTCCAAGACTCGCTGGCAAGCTTTTAGTGTGTGAGCTTGACGCATCAATCTCTGGAGCTTGCTGGCGACTGCTTCGCCAATATTTTCGTTTTTGGCCCCTCTACGCACATGAGCAAGCATGGAAGGTAAAGCCTCCTCGAACTGTGCAAGACGTGCAGTATCACGGTCGTGTTCGACATTGGACGCAAAACCGAAGTCTCTCACGAGCGAAGATGATGATGTCCTTGGTGGCAATTAGCAAGGAGGTCATGGTCTGATCCTCAGTCACTGGACTCACCACTGCATGGCTGACAAACGGAGGATCATCTGCTGCTGGAGATCGTTCAACTTCGATCTCAGCTCTGTGACCTCCGATTTCTTGAGTAGTCCCTTGACCACACACTTGACCGCCGTCCTCCTCCGCTTCATAGGTCGTCCGGCATCCTCATTGGGTTCCTCGAATTTGAGCTTGTGTAGAAGTACACTAAGCTCTTCCGCGACTTCTTTAGACCTTCTCGCTAGAGCCGTCACTTTGTCGCCTTCCGTCAGTGGCGCCAGCCGGTCTTCCCAGCCAGGGTCATTGTTGCCGACCTTTTCACCCGTGGCGGCATCGAGATCCCAGAAAATCGAATTGCTGTCTTGCAGCAAGGCTTCCATATGCTCATAGTCTTGCGTCGTCCCGGTTGCGGCCAGCTCACGAGCTTGACAGAATGTTCTTATACCAAAATCAACCAGCTGCACAATGTTGCTCGCGAGCCCGAGCGATGTTAGTGGGTCTAACATAGCCGCTGATAGCCCACGCAGATTCCGTTCTGAACAAGGAGCATAAGATTTCAGTGTCGGTAGAGCTTGGAGTTCGATCCCTTTTGTACATGCTGGAGATGTCGGGCTTTTTTGGTTTGCCTTGACATCAAGAGATGGGTTGCACAGCCTTTGTATCGTGACGCCGTGCACAGCCCCACGACTGAGCGCCACGAGCGGCTATGCCCAGATCGCACGGCCGCAGAGTACGCTTGTATGTAAGAGAGAGTCTCATACTTCTGACCTGATGGGAAAGATTGCAGCAGCGCGCAGACAGAACGGCTGGGGCCAGAATCGCGATGAGGACTAGCGGGACGGTCCACAGTCCCGAGTCACGGAACCATTCGCAATAGCTTTGCAATATTGATACAGGATCCATGCAATGTCTGGGTTTCACACCCTCTATCGTACAGCATCTCCGACAACAACAGGCACAAAGATACCATGCTCCATGACGTCTCTCAGCAGCCCCTTCCACGACTCCGCTTTCTCCTCTTCACTAACATCACTGCCGAGTAACCTCTTCCTTGCCGCTTTGCCCTCCTCTCCTCTTCCACCCATCCCAAGTCCACGATCATGCCACCTCATATCCTTCTGCCACGCCTGATCCAGCAGTGTCGCGAAAGGGACATAAGGACGATAAGAAGTCGGTGCTCTCATATCCTCGTTGCGGAAAGAAGAGAGCTCACGATAACGACGTCGGTGAGCTTCCCGCTCACGGTCCGGAATAGCTTCCGCACTTAAGTCAATAGATGGTAGAGCGATGGTCCGAGGCTGGCAGGCGAGAGCCAGGATCTCTTCTTCTTGTGGGTGAAGTATCCAGTCAATGATCGTACCAGGGTCGACGGACTTCCAGGCCTGTGTGGCTGCGTGTAAGCTGGGCGGAGAGGAGTGATTGTGGTGCTCATCAGGCACGCTTTCACCCATCGGCAATGCACCAGACTTTTCGGCGGAAGGATCCACGGCCCTACCAAAGACGTCCACGTTATCATCATGAATCTCAAGCGAGGGCTCCTTGACCTGCCAGGCATGATTGGACACGCCAACGACAAACTTCCCAGCCAGCGCAAAGAACATCTCGCCGCTGCGTAAACCTTGATGCTCTAGGTGGCGACCAATTTGTTCTTGTGCACTTTGCCGCTTCTGATCGCCACCCCGCACATTCTTCACCGCTTCCCGCAACTTCTTCTCATTGTAGACTTTTGTCTCCCTCGACCTATTCGGTGGCAGGTACGCGAGAAGAGAATCATGCACCCTCGCAGCCATCGCATGATCGACCTGCCCAGTACAGCAAGCATAGCGCCAGATACCACGGAGCATATTCAAGCATTTCTTGCGCCATGCAATAGAGAAGAGCATCGAATAGCTCATTTCGTCCAATCTAACCCTGAGCTTGTCCTGGCGTGTGAGCGCATGCTCAAAATTTCGCAAGATCGCCACAGCGAAACTCGGGTCGCGTGAGCGTTTGGCTGCACCCAAGAAAATGTTAATAGTGTCGATACCAACGTGATGACCAGCACCTTCCAACAGTTGCATGACCCGGAGTGCGTCTCCCGTGCGACCACGATCGAGCAAGCTTTTCGCCATGATATTCGCAGCAGTCTTGCTAAGCCAAGGCCGAGGAGCTTTCGCCGTGATATGCTGGGTCGATCGCGGCCCAGGGTCCGGGAGCACGGCATACTTCCCGTCCAGACGAGCCACAAACTCCTCAATCGTCGCATCCGCACCCTCGCCGTTTAGAAAGAAAGTCAGAGAGCGTCCGAGCGTAGTCTTGACGGCTTCTTGCATATGTTCGACGTTGTTCAGGATGCCTTTGGCACCCATGAACCGAAGCACTAGCTTTGGTGATTTTGTATTAGGAAAGCGGCGGCACACCAGGCGATATAGGCTGAGCCACGTCCGACCAGATGGCTGTATCTTCTGCTGCAGCATGGTCCTCAACACGAGTCGGAAGTTGTGTACATCGTCATTCGAAGCTGCAGCAGCGAGAGCGATGTCGTAATTTTTAGCAGTAAGTGAATATTCAGGCACCTTCTCCAGGATGTTGAGCAGGCTTCGGAGCGCTGCGAAATCGCTGTAACGCACGCAGAGGGCTAAGGCAATGTCCACCGCCTCGGTGCTGATCGAGTATGATGTTGCCGGCTCGCTGAATATAGCAAGGATCTCACTGATAGTTTGCTGTTTTAGTGAGTCAGTCTGGACCGCGCCAGGCTCGTGAAGACCGGCGTTCGATCGGCCTATCAAGGGCGCGGGTACAGCTGTTAGATCTGTGAGGTAAGAGGTAAGGGTAATGCAGGACAATTTCTCGGGTCGTATGAATGTCGTCTTCGAATCAGCGTGGTTGCTTGTTCGGGCCCGGATGACTCTGTTGATGTCTGGGCTCTGTCGGAGCCAGTATCCTCTGAGACGTGGTGCGTCTGATTGGCTCGAGTCATCTTTGATCCCCTCAGGCTGTTCTTCACCATCCTTCGTATCATCTTCTAGAGTGGTAACACGATGAGCACCTTCAGTACGGATGTCGTATTCTCGCATATTCTTGCTCGCATTCTCCTCGTCTTTCCGAATTGTCTTCACGAGGTCTGGTAGCAGAGCGAGTGCCGCGGCATTCTCCGCCGGAGTGCCAAACATGGAGAGCTCACTAAATCCGCCGTGCGTTGACATCGCAACACCTTCGTTAGCCACCAAGCCAGCAAGATCCATGCCGCTGTCTGTGCGCATGGGTATGATCTGGATGTGGCATCCCGTGCGTTGCATGATTTCCAGTACAGCTTCGCCTGAATTGCCGTTGAACCAGACTTTGACACCTGGCGGAAGCCGCGCAATCTCCTTCTTGCGAGCATAATGCTGAGCCCCGGTCGGTGTTGCCTTCCCAAGCTGCTCGATAATATCACGAAACCACTGGGCATGGTCAAGTTCATCCAAGTACTTGTGTCTCTCTGTCTGGATCTGAACGCGTCTAACCTGCTTGAGGACTTTGCTCTTCTCGTGTTCCTTGCCTTGTGTGAAATACTTGCGTGGATAATCATGTACCGCTTGTCTCATCCTGGGCTGATGGCTTCTATCCAGTTTCCGCCATGAAGCGCTGGCAACAGCCTCCTCGATGGAGCTCGCCTGCCTGCTATTTTGCATGTCCTCTTTTTGGCGGGATTTGAGACGACCGAGCTCATCTCTGGCGAGGTGCTCGCTTTTCTCTTGGCTGACATGCGTTCTTCTGATAAGCGATGGAGCCGGAACTGCTGACGCGCCTTCATCCTCAGCCACTTCTCCCTCCGATCTACCCGTTGCCGCTCGAGCCTTACTTCCTCGCGCCGTCCGATCTCCTCGCTCTCCTCTCCACTCCCCATCATGTCCAGGTAGAGCACCGCCGCGATGGTCGTCAATATCACTCCGTTCAGGAGTATTCCTGGCATCGGGTCTGGCAGAATGCCAATGGGTGTGTTTATCAGTGCTGCTTTCGAGCTCTCTATTGCTGTCACGGCCGTTCTCAAGAATTTCAGAAACTGCTTGGATTCGCTCAGGGGTTGTCCCCGAGGCCTCCGCCCCATGCCCACCTGTTAGCTCCTTTGCGCCAAGACCTGTTCGATACTCATTGTCCCCTCCGAGCGGCAGGTACTCGATCTGTCCAGTGTTATGGTTGAGTCTTCGCTGGTTCCACCCAGCGACTCCTGCGAAACTGACGCATCCGACAATGAGCAATCGCTCAGATCTTGATCGGAAGGGCAGGCTTGATCGTCCACTTCTTGCACCACCGAACTCTCTGATGAATGATCGGACAGGCGTGCTGAGGGCGCCGAGGCGGTGCATGGACTGCCCGTACGCATCTCACAGAACTATGACGATAGAGGGTGCTCTAACATTTTCTCGGGAGTGATGTGAAACGGGACGATGTCCGCAAAACACGTGCCGATCCTTGGCTCCACTTTCTTCTTGGCGCGAATGCAACGCGTGAACCGCGTTTGGATACGACGCGTGATCACAATCATTATTATATTTTCTGCCATTGCATTGCGCTGCACTACGCCACCAGTACCCTTCACTCGCCTGTATCTTTACAATATCAAGCCATACGGACATTGTCTTACCATCTTTGCTTTTCGTGCCGGTCCATCGACGCAGTTTGTTTACGATGCGTTAACAGCAGCACGACCATTTGGACCGATCACATCTTAGGAAGCTGTCACCATGGACAACTCTTCGCCCGTGCCGGCGGCTGGATCTCCGAGGGCTCTGGAGCTTACGCCTCGGTCGAAGGTGGCGAAAATGTTGGCTGACATCGATAATGCTACAACTCCTTCTCCACCACAACTCCTCGGCAAGGATGTCCAGGCTTCAGCTCCCATGTCAGGTGCCGAATCGACGTCGAAGGCCAAGGGCCTTGACATCTTTTCGTCAGCCAAGCCCCAGCACAGCAGCAGCCGAGATGCCTCAGATGATGAAGATGACGACCTTGTCCCGCAACGGCGACCACAGGGTCGGGCAGCGAGGCGCATGCTCGGCGTACAGACCAAGTCTCCAGCTGCAGATAGGCGCATGAGCTTTTTGCCACCGCATCCAGAGCCAGCCATGGAAGACGATGAAGATCTGTATTCAGTCACGCCACATCTGCAACGGATCATTCCACGAGCACTTACTGGGTCACCAGTAGGAAGTGCCAAGAGCGCCGGACTTTTCGTCAGCCCAACCAGATCTGCTGCAAATGACGGCAGTGACAGTGAAGAGCTCCCGTCTAACCCGTTCGGTAGCAAGGAAAAGCTTGCGAAGCTCGTCGCACAGAAAAAGCAGGAACGACTCCAGCGCGAAGGAGAAGAACGAAGCAGGCAAAGGCTTACGCAAAAGCGCAAGCGAGCTTCTTCTCCATCTGACCATGTCTCATCAGATCTACCAGACGGAATGCTGGATAGCTCGCAACACGAAGGCAATCCAGAGATCGCACAGCTCATGTCTGATGCAGCACGCCCCACTCGAAAGGCTAGCAAACGAGCTCTCTTGGAGATGGAAAGAGAGACTCAGCGTCTAGCACGGCAACAAGCTTTGGCGCATCAGATGAAGGTGAAACGAAAGTTCACCACAAGTGACCTGCTTACGCGGTTTAACATGGGACCCGGCCAAACTGTACCCGAGCAAGCTACTGCAGGTGACTCAACAGCATCCTCTGCACTCAATAGCGATGGATCAGAGCCCAAGGAGCCGGCTAGCACGCCACCTTCGAGTCCACCAATCGCGCGACCCACCCCGCTGGACAAACAAAAGGCTCTGGTCGACCGAGGTGCACTGAGCAAGCTTGTACCAGTCCGGGAGGATAGTATTGCAAGCTTGGCGTCAATGGTGCAGGAGGACGAGGATCTTCCTGAGATTGCGGATGTGCTGCGATCTTCTCAGACACTGATAAAGAGATCTCCGTTGACGGAAAGATTGCAGTCTGTGGCCGCCGAGAAGCTCGGCCGGCGAGGATTGAAGTTGGCCAGGTTTGGCAAGAAAGCAGCGCAGACTTCTCACGCGGATAGTGAGGACGACGAGTTGGATATCGTTGCTCCTCTTCCATCTCATCTATCAATTTTCGACAAGATCAAGACAAAGGACAGTAGCACGCTCGCAGACAGCAAAGCGTTGCACGCTCTCAGACATCTCTCCCACGCTGGAGCATACGAAGCCGTGAAGACTAAGCCTGGGAAGGGGTCGTCTCGCCCATCTATTGGCGCGAACACACTACAAGCCCAGCTAATGCGCAAGGCCAAGGAGCAGGCTCGGCTTCTGCAAAAAGAGCGCATTGCCGATTTGCAAGCCAAGGGTGTGGTCATACAAACGACTGAAGAGCGGGAACGAGAACAGGAGGTGTTCGAAAACTTGCTTGACAAGGCTCGGCAGGAGGCAGTCGAGTTAAGGAAGGCAGAGAAGGCTGCAGCTAAGGGGGGCGGAGTCGAAGTGAACACTAATGAAACGAGCGATGACGAAAACGAGGACGAGGACTATGCTGGGTCTGGGAGTGAATCAGAGGAGGCGGGTGAGCCGGATGGGGCCCAGGATGTGGACGATTTGGTCGATGAAGCGGCAGAGGAGTCTGACGAGAACGAGGACGCTGAAGGCGACGTTGATGGTGGCGTGGAAGTTGGGGATGATCAGCATGTAAGTGCTGAAGAGTCTGTCATTGCGACTGCTAACGGCGAGACCGCTGCGGTGGAGGAGGGCCTGTTCACAACACCGGCGCCGGGAGCTCGACGATTGCGACAGTCCCGCGTCATCCAAGATGAAGATGATAGTGATGCTGATGACGAGGCCGATGGTATCGCTGGCAAGGCTGCTGCGGAGATTGCAGCAGCAGCAGACGATCCATTTGCTGCGTTCAACTTTGGCTCGAAGGGTGGAATCGGCAATGCTCTAATGAGTCCAACCCAGGCATTCCAAGCTACAATGCAGACACCAACTCAAGCCACGCAAGAGGACTCCTTCGATATGCTCCGCATGATCGCCCCCCCATCGGCTACTTCGCTGTCGACGACTGTTCGAGGAGACTTCGATACGCAAGAGGAAGACACCCAGCTCGAGACCGTGCCAGGTAGCCAAAGCCAGCTGCCAGAAAGTCAAAGAATCAACTTGGGCTGGGAGACCCAAGCGCCCAAGACGCCAACAGTGCCTGGCATCGGTCGCGGTGGTTCCGCATTGAGCGAGACTCCAGGCTGGGAGCCGACGCAAGACGCTGGTCTACCGTCGCCCTGGAATGCAAAGCTGCGGAGAGAAGAGACTCTCGACTCTGTCTCCGAGGACCACGAAACGCAAGAGACTGTGCTCCTCCGCATCAGCGAATCACCAGCTGTCGCGCCTACTCCTACACTGCGCCGAGGCCGCCTGATGCGGCGACAAGCTACTATTCTGGCACACAGCTCTGACAACGAGAACGAGCCGATCGTCCGGGCGAAGACTGCACAGAGCAACGCTTTCCGCGAAATGGCTCGCCGTCGTCGTGAGGCTCTTACCGCTGCAGAACGTACAGAAGTCGACAAAGAAATGAAGGAGATGCTCGAGGAAGCGGCTGATGAGTCTGACGACGAGTACGCTGGTCTTGGAGGAGATGACTTTGTTGCGCCAGAGACAGAAGCGGACAGGGAGATGATCGACTCGAGCCATGTCGACGTGGATGAGCGACAGATAGCTAAGCTGTTCGCCGAGAAGCAACGGCAGCGTGAAGAAGAGGAAACGAGTAAGCTGTACAAGGATTTGACCACTGGTGCTTTGAGAAGAAAACAAGCAGGTGCATGGGGTCTTGACGAAGATGAGGACGAGTCAGCCGTGAGACGTCGACAAACCAAGCAGCGTGAAGAAGCCCGTAAGCGCAAACTACTGCTGCAGGACGACAAGATTGCCGGGCTTGCTCAGGGCAAGCAGTCGAAGGGCAAGGATGCTTTCCTCAAAGCTATCGCTGACGACGACGAGGGAGATGAGCTTCTGGGCTTGTCTGACGACGAAGCCGATAGCCAGCCCGCTACAGACTCGCAGCTCGACGAATCTCACCAACAAGCGGTCGAGGGACCATTACAGGAAGTCAGTGGTAACAAGCGTCGGTCTGACGATAGCCAAAATGACAGTCAAGATCGGCCGCTAGCCAAGCGAAGAGTCGAAGCCAATGCCTTTCGGAAGCCAGCAAGTCTGCTCGAGGTCCGAGAATCACTTAGCTTCCTGCTTGATGAGCCGGATACTGGATTGGTCGGCGCGAACATCGAGCTAGATCCAGGCTCGGACGTCGAGCACCAGTCGGACTACGGCCTCAGTGATGAAGAGATCGAAACTATGGATGAGGATGCAGAGCAAGCAGAACACGCGAGGCAGAATGACGGCGGCTTTGCGCCGAACCAGAGAGACTTCGATGCCATAGCTATGCCGCCTCCTCGCCTACCAGCCCCCCAACGGCGCACGCAGGCTCCGCCAGCTAAGACAGCTGTGGTCGATCGCCTCAGCCTGAAGCGTGGCTCCTCCGCAGGATTCGACGGTGCCCTCGGTCGTTCAGCCTGGGCCGCACCGGCCTCTACCGGCAGCATGAAAGTGCCGTCATTGCTCCGCCGCGCCACAACCAATATAGCTTCCACGACAGTCAACGACCGTGGTGTCACTACAGGACACGCAAGCCTGAGCAGGGAGAACAGTGGTAGTGGTGTGAAGATGGGCGGTAGTAAGAAGAGTTCTCTGGCATACCAGGAACGTGCGGAGGAGCGCCGGGCGATTGTGGAGGCGAGTGCGAGGAGGAGGGAGGAGCATACGGCGAGGATTGCGCAGATGAGGAGGACTAGTAGTGCACTCGGTAAAGGGCTGACAGGAAAGTTTGAGTGAAATGCGGTGCACGGTGTCGCCATGTCTGGGTGTCTTGAGTACGTCTGCTTTGAATTGTGTTGATACATAGTCAAGACACTCTTTGCAAGTCAAGATCTTCTCTCATAGCTAAGAGAGCCTGTCCTCAAGCTGCCAATACAAACGCACACGTCTGTAATATAAGCCATTTGCTGGGTACTGCTACTTGATCACTCCAGGATCTTGCAACTCGGAGTTGCTCGGTCCAGGTGGTCACACATACACATATGCAGGCCGGGAGAGCGGCAGGGTGTGAGCTGCGAACTCCGGCATGCCGAAAGCTAGATGCTGGCCAGGCCTGCGAATGATCTTGAACACGATCTTTGGCTTGTCTGCCCCATATGCAGGGACGGGTGTGAGCTCCTAGTCACCTCCTTGGACGCGAGGACAGAGAGGCACATATTACGATAGCTTGTTATAAACCAGCTGGGCTCCGTTAAGAGCATCCTCGAGAGCTTCGTACATGTGACACAGATTGCGTTAAGATACATGAGCCCGATAGAATATGGGCCTCAGATGGCATGCTTCTTCGTCCTCGTTTCTCATCTCTTTGCTGGTTTTGCAAGGTAGCAAGTGACTTGTACGCAGCCCGCCGTTAAAAGGTGAGGCTCCAGGTCGTCGATCATTCTCGTACATCATGGCAAGCTGACGTTGCAGTCACATCCCACAGGCATTGATCGAGAGACAAGCCGGCGGTAGTAATCATGGGCGTCAGAAATGGTCAAGGTATCCTTCCGAGTCCGCTTGGCATGTTGTCGAGCGTAAAGGCACTGTAGCACAAGATTGCCGCAGTGTCCATGTCGCAAATCAACAGATGGCCCACGAAGCGCCCTCGATCTTCCCACATGCAGAAAGCCATGCTTCGTTCACGCAGTATATATTGTCCAAAAGCCGAACAGGCAACTGCGAAGCGGTAGGATGTGACACAAGAGGTCGGGAGGCACCCTCCTGATGCGTGGTCGCGGCAAAGTGTCCAGGGCTGGCAAATGAGGCCGAAATTATGGCCAGCTGATGGTCTTGGTCATCTCGGGTTCCGATCATTTGAGTATTGCATCCTGTTTGCACCCAGCAAGTTTTGCTCGCCTTGTGCGTCCGACATACTCACCGAGCAAAAGTGAGTTGAAGAGCATGCTAGCCTTGTAATGGTCATTATACTTCTGCATCTTGACCGTTTGTGGCGTTCATGGATACCCTTGCTTCCCACGAGGGCTGCACGTAAGCGCAGATCATGCGAAGATGAGCGTCGGCCTCACGCGGCAATCTTCGCGGAGATGTTCTCCCGTTGGTGACAATGCAACATGCATGTAGAAGTGCTATTGGCCTGCTAGTTCAAATTTGTCATTGGATCATCGGCGGAAGTCTGGCCTTTTGTAATATCCTTGTTGTTTCCTGAACGCTTTGCAACTGGCTTGTGCGTACGACCTCTGCCGACTGACGGGACTGCCTAGACTTGATGCGCACTCATGTTAGAAATCAGCCTTCGCCTCCCCAGTCTACATCATTACTCGTCGTATCGTCGACGACGTTCCCGACCAAACGGCTGGCCAAACCTGTGCCTCAAAGCGGTCAACATGAACCACTCACAGCCTGGCGCTCAGTCGAGAAGTTAAGTGCGGTACCAACGCTCTGGAGCCGAGAGGTGCACGCGAGATGTAGCGGCTAACAGGCCTCACTCCCCATGAGAAGTAGCACCAGGTGACGGACAATCTCAATCCGACATTTAGCTGCGAACAATGTTCCCTCCGTTCTGAAGACTGGACTAGTATCTTTATTTGCACCGGAGTGCTCGCCGCTTGTGCCTTGATCTGATTTCGATCACTCTTCTGCCCAACATGGCGTCGTCTTTACTTGCACTCCTCACACAACACACTCCGGATCTTCAAACACGAAAAGCTCTCATAGTATTGGGACTCCAAAACGACTTCCTCTCGCCAGAGGGCAAGTTGCCAGTCGATCTAGACTCCGGGTTTCTCGAGCGAATCAAGTCGCTGGTGCCTTCGTTCCGTGAATACGGCGACATTTTCTGGGTGCGCTCGATAGCCTCACCAGGCAAGGATGCAGATGGTTACCGTGGTGATAATTCCGATACTGTCATCACGGGCTTCTCCACCGTCCATGATGGCACCGGGACTATCAAGAGTGGGGCCAAGCGTGGTGTTGTCGACGACTACACGAGCGTAGTGAAACGCATCAAAGCTGGTCCAGATGAACTCGACCCAGAAATATTTCTATCTGCTACTGCGACTAGAGAGGCGTGTTGCATATGCGACACCTGGGGAGCTGATCATCCTGCCGATGTCAAATTGCTCATGGAGAAGAAGGACGTTCACGTGGTCAAGAAGTCCTACTCCGCTTTCGCTTCAACGTCTCTGCTCACGACATTGAGGATGCGTCTGATCACAGAACTGTACATCTGCGGCTGTATGACCAACTTATCCGTGTACGCGACTGCTATGGATGCCGCGACTCATGGCATTCAAATCACTCTGGTCGAAGATGCTCTAGGATTTAGAGACAGAGTGAGGCATAATGAAGCGATAAGACAACTCAGGGATGTCATGAGTGCAGACGTCATGACCAAGGACAAGATCATAGATCGCCTCTGCAATGCGTTCACGTCCGAGGAGGAAGAATATGGACCCAGTGAGGACGAAGAAAACGCTGCCCAGGCTGGTGCATTGTCTCGAGTATCTCACGACAAGATACCCTCAGTCACCAGCGTGTTCGAAGCAAACGACTCGTTGGCGGCAGATAGTGAAGACGACGAGGGAGAAATTGAGCTACCACAAGTATGTCTGCCAAGATCGCGTATTGAGCTTCCTTTGCGTTACAGCTCTTTACTCGCGCGCAATAGCTCACGTCGGTCAGCTCCTACTATTGAACCCACTTCTCAGCATCCGCAACCTGCAAGCGTTGGAGCAGCAGCTAGCGCGACCCACGACACTTTCGCTGCCGATGTCGTTGACGGCCTACATGCCGACGACTACACACGGGAGGATTTGCCAGTCATTTACGCAGACCATTTCGAGCCCAAGATCGAGCTCACAAGCGACCGTTGTGTGAAGGAGGAGCCCTTGGGTAGCCCGACTGATGAGGAACAGCCTGAAGGTCTGCCAACAGGACACAGCTGTGAATCGAACGCTCTAGAAGCTTCTAATGCTGACGATGGTTATGACGCTGCCCCGGGTTGTGAGTCACAAGAAGTTGAACCCCGAAGGAATCACCAGGATACGGACTCGTCAGACGAACTTCCCCTTGCCAATAGAATTGCTGAAGGTGAAGAGGTCAGGATAGAGTCACACACCGATACAGTCGAACTTGGCCAGTCACAACAAAATTTGGAAGACCGCCCAGGATTGACCGGATCCCGTGATCCCTTGCAAGAAAGCAGGGCCGATCAGCTAGATGCAACGCCTCAGTCCGGTGAACAAGTGGCCAAGGCAATGCCTAGCCGCATCGACGTAGCTCAGATTCATAATGCAGTCACCAATCATGACTCATTTGCTTCCACCAAGAGCGTAGAGAGCATCCTTCCAAGAGCAAGACTATCGAACACCGAGACGAGCGAAGTTTCAGAAATTGTATGCCCTACTCCGGCACTCGAGGGAGTTGCACGAGATGGTGTCATATCCACCCAGCATGAATCCAGGCCATTGTTAGGAGACGAGAAAGAAGTTGAAAGCGCCGGCTCGCGGATCTACTTCGCACTGCTCCCACCAGAGCTTTCCGAAACAATCTTTGACATTTTGCACAAAGAGGTGGATTGGCAAACTATGCACCATCAGACTGGCCAAGTTCCACGATTGGTATGCTGTCAAGGCTCTCGTTCCGAGGATGGCAGCTGGCCAGTCTACCGCCATCCTTCGGACGAGACAATGCCCTTACAGCCATGGTCGGTGACAGTGAAAATGGTCCAGGATGCTGCCGAAAAGCTGGTCGGTCATCCCCTGAACCATGCGCTGATACAGCTATACCGTGGCGGCACGGATTACATCTCCGAACATAGCGATAAGACACTTGACATTGCCAAGGGCAGCTACATTGTCAATGTTTCTTTTGGCGCCCAGCGAACCATGCGATTGCGCACCAAGCGAGCTGTACAGGACACTATCAGCAAAGATGCAGCGCCAGCGCAGCGTACTTCACATCGCATAATCATGCCGCATAACTCGTGCATCACCATGTCTTTGGCAACCAATGCGGAATATCTTCACGGTATCAACGCCGATAAGCGTCCGTCCGTCGAGCTGTGTGATGCAGAGAAAGCGTACGATGGCCAGCGTATTAGTTTGACGTTTCGACACATTGCTACGTTCTTGTCTGCTGACGAAAAGAAGATCTGGGGCCAAGGAGCAACAGCGAAGCGTGAGGTGGAAGCGAGAGCTGTGATCAACGCGGATGTTGTGGAAAGTGGACGGCTTATCAGAAGGTTCGGTGCTGAGAACCAGGCGAGCAGCATTGATTGGGAAGCTGTCTATGGTGGGGGCAGCGACGTACTGCATATGAGGTGATGGCATGTTAAAGTACAACCAGTCTGCATGCTTCGCAACAATGAGTTGTTCCTACGCTGAGATTATCACGTGATATCGTTGCGTCCAAAGCAGCACGCGCAATTCTGCCTTCCAGCTCACAGCACGACATAGTCTTTGTTGCACGTGCGTTGTAGATGAGATATATGTGTGGCCATCGTGTGGTGACGAACAATTATCCTCGGACTCAGCTTTCTGCTGCATTGGCCGGAAATGACATTTGCGACACTTACAATTCATCGTCGATCTCTGCTCTTATGCAAACTCAAAAGACGGAACCTCTCTCAATCGTCGCAAACCGTGCTGACCTCGGTGATGAATTTCGATGGCACACTTTCCGACTTAGATGTCTCCAGTGGAGCCCCGTATGGATTTCGATGACGCTGGCTCCACCAGCAAGTCAAATGTGGAAACGTGGATCAACCAACCCAACCAGCAATCATGCTACGGTTCTCACGGCAGTGCCCTGCGACGCCATCGTGGGATGGTCGGAGTTTGAAAGATGCATTGACTTGAGCGCAAAGGACAACGGTCTAGGTAGGAATCGTGTTTTTTATTTCATCGTGCTTCCCTTGATCTCGAATCTTCGCTACAGTAAGCAACCGGGACGACAGATTTCGTAGTAGATTGATACATCGCCATGGCCTCTACAGCCTCATCGTCTTCGACGGATTTCCAGCATCGACAGCAAGACACAACAGAGCATAAAGACTACGCCACACAACATCCAGGAGCTCAAGCCAGACCTCAACGCACAAACCCAGACTATGGCGGGAATCCTCTCGCGCACATATTGACCGCAGGTTATGGTGATCAACGTCTTCCTGCCTTCGGTGGTGCTTTCCAGCCAGGCCTATATAAGCCTCCAGCCTTCAAATTCGCCAATCCGGTGCCATTGGGTCTCGCCGGCTTTGCGTTGACCACTTTCCTATTATCACTTATCAATCTTGGAACATGTGGGATCACAGAACCAAATCTTGTCATTGCGCCTGCCTTGGCGTATGGTGGTTTGGTCCAGCTCCTAGCCGGGATGTGGTAAGTAGCGATAGTGTGAACCTATGTCTGCGCATGGATGGGTTCAGACTGACACTTTTGGCAGGGATATCGCGCTCGGTAACAGTGAGTCGAAGAAAATTGCCTTCCACGTAACTCATAAGCCTAACCATTTGCAGCTTTCGGCGGCACGGCCTTGAGTTCTTACGGTGGCTTTTGGATCGGGACAGCTATTCTCCTGACACCAGGTGGCTTCGACATCGCCGGCCAATACTCCACCACCGGCGACTTCTATGCAGCCTTTGCTTTCTACCTTATTGGTACGTTACTCATGGCGATTAGGGTTTGATTGATGCTGACACCACGTTGCTTAGGGTGGTTCATATTCACTTTCATGCTTTGGCTGTGCACACTCAAGTCAACTGTGGCATTCAGCTCATTGCTATTTTTCGTCTGGCTTACTTTCCTGTTCCTGTTCATCGCCTATCTTGGTGCCCAGACCAACGGAACAGGTATGCCGACTGTGGGATGGGTGCGTGCTGGTGGAGCGACCGGTATCATTGCAGCCTTCATTGCCTGGTACAATATGCTGGCTGGTCTCTGCGACAAAAGTAACAGCTTCATTGTGATACCAGTTGTTCACTTCCCATGGAGTGAGAAGGGTAGAGAGGATCGAGCAGCAAACAGAGAGGCTGTAAGTGGTGATGGTGTGTAGATTGGTCGGGTTCGACCCGGAGGACCTCAGGGTAGATTGTATAATACTGAATGAGGCCTCTAGTCTGTACAGCATAGCAAACTCTTTGATTATCAGAAGAACGTTTGGTCAAAAACCATTCGTGCATTACTCAGAACCTCTGTCAAGCAGATTGGAGCTCTCCTGGTCTTGCTCAAGTCTAACGCTGCCAAGTCTTGCCCGCGCCACAACTTCAGGCACCCTCAACCTCCAATGCCAGACCATACCCGCAGCAAAGCCCACAAAGTCGTTCTTGAAGGCCAGGCAACCAGCCACGGTAATCAGCATGGTCATCCATCTTTGCTGGCTTTCTTTCTCCGCTTGGTTCTTGGTCTCACTAGCTGGGCGGCCATTGTTGTGATCTGCTTCTGCTCGCTCCCAGAGATCCGTGCTCTCACTCACGCTCTGCCCAACCTTTGCAAGCTCAACTCCAGCTGCCAGCACCATCACTCCGAGCAGACTCTTTGGGAAGCGCTGTAATAGCGGAATGATGGCGTCGCCTACCAGTAGTCCCAGTAAAATCTTGACGGTACCCAAGATTATGATCGATGCTCCACTGCGAGCACCGAATCGATACTGGCCTGCCAGTCCACCTGAACCATGACATACTGGCATGGCACCGAACCAACAGCCGATCAAGTTCGCCATGGCCACAGAGAAGCCGACGGAAGTAGTGCTTGGCGTCGCTGGAAACGTAGGAAATAGTGAGCCGGCCAAAGACACGACTGCGAGTATGCTGTTGAGTGTTGTCAACGGCAACTGTGGAATAGCTGCGTCGATCGCCCCGGCCCTCCAAGCATCTCCATCGGGAGCTGAGACAGACGGGTGCCAGAAGCCAGCAGGACGCCTCTCGTATGTGGCGTGTGCCAAGACGATGGCTGAGATCACGGTGCCGATTGTGAAGACGATCAAGGCATAAGGTACCTTCGGCAGTGTAGCTGCCGTGATCAAGAACGCGAAAGCTACCAAAGCGGTAACGCGATTATCCCACACTGGACTGATCCAATGCAAAGGCTTGATCATACCACCTCCTGCACTTATTACCAAAGCCAGGCCGGCGCCGACCTGTATACCCTTGACAACAGGAACAGGGACAATCTTATTGAGCCAGCTGAGCATGCCTGTTGCGCTCAAGATGAACACCACACCTCCCATCGTCAGACCAGCTGCCATAGTCTCCTGCTGACTGAAATTCTGACTTATGGCAATTGCTGCGATAGCTTTCATTGGCTGGACAGGAAGTGGTAAGCCATACCATGCACCAGTCAAGATATTCGTCAGGCCCGAGAAGACGAGCGTGGCAGGTAAATCGATCGAGCCCTGTAGAGCCAGTGCCATCATGAGCGGGAGTAATGTGCCCAGGTCACCCAAGGATCCGGACAACTCAGCCAAAGGAGATGTTCGAAGGGTGCGAACATTATACGCCGCGACACTACGCAGGTGGCGGAGCATCATATTAATTTGCTGGCTATATCACATGTAGCTGCTGAATGAGATGCGGGATAAAGACAGGTGATGTTATCGATGCTAAAAGCAATATGCCTTGGTTGTTACTATGCTCGATGTAAGAAGAAACTCGTTGTGCCTCAGGCACTCATGCTTGCCCACTCCATTTCCAAATCCGCGCCACTTCTCCTCGAGTGTTGCAGCACTTCAGCATCATCTCTTTTGATCCGGCGCCGGTGAAAGCGGTTCGGCATCTGGTGTAAGCCTCGACATGGAGGCCGTACACGAGTGCACGATCGATCATGGCCGCGCAGAGCCATATACACATGCCTATAGTAGTTTCACCGTCAGTAACCGCCAAACCGTCAATCGCCGGCCACAGATCTGAGACCTCACGTGGCAGCTGTCGATGCTCCTGGCACCCCGTGGCGCCCGCGATCGAACAGTAGACCTGGAAAGAAGTCGGAGCCCAGATCGTGCCAGTGCAGGCATGCGTTGTCTGCCATCGGGACTTGAAAAAACTCTCCCCTTGCAATGTTGCAGATGGACTACATGTACGGCGACCTGATCGTATGACCTTTGGTGAGACAAGATGCCAGAACTCTGGCCAGACCAAAACGTGAACGGGCTTGCGGCACTTTCCTGCTTTTGGCTCCGTACTCCTCCATTCTAGGGAGATTGATTTGACGAAGCTGGGGTAGGTCAAACTCTACTCATATGCCGTCGACGTGTACGAGATATCATCTACGCATCGCTGCTACTGATCTAGACTTCTTCATTTGCCGGTTTCTTACTGCTAGAACATATATATGAGCAAGGCATAGCTGGCATATGAGAGCGACTTGAGCATCCGCACACCTGCACTCAAACACATCCACCACTCTACCTTGTCTGCATGATGGCGCTGCTCGAAGGCAATGCACTGCTCTACTCCGTCTCCTTGCTCGCGTGCTTGGGCTTCTTGCTCATTGGATTCGACAATGGTATGGGGCTAGCTCCATCCTACACTCTTCGATGAGCTGACACAGAATTGCAGGACTCATGGGCGGACTGGTTAACGGCGAAGCATTCGACAATACCTTTCACATCAACCCAAAGTCGAAGAGCGGAGCCAATCTCATTGGCTTGATTGTGTCAATCGTGAGTTCGAAGGATGGCCCGCGATACCCAAGACTCAAGCTGATATGACATACAGTACGAGATAGGCTGCTTCATTGGTGCTGTGACTACTGCTTTCGTTGGAGAACGTCTTGGGAGACGGCGTAGCATCTTTGCTGGAACGGTAGTCATGATTATCGGCGCCGTACTACAAGCGACCTCCTACTCGGTCGCACAGATGATAGTGGCACGCATTGTCGCCGGCATTGGGATGGGCTTCATCAACTCTACAGTCCCAGTCATGATGGCAGAATTCGCCCCAAAGGCAACCCGCGGCATATACGTCTGCGCCCAGCTGTCCACACTAAACTTCGGCATCATGATGGTCTACTGGATCGACTATGGATTCGGCCAAGGAACAGGGGCCGGACAACCTTACTCATGGCGTGTGCCAGTTATCCTCCAATGCATTTTCCTGATACCTATGCTGATCATCATCGCCCTCATCCCGGAGACGCCGCGTTGGTTGACATCTCATGGCCGTGAAGAGGAGGCATTAGAGGTCCTACGGAGACTCAACAGGAAGAAGATGAGCGATGCAGCCATCATCCGGATTGTCGACGACATTCGTAATGTGGCAGCGTACGAAGCCTCCATCGACAGTGGGAAATGGAGCGATCTTCTCCGCAATGACAGCATCCAGTCTCAGAAACGCTTCCTGATTGCTTGCTCCATCCAAGCTTTCCAGCAACTGGGAGGCATCAACGCTCTTGTCTACTACTCCAACACCCTTTTCCAGCAATCTGTCGGCTTCACCCCTCAATTCTCGGCACTCATGTCTGGCATCTTGAATACCTGGTTCTTCGTCGCTAGTTTCATCCCTTGGTTCCTGATCGATCGTATCGGCCGGCGACCACTCCTGCTGAGCATGGTCAGCCTCATGGCTGGCGTCATGGCTGTTCAGACTGGCTTGATCTACAGCGTCCAGAACAATTTGCCCAACCAGCATGCTTGTGGTGCCGCCGCCGCGGCTATGCTCTTCATCTTCCAGGGTGCCTTCACCGTTGGTTTCCAGGCCACTGTCTGGGTGTATCCATCTGAAATTCTGCCTCTGAAGCTGAGGCAGAGAGGTAGCTCCATAAGCACTGCTTGCAACTGGATCATGAACTTCATGGTACGATCATTGTCATCTCCACCCGATCCTCTGCTAACGCTCTGCCAGATCGTTTATATTACACCTCCAGCAATTCAGAACATTGGCTATAAGACCTACATCATCTTCGCCGTGCTTAATGCTACATGGGTGCCCATCATGGTGAGTCTACCTAGCACCCCAATTATCTGGGAAGTTTACTGACCACCAACAGTATTTCTACTACCCGGAGACGAAGGGCCTTGCGCTCGAAGATGTCGACAGACTGTTCGCAAAGAACGGCGAGATGCAGGAACACCTCGCTTATCACGACGACAAGCTGGGCGATGTCGAGAACAGGGTCGAGGGAGATGAGAAGACTATGCGTGTGCAGTAATTGGAGAGGGTAGCGGACATGCTTTTGCTAGGCAGAGGGGAAGGATCATATGATTGATGTACACCATACCTTGTCAGACGACATGACGCAGACCATTATCAACATGCTTCCTATGAGGGCTCTACCAGCAGCTCAGTCAAGCTAGCAGGCCGTCGATAAATCCTGCTTCGAACAAAAAGTGGGCTAGACCTAGACCACGCCGTTGAACAGCTTCTCGATCTGCTTCTTTTCCTACAAGCCTCCAAGCAAGAAGGGCATTCTCGTCGATCGAGACGTCAGCTGGCTGTCAATATGACTACGCAACGGCTTGCATAGTGAATCGGGGTCGGCAAATGACGGCTTGCTAAGAGGTGAAGGTCGAGAAGAAGTAGGGAGATCTTGTGCGGTAGTTGTCGGTCTATGGATGACATTTGCTGGAGGGGTAGGCCGCTTGCGCGACATGGAAACGGTATAGATGAAGCCAGGATATTGTCCTATGACGCTGCTGCGGCTTGTCCTGGTCCACTGATCTCGGTCTAGCCGGCAGCTTGCGAGTCTGATCTTAGTAGACAAATTCAGGGTCCAAGTTATAGTTGGTTCTCATCAGCAAAACTTCATGCTCACGGTCCAAGGCTCGCGATCTCTATACTCAATCCCCCTTTCATCTTACTTCCGCATCCCACCCTCCAAAAGGCAAAACATACAACAGCAGGCATTCGCCAGTCGTCACCGACCTGACTACTACTCTACCGGTCCGCGGCTTAAGTACAGGAGAGCGGACGGGATCCTCTGTTCTCCGCGGCCTATGGTCGTATGTGCTTAGATGTGCTTGCCATGACATATATGATTGTGCAATCTGAATCGGCAGTCCTGCTGTGTGATAAAGTAATCTAATTACACAAGCTTGGCGCTGCTCTAGATCCTTGGACCAGATGTGGCAGATCCACTACTGAGAGGGTCCCGAGTCCTCACACATGATTGCCGGCCTGTGAAATTTTAATATGGTAGTCAAGATTTGGTGCGTTGATTTGTGGACGTAGGACTTTCTCGGTGGCCAAATGGGCGTTCCAGTACTTCATGATACGTAAGCCCGTGCTATCGAATCGGCCAGTGTGATTTCGCTGTTGGTAGCCACCACAATTGCCTGCAATGACGCAGCATGGTGTAATCATGTCCAGAGTGGAATATTATCTTGGCCTCGTGCATATGTTCGCTTCTCACTTCCCAAAGAACGCTGTAATCCTAGAATTTCCCTTCTCGTCCGGCGTCTTCGTCCTTGGCGTATTCTGCGTAGCACTCCGCACTCTCTTACTCGCAGGTGTATTTTTGATTGGAGAAGCGCTCGGTGCTTTTCGCTTCGCGGGCGAGACAGCAGCTGCGGGTTTTTTCTCCTGCTCGACCGCCTCCAGCATTGCTTTATCGTCCACCTGATCCACCTCGTGCTTGATATCCTTCTCCACAACCTCATCAGCTGCCTTGGCCATCTCCTCGTCTCCGACTCCGTCATCCTCAACCTTCAATCCTTGCTCGAACTGCTCCTCCGACTCGTTCACCGGCTTAGGTAAGGGCGCATTGCCCTCACTTTCCTCAAATTTACTCGTTTCCAACGCATCATCCTCGTTCTTGAGCTTTGTCTCCACCACCTCATCCTCTTTCTCGTCCTTCACCTTCGCCTTCTCCTCCTGCTTCCCAAAGAAATTCGCAATATTCTTCTTATTCTCCTTACTATCAACCGGCACAACAAACAGCGGACTATTGTTCCCCACCTTTCCCACTCCTTGATCCACCGGATAGCACTCCAGCTCACCTAGGAAAGGCTTCAGCATAGACTGTAATTCCTTGTCCCACCCCACTCGGTTTGGATCAAGCCAAGCTTTCATCTGCTCACTCCCCGGCTCAACAATAACCGGCATGCGATCATGGAGAAAATTCAATTGTTGGTTCGAGTCCGTAGTAATGATGGTATACGAATAAATCTTGTCCTCGGCACCCTCATACCGCACACAATCCCACAATCCCGCAAAACACATTAGTCCGCCATCCTTCCTCTTGGTGAAATGCGGAATCTTTGTCTTTCCGCCGTCTTTCTTCAACCATTCGTAGAAGCCTTCGGCGACAACGATGCAGCGTTTTCGTTGTTTCATGGTATTCCACATCCCGCCGCTTTGGGCTAGCGAGTCGTCGCGGCAATTGATCGTGCGGAGCTGGGAGCTGTAGTCTGGTGCTCTCTTAGTCCAGAAAGGTATTAGACCCCATTTCGCCGCTTGGAGTTTGTATTTGGTCTCGTTCGTCGCGAGGCCGTCTACTTCGTGGATGGTAGAGTGGGTGTGCTTGGCTTTCTTAGGGCTAGGCTCGCTAGCCTCGTTCTCGTCGTCGTGCTGGCCGCCTCCTCGATCGGAGGTCTCGGCGCGGTAAATCAGACCGTGGTAGCCTGGAGCGAAGTTGTAGCTCTGACGGATGCGATCGTCTTCGTCGTCGGGAGCATCGTCGGCCGGCATGTCTTGGTCCGCGAGGCGTTGGCGGACCACCGATGGCCGGAGATGGAGGGCATACCTACCGCACATGATGGCAGTAATGTCGTCTGTGTAGAGCAGTTGGCATCGAAGTTGCATGGAGGAAGACGCATTACTTGATCGATCTATGCCGTCACTGCGTCAATGCGCGAATCTGGGGAAAGCTTGACTATGTCGATCAGGAAGGAACGACTTTATTTCATCGCATCGCTATGTACATATCAACTCCTGTAATACCAGACAACACCGACCATGTCCCTCCGGTCGGCGATTAGCCTACCCCTACGACAAATCCTCCGCCAAGCAATACCTTCTCGCTCCTTCCACCACCGCACCCCTCTCAGACCACGTGAATTCCTCCTCCGGCGCCCGCAACGTCGCCATGCATCCTTCACCTCGAACGCTCGCGCCCTCTTCCGCCAGAACCCCGTCTCAGTCTCCCTCGCTCTCCTTGCCCTGACCTCCGGAATCGCAGCCCTGGTCTACACAAATTACCTCTACCAATACTACATCCTCCGCGCCTTCCACAACTATCCCGAATATGTCGCAAAGAAACTACGACGCGCGCTGTACTTCACCAATACCGACTTACAACCACAGGAAGCGCTGAAGTACTACAAGCAGGCATTGCAGATAGCGGAGGAGGTGGGAATGGATCCGTTCAGCGATGAGATTATTGGCGTTAAGGTGCAGGTCGCGAAACTGATGGAGGATGTTCGACAGCCGGCCAAAGCGGTGCAGGTACTGGAGATTCTGCGGAGGGATTGTCTAGAGTGGATGAAGCAACTAGGTGGACTGGAGAAGAATCGGGTGAAAAGGACGAGGGTGTTGGCCAAGGTTGTGGCTGTTACGGTCAAGTTGGGAGAACTGTACGGCAGTCCCGAGATCTACGATAGAGAGTTGGCGGAGGAGAGGTTGGTCTGGGCTGTAGAGACCGTATTGAAGGAACGTGTGCGACGGGACGGCATAAGAAGAGCGGATGGTTTGAGCGAGGAAGCTTTGTGTGAGAGGGAAGGGGTATGGATGACGGACTCGGAAACAGGCGCAGCACTGGAGCGGTTGGCAGCGAGTTACGAGGAGAAAGATTTGCATTATCTGGCTAGTCCGCTCTTCCTGCAAGCACTATCCCTCTACCCAACCAAGGACTGCCATACGGTCATCTTAATGAACAATCTCGCCTCCTCACTAGCCCAGCAATCGCCCCGCGCAGCGAGCGCAGTCTCTGCTCAAGCATCCTCATCAACCATCGCCACGACTCCTCCGGCTATGAGTACGACAGCGCCAGCGACTCGTGAATCTATGGTTCAAAATGCCCGACTATGGGCACAGAAAGCATTAGACGTGGCATCCTCAATCCAGCCTCCCGTGAGGAATGAAGAGTGCGATATCGGATGCGCAGTCGCTACGCACAATCTTGCCGAGTTCGCGGAAATGCTTGGGCAGCGCGATGAGGCAGGGAGACTGTATGCGGAGGCTAAAGGGATAGCAAAGGCGATCGGGTTCGCCGAAGGGGTCGAGATGAGTGAGAGCCGATTGAAGGCGATGACAAGATGAGAGTAACATGGTTCCCCCGATCTCTCCTTCGTCCTTGACACCAAAAGTGCTTCGCGGATTCGACGGAATGCTCACCGCTCCAGCTCGCCATCTCTGGGACAGCCACTCCGTTGCATCGCCATGCAGGGTCGGCACGGCAGTCTTGTTTCCATATTCACGAAAGTGTTCCCTCTGGAAGCAGATGCACCGCTGGCTCCGGTGCCTTCACTCAAACCATTGCGGCCACAAATCAGCTCCATCTGGATGCTCGATCTCGCTCGCAAACATTTACTTCAACGCCAATGCTTGCACTAGCTGCAACGGTCGCCATGGATGTCTGTATCGATAGCCTGGGCACGTCGAAGACATGCTCTGGTGTAGCAGAACCGGGAGCGGCGCCCACTGCTATCGAAGCTGACAAGAGTAGCCGATAGACCATCGTACCTCGTTATGCTCGACATTTGGTCTGCCGTTTGACAGGGAGGATGCTTGCCATGGCATTGGTCCCGCAAACATGACTACGCCTGAGCAAGCATATCTCCAGGCTTGGTCACTATGGCCGAGGTGACATGATCCGCATGCACTACCATCAAGAGCTACGCACGATCCATATTCCAAACCAACGCTGCTTCACTACATCGTGGCAGCCGATGTCATCACGCTTTTGGCCTTAATGAGGACCACTCCATTGGATCTGTACACCAAGTCCGTTCGATGGTGACGATGTATACTGTAGAGAAGGACAACGCTGGCCTGCTAGCATTTGGCAGTGACTTTTGCGCCTGCAACAAGTCATGGCATTCTCATGTCAATGGTGCTCCAGGAGACCAACGATCGAATGAGCAACGCACATGCCATCATGGTTTTGGATATTTCTAGCAGACAGGCCAGACAATGAGATCCTCGATCGCTGTGGCCCGTCACTCTTACAAGTGTCTCGCGAGAAGATACGCTGGCCTGTTGCGCTGCCCACAGTCACGAACGAGCAGAGTCTTGTCAATACGGACAGGTCAGAAACCTCCAGTGACGGTCAACAACGCAAGACACTCTGTACTGCCATCAAAGAAGAAATGCACATATATTTCGATCACAATCAACCTTCTCCTACAGAAGAACGTCGAGACCTTCCAAGGACATCTCTCGACCAGTCAATCAACAAGTCCCCATTCATACCAGGTTACAGCGGCCCAACAGCCAGACAACCAGCTGACGAAACGCCCGCACCCAACAATCGAACTTCCTGGCCTCATGCTCGACAACCAACACATCTCCCTACGAATCACCTCACGATACCAATCACAATGTGTGTCATACAATCCCACAATCCCGAGACCAATGCCTACCTTCTGGTCAATCACAAAGATCGCAGGGGTCGCTACTGGTATTTTTGCCGCCACAATTGTCAGGTCCAAGTCACAATCAACGATTCGAGCCGGACTGGAAGTCCTCCTACATGCTGGCGTTGTCGACATGTGCGCTGTCATAGATGTATTGAGGCGAGAGGGGCCTAGTGAGGCGCATAATTTGGACGGCAGAAAGGGGTCCAACGTAGACGAGGATCACGGATGGGCTTAGTATATTGGCAAGTGTCAAAGCCGATGTGTGGAACTGGCGAACATGACGAACAGAATGGCCTGGAGGTGGGACATGGCATGCTCAGTATTTGTGAATAAGAGGCTTGGTAGCGTGGCTACGGATATCTCGACGATGGACGGAGAGCAGCTTCTTCCTGACTTCCGTAATAGAAGGACTTGGCTGTAAAGACAACGACGCTAATCCTCTTTACATTTAGCCAACCATTCAGGGCAACGCTCAGTCACTTTTCTGTGACTCTAGGTCTGTAGACCATGGGATTAATCAACTTGCCCTCGAATTTGGATGTGGTCTGCGGACATATTGCGATCCAGAAGTCATCATTACTGTGGTCACGTGATGCGGCTCAAACTTCTTTTTCGCCTCCTTCTCAAATCCCTTCCCCTTGCATGACATCTCGAGCAACCTTTGCTCAAGTCGTTCTTTGGCAGAGTCCCTCTAAGCCACTCGTTTGCCAGTCTATGGACGCGGTCTACATAGCCTACTATGGCACACCTGGCTAAATAATGCGGCTAATACTTCCTGCCCCAAAACCTCGCAATCTCAACCCCGCAGATCATCCTATAGGCACCATCTCATCCACATGGACCTGCACAATAATAATGCCATCGATGACATGATGACCACATCGCTCGCTATGGGCCATTCGTCCGTGGTTTGCGCAGTACAAATGTCGTTCACGAGATCCATATAAAGGCTTTCCCTGCACTTCAGAGACCAAGCACTTGCTGGCAAGTATCAGTTACAGTACGATAACAATGGTGAAAGCCATAGAGTCCGGCATTAGTAGCTTCGCCCTCCTGGCTTTTGTTGCGAATGCAGCCGCATTGCCTACTTTGCCAGCTCGCGCATCGAGTCTATCGAATACGGAGACATCATTGACATTACTATACCAGAACAATCTCAACGGCAGCGACGACGTCAACCATATCTCAGCAATACTGCTCGACGATTTCTCCCTGGACGATGCAGCAGCTGCGTGTAACATTGTCAACGAGCAATTGCTGTCTAGAAATGCCATCCAGGCACACTACGATGACTTCTACAATCAGCTCTCCTACCTCGCCTACTCTGGTCGTGCGTCGCAGAATCAACAGTATATAATCAACAACGGCATAGTCGCCTTCAACCAACGCCAGCACTGCTTAGAATTCAAGCCCAAGCCTTACGGAAACCCTTGCCTGCCTGTATTGTGTACCCAGTCTGCCAACGCAAGCCAACCTACTGGCGCGAATGCTACTGCACAGAACGAGATCACCATTCCTGCTGGCAGCAACACTTTCCGTGGGTACCGCAACCTGAAGTCATGGCGGTTCAGCGGCATGCCATATGCAGACCCGCCAAAGCGATGGCAGTATAGCACAGTTTATTCTGGCAAAGGGCAGGCTCTAGATGCTACCACGTTTGGATCGCAATGTGCTCAAGTGGGTGGTGGAAGCGAGAATTGTCTGTTCGTAAACGTCCAGACACCATACCTTCCGAAAGCTGGTTCGAAGCAGCATCTCAAACCTGTGTACTTCTGGATCCATGGTCAGTCCAATGGATAGTATTGGCCATATCTGAGCTGACCTCTTGTAGGTGGTGGCTTCAACAATGGCGTGGGTAGTTCTGCCGGTACTGATGGTGGCAACCTTGCTAGCCGGGAAGACATTGTGGTTGTCAGCATAAACTACCGTCTAAACACAGCTGGTTTCTTTGCTGTACCTGGCACTAATATCATGGGCAATTATGGTATCGCCGACCAACAAACAGCTCTCCAGTGGACAATCGAGAATATTGCAGCATTTGGTGGCGATGCGAGTCAGATCACTATCATAGGTGGCTCTGCAGGTGCCGGAAGCGTTCGTGTTCACCTTGGCTCGCCTCCAGCCATTGGGAAGTTCCAGGGCGCCATCGCTCAAAGTAATCTCGGTGGAGGTGTCGACCTCGGACTCACTGGGAACTATGCTACATCTTACAGCTCATATCTGACCATTGAGCAAAACTATGACATTGCCGGCCAACAAATCTTTCAAGAAGCGAACTGCACGCAGTCGAATCTCGACGATCAGATCGCTTGTCTTAGCAAAGTGGACGCCGTTGTATTATCTGAGCTCATGACAGTGGCGAACAAGGTTGTACAAGATGGCCACTACGTCAATACCGAGCAATTGATCGTTTCTGTCAAGAATGGCAGCACAGCGCATATTCCTGTAATGTTCGGGACGGCAGAAAACGACGGAGCATCTTTCGACAACTACCCGCATTCGAACAATGTGACTAGTGAGCTTGAGGGTCTGCAAACTGAGCTTGGAATTAGCGCATACTATGCACAGTCCATCATTAACTCTGGTCTGTTCCCTTACTACGACACTGGCAACAAGACCTTGGACTCCTTCAATATCAGCCAGCGTATCGCAACAGATAACCAATTTCGCTGTGTCGACGAGGCCACTGTGTACGCCGGCGCCGTCACCGGAGCCTTCCCGAAAGCATATTACTATCAGAGCAATCGTGCGCAGATGGGTTACGATCCAAATGGGATCGGTGCGGACCCAGTAGAGCCTGGCTACCCTCTCGGGAATCCTTATGCACCATACTTCCGCGTCCATGGCTCCGACCAGGGCTGGTCGTTTGGCAACCTGTATTACTTCCGGGATCTGTATGATCTGTACAGTCTACAGCTCGAGTCCAGCTACTATGCCTGGTTTGCGAAGACTGGTGACCCTAACGCTCCTCTGGCATATCTGCAAGCCAGAGGATACGATATAACGATTCAAGGCAGTAAGCTTAGTGGTCCGTGGCTACCTGTGCAGGGAAAACAAGGTCCCATCAAGCTTCTTGACTGGCCTTCTATCAGCTCCGGTTTTGTTGACGTAAGTTGCTGCGTGATCTTCTACTTAATACTCTGCTAATTCCAAGCCACAGGTACCTCAATGCACCTTCTTGAACTACACACTTTCATATTACCTGACCGCCAACCGAGGATGAGCCTCAGAATCATTGTCCGCGCTACGGATACATATGACAGGCCTTCCTTCGCCGCAGGAGTCCTGGCAAGCTATTTCACCGACAATGGATGCAGTCTAACGATCTTAAGTCAAGTAGAGGCCATCAAAACGTAAGAGACGCATAGAAGATAGCCCTTGGAAGAGGAGTACACCCATTCGCATGTTAATCGTCGTAGCGATCCAATCTGTCCAATCCAGCTCTCACTGTTCACCATATGGTGTCACCGAACCACGCCACGGTTTTTGAAGCTGTCCCGCTCTCTCGACATCGAAACGCCACACACCACAGGTGTTCTCAGGTTCTAGCTTGCTCCCTATAACGGACAACAGCCTCGCCGCAACAGGATTGTCGCTGTCTTTTCGAAAGAACACAGCCTGCCATGATTCCTCCTTCGCCTTTGGATTCTTCCTCAACTCTCGCTGCGCATTCTCAAGTTTGCTCTTGTTGTCAGCCACACCCTGCATATTGCCTTTGTGTATGCTGTCGATGACACCAGCCCAGGCATGCCGGGACTCCCACGGATCCTGCTTGTCGAGCGCTGCTGTCCTGAACTCTGTGGCTGTGGCAGAGCTGACATCATGGGTATCGATTACTTTGCCTTCGGCGTCCTTGAGCGAGAAGCTCTCTGCCCAGCTACCTTCAGCGGTGAACATTGGACTCTTCCGCTTCTTGTCGTCGGCATGATACACTCCAGCAGCTACATGATTTTTGCTGCCGCTCATGCCGAGGAAACCTTTGCCAGTGAAGTCGACTTCGGCGATCAAGCCTGTTGAGCTGACGATATCATACGTGCCGTTCAGTTCTGGATATGGTCCACCGGTTAATATGCCTTTCACCTTGACATTCGGTAATGGTATTAGGTAGTCCTCGTCGAACTCGTCCAGATGCATGACAGCATGGCCGGTTTGCTGAATGTTGACGCTGCCGCTGAATGTGATTTCTTGCCTCGTGTAGCCTTCCGCCCGTACACCATGCTTTTCGTTCCACAAATAGCAGGCTGTCACTGGGGGGTGATGGCTAACTTGTTCACTGACGAGATGGCATTCTTCGCCAGGCTCTCCGCAGTCACCCAAGAATAATTCGCCGAGGAAAGCATTGAGAGGCTTCTTGACTCCTGCGCATGATCAGTATATGCTCCGTTGATCTCGTCTGAATAGGACTAGTCCGAGGAGTGTGAGGTCTTCCCATACCTTCACTAGGTTGACGCCCAGCATACTGCTGACCTCTTAATGCCGATAGGAACCATTTCAAGACAGCAAGTATCCTTCGTTCTGGCGTCGACTCATGTGCTGGTGCACAAAACAATTCGGGATGTTCGATCCAGTATCTTGGGAACTCAGTCGTACTCTTGTCGGCAAGGACGAATGGCGGCGCAGTAATGTTGCTTAAGTCGCCTTTCATCGTTGCTATGGACTACCTTGCACTTAGAATGGGTGCTACTCGCGTGCTTCCAGGGAGCACCTACAGATAGAAAATTCTTGAGATTGCTTTGTTGGGCGCTGTTGTCCGCCATACTGAGGTCGACCTGTCGTAGCGGTCGATCTTACACTCAATGGTCTATGTTGTGGCTCTGGTAAAATGCGACAGTATACGTAGGCTGAGGAAACAACAATATATGTTATCCGCAATGGTAATGACCAAGGAGGAAGCCATTGCGAGGTAGACGTTGTGCTCGTGGCGCAGTGGTCCACTCAGGGAAATGTCGTCACCACCCTTCGATGCCGATTGATGGTTTGGAGGACAGCGCATGATCGCAACATGCTGCTTTCATCGGTCAAGTCAATTCCAACCTCGAATGTCAGAGGGCGAGAGGAATGACATGGCGATATAGCAGTCAAAGTATCACTCTTGAGGAAAGGTGATGATCAGCGTGATGACCACGAGCTTGCCGACCTCGGGCACGAGACAAACATCGACCATTAACCCCACGCCCACCACATCAACGTGATCGTAGGTAAATTTTAGTACCACTACAGTTGGTGATGTGTCTCGAGCATAACCGCCAGCTGGAATTGCGACAGACTTATAATAGCTCACCATGCCAATTCACGACCTCACCAACAAAGTCGTGCTCCTGACAGGCAAGTTTCCGCATCCGACTTGTCAGCCCAACCATCTGATCGTCGAGTTGACGATATGTAGGCATCGGAGCAATAGCTGAAGGCTGGGGCAATGGCACAACTATCGCCGCTCTCTTCGCTCGACAAGGTGCCACGGTCTTCGGCTGCGACATCAACCTCGAAGCCGCCAACAAAGCAGCAGCTGAAATCAACGATGACGACGAGGTAGAGAATCATGTCTCGAGGAAGGACGGGCGAGAAGGAGTCGAAGTCTTTCAACAGTCAACCGTTCGTTCTCGTCCCTCGCATCCGAACGACACCCGCTCACAGATACCCACTAGGACGTAACAAATTCAACCCACTGCCGCGCCTTCGTCGATGCCTGCAGACAGAAACACAGCAGAATCGACGTCCTAGTAAACAACGTGGGCCTTTCCCAACCCGGCGGCCCTGCAGAGCTCTCGGAAGAAATCTGGGACGCCCAGACAAACGTGAACCTCAAATCCGTCTACCTGATGTGCCATCTCGTGCTTCCCATCCTCGAGGCCCAAGAGAGTGGCGGCTGCGTACTAAATGTAAGTTCCATAGCTGGACTCCGCTACATAGCCAAGCCTCAAGTCGCGTACGCAGCTTGCAAAGCAGCTATCATCCAGTTCACGAAGACGACGGCTGTGATCTATGCTGAACGGACGGGAGGGAAGGTGAGATTGAATACTGTTGTGCCGGGACTGATTCATACGCCGCTTGTGTCTGTCTTGGCGGAGAAGTATGCCAAGGGTGACCAGGAAGGGTATAGACGTACGAGGGAGCAGCAAGTGCCGATGGGGAGGATGGGGACGGCGTGGGACGTGGCGCATGCTGGATTGTTCTTGTGTTCGGATGAGGCTGGATATATTACAGGTCAGGAGATTGTGGTTGATGGAGGGATTACTTCTAGTACTGGAAGGATCTGAGATGTGAGTTTTGGAGATGTTTGTGTTGGAGTAGCTATGTGGCGTGGTGTGCTTGACAAAGGAAATGTATAAAGGAGACTTATCTTCTAACGAGCGTAGGTAGTTTACTCATCCAATATTGCCCAGTCCCTCGTCTTCCGGACTAAGCAAGACTTACCTCAGCTCATGGTGGCTATTCGCTAGACGAATCTCACTGCAGGTCGCACACTGACACTGCTGTGGGTGGTTGCGGCCTTGGATGACGAGATCAGCCTGGCGATTACGAATGCAATTGACCATGGCCAGACGAGCGTGGGTTTTCATACAGACGGGAACGACAGACGCGGTGCTACCAGAGGCAGTACCGGCGAAAGGCATGTTCCAGGAACCCACCTTGTTCTTAATCTCAGCAGTGAAAGGATCCGCTGATGCGTGCGACTTCGGCTCGAACAGGTGGCGAACTCCGTCGGCGAAGACTGCTGGTAGACCAAGCGAGACTTGGGCGCCGAGCGTGTTCATCGTTGCCGTGGGGAATGCTTTGGCAGGCGCAGAGGCAGGGAGCTCAAGCACCATAGGATCGTATTCGAACGCGAACCTGGGCCCAGCTGAGTCATATTCAGCTATCCTGCGATCCAGACGTTGCTGAACGCGGGCTAATATCGTGCCTTTGCTTGGGGAAACCTGTGACGGTATAGACGACGGTGGCATGGTGCTTCCCTTGTTTTCAATGTTCGACCCACCTTCACGCGTCAGCCTGCGCTGCTCCATCTTCTGGTCGAACATCGCAAGAGGGAGCTGCACTATTCACAAAGGAGAGGATAACAGTAATCTCCCTACACGTCCAGATTGTAGCGGGCTGGCCGTTGCTTGGGAATAGGGGAAGGCGTACATCGCTTCCTGGCGACCGTATGTAATCGCGCCAAGCTCGCGAGCCTGATCAGGAGATTTGTGTTGGTGCGACGGTCAGAGTCATGAAGTGGACGTAGAAGTGAATGGAAGGCAGATGTAGAAGTGGAGCCGAGAAATGACAGCCTCAGGCACACATGCATCGTTATCGCCTATCTGCCTCGACTCGACTCGCGTGCCAGCCTCGAGACACATTATTGAACAAGCTCACCACCGCATATAATCCGTTCACCTTTTCATCTACCCCTCTCTACCGATCGGCGCTACGAGCGCAACACAGCACCGCAAAGATGTTGAAGATATGGAGCATGAAGCAGCAACAGCAAAAGAACGAAGCTGCCGCCGGTCCCGCAGCGAAGAAGAAGAAGGTGACGGCAGCACAACTGCGAGTACAGAAAGGTATGCTATACCACCGCACACCATAGCAGCAACACCCACTAACGCTTGGACTAGATCTCAGCGAACTCGCACTCCCGCAAACCATGAAAACCGTCTTCCCCAACCCCGACGACATCCTCAACTTCACCCTGCACCTCACTCCGGACGAAGGCCTCTACAAGTCCGGCTCCTTCAGCTTCACCTTCGCCATCAGTCAAAACTTCCCCCACGAGCCACCCAAAGTGAAATGCCAGCAGAAGATCTACCACCCCAACATCGACCTCGAAGGGAACATCTGCCTAAATATCCTACGCGAGGACTGGAAACCAGTGTTGAATCTGAACGCGGTGGTGGTGGGCTTGCAGTTCTTGTTTCTGGAGCCGAATGCGAGTGATCCATTGAACAAGGAGGCGGCAGCGGATTTGCAAGGCGATCGCGATCGTTTCAAGAGGAATGTCAGGAGTTCTATGCAGGGCGGGAGTGTGAAAGGCGAGTCTTTTGACAAGGTTGTGAAGTAGAGCAACATGGCCCAAAATCAGCCAGAAGCGTTGTTGGACTGGTGGTAGCGAACAAAACATGGGAGAGTGGGTGAGTGGCGTGCTTGCTGCGACTTGCATAGCGATGAGGGATATGATACCATGGCTTATGCATTGCTTCTGGTTGGATGGCGTTCATGATGTATTGAGGTCTTGGTTGTTTGATATACTGCGCGCATGTTGTAGATATGCGAGGCGAGGGCGTTGTACAGTGGAATCACAGCTAAACTAGAATAGAAGCCGAAGCCACTGTTCATACAGAACCTAACACGAAGTACTCAGGCAGGCTCTTCCGCCAATCTCAAGTATATTTGACCAAAGTCCTATGCCAAAGCCATGCCGACCTTGGCCCCTCACCCAAACCCATTACAACTCATCGAATCGAGCGGTATTATACAAATGCTTATCTGTCGTCTCCAGCACCTCCAATCTCGCACCCACAACAATCCTCCCATCATTCTTGGGGACACAAAGCATACCAAAACAAGGCTTATACTTCGCCACGCTCCCCTTATCCACCCGTCGGAACTTCATAAGCTCCTCCCAAGGCTCCTTGACATGCTTCTCGGCCGTATTGGGATTGACATTCGGAACCTGGCACCTCGCGCACCTCGCCACAACATCCAGATCGATCTTGTATAGAGCTTCCTCAGATGGAATGGTGGTGAGGATCCGGACGCGTTTCCAGGTATCCTCCTCCCAAGGATGGTCATCACGACCTTTCACAATGATGTTCGGGCGGAATCGTTCGATGGTGAGTTCATCGCTCTTCGGATCTTTCTCCTTGAGCCGACGGTTCAGGTCTTTGATACTCGCTTCACTTGCAATCTGCAGACTCATGACGTCGGCGAAATGATGCGGGACATCTTTGCCGTAAAGATCCTTCTTGCCGTTCACGTTGATCATCCTGGCTTGTGGACCTTTGTACACGAGTGCCACGTCCTTTTTGAAGTAATCGGTGAAGATCTTATTCACTTCTTCGCCGTAGACGTAGCCATCGGTCTTCTCCTCCCAGATCTCGACTTCTTCGAGTTTCGTTTTCTCCTTCAGCCATTCTGGACTTGGGAAAGCGGGGACCTCCACGCTGTTTTCCGTGCCGTGGATGGAAATCTTTAGCATTTGCTGGCCTTGGTACTTTTCCGTGCCTTCGGTAATGGTCGTGTCAATGAGTGTCATGCTGGAGTCTGTGCGGATTGTCATGAAATTCATGTCCTTTTTGCTGACGAACATCCAGTTCCTGTCGAGCGTGAGACCAGCTTTCCGGATTCGTGTGTGCTCTACCTCGAAACCACGGCAGGACTTTATGGGATACACGCGCAGGCTCACGATTTCCGTCTTCGGTGGGATCGGTGGCGCGCCCTCCTTGATCAGAGGGGCAGAGCTCTCGCCAAGTGCGCGGTTCTCCCTGTGGATGCCTGGAGTCGGAGGGTCGGGAGTCACTTGAGCCAGGACTATGATGACTGTGAAGCCCAAAATTACGGTCAGCAGCAGTATAAGGGAGAGATTGACGGTCGGCATGTCCATCTCGCTGGGGTCGAAATTGCGGATTCTGTCAATGATGACGCCGAAACCATGTTGGCGGACATCGGTAACGAGACCAGCGGCTGCATCGGCCACGTCGTTCAGAGCGCGCATGAGCGCTGGACCAGTAGAGCCCATCGTGATGATTTATGTTTTTGTCCACGAGCAAGGGGTCCTGTTGTTCTGGCTCCAATACGCTGTGGCAACGCCGCGGCTTGCTTTATGTCGTTTCCGGGATCAATCCACTGACAGCAGATACGCCTTGTACAACGGTTTGCCCAAATACGGTACCTAGGCAGCGAGCTGATGTGGTCGTTAGTTATGCAGCCAAGTTGATGAAACAGAGAAGCTGGGGTGCGGCGAGCGAATGGAAACATGAATGGCAAAATTAGAAGGCAGCTAGAGCCAACGCTAGACCCAAACAGGAAATGCCCAGACCACAACTGGTCTCTTTCTTCGAACTCCACCTTGCAGTCTGACCAGCGGGACATGCTCAAGAGAGCGAGGTTTGGTCTCTTGGCCGGGCACTCGTGAGGGCTGTACGATCGTCTGTTATCCTACTATAATCGAGCAGGACCGCAGGCCGCCATACATATCAGGCATTTTGTATTGTCGGTGACGCTACTAAAATTTACCGACTCAACGGAAAGTAGAGACGATGATTTCGAGATCCTCACGTTCAGCATAGACTTTCATTTGTAGCCATATTCAAGACTGAACATCATGCCAGACAAGGACGCAGGCACGCCTCGAATCTTCATCATCCGTCACGGCGAGACAGACTGGTCAAAATCTGGCCAGTACACGGGCAAAACAGACATACCGCTGACCGAGCACGGCGAGAAACAAGTCAAAGCCTCTGCGGATCTGATGTACGGGTCTGGCAAGCTCATTGATCCTGCCAATGTCGCGAGAGTGTATCTCAGCCCTCGCAAACGTGCGATTAGGACTTATCAGCTATTGTCAGGGCAGCAGGAAGGGTACGAGATCACGGAGAGCCTGGCGGAGTGGGACTATGGGTGAGTAGTAGTTCGTGTTAGGAAGATTGGTTGTGGGCGTGCTGACAGCAGTAGCGAGTATGAGGGTATCAAGACAGACGAGATCAGAGAGAAACGGAAGGCGCACGGTCTTGACAAAGAGAGACCTTGGGATATCTGGACGGACGGATGTGAAGGTGGCGAGTATGATCCACCCATTCCACATCTGCCTTCCTGACAATTGCTGACGCAGTTCGAAGATCCTCAGCACAAGTCACAGCCCGCATCGACAGCCTAATCGCCACCATCCGGGAATTCCATGAACCGAGAATGAAGACTGCTGAAGCGAGAGATATCGTTCTGGTTGCTCACGGCCACCTCACAAGAGCTTTCGCTAAGCGCTGGCTAGGCTATGAGCTGTCCTTCCCACTGAGCCTGATGATGGAGCCGGGTGGTGTTGGTGTGTTGAGCTATCAGCATCACAATATCGATGAGCCCGCGCTATTGCTGGGTATTGGCTTGCCATTAAAGCAATAGCTCTTGTATCTACAAACCGAGATCCTGCTCGCCGTGATATGCCGTCACACTGATATTTCCGTGCTCAAAAGGATTCCCGCCGGCAAGGGAATGTCCATACAGCCATCGGGGATGCACTGTGACGCCTGCCATGGCTCTTTTAGATTCTGGTATCCAGTGCTTGCAACATGGTTCCCGATACTGATGTACCATGGTGCCGCCACATTCGTGCTACCACCGCAGAACTCCCAAAGCGTTGCGAATCCGACCCGAGCCGAGTCAATCAAGTGAAGTAATGTGCTGACCGTAACCATCTTATATCGTTGATCATAGAGATCCTGCACGAGCTGACAAAGTTTCCTGAGATGGTCTTCGCACATCATTTGGAGGCGCATCTCTGAGGCATGCGATGCTTGGAAGGTATTCCTTGATTGTGTCCTTGCGAGCCCCCAGGCTGTGCCAATGCTTTGTAGGACGAATGATGAGGCGTAGCCACTGATGACTGCTGCCGGCAGTGGCTTCAAGCTGACAAGAATTGGGTTGTGAGGGGTTCCCGAGTTCGCATCAAGCCATTCGGCCATACTAGGAACCTCCTGCGACTTCACGAAGACGTCTATGTCGTCAACAGCATTTCCTAGTGCTTGCTGCACATCTAGCATCGATTCCAGTCTGCCAAACATGACTCGCTGGTCATGATCCTGCAGTATGCAAGCTACACGCTCGCCCACGGCTAGGAGAGTCCGCAAAGGCTCACAGGCAGTGTCCTGACTCGATGTCCACCCGCGTGTCCATTCCGTTGGAGAGTATGCCGGAGGCTGATGCTTTGTCACGCAACAGGCAATGCATAGCAGCCAAGCATCGGCAAACATCCTTTGGCTATCGTCGTTCATAGCATGAGTCTGTTTCGGCGGCCATAGTGAAATCATGCCTTGTATGTGTTGATCGCCGTTCTCCCAGGAACCGAGTATATATTCGAATTGGGAGCAGCAGAAGCCTACAGATGCTATTAATTTGATGTGCTGCTCCCTGACCTCTGGATCATGGATGGCGTGGAGTTTGATCATCTCAGCCTGGAGTCCACACAAGACCTTGTCATACTGGCAGCGTGCTTTGCCGATCATTTTGCAGGTCTTCGTCTTCATGCCGAGAGCTACTAAAGTCAAGCACGATAGCGCTTGTGCTACTAGACCTTGGCCGTCCGACTTAGCGAGCTGCCATGTCACTGATGGCCATGGCGCATAGGGCAGAGGACCGGTCAGGTCCGGAATTGATTCGCTGTTCCATTCGTGAATATCAGGAATACATGCCGCGAAGAAAGCTTCCAGTAATGCCCGTCGCCAACTAATATTAGCGTCTCGGAGAGTCATTGGCGGCAGGTCATCATGCAGTGCTGTTTGTGGGATTTCAAGAGACGACGGTCGCTCTGGGTCAGGCGAGGGTGAAACCGTGGTGGAAGGAGGCTTTGAGAGCTCGAAGATCTTGGGCTTGGGATAATGATAGCCTTCGCAGGTCAATCCAGACTTCCGGCATCGTTGACAGGAGGGCTTTGTCTCGTCACATTTCATGTGTCGTCGTTTACAGCTCACGCCTAGCAACATGATTAGCACAGGTCTTCGAGAAACCGATAGATCTCGAATTGTAAATTTACAGCCACTCAATGTCTTGCTATGCTTCCGTCTCACTCGTGTTCCCTGCTGTCGTTTAGGCGTCATGTCAGGTCCTGCCATCATGTTCTATATTCAAGTATACTCCTCAAGACAGGGTCGTCTACAGAAGCTGGCAGTAGGTCAACCATATCTCCTATATACTACCTCCTCTCCATATGCGCCAGCCGGGACTGTTGGTCTCTCCGACCCAAGAGCTGGATCATACTATTCAGCTGACCGTCTCCGGCCGTGCCAGGGAGGCAGGCCGTATCGCACAGCACTAAATGAACCATAGAGCCGAGGTGTAGTCATGATCGCTAAAATGCAGACGCAAAGTCAATCCTTCTGTTAACGCCGAAGGTTTCTGTCATCTTCAGCCTTGTCAACGCCACATTGAGAGTCTATCAGGGCAAGCGCTCAATCAAAATGACTTAATCACCCCGCATTCGCGTAGATTCCTTGGCGTTCATGTAGGTCAACCTGCCCTGCTACTTTCGCCAATAATATTATGCATCCTCATCGTGCCGCCGATGCACCAACGGGCCTCGTATGGACTAATCCCCGATCGAAGCTCGGTCTCTCAGTCATGAGAATAGCACTGTTGGCGCGTACTTGGCAATCACCAGCATATACTGTTCCGAAGACTACGACAGGGAAGGTGCGGAGGCAGACAAAGCTCTGAACCAAAGATATGGATCACCACAATGCAGGAGCGCACGCGAAGACTAGGAGATATATGAACAAAGCACATCAAACTACGGTCTATCCCGGTTACAGCTCCACCATGATTACAACCACTTCTCCCTATTCGCCACCACGAAGTCTTTCCAGGTCGTCAAATTGTCACAAGAAGACCATGGTCCCTGAGTCAGTGCTGCGCCTGCATAGTAGCCTGGGTCTTCCAGAAGTAGCATGTTCTCGAGCAACTCCTGTGCCACTGGCGGTGGCAGGAACGTCTTGAAGACTTCGCCCGGGACCTGCGCAAAAGCTGCAGGCTTCTTCATCACTTCTGCAAACTCTGCTAGGATGCGTTTGGGCGTGTAGTAGTCGACGGCAGCGTGTACATGCTTGCCGAGACATGATGGGTAGGCTTGGAGTACGGCAATCACGAATTTGCCTATCAAATATTGTCAGATCGAGGCGGTCAATCAGCTCGTGTTGTTATGCTTACCTGTGTCACTAGCAGCGTCCAGAAGAGGGATCTGAGCTTTGTCCTCAGAGACTGGCAGCGCCAAAGTGTAGCCTCCCTCTTCGTTCTTGCGAAGCATAGTCAAGAAGCCCGACATGAACATGCCGGGCAGCACGAACGTGGCAGGTACCTGGATATCGCGAATGTACGCTTCGATCTGCGCCTTGCCGTCGAAGTGAGATATGTGAGAGAGACGGCCTTGGCTCGCCTCCGTGGTATTGATGAGCGAGGAGAAGATAAGATGCTTGACACCAGCAGCCTTGCAAGCGTCTGCGACAGCTTTGCCTTGTGCGACCTCTTTGGTGGCTGACATTGATTCCCAAAAGTTGGTCATGAGGAATACTGTATGAGCTCCATCAACGACATTTGACATGGATGAGGTGGAGTCCATATCGGCCTGGAGCGGGACAACTAGTAGAGTGACTGCAAAGCATATACTAGTATGGGGGTATCCTTACAGAGACGACTTCGACACCACTCTTAGCAAGCTCAACCACGGAGGCCTTGTTTACATCGCGGGTGACAGCACGAATCTGGAATTTCTTCGAGAGCTCTTTGTTAGCCAACACGGTGTCGATGACAGAACGACCTTGGTTGCCCGAGGCTCCGAAGATGACGAGGATCTTAGACATGGTGTATATGGTGGTCGTGGATTGACTTTGTTCTGGGTGTGTGTTATCGCGATGAATTGATTGTCGGATGATGTGTTGAAGATGGGAATACAGTGCTGCTAGAAAGAGGGAGCATGCTCTTTATCTCAGTGCTACTTGCTCTCGCTTGAGCGTAGAAGATGGTCTGCTTCGTAAGGATTTCTGAATACGGACTGCCATGGTGGAGGCTCGTTCATATGTCCACTTGGGTAATCCGGAGATTCGCATGGGGCCACTGATTTCTACTTACTCTGCCAAGCGTACGCTTCCAAGGCGCAGTACCGTAGCAACAAGAGACATGCACCACATTGCAGTCCAGATCGAAGGCACGCTAGCATACGTCCTATAGTGCAAGCAAGTCTGCTCTGCCGGAGATACGGCTGATTCAGCCAAATCTGTCCGTGAGCGCTCGCAATTACTACGAGCTAACAAGTGTCCCTGCATCTGCAGGCTAGTTTGTTCCAGGCATACTAAGTATGCAGGCTGGTATGGCTGACTACACTTACTAGGCTGGTCTGTGCTATGTCCGACCGGTCGACACATCATTCATCCACATCTGCCAAGCCATCGCAAGTGTAGGCAACACATGCTGAACATGTAGACGGTGTATATATGTAGCTGCTGCGAGCTACAGAACAAGGATATCAAGCATCATATCCTCTCAACATCATTGCACGTCATACAGCGTAATAATCACAGCATCCAACACATCATCAACTATGTCGTCAAACCAATCCGCCTTCGTAGACGGCAAAGACCTTCCGCTTCGTATTGCTGCCAGCTCTATACCGGAGCCTGGACCCAACGATATCATCGTCAAGAATCATGCCGTCGCCGTCAACACCATCGATCCTGCTCAAGCCTCCGGCTTCAACGTCAAGAAATTCCCAACAGTCCTGGGCATGGACCTAGCAGGCGAAGTCCATGAAGTCGGCTCGTCCGTCACGAAATTCAAGAAAGGCGATCGTGTCATCGGTCATGCGTGGCAATTTACCACTGGTGCGTGGGAGGACGGAGCGTTCAGCCTCTATCCTCGCATTCCAGCTGCTAATGCTGCGATCTTGCCCAGCGACATCGCATTCACGGTTGGTGTCGTCTTGCCATTAGCCATCGATACAGCGGCCGGAGGACTATATCAGCCAGGATACATGGGCCTGGACTTCCCTAACATCGACACGCAACCCAACAGCAAAGGCGAAGTCGTCGTGGTCTACGGTGGCTCAACTTCTGTCGGTGCTGCCGCTATCCAGCTTGCAGTAGCTGCGGGATACAGAGCCATCGTCACCTGTAGCCCGGAGAACTTCGACCTGTGCCGGGAATGCGGCGCTAGCGACATCTTCGACTACAAGAGTCCAACCATCGCAAACGACATTGCAGCGGCTGTCGGGGCGGACAAGTTCAAAGGCCTGTACAACGCCATCGGCATTCCAGAATCTTTCAAGGTGGTCACGCCAATCGTGGAGAAGCTAGGCGGAGGATTCGTGGCCAACACTAAGCCGCCTCCTCAAGATCTCCCAGCGAGTGTGACAGTCAAGTTCGTGCTTGGCGTGAACGAGTTCGTATTCCCTGTCTGGAAGGACTTCGTCACCAAGGGTCTGCAGAGTGGAAAGCTGCAGTGTCTGCCAAAGCCGACGATCGTTGGGAAAGGCTTGGAGAGTTTGCAAAAGGCTTTCGAGGTGAGAAATGGAGATGTCAGGGCTACGAAAGTGGTCGTAGAGTTGTGACGTTATGTAGCCGTACGGTGGTGTTGTTTCGAAAGTCATATTTGCTCATCTCGATGCCATCTACGGCGGCCCATCGGCGTCCCGTCCATGATATGTGATGAATTTCTCCTGCAAGAACTCCTCCAGACCCCAGCTTGCATTCTGTCTCCCCCAGCCACTTCCCTTCACACCACCTTGTGGTCCAGTCCAGCTTGTGAAGACACTGATACTGTTGACGTGCACCTGGCCATACTCTAGCTCGCGACCCATCTTGATTGCACGTTCCATGTTCGTGGAGTGTATCGTGGCGTTCAGGCCGTACGCACTGTTATTTGCAACGCGTATCGCTTCTTCGTCCGAGGAAACAACGTAAAGCGATGCCGAAGGACCAAACGTCTCTTCATCAACAATACGCAGCTTATCCTTAGGTGTCTTCGGGTCGACCACCACAATTGAAGGCTTGACGCCGTTCTTGGTCGCCATCTCGGGACCGCCAACAATGAACTCATTGCCTGCATCTTTTGCTTCTTGTAGTATTTCTCGAGCTTTGTTAGCTATGCCAGAGTGCACTGCTTGGCCACCCTGCTCGTTGGACATGATCTTTACTAGGATGTTCTGAAATTCCTGGGCGACTTTCTGGTGGACAAGGATTCGTTCCGTGCTGAAGCAGATCTGGCCATGGTGCAAGGTGGCACCTTTCGCACATAACACAGCTGCTTTCTGGAGATTGGCATCGTCCAGTATAATTGCGGGCCCTTTGCCTCCCAGCTCCATCAAAACAGGCTTGAGATACTTCGCAGCTGTAGCGCCGATAACGCGACCGACTGCTGCTGAGCCAATGAACTCGATCTTTCGGATGCGTTCGTTCGCGATCAGGTGTTCTGTCAATTCAGCAGCGTTCTCCCGGGATGTCTGCAATGAGTTGAGTACGCCAGGTGGAAGACCGGCCTGGTGGTATATGTCGACTATCAGGCTATGTGTCAGAGGAGAGAGCTCGCTGGCTTTCAGCACGACAGAACACCCTGCTCCCAGCGCGCTAGTAACAGCTCTAGTTGCCAGAACCAGTGCTGCATTCCACGGGGGAATCACCAGTACAGGTCCCACAGGCTCCTTGAACACAAATGCAAAAGTGTCCGGCTTGTCGATGGTAGGTATTTCACCCTTGATGCCACTGACACAGCTCGCAATTTCTCTCAGATATCCTACAGTGATAGAGATATTGCTCATTGCCCAGCCCTGTTGGCAACTCGTTTCGTCCATTTGTGCCTTGATTAATTCGTCTTTTCTTGACTCGAAGAGATCTGCTGCTTTAATGATAAGGTTCCGTCTCGTGTCGGCTGAAGCTCTCTTCCATCCACTCCGGCCTGTGTCAAGCACATTGCCACTGAAGGCATTCCAAGCAGTCTCGCAAGCTTCGTCACAGGCTTTCAGGTCGGCGGAGGCATAGTAGTGCACAGTCTTGTCGGTCGCAGACGATGCCACCGGCTTGATGTTGGATTCGTCTATTGGTAGCGATTTGCCGTTGATGAATGTTGGTACGACCTCACGGCCTTGTGAGTCTTTCTCGAGGGGCATGCTGAGTGAGTACAGGCTGTTACTAGAAAGTTGGCACCGTGTGACAACGAAGGTTCGTGGCAGTACTCGAGAACGGTGTTGTTAGAGCGGTTGATTAGTCTTACGCGACGCTGAACGAGATGGTGAAATCGAACAAGTGAAAAGTTTACAAACCTTCAGACTGTTGATCGCTTTTCAGCTGTACATGTAAGAGCTCTAGCTCCACTCGTCGATATTGACGTCGCTCGCGTGCGTAGTGGTGGAGAGAGAGGAAGTGATTACCGGCAGGTGGAGAACGGCGACTTGCAGACGGAAGCGGATCAAAAGTCGGATGTTTCGGCTCAATGCAGATGCTCGTCCCTTCAACAATCGGCAAGAGAGAGAAACAAATATGTCGTGGCACGAGGTTTTGGACACAGAGTAGTTGTATCTCTAAAGGACGTGGACACGCAGGACTGCATCACACAATACGGTCACCAGCGCGCGCATTGCTGTGCCGCAGACATGCTCTCACCGCGCAGGCAGCCGCAAAAGGTCTCGCAACTTGTTGCTTTCCCTCCATAATCACTGACAGTCCTGCCAACTTAGATGCATCATGGGTTGAAGCCGATATTCTGTGGATGTTATACGGTAAGCCTTGCAGACATGAACGACTTTCAACACGCAACACCTGATGCTCCTCGTCCAACACTCCCGGAAGAGATTCTGTGCGAGATCTTCTCTTGTTTGCGAGGACGAGCACAATCCGAGGACGAGATCATCCTCACCTCATCGACCTTGGCAAGCATCGCACAAGCAAGTCAAGCCTTCCGACGTATCGCTTTGCCTCTTTTGTATCATACCGTTGGTCTCGTAGGTACTGCCGCGGTGGCGCCTCGGAAAGTCATCAGCGCGATCCTTCGGACACCTGCACTAGGTCAATATGTTAAGCAGATCTGTACCGTTCTAACTTTTACTTCGACAAATACGCCCAGCATTACACCAAGCTACTGGAGCTAGACTTTGGTACCATAGTGTTACCATGTAAGAGCGCTGGCTCAATATGGCGGGTGTGTCCTTCAGTACGAATCCTGACACTGGTATGGGATCGATGTATCGAGACCGAGCACTCACCTCGGACACGCTGTCTCGACCTGGCCACGGGTATGACGAAACACGGTCGTAATGTGGAGAAAATAGTGCTGCGAAGTGCCGCTCTCGAGGTCGCCGAGATTGCTACCATACAACAAGAACTGAAGCTGTCACTGAGCAGCCTACCAAGGTTCCACACACTTGAGCTATCTCGACTATTCATCCCAGTCGAAGCTCGCTCATTGCTAGCTAGAGGCAAAATCTCGGCGGTGTCTGCACAGAGTCATACTGATATGCAAAATCCGTCGAATTCGACTGGCTTGGTCTGAAAAAGGTGCCAATTTCGGTGGCCATGCAGTTGCAAATCGTATGTCCGGCTATGAACTCGCCGCAGACTCAGACATGAGCTATGAGTGAAACGTGGAGCTGCAGAAGCTGAAGATTTGGCTCTAGACCATGTCTAAAATCACTCTTCACCAGCACGACGAACTCCATTTGGGGTACCAGGCAACGAGGCTCCCTAACCATGAGCTTGGTGAACAGCTTTCGCGGAGCCACCTATGACCAGAATGCCGATACCTGGACCACGCACGACAAATGGTAAGAACTGTGCCTTGACCAACGAGTGTTGCTTTCCGTCAGCGAGTGGGAGGACCAAATAAGCTTATGCTCGACCTCAGAACAAGCTGATTGCAGAGCGCAAGGCACAGATTCATTCCGTCACGAACACAGGACGCCGGTCATGATTCAAGGGTGGGATATTCCTTCGCCGCTGCAAGCTACTGACTCTTTTGTTCAGAACGCTGCTCGGCCAGACCAGGACACCACACTATCCTCGACCACCATGCAATGATTCAAAGGTGGTATCTACGTTGCGTTTGCGTGGAGCAACCCGACGGGTCTGACATGGGCCCGCTGTAAGTTCCACTTTGGGAGAGATATCGAATTCAAAGTTTTCACGCGGTCAGCACATACACCACATCTCGCTTCCTTGCTAACGTACGCAGAGCTGTATATCAAGACAAGCAAGACTATTCACTCGACCAAACCCATGCTATTCTCCGGAAACCCATCATGATGCTACAGTGGACTTAGCCGTCTTCCGCTTGTAGGGGTGCCAGGCATCTGGGTCATCAGACGGGTACCTGCATCTTAGGATCATGGCCACCAAAGTCCTTGTTCGCAACCTGCAAACAGCGACGAAAGACATAATTGCAAAATATCTCTACGACGTGGCCTAGAAGTATCCTATCTACGCAGGACTCAATGCCCTGACATCTGTTGAGCCCACTGCCATGTCACACATGCATTGAATGCCACATCTCTCGCCCAAGCTAGGCAGAGATGTGATTACAAGCACGATGCCCCGGATGAAATGCCCGCCTACATCACAAGAAGACGCACCAATCAACGGCCTACCACCTCCTCGCAACAACCATCATGCGATCGTGTGCCTACCGTCCGGCCTGTCTGTGAGGCCGCCGAGCTTTTTTCATAATGCTTTGAGCTCTCTCAACAGGGACTATCATGATGTCTATACTGCTTTGAACAATGGCCTGATTGCGAACCAGCGCTTTGCTGCTGCAGAGGCTGGACTAATTACTCAGAACAACGGACTGAGGGAGGAGAACAGTCGCCTCGAGAAGGCGAAAGAGGGTCTAGAGACCGAGTCGAAGACTGAGAGGGAGACACTTGGTGCGGAAAATGTCGTCCTTGGTGCTGAGATTGTGGTGCTCAAGGAGGATCTGGGAGCAGTTCGTAACCAGCTCAAGACCAGAGATGAGGGATTAGAGGCAGCACGCAAAGCTCATGAGACTTGTGAGCAAGCTGCGAGAGACTTTATAGCAGGTAACTTGGAAGCAGCACTGGCTAGCAAAACGACTTTGGAGCAGACTGCAAACGACCTTCGCGATGTGCTGAAGACCAAAAAAAGCGATCTCGAAACGGCACTTCGGAATCAGAAAACCTCTGGACAGTCTACCAAAAACCTTGATCATGAGCTGGAGGAGACGAAGGACGTATTGAAAACTGCACTCGCTGGGCATGAAAAGACAAAGCAGGACGCTCAGGACCTCGCTCAGGACCTCACCGTCGACCTCAACAAATCACAGTCAGCTGAGGCCTAAGCTTGCAAGGAAGTCCAGCGACTAGATCCCAGTGCAAAAGAGTGCGAGGCGAAGCTGGAGACGGCCACTCGAGCGGCTGACTCCTTGAGAAATGATTATGCGACTGCTGTACTGAAAGTTGATGAAGAGAAGAAGACTGCGCTTGCTACGATGCGACATGATCTAGACGAAGAGATGGAGCAGCTCGAATCTGGTAAAAGTCACGAGAGTCAGGAGAGACAGATTACGCAACGTCAGCTTGGCACGGAGCGCAAAAGGTGTGCTGCACGAGGGAAAAGGCTTCGCGTTGTACGTCTGCAACTCGCGGAACTTGACGCCGTTGACAGAGCTACGATTATGCGGTCGAAGACAATGGATATGAGTCTGGCTGAAGCAGTGGAGGGACTCCAAGATGATCTGGCTGTGCAGGCGCATATTCTCGCTCTAGTTTGTAGGCGAGATCGTGGAGCAAATACCACTACCACGAAGGATATGTGGAAGTCGCTTGCGGATGGCCTTGTCCGCGATCAGAAGAAAAAGAGTCAAATGTTGGTGATGCAGAAGCTGGAGCACGAAGTCCAGACGGAAAAGCAGGAGACTGAGAAGGACCGGGACAAGATTGTTCGTCTGCAGCGTGCAATCTTGTTCATGGTGCGTGATGGTCCGAAGAAGGAGAAGCTTGCTGGTGTTTTGGAGGAGTTGGTTAGTGGTCAGTGTTCGAGAAGGGAGTCTGCGGTGATGGAAGCATCATCAGGCAACAAAATCCCGAATCCGAGGCAGGCACGTCTGACGGTGTCGACATCGGAGGAACGCAAAGCTGATACAGTGGGACTGATCGATGGAAACGAGGCGAAGCGCAAGAAGGTCAGAGGAATCAGGCCTTCCTGGGCTTATTGTATGAGCGAGCAGAGAATGGATGATCTGACGAATGTACAGCCGCATTCTTTGCTTTCCGACGACGACATGGTATCAGCACGCGCTAGTGCCGGGTCAGACAATTCGTCTGACGAGCTTGAGACCCAGAATGTGCCTTCAGCGGCTGCGAAAGCTGGGAACGATAGTTCACCGCGGATTAAGCTGGCCGCTTCACAGTCCGCCGACATGATGAACAGGGCTCCCACGGCTCAGAGGTACGAGGTACCACCACGACCAGCGCCGCCCCCTCCCTCAAATCCTCCTCCATCGACTTCACCACCTCCCGCGTGTCCTCCATCGACACCATCACCTTGCCCGCCCAGAATCTCCCTACCAACTGGAACACCAGCCAAACCATCCTCAACAACTAGCACCAAGCTACTACCTCTCCCGCAGAAACATGCCATGCCAATAGGAACACCATCCAAGCCATCCAAACCATCCTGCACATCTACCATCAAGCCACCAACAGCCCTCCGTAAGCCTCTGCCACCACCACAATACGATGCTCCTCCGCTCCCTCCTCCATTTGACGAGATCCCAAGGTATCAGCAGAGTCGTGTAAGCTTCTCCGATCCACCAGTGAGGGAGGTACAAATATCGATCCCGTTGACCCCTCGGAAGTCCTCACTTGATCAAACAAAGAGCCAGCAGAAAGACGTTATACCCTCCCCGAGCGTTGTGACGGAGACAGCTGGAGGCAAGTGTGATAAGGTCACGGTGGAAAGATCCAGATCTGTATCTATTGGGATTCGGGATCGGCGACCATTGGCTCAAGGCCGGTCAAGGTCCACTCATCACCACAGCAGGGGCAGCAGCAGCTAGAGAGCCACTTATTGCCACCACCGCGCGGTCCGGCGAACGAGAATCATTTTGACAAAGGAGAGGCTGAGTAACAAGCAGGGGGCCATCGTTAGCGCTCTGGCAAGACCAGCGCAGGGTTGGGTTGAGACCTGTACAGTGAAGAATTGATCCTGATCCTGACCGAGAGAGGAGGATAAAGGGGGGCGCTATCTCAATCCGAAACAAAAATGGCATGATATGCAGGACAGGGCTTACAAGATACATATATACAAACACATCCCCACCCTTCCCCCAAACATCACACATCAAAGTTCTTCAACTGAGGCATAAATTGCATCCCCTTCCCACTCCCCTTGGGCTCCGCCATCTCCCCATCCTCACTAACATGCACACCCCCCGCACTCCGATCAATAACATGTTTCCTCAACATCGACAAAACCTCACTACTCTTCCACCGTGCAGGAACAGGCCGATACGCCGGCTTAAAAGTCCCCACCGTCTGCGCCCATTCCCCCTTCGCCGGCGCTCTAGGTCCCGAGTCCGCTGACGGCTTCTCGGGCATCGAATCCGAAGCTTTACCTTGAGCTTCAGGGGAGGCGAAACCAGGACCGGCTCCTTCGGCGTAGGCCATGGAAGTGGGCGTCGGTTCCTGCGTGACCCAGTAGTAGATATCCCAGTCGTTTTCGTCGAGGAAGAGATCGTATTGTTGGAGCTGCGGCATCGACATGGAGGCGAGGTTCTGGTCGGCGAAGGTGGAGAGGAGGAGGTCGGATTCTAGGGTGCCTCTTTTGCGGGATTGGTCTGGGAAAGGCAGGAAAGAATCAGTCGTTAGTTCACACTGGGCCCTAGAAGATGGTTATGCGGCTTACAAAGGAGACGGGCTCGCATGGTATTCGCATCCTCGCCTGTGCGACGTAGGGGCTCGACGCGGAAGGATCCACCCTCGATCTCACCTACCTTCAATTCCGCATTCGTGCCTTCCTTCGGCTCGCCCTCCTGCGTGCCGCCGGTCATGCGCGCCGTGTTCTCGGGTTTGCTGTCCTTGGGGGTGAAGTTCGGGTCGACGTTGGTGAGGAGTTCCGGCGGGGCGTTGTCTTTGCCTATACTCGGCATTTCGTTCGCGATGGTCGAGTTTGTATTGGTCATGTGTGGGTTTAGGGGCTTCTCGATCTGGAATTTGCGGTAGGTGGGTGCCGTGTCGTTGCCGCGGGCGTTAAGGGCGGACAGGTCGGCATGTTGGGTGGAGGTGGTGGTGAAGGTGCGGAGGGTGGTTGTGGTTGTGGTTGTGCGTGGTGTGAGGCGCGCCAGGCGATGGAGGGCGCGCGTGGTTGACATGTTCAGTATTATGGGCTGTTGCTTGTCGGGACGGTGGAAGGCAATGGCAATATACCGGTATGGGAAGGTGTATGTACAATTGTGATAAATGTCCTCGAAGCAGCATTGATGGACGTCATGCGAGATCAAAGCTCGGGCCACACCCAAGACGACTCCACCTTCCAACTCCGCATACTTCCATTCACCTACAATGGCATCGACTCGCGTGTCATCCAGTAGATATTCGCGATAGAGGGACCCAGTCGGAGCCAGGGCCAATTGGTATTGATTGTGAACGACGACAATCAACGCCCTCCCTCCTGCCACGCACATCTGCTAGAGATAGCCGTGCTTTTACTGTGAGATATCAGTACATAGGACCCGCGAATCGTAACGACGGAAGACGCTCGATAAGCCATGTGACACTCGCTATGTGTGTGCTATTGTGACTACGTTTTTGCAGCTGGTCATGTCCTCAAGACCGAGTGCCTGACAGCGTCTCCACGGCTTTGGCTAAGCATTCATTGACTGGACGAGCCATGATCAGCCAAGATGGACAGGCCTCGCACATACGGCCTGGTGAGGTTCGATCGCCGGGCTTCCTTCCACACAACTCTGAATTCTGGCATGTTGCACAGCGACTGCCCGTTCTGCTGTTCGTGGCTGCTGTCACATGAGCAGCAGGTAGTAGCAATGGCGAACAGAAAGTCCTCGCCACCTTCTCACTTGTCATATCCAATCTCCACCCCACTCTCGAATACCTCACTCGAATTACTCTATTCTACTCTCACAAGATCCGGTTGGATAGCCAGGCTATCATCACTCACCACATTCTTTCGACATCATATTCCGCACGCCGGCAGCCAGAGAAGGAGCAAAACAAATATACCCGCCAGACTCTCTCAAACATGTCCCTACCAATCCCTCACATCAATCGCACGCCCTCGGCCATCAAGCGCTCCGGGTCCGCATCCAGCCTGGGCAATGGTCCGATCGAGCACGAGAACGATCTTACACCCGTGATCCGTGGTTCACGAAGAGGATCGACCAGCAGCGTCAATACCTCAGCAGCAACATCACCACTTGTGAGCCCGCAGACTCCAGTTTGACTGGTATCTTTACGGGAGGCTCATGCTGATTCCAAGGCCAGACCCTCATCCAACCACCCATCGCCCACGCAGTCGCTCAGACCACCCTCTACGCCGGCAAATCCCACAAAGCCACGGTTCTTCCTACTCATGCCTTGATGACCGCATCACCTTACTTCCAGAAACTGCTCTCGGAAACCCCCGAGCCGCTACCGGAACAGACGACCTTCGAGGAAGCTGATGAAGCCTCCATGGCACTCTTCGGCCACTACGTCACCGGCAAGAAACTCGGCGGACCGACGGACTTCCACTCCTGTGGCCACTACCTAGGCCTCTACGTCCTGGGCCAGAGATTCGGGTGTGAAGGTCTAGAGAATGATGGTACGTCACCTCATCCCTCCCACCACCCAGACCCGCGCACTCGAAGACTATTACTAACGACCTTACCAGTAATGAACCACACACGAACCTACTACCACACCTCCACCATGACCGCCTCCCCCTTCCGCTGCCAATACATCTACACCTACACCCCTGGCCCAAATCTAATGCGCAAATTCCTCCTCTCCACAGCCGCATGGCGCGCTTTATACGATCACACCTCAAAACCGGAACACAACGACGAGACCACCAATACTGACACTCCTGGTCTATCGAACGCGATGAAGGAAGTCCTAGCGAAAGACGCGACGATGAGTGCAGATTTCATGCATGCGTTGATTGAGTTTGGGAGGCAAACGGTGGGTGATCCGAGGGAGGGGGAGAGGTGTGTGTGGCATGTGCATGAGAGGACGAGGAAGTGTGTTGAGGAGGGGTTGGAGCCGTGGGAGAGGGATTGAGGCTAGTGTGTGTGTGTGGACACTGTAGTGGTTGCGGCGTAATGGATGGGCTGGGCTGGGGAGATCGATGCTGTGATGAAGTGATGATCCGGCGAGGACCCCTACGCCCTGATGATCTGATGGCCTAATGACCTTGGCCCATGCCACGAGCTGGCTCCAGAGGACTCGTGTAAGCGCGAGAAGCGGATCCTGATCCTAAGAAAGGATATTCACCTCAGCTAAGGTCAAAGATGGAAAGATATGTGGCAAGAAATAATGCATTGTTACAATCACGCCAATGACATGCTCTCGGACTCCTCCCTATACAAGCCCAAACGCTGACAATCCAAGCCACGACCTTCAAATGTCAAAAGGCCGTCCCCTCCCAGAAAAAACGCCATCGCTACCCAAACGACAGAAAGTCAAGCAAGTCAAGAAAATGACAAAGATCTCATTTTCTCCTGACATCTCTAGACCAGGAATGAAAACCCAAAGACACGAAAATCAACAAACGACATGGCTCGCCCGCTCGCTCGCTCGCTGAACCCAAACCCAATCACCCTTTCCAATCACTTTCCACTCCGACTCGCCCCACTCCGCTCGACTTTACGAAACACGACAAAAGACAAACCCCATGGCCAAGCCCAAATCCACATCCAAGCCACCTTGAACTCCAACCATTCAACCCTCTTCTCAACCCCCAAAAACCTCACGGCGTGAGATCAGCGTAGACCTAGTAATACATCCCCTGCCCCCGTTGCTGTTGCTGCCCCTGCTGCTGTCCTTGATCATGCATCTGCATCGGCGCCTGACCATAATACCAATTCTGACCCTGCCCTTGCATTCCAGCCATCATATCCATTCCTGGGTCCGACATCGGGGCCAGCCCAGGAAGTGCGTAAGCCGGGACGAAGGATTCGGCGGGTTGGTAGTCCCTTTGCGCTCCAGCACTCTGGTCTGAGGAAGGCGCGAGAGGGGTAACGTGCGCACTATTGCTGCTGCTGCCATTCTGCTGAGGAGGTTGGGGAGAATTCGGTTGTTGGTGCGTCTGTTGTTGTTGTTGTTGGTCCGGGACGTCGGAGCGGGGAACATAGAAGACCATGCCGTTCTGTTCACGGGCCAGCATATTCGAGCCTGAAGCAGGCGCAGAAGACTGCTGCTGCTGATCTGTTTGCCCGTCCGTGGGCGCAGAAGGGGGGACATGCTGCTCGTACCCCTGTCCAGACATCTGCTGATAACCCCCTTGCTCTCCATTCGAGGACATACCATTTACCTGCTGCATCTGCATTGCCTGATGCGGGGGCACATATCCCATTCCACCACCCATCCCCATCCCCATCCCCATATTCCCATACCCCTCTCCACCCATCTGAGGCGGATAGAAAAATTGCTGCTGCTGAGGCGGGAACTGCGGATAAAACCCCTGTGATTGATGATAACCCATCTGTTGTTGCTGCTGCTGAGGAGGCGGAGGCAGGAAAGAAGGAGCATGAATAGCCTGTTCCGGGATCCCGGAGAGTGGCGTTCCAGCCTGCTGTTGCTGCTGCTGACCATACGACGGTGCTTGTTGCTGCTGCTGCATACCCGAATATCCAAATTGTCCCCTTGGCTCGAAATACGGCTGCTGCTGCAGCTGGCCCTGACCCTGCCACATCGGGGTCTGCTGCCCCTGCCCCTGCCCCTGACCAAATCCGACAGGCAACTGTCCCTCAAAAGGCTGCTGCTGCTGCGGCACAGCCAAAACCTCATTACTCGGCACCTGCGTAAGGAGCGCCGGGCTCTCGATCCCACTGACTGAAATCGCCTTCTGCGGTCGCGGCTGGTGCATGGTACTCGTCGGCGTACCCTGAAACGCCGGTTGTTGCGGGAGGGGATAAGTGTGCATTTGCATATGCGCGGGATATCCACTACCATCACCGCCGTTGGTGGGGGTGTGGAGGCCTGATAGACTCATTGCCATACCCATGCCCATACCCATACCCATCTGGTTAGAAGGGGTGATAGTGCCGGAATAATGTCCCCCTTGTTGGTACCCAGGGTGCGGAAGTCTAACCATCGGCCTATTAGACGACGGCATCCCACTAGCGAAAGAAGTCGGGGAGAAAGCATCCCCGCGATTGATGCCCGCGATCGACGAACGTCGACTAGCCGCTACACTGGAAGCGTAAAAGCTGCCTCCATAAACACTCGTCCTCCGACTCGAGTAACCCTGCCCTCCGCCTCCAGCAACAGAGGCCCGCTGATACGAACCCCGATGATGCTGATGCTGATGATGTGGATTTTGACTAATCCCAAACTGACCCTGGCGTTGTTGTCGTGGAATAAAAATAAAACTCCGATCGGAAGAAGGGAAGATATAATGCGGTGGTCTGTCCGGAAGCGAGACGCGCACGGGTTTGTCTCTGCGTAAGGGAGGCCGGTGGTTGGGGAGACGGAGGTAGTGTTTCCAGGGGACTTCGGAGAAGGTGATGGGTTTGTGCTGGTGGGGTCCGGGGAGGAGGACGCGGATCTGGACGCGGCCGACGAGGGTGGTGGTTGAGAAGTTTAGGGTTCGCGGTTGTTGGTGTTGTTGTTGGAGGGGTGGCGCGGTGGGTTTGGGGAATAGGCGGGCGGACTCGGATTGTTCTTGCTGGAGCTTGGCATCGTTTCCATTCCCGTTCGTAGCGGTCGGGATAGCTTCCTCGTTGATCGTCTCGTGTAAATCATGTTTCCACGCTTGTTCGGCAGGGCGTTCCGTTGGCGGCGCTGAGTTCGCAGGCGAAAAGGGTCCAGATGTAGGTGTGGGTATTGGCATACCTCCCCGGCCGCGTCCCCGTCCCATAAACCCTCCGCGCATCATATTCGGGGGCTGGCCGTTCTGTTGACCCCGAGTATCGTGCATGAAGAAGTTGCCGCGATTGGGCACGAATGCCGGGTCAGCATCCCGCTTCTTCCGGTATTCTTCGTGCTCTCTCCGCTGTCGCTGAACCGCTGTCTCTGCACTGCCGTTTTGGCCTCGTGGTTTTGTAGGCACTGCGCTTGGTGTTTCTTGTCGCTCCATCGTCTCAAAGTCCACGACCTCTTGATCCTTTGCGCCCTCCTCGATCCGCAACCCATTCATCATGGCCTCCGTGTCCGCCATCGGCTTGAACTCTGATGTGGAAGGCTCGACCGTCTCCTCCTCGACAGACTGCTCCTTCTCCCTCTCCTTCCGCGCCTTCTTCTTCCGCTTCGTCTTCTTCCCAGCCTTTGCGCCGTTAGTAATACTTGACTCGGCCCGGTCTTCTCCCGCATCTGCCCCAGTTGGCTCAGCAGGCACCGGAGACCCGCTAAGACTCGTCGTATCATCCTCGTCGACTTCGCTGAGGACGGAGCCTTCACTCTGCGAGTCGTTGACGATGATCGGGCCGTCGTCCTCCTCCCCTTCCTCATCCACGCGTCTCCTGCGTCCCACCAGCGATCTGTGAGGGCGTCCTGCTGCCATGATATCGATCACTCGCTCGGCAGTGTATGGGCGATGCGAGATGTGATGCGCGACCTCGTCGTCGAGTGCTTGACGTACGGGCAGGCGGGAAAGGGTGGAGTCGAGTTATTGAGCAGATGGCGAGCGCGCGCGGAGATGGTGGTATGATCGCATCTCACTCCTCACTCCAATAATCCTATTATCAAAGCAGAGTCAAAGTAGAGTACTTGTAATGAAACACACTTTGGCAAAGAAGTGAACGTGAGGGAGGAGGCTGCCTCATACAACAATAATCGTCACCTGGAAAGCCGAGGAAAGGGTCCAGGACTCCAGCCTCCCCGTTGGCCATTCGTGTGTGATTATTATTCACTCTCCACACGCGACCCAGGAGGACACTAGTACTTTCCTAAAACATATACCACCCTTCCTTATGTAGTACTCGACCATTCACTCACACGATCCCCAATTCATCCTCCCATCGGACTGCTCGCCACAATGCTATCCCTCGCCCTCAAGCTCCTCCTAGCCTTTGCCATCCCACTCATCTCAGCCCTGAAGTTCGACATTCAAGCCCATCCTGGTATGCCCACAAAGCAGAAGACATTTGATTAAGGCTCAACCCACTGACTAAAGACAGGGCACGAAAGCGCCAGCAAAGAACGCTGTATCCGCAACTTCGTCGCCAAAGACCAACTCGTCGTCGTCACCGCCACAGTCAGCGGGAGTCGAGGCGATGGCCAGATCCTGAACATGCACGTAAGTATATACATGCAACCAACCAACCACCCATAATACCAGCCTGTAGAACACAAGAAACTGATCGAAGTCCCCTTGTATGATTCTAGATCAAAGACGCAGTTGGCAACGACTACGCCCGCCCCCGCGACGTCGCGGGCGAAAACCGCCTAGCCTTCACCTCCCACGCCGACTCCGCCTTCGACGTCTGCTTCGAGAACATCCTCTCCCACACCCCCCACGCATCCGCAATGGCCAGCACGCGGCACATCGAACTAGACATCGACATCGGCGCCGACGCGAAAGACTGGAGTGCCATTCAGGCCGGGGAGAAGCTGAAACCGGTGGAGGCGGAGTTGCGGCGGTTGAGTGAAAGTGCGAAGGAGGTGGCGGATGAGATGGATTATCTTCGGACGCGGGAGATTAAACTCCGGGATACGAATGAGAGTACGAATGAGAGGGTTAAGTGGTTTGCGGTGGGGACGATGGGGATGTTGGTTTCCCTTGGGGTGTGGCAGATTGTTTACTTGAGGGCGTATTTTCGGAGTAAGCATTTGATTTAGAGAGGGGATGTGTATGTGAAGGAGAGGTGGTGCTTTGGGGAGGCTAAGGGGGGCTGTCGAGCGGCGTCTCCAGCTTGTCAGGGATGATGCCTATTTGTGAGTGGTGCTGCATGGCGTCGAGGTGGCATTAAAAGCGCTGTAGAGCCGACCTATGGTCCAAACCATCTACCACTTGGATGGCCTGACTAGAGTGAAGGGAAATGATGTTGATATATGGTCAGACGAGGTCTGAGTAGACTGGTGGTGGCTGTCCATGTATTTTGCTCACCATCTGCCGATTCCTGCTCTTGGCGCGCAACGGCTTATCTCGTTGCTCCGTCAAAGTGACTCTCGAGACTATGTGTCGTATCGGGGGAGACCGTCACGCACGACTTTGCCTCTACATCTGACAAGGCCCGGCGAGTCAAGGCAGCAGTCAAACACTGTTGCAGACGATTCACGCCTCCGGCACTCATCACACCAGGGCTGGAGTGGCTAGGAAACATACAAGAAAAAATCCCGGCGAGTATGTACAAAAGACTACAACTACTCCTCCTCCAAACTCTCCGGCTCACTATCCCCTCCACCCCCCTCATGCACCATCCCCCCGAGTGGATCATCCTCCGCCGCCAGCGTCCCCGCCCGCTTATCCTTCGGCCTAGTAAAATGCGTCACCACACTAATAACCAACACGCTCAACCCATGCACCAACGTACTCCCCAGCACCACAAAACACACAATCGGCCACACAATCTCGATCGCCTTCTCCCGTGGCGAATACGGTCGACCGGCATGAGGTGGGTAGGGTTTTGGTAGCGAAGTGCCTGTCTCGAGTACTGCTCGTGCCTCGATCGCTAGGAAGAGTCCACCGAGTCCCATGGGTCCGAAGTGCCCGCAGAACAGCGCTTCGCGGAATGTGCGGATATCAGGAATCCATCTATACAGTGCCAGCACAACCGGGATCCGGCGGAATAGCAGGACCAGGAGTAAGAATGCGACCAGCCTGCCCGGCGTGACCGAAGGCGTAATAGCTTGCGGTGTGAAAGAGTACCATGGAATAATCGTCCCCAGGTAGACGAACATGGCACTATTTAGCATCATATCGATAATCTGCGGCAACTTTTCCTCATGCGTCTTCTTCGTGAACCAGCCGTCGCGAGCGAAACCATAACCCGCGCCGAAAGCCACGAGGAAATCGTCGCTGCCGAGTGTGCTTCCCACCCCAACACAGAGGATGGCGAGGAGGAGGTAGAAGACGGTATACCCGGCTCCATCGATAAATTTCTTCTTGTCGCTATACCGCAGGATCCGATTAGCGAGGCTGCCGATGAGGACTCCAATGAAAGTGCCAAAAGTGCATTGCCAAAGCAAAGTAATCAGGAACCACTCCTTCGCCGCCGCCCCCGCCGTCGCGCTCGTGAGAGCAAAAAGCCCCACGTAAAGAAAAGGAAAACTAATCCCATCATTGCACCCGCTCTCCGCCGACAATAGATCCTTGATCCGCTTCGGCACCCGATCGCTAAACTGACTATTACTCAAAATACTCGCCGCCAACACCGGATCCGTCGGCGTCAAGCAAGCCGCCACCGTGAGCGCAGTCGCGACATCCGTCTGGAATAAAACCGCCACGAACCCTGCACACACGATCCACCCGAACGCCATGACCGGCCCAAGCATCATCCCCACACTCCTCCAATGCCTCCCCGCGTAAAACTTCGGCAACTCCACCCCGACGGCGAAAACCTGGATCCCGACAATCACCCTCGTAGCCTCCTGCATGACATTATCGCCCCACCCCCACCCGCCGAGACCATCCTGTTCGCCGCCCGAACAGCCGATGACGCCGCAGGTGTTGGGGCTGAGCCAGCCGAGGAAGCGGGGGCCGAGGAGGATTCCCAGGAGGAGTGCGAGGGGCGGTTCGCTGAGGTGCAGGCGGTTGCGGATGAAGTTTGCCAGGAGGGTGTAGGTTATTAGGAAGAGGGAGAGGAGGAGGTAGGTTAGGTGTGGGGGGGTGGGTTCGATCTGGTCCCACATTTATTTTGGTTTTGGTTTTTGTTTTTTTTTTGGATACGGAGGGTGTGAGGTGTGGTCGGTGTGGTGTGGTGTGGTGTCCTGGTTCCTGTCCTGGTCCCTTGTGGGCAGTGGCAATCCTGGCAGAATTAAGTCCAGTGAGCCTTGTGTATCTCAGAGCATTCCGGTTGATGGAGGTGCTGTGGAGTATGTGCCTGTCTGTCCAGTCGGTGGCGAATTTCGTAGGTCCTTTGGGATATATACACTGGCGTGTCCGGCTCGATGGCGAGTCCCCGATACCTCGACAGAGGTGGTGAAGTGAAGCAGTCTTGGTTGTTTGTTATTTCTACTCGAATTCTGGCGGGTTGTGCTTCTCGTACGTCATTAGTCCACAGGCCAGGCCATGTTCAATCTCGAGCTAGGGGCGGGGAGGAACGAGTACGTCGATTAGGGTGGGTAAGCGAGATCCAGTTACTACGTATAATCGAGGGGTCTCGGCCTTGTGTAGGTCTACGTCCACCCCCGGGTAGCTTTCCTCAAAAGTGTGTATGTAGGAAACTTGACATGCATAGTGATCGCTTACGAGGGAAGCTGTTGGCCTGTCAAAGATCTGAGTACCATTAGCTTCACCAGATTGCCTTTGTTGCTGCAGCACAAGCTCTTTTGGGTGGCTGGCTGTCGTAAGCGTTTCGCACTAGTTCGATATGTTTTAGAGTGAGGCTGTACACCTATGGGCTATGTCACGCTCACGAGACCTAGTATCCAACAGTAGGTGATCTCAGATCTCATCTCGGACACTTGACGACAGCATGCGCGAAATGCTTGTTTGTCCATGTCAGCTTTGCATCCGTTACTCTGCGGTACAGCCTCTCAGCCGCCGTAATGAGCTGACTACAACCCATGTCGCTACTGATTGTGAATAGTTGTTCAATACAATCGGCCTGACTGGCGGACCATGAGCAACAAGTCCTGGCTCGATCTGCTTCCTGCTCCGGATCCGACAATGTCGAAACGATCGTTCATCACCAATATCACACCTTTACCAACCCACATCAACCGAGAGACAGCGGTGTCGTTGCTGCATAACCACCATGAGATGATCGAGCTGAATCCTCTGGTGATCGGGCATGAGAAGACCAAGGCACCGTCGAACGCGACGTTGGAAGAGCAGGTGAACTGTATATGGTACCTGATCACCGATACGATCAATTATCTGCCTGGAGGAGCGGCGAAGAGCGTAGTCAGCTACAAGGCAGGCTTCTACGACCTACCGAATGGACTACAGACGCATTGCTTCGCACCTGGTGGAGTGGACCTGAAGGCAATATGGCTGGTTGGAGGGAACATGCCAGGCGAGAAGCCGGAGCCCGCTGAGCTAGGCATCGCCAAGCCTTCAGAGGGACTATATCTACGAGAGGATGTGGAGATGAGGTGTAATGTCTTCCTGAGCAACTTCGTCAAGCGGAATCTCAAGAAGGCGCATGGTGTGCTGGTCGAGCGGCTGCTCAGCAAGTACAGCGAGCCAGCATCTCAGCCGCCACAACCTCGACCACCATTCTTTGCGAGCAGTCCTACCGAATCTGCTCGCTCCATACGCCCGATCAGCTTGCGAGACGACTCGCCTATAGCGCCTTCGCTCACATCGCTCAATATACCGGCATCCATATCACGGAACTCGTCCTACGCTGCACCATCTCCCTCGCACCTGCCGTCTCCATATGCTGAGCCATGTTCTTGTGGCGCTGGCGGACACGAAGTGATGTGTCCTAACTACCGATACGGAGCTCCAGCGCCGAAGAAGCAGGCTCAAACTGTAGTCCCAATCACGCAAACAGCGCCACCACCGTCCCTCGATGCACGATGGCCACCACGCGCAGCTGCCGCGCCTGAGGATACTAATGGGTCATACTCGCCCGCTGGCGTTCACCCCGAAGCAGATTGCGACTGTCGCGACGGCGATCATGCCTTCGCCTGCCAATACTACACGAGATCACGAACCGCACAACTCCCACAAGCTACAACAGCAAATCGGCCAATCGTGCAACAAGCCAAAGACAACAGCCACGGCCGCATCGTCTGGAAACTCCCACCCGGCAGCAATCCCAGCGTCGCATACCGCTCCCCTCAACTCTTCGGTGAGCAGGCCGAGCTACCTGGTAGTACGACCACGAGTGTGCGAGATGAGGACTGGGATGCCATCAAGGTGCCTGAGCTGGATAGTACGGAGCTGTCGTATTGGAAGATGGGGATTGTGGGGGATTTGAAGATGGCTCCTGGTGATGCTGGATGGCTTTGAGGATTAAATTTGACATTTGCAAGTGAAGCCACGTGCATACCAGGGGTGTGGCGGCGAGGAATGTTGCATGCACTTCCTCAGCGTCATGACTGATTGTTCCTTGGCTGACAGATGTGGAATGTCGCGATATGGTAGTCCTGGAGATGGTTTACAATAGCGCATACACCGAGAAATCACTACGCCTTGTGCAATCGTTCACCCTGGAGTCGAACGGTTTCCACCGGCTGTCACACACCATTCGCTATTCGATCGACTGGGAGAGACCGACTTGGTTTGCCGTCAGCGACATGGCAATGCTCGATCACAACATGAAGTTCCCAACCCGGTCATCGAACAAAGAGCCTGAATGGTCAAGGATCTGCAACAATGTCTTTGACCAATACCTGGACACCGATGACTTATTCGGCTTCGGCATCGATGGCCGTGAAAGAAGCAGCTCCAATAACTCGGCCAATCTGTTCGACTTCTCCACAGGGTCTGGCTCAGAACAAAGCCACCAGAGTGCTGGTACCTCGCCTATTCCTTCCTGGGAAGCCATTGCTGTGTCTGGCGCAGAGTACGTCGATGCTCAGCCGCGTGCGAAAGAGCCGGTAGACTTCTGGACGAAGACACTAAGGGCGTTGGAGCAAAATGCAGCCGCGTCAGAGAGGAAAGTGCAAACCCTACGCACGGCGAAATTACATCCGGACTTCTTGAGTCTGGGTGGCTGTCCATCACCACCAGCTATACCCTCCTCGCCTACCGACCAATCATTGTCCGTCCAGCGACGCAGAGATCGAAATGCCGCAAGCGGAAGCAAAGCATCCCAGGCCAGATCAGTCTCACGTGGGCGACCTACAGGTGTGTCAAAACCTGCGACTGGTATCACAAACCCACACGCGACTGTGCGTAAAGCCAGCGCCAGTCCAAACAAGATGATGACACCGTCCCGCTACCGGGCAGGGTTTCGAGACGTGTGGACGGAGCGTATCGAACGCAGCCCGAAGAAGTACGAGTTGCGCGTGCCTTCTCCGCCTGCATCGCTACCGCCTTCGGCCACAATCACCACGCAAGCGGATCAGTTCGCTGCTTTCGGGTCGCCGACAGACTATGCGCCTTTGAGTGGGTACGATGATCAGTTGTCGCCATTGACGAATACCTTTCAGCAGGCGACGATACATACGCCCTTGGCATCGCCGTCGGCTATCAATGCTGGTGCGCATGCCGCTAATGGGTACTTTCTCGGCGGACTGCCGCCGGTCCCACCTAACCCATATGTTACTCAGACGATTCCGCTGAACGACACGGCGCCACTATTTCTAGAAACCACATCGCCGCTGGTGACGAACGACATACAAGCCTTTGACTTCGGCTTCTCAAGTCCGGACGTAGACCCTTTCAGCTCCGCGCCGTTCGCCGAGCCTTCCTACAATACCGATCACCTTCCATTACATGACCCGTTCGGAGGTTTCGATGCTTCTGTATTACCGTCCATTGAGAGCCATGGGCTGGCCACAACAGGTCTTGGCATCAGCTGCGTCCCGCATCTGGTCTCAATGTCCATGATAGCGCCTGCAACCACGCTGCCCATAAGGACACACCCGCATGGTCTCCCATTCACAACTCCCTTCTATACTCCAGCACAAGGCTACGCCACAATACCAAACACGCCCCACCGCCGCTCCGAGCCGCGACTGAGATCTCAAACGCCCTCGCCACCTCCCACTGAACCTCGCTCAAGACGAAGTGCATCTCAATGCCGGCGAGCATCACGGCATCGCCGCACGAAGTCAACGAATTGTACACCACGGCATCAACAGAGTTCCGACAAGAATGGCTTTGTCAACTTCACCCCACATGATAGTAACAGGATCTTGAGTGGTGTGGCGCCGTCTGGGAGCTCGAAGACGAAAGCGAGGCGGGAGAAGGAAGCGGCTGATAAGCGGCGAAAGTTGAGCCAGGCTGCTGTTAAAGCTGTCGTCGACGCGGGCGGCGATTTGGATGCTTTGACGAGTGCTGGGCTGTTGGGTAGCGTTCCGTGAAACCTTCCCTCGTCCGGCAAGCGCTGTGCCCTCGAAGCGTTTCTTCACGATACATCCGCATGGTAGCCTTTACACAAGGGAGTCCTCGTAGATAACGAAAACCACGGGACGGATGTCACATCTACCAGATGGCTCTCGTTTCAATACTTCCATTCTCTCGCCACATTGGCCGAAGATCACTCTATGTCTTTGCGAATATACTCCACTGGACCGTCGTACTCGTGTCTTCCGCGAATCACGTACCACACGAATGCGAATATGACCATTACGCCAAACATTAGACATGCCCTGGATCCTAATCAGCTGCTGACACGAAATCGTAATTCTTGTTGAACAACTCACCAGTTCATCGACTGAGCTGTCGGATTTGGCACAGATGGGAAGAAAAGCTGAATGTATCCGGTCAGCCTTCCTGGTCAGAGATATGGAGACAAGCATCCGACGACTCACGAATGTGGCAAGTACAAGAAGCCAGCACAGCGCCCCAGCGTTGACGAAGATGCCAGCCCTGCCGAGATTGAATCGAGAGACCGGCAGCTTCTCGCCTCGCAGGCGCTTAGCGAACAGGGTTGCGATGGCGATGATGTACGTGACGATCAGGGCGACGTTGCAGATGGAGAGGATGATGTTGAAGGCGATTGTGCTGCCGATGATGATCATGCTGAAGACTACCGTTGAGCCGAGTGTCACGAATACAGCTAAGCAAATGTTAGTAGTGCGCAAGTTGGCCCGACTAGGACTGGTCACGGTTCTTTTGTTCGACGCTGCACAAATCCAACCATTTAACCGGACTAGGGAAATCTAGAACTGCACTTACCATTGTGTGGTACACCGTCTCTGGGACTGACCTAATCCTGATGTCAGTAGAGTACAGTCGAACCCAATGATACAGTTCGATATACCTTCGAAAGAAACTTATGGAAAGGAACACCCTTGTCTCTCGCGAACGCCCACAACTGCCGTGAAGAAGTCGTCGCTTGGTTGATTGATGTAAAGGTGAATTGGAAGCACATAAGTACGGTCAAAGCGATCGTTGCCGCTTGCGAGCCAGTGACCTGTAAAGGAGCAATTGTCAGTTCCGAGCGATGTCTCTGGATAACATTACAAGTTCAAACTCACTTTCCGCACGACAGCAACCTACGGAGTGAAGTATCAGCTTTGAACTCTGTCTAACAACAGTGCTCACACGAATTGTGGACTGACCCATGGCTGGCCTGTCGTCGTGGCCAAGATATCGTCGAGCACATCGGGATCGATTGCGGAGACCAAGGATATGATCATGGTCAACGCAGTAGCATAGTTGATCAACGCCGACGATATCATCGCACGAGGCAGCATGTACGCCGCATCCTTTAGCTCTTCAGCTAAATGCACAGCTATGGTTATACTGTCAGCAATGCTTGCCACATCATGCGGTAATTCCTTGCATCCACGCACCGGCGTCTGCGCCAATCAGCGCAGCCGATGGTCCAACCACGGATACCAGAGTCTGTAGAAGCATTAGTGCACTGTTGTCGAGTTCCGCCTTGTGTAACTAACAGCAAGTCCGTAACTGCCCCAGCCATTTTGGTCTTGAAACTCGGTGAAAACACGGCTTGCTGGTTCTCGTGGTCCCAGTACCCAGAATATCACCACGAAGGCGAAGAAGCCGAATCTGTCGAGGTTAGTAAGGATGCAAAGCGATCAGAGGTCTGTGTCCGGTGCAGTCCTACAGGTGGATAACGACCACGAGGCCTTCGATCAGTGGCATTTTGTTGATAGCGAACATGTTGAACAGTATCGCTACCTGTCGATCAGTCCTGCGAAACTCGATGTGCGCTCCATCTCTACCGACATACCGAATACCACAAATGCGATAGTAAGAAGTGCGCCTTGCCACCCCTGTGATGTATATTCTGGATCACAAGTGGCGATCAAGGCCACGACCTGCTGTGCAGCAGTGTACGATATCAGCGGCATAGCCGATTGCCAGCCAAGTGCGCAAAGCCAGCCAACTGCATACGACAACGGCTTCTGGTAGGCGGGAGGTGCGAACTCGCTGACCCAGTGATATTGCTGTCTCAACGTCAACTTGATTTGCTTACGGTGGAAGTTGTGCAACTCACTCCACCAGCGGTGGGCGAGATCGAGGCCATTTCAGCCATCGAAAGACAGGAGAGACACATCCCGCAGCAAGCAATAAGCGTGAGCCATATAGCGCCTGCAGTCCCTCCATTGCTGAGCGCGAACACAGATGTGACCAGTGCAAACTCCCATGTAGACGCCAGGATGACCATGTAGCCCACCAGCGAGAAGAATCGAAAGCGCCGTTTGACTTCCTGCACCCGGCCCAGACGATGCATGTCGCGGCGGTCGTATGCTGGATTGTATGGTTTGCCCTCATTGTTGACCTCGGCGAGGGCGGTGCTCAGATCTACCTCGTCGAGGGCCATGTCAGTCTTGCCGTCCATTGTGTAGTGCGCCATGGTTGTTGAGAAAGTCGTATGAAAGCTGGAGCCCCAAGCTCGCCGACACTGCAGCTGGCGAACAAATAGTAGAGATGGCAAGACCACGAGTGGGCAAGGAAGCAGAAGACGACTGCCACGAGCAAATGTCTACCAGCAACTCGAGGATTTGACGCCAGACCCAGTACAGTAGAGCTCATACTCGCAGCATCGCTTGAGTTGACTATACCCTGCTCTGGACCTTTGGCTATCGACCTTCCTAATACTCACCCATGAACACTCTATCATCTGCAGACTGCATCAAGGTATCCCAGAAGGTGGGATGTATGCAGCCAAGTCGGAGGTTGAGATCTCGGTACCGCCTGTACATTGCAGCAGCAGGGAGCTTGCGCGCGATACAGAAGACTCAAGCGGCAGATAGAGACAAGAGGTCTGGTTTGAGTGGACGGATGTGCAGTTGCGGCGTGTGGTGGCGCCGTTGGACTGCCGTAGCGTCTTTCCCAGGATTGGCTCGGCCCGCGGAAGGGCGCACGCGATACCGGCTGAAGTGAACCATTCGAATGGATTGCATGGATATCAAGTTAGGTATACGAGCCACGGAGAAGTCGTGGTAAGTGGTCAGAGCCTCTGTTAACGGGCTCGAAAAATCACGGAAAACATGGAAATATGTCGATCATACCTTCAGCAATCCTCGCATCCAATTTGATCGATCGCGCCGCAGTGGGAGCAAGTCGACGCTTCGACGACGCAAGCGACTTTCGTCTGGCCATGAAATCCACGCTTTCTTGACGACGAGCTATTGAACTAAGATAAAGGAGCGAATTTGCATGCTGTCCGTATGGGATCAACCCTCAAGCTCACAATGCGGTAGTGTGTCATCAGTATAGAGACAGGGACCTTAGTTTGATCGGTCGATCTTGTTGACAAGGTGTGATGAGGAGCCCAGACGTTCACAGTCGTCCAGCATGCGAAGTTGCTGTGCCTCTGTGCCTCTGTGCTGATCCGAGCGTTGAGGATTGATTGATTGTCATGTCGGTCTCGCGTGCAATTCACGTTATGAGCCTTCCGTGCTCCACCTAGACTGTGTGCGGCCTGTGCGTGATAACTGCTAGAACAATCTTCATCTTCAATCGTCCGCACGGCGATATGGATTCTTCACGACTGCACGCCCTCCTGTACTCTTCGCCATGGATAATGGTTTCAAGAAGGCCACCTCGACCGACCATAGAGGCTGGCTTTGGGTAACAGTCATCCTCTCCATCATATACACAGTTAGCATCCTGCTCGTCAGACTGTTTGGAAAGTATGGTCTGCTCTCGTATGACGATGCGACTCTAGGTCTGGCATACGTGAGTCAATCGCTGTGAGAAGTTTTGAATAACTCATAAACTGACGTGGGCCTGGCACAGTGCATTGCAGCGGTGAGATGGGGAGTGCAAATGCACGCCATTTCTGACGGGCTCGGTGCCGAGCTCGCGGTTGTCATTTTTGTGCAGCGAACGGCAAAAGTAAGCTCTTTCGGATGAAAGTACAGGTCTTGCGCCAGTGTGACGCTGATTCACTCCCAGTTCGCTTTCGCTGCCAGGGTGCTGCTGATGATCTGCCTGTATCTGTCAAAGCTGTCCATCGTGGTTTTTATTCGCAAGGTGTTCTCTGGAACCATGAACCACGAGAACATCATCTTCGCAGGGGCTTATACTGCGATCACCATGTTTGGGATTGCATCTGTATTCGCCGTCGCAATCGATTGTCGTCCGTCACGATTTCTGAGCACGCAACATTCATTCGGCTGTCCAGAAAGTGTATGCCGAAAGCTTGCCAATCGATCTTCCACGGCTGACACAGACGCAGGCAGCGAGATCGATCGTCTTGTGCATCCTAGATGTGTTCAGCGAACTGCTTATCATATTCATTCCTGTGGTACTTTTGTCGAAGCTGCAGATGCAGCAATCGAAGAAAAGAGCTGTTTATAGTGTCTTCGCTTTGCGGATCGCGTAGGTCAGGCGGGATACCATTCCAATCACGACAGAGAGCTAATGATGCGTAGTGTCCCGATCTTTGGCATTGCTCAAGCGATCACCTATAGAGAATTCCTGACTCACGACGATCAAGGAAGTATCAGCCTTGTCCCAACGTAAGCAGGAATCATTGTGTACATCGACTGCGTCGTGCTGACAACTACCACAGACTGGTACTGCAAGAGTTATGGCTCATGTACTCGTTCATCTCCGCCACGATACCTTGTATGCGGTCCTTCCTAGGAGCCTTCCATTCTCCAGCACTTGTCGGCGGCGGCGGCTCGGGACAACAATATGGCCAGACAAGCAGGAGCGGCAAAGGATATCAGCTCAGTACTCTTAGAAGAGGGTTTGATGGTGATGGGAAGCAAGACGCAGCATCCATGGTTTCCAACAGCAACTTTCGTCCAGACCGTCCGCAGTATCGAGTCGACATCAGGCACGAAGGACGAACAAGAGCAGGCGATGAGGCCTCACTGGCATCGGATGCATCAGAGCAGATGATCATCACGAGAGCTACCCACACTCGAGTGGAAGAAGATAGAGTTGGTGGCGCCCCCGGATAGAGGCCAGACTATGGCAGTGAGAGCCCATGGTCATTTAAGCTGGAAGTAGTGGGTAGCGCAGTGTGAACCCATCCACTGTGGCGAAGTCCGAGATGGCGAGAACCTCGCGTCACGGTAGATTTGTCCTCTTGCCTTTGAAAGAGCGTGCTGCCGTGTGGGCATATCTGCTATCATGGTAGGTGATGTACTGTCTATAAGCTTATGTGGTTGAGTGAGTGGTCGGTCCCTGTCTGCTGCTCGAAATAGAAGGAGAAATGCAGTAGGTACGTCAGCCAGGCCCGAGCATTGGTGGAGCTTCGGACCCTGGTTTGCTTTGAAGTAACTTGATTGGGCACCGCGTGAGCTTCAGAATGAGACGATGCCCTCTGTGCAGACACCCAAGACTTGTATGTGATTGCTTCGTAAAGGACTGCTTAGCGCTTGCTCACACATTGACAATAAAATTGACCACGATCCTTATCTTCGCGTCGGGACATATCAATTCCGGACAGTTGTGCAGCCGGCAGCAGTGAAGGAGACCTGAGACTTGTGGCCGCGGAAGACAACTTGCCTGCTCGGAGACACATTTCAACCATTGTACAGACCACTTGGCCCTTCACCCAACCGACAACAAGACCATTACTACACCTGGCGTTGCCCAATCTGGCGCTCACAATACCGAATCCGGTCAAGGTGCTGCGACGCCTCACACCCGCCTACTTCTACCCATCCACGTCGAAACCCACCTCACCAAGCACATCCCCAACCACGACCCCATCCACCTCCCCAGCAACCTCCCGACCTGCCAGCAATACCGCCAAGCTGTCTTCCACAGCTTTACTTCAGCCCCGACCAGGGCTCACCTTCGCGGAGCCCATGGTCAGTAATGCCGCGCCGCCACCGTTGGTGGTGCAGAATGCCGAAAAGAAGATCATAGAGGACAAAGAGCGCAACCGGCGGAGGAGACGGAGTAGTAGCTTGATGTATCAGGAGCCACCGGAAAGTCTGGAGCAGCAAAGTGATCAGGCGACTATGCCGAACTTGAATGCGCAGTGGGTGAATGCGAAAGGTGAGGAGAAGCTATGCAGGCAGAGAACCATGGTCGGAATACTGATTGATTGTACTCTAGGCGCTTGGATGATTCACCCAGTCCTCATAATCCTCGCTAAGATCCTCTTCGACATCGTCCCGGGAGTCTCACAAGAAACCTCGTGGACACTAACAAACACCTCCTACATGGCCGGCTCCTACCTAATGTTCCACTATGTGCGAGGCGTGCCCTTTGAGTTCAACGCGGGCGCATACGACAATTTGAACATGTGGGAACAAATAGACAATGGCGACCAATACACACCCGCCAAGAAATTCTTGTTAGCGGTACCTATATGCTTGTTTCTGATCAGTACACATTATACACATTACGACTTGGCATATTTCATGGTCAATTTTCTGGCGACGGTGGCGGTGGTGGTGCCCAAGTTACCTGCTGTAAGTCGTCTCAGACACCCCTTTCCCATCACTTGACTTACACTTCTACAGCTCCACAGGATGCGTTTCGCCTTCTTCAATCCGGAACCAGAGGGTCATGACGACAGCAGACGATGATCATCTTGTATGGCTTTTCGGCGTTTGGGATGGTGGCTTGAAGCATCAAAAGGATACCAAAAGGAACGGCTGTTAGTATACCATGCGGTAGCAAGCTGCAGAGACGGAAATGGCTGTATTATTGCGGAGGCGCTGAGGCGACCACACTTGCACTCCTTTCGAGATACCATTGCTGTACTGTTACATAGCGAAGCATCACAATCGAACGAAAGTCTTACCTCGCGGAGTCCTCTGCTGCCACATCCTGACGGATAATAAATGCGTCTTGCCATATTCGACGTGGAACTTACACCCGGTAGCCTCGTGTTTCTCCGGTGACACATTGATACATGAACGTCGTACAGACGTGCACCCCAGCTCAAAACCTGCCGGCTCAATATGGAGAGGCATGATCTCGGCACAGATGGTCGACCGTACAGCTTAGAAGTAATGCTGGCAAGTTCCGCGCAGTTTCCAAAATGCACACGCCTAACAGTCAATACGACTGCCGTCGTCTATTCTGCTCTTGGAGGAGCTATGAAGAATTCATACCGTTGATATAAATCTCGGCTCCTGACACGGGCCGAGTCGGCACATGTGCGCTAGCTTCGGCATCTCAAAATTGCGACTGCCTTTCCCGATCATGATAAGATTATATCCACGTGACTGACGTCCTCATGAAGCCATGGCAGGTCGCGATACCATCGCATCAGGTTCTTCGCGCCAAGATATCATGAACGGCCGCCGCAATGACAGATCACCTGAGGAATCACGAGCAGCAATTGTTGGTCGCAAACGTGGCGCGCCTCAAGACAATCTTGCAGGTGGCGACAAGCGAGCCAGACTGGAGAACGACATTATCACAATCAGCGATGATGAGGAAGACCATCGACGAGGTAGCATCGAGTCGGGTGAGGTCGCCACGTCGGACTCGGGTATGAGCGAAGCCTCTGCGGAGATCACGCTCGAGACCATTGATAGTGAACGACTACGACCACATATCAGGGATTACATCGAGCGTGAAGACGTATCTGTACTGGAAGCTGTGCGGCGCTTTGCTGTCAAGAACAGTGCTATGCCTTTCGCTAAGGAAGCACGGGTCTTAGCGCGCAAATGGGAGCATATCGAGGAGTCCCTGGGGCCGAAGCGAAGCAAAGGAACCCAAAACAAGACTGTAGCAGAGCAGCATGAGGCTATCGACATTTCGGACGACGAAGGTGGTGTCTCGGTAGGTGGACACGCTGCTCACGACGATGGTGGCGATTATGGCGCCCTTGCACGTCAAGCTGCAACGGGGAATGCTCGCGCTGATCGCGAGATGCCAGGAGCCGTCTACCTATCAGACCTCAGTCCGAACGACCAAGACCTGCAAAAGCGGTATTTTGGCATCATACATCCATACGAGGCAGTGCGCTGTCTCGGTTGCGGAGGCCAGAAGCATGTGCAAGCGACTTGCCCGGCCAATACTTGCAAACACTGCGTAGGCGACCATTTCGCTCATACCTGTCCTACCAATCGCAAATGCCGACGCTGCCGACAACGTGGCCATGGCTCGGAGAGCTGCTCAAATCGACCTGTGTACGGGGGCGGATCCGCTGACAAGTGCGACTATTGCAGCGAGACTGGTCATGTGGAGGAGGAATGCACCACTTTGTGGCGTACCTACCACCCAGACAATGACCCGGAGCCCGTGATGCAGATCTTCAAGGCTGACATGCGGAAAGCATGCTACAACTGCGCTTCATCGCAACATTGGGGTGACGATTGCCCAACCCTACCAAGCTTCGCGCGTGCGTTGGGTAAGAGTGGTTTGTGGAGTGGTGAGCATGCGAGCAGATTTATCAAAGATATTCTGCAAGACGAGGTCCTTCAAGATGGGCGACCTGATGCTTGGATTTCTGTCAACCAGCATTCGAACGCATATCAGCTTGCGCAGTTCGACGACTAAAGTGCGATATCTCCGAGAGTACACATTTGATGTCCAGGGCTTGGATTCGATGCTTGGTTAGTAGCAGTTCGTGTACGTGTACGGCGGCGCGTACGATGGCATCCCTGCTAGGCATTGAGCCGGCCATGCATTATGGACCGTAGTCCGACAACTGATGTGGATAGATCATGTGAATATGGCGACGAAGGTACAACTTTAAGGAGATGTCCTTAAAGACGACACAGGATTGTGATGAAAGCATGTCTGGTGCATCGAGAGTCCCGACGTTGGTTGGGACATCGCAGCCTGATTTGACAGGCATAGCAGCATATGTATAGAACACAAGGTCAATCACACGAAGAAGCACTTTCAATGCTGTTGATCCTGACTACATCATCGTCTTCCCGTCACACGTTCATGAGCCATGATTTCGTTCACTCCATATATACACCTGAGTCACTCACACAGCATCGTTGAGCCTCGTGAACTCCTCCGGCCCACCAGGCATCCTCAGCCAGTTATCCTGGGGAAATTCATGCTCGCCCTCAATCATATGAAAAGTGTATATCATCCTCCCCTTGCTCGACGTATTTTTCTCACTCTTATGCAACAAATTCCCATGAATCAGCACCAGTGTCCCCGCCTTCACCTCCCCCAACTCATAGACCTCCTTCTTCACCTCCGTATCCTCCTCCAATCCCTCTGGCCATTGCGCTCCCTCATTATGCTTGAATACCGTCCCCGTGTCGTCTGGACTCCGTACGAAGCGATCGCGTATTGGCGCGCGTTTGTGAGAGCCAGAGGCAAAGGAGAGGCAGCCGTTGGAGACTGTGCAGTCTTCTAGCGCATACCAGAAACCCACTGCACTAGGAGGGTTGGTATACAAGAACACACTATCCTGATGTGGAGGCACACGGCCTCCGATCTCAGGCTGTTTACAGATGACCATACTCTGCAGTACCCTCGGATCCCTGAATCCAAGATCTCCCGCTATCCGTTTATTCTTCTCGTTTATGCTTGCGCGGCTGAATTGTGGGTTCAGGTGGTGTAAGTAGTGGCCTATCTTGTTGATGGCAAGATTCTTGGGCTTCAGGAGCTTTCCATCGTTATCAAAGGCGTCTTCTTCGAAAAAGAATCGTACTTTGTCACCCGAGGTTAGGAAGTAGTCATCTCCTACGTGTGAGCTGTTTTCGCCAGTCGAGAAGCGGGTCATGGGGTGGTCGTCCAAAGAGAAGTCATTTAGCAGACGGTAGGATTCGCTGAGCAGAGACTCAACCTCCTCTGGCGATAGAGCATCTGGTAGGAGGAGGTAGCCATTTGTGTACCATATTTCGAGTTGTTCTGAGGTGAGATATGATGGGTAGGGATTCGTTCTTGAGGGTGCCATCCTGCCGTATAACACAATGTGATTTGGTCCTGGAGGGTACGGTTATCGTAACATTATATCTGTGTGCTTGGTGAGCTCTGAGTAGGAGATTGTCGTAGACCACAAATAGGTCATATCGTCCTATCGTCCTTATCGCCGTGCAGTGAAGCCATCGCGGCCCCACTCGGACTGTGCTCCGAGGAAGGCACAACAGTTTCAATGGCTCTAGTGACCACATACTATTTCACATCGACTTCACCCCAACAGCACTAGAATGGACCCTGATGCTCCGACAAATCCAGAGCCCTCACCATCGATCTGGCGATGGGTCCTAGGCTTCCTGATCGTAGGCGCCTGCTGGGGTCTCACAACGCCTTTCATGCGTCGAGCAGCCATATCCAAGGACAAAAAGCCGCAAACACCTCGACCAGTGTTGACAGATCCGAAAGTCTCTTGGCTCAAGCGAAAAGTGCTCGGAATCTTCTACGCTGTACTGGATCTGCTTAAAAATCCGGCTTATGCTGTTCCTCTGCTCCTGAATGTTACGGGAAGTATCTGGTTCTTCCTACTGATTGGCCAGGCTGGTGAGTTTATTATGAAAGATGCGGTCGACGTATACGAACATTGGAGCTGATTCACGATACAGAGTTGAGCCTGGCAGTACCAATTACGAATTCGTTGGCTTTTCTGTTTACAGTACTGGGCGAGTGGTACGCGGAGGGCAAAGTCATCTCACGAGGCAAGTGGCAGGCACACAAGCAATCACAAAGCGCATTGAGCTGACTAGGTTGAACAGATACGTGGATCGGCATGGCTTTCGTGCTAGGCGGTATCGCATTGTGCGTACAGTCAAAGACCTAGCAAGTACATAGGTATAATATGCTCCACCACTTCGACGATCTAGCTCAGTGCCTGAACGATCTCCTGCGCCGTGACGTTCATCATCCTGTAAGTAGGATGCAAGCTGTTCAACCAGAAGTACTCATCGACTGGGATGCCGCAGGTAGCATTGAAGGTGTTTACGGCTGGTGTACCATTCTCATACGCCACACAGTAGTCCGTGGTATTCTTATATGGGCACGTCTCGACATGGCTGCAGGGGTCGTCCAAGACTTGCGTGAATGCCGTATTGGTATCGAATACGTAGGTGAAGGCGTCCGAGTACGTCTTCGTCAAGTTTGCGGCGAGAGCGGTGATGTTGGCGTTATATGCAGCGATGACCTTGGCTTCTGTCGCCGAGGCTGTACCTCCTTGACCGACTGTTAAAGGAGAGCGGTCGACTGGTGGAACGTTCAAGAACAAGAAGTTGCGAGCTCCAGTGTTATATAACGAGTCGACCAAACTGGCATATTCCTGAACGTCCAGCGACAGAACCAGCGTTCCATTGGCTTCACCATAAGCATTACCCACATCATTGATACCGAAGAACAGCGCGAAAAGTGTATCGTTAGCCTTCCAGTTGAAGCTGGCCGGATGATTGGCATACAGTGGCAGATACTCCGTCTGGATCTGATCTTTCAAGCTCAAGACAGTCGGCAGATATGGCTTCACGAGCGCACTATCTACCGTCGCCCCCCCGTACGCCAAATTGATCGTCTCGATAAAGGTCTTGTTGTATGTCGTTGTCAGAAAGTCTACCCAATTCGGTCCATTGGTTGCAGTGTAGCCGGGGTACGCTGGGTTACCTAGGGGATTGGCGGCGTTGGGCTGGGCGAGAGAAGTGTTGAAGCCGGTTGTTGTGTAGCTGTCACCAAAGACTATAAGGTGCGAGATCTTGGCCCAGCCAGGCCAGTATTTAGTGGCCAGGGCTGGGGACGATGACGTGGCGGGAGCCGAACTGCATGATGCAGTGACAGTCTTCGTTACTGTTGAAGTGTGTGTCTGGTACTTGGTGACTTCCTGAGTTTTGGTGATAGTGCTAGGGCCCCAGTTCGCCAGTGCAAGAGCGACATTGGCGATCAGCCCCGTTTTGATGGCTGTAGTGAGATACATGATGGAGATGGCTCGAGATTGTGGTGACGGGTGCACATGAGGAGGAGCACAAAGTCTACTTACATATATCTGTCTTGGCGGCTAATCAGGAACATGATGCTCCGGCATCAATGTCTGATGGGTCGATCTCCCATAGCACTTGGTGCTAATAGCAGCGTAGCTATTTGTTTCAGGTACAGGACAAGTGTTGCCGGTGTTGAGTGGGGATGAAAGTTGCGGGGGCACAACTTCAAACACGGAAGGCCTTCCTCCGGTCTTCTTGAGGCAAGGAAGTGGTGGCCACTAAAGCATGGAGGGGGATTGCGAGACCACTCGATTCCTGGAGACCAGCTTCGTAGAGTGTTTAACGTGATGCAGTGCTCAACCTGGTTGGGAGGTCCAGTCCCTCCACCACAGTCGCTCGAATGCATCGTCCGGTAGCCAGGCGTCAAGGTCCGTCGCCATAGCATCCGTCCCGAAGAACGGCATACTGTCAATGTTGAGATTCCCATCCATCTGCACCACTTCGGGTCTCGTCATGTAAGTTTCTTGTTGTGGCGACCCTTGACAACTCGGCAGAGCCGTCGCAAGACCAGATCTTGCTGCTTGTATCACATACCAGTGATGGCAGAGTTCAGGCCCGAATGGCTTGAAAAATTCCAGTTCCTGTTCAGTCAGGATCGTTGGAGCGCGTGTCAACGACGCTGTAGGCGTTTTGCGCATCGCATGTACGGTCTGTCTCACTACTCTTTCCGCTCCGTACGCAGTCGCGAAGCGCTTCTTCAGCTCGCTCAAGGACATCTCCGCGATCTGTAGCTCTCTTGCAGCTATATCTGGCGGAGTTACGCCTGCATAGCGATGTGAGGAGATCTGTGTCAAAGCTGCGGTGAAGATGTAGAAAATCGATGCTGGTGAGACCGCGGTCATGGCGCCCCAGTCCAAGTATTCCTCGAAGATACCCGAGATGAAGCTAGCAGCAAGCAGACTCGGCATAGGTGGACACTCGTTAGATCGTTTCTGGTGGAACAGGATGGTGATCGCAACAAAATAAGGGACGTGAATATGTCGGGATGTGAAGTTGTATGCACATAAGCGGTTCGTGTCTCGCTCATGTAGACGGAGGGGAGTTGGAAGGGACTTAATCCAGTGCAGGAGCCTCTCTTCGATCGTCATCCGCTGCTGAGCACCAAGTGTGCCCCTCAAACAATGCTCAGTAAGGTCACCGAGGATGTGAGTGATGTTGACAAAGGATATGAAGAGATTGTTGTCGTCATCATCGACGGCATTAATGTTGGCGAGTGCCAAAGGTCTCACGTCCGAGTCGATTATGTTGATCGCACGAGGCCGGCCATGGCTTGTAGCTATTTGGCAGTCTCGAGACTGTAGACTCATCAGCTAAAACATCAAACAGAGAAAGTCTCACCAGCCACCCACAACCAAAGTCCACCAGATAGCTCGACGCAAAGGACCATCTATGGCCTTCGGGCTTGGCTCTCGATGCAGTCCAATCTGGTGGGCCAGTCCTACCGCAGTGCGAAGCCAGAAACTGCTATTGTGGATTGACACATGTTCAGGGCCTGACGGATTCCACCATTGGAGAAATATTAAAGCCATGATCACTTGAAGCACATCTGGCTCCTCTTCCGCGAAGAACATCATCCTCGCACGAGCGTAGCATTGTGTGCCTACCTCCACGGCTTTTGGGGAGGTGGATACCTTGCTTCCGGCAACAAAGATCGCCGTAGTCAGCAGGCTGCTTGGTTCCTCGTCGGCTCGACGCATGGCCTCAGCTTCGCTCAGCAATGGCATCCATGGACGACAGCAGTCATTGAAACTCTTGACCAGGCTTGATCTCATGGACGAGGGGATAGTCGAGATGACTGTAGAGCAATCGGTCGAGCTAGTGAGATGGGTATGTCCCTCATAACGTGATGCATCTTCCTCGTCGATTGGTACGTGTGCTGGAACATACTCCGAGCGACCGAGATAGCTTGACTGTGGTGATGCCTTTGTGACAGGGCCTCTACTGTGAATGGTGTGTTGTGCAGGCAGCACGCTGACCACATCATCATTCAGCGGTGGTGGTCTCTTGCTCTGGATAGTGGCATAATCAGGTGATGCCTCTCGACGACGCTTGCGCTGATGAGGTTTGCATTCTGTGCCCGCTTTCTGGCAAGCGGTACATGGCTGTGGCACAGACAGAGCTGAATAGACTGTATCGCATCGGACCTTTCTAGCGTGGCAGGAGGCGCACGCTTGCGCCGTAGTGCTCATGGTCGCCGCGTGTCTTACACCGGCGGCGAAACACTACGCATTGTCGGTGGGATGCAAAGGAAGTGGAAAGAGCTCTGCCCGATGTCTAGTGAGTCTTTCGCCGAGTCGGATACGCCACCGCCAAGCTTTGCAGATTACGCCGAAAGCATTGATGTTGATCCCGGCATTCCATGAGCTGTCTATCCACCGGAACGTCCCCACACGAGACACAACCAGTGCAGACTCCAGAAGCCGTTACGATGGCAGGTAGGAGGTGAGATTGCAGGCGTGGTGGCTGGGGATGACACTCCCATTGCCCTGACTCAATATACAAAGCCGGGTAGGCGTTCTTCGCACCTCATCACTCTACGCGCAAGCATTAGGAACTATCGCATGGCTCTTTAATACATCAGGTTAGGAGAGCTCCAATAAAGAGTGGGCACGACGATGCTACGAGCCTGCTACATGTAGCAGACTTGCTCATTCGAAAACATATCCCCTAGGCTACGACACAGCTCGCCGAACTTGTCGATATCATCGCCTATTACTCCATGTGGGAATTACTGGTGATAGCGTAACTAGAGCAGATGGCCTGTGCACTATGGACATCGTGGTTGCATCTGCTGCATCATACAAGCAGAGATCGTACTCTTCCTAATATTGATCCTACAAAACGTAACGGAAGTTCTTGTTCTCGAACTCCGTCTGATCTTGCATACCGGCCTCATTACTCGCTGACTTGTCAGCAGGCCCGTATGTCTTGTCACGCCTGCGGTTCGACATGTACATATAGACTGCATACCGTCAGCTTCGTCCCGATCAATGTTACGTTCCTTGTCTCGAGACTTACCAAGCAACAAGAAGTGACAAGCCAACTTGATTGCGTAACCGACCAATAAGCCGATGGTTGCTCCTTCATATCTTGGAGCCTGTGATGGCTTGACCACAAAAGGACCAGCGAAATTGCCCCAGCAGTAGGCAGTACTGTTTCGAATGTCAGCACCGGAATGCTTCACAGCGACGCTGCGAAGACTTACAAGACAAGGCCACTAGCCATGGCACGATGTGTATAGCCGCCCATATTCGAGGAGATGGTGACAAGAGAGATGGTAAAGCCAACACTCTGGGCATTGACAAGCCAAAAGCTTACCAGCCTGCCCCAGGTGTTGCTGCGTGGCAGATATGCCATACATGCAGCAGCAATGGTACAAAGCAGATTGGCAGTAGTAGCGGTCAACAAACGAGAGTTTGGTACGTTGAGCGTGATGGCACCGCCGATGATTAGCGCTATGACTTGGACCGCGTCACCAACAGACTTGAGCTCCGTGGTTCTTGTGGTCGAGAAGCCCATGTCCTTTATGATGATGGTTGAGAATGAGTTGACCACACCATTCGGGATAGCTGCTGCGAAGACTGCAATGAAGACCAATATTGTCTTCAGGTCGTACAGCGACAGCATGGCTTGCCTTCTGTTGAAAGCTTTATTTTTGATACCAGTCTCGTTAGCGGATACACGCTTGACGGCAACTAGCTTTTCGCGGTCGTTGAGGAAGCCGGCGTTTGAAGGAGCATCAGGTAGGGCGAAGTAGATGAAAAATGCCCACAGGCACGTTGCACCACCAAGGATGAAGAAGATCAGCTCCCACCACTCAGGCTTCATGTTGGGATTGAGCTTCGAGATGCCCATGGAAATGTAGGACCCAATAATGCCAGCCACGCCTAGCGAGGAATACCAAATGCACTGGCGGAGTGGAATCTCGTTACGCGTGTACCAGAAGCCAGTCATAAGCGTGAGGCCGGGAGTCACGGCCGCCTCGAAGATGCCCATGAAAAACCTTACGGCCAGAGCACTTCCGAAGCTTCGACACTGTGTCATGATGAGAACCATGATACCCCAGAGGAGACAAGAGACTGCGAGCACTCGCTGGGCCGGGAAGCGTCCGATCAACCATCCGCAAGGATACTGGCCGAGGAAATAGCCAACATACACCATCGCGGACAAATAATTGAACTGCAGTCCTTTGAGACCCAAGGCCTTCTGGTATCCGAAAAGGTTTGCATAGTTCAGCGCTGTCTTGTCGAGAAATTGTAGACCTTGGGTGATAAAGAATATCGGCAGTATGATGAGATCGATCTTCAAGCGCAATTTGCGATTCTAAGAGTTCTCAGCTGAAGCCTCAGAGGAGCTTTCGTCGACGTAAAGCGTACCTCACGGTTTGAGACCTCGATGTCAAGGGCTTCCCGATATTGCTTGTAACCAACAGCTTGGTCCTGAGATGTTGTCAGCAAGTACGTCGCAAGACCGAGGTCTGATATGAGTACCTCTTGTATGGTATCGAGCTTTGCAAGATCTTGCTCGTGAGCGGGCTTCTCATAGGTACTCGAATCCTCTGTGCGACGAGATTCGACGTGGCTAAGATCCATCCTTGGGTTCATTTTTCAGCTTGGTAAGAGAACGAGCATTATGTCAAACTGGAGGGCAGGGTGCGGCTTACTTCTATCAATCCTGATTATCTCATGTCTAGGTGAGTGCCCCATGGGGATCTGGTGAGACCGCGGAGACTTGATCCACGCTACCTGCAATCACCGAAACGCCGGACGCCATCCATCGACGTTTGTGAACCTCCGAGCTTCGATATCTTGGAATCCAATACGAGTCATGGTACAAGAGCAGTTCAGGCTCTTCCAAATACATCCAAAGACTGCTGTTAGAGGAAGCCAAGAAGAATGATCGACAGGAAATCGTGTCTGCTATTTCCATAATATCATCACGACGATGAGCAATGAAGGACAGTTCTTGGCCAAGCCGTCCGGCGAGTGTTGCATGAAAGGCACAATCCACGAAGGCCATCCTCGAGGGACTTATGAGAGCATTGCAAGCGTCAACACATACGTTGCCCGCCCGGATCCGAGCAAAGCCAATGGAAACATTGTGCTCTACTTCCCAGATGTGTGGGGACATTTCACCAACGGTCTCCTGATCGTCGATGGCTTTGCAGATGCTGGATACTTAACTCTTGCCCTCGACTACTTTCGTGACGATCCTGTGTGGAAGCACCGGAAGAATCGCAAAGACAGGTCCGACCCCACCTTCGACTATGAGGCCTGGAAGGTGAAGCATACGACGTATGCCGACGAGTATGTCCCAAAATGGGTTGGTGTAGTCAAGGAGAAGTACGGTTGTCCAGAAACCAAGTTCGCTTGCGTAGGGTGAGTGACAGTTGGAAGAAGAGCACTCAGATCGATCGCTGATTCCTCTGTAGCTATTGCTTCGGGGCACCATATGTGTGCAACGAACTCGCGAAGACCACAGTGGTAGCTGGAGCGTTCGCTCATCCCGCATTCTTGAAGGATGACCACTTCGCGAATCTACAGAGTACGTTGATAACCGAACGGAGGATCCAGGTTCTAGCTGACCGCACCTGGCGAGTTAGAGCCATTGTTCCTGTCATGCTCAGAAATCGATCATACCTTTGAAACCGCATCTCGGCGCAAAGCACTCGATATCATGCAAGAAGCAAAGAAGACCTATCAGCTACAGCTCTTCTCCGGCGTGGAGCATGGTTTCGCCCTCAGAGGAGATCTGGACGACCCGTACCAAAGTAGGTCGAAAGCCCCTGGCTGTAAGTCGTATACTGATCGTTGCTCGTTGCTTGCAGGATATGTTAAGGAGCAGTCATTGCAAGGAATCGTCCAGTGGTTCGACTACTGGCTTTCTACATGAGCCTGCATGAGCCCGTCTGGTGAGAGATCTGTTAATCACAGTATCTTGATCAAAGCTTAACATACTTTTGCCTGCCAGTTAGTCTCTCGTGTAGGCTTACATATACTTCCTCTGTCCGTCTGACCCCGACGGGTCCCCCTCAATAAACAATACGTAGTGCAGTGTACTACATCTTGCTCTCGGTGTTTCTCATTCTCTTTCGGGCTTTCGGAGACCCCGGATTCACTTAGTGCTTTCCGCCACCAAAAGCTTCCTGATGGGAAGTGTCCTTCGCCGGACAACCCCGAGGTCAAGAGCCGTCCAGAGCATGGGTCAACATGCACATAAGGCGTCGAACAGCTTGGGCATTGCGCCGAACGGATATCCGAGTAGCTGTGTAGCAAAGTAACATAAGAACAGACGATCGAATCAAATACCAAGTAACGATATTGACGAGCATTATGCACTCACAAAGAGCTTTCCAGCTGGACGGCGAAGTGGCGTTGGTCACTGGCGCCGGGTCTCGATTACCAGGTATGCGTATCGCGACACTCTAATATGACATAATAAGCTAAAGCGGTTCTATTGTAGGTGAAATCGGCAACGGTCGTGCTACAGCTATCGTGCTCGCAAGGCAAGGTGCCAAGGTGGCTCTAATAGACTACAATATCGAATGGGCCCAGGAGACGAAGCGCATGATTGACGAGGAGGGTGGCGTATCAGAAATCATCCACGCGGACGTCACTGACGAGGAGTCTTGCCGCAATGCTGTAGCGAAGACCGTTGAACTTTTCGGAACGTTGAACATTCTGGTGAACATCGGTAAGTGCTCATGATGAGTTCGTCGATGAAAGGGACTCCACGCTGATCAACGACAGTTGGCGTTGGTGGTGCTATGGGTGATGCAACGACTCTTGATCTGGCAAGCTGGGAAAGGGACTTCCGCATAAATGTGACGAGTATGGTCCTGATGGCTCGCCATGCCATACCAGAAATGCGCAAGACTGGTCGCGGAGCGATTGTCAACTTGTCCTCGGTCAGTGGCTGTAAGTACCCACCGTCAAGAGCTTATCGCTGTCAATGCTGATGTTGCCAGTACTGGGCGGAAACCCCAGCTTGCTGTACCCAACTACCAAGGGTGCCATCATTCAGATGACTCGTGCTATGGCTGCACAACATGGAAAAGAGGGTATCACTGTCAATTGCGTTGCTCCAGGAATGGTCTTCACCCCAATGGTAATGGGCAGAGGTATGACCGACAAGCTTCGACAAGCTCGGATCAATCAAAACCTACTTAAGAAGGAGGGAACTGGCTGGGATGTCGGCCATGGTGAGATCAGCAACGAGTTATTGTGCGTGAACAGTATGCTAACATCCGTCTTCAGCAATTCTGTTCTTGTGCACGAAAGAAGCACGATGGATAACTGGTCTGATCATGCCCGTAGATGGTGGCGTAAGTCTTCATCCACAGTCGAACTTTGATCAGGCTGACTTATTATATCAGACCACTGCTGGCAAGGCAGATCGACCAGCGCTCAAAGCAGATGTCTTGGCACAAGACATGACTGGCATTCCAAACGGAAGTGACGGCGTTCACTGATCTGATGACCTGCCACTGGGGTCCGTCCGACTTCTAGTACTGTAGAATGAGTTCCATCTCGCCCTGCCAGGCACCTTCTCCAGTAAAGGCCTCCAATCCAGTGATGCTGACGGTCTCGTTGAGATGGCTGAGGACCACAGCTCCGACTTCGCATTCCTGGCCCGCAATCGTCAAGGACAATCCGCAGGGTGCCTTGCCCACACCAGCGATAGTGATGTTTGCCAATGGTGGGGTAGAATGGTACGTGCCATTGATTGACGTCTTGAGACAGGAGTCACTGTACGAAAACTGTCACGGCTGTTAGCTTAGCTGGGTGGAAGGATATAGAATGACACTCACTGTCACGATCTTGGTAGCGTTTGGAACCAGGCTATATCCGTCATCAAGGTAGAGATCGCCACTTGCTGCACCTTGACCATCGAGCGCCACGAGGATACTGTAGGAAGAATTCCTGGTCGCCGTTGTCGTCAACGTCGGCTCTTGCAATGGCAAGATAGCTCCACCTCGGACATGGACGTTGATGTGTTCCAGTGGTGCGCTCATAGTAACGTTCTCCTGTGGTTGTACCCCAGTCACCTCGTCTAAAGTATACCAGTCGTACCATCGCGTGCCTTGGCCAATACCCGGGAAGACGCCCTTGACGTAGTCAACATTCGGCTCCAGAACAGGAGTGACCAGGAGTGATGGACCGAGCAAGAATTGGGCATATGTGCCGGCCAGCGTCTGGTCCTCAGGAAATTCCCAAGCTAGAGCCCTCATGACGGTGTCGCCGCTGGTGTGGGCGTGGTAGAAGAGCGTGTACATGTAGTTCAACAGCGAATAACGGACACTCATAGCACGGCGCGAGGCTTCAGCCACGCTCGACCATCTGTAGGCTTCTTGACTGATGGCGGCCTTGACGTTCTGCAAGGATGGGTTAGAATGAATCGGTCTTCCATGGCAGAACCTTCACAACTTACATGATTACGGTAGAAGGGGAAGAAGGCGCTCAACTCCATCCATCGGGAGCATAGCTCGTAATCAGTGTTATGCGCAAAGCCGCAAGTATCAGCACCGAACATTGGAATGCCGGCCATCATCATGGTAAAAGCTTGGGAAATGGACAGGAACATCGAGCCCCATGTGCTGGTATTGTCGCCACCCCAGTGAGACGTTGTGCGACCTGAACTTGCGAAGGTACTGCGGCCGACGGTGAAAGGGCGGCGACCAGGGAAGATTTCGAGTAGTGCGTTGTAGGTTGCATTAGAAATCTGAAGGCCAAATAGGTTATGCATTTCGTACTCGGTCGTGTTTGAGGGATCGTTGTGGGTCGCAGTCGGCGCAATGGCGCCCTTGACCAGGGCATGTCCTGCTTGCCTGCGAAATGTGTTAGTGCGATAGTTCTTGCTCCCCTGGCAGCTCACTTCACGATACTTACACATTGTTTATGACATACGGCGGGAAATCGAGGTTCCGAACACCAGGCGTAGGTGTGGTACGTCCTTGTGTTGTTGTCGTAGCGGCAGGCAGCGGCGGATTCGCAGATACCGCAGACGCCTGTGATGAGGCCGCTGAGGCAGCCAAGGATGCTTCGGTAGCATTTGACACATTGAACCCTTCGGGATAGTTGTAGTCGAAGGTCAAGACATCTCCGGGCAAGGTGAATGGCGGATGGACGGGGTTCTCGGTTGTGCGGCCGTTGCCACATGACCCAACACAGAAAGATGAAGCTTCGCTAAGGTCAATCCAGATACCGTCGAAGGGAATGATCTCGTGATACGACGATGTTTCGTTTGTCCACCATTGTTGTGAGGTGGGAACAAGCCAGTCGGCCCAGACACTGAACCCGGGCCACCCGTCTGGATCGATCGTTGTTAGCACAGTTCCCCGCCTTTCAGTGTAGATCTGTTTCCATTCTGCTTACCTCCAATGTAAAACTGACCAGTGGACGGGTCGCGAATGTAGGTGCCCAGAGCAGCTCCTCGCGAGTATGGCGGATATGCATCACTAGCATTGTTCGGGTCGGGTACGTAGATGTTACTGTCAATGATAGGGACATAGTACATGTTATTGGCATGCAGAGACTCAATCCAAGCCCTGAACGGACCTGCCGGAAATGTGAGTGAAGCGTCTGTGAAGTCCTGGTAGTTATCGTAGATATCGAGATCGTTCCACAGACATTCGAGCGGGATATTGGCATCTTTGTAGCCCTGAACAACGCCCTCCATGATGGAGATGTTCTGATAGCCCCAGCGAAGTTGATGGAATCCATAAGTCCAGAATTGTTGCATTGCTGGTGTTCCGACGCAGCCGGTCTGATATTGAGTAATGGTTTGGAGTGCGGATGAGCTACCGTCAGACTTTTGGCCAGATAAGAAGTACATGTCGAAGCTGCCACCGAGGGTTCGGTAGGTAACACTCTCGTCCCGTAGGAGCCATTCCTGTCCGTGGGCGTTGCGTGCATAGACACCGTGGGATGTGGTTGGAGCGCCGTTGTGGTAGCGTGTCTCTTGATAAAACGGATGAGTTCCGTAAGAGTTGTAGTCAATGGAGTTGCCGGCATCGACAGCGTAGAACGTCTGAGTGTAGTTGTCGCCGAGAAGGAAGTCGTGCGCGTTCTCTGCTAGGCCATATATCGTGTAATTCTGAGACGATGTCAGTTGACGCTATGGAGCTGTGCTTTCGTTCGGTGAAAGCATACCTTGACCATACTGGTCTTGATCTCGATGAACTGATCCTCGTAGACCATAACGTTGCCGTACGTCGAGAACAAAACCTCACCATCAGACGAACGGGAGACTTCGAATTGGAAGCTTGGGTCGTTGCTCCACTTCAGGGTGAGATCGCTGCTGGAGGCACTGGTCTTGCCGTCCCATTGTGGCTGCGGCACCAGGTCTGGTGAAAGAGTATACCGCGTGATGTTCGATTCACTCAGATATTTAGGATAGACCTTCAGATTGAGGCGCTCCTTGGTTTGGTATACAACCTCGAGCACAAGATCCGCAATGTCATTGCCGAAAGCTGCACAGTCCGCTCCGGCAATCGTAAGGTCTGCTGTGAAACCAGATGAGGTATTGGTCAAGCCGCTAGCTTTATATCCCGGGCATCTCTGTGGATCAGGAGCAGAGTTGTCGTAGATTGTCGGTGTCAAGCTAGGAGCCGCATCGATTTGAGGCAACAGTGTGGACAAGGGCGGATTCGTCGTGCTACTTTGAGCTGGGCATGGTCAATGTTATTGCAGAGAACAGAGCCATGTAAGGCTTACCAAAAGCCAGTGGCATTGCCAGCAACGTCAGAGCTAAAGTGGAATACATGATGGAAAATCCGATGCCCAACGATCAACCTCGGATGGAAAGGGTATCTGTAGTTAACACGCGGTCTCATGATATACATACGTTCTGTTTACATTGTGTGCCTGGTTCCTGGGAGCCTCCAATGCCCATTAGCTTTACGTCGATGGCGGCTTAGAAGAGGGGGCGGTACAGCAGGAGTACCTCATGGAGCATATCTCGGAGCGACTTGCTTTGATATTTGCGGGCAATCGACGCTGTACCTGCATACAGCTAATCCCGCGAGGCAATTATGACGATGATACAGAGTATATTACAGTCTTCGGGCCTTCTGCCCCAGCCTGTCTACCCCACACGTCTCCGTGGAACAACCTCATTTGAGAGGGCACGATTCGTCGATGACGATCATGGGCCAAAGCTTGATGACATAAGTGCTGGCAGCCTATACTCCGCTGACCAGAGGTTATACATGCTGTCTACATCCCATAACCAGTCTGCCATCGTCGAGACATGTGTTGAGCTTGCTTGGTCTGAGTTTCTCAAGTTCTACTGCTTAGTGGCTATGCCTGAGACTCTAAGGCTTGCTGCCTGTGATGTTGTAGTTTTCGTCTGGAGGATTTAAGGCACCACAGCCTCCAAGAATTGAGCAGAAGAGACATAACATTCGAGCCTCTCCTCCCCAGAATCCTCCTCTAGAGATGTTGCTACTGAGAATCTTCTCGCTGCTGCTGACAGTGCTCTCCAGGGCAGCAGTCGCCTCCGTCACGCAGGTTGAAAGCGCCGTCGTCATGCCAGAAGATACAGATGAACCATTAATACCATCAGGAGCGAACGAGAAGCCACCGAGCGGGATTACTCCCCTGGAGGTTCCGATATACTGTCTGACAAAACTCACCACAGCCGAGAAGGAAACGTATCGATCGGCCATTACTAGAAGTGGAGATTTCGACAGGGTCTTCCCGAAATTCAAGCTGTGGACTCGAGACGACAAGGGCAATCTCCACGACATGTATCGCATTTGGCGTGAGACAGGTGGTGAAGAAAGCCCATGTCACTTCGCGCTCTTCATCGATCGGACTGGCGTGGCGAATAGCACAATGCTAGCTGCCCAACCTTGCGCATATACCATGCTATTCAGCCCTGAAGCAAGCGACTGGGCACGCGAGAATCTGACATCGTACCTAAACCATGTGGATCCTTCGGGGAACAGTTCACACCAAGTTGAACAGGAAGGGGGACAGTATGAAGGGTATATGGAAGACCTCGTCGATGATATCCTCGGCAAGCGCGGGTTGACGTACGGACGCGTCCCGGCCGGTGCTCTTCGAAGCATGTGGGCCAATCTGGATATTGCCAATATGGATTTCTTGGAGCTAGTGGAATACGAGGGCCGAGATTTGCAGGATGGTGGGAAAGTGGAGTTGCTGGAAGATCCTGAATTTGACACTCATGCTGTAATGGCGAAGCTGTGGGCCATAGATTTGGAAGAGAAAGCAAAGGAGAGAGCAAAGGCTAATGAGGTACCTAGCAGGTTGTGAATGAGTATTTGCAAGGTATCCGTCGTGATTACAGAACGAAGGCATGAAAAAGTTGACACCAAAAGAAACAATGTCGTCTGAGTGGGAAAGAACGACGAGACCACATTCGCTCTACCTGAAGCCTTCCGTGCTTTGTTTTCGCCAATGAGTCCGCAAATCTACCAAAGTCATGGGTTTGCGCCTTGGCCTCTCCACTCGTCCTACAATGCCCTGCAGCCTAAGCTTTTTCGCCTGACGTCCCCTCGCGCCTGTGGATCTTGTCTTGTATGCCTGACCACCGTCGTCACTGCAATGCCGCTGGAGGTGGGCAGGAATATCGTCCAGGGCATGAAACGGGTGAGCTGTTGTCGACATTGTTTCCGTCGCGCTCGACACTTCTGTGGATCCACTAAGCCTTTTCGACTTGGCTCCACGTTCTAGACTAATACCATGCGCTGAGCGGGTCGTGCTGAGTGGCAATTCCCATCATCAAACATTACTGGACAACCGTCCATCAGATTCGCCCCGCCTTGATGGGTGCAACAGCGGACCAACAGATAGACCTTCGTACTCGTCGTAGCAATCGACATACACCTCACATCTCATGCCCTCCTTCCCCCTGTCGTCTCGACCTGGGCTTCTCTCCACTGACGATAGCCTTGAAGCCTTCTCCAATCGTGACGATGATGATCGCGATCATGTACTGAACCAACTGGACCACCCATTTTCCTGGTCCCCAAAGATCCTTGTTAGGAACTTGACCAGAGGCGCGAATCAGGCGCTGCAGGTGATTGTGCTGAGTGGGTGCGGCGTTTGGCATTATGTGGTAATGTGGAATTGGTGGTGTAGATGATACGCTTACCAAATATCTAGAGGGATGAGAAGCGAGTATATACCAGCACTGCTACACAGCCTCAATGCTCATTGCTCTATGCGCTTTGCCTTCCATCGACGTCCGAAGCAATAGGAAGTCTGTAGTGAGGTCATCGTCAGCAGGGGTCACGTCCTCGGAAGTGCATGGTCCGAGAGAGCCGCATCGTTGTGTAATAAGCCCCTTCCTCTGCTACATGATCTTTTGGACCACGAATCACGGTGTGCTTGGTATAACTCCGTGTGACAGAAAGCACGCCGCGATGTCGTTTCCTGCTCGGCAGTCTCCTCTGGTCAAGAGCGGCTATTGCGGTCCTCGTTCGTCAACTGCCCGATCACTGGACAGCTTCTATGCCGAGCTCGGCGTTAGATATCTGCTTCCACCTTCTTCATTGAGACAGCTGTGTACCAGTGTTATCCCATTGCTGTGCACCGGTACGTAATCGCTGGCGAGTAAGTGAACATTATCACGACTGCCGGTAGGTACGAGATGAAAGAGTACCAATGCCATCAATTACCAACTTGGCATATAATCAATTCCTTCCGCAGCAAACGCTATTCAGTCTTCCCTTGCTCCTAGCCTTTCCATCTACTACACCTCGTTCGGCTCACCACGCTGTACTCACCACTACTGCTTGAGCAAACCCCCAACATGCCTCTCCATACCTCCGCCATTCAGCCTGGCGAATCAGAGTTCCTCACCTTCCCATCCCGTCGCTCGGTCGTCCACAGCACAAAGGGCATAGTCGCCAGCACCCAACCACTGGCCTCACAATGCGGCCTCGAGATACTACGAAAAGGCGGCAATTGTGCTGATGCTGCCGTAGCCGTGGCTGCAGGCCTCAACATGACTGAGCCCGGATCCACAGGCATTGGCGGCGACATGTTCTGCTTGTTCTACGATGCTAAGACAAAGAAAGTGCATAGTCTGAACGGCAGTGGCAGAGGAGGAAAGGAATGGACTTTGGAGGGTGTTAGGAAGGATCTGGGACTCAAAGATGGAGAGTATGGGCAGATTCCTATGGATAGTGTACATGCTGTAACCGTGCCTGGTGCCGCAGCAGGCTGGGTAGATACGGTTGAGAAGTTCGGAAGTGGTAAGGTCAGTATGGAGGAGATTCTGGAGCCCGCAGCGAGGCTGGGTGAGGAGGGTTTTCCTGTCAGTGAGCTCATGGCTACTTGGGTAAGTGAAGAGACCTGTCATGGAGTTGAATATCTTTGCTGATAATCCTGTAGTGGGGCAAGTCAGAAGCTCTGATTCGAAGAGCGTCTCCAAATGGTGCTGAGATGCTAAAGAAGGACCCGAAAGGCAAAGATGGCTGTCGTGCGCCAAAAGTGGGTGAGATCATGAAGAATCCAACTCTAGCCAACACTTTTCGACTGGTTGGCAAACAGAAAAAAGCAGGGTTCTACTCTGGCAAAGTCGCGGAAGCGCTCGTGAAGGTCGTACAAGATCTGGGAGGTCATCTCACGTTAGAAGATCTCAAAAACCATGCAGAGATCGGTACAGAAGAGACCGAAGCCATCAGTCTGAAGTTCAAAAGCCAAGATCTTGCCAAGCGTCACGGCGAGCACATGCACGACAGCAGCTCACAAGGGGTGGAAGTCTGGGAGCATCCCCCGAACGGTCAAGGTATTGTTGCATTGATGGCCCTAGGCATTATTGAACAGCTGGAGCAGAACGGCAAGATCCCCAAATTCACTCGCAAAGACCACAATAGCGCCGCCTACCTACATGTGATAGTCGAAGCCCTCCGGATTTCCTTCGCAGACGCGAATTGGTGGGTAGCAGATCCTAACGTCTCGAGCGTTCCCACAAAAGACCTCATCAGCCCGGAATACCTTGCTGAGCGAGCAAAAATCTTTGACCCAAAGAAGGCCTCGGAGACATCTTCGCACGGCAGTCCCGCCCACAATCACAGCGATACCGTCTACTTCGCTGCGACAGACAGTGCAGGCAACGGCATCTCCTTCATCAACAGCAATTACGGCGGTTTCGGAACTTGCATCATTCCCAGAGGATGCGGATTCACTCTCCAAAATCGCGGAGCAAACTTCGTGCTGCAGCCGCCAGATCATCCAAACATCCTTGCTGCTGGGAAGAGACCGTACCATACGATTATCCCGGCTCTGGTGACGAACGTCAGTGATCAGAGTTTGCACTCGGTATACGGAGTCATGGGCGGATTCATGCAACCACAGGGACATGTACAGGTCCTACTTAACCAAGCCGTGTTCGGTCTCACCCCCCAAGCAGCGCTCGATGCGCCACGTGTTTGTATTGGAGCTGGCATGCCGGATGCTGGAGACGTCTTTGACAAGACTGTCTATCTCGAGGAAGGCATTAGTGATGAGGCGGTGGAGGGTATGCGCAAGCTGGGACACAAAGTGGAGGTTGTCAAAGGTGAGGCAAGGGGTTTGTTCGGACGAGGCCAGATTATTAGATGGCATGTTGATCCTGTGGAAAGCACGGGAGTGTGGAGCGCGGGCAGCGATCCTCGAGCTGATGGCGCTGCTGTACCGCAGTAAAGACATTACGTTTGTCACTAGACATGAAGTCGAACATGCCTGCTGCAACTCAACCTACAGCACAATCAAAATATTCTGCCACGTCTTCATTTGCCGCAACTGCTCTGGGCCTCACTCTATACATACACTAATCTTCATCTTTACATATGGACAACCAAATCGCCAACCGAGCTATACATCCAACACATAACCAAGAAGATCATTGTACATGCGGAAGCCAACATCAACGTCGGCCGGCTAGTCATGGCATATTCAGCCAGCTCTTCTTAGCCTTATTAAAGAATCCCTTCTTCCTCCCCTGACCTGCCAAACTATCCTGCTCAACCTTCTTCTGCACTTTCGCAGCATCTTTGGGGTTCAGCTTACTCTGCCTATTGATATTCGGCGCAGGTGCGCCATCGTCGTCAGCATTCGCGCCGGGCCCTTGTTTACCATCTGGCGCGCTGTTCTTGAAGAAGTCGGCCAGCTCCTTAGTATTCGAGTCCTTGGAGAAGGCCCCGAAACGTGTGGCGTCCTTGCTACCGTCACCAGGGGATTTGGCTTCCATTTTTGGGCGAGGGATACTGCTCATGGTTGCGCTGGAACCGGGACGACCGTTTTGGGAGCCTGGCCGTGGCCCGCCGTTGCTCTGCGCAGATCGGGTGCGACCGTCACCACCATTCGCAGCGTTACGAAGACTGTTGATACTGCCCGTCCGTGGTTTGTTAAGCAAGGTGCGAGCTTGCGCGTTGTTGCCAGTTACTATTGGGCGAGGTGCATTATCCGTCGGTGGCTCGTTATTATTCAAGAAGTCCATCAGACTCTCCTCCTGGCGCTTGTTCTTGGGAAGAGCGGTCAGGAGATCATCGTCTTCGTCATCCATGTCGATGGCGTATGGGTCCTTGTTTCGCATGCGCTTTCGTGAACCTGGTAAAGCTTCGACAGCGGGTGCAGTAGCTGATTTGGGCGTGGTTGCAGCGCTCGAGAGGTGCTGTGGCTGACCGCTGTGTGCCGGGTGCACGGTTTGAGCTGCATTACTCTCACCCGGATGTCTACCTGAACGATGACTCTTCGCGCCAGCGCTCTTCGGTGCTGGACCGCTGGGTCCGACATTCGTGTCCAGTTTCAGACCCTGCGGTCTGCTACTGGTAGCATTGAGCTGCTCTCCCATGGGCTGCAATTGATCCGAGTCCATAGTATTGCGGAACGGCGCCACAGATCGTGATATGCGGTGCTCCCCATCCTGGCTGGGGCCAGTGCGGATGAAGTCAATAAGCTCGCTATTGGGTTCGCCATTGCTGGTCGCTGCACGAGCTTGCAGGGTCGATTTGCTGGGCTTGCTCGACACCGCAGGCATGATTGGGACCGGCGGCACGTTCTCGGACTGCATCGTCGCCTTGGTCATGCTACGAGTGCGGTCCTGGCTCGCCACAGAAGAGGCCCGAGAGCCTGCACCGTTGATATGAGCTGAACGAAGCGAATGTAATGAGGTCGTCGACATTGCCGCTGGGTTGAGGATGGGCTTTACATCTTGTTCTCGAGACGGGCCAGTAGACCGGATGAAATCTGCAAAGTCCTGAGTTGACTCTGTCTGTACTCGTGGCTCGCGAGCCATGAGACCACTTCTGCGGTGCGCACTGATATTCCGTGGCGGGGGTTTGCTGACCGACCGACGCTTTCGGTCCCGGGCAGCACGTTCGTCGTCAGTATATCGATCAGCTGGTATGGCTGCAGTCGCCTGTTTGACGGTAGAGCTGCGGCCCGTTCGAACATCCCGCTCGCCTTCCTCGTTATCGGGATTTGTGGGTCTTCGTCTCGATACAGAAGGAGCGCTTGACAGCTCGACTGGCGCAGTTTGCACCTGCATGAAGTTAACATCTTTTCTTGCTAGCAGTCCACATACCGCGTCACTTACAGGTAGATCGCGCACTGTCTCAGGGGTCAATGTGTATTTGACAGTCTCTACACCTTGCACAAACATGTCAAAGTCCTCGGGTCCACGAATGGACGCGCTGGTCAGCGACCTTTCCGGCTGCTCGGCTGCCGACTCGATCTTGTGCTGATTGCGCTTTAAGCTGGCCATACGCTGAACCACAGGATGCTCCTGGACTTGCAGAGGCTCCATGGGCACGCTTTTGTGCACGAATGGCATGGAGGGCACGGCAGGCACCGAAAGTGGTCGTCCACCCATCTGGCTGTCGCGCTGTGCCTGTATTGCGGCACTCCATGACTGACGATGAGGATTGCGTTCACTAATTGGAGTTGCGGATGCGCTGGACAATGCAATTCCCGGTATGCTGCGACGCTTATGTGGTTGCCTCGGAGCACGATCCTGTTCGATAAGTGGTGGCTGGCTGATTCTGCGAGCCTGCGACCTCTGAGAAGGTAGGCCTGACAAGCCGCTCTCCGTGACCGCATTGTGCGAGAAGTTAGGTGAATATCTCTTGACTGAAGGACTCTCTACGAGGCCACGATCCACACTCGGCTTTGGTGGAGTACCAGGCAGAACCAAACGCTCGGGTCGAGGGTTCGCCCAGTCACCCCTTGCTTGCTGCTGCATGAGTCCGCCAGCTGGCAAGACGAAATCTTCCTGCATGGAGTTATTGATATGTTGACGCTTCGCCGGGGATTGCTGGGGTAGATTCTGGCCATTGTTGAGGTTGTAGGACGTCCTGGACTCGTCTGAGCTGGTCCTTCCTAGTTGTGGTGGCGTTTCCGCACGACGACGAGCGCTGACCTGTCCGGTGGCCAGTAACGATTTCATGTCCATCAAGCTCTTGTTGTTCTCGAACTCCGCACAACTCATATCGCGGGTAGATCGACTGGAAGCTGCGCTTGGCGCGGCGTCTCTAGCACGTTGCTCACTTGTCGCTGTCTGTGGCCGACTCTCGTTTACAGGAGATGCTTGGTCACCGCTCTTCCTGCTGTACACCAATGCGGCCGCACCAGCAGCAGCCGCAGAGGCAGCCGCGACTGCACCGCCAATCAAGCCATGATGCTCGCTCTTCTCGTGCTGCGCATCAGTCTCTTCTGGTGGAGCACCGTCGATGACCTTGTCGAAAAGCTCTTTCGCGCCCACAGAGTAACGCTTGAGCGGAGTCATTGCGGTTGCGTCAGCTTTCTGCTGGTCACGCTCATCCTCGACGTTTGTAGACTTCGCGATATCCCCCTCATGGGCTGCTTTGGCCTCTGCAACAGGCTCCTCCTCAATGGGAAATGCACCAGGAAGATCCATGGAGAGGGGCGTTCGTACCGGGGTCGGCACAGAGTTTGATCGTCGTCGAAGCAGAACTGGCTTGTCGCTTGAGATGCCGTCTTCTGGGCTCGAGTCGTTGGGTGTCGGCAGCCCACCGTCCATTCGATATGCCTTTGGCAGCGTGAAGCTGTTTCGGCGTATCGCCGAGCTTGCTTGACTGTCCTTCGAATGCGCGGTGTCAGGATCATGAGCCAAGCCTGGTACCTCGATTTCGTTCACGTCCCGTCTACGATCAGACATTGGTAGCGGGATGTTGGATGCCAATACGTGCTCTGGGAAGTCCATCTCCGGTACGTCCTCCAACATGATTGGTCTTGTGGGCTCGCCATCAACAGACTCCTCCACACCCTCTACCACACTAGGTGTCCTTCCAAAACTCTCAGAGCTTAAACGTCCCATCGCAGAACGCTGATGAGCCAGAGTGGTGGAATTGCTTCTCAAGAGCTTTCGCCAAGTTCGCCAGATCCTGCCCAGTGTTGGGTTTAGCGCACATTTGTCAACATCGTGCTCCTCGACGATAACAGGGGCCTGCTTCTCTTCAGGCGACATGCTCCGACCGCTGAGTGTCTGACGTCGAACACGAGTGTAGGCCGCGTTGCCTGCTGCCTGCAAGGTCTGCTCGGCGATATACTCCAGCACGCCAGTCAAGAAGATTGCCGCAGCCCAAGACACCAGCCCAGTGGATTGCGAGAAGCGCTTCTCGTTGCCATGGAATAGTTCCTCTTCTTTCACATATCTCTCCTCGTCGTCATCCTCCATCTCTCCTAGCCTCATGTACACCATCACCCTCAATCTTGTCCGCTTCCATACCAGCTCCAGATCCCACTTTCTTCTCTGCTCTGCTGTGTTCTGCTTTCCATTGTTCTCCTCATCCTCGTCGCCTCCTGCGAGCAACTCATGCAGCTCTTCATCGGCACTCCGAATGGCATCGCGCGCCAGTTTCGACTTGAGTACATCGTTCACAGCAGGCTTCAGGGCGAGTAAGCTGGTCGATCGGGCAGTAGAAAGGAAGCTGAACAGTAACTGGTCCAGGAAAGTATTGATCAGAGCCAGAGCAGGCTCCGAGAACTGCAGGTCGTCCTTGTTCGCAGTATCATCCTCATTGTCGCTGGAAGGCGGCAGCGTGGCACCACGATGCTCGATCACCACCTGCTTCGCACCGAACGGAGCAACATATGCCGGCGCCGGGTTGACATTCTGCGGGTTCGCGGAGAAGTAGTTGGCAGTCAGTCCGGAAACAACAGAGAATCGATCGCTGCCCGCGACGGAAGTCGTTCTCGACATGATAGGCGACACCATCACTTCGTGGTCGTTCTCTCCATGCCGGAACGAAGTCAGGAGCGACAACTGACTAGGCGCAGCTCCGATGCTCCGCCTGGAATAATTATACTGAAGTGATGACGAAGTCGCGTGGTGGTCGTAAGGCTGCTGACTTGGATAGGAATACCTGCTTCGAGGCTGCGAGTGAAGATGCGGGTCTTGCTGATGCTGCTGCTGAGCCATCGTCGCAGTAGCGAATGGGGCCGCGCCAGATTGGCCGCCGACCAGGGTTGTTCCTGAGCGCAGTACCGCAGGTGGACACAATCTGTGGAGGCAAGAGTGGACCAATCAAGGGTGCTGAGCTCACCTATGATCCTTGTCCTCCAGTATGATTACGACGATGGCGCGGTATTGGCAGATGGTGGTTTTGCTAAGATATGATACATGAGGAGGAGTTTGTGTTTGTTTCCATTGCAAACTCTATGAGACGACTGACACATCATGGCTGGGTTCTGCGCCGTTTGACTATCATTTCCGCCTTCGGCCCTGTGAACTTTGGTGTTCTGACTTGATGATGTACAGAGCGCAGCTTGAGCTAAGCCTAATTATAGGTTTGAGATAGAGCCCGAGTTTGGGAGACTACTGAGGCTAGAGGTGCATGAATCACGCAGATATATGCAGGCAGGCAGGATATGCAGTAACTTTTGAGTGCACTGGGCGAACGACGACAGTGCTTCCGTTTCACAAACGCCCCCTCTGTGCATGGCAAACGCAAGCACCGGCTCGATCTACACAAATTCCCGCCACGGCCAGCCAAGATCTCACGCTCGTGCTACTGTACCCGTCCTATTTCGGCTGTCGGGTATCACGAAGAGGCAACCAAACGCAAGTCATAAGTCATGTAGACCAGATTTCACCACACCACCACCTGTCCAAGAATGTAAAAGCTGAGACCGCAGCAGTCAGCAATTGGTGGAGCTGCGCCTACGACTTCAGCTATCGAATGCCCGATGACTGCATATTCCGGAACGAGAGTTCGGCTACAGAAGCGTATTTGTAGGATCATCGGCAGTGGCGCGCTGGTGAGGTTTCCAGAAGGAGATCGGGCGAGAAGAAATGTCCGAGCCAAAGGTTAATCTTTTGCTGAGTTGCCTGAGGCAAGAACAATTCATTTCAATCAACAGATGAATTGGCATATTATAGTTGTACTCTAGCGGTCATTGCGACCCAGAGCAACGTCGCCTACACAGTTTGGGTATTGATGACATGGAGATAATCTACTGATAATCGCAATTGCAATGCCGTCTTGATCATCTCCCGCGCCTTGACAGCATCGACCTCGAGATCATGTCTCCAGATTCCCTCAAACGCCGTCTTGACTTTCTGTCGCCAGACGTTGAGTCGTTCGTGCGAGATCGGTGCATCGTCGTATAGGTCCGCCCTGCAGGATTCGAATCAGCACAACATACCAGGCACAAACATTGGAGCCTCCGATCCAAGCCAAGGGCCATGCAACTCGACGACGTAAGAAGATGACAACTAAAACTCACCACAACTCGAAATTCGCCTCACTAGTCTCAAGCACAGCCTGCGACCGTGGCCGTCTGATAGTCTCATACACCCCAAACGCCACCTCAATCCTCTTCTGCATCTCCGTATCAATCGACGCAGCATGTTCGCACGCAGAAATACATCCAAGCACCTCAGACATAACAAACGCATCCTCCATCGCCTGCCCAGCTCCAGCCCCGGCATGCGGCGGCATAGCATGCGCCGCATCGCCTATCAACGCCACGCGCCCTTGCCAAAATCTGTCTGGCTGAACAGCATGATGCCATGCACTCCAGAAGGGTAGGTCCTCGCCTTCCTTCTCGAGAACTAGATCCATTAATCCCTTTGCTGCAGGGCCCCACGAGGTAAAATCCTCCCTCATCTGCTTTCCTTGGCCAGGTAAGAGCCAACTTGCTTCCTCATCCCACTCGCGATCGTTACGCCGAGTCCAGAAACCGATGTTCATAGTCGTGGCGGTGGTGGGGTAATAAATTACATAACCGCCTGGTCCGATAACCGCTTGACTGCTATATGCCCGTTCCTTACCGAGGAGCTTCTCCAGTTGGGCTGTAGGGAGGAGAGCCCGATAGGCGCCTGTATGTGAGAAATGAGGTTGACTAGCCCGGTCCTCGGAGCCGAGAAGAATGTGTCGGATTGTGGAGTGGATGCCATCGCAGGCTATGATCGCACTTGCCACCGCTGTCGTGCCGTCTGAGAAGGACAAAATGACTCCGGAAGAATCTTGGGAGTAAGTGGCGACTTTTTTGTTAAAGACAGCATCTTCCTTCCCAGGCCCTTCGGTCAGTCCAGCCCGCTCTGCAAGCATTTGAAGCAGAAGATTCCGTCCTACAGTCGTATTACCAGTAGGAGGCGCAAATAACGTCTCTACTACCTCGCCGTCTTTGAACTCGCCACTTGGTGCGCCGAGCCGGATATCAAGGTACACATGTTCTTTGCCGGCAGGATTCTGTCTTGCTATCTTGAAGAAAGTTTCCGCGAGATCCTCATCGATTAGTCGTAAAGCAGTGGAGCTATTGGGGCCGACGTTTATGCCTGCTCCGAGTTCGGTGAAAGAGGAGCGAGCTTCGTAGATTTTGAAGGGGATTTTCTTCTTGCGGAGAGCAATGGCTAGGGTGAGAGAGGTGAGGCCGCCGCCTACTAGGGCTACTGCGAAAGGTTCTTGCGATGGCATGGTGGATGAGCAGGAAATGTGAGATAGGATTGAGTGAGGAGATAGTTGGTGGGACTAGGAAAAGTGCTTGACTTATGTGCTGTTCAAGAAGGTGCTTGATGTGAGGGTTCACGATCACATAGGGTGCAGCTGAGATGATATGAAGTGTACCACTTGCCTCAAGCGGCCGTAGATCCGCTGAAGCTCTTCCATAGCACTCGAGCACGCTGGTCATGCATGATCGGATGATGCAGTCTTGCCATCAGTCAGTCAGTATCTGCCCGTGATCGAATAGAGTGATCTGGCTGGTGCATGAGACTTAATGAAAAGAGCGGGGAGTACGATGTTCGAAGGTGCGAGCAGGGCGTACATATAGCAAACATGGCGGATACAACCGCTAGCGGGCGGTTCGTCCGTAGCCAGTGGCAGCAAGCGATGAATGTTTCGCAAGTTTCGCGGAGGAGCTTCGAGCTTGTGGACGTGCGTCAGTAGCAAAGTTGACCCTATGTGGAAGAAGACAATCATATGAAGGATCGAACCAAGTAATCTTTCCTTCCGTCCCATATCATACCATTCCGCGCAGTCGTGATTGAGACATCTCGCCCCGGTTGGCTGCATCACGACAACGCATTGAGTAGCGATGGCTTCAGCGCGTTCCACGACAGCAGCCGTCTCCCAGTCTGCCCAAGACGCTGCACATACAACCTCCATCGCCACATCATCCTTCCTGGACCGCGCCTCGGCCTGGTATCGGGACAACAAGATCGCGGCATGGACGATCGCGGGTGTGACAGTAGTGGTTGCCGGCGGCACAGTCTACTATCTCTCCACATCACCGCGGCCACCGAAAGTATCAGAGCTGGACAAGCAGAGTAAGAGGGAGAGACGGAAAGCGATCAAGAAGGATGTGCCCAAGACAGTGGAGACGGAGGAGAGCAGGGCGGACACTAAAGCTGGCGCGCCTCAGACGGCGAGTGTGACGGAAGAGGCGCCTGAAGAACTGCCACAAGTGACAGAGCAAAGTGTGGGCAGCTTATCAGACCAAGATCGAAATAACTACGCCGCCAAGCTCAAGGCTGCCGGCAACAAAGCCTACGGCAGCAAAGACTACAACAAAGCCATCGACCTCTACGGTCAAGCCATCCTCTGCAAACCCGACCCCGTCTTCTACTCCAACCGCGCCGCCTGCTGGAACGCCATGAGCAACTGGGAGAAAGTGATCGAAGACACCACCGCTGCCATCTCTCTCGACCCGGAATACGTCAAGGCGCTGAACCGACGAGCCAATGCCTATGAGCAGGATGGTCAGTACAGTGAAGCCCTCCTCGACTATACCGCCAGCTGCATCATCGATCAATTCCGCAACGAGTCCTCCGCACAGGCAGTCGAGAGACTACTGAAGAAGGTAGCCGAGACCAAAGCTAAAGCGATTATGGAAGGCAAGGAGAAGAAGCTGCCCAGCCCGACATTCGTATCAAACTACCTCCAGTCCTTCCGCGCTCAACCTCTACCAGCAGGTCTAGAAGAGACGGCCGACTTGGAGGAGAACACTGGAAAGTGGTACATGCGCAAAGGTCTCCAAGCAATCCAACAACGTACAAGCGAAGGCTACGACGAAGCCTCCGCCGCCTTCGACTCCGCCCTCTCATCCGGCAACCTCGAATCCCACGAAGGTCTCGCGTACAATATGCGCGGCACCTTCCGCTACCTTAAAGGCGACAACGACAGCGCCTTGACCGACCTCAACAAATCCCTCGACCTCGACCCGGCATTGGTACAATCCTACGTCAAACGCGCAAGCATGCACCTCGAGCAGAACAAGCGAGATGATGCCGCCAAGGACTTTGAACTAGCCATGGAACATAATGCGAATGACCCGGATATCTTCTACCACCGCGCCCAACTCCACTTTATCCTATCCGAATTCTCGGCGGCAGCGACCGACTACCAGAAATCCATCGATCTCGACCCGGCCTTTATATTCTCGCACATCCAACTCGGAGTCACACAGTACAAGATGGGTTCGATCGCCTCGTCCATGGCGACTTTCAGACGTTGTATCAAGAATTTCGGCGAGAAGAGTGATGTCTATAATTATTACGGAGAGTTATTGCTTGATCAGCAGAAGTATTCGGAAGCGGTGGAGAAGTTCGATACGGCGGTTGAGATGGAGAGGAAGAGTGTTGGGGAGAGAGGAGGTATGAATGTGTTGCCCCTCATCAACAAAGCCCTTGCGCTTTTCCAGTGGAGGCAGGATTTCAGTGCGGCGGAGGAATTGTGCCAGAAAGCGCTGATAAGTATGTTTTCTCCCGACCCTATGCCAAAGTCTTCCTCTTTGATGTTCTTGGCCATCAACTAACACACCCTTTTTCTTCCTTTAGTCGACCCAGAATGCGATATAGCAGTCGCCACCATGGCGCAGCTGCTACTTCAACAAGGCAAGGTTACCCAGGCTCTCGAGTACTTCCAGCGTGCGGCTGAGCTGTCCCGGACGGAAGGTGAGGTGGTGAATGCGCTGTCTTATGCTGAAGCCACACGGACGCAGTTGGATGTGCAGGAGAAGTATCCCCAGCTTGCGGCTAGGTTGCAGGGGATGGGGGCTGCGGGTATGGGTGGGATGAGATAGGGGAGGATGTGTTGGTTGGTCCGATTGCGCACTTGCTGGGAAGGGTGGGAGAAAGCACTTGTGTGTGTAAGTGTGCGAGGAAGGGTTCAGATCTGTTGTATTCATACATGGCGTTCTGTTGTGGCAATTGTGCATATATATCATGGATCCCCCCTCGAGCCTTTCGGCGCGAGCAAGGGGGGTTGTATCATTTGCTCCTCTCAGCCCCTCGGCCACGAAGAATGCAAGGACCCACTATCTGGAGATGGTTATGCTTGATCATATCTGCTTCATGGTAAATAGACGGACGCTCTGTGACAGCAACGAGCACAATGATGATAGCAGGAAGTGGAAGTGGAAGTGGAGGTGGAATGTAGAGTCGTGGATACGGCTAAATCTCGAAAGCTTCGCAACAGCACGAGGATCCTGCTTTCCCTCGCATCGTCAGCTTGGTCAGTCGCAGACGATAGCCCACCCATATATGGCACCCAACACCATGGCCGCCACCAGCCTTGCCGCTACTCCTTACCAGATCGGGCGATCAGGAATCGCATCATAATTCACCTTCTTCAGATCACGCTGCGTAGGCTCCTTCGTAAATACTTCCAAAATCCTAATCAAAGATTGCAAGGTCTTGGTCAGATGTCCGGACACCGGCACGCCGTGGACTTTGGGGAGCAGATTGCGCAATTCCTGCTGGACTCTGCGGGCGTGCCTGGCTTCGTGGATTTGGACGGCGGTTGGGCGCAGCATCTTGCCGCCGTGGTTGCGTTCGATGGCTAGGTCGTACATCCGAATGTCCCAGTCCTTCCCTGGGAGGGCGGGACTGTAGCCTGTGATGGAGGAGCTGAGGCGGGAGGTTTTGGTGCCCTTGGTCTTGAGAGGCGCTCTCTTCGTGATCTTGGGGCTTGGGGTGGAAGCGGCTTGTCTCGCGCTGGTAGTCTTACTTGGGCAGACCTTGGTGGTCTTTGATCTTGTTGTTGGCGCCATGCTTATGATGTGTTTGGATTTGCTTGAGCCTGGATGAGCAGAGGTGGGTTTGAGACGTGTGAAAGGGTTTTAGACTGATCTTGTATTAGGATGTTCTTTGTTCGAAGCCGATATACCGGAAGCAGCCTCGACACGAAACACTGCCTGATGTGGACGATACAGTTAAGCTACGACTGAGAGACACTACGGGCGAGATAACCTTATCAGCACCTTCACTCCTCTTCGCTGCTAGATGAGCCTCTGCCACGCTTGCTCGGTGGCGAGTCCGCATCCTCACCAAACACATCTTCTACATCCTCATCGTCCCTACTGCGCTTGCGCGACCCATCACTGAAGTCGCCATCTTCCGGATCAGCCACATGCTCATGCACCTCCTCATCGTCGTCCACCAACTCCTCATCATCTTTAGCCACCTCCGCTTCCTCCACCTCATCATCAACAGCCTCCGCCTTAGCAATCTTAGACAGCTCATCTCTTGCCTTACCCAACTGATTAACAGCATCAGAGAACACCTCATCGTCATCTCCATTATCCCTCATAACTTGCTCGACGATCTTCATATTAGCCTTGCGATAAGCTTTCGCCCGCTCAATCTCAACCCGCTTCGCCTTAAAACCTGGCACTGGCGCCGGCGACGCCGACTCAGAGATAGCCTTGTAGCCGTTCTTCGGCACCGGTTTACCGCCAGCTGCAATCTTCCTTGTCGGCTTTCTGAAGAGTGGATGACCATCAGCGCCGATTCTCTTAGGTTCGGGCTTCCTGATGGTACGTGAACGATCCGCAGGCTTTTCCTCAACGTAAGGCTCAGACATCGTGGCCTTTTTTATGCCGGGAATCTTGATTTCTTTGTCTGCTTTGGGTGGAGCCGTCGGATCAGGTTCACTGGTCGTGTCTCCTACCTCTGGCGTCTTCTCGCCCTCTTTCTCGGCGTCAACAGTGTCTTCTCCGGCAGCTTCTTCGTCCTCGTGCTCGTCCTCGATGTCTTCGTCTCCAGCTGCCTCCTTCTTGGTGTCGTCGTTGACTTGCAGGCCAATGATAAGCTCGTCTTTCCTGCCACCGACTTTCAACCCGTGAGCCTTGCACTCCGCCTTAAGTTGTGGAACAGTCCAGGTGTTTCGATTTCTCGCGTTGTAGCCTTTCTTGGGCTTAATGACCTTGGCGACGCCTTTCTTGGTAGGAGGGCTTGCTGAGCCCCTGTTAGAAGACATGATTGGCTGGAAGCGTGGCGCTAGTGTGTGAATGAACTTCTGATGATTCTACTGAATACAGGTCCAGAGTACGGTGTGTTTCCGACCACCGTCGCAAAGCATGCTTGCTGCAGTCACTGTAGCTCTTTGTCTGAAAGCACCAGGCAATCGACGAAAGCGGCCACTCTGCTATCTCACATGAGCACAAAGGACTGCAAGAACAATGGTCGATCGGAGTGGTCACAGTGCATGTGCAAGACCGGCGAGAAAAAGACGCAGAGCGATTTATCGTGCCACATGGCGCTGCCATGATATGAAGAGTCACGGTAAACAAAGCGCAGTCGTTGTAGTGGTACATACGTATATTTAAGCCTTCATCGTGCGTGGCGGCGTCCTAGCCTTCTTCTTTGGCGAAGTCAACGATTCAGCATCATCATCGGAGTCCACTACTACGCGCTTGCGGCGATTCGATCTCCTCGGCGGCACTTCTTCCTCGCAGACCTTCTCCTCGTTCTTCTTCTGAGCTTCATCCTCGATCGTCTTGAGAGCCTTGGACGCGACTTGTAGATGCTTCCGAGCAGTGCCGAAAGCCTCGTTGAGCATCTCGTCAGCTATGTCGTCGATATGTGTGCGGAACTTGAAAGCACCATCTCGATCCTCGAACTCAGCGGCGAGCTCAGCTTCGATGTTATCCTTAGCCGTTCGCTTCAAAGCAGTCTTAGGCTTGGTCACTGCCTGCAGAGTCGGGGCGTCTTCCTTGGGCTTCACCTCTTGAGGGCTGGACGTTGTCTTCGATTTGCTTCCTGCCCTCTGAGTGGAAGCTTTCGCCTTTGGCTTCGGCTCATTTGCTTTTGACTTGACAGGTGCTGGAGCATTGGCAGTAGGTTTAGCTGATGTGCCCGTCTTCCGCCGTTTATCAATTTCGGCCACGTCTTCCGTAGCTTCATTTCGTCTTTTTGTTACTTTTGCGGCTGGTGTCTTCTCAGCCACTGTCTTGCCAGCAACTTTTTTGTCCTCGGGACGTTCTTCGGCAGCCTTCGCGGCCGGGCCTCTAGCGGGTGTTCTCGTTCCAGCAGCTCCTCTAGCACGACCTATCCCAGTTTGAGCTTGCGCTCTTACAGCCGCTGCATCGGCCTTCCTTTGCTTAACCTCATGTCGCGCCGCAGCTGCCGTCACTGCATTCTTGTGTTCTCGTAGCAGGCGTTGCTCCCGGCGCTTCTCCGTCTGTGTCAACTGCTTCTCAGGCTCGGGCTCGGGCTCCGATCTAGATCTTGGTGCCGGTGCTCGTGCACTGGCGCTAGTTCTCGTCTTGCCCTGCTGCGGAACTTCGCGAGCCGTCGAACTATTTGCTACAGGTTGCGACACTCGTAGTGGCGTAGAGCCTCTTCCCGACCGTCGTGGTGCTTTGGGACTGTAGTGGTCATTTCCGCGCTTGGGAGCCATATTTGATGGTGAACCGCCGAGACGACCGTTTGCTGGAATTTCGAAGCGGTCTGTCTGCTTAGCACACAGATTGACCGGACCCTTGTTGTCCTTCTCCATAAGATACATCTGCCTTTGATTACTGGCTGCGACACACTATGACAGCCGGAAGCGGAAGTCTTGTCTATCGCCTTTGTCTCTCTCGACCATCGGCTCAAGACGCCTCTGTAGCCTTTACGAACAATGGTATCATGCCACCAGTAGGTAAAGGAAACTTCCTGTGGCCCGTGACCCTCAGTAGACTGGCAATCGTGCCGGAGTGAGCAGTCACTGACAGTACACTGCTACTGTCGTGCGCAAACAGATCATCGAGTAACGCTCTGGTGCGGATGTCATGCTCAGCCCAAGTCTCCCGATGACTAGCCTGCCATAGCTCGTCGTTCTCCGCGAAGCCGTCCTCGATGGTCCATTTAGGTGCGGTTTCGTGTATGACAGTCCTCGTGCTTCGGCGGTCGCAGGTATGTTCGCCCATGACTTCTCGCACGAACTCCTTGATGATAGGTTTGAATGGCTGCTCGCCATGCAGCTTCAGACCACTCCACGTCAAGTCGCAGGTCTGCAGACATCTCGTCAAGGGACTGACATACCATCCTTCTGGCTCCGGCATCTTGGCAAAAGCATATTGTTCTCCGAGGAAAGCACCAGCCTCGCGTGCTTGCTCTTCCCCGACGGCAGTCAGATGAGCGTCAGACCAAGTCACAGTGCCGTTGCCGTCGAGCTTGCTCCAGTATTCGTCCCATGCTTTCGTTCCGTAGAATGCTTCAGCGACGTTATGATCGCCTTCGCCATGACGGCCAAGGTAGAAGAGCTTGTATGTTGTGCCTGTAGGTGCTGTCTCGATCATGTGTTTCAACCGAGCGGAGAATCTTTGCCATTGGGTACGCTTCTCAGCATCCGGAGTGGCAGAATCAGATGGATATGTCCGGTCGATGAGGCCGAAGTTGTGCTTGGAGTAGTCAAATGTGGCAGGATCAGTGGCGGCATCATCCTGCAAGAAGAAGCCTTTGACGGTGGCATAGTCATACAACAAATCTCCAGTACTTCCCATCGTGTCACTTGTAGGTCTAACAGCACCAAGCAGATACCAGATGGCAAGCAGAGAGATGAAGATTGCGGAGCTGTGCAGAAATTAGTAGACTGAAGAGGTCGTCACTTTGACCAGCACATACAGATAAGTGGCGATACGGCGCAGTCCAGTTGTAGATAAGTCTGGCATTGCGCTCAATTGCGGACGCTCATTGTTGCGGTTGTGGAGTAGACCGTTTGTACTGACAGAGTACCAAGGTGGTTGAGAAGTTGTGTAGTACCTTATGGAAGGAACTCGGGCAGTGTCGGAAGACGGCCAGTAGGGAATAGAGCGGATTGCCAATCACGCACATAACCCTAATGGACATGATTTATCTGAGTGAGATATCCAAGCCACTTCCGTGTCTTGTCCTTGGCTACATTTTACATCATCCTAGAAGTATCGTCTTGCTCCGTATTCGATCGATGGTGCTTCAAGAGCACTCGGACCATACAGAAAGACTCGCAAATCCGTGCTTCTTGATTCGCTTGCCACGCGTTGCCTACCACCGTACCATCCTCACCATCCCTCGCACCACTGTAACGACCATACACGACAGCCACCAAATTCCCATGATCCACAACCACACCACCACAAAAACTGAGATTATCATACTGGCGAACAGTGCCACGCACAACGTGTCAACCACCGGTCGCTCAATGGATTGTCATGCCAGCCTTAATCGGCCCAGTCTCGTCCTCGCCCTATGTTCATCACGAGTACTCCCAGGCCTTCCTTGTGTACCGGCCAACCGACTCAAACCCTGTCCAGCAGACCTCGCTCGATCAGCCTCGTGCGCAACCATCACGCCTCTTCCTTCGCCTCTCACATCCTGTAGATCAGCAAGCCTGTTCCTCTCAAGCCTGCGCGCTCTCGCTCCATCCTCCATTATCTGCCAAAAGGATGCGCGCGGCGGATGCGCTGTGCCTTGCTCCTCGCTTTCACCCCGAGCCTCCTCGGAGAGAGCAGTGGCAGCGGCGGCCCATCCTCGACCCAGCTCCTGCCTCTCACGGTCTTCAATTGGGATACCGAATCGCTGCAACGTATGCACCACTTCGCCAGGCGAGAGATCCTGGAAAGAGCGACCGGTCCATGAGGACCGAGCTGGTACACTAATTTCACCTCCAACAGCTGTACTTGCAGCCTGACTACGAGTCTGCCAGGAATTGATTCCACCGTACACATCCATCTCTAAATCCATCTCTAAATCCTGACCTAGCGTCGCATTCCGCAACAGCGGTGAGGTCGGAGTGTAGGCACTATAATACCGAACACAGACCCCATGTCTCCCACTCAATCCATACCTCTTCATCATGTCCCTAACCGAAGTATCAATCAACCTCCACTTTCCCTCCTGGATATCTATCCCCATCATCTCAAGCACGAGTACAAGCGTCCGGTCGCGATCAGGGTAAGCGAGCCAGATCTCGGTGCCGGCATAGAAGAGGCCGATGTGGCTGCATCTTGCTATTCTGTGTTTTTGGTATAGACGGTCGAGTTTGTTCCGGACGGCTAGGTCGACTTGATAGAAATTGTGGTCGGAGATTAAGGGTGTGAGTTCTGGGGTGTCTGTGAAATGCGCTGGAATTTGAGGGTTGTGGTCGTAGGCATCCGGTTCAGGGAAGTCGGGTTGGCACATTCTGGTAATGTGGTGTGTCGTCGATGTTCTCGCAGCATCTTGTCGATGCAGAAGACGCAAGGTGTTGCTTTTCGAACTTTTCTCCTGCTTACCATTGCTTTACTTCAGACGATCTGAAGCTTCGCATGTGAACTTGAGCTAGGTGAACTTGGGCTAGATGAACTTTACCATTCAGTCGGTAGCCATCAGTCCTGATCACTGGGAGCCTCATGAATGTTGCCGCATCTGTTCGTCCAGCTCCTTCAGCTTCTCAGTGACCTTCTGCCTGAGGTACGGGCTCAGTCCCAATATACCTTCATTCGTAATGATGCGATACGTCCCACCCTTCTGATACCTCCCATTGCCATCAACGAACTTCCCATCCCCCGTCAACTCTAGACTCCCAAAGATATCTTCCGGCCACGCCACTCTCCCGAAATCAGGCGGATTTCTTTGGTCGCTAACATGAATGTATCCACCCCTACCTGCCCCACCCATACCACCCTGCGCACTAGCACCACCCGCTCCATCACCTCCCGTACCACCTCCGCCACCCCATGCTTTGCTGCCGGCCGTGCTTTTACTCGTGCGCTTTTTGAGTTTCTGGCGTTGCTGAGGGAAGAAGCCACCGCCTGAGCCTAGGGCGGAGCCGGATTGGGAGGCGTACATTGCTGCTTGACCTTGGACTTCGGGGTCGTTGTGGGCGTGTTCGGCGATCACATGATGCAGTAGTTCCATGAAATCGTGGTTCTCCGTCAATGACTCTGGCGTAGGTGGGATCTTGGTCGTTGTGCCGACGGCGAGGGATGGCGTCGGGGGTGAGGTTGAGAGAAGGGAGAGGATGTAGGGTTTTGATGGTTGCTCGTGGACGTACTAATGCTATCAGTGTCTGTACAGTAGTATTCAGGAAGGCAGTGGGTCATACGATGTGACCATTGTTCGGCAGTGTCGATAGAGCTCGTCGAAGTGTACATGGTGAGATTCGGGCAATGAGCCTAGCGCATTGGAATGAGAGCAATGGCTTCGATGTAGGCAGTAGAACGGCCATGATGCGAGTCTTGACCGCTGTATGTAATGATTGGCAGAAAGTCGAGACAGATAATGAGTGGAGGCAAACGAAGATTATTGTGATCGCGCTACGGATCGAAGCTCGAGCTTCACCGTATGACGTGAAGAAGCACGATCAACTGGCGCCCAATGCTCAAACATATGCCTTTTGATCACAGTGTCAGGCATTTCCGATCACGATACCAAATTGTGAGAACAATCACTCTCGCCCCGCTCTATCATCTGACGAATGTTAAGTATGGGTGACCATGGGACATCTCCGCTGCCATAGCTGTGTCATGCATCCATGGCGATGGGGATGGGATTAGCAGACGAGATGGTGGTAAGCATTGAAGACATTAACGCATGAAGCCACGGAATGCTTCCATCTTGTCAGGATGTGCCCAATACAACTTGCAATACCGTAGCGCAGGTAATTTGACCGTCATGGTGAAGATGCGGGCTGCCATCTTGACAGCTTGAGGATAACAGCACGTGGTGAGGACAGTAAGTGATGAAGACAACATAATAAGGTTTGAGGACAATACCACACCGTCTGATATATAATACCATCCTCTATTCTCCAACAATTCAATCTAACCATCCACTCCTCGGTCCAACTGGTCAAACCATAACAACATACTTCACAATGCTCTCTCTGCTCAAGAAATTGGTCGCCGTTGGCCTTCTGGCTAGTACCGTGGTCTCTATCCATCCGATTTGCAGACGTCCAGGTTGCCCTCCAAGTGACCTACCCGGTCATAAATCCGACGTCCCGACTACACTCGCGACTGGTCCTCTCGTCGCCAGAGAGCAAGGGAATCCTGAAGCGACATCAAGCGATGTCGTAGTTGTCGTTGAAACTTCACTACCGACTCCCACCACCGTGCTCCCGATCGTTACTACGGACGTCTCAACGACCCCTTCGAGCGCTACGGCAGTCGACTTGGACATCGTCACCGTCGAGTTCCCAGCCAACTCGACAGACGGTACTAACGAGACCATGCCGTACACCGCCTTCCTCCGCGAAGCCGTCCAAGCCGTCGCTATTGCCGCAGTCGATCACACCTTGATCGTCACTGGAGCTTACGGGGGAGCCTACGAAATGTCTCCTCTCCAAGAACAACTCGGTCACGTGGTTGGTCTGGTCCAGAAATTTGGCTATGAATATGGCGTCAACCGCACCCTCACTTGTACCAATCAGACCTGCATGAGAAATGTCATCCTCAACGCCATGGACACCACACAGATGGCTGCCATGGTCCAGACCAAGAAGGTGATTCAGCCTACCCTTGATGCCATGGGCCAGGACGGAGCTTGGTCCTCTGTCCTGCTCGATGTGGCTCTGGCGGGCCAGCAAAGCCAGACCAGCGAGCACTTGGAGGACTATCCTGTCAACGGCGAGGGCGAATCGTCGACACCAGCTCAGAGTACCCTTGGCCCGTGGGTTATTCCCATCGCTCCTATCATGTTGCCTTTTCAAGATCCTGATGGTACATCTCAAAACGAATCTCAGGACGTATCTACCGACGAATCCCAGCCCTCGGACGTCCCGAAGTGGAAACGTGGAGGTTCGACCAATAGACTCTATGGGGAACCTGGCACCTTCAGCGAACTCCTCAAAGCGATCAAAAATGCCTACTCGATGCGATGGTCCCGCTTGTTTCGGTTCCTGTCATCGCATAAGGGATACGACCAACTAACCAAGTCCAACCTCCTCAAGCATAATCCACATCTCCTGGACTCCGAGGACGAGATCGAGGAGATGAACGAGGAGAAAGGGATAGAGAACGCGCGGAAGTGGGCCCGGGCGCAGAGGACGGCGGAGGCCACGACCGATTTCGAGGAGATATTCATGGACCTCGAGGGCGACGTCACGATCCCAGATCGACTGATCCCACGCACGCTTCCTCCCGAATGGGCCGATCTCGGGAGACGAGCTTTCCAGGACAGGCTGATGCAGACCAGCTTGGAGGCCTGGGCGGATGATACCTTGGGTCTTGAGTACCGTGATATGTTCGATATGCGCGGTGTGATCCGCCGCGTCAGAGGGGAGCTGAGGTTCGATCCGCACGGCGCCTTGCCTCCAGTAGCTCAACCACCACGAGGAAGTCAACCGCGTCCAGTTCCGGGTGGACCGCCGGTGCCGCTTTTGCCGCTTGGGGCGCCGCCGCCCCTAGCTCCTGCACCCGCTGGGCCTGCTGGTGGGCGACCGAGACCTGGACTGAGTCCTAGACCACAAGCGCCACCCGATCAGGGCCCATCGCCTGAAAAATTTACTTCGGCGCAGCCTCAAGAAGCTACTCCAACACCACAACAACCACCATTTACGCCAGCTGCCTCCCACGTCCCAACAACGCTCTTGGTGCAGACTTCGAGATCCACCAGATCGTCGTCGTCGTCTACACAAACAACAATGTCCATAGTCACACCACAATCGACGCCTCCATCGCAATACAAATCCGGCTGCAATGTCCCCTTGGCCATCACCGGCAACGACGACGCCACCCAAGAAGAGTTCGCCGCCGCACAAGCAGCACACGATCCAATCGCGTACTCCCAAGATGCCTGTACGCTCCTCCAACCTCCTCCCTCCAAATCCTCCACATCTTCCACCCAGGCCCCAACATCCATCCCCCCACCACTCTGGGACTGGCACCACCCGCCCCGCTCCGGCTGCTGGAACCCCGTCTACACCAAAAACAGCAACGACGCAACACAAGAAGAATTCGCCGCCGCGCATGTGCTCACGACCCCGTCGCCCTAGCCCATCAAGGCTGCACCCCCTTCAAACCCATCATCCAACCAGCCAACATTTGCTGGCCGCCACCCTCGGCGGATAACACAACCAAACTCTTCAAGTCCCGGCAAACTCACCTTCTGGTGACGTCGTGGATCTGTGATGCGACGGTGGAGGAGTTCAAGGCCGCAAGGGCGAAGGGGGATGTTAATTTGAGGGGGAGGTTGGAGGAGGATGATGTTGGTGGCTTGGACGATGGGTTTGAGGATTTTGATCCTGTGACAGGGATCAGTTGATAGGTGCTAAGGCATGGTAGAGCGATGTCTATGGGGTGTGCAGGCATGTGGAGGAGTTTTAGGGGGAGATAGGATGGAACATGAGATTCTTGGGCTTCGAGAAACGTTTAACGCTGAGCTTGGGCGTTTGGAGTCATTCTGTGCTCGTGTAGTTATTGCAATTGAGTATCCGTTATCGTACTTATTCCACTTGTATGCCCTCTTCAGCACTGCCAGAGCTCGCTCTCATTTTCAACAATGCGGACGTTCTCCGACCTGGACAGTGTCAGATATTATTGCTAGTCTGATCTTTATGAGTATGATATGGGATGCTGGCAGCGTAGGCGTGGTAGGTGCCATTTGCCTGCGACATTACTGTGGGCTGATATGAGCTTGGGCTCCTTGCGATTACTCGTAAGGCCGGCAGAACTATCATCTCAAGCGGCATGCCATTTCGAGCATGACATGCATTAGCTCCTCGCAAGCGACAGAAGTCTGCATAGATTAGCACGACGTCCTCCGCCTTTTCCCACACGTTTCCCCGTGGGTTGAATCATATTCACGTGGACAATAGCATGAACAAGAATCGCCATAAGCAGGCATGAGTTTGAAAGGCGAATGAGGCAGAGGGTGAAAGTGGATGCATTCACTGTCTTGGCGGATGTCATAACCTAGGCCGAAGTTGGCAACAGCGATTTTTGAGCGTCGTGCAGGAAGCAGCCCGTGCCCTCACTTCTGACCAAAGCACTCCACTCCACCATTCGCCGACTGAACCCCTCCACCACCATCCACCAAACGACGTGAATTGTGAACAGCTTGTCGCACACCGCACGAACACCACACCATACCACAACCACACACCACGTCCCGAGTCCCTCACCGACACGCGCTCGCCTGATCCACACACGACACCTCAGCCAAGCTGCACGCGAGCCCGCGAGGATTGTCAAGGCAAGCACGACCGACACGAGCAAGCACCCCTACGAACGTTGCCCTCGATTGCGAGGTTTGCGCTACGGGTCGTCTCTGCTGAAGTTTTTCGAGAGCCGGCCAGCCCGGCTTATTCATCCCCACACCCACTCAACCTACCACCACCATGACGTCGGCACTAGACGACGAGGACTTGTCCCTGTCCATATCGCAGACCCGCCGCACCTCCCGCGAAGATTCCAGCTCCTCCAATGCAACACCACGAGGCAGCACACAGCAACCTGCGTCATTACTCAGAGATGTGGGCAGAACAGCGACACAGCGCAAGGAAGCAGCCAGACTAGGACAGTACAGCATTGTGAAAACCCTAGGCGAAGGCTCCTTCGGCAAAGTCAAACTCGCCATCCACCAGGTCAGCAACCAGAAAGTCGCTCTCAAGATCATTGCTCGGCGGAAACTGGTCACGAGGGACATGGCGGGAAGGATCGAGAGGGAGATTCAGTATTTGCAGTTGCTGAGGCATCCGCATATCATCAAGCTGTTCACGGTGATAACGACGCCGGGTGATATTATCATGGTCCTGGAGTATGCGGGTGGCGAGCTTTTCGATTATATTGTGCAGCATGGGAAGATGGCGGAGGAGAAAGCGAGGAAGTTCTTCCAGCAGATCGTATGTGCGGTCGAGTATTGTCACAGGCATAAGATTGTGCATCGGGATCTGAAGCCGGAGAATCTGCTGCTGGATGAGAATCTGAATGTCAAAATTGCGGATTTCGGTCTCAGCAATATCATGACGGATGGCAATTTCTTGAAGACCAGCTGTGGCAGTCCGAACTATGCAGCGCCGGAAGTCATTAGCGGAAAGTTGTATGCTGGTCCGGAGGTCGATGTCTGGAGTTGTGGTGTTATCCTCTACGTTCTGCTGGTTGGGAGGCTGCCGTTCGACGACGAGTATATCCCGGCACTTTTCAAGAAGATTGCACAAGGCAATTACATCACGCCGAACTACCTTTCTTCGGGAGCCGTGCGACTAATTAAGAGGATGTTGCAGGTCAATCCAGTTAATCGGATCACCGTGCCAGAAATAAGACAGGATCCGTGGTTTACAAAGGACTTGCCAGAATATTTGCAACCACCTGTCGAGGACTTTGTGGATACTGGTGTCGATCCTGCCAAGGCCATAGATCCTTACTCACTGTCGAAGGGCAAACCGAAGCCGGTACAGGAGAAGCTTCATTCTACCGTTGTAGGCAAGCTCGGCAAGACTATGGGCTATGCGCCAGACGATGTGCAGGACGCACTCAAACGGGATGAGCCGAGTGCCATCAAGGATGCATACCTGATCGTCCGCGAGAACACGCTCATGAAGACGAATCCATCTCTTGCACAAGAACAACCAGCGTTCATCGCAGCAAGTCCTCCTGCGTTCCACCCGATTATGCCCACCTCGCCACGTTCACCTGGTATGCGACCGCCGCCTAGTCCGCTTGGTAGCAATGACCATCCTCGACATGGCTCAAATGCCTCGTCTTCGATCATAGACTCCCGCACGGCGGCTTCATCAATAGCGGTGTTGCCAACTTCACTCCCCGATTTTCATGTCGCATACATGAAGGGCCACGGTAACGACCTCACGAGTACGCCACCCGGCGACGAAACAACCACAAACCCAGATCCATCCCGACCACGAACAAAAGAAGAACAAGAAGCCACAGCACGAAGACTAAAACCTCACAGTCGAAGTTCTGCCAACCTCCACCGCGGCCACCATCCTGAGAAACCGGAGCCCATGACGAGTTTACCAGACAAACACGCCAAGAAGCAGAAACCCACCAAGTGGCAATTCGGCATAAGAAGTAGAAACACACCTGCTGAAGCAATGCTCGCCATCTACAAAGCGCTCCGAAAGATGGGCGCGGTGTGGGAAGTTATGCGGCCGAAGGAGGGCGGAGCCGCAGGGAGTGGCGAAGGTTCTCCCGAAAGACCAGCGGACGGGCAGGAAAGCCCGGAGTACAGCGACTCAGATCCTGACGCGGGTACGGATCCAGAATACGCCGATCACGAGGAGCAAGAAAGACGGAGGAGCAGGAGGGATGAAGGCGGTACTGGTAGTGGAGAGGGTAAACGCGGACGAGAGCGATACGGCCGTTGGAACGATTACGGATACTCCCTCCCTGAAGATCCCTGGGTGATCCACGCGAGGTTCAAAAAGCACGGCATGTTTCCCCCCGGCGTCCAGCATCCCTCTTCCACGCACAGTTCGCGGGTCAACCTCACAGGGGGAGAGGACGAGAAGAGAAGACGCAGCTCAACGGTGAGTTCATCCGGCAATGTCAGTCTGGCGGGTAGCTCCGAGAACATCGCCGCCACAGGCCCGGCACCCCTCAGTGCAACGAATAGTCTTGGCTTCAATCCCGATGGCTGGCCGGCTCCGGATGAGAGCGTGTGGGTGTATGTTACCATCCAACTCTACAGTATCGAGAAGGATTTCTTTCTGGTGGATTTCAAGTGTGCGGGGTATGAGCGGTTGGTGCAGAGGTTTGCTAGGGAGGTTAGGGGGTCGTCGGAGGGAGATGCGGATATTGTGAAGGCGGATGAGGGGAGTTATGATGAGGACGTAGGGACGGAGGACGAGGATGGGGAGGTGTTGGTTGGGGCAGGCAGGACGCAGGAGGAGAAGGATATTTCGAGTCCGTTTCCGTTCTTGGATGTGGCGAGTCGGTTGATTATTCAGCTGGCTGAGGCTAATGATTGATGGGTTGGCGTGTTGGTGGCGAAGGGCGAGAACATGGGTATGAGGTCTACCGGGGGGGTTAAGGATGGAGAGGGGAGCTGTCGTGCAGGCGTGACGCTGGACGTGAACGACCGAAGCTGATCGATGAAACGGTTGTGTCGCATATAGATGATACCAGGCGAGAAAAGTAGAATAGTGACAAGAACATCTTCAAACCTCTGCCATTGGCTCACTACTGCCCGAACGAGCTCATTATCCTCATATGTGGTAGCTTCAGCTCACGAATGACAGTCATCTTCCTTGCTCGTCATATTCATACCACGACCATTTCTCGTCTGGCTTGCGCGAGGGAGCATGACTTCAAAGCTCAGAAACCAGGCCTAGGCCTCAGCCATGGCCAACACATGTCAAGCTGGAGCTGAAGTGGTGCGATGCGCGCTGTCATCGCGCGAAAAGAGTGCACAGTCCAACCAAATGAGATCACCACGGGACACAAGACGAGACGACGAGACGGCAGCATGGTCGATCATGCATGGCGCCACTTGCAGTCAATGCCGGGGGCCGAAAGAACCGTAGCGTGGCCGTTGAGAAGGTGGATTTGAATGGCCCAAATTTTGGCTGAGGATCTGGGCGCACGTTTTGGTATGGCAGACATATACTAATATCATCGGCATGTGATGGGAGATGTACGTAGTGAGAACGATATGATCGTGTCTCGGTGTTGCCACAGTTGGGCGACCCGGAGACTTCGGACCTGTCGTTCCACGTGATTGCCTCGACAACGAACGATCGCCCGGCCCGGTGGCGCAGGCACGCAGTAATCAACGAGCGGAGCTGTGGTCGAGCAAACATCTGCAATATCTGAGCAGAGCCGCAGAAGAACGCATCATCAGTCACTCTTCTATCATCGTGTTCCAAGAAATTGTGAGCCGTTTTCCCAAACGCGAAAAAGTGCATCCTTGCGGGGAAGGAGAAGACGAAAAGTTACGGCGAGGCAGCGTCATTTCGATTCAGAGTTTTATGACATCAGGGCTTGAAGTTTGTGGTGTGATCTGCTTAAGTTCCCAGCAGCACCGCTTTTGCGACAACGCTCCGATTCACTTACAATCACGCCACGCCACTACTCCAGCAGTTTTCATATTTTCGCCGTCCATCACTCCACCAGTAGCTTCAGCACCACACACACATCATAGCAATGGAGAGCAGAGGCATGATCAACCTCATCATGAGGGCCTTGGCCGTACGTATTACCCAAACGCGTCTCCTATCGCAACAGCATTGCTAACAGATGCGATTTCAGTTCTTTTGGGCCCTCCTCATCATGGCGCTTACCGGCAACATGATCCACGAGAACAGCGGCAACACGCCCGTCATCAACTACGACCTCTTCGTCTCCATCTTCGCCATGCTCACGCTCCTCTACCTCATCCCCGCCACCTTGAAAGAGTCGTTCCAGGTCCACCCGCTTCTGCCATTGATCTTGGATATCTTGAACGTCATCTTCTGGTTCTGCGCTGCTGTTGCGACAGCGGCGGAGTTGGGCGCGCATAGCTGCAGCAACCACGTAAGTGTTTCGCGACGGTTCTTGCGATAATGAGTATTTTTTTTGACCTTCAATCACAGGACTACCTCGTTTCCAACCGCATCACTCTCGGCTCGAAGAAGCGCTGCCAGGAGGCTGGTGCATCTACCACCTTCCTCTTCTTCGGCTTCGCATCATTCCTCGTCTCGACCGTCCTCTCTGGTCTTGGCAGCCGTGGCGCCGCCAACACTCGCCCAGGCATTCGACGCGGCCCAGCTATGAGCCAGGTTTAAGTCTGACGCTGGAGTGTGCTGCACCGCAACACCAGATCAAACCATCACCGCGCCGTGTCTGATGGTCGGCGATGAGTGCGTGTATAACCAATGTTCACGAATACTTGGAGATGTGCGAAAGCGGGATTGTTATGCATTATGATTGCGATTCAGCGAAGGTTGTTATATGGATTGGGGCTTGTCATGACTAGTAGTCTAATGTTTACTCTCGTATCAATACACATCATCACTTCATCTCATCCTCATCTCAAGCTCCTCCAGATTGTGAAGATGGCGCCCATAATTCTTTGGACGCGCATGCAGTCGCCATTCCAACACCACTCTTTAGACGACGCAGCTCAAATGATGCTCAGGCGACGACATAGTCTCCATACCGCCTAGACCTTGCCGCCATACCGCCGCACGATCCTCTAGCCGCCGATATCCGAACCAGCATTTTCAGGAGCTTTTTGCGCCAAGCCGACGTCATAGCTCTGCCCAAATTGTCAACTCTATCGCCATTACATCTCGACGCGCTAATTTCTCGATCCGGGCAATCGCGTGAAAGGCATGACTAGCTGGTCTATAATAAAATCATGCTCCGAGGAAGGCGGGTTGCAGAGGTAAGTGCCAAAGTGATGGTAGGTACCTTACTCAGGCTACGAAGAGTGTGCACTACTCTGTGAGAATTCACCTACAGCAGGTTTGATTGCTAGGATGAAACGGTATTCCTGCGCGTAGCTCTATCGCTTCTGCATTGTTGGGATTGTTCGTTCTGGACTGACTGACTGCTCAAGGTGCGGGAGAGATGTCGAGAGCTCTGATCTAGGAGAGCGGTACACACAGTCTTCTACTACCCTGTTCGGCTAATGCCAGGACTAGCATCATGGCAACGAAGCAGAGCGAGGATGACGATTCATACTTCGGACGGCAGGCCGACAAGTCAATGGACGCGGAGATGCCACATATGCCGCCCGCGAAACGGACGCGCACAGCACCCGTAGAAGACGTACCACGACTACAAGGACTGTCACGGAGGAGCACACTTCTGGAAGGTATAAGGGGGAGAGCAACAGGAGGCGCAAGACCGATATATGACAGTCGAAGTTCATACTCGTATGCTTTCGACCCGCAGCCGTCTGACACTGATTCGAGCTCGGATGAAGAGGGTGCAGACCACAAGGAGGAGAACAAGACAGCTTTAGGGCATGATGCTCAACCGCCCAAGCGCGCGACAACGGAGGACTCGACGATGAAAGCGAAGAGCGGGAAGCGTCATGCATACTCTCGATTCTTGGTTGGCAACGAGCATTTTAGAAGCAAAGGCAGGATCAGTAAGCGAGATGGTAGGCTTAATATCTCGGTCAACGAGACTTCGAGTAGTGGCTATATTGCAAAGGCCCTCGGACAGAGCTTAAAACAACATCTCGATGTGCCAAAGCGTAACAAGCGCAATGAGCATCGCAATCGGGAGCGGCGAGACGTCAGAGTGGATGTAGAAGCGCAATCTGTCGCAGAGTCGCTTCGAACGACACCGGACCGGCCAAAGCTCAACATCGTGATCATGGTGATCGGGAGCCGAGGAGATATCCAGCCTTTCTTGCGACTTGGCAAGATATTGAAAGAACAGTACGGCCATCGCGTACGTGTGGCGAGTCACCCGACCTTTCGCGATTTTGTGCAGAAGGAGAATGGTCTGGATTTCTTCAGCGTGGGTGGCGATCCAGCTGAGCTCATGGCGTTTATGGTGAAGAATCCTGGACTGGTGCCGAATTTGCAGACTATCCGTGAGAACGAGATCCAGCGAAGACGAAAGTCTATGGCTGTAATGTTCGATGGCTTCTGGCGTGCTTGTATCAACACGACGGATGATGAACAAGCTCAGGAGAACCTCAAGATGATGGGTGACAAGCCGCCATTCGTGGCAGATGCCATTATTGCGAATCCACCTTCAATGGCGCATGTGCATATCGCAGAGAAACTTGGCATACCCTTGCATATGATGTTCACCTTTCCTTATACCCCGACCCAGCAGTTTCCACACCCTTTGGCGAGCATACGGCCCCAGAAGAGCAATGTGGATGCAAGTTATGTCAATTTCATGAGCTTCGGTTTGGTCGAGATGATGACTTGGCAAGGGTTGGGTGATATTGTGAACCGCTTTCGAGAACGAACGCTGGGACTGGAACCGGTATCTTCTTTATGGGCGCCAGGCGCGCTTTACAGGATGAAGGTGCCATATACTTACCTTTGGAGTCCATCGTTGATACCCAAACCCAAGGACTGGGGTCCAGAGATCGATATTGCGGGTTTCGTGTTTCTGGACCTTGCTAGCAACTTCAAGCCTCCAAAGGATTTGCACGACTTTCTTAATGCTGGCGAGCCGCCTATCTACGTAGGCTTTGGTTCGATCGTAGTCGACGATCCGAACGCGCTCACTGAGATGATCTTCAAAGCCACTAAGCAGGCTGGCATACGTGCTCTGGTGAATAAGGGCTGGGGTGGCTTCGGTACATCGAACGAGGACACGCCAGACCATATCTTCATGCTTGAGAATACACCTCATGATTGGCTCTTTCCAAAAGTGAAGGCTGTCGTACACCATGGTGGCGCAGGCACAACTGCCATCGGTCTCAAGTGTGCAAAGCCAACTATGATCGTGCCATTCTTCGGCGATCAACAATTTTGGGGCGCGATGGTGTCGTCCGCCAAAGCGGGAGCGCACGAATGCACGCCATATAAGAACTTGACTGTCGAGAAGTTTACGGAAGGCATCAAGCAGTGCTTAAAGTCAGGAAGCGCAAGACAACGTGCAGAAGATCGCAGATAGTATTGCAGCCGAGGGTGACGGTGCGGAGAATGCTGTGAAGAGCTTTCATCGGAGTCTACGTTTGGCTGGACGACAGAACATGCGATGTTCGCTTTTGGAAGACAGGGTGGCAGTGTGGCAACTTCGAAAGTCTGCTTTGCGACTCTCACCACTCGCTGCTGAGCTCCTGCACGAAACAGGCAAGATCAAGTGGTCGGACCTCAAACTTCTGCGTCACTACGAGTGGAACGACTTCGATGGTCCGGGCGAGCCCATCACGGGTAGTGTTGCTGCGGTCAAAGACAGCTTGTACGATATGGGTGCTGGCGTGGGTATGGTTCCAGTCAGAATTGCCAAGCACATTCAAAAGCACGAGCAAGCTGTACGGAAACGAAAGATGCGAGAGGAACGCAAACGGCAAAAGGCTCTGGAGAGAGCAGAACGGGCTGATGAACAAGCAACTGATGGTTCAGACCGACCACAATTGGGCCGGAACGAGACACAGGATACGCAAGGCTCGTTAGCGGCCACACCAAGCGCAGTAGAACCCTTGGCTCATGAGATAGCTGCTGACTTCGGCTCTGGCTTGAAGAGAGCTGGTGGAGCTTTACTGACTATGCCCAATGACCTGCACATCGCCATTGCTCAAGGCTTCCATAACGCACCACGACTCTGGGGCGACGCTACCGTTCGCAAGCCCGTACGCATTACAGGCTTCAGATCAGGTTGCGTAGCTGCTCGAAGGGAATTCACGTACGGCGTTTACGATGGCTGGAGCGGTCTTGTGACACAGCCTATGGGAGAGTGGAGGGATGGCGCTACAATGCCTGGCAAGTGTATGGGTCTGGGTCTCGGCTTTGCAAAGGGTATTGGCGGGTTTGTGCTCAAGAATCTCAATGCTGTGGTTGCGCCTCCTGCGTATGTCGGCAAAGGCGTGATTAAGTATGTTGAAAAGAAGGCTGAAGGGCCGGGTAGTAAGGTCTTCATTCGTCGGGCACAGATCTTGCGCGGTCAACTTGATCTTAACGAGCTACAAGCGGAGGAAAGCAAGACCGACGAGAGTGAGAAAAGTCCTTTGTACGTGGTCAGAGATCAAGTATCGGAGGGCTACAACGTTTATGAAGAGATCTGGAACGAGGCCAATTCACTAAGCCGCTACGAATTTCGCAAAGAGTACAAAGACTGGGACGTCAATGGAGCGCTCGAGAATGCTAATACTGCAAGTCGTGCACTCAAGGCAAGACGGAAGGGTCAAGACCTCAATCAGCTATGGGCAAAGCGAAGACAGGAAATGCAGGAAGCTGAGCAGCCACGAGCATCTGCTATGCACCAGCCGCAGCGACCTGACGAGGATCACGGAGTTCTGGCTAATGGTCGTAAGACTGATGGAGATGACACTAGGCAGCCTTCATTGGGTGCCACGATGTCGACCGGGCAGCCTGAGCATTATTTGGCGAGCACTCAGCAGGCGGGCACGGGACATACGAACGCGGATATGGATGAGCACGACAGTGAGTGCACTATGATTGGAGAAGAGGAGGAGTCGAAGACCCATGTTGATTCTAGCCGAGATCAGGTTCTGGGCGGCAAGATCGAGGCTACGGACATGGCTCTTCCAATCGAGAGCAATCGAAGAGAGTGCTAAGCGTATGATCAATGTAGGATAGTCTGACAACGACGTGATAGCACAAAGATATCAATATCACCTCACCATCGTACACCCCGCTCCCACCCCACTCATCCTGCCGTCGTGCAGCCCGATGCGGATCGGGCAGTGCGCACCGATGAACCGGAGTTCGCCACGTAGGACGACATATGCATAAGCTTCCGTCCACGATCGCAACCGATACTTCCTTTAATTCACCATTGGACACCATACATAAAGTCGAGGCTAACATGAAGCCGCGACAAGCGTGACACATGCCATTGGTCTCGATGGTAGACCAACTGACAGCCGGGAAGATGCAAGGCATACTAGAAGCCCTATCGGATCAATGTCAGAGACGCAGTGAGGCCCAATATATGCTTTCTAGTGCTGCACTCTCCCGCGCTCCCTTTGTTCGACACGCTTGTCGAGCAAGATTACAGTACTGATTGCTTACCAGCTCCTGAAAGCTTCAGCTCCAGTTCAATGGTCCCGGGTCCTCACGACGTGGTGCCAGTCGGCCGGTTCCTGGAAGCTAAGTGGTTCATGCTCGTCATCTGTCCTTCCTGTTGGCATGTCGTTAGTGTGATCTTGTATATGGCTACCCGACGTGTCATCAGCATGATGGTGTGCCACGGAGAAAAGCACTTGTGAGACGGAGGAGATAATCTGCCTCGCATCATGACCTCTGCCTTGAAAGAAGCTGTCTCTCTGTCCTGATCCACGGAGTACACAACATGAGCATATCCACTTCGTCACTCGGCGTTGCCAGGCATTTGCCGCTGCACTATCCTGTTCCGTCTTAATCAAGCAAACGTCGAGCCAGGTGGACGAACACTACTGAGCTAACGAACGACAACATGGCCACTGTGAACCTCGAAGAGATCAGAAGAAAATACAACTTCAAGCAAATCTCTGTAGCAACATGGCGGGACCCAAGAAGTAGCACTATTCCTGCCAGAGGTGGACCATCGGCGCCCATGTACTCGGCGGAAGCCATTTCGAAGCCGTACATTCCCACGTACAAAGTCAAGTATAAGCTACCAGAACCTACAGATGATGAGGCATCCGAAGATGAGCAAGCAGCGCCAGCGCCAAAGGGAGAGATTGAAGAGCCTGCTGCAGATGGTATGATTCGGGGCTGGACAATTTGAAGAATGAAGCCTTTACTGACTTTCGCACTCAGCGCCTGTCGACTCTCCTCTGGAGCCACCTATGCCGCAGGTAGACGTAGTCGAGGATCCTGCTCCTCCACCCCCTCCAGAAATCGATCCACCAGGGACAGTAGAAGATGCGCCACCAATTGCTGCTGACGACGGAGAGGACACACAGGATGCTAACCCTGCTGGAGAATCTATCCACATCCCTGAGCTGCTCGCTGATCCGCTAGCCACCCTTGAAGGCCCTTTGGCTGCTCTGCCTGATGTTGCTCCCCTTGAAGACATCGACGAAAACTCCCTGAGTGCGACCCCAGAGAACACACTATCCGTGGACGATGTTCAAGATGATCTACAACTATCAGAGCATATCGAAGCACCATGGCCGCCATCACCGCCACCGATCGACACATACCCTGACATCTCGGAGCACGTCGACTTCCTCGACCTAGCTGAACCCTACCCGATACCTGCTCTACATCCGGTCGATCTGGTTATCATCGACCCAGCTCAAGGAATGCCAGGAGCTTTCGACGCACCGACTTTTGATACCGGACCTGTACCAGGAAGTCCTGACAAATCAGTACACTTTGCTCCTGGCACTCCCGATCCCAAGCCCACTGTGCGAAAGAAAAAGTCTACGAAAGGCACCAAGAGTAAATCGAAGAAGCGAGTCGAGGTACAGATCGCAAGTCTGCCAGACGATATCCTTGCAATCGTTGATGGGGACATACAAGACAATTTAATTCCTGTTCCTGAGACGCCAATGATCGTGCCAGCCCTAGTCGATTCTGATGAACATCCTGTGGAAGAGGCTCTCACTGACATTGATGCGGTCGAAGCCACACCGGTCATAGATGCCGGGAAGGAGCCCGAGTCTGCCGCTATGGTACCTGTCGTTGATGAGGCACCAGCTGCAGACCCGCCTGCCGTCCAGACCGAGGAAGTGACATCCTCGAAGAAGAAGGATAGCGCTAGGAGCTCGTCTAGAAATAAGGACAAGGCCAAGAAAAAGAACTCAAAATCCAAGGCGGCGAAGGACAGAGTGCCTGTGGCTGCAGCAGGGTTAGGCATCGAACTCGCTCTTCCATCTGACCCACCAGCTGTCCTTGATCTAGACGATATCCTCAATAATCTACCACCGCCGCCGCCGCCGCCGCCGCCTGGAGCGGAAGCTGCTGTCGAAGGACCTGCCGTCGAAGAATTTGCTGAAGTGCCCAGTGAGGCAGAGACTAATGTTGCTGCTTCCTTTGCGGCTGATGAGATACCAAATGCCGACTCTGCTGTGGATAAAGATATGCCTGTACAACACATACCCGCGGATGATGCAGACATTCTGGGAGCTTCACAAGAAGACGCAGCCAGCTTGAACGGCCAAGAACCCGACATTTGCGCCCCGGCTCCAACATCGGAGCCAGACGACATAGTGGGTCTGGAGCAAGAGGTAGGCCCTGCAGCTTCGGTAGAGGACGGCGAGCAGCATGATGTCGAGGACGTACAGCCGCCTGGCGAAACGGAGAAGGACGTGGGACAGACTGTTGGTCCGGCAGATATGAGCGCTGAGATCTACTCAAGCCACAGCGAGGAATTGCATGAAGCTGTGGACTGTACGACAGTGGAGATAGGTGATGTTGCAGGGGTGCCTGTGGTAGTCGACGACGAGATCGCGGCAGCATGGGACGACCGCGAGGAGGCTGAAGACGAACTAGATCTGGCTGAATCTGGGTTGGTGGACGATCACGCGGACGAGGATGACAGTCCGAGTGGTGCTACTACTGATGAACTTGAGGGTTTGCATGAGCCAGCTGTCGATTCGGTGGAAGACGCGGCCTCGGAGGTAGAGATCGAGGATATTGAAGACCTCCAGGCTCGCTCGCCTGAGTCTGCAGTTGCGGATGTAGTTGAACAGACGGGTGACAACGAGGAACCCCTCATCAGTCCAGATATTGTGGAGGAGATTGGAGTCAACGACGAGCAGCTTCCTGATGTCACTATCGGTACTGCTGATAACGCGGCCGATACACAGCCAGCAGTCACAGCAATAGATACTCCTGCCGCGCTAGAAGCCGACAGACTCGGTTCGCCGGCTGAAGCAGGGTGGGATGATCCATCAGGAGACGACATAAGTATAGGCGATGGACTCTCTGAAGTCGAGGTTGTAGTAGACGATGACAATGCTCCTGACCAGCCGGAGATTAACACCACCTGCGAGCATATTGACGAAGGCGGAGCTGGAGATGTGCTTGATGAGACAGATCCCGAACCACCAGTCAGTTTGCCTGTGCTCAATGAAGGCCAAGATACCAAAGTGGAGGTTCAAGGCGTGACCGAAGAGTCGGCAGGGCAGGAAGACTCATTTCAAGCTGATGAGCCCGTTGCAGATCAAATTGTAGCTGCAGAGTCTCAGGTCGAAGCTATCACCGATGGTGAAAATGAGATGACACAGCTACTTGATATTGAACAGAGAGAAGACGCTGAGGCTGATAACGAGCCTCCACCTGCCGAAGTCCTGGATGCAGGGTCAGATGCAGCAGCGAAAGAGGTTCCGGCTGCTGCTGAGGCAATACCAGAGCCTGCTATCGAGGACAAGAAGCCTGGAAAAGTCGATGCGCCTCCTGCAGCGCCGCCTTCTCCTAGCTTGAGCAAGAGTAGCTCCCATAAACAACGAGCCGACTACTGGGCCCGCAGACCTGCTAAAAGACCCTCCACAGCCGACTCGAAGGCAAGCAAGTCAGAGAAACCAGGATCTAGCAAGCGTAGTAGCAAGTCCAGTGGCGATGCTTCGCAGGGAAAGAATCGTGAGAAGTCATCCCGTTCGTCACGGCGATATTCAATATCTGCAGAAGAAGAGGAGGAGCGCCGCAAGCGAAGAGCTGCTCGGAAAGCCGAAGAGGCGGTTCGCGAGACTGCCCGCATCCAGGAGGTGGAAAGGCAGAAGGCGTATGAGGAAGAGCTTCGACTGATCCGGCATGAAGCTCGTCGTGCCGCTCGCAAAGCTGCGGCTGAAGAGACAGCCAAGCTGATCCGAGAGGAGGCAGAAGACATCGCACGAGAAGAGGCAGAGGCTAGACGACGAAGGCGAGAGGCACGGGAGCAAGAGGCGAAGACTTCGAGGTCTAAGCGTGAGAGGCGAGAGTCTGTCAACAGTGTACCACTACTGTTCCGTACCACTAGTAGTCAGCCTTCACAAAGCCGGCGTAGTGAAGCTCGCCCCCGAAGCTCGAGGAAAGAGGATCATCCAGCATCAAGACGAGAGGCCTCTCCTGCAGGACATCGAGAGGAGCCAGTCGTGGACAATCCTCCTGAGCCAGAACCAGCTCAAGCAGGACCATCGAGCTCGAACGGCAGTAGCTCGCGGCGTCGCCGACACGTCTCGGAAACAGACCGTCCCAGCACCCGTCGCCGCGATAGTGAACGGCACAGTCAAAGGCCTCCAGCGCCCGAGAAACCACGAAACTTCTTGACATCATTTCTGCGGAGCTTTTGAACACGAATATATGACTTGAGGGATTCTTTTTATGACCAGCTGTGAAATACGACCGAGCTGTTAGGATAGTTTTTCCGGCTGTGATGTATTCTTAGCATTATCTGTACAATGCATTTGAGAGCGGTGGAATGGTCGAGACGATCTCAGCTACTGGCTCAGTCTCATAATGTAAGTGACTCCATGAGCCGACCTAGCGAGTGCGCTCAGCCACACAGCATGCAAGACCACCAAATGATATGCCAAGAAAGACTGCCAACGCCATCTGATCCGTTCCCATCATAAAAGCCGCCAGTATCGCGGCGAATGTACCAGCGCCTGCGAGCAGCGTAATAGCATGCAGCCTGGCATCCATAGCCCGGCCTTGGATTATCCTGCTCTGCAAGGCAACGTATACCAGCAGAACCATCACCCCTGCCATGACTCGGCACGTCGCACTCATGCCAATGTCGTCTTGATAGATCCCCTCGATAAGCAGCAAGCCTCCGACCGCCATCGCCAGCAGAGCAGCGAGTAAAACGCACGTCCTCTCGGACCACTCGATATGCATATCTTGCACATCCCAGAACCGTTGTGCGACAGCCTCTATCCCATCATCACCAAACAGCAACCTCGCACAAGCCGGACATCGATCTTGCTGTGCTAGAGTCGCTCGTATACAAGTGGAGCAGAAAACGTGCCGACACTGCGTCATCTCTGGCCGTACGAGGTCGTCTCGGCATATGCCACAGATGTGTCTTTCTGGAACCTCAGGCACCGAACTCAAGATGCTGTCCAGACGTTCGGATGGCGTCGAATTGCTCGCATCGATTATCAAATGAGCATAGGGTGGATATTGAGCCCGTCGGTGTGCTAGACAGACTCGGAGTCTGCGGGACACGGCATAGACAACGTAGGATAGGGCTAAGTAGTAACCTAATTCGAGCAGTGCGTCGACTGAGTCCTTCATGAATGTCTGTCCCATCTCCTGTGGTTTCTGGCTATATTTTTCCCTGTGTCCCGGACGTAGATTAGTTCGCGGCAATAATCGTTCGTGCGACACGGTATTAACGTTCAAGGAGCAAGATCCTTCTTGTAGTGGAAGACTTGTCGACTTTCCTTCACTAAGGCTGTACCATCGTTTGTGCAATATGTATATGCCTGACTAGTCACTAACACACGTCGGCTAGAGCTCCTGACGACGCCTAGATCAGCAGGATGTTCTAAATACTTGAGCGTCCGTGGTCCGATCTGTATTCATCGTGAGCAGCCCTCTCCACATACCCACCACGAAGCCCAGGCCGCTTCTGTAACCTGCGCAGGAACACGATGTCCGGCCTTTGACGCGAAATCGAAGACGTGGAGGTGTGATTGAATGAGCATCGACATGAGAAGAGTATTCCGTCCGAGCTCTGGCATCCAAGGACAATGATACGCTGACTGTTATGCACCACTTTGCGTCAGACATCCCTTAGAAGCCCAGCTCTCCAACCACGGGCACAGATGCAGCGGCATCCTCCTTCTGTTCCTTCACAGCTCCAGGCTCCTTCGAAGTCCTCAAGAAAGCCTCCATAAGCACCCCAGCCGCCACACCCACATTCAAGCTATCAACACCCACATCCACGACCCCATCACCCACAGCACCCCTCTCAATACTAATAAGACAATGCGCCTTATTGACAAGATTGGCTCTCAAGCCCTCTCCTTCAGCACCAAGCATAAGTATAACCGGCTTATCCCTTAGCGGACTCTCTCTCGCAACCTCCCTCGTACTCACCCTCATCTGCTTCCTATCCCCAGGAGCCCCACCACTGCCCTCATCGCCCGGCGCAACAGCAGCATAAACTCTCCATCCCGCTTTCGCCGAGTCCAGCACAAACGAGCTAGGTTTCGGCAGCCCCAAGAGCTTCACGGCTTCACAGGCACCACTCGAGGCTTTCGCGACGATGGGGGAGTTGATGGAAGCACATGTTGCCGTGGCAATGGCGACGGCGTCCGCACCGTAGAAGTGCGCTGTACGCATGATAGAGCCCAGGTTGCCTTCGTCAAGGATACCATCGAGCATGATGATGAAGGGGTGGCGGCCGGCTTGAGACGGAGCAGGGAGGTCGAGCGAGGCTGATGAGCCGTTGATGAGGACATCCTCTGCCGATTGTCGGTCAAGCGTCAGACCTATGGCACCAGTCTTGACATCAGGCTTCCCCAACGCAAGGACAGGCGGAGCAGGTAAGCGAGAAGCATCTAGCACGACGCCATTATGTGGACGATTGTCAGACACGGTATCAAGGAAGCGAACGCTGGCGTTGCGGTCGATGGGGATCTTGGCTTTCTCCGCCATTCGGAGGATGGAATTTGGGGCTGTGGAGCGCTGTTGGAGGTGTAGGCGATAGAGCTTACGGCGCTGGGAGCGTAGGGCGGCGTGCACGACGTTGGTGCCGTAGAGGAATTGGCTGGCGGCTGTTGTGTAGGGGATTGGCATGGGAGATTCGTAGGCTTCTTTATTTGCGTCCCTTTCTCGCCGTTTACTTGAGCGGTCGTAAGTGTTGGCAGCTCCACCAGTAGGTGCCTCGTCTCGGACATTCCTTGGTGGACGGATTTCTCTGGGCTGGCGGGTGTCATTGAAAGATCTGTCCTGGTCGAGCTTGTCACGAGATGTCCTTGAAAGTGATTTCTCAGCCTCGTAGGGTGCCTTTCGTGATTCACGTGAAGCGTACGAGGGCGGATCCCGCTCCTTAGAGTTGTACCTCTGCACCGGGCGATCGTCTTCTTCGAAAGAGCTCCGGCGTCGTGCTCCAGCTTCCTCCCGTGGCTTAGGTGGGCCGTGCGAGGTGTATTTGGAAGTCACTCGCTCGCGCCCTCCATACCTTGGAGGAGGGTCATCATCCGCCTCGTACGTCTTGCGACCTGAGCTTATGCGTGGAGGCGTTCTATCTCCAGTACGACCAGATGGCCGAGACCTCCTTTCTTGGAATGAAGGAGGCTCAACAGTCTCTGCCCTTGACCACTGCCGCTGCTCTCGAGTCTCTGGTCCACGATCTCTGCTGAACGAAGATCGTCTGACTTCGCTCCTCGGAGGTGGCGGTGGATCCCGCTGTTCTAAAGAACCTGGTCGACGCCCTGCTCCATCTCTCGATGCAGCTGCAGCACGATCGTTACGTGCAAAGGCGGTACCGCGGAACCCATCGCCACGTAACCGACTCGCTCTATCGCGTGTCGTCGGAGCAGCTGCCACGGGAGTGCGATCTCTTCCTCCAAGTCTGCCTCCATCCCTGGACCTCGATCTTGTGTCGCGTGAGGCCCTGATGCCTCGATTGATGGCCGATGTGGTCGAGACGGAACGACGACATTGCGGGGAGGCTATAGTATGTGTTCGTACGATGTGATAAAGATCGAGATACAGCGTTCTGCCGGCATTGGGAAGAAACATCTGATGAAGGACTTCTTGTTCACGTAAAAGTCCAGCTCAATATTCCGAAAGAAGCTGCAGATCGGTTTGGCGCGGAATTGGCTCCGCGACGCGACCTCTCGCGACTTGTTCCATATTCGAATTAATGCCAACCACTGCAACTTGACCTCATCTGTCGCAAGGCGGGATGGTCGCGATTTTACCGTAGCCATGGCATTCAGCTTCCAGACGTCGGCCGATCTGGATTCGGACGATGACGATGCGCCTGTGGAGCTGTCGCAATGGCAGACGACGAACAAATCGCAAGCTCCGGCACATGTAGCAGCCATGATGGCCCAGACCACGAACGATGAGGACGACTCTGGAGACGACTTGGCGATATCCGCTCTCGCAGCCTTCCAGTCCGGCAAACGCGCCACTCCACCTCTCTTGTCACGACCATCATTCACCTCAATCAACCAGACCGCGAGCCAACCTGGCCTACCTGTGCTACCTAACGTGGACGTGGACGTGGACATGGATGATGAGCCTGCGTATGATGCAAATGTCATGGGTGGCGACGAGGGAGACGAAGAGCAGGACATGTCAAGCTTAGATGAGCCGAGGATGAAAGCAGTCGTGCCCCTGCTGCCTCGCATGGATCTGGAGCAGGAGGACGAAGTCGTAGATATGACTGTCGGTGAAGGTGTTGTGCGGCGTGTTCTGGCCGAAAGGCAAATGTCACGTGACAGGCTGGCGTATAAGGTTGAGTTTGAGGATTGGTCTGTTGAAGAGGTGAGTTCTGACAGTCTGCATTCACACTCCGTTGCTTCTCTGGTCTTGCGCTCCTGAGCCACAGCATTTACATGATTCCATACTACTGGTGCATCGAAATTTGCTCAGTATCCCATGGCGTTGAGATGGCGGCTGATTCACCCACATCGTTCACTCACGTCTGTCACATGAGTCGCGCTAGCCGGTTCTGGCCGCCTCAATCGTATATAAACCTCCTTCTCCGCTCCCTCGTCCTAACGCAAACACATCAACCACAAAACCGGTCTCAAGAAACGCGCAAGCTACGAACACAAACCTGACAGTGACCACACCAGGTGTCGTTCGACGAGCTGCTCGAGTACGAGAACGGATCAGAAGCGTTGCAGGAATTCCACGACAACCCGCCAACACCAGAACCGGAGCCTGAAACTGTTTCGAGGAAACGACCGCGCAACATGTCTTCTCGTCCCAGCCGCAACTCTCTGCTCCAAGCAGGCTTCGTCAGTACCGTTGATGCTGTGCCGATGTCTGACGAGGAGCCCTCTGATGACGAGCAGATCACTGTCAGCACTAGAAGCTCGAAGCGTAGACGCATCTACGAGCAGTACGAGGACGATGGGGAAGAAGCACAAGATGACGAAGACGAGCTCGGCGACGAGGATGATTCGGAAGTCGAAATGAGGCACTCTCGTCGTGGCCCACGCTCACGGCTGCGCAATACGACTTCTGCTGCTGGCCGTTCTCTTCGCAGCGCTAACAAGCCTTCTCCGGACGATGATGAGGACGAGGAAGACGACAGCGACGATGAGGCTTTCCTGCAATCAGACATACTAGGCGCGAGACGCCGCAAGCCACGAAAGCGGCGATCGAACGCTAATCAGCTAGGCGCAGACTCTGATGAGGATGAAATTGGCTTCTCTAGAAACAAGCGTCAGCGTGAGGGTGACCGCAAGTCTGGTCGCGCCAATAGACATCAAGGCGGCATGCAGGAAGTTGGCGAGAATGACGACTTTGAACAGGAGGCTGCACGTGCGCCAGTCGCCAAGCCGAAGGTCTCTGGTGCTCGCGAAGCTTTCATCCAGCTCCCTCGCGGCGACGAGTTCCGCATGCGCCATACCCAATACTGCGAGACTTGTGGCCAAGGCCCGAACTTCGCGCCTCTTGTTCACTGTCAAGGCTGCACGCTGTCCTACCACAAGTCCTGCTTAGGCCATCGAAGCGGACGCGAGCATCTCGTGACAAAGATCGGCGACGGCGACTTTGTGCTGCAATGTCGTCGTTGTGTGGCCTTTCCGAAGAAGAAGGATGCGATGTCACCGGATCAAGGCAGATGCTCAGAGTGCCATAATCACGGTAATGCTTGCAGGCCCTTCCGCAGTCGGAAGTCGCCTGCACAGGAGCAGAAGGAGCGTGAGGATAACCATGGCGAAGACCCGTCTTATCAAGTCCACGAGAGCCGCATCAACAATCCAGACAACGTCCTCTTCCGCTGCATGACGTGCTGGCGCGGGTTTCACTTCGAGCACTTACCTCCAAAGTCAGATATGATGGAGATGGAGGCCGAGGTGGACGTCGAGCAGCGTTTCCGGGAGTACGGTCGCGATTGGAAGTGCAAGGAGTGCATCGACGCTCCCGCCAAGGTCGCCGGTATCATCGCATGGAAGCCCGTCGACGAGGACACCTACGATCCAGAATTCGCCTTCGACCAGATCGAGGAGGATGAGAAGGTGTATCTTCTCAAGTGGGAGGGTATGTCCTATTTCCGTGCGTCGTGGATGCCTGGTGCGTGGGTATGGGGCAGTACGACACATATGATGCGCAAGGCCTTTGCGAAGAAAGACGAGGCGCAGCATCCCAAGATGAGGACCGAGGATGCCATTCCCGAGGACTATCTGCGCACGGATATTGTGCTCGACATCAAGTTCACGAGTATCGTCGACATTCGCACCGAGGAGGTTGATAAGGCGCGGATTCGGGAAGTCGAGAAGGCATTGATCAAATATCGTGGTCTTGGTTATGAGGATGCGGTTTGGGAGGCTCCGCCTGGGCCGGATGATGGCGATCGCTGGACTGATTTCGTTACCGCGTATAAAGATTGGGTTGCTGGTCGTTACGTTCGTCAATCGACCGCTAGCAAGCTCAAGAAGACGCTCGAAAAGATTCGAACTCAAGACTTCAGCAAATTGGAGAAGAAGACGCAGCCTGATAATCTGGTTGGTGGTGAGCTGATGCGCTACCAGATTGAGGGTCTCAATTGGCTGTACTACAAGTGGTTCACGCAGAAGAACGCCATTCTCGCCGATGAGATGGGACTCGGCAAGACGATCCAGATCATCGGGTTCTTGGCTACGCTGGTGCAGGAGCACAACTGCTTCCCTTTCTTGGTCGTGGTGCCGAACTCTACTTGTCCCAACTGGCGTCGGGAGATCAAGCGTTGGGCCCCCTCGCTGCGTGTGGTCGCCTACTACGGCAGCAAAGAGAGTCGCGACCAAGCCTTCCGCTATGAGCTCTTCCCCGAGGGCAGCAAGGATCTGCGTTGCCACATCGTAGTAACAAGCTACGATGCAGCAGCCGACGAGAACTGTCGCAAATTCTTCCGCTCCGTACCATGGCAAGGTCTCGTCGTGGACGAAGGCCAGCGCCTTAAGAACGACAAGAATTTGCTGTATACTGCCCTCGGCGCGTTGAAAGTCCCCTTTCGTATCCTCCTCACCGGCACGCCACTACAAAACAACCAACGCGAACTCTTCAACCTCCTTCACTTCCTCGACGAATCCTACGATGCCGAAAAGCTAGATCAAGAATTCATGCTTGATGGCCTGACCCAAGCTAAGATCCAAGAACTCCACGATATGATTCGACCCTTCTTTCTCCGCCGCACGAAAGCTCAGGTCTTGACTTTTCTGCCGCCTATGGCACAGATCATTCTGCCTATTAGCATGTCGATGGTGCAAAAGAAGGTTTACCGTACCATCTTAGCCAAGAATCCGGATCTTATGAAAGCCATCTTCAGTTCGGGAGGCAATGGAGCGCTCGGTAAGGGCGAGCGGGCAAGTCTAAGTAACATCCTCATGCAACTGAGGAAATGCCTTTGTCATCCCTTCGTCTATAGTAAAGGGATTGAGGAGCGGAATGTGGAAGTTTCGGCTTCGCATCGGAATCTAGTAGATGCTAGTTCTAAGCTCAAATTGCTCGAGATCCTGCTTCCCAAGCTGCAGGAGCGCGGACACAGGGTGTTGATCTTTAGTCAATTTCTGGATCAGCTGGACATCCTTGAGGACTTTATGGATGGGCTGGGCATGCCATTTCAGCGTCTAGACGGTTCGATCTCGGCGTTGCAGAAACAGAAGAGGATCGATGAGTTTAATGCTCCGGACTCTGCGCTGTTTGCTTTCTTGTTGAGTACGCGTGCTGGTGGCGTGGGGATCAATTTGGCTACGGCTGATACTGTGATCATTCTGGACCCGGATTTCAACCCTCATCAGGATATTCAGGCTCTGTCTCGTGCGCACAGGATTGGACAGACGAAGAAGGTGCTTTGTTTCCAATTGGTTACGAGGGCTTCGGCCGAGGAGCGGATCATGCAGATGGGGAGGAAGAAGTTGGCGCTGGACCATGTGTTAATTCAGAACATGGACGCGGACGATGCCGAGGAGAACGACCTCGTCTCTGTTTTGCGGCATGGCGCTACGGAATTATTTGAGGATAGTGGGGAGACGGATATCACGTATGATGCTGTTAGTGTCGACAGGCTTTTGGACCGTAGTCAGATCGAGCATACCGGCGCTGGCGAGGATCGAAGTGCGGAGACGCAGTTTTCGGTGGCGAGGGTGTGGGCGAATGATACGGGGGCTCTGCAGGATGAGATGGTGGATATGCGGGGGCCTGAGGAGACTGCGCCGGATCCTGGTGTTTGGGCCAATATTCTGAAGGAGAGGGAGAGGGTTGCTGCTGAGGAGGCTGTTGCTAAGGCTGAGGCGTTCGGGAGAGGTAGGCCTACTGTTGTGCGTGATATCGTGAGTTGGTGGGCTAACATGACCTTCTAGGTCGTCGTGCCCGCGGCGCAGTCGATTACATTGACAAGAACGGTGGCGAGGCCGATGCCACCGACATTCCCGAAGGCCCACAACCCATCAAACGCAAAGTCAAGAACGGCAATGAGAGCGATACCGATTTCCAAGCTGATGAGAGCGGTGACGATGAGCCAGCCGCAGGTGAGGACGAGATGGAGCTCGATGGCGAGGACGCTGCGACCATAAGCGCCGGTGCTAAACATGACGCAGGTCGGAAAAAGAACGGTAAGATCACCACATCCGCTAACACCACGTCTGCCTCTTCCCCGTTGTCACTACCCAATAAACCACTTAAGGGCGACCATTTGCCCACGCCAGCCGACAGCCCCAAAGGCAAGCGGGCGAAGACTACTTCAACAAAGTCTTCGCCTCGCAAGCCTATGGCGCCGAAGGAGGCCTACAAGGGCGTTCAGGGCGTTAGAAAGGCCTTGAGTGCTGTTGGAAAGCCGAAGAAGATGAAGGAGAAGCAGAAGGTCAAGGCTATCGTCCGGGAGTATCAGTCCAACGGCGAGAGGCCGGTTGCTTCTGCTTCTGTCCCTGCTTCTGGCAATACCAATGGCGAAGCGACGAAGACAACTGCGGCGGGGTCCAACACTCCTGCTGCTGCTGTTGTGTCGAAGAAGGCTGAAGTGGTCGACCTGACGCAGGACGATGGCGATGATGATGCCTCTCGTTCTGTGTCTGAGGTCGCTTCTTCTGCCAGGCCTGAACTGAAGTCTGCATCATCCGAGGCGTCTGCACCTGCTTCAGCTCATTGAGCTAGAGCAGGACACTACCAGCACAAACACTCCAACAACACTAGTATTATCTCTCTACGACGCTTTGCTTACGCTTCGCCATTACTAGATCCGCCCGCTTTCCGCCGCGTCAACGTTCCCGCGTCTCGTGCTTCCAACGCCCAAAATATCCCGACACCACCCAGCGACCCCACAAGCGACACGAACATATTCTCTACCGGCCCAGGAACGAACAACACGAATACTTCTCAGAATGGCGCTGTATTTGCTCCAGCAATTCAAGGCTCCCTCCCCAATGGCTTAGTCTGCATCGCATGCAGATCCTATCACATTTCTGGTCAATGTCCCGTCAAGCTCGCGGGTCTCGAGTTCTGCAACCTCTGCGGTCTGGCACACTACGGCCAAGGAAGGATATGTCCGCATATCCAGAGCGAGACACAGGTACGTTCTGAAGCCCCTCCTACCCACTCCACGTAATGCAACGTCCCCTAGTATCTGACTGTCTGTGACCTCCAAGGTCAGAACAATGCTAGAAACCTTGCGCTACTCCAAGGAGCCTCAGCATCTTGTCGAGGCTGCTAAGCGGTATCTGAAGGGACTGAAGGGCCACTTGGTGCAGATCAAACGGCAGAAGGAAGCGAAGGAGCATGCAGCGAGGGAGTCTGAAGCGGCTGCTGTGCTGCAGGCTGCTAGGGCGCCGGTTTGGAAGATGCCGGGGATGAGCACATCCGGTATGGGCTATGGTCTGCCAGGTGGGTATTGATTTGATCTGGGTTGCAGCCTGTTGGGGCTCGCATTCAGCCGACTCGTAGGGCTGAGCACTCTGCGGGTCTGAAGGCACTTGCCAGACTGTGCGCAGATGGAGTAGTGCGATACCCACCGATACCCACCCATGTATACTAATCGTTGTTACAGGCACGCAGCCTACTTATTGAGGCGATTCGGGGCTACATCTATGCCTAAGCAATTTGTGAGGCTCACCGCTCTTGACTCGCCGCCTTTGCATATATCGTTATGCCAAGACAGACGTTGTGCGAGCCCAACGATGCTGCTGACATATAGAATCTTGGTGGATCATATTGAACCTACCTGCAGCTTTCGGCTTTCGGATCATACAATCGCCGCTATTGAATGAGGACTGCTCGCATTAGTCAATACTACACGACGCTATCATGTTATGCCCTCGTACTAACAGGACTAGGAGTATATAAGGGAAACATGCTGCCACACTAGCAGGCTACCAGTTCTACGTCCTTCTCTCCTGCTGCCTCCTCGCTGCTACCGAACTTGGCTTTTGTACGCCATTGATCCTGGTGGCCCAACCTTGCATTATCCGGTCGTGGTATTCCTCAGCGTCGAGCACCGCAACAATCCACGATAAGTCAAGTCGGCCAGGCTTTGAACGGCTCCAGCATCGAGAAAGTCGGCGGCTGGATCAAAAAGACACATCACGATATTCATGCTGGCACCGACCCGCGCAACGTCAAGCTGCCACAGCCATACGTTGCCTGCATCGTGGGTGCTTCTCGTGGCATCGGAGCTGGTAAGTCATAGTCCGCCTGAAGAGGCATCATCGCCCGAGCTAACCATATTCATAAGCATTGCGCGAGCCTACACACAAGCTGGAGCTTCAGGACTAGTGCTTGCATCGCGCCGCGTCTCCGGCTTAGGGAATACGGCTCAGGAGTGCAAGAAGATCAATGCGAAAGCCGAAATCAAAATCATTTCGTGTGACATCACGTCGCCGCTGTCAGTCGAGGACCTGGCCAGCCAGACTAAAGCCGCCTTCGGCCGTCTTGATGCCCTCATCATCAACTCCGGCGCTGCAGGATGCAACTACGGCGTTAAGCTGGCTGATATACCGGCCGAAGAGATCGTCAATGTGACTAATGTCAACTACACTGGCTCTTTCCTCTGCGTCAAGTACTTCATTCCTCTCCTCCTCGCAACAAAGGACGGTGTCAAGGCGATTGTAGGGATCAAAAGCTATGCCGCGCTCATGGTCCGTGGTCCATTCCTAATGCCGGCATACAATGGGAGCAAAGCAGCACAGTTACGACTACTGGATTTGGCGCACGAGCAGTATCATGCTGATGGCCTAAACACTTATTCCGTGCACCCAGGCGCCGTGCCGACGGATCTGGCATTGGGTACGAATTTCCCCAAGGAGTTCAATGGCTTGCTGAAGGACAGCACGGATCTAGCGGGTGGGTTCTCTGTTTGGTGAACGAAGGATCGGAAGCAGGAGTGGCTTTCCGGGAGGTTTGCGAGTGCGGGTTGGGACGTCGAGGAGTTGAGCGGGAAGAAGAGTGAGGTCGTCGAGAAGGGTCTGTTGAAGTTGACGATGGATGTGTAGCTTGGCAGCCGGAAATGGCTTGTTCGTGCCTTGCTTCAGCTGCTTTCCTCTCCCGTCGGAGTAGCTAGCATATAACAATGTATGCCCTTTGACTACCACCATCTCGAATCTTCAATGTCGGATCTGCCAGACAAGATCGGTGCGGCGCCAGCAAGACCAACTCATGGTCACAGTCCACACCACGGCCGTGATGTCGTCATACACATTATTGTGCTGTTCGCTCTAGTCTCTGGCACGGCACTGCTCGTGCAGTTGAGCAGAATATGCTGGTTTGGACGGGGGCCGAAGACCCAGTCAATGGTACAAGCAACCACGTCCAGCTAGATGAGCAACCAGGACCGATCATGCCGCAGAAGTTGAAGAGAATATCGGAATGGACAGACCACACTGCAGAGTTGCCATAAGCAGACGGACGGAAGTCGACGGCCTCCCTATCTGATGCACGTTCTCAGAGCTTGCTGTCCCGCTTGACGATTGCACTCTCGCCAGCAAGCAACTCACAAAACCACCTCTCAGCCTCGATCCTCATCTTCTTCGAGAATTCGTGCCTCGCCTTCTGATCGATAATGACGTCGACTTCAATACCCAAATTTCCCGCCCAGCCATTTTGCGGACAGATTGCTTGCCTCAACCAATTCAACAAAGGCTCGCCGCATGCAGGTGGCACCAAGCGATCTTGACCGCCACCAAGAGCAAGGATCTTCTTACCAGCAAGTCTCTGAAGTAAAATTGCTCGTAATCTCTCCTGCTCCGCTCTCGACGGCGGATGCAGATGATCATCAGCCGTCACCGTGTCCAGTTCGCCCAAGAGAATACCAGCGGGATCTCGCTCATCAATTGCTGCGAGAAGAGAGGGCGGAAAGTCCGAGCTACCCAAGAAATCCTTCCCAGGCGGATCTGATGACACACAGGAGGGCAACTTGCTCCGGATAGCCCGATCGGTCATGAGGCGGACATAATCTGGACACCCTATCACAACCAGACCAGCAGTGATACGAGGGTCTCCTAGGAGCAGCTGCCATGTGGCGTGGCCACCAAGACTGACACCACCACATATGTGTTCTGTGATCTTGATGGGGAGGTAGTGCGGTAGTTGGTCGATCAATAGTGAGACGTCAGATGCTGTACCAGAGTAGAGATTGAACATATCAGGACCATGACTCGGATTTCCTTGCTTCCAACTGACATTCGCTCTGTCATCGATCATTCGGCTTCCATGATTGCGCTGGTCGATGCAGACGGCAATGACGTCCTTTTGGCCTGGTTTTCGCTTGATATACCAAGCATGAAGCAAAGCAGCAGCTGTGTACGCCATGCTGTCTTGGGTGTCGCCGCGCCCATGGAGCAGCCATAGACATGTTCCCTGGGTAGCGTTCGACGAAAGTTCCTCCAGGCCGTACACCGTCACAAGCAGGCCAGCAATATTGTATCGCCGCCATGACAATGGCTTGATACCAACGAACGCAGAGTGGGTCTGCGGCAACGGAGAGGCGAAGGGCGAGAGTGTGCTATGCAGCTGCAGTGCATGCTTCCAGGTAAAGGTACTGCCGCCAGCCATGATGACCAGTATATTTCAGATAATGGCAAAGCTGAGACGTGTCTCCTGTTGCTTGTATATGAGAGCGGCTTGAAGACATTAATCTGGAGGCAAGATCGAGCCGAGGTGCTCGGTGTTCCGGTATTTCATCCCGACAACCAGATATGGTCGTTCTAGGTGTTTTAGAGCCAGCCCGCAAATATCAACAACGCCTTTGGCTTTGAGGCGAAGGTGAACACATATTACGGCACTCACACACTTCAAAAAGACTCCCAAGTAGTAACGTGGCATTCGGCCAGGTGTCTCGCTACACTCACCGTGTATAAACGACTTGCCTGGTGGCGAACATGCATATTATCACTGATACCGCATGGGCTGAGTAGCCTTGTTGGGCTTGATGGCTCAGCCACTCCGTCGGACTACAGAACGACGGCAGTGTATCGAATGCGACGGTCTACAACTCAAGTGAATAGCTCTTTACCCATCTAAATTCGACAACTATGGCCGAAGCGATCGCGATTCTAGGGGCCTTATCTAGCTGCTTACAAGTAATTGACTTCTCCGCCAAACTGGTGCGCGAAACCCATAGCCTCATCTCCAGCGGTGACGAGACCAGGAAACGCAATAAGCAGAAAGACCTTGCACTGCGCTACACATCCCTTGGCGAGGCTGCGAAGAGCCTAGACAGTGCCTCCCTCGACCTTGCCGGCAAGACTGAGGTCGATCAGCTGATATTGAGACTTGGTGAGGACTGCGTTCTCGAATCCACCGAGCTATGGCAGCAGCTTGATGCACTGAAGCTAGAGGATAAGACGACTGGTCTCAAGCGTCTGGTTGATGGTACTAAGAAGGCTGCCAAAGGACTTTCACAAGCGAAGGAGATACTCCAACGTCGAACGCGACTACAAGAGCTTAACTCTCAGCTGTCTACAGCAATCTTGCAGTCACTTTATGCCAAGCAGGAACTTCTTACCGCCCCTGGGATTAGTGTGCTGCATGCCGTAAATCAGAGTAGTCGGGATCCACTGGATCAGATAGCCACGCTTCGACGAGAACACCAAACGCTGGCAGTCCAGACTCATCGCATTCTAGACAGCCTGCATTTTGATGCCATTCAGTCACGGGAGATATCTGTGCAGCAAGCTTACCATGGGACTTACACATGGGCCATTACTGACGATAAGTCGGCACTGAAGAAATGGTTGCGCAGTGGAGAAGGCGTCTTCTGGGTACAAGGCAAGGCAGGATCAGGAAAGTCGACATTGATGAAGCACGTCGCAACATCCTTACATACGAAAGCTATGCTGAGGGAGTGGTGTGGCCAGGCAGAGCTCGTGACTACAAGCTTCTACTTCTGGTATGCTGGCACAACGTTACAAAAGTCGATTACGGGTCTGTTGCGGAGCATTCTGTATCAAATCATCGGCAACGACAAGGACCTTGCTCAGCTTGTCTTCCCAGACTCGTTCGACATGGAGGTTGACGAGGATCTGGTCAAGGGAACGCGATCCTACCGCACGAGTCGCATCGTATGGTCGCATGTAGAGCTGGTGGATGCTCTGATCAAACTCATACAGTGCAGCCATGGCATTGACAAGGCGAAGCGCTTCTGCTTCTTTATTGATGGCCTGGACGAGTTTCAGGGAGACCAGATGCAACTGATCAGCCTCCTTCGTGGTCTTGCTGCAATCGATGGTGTCAAGCTGTGTTTAGCAAGCCGTCCTTGGAATGCTTTTAGCACTGCTTTCGAGACTGGTCCGAACCTGCGACTTGAGGCGCTCTCCCGACCAGACATTTTGCGATATGTAGAAGGACATGTACGTACTGCTATGACCGGACACGTTATTGGCGAGGCCACACAAGAAGCACAGGACTCCGACGCTCCTTGCAAAATCATAGTCGAGAAGGCGGAAGGCGTCTTCTTGTGGGTGTACTTGGTTGTTCTGTCTGTTATTCGTGGTCTAGCAGAAGGAGACAACTTCTCCATGCTACTCTATCGAGTCGAGCAGTTCCCTCCGGACTTGGAAGATTTTTTCCGTAATATTCTAGGTACCTACAGCATGCAACATGTGTTTTACGACATGTGCTCACTAACATTGTGATAGATCGAGTGGACAGTATATATGCTGCTCAAACAAGCCAAGCACTGAAACTTGCGTATATGTACGCTGTTGATGCCGATCACGGTGGAATGGCATACAGTGTCTCCCACTTTGTCGACTACTGGTTGATTCGCCAGAGTCCTAAAGGGCTCTCGGATCCTCAGTTCCCATACAAGACCTATGTAAGACGACTTTCGCCTGACCAGATCGCGACGATGAAGAAGGAAACAAGAAGCATGCTGCGAGCCGCTTGCAAGGACCTCTTGATGTTGCCTGAGGACGATAGCCCTGAAAGTACCACCGACGTGGCCTGCCACAGAGTACAATTTCTTCATCGAACCGTCTTCGATTTTTTATCGAGCGACGAGATGCAGCTTCGCTTGACTCGACAAGTGCCCACGCATTTCAAATCAGAAAGCATATTCTACTTGCTCAACTTGGCACGCATGAAGTGGAGCATTTCCACCCTTGACGCATTGCCACTGCACCGGATCTGGCGTGACACGTCAATCATGTCGCTATCGTCGGCCCATGCGGAGCTGAACGTGTCTTACGCTGCAGAATTCGAGAAAGCACTACTCGCAACTGCGCTTGCTTTCGAGTCGACCCCCCCGAGTGTGCTCAGTGGGCTCATAGCGTTCCGACAGCGAGATTGGGCTCTGGGTGTGGTCGAGCTCGACAACTCAGGCTATATGGACCTAGAACTTGACGACAGGAGGCTCATACTCCTTGCTGCACTTGGTGAAGATGGGAGGAATAAGTTCGACCTGTGCCAAGTCGACATCATGTTAATCAGATCCCTATTGGAGTCTAATTACTGGATGCTCTCCTTCCACGAGCCTAACGATCCGCCAGGCAGATTGGAGCTATCGAAACAAGAGAGTGCCTGGCAGATCTTCGGGAACAAATGGAAAGCCCAACATCCCTGCACTTGCCCAACCGAACAGGATCGAGAGAGTCACTTACGAGGCACATGGGAGATTGCAAAGCTGCTTTTGAGAGATGCACCCAGCAGCAAAGTGTTCGATCCAAAACATCGACAGATCGCAGATTTCATGTTAAGCGTAGTCCCTCACGGGTGGTTGCTCAAGTGCGGAGCGACGAGGTCATGGCTGCAGCAAATGCACAAGAGCAATGAGCGTGACTAATAACTACCGCTGAGCTACTTACGACGGCGCTGTGTGACCGATGATATCTTCACTAATAGTCCCTCTCAAGCCACTTCTTACACGCCTCATAATGCTTGCCAAAGTTTTCGTCAATTTTCATAGACCTGCCAAAGATGTCTCCATCACGATCAAGAATCTCGCCAAATCGGAAGAAACCAGCTATGATAAAATCGGCGAAGCTCACGATCTTGCCCATGACATATGGGCCATCGGGATTCTCTCTCAAGATCGCTCGGAGTTGCTCGATTCCCGGCGCGGCATTCTTCCAGGCAGTCTCGCCTGCTTTGTCACTTTTCGCGAGCTCCTCGAGTGTCATGCCGAAGCGCTTCGCCCTTGTCTCGCGGAAGTACGCTGCACTGGGTTCGTTCAATAGATTCTCCGGGATCCTAGGTAATGCGATGGGTGCAAGAGCTTTGTTGATCTCCAGGACGGTGGATTGTACACGATCTGTGTAACCATTTTCAAAGTGCAGACTCGGCTCTGGCTGAAGCTCCTCGAGGGCTTGAGCGATCTTGTGCGAATCCATCACATAGGTATCATCTGGTAGTTTGACAGCAGGACTGCTGAAGGTAGCCTGGGGGTTGATCGTCTTGTCGTTGGGCGGGATGCCGAGGGAGGTGAATTTCGGCTTGAGGTCTACAGTAGCAGAATTAATATACACATAGATCATCATATAGGATTGATGGCCTCACCGGGATATTCGACCCACTCAGTGCGGTATGGTAGACCTTTGTAGTTGAGTGCAAGGCGAGCTGCTCAGATGGTCAATCGACTGCCAAATGTCGGGCATAAGCGGGTCGAGTCCATACCTTTCCATGGATTTAGCGACCAAGCATGACTAGGTGGGCGTGATGGTAGATCATAGAGCACGATTTCATTCGCCATCTTGGCCAGATACGTCCTGGTCGATGTGCGACTAAATCCTCGTAGTGCCAGCGTTTAGAAGAGTCCCTTCGTGATGTGCTGACGCACTTCCCAAACATATACACTCTTTATGGTTCCAGCGATGCTTCGTAATACAGTTGCGTTAGGCCGAATTAAGGTGATCGACTCTTGAAGAGGAAGATGAATGGCAAGCATCTGACTCATGCGGGGGAATCGTGGAGCTAAGTGGGCTGAAATAAGTGGAAGGAACGAAACCCTTAGGGTACGCATCTCGGTATGCGAGGCTTAATGGAACATCAGGATTGGCTGTCGCTTCTCGAAGCAAATGTTAAACGCCTGAAGGTGCTGCAGTGGCTACCAATTGCCTGTGCTTTGGATAAGGAGCTCGAGAAACGTAGTGCCGCTCTGGCCAGAGAAGTTTCTGAACAAGCAACCTGCCTCCTCAATTCGTCCAGTCTTCACTCGAAAAGCGGACTACGAAACTGACGGCCCGTGGAGTCGTGTCAATTTATACGAAAGACATCTGGCAGCTCATCAGACGGGATTGTTCATATCAGAAGATGAAGCTAGGCCGAATCTGGAACTGGTCTTCAAGAATATCATCCCGCCTCGATGGCACCCCCTCCTTCTATAATTACACATCTCCATCTCGAGAGCGATGGCGCACCGGAGATCTCGAGGAGAGTTGTGTCGCCAACGAGGCTACCTTCGGGCAGTCATATTTGCCTTCGGCTGGCGTGTGAATTAATGAGGAAGCATCGGATCGAGACTGGGAGATCTTGACCGAATTGCTGGTGATCTACGCCATGTGCAGAAGCGTGGCTTAGATCCTTGCATCTGCATTATCATCTAATCTGCCAGATGTATTCAGCCCCTCAAAAGAGAGAGAAGCGAATCTTCTGCCAGAGCTCGGATGGTAGTCAGGACATACCCTCTTTGCCAGACACGATACTCGGTCGAAAGCCCCACAGCCAAACAACGCTTCATCCCGCCACCTAGTCGACCTCAGCAGTACAGGCATTGCTGTGCGCATATGAGATATACTCACAAAAATCGAGGCACTTTCCAGAAGGAGCCGGTATTATGTGGCCTCTATTGTTTGCATTGAGTACTTCGCTCTCCTTGACACAAGCACAATTGTCATATGACTTTGTAGATATGATCCGGTCAACTGGTAATTCACCGTTCTGACAGCTTAAGTAGATTATCGTTGGTGGAGGTACAGCTGGTCTAGCGGTGTCTTCTCGGATCAGTCAGTATCTGCCCACTAGCACCATACTGGTCATCGAAGCTGGTCCTGATGGGCGGAATGACAGTCGGTAGGTCGTGATATATCCTCACCGGTCTGAATAAGATCTTACTGACGCTGAACAAGCCTTTCGACTCCAGGCCACATGAGCGGGCTAGGCACCATATACGACTGGAACTTTACCACGACGCCACAAATTCATGCCAATAATCGCATAATCCCACAGAACCGTGGCCATGTCCTTGGTGGTAGCTCTGCTTTGAACTTGCTTTCCTGGGATCGTGGTGTCAAAGCTGATTATAATGCCTGGGAGGAGCTCGGTAATCCAGGCTGGAACTGGGCCAATATGCACACAGCGATGGAAGCGCAGGAGACCTACCAGGCAACGTCCGTGGCAGGCTCTGCTGGGCTTGTTAGTCAGGGTGTGGGCGATAGTGGTTCTATTCATTTCTTGGTGAACCGCTTTTCGCCCCCTCAGCAGGAGGCGTTCTTCCCTACGATGCAGAATCTTGGCCTCAATCAGACATATGAATTCCTCAATGGTGATATGATTGGATGGATGCGGCATACGAGCAATATCCTGGGTACCAACTATACTCGATCCTACGCTCCTACATTCCTGACCATTGATGGACCAAACCTGCACTACATGGTCAACACGACAGTCGCAAAAGTGAATCTGGACAGTGCCTGTCAATCAGCCACTGGTGTTACGTTGCGGAATGGCACAGTCATCACGGCCAAGAAGGAAGTCATTCTCTCAGCTGGCTCTCTCCAATCCCCGCAACTGCTCGAGCTGTCAGGGATTGGAAACAAAACTGTTCTCGCTGCAGCTGGTATCAAGCAGCTCGTAGATCTACAAGGAGTTGGCGAGAACCTGCAGGATCATGTTCGTGTCACTGTCGGCCTATCAGCTTAAGAGCAACTACACTTCACCGGACATCCTACGCATCAATGCTACTTATGCCGCTCAGCAGCTCGATGACTACCACGACAATATTTCGAGCTGGTACGATGAGACTTCCTCTGGATATGCCTACATGCAGTGGCAGCAAGCACAAGGCATCAATGCATCTGCGTTCGAAGCCTGGGGCAAAGCAGCGGCCGTATCAAGCAACGCTGTTGATCGAAAGAAGCTACAGAATCTGCTGGACGTGAGCGACAGAGTGCCGCAGCTCGAGGTCCTCTTCAATGATGGCTACCTCGGCAACAAGGGATACCCAGCTGTCAACTCAACCCTGTATGGCAAGCAGTTCTTCACGCTGATCGCCAGCATCAATCATCCTTTCTCACGCGGCAGCACACACATCAACAGCACAAACCCATCTGGTCATCCTGTCTTCAACCCAAACTATCTGAGCAATGACTATGATCTCCAAGCAATCGCACAAGCTGCAAATTACATGCGACACATCGCCCAGACCGCTCCGATGTCGTATACTTGGGATACTGAGTACGAGCCTGGTCTTCAGAACGTCACCACTGATGCTGAGTGGGTACAGTATGCACGGAATAATGTGCTTAGTATTTGGTATCCTATCGGCACAACTGCGCTGTTGCCACAGAAGGATGGTGGTGTAGTCAGTCCAGAGCTAAAGGTATATGGTATCAGGAATTTGCGAGTGGTCGACGCCGGTGTGATCCCCATATGTATCTCTGGTCATATTCAGACGGCTGTGTATGGTATTGCTGAGAGGGCGGCACAGATGATTGCCAAGCAGTGGTCATAAGAACGAGTAGACGGTATGGCTGAGATCTGGCTACAACTGCTTTAATTCCGAGCTTCCGATACGTGCAGCAGTCTTCTCATGCTTTGAGATGTCTGATGTGCTTGCACGCGCAACATGAGGTATTTCTTGCTTTGGAGAGAGGACAGTGTCAAAGCTTATCTCTAGCGTGAAGCTAAAGTCTGGATCCAGATTGTGAAGTGAATGCTCATCAGCCTCCAAAACCGCAATAATGACTGCCTCAAATGATAGACACGCTGCAGCAGAGCCAGTCTCTGTCCTCTTCGTATGTCTTGGGAACATCTGCCGCAGTCCAATGGCAGAGGGCGCCTTTCGACATCTCACAAAGTACGGCACACCTCAGCAACATCCTCTCATAGCCAGCGTTGACTCCTGCGGTACTGGAGCGTATCATGCAGGAGATTTGCCGGACTCACGGACCATGTCTGTGCTTAAGGACAATGGCATCACAGACTACAGGCACAAGGCGCGGAAAGTGAAGGTTGAAGACTTCGAAGACTTCGATTATGTATTGGCCATGGATGATGACAACCTTGTGGACTTGCGAGACTTGGTCAAGAGAGCTGCGAAGAAGGGCTCGTTGAAGGGGGATGAGGCTGAGAAGGTGCAGCTTTATGGAGCGTTTGGTGGGAAAAGCCAGAAGGAGGAGGTGATTGACCCATATTATGGTGGACGTGATGGGTTCGAGATTGCGTATGAGCAGATGGAACGATTTGGTACAGGTCTTTTGAGGCACATTGAGGCACGGTAAGCCAATGGTGAAGCGCCATGAATACAAAGATACCCTTCGACCATACGTCCGGCCGCTATAGATATGCGGAAGTCTTTAGAAATGTCTCATCCGCAGCGAAGATGTCGATAAAGATGCAACGCGGAGGTGCGAGCTTATACATAGCAAACCACCTTTCTTCCGTCCACTGTATCTTTCCTCTGTCTACCTCAACATTGGTGCACTACCGCTAACTATGTGCTTTCGTTCGTAATACTGATCTCTATACGCTACAATCTTGCGATATCTAGACGAGGTCCAAAGATATCGATGAAGATGTAACGCGGAAAAGTTAGCGAGGTGCGGGCTTACACATAGCCCACCACCTTTCTTCTGTCTATATCTTTCCTCCATCTGCCTCAACTTTGGTGCACTACCGCTAACTATGTGCTGTCGCTCGAAATATCAATCTTTATACGCTACCATCTTGCGATATCTAGGCGATCGTTAAAGATACTAGCGTACACGGTTACGCCACCAAGCTACAGCCACTACCTTTCTTCTGTCTATATCTTTATTCTACCTAGTACAACTTTAATCCACTATAGCTAACTATATGCTAAAGCTCGAGATATGCATCTTCCTACGCTATTATTTTACGATATCTAGGCGACCGTTAAAGATACTAGCGTACACAATTATGCTACCAAGCTATTGGCGTATAGCTTTCGGCCCCTATATCTTTATGTCCTACTATAAGACTGACGTCTTACCTATATAACTATGTGCGGTCGCTCGTAAGAATGATCTTTGTACGCTACGGTCCTGCGATATCTTGACGAGCTCCAAAGATACGAGCGTACATAATAATGCTACCAAGCTCTTGGCGTATAGCTTTCGGCCCCTGTATCTTTATGTCCTACTGTAAGACTGACTTCCTACTTATATAACTATGTGCGGTCGCTCGTAAGGATAATCTTTGTACGCTACGATCTTGCGATATCTAGACGCGCTCCAAAGATATAAGCGTATATCAATTTGCTACTAAAGTTTTGGCGTATAGCCTTCGACCCCTGTATCTTTATGTCCTTTCGCGTGCTGGACTTCTTACCTATACAACTATGTGCGGTCGCTCGTAAGAATGATCTTTGTACGCTACTATGTTACGACAGAATGGTGACCACAAAAGATATTGCTACATACGCTTCTTCCGCCAAGCTTTGGTCGACAGGTTTGGCCTACAGCTTTATTTCGACCCCTAGATCTTTATGTCCTTTCGCGCGCTAGACTTCTTACCTATATAACTATGTGCGGTCGCTCGTAAGAATGATCTTTGTACGCCACTATCTTGCGACAGAATGGTGACCACGAAAGATATTGCTACATACGCTTCTTCCGCCAAGCTTTGGTCGAGAGGTTTGGCCTACAGCTTTATTTCGCGCCCTAGA